AGCAGTGATGGGTGCCTCTCACTCGCTAGTGATAAATAGCACATAATCTTTTCTCTTGTGGCGCTGGAGCGATTCAAAAAGGACAATTACTATCCTGCTCATGTAACTGTCTGCCTAGAACGTGAAGATGAATGAGGAACTGATGGTGTTTGGTTCATTGACGCGTACCTCTTGACTGCTACTCACTTGATACTTCCAATACCCATTCATGGTGGTGACATAAAAGCTACCTACACATCCCTCTTTGGTTCTTCCATCAAGCAATACGGTTGTCTGCCGGGTTTGCGGTGCCGAGTATGAAAATACTGGTGGTTACCTTTATCACATTCTGACATATTACCAGTACCAGATGAGGTGAGGATGCATTGGCCGTTAGAACCCAGTAAACAGCGTCGTATGGAAAGTGTGAAATGTAATAATATGTATGGATAGGTTAACAGGATAATCAAGTCTAGTCGTAAAGGGGAGGGGGGATAGGTGTAGCTGGAAGAGGCGGGGGCGTAGCTGGACCATGCTGGTCGCGATGTCCAACATTGGACAGTGCTTTACGATGCATGCCCTCGCTTTTATGATGCACTTCAGTCAATGGGACAGGATACAGATCCATGGCGCGCCGAATACCTGGAGTGCTCGTTACGGAATGAGTCCTCTGCATTTTCCAGACGCTGCTTCTGCTGGTGTTCGCGGTGCTGCTGCCACTTCAAATCGCGCTGCCGATCGTGTGCCATCTTAACCGAGAAACGATATGCCAATGAGCGCTGATCTGGTAGCATCTGATTCCATGTCAGGATGTCGATGGGCACAATCTTTGGTGGCTCCAGCGTCCCGGGCAAGGCTAGGTAGGCGGGTGTCGCTAGTGATATGGGGGGCTGGCTGTTGTTGCTGACAGAGCTGTGCGAGGTCGCGGTCTCTGTCAACCGACGCTGCGATGCTGTCCGCTGGCGGTATTTTTCGCTGGTTCTGTTTGTGAACAGGCCGCCGCCAATTGCCAATGCAGCCAGCTGTGCCGAGTCCGACACCGGGGGTCGCCGGTTTTCATATGCCTCAACAGGAGATACAGGCTGGAACTGGCTGGAGGACATTGTTGGCCGGCGCTGGCCGCTGGTTCGGGCAACGTTTACACTTTTCCTGCTGCTAGCTGAGCGCGGCGGGCTGGGAGAAGCAGGCTCGTCTCCCTGCAGCGCAAAGTTAATAATGGGGCGGCCATCGAGCTTGAGGTGAGACAGGGGAACAGAAATGCTTTCTATGCTGCTGTCGCTGGTGGGCCGCGACAGGCGCGCAGTCTCAACAGCCGCCGAGTCGATCAGTCCGTTTGCATCAATGTAGCGCTTGAAGCGCTCATACTCGATATAGTCAAAGGCGGAAAATCCACGTGAAATCAGCTGTTGCTCAGGCGTTTCGGCCTCAGATCCGAGCCGCAGCTTGCGCGGCTTTTTGGCCTTGAGCTCGAGCGGCTCATGCTCAAGCAGCATCTCCTCCAAGTCGTACGCAATGTCAAAGTTGGGCTGGTTTGCGTCAGGCACAAACAGCGGTGGCAGCTGCCTGGATTCGAGCCGGTCCCAGTCGAGTGCAGCAAAAAACGGATGGCGTTTAAAGTTCTCGTAGCCGTTGGCGCCCAGGCGTTTTGACGGGTCCTTTTGCAGCAGCTCGCGCATGGCCGAGATGCAGTCGTAGCTGACCTGCACATCGGCAATCATGGGGAACTGGATCTCATCCTCGACAATGGCCCGCTTAAGCTTGTCGATGTTGTTGCCCTGGCGGAACGGTCGTTTTCCGTAGATGCACTCGTACATGACGACACCCAGCGACCACCAGTCAATCGAAAACGTATACCCCTTCCCGCTGATCAGCTCGGGCGCCATGTAGTTTGCCGTCCCTGCAACCGAGTAGTGCGGTTTGCCGTCGCGGATCCGTGCGGCAATGTTGAAGTCGGTTAGCGCGACATGGCCCTTGTCGTCCATCAGAATGTTGTCTGGCTTGATGTCGCGGTGGACAACCGAATGGTTCGTGTGCAGGTAGTCTAGCGCACAGGCGACCTCAGCAACCCAGAAGCGAATGACGCTCTCCACGAACCGCCGGCGCTGCATGTGGAACCGCAAATCGCCGCCCATCATCAGGTCCATGACCATAAACATGTCGGCGTCGTCCTGGAACGAGAAGCGCAGGTTGACCACGAACGGGTGGTCGATTTCCTCTAGAATATCTCGTTCGCGCAAGATGTTCTGCTGCGCCTTCATTTTGATGCACTCCGCCTTGCTGATGTACTTTAGGGCAAAGGTCTTGCGTGTCTCGGTATGCTCGACGATTCTGACCTTGCCAAACGACCCGCGGCCAATGACACGCAGCAGACCAAACTTGTGTAGCCCCAGACTTTGCTCGCCATCGTGCTTTCCAATCACGTTGCCCATGGGTATGGTAAGGCACGGAGCAGGCTTTCCTTTTACGAGCTATATCGGGCAATAGGTGAAAGCGTGAAAAGTAGGGCTCTGCAAGAAATCCGGTGGAGAGAGAGAAAAAGGAGGGGCAGAACAGAAGAGAGGAGAGAAGATCCATTGTAAAGCGGACCGCAGGCTGCATGGCAAAGCCTAGCTGCCTTTTTGTTCTGAGATTGACGCGGCGGTGAAAGTGGAGAAAAGCAGCAGGAAGTCTTGAAGACGTACACGGCAAATTCGAAAATCTCTCATTAAGAAGGCTGGGCGATTGGGAACGAATCTGAAGCCACAGTTCAAGGTTCCGTCTATCGAGGCAGAGCCCAATGACCTGCCTTTTCGGTAGTTGTGTTTACGCATATGTATATTTAGAACATTGTTGAATCGGAGGTGTAGGGTGTGCGGGGAAGGGCACCCGTTATCACGCATGGGCCAGGGACTATGCAAACATTGCCGGCCCGTTTGGACGAAGGTAAAAGTCTGCGATTGTCCCGGTTTTGGACTGTATCCCCTCCTCCTCCTCTACACACCTTTTCCCACTAGTAAACATGAAGGCAGTCAACAGCTTTCGCTCGCGAATTCGGACAGGCAGCGGCAATTCGTCGTCGTCGTCGCCGCCATCGTCCGCTGTCAGAACACTGGCAGCAGGAGGCACCGGCGCCGACGGCTCAGCAGCAGCAGCAGCAGCAGCACAGGCGTCGCTGATTTCCCCAACACTTGCAGGCATCGCGTCCCCAAAGAAGCGAGCGTGGGCCGTGGTCCCGCGGAAGCTCCGTGGGCTGCACCCGGCGCCGATGATTGTCTATGTGCGTGAGAATCCAGAGCTGATTACCCAAGCCATGGACAGGCTGTACGACACGCTGGTGTCTGCATACGGCGTCGATTCCAAGGACATCAAGGTGACTGACGTTCCCACGGCGTTTGACTTGCCCAACGCTGTGCGCAAGATGGGCAAGGGCAAGCAGGTTATTGTCGTGGTAGGCCTGCTCACCCGCGACAAGCCGTGGTTCGACGAGAGCCAGGTGTCGCGGGTGCGCGACTTTCTGCTGGCATGGTCGCAGCAGAACGGCATCCCGCTGATTGACGGCATCCTGGTGGACGAGAATGTAGCCCAGCTCGAGGGCCGGATTGCGAGCCCCCAGTGGAACGTGAGGGCGTCGGACGAAATCGGCACCATGAACTTTCCGACCAGCGTGCTCGAGCCCCTTGACCAGAGCGCGTTTACGGATTCCGAGGAAGCGGGTACTGCGGTGAGGAGGAGCAATGATCAGTCAAGCATATCCTCAAAAGACGCGGTGGATGGCATATCGGGTGACTACATGTTTGGGCATTACCTGGCGCACCGGGCAATGGAGATGTTTTATTTTGAGCACCGTGGATGGTGAGGGTGCAGTTGCAGCAAAGCAATATAATTTTACAGAAATCATCGCCATCGTCGCCATCATCAGCAGTGCATCTGGTGGCCATGGTAGGTGGACCGCTGTTTGTAGCCTGCGGTCCCGTGGGGTGCGGCACGCCCGTTGCAATTGATGGCTGCGGATATAATGCAGCGCGGCACATGTCTACATCGTGTGGAAATTAATGAACACCTGGTATGTGTATAAATGGGCGAGCACTTCCAACACCCATTGGCCATTTTGTTCATGTTCATTTCCCGTTGCAACTTTTTCGACAAGGATGATATATATTTCAGACAGTAGCGACAGCGACGCCCAAGGCTCGCCGCGCAAGAAGCGCCGCAGCAACACCAACGACACCAACCAGTCGATTGTGTCAGTGTACAGCCAGATATCGTGGGAGCACTGCTCGCCGCCGGTGGTGGTCATTGACTCATCGGAGAACTCGCTGTCATCAAGCATTCTGCACATTCGCTCGCACGGCCAGCTGGCCAGTACTGCTGATACCTGGACACGGACTCTTGGCGGACACAAAGAGGAACATAGCGCAGACAGCAGCGACGAGCCAGACAGCGAGATTGAGGAAATGGGGCAGCGAGCTGCGGCCGGCAGCGACTATGACGAGCCGATATTCCTCAACGAGCGCGCGCTGAGCCACAAGCGACTCGGAAATTTCATAGGTAAACAAATCATCGGATGCAAAAACCTACGCACTGCTGCCTGCCTTCCCTTTCGCCTGCCTCAATTTATTCTGTATTTATTCCAGTCGCTAATGAATTTTACGTCTGCAGGCGCCGTGTTTGGGCGGAATCGGCAGTACCGGTCGCGCGCCGGGCCAATGGATGTTGACACTCACGAAAACGACACGTCCTGGCTGACCACACTGTCACAGAGCAGCGCGGCTCTGGACGACCGGTCCAAGAGGAGGCGAGGCGACACAGACACTGAAAACAAGGACAGCAGTAACGCAGGTGTGCGGGAGCCAGTGTTTGGCAATGTGCCATTCACATTCAGCATGCCGCCAGTGGACCCTGAGCCTATGGACGTGGACTGGACGCACACGACAGAGACACCAAGGACGCAATCAGGACAACCAGCCGATATCGCCAAATGCTGTACGAAGGATATACTCTCGGCGGAAGAACTCTGCTGCCGAAAAGAGACAGCGCAGTGCTATTCGCAAAGAGAGGCTGCAGCAGCGGAGGAGCGTGGAGGAGGATAGGGACGGACACTTCTCGTCAGAGTCTGGCTCTGACTTTAATTCTAACTCTGACTCTGAGGGCCAGGCACGGATGTCAACAGAAAGCAGGAGAAAACAGGAGGCCAGAGAGGTCAGGAGGCGCCGGGCAAAGCGCCGAGGCACAAGCGAGGTGCTGTCGCGGGGCGTGGACAAGGTGCTGGCGCTGATGGGCAGCAAAACCAATGTGCCAACGGCAAACGACCGGCTGCAGATGCACCGCGACATCCCGTATGTCGTCTCCGGATACCTCCAGGTGACTGTCAATACGGCAGTGATCACCCTCTTTGGGTACCTGGTTCTCCAGGCAATACTTGCGGTCAGCAGTGAAATGTCGAACAATATGGACCAGTCCATAGTAGAGCGGAAGCAACAGATCGACATATGTAGCAAAGATTACAACGAGAACCACTGTGGTACTCCAATGGCTGCGCCCAAGTTGAAAATTCCCTGCGCAGAGTGGGAAATTGTGCATGAATCAGAACCCTGCCTCGATCGGCAGGGCCAAGATAGCTGCAGAGACACTGGCGGGCATCATCAATGGGTTCATTGAGCCGATCTCGTTCAAAACCATGGCGTTCTTCATGATCATGTTCCTGGGCACGATATACGTCACCAATTTTGCCCTGGGGTCATACCGCCAGAGCCGGGTAGATGAGCTCATTGCGTACCTGAGCAGGCGCAGCAACCGCAGCTCGCACGACCAGTCCGCGGAAGGAGCTGCGATTGAACAGGCCGCCGCCGCCGACCGCCACAATGACGAGCTGACCTTTTGACAGCTGAAGGCACGATTGGTAAGCCGACTCGCCGGATGAGGGGTTGACTAATCCATGCGGTGGACCTTTATTAAAACGCCAGCCCACGCTCCGTGTGTGCCGCTTGCGTCCCTTATCTTCTCTCCAACTTTTTCTGTCTACAACACGCTTTTTCCATTTACATTCTACTAAACCATGGGCGGCGACGACTTCCACAAGGGCGTAAAGGAGTCCAGCAACAAGCTTGACGGCGGCAACCTAAAGATTCTCATCGTGCACACGCGGTGGAACTCGGAGATCGTCAACCCGCTGGTGGACGGAGCCAAGACGTCGCTGGCCAAGTACGGCGTCAAGTCCGAGAACATCGTCGTGCGCGATGTCCCTGGCGCCTACGAGCTTCCAGGTGCCGCCATGAAGCTGATCCGCCAGTCGCAGCAAGAGTCGACCAACCTCGTCAGCAGCATCGTCGACGATCTTCTCTCGACGCAGACGCCCTCAAGCCAGACTGCAGCCGAGAGCGCCAAGAGCGGACCGTTTGATGCGGTTATCTGCATTGGCGTCCTGATCAAGGGCAGCACGATGCACTTTGAGTACATTGCCGACGCCGTGAGCCATGGGATCATGCGCGTGGGGCTTGACACCGGCGTGCCGGCGGTGTTTGGCGTGCTGACGTGTCTGACTGATGAGCAGGCGATGCAGCGGGCAGGAACCGGCAGGGGCGAGGACAAGGGGCACAACCACGGTCTTGACTGGGGAACGGCGGCCGTCGAGATGGCCCTGCTCAAGCTTTAGGTCGCTTCTGCCGACGCCTGCCATTTTTCTTAAAACTTCCAGCCTTGAGCATTTCAGAAACAACAACAGGAGCCTTTCTGCAGCATGTGCCTTTTTCGGCCAGTTTTAAAACGCAGATTATGTGTGGAGCAGAATGGCGATTAAAAGTGCACATGCCGATATCACCATTCTCGCCAATACTGACAATCGGGTTCCGGCAAGCACAACATAAATAGGGCGCGAGTCTTGCTGAGGCTTGTGCTTTGCCAGATGGCTGCCGCTAGCCGCCACCTCTTTCTTTTCGGTGTGGCTCGCAACGGCAGCTGGGTAGGGGTGACCATATATAAAAAGAAGCCAATGGACCACTACCATGGGGCACGACAGCCCTCGTGCCTCCCATCTTTTTTCTGCATCACCTCACCATTCGCCCTCTAAAGCCAGGTATCCCATATGACATTTGACGCTCACGGCGACAGTCCGGTGCATGTGCCTCTTATTCGCCGCGAAGTATCCAAAATCGACTACTCGCGACCACCACGCATCGGGCTAGTGTACTCGTCCGAAAACTGGGATGACATGGAGGCTCTGGTCAATGACCTGCGGTACGAGCTGACCGACACCTACAACATCTCGCCTATCCAGTTAAAGACCACACAAGCCGAGAGCATTTACGACCTGCCCTTGTTCATCAGCCATCTGAACAGCCGCTGCGATATTGTCCTGGCGCTGGGCGTTGTGTACAGGAATGCACCCGACTACGAGCCCCGGCTGGTGACCGCACTGACGCAAAGGCTGTCGGGCACGATCATATCACGGATACCTGTCTTTGACTGCATTCTGGTCAGGCAGAGCCGTGTGCAGCTGGAGGAGCACGTAAAGCTGCTAAAGAGCGGTGGCTCGGGGTTTGGCAAAATCTGGGCCAGCCGAGCGATTGATGCCTTCAATGTGCTGTCCAAGCCAGCCATTTAAGCTCGTTTCCGCCACCACTGCGTCCAAATTTGTAATGTTTTGTGTTAGTAAAAGGGCAAGTCAACAATCTGACATGTTGCTGCGTTTGTGGTGTGTGTAAGATGGAAAGCAATTTTTACTTTATCTCAAAGCTTGAGGAGATGGAGAGGGAAGTGAAAAGAGGGGCAGTGCTTGAACTTGAATACATAGGGAGGAAGCGCTGACATCTTCGCCATTGATCTCAGCGACGATGAATCGGCGTTAGGCTGCCTGCTGGCATTGGCCGATGCCATTTGATAGACACACAGCAGCCGGTCGGGGCAGGCAGAGACCGCACCAGCGACTATGTCTATATTGGCGCCAGCACATTGCTGATTCGTGGCGCAACAATATCGGCATACTCCGATATGGAGAGGCGAGGGCTATAACGACATTGGGGATGCCGATGATGCGATTCACGTCGCCATGGGAGGGGAATGTTGTGGAGACTGGTCATTAAAATTTGAAGCGGTGGCACCTTTCACCCCCACCAGGTTCATTTTGTATTTAAAGTTGGCGGCTGTGCTGCAAAGAGTGAGAGCCCACTGAAACACGCCTTTCTTCTCCTCACACTCTTGCTCGTAAATACAAATACTATGTGCCGCTTTTTGCTGTACAAGAGTAATTCGCCCATTTTGCTGGCCGATTTGCTGACGCGCCCGGCGCATTCAATAATTATGCAGTCGTTCAACTGCAAACTGCGTATCGACCGGCGGCGGCCCATGAACGGCGACGGGTTCGGCATCGGGTGGTACGACGAGCCGCGCACCAACGGCTGCATCTTCACCTCGACTCTGCCGGCCTGGAGCAACATCAATCTGCAGCGGCTGGCCGAGAAAATCAAGAGCGCGCTGGTGTTTGCACACGTGCGCGCGACAACCGGCGACACGGCGACCAGCGAGTCCAACTGCCACCCGTGGCAGTTTGGCAATCTGATGTGGATGCACAACGGCAACATTGGCGGCTTCGATCGGATCAAGCGGCGGCTGCAGAACTCGCTGCGGGAGGAGGTCTACCTGTCGCTGCAGGGCACAACGGACTCGGAGCATGCGTTTGCGCTGTTTCTGAATATGCTGGATGACCCCGAGCACAGGGATGAGTTTTCGCACGCCGAGCTGCGGCAGGCGATGTTGCGGACGATTGCGCAGCTGAACCAGTGGCTGGATGAGGCGGGCGTGGAGGAGACATCGCTGATGAACTTTGCCGTGACCGACGGGCAGTCGGTGGTGTGCACGCGGTACATCACCAGCGCAGAGTATGAGGGCGCGTCGCTGTTCTACTCGTCCGGGTCAGAGTTCAGATCGGATCCCGAGACGGGCCAGTACCGCATGGTGAAGGCAAACAAGCGCGAGGACGTGGTGGTCGTTGCATCGGAGCCGCTGACGTACGAGAGATCAGACTGGATGGCCATGCCGACGAACACGCTGCTGGTGATTACGCCCAAGCTGAATGTGCATCTGTACCCGATCCGGGACAAGTACTGGACAAACGAAAAGCGCCATGCGTAACACAAATAGCATTTTCCAGGATTAGAGCAAGGCAAGGGGTACAGCAGCACACCCTTGGCAGCACGCTCCTCCCTCTCCTTCCTCTGCTCAAGCAATAGTTCTATTTCTAACCATCAACAGTATGATATCGACACCCATGTTTCTATGTCTGCAGATATCGCTGGGATCGATCGCTAGCGGCATCCTCCTGGTCTCATTCGCCATTGCTCTGGTCACATCATCGCCAAATCGTCCAGCGCCTTCCCGGTGACACGGTTAATGATCCACTCGTTCATCTGCTTGGCCCCCAGCCCCAGATAGAACTGGATCGACGGCTCGTTCCAGTCCAGCACCACCCACTCCATGCGGCCGCAGTCGAGCTCCTTGGCAGTGATCGCAAGCTGCGCCAGCAGCTTCTTGCCCAGGCCGAGGCCGCGGTACTCGGAGCACACAAACAGGTCCTCGAGATAGAGCCCGGGCTTGCCGACCCACGTCGAAAAGTTGTGGAAGTAGAGGGCGAATCCGGCGGGCTTCTCGGGCTCGCCGTCCTTGGCAACATAGGCGAGGATGACCCTGGCGTACGGGTGCGGGCCAAACAGATTCCTGCGCAGCAGGTCCTCGGTGGCCGTAACCTCGTTGGGCGCCTTCTCGTAGATTGCAAGCTGCGTGATGAACCAGAGGATCAGTCCGACGTCTGATTCGGTGGCTGGCGCAATGCGAACTTTGACAGACATCAGCAGCACGTTTTTCTGAATAGGATGAAAGTGGAAACAAAGAAGCACGGCAGATCGCAAGCAACAAGCGGGCTGCAATATCTGCACAGATATTCCGGGTGCGTAAGCTCCGTAATTTGATAAGACTGGCCTGCTGGGGCTTGCAGCAAGCCTTTTGAAATTTGCCCTGAATTCTTTTTGTTTTTTGACTCGGCGATTTTTTGGAGCTATTTTTAACACCAGTGGACAGCCATATGACTTGAGGGCAACTGGGGTTTGCCTTGATTTCTGCTCCGGATTTCACTATACTTTGCTCTCTGTGCTTGGCAACCCAACACGCCGCGGACGATCGCTGTATATGTGCATATGTGTTCTGGCGGACGACTCAGTTTTCGCTCTGGGTGGAGGGCTTGGGGATGCAGACCTGCTGTTAACCTGCCACCACTATTTGGGGAGCGTGTCAGAGACAATACGCCGTATTTGCGTCATACTGCCAAAGAGCAAAGGGAACAAGCGGCCCTGACACCGGAGGATAGCGTATAAAACGAATGCGGTGCTCCCGCCGCCAACGGCCGCGTATTTTTTCTTTCGTCTTCATCATCAATCTCCTCTCCATCGACGACTTTCCCACCTGTATTTGCTACTAGCAGCGATGGCTATTACTGACACGCTTCTCACCATTCTGCGCTTTTGGCTCTACGCTACCGCATCGGGCCTGGCAGCGCTGGAGCTCATTCTCGACGGCGTTGCTCTGGGTGCGCTGAACAAGAAGTACACGTACGCCTTCAACGGCGTCATATACAGCGGCAGCGGCGGCTTCTCCGAGGAGAAGGGAGCTGCTGGCTGGACAATGTTTGTGACCATCATCACCCTGTTCCTCATCCCCACAGTGCTGTTTGCGCGCTTCCTGGTGTCGCGCGGTGTCGGCTTTGCGCACCACACCAACAAGACCGGCATTGAGCTGGCCATCACTGCCACGCTGACGGTGTTTTGGCTGGTTGCGGGCGCCGTCATGGCCAACTATGCGGGCAGTGGCGGCTGCTACGGCAGCAGCTTGTGCTCAAAGTTCCGCGCGGCGACGGCTTTTGCCTGGCTTATTTTCTTCGACCTGGCTGCGGCCCTCGGGTTCCTGATCATCACAGCTGTGCGGCAGAAGAAGGCCGGTGCCAACCTGATGGTTGTGTACACCGTGGACCACCAGGGTGAGGGCACCGGCTTGCCGTACCCGGTCACATATGCAAACCAGGCTGGCGACAAGGGCCCCGAGTACCAGACACAGGGCACCATGCAGATGCCGCAGCCCTGAGCGCGAAAAACAACCTGCGCTTGGCGAAACTATCAACCATTTTTGCTACTCGAATGTATTTGCTTTTGTTTAATACCAGCCTGCCCTTTGTGGACGAAAAAGAAAAAAGAATCGGCCGACCCAGGTGACTTTGGTTGTCACCGGAGCATTTGCTAACAATGACATCACCAGAAGCTTCGGTGCAAGACTTGCCTTTTTGGCCGGAGGGCAGGTTGCCCGTGGTGTTCATCCTCAGCGGCCAAAGGAGCGGCCCCTGCCTCCTTCCCGCAAGTCAGGAACCGTGGTTCAAAGGCGGGCCGAGTTGCCTGGACAAGTTAGGCCCGAGGGTCGTACAGTGGATTCGCTCAACAAACAAGGAGCTGCTGCGGCGGCAGATGGCAAATACTCAAAAGAGATCAGTGGCCCACCACTGGGAAGGGGTGCAAAACACAATAATACCTCGCTTGTTCCGCTGTCTTCTTCCCAAAACTCGTTTTTTATACTTTTTGTTGTCTAATTTCCACTTCATTCCACCATGGGGTACACATACGGTCTACGCATTGGGCGAAAGGCGCTGCTGGGTGCGTCGTTTGTGCTGACGCTGGGCGTGCTCATCGCCAACTCCATCAGCCTGTCCTTCCAGAGGAAGAATGCACTGCCCATGCACGGCGTCAAGGGGTCGTCTGGATGGACCATGTTTGTGACCGTGGTTGGGATTATCGCTATCCCGATAATCGCCCTGCCGACGCGCCTGCAGAAGCACGTCAACCGGACGGGCATTGAGCTCTCAGCACTGGCAGTGCTCACTCTGTTCTGGTTCATAGCTAGCATCGCCATGGCTACAAAGTCCGGCGAAAAATGGTGTCTGTCGCGGCGACAGTGTCACCGGGTACGCGCAGCGACTGCGTTCTCATGGCTGACCTTTTTCGCCATGTTTGGGTGCACGGTGACGGTCGGGCTGATTGCTCGGCTGCAGGCGAAGCTCGGCATGCCGCTGTTCAGCTCATACACCTCTGATATCCAGGGCAATGAAAGCAATCCCGAGGTTGCTCACGCGCACCTGCATGCATCCAGCATTGAAAAGATCTTTGGGCTGGGCGACGGCCCGCTGTATAATAGCCAGTATGTGGCCACACCCGAGAACGTCGCTGTTGGCCAGTCGTCGCTACGGCCAAACGGCTACTGAACTAGACACTCCCACCAGTTAAACATTTCGTGATGATACTCCCTAATATACTCAAGTCGCTATTGCTGTCATGACAACTGTACCCGCTGCGTGTTTGACCCTGCTGATTGCCCAAAGACGCGCCGGATTGCTCAGCTCCTGGCTTGTAACCTGTATCCAGTCCGACCCAGCTCATTGGTACGCAGGCTGACAGTACATGTAGAGCCGCAGCCCACCGAGTATGCCAAGCCACTCGCCAAGGCGGTTGGCCACAGCGATTTCCTGATCTGATTTCGCTTGCCCCTTGTCCGGCCAAGAGGCACATCGTACGTGTTGGACGTGGAGCCCAGCTCTCCTCGCGTGGCATGCACTGAACCGCTCGTACAGGCTTCTCTTCCCTCCTTTTTCTCCTCCGCTTAGCACAATTATATTTTATTATTTGTATAGCCATGTCACCGCCATCTATGCCGAAAAAGTCCTCAAAGAAAGAGCCCAAGAAGGCGCCGTCTACGTCAGCTGCTGTGCGTCCACCGCAGCCGCCCCACGAGCCATACCCGTGGAAGCGCGTGCTGGTGAGCATCACGCTGCTTATGATTACTGTCTTTGCCGGATACTATCGCGAATACTCTGCCGAGGTGGATGCGCAGCTGCGCCGAATCCAGGACTGGTCGTTCAACAAGATGTGGGAGCGCATGAGCCCCGGCAATGCGGAGCGAATCCACCCATACCGCCAAGAGCTGTGGCGTCAGATGACCGGCAAGGTTCTCGAGATTGGTCCTGGCTTTGGCGATCCACTAAAGTACGTCAACAAGAAGCAGGTCACGTCGTATATCGCAATGGAGCCCAACAAGTTCATGCACGAGCACCTGGTGGCAAACGCGCGCGACAGCGGATTCTTCGTGCAGTACGACCTGGGGACCTGTCCCATGGCGCAAATGGCCACTGATATTGCGGAGGATGTGGCGAAGCCACTGCTGACCGTGGTCAACGGAACCCTGGACGGCGAGATCCCCGAGTACGTCCTGAAGAACGCCCCGTACGACTACATTGCCAGCTCGCTGGTGCTGTGCTCGGTGACCGACATCGAGGCCAACATTGAAAACATCGACTTTCTGCTGGCGCCTGGAGGCAAGTTTGTGTTCATCGAGCATGTCCGTCACGGCGACCACGATCCGCAGGTCGAGGCATACGATATCAGCACCTGGCGCACAATCCAGGACTGGCTGACGCCGGTGTGGTCGGTGATTGCTGGCAACTGCCATCTCGATCGCGAGACCGGAAAGGCACTGGACCAGTTTGGAAACTGGGAGAGCATCCAGTACAAGACCACCAAGGGCGGCCTGGAGTTCTTTGACAAGTTTGCGCCCCTGATTTACGGTGTCGCGACCAAGGCCCGCAAGTAAACCATATTCTTGACATGGCGGCGCTACACGCCTAACTTTCATTTTTCCTCTGTTTAGCCAAATTCGAATATATCCAAACTCCTTTGATTACCTTACATGAACCGTCTTGCTTCCTCCATGTCAAAGCCCATCGAAATCCTGTCAAAGGCCGTTGTCCTGCCAAAGAGTCGCAAAAGCATCCTGGTCGAGTGCAGCTCGCAGTTTAACACGCCAGTCAGCGCGATCCAGCAGTTCCCACCGTTCCAGAGCTGGCTCAAGAGCCTCGACGACCAGCTCTGCTCGAGCACCATATCTGTCAGCAAGGTCAGAATACAGGGCATCGATCTGTTTGGATCAGGCAAGATCGGCTTCATCAAGTTCGTAGCCGATGCGCAGCACGCGACCGGCCAGCGTGTGCCTGGAATAGTGTTTATGCGCGGCGGCTCCGTCTCAATGCTGATCATACTGCGGACTGAGAAGGGACCACGCGTGCCCAGTTTCCAGGACCACTCGTCGTATGTGCTGTTGACGGAGCAGGCGCGCATGCCGGTGGCCAATTTCCAGATGCGCGAACTGCCTGCCGGCATGCTGGATGGCGAGACCGGCGAGTTTGCAGGCACGGCTGCCAAGGAAATCCGCGAAGAGACAGGGCTGGTCATTCGGCCCGGGGATCTGGTCGATCTGACACAGGAAGTGGTCCAGGGTACCAGCGATCTCGGCATGTACCCAAGCGCGGGCGGCTGTGATGAGTTTGTCAGGCTGTTTGCCGCCGAGAAAATCGTCTCGCCGCAGGAGCTGGCGGAACTAAGGGGCAAACTCAGCGGCCTCAGGGACCAGGGCGAGCTGATCACGCTGCGGCTGGTCAGGCTCAGTGAGCTGTGGCGCGAGACACGCGATCTCAAGGCTACTGCGGCTCTGTACCTGTGGGATCGGCTGCAGATGAGCTGATTATTTTTTATCAGACGGCCAGATGGAACAATTCCGTGCGGAGGAGCTGCCTCCAATAGATGCACCATTGATTATGCAGCGGTGTCCCATTGGCATTGGCCAGATGCATGGAATAGCCCCCTCAGCCCAGACGCTTCTTGCGCTCACTGAATGCAGCTAGTATTTTCGACTTTCCCCTGCCAGGATGCTGAATCCCACCACCAACCTTGCTCTTTGAGTTTCAAGTCGGTCAAAGGGAAAAAGTCATGTGGCAGCGTTGATCAGAGGGTCTGGCACGGGGGGAACCATCCTGCACCAATGCAAGCAACTGCGGCAATTTGTTGGTGTGCCTATGTCAGACATAAATATGGAAGGGGCTCTAGACCGCCGCTGCCGCCGCCTTGACCACTTTTTTCTTCTGGAACACAAATACACTCTTTATTCCCTACAAACGCGATATTTTCCCGCACATGAACTACACATTTGTTTCAGAAACGGCTCTATCGGACCCCAACACGCTGGTGTACCGCGGTGAGCTCGAGTACAGCCTGAGAGACTCGGAGCACCACAATCCCAACTTCAGCATCGAGATCCGCCACAACCACATTTTCCTGATCAATAACCCCCTGTCTGATGGCATCATCTTGCTGAGCGGCAAGTACACCGGGTTCACGCACCGGCATGTGACGCTCAAAGGTTACGGAGGCAAGTTTAAAGCCGAACGCATTCCGTTCGGCAAACGATGGGCGTTCACGGACGGGCTTGGCAATTGGTACAATTGGTACCACACGGCGCTGGAGGATGACATCATGACATTGAAGGATCATAATAAGAGTGTCCTGGCGACGTTCCGCAGGCCGCTGCTCCATCTGAAGACCGAGGGCCTGCTGAGTGTGTCACCCGACATTTCTGACTGGATGCTGGCCATGGTGCTGGTAACTGCCAAGCTCGTGCTCCGCGGTCTTGTAAACAAACACCCGGTCAGCCAGCGGAGCAGCTTGCAGTCGACAGAGACGTAGGCGCTTTTATCAGCTAGCTCTCCTTATGCATATATTGTATCATTATCTCAAGAATTGTTCACCCTGATGGAGCACATCCACAAGGCCGAGAAGGCCCATGCTAAGCTCATTGCCGACCAGGCTGAGGCCCACCGTCTCTGCAACAAGGCTGCCCCTGAGCGCTGTGCCTAGCGCGCTACTGCCAAGCGCGAGGCTCTCATCTTGCGTGAGGCCCCCGCTGACCAGGAGTAGCATATGCTCACTACAGCTACTGCGTTGTTTCTCTTTGCCAACAGTTGAAGACTATATTTCGTCTCTGATCAAATAAATGCTACATACCTGCTACGGCTGTCCCTGACGCTGACATGTCAGCCGAATCAGGTGGCGGCAAGCCAGGCACCAACGAGAGCCCCGCTACAGCCTATACTGTAGAGGTAGTATCTAGCTTCTGATAGCTTGTATAGATGGCCATATTGAAAATACCCCTATGCAACCCGTCTATTCCCTTTTCTCTCTTTTCTTCAGTATTAAAAATAACCTTTAAAATCCCCACACATCCAACTAGTACAACAACTTATTTAATACTCAGCTACATTCTTTATATAAAATGTTAGAGAACGACAATGAATAGGACATAGGTTTATGGTTAGATACGTTTAACACTGGCCTACTGCCAAATACCCTATATGATGTCCTTGCGGATAGCCACATCACTGTGGTAGGCCTAGCAGGGTCACTAGAGAATGCCTCTTTACCAGAAATATTCTTCTGTATACTGATCTGAATTGTAGCCTAGGTCTGGATCGTGGCTGGGTTAAGCACTCTTATAGTGGTATTGGCAGATCCACCCTGGCCCATACTATTTTCCCCTGCAGTATGGCTATCTGCGAGGATGCCATATGAGGTACTTGGTAGTGGGTCTGCGTTAAACGTATCCGACCGTATACCCATGCCCTGCGCATTATCGTTTTCTGACATTTTATATAAAGAATATAGTTGAGTATTAAATAGGTTGTACTAGTTGGATGTGTGGGGATTTTAAAGGTTATTTTTAATACTGAAGAAAAGAGAGAAAAGGGAATAGACGGGTTGCATAGGGGTATTTTCAATATGGCCATCTATACAAGCTATCAGAAGCTAGATACTACCTCTACAGTATAGGCTGTAGCGGGGCTCTCGTTGGTGCCTGGCTTGCCGCCACCTGATTTGGCTGACATGTCGACGTCAGGGACAGCCGCAGCAGGTGCACAATAACCTGTCACCATGCCAAGCACTGACGCATATCACAGAGATAGTGCATATGCCTTTATATATAGGAGGTATTGCACCTGGTATGTCTATTTCAGTTAAACTTGAATAGCAGCATTTTTCATAGAACTTTTTGTTCAGTATGCAGTCCGGTACTGACAGTGCTTTTATAGTGTTTGCGACAACTTCCTAAATATAGTGACAGTGTTACCAGATATCCTGGGCGTAGCGACCATCAGAGATCAGGTTGGAAAGGTACGTGCTTGCCTCGTCGGCAGATAGGCCGCCATGCTCTTCAAAGATCCGAACCATGGCGGTGGTCATACTCTTGCCCAGTTTATCAGCCGATCCACAGACGTAGATGCGACCGCTATTCTGCAGATGCGACCAGATCTTCGCACTGTCCTGGGAAACGTGGTGCTGCACATACTTGCGCTCATCACCGACCCGCGAGAATGCTGTCTGCAGCTTGGACAGCATGCCGTCTTGGATATACTGCTCGAGTTCATCCTTGTATAGGTAGTCGTACTCGGGGCTGCGGCAGCCAAAGTACATCGTTGCACCACCAATGCCGGCATGTTTCATCTCCTGCAGGAATCCGCGGAACGGAGCAATTCCAGTACCGGCGCCGACAAACACCACAGGTACATCCGATGGAGGTGGCAGGTGGAAGGCTTCTTGCGCTGGGAGATGCGACACAGACACACGAGCACCCGCCTCCAACGATGCCAGATACTCGGTTGCCAGACCACCGTAGGAGCGGCCATTGACGGTATCGTTGACAATGGCAGCTGAGATGTGGACTTCATTGCCAACAACCGACTGGCAGCTGGCGATCGAGTACCGCCGGGGATCCATGGCCGACACAAAGTGAAGCAGCGTTGCAAATGGAATCTGGCGCACCAGGGGTGCATACGTGCGCAGCACATCCAGAACAGTGCGGTTCTGTGCTGTGAATGCACTCCAGCCAGCCGACTGCTTTCCTAGCGTGTTGGCGTCTTCAGCAGCCTTGCGCAGCAAATCATAGGCAGGCTTATTGCCGGAAGTCTCGCTCAACGCAACAACCAGCTCGCGTGAAGGTGCTTCCTTCCAGTCACAGACATATTGGAGGGCATCAGCGACGGTGCATGCGCGGCCATGGATAACTGCTGCAGCAGAATGGGCAAAGCGCGAAGCGTCCGAAACCTGCTCTAGCTCGAATACCACATCCAGATCGAGCTCTAGGATCGCAGAAACCTCACGCACAACATCTGGCGCGTTGACTGGGTAGATATTGAGGTGGTCGCCAGTCATGTACGAGATATCTGATGTGTCATCCAGAGTGATCTCGATATGCCGAGTGCTGCGACCGCTCCTTTCGACGTCCTGCAACTCGCGGTTGACTTTGACTGATGCGTTCTCCGGCGACAGTCTGAACGGGGCAGCAGGGGTGTTGTCAACGTACTTTAGCGAGTACGGCAGCGACTTGTCCGTGACAGCATCAATGTAGGCATCAACACTGGAGCCGTAGTGATCAGTCAGAATCATTCCGACCTGGAGTGACCACTTCATGAACTCGTCGTCGAGTTCGTCGTTGGAATCTCCTGCCGTAAACTCAGTCAGCGGCGTGGCACCAAGCTCATCAAGACGCTGGTACAGATGGCGCGGGAACTTCAGGAACGTATGCCAGAGCGAGTTTCCGCAGCCAAACAGTACAAAATCGACGTCCTTGAGGATGTCAGCGCGGGTCTCCTTGTCGAGCAGCTTGGCAAAGTTTCTGGCGTTGTCGGGTGGCATTCCGTTGTACGTACTGGTAATAGCCACAACCAGAGAGCGTCTGCCATCCGCAGACTTCATTGAACCAAAGTCCCAGTCATTCAGCGACACAAGAGTAATGTCAGCAAATCCCATGCGCTTCAGCTGCTCGGTCATCTGCGTCGCATAGTCCTCGCTGGTGCCCATGTTCGATCCATACACGATGAACGTACGCGGCAGCTTGTCAGCAGAGACCGTGTGAGTAAGCGGACGCAGAACGAGATTCTCGACGGCGTGATTATCATTGGGACCAGGAGCGCCTGTCGCCATCAGAGTGTCGGCATCTGGAAGGCTTGTGCGCTTCTGGACAGTCATGAAGAGATCCATCGGACTTGTAGTAGGCTTGGTAGGCCAATACTGGAGTTCACTGTCTCCCACAACATGAAACTCGTACCTCGACAACAAGCGAGCTAGCACAGCCCGCAGCTCCATCATAGCAAATTGGCGGCCAATACAGGCACGACTACCAGAGACAAACGGGACCCACGAGCCGGGCTTGATGTTCTTGATATTCTCAGGCGAAAAGCGGTCTGGGTCAAACACGGTCGGATTCGGGAATAGTTTGGGGTTCCTCTGAAGACTCCATATGTTAATGCGTAGGTGGTCACCTTTGCGGATAATGAAGCCGCCAGGCAGGATACAGTCTTTCTGACACTCGCGCAGTAACCCTGGCACTGGTGGAAACAGGCGGAGTGTCTCGTTGATAATCTGCGTCAAGTAGGCCAGCTTGTTAGTCTGCTGGATTGTCGGCGACGTGTCAGCGGTGATCCCGGCGGCAGCGAGCTCCTGTAGCGCCCGATGCTGAACATCGCGGTGCTTGTCCAGGAGCTGCAAAGCGAAAGATATAGTCGAGCTGCTGGTTTCCGTGCCTGCTATTCCAAATGTGATAATCTCCTCCTGGATAAGTCGGTCGCTGAGTCCAACTAGGTTGCCGTCTTCGTCTGGTGCACGAGCATTAAGCATAAACCCAAGCAGGTCTTTCTTCATACTAGCAGCATCTGGCGAGGTGCGGCGCTCATCGATAACCTGTTGTACCGTGGCCCGCATGTTGCGCATGTGCTCGGTAAACATGCGGTTGGCAGCGATGGGCAGATATTTCCAGAGCGGAGTACGGAAAAAACGAGCGCTTATCTGCTTCAGACAATAGTCCATGCCCTCCGTGAACGGGTGCTGACCAGTGCCAGCTGGGTCGAGCAGGTTGAAGTCAAAGCCAAACCCAGTCCTGGCAATCATCTGGAATGTAACGCTGGTAGCAAAGTTGAATATCTCAATTGGCTCGCCAATATGGCTGTCGAGCCACTCGCATGCCTGCTCAGAGATCTCTGTCATCTTGTGGCCGTAAACCTTCATAGCGCTAGCCGAGAAGGCAGGAACAAGCAGACGGTGTGCCAGTTTCCAGTCCGGGTCATCCGACGACGAAGTAATCAGCCCATTACCACCCAGCTCCTTCAGCTCAGACGATGGATAGCCCATCGATTTGATGAAATATTCACTGTCATTGATAGCCGCATTGGTGACCGCCAGATCGCAAGTGACACACGCTTTCACTCCAAGTAGGTAGTAAGAAAATGTATCGCCATACTTGTCGAAAAGAGCAGCGAACTGCTGGCGCGGGTCACTCATAACCATGGGTGTAATACCCAAAACAGGGTAACCTCTAGCCATTGGAGCCTCGTATCCCGCAATAGGTGTGGTGAGATACAAAACTCTCGCTCGTTGAACCTGGCCGATTGACACGACTTCGTTGCCTTCCTCGTCCTCAAATGCAACCGCCTCGGGAAGCATGGTAATTCCGGTTGAGCGTTGGGCAATATTGGCGCGGAGCATCGCTAAATTCGTATCACCTGGAGAGACTGAGACGATAAACCCGTCCTTGTCTGGCTGTTGTCCTTTCTCAACAACGATGACAAAGTGGCACCCGACTTTGGAATTGCCATCCTTGCCGTTGCATAAAGACGACAGCTCATGGCTAACAGGGCACGATGAGAGCATAGTAGAGTATGAAATGGTATACCAATAATGTGTAAAAAATCAGTAATGTTGGAAGGCAAGGGTGTGGTTGTGTCTACCGTGGAAGGGTGTTTAAATAGCCAATGCACTTCAGGCATGCGCAGGAATCACACGCTGGGTGCTGGATACAATGCTACGCACTACACCGTACATTATGCAAATGAGGCGTATAGGCCAGAAAAGACAGTTGAATGGCCTCCCAGCTCTTGAGGTAGCCACCCACTAATGGCAGAATCAAGATACACTTCATGTGATGCGCCATTGTGCACCGGAGAAGTGCCGGAGCTAATGCTCAGCTGCCAGCCAATTCGGCTTCAGCAGGGTCTAGCAACAGCGGGGATTGCTCGGCCACAAACGCAACAAAGACATCCGAGATACACTGCTTAGTACATGGACCCGAGACAGTGGCCAAGCGTTAATGGTAGTGGCACATCCTGCGTGACAACAATCGCAATTATTTGACAGCTCTGCAGCATATGTTCAATTTGAACTACAGCCTATAAATGATATAATTCGGTTGTCAAGTTCAAATGTGCTGTCATGATACTAGCCACCATATGCATATGGTGTTGTCTATATCACCATAGCAATTAGAGTGCTAGATGTATCTTCAACTTCGTGTTTCGCCGCCACTCAGTACACTGCTTTTGTCCTATTCACTGGATGTCGATTAGTTAACCGCTGAACATTTAGTTGGTTGTTTTGGCATGTGTTTGGTTGTTCATGCCTGCGAATTGCAGTGAACAGGGAGCCTCCCTCGGTCCTATCTCAGCAAAGAGTTGTACCTGTATAAACCTGAAGTTGTATTTCAGAGTATCAACAAACTCTGGAAAGAAGAGATCATTAAGCAGCCCGTCTAGAGCTTGCTACTGCGTGCCGCAGCCACCATGTCAGGACCCTCGACCAAAATGCAAGCGCCACCGCCGATGGCATCGACGTTAAGCTCCTTGGCCAGCTGGTCGTAGCCTGCAGGCTCACTGCCCGGCTGCAGCCACAGGTTCTTGATGCCAAGCTCAGAAGCCTCCTTCAAGATGCTCTCGGTGATCCTGGGCGGCGTGATGACAGAGACACTAACCGACGAGTGGTCGATGTCCATGTCGCTGAGCGACTTGGCGCACTTGATGCCCTCGATTTCGGTCGCCTTTGGGTTGATTGGGATGACCGGCAGATTGTGGTCAATGTACCAGCGCAGGACGCGGTTGCCAAACTTTGAGGGGTCAGCGGATGCACCAACGACGGCGTAGACCTTGGAGCCAAAGAAACCAGAAGCCATTCTTACAACAATGCGATTTTAGAGATAAAGCAGAGGCAAAAGGCGCTAGAGCATGACAAATTCACGCGCTTGCTAGTGGAGCTGATTAACCCTAGCCCGCAAATCGGGCCAGGATGTTCTGAAAGGGCCGATCCGCAAGCGTGTTGTTTGGCCCCCACTTTCCTTCTGCTAATACTTCAAATTTCGTGCTAAATGACGCTTACATCGCAAAACAAGCTGGCCAGCAATTGGCTTGCACAGCAGCCAGCGGTACCCACAGCCACTGCGGTAGCGGGTCTGGCGCCGGTTCTGAACGAAGCCATGGACGACAGCGCGACAAATGACGGCGACCTGCTGACGGTGGCCAAGGTGTTCAAGGCGATCGCTGATATGGCGCGCGACCCCGAAGTGCGCCAGGCGTTTACCCAGACAGATGCGGCCAAGGCTTCATGCATGTTGTTGGAACGGGCCATTGTGAAACTGGGCGAGAGTGGCGAGAGCGACCGCGCTGAGCGGGTGCTTCTGTTGGTGCAGCTCCTGCGGTGCATCTGCAATATCTCTGCCGATAACGACGAGTGTCGTGCGCAGATATTGGCGCTGGGAGGCATCAAGCAGCTGGCCGAGGTGGTCCGGAATGTAGGTGAGGTGTGGACCCAGCCATTACCTGTCGGACAGGCGGCTTTCGGTGCAATCCTGAATGTTTCTCTAGGCAACAGCGATTGCACCAAGGCGCTAGTCGCGACTGGGACGTTGGCAGATCACCTAAAGGCGCTACAGCCCGATGCTTCTCATGACGTTCATGCGTTGTGGCTGATCGTGTGTATGAGCATCGACAACATGTGCGGGGATGAAAAGGCCAAGGGGCAGTTTGAGGACAATCCGGATCTGGCGCTGACAATTCTGTACATCCTATCGATGCTGACGCAGAATGAACTGGATAGCAGTGAGGCAAAGCGGGTGCAGAGGACGTTGCTGTGGATCCTGTGTGAGACGCTGGAAAAGAGTGCAAAGGTGCGGGTGCAGCTGGGCACCCCCGAGTCTGTTTTGCCGCTGTTTGGTGTTCTGGAGTACTACCTTGCCCAGGCCGAGACTCCCGAGGAAGATGAGGATGAAGATGAGGATGAAGGCGACGGCAATGGTGAGAAGGAAGATCAGCCGCAGCCCCCAAGCAAGCCGATTCCACAGGCAAACCGCTATGCGGACGCTGTCACACAGGCTATTGTCGGCATTTCAGGCGAGGACGATGTGCTGGAGGCTCTGTTTGGCAGCAGTTCCTTGATCACCCGCCTATTCACCATCCTGGCAACCGAGCGCGGCACAGCCGACGACGAATCCACGAAGCAGCTCGACGCAATGGCCGCCACCGCAGCCCTCTGCCTGGGCAATCTGGCCCGTACCGACGCTCACTGCATCAAGCTGGTCTCTAAGCACCCGGTGCTAATCGAGAAGCTGGTGCACCAGTGGTTCTCGGCTGAGGTGAATGTGCGTACCCGCCATGCAGCCAGCGGGCTACTGAAGAACCTCTGCCTCCCTGCTGCCAACAAGCAGACGATGGCGGACCTTGGGCTGGCCAAGGTGGCTGCAAAGAGCATTGGCACGGCAGTGATTCCCGTTCAAGCCAACGCCATTGGCATTCTCCGCCATCTGTCGACAGGCGAGCCGGCTTTCAGCACGATCCTGGAACTTGTACGCGGTGGAAAGGAGAGTGCGCTGAAAGAGCTGCTGCAGGTGGTCAAGCAGACAGACATTGACGGAATTCGGTGCGAGGGAACCCGGCTGCTGGCGCTGGTTGCCAAGCGCGCATATCTGCAGGATGAGCTGCAGGAGGCCAAGGATGTGCTGGACACGGAGAGGCTCGATCTAGCTACGCCGCTGGTCAGGCTGATTATGCTGGACGGCCAGCGCCATCCGCTGCTCCAGCAAGAGAGCCTGGTTGCGCTGACTGTGCTGGCTGCCACCGATGCCAACAGCTCGCGCCACCTGTACGACATTATCAAGCTGCTCACCGATGCTCAGCTGTCGTCGTTGCTGCCCACGCCCGAGGACGACAGCGTCAGCACACCGCCACCCAGCTTCACCAGCACGCTGCAGAGGCTGATGAAGCAGGAGGGCAACACCTGGGCACAGACAACCCTGCAGGCAAAGAGCCTGGTCAAGCAGCTGCACAGCAATGCCAGGCACCGCGCTGCCAGCAATGTAGATGCTGATGGTCTGGCGGTGCTGGAGACAGAGCTGGTGCCGCTTCTCGAATAAAAAAATCCACATTGCAATAATATTCCTTTACAGGTCTACAGACGGCTTGGGCTTGAACTTTCGTGTCGCGCGCTCGCTGGCCCTGAATACAAACTGGTCGCCAAACAGCTTGCATGTCTGGCCTGTTGGCAGCTTCAGCATGAACACGCAGTGCGCCTTGGGAACCACCGCCTGGCGGTCGCTCTTGGTGATGAACTTGAATGTGTTCTTGGTCTCCTGCGCAACGATTCCCGACACCCCGACAAAGTTTGGGCACCGTGCTTTGACAACCGTCATCTCTGCTCCATGCATATCCGCCTTGACAATCTTGTTCAGCATGGTCGCTGGCTTCCCCTGCGCATTGCCGAGAAGCCCGCTCATGTACTGGTTCCACATCTCATGCAATGGCAGAAACAGCTCGTACTTCCGTGCCGCTTCCGGGATGTCGTATATCCTTAGCGCCCGCTTCTCCTTCGCTGTGATGGTCTTGCGGTTAGCCCGCCGCTTGAGCTTTGCATCGCCTACGCGGCCCTTGTCGCTCGGGCTCTCTTTGAATGGGTTGGTGAGAAGAAGGGCGCGGCCGTTTACGCGGTCGTTGTACACGTGCGTCGGTGTTTCGCGCACGCTGGGGCCCATTGACCGCTCGACGAAGCCGGGCGTGAACTGCTTTGTCACTGGATCCACAGGCACATCTGTGGGCGCGCCGCTGCGACCTTTGATGGTCTCTGACAGCTTTGCGTATATCCCGCTATCCTGGACCGACATGCTGCAGGGCTGATTGTGAGAAGAGGGCCAGAGTTTAAAAAGATACACGAGGAATACACGACCAAAAAACCGGCTTAACACAGCCTACCCATCCGATCCAAATCCTGAAACGTAATGGGTCGCTGAAAGTGATGTCATGAGCAAGCGAGCTTTCGGTCCAGCGACGTTATCGCAATGCCCAGTGCCATGACCGGTGTCGTTGGGAACCGCATATCGAGCGTGAACGAGTCTGGACCGACCCTGCCGAACTGCATAACCACATAGTCCTCATCCTCCGGATGCACCAGCTGGAAGTTCTTGACGCTGGACTCGCGCACACGTCCACCGAATTCCAAAATGAAACTGCTGGTCTCTGGGTTCCACTTGGGCGCTCTGTTGCACAGCACTGCCAGGTTCTCATCTAGCCCAGCCTTATGCCGATCAACTAGCGGCACACTCTCCTTCAACGGCTCGATGGCTGTGCCGTGCTCGTCGACAGCGCGTAGCAGTATAGTCATTTTGCGCGGCCCACGCTGGCCCAAGATGTTAGTCTCGTACAGGACGCAGCACACCTCGCGCCATTCTATCTGCTCCTCGGGGATATCCCAGTTGTCGATGTTGACGCGCTCCATGATCGAAAACGCTGTTCCCTTTAGGTTCGACGCTACGCGGCCGATCAGCTTGCCGCGATGGCCGTGGCTGGCCTCGCCGCCGGGGGCTGCCGGCAGATGCATGTTGTAGTAGGCTTTTGAGAGTGACTTGTACTTGTAAGCGCACATTACCTGGCCACCCAGTGTATCGCCGGGCCCGTTTACCAGCCCCTCGGGGCCCTCATCAAACAGCTCAAAGTATGTGCTGCCCAGCCGGGCTTGCGTGCGGAGGAGTCCGGCATTGTGTGAACGACCCGATAGGTACTGCTTTGCGAAGAAACGCCGCCTGCCGCGTAGCCAGTTCTGCCATGGTAGTTTGCGAAAATAAGAGGCTGGAAAATTACGTGGATAGCGAAGGAGAAGATGATGCCTGGCAGAGAGAACAATTTACTGGGGAAGCAGGTTAGGTTGTCACGTCATTCGCAAATCCGCTGGTCATCTGCGAACGCGTTTGGTTTTCTGAGCGTCGCTAATATGACAGGCATTGCAGTTTACTTCTGCTTGGGCTCGTTAGCAGTGTCTCAGGTTAGCACCTACTAGCTCGTCTGCCTTGTGCACAGCAGAGGCTGCGGCATGAAGAACGCACCTGGCCAGCAATTCCCCTCGAAGGCCAGCCTGTGCCCTGGTTCACCGATGCATGCTGAGCAAATCGATTTGCATGCTAACAGGGCTGAGATCCATGCTTGTACGCCCTGCAACCTCGGCTTCAGTAACATGTACGGCATTGGTTCCAGCAAACAAGCTGTCGACCATTCCACCAACGTGCCATGTGCACTGCTATACACAGCTATACCCTCGGAGGTGGCAGCCATGGTCTGGAAACTAACATGTCGTGGTGTGCCGCTTCCTGTGCCGGAAAGCATAGTTGATACCAATGTGGTGGACTGCTACGAAGGGGAGACGTGCGTTAATGTTGGAAGCAGTGCCAAATGTATGTGAAAGGCCGATTAGAGGGTTCCATTCGGCAAATACAATCTTACAGCATTATGCCTATCTGCCGTTTGAATACATCGCACTCCAGCGAATAGAAGCAGGAACAGCGTAGCATGTAGTTAAAAGGAAGGTCAATTTGGGCAAAATTACGTCTAGGGTGATTGGGAATATCGCAGATTACTTGAGCAATAGTGACTGTATGTGCCTGATGTCCTCAGTGCTACAGTTGAGAAGCATCGACAGAACAGGCACCAGCTGCGACCGCCGGTCCTTGTCGTTGAAGAACCGGAACAGCACATTGCGCAAATACTCAGTGTTGACAGTCGACTCCATCTGGCTATCATCGCTATAGCCTGACGAGCTGCCAGCCGTGCTGGCTGAGCGGATGTGGGCTTCTCGCCTGATGTTTGGCTCGAGTCCTGTGGTTAGCCATGTTTGGCGGCGGGGCTGACTCGGATACATGCAGCGGCTGCTCCTGGCGGATGTGAATCCACCGGCGCCGCCTCGACATCCAAATGGGGGCTAATTGCCTTGCGTGGGTCTTGCTGAGTCGCTGCTGGTGTCGCAGTCTGGGCTGAGGCACGCCGAGGAATGCCGGGCAAGGGGCTGTTTCCGGAGGCAGCAGCATTGCCCGTGGCCGCCCGCAGCAGCGACGACACCGAAGCCATGGTCAGTGAGTTGGACCGGCTACCCGGTGACGACGAGCTCGCATTGACACCCTGCTTCTGCGGCGAAGTTCGGGGGCATCGGCGAAGTGGCAGTGGACGCACCCGGCGACGACTGAGCAACAAGCAGTTGGCGCTCCCGGTGCAGCCGGCGCACCTCCTCCTTCAGATCACGGATGGACCCGCTTCCAGCGCTGCTCCGACAGCTTGCGCTCGTCGGTGACCCGCTCGAGCTGCTCCTTGGACGATTTGAGATCCTTTTCAATGTCACGTAGCCGGTCCACTTCGACCTGGAGTCGCAGCCTGCTGCTCATCAGAACGCTGGAGGTTGCTGCGCAGCGTCTCCAACTCGGCCATGCGCTCAGCCTGTTCTGCCTCCAGGCGCTCTACCTGGCTGGCCTGCTTGGCCTGCTGGTCGAATGTGCCCAGCTGAGCGCGCAGCTTGCCGATCTCCGCCTGGTCTCTCGACGCCTGTTCCTTGGCCTGCTGGCGCGCCTCAGCCAATGCTTCGCGCAGCAGACTCAAGCTCCTTTGCTGCATTCTCCAGCAGCTGCCTTGTTCGCACGCCTTCGCCTTCTCCAGCGCATACTGTGCTTCCTGCAGCTGCGAGGTGGTCTGCGCCAACACACGGCTCTTCTCGCTGAACAGCTCGCGGCTGTTGGCCAGATCATCGTCAACAGTACGCACATGCTCTTCGAGCTCGGCCAGCTTGCCTTGGATCTCAGCAATCTGCTTGTCCTTGTCGGCGATCTGGCGGGCGGCAGTACTGGCGTCCTGGCGGGCCTTGGCCATGCTGGTGCGCGCCTGCTCTAGCGATGACTCAGGCAGAATCCGCACGCTGCTTCTCCTGGGCGCGTTCACCAGACTGCCTTGGCCAGTTTGGACTGCAGATCCTGCTGCTGGCCCTCAAGCCGAGCGTTGTTGCCCTGCGCCTTAGCCAAGCTCGATGCTAAACGAGACCGCTCGTCCTTGAAGTTGCTGTTCGCCTTCTTCAGCGCCGACTCAGCCTCCTCCAGCCTTCGCCTTGTGTTCGCGTAGCTCGCCTTCAAGCTTTGTCGCTGCGGCACGAACCTCATCGCATTTGGTTTTCAGCGTAGGAACCTCGCTGGCCAGCTTCTCCTGCCAGCTTCCAGCTTGCTTGTCATGGCCTCAGGCCTCCCTTGGTCTGCAGCTCGGCCTCGTCTGTATGCTTCTTTGACAGAGCATCCATATTCGCCTGCGCATCATTCAGCGCCGTGTTTAGCTTCATCGATCCTTGCCGCCTGCTTTTCCTTGGCTGCCTGTGCCTGCCCTTCGACATCAGGTCAGCTGCTTCTCCAGCTTGCCCACCAACTGGCGCATCTCGGTCTCCTTTCGCACTCAGCTGCTCCTGCAGACCATTGCGCTCGATCTCAGCTGCCTTGAGCGACTCTTCGAGGTGGTTTATTTCCGTCTGGAGCTTTTCCGCCTGTGCAATGCTTGCGTCGTTGGCAGCCTTTTCCGCCTTGCGAGCCTCGTCGAGTTGCAATGAGAGGTCGTCGATTGTCTTCTGCAGCTCCACCAGCTTGGTATCGTCATGGACCACCGCTGGTTCTGCAGCTGAAGCCTCTCTGGGCTGCGCCTTGATGCCAGCAGATTCAACAAGCCCTATCAGCCGGTCGATCTCCTCCTTGGTGACCAGGACAGGGTCCGGTGCTCCCACTGGGCTCGGCTGTAGCCGCCGAAGGGACCACCGACACGCTCTTGCTGGCCTTTCTCTTGCCCTTGCCCTTCTTCTTGCTGCCACCCCCACCTTGCTGCTGTTGCGGCTGGTGATGAGGAGAATGGTTCGGATCAGCGCCATGAGACGCCTTGGCCGCAAGGTTATGCGCCAATGCCGCATTAATGATGCTCTCCACGCGTTCTATTGTCAGGGGATCGGTGGTAGCAGATGCGTCAGCCACCGGAGGTGATGGCGGCGGCGCATCGGCCTTTGCCTCAAGTGCCGCAATCTCGCCAGACAGCTTTGCGGCCTGCTCCTCAGCCTCATGCTTCGCCCGAGCTTCGGCTTCAAGCTTTTGGCTCAGCTCCTCCACAGCCTTCGCCTTTGTGTCGTGATCGCTCTTCAGAGACTCAATCTGGCCTGACAATTCGTTTGCTTTGGATTCGGCCTGCCTGGACCGCATCATCCTTGGCCTGGAGGGTAGCATTCAGGTCGCTGACTGCCTTGTCCTTCTCCTCGCCAAGCTGGTGGTACTGCTCTTTGGCCTTGGCCAGATCCAGCTCGAGCGAATCCTGCGTTTTCTTGGCCTCTTCCAGTCGGGCACCGATTTCTTCAGCATCCTTCTTGGCCGCTTCAAGCTCGCTAGCACTGGCAAATCCCTCAGGTAGGCCGCACTTTTCAACAAGCAGTGCCCGCAGCGTTGCCAGATTCTCGTTTGCGGTCAGGTCTTCAGCTTCATTACCAATCAGGCCACACAGCTTCTCTGCCAAGGCATCAGCGGTCTGCCCTTGGGTCTCTAGCTCAGCCTGCTTGGATTTAAGAGCCTCGAATGTCGATCTTGAGCTTCTGGTTGCTACGCTCGAGCTGACCTTCGACAACCTTGCGCTCCTTTGTGATCTGGTCGAGCTCCTTAGCCAGCCTCTGTCGCTCATTCGTCAGCACTCTGCAGGCTGGCCAACTTGGACTCGAGGTCGCTGATCTTTGTCCGGTTGACTACAGTCGCAGGGGCCGTGTGTTAGTCGTGTGCTGGTACTCTGACCCTCGCCAGACCCATCGACCACCAGTTCGCTTACCTTTGTCGAGTTCTGTCAGGGCACCAATCTGCTCCCCAGCGTACTGGGATTTCATGTTCAGGTTAGATAGATGCGCCTCGAGCTCGTCGACGTCAGCGATGCTCTGGACAGGCGTCAGCTTCTTCAGCACCACCTCAATGGCCTTGCGCGCAGTGTTCAGGTTGCGATAAACGCGTGCAACCTTCGGCCAGCTTGTGCTCGTACTTCTCCAGCTTGGCTAGGCGCATAAGAAACTGCTCAGTAACCACGTCGCCGGGCTTCAGTGTGTCAGACGTCAGCTTCGCTGCTGGCGCGGAGGCATCGCCGTTGGTGGAGCCAGTGCCTGGCGGTTTCTGGGTGTCGGCTGCCGATGCGTCTGGCGGCGGTGGTGTTGAATCGCCCATGTTCTGCAAGTAGGTAGAATGCAAGGAAAGGGAAATGAAGTAAAGCTGATGAGCGCAGATTAAGTTACAAGGAGGTGCGACGAGCGGAGGGCACAGGAACATGCAGGCTTGGTGCATTCTCATCCGGAGGTGCACACGTGAGCTGGTGAAGCGGACTTTCCGTGGTTTGATTCGCTGCGACAATCCCCACATGACACTTTGCCAAGGCTCCTCTGGTCTCGCACGTCAGCGGACGATGGTCCTGGCAGCCCTTCTTTGTCTCTGTATATAAACAGCCTACCGCCATTTCCATATTCTAATAATGTCCTTCAACGATTTAGAGCGGGGCAATTACGGCCAGCAGCAGCAGCAGGGGTCGGGCCTGTCGGACGAGGAGCAGCTGTACAAGAAGACGGTGCAGGGCCTGTCGCAGAAGATATTCAGAATAAACGCCAGCGTAGCCAACATACGCCAGCTTGTCGGGCAGCTGGGCACGTCGCGCGACACGGCCCGTCTGCGGCAGGACATCCACAACAAGATGGAGAACACGCGCGAGCTGGTAAAGAGCACGGCCAGCGAGCTCAAGTCTCTGTCCGAGTTCCAGAAGGAGCCGTCCAAGCGCAAGCAGCGCCGGCTGGAGCAGCAGAAGCTGACATCAGACTTCCAAAAAACAGTAGAGCAGTACCAGGCCATCCAGCGAGTGTCTGCCGAAGCGTCGCGCGAGTACGTAGACCGGGCCAGGCACGCCATCGAGGTGCAGCACGACACAGCCGCGCAGGACGACGAGGTGGACGAGTCCAACCCTCTGCTGGGCGAGCAGCGGCATGTGCAGCTGCGTGTTCTGGACAACGAGGTAGAGTACAACGAAGCGCTTATCAACGAGCGCGAATCGGAAATCAACGAGATTGAGCAGGGCATCGTGGAGCTGAACGAGATCTTCCGCGACCTGGGGACTATTGTCACCGAGCAGCAGTCGCTGCTGGACAACATCGAGACGAACGTGCAGAGCGTCGCTGTCAATGTGCATGCGGCGTCCGAGGAGCTCACCACGGCTAGCGAGTACCAGCGGCGGTCCAACAGGACCAAGTGCTGCATCCTGATGTTTGCTGTCATTTTCCTCATTGTTATCCTGCTTATCGCCCTCTCCTAAGTAATTGTCGTTTTGTTGTTTTTCTAAAAGCAATTATTTTTCAAAGTGCCATTGACGAGAGCTGCTCAGCCGCCTTGGCTACCTCGTCGACGTTCATAAACTTGAGCAGAGTCGACCATGCCCTCGACATTCCACACGGTGCCCAGCCCCTGCATGACCTTCCATTGGTGCTCGACATCCAGGGTCGAGCGATTCCAGCTCCGCCTGCCACTCGCTCAGCGACATTTGGCTCTCGTCGCGCTTCCCAATGGCAATCTTACACAGACGGATCTGGCGCAGCAGCACGGTGGTCAGCGTAAACACAGCAAACGGCAAAACGAGGTCGAAGCGAGTAAATGGCATGTCGTCGTTGCGTCTCAGATGGTCCGAGAGCCCATGGGCGCACTCAACGCATACTTTCCACGACTCTGGCTCGATGTCGTATGCCAGCAGCCCCTGGCTCCAGACCCTGCCGAATGCGGACGACATGATCTGCCTCAGCAGCAGCTCCGTTGCATCCATCTCCAGCTCGCCAGCCTCGACTGCTTCTTGGCAGACCTCCAGCGGCACCTCAAACTCTGCAAAGAATGACCGACGGTTCGACGAGTGCAGGATGATCATCGACGAGTATGCGTAGCAGCGCAGGCAAAAGTAGCGCACCCGGAGGACAAATGCCCGGTGGTTTGCGTTGCCAAAGTACTGCACGTCGTCGGCCTTGAGCGAGCCGTCGCGGAACTTCTCCGCTGGCTGCAAGCTATCGAGCCACTTTTGCAGCTCTGCCGCATACTTGTGGAACTCAGCGTACTCGGAGATAACCTTGACGCGGCGCTGGACCGAGTACACGAGATGCCCCGTGTCTGTGGTCTCGAAAAAGTCGACTGCGGGGAACGGCCGGTTCAGGGCGCCGAGTTCCTGCTGGTCGTAGCGCGCAGCTTTGGCATCGCAGAGGAACCTGCCAACGCGCCCGTTGATTGTTGCCAGGCCGTTCAGGAGCGTGAATGACTGCGAGACAGCCCCAGACACCACTATGCGGCGGACTGTTTGCGGCGATGAGCTGTCGTCGGAGTTGCTCCAGATCCACTGCTGCTCAAATGTGAATTCGCCGATGTCGCTGCCACTATCATCGTTGTCGCTATCGCGATCACGAGCCGTGGCGCCGGCTGTGGGTGCTGACGCTGCTCGTGGCTCGGTGCTGGCCATCGGCGGGTCTCTCGACTCCGGCGTCTTGGTAACCAGCGAAAAGTTGAACTCATCCCACTCGGAGTCAGCGCATGGAGCACGCACGTACACCATGTTCTCAGGGATCATGGCCGGCCTGCCCGACATGAGCGCCAGATAGTAGTCCGATTGGTATACAAGCCAGAACACACGGCGCTTGGTCTCTGCCTCCACCCACCCCTCCCACGTCTTTGGCTTCAGCGTCCGGTACAAGTCCATCTCATGCCAGCCGAGCCGCACTATCATGCTGGCGACAGTGCACATCAGCGTATTGTACGACATGAAGTGCCCCACACACGCCTCATTCATGGCAATGATCTGGATAGCGCGTATGATATCCAGCGACGGCTCCTCGATGTGCATAATCATGTTGCGCTTGACATTGTCCGATGTACGGCGTGGGGTCGATTTTGCGACCCGTCTTGGCCGTGATAAACCGCGCCGTCATCGCCTTTATCGCATCAATCAGCAGCTGGTCGACGTTCCCGTCCACGAGCTGTCGTAGGAATGTCGACGGGTGAAGCGTCGGCGAGAACGCGTAGAAATAGTCAAAGTATGCCATCACGGCCTCGCGTGTATCTGCATCGACCTTGCTCGAGTTTACTTGCTGCATCAAATTCTCAACTGATGGCGCGATGAAGTCGCTGGTGCTGATTCCGCCGACCGAGGAGGGCGTGTGCTCGGTGCGGCTGTTCATCGAGTCGGTCTTGGCAATCTGCCGGGGCTCCGAGTTCAGGTACACGGGGTCATGCTCGAGCTTTGACCCATCAGCCTCGCCATTGTGCCTGCTGTGGTCCTTCTGCCCCCAGCCCCTGGACTAGCGAGTCGGCCAGGTGACTCCATGATCCCCTTCGCGCTCTGCTGTCCGGCTGTCTGGCTGCTGGATCCACCCGCAGCACCAGTGCTCTTCCCAGTCGCTGCCGATGGCGAGCCTGCGGTGTCAGCATCCCGTGACCCTGACGCTTCCACCGCACGCCTGTCTGCATATGCAGATGCAGATAGCGCCGCGACACTGTGGCCACCCCGTGCATCGCCCTGCGGTATATTGGCTGGATGGATAAACGGCACGGGGACGGTGTGCTGGCTTGTCGTCTGTTCCTCGGCTTGGGCCCGCGCTTCCTCCTCTCTCCCCACTCACACCGAATGTCCAGCCGCACGCACATATCACAGGGCGCTCCCTTGTCGCCATTGCCGCCCTCGCACCGCACCTTTTTCTTGTTGCAGTACTTGCACGCCTGCGTGCGCCGATTCCGCCGTCCGAAGACAAAATCATGCTGATGATAAGCCGCATAATCTACCGGCGGCGGCGGCGGCAGGCCATGCGGGATACCCAGGTATTGGCGGCCCCATCACCGGAGGGCCAGATATGTAGGCCGGTGCTGGCCAGGGTCCGGGAGTGCGTGGGGGCTGGCCATGTGCAAAATCGAAACCCACCATCATCGCTGGGCTGTAAGGGTGATGTCGATGGTGCACCAAGGGTGCCTCCTGGTGATGGCGAATTGCCCCGAGTGGCGAGTGGCCATTAAATGGCGGAAGGTGGTGCGGGTGGTGCGGGTGCACAGCCCCAGGTATGCCTGGCTGTGGTGGTGGGGGTGGTGGTGGTGGCTGTAGGACGAAGTTGTACGCTGGCTGAGTTTCTGGCTCATTGTGAGGTCGACTGTTGCCTGGCTCCCTGGGAATCATGGGCGGTAGCCCGCGCTGAGCCCTGTAGGTGGGCGGGATGTTTGAAACCAAGTTTCTTATAGGCGGTAGCGTTGGGCCACGCACCTGTCCACCACCTGCCTGCGAGTGGCTACGGCCCGGTTGCTGCTGTGCCATTGCTGCTATGAAATATCCTTAAAAGATATGAAGAAAAAAAGACGAAAAAGGGAAAGGATTGTGAAACTGGCAAGGGAAAGGAAAAAGCACAAGGGTCCAAAGTAGGGATGCTGGCCAGGTATTGTGTAGGCCTAGTGCTGGCAGGGGAAATCACCGAGATCGCATGTGTGCAACCCAGGCTATCGCATCCTAGCCCAGGACTAGTCCAGCCCCAGTCGGCTTCATAGTGCACATCTGCTGGGCGCTGCCTTCGATGTTTGTCAACACGCAGCTAGGCTGCGAGCAGCAAAGGTGTTTGCATGTCCAATATGCGGCTGAGACGGCTGCAGCTCGCAGGACTACTGGGAGGGACTCTGCGATTCCACCAAAGACACAAACATCCGCTTTCTATGATTTCTCAGGCAACCACATGCCGGTCCGTGTGGTTTTGGGGAAGAAAAATTTCAGACGCCGGGATTTCTGTTGCCGGCATGGATTCCCTGGAGCAATCCTTGCCGTGAATAACCATGCAGCTTGCGATGTCGGCCAAAAGCAGAAGCAAGTCAGTAGCTCGGCATCTCACAGATTCAGCCGTCTGCAAAAAAAAAAATCACGGCGCAACATGGGACAGTAATGTATCCATCGCACACCATTCGTGGGGGGGGATGAAATATATGTCCAATATACATTACAGTGATCAATAAAATAGCGTAAGACAATCACCTTTCAATATGTGGTAAAGCTCACAGCGACAGGGACGAGAAAAGGTCAGCAGCATTGGTCACCTCATCAATCTGCATCGACTTCAGCAGCATCTCCATGCCCGCAACGTTCCACAGCTCGCCCAGCCCCTTCAGTGTCGTCCACTGGTGCTGAAGATGGCGTGTGCACAGGGCAATTTCTGCTCTGACCTTGTCCAGGTTCTGGCCTGGTGGGCGCTCGGCCAAGATCCTCCGGCACTTTTTTGTTTGTCGCAGGAGCACAGATGACGACATGAAAATGCAAAAGGGAATGACCTGGTCGAAGCGCTCTAGCGGCATGTCCTGGTTGCGCTCCAAGTGTTCAGACAGCCCGTGCGCAGCATCAAGGCACACTTGCCAGGATTTCGGCTCGATATCATTCGCTACTAAACCCGCATTCCACGTATTGGCAAAGGCCATGTTGAGCATTTCGCGCAGAGCCCTGTCGCCCGCTGCCGCATCATAGCCGGACTCTGCACTGCCATCGGCGTCCAGATCGCTGCCCCGGAGCTCTGGCGGCTCCTCGTACTCGGTGAAGAACGAGGGACGGTTGGATTGGTGCAAGAATATTGCAATGGGCACATAGTAGCAGTGCAGGCAAAAGTACCTCACCCGCATCATGAACCGGCGGTGGTCGGCCTGCCCAAAGTATGAGATATCCCCTGCTGGCATTGACTCGTCGCGCAGCTCCTCTGGAAGCACCAGGTTGCGCTTCCAGTCCTGCAGCTTGTAGTCGAGCTCGCCAAACCGCGGGTAGTCGGACACAAGTCTGACAGTGCGCTTGGGCCGGTATGCGAGCCGACCAGTGCCTGGCGTCTGGTTGAGGAAATTCAGCGCAGGAAATGGGCTGTCACGGAACGGCGATAGGCTCGGCCAGGACGAGCCGGACAACACGCCCAGGGAGTCGCGGCTGGCCTTGGCATCGCACAGGAACATGTTGGTGTTGGAGATGATGGATGTCAGCTCGCTCAGCGCCATGAACGAGTATGAAAAGGCACCAGTTGCTACAATTATGTCCTGGTCGACGCGCATCGACTGCATCAGAGACGACGACGAGCCGGACGAGGACAGCGACGGCCGGTGTTTGACGCGAGTCAGGGCATCAGATGTGTTGACATGGGTGGCCAGCGACGGCCCGTCAGTGCCCTGCTTGAGAACAACGTCCCACTCATAGTCCGAGCACGGGGTTCTCACATAGACGCTGGACTCGTTCATAGTTGTTCCCCGGCCAGTCAGCATCGACTGGTAGCTGTCCGTCTGATAGACTATCCAAAAGATACGGCGCTTTATCTGCAGGTTGACCCATTCCTCCCACGTCGCCGGGGGCGGGCGGCGATACAGGTCGATCTGGTGCCACCCGCAGCGAGTAACCAGGCTGGCGGCCAGCACGATAAGCGAGTTGTAGGACCAGTGCTCGCCCCGACAGCCGGCAAGCAGTGTCATGATGACAACTGTACGCACGTAGTCGATCGACGGCGTCTCCAAATGTGAAATCATTCTCGCTTTTACGCTCTCTGCCAGCGCATCGCCATCAATAAACCTCCCTGTCTTCGCCGAGAGCATCCGGGCCGTCGTCGCCTTCATCGCGTCAATCAGAATTGGGTCGACGTCGTTCTCCACTACCCTTCGGATAAACATTGACGGGTGGAATATCGGACACAGCGGGTAGAAGTAGTCAAAGTACATGGTCACTGCCTCGCGTGTCTCAAGGTCGACCTTGCCCGAGAAGAACTCCTGCAGCTCACGATGCATCGACGGCGCCTTCAGCCCCTCCGGCACAGCATCCATATCCGCGTACTCGGGCGACTCAGACACTTGGTCATCGCGTATAGGCGTCGCCGGCGTTAGTGACCGAGCATCAGACTCTGCTGATGGTGCGAGCGCCTGCGCAGGAGCGCCAGTAACCACGGTAATTGACGGCTTGCCCTTGCCCCCCTTGGCTGCCCTCTGCGCACGCGACCCTCGGGAGCGAGTCTTGCTGAGCACCGCCGACAGCGGCTTCGGCTTGGGCCCACGCTTGCGCTTCTGGCCCCAAATGCACTGGATGTCGTTTTTGATGCAGTTGATGCAGCGGGTACCCTCACCCTCACACTTAATCTTCTTCTGGTGGCAGTACTCGCACGCCTGTGTTCGCCGCCGCCGCCGCTGTGCCTGGGAGTCGTCCTGGCGGCCGGGCTCGGCTGCAGCCTGGGGCAGTCTGTCCGCTGATTGCTCGTCATCAACATGCGAGGCCGAGTCCGGCAGCGAGCTGCTACCGATTTCCGGGTATGGCCTGAACCGTGCATCACTCGACGACTGGCCGACATCAGTTCGCGCAACACCCTGCGTGAAAGCAGTGACGCCAGGGTCGCCCCTCGTAGCCCCCTTTCCATTAGCTGCAATTGGCTCCGGTGACTGGGTCTCCCCACCAACTCCGCCATGAGTTGTAAAGTGATCAACCGCGGAACCGGGTTCGTGTAATTGGGGCTGCTGGTTTGCGGAGTCCACTTTTGTGACCAGCGTCGGAATTGGGTGACGCGGGCGATCTATTGGGTCTGTTGGTTCACGAATCGCTGGCGGCAAATCTCCAGTCGCCAGTTTATCCGACGATGGGTCGGGTTCGGCTCGTGGGTGACCGACAAAACCGACAGGTGCTGCTGATTGCCCGGTGCCATTGGCAGTCGCAGGCATAATGCCTTGGGACAGGCGCTGTTGCCGCTGCTGCTGCTGGACCGATGCATCAGATCCTGATTGGACCCTGAAGCTACCCGAGGCGATGGGCTGGACCACAAGTGGCTGCTGCTGATGAAGGCACCCGGAACGCATAGCAATCTGTTGACGGCTCTCGTTATAGTGGCTTGGCCGATACACGGGCTTAACGTACTGGGCCATTCTCGCCTCGCTGCGCTTGTGCTGCTGTGGATGCTGTGCCGTCAACACGTTGATGGACATGCTGCTGTTTGTGGCAGGCAGCATGGCATCGCTGTCAGTGTCGTTAAGCAGCGACCGAATGTTCGATACCTTTTCCTCCGAATCCTCGCGCTGTCGCTTGGGGGGAAGCGGGGATGCCTGCTGGTAATGTCGATGGTAGTGGCCGCCCGCAGACATCGCCGGATACTGGCTGTTATGAATAAATAAACGGATACACCGCGGTAAATAAAAAGAGGGGGGAAAGCGCCTGTCCAGGCAAATTAGACAGAATGCGGTTAAAAAGTGCAAGAAAGGAGAGAGGAAAAAAAATAGGCTGCAGAGGAAAGAAGGGGAAATATGCGAGGATGGCTTCGCTAGAATCTGCAATGTCTTTGAAACAGGAAAGTCTGACAACGCCGCCTGACGAACTTTATGCAAGGGGAGTGGAAAATTGGACACAGTACATCACACCTGACATGGCATAAACAGCACTGGGCGTATTTTCTCGGACCACAGACCTATTTCTGGGATGCCTGCGACGACATGCAACAACAAGTGCAACAATGTCAGCGGGGCCACGTCTTGGAGGATTCATTCGGCTCAACAACTGATTTATTCGTTTGTTTTCCTGACAGTTACAAAGGCTATGGCGCGCCAGCCGGTTGTTCCCACCTCTGGCCCGTCCACACACATACATACACACAAACGACGGTGTTTTCTACTGCTTTATCTCGCCAGCAATCCGCCGCAGACAACGCTGGATCGAGCCCAGGACCGCAGGATCTGGAGCCGACAGCAGATCGATGAGATTGTCGCATAGCAGGAGGAGGTGGGCTGCCGGGCTGGTCGCAGTCTTGCTTGATCCTGTCGCCAGCGCGCTGGCTCGGCACTGCAAGCGAGCCATGTTGTCCAGCACCATGTTGAGCAGCACAACGCGGGCAAATGGCATCGGGCTTTTCCCCAGCAGTGCTTTATCTCGGACAAATGCCTCGAGCACCGTCTGGCATCGACGCACAAGCGTCGGGGCGGCACGCTGGCTGGCCCACAACGGCAAGGATGTGTCGGCGGCGGCATTCGACGACATTCTGAACAGCCATTGGAAGCACTCCATTGTCAGTGCCTGCCGGTTTGCCTGCTGCATTTGCGCCATACTACTAACACTGGAGGAAGGCGGGGCGGTGGCTGCCGAGAACAACATGCCGATGTTGTCGTCTTGCTCCACACAAAGCAGCACAACGGGCTCGGCAGCCATTAGAGCCCCCCACTCGAGAATCCTCACAAGCAGCCCCCAGTACTCTCCAACCTCGGCTGGCTGCACCTGAGCTATTGTGCTGTCGTCGCCACCACCGCTGCCGCCACCATATTGAGAAATGTATCCAGTGCTGGCGTGCATAATAGCATCGAGCACCTGGTTTTGACACTCCGCGGAAAGTGCAAGACCATTGCCGGCAGTATCCAACCCCACCGCAGACCGCTCGGTGGCGGTTTCATCCAGCGATACTGACTGATCCCGCGTGAGTATATGATCCGGCACCCCAACTGCCGACCCCAGAACGATGCCAATAGTCACCCATGTATCTGCCAGCGCCGACCGCGCATCTCCATCGGTGCAGCCGCGCAGCCGCGACATTCCCAGCGTCACAACACGAATCAGCCAGTCTACAGCCTCTGCCTGGTGTTGCTTGGCCCACTCAAAAGCAGGCATTGCTGCTGTGTCGCTCAAATCGCCCGGTGGGCGCTCAGCCCCAAGTGGCAGCACCAGGTGCAGCCCAATGGCAACCAGTGAATCTGCCAGCACTCCATCGGCAAGGATTCGTTTGGAGTTGGCAAGAGCCTGGTTGCTGGTCTGGCTCTCGCCCAGGATCTGATCAGAGCAAAGCGCCTCGCCAAGCTTTATCAGAGCCGCAACCGCCAGAGACACCAGCGTCGGCATAATCGCACGCCGTGTGTACTTAGCCTTGCCACTGCGCGGCTTCTTGACCTCATTAGCCGCAGAAGAGTGTGCGGCAAGTCTTTGCAGCTGCACTGAAAACAGGCCCCGACCCCGACCAATGACCTGGCTGTCGCGGTAGAGCGTGCCGGCGCCGCCCTGCTCAGGATGAATGATATACGGCATGACAGCATACACCGCCAGCTCGCCAAGAGAAAGTGACAGCACAGTGTCAGGCGATACCAGGTTATCCCCATGATCGGTCTTGCACTGAGCAAGCATCTGCAGCGAGCAGATCGTATCCATGATCTGCGCCTGCAACGTTGAGATCTCCAAGACATCTGGCGAGTAAAGCGGTGCATCAACGAACAGCAAGATCCGGCGAGCAATTCGCAGCAGCGTGGTACAATCGCCTTCGCTGAACCACCTGCATGATCGCAGCTGGTCAAAGATCTGCGAGAACATTTGCAGATATGAGAGCAGCACCTCCTGAGTGTAGACTACATTTCCGTCTACTGTCTGGTTGATGTCAAGCAGCGACCCCCGGTCTATCGGCAGGTTCGTCATCTGGCTGCCAATCGTCAGCCATGCCCTCCACACCGTGCGCCAGTGCTGCGTGATCATCTGGTCCTCTGGCCCTCCTTCCAGGTCGGCAATGCCCACCAGCGCCGCCACGCATTCGATCGCAGCGGCAACACTCTCACGAGTGCGCTGGTACAGCTGGCTATCACTCACCTCGACTGCGGCTGAGTCGATGAAGTTGTCGGGCACATCTACCTCGATCGTTTTGTCAGCAACTGGTAGCAACTGCACGCCCTCGCTGGACTGTCTACCAGCCAAAAAATCAATGGCCAGCTTCCACATAACCTGCCAAGCCTGTCCCACATAGCCGACGTGCCGGATCGACCGCTGCAGGTTGTCTCGCCACACTTTAGCAGCACCGAGCACCGCTGTGGCTGCCGTTTCATCCCACTGCTTCTTGTGCAGGCGGCTCGGGTCTTCGATAACTACTCCACTTTTGGATGCCATCTGCTCAGCCTCAAGCTCGGACAACAGCATCTCCACGCGTCCTTGTCGGATCAGATCGAACACGCGAGCACGTTCAGCCAGCACGCGATCGAGCACTGGTGCCAAAACAGTCCAGATGATACTATCCCATGTCCAGATGTCAAAGATCCCACCATGCATATCCAGCGTGCGGAACAGCGTCTGCAGTGCGCCGTGTCGGACTTCGTGGCGGACATCGCGGCCGAGATCAGAAAGTGAGTGCAGGAGCAGGAGCCACAGCAGTTGGCGAGTATGCGTATCTTCCAGCGACACTAGCTCCTCCCGCCACCAGCCATCGACGATGTGTGCAATTGCCGGTTTGCTATCGTCGCTATGGGCGACCAGGCTGCTGCTGATCAGCTCGCTTAGCTCCGCCAGATTCACTTCATCCGACTTTGGGCTTGCGCGCTGGAAAAAGTCGCTCAGGCTCCATGCCTGCCCAATGGCGGTCAGCGAGATGTTCAAGTCCTCAGTCTGCTGCCCGTATTCGACAAGTGACTGGATGCAGCGCCGCATGCAGTTTGCCGGAAGATCGGCCAGGTAGTCAGTGCATATGAGCTGCAGGCATGGGAATGCAAACCTGACCAAATATCCAGGCTGCCGTGACTCGGCATTCGTCCCGCCTACACCATGGGTGGACCCCGCAGACTCGGCGGCAACAACGCTCTGGATAATGTCAAAGACAACGTCCCAAGCACGCATGATCGAGTGTCCCGAGGCCTGAAGTAGCTTGCTGAGCGTATCAAGCGTCAGTTTGCGTACCTCGACAAACTGGCCAAAGCCCTTGCTGTCTTCGGCACCAGTAGATGAGCGAATCCCAGCCATCATTTGCGAGAGTGGTGTCAGAATGCGCAGCTGGGCGTCACCGTTGGCAACCATGGCGACAAAGTGTGAGTTGATTCCTTCACTGGCCAGATCGTCGTCTTCCGTCAGTCCATCTGCGCGAGTCACCAGCTCCATAGCTGCCAGCACAACATCCGAAACAGCCTCGCAAGCCTGAGTTCGGATAGGTGACGGAGTATGCGCGTATGTCGTCGTATCAAGAAGGTGGTGCATGATCAGCGACCACGCCTCGGATCCGACACTGTCGGTGTCAGCGGCAGTGTCGGCCAAGGCACGCGACCCCATCAACAGATCGACATTTTCCACGGCCAACAGCCGCAATTCCTCGACTGCAAATGTTGGGCGGTCCATTAGTGCGCTCATGCGACGATTGACGATACCGAGAGCCGACCGCATCTGGCTCGAAATGTCGCTAAATTCGTGTCGTGCTGGCACACTGGTCAGGTCAGACCCAAGCGCGCATAATGAGCGGATAACCCAGATAAAGGCATCGCTGCCGTGCGCACGCACAAGGGAGAACAGCTGGGCGTACTCTTCGCGAACTGCCTGGAACTCGGTTGCCCGGCTGAGATCGTCATCGCTACTAGGCACCTGCGATGACGCCGTCGACATGCTCCGCTGGCGCCCTCCTGCGCTGCGACCCGGCATCTGTCCGTGAGAGGCATTGCTGTTAGCCCCCAGAGCTGCTGGTGTTGGTAATGAACCACGACTCTGGTAAAGTAGCTCGTCAGCCTGCTGCAGCGTGACCATGATCGGATACCAGGCTGGGCCAAGCGTATTGGCCAGGAACTGCGCACAGGAGATAACTGCGCGTAGGCACTGGATCTGGCGTGAATGCATCGAGAACTGGGCACCGATAAGGGAAGATGTAACCAGCGGAGCAGTGGCAGGTGGCCGACCATCAGTGCCATTGGCTTCGTCTTCGCGCACAGTTGCCAGGCTCTGTGTTTTGGCAACCTGGCTCTGCTGCAGCAGTCTCTCATGCTCTGAGATCGCTGCGTGCGGCAGGCAATGTCGGCAGAGCAGCGATAGCACTGCATCGCGCGCATCGCGAACACCTAGTGCGCCGAACACCAGGACCATCTTTTGCGAGCTTTCCATGACCTGGTTAAACAGCGAGTTATCGAAGCGCACGTTGAGGAAGAACGAGTATGCTGTCAGCAGGATTGGCCATATCTTGGTGGCAAAGCTGCTGACAACCTGTACCTGCTGGTCGCTAGCATCAGGCACTGAAAGCACGCTCTTCGTTACCTCCTTGCCCTTTATCAATGCTGTCAGAGGCGCTGTATGGGCAGGCAGTACGACGCTTGCCATTCCGTCGACCAGCGATAATGTCGATGATAGTGCCAAAAAGAACAGGTACGTATCAGGGATCGCAGGCGGCTCCTGCTTGTCAAGCAGCTTGTGCATCTCAGATCGCATACGGCATGATCGTGCACTGATCTGGTCCCTATCACCGCCTGCATCGGCATCAATTGCGTGGCGGCGCAGCTGGGTATCAGCGCCAGTAGCGCTATTTTCAGGTTGCGCACTGGGGATACCGTCGGAGTTGCTGGACCGGATCGTCGGACGCTCGGATACAACTTTGCCAACGGCGGTGATAATGTCCAGGATGACATGGCAGTCCTCGCCGCTGCCCATTTGCCCATCAAACTGTGCGTACAGCTCCTGCAGCAGGCCCGGGTCTTCGACTGTCTTCTTGACGAGCTCAAGGGCCAATACGCGATAGAACGGCGGGAACAAGGTGCTTGGATTTCCAACTCCCACACCTCCGGGCAATACAAAGCTAGGCCGCCGCCGCCCGGGCGCTGCCTGGCTGTGAGAGCTGCTACTCGTGCTCGGATCCATTAGGCGGGTCAATATCGACAAAAATATCTCACATTCGGTGTTGAACTCTGCGTGCAGGTCGCGGATAAAGAGCCAGACGACCCGAATGCAGCGCACAGCGAGCGGGAACGTCGACTTTTCAGCAAAGAAATGGACGATATACGGGGATAGTCGCTCACGCAGCAGCTGCGCCATAGCCGCATGCCGCGCAACAACTTTGGCATGGTTTGTCAGAATGGACTCTACGAGCTCCAGAACTAGCCCCTTATCAATCGTATCTGCACGAATAAACACGGTCTCGCTGTCGGTCAGCAGCAGGCACAGATCCTGCAGTACGTAGTACGCATCTTTCGCGCACTTTCGTGTTAGGTCGGCCTCGGCATCAACCTGTGTGCTGTTCATCAGCTTGTCCTCGCTGACAACCCGATCAAAGACGGCCACGACAAGCTGGCGCAGGATAGCCGCCGCAGTGTTGTTCACAATCGGATCGCGCGACTGCTGTAGCACAAAGCAAATGTGAATAGCCTCCACCAGGGTCTCCCCCGAGACTGCATCGTATGCACTGACCAGCGGCAAGATCATCTGCAGGATCTTGACCTGGATGTCCATTCCCTGGCTCAGCACCGACGTGAGCATTCCCAGCGTCACACGGATCGAGTCTGGCGACAGCGCCTGGTGCGAAATGAGCTGCTGTAGACACTGCACCGATATTGTTGTCAGCTTGTGGTTGCCTGTTTTGCATGCAAGTGCAAATGGCTTTACCACCTCGTCGGACTTTGCCAGCTCCGTGGCAACCTGTGCAGATGATGTCGCCTTGATGCTGCGAAGGATGACAATAACACGCTCTGCTGCCTAGAATGGTAGAGTATAGTAGCTTTAGCTCAGCAAGGTGCTGAAATACGGTCTACAGGCGTGCATGCTAAAGCCTGCACAGTGTACTTGCCTCCTTTATTTCCGGGTGCTTCCGTCGTGCTTCAGTGGACAGACTCTGCAACTCCGAGAGCAGCAGATTGCTTATGCCTGCAGTAGCTGACATTGGTAAGGATTAGAGTAAATGCAGAGATAGATGTGAAGTATAGAAATTAGGACTGCTAGAATAAGGCGCTGGCTGTAAACTGAAGAGGATGGCAAGTAGACCACGTCGACACCAGACGCGCTTCAGACGGGCAGCAACTGACACTGGACAGTCCTGATTAGTCGATCAAATCACTGAGCAGAACTGGCAGTGCTAGCGTTATTGAGCGGCATGGCAGAGAACTGGTGTGAAATAAGCCCACCGTGGCCAACTAGAATGTGACTACGGTGTGTTCTGAGTTGTTTTAGTTGATAGCTCACGGTGGACCCGCATCCTTGGATACTTCATAACAAAGGTGAGTAATTACCACGCACCAAGGGTTACATTGATTCAGAAACACACCATTATTCTTTTGAACCACTAACCAGGTACTTGTTGGCTCCAGCTGGCTCCATCCGAACACCCATGGGACTCTGGCGGCTCGCTTATATCGGCAAACCATCACATATGGTGCACTGAGCTGCATACTTTCCGGACATGTGGACATCCTTCGGTTTCTGTTTTCGGCACCTTGTCCATTCAGATACCTGCAAGACTGTTCCTGAGAACCTGTCCAGCCGGATGCTCATAAACACGCATGACCTTATCTTGAAAGCAATCGATAAGCTTGCTTAAAGTGCTTGCAGGTGTACTAAGCCGCATAAACCCCATCTGGCACCCTTCACCATGGATCTCTATACGAGGAAGTCTTTCTCACTCGGAGATGCGCCTGCATATTGCAGACACTTGTCTGCTTCGGTTGTCACGCACGCACCGCTGGCCGCCTTCCTCTCGAATATCTATAAAGCACGACTCCCGCTCACTCCTTCCCCTCTCCATCACCCAACTGCTCTTCACACTTCCATTTCCATATTCATATCCATCTTTCCCAGAACACCAGCTATGCATGTACGTTCCTCTGCCAACATCAGCGCCTTGACGAACGGTGATATAGTCGAAAACATAGTCTGCTATACCAACTACATCGCATATCAAGACGAGCCCGATATGGGCCACCAGGAGCGCTTCGTCAATCTGGCTCTGGTCTGTCACTCCTGGTACTCCATTGTCAAGCACGAACTCTACAAGAGCCTGGTCATTGAGCCCAAGAAACCCATGTCAGACCATGTCACATGGCGCTCAAATTTGCCGTCAATTGTCGCCGCCGGCATGCAGCACAGGGTCATCCACCTTTGTCTCGGCGGACCCCTGATCACGGAGCATGCTACCCTCATCGACATTATCCGAGGGCTCGGCGTGCACCATCACAGGTTCCCTAAACTACACTCTATTCTGATAATGGCATGTGATGGACATGTAGAGCTTTCTCAGCTTCATGATGTTTGTAAGCTCATCTCCAGCTACTTGCTGCAACTGTTCCCGCATGTCACCTCTGTCACTCCTATCACGTCTGGCAGCCTATCGACTGTGCCTGCCAACATCTACTACAATCTCATCGTGATGCTGGCTGCGTCTATTCACGAGGTCACGGTCAATGGCATCATTCTTGGCAATATCCCACATGTGCATTTCCAGAACCTGACCAATATCCGCATTATAGACCCATCAGAGGGCACGGCATCCCGGACTATGCGCGTCAATCCTAACACTCTCAAGACAATCGAAATTGTCAACAGCTCGAGCAACTTCCCGTGGGGCATGTTTGGCGACGCCAGCAACCCAATCGTGTTCCCGAATGTCGAGCAGCTGATAATGCGCACATTCCAAAATCGCCATGTTTACCCGGCGACCCAGATTGGTCGGTTCAAGCTGCAGTTCCCCAGACTCTGGAGCCTCTGCCTGATGGAGGCGTTGGACTCATACACGGACGCGCTGGACTTGATAAAGATCTCTAGCATTGGGTCGCTTGTTATCTTCGATGATGCAAACAAGCTGCAGCACCTTAACCCAAAGCTGGTCCGCAATATACGCGAGTTCTGCATAGGCGATTCGCAGAGAACTCAGATCCCTGTACTCGACAAGAACAGCTTCTTTATCAAGATCTTTGATATCCCGGCCAAGCTGAACAAAGTCACGCTGTCTCTGCCACAAGCCGACTTCCCGCCCATCAAGGACGCAAAATGGCCAATGCTTAGGAGTCTGCGCCTTATAGCTCGCTCAATTTCGCTGCAGAGCATTGAGATGTTCATGACGCAGCTGCCCTGGATGCACACGCTAGATCTCTCCATGTCCCACTCGGATCAGCAAGCCAATGATGAGGTTGTGTGCAGCAGGAGGACCCCACTAAGCACATCAGTCCTGGTATTTGGTCTCAAAATCGCATTCCCGATGATGCGAGCCAAGACCTGGCTACTGATGGCAACCCGGCGGCTGCCAGAGCTTTACAAGCTAGTTCTATCGAAGAGCTTTGAGGTGGACAAGGCAGCCTTGAGACGGGTGTACAAGAATGGTCTAGCATTTGTCTAGGCTTTATGGTTTCTACCATTTGTAGTTTTGTCCTAGCTATAGGTAGTGTATTATTTTTTCTTTCTTTTCTCGTCTCCTTCCATTTTCGATCCTGATATTCATAACATAGGCATCTAGTTCTGAGCACAAGTAAACCGAGCGAAAAGGAAGCAATGGTTAAACTGATGTTACTGCAATTCAGCGAGGTTTTTGATTATCAACACTGTCTATAGTGCTAACGTACTAGCATTCGAACATACCTGCTATACCGTTAAGGCAATATGTTAACTTGGGGAATGAGTGGATATCGAATATATGGAAAAAAAAATAACTTCTCAAAAATGACTGAGGGGAAGAAGGAAGGCTGGTCGTCTGTCTGGGCATTTGTACGTATGCGTTTCGGCCTTGTCTACTGTGGCGTAGGGGGATTCCGGACCCCAAATGCCAACACAATATATTGACGAAAATGACTAAACCAGCCTATCACCAATAAACTGTTTCTGCAAACTTCTGAACTCAATGCCTCGGCTCTCACCAAATGCTAAAACGCCCTCGAGTGACTCATCGTGTGCCCTAATGGCCATGAATGATGGTGCCCATCAGTTGACCCATGTCGCCGCGTTGGAAAGTGAACGGCAGGGAGATATACAGCTCTTCGACATTCCGCAGAAGCAATGGGTTTATGGATGGAATGTGGTCAGGTAACTCGGTTACCTTCAACGATCCTAGCGCGATGTTATCGAACAAGCCCTCAAAGTCAATGTGCACATTGAATGTGCCACATGCCTGCAAGGTGCAGAGCTTCGGGAAGAGAAGCTTCTGGGATCCATAGAAGGTTGAAAGGCGAAGGGAAGGTGGCAAAGGCGTGCTGTGCATAACTATCACGGCTATTTTCAATATTGTCAGGTCTTTAGACTCGATCGTATCCGTATCATTGTCAACGAACTGTTTCCATACAAGCCGTGCTCAAGTATCAATGCAAATCACTAGCTCACTGAGTGTGAGTGCAAAGAATCTTATCAGCTGGCTATTGTGCTGGCTTAGATAATCGCGAATCAGTAGGCTGGCCAAGGATGGAAAATGTGTGGTTGCAAAATGTTAGGCTTTTTCAAAGTACCACCTATTATTAGCAAGCATGTAGTCAAAGACATATAGGATCCCTTAAATTTATAACTATAGGGGTTCAGTAGCCATACGCTATGATTTAAAGCCCACGGGTGTTGTGGCGGAATCAGAGAAAAGTGCCACACAAGTTACAATAAGAGTCCAAAATGCCAAAACCCAAAAACGCCAGTGCATGCTTGAATAAAATAAATACTGTTAGAACTACAAAATAATTAAGAAAATAGTGTGGGAATTTGGGAGAGGGGGCAGAAGATAGAGGACTGTGGATAAATATCGCACCTTGCCGGAATCACTCGAATGTGGCCATTGTTCCTGAAGGATCTTTACCTATATATAAGATTTTACAGTTTAAACGTATCCGACTGTCCGCTAGAAATTATTTAATTGGTTAAAAAACAAAACTCTTAAGCTTCAACACGGGTTTGAGTGACTTGCTCTGTAAACACTTTTTGATCTTGTGCGGCATCTGACCTCATCGGTGAAACCAGGGTGACAAGTTGCTATTGTAGTGGTCACAGGTCTCCACTGGATATCTCCATTGGTTCAGCGCAAGAGCTGCTCTCATTGTCGGTCAGCCTAATAACTTCCATGGTGTCATCATGGTAGTCATCACCGGCTGCGCAACACTCTTAGGATATTTGTTTATGAGCACCTATTGAATGAGGCCATATAGCTCTTCTAGCGGTCATGCAATATTTGTGGGTTTGTTTTATAAATTAATTTGTCTTATGAACATGCGTAAGCAGTAGTATTTGGGCCACAATGGACCCAGTCTGTATAGACTGATTCAAGAGACTGTATCAGTGCTAAGGGCCCCAAGAACCATGCAAGCCAGATCATTTTTAATAAAAAATTCTTAATGCTATGCATACGCAATAAAGCAAAACTGAACAGCATCATTTCTCTTACTTGCCTATTGAATTTCTCAAATGAATATTACCCGCAGCACTACTGTCATAAAGGCATCACTTGGTGGTATTGGCTTCTGTGATTCTATGTTGCCCCGCCTAGAGTGATTTGTATACAGTGTCAATATCATCAAAGAGCATACATACATGCTTGCACGATGGATACTACTCCATCAACTAGCTGACAATGATGCCTTTGACCCTGCAACATTTGTGAAAAAGGGATTCTTTCATTCCATTTATTTATTTATTTATCACAACCTGAAGGCGAAGACGGCCATGTCTGCCAAGGATTTTGTCAACCGGAAAGACATGTCAGAACTGTTGAGCGCAGATTTCGGTGATGTAGTTAGATATCACATTTATGATTATCTATTGCATAATGGCGATATCGAGCTACATGGCGTACACAACATGAATCAAGTAGCAACATACGTGGATACCGAGTTGATGACAGCATACAAGAACAGCATTGTGTTGCACTATGGCACTTGCCTACAGCGGATTCTGGCCAAATTGATTGATATTCGCAGCCGCAAAACACACTGCACAGTACAATGAGCAATGTGTCCAAGGGATCACACAATCTGTGTGGGATGTGTGGAGCCGGGTTGCAGATCTAACATCAAAGCCATTTAAGGCGCATGGTGATAGAAAATTCTACATAATGGTGACAACAGATGGTGTAACGATATGCATTTTGTTATAAGACAAGGTATCTAAGGCTGATGGTACAGTAGATGCTGATGCTGTGGGAGGCGATGTTGCAGGAGGTGGTGCTGTGGGAGGCAATACTATAACTGACTGTCGCTATATCCACCAGATCCCACAGCCAGAGCTGCAGAATCTGAAAGGCCGCTGTGTATTCATCGATCCAGGTCGTGGCGATTTGCTATACATGATGCACGAAAATAGCAGCAATGGGAAAGAGGGTGAAAAGATGCTCTACCGCTACACACGACAGCAGCGCAATAAGGAGCTCAAGCTGCACGACTATGACAGGATTCACTGGGCTACAAAGGATCAAGTCCCAGAAGATGCTGTCCGCAGAGCAGAGGCAGAGCTTTCCAAGCACTGCTGCCGGACCCTTAGCCCAGCAAAATTCCGTGCCTACGTTGCTGCCCGTGCATCTGTGCGGTGTGTCCTAGCACCGTTTTATGCCAACACGATGACAGCGCGAAGGTTACCAGAGCAGCAGCCCACTAAGTCAAACAAGCAGCACCAGAGGCGCTGGAAGGCCCGTCCAGGTGTCAGGACCAGTCCCAAGGTGTACCCGCTTCACCGCAAGCTGCGCCTTGATTCATTCATGAACCAGGCCCGTGCAGACCACAGGCTTGCCGCGAAACTCCGGAGCAAGTTCGGTCCAGACCCAGTGCTGATCATGGGCAATTGGAGTGCGCCGATGGCCCGACACCATGCGCCGATTCGTGGCAAGGGATGGCGCGACAAGTTCAAGCACCATAGCTTTGAGGTCTATCTGATCGACGAATTCCGGACATCGTCTATGTGCCCGTTCTGCTGCGAAAGGTCGCTGCAGACATTCCGGCATGTTCCCAACCCGCGGCCCTACCAGAGATCGAAGAACCCAGCTGTGAAGTGCCATGGCCTTCTCCGCTGTACAAGCGAGTCATGTAAGCGGGCCATGGCACAATACAGGCGAGCCTATTCGTCTTGGATCTTGAACCGCGATCTCGCAGCAGTTCTAAACTTCAGACTCATTTTCCAGTCACTCTGTGATTCAGGCAGTATCCCTGAACGGTTCCGTCGCTCTACGGCCATTTCTGCCGATGCTTCTGGCACCACCCCTGCAACAAAGAGGCCGCGCAAGAGGGGTGCAGCAGCAGGCGGTTCTGCTGCCAGCAGCAGCGAGCCAGCGCTGAAGCGCCTACGCTGAGCAGACCACCAAGATGGGAGATGTCCATGATCGACATTGCACCAACAACCATCCGACACGTTCAAATGACCGGTTCGCCGTGATGCTCTTATCGACGTGTCAACCCATGCTGACTAGCAGCTCTGCTCGCATCGCGAGCAGAGCAATTCTAGTATCGAATAGGAATTTACAAGTCCTTGAACCTTATATCTCGACCAGTGATAGACCGTGGATAAAATCCGCAGTCAAACAGGTGCTATCTACTGACCGCAAGTGGCTGTTTCCGTAAAACCAGGTGCTGGTGGGACTCTATGCCATTGGCCTTTAGTCTTGTGGAAAGTGGCGATAATTGAATTGCTCGAGGCCCTGACTTGCTGCTGTTATTAAGATGGGCGACTAGCGACATATCTCCATGTTTAATCATGGGTAAACGCAATTCATACTTATATTCCAAACTGGGTGGCCTTGGGACATTCGCACTCTACAGCGCTATTGTTCGGAAACAGGCAGATCTTTTAAATTATTGAGCACAGTGCTATTGGGAGAACGAGCCTTAGTATAGGGCTTAGGTAAACGAGCGCCATCATTTTTATACTGTTGCGCCATTCCACCTAAGATCCATATATATACCTGTTGTGTGCGATATATCTGGCGTATCTGACTTTTCTTACGTATCTTTCATATGCCTCACTATGTAAATATGTCTGCCCTCTACATATATCTTTGTTGAACTGACCAGAGCTATGTAGATATATGCACATTTCATATTTTGATTAGCTTAGGATTTGAATAGTCTCACCTAATTAAAACATGCCGTCTTCTCTAACACTTCTCAAGTCCTCTTCGCATCATATCTGTCGCAAAATCTTTAAAATCGTCAGTATTATTTATTGCTACTCCCGCCCACAAATAGAACATGTCTGCCTGTTTGGTGAGCATAGCCCACTCACTGGATATACACAGGCTGCCCATCCCGTACTGGTCACTTCAGCCTGCAACTTGGAGATCGCTTCCACCCTCAAAAAATTGCCCTCAACAGACGGATGCTGTCCATTGCATGCGGGCACAACGTTCATCATGGCTGCCAAGCGTACCAGCCAAACCCGCTCGGCTGTCAGCCTCAGTATGAAGAATAGATTAACGGATCAGATCGCTGATCAGAACCAGCAATTCCCTCAGTTTTGGGGCACGATGGCATATCGAAGGTGTTGATGCGAAGTGCTGGATTCTCTCTTTCAACTTTCTGTCATATCTAAGAACAAACAGAATAATCGCAATGGTACCTATCGTTGAGCTGAATGATGGATGCGCCCAAATTACTCAGTGGATGCGCCGCGTAAATCAGGGCGGATACGTGCTGGACGACTGCAGAACCAGAGTCCGATTTTCGTGAATGGGAGAGATGCTGATTGGGGGCATCGCGAAATTTGGAATTCGGCGACGCGTCCATTTGGCCGATTGGAGCTGGCTTCTGGAATGGACCATATTGCTAATGCGCTCTTTACACAACTCTTTCAACGTAGGCTAAGGTTAAGGTTACCGAGCTCCGGGAGAAGTCGAAGGCCGAGCTGACTCAGACCCTCGAGAACTACAGGCGCGAGCTCCTGGACCTCAAGGTCCAGCAGGTCGCTGGTGCCGCTTCGGCCAAGGGCACCAAGATCCGTGAGGTTCGCAAGAACGTCGCTCGCGTTCTGACTGTCATCACCCAGCAGTCGCGCGCTGAGGTCCGTGCCCAGTACGAGGGCAAGAAGCACATCCCCAAGGACCTCCGCCCCAAGCTTACCCGCGCTCTGCGCCGTGCTCTGACCCCGGAGGAGCGCTCGCGCAAGACCGTGCGTCTGCAGAAGAAGCTGGCCAACTTCCCCCGCCGCCAGTACGCCGTCAAGGCCTAAGCAGCAGTCGTCCATCTTTCGTAGTCTTACTCTTTGTGTACTCTGGTTTGGGTCTTTTGTTGTGTCCAACAAGAGCTTTTGCCGGTCCCAAAAATATGACGCTTCAAAATTTGAATTTCAAATTGTAAACTTTCAAACTCCTAGGGGGCTCCATAACCTGAAGTGCAAACTGGGCGATCGGTCTCGTCGAGAAAACGGCTCTGGCTGGCTCCGCGGACCGGCAGTGATAATAATACTCTTTACGCTTTTCCGCTACTACATTGACCATGGCCGACGACTCGCTCCAGCAGGTGTACCAGCGCATCACAAGCAGAATTCAGGAGAAGCAGAAGCAGCTCGCCCAGATCGAGGCCCAGATCAGCCTGCACCAGCGCGAGACACGCCTGGCCGGCCTGACTAAGCGCGAGCTTGAGGGCCTGGGCAACTCCGTGCCCATGTACAAGTCGATGGGCAAGATGTTTGTGCAGGAGACCAAGGCGGACCTGCTCGCGGACCTCGAGAAGACCACGACGGAGTCGGCCACGATGCTGACAGCGCTCGAAAAGAAGCAAAAGTTTGTCAAGCGCGAGCTCGACGACGCTACAGGCAACCTGCGTGATATTGTCATGTCGTCGCAGGCCGCCGCCGCCAGGGCAAAGTAAATGTCTTGGTTTTATTTCCTACTCAGCATGTCTCTTTGGAATCCCCCACTTCTCAAAGCATACATCAGCCACCTCCTGCGGGCTATGTGCCCAATTGATGACCATGTCCGGGTGCTTCATGTGCGCGAGTATAGCGTTCAGTGCTTGCAGCTGCGACGCCGCATGCTTCATGTTGGCATCGTACAGCGGGGCCATGAATTTTTTGTCGCCCGAAACGCGTGTCCAGCTCACCAGATGCGCCAGCTTGAGCTGGTTGTGATGCATTCTATGCAGAGCCGACATCAAATGTGCCACGATCCGCGAGGTGTCTTCTGTGATCAGCCGGTTGCATACCACAAAGCGCTCTGCGCTGGACGGCGGGCTGGCTAGCGAGCGCACAATGGCTGTGCGCTCAAAGAAAGTGTGTAAAATGAACAGGATCTCGGCACTGAGCGGCGTGAATGTGTCAAAGGCTTTGAACACAAAGGTGCCTTTCTTGCGCAGCAGCTTCAGACCAACAGCCGCCTGGGCGATCAGGTATGCATACTGCTGGCGCTCCTGGTCCATGTCAAAGCTGGGTGAGCCGGCGCAGCCCTCAGCGACAACTAGATCCACTGCATGGCTGGCGCGGATGTCGCCTCTGACCTTTTGAATGAACGCGTCGACATTGGCCGGATCCAGGATATCCGCTTGGAAAACAGTAGTGTTTTGCGCGGCATGGCACTCGGGCAGCATCCTGTCCACATCCAAAGGCTGCTTGGAAGACTTGTCAGCAAAGTACCATCCATTGCACTCCACCAACTGCTTGCTCGCCCGCCACAAGATGTACTCGGTGAATCCGCCGCACCCGCTGCACAGATCAACAAATCTGAGCTCCCTGCCTGGCTGCAAGTACTCTCTGACAACACCCAGCGGGTAGTCCAAGTGCGCAAGCTTCAGCGCGGAGATATCCACAAACGGACTGATAACCTTCAGGCAGCTGTACACATTGAGCTTATCCTCTGTTGTTGCAACACTGTCCACCTCTGCTAGAGCCTGCTTGCACGCCTGGATCGACTGCATCATGGCTACATCTCCGAGCCGTGCATCACCACGTCGGCCGCGAGCATCGTCTCTGTCACTCATCATACGTATCCAGTCAGGCGAGCACAGGTGCTGTTCGGCGAAGGATGGCGGATACGAGTTGGTGATCACAATGCAGCTGCTGCCCTTGACGTCGATTTCAGGCCGGACAGGAGCTGGCTGTGGCGGCTGGCGGAGGCCAGGAGCCATAGAGCGTTGGCTGCTGCTGGTATTGCTGTGGTCACCGCGGTTCGGTGCCCGAGTGCCGCCTCTAACACTGCGGATCGACCGCGACAGTGCTGATAAAGATGGTGGCGGGACTGTCGACTCGAGCCTAGTGTTGCGGTAGCCAGGGTCGGCATCGGTAAAGAGTTCCTCGTTAGGGTCAAACGGCATGGTGGGAGAAATAGAAATATCAGGGAAATGACGCCTTTTCTTGTGTGGTCCACATATACTGCACGGAATAAATCAGTCGAGCAGATATATTGTGAAATATGGCAACTTGGGATTTTCTACAGCTCCTCGTGAACAGGCCGCTCAACGGGCATGGTGTAGATGTTCTTGCGGCGGAAGTTTTCGACTGGTTGTTGTTGATGCTGGTGCTGCTGTTGGTGTTGTGATGTGGTCGTCACAGGCTCATCAGTCTGCTCAGGCTCATCATTCAGGCCACCAGTGGCAACAGCCTCATCTTCGAGAGGCAAGCCGTGAGAGCTTGCGGTAATGCCTTCAGTAGACAGGGCATACTCGACCGATGCAGTATCTTCCTCTAGAGGACCTTGCTCCTCTTTATGTGAAGCAGCAACAGGCACTGTGGTGGTCACTACTAGAGTCTCCTTGGCGACAATTGCTGCTATAGTTGTTAGCAGTGCCCGGGTAACACCGGTAAGTGCATCCGGATGTTGTTGACACCACGTCGGCGCTGCTGGTGGTAGCCATGACCATCGGTGAAGTGACAGCAACTGCAGTCTTTGATGAGCCACCAAGAAGCACATATCTCAGCAACGAGAACAGCGTCGATAGGCCCGGGATCCAGATACGCTTGCGCAAGATATTAAACACGACCATGCCGAACAGCACCAGCCCGCCCAGCATCATCCAGCGGTCCATCGCATCCGCCTGCTCCAGCGATTTGATCAGATTGGCTGACGTCTTCATGACACTGTCCAGCGTCAGGTGCTGCTCCTTGGTCTTCCGCAGTGTATCCGACTGAGTCCTGCAGCGCAGTGATGTTCCGCGCGCTCTTCTCAATCTCCTCGTTCATCAAGCTCACAGGTCTCCTGCAGCGCCGTGGTCACATCGGTCGCCGCATTCAGCACCGCATTGCCCGTGCGCGCCTTGCGCTTGCGCAGCTCCGACGGCGTTGCGGCCCCGCTCAGCAGCAGCTCGCGCTCCTTCTTGGCAGCCGAGGCTGAGTTGCCCTTGTATTTGAGCAGTGCTGCGCGGAACTCGCGCTGCTGCTTGCGCATCTGCGACTCGATCAGGTTTAGTCGCGCGGTATGCTCGTCCTTGGGCGCGTCTGTGCTGTACTCGACTTCGAGGCGGAGCTGCTCGGCCGTGCGCCTGGCTGCCAGCTGCTGCTCACGAATCGAGTCGGCGAAATTGCCGGTGCTCATCCTGCGACCCGCCAAACTGCGCAAGCAGCTTAGTGTCCTTTTCTACCTGGTCGAGCTCCTTTGACAGCTGGCTCAAAGAAAGCCCCAATGCGTCGAACGAATTGTCTGGCATGGCAAGGGAAAATAATAAACTGCTATGTAATCGAAGAGTGGTGGGAGAAAGAAAAAAAGATGCTTAGGTCGCTTTTGCTCCAGCTTGAGACTGGTCTTGGCTTTCCTCCAGCATTTTGTCAAGGTTCCCCAGCAGCTGGTCCAGCCGGGCTTCGAACGACCCCATTGCCTGCTCGGCCTGCATCATGTCCTTTAGTGCATCGGCAACCTTGTGCTGCTGGGTGCCACTGGGCTGGGCGTCCTCCTCGGCCTCGCGCTCGGCCTCCTCGACCTTGTCTGCCAAGTGTTTCAGTAGCAACTGCATCTGAGCGACCTCCTGGTCGAGCTTCTTGTCAAACTCGCTGGTGGTGGCAGTCCGCCGCTGGTGTGCTGGTTGGTTTCTCCTGGGAAGCTGACATTGCATACGCGGTGGAATTTGTGGACAACAGAAGGCAAAGAGAGGAAGAAAGAAGCAACGGGACTGGGTAGTATTGGAAGGTCGATAACCGGCGATCTTGCCACAGGCCACAGCTTTTTTTCCTTGTTCTTTTTGCGGGTTGAAGTTTTACTTGGGACTGCAAAAGAAACTGGAGGAAAAAGGATATTGCCTTGGTTTTAGACGATTCTGCCCACGCGCATGGTAGAGTTCATGAGGTTGCGGGCCGAGTAGTGGTGGTTGTAGACACCGCCGTTGAATGCCATGGGTCATGTCCTTGCCAATACCGCTCTTGATGAGCTTGGGGCCAGCCAGGGTGCATTTTGATGAACTCCTCGACATTGTAGATGAAGCCCTCGATGACGATCCACCTCTTGCCACGCTCCTTGACCTCAGGCCGACAAACTCAGACTCGGTGAACATGGGCAGCTCGTCGATGGGCTTGCCGTAGTCGATTTTCTTGGCGAACTTTTCAGCGTTCTTGAGCTTCATGGTGGCGCGGCCCTTCATGATCTCATTGCGCGGGAAGCGCTTCAGGTCCTTGGCGAGGCCGAGCTGCTCGCACACCCACAGGATCCACTTTGTCAGGTCGACATCGTACCAGCGCACGCCATTGCGGTAGTCGTTGGGGAACGCATGGTGGAAGTTGTGGTAGCCCTCGCCTAATGTGATAATGCCGGTGAGGAAGTTGTCGCGCGGGGTCTGCTCGTCGCTGTACGGCTGGGTACCGAAGGTGTGCGCAACCGAGTTGACAGCAGAAGGTGACCTGCTGGACGCCGACGAGGCGGGCGACAGGCGCCCCAGAAGAAAGCCGCCTACCCAGTCATTGAAGAAATACCCGCAGATGCACGTCGGCAGGACGAGCGAAGTCATGCCGCAGATGTAGAAATAGTAGTTGTACTGCCAGTTGACGATCTTGTTCGCATACAGATCGGACATTTCCGCATAGCCCAGCTCGGACTCCTTCCGGCGGAAAATAATCCAGCCATGGTGCGCGTACCAGAACCCGCGCTTGATATTGTACGGGTCGCGCTCCGTGTCCGTGTACCGGTGGTGCAGCCGGTGGTTCTGCACCCACCAGATAATCGAGCCCTGGATTGACGACGCGCCGAACACAGCCAGGAATAGCTCCAGCGGATACGACGCCTTGTAGGCGCGGTGCGCCCACAGCCTATGATAGCCAGCGGTAATGCACAGGCCCGAGAGAATCCCGTACAGGATCATGAACCAGGCGGTGTTGCGCTGCAGCTTCACGAAAAACACCGCGCATATTGCGACTGCCTCGGCGGTCATGATGCCGATGGCGAACGGCCAGTGCCATCTCTCGTGGTACGACTTCCGGACCTTAGGCACGGCCTTGGACTTGTAGGTGGGCTTTTTTAGGACCTGCTTCTCGTCGATGACCTCGCTCAGGAACGGGTCATCGCCGTTCGGCATCCATCTCGCTAGGGAAGACCTCCCTAAGGTACTCCTTCACGCCATTGATTGTGGGGATGTAGTTGCTCAGCACTGTTGGTATCATGGTTTGGGGAGAAAATAGGTGGAGATAATATTGTGTAAAGGATAGAGGGGGTATGTTCCACGGAAGAAAGAAAAAAAAAAAAGAAAAAAAGAAGGGAAAATTCCGGGGTATAAATAAAGTGGTTGCGTGGATATATGGCCCAGTGGGGAGGATATGTTTCCAAAAACTCTTTTTGCTATCAGCCAACCTTTATTGCCTTTGGATAAACTTTAACTGCCAAGACATGCAATTTTCCTCCCTTAGTAGGCCTGATGCTGAAGAATAAAAAGGACATTCATTATGATAGAAAAGTAGGGTAAAAGTGAGCATTACGTCCATACGTGGATATGCAGTAGATGAAATGTATGCGCAAGGGATATTTCGCCACCATATCATGCACAAAAGCGACAATCTGGAATTTTTCTTGTGTGCTTTTTTATGTCTCATAAACATAGCAGTTTTCCCGCCTAATGCAATATATAAATTGCGCTAGCCAGGGCTGTATCTGCCATTGGCCAAGCAAGGAAAGGCTAGGACTAGTAATATCAGCCACACTATACCAAAGCGCTGTATATTAAATGATACTGCGCACATCCAAAAGGAGTAATAAGCACAAAAGGTCTGTATTTAAAATTTCGGAATCGAAAAGAGGGAATAACAAAAAGAAAGAGAGAGAGAGACATGCATAGGATGGAAAGGGGGATTAGATTCCAGCAAAGACGTCGTACCAGCGGCGGCGGTCGGCGACAATACGCGGCTCCTGGTTCATGAATCGGATCTTCCTCAAGCGCATCAGCCTGAGCGCCTCTTCGGTATCCTTCAATGACCACGTATTCGGCTCATACGACTTCCATGCCGGCAAGCAGCTATCGGAGTGGTTATCAAAGTTATCGACACCCAGCGGGCACTGGCACTTGAGCCCCAGCTCCACGCTACTCGTGGTGTCCGGGCAATGCGTGATCTCCGCATGCCGATACGCGATATCATCAAAGAAATGCACCTGGTCGCGCCGCAGCAAAAGGCCGGCCGCCAGAGAATGCACCGGTGCGTCGCCCCACCGCTCCATGAAAAAGCCCTGCGCCTGGTCCAGGTACTCGAAATACGACTGGTACTCGGGCGTCCGCAGCCAGTTCAAAGACGCAATCTCAAAGTTGGACCAGAAATGGCACAGGTTGTAGTTGCCCGTCCGCCCCACGAAATACTGCAGCAGCTCCGACGTCACATTGCGCTCCTTCATGTACTTTAGCGTGTGCTCCCACAATGTCGGCACCGTCGCCTCCAGCTCCTTCAGCGCTATGACAAACGAATACAGCTTGCCGTTCTCGGCCATGTACTTGAACGGATCGTAGTCGATGTCGCAGTAGAAATCCACCCCGGGCTCTACGCGCCAGTACCAGTCCACATTGCGCAGCAGCGGGTGCTTGTAGAAAAACCCGCTGTTGAACCGGCACATGTGCCGGTAGCTCAAGCTGCCGCCGTAAATCACGTTATTCGCCGCCATCTGTTTGCGCGCGCGCTCCGCCCGCTGCTCGTCGATGAAGTCGGGCAGGCTCCAGTGGTCGCGCGGAATCAGCGCAAACGTCACATTGCTGGTCGTCGACGCCGCCACCATTTGCATGAACTCGTCCGAAAACGGCTCGTCGTTCAGGAACAGATACGGGTAGTGGTACTTGCGGTTGAACCGGTCCTCCAGCTGGCGCATTGACGTGCGGAACTCGTCCAGCTCCCGGTTCCGTATCAGCACCACAAAGCTCGCGTTCGCCCGCTCCCCGTAATACGGCACCACGCCCAGCCTCGCCATCTCCCGGTATGCCCACTCTGACTCCTCGCGGTCCGGCGACTGCGCCTTTTCCTGCAGCTCCTCGGCGATGCCCCGGTGGTGCCACACGAATGGCGCGATTTCCGCCACATGCTTGTCGTGCAGCGTCGGCCAGTGTCTCTGCAGGACCTGCTCCCGGTGCTCAGTCAGGTTTTCGGGGAACTCGGTCGGCCAGCCGGGGAGCCGCGTCAGCGGGAGCTTGGGCAGCGGCCGCTGGCGGTCCTTTTCGCTTGGATTCAGCCCGCCAGAAGCGGCCGTGGGCGCCGGCCGTTTCCACGCAAAGTCGTCGCTTTCCTGCGTAGGCTGCGGCATAGTGGTTTTGCTAGGAATGCGCTGCTGGATGGCGCTCTTGGATATCAGCACTATGCAGAACATGTAGAATAGCGCTATGGCCAGCATCACGGCCGATGGAACCGACAGTCTCCGGAACCCCTATGAACGAGAGAAAAAATTTTGAGTAACCAGTTGATTGGAGGGGGGCACGGGAGAGATTCTCGTCTCCTTACTGGGCTCGGACCGTTGTCCAAGCTATGTTTGATAAAGTACCTTGGTCTGCATGGTCTATCTTTTTTTTTTGTTTTTTCGAGATGAAAAATCCAAGAGGGTGGAAAGGGCGGCAGATGCTGCTGGCAAGCTAGAATATGCACAAAGGGGAATATAGAAACTGTACAAGAAAGGCCTATGAACGCGAAATAAAATATAAAAAGCTAAAGGGAGAAAGGAGAAAAGAAAAGCGAGGCGTGCCTTCAGGAAAGAAGAAACCCAGTCATCCGCGAAGAGCGATTTATTTTTGTTTTCCCTACTAAACCTCTCATCCCCCAAAAAGGGAAACCACGGGTGATTGGCAGCGTTGATTATACCCAACCTAATGTAAGCTGCGCAAGTGCCTGCCAAGACAGCCAGATCTATTTATACAGTGCCTAGAAACAGCCTTGTCAAAAGAGCTTTCTATGCACGCAGGAGTAGCGGATGAAGCGGCTAGAATATCTCTCTCTACTCGGGCTCGCAGAAGATGGTGGTTTGATCCAGTCGCAGGACCTCGCATGGATCGGCCACAGACACATCATCCTCGAAATCCGACTCATCCTCGGCATCAGCGTACGGCACGGCCACCTGGCACTGATCCAGAAGCCCCGGCGACACCCGGCCGCTCTCCACGCCCTTGGCCATTTCTAACAGCATGCGCCTCGCCACCTCACTATCCACATTATCCGTCGATGTGCGCACGGACGCTCCCAGCATCTTGACGTCCAGCCGCGGCAGCTGCATCCAGCCGCAGCCAACCCGCCCCATGTCCTCGGAAATGGCCGCCTGGCCTGGCGCCTGGCCCTGGCCCTGGCCCTGCATGATCGCAGAAATCGGCATCACGGTATAAGCAACCGCGGCAGTATCGCCCGGCATCACATTCAGGGTGGTGCGGCGCGGGCCGGCAAACACAAAGCCCTCGGAGGCATGCATGGACAGCTCCAGCATTGCCAGCGCACGGGTCATGTTCACCACTTGGTAAGTGATCTGCAGAGGCTGGCCGACCCGCGCCACCGAAGCACTGCACTGGGACTCGAGCTGCACCCGGCGCTGCACCAGCGCCAGGGGCCGCAGCCACAGGAGCGTCGTCTGCGGGGAAAGGCCCGCCGGCAAAGTCCGGCGCCACTCCACCTCCAGGATGCCGGGACAGATTAGCTCGGGCACACGCACCAGGTCTTTGGCAAATAGATCGAGGTGGACCAGGCATGTGATCTGTCCATTCCCTGGCACCTCCACATTGCTCACGCTGCTCGTGGCCGCCAGCGCAACCCGCACCGGCGAATCTATGCCCGGCGGCCGCACCGAGATGCGGTCGATCTGCACGGCCCAGGGCCCGGTGTTCTCCAGCGTCACATGGAGGGTGCGGTGGAAGCACCGCCCGCCGGGCTCCCCGACGCTGGCCGGCTGCATTGGCTGGGTCTCGACCAGAGCACGCAGTGGGCGCGTCACAGGCACCGTTGCCTGCGCTGACACCTGCAGGGGCTGGTCCGACTCCTGAAACAGACATTCTGCGCTGCACCGGACCAGCACGGCGGCAGCTGGTGACCCTTGCCAGGCACGCATCAGACTGGTGCGCAGCGAAGTCCACAAACACAGTCTCGACATGTTCCTGGGCGGGGGCAATACCGGCGACCTCAAACTCCAATTGCATACCTGCTTCTTGCGCATGTATGAGCTTTGCCTCGGCATTGCCTTCGGGCTGGTCGACCAGCATGACAGTTACTTGAGCATGCTGCAGCGACTGGGTTTTGTGCAGGTTACGGATGACGATGTCCACGGGAAACTTTCTCGCCCTGATACGCTGGCGCCAGCTGCGCCACCGATGGAATGGTCAGCGACACCGACGGTGGAGACTGGCGGCAGCTGCACCTGGCGGCACCGGCTATACAGAGTGCTAGTCGGGGACTCGGGCAATGCCAGCCAGCGCGCGGGGCTGCTTTGCACGTGCAGCCACCTGCGGTTTTTGGGCACGCCCAGCATGGCTTCGGCCGCTGAGCTCTCCAGCACCCGGCGCTCTACCTCTGTCAGTGCCTCGTCGGCTGCCACCAGCGACTGCTCGCAGGATGTCTGCCAAAACAGCCGCAGATTCTCGCCCACCATTGCGCTGACTGCCTTCCAAAACCAGGGAATCCCGCGTGTCGCTCTCGATCTCTACCTGTCCCTCTAATACCACAGTAGTGCCGGGCACAAGCAGCAGGTCGCAGTCGGCTGCGGTGCCCGCGAGCTCAGCAAACCTTACATTGGCTAGAACTGCTGCGGGCTTGTTCTCTGCAGCATGGCGCACATGCACGTGATGGGAGCTGAACTCGACGCGCAGCTCCGTCAGCTGCAAGTGGTTCGGTCAGCCCGTGGCAGTCCAAGACCACCTGGTATCTCAGGGGCAATGTGCGGGAATCGGTCTGGCAGGCGAGCAGATGGGCGTGGCAGGTGATGGGCGCGAACACCTGGCACATCCCCACACTCACCAGATGATCCAGCCGCCCGGCCGCCTCCACCAGCTGTCCGCCCGCACTGGGCCTTGTCCAAAACCATCAGCTCCAGCGCAGCCCGCGCGCACTGCTCGGCGTCATTGGTGGTTTCAGCGCACTTTGCAACCCACCGCAGGGCATGGCAAGTCAGCTCGGCCCAGCCCTGGCGGCGGAACTGCGCTGCCACTGCAACAAAAATACCCAGGGCGTCGGCTGGCCGGTCTAGCATCACAAGGGCCTGGCCGACCTCGCTCAGCAGCATCAGGAACAGATGGCTGCGCTTTGCCCCTGCTGCCACCACCAGCTGCTCGGCTGACAGATCGATTTTGCCGTCCAGACACAGCAGCGCCTGCTCCAGCAACTCCAGCGCCGCCTGCCCCTGCATGCGCTCCAGGCGGGCACGCGCGGCCAGCGAAAACAGCACGGCTGGTGACTCGGGCCACACATCCGGCGACGCAAACCGCACGCCATTCTTCTCGGCCACCTGGTGCAGAACCGCCTGGATCTCGTACTGCCGCCCAGCCCAGCCGTCTTGCAGGAGCCGCGAGTGCTCGCTTGCCTGCCGCGCAGCCTTTGCCAGGCACACCGAGCGGCTGGTGTCTGGCTGGGCGCCCAGCACTCCGCCCAGCGGCCACCACATGTGCGGGTCGCCTGGCAGGTCCGGTATGTCTGTGCCAGGCATGCGCACTGTGGCCGGCGGCGGGCCGTACAGCCAGTATCGCAGCAGCCGCGCATTCAGAGCCTCCAGCAGCGCCTTGGCGTTCTCCCACAGCTCGCCCTCAGCCGCCCGCCCGTCGCCTGCATATCTGCCCTGAACCAGCCCACAGGCAAACACCGCCAGATTCGTATATGCTACCCACAGGCATTTTATGGCGATAACGCGGTCGCCGAAACACTCGGCAAATAGCATCATTTTCGCATAATACCTGGCCGCCCACGCACGCACTGGCAGGAAACTGCCGGAACCGCTCCATAACCAGTCCCTCCCTGGGCTCCTCCTTAACCACGCCATCTATGGCCTCTGGCAATTCCATCATAACCATTGCGGCCTTGCGCTGCGCTCTGGCAAACAGCTCGCAGTAATGCTTGCCTGCCATGCCCTGCAATCTCCCTGCAAGCTCTGCCAGGAACTGCTGGAACTGCTGCGCGCTGCCCGGCCAGCACACCATTATTTGGACGCCCGACTTTTGCACAAGCCCCGAAACCCGCGCCTGCGCGTCGCCCTGCTCCTCCATCGCCCGGCTCACCACCACCACTGCCGTGTATGTCAGCTGCCGCGCTGCCAGGCATATGCGGTTGCGCGCCAGCTCTTCGCCCAGGAGCGTGTCATCCGAGAGCGTGTGCAGCGAGAGCACTGTTGCCGGGCACTGCTGCTGCCGCTTTGCTATCCAGGCTTCCGGGAGAATCTCTTGCGAGCCGTGCCGTGGCGACGGTATTTGCGGCCGCTGTGGAATTGCATCGACTGAGTCGAACCCAGACACCTGCCAGTGCCCGCCCGACGGGTCCCACCCCTGGGGCTGGTCCGGTCCGCTGAAATGTCGCAGAATCGACCGTCCCACCTGCCGCGCATAGGGCGTGGTCAGCCCAGTGCCCGACCCAGAGTCGTCATTCTGCACACTGCCGGGCTGATTCAGCACTCCCAGCACCGGATAATAATGCCGCACAAACGCCGACTGCAGAAACGTCTCGTCCATTTTGCAAGCTAGTAGTAAGAGATTGAATTAAAAGAAACAAGAAAAGCAAACTGTTCAAGAAAAGAAATCATGTCTTGTCGGCTGGCTCTTCAAGCACAGGATTCACAATACTGTTGATTCTCGGGTACCTCGCCTTGTCGTCGAGCTGCGCCTGGGTCCACGCCAGCAGCTGCAGCAGCGCCGGCAGCTTGGGCTCCCTGGGCTGGCTGTGGGCTGCCAGCAACGCCGCATTCAGTTCATTGGCCGTCCTTTGCCTCTGCCCAAACTCGAGCAGCTCGGCGACCGGCGAGTCCTGCCTGTCAAACGCCAGCAGCGCCATTGTGCGCTCCAGCTCCCGCAGCAGCTCCGGATGCTCCGCCCCGTGCGGCGCCAGCTCCTCCTGCGCAAACTCCAGTGCCTCAGTCGCCCGGCCCTGCCGAATCAGCTCGATTAAATGCTGCTGCTGCAGCCGGAAATACAGCCGCGCGTCGGTCTCCAGAAGGTCCGGGTTCAGGTCGTTGACCCGCTCTATGGCCAAGCGGATGTCGCCCGACTGCACCGCATACCGGATTTGCATCCGCTCCTCAATTGACCCCAGGTCTACTTGCGTTTGCAGCCCGCTTTCCTCGCTGAACTTTTCCGCTGCGTCCTTGTACCCCTCGATTATCAGGTAGTTCATTATTAGCTGGTTCAGGTCGCTACAAATACCAGTGCATTTAGCGCCCACACCCTTGGCCCTCTTCACCAACCTTGCTTGCCAATTCGACAACTTGCCTTTTTGCAATTGGAACCTCCGCCATTTTGCACTCCCACTCCTCCAGGCTAATTGTCTGTTTCGACGAAGACGACGCGGACGTCATTGTGAAAATAAATTTAAACTGCAAAAAAAGGAGGGAAAACGTTTTATGAAAGAAAGAAGAGTCGAGGGGAAGTTGCATTCTTGAGTTTTCAAGGAAGCGCAAAAAAATTCAAGCGTGGGTCATGCCCCTTTCGGCCATCAAGGAACAGCTTTTTATTTTTCTCGCTAGTGACGTAACATGCAAAGCACTGCAAGTAACGTTGCTCGATGAAATTCTAATTTAGACACTCTCAATCTTCTTGCGATGCAGATCGCGCAGCGCCTCTGGCACCTCGTCGTTGTGCGACGCCGGCAGAATGACATGCAGCGGGATGTTCTTGATGAACACACACAGGATACACGCGGCCGCTGCAAACGGCACATAGGCGACAAACACCAAATGCAGTGCGCGCATAATCCCGCTATAAATCGGATCCGTCATCACACTCGGGAGCTTGGCCAGCATCGGCGCCATCGCCTCCAGTCCGACCACATCCTGCCCGTCCAGCTGAACCCCATCATCCCCAGCATCCCCCCGAACGTCGCGCGCACTGTCGCAAACATCTTCTCTTTCAGAATCACCTCACCCATCACCAGCCCCACCATGCCGCCCAGTGTGCGCCCGTAGTCGATCAATGTCGTTACCGTGGATACCTCGTTCGCCGGGATCCCGGCCTGCCCCGCCAGCATGATCTGCTGCATGCACAGCCCCAGCCCCAGCCCCACCAGAACCTGGTACCCGGAATTCTTCGCCTTGTCCAGCTCCCGCGGCCAGGTGTACAGAAGCCCGTATCCAATCGCCATCAGCAATGTGCCTACAACCGACAGCTCCCGGTAATACACGCGGTGCCGCACGCTCACCAGGAACCCGCCCAGCAGCGATCCGATCACGCCCCCGAGCATGCACCACCAGATGTGCTTCGCCGATGCCAGCGGCCCCTCCGCCTGCAGCATCATATAGTACACCGGCACAAACATAATCATCCCGTAAATGCAGAAGCCCAGGAAAAACGACGACGTCAGTGTCAGTAGCGTGCGCTTCCGGAACAGAACCTTCAGCGGAATAATCGGCCACTTTGCGTAGAAAGCCTCCACGCACCCAAACAGCCCGACCACCACAAACCCGAACACAAACAGGCAGATGATCACCGCCGAATTCCACTTGTGCTCGTTGCCGCCCCACGACAGCGCCAGCAGAATCATCAATCCGCCGCCCACCCACAGCAAGGTGCCCAGAAAGTCAAACTCCCGCAGGCTCCGCAGCGACTTGCTCGGCGGTGTCGGCATATCATGCAGCGTGGCATACAGAACCACCATCGCCACTGCGCATATCGGCAAGTGCATGTACCCGACCCACCGCCAGTTGCTGTACTCGTACAGCGCTGCCCCCACCATGGGTCCTGACCACTTGCCCGCCACAATCACCGCGCCCAACCCGCCCATATACATGCCGCGCACGCCAGGTGTCAGCACATCCGTCAGCACCACCAGCGCCAGCGGCATCATGCCCGCCGCCCCGGCTCCCTGCAACGCCCGCCCCACACACAGCACCCCCATCGACGGCGCCGCGCCCACCATCACCGAAAACGCCATAAACACCAGAATCGACGCAAACAGCGGCCACGGCCGTCCAAACTTCTCCGCCATCTTCACCCACACCGGCTGCAGCAGCACGCACGTCAGCAGGTACGCTGCCTCCATCCACTGCGCAAATATACTCGACCCGTAGTGGTCCTTCAGCGGCGCCAGGATCTGGTTGAACTGTGCCTCTGCCGAACATGCCTCGTACATTACTAGGCACAGCCCGGAAAACGTCGCCAGCGTCTTGCCCAACCCCCACTTGGGCTGCCCCAGAAGGTTGTGCTCCTTGAATTGCTCGTACGCGCTGTACGAGGACGGCGCTTTCTCTGGCACTGCCACGGCCGCGCTCAAGTCCGTCGACGTCGATACGTCGCGAGAAGCTGTCATTAGATTATTAAAGTACTGTTAAAATAGGTTCGGTAAAGGTATAAAGGGAGGAGAAAAGTGATCTGCAACGCTAGCAGGCAAACAGCAGAACCTAGGTGACTCGTTGAAACAGGGAAAGTACTGGTTGGCGAGAGAGAGAGAGAAAAAAAATGAAGAAGGGAAAAGAAATAGCGCTAGTTGAGAGTTCGTTTCGAAAAGAACCTGCGATGCCTGCGCCATTTAAATGGTGTGGGAGGGGAACAGTAGAACAACAAACGCACAAGCTTCCCTTGTCGACTCTGCCCCTTGTCTCTTGCCCATTTCCACATGTGTGGCACAGTCCCCAGAGTCAAAAACACATCCCTGCCATTGTCTCCCACTCTTTGCTTCTCACTTGCCCTGCTAGATGCCTCAGGGGCTTGACGTATGCCCAGCATACACTGCATTTCCCTGCCAAGGTGCGGGAGGGATTTGGAGCTCAGACATTGACAAGCAATCGATGTTGGCCGAAATTAAGCTGAGGATTCCTTATCCAGACCCCGATGTACCTGGCTACGAAACGCCCTCCCCCAGCAGAATACCAGGAGATATCACCTTTTTTCCCTTCTGCTGCCTCAATGAGAACCTCGCGGCTGTCCGAGAGCTGTGCTCCGACAAATGAATGGGCATGTTTTTCTCTGTAATCTTGGCACTCCGCCACTCTGAACATGTCAGGAGCTCTCGGTCCTGCCCTCCTCTCACTTCCCCCAACTGTACAGAGCTGCAAAATGGAACCGAGTGCTCAACAGGCGTCGGTAGCACTAAATCAATCCGCCCGAGCAACGGCGAGATTTCTCTCTAGATGACCTTGGCGCGCTGAGCACTATTAGTAATCCGCAACAGTGAGTTATGTCAGCTCAGATTTTCCTTTACCATTGCCTGGCCGGCTGATATTGAAGAAGAAAAGCAATTCGCCGTGTGGGCTTATAAGCCGCCAAGAAATAGTCGCACAGTGAACTGCAACTTTTCAGATGCTCATCGCGAACCACGTTCCTGTGGTTTTGCTCAGGCCAAAAAAAACAAAAAAACAAAAGGAACATCAGGGGTTCGGTGATCTGCCTGAGTCGGCTCGGACCGAGAGCTGATTCTCCTGGACCGATGGCTCCCCCAAGATCTGCGCTATTGCAAATCGATCCGCGATTACCATTAATCACCTAGTCATAGTTGCGTATATGTACCATCATAGTGCCAGTTAGTGCCAGATATATGCATCTGGCCCAGCGTTTGCATCTGCATTCGCACAAGCGGTAATGGTCCAGACCTGCAGGTGATTTGTCATGCATGTCTCCCACGACCAGTATTTCTTGGTGCAAGGTGCTTGGGCCGGTTGCCAAATCCGCACCCTATGCCGCGAAGGCCACGCCCAGCATGTGAATGGTGAGTGGATTTACTGGCGCCACTCGATTTGGAACGCAAGGATCACCAAGCACACGGACTCACATGCCATTAGCGTCAGACACAAAAACATACCAGGCCTCTTCCCCGCGCAAAAAAAACAGAGCAGCATCTCCACCGTGATTTAGGGCCGGTCTAGAAAAAGATCCAGTAAATGAAGTGTAGTTACAAAAGTATATTATCGTAAAATGGGAAATTGGGGATTATCAAAGAAGCAAGCTGAAGAAGCTTAGTCTTCCTTCTTCTCCTTCTCCTCGTCGCCCTCGGGGATGATGAAGAACTGGTAGAAGGCAATGCCCAGGCACGCGCCAATAAAGGGCATGAATGTGGGAACCCAGAAGTAGTGGCCGCCGTAGGTGAAGGGCTCACTGCCGTACAGAATGGTCGAGAAGATGCGGGGACCCAGATCACGCGCCGGGTTGATTGCATAGCCAGTGACCCAGCCGGTACAGGTACCAATGGCAAACACCAGCAGACCAACGGCAATCGGCAGGTGGTTCTTGGCCGGCTGTCAGGCGGTCGTCAGCCAATCGAGTAGATGACAAACAGCAGCAGGCCAGTGTTGACAACCTCCGAGAACACCGAGAAGAACTTGCCGTTGCCGGGCTTCGCATACGTGCAGAAGATGCCGCCGGTTCCAGTCGGGCCCATCAGCTGGCGGTTGCCGCCATCAAACACATCGAACTGGTCATGGAAGATGCCATACAGCGTCGCAGCCGCCACGAACGCCCCGAAGATCTGCGCAAAGATGTATCCGGGGACCTTGCGCCACGGGAACTTGCCAAACACGGCGTTCGCGAACGACACCGCCGGGTTCAGGTGCCCGCCCGAAATCCCCATGCAGCAGTACAGCGCCATTGCCAGCCCGATCCCCCACCCAAACGTCACGTTGATGTAGGAGGATTGTGCGTTGCCCTTGTTGAATGTTACGGTCGCCACCACTCCGTCGCCAAACATGATCAGAATGAACGTTCCGAAGAACTCGGCCAGGTACTCGCGGTACGCCCGCCGCAGCTTCATCAGCGGCCAGTTCTCGGGATCATAGAAGGCATGCGGCGCCGCCGACGCCAGCTCGTAGTCGGCTACCGCCGTCAGCGGAATCTCGTGCTGGCTGTCGCGCTTGTGTAGGTGGTGCATCTGCGCCTCCAGCTGGGCCAGGTGAAGATGTTTCGGACATTAGAAGAGGCTACGAATTATTGACAGTATTGGCTTGGTTGGAATTGAAGAGGGGAGGAGAGAACGAGAGCCTCTAGGGAGACTTTAATAATCTGGATAATGGGCTTGGATGAAAGTAAGGAGAAGTAGAACAAAGGTCGGGGGATGGGGGACTATTTATAGTGAATGCTAGTGCTCGGGGGGTGGTCGCGCACCAGGTAGTGGAAGAAAAAAAGAGGAATGTGATGCTGTGGCCAGTGTGTGAATTGGCTCTCGTGGCAATCGCCCGGCTGCAGAGAACCTGCAAGCGGACAGGCGCACCGATAAGGAAAGAGCGATAAATACTGCCGATTTCGGACAGGCCTACAGCGCCCAGAAGGGGAGCAGCGGACCAGTCTGCTCTACCATTCTCAGTCGTCTGCAACACGGACCACGTAGAACAAGTGCCACTACTGCCCCACGCCACTGCTTGCAGCATGCGCAAGGCGCTCTGGCTGGCTCCTCCTGCCTTCTGAGCGGCCAGTAACCACTGGGCAGGCTTCTGGTCGGTACACAGCATTCCACGAGCCCAGTCCCTAATGCCTTGCTGTCCACGGCGCGTGCCACCTCTCCTGCCCTCCCCCCAATCTGTGCCACTGCCTTTTTTTCCAGCTGGCGACGCTGCAAGTCGCTTTAATTATGTTTGCCAGAAACATCACGCACATGGGAAGCCCGACCATATGAAGATCCAAAAATGAGAATGCACTGGGAAAGGGGGAGGTTGCCAGGCAGCATGCTGCCCACCCCCGCCTCGCTGATATCGGACGGGATGCCAGCAAATGCTGGTCGCTGAGCAGCAGGGCAAAGGCGCTAGAAAAATGGCAGCCTGTGCAACCACCATCTGCTTTGGGTAGTAGCTCCCCATCAAGCAAGAATGCAAGCATCTGTCCCAAGTCACGCATGTGACGGGAGGGGGAATCTGCATACACTCCCGCCATTTTTTACATTATCCTTCCCCTATGCCAACGTGTCCTGATTTCCCCTCCCTCCATCGCCCTTGGTTCTTTTGGACATGCGGCATAAGGTCAATCGCGCTGCGCGGTTTATTTTCTGTCGCCTTTGGGTTAATCGCCCACCCGTCCGAATGCACGAGACAGGATTGCGCCTGACTTCTTCGCGGCCATCCCCCGACAGTTTTTTTCGTGTGCCTCGGAGAAATGGAACACCCAATTGCACCGAAACCCCACTTGCTGCCTGAAAGGCATTAGCCCCCACGCCTGCTCTTTCCTATGGCTGGCTATAAAAGACTGGATTGGCTCCATTTCACGAGCCAAGCAGATTGTGCGCTGGGGAGAAGCACAGTGGGAGAAGCAGGACACGCGAAAAGGGAATTCCCAGGACCAACGGCAAGGTTCCTGTCGAACAGGCCAATTGGTTCTACGGATGTGTCTTCCAGGTAACTGTTTGCTCGTGCGTACATACCGACAATCCAGCCTTGGTAGTCAGGGCACTGGCGTTACCTTTTTTTTTTCGTTGACCAGAGATATCAAACCCCCACCGCTGCTTCTATGGTTACGGTCCTGCTGAATGGGCGTCTACCGAAGCATGGACTGATGCAGTGACTCGAGGGCAGTCCAGGCCGCTCTCTGTGGCCCCCCGCGGGAACCGGCCAGGTAGCACAGCCCATCTGCTGAGTGGTCAAAGCTTATGGACGCATTTAGCGGAAACAGTCTGCATCTGGCACACAACCAATGGACAGAAGGGGAATTTGTGGCCCACACACCCGAGTGCCAACAAAAGAACCGCAGCCTACAAATGACAAAAGGACATATGGATGGCGGAGCCAACCGTAGCCCAGGACTTGTTGACTTTTTTATCTAGAGCGATCTAGCCTCGGACTGGGAAGGTTCCACCATGGCCTGCAGCTCCACAGCACATGCTGCAGAGCGGGTGGCGGGGGGAAATGGTTTGCCCAAGGGGCAGACACTCGCCATTTTTTTCTTTCAGGACACGGCCCATTTCACCAAATTCGTCCCAAGTTGGGTCGCGAAAGGCAGGATGGTGTGAGGCGACGAACAGGACACATGAAGACGCAGATCCGCCACCTGTCGAGCACCCTTCGCTCCCCAAAAACGCGATGCTGCTCGGCAGCTGGACAGCAGCATTCCATCAACGCATCTGCTGCATCGTCAAGACCCGGGGGTCAAGGGTGCATTTGCTCAAGGACAAACAGGAGCCTTAACAATATGTAAGGAATTTAGTCTAGTACGACATAAGAGAATAAGATTCGGCTATTTCACACGCGTCCCGTCCCTCCTAGTTCTGCTTCTTCTTGACGGGCTCGTTGAGGATGAAAGAACTCGTAGAGCGCCAGGCCGCAGACGGCACCGACAAACGGCATGAACAGCGGGACCCAGAAGTAGTGGCCGCCGGCGGTGAACGGCGCCTTGCCGTACAGGATGGTCGAGAAGATGCGGGGTCCAAAGTCGCGAGCCGGGTTCAGGGCAAATCCAGTGACCCAGCCCGAGCAGCAGCTGATGGCAAAGATCACACCGCCAACGGCCATAGGCACGAAGCCCTTGGCCGGCGTTCCGCGCTCATCGCAGACGGCGTAGATACCGGCGATCAGAAGCCCAGTGTTGACCATCTCGGAGAACGCCGAGAAGAACTTGCCGTTGCCGGGCTGCGCGTACGTGGCAAAGATGCCGCCGGTTCCAGTCGGGCCCTGCAGCTGGCGGTTGCCGCCGTCGAACATGTCGAACTGGGACTTGAAGATGCCGTACAGAGTGGCAGCAGCCACGAACGCGCCCAGCAGCTGTGAGAACATGTATCCGGGCACCTTGCGCCAGGAGATCTTTCCGAACAAGGCGTTGGCCAGGGTAATAGCCGGGTTCAGGTGACCGCCGGAAATCGATGCCGAGAAGTACACGCCCAGGGCCAGGCCGATGCCGAAGCCGAACGAGATGATGAGCCAGCCAGAGGCAGCGTTGCTGATGTTCAGGGTGGCCGTGGCCACGGCGCTGTCGCCAAAGAACACAAGCATGAAGGTGCCCCAGAACTCGGCAATGTACTCGCGGTACGCCCAGCGGAGGCTGAAGAGAGGCATGCGCTCGCCCACCGTGGGCGGCTCTGCCGCGAACTCCTCCTGGTGCTGGTAGTGGACCGGCAGGACAGTCTCGTCATCGTGCTTGTGGGCACTCGCTTGCTCTGTCTGATGCGACATGGTGTAAATGGTTCTTGTATCAGGCAGATTGTGGTATCAAGATTAGTCTCTGCGAGATGTATTAGGTTAGAAAAATATAGGGATAAGTATGCGGTTTTCCAACGAGGGAGCAATATTAAATGTCAAGGGATGTTGGAATCTCTGGGCTGGGTCGACGACACCTCCAACTTTTTATACCAGGAGCCGGCGACAGGCTCCCTTCCTCGTAGCACCCGAGCATACCCTGCAATTGCAAAGTGGAAATTGCATCTTTGTGTTTTTCGGTGTCGTGGGTGCTCGGTTGAGGGAGTACATTCTGCTATTTTTGTGCATCTCCGTTGAACAGAGGTGACCACAAAGCACCCAGGATAATAGGGCCGCAGGTGTATCCCAGCACAAGCAATGCCTGCCTGCCCGCCTCACAGTGACTACGGGTATCGATAATCCCAGGCCCTGCGATTTGGCCCGGCGTCATGTTTCCAGTTGCAAGGAGCAAAACTACCCCCGCCTCCAGTGCTCAAGGAGTGTACCACCAAGCAAAGCAAGTTGGGTGCTCCAAAATATCTTTTATCCGATTATGTGCATGAATATTATTCATAGAGTAGTGGTCCTGCGTTACAGTAACCAAAACAAAATAATGTGGAGCACCAATTCCGGTCAACGAGGTCGCCGCCAAGAGAGATAGTTGGGAGAGCCGGTCCCCCCATTCTATTTCCTGTGGTCGTTGAGCCCTCGGAGCTGCAGAGAAGTCAATGAAATAATTTCCACTGCAGCATTGTTGAGTACCTAGGTAGCACACAACGATTCATGATCTTTCCTCTCCAGCCAGTCAAGCAGGCGCACAAGATTCTCGTTTACACAGAGCTCGGCTGATGGTTCAACTTTGTACTCGGGTACAAAGTTTGAACTATCCCATGTTGCCTGTGACAATTCACAGGCTCGTCTCAGCCTAGATGCCACGCCTGTGATTGTTGGCAGGCACCACTGCAATGCAGGATGCGTGGGGTATATACAGCAGCTGTGGTGGCTGCATGCGACATGCATACCCTATATCTTTCTCTCCACCGGTTTCTCCTAGATCTGGACGGACCAATCAGCAGATGGCTTCGGCATGATATGCTCTGGTGCTCACGTAGCGCCTGCGGACGGCGCACCTGGCTGGCGCCCTTGGCATCTACGAAATACATCTGCCAGGACAGAAGAGGTTTTGTTTACACGGGACCAGGACCACCGCCAGCTGCCGTCCTGTCAATCAGCTGATGGCGATGCTCTGGAGGCCCGCAAGGCGATCGGCCATGAGGTGCACGGCGCACTCCTACTAGTTTGTCCATTGGCTACAGCCTAAGGGAATGTTTGTAAGCATGCGTGGATCCTGGCCGAGATTTCTCTTGCAACAAGCGCGTGACAGGAGGCAGATGTGTTGGCAGCCAGGCAGATCCGCACCCGACATACCCCACAGAGCATGCACGTCTCTGCATCCGGTTTGGAGCAAGTGCATATATGAGACATGCACGATCTGGTGATCAGTTGATCTTCGGAAACCCAATGCCGGATCACTGCTGCTGCCAGCTCTAGGAGGGTTCGCAGATATTCTTCTCCACGACAGTTGGGGAAAGCATGTTGGGGACAAGGCAGATCATATTGTATCCAAAACGGTGCTCGTGTTTCGTGGTTCTTGCCAAGAGTAGACGGCACGTTATGACTGGTGACGTCGGCCGCAAGGCAGGTGCGGGACTTTTAGATCCAGTAGGGTGGTTCAGGCTCCTAGAGCATCCGAAACCCAGCGCAGTTCCTCATTTGCGGTTCTCGATTTCAGAGACACATCCGCGTGATGCCACGTTTAGCAAATAAGAAAGCCGCCAATTTGATGCCATGCGGGCAGAAGGTAGGCAATTCTTCCTCTATAGTCTGTATTAGTCACTTTCGTTCTTGCGTCATTTTTTCTCTTAGACTCGATTTTTGACTCTTCACTTGCCCTGCTAGCAATTTGCCCAATTTAACAACCACCCCTTGTTTACCACCGTCTTTTCTACCAACAATGGCTTCTATACGTGTCGCTACCGCTTCGTTCAACACCTTTGCTGCTCAGGATGCTGCTTCTGTTACCGCGCCACCAACCGTGGCTATCGCGATTCCTAGCCCCACCAAGGGCAAAAACGCCGGCATGGCCCGCCGAGTGTCGTTCAACCTGAACAACACCAGCGTGCTGCAGCTGCCAAGCAACACGGCGATTGGCAAGATCGCGGCGGCGCGAAACCGCCGCTCGAGCATGGAGAACATGTCCATGGCGGAGATGCGCCAGGCGCAGGCACTGCTGCCGCACGGGGCTTCGCCTGATCTGCTGGATCCAGGATTCACAATGACCTCGCTGTACGTCAAGCGCGGGCACATCCACGCGCTCGAGCACCTGTCGCTTGGCGACAGCGACGACGGCTCTGACCGACCGCCAGTCAGAGGCGTGCTGAAGCCGTTCCAGCCGTCGCCGGTCGACACCCAGCTGCTGATGACTGGGCTGCCGAGTCTGATGCCCGACGATGGCACCGACGATGACGACCGGTCGAGCTCGGATGACAATGGCGGGCAGATTGAGCCAGCGCAGCCAGCTGTGGCTGGAGCCGGAGCCAAGGGCCAGCGCAAGCAAAAGAAGCGTGGCAAGAAGGGCGCCAAGAGCGCGCAAAAACAAAAACCCAAGGCGGCGGCAGGAGCAGTAGCGCCAGCAAGCCCGACGGCCCCGCCGCGGGAAGGCAAAAACAATGTAATGTAATTCTATCTCTTTGTACTTTTTCTCTCTTATACTGGCTTCTGTGAGGTGACGGGTCTTCCCAGATATCGGCTTCGCCTCGCTTGGCCCGCGTCTGGCTATCTGTCCGAACCCTCGCACAATAAACAGCTTTTCGCTCTTTCTGCATTGATAGCAAATGGTAACCAACCAGCAAGCCAGCCCGCTGCAGTGAATGGACAAGGCGTACGTGTTGCGAACGATGTCCTATTGTTGGCTGGGGAAACATCCGGGAATGGCGAGGAGGGATACAGAATGAGGCGGTCACGTTCTCAGAACTGACAATGGCAGGGCTGTGGAGCTCACCAAAGATAGATGCCTACAGTGACCGCAACAGCTGCGCCTCTGCGAATCGCAGACTTATGCTTGTATCGCTCTCCATGCTTGCTGGAATGTGCCGGTGATATTCGATGTTCAATTGGAGTATCTACGGATCCGTCAATTTAGTCTTTCGCCAACAGTGCACACAACAGTGAGTACCATACTCTGCAGCCCAGGATGGGTGTCGCAATAATTGCGAGATCTCCGGTGCATTGGATGGAATAGCAGCGGAGACGGATCGTGCAGCAGCAGCAGCAGCAGCAGCAACAGCAGCAAAAAAAATTGAGGCTTGGAATCATCCTCACTCCACCCTTGCAAGCGTATAAACCCCTCGACACTTGTGTTTATACTTGACTGGACATCCTTTTGTTAGAAACGACTCAACAACCGTCGAATGGCTTGCGCATGCACTTGGAAATATTGTGGTGCCTTGTTGTTGATCATAAAGCGCGCTGAGCAGCTTTAAATCTCTTTGCACGGTTAACGAAGCCAGACAGTATTGCGCCTCAGTTTGCCGCAAGCGATAATATCTGTTTCGACAAGGGCTAGCTCTACACCAACCCGTCCCATTCAAATAGCATGGGAGGCGAAGGAAGGGTGAGCTCGCCTCTTGCTCTTTAAAAAAAAGACTGCGTCCTTTCTCCTATTTCTTTCTCCTATTCCTTGCTTGTTTGTTGTCGCTTACTGTTCATCTAGCAACATTTTTCTTGATATCCTTGGACACCTATTCATCCAACACATCTATTTTCGATTTTGTATATTTTCCTTTTTGCCTCACTTTGTGTGCACATACATCGCCATTCATGTCTGAGCCAGCAGTATTCGACATTTGCTTCCCATCGCACATCACCCGCATCCCAATCTGCCGTCCAGGGACCACGATTGCTGGCGCGGTGGTGCTCAAACTGACCAGCCCGCTGGTGGCATCCCACCTGATGCTGCAGTTCTACGGCGTCGAACGGGTGCGCAGGACCCCGGTTGCCGTGCAGGCAATATCCACTGATAAGCGCCAGGTGACCATGATGTCGCAGCAGATGGTCATGGACAAGGAGTTCTTCCGGACGCGAGCTGCTCCTGTGGGGCGAGCCGACGGTGGAGGGCACGAAGATCATCCCGTGCGACTCTGTCCATCGCTTCCATTTCTCCTTCACCATGCCGTACGTGAACATGCCCACGCCGCGCCAGACACCCGATGTGGAGATTTCGTACTCGCTCGAGGCCTAGTCTCTTTACCGAGGTATTTGACCAGCAGCGTGAGGAAAAGGCGCTGAAGGACGTGTACAAGACACCCATCAAGAGCTTCATGTTCGAGCCTGTCATCCAGGAGATAGTCGCCCACGGCCAGTCGGACGCCCCACAGGAGACCATCGTCCCTATGCGCGATGTCGAGTCCTAAGAACTCTCAGAAAACCCACCTGGCGCTTCACGTCTTTCACCCGACACCATCGTTCCTTCCCGGCGAGACCGTTGACCTGCTGATCCTGGCGCCAGCAGGCAAAAAGATCAACAGCGCCACCTACCAGCTCAAAGAGAATGTCCGATGCCGGAAATCATCAGCGCCGATCATTGACGAGTCCGATGTGCCTGTTCTGTGGAAGTACTCATTTGAGATCTCTCCCCTGCGCGAAATGCCGTTCATCAAGCTCTCAAAGACTAACATCACCCAGGAGATCGGCATGCTTGGCCACTTCATGTTCACCAGCCAAACCACTGCCGACCAGTCTGGTCTGCTGGGACCAACCAAGACAGGCGAAAGCCTCCAGGGCCGCAGCCGGAAGCGCGGCGAGTTCGGCTACTCGGCCGACGACCAGCGCTCCCAGCAGACTTCGCAGGCGTCCCAGACCACGCCCCTGTCGCCGCTCACCGAAACCCAGGAGCTCCTCGGCACTGAGAACATGGAGTCTGCATCGCCGGTGACGCTTCCGCCGCCGCCCCGCGCCCGCACTGCGTCACTGAGCGGCCAACCGCCTCTAAACGGCCCTAACAATGCGACTGCGTCTGTCTACCACAACGGGTCCTTTGCGTCGTCGCCGCAGCCGCCAACCTACCAGCAGGTAGTTGCTGAAAGCCGGATGTCAAAGTCCATCTCTGGCGACATGGACGATACAATGAGCGACCGAAGCTCCATTTCCGATGCCATGTCTATCCGGTACGCCTCTGGCAAGGCACTGACAGCTGGCCTGCAGTCGCTGACCCGCGGTGTATCAGCATACGGCAGCCTGTCCAAGGGCGACCATCAGATCACGCCGGTGCCGCTTGGCTCGCTGCTGTCGCAGGGCTCGTACCGGTTCGCCAAGATCAAGCTCACACTACCTCAACTCAAAGACATATCGCCTGTGTCTTCGGTGTTCCTCGATTTCGAGTACACCATTGACATTGCGATGACTCTTGGCGGCAGCTTTGGCACCTCCCGTCGGGTCTCGGGAAAACTGCCGCTGAAGATCGTCACTGTCAGGTCGGCAGCCAAAATGGGTGGCAGCGGTGCCAACAGCTCTTCCGAGTGGGTCATAGACAGATCCAGCCATGATAGACAGTCGTGCATGAATCTGTCAATAGCCCATTCGGAAGAGCAAAATACTGGCAGCAACGGGTCGCCAGCCACAACACTGACCGAGTTCCCATTCGATTCAAGTGGCGGCGGTCCCGACTCCAAACTCGTCGGCGATTGCTACCCATGCCTGCAGACATTCCTGCAGGATGGGCTCAAGATCCCGATGCCCGATCTCGAGGTCATAAACATTGGCAACAGCTCGATTTAGAGGCGTTATTTTTCCAATTTGTCTGACGGACTGTATTCCCCAAAGCACCTTTAATGCAGCGTATTAATAAACATGCCTTATTTCTTCTCCAGTCCCCTCGCGACCGAGAGCACCAGGTCAATGCACTCGTCGTCAATCTGGTTGTGGGTGACAATGCGGATACTGCCTTTGTAAACAGTGTCCAGGGTCACCCCTTGCTTAGCCAACTCCCTGCTCAGCTCGTCCGAATCCACCCGGGCATCGCTGGGGTCAAGGAGAATCATGTTCGTCTCGACTGGGAGGAGCGGTTTGAACCCCAGCTCAAAAAGACCGTCAGCCAGTCGCCTTGGTCTGCCCATGGGTTTTGGCCATAGTCGGCCAGATGTTGTCAATGGCATACAGTCCAGCTGCAGCAAGAATTCCCGCCTGACGCCAGCCGCCACCAAATAGCTTACGGAAGTGACGAGCCTTCCGGATGAACTCCTCGGACCCTGCCAGTATGGCACCAACAGGGCAACCCATGCCCTTCGACAGGCACAGGTTGACAGAGTCGACCTCCTTGGCATACTCTGCCAGCGATATCCCGCTAGCAATGGATGCATTCCACAGGCGGGAGCCGTCCATATGGACAGGAACACTGTTCTCGTTGGCAAACCGGCGAATCGCCCGTATATCATCTATCGGCATGACGGTGCCAGTGAATGTGTTTTCGAGCAAAATAAGCCTTGTCGGTGCACAGTGGAAATCGCCATCATCTTCAATAAAGCCACGCTCTACATCATCCACAGTCAGATTGATAGCACCATTGGCCGGTGTAACCGGGACCACCATAGCCTGAGAGTGAAAAGAGGCACCGCCAGCCTCATACTTGTAGATATGTGCGTGCGAGTGGCACAGGACCGTCTCAGGCGGGTTGCGCAGGTGCGTGCGAATAGCCAGCTGATTCGACATGGTGCTTGAGACGACGAAGACAGCAGCAGGCTTCCCTAAAAGCTCCGCGACGCGCCTCTCCAGCTCGTTGACCGTGGGATCCTCGCCAAAAACGTCGTTTCCTACTTCGGCCTGCGCCATATACTGGAACATCTCAGGTGACGGCTTGGTGGCGGTGTCTGAGCGCAAGTCCCAGTTCCGAGCAGAGTTGGTCGTTGCCATTGTTAAAAGCAGAAGAGGTTTCTACAGGAGATAAGGGTGGAGAAAGCTAAAAGAGCTGTGCGTTGCATTTGGGCTGAAAACCTCCTTTTGGCATACTTTTAAAAGCAAATCCGTCGATGTCCAGTGCGATCCTCGCCAATGGCTCCCCAATGGGCTTGAGCCGGACAACGTGGGAACGAGAGGTTTAGAGCTCATCGGCACATGGGACCGTGCTGCGGCCATGCGTGGAGCAGCAGCTTATTAGTCACCATTACTAGGAAGAGTAGCATGTATGTTGGGAGTAATCTGCGCTGCTGCTAGCTTGTTGGCAACAGAAAGGACCTCATCCACACAGCCATTGTCAATCTGGTGATGGGTCACAATGCGGAAACTGCCATCGTACACGGTGCGAATGATGATTCCGCGCTCGCCAAGTGCCTTGGCAAGCTCATCCATGTCCACCTTGGCTTCGGACGCGTCAAGGATTATCATGTTTGTTTCAACCGGCAGCTCCGGCTTGAATCCGAGTTCAACAAGACCATCCAGCAGCCGCCTTGTCAGCTTGTGCGTTGCGGCCATGGTCGGCCAGATATTGTCGATGGCGTAGAGAGCAGCAGCAGCAAGAACACCCGCCTGGCGCCAAGCTCCACCAAACAGCTTGCGATAGTAGCGTGCCTTTCGAATAAACTCCTCAGACCCAACCAAAACAGCACCCACAGGACACCCCAGTCCCTTCGATAGGCACATATTAATCGAATCGGCCTCCTTGGCATACTCCGCCAGAGAAATCCCACTTGCGACAGATGCATTCCACAGGCGAGCACCGTCTAAATGGACTAGAACGCCCTTCTCGTTGGCGAATCTGCGGATCTCGCGGATATCCTCGATAGGCATGACTACACCGTTGTAGGTGTTCTCCAGAGTGATAAGCTTTGTCGCTGCTTTGTGGATGTTGCCATCGTCCTCGAGGAAGGAGCCCTTCACATCCTGGACCTTCATGTTGATGGAGTCCTTCGGTGCAACCGGGATCAGCTGTGCCTGCGAGTGGTACGCGACGCCAGAGGACTCCCACTGGAATATATGCGAATTCCGGTGGCAGAGGACCGATGCAGGAGGGGCCTGCAGATGAGTACGGATTGCAATCTGGTTTGACATGGTGCTGGAGGTAACAAATAGAGCCGCTGGCATACCCGTCAGTTCAGCAATCCGGGTTTCCAGTGCATTTACAGTTGGGTCCTCGCTAAACACGTCGTCTCCAAGCTGAGCGCTCACCATTGCCTGGTACATTTCAGGGGATGGCACGGTAGCCGTGTCGCTGCGGAGGTCTCTGAAGGGGAAGTTCGTAGTGCTGCCATTGCTGCAGAGTCAAAAGATTGTTAATAAAACAGTGGACAAGATACACAGAAAAAGAGAGGAGTTTGACCAGGTGGCCTGCTCGTTATGTTTTATAATGCAAGGCATTGGTATTTCCAGGCTCTGCTGCTGTATCATGGCTAGGTTTGCGCACAACACCGGAATGCAATAGAAAAATCATCCTTGCTGCGGTTGCATTTTTATTATTGTCATGCATGGTTGTCAAGAGCGTGCTTTACCTGGAAAAAGGGTGGACTAGGGGGCAGCTGACACTTTATGATTAGCAGTTAATGCGAGTAGGTGCGGGATTGCTGTGTATAGCGCCGAAACGAGAATGTAGATGTAGAGTGCGCACAGTACTATCTGTTGACATTCGGAGTCCAGAGTCCCCTGCGCCACCATATGCAAGGCCGAAACGCATATATAACGGCCTAGGCAGATTGTTATCTTTTTCCCTCAGTTATCTTCGAAGGTTATTTTCCATATACATACCGATAGTCACTCATTCCCTAGGTTAACAATACCCTTCCACTCCATCAGCGTATTTTCATACTGATGGCATTCCAGGAAATACCCAGTTATTTTCGTGTAGTGTATATCAAGGAGGGGTTTCTCATAATGCCCGCTTGTCAATAAAATCTGTCATCAGCCTTGGCTATGTCAATACATATGCAGCCGCTGCGGTTAGCCATTTAAATAATCGCTGGATAACCCCCTTATAATGTAGCTCTCTGTAGTCCACCAGTATGGTTCTCATTGTCTCCTGGTTCTGACAGTACCGAAATAACATTCATTGATATGTCCAAATCGTCCTGTTCAAGGGCGCAGCAATCTCAGCTAGCTCAATAAATCGAGTGTATATTGTAGAGGCTGTACTAATACATTATGTACTATGTTGAAGGAGGTAAGTGATGAGCATACATTAGCCATTATATATATTTTAATGGACAAAATCTCCTTGCCTGCGATTTTCCAATTCCTTTTGATATTCTTTTTAAAACTGCTCCATATCATATCAATCCTATTCAACTAGGTAGCATTTGACTATGAATGGCCATAGGTGATTGCCTTCATAGATTCATAAATAGCAGATCAAAACAGAATCAGCATTGACGACATGTTAGCCATATAGTATTTGATAAAATGATAAATATTGTGTACCCTTTTGTTATCTATTGTATATCCATTGTCATCAGTAGTATGGTAGAGATACAATAGTGGCTACATAACCAAATATGCTACATTTTTAACAGCTGCTTCTTGTATGTGTACGATAATATCTGTACATATCAGAGAACTGCATACTCAACCACCTATACAGTGGTGTCTACTGTAGCCAGCTTGTTGTCCTGGTACGACGTTTATATTTCATTGATTTTCCACCAGTTGATAGCAAGCACCAAGCCAGTAGTGAATAGCAAATATATATTGTCAAAAGGAGAGGTTAATAACCTGGTCGCTTAATGCAGTTGGCAGATACAGATTATTCATTTTTGCACGCAGCACAGCACCTCAGTGAACAATGGGGCTTTGCCTGCCATAAATTATGTTTTCAATATCGACAGATATAGTAATTACAAAGCATGAAATTACATACCATACCATAAACTTAAATTGCTCTCAAGCTAGATGCTTCTTGTTTATGGAGGGCCTCTGAGCTGCATTTCTGGAAACAGATTAAAAGTGTCGAAATGGATAGTTTCTGGCTAGTAACCCTACAAGATGGGCAAAAAAATTCAGACAAGCTATGAGGCAGATTGCGTCGAAATGAGGGAGGGGAGGGATGGCTTGTTTGGTACAATGTGCCTATTGTCTGCACACTGGTTGGGTGAATCCACATATTTTAACCAAACATTCTTCTTCGATGAACCGCAAAAAGCAGAAATGCGCGACAATATGTGCCACACGAGCAGCCAGTGGCTGGGACTGCAGCCACCTGAAGAATGAGGGCAAGAACGGTTATATCATGCTCATTGACGTGAACCTCTAGTCTAACCGCTCAAGAATATGTTTACCTTTTGCCATGGCAGCTTCAGTCGGGACTGCCTTGCCTTTTTGCAGACTGTCTCCCTCCATTATCAAGTCATTTATAGTTTATTATGCACTGCGCCATGGATGACACTGTGTTTGAGATTCGGTTCCCAACCTTTACTTCCGGCGGGCTTCCAAAATGTGGACCGAAATCCACACTACCTGGTGTTGTTTATATGCAGCTGACACAGCCGTATCCCGCCGCAGCAATAACGATCACATTCACAGGAACTGAGCGCATTACACTAGCACCGACATCCCTGACAGTGAACATCAACCCGGCATATCCCCACATGACGAGGCAGCAGTCAGTGAAGAAGGTGTATTTCAATCAAACAGCAGTGCTCTGGGGCGATCCAAAGTTCCGCCAGACAAGTACCCTGCAACCTGGCATATATGCGTTTCACTTTTCGTGCGAATTTGGACGGGTGAATTACCCCATGAGCAAAGTTGCTGACGAGTACGAGATCAAATACACACTTTCAGCTAGGATCATTGGCAGTCGTGGCGTTCGAGACCCGCTGCAGACAACCACCCACAATGTCATATTTGTTCCTGAAACCATTTCCCCATTTGACACGGTCGATCCAAACGCGCGCTACAGGTTTTGCGACAACGCGCTTGATCACAGTGGCTCATGGGTGTACCATTTGCAGGCAATGGGAATACAGCAGGCATTTGCTCCTGGTGACAGCGTCGATTTCCAGCTCCGGCTGACTGGGAACCGCACGCTTCGCAAGGCGCAGTATGTATTGGTTGAGCAGACAGACTGCTTCTATCCGCAACTCCCGAGTGACCCAAGCGAGGAGCTGATGGACTTGGGCAGACGACTCTGGTCAACCGAGCGACTGCTATCGACAGCCTCCGACATGTACTTTGGACGCGACAGTGTTGTTGTCCCAGACCTTTGCGCTGAGCATATGAACAGCCGACGGGCACGGGGTGGATCAACGTACTATGGCCATTTGCACACGATGCTGCCGACAAATGTGTCAGTCATGCACGAGACCGGCTATCTGCGCATTACATACTATGTTTTGCTGACTCTGCATTCAAGCTCGAACTGGGGGCAGACAAAGCGGGCACAAGTGCGCATTCCAATTCCTGTTGCGTCCCGGGTGCTCCCAGACAATGCCAGCCCCGAGTCTCGCTTCACAATTGCCTCACCGCCAATATACAGCAAACGCTCCAGCATCTACTCATTTGCGCGTCGCGAGCCATCGACCAGCTCTAGGACAGATGCTGACACGATCCTCGAACCTGCATGGGGTGCCGAGGATCCAAGTCTTCGCCGAGGACGGAGTATTGTTGATTTGGGCAACAAGCTAAACCAGTTTATTCCACGCAGGACAGTTTCTGGAATGGGGCATCTCACCACGCTGTCGACGCCGCGTATCATGTCTGTGGCTCGTCTTGAGCCCTCATGGAGCGTTGCTGATCTGCTCTCAGGTCTGCCGGCGTCGACTGGACAGCCTCGGCTTGGTTCACCGCTAACCAGAGCAGCCTCACTAAGTTTCGGCGACTCGCCATCTCCACGCACTTCCGCAGCTGCCTGCACCGCCGCCCCATGGCTGCTATTACTCGAAAACCTTCCTGTCCCGTTTGCGCGAATTCTATCACATCGATGCTGACCGTGCAGGGCTGCGCTGCCTTATCAGCGGCATCGAGCCGGATCCGAATGACGTGATACCAAATGGTGTACCCAGGTCAACTCCGCAGCAAGGGAGCGGCCAGCGCGCATCCTGCCATCGAGTGTCGGTGCTGTCCATGTCAGCTGGCTCTGACCGTATCCGACCCAAGCTGGAGGCAGTTATGACGTCTTTCAAAAATACAGATGGCCATGTGTCGACCTGGTCGGCGCTTCCGCGCAGAGCGTCTACCATTGGCAAGCGCTCAACGATGATGTCGGGGATCTCACTCGAGTCAAACGACACGGCATATATACCAAACGCAGCGACGCTAAAGGGAACGTCGCCGTCACTGCCTGCCACTCCGTTGCACCCACTTTTAATGATCGACATGATCATGGAGTAACGATATCCAATACTTCATTTTTGCGTAGTCTAAAATATTTCTAATGACAAACTCAGGGCCGAGCTTCAATCTACTGGGGGTCTGCAGACAGGCCTACAAGCAAGCGGACTAGACAAAGCCAAGGGCCTTGATGCTTCCATAGAATGTTGCACCAAACAGCGTGATGATCGAGGGACATATCAGGGCATCGCCAAGCTTCTTGCCGTCTGGACCAGACTTTATGTACCCAATACTGTAGAGCAGTCGGCCGACGATGTATCCGAGGCTGGCGTACGCAGATACCTTGGGGAAGAATAGCCCACCGAGGAGCACTGAGCTCTGGACAATGGGCAGATACTCCAGGTACGAGTCCTTGACAGTTTGGAAGCGTGTAAACTCCTCGTTGTCCTCATCCGAGAGCTTCTCGGTTTCGCGGCTTCCAACGCTGGCGTGGTGGGGCAGATCAAGCCTCTTTTTCTGCTTGATCGCGCACCAGACAAACGAGGCAGCCTGCAGATTCAGAACAGAGGCAGCAACAATGTTCCAGACGTAGTTGGTTCCGATAACGATACTCATGGTGAGATGATGAAAGCGACAGGATTCAGTAAAACGAGATAACTAGAGAGGCAAGGGTTGGCCAGATGCAGGATGGCATTGGTTCTTGAGTCCGCTCTCTTGCGTCTCGAACTTTGTCCTCTCTCTCTCCCCCGCAATCTGCGCAAAGGGTTCCACTGAAACAGCATACATTCTGGAGCCAGACCCAGTCCATTCCATGCGGGGGAAATAGTTTTAATATAAAATGCAGTCTTTAGAACTTAGGCGAGCAGGGTGGTGGTCACCGAGTTGTAGCCAGCAGTCAGGACCAGGCCAAGGAAAGACATGGTCATAAGCAGGGCGCCAGCCATGCGGCCCTTGGGACCCTTGCTGCGATAGCCCATCGAGTACAGGAAGCGGCCGACAACATAGGAGGCGCCGAATGAGGCAGCGAGCTTGGGCTGGTACAGACCGGCGAGAATCAGCACCGACAGAACCATGCCGATCTGCTCCGAGTAGTTATCGCTGACGCGCTTGACGTTGTTGAAGGCTACCCAGTCCTCGTCCTTGAGCTTGTCAGAATACCGGCCGCCGCCGTTGTCCGGATACTGGACATTGTACTTCTTGCGGGCGGCAACGACCCGAGTGCCCTCGAAGAAGCACTGCACGCACATGGCGGCCGCGGCCATGACGCAGTATCCGAAGTTGGTTCCGATAACAATAGCCATTTTTTTTTGGTATAGAGAAGTGTGAGAAAAAGGGGGAGGTCTAAGGTCCCCCTGACTTGCAGCAGGAACGTGCCAACTTTTTATACCAAGAATGCCAAGCATCGCGAAAATGCTAAATTGTCCGTCCGGACACGGCGTCTCCGCAGAGGCTCCCAGCATCAGAAACGTAAGCAGGGGGCTGACAAATTCACTCCAAGAGACGGGGGGATCAAGAGCTCCATAAAATACTGGTTGGCAAGATTAGCAGGCAGTATCGCGAATGGGGCCACGGAGCTGGCACGAGCAGCTTCGGCCAATTTATATTTCATTCTCTCAAGAAAGTTAGTGAAAAGTAGCCGGCTTTTTTTTTTTGTTTGAACAAGGCATAGTTATGGACGGACTGCTGTCAGTAAGCGCTCAGGTGTCAGAAATCCTCAGCTCACCCAAAGTCAGCGCGCTCTACATCCGGCAATTTATCGAGCAGGCGCAGGCCTGCACGGACCGATGACAAACAGCCCGAGACCGTTCGGGCAGTTGTGCAGGCATTGCATGACCTCAAGATCTCAGACAAGGCACGCATATTCCACGTCCCATCGACGTTCTACTCGTGGGCATTGCCGACCCGGGCACTGATCGATGGCGGCGCCGAGCCCCCAGCACCTGTGCAAGTCGGTGGTGTTCGAGAACAAGCGGTTCAAGGGCGTTGGGAGCAAATACTACTGCGTCATCGTCCAATATGTGCAGACAATTAACACTGGTGCCTTGACGGACTTTGTGAGGGAGCTGGATGGGAATGTTGTGGCTAGGAAGCACTACAACTTCCGGCTGGCAAACCCAGACGATGCGCTGGAACTGACCGGGTTCGGCAATAACGGCGTGTGCCCGATTGGCATGAAAAGGCCGCTGCCAATTGTAGCTGTCAAAGTCCATTACCACTCTCAGTCCGGCGGTGTTTTGGTGTGGAGCGGGCGATATTGATTACAAGCTGGCAATGCCTACGCAGACGTTCATTGAGGCGACCCAGTGCCATGTGGCGGACATTTCGGTTCCAGTTCAAGAGTAAAATACATTAATAGGCTTGTATTACATGACGTTGCGGGACTCCAGCAGGCAGTTGCAGCCACAGCCAGCAGGGCAGGTCGGGATAGCAACCAGATCCGATGCCCATGGCTGGCACGGCAAGTCGTCGGGGGTGGCAACACTGTCCATGTCTGCCATCATCATGTTTTCGGCAAACGAATCAAACGGCAATTGCTCGTGCACCGACAGCAAGCTGTCGTTCCGGACTGGACTGGTCAGTCGAGTCAACGCTGCTGCTATCGTCGCTATCACACTCGGCATCCGATGGCATATTCACAGACACAACCGACCCAGGAGCCGGCGATATAGTCACGGCAGGCAGGACGTCCGCGGACAATGTCGGGTTTCGCGTATGCGTGCGGGTATTGCCGGCGGTATTGATCCGGCTGGCGAGTCCACTGGGCGCCGATGATGCGCCCGCAGAGTTATCTGACAGGACGTGCTGCACTGGTAAGGCGTCGGCAGAGTAGCCGCCAATGTGGGCAGGGCTGAGGCCGCTCTTGCGTATCTGCTGGAGCACGGTCTTGAACCACTTCAGCATGTGCTCCTGGTGGCCGCCATGACCGCAGGCGTGGCAGATCAATGCGCGCCCGTGAACGTACTCGTGGCACCATGCGCAACTGAGCCAGGGAGCGCCCGAGATCTCTGCACTGGGGGTATTTGGCCGGCTGTTCCTCTTCTGCTCAGGACCCGTTTTCTTGACCAGTCCCTCAAGAAGCACGCTCGAGTACGAGCGCTGGCCGCGGATCTTCTCAGCCAGCACGGGGTTGCCTATGCGCGCCATGTTGTCGTGCTTGGGCACGCTGGGCTGGCACGCGATGCTGTTGTAGATTTGCAGAAGATCGGGGTTCTGGATGCACTTTAATACCTCGACGGCCTTGACGTCCATCTGCCACATGTACAGGATCTGGGCGTACATGATCTTCCAGTGGTCCAGGTACACAGTGTGCTGGCGGTAGCTGTCTGGAACTAAAGTGTCTGCCGCACTGTCCGGACTCAAGCCGGCTCGTGAATAACCACTTTTGTGCGCGGGTGCTCGTAGGCGCGCTTGGTGCGCAGGAACGTGACGTCCTGGAATTTGGAGTCCAAGGGCATCCACAAATGCATCAGATCCCATGGCCGCACCAGCTCGGGACCGATCGCCTCATGCAGGCGTTTCCGGCTGCCTGTCAACAGGTCAAAGTAGCTGTGGTCGTGGCCACCCGGAGTCGATGGCGAGCCATGGGTGTCCAGGTCATCCGAGTCCCTGCCAGTCCTTGTCGTCATGGCGGTTGGTCGGCACTCGACCAAGCACGTTTTCGCGCAGCCTGCGCCAGAGCGTCTCAGAGCCGTCCTGGTCGTTGCTGGTCTGAATTGATGTGCGGCGCTTGCCGGCGATTTCGGGCTGGGTGGTTTTGGAGCGATGGATGGCAAGTGTATTTTCCGTCACTGGCTCACTTGGAATATCGCTCTGCTCGCTTTGCTCCGGCGGCCTTGCCACCGACAGGTCGTCGATACCCATAGACATGAGCCGCTCGTGCTGCTTGATCTCCTCACTGTCCAGCTCCTCGATAATATCAGTCGACGCTGGCTCCATGTCCAATGAGGGCGACCGGTAGTTGGCGGCTGCCAGTGGTGGGGTGGAGAGCCCGGCACTGTACGACAGGGCAGAGAGCGACTGCTGCGAGAACGGATGCGATGCCACGCTGCTGGCAAGAAAGTGGGCCAGGCCTGCGGCAGACACCCGGCCCTCGCGCACAGTCCGGACGCGGTCAATGGTGAGCCCGCGCAGCTTCATCCTGGTAAATGGCTGCTGACGGTACAGAAGAGTTGACCAGCTGGTCGTCCGACCCAAGCGACATTGGGCCGTCCATCTGGTCGGTCGTATTGGGCGGATGGGTGCACAGCAAACTGCCGCCATGCTCGTATGAGCCAGGCAGGAACGACACGCTGCGCGAGGCAGTGCCTGAGCCGGACTCAGATATGTCAACCAGTGCCCCACTGACAGCGCTTGCCAAAGGCAGAGAATGGCGTGCCCTGTTCGCGCATCCACGGCGGCCGATCCTGCTGTGGCTCACTGTGAGGACTGGACTGGAGCGGCGACTCGATAGCTACAGTTTTGTGCAGCTTGGTCTCGGCAATCGACATGCTCATCACACACGACAGTAGCGCTAGTGTCTGCACGTCACCGCGGTGCTCGTATGAGCGCATGGTAGCCTCGATCCACGCCTGCACAGCTGGGTGGCCGCCCCACAGCTGCTGGCCGGGCAATGGCAGGATGTCCTTGTCGGCAGCCAACAGGGATCCCATCAGCTCCCACACATGCGCCAGCTCGGGCCGTCCATTGAGCCTGGCGATCGACGCATTGTGCTGGCACACCCACTCAATGCTGGGACCGGTCAGCACGAACAGACCTGCTAGCTTGAAGCTGGCCGAGTGGTCCTGCGGCACATTGCACAGAAGCACCATGTTTCCAACGCCGCTGTCGTTGCGTGCATTTGCGCCACCAGTGGAGGCTGCGGTGATGGGCCGGAAAAAGGCGCTCTCGGAGGCAATGCTTCCAGGAATCGAGTGTGTGGGCCGGCTGATCTGCGGGCGGAAAAAGTACTGTGGCATGTCTTCGCCACGGTCCTCCATATCCGAGTCATCCATGCCCGTGTTGAGGCCGCCGCCGCCGCTGCTATTCATATTGTGTGCTGTCTGCTCACTGTCGTCGGGCAAATACGCGCCTCTGCTCTGGATGCCGAACCGGACCTGGCTCTGGTAGAACTGCAGCCGCATCATGCTCTGCGGCTTGTTCTGCACCCGCAATTCCTGCGACATTTCCTCACGGTGCTTGGCACGGTCTGCCGGGCTCAGCGGTCCCAAATCCGCTCTGCTCTGGGTACGTATCGGGCGTGATATATGGACGAGAAGAAACACACAAGCCTTGCCAGCTCCCGAGAACACGCCGCCGCATAGGCGCGGGAACGGGATGAATTGGTCGTAGCGGTCCCGGTTGCTGGCATGCCGGGATGATGTTGGCAGGCCGTCGAGGCCAATGTCGCCGTCAAACGAGCCGTAGTCGTCGTCATCGTCGAATCCGGGCAGGTCATAGTCGTCGTCGATCGGAATACTCGCCCATGTCGTCGCGGTTGCTGTATCGCGTCGTTATAGTCTTCGCCATACGCAGACAGCACAGAGTTGTTGTCGTCCGATAGCCGTCCGGGCGAAATGCTGCGGGCGCCAATATCCGGCGACTCCTTGGTGTCCCGGCTCAGGCTACGGCGGGTCAGGCGGCTCTTGAGGTGCCTGGGCATCTCCGCATGCATGGCCAGCCTGCCCTGGGCATCGTCAAATCCATCTGTGTCGGGCACAAGCGGGGATGGCGGGGATGGCAGACGGCCTACGTCTTCTGGTCTTGAGCATTGAGAGTTTGTTGTGCGAGTTGCGCGCACGCACTGCCGCAATGTACAGAGAGACTAGGGTGTACAGGCACTGCTCTAGGGCTGGCTTGCGCAGCTGCGCGCAGGTATTGGCAATCTGCACGGACCCGGTTCTGCATCGTGTCGCGGTTTCCGTAGACGAGTCCCGCCTTTTGGATCTCGACATGCAGCGGGCTTTGCGGGTAGTATGTGGGGAAATCAAGCCTGACGCGCAGGGTGTCGCTGGTCAGCCATGGTACGCCGATGGTAAGGATGCACCGCCGGGCGTCCACCGATACATCCGAGTTCACGATTGTGCCTGATCGTGAGTACTTTTCGTTGATGATCGCGTAGACCTCTTCCCGCCACGAAGCAACCGAAGTGCTGCCTCTATACCCGGTCTCGAAGTCATCGTCATCGTCGTCGCTACTGTGCTCGTCAGCGTTTTGCCGGCCGTGATCCAGGCACAAGTTGGCTCTGAGCTGCCGCAGCCTGGGTGCCGAGCCTGCCAGACCTGTCTGTATTGTGCATATGAGAGTCGAGCAAATTTTCCTTGCTCATGAACTCATGGAACGTTGCGGCGCCGCGCAGGTCTGCCTTCTTTGCCACTGCCTGGAGAAGCTCGCGCGGCAGTATTTTCTGGTCCATCAAGTGCAGGAGCTGGTCGGGCCCCAGGAAATTGGCCGAGAACGAAGGGACTGGATTGCCCAGACTCTGACGTGCCCCTCGGTCCGGGTGGCTACCGACTGACTCCACGGTCTTGTCGTTGACGGACCACATGCGCAGCACCTCATCGCGGCCCCACGACACTAGCTGGAATTCCCGCGTATCGATTTTCCTGCCGTCGTCCATGCGGATCTCGCCGCGCGACCGCCACTCAGATGCCAGCACGCGGTCTGTGTGGCCGACAAACCTGTGCACAATCTCCATCTGCTCGTTGTCGCGCGCCAGCAGCATGTTGTTGTCAGGCGCCTTGAGCTTGACCAGTACCCCCTCGCCGAACGGCGTGAATTTTGCGTTCATGACCTCGTATGGGAATGTGTGCGTGTATACTTCCGACACACTGCTGCCGTCGAGCCTTAGCTTCTTGACGGTCTTGTCCTGGCTGCCTGTCAGCAGAATGTTGCTCTCCCATGGGTGCCAGCAGATACTGGTGATGTCGTCCATATGTGCATTGTCCACTGTCTGCACCTGGCGCCGAGCCATTGCGGATATCCCACACTGCGATCTTGTTGCGATGCACTGACGCCAGCTTCGTCATCTCCGTGTTGCTAAACGCCAACAAATCCACCGACTCCCACTCCGAGTAGTACCACATGGGCTTCTGGTCCTGCCGCACATCCCAGATCTTGATAATCGGGTCTATCGACGCCGTACCAATCCATGATGGAATCTTAGGCGCCCAGGCAATATCCTGTGATCGCCATCGGGTGCGATTTTAAGACGCGGAATGGCGTGCTGCTAGTGTGTGCTAGGTCGTATATCAGCAGCGTCTGGTTCACTGTCGTCCCAACCCAGCTGTGCTGCTGTGTGCTGGGACACCATGTCACACCGGCTACCTTCCACACCGAGTCGATCGGTATTGTGACGCGGCGGAGACAGCGGGAATTCAAGGTCGACAATGGCTAGTCCCGGCGCGGCCATGCCAACACTACATCGCGGTTGTAGGGACTAATGCTCATACTGGTGAACGCATGCGGGTACCGTATGCTCATGTCGTCGCCTATTGTCGACGCTGCAGTCACTCGTCGCTTTGTCATTTGCTATGTTTGGGATGTGAAATTAAAATTGAAGGGAGTAACGAACAAAACCACTTGCTGGTGACGAAAACAAAGCCAAAAAAATCGCTAGGGATCGAATCAAACAGACAATGCCTGAGCAGGGCTACACGTGATCTGCAACCACGTATGGTAATGTTTCAGGGTGATTTTATGAAGGTGTCTTTCAAAAATAAAGGAGATTACTTTTGCTCCGCAAGGCACTTGGAGATGATATCGCCGCCGAATCTGTTCAGCAGCACCGGCGAAATCACCTTTGCAGCCCGGCTCAGCCAGTCCGCCGACGGAGGCCTGATCCTTCGACAGCTCCTTCTTGCCGTCCAACAGGCCCTTCACCTCCTCCATCTTTTCCGACGGCAGATACTGCTCCATGGACGGGATCTTGGGGTTGATGATATCGACGATCTCGCCCCAGTGCCTGGTGGCACACTGGGCCGCCTCGGGCGAGTCGAAGTCTATGTTGGCGGCAGAGGACTGCAGCCAGAAGTGCGGAAACAGCGATGAACTTCATTTTATCGTAGCCTTGAGGGAATGAGAGGGTTGCGTATGAATAATAGGGGTAAAGGGGTGGGGTTTGCAGCTTGCTGGAGCAAGAGGTGGGGCACTGCTGGGCCTGCCGGACCTTTATACCCAGGCTGTTGTCTTTGCAACAGACTGAACCGCGACCCTCGCACTGTACTGCAAAGAGCCCCTATATCGACATTCTATCTCCCGTTTGTTGTAGCAGTTGGAAACAATCGGTGTCAACACAGCAGAGGGGAGGCTTGACAGTTTCCAATGAGCGGCCACCGGGCACAGGCCAAATGGGTGGCGCTACCAAAACACTCTCTGGCACAATGGGTAGCAGGAAATATTCGATTGCAGAAATTTAGTTGTTCATATTGAACCCCATTGCAGTCCCTCTACGGTCATTTTCTCAAAACCGAACCTGGTACGACCCTGCCTTGGTTACGTACCGCACGCCCTTGAAGATCTTGTACGCTTCCCGTAACATCTTCAGCGAGTCGACCTTGAGTGACGATGCCGAGAACCCAGCAATCTCAAAGTCAACAAACACCGCCGATGCAGTAGGCTCGGTGATAGACGACGGCGTGCTCGCGCCGCCGCCATTAGTCGCCGCATCGCCGCCTGGCCTTGTCGAGTACTGGATCACCAGCCTAGCACTTCGATCGCCGGCCTTTCAATGCCTTCAGATTCCAGTTGACAAGCGGCTGCCTGATATTATCTACAGTATATGTGCCGGACTTGCACTGGACACGGGTGTTGTATGCCTGCAAGGGGAGCGGCACCCTTACATGCACCTTTTCGACGCTCTTGCCACCACACTGACCTGCCTCTGCCGAGATCTCAATCGTGTGCTGGTTGGCGCCCTGTGTAGTGCAGCTGGCGTGGACGTACACTGGCAGTGATCCTGGCGACGCACCCATGCCGACATGGAACGAGCCAAGCTTGAACTGTCCGTCAGGCGGCACATACGCGATCGTACGCTCGGACTCCCACTTGGCCAGCCTCACGCATGGGTGGAATGAGACGTCGTCCATGATCTCGGGCCGGTTCATCACCATCAGCAGCTCCGGCATGCCTGACAGTCCGGGACTTGCACGAGATGATCGCCCGACACATCATACGCCACCACAGACCCGCTGCTGTCCACGATGGCATCGATCTTCTCCACAATATCGACAAAAAACTCGTTGGACGAGTGCCTGATCCCCTGCGACCGCCACGGAATCGACGATGTGTTGATGTCGGGCTTCACTTCGGATCGGATCCCGATTCCCGACACGTTCTCGATCATCCGGTTCACCATATTGGGCACCGGCACAAGGCCACGCAGCACCGACATGTCTGTGGTCACCACGCTGCCGCTGTCCACCATCTCGCTAAGCACCTGGTATACTGTTGCAAAGTTTTCCTTCACCGTCAGCTCCGACAAATTCCCGATGTACTCTGACAGCGCCTGCGATATGCCCTCGAGCAATTCGAGCACTTCCAGCGGCGGCGCCTCATGGGATACGACTCCGAGGTAGATCAGCTCGCCGCGCTGAATGTGAATACAGACCATGTCCAGTGGTGAGCTCCACACAGGCTCGGCGTCGCTGAACGATGGAACAGAGTGCAGGTAGCGTGTGAATGCGGGAACCACCACTAGGGACGCTCGCCGAATCGCCAGGTCGTCGCACCAATGCTTCTGAATTAGCGGAGCTCTAAAGCAGGAGGCAGTTTTGGTTTAAGTGGCGAAAGTTGTAGATGCGCTCCCGTTGGCCATTGCATTTCAACGTCTGCTTACCCGGCATTATTAAGAATAAACAGAGAATCCACTGTCATTGGAAAGAAATGTACTCTATAAAGCTGTAGAAAAAGAAGCAGCCAGTGCAAGAGGCAGAAAGCGAAGGAGACAGCCGCACGGCCGGCTTGGTGGCGGGCTTCCCATGGCGCTAAATCCGCAATCAACCGGAAATAATCCTCGAGCGGCATCGCCGTGCACCAGCAGGGCAAAGTCGCAGCAATCCCAGATGCACCAGTGCACCGGAGCTTTTGCTGGAATAAACAAGCGTGAAGCACTCTGGCTGTCCGACGACAATTGAAGAGGGGTATATTTGAAAGATAAAAACTACACGTTCAGAAGGTTTCTAAATAAAGCAACTTAGTGCTTGTGCTCGGTCAGGCACTGGTGGATGACGGAGCCGCAGATCCGGTTGAGGCTGGCAGGCGGGATGGCGTCCGGCAGGACCCAGGAGCAGCTCCTCGGTGGGCTCGTCGGGGAACACGCTGGCACCCTTGAGCAGCTCGTCCAGCTTGGCCTTCTGCTCAGCAGTCAGGCGCAGACCGGCGAGGGGCAGGGCCGGATCGGCCTTGGCCTTGACATCGGTCCAGTGGCGAACCGCAGCATCCTTGGTCTTCGGGTCCTTCCAGTCGATGTCGTAGTTGGGCGAGGTGGCGATGGACGCGATGGTTCGAGAGAGTACCGAAGATGGACATGGCTGTAGCTTAGAAAAAAATGGTGCGGTGTAGAGCGATGATTGAGCAACGGCGGAGACAGCATTCCGGGCATCTTTATATGCTGAGCCCTCTCCATCGCCCCCTCAGGAGGAGATTCTGGTGTAAGCACATACGCACAGCGGGGAAGGGCGTCCAAAATTCGTGCGACATGCAAAGGATGGAGAGTCAGGCCTTTCACGAGGGATAGACACCGGCATCGTCGCCATTCCAGGACAATTCATATGCCGCCAGCGGTCCCAAGTCCTGTCACATTTGATTTGTTCTAAAAAGAGCAGCCTGGCGGCATGTCCTGGCAGGCGCACTCTCTGCGGTGATCGTCCCGCGTTCTAGCTGCTTGACGCAGGCTCATGTGGTTTGTGCACTGGACATGCTCCATATGAGGAAACCGGCGGCCTTGTCGCTTCTAGTGCCCGTTTTTGGATGTGTGGAAAGCGATGTGCGAGGGGTGGAGCTTGGATGCACGCGCACGTGAATGGGGATATGCGTCCTAGCGGGATGGATCTTGGAAATAGCCCGCTGGCAGGCGGTGGTGGTCCCAGACCGCACGGGACAGGATTGGGCCAGCCAGCCAGAATGGAAAAAGCAGTTACTGGGTCGCCAATGCTGGGTCAAAGGACGATGCATGTGAAATTAGCTTTGGGCTGCAAAGCAGGCAGCAGCCCTTGGCTCAAGAGCAGAAATATTCCATTGAGAAATGCGATTAAGGTGATAAGGAAGGAAGGTGGGTGGTGCCTACAGCTGGCCAGCGAGGATAAGCTCGATAGCGTCGCCTATAAAGTCCTTGCGCGGGCTGAGATCCACACCGTACTCGGCTGAGAGCTGCGTGCGCACGCTCTTCTTGGTTACAGCATTGAGATCCGAGTTTGCCAGAATGCGGCGGATGCTCTCGACCAGCTGGTCATCAGTCGGCAAAAGCCCGCTCATCATCATGCCCGGTGTGCCGCCGCTCATCATTGCCTGGCTCGAGGCGACCATAGGAGCAAATGCGCTCGCCGGGCCGCCCGCCGAGGAAGTGCTGTAGAACGATTTGGTGTGTTCTGGATGGCCGGCCGCAGCAGGCGGCATGCTCTGCTGCTGCTGCTGCTGCTGCATTGGCTGCTGGTTGAAGAAACTGCCGCTGGACATGCCTGAGATGGGACGCACCGCGCCAGTGTTGGGCAGCAGGCCAGACGATGACGGTGTCGGTGATGTGTTTCCGTAGGACGTGTACGTGTTGTAGATGCCAGCCTGCGAGGTTCTGGTAGTACGACGGGGTGCGCGACATCATCGAGTTAGTATCCATAGGCTGCATCATGATCATTTCAGTCGGGCTGTTAGCCCGCATGCTGTACTGCTGCTGTTGCTGCTGCAGCGCAACTGGTGTCGACAGGGTTAGACGAGGATCACCACCACTGGACCACAGAGCCAGGGACCGCCCATCATGACAGAGCCCGGACCACCCATCACGACAGAGCCTGGGCCGCCGCCATACATGGTGGTCGGCGTGCCCACACGGGGCATCGACATCGCTGGTGGCATCTGGTAACCGACCTGGCTGCCATTAGGACCAGATTGGCGGCTGTACATGGTGCCGCGGTCATCTTCCTTGCTGGATCCGGCGTTCGGGTTCATGTTGGGCGGCGGCGCGTTCAGGACACCAGCAGGCTGCCAGCTCACCCTCGTACTCGACCCAACGGCGCTGTGGAATCGATTTAGGGTCAAATGGCTTATCGTCATTGATGATGATCTTGCGCTTGCCATCGCCGACCACCACGCGCGTGTTACCCCACGAGAAGTCATCCATATGCCAGAACGAGTAGATGGGAAGGACACACGACCACAGCGGGAAGGCCAGCAAGTAGATGATCATCCAGCCAATATGCTGCCACTCGCGGCGCAGAACGAAAATCACCATCTGCACGCCGTAGATGGCGGCAATGAGGTACAGAGAGATGTAACCGACGTCGGCAGTATTTGTAGCAGCAGCGTAGATCAAGTAGATAAAGTACCCAAGCGTGGTCGGCATGGTCAGGGTACCAAACAGATCGAGGAACACGACGAAGCGCATCGAGAAGCAGCAGAAACCGCAGAGGTTGGGCAGGAACAGCAGCTCAGCCAGATTGTGTACAGTCGAGTTGATCCAGCGACGACGCTGCGACATCAAAACACCCCATTTCTCGGGAGCAATAGTCTTGCACTTGGCATCCTGGATAAACTTGAGCTTGAAGTTCGGGGAAGTTCTTCATCATCAGCGTTGTCAGGTACCGATCCTCGCCGAGTGACAGCAGGTTCTTCTTGTGCAGCGTAGTCGACGTGCAGCTCCGAGTATGCCTCAAGGCACTGGCTTCGCGATCAGCAGCGGCTTTCCAGCAGGATTACGCAGGCGGTACAGACAGAAGCAGCCTGGCAGACAGGTGACTGATCCAAACAGTCGACTCGAACGCCTTGGCCATGTGGTGCGAGATGAAGTACTCATACACCTGCATCATGGTGGTCCAGCTCTTGGACTCATTGCCCAGCATTGTCTCACCGCAAATACCGGCGATACGCTGGTCTGACGAACACGCAGAGACCAGACGAGTGAGCGAGTCCGGCATGACCTCGGTATCGGCATCGACCTGCAACAGGTACTCAAAGTTCTGTGGTGGGACACCGATGATATGGCGCATCTGGTGGTACATCTCGAGCTCGAAGCGGCGTCATCGGCAGGTCGAAATGCACCTTGTTGAAGAACGACATGGCGACCAGCTGAGAATCACGCTTACCACGATTACCCGATCTGCTTGTCTCATCCGGGGTGCCAACCTTGACTACAACCATGAACGGCACGACATGTCCCTCGAACTCGTAGAGACCAGAGTACACCTTACAGATGTTGTGGCGGCGCGAGCCCTCAGCAATGGCCAGGTAGTCGCGGCCTGGGGGATCGTACTCTGGGTCGACTCCGAGGATATCCAGCACAATGCGCGGGGTCGACTTTTCGTTACCAGGAGCCGACAATGTTGCCATCGCAGATAACCAAGCAGCAGCTTGTGGTTGTCTTCGTACTCGAGTCCGGCCAGGGACTTGGATGGTCTTGGACAGACTGTCTTCGTCCTCGGTATAGCAAGGAACCTGGCAGACAACGAAACTTGTGCGGCGGGATCGGGCGCTTCTTGTTGCCAAACTGCAGCGCAGCCAAAAACTTTGCTAGGACAACCACCATCAGCAGGGCGGCAAAGGCAAGCAGCATGTAGTTGGCAAAATGACAGCGCACGCTCTGTCTGTCGTCGACCCTGCCGACGTAGAACAAGTTCTTCATGCAGTTGTAGTTGGCTTCGCGCGTCGCTGGATTCCAGGTCAGCGCGTCCCAGCTCTTGGTGATGTCAGCAGAGCCATAGCCGTCCTGGTTCATGATTGCCTCGAGCTTCGAATCGAGAAGGTTGTACTTGTTGTTGGTGTTGAACGCGCCGTTGATGATGGGGTCAAAGTACGGCTGCATATTGAACACCTCCTTGTTGATGACGCGCCAGTATTTTCCTTGGTCCTTGTACATGCTGTTAATCCAGTCAAACTTCCACACCACACCGCCCTTCTTGAACTTTTTCAGCGCTGGCAGCGCATACTTTGCAAAGAAGTTGGGGTCCTTCAGCTCATCAGATGTCGGATCCCCCTGGTACTTGTGCTTGAACATATACTGGCCAGTGGTGTCGGTATTATCCGAGGCGCCATCAACGGGGTAGTACCGGGTGTAGTTGGGGTCATCCTCCGCGCTGAGGAACTGGGGGCATGCGACGCGGACAGGGATCGGGAATGAGGCATTGACGTCATTGCCTGCATAGAACTCCAGGATGAGATCCTTTCTGGCCTTGTTGGCAGTGGTGCCATGGGGCTGCTTCATCCAGTCGGTGATGTCGTAGGTGGAGCCACGCAGCGCGACATACGCCTTGTCCTCGGTGTTGTAGCCAGCAATGTCGTCGAGCGTCCATACATTCTCCTTGGGGCACAGAATCAGACCCAGGCCGATAATGAGGAACAAAAGGGCAAACCACAGGATGACAATGATCACGCAGATGGCCAGCTTCTCACGCCATGCCATACGCACATCCTGGCGCTTCATGCGGCCACACCACGTCAGCAGCGGCGACGGCATCCAGAACGTCAGCATCCATGTCAAAAACACCCAGCACCGCCGTGACTTGGTTACTGCCAGGTCCTCGACGTGTTCGTGACTGCCAATCGCCATATTGCCCTCGCCTCCTGTGCCGCCCTTCTCCTGCCCGGGCTTCTCACGTGCCTCGTATGTATCCATCGGCGCCTCCTTCTCACCGTCGCCATGGTTTCCGCCGCCGCCAGGCAGGCTGTGACGGAGCCCGCTGAGGAATGTGCTGCGCCGGCCCTTGTCGCCAGCAGCACTGGCCGAGTCGTTGGTGGGTCCAGCGCCGCCCATTTGCCGACCCGTGTAGGTGAATCCGACGCCACGGGAAAACTGGCCGTCGTTGCTGCCACCGGCAAAGTCATCCTCGCTTCCCTGAGGGACCTGCTCTGCGCGGGGCGTGTACAAATGCGAGCTTTGTTTGTCCATCACGCCACTAGGTAGTAGATGGTGATGGTATGGATGCTGAAACACAAATGAGGTAGGCCTACGTAGCCTGTGCCAAAGATAGTACGAGGCAAGAGGATGTGAATAACGAAAATAAAAGAAATGGTGGCAACCAAAAACAAAACACTGAGCGGAGAGGAAGAAGAACCGAGGGATGTAGCGTAGAGACAACGAGAGCCAAAATCCGCCATGCATTTGTCCCCTGGCTTCTCTTGCCCGAATCTGCCCACCAGAAGGCTATTTTTGGGCTCATGGAGGCGCGCGGTACTACAGAGGCCAACCAAACGCACTATTGGCGACAGTGGGTCCGAGCCTGAATTGCGTCGTACAATGAACACACTCTCGGAGAGAAAGCACCACGAAAAGCGGCTGGCGAACCCACCCCTTTTCTGTGGGGCGAAATGAAGAAGCCTGGCGGCCGCATCCTAGTGCTGCCCTCGCTTTTGGCCCCCACAGGGAATAAGCCCTGCGGTAGAGCTCAAAAAAAAAAAATAGAAAGCTGGTGGCCATGTCGAGCGCCTTGGGGTCGGCGATTATTGCTCGCAGGCCTGTCATCTGGACGCCGAGTCTTTGTATATGGAAGCTTCGACATGCATACGCGGTCCACTCTACACGCACACATCTTGTTCAAACAGAGGATTGTCAAAGGTTCTGAGCGGCAGTCCATTCCGCCGCAACTGTCACTCTCTCCCAGCTCAGCGGGCTCGCCTGCTCCCCATCGCCCATGTCTGATCACGGTTTTGTTTGGTCATGCAAAATTGTGCTTAAAAAAGCAGAAAACATGTGTAACATCTAAAAATATCGCCGGCACTATCACACTAGCGACGCAGATAGTACGCTGAGTAGAACCCGTGTACTGAACTCCCTAGATGGAAGACTTGCCAGGTATGCTGCAGTGAGGCAAGGGCTGCCATAGCAAAGACCACAGCATAGTTTCTGCTGGCAAAGTGCCCTATGACACGTGAGCCAGAAATCAGATTCCAGTCCAGGTGATCAAATCAATAAATGTAATCTACCAATCACGTTTTGGCTCGCGTCGGTGCATGAACGCGTCGGCACGCGTCGGTACTTGCTGCGTGCTGCTTGTGGGCTTGGAAAAAAAGTTTTTGGCAGGCGCTGATTTTAAAAGGGGCCCGCTGTACGCGCAGCAGGACGAAACGCCTGTCCCGCTTTCTTTCTCTCCTCTTGACACAGAATCCTCCCAGCACTTTTTTCTCACTCTTTTTTGTAATTAGCGCAGAATCCCTCGAAATCGCCTTTTTGCCAACACTCTACAACCATGATCGAAGCAGTTCTCGCCCAGGCCTCCATCTTCAAGAAGATCGTTGAGGCGCTCAAGGAGCTCATCTCTGAGACCAACATTGACTTCTCCGAGGCCGGCATCAGCCTGCAGGCGATGGACAGCTCGCACATTGCGCTGTGCAACCTGCTGCTGCGCGACGACGGTTTCAAGTCGTACCGCTGCGACCGGGCGCTGACGCTGGGCGTGAACCTCAACTCGCTGAGCAAGCTGCTCAAGTGCGCTGGCAACGACGATGAGATGCGGATTTTCGCTAACGACGACTCTGGTGCCGACCAGCTGAACTTTTCGTTCGAGAGCGCAAACAGCGAGCGCGTCAGCGAGTTCTCGCTCAAGCTGATGGACATTGACGCCGACAGCGTCGACATCCCCGATATGGACTACCAGGCGATTATTGACATGAGCTCGTCCGAGTTCTCGCGCATCATCCGCGATCTCAGCAGCGTTGGCGAGGCTGTCTCCATCGATGCCACCAAGCAGGGCGTCAAGTTCTCGTCGGCGGGTGACGCCGGCAAGGGGAGCATTCTGCTCAAGCACCAAAAGTCGGTCGATGGCGACAGCGCCCTGGCCACGTCGATTGAGATCAACGAGCCTGTCAGCCACTCGCTTGCCTTGAAGTTCCTGTCGAGCTTTGCCAAGGCTGCGCCGCTCACCGACCGCGTCAGCATCCACATGACCGAGGATGTCCCTGTCATGTTCGAGTTCAAGATCTCGGAGATTGGCCACATCCGCTTCTACCTGGCTCCCCAGATCGACGACGAGGAGTAAGTGCTTTCATTTGGAGGTGTGTTGAAGAACAAAATAAATGTAATGGGTGTTTTCGAAACACAATGAAATGATGAGAGGTGTAGTATATGATGACGTGTTTAGAGAGTTCCTGTCAGCATCCGGTCAACAACGTTGCTGATGAAGTCCTTGCGAGCAGTCAAGTCCATGTTGAACTCCTGCGCTAACTGCGCACGGATCCGCTTCTTGGTCATGGTTGACAGGTCCGACTCGGCCAATATGCGACGCACAGCCTCAGCAAGCTGCTCGTCAGACGGGCCAGCGCCTTGCTCGGTAGCGGCGCCAGTCGTGAATGTCGACATTGGGCGCAGCGGCTGCTGCTGGTGCTGCACTGTCTGATTGCCAGGTGTATTGCCGCCCATGTTGATGGCAGCCGACATGTACTCCTGTGACGCAACCGCTGTCTGTAGGTCGTGGTGCAGCGAGGTGGACGACGCAATGGTCATCGGCCGAACCAGTCCAGAAGCTGGCGATATGGACCTGCCCACCGCGCCCATGCCATTCACAGTGCTATACATGGCCAATGCCTCGTGCGACGCGATTGTGCCGGCACCCTGCATATTGACTGTCGCATACGGCGCATACGGGCCCATCGGGCTTGTCACAGCAGCCAAATAGCGCTGGTCTGGCACGCCTGGTCTCATGGCAGTTGGTGTACCTGACCGCGACAGCGCATACGGATTCGACATGACATTGCTGCCAACGACGGATGGAGCCGCATTGTAGCCACCGTACATGCTTCCGACCCGGTTCATTATCATCCCGGATTGCTGACTGTACGATGACATGCGCTCATCATCCTTGTGCGAGCCAGCATTCGGGTTCATGTTGGGCGGCGGTGCATTCAGAACACCAGCGGCTGCCAGTTCCTGCTCATACTCAGCCCAGCGGCGGTGCGGGATCGATGCTGGATCGAAAGGTTTGTCGTCAGTCACAATCAGCTGGCGCTTGCCATCGCCAACCACCACGCGCGTGTTACCCCACGAGAAGTCATCCATATGCCAGAACGAGTACACAGGCAGGACGAACGACCACAGCGGATAGGCCATCAGGTATATGATCATCCAGCCGACATGCTGCCACTCACGGCGCATGATGAATATGATTGACTGCACGCCGTAGATAGCACCGATGAGAATCAGCGAGATGTAGCCGACATCAGCTATGCCCGTCACGGCGATATAGATCAGATATCCAAAGTAAAGCAGCGTGGTCGGCATGGTCAGGGTAGCCGAAACAGATCGAGGAACACGACAAAGCGCATTGAGAAGCAGCAGAATCCACACATGTCCGGCAGGAACATGAGCTCAGCAAGGTTGTGGATGGTTGAGTTGATCCAGCGACGACGCTGTGACATCAGGATGGCCCACTTTTCGGGAGCAATAGTCTTGCACTTGGCATCCTGGATAAACTTGAGCTTGAAGTTCGGGAAATGCTTCATCATCAGCGTTGTCAGGTACCGATCCTCGCCGAGCGACAGCAGGTTCTTCTTGTGCAGCGTGTCGACATGCAGCTCCGAGTATGCCTCAACAACAGGCTTTGCGATCAGCAGCGGCTTGTCGTCGGCACTGCGCAGTCGGTACATACAGAAGCAGCCTGGCAGACAGGTGACTGATCCAAACAGCGACTCGAACGCCTTGGCCATGTGGTGCGAGATGAAGTACTCGTACACCTGCATCATGGTGGTCCAGCTTTGATTCTCGATTGCCCAGCATGGTTTCGCCGCAAATTCCAACGATGCGCTGGTCTGACGAGCAAGCAGCAATGAGGCGCGACAGCGAGTCTGGCATGACTTCGGTATCGGCATCGACCTGCAAAATATACTCGAATTCGCGCGGGTCCATGCCAATGATATGGCGCATCTGGTGGTACATCTCGAGCTCGAGCGGCGCCATCGGCAGGATCAAAGTGGACCTTCTGGAAGTACGACATTAGCACAATCTGCGAATCGCGCTTGCCTCGGTTCCCAGAGCGATCGCTCTCCTCCGGCGTACCGACTTTGGCTACAACCATGAACGGCACGACATGTCCCTCGAAACTCGTAGAGACCAGAGTACACCTTGCCAATGTTGTGGCGGCGCGAACCCTCAGCAATAGGCCAGATAGTCGCGGCCAGGCGGGTCGTACTCTGGATCGACTCCGAGGATATCCAGCACAATACGCGGAGTGGGCCGGTCATTCCCCGAACCGACAATGTTGCCGTCGCAGATGATGAAAATGAGCTTGTGCTTGTCTTCGTAATCGAGCCCTGCCAACGAATTAATGGTCTTCTCCAAGCTAGCCTCATCCTCAGGTGTAGCAGGGAACCTGGCAGATGACAAACTTGTGTCGGCGGAATCGGACGGTTTTTGGTGCCAAACTGCAGTGCGGTGAGGAATTTCACGAGCACCATCATCATGAGCACACATGCAAATGCGAGCAGCATATAGTTGGAGAACAGGCACCGCACCGAGTGCCTGTCGTCAACCTTGCCGACGTAGAACAGGTTCTTCATGCACTGGTAGTTGGCCTGCTTGGAGTCAGCGGTTGGCCACAGAACGCGGTCCCACGGTGCCAGTAATGTCGGTGTCGCCAGCGCCCTTGTCGTCAAAGAGGTTCTCGATGCGGTTGTCCAGGAAGCGCCACTCCTTGCCGGTGTTGCCTGGAGCATTGATTGTGGCAAAGTAGTCCTCCAGGTTGAACACCTCCTTGTTGATGACAGCGCCAGTACTTGCCCTGCTCCTTGTGCATGTCCTTGACCCAGTCGTAGCTCCACACAACGTCGCCCTTTTTGAACAGGTTGAGCGTCGGGATCACGTACTTTGCAAAAAACGACTGGTCGCTCAGCTCGGCCGACGATGGCAGCGTCCCAACCTTGTGCGTGTACGGGAAAGTCTGCAAGGCGGTTGGGTCGGCATCGGTCAGGTACATGGAGAACCGCGGGTCGGCTTTTTGGGAGACCAGCGAAGGGCAGGCAGTCCGGATAGCAATGGGGAAAGAGGCGTTGACGTCCTGACCCGCAAACATAACCATGAGATCCTTGGACGCCACAAACGACGACACGCCATGTTTCTGATTCAGGTATTGTGTGATGTCGTACACTCGGCCACGCAGCGCAATATACGCATCCTTGTCCGAGTTGTGGCCTGCGACGTCCTCGAGTGTCCACACGTGCTCCCTAGGGCACAGAATCAGACCCAGGCCGATAATGACAAACAGCAGGACGCACCAGATGAAGAAAATAATCAGGCAAATTGCTACCTTCTCGCGCCACGCCATACGCACGTCGGGGCGCTTCATGCGGCCGCACAAGCTCAGGAACGGCGACGGGATCCACCACGTCAAGGACCAGGTCATGAACGTCCAGATGCGCCGCGTGCGTGTGGTCTCAAGCTCCTCGATCGTCTCATGCGCCGGCTTCTCATTGCTTGCATCGTCGGCGTTGAATGCAGTGCCCTCGCTGGGCTCCTTGGATGTATGCGCGGATGTACTTTGTGCCGTCCAGCATTTCGTGGCTCTGGGATGCCGCGGCTCCATGGCGAGGCAGCGTGTGTGTCGATGTTGCTGCCGTTGCCGCTGCAAAGCCAGCAGGGATGCTGCGAGTGTCACCCGCCACAAACGACGCAGAGGCTGGCCATTGCGTGCTGTTGGGCATTTGGGCATCCATGTTGGACGAGACTGGGATATTAGGCTGTATATAAGGGAGGCGAGCTGGCGGATGGTGGCGAGCTGTGCTGGATAATGAGTAGGAATACACAAAGCGAATACTAGAAGGACGGCTGGTAGCACTGGTAGAAAAAGAGAAAAATGTATAAAGAACGGTGAAGCTGCTCTCCGGGAATTTGGCTTCTTGACCTGCTCCCTCTTGCCCCCAGACGCTTTATCCATGTTCGGCAAGCGCATTTCCATCGCCTGCTGCTCCCAGAGCATGTATCCGGCCTGAGCCAGCCTCACGCCTGCCGCGTGTGAACGGTGGTGAATTAAGTAGCCCAGGAATTTTTGCTCGTCCCCACCCTCCCTAAAGAATGAAGCTGTGCTTTCCACTACTGTCGAGTATTTTGTGTGTGTTTTCAAGTATGGCCATCGGCTGCTTGGACCAAAACAAAAATGGATAGCACAATGATCAAAGCGCCTGGAATTGGCCACCCCTCCTCTACTGCTGCTGCGTCGAGGGAAAGTCCAAATACAAACACGGCCAATATTTCGTGCCTCCTCTATTCTGGCAACAAAGGCCTAACAACTGCCGGCTTGCTATAGTCCAAAAGTGCCAATGCTGCCATATACCGGACACTATGAGGGGAGAGGCGGCTGCACTGGGTAAACAAAAAACAAGCCGCATCTGCCAGCACGACCGGCTGGGATATCCTCCAGATGGCAGAGCAGCAGACACGCTCCTCCATTGCTAACTATTGCTAGCCATTGCTAGCCCTGCCCGCCAGCCGAGAAAATAAGCATGGGCACCATGTATTCCTCGCAGAAAACGTTCCTTGCAAAAGGCAGTAGGTCTCCGATATGGCGACTATCATTTCTGCCTTTTAGTGATGGCGAAAAGACACAGCCTCCCAGTCAGATGGCATACTTCACCTCGCTGCAACTCCCAAGCACCACCCCAATGCTACAGCGCGCTGCATGTGGCTGTGTCTGCCGTTCCTATGGTGTTTGTTTGCATGCCCACGAAAAAAAAAATGGAGCACTGATGTTTATTGCTTGGTTGGGAACTTTGCAGGGTCCAGCAAAAACAAATGCCCTTTCTTGTTGACCCGGCTCACAAACTCTGTGCGCACCAGCGCATTCAGGTAGTCCAAGCACTTGCTCCGCACAAGCCCACCTCCAACAGCCTTGACTATCTCGTGCACGTACATGCCCTGCCGGTTCAGGTCCAGCTCCTTCAAGATCTGCTCAATCGTGCTACGGTACGGGTCGCTCTGGTACCGGATTGGCAGCCTGTCGATGATACGGCGCGTTTGCAGCACAGGTCTGCGGCTGTGTGCCTTGATAACAACGCGTTTCTTTTGTTGCTGAGCGCCTGGTTTAACGCCGCTTGGGATGCCAGCGCCAGTGTGTGGCTTCTGGGCTTCGGCTGGTGGGGACAGCAGAGGGATGGGTTCTGGATGCATGGGCTCCGGCGGTGGTGTGGCTGGCCGCTCCAGGAAGCGCGTACGAGTCCGTGTTCGGTGCCTCTGGGAACTCCATGCACTCGCTGTTGAGGCGCAAGCCCTGCAGGAACACCGAAAAGTTCCTGTTGAAACTGAGCAGACTGTCGTTGATGCTGTCCAGCTGCTTCATGTTGTCCGACAGCGCCGACACGTTCCGCTGCAGCTCATACAGGCCGTCCTCGAAGCTCTGTGGATTTGGGTAAATGCTAAGTCGCCTTGTTGACATTGCCAAAATGAAAAAAATAAGTTAAAACTAGAGAAATATGAAGCGGTCGCTAACAAAACCCTATTGTTTTCGCTAAAATCCATGATCGAAATCACACGGAGTAGGGGATAATCAGCTCCGATTTTTGACGCCGACACGCCATAATACTGATTCCTTGCCACCATACCTTCTTCTCGTAGCAGATATTCGCCGCTTGGCTGCTTTGTCAGCAGATATTTCACCGCCCGCGGTCTTCTTTCCACTTTTCTATATATACATCGCATACTCGATGCTCTCAAGACTACGCCATCAGCATCAGCATCGGCATCGGCATCAGCACACCCACTTGTCCGCAAATCATTGTTTCACACCGCAAGGCCACTCAAAATGAAGGTTATCCCTGTCCCCTGTCTCTCAGATAACTACGCCTACGTCCTCGTCGACGAAACCGCCAAGAAGGTGTATGCCGTCGATCCAGTCGAGCCTGAGAAGGTTCTACCGGTGGTCGAGTCGACCAAGCTGGACTTTGCCGCCATTCTGACCACGCACCACCACCCTGACCACTCGGCTGGCAACACCAAGATCTTCAACACGGTGCCGAACCTCGAGGTCTATGGTGGTGAGAGCCGCATTCCGAACATGACCCGTGAGCTCAAAGACGGTGACACATTCACGCTGGGCAGTCTTAAGGTGCGCAGCCTAAAGACGCTTGGACACACGACCAGCAGCATCTGCTACTACATCGAAGGCAGCGACGACCGCATCGTGTTCACTGGTGACACCCTGTTTGTTGGCGGCTGTGGCAGGCTGTTTGAGGGCTCTCCAGCGGATATGCACGAATCGCTGAATGTCAAGCTGGCCGCTTTGCCCAAGGATACCAAGGTATATGCGGGACACGAGTACACCCGTAGCAACCTCAAGTTTGCGCTCTCGGTCGATGGCGACAACGAGGCTCTCAAGGCCAAGGCGCTCAAGTGTGAGCAGCTTGAGTGCACGATGCCCAGCACCATTGCCGAGGAGCTGGCTACCAACCCGTTCATGCGCGTGGACCAGCCCTGCGCTGCAGGCAGTCACGGGGGAGACTGACCCCGTCAAGGTCCTTGGTGCTATCCGCAGGCTCAAGGACCGGTTCTGACCGCACATATGCTACTAGTATATTCTTCGATTCTCTGAAAAAGAGTGCTCTTGCCACGATTACTCCTCCGACTCCTTGGCCTCGCCACCATCGGGACGCTTGGGGAAGAGTCAGGATCTTGAAGTTATCGCCGCTGATGGTGGTCGAGTTGACCTCGACATTGTCCTTGTTTGTGTATGTGTCGTAGCGGATCGATCCCTCAAGCTGCACCAGCGCGCTCTTCTTCACCACGCGCATCACCTTGTCAGCATTATTGCCAGTGAAGCGGATCCGGTGCCACGAGGTGTGCTCGAGGAGGTTGCCTTCCTTGTCCTTGTACCGCCGAGAGGTCGCCAGCGGGAACGACGCTAGCTTGTTGCCGTTCTCAAACGTAGTCTCCTGGGGATCAGCACCGACGTTGCCGATCAGAATGACCTTGTTCATGTAGTAGCGGATGCCGCGCGCCTGCGGCTGGAGCGCAGAGCCGGCCATGGCCTAGGAAATAACAGTGCATGAACACATTAGCTGTTTGAAGGCAACCAAACCTGCAGCATCCCCCTAGTATCACAGCCGCGACTTTGTACCTTGACATTGAACGAGCGAGCGAGAGTAGCACGGAACATTTCTGTGAATTCGTGAATTGAGCAAGAGCGTGGATAAATATTTTTCAAACACAGAGCAGAAGCGCAAGACAGCGATTTTGTGATGACGCTGAAGTGGAGGCACAAAATTTTTCCCGGCCAAGTTTGCAACCAATCGAGCGATCATCCAAGTGTCTTTTTTCGCACCCCTACTGTCACCTTTTTTTTTTTTTTTTTTTGACGCGCTCTTTCAAATGCAGCCACCAAACCAGCGCGAGCGCCAACAGCCCCAGGGCCCACCATTCAGACCGCCTGGTGCATTCAATGGAAGGGGACCGCCATTCAGGCCACCATTGCCTCCTGGTATACCGCCAATGCCTGCAATGCACCCACAGCTGCTTCGGCCGCCACTGCCGTTTCCTCCACCTGGTCTACCACGGCCACCACCGATGCCACACATGTCTGCTGACGAACAGCAGACACTGGAGCGGATAGCCACAGAGTACGCGTCGCGACCGGCTGGTACGGACGCGCCGGAGGATATCTCTGCAGGTATGCAAAACTACGGGTTCCTGCATCCACGGTCCCCTCTACATCCGCTCTTTCTGTGGAGAGTCAGCCAGATTCGTAGCCAGGCGAATAGCGGTGCTTGCCGGGCGCCAGTCCCACCACTGCCTCCAGGATTCAGGCCGCCAGGGCCGCCATCAATGGTGATGCGACCATCGCCGCCTGTTCCGCCTGGAATGCCTCCATTACCAGCGCCTAGGCCACCCATGCTGCCCCAAGCATGGCCACTGCAGCAGGACCATGAGCCAGCGAAAAAGGAGGAGAAGCCGAGGGCGACTAAGCGGTATCACGACTTGCCAGCCAGCATTATGCTGGCAGCTATGGATGAGTCCCACTCACCCTACGAGCCGCTACATGTCAACCAGCTGGAGGATAGCGGGTTCCTTGAATCAATAGTTCCCGGTCTCTCGACGTACACTGACAAGCTAAGGCAGCCTGATACAGCTGAAGACATGGAGATGGCGCTGGCACATTTTGATAAAGGGATTCAGCACATCTACGACGAGGGAGAGGTCAAAGACCGCATTGCCGGCGATGTGGATATGGATCGTGAGGGATGGGAGCACGGTGTGGTCGAGGGGCTGCTCTGGGACCGTCGCAAGGGCAGCGCTGAGCGCAAGAGATGGAAGAGACGACAGGAAAAAGCCATGCGCAAGGAGACCCGCCGGAGCCAGTCTGGATCGGAATCCTCAAGTGGCAGCTCGTCGTCAGAGTCTGAATTCAACAGCACATCGGGTGCTAGCAGCGATCGTGGCTCTGGGTCAGACAGTGACTATAGCATACCAGCTATGCCTTCACGAGCACCGCCAGCCAGCATGAGCCGTGCCATAGGAAGCGACAATATTGGGTTCAAGATGCTTTCCAAGATGGGCTGGAAGCAGGGTGAAGGGCTGGGGGCAATGGCAGAAGGCATCAGAGAGCCAATCCGGCCACCTACGAAATTCAGTGCTTCTAGTTCGCGCGGCAGAGGCGGCAGAGGCGGCAGAGGCGGCAGAGGCAAGCAGCGGCCCAGGGCTGGAAATCCAAGACTGCAGCGCACTGGCAGTCCGCCCGTTGGCATGGAGAGCGAGGAACTGTATGAGGATTACCGCAAGCACATGAGCTACATTTACAAACGGTCTTCTGGACGTATGGACGACGGTTGCTCGCCATAGCCTAGGCATGTAACAAAGCCATTGTATTTTCAAACATGTATTAACGCACTATGCATGACATGCTACTCCTGGCACGGCGAGGCAGCAACAATCTCCCGCATCTTCTGCGAAATCGGCCCCTGCGTGTGCGCATAGAAAGCATCGCCGGCCTTGGCCAAATGAACCACATCTTTCGTCCGACCCTGGTTGATTTCCGCCAGGATCTCCTGCGCAACCTGCCTCCCAGCCTCGGTTGGCTCGCGCGATACCCACGACGTCAGCGGTAGCGTAGCTGGTGCCAGCTGGTGCGGGAACACCAGACGTGTCAGCGGCTGGCCCAAGAACGTCATTGTCTCGACCAGCAGCGGCGTGTCAGGACCAACCTCTGCCTCGCCGCTCTGCAGGATGCTCATGTTCACGATATATGGCTTCAGTGCCCACGTGACGATGGCTGTCGACGACCCGGTCATGCCCATTGTCGTTACGGCCAGGATCGTACGCGCAGTTTGCGGGACATCGCTGTCACCGCCGAAAAAGAACGGGATGGCTGCGGACGCACCCACCAGAGAGGCGACAGAGGCCACCTTCATCACTCGCGCCGCTTTGCCAAGGCTGCCCTTGTATACGCTGACCGGCTGCCACTTGCCACTGGCCGCTGGTGCGCTGTAGTACCGGGTGCTGTACTGCGATGCCCGCATGGCGCATTTGCTGATAGCCCGCTGCGAATTCATTTCGCTCAAAACAGAAAGGTAAGAAATTCGGATACAAGCAGGACCGGAAAAGATAAAGGACACAATTCTGTGGCTGATGCGACTAGAAATTCGACTGGGCGCGCAGGAGATCACCGATCCGAACCGAGTTATGGAAATGGTCCGCTCCACTCAGGAACAGCCCTGAGCTTCCTCAGCATCCGAGCGTAAACTGAAAACGCGGAGCGGGCTTCGACTTGCCAGCCTGAAAGGTTTGCTCCCAGCCACCGTTCATAAACTCTCTGGCTGTGAAAGGTATGCACCTGGAATCGGGCTTACTGACAGTGTCGAGGCGTGCGATCTGCTCGGGAGTAAGCGTGAACTCGAGAGCCTGCAAATTGCCTTGGAGCTGGTCAACGGTTCTTGCACCAGCTAGAATCGATGTAATTCCTGGACGCTGCAGAGTCCAGTTCGTTGCGACCTGTGCTGGCGTGCGCCCGATCTCTTGAGCAATCGCCTTGACTTCGTCCAGGATCTCCCAGTTCTTGTCGTCCTCAGTCTGTTTCTTGACAATCGCCGTGCGCAGGCTTGTCACCTGCAGGTCCTTGGCAGTTGAGCGCTCATACTTGCCTGTCAAGAAGCCTGAATCAAGAATACCCCACGGCACTGTCGCCATGCCAAATTCTGCAGCAATGGGCAAGAGGTCGTACTCGTAGGAGCGCTCCAGCAGACTGTACTTGGTCTGCAGTCCAACAAATTGCGTCCAGCCGCGCAGTTCGGCAATTGTATTTGCCCTTGCAACAACCCAAGATGGTGAGCCAGAGATTGCAACGTAGTGTGCCTTTCCTGACCTAACAACGTCGTCAAGTGCCCTCATGGTTTCCTCAATAGGTGTGGACCAGTCAAATACATGCATATAGAGGATATCTAGCGCTCCTGTACGCAAGCGCTTCAGGCTAGCGTCGATGGATTCGGCGAGGGAGCGCCGACCACTGCCTCCAGAGTTCGGGTTTGGGCGACTGGGTATCTGTCCAACCATGCTCTCACCTATCTTCCTGCTGAGCGAGTATTTGGATGCCAACACAATGTCGCTGCGCTTGTCAGAAATCAAGTCGCCCAGGAAGCGCTCTGAGTCGCCGTTGCTGTAGATGTTCGCGGTATCGACAAAGTTGCCGCCTTGCTCGTAGTAATGGTCAAACACCTTGCGTGACTCTTCGAAATCAGCTCCAAATCCAGTGTTGGCACCAAATGTCATGGTCCCAAGAGCGACAGGGGACACACGTAGGCCAGAGTGACCAAACTGCAGGTACTCATCAAGCGACGTCAGCACCTGGTCTGTTGACGTAGAATCGACCGCATCTTTAGTCAAGTGGCTGTTAAAAGGCATTGTAGCTAGTTGTGATTGGAGACAAACCGCTGCAGCAGCTGTGGTCAGGATGAAAGTGGATGAAACGCTCGAGCTTGCTGGTCTGTCCTGGCAGTGTATAGTGTCTCTGTGCGATCCGCATTGTCCTGCTGGAAGCTGCTATGGCTGCATGTGAGCTGCATACGATATGCACCGTTTATTGACTGGATGCAAAGTGCGCATGGCAGGAGTAGAGTGAGGATATTCTGACCGTGGATTGCTGCTGCAATTGCAATCTCTCAACCGCTAAAGTGCTAAGAAAAACCCCAATGGATAGATACAGTACTTGGCTTACAGCCCAATAGTGAATTGGAACTGAGGTGCAGGCTTCGACTTGCCGGACAACATGAACTGGTCCCAGCCGCCGTTCTGCACAAATCTAGTAGAGACTGGCACAGACTTTGGATCAGGCTTACTGACAGCGTCAAGGCGTGCGATCTGCTCGGGAGTAAGCGTGAACTCGAGAGCCTGCAGATTGCCTTGGAGCTGGTCAACGGTTCTTGCACCAGCCAGGAATCGATGTAATTCCCTGGACGCTGCAGAGTCCAGTTCATTGCGACCTGTGCTGGCGTGCGCCCGATCTCTTGAGCAATCGCCTTGACTTCGTCCTAGGATCTCCCAGTTCTTGTCGTCCTCAGTCTGTTTCTTGACAATCGCCGTGCGCAGGCTTGTCGCCTGCAGGTCCTTTGGCAGTCGAGCGCTCATACTTGCCTGTCAAGGAAGCCTGAATCAAGAATACCCCACGGCACTGTCGCCATGCCATTATCTAGAGTGGCTGGCAGCAGGTCGTGCTCATAGGAGCGCTCCAGCAGACTGTACTTGGTCTGCAATCCAACAAACTGTGTCCAGCCGCGCAGTTCGGCGATGGCATTTGCCTTCGAAAACACCCATGCCGGTGTGTCGGAGACAGCAAGGTAATGTACCTTGCCTGACCTGACAGTATCATCAAGTGCTCTCAGGGTCTCCTCGATAGGCTGTGGACCAGTCATACATGTGTATATACATAATGTCCAGCGAACCCTGTACGCAGGCGCTTCAGGCTAGCATCGATAGACTCTGCCAGGCTGCGGCGACCGTTACCACCGCCATTTGGGTTTATACGACCAGGTTCCAGACCAGCAAACTTTGCGCCGACCTTGGGATTGGCTGTGTACTTGGATGCCAACACAATGTCGCTGCGCTTGTCAGAAATCAAGTCACCCAAGTAGCGCTCCGAGTCGCCGTTGCTGTAGACGTTCGCGGTATCGACAAAGTTGCCGCCTTGCTCGTAGTAATGGTCAAACACCTTGCGTGACTCTTCGAAATCAACTCCAAATCCAGAGTTGGAACCAAATGTCATAGCTCCAAGAGCTACCGGCGAGACACGAATGCCTGAGCGGCCAAACTGTAGATACTCATCAAGCGACATCAGCACCTGGTCTGTTGATGTAGAATCGACGGTGTCCTTGGTAGGCTGGGTGGATGAAGACATATATTCTGGCGGCGGAAAAGAAGCTGTGTGGAGTGAGCTGAAGGTAAACCAGCAAAGAGCACTGCGGGTTTTTATATCCACAGGTTGGCATGGAAACACCGTATGCTGCGGCTCTCAGGTTGCATCGAGTCGTGAGTATTTCTAATAGTGCCAATGGCACATAAAACAACACCGCATAATGCATTCGTAAGCACGGTATGCGTGGCGATGTGAGATAAATTAATGGCTGATTATGTGGATTTACGGCGTACGTTGATTTAGTTGGGTGATGACATAGTGTAGCTTTTTTTGTGAAGTGAAACTGAAAAGTTAAAAGATAAAAGATAGTTGACAGATTCGCATAGACATGCGAAATCAAGCCCTGGTGGGCGGCACAAGATCGAGCATAACATCGAAGGAGCCGGTTCCAGAAGCGACGGGCTGGCCCATGACAATGCGAGCCGACGGGTTTGTCAGCTGGTCAAAGTCGCCAAACACGGTCGCTTCCTGCAGGAAGGTGCACGTCGACTCGAAGCTCATCTTGGCGAACGGACTCGGGCTCGACGAAAGGCCGATACGGTTGAATGGCTTGAAACCGCCCTCAAAGGTCATGTAGTCAGCAACAAGGCTAAGATGCCGCTTGTCGACTGTGATATCGTAGGTGCCAAACACCTGAGCAATCTCGCGCATGATCGAGGATCTGGCAGCCTCGACACCGTAGGTGCGGAGAATGGCGGCAATGTCGTTGGTGTACAGGTGCTTGAGGTTGATCCACTCGTCAATGCCCGTGGGCTTGTCAGTCGCAGCGATCTCGTCCAGTGGCAGCAGCGAGGCCTCCCAGATGCCGCGGATGTTGGAGCCACTGGATCCAATTCTGAGCGTCGTGTCCCTCTCCGACTCGGGCCCGTCGATGTAGCATTCGGAGATGCCAGTGATCTCACGCACAACTGTAGCACGCACGGCGTCCTCGGTCAGGCTGAGCATGAGGAACTTTGGCGTGGTGGCAGGGAACTGCATCTCGATCTCAGCGTACGTCTCTGTGCCTTCGTCGACAAAGTTGTAGCCGACAACATGCGGGTAGCGCTTAACCATGCGCTTGCGGCGCTTGGCAAGGGACATGGCCATGACGCGCTGGATCTCCTCTTCGTCATCCTCAGACTCGGACTCGGACTCTGAATCGGAGGCATCATTCTTGGACGAGGAGGTCTTGCGCTTGGCATCGGAATCGAGCTCATCGAGCTCAGCGTCCATGTCCTCGAGCATCTTCTTGTCCTCATCATCGGGGCCGTCGTACGACTTTTGCTCCGAACGACGCGCAGCAGCACGAGCATCGTCCGCATCACCATCTCCGGCCTCGTCGTCCTCGTCCGATTCAATATCGGATTCGTCGACTGCGTCGTTGTCTTCCTCTGCCTCCTCCTCGTCGGCAGCCTTGGTCTTGCGCGATGGAGCATCAAGGTCATCGCTCTTGTCGATGACCTCGTCGGACAGAGCAGTGCGGTACGTGCGCTTGAGATCCTTGGCAATCAGGGCCTCGAGCTTGTTGGCAAAGTGGAACTCGAGTGCGTGCTCGATATCGCCACGAGACACATCGTGCTCCTCCTCGTACTCGTTCGACGGGAACATTTGCAGGCGGATCGTGTACTGGCGGTAGCGGCGGTGGTCGTGCGACTCCTTCTTGGCCGAAAGGCGCTCCTTGACCTCGACGTAGTCAATGACATCGCTCAAGGTGAGCTTGGAGAGCGCACCAGCAATGACCTTGGCCTGCTCCTTGGTAACACCGTCAGCCATATGGATCTTCATGTTCGGCGCCGACGGACGGTCGGTGGCAACCATGACGATTTCACGCAAGCGCGGAATGCCGAGGGTGACGTTCTTGGCGCCGAAACCAGCAAGATGGAACGTGTTGAGTGTCATCTGGGTCGAGGGCTCTCCAATACCCTGGGCGGCAATCAGACCGACGCTCTCTCCCGGATCGATGAGCGAGTGAAGGTAGTTGAGGTACTGCAGCATGCGGAAGTTGCGCGGCGAGCAGTCTGGGTTCACCTGTCGACAGCAGCGCGTTGTTGTCCATAACCGAGGCAAGCATCTTGTTCGACTCCTTGCTATTGTTGGCATCGCCAGCCTTGGAATGCTTCTTCTTGCCCTTCTTCTCGTACAGCAGTCCGCTGGGGTTGGACTCGAGGTACTTCTCGAGCTCAATGTAGAACCGCTCAGAGACAGCACCGAGGTACCGGCTCGGGTTGAAGCGCGAGCAGATTGGCTCACCTTCGATATCGCGCGGCGTGCCGTCACCAACCTTACCGAGGAGCTTCTTGGCATACTTGCGAGCCTGCGAGTCATCGAGCACGGCAGCGGCGCTGCCCGGGTTGAACTTGTCGCGCAGGGCACGGTAGTTGGCTGCGGCAAAGTCGAACTTTGTCAGGTGCTGGCACTTGAGCACATCAAGCGCATCCTCGCCGTACTGGAACTGGATCACAGAGCCATCGGCATCGCGCACCGTGTAGTCGTAGTGGACCCTGATGCCCTCAAGATGCTTGATAAGACAGCGCTGCAGATAGCCGGAGCGCGAGGTCTTGACGGCAGTGTCAATGAGACCCTCACGGCCAGCCATGCAATGGAAGTAGAACTCCTGCGGCGTCAGGCCGGTCAGGAATCGGCTGGAGACATAGCCACCAGCACGACCAGTGCTGTCAAAGGGGGCAAACGAGGGCAAACTCTTGCCACTGACCATCAGCGGCACACGGCGGCCCTCGAGTGACTGCTGTCCCAGGCAGCAAGCAATCTGCGACAGGTTGACATTGGAGCCCTTGGCACCAGACACAGTCATCACAAGCATGTTGTTGTGCGGGAACGGCAGCTGCAGGTAGTTGGGCAAGCACTTGGCGACCACCTCGCTGGTGATGCTGTTCATGCTGCCTTGGATGTTGCCATCGAGCTGAGCCAGCTTGACTTGGCTGCGAAGCACCTCCTTCCATGCGGTTGTGGAACTCGTGCTGCACATTCCGATCCTTGTCGAGCTGCGCAGCCGAGTAGTCTTCAAGACCGACAAACTTGAGCGTTGTCTCGATAGCCGTTGGTGGTCTGGTGCTTCAGGATCTCCTTACGAGCCTTGTCGCCCTCCTTGTCCAGCAGCAGGTCCTGCATACGGCAGCTGAAACCAATCTCCTGTAGGTAGCGCACAAACAGACGGCTGAGGGCTGACAGGAAACGGCCAGCATGCGTAGGCGTGTACAGCTCGTAGATCGTGTGCACGAGGCCGTATGACGAAGCACCGAAACTGCGACTTGTCAAGAATACCGACCAGCAGTTCGCTGTCAAGAACCAGGACTCGCTCCTCCTCCTCAGCAGTCCGGCCCCAGAACTTCTTGCCAACCTTGTCCTTGGACACAATGTTCAGTGGCGCGTACCCCCAGGTCAGGTTGAGCAGCAGAGTCGAGATAACCTGCTTACCGGTCCACATGGGCTTGGGCTTGAAGATCGCAGGCGGCAACAGCTGGACCTTGCCATCAGGGAGCTGGGGCTGGTTCTCAGGGCGCAGCGCCCAGTACACAAGCTCCTGGTACTCGCTGCGGGTCATCATCGTGTCGCGCTTGGTCATAATGACACCGCCATCGACCGAATCCTGGATAAGACCACGCAGCGGCCCGCCATCGGTCGGGTTGAGATACGTCAGGTCGGCACCCATGATGCCACGCAGCTCGGCGCGAGCAGCTTCGGACTGCGGGAAGTGCATGTTCATCTCGTCTCCGTCAAAGTCAGAGTTGAACTGGTTGCAGTTCATGTAATGGAACCGCAGCGTGCGCTCGCCGGGCAGCACATGAGCGCGCATACCAGCCATCGAGGCACGGTGCAGCGTGGGCTGACGGTTCATAACAACCATATCGCCGTTGCGCAGATGGCGGTAGACCTTCTTGTTGACCCCGGTGGCACGGGTGGTGAACACGTTGCCGATGCCAGCAGTCTTAGACGACGCGTCCTGCGGCGTCAGCAGCTGGTTGGCCAGCGCGACACGCGACTCGTGGCTCAGGCGGTCCAGGTAGACGATCGATCCATCCTCGTGCTGGACCGAAACGGCTCCAGGCCACTTTTCGGGACCATTGATGACCAGCTGGCGCATCTCCTTGACGTTGTGCGCAGTGACAGGCTCGGGGAACGTGAGTTTCTGGGCAAACACAGGCGGAACGCCGAACCTCATCGGACTCCAGGTTGGGGTCGGGCGAAATGACCGAGCGGGCAGCATAGTTGACACGCTTGCCCCATCATATTCTGGCGGAAAAGACCCTCTTTCTTCTCGAGCACCTGGCGGATTCCAGGGATCAGGCGCCTTGCCGTTCTTGCCCAGCGTCGGGTTCTTGGAGCTGTCCATGACGTTGTTGACAGACTGCTGCAGCTGGACCCACGAGTTAACCACACGCTCAAAGCTCAGACCACCTTCAGCGGCCTTTGCCAGATGGTGCTCGGAGCTGCCAGCCTCGCCGCTGACAAGGTCGCGCAGGTACACACACGTCTTGAGCACGCTGCCCAGGTACACATTCTGCGGGTTCTCCATGATGTCATCGGCCATGATCGCAGCCGGGCGGAACTTGGTCGGCGACACCGGCAGTGCCTCGATGAAGAACATGTCGGCGAGCTGCATCGGCGAACGCTTGTCAGCAGGCAGCGTCAGCGTGTAGTTGGACTTGAAGTCGCCGATCGCGTCCAGGCCGCTGGCGGCACGCGCATCGCGCTGCTGGAACAGCAGCTGGACGATATCGTACTCGTTGCCAAACAGCAGCCGCAGGTGGTTGCGCAGGTGGATCGGAGTCATAAACACCGATCCCTTCTGCTGCTGGTTGGCGGACTTTGTCGGATGGGCGTCAACCGAGTCATAGGTGTCCTCGACATCAGTGGAGTCGCTCTCGTCGTTTTCTCCATCAGACTCCCTGTCGTCGACCTCCATTGCAGAGCCAGAGCCATTCTGTTGGCTCTTGCCGATAGCCAGCTTCTGTGCCTCCTTGGTCAGGGCTGCCACATCAAGATTCAACACGTCGCGGTACGTCATGCCCTTGGACTGCTGGGCAGCCTTCTGCTTACGGGTCAGCTCCTCGCGGAACACCTTCAGGTAGCCGTCGCGACGCAGCTTGGGCTGGGGTCCACGGCAGTTCTGGCACGTCTGGCCACGGCTACGACCGATCAGTTCGCGGATCACCGCGCGCCGGGCCTGGTTGACCATGGTGACCTTGTACGTGGACCGCTCGCAGCTGGCCATCTTTTCCTCGACGTAGTCATTGATGCGCTTGATGTACTGTTCAGACGTCTCGCCGCCCTTCTTGTGTTTTGAGGAGCCGTCCTCCTCGTCGTCGACATCCATCTCCTCGTCATCGTCGTCGGCAGCCGAGGACTTGCCCGACTGGGGCAGCAGATCATCGAGATCACTTGCCTCCTGGATCAAGCCAAACTCAAGGAGCCGAAGCTTTGCCGTATAGCGTGCAGCCTACAAACCACTCTGCCGTTAGTCACCCGCAAAAACATCTGGATAACACGCATGTGCATGGCAAACTTACCGTGACGCGATTAAAGGTGAACTTGTGGCAGTACGGGCAGCACCCCTGCAGGAACCGATACAGGGTATCAAACATCATCGGGTTGACAACTGGCGCCGGCAGCTCGATGTGACCAAAATGGCCCGGACAGTTGAAGTAGTCGAGCGAGCAGGTGCCGCACAAGTGGTGCTTTGTGAACGGACCCATCGCCGGATCATACAAGCCGCCCTTGGTCGGGTTGCCCAGCGAGTCGAGCAGGATCGGGTTGACCACCTGCTTCACCGACATGCGCCGCACCTCGCTGGGCTCGTAGAACGTGAACGACACGCCCGTGATCTTTGAGTTAACGGGCTGTGCGATATTCATCCTCGCTCAGTGTCTCCTTTCCGTTAGTCCGAGAAGTGTTCTTTGAAAAACGGGCTTTTAAACCCAGTGTTTGTAAGTGGAGAGGGGGTTGGACTCTGAATTTATGCTCTCACACACGGGGCAAATGAGCCAAGAGAGAGTTGCGAGTGCGATGAAATAGGATATGTATAAAATTGGTTGCTGCTAGAGGCGAAGAGGAAGAGAGCTACATGTGCGATCTGTGTTTAAAGACCCAACTAAAAAAAAAATTTTTGTTCTGCGAGCCGACTTGGTGAAATCACAAGCCGAAAATTGAAGGGACCTGGAGCCGGCTCGGCTCGCGGAGTCAGATATTGGCCGCAGCGGATCTCAGGACCCACAGAGCGTCATTGCCACCAGCCCTGTCGACTTTGCCCTGGGCCAGCAGCTTCTGCAAGTGCAGTGTGACGTTGTGCTGTGCGGCCAGGATGACCCTTGGATCCGTTACTTCCGGGTATATGTCGCTGGTTATGTCTGCCACACTCCACGCCCGGCGGCGCCCAGCGGTTTCACGGCCCAGCACAGCTAGGATCTGGCGCTCACGCATGTTGCGGTGGCTGATGTACCCCTCAATGACCTTGACTGCATCGCCTGTGCTGTGGATAACAGGGCCATGGCCAGGCAGCAGCGCTGCAGGCTGAATCCCCAACACTCGCTGCAGCGAGTCCATGTACGGTGCCAAATCATCCACAATCGTGGTGCCCTGGCCCAGAATGAGGTCCCCAGTCACCAGCATCGGCCCGCTGCCCTCGTCGACCGTAAACGCCATATGGTCCTCAGTGTGTCCTGGCGTAAACACTGCCTTGATCACCGCCCCGTCCAGACAGAATTCCTGCGAGTCCCGTATGTCAAACAGTCGGCCACTCTTGGCGGCCGCTGCCAGTGCCTCGGCGACCCTCTGCTGCCCGTCGACACCGGAATGGCTGTTCTTGAACGCACGGCAGTCGGGCGTCGTAATCGACGTATCGCTGAGCATCTTTGATAGTCCGCCAATGTGGTCCAGGTGCCAGTGCGTCAGTAAAATCTGGTCAATGCGGCAACTGCCGAGGCTCTTGCGCAACAAAGCCAGGTACTCGGGCTCAGCGCCGTCGCCAGTATCAATAAGGGTCCGGCGCGGGCCGCTACCGACTATGTACGTGTTGGTGCCCTGCAGCGTGAACGGGCCAGGGTTCAGCGCCAGAACGCGCAGGATGTTCTTCGAGACCTGCTCTACAGTGGCCAGCTTGTCCATGGTGTCCTCAGAGTTGTGTAAAAAACCGCGGAATGATACAGGAGGAGAGACAAAAGTCCGCAGTGGCGTTCAGATGTGCTCGAGCGGCGTCCTGCGCCAAGCATGTGGGAGTCGCTTCCGGTTAAAGAATACACCCGAAAAACGCCTGCCAGACATGACACCAAGACAGAAAAAGCTCTATATTGGACGAGGACAGAAGATAAAGTTGAAACGAGTAAGAAAAACAGGTAAGCAATATGTCGAACAGTTGGATGTTTTTAGAGGATGTGGTCAACCAACAGGCTCGTCAGCTCGGCAAGCTCTCTCCAGTGGTTCATGTTGGTCTCGAACAGGATGGCTCTGCCGAGGCCGCTGAAGCCAATCTCCGCCAGGTACTCGCGGTGGGCTGGCATGATGCTGCGGTCGAACGTGGTCTCGGGCACCGGCCAGCGATGGCGACGACGACTGCGCGCTGAGCACGCTTGACTCGTCGGTGATCCGCGAGATCAGGCGGTCGCCCGAGTCGTCACGACCGCGTGTCGGCGGCGCGTGCGATGCCCGGTGTGAGCTGGACTGCATCATGGTCGGGCTGATCGGGCTGGTGACGTTCAGGGTGCTGGCGCCCACAGTTGCTTGTGTCGAGGACGAGCCAGCACTGGTGATAGCCGCGTTCAGCGACTTGCGCGTGCCCATCGACTGGTCGTAGTGACCTGAGCCGCTCTCAGCCGACGACGGCTGGTGCTGCAGCAGGCGCTGCTGCTGGATGAAGACATCGGGGTCGAAGTTGGGCCGGGCAACGACCTAGGCGCACCATGATGTCGTGCAGCTTGTGCGTCAGCTTCGGACTATGGCTGTTGTGCATCATGTTGGAGATGGTTGGCGCCAGGGACTCGATCACCATGATGGTCTTGCTCTGGTCGGCCCAAGTGATGTTCGACGCCAGGATGCTGTACAGGATCATGATGTCGTGCTCGACCCGCGTCTTGTGCAGCATGGCAGCAATGATCGATGGGTACAGGATGTAGTCCGTTTGGCTCTTGTGTGCAATGTCGATGCGGTGGACCTGCTCTAGGATCGGGCCGAAATCCGCCGTACTCGAGCGACTGCCGCAGCTCGGGCGTCGTGACCAAGCCGGCAACGGTAAACACATGGCTGACGGCGTTGCGGGCGTTCGATGTCGGCAGGATCAGGATCAGGTACGGCAGGATCAAGGTCCAGACGGCGCGTGGCCTGGTCGGGGCTGGCCAGCTGCCACTTGCGGCAGTTGGACACAATGTTGATGATCTGGACCAACCACGTCGTAGCACTCATCCTTGGTCTGCACATCCTCCATACCCTTGAGCAGCAGCAGGCACAGCGCAGGCGGGGAAGGACGACCGGAAGCTCAGACCAACCACCTCATCGAGCTGGTCGGCGGCCTTTTCGACTGGCACGCGAGCCGACATCAGGAAGTCCTCAAACCCATTGCCTGTTCTCGGGCTGGAACGCGCCGCAGTTGTCCAGCGCGCGCAGGACCTTGGCCAGAAGATCCAAGCCGACCTTGTAGAGCGGGATGTTGCCGATCTGCAGGATACCAATGGCCAGCCAGAACATCGGCGCCAGGTACGACGAGTCAGGCGGCAAATTGCCGACCATGCTGACCAGGCAGATCAGCACCGAGATGGGCAGCGACTCGTCAGTATCGCCAAGGGTCGCTAGAGCGCCGCGCAGTGTTGCCAGCGTCTGATAGAGCAGGTCGTCGTCGACTTCATCGTACGATGCCAGCTTACCGAGCAGCGCAAAGGCGCGCGGCTGGATAGCTGGGTTAAACACAAAGGTCGACGACGTGACCAGCGTAGTCCAGCGAGAGCGCCAGGCATTTGACCTGCCGTCGGCATATGCCGGGTTATCCATGATCCGCAGGAACAGCTGCGCAATGCTCTCAACAGCCGACAGCGCCTCCTGCGGCGACTCGTGGGCAAACGATGCACTGCTCTGCAGCTCGTCCTTGTACTCCATCAGCGCCTGAGGGTTGAGTGTTGATGCAGCGCCACCACGGGTGTAAGACGAGGCAATGAACGTCACTGCACTGGTGGTCTTGGACCGCAGGCCAAAGCTGAACCGCATCTTGGGCTGGTTCAGATCAGCCAAGATCTGCGCCAGCTGCGCGTAGGGCGAGAGCAGCGAGGAGTCGGTCGCTCCGCCGCTGCCGGCAGCCGCAGTGGCAGCACTATCCAGAACTTCGTCGCCAGTACCGTCTGTGAACTGACGGGCAGGGCTGACGGCAAACGACACATCGCCGGTGATACTGGTGCTGAATGTCGAATCGATGATGAGTCCGCTGCACTGCGACAGGGCCAGACTGTGCACGACATGCATCACAATACCGTGCAGTGTTGAGTGGATGATGCCAGGCCCGGCCTTGAGCAGCATGCAGGTAATGAAGGCAACATCGGGCAGGTACTCTTCAGCCAGCATGCGGTTCGAGAAGGTCAGCGGCAGCAGCAGCCGCAGGTACACTGCGATCTCCGGCCACAGCTGGTGCGTGTGGATGAAGGTAACGCTCATGGTGCACGTTTGCGCGATGAGCTTGCGCAGGCGGGTGACCAGCTTGTTGTACCGCGGGTTCTTGCCAGCCACAGTGGCCAACATGTCGGCAATCAGCTCAGTCTCGACAGTCAAGGCGCCGTACTCCAAAGCCACCGTCAGGAACATGTCGAGAATAATCTCGGTCAGGTCCTCGACACGCGCAACAACCGACCACACATGCTGCTTGAAGTGCATGTACATGCTGGGTTCCTTCAAGTGCAGGTGGATCAGGATTGCGAATGATGTCCTGGGTACGCTGCAGCGCATCCGGATGAGTCACAGAGTCGTGGGTGTACTGGCCCAGGCACACCAGCCAGGGCTGGATGTACTGCAGGATCCACAGCCGCATGTTGGGGGCCGACTTGGAGAACGCAACCAGGGCCTCGGACAGAAGCTCGAGGGTCATGTCGGGCGCCGACATGGCTAGCTTGGTGCCGATCCGGCTGATGAACTGCAGCGGGTTAGGCGGCAGGCACAGGTCAATAGCGTACGCCAGCTCATGGCCCACATCGATGTTGAAGGTGGCCACAATCGCTGTCAGCATGCGGTAGGCAGAGATACGCAGCACCGCATGCTCGGCACCGCAGTTCAGCAACGCAATGTTGAGCAGAGTGCCCGGCACATCCGAGGGCCGAATGATGCGCTCAGGCACGGCAGGCGCCGACGAGTGGTTGTTGTAGCGAGTGCGGGCCGTGCGGATAGCGCGGTACAGCTGGTCGGCCTTGGGGCTGGCAAACACCAGCGACGAGCTACCGCCCTCGAACCGGATCGACACCAGCTGCTCGTCACTGTTGCTCTTGGAATGCTTGCTCAGCGTGCTAGGCCGCTCGCTCTCAGAGCTGCGGCTGGCTGTGCGGTGTAGACCCATGCGGCCCTTGATGCCGCTGCTGGCATCGTGGTCGGCCTCGCTGCTGTCCGGGCGGTTGTTGGCCGACAGGAGCTGCAGGTCCGCAATCTCGGTGATATGGTAGACGTCGTTAAAGTAGGTACTCAAGCCAAATACCTCCTGGCGCCGCATCGCCGTGATCTGGATCGCCTCCGGTGTGACCTTGACCACGCAGGGGAGCGGGGCATGCGAGCGCGACACACGGGTGACCGGCGAAATGTTGATGCCGCCCTCGCCGTCCAGAGACACAGGTTCCGGGCGGCAGGTCAGCCTGCGGGCTGGCCAGGAACTCGTTGAGGTCGCCGAGCGAGTGCGGGAACACCGAGCGCTTGGCGATGCGCGGTGGCAGCGTGATGCCCATGTGCTTGACGTACTTGCGGAAGTGCGTGTTGACATTGTACCAGTACACAGACTGCGCGCTGTGCAGAATTCCCTGCGGGATGATCCGCCGCAGCTGCGTCAGCCACTGCAGGGGAACCTCGTTGGCAGGGCCAAACTGCGTCAGGTCAAAGAACACCTCGTACGACTTGTTGGCGAAGGGCTCCAGCGTACGCATAATGTGCAGCAGCACCAGATCCATGTCCAGGTACTGCATCTGCAGGCGGCGCACAATGATGTAAATCACAGGCCGCTTCTCGCGGGACACGCCGCCAATGTAGATGATGGCCTTCTTGGCGATCGCGTCGGTGGGACGGTGCGCGTCGCGACGCAAGATGTCATAGAACACATTTTCGCTGTTGATCTCGGCCTCGGCCATCATCTTGGACGGGGCGTTTTCGGTCACAACCGGCGGCGGCGGACCCAGCTGGCGCATGACATACGAGACCTGGGTGTATAGGTTCTCGGTCGATGTAGCCATGCCGACAGACTCGGCCATGTTGGCCTTGCTTTGGTTCGCGCTGACATCGGCCGCAGAGGCATTGGCGGCGGCGGCGGCAGCAGGCGACTTTTTGTCACTGCCCTTTTTGCGGTCGGCCGGCTTGGCCATATGGCCCTGCAGGCGGACCATCGACTCGCGAGACAGGTACGTCTCGAGACGATCCATGTGATCAAAGATGAACCGCTGGACTACTAGGAACTGCTTGCTGTCAACGGCCAGGGCAATCTGGCTGCTGGTGTCGGTGTCAGGCTCAGACGGAGCGCCATACTCGGTGCTCGGCCGTCCGCCGCCAGTGCTCGAGGCAATAGAGCGGGCATGGCCCTCAAACACCGAGTCCGACTCATCGGGCAGCTCGGCGATCTCGGACAAGAAGTTCAGAATACGTGGGCGGTTTTCGTTGATGAAGCGGTTGAGCGGAACCATGTACGTCTCCTTGTTGCCAAACGGCACGTCGTTGGCCAGGTTATGCGTGATCTTTGTGCACAGCAGCAAGCCGCGGCGGATCTCTGGGTTCTCGATCTGCGCACAAATGCCATGCGAGTCGGGGGCCACGATAGCTGGGCAGAGGAACCGCAAGAAGATGAATCCGCCGACAGCGGTATAGCCAGCGTCGGGGAACCGCGTGGTGACCACCCGGTAGATCATGTTACAGATCGAGCGGAAGGCAGCCGGCATGCTGTGGACCGAGCGCACGATCGCGTCAATGACTAGCGAGCACAGCCGCTCAACGTTCTTCAGGTTGCGGTCGCGGTCAGCCGACTCGGACATCTTGTTCGGGTTCAGCTCAAACGTCAGCGTGCCTGGCGGCAATGACATCAGCTTGCGCAGCGCAGGCCCCAGCGTAGACTTGAGATACGCATCGCCGTGGATCTTGGCAAAGTACGACAAGAGTCGCGTCGCCAGGCAGTTGCGACGGAACAGCTCGGCCGCGGAATCAGTGCGCTCCAGCTCCACCGTAATAATGCGTTCCAAGAGCACCTTGATCGAGTTGCGCGACTCAAAGATGTCAGTCAGCACAGCGCCCAACTCATCGATATCTTGCACCTGGCACACCTCGTTAATGGCCAGCAGGAGCTTGAGATCAGGATGGACCAGCATATCAATCAGACGCGCCTTCCAGTGGTCGGGCGTGTCGCCGCTCAGACTGTCGATGTCGATACCCTCGCGCAGAATCTCAGTGAACATGTTGGTGAACAGCGCACGCAGCTTGGGGTCCTCGTGATAAACAACGGTCAGCGAATACTGCAAGCCAATCTCCAGGTTCGCTGCCAGCATCTTGGTCAGCGCCTTAATCGAGATGTCAAGCAGAATCTCGGCGTCCTTGGGCGTTCTCGCGGCCGACCCGCTGTTGCATCGTTGTCGTCTGCCCACCGGCAGAGGCCACGGCGCTGCTGGTGCTGTAGATGTTGCGCGCAATCTCTCGGCCAAGCCCCACATCACTGGGCGTGGCAACAAAGCTCTCACTGCGGTTGGTCCGGTTCCGAGAAGACATAGGATTGGCAGAGCCCACAGCACCGCCGGCCACATTGCTGCCGCCCCCGCCCCCAGTTGCAGCCAAAGCTGATGCCGCAGCACTGCCTGCAGCATGGGCGCTGGCAATGGTGCTGAACTCCTGGATCTCAACCATGCGGCACTGGCTCATGAAGCGCACAAAGAAGTCAAAGTACCGGCGGTAGGCGCGGCTGCGCAGCGTGCGGACGTCCGATGACTGCGACGAGCTGCCCTGACCGGCTCCATTCAGCGGCTTGATCGGCAGCTTGTCAAGGATCTGCGAGATCGCGCGCATGCTGGTAGTCGTCAGCTCCATCATCAGCTTGTAGTTCGGACCGTCGTCGGCCCGTGGCGACCGCGGATCCACCACACGCAGCTCGGTGATCCAGTTAACCAGCGTCTCCAGCAGATCGTTGCGCACGCTGACCTCCTGCACAATCGCCTGGCGCATGGCCGACTGCAGGAACATCACCACCAGGCGGGTGAACCGCACTCGCTCACTCAGCGCTCCGTGCAGCGTATGCGTGGCCGCAGCATTCAGATATCGGCTCATGGTTGTCAGCACCATTCCCAGATCCGTGTTGAACACGCTATGGCTCAGGTTCTCGGCGTCGGCGCGGTTGATCAGCGCCTTCATAATGATGATGCACTGCCGATAAACAGCGTGCGGCTGTCCGACACACTGACCTCGCCAGTCGACTGCACAAACCGCTTCATGCTGTACATGCACCGGGCAATCAGCAGCACCGAGATACCAGAGTGCGTCTCGTTGCTGAGCACCTCCTTGGCACTTTCACGCAGCAGAATGTCGTCGGACACCACCAGCTCCAACGTCTCGCCGACAAAGTGCTCCAGCAGCGCATGGATCTCGGATGTGTCGCTGCTACCCATCCGGTTCATAGCACCAGAGCCATCAGGAATACACGAGCCGCCCGACGCCAGTAGGAATCCAGTGCAGCTCTTCCACTGCGCACGCAGCTCGTTCAGCGTAGCCATCGGCGAGTTGATGATGGCTGGCAGATGCGCGCCAGCGGCGATCCCACCCGGCGTGCGCGACGGCAGACTGTCTATGCTCTGTCCAGCACCAGCGAATCCACCGGCTCCATGATTGCCCGAGCTGGGCATGGTCGCAGCGTGCGGTGTGGTTGGGCTCGCCACGGAGCTGGAAACAGAGCCGGGCAGGTTTCCTGTACTGGCAACAGCAGCGGCTGTCAGATTCGTCGAGCCAATATCGTTGCCGCCGCGGTTTCCGGAAGCGCGCATCACGAGCTTGTTGCCCTGGCTAGTGAACTTTTCGTAGAACGGGTTGCGGCGCTTGCTGGTAGGCTCCTTACGGTCATGTGCGTCCTTGGTTGGCGTCGAGGGCACCGATCCACCGTGGTTTAGCGACATGTTGGCCATGTCGCGCTCCACCGAGCCGTCGGCCGACCCTCCCACAGCTGACGCCCCAGCAGTGGTTCGCACCGAGTCGTCACGCATCTGCAGCGCCTGCAGCATCTGGCGCCACAGCTTGTACGTCTCCTGCCACGCAGCCTGGGCGCCAGGGGTCGGCTTGATGTGCTTGCGGATCGTGCGGAACACAGCCTTCTTCTGGGCAACACGGCTATACACACCCGCCTGCTGGACATCGCCGGCAACCAGCTCCTGGTACAGCCTGCTGTTGGCCAGCGTCGAGTCCATGTTTGCGCCGCTGATGCTGCTGATTAGCTGCTGGCTGTGGCACTTCAGGCGGATGCACTCGAGGATGATCTGGGTAGTGTCTGGCATCGTCAGCCCACAGATGGAGCATGACGACAACCTCAAAGGCAACCTCAAACTGGGCGTTCTCGGGCAGATCCATCTCAGCACCAACAACGCCCACTGCTGGTCTCGAGGATGTTGTTCGACAGCACCAGCATGTCATGCATCAGCTCCAGCAGCTGCCGGTGCTGCATCATCGAGCTCGACACCATGCTGTGCACCAGCGCACGGCAGATGCCCTGGATCACCTGCAGGCTCAGGGTCCACACGGCAAACGCAATGTCCTCGGTCAGCATCCAGTCAGCAAGGCGCCGCGGGCTGAACAGCGCACGTAGCACATTGCCTGCCAGCCGCTGCACTGCAATCGAGGGCTCCTGGATGCACGCCGAGATCGAACTGACAATGGTCTCAAACGAGTCAAGCCGCTCCATCTCGTTCTCGCCCCAGATTGCCAGCTTCGGCTCCTCAATAAACGTGTTCAGGATGGTTGCCACAATCTCGATGCGCTGGCGTGTCTCCGAGGCCGGAATCAGCGAGTGCGAGTCGTTGGACGTCGGACACGTTGAATCCAATGTCGTATATAGACAGGCTGTCGCTGTATCCGCCGCCATGCGCCCGCCGCGACCCTGCAGTATTGCCGCGCCGCTGCGCCTGCTGCTCGCTGACCGACTGCAGATGGGCAATGTTCTTGCGCAAAAAGTCGCCAAACGCCTGCGTCACCATCCGATGGAACATGGGGTACGACACCGTCGAGTTTGTGTAGAACCGCTTGCCGATGGTCATGTGCACTGCATGTGCAAACACCAGGTTCATCGACACCGGCGACTTGGGGCCCGTCATCAGCGGCAAAAAGTACCGTAGCGCCCGCTCGGGGTCCATCTCCAGCTGGCTCACCAGGCTGTACGCCAACAACATCGACGAGTCAACAGCCTCTTCGCGCGACGGCGCCAGCAAACGCCCGCTGTCAAGAAGAACACGGTTGGCATCGGCCTCCAGGAGGTGCGCCAGCCGGGTGATGTTGTTTCCAGGCAGCACCGCCAGGGTTGCCGCAACGCGCAGCAGATCCAGGGCTGCCAGCACAGCGCCCTCAGGCGCGCTAGCCACGCTCAGGGACTGCTGGATGCTGGCTGAAGAACGCCGACTGCTTTGAGCGACTGTCGCCACGGCCCTCGATGTGGTCAACAACATGGGCCGCAGTGTCGGGGCAGATCACAAGCAGCAGCATCTGCAGCTGGTACAGCACCGGATGGCTGCCGAGCCGGCTGGGATCGGACGCTGCCTTGATTGAATCGAGGAGCTGCTCGATGCGCGTGGTCGACGGCCGGTACAGCTTGCGGTGCATGTCGATAAAGGTACCGGTGCAGCGGCTGATGAACGACCAGATCACGCGACCGCAGAACCACAGCGATGGCCAGCTGCTCGGGCCGCTTGACTCGCGGGAACACGATCTGCAAACGCATCGATGATCTGGACCAGCCGCGAGGTGTCTATGCTGGCAAACTCCAAAAACCGGATATCCGTCAGATCTGCCGTCTCGTCGCCGCGGGATACGACCAGATACAGACAGCTCTTGGCCCGCTGCATGGCTACGCTCCAGTTCGATGCCGACACGAAACTGAAAATCGCACCCGCCGCCTCCTGGATCTCCATCGGCAGGTCGTTGGTGGGCGTGGCAAGGCACGTGCGCACCCACCGCTGCTTGACGCCGACGCCTGTGGCGATGTCCTTGGAGTTGTAGAGCAGCGGGGCGCTCTGCGACGTGTGCGTGCGCTTCAGCTGGAACGAGTACCACGCCTGCATCGACACCGTATCAGACACAAGCCGCAGCGACTTGGGGCCCGACCAGCTGCGGAAGTAGTGCGACGCAATCTGGAACGTGTACTTGGCCAGCGACTCCTCCAGTGGCTCCGGGTAGTGCAGCGGGAACTCTCCGTTGCTGTACCCGTGGCCGGTCGAGGCCTTGGACGTGTCGTCGGTGCTGGCTGCTGGGTCCTCGGTGATCTTGATGAGTGCCTTGTCGCCGTTGATTCCACGCGACGCGTAGATCTGGTGCCAGTGGTAGAACATGCCCATGGCCACCACGCGCAGCACAATGAGCTGCGACTGCTGCAGCATGGTCTTTTTCCGCTCGTCGCCTTTGGCTGCCCCGCGCTAGCGACTCGAGCAGCCCAAACAGGCGCCGCACCAGGGTGCTCAGACGCAGCTCGTGGAGCTGGATGATCGCATTTATCGTCTCAAACAGCGCCTTGTCAGACGACAGCTGCTCAAATGTCCGCCCAGAGAATACAGGCAACTATACAGCAAAGAGGAAGCGGTAGAAACTGATTAGTCTGGGGAATGATGTCTGGCTCTGCTGCAGCGCAAATCGTGCGCTCAAGCCTGGGCGAGCAAGCAGGCGAGGGATTTGCATCCTTGCGAGAGTACAAAGAGGGCAGGAAATGGTTGCACATCCAATAACGGTCGGAATCTGTATGTTTCTGCGGCCAGCAGTCCTCAGCTGCCAGTCAGCGCATGCTTGGGCAGTGTAAATTTTCTCCAGCCTAATACAAGAAGCCCGGCATTCTCGATATGCAGCCATTTGTTGACATTTGCAGATCCAAACCGTCGCTTTTTATAGCACCTGGTCAAGCCCGGTCGGTCCCACCGCTCACTTGCAAGGCTCCAATCGGGCGCTTGGTGGGGCGGAAAGGGCGTGCGCAAGAATGAACCACAACAACACCAGATGCTGTGCGGGGAACCGAATTCTTTGGTAATCGATCGTGTAGAGGAGCACAGCAGTCGCGTGTTCGCCTCTTTTTTTTTTTTTTTAAATAGCTGCTGGCACAGGTTTGCTTAAGGTGCGGTCGAGACACGGATGGCTGAGGATTCTAAAAGCGAATCGGCTACTTGGTGTCGACGCCGTAAACGCGGGCCAACTGCTTCGATCGGCCACCAGGAGCCAGAAGCAGCCCGCTCACGCAGATAGAAGGGCGGTATGAAGCACTTACCGAGTCTTTAAGCTCCGAGATAAGTCGCTCGCCTAGCGCAATCTCGTAAGGCATCCTTATATGCTGGTGCTCAGAAGACTGCACTGAGCCAGCAAGTGAAATTCGCGACGCCAATGTAGAAATTAGTCGGTACCCCGCGTTTTAAAATAGAGCAATAGAATGGTCCGTAGGTTCAGGGGAGGTTGGTTCCAACGGCGAATAAAGTTGAAATGCGCACAGGAAGGAGAAAGAGAGAGAGAAAAGGACAGAGTTTTCCCGATAGACACACCAAAAATGATTCCGTTTTGCCGCCGAGGTAGCCGTGGGGGTAGCCGTGTAAAGTACAAGGGGTGAAGAGAGAAGAGGGGTTGGAGGGAGCGATTAGTATAAGGTTATTTTGTTTGCTCAGCCAGCCTTGCGCAAAATAAGAGGTAGAAAAGGGGAGCAGAGAGAAGAGGCTAGACAGGCCATCAAGAAAAAAACCCCAGCAGCACTGATAACAGAGCAGGGGAGCAGCCAGTCGAATGGTATCAGAAAGCCTGACAGGGCATCCCAAAAAGGACACAAGGCAAGCCCATCACTGGAGTGAGTAGCTGTGTGGAGACAAAGCAATTGATGGTGATGCACTCTCACTCGCACAACAAAAATCAAGCCCGCGCGGCCTTGTTGTCGCTCAGCGGCAGGCTCTGCCAGCCAAATGAACTCTGGGTGCTGTTTCCGCCAGCGCAGAGCAAAGAGGCGCACCAGATCCTGCCGGGAGTCCAAGTCATACTCGCAGCAAGGACTGGCGAGTTAGGACACAGAACAGGCAGACACAATGTGCTGAGCCTCTGCAGGACAAGCGACTTCTTGTTCGAAAGGAACAGCCCTTTGAGGCTCTATTTTGCAGCAAGCGGGCCCCAGCCGGTTCCTGATTTCGTCACAGTCGCCTCTGTTGTCGGGGCGGGCTGCGCCACAGCGACAGAAAAAGGACGCTCGCAGCCACAGCAGGAAGCCTGGAGCCGGGGCTATGAAAAGGCGGAGCAGTAGGCGCGGGAATCCGGAACTTACCTAGAGTGAAAAGGTGTGGATTTGTTGTCGCGTTTGAACGGAACCAAGGCGTGAGGCGCAGGATTTTGCGGTCCTTTTTCTAACGGTATTTCAAGGGCCGTTGTCGTTTATATGAAAACCGTCCAAGCACGCGCAGTGACAATGGACAGATTATTTCCGCGTTAAAAATGCGCGCTTACGAAAAAGCTTCAATGCTCGCTCAGCGGAAGAAAAAGCGCGGCAGGGTTTTTCCTCAGCAAGACTTTCTCCCTCGTGCAGACAAAATACGTTAGAAAGTCGTATAAATGGGGAGGCAGCAGAATGAAATAAGGTATATAATGATTAGAAAATAACACAAATTAAAGCGAGAATGCGCAAGAGGGGAAGAAGGGAGAGGGGGAGGGGCGAGCTGGAATGAGCCTCTGCTCCTACGTGTGATGCTTGCTTTGCCGAAGCGCAAAAGTTCCGGTTTCCTGTTTGCAGACCGCCCAGAGTCTGCGCGGAGCGGCGGGCTGGTGCAAAGCAGCATTTCGGGGCCATGTCAGCCGCGATCGACAAGAGAAGGCGATGATTTTTGCACTCTGCAGCCTGGCCTTCCAGTTTGCAAATAAGCCGGCGCTGGCTTGCACGAGCTACTGGTGGAGGGGAGGGGATTGCCTCCCAGTGTCATTCTCTTGCAGGCTCTGCGAAAGCCCCAGACGGGGTTTGGCTGGCGCTCCCAGGCCCGGACAGCGACGCAGCTGGTGTTTTTCCAGGTTCGGCTGATTAATGCACGCCGTTTTTGTTATGATTTTCGTCTAGTCCTTTGCGACGGAAAGGCTGCCACAGCCTTTGTGGCAAGGGCAACAAACGGCCACGCAAAGAGGGCTCGTGCCAGGGCCAACTACAGCAAACTGGTCGCAGCTACATACAGCCGTCGGCACCGCTGAACAGACACCAGGGCTGGCATAACTTTTTTGAGGGTAGCAGGTGAGCGATGGCTACTGTCACACCTGTTTCCATGATGACATCTGAGATCATATTGGAAGCCGCGCCGGCACCTCGCATCCTGTTTTCGGTCTGAGGCGCAGCAAACATTGAGATCTGTGCTACCCACGGAAACATGCGGCCCCTCCCCCACCTGCCCTCGACGCTGCCTACTGCGCCCGCAAACAAGAAAGCAAAAGCTGCAGCAACCTTGGGCACAACCAGGAGGTGTGGGAATTCGCATTTAGCTCTAGTCCTGCTGCCGGCAACAATAGCAGCACCAGCAGCAGGACGCGCACGTCTGGGCCGGGTAAACAGACTGCACCCGCTAACATCTGGGCAGGCACATTTAGAGCAATCAGCCCACCTGCCCAGCACAATAACGCAAAATGTCAACAACATAGTAGGATTTCTCGCTGGTAACAACAAAAACAACAACAATGCCACTATTGTGCGTGTCTCCTTGCTCCACCCAGCACCAGAAAATGTCGAGATGCACGCGGGTCGAGTGCAAATTGGCTCCAACCCGCCCTTTGGGGAGTGGGTCACAGAAGGCGGCGCGCAGAGGCTGGGCGACACGCCCGGCCCAATCACGCTGTAAATTTTTTTGGGTGTGTGCCACTCATTAGTGATACGCCCGCCCGCTAGCGTCTGCTCTCCAGCCGGCAGCGGTAAGGATTTGCTTCTACGGAGCATGGGCGGCTGCTTGTACACATCTTTTTCTCCCTTGGTCTTTTACATCATTTTTTCGTTCTGTTAATTCTTTTTTTCTCCCTCTCGCCATCCTCGCCTCTTCCCCTCCTCTTTTTTACTTGGAATACCGCCCTCTGCTCGCAGGTTTCTCCTTCACGCTTGTTTCGAAACAAAAACAAGCGCGTACACATACTTGTTTCCTTCCTTCCCTTGAAAAGGCACTATACGGCCCGGCTGGAGTATTAAGAAAGCGTTTTGGCTGTGTAGCATTCTCTGCCGTGCGCTTTATATCTTTCATTCTCTCGCCCCCTCCTTTTCCACTTTCAGTCTTTTTTTAATTTCTCGCTCGCATTCGCTCCTTTTCTATTATAACTCTTCCAAGACACACAACTCGGGCCTGCAGCTTTTTATTTTGGGCACGCTTGGGTGAACATTTCCTTTCGGACCTCTCGTGAGTTTGGAAGCTATCGCACAACTTTTATTTTACCTCAACAGCCCTTTTCAGGCAGTCGCCGCGCCGTTTCAGAATGAGCAACAGCAGCAACGGCCTTCTCTGCGCCCGCAAAAGACCTTGACTGGTGGAACGAAGGTAGGTTTATCGCCCGCTGAATTGCCTCTGCTCGGCGTGGAATTCCTGTTGTTTATTCGCCTCAGCCATCCCTCCCGCCAGCTACAGAAATAAAATGGTGCATATTCGTGCATCCCCTTTTACACCTTTTCACGCCCTTCCAGCTACCCTCAGCTCGCAACATAAAACGGTGGCCTCCTTTGCGGCGGCACTCTTTTCTTGCCTTTTTCGGGGGCACTAGACGATAATTCTCGCAGGCAGCAGGAGCCTCCCGCTTTTGCCTGCGTTCTATTTTTCCGCTCTTTCCGTGTCCATCTCTGCTGCTTCTCATAAGCGTATTTGCGCGCACTGGCGCAGGGCCCACATGAGAGAAAAACAGCGCCTGCTCCGGTAACTGCCTCTCCGGGTGTCACTGCTCCTAATATTTCTTTCTCACTGTATATTTGAGAATTTTATTTGGTCTTGCGCACGCGCGCAGGCAGGCAGGCAGGCAGGCGGCGTGTCAGCAAGCGCAAATGTGTTACATCCTCCTCCCCCGCCTTTTTATAATCCCGTTCTCGCTAATTTTCCCATCACATCCCACGGCATAGACAACATGGTGCGCTTTGGAACATCAGTACAAAAGTCAAACGAGCCAGCGTGGCAGGATGTCGGCTCCAATGTTTTGCGGATGGACCACTTGTACGACGCCTCCTTCCACGACTGGCTCAAATGCGAGGATAATGTGTCGATTATCGCAAACTACCTTCAGCGCATCGCCAACGAGTACCCGATGGACCGCATCATCAACGCTCTGCGGTGGCTGGTTTCGTCGTGGAGGGTAGAGTCCACTGCTGTTATTGTCAGGCATATCACCGCCGACTGGGCTGTGCCGCAATCCACCGCAAAGAATGCCGCCGCTCCCTTCCGCCTCGACACGTCCACAGCTGCCGCCCACGCTGCTGACCCAGCCGTCATCGCAGGCGAGACACGGCGAGGTGTCTTGGTTCGCGAGCTCACAAAGGACTGGACCTGCCAGCAGATTGCCCAGCTTGTTGGCATGCTGTCGCTGACCTTTTGGCGTGAGCGCCCTTTGCTTGAAGCCTTCCTGCGCGCACTGGTCTCGGACTGGGACTTTTGCCGTCTCTCTAGCTTTTTCTCATACATTAGTGGCCAGCTGGGTCTTGACTACCGTGTCAAGGTATCGATGCTCCAGCAGGCTGCCCGCCGCAATGCTGCCCGCCCTTCGCTGAAGCGTAACCGCAACAGCTCAGGTAAGGCCCCCGCGACAGCAGCAGTAGCAACGGCAATGACGACAACAACAGATACAGAAACAGCTCAAGTTCCGCCAACAGAACCTCGCAGGGACGACACAGACATTGTTGAGGATGACGCGAAGCGCGCGCGATTAGCACCCACCAGCGATGATGATTCTGCCTCTTCGTCATCCTCATCCATTGGCCAGCCGCGCCGCTGCGGCTGTCCCTGCCATTTCGCCTACTGCAGCGTCTACCGCTACTGCTAGCGTCTACTGCGGGAACTGCGTCTCCGGCGGCCATGTCCGCCGCTACTGTCGCACATGCACCTGACGTTGATTGTGGCCCGCATAGGCGCCTTGGCGCAGGACTGGGTGATCGGCGACGCTCGCCGACAACAACAGCCGAGGCGTCGACCTGCCCTGCCGGCTTCTTCGGCAACAGTCCCCAGGCATTCCGCCCTGCCCTCGCGTGCCACGACATCAAGTCACGCCGTTTCCCAGCTCCGGACAGAGGATACCACCGCCCTCAGCCAGGCCTCGCACATTGCGGGCTCGTCGACGACGCCTTCGTCCCCAACACCGGAACCAGTGCGCAACCACACTCCCCAGCTGTCAACTGCGTCGCCACCATCATCCATTGTTGCCAGCGACGAAAAGTGCAGCCGCAGCCCAACCGCAAGCTCGCCGCGTGCTTCAGTTGCTGCTCGTCGCCGCAGGGAGCAGCTACAGATGATTCAAACTAACCGGACCCGTCGGTACTCGCGCAGCAACGGAGGCGCTCGGTCAGTAGACGACAGAATGGAAACGGACTGAGCCCAGCTCTGGCGTTTCCTCACCTATTGCAGCCGCCGGACGGTTCAGCGAAGACGCGATGCAAGGCGGCAGGACGTTGTTGCTCGGCGCCCGCTTACCCCACAAATATCATCCAGCATGTTTCTGAGCTCAGGTTCGAGGCCTACAACTGAGCGTCGTCGCAACAGCAACCTCCACCACCGCCATCTCCATCACCCAATGTCGACCACTGCCAGTAACAGCAACAGCATCGAGTCCAAACAGCACCAGCAGCGGATTTTCTGCCTACCAGTATCACGACCAGCAGCAGCAGCCGCTGACCCCACCACACATGTCGACATCCTCGTCGTCCATGTCTCCGCTCAATGTGACCTCGGCGCCATTGTCGGCAGGCGCAGTGACCACTACCGCCTCCTCCGAGCCTGCAGCAGCCAGGCTCGCCTACCATTAGCACATCCACCACCACCACCCCTGCACCACGGCCACCTCTGCGGATGCACGCAGCAAGTATCGGCGCAAACTCAGGCTCGTCGCCGTCCCTTGCACAGCAGCAGGGCCTTGTCGCCAGCAGCTTTCACCACCAGTTTCACCACCGCTCGCACCACCACCACAGCGGCAGCACAGTGGTTGCCGGGCTCATCCACTCAACGCAACCGCCCGCAATGCTAAGCAGCAGCACATCAGTGATTGCCGCAACAAACAATGTAACCCCGTCACCAGTCACGGCGGCATCGCGGCAGCCTATTCCGACCCCCCAATCAAGCATCGTCCAAACAATCGCTGTGCAACCACAGGAACATGAGGACAGCGCTGCGATGCTCCAGCAGCAGCCGTCGCAGCAGCAGCAGGGGTTTCGGTCTCGCACGACCAGTGAGAGCGAGCTAGCGCAGTTTGACGGTCCTGCATCGACCCACCTGGCCCTGCCGCTGCCGTCATCCGACACCTGCCCCCAACTCAACTGCCTCTCTGTGCGGTCGGTCCTCAGCCTCGTCGATGCACCACCGCCATCACCATCACCACCATACCACCTCGACACGCTACGACATGCTTGGCATCGTCATGTCCACGGGCTCGGCCAATGGCTCGGCGGGCGCAGCAACAGTCGCAGTGGCGCGCACGGTGTCAATCGTTGCAGGTGACGCTGATGGCCACCACCACCAGTCCGAGACTGCCGCCCACTGAAGCCCCCACCAACCCACCTTTGCCTCCTATTGCGACCCCTGGCACCCAACAATGTATAGATCTCAACCACCAACAGCAGCAACAGCAAAAAATAAATTAAAAAATTTTTTCGCGCCGCAACGCCAGCGTTCCCCAATACCATGCTTGCAGCATTTTTCGACAGTGCCCCTGGTGGAAATGCCCTTGCACCCACAAAGCACCCACGTGACCCGCAGAAGAAAGGGCTCTTGCTGCACTATTGCAGCAGAGCCGCGGCTAACAACGCAGGCCATTGTTGTTTGTCTGCAGTTTGTTCGCGTTTTGCTAGGGCGGTAGAATGAATACCCAGTCTGTCTTGGCATGGGCGAGAAATCAGTAACCTCCTTCCTGCTCATCCAAGCCGAGAATGCTCGGATCAAGCAGATCGGATTTGGGTTCATCTGGCCTGCAGAGACTGAGCGAGGTGGCCAGAGTGGTGTTTTGCAGGCTGTGGTTTATCAGCACAAGCCACCAACTGTGGTAATGTGATGATAGTACCAGGCAGACTCGGTTGTCTACAGCTTCTGGATTGCAGCGTGTGGTAGAATTGTTATCTGAGTATCTGGAAACGCCGAAACCCAAATATCCAAGAACGAGTTGTAGCACCGCTATGCAAGTAAACCAAACATTAATGCCAAGCTGAAAACAGATAATATTTTTGAATCTCAAAACCAACCGCACTAGTCCCAGCGCACTTCATCAAGGCGCCTGATTTCAGTTTCCAGGTTCTCCTTGAGTGCATCGTCATAGAAAGTGATTTCGTCTCCGTCGCAGAAAATCTTGAGTTCAGGCAGAGAGACAGCGTGGTACATGATCGAATATTTCGTGGGTTTGTTCAACAAACCTGCTAATGTAGAGAAACTTTATGCCTCTGTCCCTGTATTTGTACGAAAGCTCTGTAAATAACTTTCCATATTCCTTGCATTTGGCACTCGTGTCGTCCGTGAAGAGGCATGCCAAGTTTGTAGCTATTGTTGAAATGATGTTCGTAGTCGTCAAAGTCTTTAACAATGTAGACAGGCATAGTATTAAGAGTACACTATGTATATCCTTATAAACCTTGAGTAAAAAGATAAAACGAAACTGGAATATCACCTGTTCTAGTGGCGGGGCGGTATTTATACCAGCGCTGGTATGATACCAACGGCGGTGCTAGGATCAAATAGATACCAGTACTCCTAAGGCGACTTGAGCCACACCTGTGTTGTATGATCTCGATCACAACATGAAGTGGAAGTCAATATGGCGGCTAAAAATACTGCCTATTTTAAGCAGCTGCAGAAGGTTATATTCGATTGATATCTCGGACAAAACAAAATGCCGGGTATGTGTAGTGGCTATTGCACTGTTTCTCCAAAATTGGCACAACTAACCCACATTGATCTGGGCCAGTAAATAAAGTGAAGCAAACTGAAAACGGTTTGCAATGCATGTCTTCAAGTGATAAATATACTGTCTACTCAAGAGCGTGATTCTAGTATGCTAACCTTCAGAGAATCCAGTAGCTATGAGCTTTATGGAATTAATAGGACTAGAGATTGCTGAGGAGAAAAAGGGAGGACGGGGCCGTTCCAGGTCCACAATGTTTATACAGGTGGGGATTTGGATCTGCACATGGTGGCAAAGGGAATGGGGTTGCCTGAATGTCAATACCTTCAACTTTGGAAATGATATAGGCGAGAAATATGTATGTGACTCTTCTGAGGATCCAATTATTTTTGGGTCATGATAGATTGCAAGCTCTGTGAGATTTTCGAAGATAACCGATCCAGGCAGACTGCCTCTAAAGATATGCCATGAATGTGCGATATCGGAATAAAACAGTGCTAAAATTTCAAGTGAAGGTGCGAATATCTTAGGTAGATGCCTCAGCACTCTTAGTGTTGATGTGCAGATCCAACCTAGCGATGTATGAAGAGAAACATGTATTGCCCAGTTCTGAAAGTATAAAATTTGATTTAATTCTTGTTTGTAGTCGTGGCAAGTAAAAGTTTAGCATATCACCAAGTGGAAATAACGGCGGATTCTTCACTGGATACATAGATACACTACGACACAAATGCTTCCCATGAGGAATGTGAGTTATGAAATATTGTGAGGTTTGCGATAGTCGTTCTCTGACATCATCAGTTATAGGAGGTTTGGTGTCTGAATCCTGCTTTGCCGCCTGTGGATCCTCAATAAAACATATTTTCTCCAATCTAAGCCACTCGACAGTGCTGAATCCAAAAACCCCAAGGATATCTCCAAGAGACAAATAATCGATGGTACAGGCTCGAGATGAGATAACCAGCCTTTGAGTGTAGTGACTATTCTTTGATCTCACAATATGCAAGGTGTTTGTTCTCCATAGAATAGGGATGTGGTGATGAAGTTGAGAGATGCATGCCTCTGGATGCGAGCTGATTGGAATCAGAGGTGTTGCCATACAGACGTAGCTGGTCAGCAGTTGGCTCACAGTACAAGATAATCGCGATAGTATAGAGGCTCTCTTTTATAGCGTCTCTCCAGTGTTGGCAAACTCGGTTTAGTTGGAGGAATGAAATATAAATATCGACATTATCAGGAGTATCTAGCCAAAAAGTGTTATCATATATGGCGACAATTCGCTGAAGAATGTATGGTTTCAGTATAGCCCAGTGCGCCATTGGAGAAATAGGTGTTTGCGAGGTAGAACGGAAGAGAAATACAGCCTCGGGTGACAACTGCTGACAACCTACACGTATCATGCACAAGCCATTCCTCATTGGAGTTTCCCTAATCCTACTCCATCATCCACAATACTTGGCCCCAGGTGTTTACACAGGTCGCATAGATCTAATCTCGCTGCGGAAAGAAAAGGAGTATATACACACTATATGTTTCTGAAGGGTAATATAAGAGATACCATTTCAAACCCGAAGAGAGTAGAAAGAAGTATAAAAACCACGGGTGCTGCTTGACATCCCTTCGGATATCTGAGCTGGAGACAGAAAACTCACGCCGATTTGGCGTGAATGAACGGGAAGTTACAGATCTCTCACTACTGTCAGGACACGTCCCGATCAGCAAATTATATCAGATCTGTGTGGTCATGTGGTTTGTGGGAACTCTCTAATTGCACTGATTAATCGTCATCGTTCCTTGGCATTTCGAGTAGCGAGCACGTCATGCGGACGTCTCTCAGCTCTCTTGTCTTTATTGTTTTGTCTTTTGCCTAGTTTACAGCCTCAATATCCATAGAATGTAAGTAGTACTGTTAAAAAACGATGCTCAAGAACCAGCACTGCTTGTTCATGCTTGCTTAGTTTTGCTTCTACTGCCTTCCTCTTTGTAGCATGTCGGACAGCCAGAAGGTTATCATTGTGTTCAAGGAGGGTGCCACAGATGCTGAGAAGGATGCCATCAAGAGCTCAATCACCGCGCAAGGCGGCAAGCTTGGTGACACTCTGGCGCTCATCAACGGCATCTCTGCCACCATTCCGAACAGCTTCACCTCATCGCTGACTGGCCATGCCGCTATTGACAGCGTCGAGAACGATGGTGAGGTGTCCATTCAGTAATCTTCGGCTTTGTTCGCCAGCCCATCTTTTGCCGGACCGCTAGGTACGAGCATTCATAAATATATTTCAAGTCCTTGTTCAGTTGGTCAATGTGCGAGTCCCACCGGGCATCCTTGATTAGGAAATCGTACCATTCAGGCACAAGCAGGATGGTGGCTCCATGCCACAGCGAGTGCGCGTCGAACGAGTCTAGGAATGGCGGGAAGTCGAAGGCCTCGAGGCTAAAGGCGGCATCAGTCAAGAGAATCAGAACTGCGGGCTTCCACCACTGCTTGTTACGGTGGTGGTACGCCTGGTACGTCACCACGAACCATGCCACATTGCTCATCAGGCCGACGATGGCATTCGCCAGCATGTTGTACTGGTAGTCAAACTTGATAAACGACAGGTACCCGACATGCATAAAATACGGGACCGCGCAGAGCCCGGCTACAACCCGCGTTTCCCGCCAGGTCTTGAGCCGCAACAGCCGCACAACTCCGAGGAAGAACATGTACAGAACGTTGAGGCCTGCCGAGTAGTAATCGAGCTTCTCGGTGATCGAGAAGTCGCGAATATGGAACACGGCCGACCACAGCCACGTCCATGTCCCGAGCACCACAAAGACACTGAGCCATAGCCGCATCGGGTGCTGTTTCGATATGCCATTGCGCACCAGCGGCCAGCTCTTCAGGTGCATATACCCGTTCAGCACGCTGAAGATGACACTGGCTGGTTCCTGCACGCCCCAGATCCGCACAAACGGCCACTTGCCGTGATACTGGTACACAGGCGCGTTCTGCTTTTGCGCCGCGACCGTGAGTTGCCGCTGGCACTTGTAGTCGCAATTGCTTTCACACGTCCAGAACAGCATACGCAGGTGCAGGGGCAATGGAGAGGCAGTTGGCGCACAGTCCGTTTGCTCGCATGCAGTTACACAGCTTTTGAAGGCGGGCTGCCGATCGCCGTAGGATGCCGAAGCGACGGTTGCAAGCAGTAACGCTGTAAGAAACCTCCAGGCCCTCATGTTCTATGCGTGGATATTAGGATAGCGGCAGGAAACGTAAACAACAAAAGCTGAAGAGAAAAGTGTATGCGGGTTTCCGCCCATGCTGATATCGAAAATGCGAGCCATGCAGCAATTACCCTAGAAGGCAGGCTAGAAGTTGTGGGGGGAAGTATCGAGTCGCGACTCGGTCCGGTCGCAGCTCGCTCCTCTCTGTATGCCATGTTCGTCAGATACTGGGCACTTGCTTCGCTTAGCCATGCACGCTCTGATGACTACCGCAGCCGCCTGATATCAACACCACAATGCCAGCACTTTTCTGACAGGGTCGCAGCATTGTGTGCAGGTCAGTTGCCATATTTCATTGAGCTTTTACTCAATCAGCAACTCAATTCCCTAATAGTAAAAGTTGAATGTAATCTACAGTACACAGTATTTGCTACATTTTCATGCCAGTAGATTTACAAACACCAGGCTTATATCTTCTTTTGTCTTTCTCTCCATGGACTCACTTCTGATACAGACAGTTTCACGCAAGATCACTGCCACCCAGTGGCTCCAAGCCGCATGCTGGCAGTGCGTACAACGACACAGACCTGTATTTTGTCACCGGATCCAGCGCAACTGTGGCCGAGCTGTCTCTCTGGGCTACACCGAATCCGGACTTCGCCCAGCAGCCTACCAAGCCCACTGAGGCATTTGCCACACCCGCTGGGTGTGTGAATCACGAAGGTGATGTAACAGGACATTTCTGTTGCAGCCACTGCACGGGCTATTGCTACCGGATCGTCACACGGCACTGTGTCGGTTTATCGCATCGATACCGATTCCACACAGCCACTGGAGTTGAGTGAATCCATTACGGCGCACCGGTACACCAACGGTGAGTTGGCTGTATGTACTGGTATTGCTGTCCAGCCAGCACCGGCCATGGACATCGAGATTGCCAGCTGCGGCGAAGACGGGCGTGTTGCGTTCGCGCCAATTTCCCGACTAGCCGCATTGCAAATGTACGATGTCGACAGCACAGTGATTACCGGTATTTGCTGGACCACACCGCAGCAGATCGCCGTATCGACGCGGACCAGCCAGGTCAAGCTCGTCGATCGGCGGTCGCCTGGCGATATTGCTGCTGCCTTTGTTAAACTGGCTGACAGTGTCGCATTTGAGTGCGTTAATGTGCACCCGTCTCAGCCGCACCGCATCGCCACGGGTACAGATGACGGGTCGGTGATGATTTGGGACATCAGGAACCCAAAGGAGCCGCAAACCGAGGCGTTCGGTGTCCATAGCGCGAATGTGTGGTCGGTGCAGTTCCACCCGGGAGATTGCAATAAGGTTGTGTCATGCTCCGACGATGCCACAATTGCAGTTACTGGCTGGGCTGGTGGCTCTGGTGAGCATAGCGTGCATACGCTGACCAATAGCCTCAATGTCATGTCTGTCAACTGCTTCGACATCTGTCCGTTCACCAAAACCAGCTTGCTAGTTGCAGGCTCGGATAGTGGCAGCATTCTGCTGGATAGCCGGAGAGAATAGCGACTTCGACCTCTGAATACGACAACACACTCTTCGCCGATTTCCTTGCCGCTAAAGTTTTACACCCAAGTAGTATCTCTGAGCATCATAGTCACGTGTATGGACCATCATTATTGCAGGTTTCATCAAAGTCTTATACTCGCTGCCCGCCATTTTTGGGATTGATAATTTCATAATACTCGTAAACTATCTCTACATCCTCTACAAATCTATATCACCAATGGGCTCTGGAAGCAGACCAGGAACACCGACCAGCCAAAAGTCGGAGGTGGCTATGACTACGGTCAGCGACGTGTCGAAGCTGACGATTGGGTGCAAGGCGTTTTTTCGAAAAGGACAACGAAATCCGGCAAGCCGAAATTCTGTCAATCCGCGACAAGGCCATGCAGCACCGGGTGCAGCGCTCGGCCTGAAGACGCACCCGTGCAGAACGAAAGGGGCGAGGTGGAGTTTGAGTTCTACGTGCATTACATTGAGTTCAATAAGCGTCTCGACGAATGGGTGTCCGGCACACGTGCACGACTGGATAAACCAGTGACATTCCCGAAGAAGAAAAATAAAGCATCTCATCGGCGGGAGTCACCACTCGGCACGTGAGAAGAAGCGCAAGACCAACACCGGGTCGTCTGTGGCCACAGGCAGCGGCAGTGTGCCGCAGACCCCCGAGCATATTCGGCACGACGACGCGGCATATACGGCACCTCAGGGCACAGACGGGACGTTTTCAAAGGAGAAGGAGATTGAGAAGCTAAGGACACAAGGATCAATGACGCAGTCGAGCGGCGAGGTTGCACGCATGAAGAACCTGAATATCATCGAGATGGGTGAGTTCCAAGTCGAGCCGTGGTACTTTTCGCCGTACCCGACTGAAACAGCATATGTGCCAATCTTGTACATCTGCGAGTTTTGCCTATGCTATTATACCAACCACAAGCAGTACGAGCGGCATCGTACAAAGTGCACACTGCAGCACCCACCAGGCAACGAAATATACCGCAAGGACGACATCTCGTTCTTTGAGATTGACGGGCGGCGGCAAAAGATGTACTGCCGGAATCTGTGCCTGCTCTCAAAGTGCTTTTTGGACCACAAGACGCTGTACTATCGATGTCGACCCGTTCCTGTTTTATATTCTGACGCAGCGCGATGAGCGGGGCTGCCATATCATCGGGTACTTTAGCAAGGAGAAGGAGTCAGCGGACAACTATAACCTGGCGTGTATCCTGACATTGCCGCAGTACCAGCGCATGGGGTACGGGCGTGTGCTGATGCAGTTCTCGTATGAACTATCCAAAGCCGAGGGCAAGGAGGGATCGCCCGAGAAGCCACTGTCAGACCTTGGCCTTGCTGAGCTACCGTGCGTTCTGGTCAGAAGTGCTGGTCGAGCTGCTGGTCGGGTTTGACGGCGAGATCAGCATCGATGATCTAAGCAATATGACCAGCTTTACGACACAAGATATCCTGCACGCCCTGTTTAGTCTTGATGCGATCCGGTACTACCATGGCCAAGCACTGCATTGTGCTGAGCGAGCGCGTAATCGAGCAGTACGAGCGGTTCAAAAAGAAGAAGCTGCGGCGTATCGACCCCACATGCCTGAAGTGGACGCCCAAGGTGTTCTCGCAGGCAGAGCTCCGGTACTTGTAAGGGCCGGTGGATATTTTTAGAATGTATTGTCCTGTTTATACCCGGCCAGTTTGAAGTGCATTGAAGGGGGCATACCCTGTACACGGGCCATATTTCCAAGAGCTGATCGTCATCCATATCGCCGAAATGTCGGCCATTTACGAGGAGGGGCTCTGAGCCCACACTCTGGCCTGGGCGTGATGGGCCTAGGGGAACGTGTTAGCGAAGGAAATCGCTTGGAAATTCTTTTATCCCCGCCGCATGACCTGCTGTTCCCCGAGACCCGCTGCTTTTGGGGTCTGTGGATGTGTCCGAGGCTGAATCACCCGTAGCCTGTAGACGCGCTCCGACATACGCATCAGGTTGCAACCCTGTTTGCTGCCTCCCTCCACGAGCTACTTCGACAAGCAGCCACTTGCTCTTTTTTTTTGGCTTGCTGTTGTCTATTACCTCGCATATCGACCCAGAAACCCGACCCCTTCCCAGCAAACAACCCGCCGCATATGCAGAGCCACAATGCGGCAGGCCAAGGTCGATGGTTGCAAAGGTAAACAAACGGCAGGCGGTGCCGAAGGCAAAGGCACGCTGCGTGGATCTCACAAAAGGGGGTTGGGATCGGCACATTTCGACAAAGAGGGATGGGATAAAACCAGCTGATTTGCTGGCAGCATGGACAATCGGGGATAGATGGCAAGGCAAGCCAGCTGCATCATGGGTTCGGCCCGAAATACTTGCCTTGACTGACATGATTTTGTTCCAGAAGAGAAGCGGGAGCCGGCTTTGGCCCACTTGCGCTGCTTTTATGGCAATCATTGGCTGAATGTTCTTGCGAAGCCAGCATGCGGAATTGGGTGGAGCAAGGGATCGATAACGACTGCTCGCGCGGATTCATTGGGCTCTCTCGACGCTTCCTGATGCGGACTACAACCGACATATGGAGACATGTGCATGGAAACAAAGAAGCGGTACGTGCACGAGAAAAAATGCAGGAATATTCAGGTACACGTTCCAATCAGACTTGTTCTGATGCCATGTAGTTTTCCATCATGTCTATAAATAATGATTAGTGTGCATATGCAATTTAGAGGCTGCAGATTGCCAACATAGGGCCCATGCCGATACATGTGTGCTTGCCATTGAGTCTGGCAGAATTGAGCAGGACGTCCTGGCCATCTTACACTAAGAGTGTGTTTGGTGGGTTCAAGCTGAAAACAGGATACCCTATGTCCTCTGCAATGGAGTTGGAAAAATGGATGCAGAGCCCGGCACAGGACAGCATCTCCCACCACTCTCAATGTGCTGCTGGTCTAGGGCGATACACACCAAGGACTTGCACGGGCTAAACAAAGGACCGTCTACAATGGCAAACAGCAGATTACGGCCAATTTGTATGCAGCAGCGAGGGATCGGCCTCTCTTTATCTCTGCTCCTGGACGGCATTCTCATTGACAGCTGGTGTTCGTCCACCATCATTACTCCTAGAGATGAAAAGGCATTGCAAAGTGCAAATCATCCGAATATCTTTGCCAGAAAATGCTGAATAGCAATCCATCCAGACGGGGAAGGAGCGGGCCGACCATGCCATGAAAGTGAAGGGGGTGTGTGGTTCGGCACCAAAATGGACATCGGTCCTTTTTTCACTTGCCAGCAATGGTCATCTGCTTGCCTCTTGGGACACACGGTGTGTCGCTCTCATGGTCCTCGCGGGCTATATAAAACCTGCAGTGTGGCTTCCCTAGACACCTTCATTCCCTCAGATACAGCCTCGACTCTCTACTCACAACCCCTCTCCCCTCTCTTAATACCACTACATATATCGCTTCTAATACCCTTCTTTAAACAATGAAGATCACTGCTTCTGCCATCGGCCTTCTCGCCGCCATTCCGTCCGTCTTCGGTCTGTGGCCCATCCCTACCTCGCACACAGAGGGCAAGTCCAACAGCCAGGTCTGGTGGGTTGATATCCAGGTGCAGGGCCAGTCCAGCCCTGTTGTGCGCGATGCGGTCGAGCGCTACCGCAACATCATCAACAGCGAGTCGTTCCTGGCCCCTGTTGACTACAAGCGCGGCGTGCTGAAGACCCAGGGTAACTTCCAGGGTCCTGGTTGTCTCGGTCGAGAGCACCGACGAGGCGCTCGGCCTCGAGACCGATGAGTCCTACACTCTGGACGTGCCTGTCAGACGGCAAGGCCTCGCTCAAGGCCAAGTCGCCGTACGGTGTGGTGCGTGGTCTCGAGACGTTCTCGCAGCTCGTTTCCTCGAACTGGGAACAGCAAGGTTGTGGTCAACACGCCGATCAGCATCAAGGATGCGCCGGCGTTCCCCCACCGTGGTGTCCTGTTCGATACCTCGCGCAACTGGTACTCGGTTGACGCAGTCAAGCACACGCTTGATGCCATGTCATACAACAAGCTGAACGTGCTGCACTGGCACATTGTTGACTCGCAGTCGTGGGGCATTGAGTCCAAGACCTACCCCGAGCTGCACCAGAAGGGCTGCGTACTCCGACAAGCAGCTGTACTCGTACAAGGACATCAAGGATATCGTCCAGTACGCCAAGAACCGTGGTATCCGCGTTATCCCTGAGTTCGATGTTCCGGGCCACACCTACGCTGTCGGCCTGTCGCACCCGGAGATCATGTCGTGCCTGGACGTGCAGCCTGGCTGGGACAAGTATGCTGCTGAGCCGCCCAGCGGTCAGCTCAACATTGCCAAGGATGGCTCGATTGAGTTCGCCAAGAAGATCTTCAAGGAGTACGCTGCTCTGTTCCCTGACAACGTCATCCATGTTGGTGGTGATGAGGTCAACATGCGCTGCTGGGAGACTGACCCCGATGTCCAGAAGCACCTGGCTGCCAACAAGAACGAGACTGTCGAGAGCCTGCTTCTCAGCTGGTACGGCAAGCTGCACAACTATGTTGGCAAGGACCTGAAGAAGACTGCCTTCACCTGGGAGGAGACCCTGTTCCATCATCCCGTTCGATGCCCCCAAGGACACCATCGTCCAGACCTGGATTGACTCTGCCTCGGTCCCCAACACCGTCAACCGTGGCTACCGCGCCGTCTCGTCCGACTACCAGTCGCTGTACCTTGACTGCGGCCACGGTGCCTGGCTGCCGAACTGGGACGGCAACTCGTGGTGCGACCCCTTCAAGACCTGGATGCACGTCTACAACTACGATGTTCTGGCCAACATCACCGACCCGGCCAAGCAGAAGCTGGTTCTCGGCACTGAGGTCGCTATCTGGTCCGAGCAGACCGACGAGCACTCGTTCGACCCGCGCGCCTGGCCCCGTGCTGCCGCTATGGCTGAGACCGGCTGGTCCGGAAAGAAGGACGCCAGCGGCCATGTCCGCACCACTGGCGAGGTTGCTTCGCGCCTGCACGAGCAGCGCTACCGCATGGTTGGCCGTGGTGTCAACGCCGAGCCCATGCAGCCCCTGTGGTGCGCTCGCAACCCGGGCAGGTGCGACCTGCCTTGAAAGGATGTATTGTCTTTCAATCCGTTCGCTCGATAATGCAATTGCTCCTCATCTATGTACATCATATATACAGCAGAATGCTGCGCTATGCCCGTTTTTGGATACGCTTCAAATGTATTTTCTAGCCATTTGTGCACCAGCTGCCTGGGGGTCATGGAAAATGCTGCTACATCGCCCACCCTGAGTGTCCCTCATCGCCAGCCTGCTGGTTAGCATCCTGGATGCTATCAACCAGCTCGACACCGGCCATTTCGATCTCATTAGCCTCAGCCACCATCACTGCTTCGTTTATATGGCCCGCCTGGAACTTCTCGTCCAAAAAGTCAACAACCGAGTCTTTGCATAAAAACGGTGTCATCTCGCGCATCTCCAGGTCATTCCCGGAGGACACTGCTGGACACCCGATGTTGGGATTCTCAATCGGCTCGTCTGCCGGCTCTACCGAGGTCTCCCACTGCTTGGCCATATGAGCAAGCCACACCATTTGCTGAGCGGTCATCTGGAACGACGAATGCACTGAGTCAATGAACGCAATGCCGACGCATTTCTGCACAAACCTGTCGAAATCGTATTTCAGCAGGTTCGCTACCGAGATGCCAGCTGTGTTGTAGCACACAAATGCGATGTTCTTTGCCGCATGGTTATCACGGAGAAAGCGTGACCACACATATCCGACGTGCTCATCAGGGGTCTCGTTGCCGCGAATCTCGGTAGTCTTCCCTAGCGATTCAATGTTTGCATAGGTCTCGGGCTGCCCGTCTGCCGCAACAATGTTCTCATTTGGGTTCATGACCAGCACGCCATACCCCTGGGCATGCAGCGCCTGGATGTACGGGATCAGGCTGCCGGCGCGCAGCCCTTCTTTTACCAGCACGTTCCACGCCCAGACTCCCGGGCGCGGGCCATGGCCAGTGCAGAGGACCACCAGATTGGCGCACTCGAGGGCGCCGGGTGTGATAAAAATACTGGTGTGCGCAAGCGATTCTTCGGGCACGGCGATCGCCTGCATACCGATCTCGTCGCTGGTAAGCAGCTCAGTGACATGGCGGGAGGCGGCATCTGCGAGCATGTTGTAGAGCTTGAGGTTGCGTTTCTTGTTGCCTGGGTATACCTCAAATTCGTAGCGCCCGCCGGTGGTGGTGTTGAGCAGAGTGCCGTTGGTCGAGTCAAAGGCATAGCCGAGCTCGGAGAGCGTCAGCCGTGCATGTGTGACAGATGCAGATATATGGGGGCGAATAAACATGATAAGGTGTTGCTTATTGGGAGTACATTGAAGGCACGGGCTGGTGGCGAAAAAAGACCAGGGACATAAATGTGATGGAAGCAATTGAGATAAATGGGACAAAAGAAAAACAAAGCAGGTGTCAGTAGAAAAGCTAGTCCTTCTTCTTGGTCTCCGACTGCGGGATACGCATGCTGACCGACCCATCCTCGTTGCCGAACCACGCTTCGCATGCCATCCGGCTGAACACGCCAACCTCGACGACGCCAGGAACCATCTTAATCAGCTGCTCAACCGCAACCGGATCATGAATCCTACCGACATGGACATCCAGAATGAAGTTGCCGTTGTCCGTGACAACAGGGCCGGCCTTGCGCACCGCATTGCGCAGCGTGGCGACCGGGTGGTTGAGCTCAAAGGCATCGGATGTGGCCAGGACGCCCAGAGCACGCGACCGCGGCACCAGGCGCTCGAGCTGGCGCTTGATGGTCTGCCAGGCGATAGGCGAGACCTCAACTGGAATGCCCTTGTCCCAGTTCTGGCCAAGAACCTGCGAGTTCTTGCGGTAGTCCGCAATCAGAACCAGCTTTGCCGAGGCATTGGCCACCAGCTTCTCGCGCAGGTGCGCGCCACCGCCGCCCTTGATGGCATTCAGCTCAGCATCGACCTATATGGAAAGCGAGATCAGTGAGGCGATGCTTTGTCGCTTGCACGCGCCTTATCGCGTGATTTGCTGGAGAACAGGAGGTAAAAGACAGTGCGTGAGCTTTTCTCACTGGACTCGAGCAGGGGGTTCCCTTTTATATCCCAGAGGGCTGGATCAGGAAGGCGAGCATTGACCACACAGATCGGTTGGAAGAAATAAGACGGATTTCATAATTGCCTGCTGGCCAGGGGCACAGGGCTTTTCATCAGCAAGCCAGTACTTACCTCGTCGGCGCCATCAATAGTAACGTCGATGGCAGTGTAGGTGGTAGACGACGGGTCGGCATCGACCAAGCTACAAAGAAAACTGAATTAGCAACACCCTTCGCATATAACACAGGGCGAAAGCAGCCATGTGTAGGAAAGTCTCGTGCGCAAGTGACTGATATGCAAGGCAGACATACTCATCCAGGTCGGCGGCGCGCAGGCCAGCCTCGTTAATAAGCTGCTTCGACTGGAAGCTGGTAGGCACGCACTGCAGCTCGGGGTGCAGCTTGCCCTCGTTCTTGAGCTCAAGCAGGCGCTCGGCAGCGTAGACGACGGTCGATCCACTGCCAACGCCCAGGACGCGGACAGACGGGGTGACGTGCTTGTCAACGGCGGCAAAGGCGGCGCTGCGCTTGGCTTGTTCAACAAGGCTGAGAGTGCTCATGGTGGCTGTGTGTCTGTAGGAGGGAATTAATTTAAGAGCGGCAGTAGAGAAAAATGACATGGAGGGGGTAGAAAAGATTGGAGATAACAGGCAAGGACCGGCGCGCAGATATTTATACCTGCTGCTGGCCCTAAGCCGGCTTGGGCTGCGAGGGCTGAGGGCAAGCCGAGCCACCAATCGCCATGTTTTCATTTGGCCAGTGATGGAAACACCCCTCATGTTTGCCTTTTTCAACCACTGTAGTCAAATTGTGTGTTTCGTTAAAGCCCAGCCAGAGGGAGAGTCGCATTTCAAAGCTCTTTTGGCCCTCCCACTATAATTCCTGTTTATAATCGCTGGTGGTAGAGGCAGATTGACACACTATACTTTGAAGGCACGCATTGTTGCCCCTTTTACAGATTCCAAAACACTAGCGCACATACAAAAAAAAAAAAAACAACCTTCTCGCAGCAGCCAAATGTCAAGCAATTCACATCCGAAGACTGATGAAAGCGGCGACACGGAGAACCTGTGGGAGTCGGCTCTGCAGCAGGTGGGCTCGTCAAAGGCAGTGGCGGCAAAGACAGTGCTGGTGCTGGGCGACTCAAACTGTGGAAAGACCAATGTCGTCTCGCAGCTATTCCAAGCATCGCTGCACCCGCAGACGGGCAACGGGCAGGATAGCACCACTGTCTCCACAGCAATCGGCACAAACGATCCCCTCAGCGAGATCGAAACGCTGGTGACGCTGAGCAAACACGACCTCGCACTGTCGTATTCGTACATGGATGTGCGCGACGAGGACAACGAGGAGACAATTGCACGGCTCGGCATTTTCCAGCTCGCCTCGGATCGCACGACAGACCGCGAGCTGCTAAAGTATGTGCTGGACGCACGGTCGTTTGGCGACTCGGCAGCGGTGATTGTGCTCGACTGGTCGAAGCCCTGGCGGTTCGTCAAGTCGCTTCTGCGCTGGTGCAATGTGCTTGGGGAGGCAATCGAGTGCGTGTGCAAGGACACGGGCGGGCGCGAGGCAGCGTCGAACAAGGGCGCAAGCGGGTGGACATTGGGCAAGGCCACAGTGGATGAGTGCCGCGAGCGGCTGGAGCGGTTTCTGCAGGAGTATGTGGAACCGGCAGAGCCCAGCGGAGAAGCGCTGGCAGGCACGCAGAAGTTGGCAGCAAAGGCCGTCGATGTGCTGCTGCCGCTAGCCAAGGGTGTGCTGGAGGAGAATCTTGGCCTGCCGCTGGTCGTCGTGTGCACAAAGGCCGACTCGATGGCAGTGTTGGAGCGCGAGCGTGCATTCAAGGAGGAGGACTTTGATTACATCCAGCAGATTCTGCGTGCGATCTGCCTCCGGTTCGGAGCAGCGCTGATCTACACGTCGACGCATAACCCGACGACCTTCTCGACGCTCTACCATTACCTGGTGCATCGGCTGCTAAGCACACCCACGACACTGGCCACAGCCAGTGCTGATGGCGAGGAGACACAGCTGGGCGAGTCACCAGCAGACGATGAAACAAGCAAAATGGACGTTGATATGGCAGTCGAGCCTACGGTAGATAGCGCACGGGCAAGAGCAGGCTCTACGGCCACAACCAGTGCTCCGGCGGCTGCACAGAGCTCGGCTGCCCTGACAAAGTACCCATTCCGGCTGCGTGCCAGTGTGGTTGACCGCGACGTGGTGTTTGTGCCTTCGGGCTGGGACTCGGTTGCCCAGATCAAATACCTGCGCGATTCATTCGACGTCGCTGCGGTGCAGGGCGCCTGGGAGTTTGATGCGCAGCGGTACCAGACGATTGTTGAACGCGCCACGCGCGAGTCATCGGTGACAGCGCCGGTGCGGCTAAGCAGCAGCGATGCCAACAACGCGGCATCGCTTGGAATAGCCATGCAGAGCGACCCCGAGCCGGCCGACACCAACAACAGCGTGCTGATAATGTTCGGCGAGGTTGTGTCGGCGCCCAAGCGGCGCACCGGTCGGGATGCCGACGGCAGCACCACTGTGGCAGCCGTGGCAGCAGCAGCAGCAGGCATGGCGAGCCACGTGGCTGTCGAGGACGACCAGTCGTTCCTGGAGCGCCTGTACGTCGAGCAGGAGGAGCAGATGCGGCAGGAGGGAGAGGAGACCGGCTACAACGATGTGCGCCCGCACCCGAGCGGCGGTGCATCCAGCAAGTTTGTGACCAACCTGCTGCGCAGCATGCACAGCGCCGAGTCATCGCTGTCAACTGCCATTGATGTGCCGTCGCCGCGGGAGACCAACAGCGGCAATGTGTCTGATGACGGCGAGGACTTTGACAGTGTCGACACCAGCCCCATCCCCAATGCCTCTGGTGCCCGCCAGGCCCCTGGCGTGCCACCAATGCCTGCAAATGCCGTGTCGCAGCTGCGCGACGGCGAGATTGGCGGCTCGCTAGGCCGCAATGCTGGCAATCGGGCGGCCCGTCCAGTCGCCTCCAGCGACCAGCCGCAGCACGGCACCATCAGGCGCAAGCTGACGCTCAACTCGTCGCACAGCAAGCAGGCCAGCGGCGATGCTGGCTCGTCGAACGAAGAGCTGACGAGCTTTTTCCAGAGTCTGCTGGGCCGTAAGGGCGGGGTCGCCTCGGCAGCAGCCAGCAATAGCGGCAAGAGCTCGCCACAGCAGCCACCACGGCAGGTGGGACCCACAGGGATGACGAGAGCATCGACCACAGGATCACATAGGGACGTGCAGGCCGAGTTTGAGCGCCTGAAGACCCAGCTCAACCGGTCCAAGGAGTAACAAAAAGGGCACTGTTTCTAGTTGAACAAAAATACTACAATTCCTGCAAGTTTTGCTTGGCAAACCTTAGCTGCTTTCTGGACAGGTTGCTGTTGCAGAGCAGGAGCTGGGCTGGGTGGTCTGGCGACAGATCCGACAGGTGATTCAGGCACACCGCCTTGTACACCTGCATGTGCGACGGCTTCTTGCCAAACACAAAGCTGTGCGAGCACAGATGCGTGCTCATCCAGCACTCCCACACGCCGTCTATAGCGCGGTCGCGCTCGCATGGATCTGTTGCCGAAAAGTGCGCCAAGAGCCTTGCCAGGCACTTCCACGCAAACTTGTCCTGGCTGTTGCCCACATCAATAGCATCAACGACCACCCGGATCATCCTCTTGAGAACGTCCTGGTCGATATCCTCAGGCTTGTGCAGGGCCTCTTTGATGATCCCACTGAATCTGTCCGCCGACAGAGCAAACGGATCTGCCTGGATGTAGTCCAGCGCGCTCTCCAAGCCCACCTGGCCCATTTGCATCGCCGCCCGGCGCGCCAGCAAGCTCTGGTCATCCTCCAGCCACTTTGCCACAAACGCCTCGGCATCCTCCTGCCTGCCCAGCGCCACTAGTACCTGGACATACGCCGGCTTGACGAAATCGCAGTCAGGGTCGATCTGCAGCGCCCTGAACAAATGTGACTCGGCGTCCATCAGCGTGAACCTCGTGCTGGTCCACACATCCTCCTTGGCCAGCGGCAGGCAGCCCTGGATTCGCTCCAGATCGCCCTTCACCTTGGTCCGCAGCTGCAGCTCGTCCTCGCGCAGGCTCACGGTCAGAAGCCCATACAATGCATGGGCCATGGCGCTGCCGCTGCCGGCCTCCTGCACAAACACAGTCATAATATCGTATGCCCGCCGCATCGACCCGAGCTCGAGAATCTCGAGGAATATGCGCTCAAACATGCATAGCTGTGGCCATTGCGTGTGCGTGACGGTATGCATCAGGTCGAGGTACGGCGCCAGGGACCGTGCTGGCTGCTGCTGCCGGAGCGTGTCCAGGAAGGGCTGCCAGATTCGCTGCAAGGGCGCGCGTGCTCCGTTGATGGTGGACAGAAGCAGTCGGCTGGCGGTGTCGTAGGAGCCGCGCTTCGTGTGCGTGTGTATCAAGTGCACAGTGGTGTTGCGGAACTGGTTCAGCGCCTTGTAGGTCACGCTGTGCCTTGGGATGCGCGTGTTTCGTACCGCCCGGCCCATGGCTTTTTTTGTCTTGCTGAATAAATGTAATGGAAAAATGAAATGAGTTGGCTTTAGCTTGGTGGCTGCGGAATTGCACCACCTGCCCAGCCATGCCCTTTGGGGTCTTATGGCTTGAGATCCGACACGTTGGTGATCCGCCCATCCACCATTGGCGACACAACCGCCCACTGCGCAATCAGCTCCTCGGACGCATATGACCTGGTGTCTTTGCGGTTAATCGGCACGCCGGGCAGCAGACCATCGAGATCGTCGTTCCTCGGCACCCGCTCGTCGTCGGGACATGGCAGCGGCACGCGGCTCGTGTCCTCATGGCCAAACAACGCTGTGCGCGCCACCCTTAGCGGCTGCTGGTCGCTAGGCAGCCGCTCGGCACTGGACAGCAGCGCCTTGACGACATTAGTGCGGCGGTGCGTGAGCAGCTGTGCTTTGGCAGCCAGCCGGTCGTGGTATTTCTGCACGATCTCGGCAATAGTGCCGGCCAGCCCCTGCTTGGACTGCTCTCTTGCCAGAGCCCGGAGGTTATCCGCGTGCTTGATAATCAGGCGCTTCCACTCGGACTGCTTGGCCGGCTGCTCCTCCTGCTCGGGCTGCAGGCTCTTGTGGCGCGCAATCGAGCAGCTCTGCGCATGGCCGTGCAGCTTGAATTTGAGCGCATTGGTGACGGCCAGGCCGTGGAAGAACCGGCGGTAGAGGTTGGAGAAGGAGATTCCGTTTTCTTCGTCCAGCAGAAGCTCGCCCTCGTTCAGTGCCTCGTAGCCGTCGTGTCCCTGGTACATGTAGTCGCGCGTAGCCACAATATACTCGGCCGACATATCCAAGAGCTCGTCTTCTTCGCCGCCGCACTCGGAATCCACGTCTGTGTCGGACTCCCACGCGTCGCTGCTGCGCCTGGATTGCGACGTGGCCGAGTCCTCGCGCGACAGGGCGCTGTTCTTGATGGCCACGCGGTGCAGCGGCGGCACATCCTTTGTGCGTCTCTCCAGCTGCTCGGCCTTCTCCTGGTCCCTCGCAATCCCCAGCTTTCCGGCCCTCGCCGCAGCCTTGGCCGACGCCGTGATCATAATCGACACCACGCGGTCGCCGGGCGCCCTCCTCGGGTCGAACTGGAACCGGAGCCCGCTGACCTGCGGAAACCGGCCCTCCTGCGCCGGCCACTTGCTGACGCCGTTCTCTAACGCCCGTCTGATCTGGTCGCCGGTCAGCCTGACCACCACCACCGGGTCGTCGAACGGGAAGATCTCCATGATATCGCGCAGCTTGACCTCCCCGGTCTCGTACACTTTGTCGGAGCGGATCGCCCCGCCGCACAAAAACCCAATCTGCACACCAATGGTCTCGGCGTAGCACAGCCGCATCAGGTCGGCCGAAAGGCTGCCGATGTTGCTTTCCTGCGTGCGGCAGACGGTCGAGCGGGCATCCCAGGTTGTGGTCGTGAACCCAACCACCTTGTCCATGGCCTTGCTGAGGTGCGCCTCGATCTTGTCTACCATTTCGCTGATCTCCTTCTCCTCCTCGATCTGCCTTGTGACGCGGTGGCGCACGACGTCGACCTTGCTCACTGCGCCCGGCCTTGCCAGCGTCAGCGTGATTTCGCTCAGGTCGCGGAAATCCGTGCCGCTCTTGATCACCCGCCTGCCTGCCTCGCCCTCGGCCAGCTGGCTGCGCTCCTTCTGCCAGCTGGCAAGCATCTGCACGTCATCACTGTCCTCCGGCACCAGGTCCTTGCTTGGGTCCTGGAACGAGTCAATCCCCGAGCCCAGATAGTAAAAGTGGTCGTGGCCGGACAGCACCAGATCAACAACATCCTTGCAGGCATCCGCCAGCTTGATATCGTTCGGCAGCCGCATATGCGACAGACAGATGACCAGATCGCACGCCATCTCCGGGTCGCTCTTATCACGCAGCTTCTCGGCCATCGTCCGTGCCTCGGCAATGAAATCGTGGTACTGGAACGTCGGCGGCAGACACGGCAGGGTATCAAGCCATTCCTTCTCGACAATGCCAATGATTCCTACCCGCATTCCGCCTACCTCTTTGACCAGGTGCGTCACGCTGCCCGTGGCCGCCGGCCCGCCTGTGTCCTTGTCGGTCAGGTTGCTGATCACCCAGGGGAAGTTGTTGCGCCGGACCAGGCCCTCCAGGACCTCGATGCCCTGGTCGAACTCGTGGTTGCCAAAGGCTGCCGCGTCGATCTTCAGCTTGTTCAGTACAGGGAGCATGTGCTCGCCGCGGGAGATGCTGCTTTCGAGGCTGGGGAAGTACGCGTCGCCTGAAAATAGCGTTAGCGTTGGCGTGTCGCTTTGCTGGAGCGTGTGCATCAGGTGGCCGAACCGCGCTGCGCCGCCAACCGGCTCCTTGGCGCTGGCCGCCACATGATAGACGTCATTGAAGTGTAGAATACGCAGAGTGTCGCTGGCCATGAGGGGAGTTGTTTGCTGTCAATGTATAAAGGAGGAGAAAGGGTGATTGGAGAGAGAGGGAAAGATAAAGCAAAAGATGCATTCTGTCCTTCCCAATACGTGCAACCAGCGCAATTCATTCGGTGGTCTCAAGAAGCACAAGCACTACACGTGCGGATTTTAAAAAATGAAAAGCGCTATTCAGAAGTACGGCCCTACTCCTGAACCCCCCGCAGTCTCCGAACTCGCCTCCACCGAGGAGTGCTGCTGGCTGAAGGGGATGAACACGCACTGGTCGCGTGAACCAACCGCGAACTCGACTGCAGAATCAATGGACACAGTCATGCCGGCAGGACGCTCAATCGCGACCGTGTTGTTGTTGTCGACAAATGTTCCAGCACGGCTGTTGAGTGGCGAAACGAGTATAGACGTGCTGGAGTGCTGCTGAGGAGTGCTGGCTGCCCTTTTAATTCTACGGGCTTGTGCTGCAGTGCCGATAAAGCGCGCTTGGCCGTCTTTGGCATTGCTAGAAATAGAACTAATCTACTATATGGATTGAAAATCACAAAACATGTGGACTGGCTTCACGATTTCTAGAGTTAATCATGGTCGGCGATCTGGCTTGACAAGCATGTGGAGTAGGAAATAAAACAAAGTGGTGTAATGAATCCGCCGCACAGCTTTTTCCATCCAATATATGCACACTACATGCAAACCGGCGTACATTTAAACATGCACAATTTCAGTGTACACCATACATATCAAATGGCTATTCTTGTTTCAGCAGCATGTTTGTTCTAGACGCATTTCTCTTAGCTCTCTAGAGGACTCCCTTGGTGCTAGGAACGTCGTTCGATCCTGTGCGCGCGACAGCCTCGCGCAGCGCAACTGCCAGCGCCTTGAATGCCGACTCTGCGCCGGTGGTGGTCGTTAAAGCCCTTCAGCACATCGACGTGCAGAGTAATTCCAGCAGCCGTGGCGAACGACTCCAAGACATGCGGGATCATCTCGCACGACAGCGTGCCAATCATCTCGCGCTTCAGCCCCAAGTCAATCGATGCGTGCGGCCGGCCCGAAATGTCAACCACGGCGCGCGAAAGCGCTTCGTCCAGCGGGCAGTACGCATGTCCAAACCGCCGAATGCCGCGCGGCTCGCCCAGCGCCTGTTTGAATGCCATTCCAAGGGCGATGGCCGTGTCCTCGGCTGTGTGGTGGTCGTCAATGTGCAGGTCGCCGGTGCACTTTAGCGTCAGCGACCATTTGCTGTGCTTCGCCAGCGCATGGTACATGTGGTCCAGGAAGCCGATGCCTGTGTCGATGTTGATGACCTGCTCGGCTGCCGAGTCCAGCGACCCGATCTCCAGTGTGATGTGGATGTCGGTCTCATTGGTCTTGCGAGACACAGTGGCGGTGCGTTCCTGTGACATGGTTCCGAAAGTAGAAAAGTCGTGCGCGAGATAGTTGAAGAAAAAAGGCGGTCCAGCCTGGGTTTCAGCTTTTTCTCGCTACTGGTTTATCTCAAGACCGATCCACATGTTGTGAGTCATGTCCTCTGCTAGCCTGGCAGGCCGTGTTGATGAGCTGTCGTTCTCCGGAGTGCGCCACAGCCAAGAGTAAACAGTGGGTTAATCGCGGCAGCCGCTTATTTAATTTTATTTAATGTACGTGTTTTGTGCTAATCTGCTCTCATCCTAGACACGGCCAGAGCTGCCCAGGTAGTATGCAGCTGGGCGCGGCGCCTGCGTCTTCCACCGCTCCATGCCAGCACGCAGCGTCGCGCGGTCTTCGGCAGTCAGCCGGCGGTCATCGTCGGACCGAATGCAGCTTCCGATCATCATGAAAAACCCGAACGAGGCTCCTGATCCCAGGGCATACTGGCCGATCGTGCCCAGGTATCCGCGCGGTCCCGGGCCGACCTTCATGGTCGTGTAGAATCCGATAAGGCAGCCAAGGCAGGCTCCGACTGATCCACCCATGAGCAGGCCCATCTTGGCCTTGTCCCACAGCGACGGCTCGTAGTGCGACATTGTTGTATTACGTCTGGCTCGGTTTATCTGCTTAGCAAAAGAAAGAGAGATGAAGGCAAGGAACCCAGTGAACCCGGAGGTTAGGCAAGTAAAAGCAAGTGTCCTGAAGCTGAAGGGAGAAGAAACGCAAAATGCAAAAGGTAGTGGTGGCGCGATAACCACATGGACCTGGGGAAACTCAGCTTAGTGTCATATCCGAAAGATCAACTGATCTGATCTGTGGATGGAGATCAGAGCCGCTAAGACAGTGTTGTATAGAAGATCCCAGTATCAGCTTCACGGAACCATCAGCGCTGATATTTTATTGCCAGCTGGCTTTACAGAATCTAGCAGGAATTTCTCACCAAGTATAGCTGGTAACCGGCTCATCAGAGAGTTTAAGGCGTGCTCCATCGCTGCTTGGTATACCAGTTTCGCAGCCTCTCTATATCTGAGCAGCAATGAGGCTTGAGAAGGGATGTCAGGAAACACTCGTGGTTTTACACTTCTTTCTACTCTCTTCGGGTTTGAAATGCTACATCCCATCTTATCCTTCAGAAACACATAGTGTGTATATGCGCCTTCTCTTTCCGCAGCGAAACTAGATTTATGCGACCTGTGTAAACACTTGAGGCTAAGTATTGTGGATGGTGGGGTAGGATTAGGGAAACTCCAATGAGGAATGGCTTGTGCATGATACGTGTGGCTTCTCAGCAGTTGTCACCCGAGGCTGCATTTCTCTTCCACTTTACCTCGCAAACACCCATTTCTCCAATGGCGCACTGGGCTACACTGAAACCATACATTCTTAGGCGAATTGCCGCCATATATGATACCACTTTCTGGCTGGATACTCCTGATGATGTCGATATTTATAATTCATTCCTCCAGCTAAACCGAGTTTGCTAGCGCTGGAGAGACGCTATAAAAGAGAGCCTCCATACTACCGCGATTATCTTGTACTGCGAGCCAACTGCTGACCAGCTACGTCTGTATGGCAACGCCTCTGGTTCCAATCAGCTCGCATCCAGAGGCATGCATCTCACAGTCTCATCACCATATCCTATTCTATGGAGAACCAACATTCCGCATATTGTGAGATCAAAGAATAGTCACTACACTCAAAGGCTGGTTATCTCATCTCGAGGCTGTACCATCGATTATTCGTCTCTTGGAGATATCCTTGGGGTTTTTGGATTTAGCACCGTCGAGTGGCTTAGATTGGAGAAAATATGTTTTATTGAGGATCCGCAGGCGGCAAAACAGGATTCAGATACCGAACCTCCTATAACTGACGATATCAGAGAACGACCGTTACAACCCTCACAGTATTTCGTAACTCACATTCCTCATGGGAAGCATTTGTGTCGTAGTGTATCTATGTATCCTGTGAAGAATCCGCCAGTATTTCCGCTTGGTTATATGCTAAACTTTTACTTGCCTCGGCTACAAACAAGAATTGAATCGAATTTTATACTTTCAGAACTGGACAGCACATGTTTCTCTTCATACATCGCTAGGTTGGTTCTGCACATCAACAGCAAGAGTGCCGAGGGTTTCCCTAAGATATTCGCACCTTCACTTGAAATTTTAGCACTATTTTATTCCGATATCGCACATTCATGGCATATCTTTAGAGGCAGTCTGCCTGGATCGGTTATCTTTGAAAATCTCACAGAGCTTGCAATCTATCATTACCCAAAGATAATTGGATCCTCAGAAGAGTCACGTACATATTTCTCGCCTATATTATTTCCAAAGTTAAAGGAGTTACGTTTAGATTACTATCCATTCAATGATCCCAACGCCCTCACTTTATTCAAAGACGCACCAATACAGACTGCGACTATCTCTGATATGGTTTGATAGATTCCAACTTCTCTTTTTTTTTTTTTTTTTTTTTTTTTTTTTTTTTTTTTAATCTCTGCAATATCTACCTTCAGAAATGTTCCGGTTCTAGCTGTTGTCATCTTAGGCCGGAAGGACAATGCGCATAGCGAAGCTGCAGGGTCTATTGCAAAGGATCTTTTCAGCAAACCATTTTCTACTTTCACTGCCGAGTTACATATTCAGAAAAGTTTACCAGTTGCACTCCCCGATACGATTCTGTGGACGAAATTAGAAAAGCTGTATCCTCGGTTCCCTGTTTATTTTTCTGATCTCATCCACATTCTCCCTCAACTTCCTCGTCTGCGCTGGCTCATTGTTGGAGCCATATACTACACTGGACATTGTATAGAGAATACCGAATCAGTGCAAATCTGGAATAGCATCCTTACTCAGCTCATTCTTTTCTCAAGCACCGGGGTTATACCAACAATTCCATCTCTTGACGCAATGTGCAATTTGGTGTCTGGATTACCATCTCTTCTCAAACTGGCTGTCCCAGAGGATATGCTGACTTCTGCAATAGATGCACTATCTACACACGCTATTTCTCGGGAATCGAACGAAGGGGTGCTTCAAGTTGTTGGATACCGTCAAAAAAGAGGCATGATTTTATCATGACTTTGGAATCCCTTACACCAACCCTCGAGACGACTGCATTTTCAAATATATCTGAGCAAGGTGAGGGCATCAATACATTCTTTATCATACACTCATAACCTCTATATGATATTGCGTATTTCGCTGTTTATTTTTCGTCTACCATTGCTGCACCTCTGAAGACATCAGAGCTAACAAGAATATGTTTGTCGACCAGACCGATGTCAACGACAAACCTTCAACAGTACAACCGATGGCTACTCCATGTGAGAGTTTAGAATGTGCTCTGTTGACATTCGGGTCCGGAGTCCCCTGCGCCACCATAGACAAGACCGAAACGCATACGTACAAAGGCCCAGATAGACGACTAGCTTTCCTTCTTCCCTCAGTCAATTTTTGAGAAGTCATTATTTTCCATATATTCTATAACCACTCATTCCCCAGGTTAACATGCTCTATCGCTGCCTGGTATCCCAGTTTCACTACAGCACTATATCTGAGTGGTAAGAGGTTTTAAGAAGGACACCATGCAGCAGTCGATGTCTCATTTCCTGTTCTCTTCATAGTATTTTGATAATCCATATGTCACTTTAACGCCAAGGTATTCAGCGATTGGTATGCCACAATCCTGGATCAGAAAATGCTCCAGCTGATATCCAAAGCTGGCATCATGGGCTAGAGAATCACGCTTGACTATTGCAGGCATGCATGGGACAGTCTTGGCCTGAAGCTGTTTGTAAAGGTGGCCGTTAATACTGAGGAGAGAAGAGAAAAGATCCACAACGCGGCTGTGTCAGTATGTTTAAGTACTTGGCTGCTCCTGCCAGCGGTGATATGGCTAAGCATACAGTGTGCCTTTTGTTTTTCCGCTTGTGAGGCGGATTGATCGCTGCAACGGCATATCCACTGTAGGGCCTGCTACCATGCTAGCAAAGACGGCCGCATCAGGCGTGAAACAATACTAACTCTTGTTGTCTGTAGGCGCCTCGGCATACCGCTTGTCTATATGGATCTACTCGGAATTGGCCATTTACTGTGCCTTTCGGATTCTAGAGCTGGTAGAGTAAAAGGGCTGGCATGGCCGTATTTCGGCTGCACCTTGCTTTCATGCCCAGCACGCTTTCTTCCACAAGCCAAGTGGCAATTTTTGGATGCAATATGGATGCATATAGTGGTGCTGTTCTGGTTAGCGAGAGGAAAAAGGGTACCAGGTGTCAAACAGCGACAGATTCGTCAATTCGCACAAAACGTGTGCACTGTCTCCCTCTTTTCCTCCCCTGTAGAATTCTTTCCAAGCCTCTGTTTAGCTTTTCACTGCTTGTCCCCCATCGATGTCGCAGAATAGAATAATGATGGGGGCATCCGGCCTAGCCCGTGCAAGTACAACTGAATCGCAAACTGCACAGGGGCGGCGTTAGTAGCAGTGGTCGAGTGAGGGGCGCCTTGGCAGAAATGTAGAATGCGCCGCCCTCTCCGCCGTTTCCACACTTCTCTTCTGCGCTCTTCATCTTTGCTTTTTATGTTCACTCTGTATTTACCCCTTTACTAAGCAAACACTATACTGTGAACGCATTATTATCATTTCCTGTTCTGGATACCTTGCTCGCTCTTACCAGCCACCACTATACATACAAGATCCACACATACTGTCTACCATGTCGCAACAGAATGTATTACAGGCAAATATCGCTAGCGCATCTACCGGCACTGGTAGCAGCACCATGGTAGGGGCTGCCCCATCAAGCAGCAGAAGCAGCATGAGCAGCAGTGCCAGCAAGCAGCAGCAGCAGCAGCAGCCGCAGCGGGCTCAGCTAAACCACGAAACATGCTCGCTATGTGGCGCGCAGTTTCGGAATCGCGACCAGCTCTGGGATCATCTCATGGACTGCAATTACCTGGCAGACTGGAAAGGGATCATATGACACGAGGAATCCTTAGGGAGCACTAGCCAAGACCTGTAATTATCTCTATTTCTCAACTCCAGTGGTCCAATACATTTGCTGGAAAATAGCTGGAAATCTCCTTGCGACCGGATGCTCCTCATCGGGAGAGGGAAGCTGGGGGCGATGTAGGGCTGGAGCGCCGATAATGCACCAAAGGCATGCCCAGGGACAGGCGTTTATAATGTTCGTGTCAAGTGGGGCCCCACATGCATGATCCGAAAACGCGAAAAAAACGGCAGTGAAAATGTGTGAAGCGTCTTCTCCGAATACGCGACGATATTCTCTTCTTTTTTTATTATGCACTAGTGCATTCATTTCAATTTGCTCTCGTTTTATTTTTCTCCACCGCCATTTCTCTTATTAATCACCAAACCGCCATTCTACGACACGAGGACTAGTCGGAACGAGCAAGGACAAAAGCAGCGAACTTTCCTCTCCTAAACCCTTTCGCAGCGCCGTTTTCTTTACATATTTTCTGCGTTGGTCTTGTCCATGAGCTTATAATGAATAGCCTCGAGACCAACGTTACAACACTGGTAAGTAAAAACTATCTGGTGCCGACAGAGAACTTGCACGAGCGTTGATTCGGCCTGGCTGGGAGAAATTCTCTCCCCCTGCCCTGTGAATGACGCTCCACTCCTCTTGCTGAAGGAGTGTCTTGAGATATCCAAAACGAAAGCCTCCCTTGCCTAACTAGTATTCTCCGAACTAGGCCGCCACAACGCGGACGATAAAGTGGTTTAAGTATGAGTGCAGCTACAGCGCAACAGACGCATCGGGGAGCCCGGTGGTAGTGGCAACATGTCACCAGCTGCTTGACGCAAGGATACCGTGCATATGGCGGCCGGCGCGCCGAGACGGGTCGGCCGACATCGCCCTCTACAAGACGATTGAGACCATTGCCCATTGCACGCACGGCGGCGGATCATCCCAGCCCCAAGGTGCCATCGACGTTGCCGACCAGTGGGAAGTCTGGGTGTTCCATGCCGCCATGCCCGAAGAGCAGGCCAGCAGAATTGGTGGATCTGCCGGCAGAGTTCCAGGTTGCCATGTCTGGAGATATTGCATGGGCATCTGCCGGAGATAATGGCAGCCCTGATGAAATGACGGCAGATAATCAGGGCGCTGGTTCGTCGGGCGAAGAGCACAGCCTGTTGCACCAGGCACTGGCCAACCTAATGGACCGCGCGCTGCTACCGTTGTCGGTTGTAAGGTTTGGCATGGATCAGTGGGTGGCGCTGGACGATTCGCCGTTGCTGGCACGTCTTGGATCAGACGACAAGCGCGATTCAGTGCTAGCAGCCGAGGATATGGATTGCTTCAGCCTGCCACCCACACCACCGTACTCTAGCGACGCAAATTTCTCTGTGGAGGCGGCCGAGTTTCTCAATGAGAGTGCCAAGCACACGAATGGGAGACAGGCTGTAGTCACAGGCCACCTCTGCAGGCGGTGCGCAAGGCAGGTCGCGCATAGTTGCGTTGCAGATCACGACAGGCCATTTCGACGAACGGCTTGCTAGTGCAGACGAGCATGGAGGCAGTCGACAACATCGGGTATATTGGCAACACGCAGGATCTCTTGGATTCGCAAGGGCATCGACTTGGAACCGTGCGATTCACGAGATCCTGATGGGCTTTCGCTGATCGCTCACGTCCGGCTTGCACCATACGGAATCCCGGCTCAGATCGTTTCGGTTCCAGAGACACATATGGGCGACAATGAGGACCAGGTAATTAGGTCATGGTCGCGGGCATTTGGATACCCAAAATCTCTTTTGGCAGTCCGTGGTGCAGACTCGGCATTGGTATATGTCACGCTAGCGACAGGTGAGCAGCCGACGCTCTATCCACGGCGACTGGTTTTCCTGGACAACGACCGCAAAGCACAGGCTGTCAGCGAATCGGAAAATGTGAATGGGCTAGACAATACCGGGATGGCCAGCACGAGGAGTCACGCTGACGATGCAGTAGACAACCCGCCTGCCCCACCAAACCCCATGGAGCTGAACGACGCACGCAGCGAGCCCGAGGAAGGTGAGGAGCGCGAGGACGGCGAAGACGAGGACGGCGAGATTGCCGACCCAGTGGAGCCCGCATATGACGAGCGTGTATCGGTCATGGATGCCGAATTCGACGCGATTATCTCGCAGTTGCGCAAAGAAAACACGCAATCTGTTGAGCAGTCACTGGCAACCATCAAGGATACAATGGTCGGGTTCCAGGAAGAGCTGCGGGTCGAGGAGGAGGAGGAGCGCAAACGCAAGGAAAAGGAGCGGCTCGAGACCCTGGCTGCGCAGCGGGCGGCCAATGCTGCAGCGCAGGCGGCCAAGCGCGCCAACTCTGCGTCCAAGCACGATGCTGCGGGCCCGTCAGGCGCCCGCAAGCGCCAGCGCAGCAAGAGCCGTGACGAGGGGTCCAAGAAGAGCCGCAAGAAGAATGAGCCGGCGGTCGCTCTGCCAGCCAAAACTACCAGTTCGGTGAATCCGCCGGCTCCAGTAGCCGCCCCTGCACCGCCAGTGGACCAGGTGCCAAAGCCCGAGGTTGTGGCCAATGGCGCCGTAGGCGATATCAACACTGCTGACGGCGGCAGCAGCAGCGCTGATGGTCTTTTTGGAAGCCTTGGCGATGACATGGGACTCGACCTCGACATGGGCATGGGCATGAGCGGTATGGGTGAGATTGGTGGCATGGGCGGCATGGGCATAGATATGGACATGGGCATGGACAGCATGTCGAACGGTATGTTTGGTGTCACTGACGACGACTTTAGCTTCTTTGACACGGTGCCCGCCAACCAACCGTCTGGCATCGCGGCATCCTCGCCGCCTGCTCCGCAGCTGCCTGCCCAACCAGCAGCAGGCGCAGTGAAGACAGAGTTTGCGCCCACCAACTCATATCAGTCCGGCATAGACTTGGGGGCACTGAGTACCAGTGCGAGCAGCAGTGGCATTGATGGCGGATCATCGCTGGTGAGCGACAGTCTGGCCGGGCGAGATCTGGTAGACACGGCAATGGGCGACAGCATAGACGATCTGTTTGGTGGTGACGACGACGACGACGGCATGTTCGACTCGTTCTTTGGAAGCAGCAGCACGGCCACTGCAGCAGCTACTGCTGTTACTGCCACCACAGAGGTGCCCCCAGTGACTGCTAGCGAGGCCACAGTGAAGCTTGAAGCCGACACCACCGCACTCGTTTCGCAGCCCACCGACACGCCTGATCCACTGACCATCTCCTTGGTCTCCCCGCACGAGGGACTCCTCGCCGACAACATCTCAATGACTGGCGCGTCTTCCGGCACGGCGCCCGAATCCACCACGACTGCAGTGTCTGCAGCAGACCTCGCATCCCCAGGGTCATACAAGCTGACACCAGCCCCCAGCGCGGATATGCAGACGCCCGCACAGACGCCCCATGTGCCGTTTCCCAGCAAGAGTGCCGAGTCAGCCGATGAAACTGTATTGTCGCGGGTCAGCAACAGCGCTGTGGTGCAGGGCTATTCGACAATGCAGGCAACTGCGGGCATTCAGGCGCCTAGCCTGCAGGCGGCTCTACCGTCGAGCACTCAGGCAGCGGCACCCCTTGTACAGAAGCAAGGGACCACGCCTCTGCCATACAGTTCGATAGCGACGCCTTACGACGACATTGGCAGGCACGCGCAGTCATGGCTACAGGACCGGCCTACGCCGGCTCGGCTGGCTGGCGACATCAACGACATGCATCCGCAGGAGCTGGACCCACACAACATTAGGTTCACATCGATCATGGAAAAGTCGCTGAACCCAGTGTCGTGGATTAAGCGCATATCGGCACGGCGCATACACCACACAGGCAGAGCCAAGGGGCAAGAGCCAGGCGTTCCGCCGAGAAGGCATTCATCAGGCTACTGGCAAGCACCAGATTCTAGGCGCATCGACACCACTTAGCCTGCGCAGACTGCGTGGATGGCTGGTTGCGTACAAGGCAAAGTCGTCGTATGCGAAGGACTTTGTGCCGAAACACATATCGATGGTAGACTCGGCCTTCCTGCTGGCGCCGGCATAGCATCAGCTGACGCAGATGTGCTGGCTCCAAGCGCAGCAGCAACTGCTGACACGGTAGGCACTGCTGGCGACGGTCACCAGGCAGGTGAGGCTGGGAGCAGCGCAGCTCAGACAGCAATTCTGTCGGGAGCATGCGGGCCGCAGCAGGTACACAGCAAGGACGCTGATCGCGCAGACGGTGCAGGGGCTGGGCATGCTCGAGGCAATCACAACAGGCGAGAGCAACCACCATGACAAGAGCGAGGTTGCAGGCGACGATTGTCTGTTTGGTATAGTATCTGTGAGCGACAAGCGGCAAGGGTTCCGGTCGTTCACCAGCATCATCAACCCGCGACAGCTCACTGGCCCTGCATCGCGTATTGGCCAAGTGCTGGGGGCAAGGGATAGGCGAACTGGACCTCACTGTGAACGCGTCGATGCTGGGCCATCTCGGATTGCCACCTAAACAAAACCAAGGGATCAGCACCACAACAGTGACAGCCATCGACGGCTCCCGGGTTCCCTGGCTGCTGCTCCAGGCACGTGGGCTGCTGGAGCGCCTGCAGGCTCTGCCGTTCAAGACGCCAGTGCTCAGTTGGACGGCAGCCGCCAGCAGCGCGGCCCGGCTAGCGATGAGCCCGGCGGGCGTTGCGGACTGCACGTACTCGGTTAGCTTGCCGGTTGTGCGATCTCCGCATCACAGCTGCATAAGCGAGGCGATCGCCCGCCAATGCACTATTGCCAGGAGGCAGTCTGGGGACACGACTGGGCGGACTATTGCTAAGCCGGCCACATGCTGAAGTAGTCAGCAGCGAGGCGATCGACGGCAATACAAAATCCCAACTTCCCGAACCCAAATGCCGCAATTTGGAGGTTGCGTTGACAAACCAATGGAAGCAGGCGGTGCGCGAGCAGGCTGATTGGCCGGGCACGGTCGAGATGCTCGCAGACTGGGCAATCAGTGGTCCGATGCAGCAATGTTTAGATAGCGCGGACCGCCAGCAAGCTTCGGTCCCACACGCACCATCTAGTAACATAACGCCAGCGTGCGCAGGCGATGTCAGCACCGCATTGGTCCAGTTCTGGAACCCCAGCGAGGATCCGACATCGGGGGGCGAAAGCGGGCTGCTGACGCTCGGCAGGCTTTTAGCCCTGGACAGCGCCCCGGCGCCGCAAAGCGCGACGGCCAAGTACCGCGGGTTCGTGGTGAAAAAGCGCAAGGCGAGCGCGCAGCTAGACGGCGGCAGCAAGGGCTCGGTGGTGGTGCCCTCTGGCCCCGGCGTCATTGAGCCGCTGCTCGAGCCGCACGTCTTGGTGGGCGCGCATGCGCAGCAGGACATCGGTCTGCCAGCGACATCGCTCACAGCGCGCGACAGCGAGTCGCTGTATATCAGGCGGTGGCACTACGAGCACCGGCTCGCATCGTGTGCGCGGCACCAGGCGCGCGTGGCGGCAGGCGAAATCGAGGAGACCGAGGAAGGAGAGGAGCGCGAGGACGGCGAAGACGAGGCGTCGGTGGCCGATGATCAGCTCGAAAGCTCCGAGGACTGGACCGACCCGGATGCACATACAGCCGAGACCGAGGATGGGCTGCGACGCGCTTGCATTTCGACCCGGCCGCTGGCGCTGCGGTGGTGGGCGCAGATGCAGATACGCCCGGTGGGCGCATCAAAGGACGTGCGCTGGTGTGCGTTTGTCCCGCCAGCCGACGCAGCAAGCGACGCCAGTGGCTGGTGTGCCACAAGCAAGGCGGCGGTGGACGGGTTCCTGGGCGACGTCGATACGGCATACCATGGCATGCATCTGGGAACCCACAGCCCGCTCGACCTGGCCGGCATCCTCGATGGGGTGTTCACGCAGCTGACGGAAGACAACAGCTCCATGGGCCACGCAGATCTGGCGCCGACCCAGTGGGCAGCGCGGCTCCGCTACGAGGCCATGCGGCTCGGGCGCTGTGCTGCACATAGCTGGTACACTACCTGCCAGCACCGCACACAGCGCACTGTAGCTCAAAAGGCAGCACCCGCGCCGTCGCTGGTTATCTACATGCTGGTGCCGTTTGCCCAGCAGCCCGAGTCATGGGTGGCCATGGCTGGCTGCGCGCAGCTGGCGGTCAGCGAGTTTGGCCGCTCCCTCAGCAGTCTGATTGCTCGCACGACAGCGCGCGGCGTCCTGACATCCACGTCAATGGCCAGCGGACCAAGTGCCATGGCCCACACTGGCTGTGTATCCACTGCCTCTCGACCAAATCACCGAATGGCACATGGCGGGACGCGACCCGCGGGTACCTAGCGTCAGCGACATGGCCTTGGCAATCTACAATAAGCTGCCGGAGCCCCTGGCATTGGCTGCAGTGGCGCCCACTGCATCTCCCTCAATGGCCTCGCCGCCCATGCCCGCAGTACTCAGCCGGCGGAGCAGCACATCGGGGGCGACTTCCGGGCACATGCTCATTCGACACGCGGGGTTCTTTGAATACTCTGCCTCTGACAAGCCAACAATGCCCCGCGGGTTTGCCCACCAGGCGGCGATTGTGTCGTCAGCAAGTTCCTTCCCTGCCGCCGACAGCGCCATTGTGCCTGCATCTATTCCCGTCGCCCTAGCCATGCAGCGCAGCGACATTTCGGCCGAGGACTCGCACGCACTGCCGAAGAGCCAAAGTGCGCTGTCGAGCCTCTACCCGCAGCTGCCCTCGGAGAGTCCCCTGGGTGCCCGCCCCGTGAGCAGCTCCAGCGAAGCTGCCAATGAACTGCCCGAGGTGCGTGTGCGCTTTGGCGGCTGCACAATAGCGGCAGGTGACTGTCTTGTTGCGCATCCGTTGCGGCCCAGCGACACAATGACGACTCTTGCACTGCGCCTACACGCATGCCGGCGAATGGGTGGCCGTGTGCTGGTGCGATGAGCGCGGCGAGTACGTCGACCACGCCGTGTTTGCCAATCCTTCGCCCACCGTGTCTTCTGACGTGCAGCACAGGATCTGGGACGGCTGCCTTAGGTTCCGCCGCTTGTTTGGCGGCCAGCTGCGCGTGGTCCTCTGCGAATGGCGTGGCATGTCTTTTGGCCAGGCATCCTCCTGGCGCTCCTTCCTGGCTTCCAACGCCCAGCCATTGGTTCCATCCGTGCATCTGGTGAGCGCTGGCGTGAATCCGCGCACCGGCCTGTGCCTGTTCTCGTCAGCCGAGACCGCTGAGCAGGATGCGGAGCCTATGTGCCAGTCGCTTGTGCTGCAGTCGCAGGCGTATGTGGAATTTAATGCACAGAATGACCTGCTGCATAGGCCGCGTGCTTTGCTGCCGACGGCTTACATGATCATGCACCAGCGGCCTGCGCATCTGCCTCTGCACTGTCTGTGCATACAGGCGCTTGATGCAGATAATGACCTGCTGACTGTCCGCGCGATCGCGAAGCAGTTCCACCAACTGGCGGCCGTCCGCAGCCAGGGCGCTGCATATGCCCTGCCGCTGCACATTGATGCAGGTCAATGCTGTGCGCGACGCCCTGCAATTGGTCATCTAGTAGATATCCGATATTATCACGCTTGTTTTATTTGTGGCATATAAATGTCTGAAAGTCTCAATGTTTGATGGTGATTTTCTTAATAATGTTCGAAACGGAACAAGATAAAAAACGGGGTTAAGAACTATAGCACATCTGAGAGATAAAAAAAACTAAGAAAGAGGTGTGAATGAGGGGAGTAAGAAAGAAAGCAGGAAGAAAGAGGGATATAGAGCTGAGCTATTCTTTTTTGTGCTTGAACAAGTTGAGAGGGTAAGCAGGCGCAACACGATAGGAGAAGAAATAGATGAGGCGGAGGGGCTAGAGATAAGGTTAGGTTGTGTTTGCATATATTATTGTTCAGTCTTGGTCACCAGGCTCTCAAAGTACGTTGACGACGACGCTGCCGACACCCCCACGCTGGCATCCTTGGCCTCATCGGCCGGTGCCGGCGCCGAATTCAGCGGCGTATGCATCTGGTGGTGGTAGTCGATGCTCCCGCGCTTCATCCCAGGCGTCGCCTGGAACGACCCGCCGCCATACGGCGCATACCGACTGCCCTTCTTGTCTGTATAGCTGCTGGAGGGCGACACCGGCCCGCCCACCATTCCGGCCAGGTGCGTTGCGCTGGTCGACGTGCTCATCGCCGGCGGCGGCGACGACGGCATCCCGGCCAGCCTGCCCGAGTAGTTTATCCCCAGGCCCTGCGTCACCGGCCCGCTCACCGACGATGATGACGAGTGGTGGTGCTGCGGCTGCGGATGGTGCAGCTGCGTCCCGCTCACCACCTGCGACAATGACGCCGAGTACGTGTGCGACACCGCCGGCGGCCCTGTTGCTGTCACTGCCGCTGGCTGCGATGCCGCCGCCGGCTGCTCGTATGCGTCGGGCGCCCGCGCCGTCGGCGTCGCTGCCGCTGTGTACCCGGCTGTGTACCCGTCCTGTGTTGGCAGACCGGCTGCCGACGACGGCGAGTTCATCGGAATTGTCCCGTACAGGTACGAGTTTGGGTCCGGCTGGAATATGGGAAACAGCACGTCCACGATCTTGAACTGCTCTGCCAGGAACCGTGCCCGCTCAAACGGAATCCACACGCCCTTCAGGTGCATCGGCCCCACCTTCACCACGCGCCGCCCCTTCTCGTTCTTCAGAATTCCGTCGCGCTTGCCGCGCGACATGCCCACCACATTCAGCAACTTGGTTCCGTTGATCGTGTTGTCGTCTACAGATTTTTTTCCATGGATGGAAATATTAGATGGCACCTGTTTCATAGAATGAGGGAGGGACAAGAGGGGGAGCAAAGTGGGAAAATCCCGAAGCGAAACCGGCCAAAATAAAATTGCACATGGTTCATTTTGGGGTGACCGATGAGGGATGAGATATGCGCCCGGGATAAGGGGAGAGGTGCAGACCATGTTCCTGAATGGACCCGGCCTGGCAATTCTGGAAGCCAGGGCCAATTAGCTGCCGGGGGCCAAGTAGCTGCTAGGTGAGAGGCTCGTTAGAGCGTCCAACCGCCTCCTCAGAAGAAGGCGAACCAAACAGCACAATAACGGCCCTAGCTCCGTATTTTTTTAGGGACACCGCGTAAACATTTCAAATATTCTCACGTCACAGCAGCGAAAAAAAAAAGCACCGGGAGGACGGGGTAGGACAATATTTGTTATACCCGCCTCCCTCTTTTTTCCTCTTCCTTTGCTGCAGATACTGTTCCTTGAAAAGCAAGGAACAGAGAAAAAACAGTATCAACAAATAAACGCCATTCCACATCATATTAATCCTGCTACTTACCGTGGCGTCTCGCAACGCATATGCCGCGGCAATCGACCTGATACACAAGCGTCTGCTCGTCCTCCCACAGCGTGGTTGTGAGGCGCGCGCGCGGCGGGTAATACGCAGCGGCAGCTGCCATGGCCGACGGCGATGTTGCATACCCTTCATGGTACATCACCATCTGATGGCCTGTCGGCGAGTACTGCGGCTGGCCGTACATCTGCCCATACCACGACTGGGGCGAATGCTGCTGCGCAGCGGCCACTGCTACCGCCGTCGTCGTGTTGTGCGGCGACAACGGCGTTGCCGGCGCCGGCCCCCACTGCGTCTGCGACTGCATCAGGCTCGCCGCCATGTTCGTCGTCCCGTCCGCCAGCCCGTAGCTGCCCTGGATATGTCACCGCCGACTGCCCGTTGATGTCAATTGCCGGCAGGCTGTGGTGGTGCGGCGCTACCGAATTCTGGCTGTGATGGTGCTGCGAATGCTGGTGGTATGCGCCCGGCGGCGGCAGGAGCTGCCCGCCCGCGTGGTTCACCGGTGTCATCGCCCCGTAGCCGCGCGAGTAGTCTGTCGGCAGCGGCGCCCCGCCCGACGCTACTACTGTTGCTGCAGCCAGGGCCACATCCCGCGATGCTGCTGGCGGACCCAGAGACGGGTCATGCGCTGCGTCTAGAGACGTCGCGCCGGCTGTTCCGGTCGCCGCTGCTGCCTGGCCGTTGTTGTAAGGGGAGTGCAGCGTTGACATTATCTGTTTCCTGTATGTGAGCAAGTAATGTGAGGACTATGTAGTACCCCCACAAATAAGCTGGTCCTTTGCTGGCTGCGTCTCTGAAGAAAAAGAAGAGGGATGGGAGAGGAAGGAAAAGTGGAGAGAAAAGGAGCAAGAGATGGCAAGAGAGGGGAGAAGCGAATAATTGGGATGAGTAGAGACGCGAAAGCGGTTATATGATGGCTGGCAAGTAATAAAAGAAAAGGGAGGAAATAAGACAACTTTAGAAAAGTAGAGGGAAAGAGGCCAATTTTTGGCGTGCGGATTGGTTTGGACTTTTTATTTTAGTGTTTTTAATCTGGGACAAGGCCCAAACGCAGGCCCATCGGACACAGGCCAAAATACACTACAAGAAAAAATGAAAGCTGATAAAAGGACTATTAACAGGCTGCGGGTGGATGCGTAGGGTTGCATGCACCCCCCTGGGCTATGTGGAGTAAAAACAGGAAAACGCCATTTTGCAGTGAGAGCCTTCACTCTCCCCTGGCCATTGTGATTGTCGAGGACGGCACAGGGATCGGCAAGTGTTTTTTCCACAGGCCAGAATGCGGACCAGCTTTCCCCTCCCCTAGCACCTTGCTGTAGAAAGGCGAAAGGTAAACAAGCGGGCAGCAAATAAAACACGGTCGGGACATTGGAATGCACGGCGCAACACAGCAGACAATAATCGTCTGGGTTGTTGCGCTTGTTAGTAAGCGTGCATTTTTGTTCCTGGAATGACAAGCAGTGGGGGGGCGAGCTTTTTTTTTTTCAATCGGTTTTTACGCTCGATGCTGCGTCATGTCCCACTTTTTTGACCCTTCGTGCAGATATGAGCGAGCGCATTGCACATGTATTATGTGGAAGCATGAACGAAACATGATGTATACGGGCCATTCACCCTTTTTGCCCCCGCCCTCTGGCCTGCGAGGGGGCGCTTTCTTTTCCTCTTCTTGCGACTGCTCTAGCCGCGCTCCCTCCTCGCGTTCGCTGAAAAAGGCATCTTCGCTCAGCTGCACAGGATATGAAGGTGCAAATCCCCACCCCTCCCTTCATCTCACACATCTGTTCTGCTCACAATTGGACAAAATTGCGTCCTTGTGTTTGGCCCGCGAAAAAGCAAGCCAGCGAGGAAGGGCAAAGCGCCCAGCTGGCCAGAGCCCCTCCTCGGCCAATCACCGACCCGGCGCTGCAATTTTCAAGCTCCGCCTGGGCATTCACACACCACCCGCTCCATTTTCCGTCTCGACCTGGGATGCTGGCCGGGATGCTATTTCTCCTCTGTCGCAAATCGAACTCGTTTTTTTCCAGCATAAAAGGGAGCCGTTTTTCAAATGACGAAACGACCTCCCCCGACGATCTCACCTGTATTTCCGTCTGCCCTTTTCATCGCCTCTGCAAAAGATTTATTGCCGCGTGAAGCAGCAAGGACGAGCCGGGTGTCTAATTGGTTGGGCCACAGTCAAGACTTCGGCCTTGCGAAATTTGTGATTTCTCCCTGGCCAATATCCGAAGAGGGCCTCCCCATGGCTCAAAAGACGAGCGCGGCCTTTCCATGTGTGCATTCGGAGAGGACACATCCCCCATTGTTCTCCTCAGCTGCATTTTGCCAGGAACTGCTTGTCCAGTCCTGCCATTCGCGAAATGGAGCGAGGCTTTGCTTGGCTCCTGTTTGCACAGCAAATGCCTGCGATTAGCGGCAACAATGCTGCTAATTTTGTGGAGAAGGCCGGGTCTTTCAGAGCCCCCCAAAGAGAGATGCACAAAGAGCCTCTTGCAAGAGTCCAATGCGCACAAATGTGGACGATCTTGTCCTCAGCTCCCTCGGGAGAAAAATGAATCGCGCCTCCCCCCGCGCTGCAGCCTGGGCTCCAAAAAAAGGTCCGACAGGAGAGCCGGTGGATCCTGTATGGGTGTCCCGGAGATCGCAGGATGAGCCTGCGAGACCGTCCCGGTACTCACGCGATGCAGCCAAAAAATAAAAAAGGTCTGGCTACGAGTGATCCCGTTCTGCGCTGCATGCTGGGCGACTATCATTGCACCGACAGCATGCTGCACAGAGTGCATTCAGGCGGCGTCAGATCCCGCAGGTACAGCAGGTGATTCACGCGGGCATTCAGCACGCATCACGCCTGGAGGGCAACTCCTTTACATGTCCTCCATGAGCTGCACATATTGCTGCATCTCCACTCCCCGAACCACTCCTGCTGCTCGAGCCGCGAGCCGGATCCGAGCCGCTGTGCTGGCATGCTTCTACTAGCTGTGACGGATGCATGGGCTACACAGCAAGCGGTGGCCAAGCCAGCTTTTCCTCCCGTCTCTTTTGCATTCGCACTCCTTGTAATTTTACAGCCTACCCTCACTTCCCTTTTCCAAGCAATGCGCCTCACTTCGGGACTGTTGACCCTCGCCCTCGTGTCGCTGTCGCTGCCAGCCAGCGTCCAGGCCGAGGAGAGTGGAGCCGCCGATGCAGTCTCCCCGACGACAATGGCAGAGCAACAAGCCGTGGTACGGAGGGGAATATGATCTCCAGCAGCGTCTGACATGTATGACTCTTGCGCACTAATATGGAATGTGTTTGTTTATAGACACCACAGACGACCGCCGATCCCACAGACCACTCGACCGACAGCGAAAACGCAGCCCGCGAACAGTACGACAGCGCAATGGCTGTGCTCGAGCCCTACCAATCGCGCCTCGACGCACAGCAGCAAAACTGCAGTAGCTCCAAAATACGGATTCAAGACAAATCGGGATGCATTGCCGCTGCTGCCCAAGGCTGTGCGGCCATATGTGCGCAGGGTCATGGCGTTTGTCGCCGACTGGGTCGAGCCATCCGCGCGCGACAGCAAATCGTCCTATGTGCAGAGAGTCAAAGAGCGCCATACCACGCAGCCAGCCAACGTCCGCGAGGCAATCAATACCCTGACTGCGCTTGCCGATCAAGGATACGAGGACGCGGTGTTCACCCTGGCAAGCATGGAGATGCACGGCCGGTATGGCAGCGGCGTGGACCTGCCCGGTGCCTTTGCCCACTACCAGCAGCTGTCAGAGATCAGCGGAAATGCCACTGCCCAATACATGCTTGGGATTCTTCTATGCCACTGCGCTGGGTGGTGTGGAACAGAGTAACAGCATGTCGCTGCTGTACAACCGCTTTCGCTGCCATCCAGGGCTATGTGCCAGCAGAAATGACCCTTAGGCTTCCGCCATCTGGCCGGAATCGGCACCACCATGTCGTGTCCCGACGCACTCAGTTACTACCACGCAGTAGCCCTCAAATCAGTGAGGTCACTACCTCTCGGGCCCTCCGCTTGGCCGACATCTGCCCTCGTACCGGGTGCGACTGTCTGACGAACATGGGGGCATATTCGGCGTCAAGACCAGCCCAAATTCGATCCGCAAAACTGTCAAACGCGACGAATTTAACGAAGTTGTCGAGTACCACCAGTTCAAGGCCCGCAAGGGCGATCTCCAGGCCTGCGTTACTTTGGCTGACCTGTACTACCACGGCCATCGATATAGTCCCCGCCGATTCTCCACTGCGTTGACATACCTATCCGAAGTCATCGCCAAGGGGTTCACGGCCAATGGCAAGATCAAGCAGTCGCTCGATCGCGGGGACATCCAGGCAGCAGCCCAGGCGGCTGGCATGTTTGCCACCATGCACTGGCGCGGCGAGGGCGTGCCGGTCGATACAGCACAGGCATTCAAAGTGGTACAAGATTGGTGCCAGCCTTGGGCACGGCGGATCTCTCAACGCCCTGGGCAGGATGTACGAGGAGGGTATCGAAATCCCGGCCAGCCCGGAGAAGGCCATCGACTATTTCAAGAAAGCCGCTGCCAAGCAGCATCCTGGCGGCCAGGTCAACTATGCGCTGGCAGTAATCAACACCAACCCCCAGGTCGCATACGCGCAGTTCATCAAGGCTGCCGAGAGCGGCAACATCCTGGCTCACTACTACCTGGCTGAGATGTACAACCACGGCATTGGTGTGCAGCAGGCGTGCAACATGGCCACCACACACTACCGCTATGTGGCTGAAAAGGGCGACTGGCAGCATTCGCCCATCCCTGACGCCTACGAGTCATACACGGCGGGCAACATGGAGATGGCATTGATCGGATACATGCAGGCAGCCGAGATGGGCTACGATGTCGGCAACCTCAATGCTGCATATCTGCTGGAGCACGTCCCTGGCCTGCATCCCGATGAGGCACATACACTGGCGTGCAGCCAATGCAAGCTGGCTTCCCAGAAGCCCAGTGATGCACGACCGCAGACATGCGCGTGCCCCAAGCCGCTATTTAAGGACCGCCAAACACATGACTTCCAGACCCTGACATACTGGACCCGTGCGGCGAACCAAAATGTGGCCGATGCACGTGTCAAACAAGGCGGCCACTATTATTACGGCCGTGGCGTGCGCCCGAGCCTTGAGCGTGCTGCTGCTGCGTATACCATCGCCGCCGAGGGCGAGGGCAATAGCTTTGCGATGTGGAATCTGGCGTGGATGTATGAAAACGGGATTGGCATGAAGCGCGACTTCCATCTAGCCAAGCGCTGGTACGACCGCAGCCTAGAGGTCAACGAGCACGGCAAGTTGGCCAACCACTTTTCGCTGGCCCGTCTGTGCCTCAAGTACCTGTGGGGGTGGGCGACTGGCGAGGATGTCGGCGATGGGCCACTGTTCTTTACCCCGAAGCCTGTGTCCAAGGAGGAGGAGGAGGCGGCGATTGCAGCCATGGCCAATAGAGCCAATGCGAACGATGATGATGGCGCTGACATCCGCAACATGGATGATGCGCAGGGCCAGGACGACGATGCTTGGGACCAGCCGGCACCACCGCGCCAGCAGCAGAACCAGGATGACGACGCTAGACTGGACGGCGATGACGACGACGAGGTATCGCTGGTAGAGAACCTGTTCTTTGTCATGGTACTGGCGCTGATCGGCTGGGTGTTTGTCAGAAATGCTCAGCAGCCGCGCCCACCACCACCGAACCAACAGCAGTGAAGGCAGTGTAGTGTGGATTCTAGTTTCATTTCGGAATAAAATAACGCTTTGATTTTTACAATTTAGTCATGCTGGGATTTTTAGTCATCCCCTTGCCACTGTTGCTGACACCGACCTTGCCGGTAATCGTCGTCGGGCTCTTGAATATCGACTTGCTGTTGATCGCCTTGGCCTTCAGCTTTTTGCTGTGTCCTCCAGTGGCAAACTTCAGCCACGCCTGCTGGCCCTGCGCCATGACATCCGGCTTCTTCTGCTTCTTTTTTCCGTGCTTCTTCTCGATCTTCCCCTTTTCGACTCTGTCCACTTTTTCGACCTTGCTCGCCTCAGGCTTCTCTGCATCATTGATACTCTTCAGATCATCCACATCTGTGTCCTGTGTATCGCCATACCCGACAAATGTGACCTTTAGGCCCACATCGCCGTATCCGACAATCCGCGCCGGATAAAACTGCCCATCACTATATTTCGCCAGGCACTCCATGCCAATAGACCAGCCCCCGAGCGATTTGGATTTGGCTGGTTGCGGCTTGGGTGTCGATGTCGCTGTGCTGAGGGAAAGGAGCTCCTGGAGATCAGCTTTCAACGCCTGGAGTTCGGTGTTGCCGGGGTCGGCGGAGAGTGCAAGCTCGACTTCGCTGAGCTGGGTTTTGTAAAGCTCGAGTTCTGATGAGTCCATTGCTGGAAAAGCTGTCTTGGGAAAAGAAATAACTGATAATAGATTCGAAGTTGCTGTTCTTGGTGAGATTTAGATTTATATGAGTCAGGTGGGGCAATCAGCCCAGAACATGATTGCAGTGTATTATGGTGTACGAATGTTTCGCCGCTGGCAGCTGGTAACCACTACCAAATGTATCCCAGCTAGCTCCAAAATCTGCTACCGGTGTTGCTATGCGCATAATGCGCCTGTCTCTGACGTTAGCGTGACAACTGGCTCTAAATATAGTGAGTCAGGAGTCAGTGAGACTTCTGCAGCAGGCTCTGCAGTGGATATGCATTGTAGTTGTTAATATGCTGTGTAAGCGGAGACATCAAAAGTACGCTGGGTGCTTAGCAATATCACCACTAGGAGGAGCAGCCAAGTATCTAAGCGCACCGATACGACCGCATTGTCCATCTTTTCTCTTCTCTCCTCAGCAATAAAACATTTTTGAGAGTCTACTCTATTACTACATATATGTGCTATTTCATCAGGGAACATCACAGTCAAAGGTAGAAATGTATACGTCATCGACTGGGGGTATGCCAAGGTCATCTCAACCGTATCAGACGATGACAATACGAACGCTACCCACCAGAAGAGCATGGTAGAGCTTGCTGAACAGTGGGGCTACAGCCAGAGCGATGGCGAGGAAAACGAGGGCAGGCACGATTCGCTTACTGGAACACTCCGCTATATGAGTGTGCAAGTCCTACTTAGAGCAGCGCATTGTGGACTCTAGTACGGTATTGAGTCATTGTTTGATGTCGTCCTAGACGCCTTTGCCGCCCTTGAGGACAAGAAGGACACTGACTCGTATGGCTCCAGAGGTGTCGAGAACAAAGATATCTTTACCTTTATATAAGATTTTATAGTCCAAAAAGTATCCGACCGTCCGCTAGAAGCTATTTAATTGATTAAAAGATATAATTCTTTTAAACCTCAAAGCGAGTTTGGGTGACTTGCTCTGTAAACTCCTTTTGATCTTGTGCGGCATCTGACCTCATCGGTGAAACCAGGGTGACGAAGTTGTTATTGTAGTGGTCACAGGTCTCCACTAGATATCTCCATTGGTTCAGCGCAAGAGCTGCTCTCATTGTCGGTCGGCCTGATAACTTCCATGGCGTCATCATGGTGGTCATCACCGGCTGCGCAACACTCATTAGGATGTTTATTTATGAGCACCTATTGAATGAGGCCATATAGCTCTTCTAGCGGTCATGCAATATTTGTGGGTTTATTTTACAAATTAATTTGTCTTATGAACATGCGTAGGCAGTAGTATTTGGGCCACAATGGATCCAGTCTGTATAGACTGATTCAAGAGACTGTATCGGTGCTAAGGGCCCCAAGAACCATGCAACCCAGATCATTATTAATAAAAAGTTCTTAATGCTATGCATACGCAATAAAGCAAAACTGAACAGCATCATTTCTCTCTTACTTGCCTATTGAATTTCTCAAATGAATATTACCTGCAGCACTACTGTCATAAAGACATCACTTGGTGGTATTGGCTTCCGTGATTCTATGTTGCCCCGCCTAGAGCAATTTGTACATAGTGTCAATATCATCAAAGAGCATACATACATGCTTGCACGATGGATATTACTCCATCAACTAGCTGACGATGATGCCTTTGACCCTGCAACATTTGTGAAAAAGGGTTTTTTTTTCGTTTTATTTATTTATTCATTTATCGCAACCTGAAGGCGAAGACTGTCATATCTGCCGAGGATTTCGTCAACCGGAAGGACAGGTCAGAACTGTCGAGCGCAGATTTCGGTGATGTAGTTAGATATCATATTTATGATTATCTATTGCATAATGGCGATATCAAGCTACATGGTGTACGTGAAATGAATCAGGTAGCGACATACGTGGATACCGAGCTGATGACAGCATACAAGAACAACATTGTGTTGCACTATGGCACTTGCCTACAGCGGATTCTGGCCAAATTGATTGATATTCGCAGCCGCAAAAACACACTGCACAGTACAATGGGCAATGCGTCCAAGGCTGAGTTCAATAATGCATGTCAAGTGTGTATTTATACACCTGCACAGAAGCTCCGCCAGGCAGTTGCCTCTAGGCACCCTGATCTCAGTGTGCTCACCCCACCGATGCTTGCAATCTACAACAAGCTGGCACCAGTCCTTAATGCCTATGATGCCAAGTACAGATTCGCCAAAGGACAGCCGATACTATGATGCCAAGGTAAATCCACTTAAGCATCTGCGTGCATACATTCGTCTATGCCAGCTTATCGAGAATGAGCAGCTTGGCAAGTCTCCCCCCAATGCTTGCCTCTGCGGACATCATGGATCCCAGGCCATGTGCGCTTAGACAAGCAAATAGTCAAGCAGGTGTTTGTTTCGAAAAACACGTGAGGAGGTTACCAAGATCAACGCAGCAAAGAGGGCAGCAACAGAGGCAAGGAAAGCAGCAGAAAAGGGCGAAAAGTTGGCCAAGAAGGCTGCACGCGAAGCAGCGAAGATGTCATTGGATGCAACAGAGGCCACTGCAGCAACTGCAGCAGTAGCGGCTGATTCACTTGCTGCTGCATCGGCAGCAGCAGCAGACACTGTTGCAGCACTTAACAATGCATATGCATCAGCACCCCCAGTCTGTGCACACGACCCGGTCCAAGGGATCACACAACCTGTGTGGGATGTGTGGGGCCGGGTCGCAGATCTAACATCAAAGCCATTTAAGGCGCATGGTGATAGAAAATTCCACGGAATGGCGACAACAGATGGTGTAACGATATGCATTCTGTTGCAAGACAAGATATTCAAGGCTGATGGTGCAGTAGATGCTGATGGTGCAGGAGGCGATGCTGCGGGAGGCAATTCTGTGGGAGGCGATGCTACAGGCGATGCTGTGGTAGGCAGTACTATAGCTGACTGTCGCTATATCCACCAGATCCCACAGCCAGAGCTGCAGAATCTGAAAGGCCGCTGTGTATTCATCGATCCAGGTCGGGGCGATTTGCTATACATGATGCACGAAAATAGCAGCAATGGGAAAGAGGGTGAAAAAATGCTCTACCGCTACACACGGCAGCAGCGCAATAAGGAGCTCAAGCTGCGCCACTATGACAGGATTCGTTGGGATACAAAGGATCAAGTCCCAGAAGATGCTGTCCGCAGAGCAGAGGCAGAGCTTTCCAAGCACTGCTGCCGGACCCTTAGCCCAGCAAAATTCCGTGCCTACGTTGCTGCCCGTGCATCTGTGCGGTGTGTCCTAGCACCGTTTTATGCCAACACGATGACAGCGCGAAGGTTACCAGAGCAGCAACTCACTAAGTCAAACAAGCAGCACCAGAGGCGCTGGAAGGCCCATCCGGGTGTCAGCACCAGTCCCAAGGTGTACCCGCTTCACCGCAAGCTGCGCCTTGATTCATTCATGAACCAGGCCCGTGCAGACCACAGGCTTGCCGCAAAACTCCGGAGCAAGTTTGGTCCAGACCCAGTGCTGATCATGGGCAATTGGAGTGCGCCGATGGCCCGGCACCATGCGCCGATTCGTGGCAAGGGGCAGCGCGACAAGTTCAAGCACCATGGCTTTGAAGTCTATCTGATCGACGAATTCCGGACATCGTCGGTGTGCCCGTTCTGCTGCAAAAAGTCGCTGCTGACATTCCGGCATGTTCCCAACCCGCGGCCCTACCAGAGATCGAAGAACCCAATTGTGAAGTGCCATGGCCTTCTCCGCTGTACAAGCGAGTCATGTAAGCGGGTCATGGCACAATACAGGCGGGCCTATTCGTCTCGGCTCTTGAACCGCGATCTCGCAGCAGTTCTAAACTTCAGGCTCATTTTCCAGTCACTCTGTGATTCAGGCAGTATTCCTGAACGGTTCCATCGCTTTACGGCCATTGCTGCTGATGCTTCTGGCACCACCCCTGCAACAAAGAGGCCGCGCAAGAGGTGTGCAGCAGCAGGCGGTTCTGTTGCCAGCAGCAGCGAAGCCAGCGCTGAAGCGCCTACGCAGAGCAGGCCATCCAAGACAGGAGATGTCCATGATCCGCCATTGCATCAACAAGCCATCCGACACGTTCAAATGACCGGTTCGCCGTGATGCTCTTATCGACGTGTCAACCCATGCTGACTAGCAGCCGAGCTCGCATCGCGAGCAGAGTATTTCTAGTACAGTTGAGATAACATATAAAGGCAGGTGGTGTCGTTGATGTCTGATGTGTGATTTTAAGAATTGAAATAGCAAAGCTAGGGAGTAAGGAGAAAGGGAGAAAGGGGAAACTACAAACACCGTGCACTGCCCTTTTGAAGATTCCGTTACTGCATGGTATCCGAGCACAGCAACAAAACCAAAGCAGCCTGTCTGCAATGGATCAAACTTTAAACTCTCTGCTAGTGTGTTCATCAGTTGCACATAGGTTTTTTTTCCGTTGGCATCAGTCTTGATCAGCTGACATGGCCTTGCCAGCGCTGACGTCCTCAAAACTGCAGCAACGGTATGCGAAACATCATCAGCGATATTCGCATTATTATGTAAAGAGCAAGAGCGTACAAAGTATAATTTATAGACACACCCTTGTTTGCCAAGCGGATGAGTGGCTATTGGGTATATTTGGAAAATGCGTTTTCAAAAATATATGAACAGAGGAAGGATAGCCGACGGTCTATCTGGGATTTTATATGTGTGCGTTTCAGGTTTGCCAATGGTAGCGCAGGGGGACTCTGGACCCTGAATGGCAGCAATTATGAACACCAGGATAAAATGTAGGAGGCGAAAAATGAAAGAAAAATGATAAACTGCCTATAGTTAGAACAAATCTACAAATGGTAGAAATCATAAAGCCTAGACAAATGCTAGACCATTCTTGTACACCCGTCTCAAGGCTGCCTTGTCCACCTTAAAGCGCTCCGACAGAACTAGCTTGTAAAGCTCTGGCAGCCGCCGGGTTGCCATCAGTAGCCAGGTCTTGTCTCGCAGTGTCGGGAATGCGATTTTGAGACCAAATACCAGAACTGATGTGCTTAGTGGGGTCCTCCTGCTGCACACAACCTCATCACTGGCTTGCTGATCCGAGTGGGACATGGAGAGATCTAGCGTGTGCATCCGGGGCAGCTGCGTCATGAGAATCTCAATGCTCTGCAGCGGAATTGAGCGAGCTACAAGGCGCAGACTCCTAAGCATTGGCCATTTTGCGTCCTTGATGGGCGGGAAGTCGGATTGTGGCAGAGACAGCGTGACTTTGTTCAGCTTGGCCGGGATATCAAAGATCTTGATAAAGAAGCCGTTCTTGTCGAGTACAGGGATCTGAGTTCTCTGCGAATCGCTGATGCAGAACTCGCGTATATTGCGGACCAACTTTGGGTTGAGGCGCTGCAGCTTGTTTGCATCATCGAGGATAACAAGCGACCCAATGCTAGAGGATCTTTATCCAAGTCCAGCGCGTCCGTGTATGAGTCCAAGGTCCTCCATCAGGCAGAGGCTCCAGAGTCTGGGGAACTGCAGCTTGAACCGACCAATCTGGGTCGCCGGGTAAACATGGCAATTTTGGAACGTGCGCATTATCAGCTGCTCGACATTCGGGAACACGATTGGGTTGCTGGCGTCGCCGAACATGCCCCACGGGAAGTTGCTCGAGCTGTTGACAATTTCGATTGTCTTGAGAGTGTTAGGATTGACGCGCATAGTTCCGGGATGCCGTGCCCTCTGATGGGTCTATAATGCGGATACTGGTCAGGTTCTGGAAATGCACATGTGGGATACTACGAAGGATGAAGCCATCGACCGTGATCTTGCTGATAGAGGCAGCCAACATCACGATGAGATTGTAGTAGATGTTGGCAGGCACAGTCGATAGGCTGCCAGACGTGATAGGAGTGACAGAGAATACATGGGGGAACAGCTGCAGCAAGTAGGTGGAGATGAGCTGGGAGGCGACACCAGACCCGAGGGAACTCTGTATATCCATCACATGTCATTATAAGAATTGAGCATAGGTTGGGGAGTCTGTGATGGTGTACGCCGAGCCCTCGGATAACGTCGATGAGGGTAGCATCGCTCGGTGATCAGGGGACCACCGAGACAAAGGTGTATGACCCTGTGCTGCATGCCGGCGGCGACAATTGACGGCAGATTTGAGCGCCATGTGACACGGCCTGACTTTGGTTTTCTTGGGCTCAATGACCAGGCTTTTGTAGAGTTCGTGCTTGACAATGGAATACCAGGAGTGACAGACCAGAGCCAGATTGATCGAAGCGCTCCTGGTGGCCCATATCGGGCTCGTCTTGGATTTGGACATAGTTGGCATGGCGGATTATGCTTTCGACTATATCGCCGTTCGTCAGAGGCGCTGATGTTGGCAGAGGAACGTACATGCATAGCTGGTGTTCTGGGAAAGATGGATATGAATATGGAAATGGAAGTGTGGAAGAGCAGTTGGGTGATGGAGAGGGGAAAGAGTGGAGCGGAGGTCGTGCTTTATAGATATTCGAGAGGAAGGCGGCCAGCGGTGCGTGCGTGACAACCGAAGCAGACAAGTGTCTGCAATATGCAGGCGCATCTCCGAGTGGAGAAAGACTTCCTCGTATAGAGATCCATAGTGAGGGATGTCCAGATGGGGTTCATGCGGCTTAGTACACCTGCAAGCACTTTAAGCAAGTTTATCGATTGCTTTCAAGATAAGGTCATGCGTTGTTTATGAGCAATCCGGACTGGACCAGGTTCTCAGGAACAGTCTTGCAGGTATCTGAATGGACAAGGTGGCCGAAAACAGAAACCGAAGGGTGTCCACATGTCCCGGAAAGTATGCAGCTCAGTGTACCATATGTGATGGTTTGTCCGATATAAGCGAGCCGCCAGAGTCCCATGGGTGTTTCGGATGGAGCCACCCGGAGCCAGCTGGAGCCAACAAGTACCTGGTTAGTGGTTCAAAAGAATAACTGGTGTTTCTGAATCAATGTAACCCTTGGTGCGTGGTAATTACTCACCTTTGTTATGAATAGCTGTCGGCAGTAAAAAGGACGCCAAGTAAACAATTCAGTGAAATGGCATAAGCAGCTAATCGTTTTAACAAGATGAATGCAATTTCCTTGACGTCACTGTCAGGACGTGGTGTACTTGGTGCATGTTGTATATATCCACAGAATGATCACCTGTCTTGGGGATTACCACAGCAAGAAACTCTTCAGACAACGGTAGCAGTTCTTGGACCCGGCTCCGTTGGTCATCTTGCGAAAGGAGCCAAGCACTGTGGAGCAGCAGGCCAAGGTTAGTGTGATGATGTAGGACAGCTGGGAAAGCCCCCACGCCGCCTGGGCATTTATGCGCCCTAACCCGGCTCAGGCTCAGGTTCAGGCTCAGGCCATCTCTGCAGGGGAGGGGTCCTTTTTGAGCTGCACCTGTACTTGAGCGTTTGTCTTCCCCCTTTTTCAGGCATAGCAAATTCCGTATTTCGTGTTTCGCATTTCAGCTACACTGTTCTTTTTAACGACTTGCATTTTAATCCTACTTTAAGCTGATGAGTAACCCTGCTGAAATTCAGGTGAGTTGTTGGGAGGGACCTGGCTATGTTTGCCGCCCCAGACCAGCGGGCGACGGTAGACTGGTCATTCTCCCGGGAGTGTTGGGCACATTTCAGTAGCGTGGAAGCTAAAACAAGAGGAGCTGTGTTTGTTGAATTCCATTATCGCGTAGTCAATTACCCCGGTGGTGCTCGCAGAGGAGGTCTCGCGGCGATACCAAGTCGGGCGCAGCACACTGTCGGGGCTCATCGAATACTTCTCCAACAGGTAAGCAGCACAAGGGGTCCTATGTCCACCGGCCAGGGTGTGCAGCCAGGAGGGTGCTTGGTTATTGATGTGGGAACACCAACCATGTCGACCTGTAGGGCGCAAATGGAGGATGCGGTTGCATCAGCGATTGAAAAAGTACAGGTGCAGGGCAAGCACGGGGCCCGGAATGGACCACACAACCAGCAGCGGAGGTAAGCAGGCCGTTTTCAGCATGCAGGCAAGAAAGCAGCCGGTTTTTCATTTTGTTGTTTTTTTTCCCCCGGTCCAGAGGAAACTAAGTGGTGGTTTGTTTGTTAGAGGGTCGGCATCGATCAATATCGGGAGCGAGATCGCGGGTCTGGGTCCGGCGCTACAGAGGGAGGTCGATGACCTGGTCCGCATGCACCTGCATTTGGCAGAGCGTATCAATAACGAGGTAGTCCGGCCATTGCATGTATTCCTGAACACGGATGCGTGGAAGGTTGCGCTAGAGGTAAGGGTGAGGAAATGGCTGGTGTGCGACAAGGCCAAAATGGCTGCCCAGACTGTCACTAAAGCTATCTGCATTTGGCATGTGGGTGGGGGTTTCTAGATCGAGGGCAAGATCCGGACGATGGCATCGGAGATGCAGTCTCACCACGAGTCGATTCCAAAGGTAAGGATGGTTCAGAGTTTGTGGGAAAAAACATCGACATTCGAGTGGGGGGTGGATTAGTAATCAGCAGTCATGGCAGTGGACAGCGACAGGACAACTGAAAGCCCGGCTATTTCTTGATTCTGGGCATGTTTATTTTTCCCTGTAGCTTTCGGCGCGCACAGTTTCAAAGTCAGCAAAGACCAGCCAGCAGGCAGCGCAGAAGCTCGAAGACGAGAAACGATCACTGATGCAGCTCCAGGACCAGTGGCAATCGACGATATCGACATTAGTGGAGGACTTTGAGACAGCGGATGTGGCGCGCGTGGAGCTCATCCGCGACGCCGTGTTCAAGTTCGAGCACTACCGGTCGGAGTTCCTGAAGAAGGGCCTGGGCGGGCGTTGCGTCCGCAGTGGAAGTCGCCACAAGCATGACGACCAGCCCGCAAATTGCCGCAGTGCTGAACAGCCCGCGCAACATGGAGCCAGCAGATGTGCATAGCCCGCAGCCCGCAGAGCCGGTGACATCAGCAGAGCAATCCCCAGCGAACCAAGCAGGCGTGCTATCGCCAGCAAGCCAGGCAAGCCAGGTCAGTGCGGCGCCGGAGCTGAGCACGAAGCAGTCGAAGGGATTTTTGAAGTTCAACCTGTTCCGCAGCAAGACGCGGGCAAAGCGGAACAAGAGTAGGAGAGGAGGAGGTCACGCCGGTCACAGTGACGCGCAGCGTCAGCTCGACCTTCGAATCGGCAAGCAGTCGGTCGTCAAGCATGCATACGACCAGCACGTCGATGTCGCGCGACTCGGATCGCGAGCAGCTCGATGCCGGGCGAGTTCCCCAGGCCCAGGCATGAGCGCGGAGCCAGCCTGTTGTCGACGGAGACGGGCCAGGTTGTGCCGGTGCGTAATCCGCCGATGGCGCACAAGGCTAGTGGGCAGGAGTTTGCTGACTGGGTGTTTTCCAGCGACAAGAGCCCGGAGACGATCTGCGAGCGAGGTGCCCAGTGACGGTATCCTGGTTGATCATGTGAATGGCGATATTTCTGCTGCTGGTGGTGCTGGTGGTGCTGGTGGTGCTGGTGATGCTGATGCTGGTGCTGGTGCTGCTGATCAGTGGCCGGAGCTGCAGCAGCCAGGATCTGGCAGCGCAGTGGTGTTTGACGACTCCAAATTCGACAACTCGCACTCGCCACTGCAAATCACGCAGGAGGCAAAAGGCCAGCCGAGAATCCAGTACCTGCTGCTCCCGATGCGCCTGCAGCGGATGACAAGGACGCGTTTTCAGTGTCGCCTAAAGAAGCAGCGCCTGTTGCTGAGCAGTGGCCGGAGCTGCAGCAGGCGGGATCAGGCAGTGCAGTGATGTTTGACGACTCCAAGTTCGACAACTCGCACTCACCACTGCAAATCGTGCAGGAGGCAAAGGCGGCAGAGACTCCGGCGGCCGATACGCCAGCAGCAGATAAGGAGGCGTTTGCAAGTGCCAGGTCAAATCGCCAGTGGCAGGACAAGTCGCCAGCATGGAATGCAGTGCATGCGAGCGCCAGCCGGACACTCGCGCAGCGCCAGCGCCGACGTGACGCGGGCGGAGACATCCTCGCAGCACAGCAGCGATGACGACAATGGCGAGCAGGCGTTCCGGGTCAAATTCTCAATCCGCAGTGACACGATCAAGGATAATCCAGATGAGTCGAAGGCGGCGCTGAACCGTGTGGCGACAATGCTAAGGGGGGCGCCGACTATTCGGAGACGCGGGAGGCGCGATGTTCGGACGATGTATGTGGCGCCGACGGAGGAGCAGTCGATGAAGGATGCAATTGAGGCGGAGGCCAAGGAGACGCAGGATCCGTTTGCTGCCGAGGCCAAGGAGGAGGCTGAAGAACCCAAAGAGGAAGTCAAGGAGGAGGAGATTAAGGATGGAAGCCAAGGATGAAGCCAGGAGGGCAAGGGGGAACAGTCGAGCGATGACGATGATGTTCCGCTGGCACAGGTAGCTACACATAGCCGGCCGCAGAGCAGCGCAAGCAAGACGACGCAGCCTCCCTGAGGCAGGGGAGACAGCAACGGTAGAGCCACGCCCAGTGGGAGCAGCAGCAGCAGAGCTAACTACAGCGGAGGCGGCGGAAGCTGAGCCCGAGGATGTCGAGCTCCGGATTGTTAAATCGGCTGCTGTGGAAGAGACAGCAAGCATCACCAGTGCCGAATGAGGAGGCTGGTATTGTGGCTCCCGTCAGAGCTATGTCGGAGGAAGCAGTAGCGACTGGCGCATCGAGACGCCGTGCTCCGCCACCACCTCCGCCACCACCTCCGGGAACCAAGGCGCGGTCGACGATCAAGCGGGCCAGTCGACACGCAAGCCAGCCTGTGGGCAGCGATAGTGCGGCTAGTGCACCGACTCAGAGCACAGGCGAGACAGCCCTGAGCGACTCACCTAAAGCCGCGGATGAGGCGGCCAAGGAGACCACGGAGCCAGCGGTCCCGCAGACCAGCGCATCGGGCGATCTGGCTTCCAGTGGGTCGGCAGGAGACTGCGTAGTGCCGGAGCTTGCAGCAAGCGCAGGCGAAGGTGGCAATGCGGACAGCAAGGTGCCGGTGCTGGCACGGACCACGCATCGCGGGCGGCGTGTGGACTCGAGCAGTCCGCTGGCGCTGGAGCTTTCGGTGCGCGAGACACTGGACTACGACTTCCAGTACCGGGTGGGCAGCCAGCTGGACTTCAGCTACAAGGTCACGGGCGAGGTGGTTCTGCAGGTGCACAGCAGCATCCCACCGCTGGAGCTGGCGCCGGTGCGGCTGTGCGTTCAGCGGGCAGGAGAATGTGCGGTGGGTGGCGAACCCGGCAGTGGTCACATTGGATACGTCGACTGACGTCTTCGGGCGGCAGTGGCGAATGGTACCGGTTCGTGCGGCCGAACCTGTTCGCGGAGACGACAGGCAGCGTCACGGTGTTCAAGTACCAGGAGACGGGCTCAGGACTGGAGCACATGCGGGTGATGCCGGCGGTATTCCGCAAGGCCTGCACATGCACGCCGACGTCGTGCGCCCTGATGCTGTTCTACGAGCCGCAGGCCGCGGGGCCGTATGCGGGCGACGTGCTGGTGGAGCCGGCGCTTTTGGTGAATTTCCTGGGCCGGGTGACCAGCCAGGCGTCGCGGCCGACGGGCATCTGGTATACCGAGAAGAACAGCCTGTTGTGGAAGCTGGACGACATTGCCGTGCCGGTGGAGCCGCTGAGCGACGACGAGTCGATGAAGAACATGCAGACGCTGGTGATCAAGGCCCAGGGCGAGGGGCAGGTGGCGCCGGGGCCGGTTGCGTTCCGGTTCGCGGCGATGCGGTCGGGGATTGTGGACCTGGGGCTGAGCGTCCGCAGGGGCAGCGCGGCGGTGGATGTGCCGGTGATGAGGTCAGTTAGGTCGGGCAAGTGCACGCACCTGTTCCAGCTGGACGACGCCGAGCTGGGGCTGCGCGAGCAGACGCCGGCAGCTGAGCCAGGCAGACGACGGCGACTCGTCAGAGGGATGACGGACAGCTCGTCGGCGTGGTCCAGCGGAGACGAGGCCGAGGAGCCGGAAAGGGCGCCCAGGGCGGCCGACTGAGAGTGGGAGGCAGCTTTTTTTCTCGGCTTGGCATTCGTTTTAGATAACATCTGATCTTTGTTTTCTTTTATTTTCGCACTATTATACTTGGAATGACGGATTTCTCCGACAAATCGCAGGGCGCGAATCCGTTCCGGCCGTACGCCGAGTCGACGGGCAGCCGCACAAATGCAATGTTCGAGGAGCTGCGAAACCCGCTGGAGGGGCTGCGCGCAGCAACCAACGGGCAATTCGAGAGCCCGCTGGCACTGCCGCCCAACACATCGGTGGTCATAGAGGACCTGGATTCGGTGGACTTTCGGCGACTACGAGCACGTGGACACAGCGCAGGCAGCTAGCGAGCTAGTCAAATTCGCGTGCTACCGGTACGCAGCAACGCTTGCAGCCAGCCCCTTCAGCATGGCACAGACGCTGCTGCAGGTGCAGTGTCTGCCGGAGGCCGCGCGGCAGGACGCTGTGAAGCAGGACAAGGCCAGCGAGGAGGAGGACGAGGGAGAGGCGCCGGATCCCGACGACCCGGCGTACTACGAGTACCTGCGGGCGCGGGCTGCGGGCAGCAGCGCGCAGTACCGGGCAGCACCGCGGGTGCGGGCGGACCACAAGGGGTATGTGGACGGGACGCGGCCCGGGTACCAGCTGGCAGCGCTGGCGGGCGGCAAGTGGGCGGCGCTGCGGGCGGTGGTGCGGCAGCCGACCGAGGGCGTGCTGAGTCTGTTCAAGGGCTCCTTCACGCAGTGGGCATACGACATGCTGCATCTGCTGCTGCAGCCGACGCTGGAGGGAGCCATGAATGAGCTGCTGGGGCTGTACGATAGCGCTGCGCTGGGCGCGTACATTGATGCTGGGGCGCCCAGCGCGCTGACGCTGGTAGCGTCGCACGTGATCGTGGGCTGGCTGCTGGCGCCGCTGGAGGTGGTGCGCACGCGCCTGGCTGTGCAGAGCGCGTCGCCTGTCCACCGCAAGTACCGCGGGACGCTGCATGCGCTGCGCACGGTTGCGCGCGAGGAGGGCGGCCTGGTGGGCCTGTACGTGAGGGCCGCGCACGTGACCGCCACCCTCATCAAGCACGCGCTGGACCCGGTGTTCCGCAGCATGGGCGCCTTTGTGCTGGGCCGCGCAGGCATCGACGCCTACGACCACCCGACGAGCTTTGCGCTGGGCGGCCTGGCGTGGAAGACCCTGGCGGCTGTGGTGATGCTGCCCATCGACACCGTGCGGACGCGGCTGATGGCCCAGCCCAAGTACGAGCGCCGCCAGGACGGCTTCCGCGAGTTCCGCACGTGTGTCGCGCGGTCGCCAGTGCCCTACACGGGCATGGCCAACTGCGCCTGGCGGATTGTCTCCGAGGAGGGCGAGTCGCTGCCTTCCCTGCAGCGGCGCCGGGCTGCCATGGCGCGGGCCCGGGCCGGCTGGCGACGCCGACAAGGCTGAGCGCCTGGGCCGCGTCGGCCACTTTGGGCTGCGCGGGCTGTACCCGGGCTTTGCGCTGCAGCTGACCGCCAACGTGACTGTCTTTGGTCTGGGCTTGCTGGCCACCGACGACCTGGACGATGCCTTTTAGACTCTTTTATTTTGCCAAAAGCCGCTGCACTGTGCGGGCCACGTAATAAACCGCCCATGCGCGGGCCGCCAGCGACAGTCCCAGCGCCAGCCGCAGTGCGTATGCGTGTGCCCGGAAAAAGTCCAGTCCCGTGACCTTGTATGGCTTGCGCCTGCGCGGCCCCCACACATGCGCGTGCAGAGCGTTGGTGATCCAGTTGACGTCGGCCCACATGCGCCTATCCATCTGCGGCCAGGGGCTGGCCACCGACACATACGCCGGGTGCAGCGCTGCCGAGGCCGGCAATGCCAGGTCGACCAGCCCGCTGGTGATTTCCAGCGAGATCCCCCACAGGAACAGCTCCTTGTCGCTGGCGAACCGCACGTCCCTGTACCGCGCATTGACCGAGCCGCGGTTCTGCGACCGCACCACCGAGAACTCCCGCGCAAACTCCAGCGGCAGCACCGTGTAGTGCGTGGTGCCCAGCACTCTCTCCATCACCCAGTACCACCATTTCTGCCGGGACCGCGGGAACACGCGGGCCGCGACGTCCAGCGGAATCGACCGGTACTCTTCGGTGAATGGCGCGCACGGCGTCTGCACGCGCTTCAGCAGCTGGCCCAGGTCGATCCAGTGCGCCGACGCTACCTCCGCCGACACCCTCAGCTCCGGTGTCCTTCCAACCACCTGCAGGAACACATGCGGCACCACCACCATCATCGTCTGCAGATTGAACCACATGTACGCGTGGCACGTGTCGAGCTCGCCCAGATACTCAAACCCCTCGCCGCCAATGTCCAGCCCCAGCTCCTCCTGCGTCTCGCGCACCGCCGTCATTTTGTCGTCTCTGTCCGAGTCCTCGCGCTTGCCGCCCGGAAACCCTATATGCCCCGACCACGGGTCGCCCGGATACGCTGCCCGCTGGATATACAGCACCTGCGCCCGCGCCGCCCGCACGTCCTTGTGCGCCAGGAATGCGTGCAGCGACTGTAGCTGCGACGCCCTGCTGGTGTATCTGGGCAGCTGGTCCGCGTGCAGCCGCAGAACTATCGCCACGCTGCCGCGCTTGTGGAACTGGGAGCGCCGTGGTGGGATCGAACTGAGGTGTCGCGCCAGCTGCGATATTATCTCTGTGTGTGGAATTTCCAGAACGTTGGTGCTCATTTCGAAAGACTGCAAAACAAAGTGGTATTGGTAAACAAGAAAAAGACAGCTGGGAAGGAAAAAAAAAAAAAAAAACAAGAAGAGGCGGAGATCGAAAGTCAGAAACAGGCGGATAAAAACTATGCGCTGCTGGAAGTTCCCAGATGCGGCCCATTGTTCGAAGCAGCTAGTCCTGCCGCAGATGGGAGCTAACGAAGGGGCTTGCCATTTCCTGACCTCGATATCTCGGCCTGCGATAGGCTTTGAAATGGACCGGTGAAGCTGGCCGTTGAAAGGAACTATGCGCAGATTGAAGTGGCAACAAACAGGTATATTGAAAGTTTCTAGGAAAGGGTGATTAAGGCTCAGAAGGAAGAAGAAAATTGTCAGGCTGCTGGTGGACAGCAGGGTATCTGATTATAAGGGAGCAGCAGAGGGCGACCTCAGCATGGAATGCAGCTGATCCAGGTGTGCAGCTATACCACTAAGGCATTGGTAGGTGGCTACATGCGTCTGGCGAGAACCAGCCGGCAGTCGCGTTGGGGATGTGCTGGCGTAGAGGCTGCGTAAATTACTGATTCCATCAGTTTCGGGTATCCACTGTCATCCAGCACGCTTGGTCCGAGGTGGGTATAATCATCAGGCAGGGACAAGTCGTAGTCCTTGAGCATGTTGGCGAGGATAGTCGACACCTCAGCCCACGCCAAATGACGGCCAGAGCAGATCCGGACTCCAGAACTGAAGGTCAGAAAGTTGGACCGCGACTTGTCGTTATCCAAGAACCTAGTGGGATCGTATTTCAACGGCTCATCCCATGTGCTCTTGTGGATGCTTGAACCGGAATAACTGGCCCATACCTCGGTTCCTTCAGGAATGAAGTGGCCCTGCAGTGTTATTCCACCAGGCGGAGTTACACGAGGCACAATGCCGCCAGGAACAGGACACAGACGGAGTGCCTCGTATATGCACGCTTCGACAAACGGCAGCGACTTCTTGACATCTACGTATGTGATGACATGGTCTGCCGCGAAATTGCTGCGGACTTCATCCACAGCCCTAGCACGTAGCTCAGGATGCAACATCAGCAGATGCGTGGCCCACTGTAGCGCGTTCGAGGTCGTTCCAGTGCCCGCCAACATCACTTCAATTGACGACGCGTGTATCTGTCTCTCATCCATCGGGGTCTTGGATTCAGGGTCCTGTGCGTCAAGGAATGCCTGCAGCAAGTCCGCCGGCTTCTTGCCACCTTCAGCCAAATGCTTCCTACGCGCGGCGATAGATTCGTTGCAGTGGTGAATAAGCTTCCTATACTGCGACTCCCAGTGCCAGGTTGCCAACGAAAACGGAAAGAACTTGAACAGCGGCATCATTGCATGAATGCCGTGGATCGTGAGGGCTGCCTCAACCCGGTCTGCGGCTGTTGCATCGTTATCCTTCAACCCTCGCGGCTCTATTCCGAAAGCCAGTGCGCTGATTGAATCCAGTGTTGCGAGCGTAAAGTCGCGGCTATAATCAATCTCGATTCTGCCGCTCGAGCTCTGCGCCAACTCGCTGTCCCATTTCGACTTGAGGCCAAGAATCCCGTAGCGCAGGATGTCATGTTCCATTCTGGAAATATAAGCAGGATTGAAGTACGGCCCGAGCTGGCGCTTACGCATAGAAGCCACCTTTGGGTTGCGCGCGCTGACCGTGTTTTCAATTCCAAAAGTATCAAACCCCATGTAAAAATCGCTCTTTACAAAGGCATGGGAGGCAAGCACGGCCTTAATATCTACCGGATTAGAAATTACAACTGCGTTCGGTCCCATGACGTAGATATCGCCGTACATGCTGTACTCCTTTTTTGTCATTTGCCCAACTCGACCAGATATATTAATGAGCTGTGAGCGTAGCGGTGTCAGGCGGGCCAGGAATGAGCCAGGGATATGGCGTAGTGGTGAAAAAAATAGAGCGTGCGCAGTCCTGTAGCTCGCGTATCCCCCAGCAATAATGGCAACCAGGCGGACAGTGATGCTCCAGTTGAAGTACACAAGGATGCTCTCCAGAGCATTAAGCTGAAAAAGAAACATTGTAAATGCTACTGAAATAGCGGTATACGAACGAATATAGTGATGAGGAGTACACACGGGGAGTGGATGGGGAGTCCTGACGGTGGACGGGGGTGTGATATTTATATTTGACCGCCAGGGCGGGATGACGTTCGGATAGGGTTTTTCGAGTTGCAGTAAGAGGCAATGCAAATGTGAGAACTCAAGGGTGGTGGGGAGCGGTGAAGAGAGAACGAAGCCACTGTCATGGAGTAGAGCCCATGCCATCCAGAGAAAGTAGCCGGGCTAGAGGTGGCGTACTATTTGCCCAAGAGGTTTATCTATTGTCTCTGTGGTTTCCAATCACACTGCTGCTACTCGTGATGAATACATTTCCTGATCCACAGTCAACAATAACCCCTGTGTTGCGCCTCTACCTAGCTGAATACCAACAAAAAAATATGTATATCAATTGTTATCTACTTGGAGGACCGAGTGCAAGGTATGAGATGGCGTATCAGGCGCAATAAAGTGGCGGCATGGACGTTGGCGCTCAGCTTGTTATAGGGCTGACCCAATTGCATCAAGTTCAGGCGTAGCTGAAGAGCAACCAGCCAACATCCAGACTCCAAACGCGCAACATGCTGATTCCTTGGCAACGATAGAAGCCCCTGAAGAGGGCCTGTAGCCTCCAATGAGAAACGGTCGCTTATAGCCACCTCTGAGGTCCTTTTTATTTGTTTTCTGTTAATTTTCCAATAGTAATATTTTACAAACCATCAAACCTCACAACAATCTGACAGAAGCTAATAAAGGAAATGTCAGAATTTTCGATGTGGGTACGCAAAGGTTTCGATTATTGAAAGGTATTATTTGTTGTCATTTATGGCTTGGAGTCCCTTGCGCCACCATGGGCATGGCCGAAATGCCTATGTGCAAAGGCTCAGGCAGACAACCAGCTTCCCTTCTTCCCCTCGGTCATATTGTTAAATTATTTTTCCATATACCCGATAACCACCCATCCCCTAGATTAACCTATATACATATAGCCATTATGCATAAGCTATCCTCCTACAGTCGATGACTGACTTGGTATTTGATCTCAACTGGGTATGGTGTTCTGGAGGAAATATAAATCTGTATAATGATAGATGATCGTTCCAGCTACTTTTTTTTTGATGGGGCTATCACCAGTGTAGATTGCGTTGAATACCTAGGGCTTCATAAGGCGCATGAATTAGCGAGAAAACAGCATATTCAAGAGCAATTTGGATAATTTTTCGTAGAATGTGTGAAAGTCATTGCCGGGCGGACCTGCACCGATTTTTATCCCAGGATCATACATAAAGATGCGAAGAACCCGTTGAAATATCATGCCACTGGCCAGTTTGTCAAGCTCACGAGGTCTCTTCTCCATACTTAAGGATACAAAAAGCACGAGTCGAGAATTAGAAAAGTAGAGGTAAAGAACACGGCGCAAACCTCTGGCTGCTTGGAGCATTTATACTGATTTTTGCTATGAATGCATGGTGCCATCATCGGCTGGTTGTATTCACCACAGGACTTAAAGCAAAGCAATCTAGGTGCGAATCTTGATGCGGACCTCGGGGACATCGACATCCTCGTCGTCGTCGTCGTCGCAGCAGACAACCAGAACAATCCACTTGACATGCTCGGGGATCTCCTTCTTGGTGATGCTAGTCACAATCTCCGACATCCTCATCGGCATGCGCTCGGCAGCCTTCTTGCGGTTCAGGAACGGCGAGTACAGCATGCTGACACCCGAGCTGATCATGTTGACGCCCAGGTTGTGCTCGTTCCGGAAGTAGTCAACGAGCTCCTGCAGCGTGATATCGTGGTCAAAGTCAAACATGTCCCAGTCGCTGAACTCGGTGTCGTTGTACTTGCGCTTCTCGGGCGCAATGGGCTCCGAGAACCCAAAGAACGGCAGGGCTAGGTTGACGAAGCCGTTCTTGTAGTCCTCGATCGACCGCTTCTTGTCGCCGGAGCTCGACCCAATCAGCTTGTACAGCTCCAGGCACACCAGTCCAGTCACCAGCGCTGTGGTCGTGGCGATGGCCGGGATGATCTTGCCCGCAATCTGCTTCGTGCGGAACCGATCGGCCGGCGTGATGCCGTAGTTGGTCGCGCGCAGATTCGATGCCGCCGTGATAAAGTCAATGTGGAAGTTGCTGTCGTCGTCCTTCTCAAAGTCGGCCGGCGACAGGCGCACGCCCGCAAAGCTCGAGGGATCGGGCATCGAGTTGATGAGCTCGTCGAGCTGGCTGGCGTCGGCGTCACCGCTGCCGCTGTCGTCGTTCTCGTTGACCTGGATCTTGACACCCGACTTGGGGGCGAAGGGCGGGATGCTGACGGCTGTAGCAACAGCCTTGATGTGCTCGCGGTCTCGGCTGCCCTTCAGGCCGTAGTTGAAGGCATGCAGATTGGCGGCAGCAGTGACAAAGTCAACGTGCAGGATCGTTCGACGCGTCAAAGGCAATGGCATCCGGAGCGCGCTTGGGCGGCGACCAGAACAGCTGGCCCGAGCTTGTGACCGAGTCCTTGGGGAAGTTGTACAGCAGCTGCAGGATAGCATTGTTGTAGTGCTCCTCGAAGCGGCGGCGGCCCCAGGCGACGCAGTCGTCGAATGTCAGCGGCTTGTCGTCAACCAAAAAGTTGCGGATGCTAGTCAGCGTCTCGATCTGGCTGGTCTCGTTGGTCTGGATTCATGGCCGACTCGATGTAGTTGGGTGTCGACAGGAACGCATTGACGTTCTCGGCTGGCTGGGCAAACAGCCCAGCAAACAGGTCGCGTGCCCACTGGATGGTGTGCTCGATGGCGTTCGGGAAGTTCTTGAGCGTACACATCGGAATCGACTTCTCGGGCGGGTCGCGGCTGGCCGAGTACGACTCGGTCAGGAATGGCACAACAACCTGCGTGTTACCCTTGGTGCCTAGCGTGCCAGACTCGAGCAGCGGCTTGCGGTAGAAGACGCAGCGGCGGTCCATGTACTGGCGAGCCTCAACGTTGTCAAGCGCGTTGGTCACGCCATCGATGCCTTCAAAGAACGAGTCATTGTACACGGCCTCGGTCTCGGCTCCAACGCGGTCCTGGTGCGTCTGGATCTTGCCCTTGAGCTCGGGGTTCATGGCAACCACAGCGGCCGACGCAGTCTCGGACTTGAGCTTGCCGACATCACCAGGGCGGAACAGGAACTGGCGGTTGAGGTTGCTCTTTTCAATGGTATCCATATCAGTGATGTGGATGACACCCTGCGGACCGGTGGCCAGGCCCATCATCGCCCAGTTCTTCAGCATCTCGCAGCCGATAGCGCCAGAGCCGACCAGGAACTCGCGGAAGTTTGTGATCTTCTCATGGAACTTGCGGCCAAAGACTGCAATCTGGCCGTCGTACCGCGAGCCGATTGGAGCGAGATCCTCCTCGGAGGGCTCGAAGCCGACAGGCAGGGACTCGAGCGAGTCAAAGTACATAAAGTTCTTGATTGGCGAGAACTTGCCTGTGCACGCCTTCAGCACCTCCTGAGCGACCAGACCGCCAAACACAGCGACCATCGGGGACAGGTCGCCCTGGGCCTGGTACGATAGCTTCTTCAGCAGCTCGGCGTCGAGCTCGGTCTTCTGCGACCATTTATCGTTGATCCCGTTGGCCAGGCGCAGCACCTCGGCCGCGTCGGCATCGTTGCCGGGCCGGGGCAGCTTGCCGCCGTTGGCAGCAGCAAAGGCATGCAGGGCTTGGAAGCCAACGTGGTACTGTGCGGGACGGTCGAATTTGGCAAAGTCCGAAACCAGGAACTCGGGGTTCTCCAGGGCGTCCTTGAGCGATGTGAAGTTGACTGTGACTGGCTGCTTGACCTGCTGGAACAGACCACCGCGCACATAGTCGCCGAACACTGTGGTGTCACCGATGCTGAACGTGTAGGGTCCCAGGACCTTGACCTGGCGCGGCTCGCAGCCGTTAAGCTCGCCCATGCCCTGCACTTCAGTGAACGTGACAAACTGCCCGTCCTCGAGGCCATGGCGTGTCTCGTCCAGGCACGTGACGACGCCCTCAGCGCTCTTCTCGATACTGGCAACCATGCCCGACAGCGGCTCCTCGCCTGTGGGATCAACCACAACAAAGTTTTCGCCAAAGTCGTTGAAGGCGTAGCCAAACAGGCCACGCAGCTCCGTCGAGATATAGTAGATTCCGTTGGCATGCGCTGCTTCGCTAAACTCGAGCTGCTGCAGCAGTGGCATTTCCGTGACAACGACGCAGCTGAACGCCTTCAGATCCGCGGGCGTGAGCGAGCCGCCAAACACCGACGTCGGCACGTACTGGTTGAGCTCGGCCAGGCGCGGCGCAGTTACCTCGTCGCGGCGCTTGCCCACATCCTCCTCGTGAAGGAAGAACTGTGACGACAGGTCGCGCAGCTCGACGGGCGCCGGGTCATAAAGCGTGACGCTCTTGACGCCAGCCAGGATAACGTTCTTTGCAATCTCGCATCCGAGGCCGCGCAGTCCGATGATCAGCACGTTCGACGCGCTCATCTTCTTCATGGCATCCACGCCCAGCACGTAGCTAGAAGTGTTTCAAGAGCATTAGCATACAGAACCACTGTTTCAGCGGCAGAATCACTGATTTCGAATTGCGGTACTTACAGCTGGCGCGAGTACAGGCCCTCGTCGATTTCGACTTGGCTACTGGTGCTCTTGTTGTTATCGGTCATTTGTTGCAATAGAATAAGGTGGATTGGAGTGGTGAAGAGAAAATAATTAGCTGGAGAGAAGGTCCGTGAAGAGCGTGTCTGCGGCCAAGTGATTTTTCTGCTGGTCTCGCTGGCACACGGGGTGGGCGGGAAATGACGTTTCGCTCTCCTACACGCTGACTAAACCGATCTGCTGCCACCAGCTCGGCTCGGCTCCTGAACCGAAAATTTCAACCTGCGGCACCCCTTGCGCCAGGCCCCTCCTCAACGAGTGTGGGTCACTTAGAGCTGGCATTCTCACGGCAAATTTTGGTTGCAATTTTCTGTTCTGTTGCCCGCTCTTTTAAAAAAGCTATTATACGCTCTATAACGAAACCCACAGCGACAATGAGCGATTCAGAGATTACGCAAAAGCTCGAGAAGACCAAAATCGACGACCAGGAGCCCACTGTACGTATGAAGGCGGGGCTTGATTGCGCATGTGGTCCGCACCTCAGCAAACACTGACTGAATTTTCGCTCTTGCCTGTAGAATGACGAGGATGCTTTTGATCTGTCGTCAATGAAGAAAAAGAAGAAGAAGGGAAAGAAGGCCCTTGGCTTTGATGAGCTCGCCGAGAACGAGGCGTCGACCAGTGCCGCTACCGGAGAGGACGGCGAGGACGGCGAGGACGCCTTTGCTGACCTGAAGAAGAAGAAAAAGAAGTCGAAGAAGGTGACATTCGACGATGCCGACGAGGACGAGGGCGAGCCTGCTGACGCAGACATGTTCGACCTGTCGTCGATGAAGAAGAAGAAGAAGAAGTCGAAGAAGAACCTGGCTGCGTTCGAGGCCGAGCTCGGCGACGACGCCGACGATGCCGAGAGCGCGTCGACAACCAAGGCTGGCGAGCCGTGGCTGGGCACAGACCGCGACTACACGTACGAGGAGCTGCTGACGCGGTTCTACCAGGTGCTGCGCGAGAACAACCCCGATCTGGCCGGCGAGAAGCGCAAGTATACCATTGTGCCGCCGCAGGTCGTGCGCGACGGCAACAAGCGCAGTGTGTTTGCCAACCTCAACGATATCTGCAAGCGCATGCATCGTCCGCCTGAGCACGTGATCCAGTTCCTGTTCGCTGAGCTGGGTACCTCCGGCTCCATCGACGGCTCGGGCCGCCTGGTCATCAAGGGTCGCTTCCAGCAGAAGCAGATCGAGAACGTGCTGCGCCGGTACATTGTCGAGTACGTTACATGCAAGACCTGCAAGAGCGGCGAGACTGTGCTGACAAAAGAGGGTCGTCTCTACTTTATCCAGTGCGAGTCGTGTGGATCCACCCGTACAGTCGCCCCCATCAAGGCTGGTTTCCAGGCCACCACCTCGCGGCGTGCCGCCCGTGCCGCTGCTGCCGCTGCTGGCGGGTCTTAAAAACGCAAAAGATGGGCCATTGCGGATTCCAGATCGCCCCCTCATGGCTGTGCTTGCACCAGATCGCGTGTGGAGTAGATCTCATCGGTTCTTTTGCCTGTGTTTTCGTTTCAAAAGACATCTTAAAGACTGATTGGGCATACCACATTCAGAGCGTGGGCCTGTTGTTGCGCAGCCTCCTCTGCTCCCCTCCCCAGCCCAGCATGTGCTTGACATGCGAACTGCTTGGAAAATCATGCCCTTTCACGCTTCGGTCTCAAAGATCTGCGAGACCGCAACGAATGCGGGATGAGGGAGGGAACGCTGCAGTCAGTGTGGGGCAGCCTTTTCCACACATGCGTAATCGCAGTGCTGCTGCCATTCGTCTACTTGGATGATGCAGAGATAATGACCGCATCCCTTCTGCCCACTGGCATCGACTGTGGGCGCAGAGGGCAGACGCCTTTCCCAACAAAATACACGCGCAGGCAAATGGACATCCCCTTGTATCAGGGAGATTTCTGCTTGCTCCTCTGGCGCGATCGGGGATTCAACAGTGCCTGCAAGTCGTGCTTGTCCTTGTACATCCTTCATACTGTGGCCTTTCCCAGACTGGCTGATATGCACAGGTCGCAGGGAAAACCGGTCCTGCTCTTCACAGTGACGACGAGAACAAAGGTGATATGCTCTCTTACCGTGTGGATGTTTTTTTATCCTATGGCCCAGTGACCTACATGTGGTTGTCCGAAATAAACAGGGGGCTGCAAGGAAATCACTTTTTCCTATCAATTTCGTAACACAACATATAGACCGCGTCTATTCGGGACAGGCAGGCGGGCTGGCCTGTTCGGAAGACTGCCTCACGCCTCAGGTGCCGCTGGGCAGCTATGGTGGGCGATGAAAGTAGCTCTGAGAGCTGTGACATACAAAAAGGAGTGCCCTGCCCCTGTCTTCGTTCTGTAAACATTTCCTACCTTCCATATTCTCTGTTTGTAATTCTTATACTTTTTTTGCTACCACCTTCATAATATTCTAGGCCAAATCACATGTACAAGTCCTTTAAGCTCATCAAGGCCAAGTTTAGCTTGTTCAGAGTTGATATTTCGCCTACATTTCTCCAGCTCCCACGGTCACAGCGCACATTCCCGCAGCCCATATGCTTTGAGCCCGAGACCAAACCGCCGCCCGCCCAGGCCAAGGCGCGGCCCGCATACATGTCGCCGTACGAGCACACCGTAGTGCTGATAGAGCGCCTGCTGCGTCTCCCTAGCATCTCCACGTTCCTCTACCCCATTCTTGTCGACGAGATGAACAAAGGTGCCCAGCCAATCCGCGACCCGCGGGACCCACTCCGCACTCTGTTCGCGCACGGCTACACGCTCAACATCCTTCTGAATGAGCTAGCGAGCCCGTTCATTAGCACAATAGACCTGTACGAAAAGTCCGAGGACGGGTCGTACGAGTCGTATCAGACATGGCTGTTCTGGAACGGCTGTGTGCGTGCCGAGCTGACCACGGAGGATGTTCTGGAGGCGTTCCCCGGATTCGATATCTGCGACTGCGATGAGGACCTGGAGCGTACGCTTAGTGTGGTTGCGGGGATTGTCGATGCCTTGCAAGCGTGCGGGAAGCTGGCCGATTTTGACTCCAGGTTCGTCCGCCCCAACACGCTTTATCCGGTTGCCGCAGTGGGCAAGGGCGCTCCAAGATACGCCGAGCTGGCCATGGAGCTGTCGAGGACCGAGGTGGCGTACGTGCAGGACCTGGAGCGGCTAAAGGTAAGCTCACCTATGCATGTGATGCAGATTCCATATGCGACAACAATGCCCCGATATAGTTGGTGCGGAGGCGCACAATGTTCGCTAGCTAATCACCATTGTCCAGCCACGATTTATAGGCGTATTCGGATACGGCCAGGAAGCACCTCGGGCTGCATGCCTCTGTCGACATCGACACCATCTTCCTGCACGTCGACGCGCTGCTTGCTCTGCACCGGCGCCTGTCGATGTCCATCCAGTATCTAGCTGCCCAGCCACTGCGCGATCAGCTGTATGGAGCGCTGTACGAGAACATGGTTGGCTTTGATGTCTACTGCCGGTACTGCTCGAACCGCGACGCATCGCAGGCATCGTATCAGGAAATTCTGCCACTGCTGTGCCAGATCCCAGACGACCTCGACGCATCCTTTGACCTGCCGGCACTGCTGCTTCGGCCAATCCAGCGGCTAGCGCAGTACCCGATAATGTTCCAGGGCATCGTCGATGCAGCCTATGAAGATAGCATGTACATGGATGAGCCCGAGCTGACCGAGCAAATGCAGTCGCTGCCATCAATCTACACGGCAATCCGCCGCAGCAAGCGCATTATTACTCGAGCGAACGAAGAAACCCGCGAGCGCCAGAATGAAGGTCTGCATGGCGAGTTTTTTGACCGCCTCGAGCACCCCATTCCCGCTGGTCTCATCCAGCCCAGCACTGGCCGGCTCTTGACTAGCGGTAAGCTGTCGGTGCGGGTCGGCGTCGAGTATGAAGATTTCGAAGCATTTCTGTTTCAAAACCATCTGGTGCTGTGTACGCAGATACAGAAGCTCGAGCGTGCGCCGTCAAAGCTGCACCGCACGATCTCTAATCTGCACATGTCGATGCGGAGCGTGAGGGCACAGGTGAATGGGCGCCGCGAGTCCTTGTCGTCCATGTCGGTGATGAGCAGCGAATGCCCGTCGTCACCAGAGTCGCCCCAGCAGATGTCACCTGTCCTGCGCCCCTCAAAGTCGCTGCTCGGCAGCAAAGCCAGCGACCACTCGTCAGTGACAGCGTTCCAGCCGCTCAGTCTTGACATTCGACACACCAAAGACCACCCCACACAGCCTTTTCAGCAGCCATGCCTCACTCAATACCCTGCGCGGGACACTCGGATGGGGCTCAATTTTGCCTCGTCGATTAATGTCGTCAGCCAGGAATCCAGAGAGGCGCAGGCTGAAGAGCAAGAAAGCCAGGGGCTGCTTGTGCGCGAGTTCATTCCAACTGCCTGCATCAGCCAGGCGTGCCTGATTAACGAGCGCCACGGGGTGTCCAAGCTGACGGCTCAGATTGTTGTTGATGGTATCGAGCGCATGTTCGTCATTACGCTGGCTAATCGTGAAAGCGAGGGCGTGTGGATGACGATGCTGAGGCGTGCGGTTCCGCTACACATGTTGGAGAGCGGCAGCAAGAGCGGAAAGCTGTATATCAACCCCCGCTTTGTCAGTGCACCGTGCTAGGAACGTGCCTCAAGTGATATTCGTGCGAACAGTTAAATGCACATTTGCAGTAATTATCTGGTTCTAATTGTGCTACGTACAACCTCAACATATTGCAATTAAGCACATGCTGCCATTTATAAATGGACCACCTCCACAAAGACGAATCCGGTATGAACATCAGCATTGGAAATGCTCAACCAGTGGGCTGCTTGGGGACATCAGAAGGTGTCGCGGTTATAAGAAGAATGAAAAAGAAAAAGGATATAGAAAACATAAAATAAGGTCGCTACAAGCAGTCGCATCCCAGTACATACACCGTGTATGCAGAGGACGTTTAGCATTTCACGCAACAGCAGCGACGGGACGAATGATTTGGGGCCATTTGACTCCCACCGAATCCCTGTGCACCTCTGAATTCCTTTCCACTCTGTCGTCGATGGTTCCGGCGGCATGGATATGGAAAACCTTTATCGACGAACGCTTCTGACTCGCATTGGCAACACGGGCGACACAGCCCTTAATGCGTGCTGGATGCCACCAAGGCGATTCCAGTACGATCATCGAAGCGCAGCTCAAGTCGTAGGCGCTGTCGGAAATGAGCGACGTGGAGATAAGAACAGCAGGCCGTGTCGCATTCTTGAACTCCTGGACATTCCTCTGACATACTTCGCCCGTGAGGTCGCAGCTAGACATGAATGTCTGGAAGCCGGAGCGCTTCAGGTGGTCAGCAATGATATAGACCATGCTGCGTGCATCGACACACACAAGCGCCTTCAGGTTTTTGTCGCTCTTGCGTTCACCCATCAGCGTCGAGACAATGGCCGAAACCTTGGGTGAGGCCCGTGTGCCATGCAGTGGAGAGAAGATTCATCGACCTGTACTCGCCCACGATCCTCTTAAGCTCGCAGACGTCGCTACTAAAGGTTTCCGGGTCGAACTCGATCAGCTTGCCAAGCTTGTCGTTCAGATTAGCCGTCATGGCGATCACCGGGTGTGCAACAAACCGCCTTTGAGCATTTGCCCTCGCAACATGAAGTCTCTCGGGCGACTCAAGCGTGCGACTGAAAAATCCGTGCATGGTTCACAATGAGGTCTGAGAGGAGGTCGTATGCCTTGAGTATATCCGCGGGCAGTTCAACGCTGATCTTCTCCTCCTTAACTTCCAGCGTCAGAGTTTTGGTGTCCTTCCATAGACGTCTGATCATGAACTTGTCAAGACGGGACAGAGGCGCACTTTCGCCGCGCATTTCTGGCACTGCAATTTCCAAGAACTTGCAGATATCCAAAACAGAGTCCATGTTGTACTTGGTCGGGTTCTCATCCACAAACCAGCGATTCTTGGCAGTCAATTTCTGGCACGCCGTGTTTGTCGGTGTATTTTGCCTAATAGGCATGTGGTGGTCCACAACTACACGGTGCCACTCGTTTGCAAAGAGCGCATTGCTCGCCGAGGAATTCCGGAGGATTCCGGAGGTCGTGATAACGATATCGTGTTTGCACATCTGGCTGGCACTCAGCCGGCTCTTGCCATGGTTCCTAGATATGCGTAGCGCACCGGGCTCAAGCATCTCCTTGCAGGCTGCCTCCCACTGCTCAATGCCAGCTTCGTTCCTCACAACAATGAGAGTGTTGTACCCATTACTGCCAATAGCGCAGCCCGACTTGCTCTTAAGAATATGTGCCACCAATGAGACCCTCCTGCCCAGTCCAGCTTCGTCTGCCAGTACACCGCCATGGGAGGAACTGTGCTCAAGCTCGCCCATTAGGCTGCAGGCCTCAATCTGGTGCCCATACAGCTCCTGCAGGAAGCCAGGCACCAAGGCGGTGGCAGGGAGCTGGGTGTCCGCAGTCTTGGCACTCGACGCAACCTCATCTGCAGTGGTGGTATCAGCTGGCCAAATTTTTTCCACATTGATACCTGTTTCAGCTGCCTTGACCTCAGTCTTCGCAGCCGTGGCAAGTAATGCTCGAATCACAGTCGCCGAGAGTTTGACCCTGGATTTCGACGTGGTTGGTGTCAATAGGCCCGGGGACTCAATCTTCCTTGCGGCGGTTGTTGCCTTGCCACTGGTAGCTGTCGTATCAGTACCTTCGTGCTCCGTTGCCATGGCTCCCAGAAAAAGTATAAACGGGTGGGGGTTGAAAAGTAAACAGTCTAGGGTGAAAGATAAAACTGAATTTCGATACCGTTAAGTAAAAGGTGGCCACCAGCTACCACTCCAGGACCTCATTATAAAAGGCGCTTGGACATTGGCATCCAAACGTTGGTGAGGGTACGGAAGAATGCATGTCTACTGCATCAATAGTGTCATGTGAGCGACTGCCAGTGCATTCAGGCGAAAGAGAATTCGAGCAACCAATGGCTCGGGAAAGCTCGATATTCTTGGTCGGGCCATGTAGGCCTTTGTGCGCACATGGTGTCAAGCCTAGAATCCAGCCGGCTTTGATGTGTTTGTTTTATGTCAGAGTATTGTCTCAATTGAAGTCCCAGAGTGAACATTAGTTCGGCCCCAGATCAATTTGCTGGGCCCACGCTCGATGACCAAAAGCAGTAATAATCAATAAACGCAGTCAGCACCTGCAAGCACTCGGCATTCATGTTTCGACAGTTGCAGTTGGTGTGGTGTCGAAAACTGCTTTCTCCATCGACGCTACGTGATCGACGTACTTCTCTTTCCAGATCAAGAAATATCGCCAGTTGCTAATACCTGCTTCTACAGTTCTCCGTGGGTGTCACCGGCAGTTAACTTTCTGTCCACTAAGACCTTCTTCCTCCTTTCTTCCTAGTTCATTGTTTCTCTGGCACTATTTCAAAGTGCCCACTTTATAGCCACTTTGGACGGTGCCGTTGTTTGAAAAATCACCACCTTCTTGCCCCTTTACAGTTGGCGATGCTGGTACACAAATACATAATACTAAGGGATAAGACGCGGAATCTCTAGCCATGGCTATTTGGCTTATACAATACGTCTGCGCGGTGCAGCAATCCTGCGGTTCGGCGTCTCCGCACCACTCCCCTCCTCTCCGTCACCAATGTCGTCCTCAGCTGCACGTCTCCGGCCACTCCCCCCTTGGACATTTGCATTTCCTTCAAACTGCCGCCTCGCATCACAAATCGGCTCATACTCCAGCAGTTTGATCCTATACCCTCTCGCCGACGGGCATGAGCAGTACCGCCGATTTTGCATAAAAGTAATGCTGTCGACCGCGCGCAACGCATACTTGCGCATCAGATACGCCGCAGCAAACGCCGGCCCCTTGTCAATTCCGTCCGCACAACACACTAGCACATGGCCACCTGCGCCAATTACCTGCTCGATATACAAGGTCGCCTGGTCAAAGTGCTGGATGATGTTCTCCTTGGCCACATTCGCTGGTACATCCATGAATTGGTTCTCAATACCTACTACAGGCCGATTCAGAATGCGAACTTCGAGCGGGTCCCGGATGCACAGTATGTGGGTTACATGGTAGCGCTGCAGCAGCTCGACGTTGCGTGTTGCTATGTAGGGGCCGACCAGAAGGCCCGGGAGGACAGGGTGCATTGTGTTGCGCTCTTCATGGCTCCACTCGGATGCTATTAGCACAATAGGTTTTTGGCCGACTTCGGGTGGGGTGGGCCATTCAATGTCTGCAAGCATTTCCTGGGAATTGGTGGTTTTGAAAAGTAAAAACAGAGATTGTATGCTTCAAATACGAATGCGGCAAATCTCAGAGCCGGGTCATGCGTTATCACCAAACAAACCCAGTTGTGGGCGCTGATCGTCAATGGGAAAGCTGCTTATGTACAAATGTGATGATTCGAAAACATCCGAGGGGAGAAAGAGCGGGTTTGGCGGTCTGTTTGACCCGGTTATGTATGTGTCTGGTCTGGTCTGGTCCATGGTGGTTCAAGATGACGCCGGCGTTCCGGGGCCAACACCTTTCATTGCCAGAACGTTTTTGATATTCCTCATGTACACGGCTAGGACCATCTTGGACAAACCACTTATTGGCAGCAGGTTTCAATGTTGTGCTTCAAGCCCAATGACAATGATTCGTTATAAATACACACGGATACGTAGTTTCTCAAGGCTAAAACAAATATATGGTGAACGGAAATTAAGCTGAGCCTACCAAACACGATTGCTACTGAATAGCGGTCTGTCCAGGCTGTCGCGATACTCGTCGTATACCGACTTGTCGATTTCTTGCTTATAATGCCTCAGTGATTCGCTGACAGTTCCATCAGTGACCATCCTTGAGGGAAGGCAGCTTCGTAATAGCAATGACCAGCTGCTGATTGACAGGATACAGCTTCTGCAAGTCAATCCGTCTCAGACTAGTGCTAAAGACTGGGAGCTCCGTCAACAGCATGCTAATATAGTCAAAGTAGTTAGAGGCATCTTCGTCAGGTCCGATTCCCTTCAACTCCAATCCTAGTGAGTCCTGGGAAACTGGCCAGAATATGCTGGAATCCGCCAAGGGTAGGCATGACCTTTCTGATGATTAGATGGCGAAGCTGCGGGTTCAAGTGGTCTTGCGGGATGATAAACGGTGAGCACTGGCCAAAGCTGAACGGGTCGTAGCAGTTCTCGATATGCTCGGCATTTGGTGCAATCAAAAACGGCAGATGCGCAGCCTCAACTACATCCTCTACAGCATTGAATGCAGTCGAGAAGGCAGTGTTCCGAATACGGACACAAGTCAGGTTAGGAAACACACGGCCTCGAAGCGAACAGAAAATGGGTCCAGAGAGATAAAGCGTAAGCGATGTTAGGTTTTCGCCGGCGTCGTCAATAATAGCACTGATGTCAAGGTTGCAGTATGTCTTCAGAGAAAGACTGGTCAGCGATGGGAACGGGTTGTCATCAGGCATATCAAAATTCCCATTCATATCCTGTCCTGTCTCGATAGTGAGGCTGGTTAGCTCCGGGAACGGGTAGCTGAATAAAGGAGCCAGCTCGTCTGCTATTTCCCCGATAGTTATGTCATCGCCGTCATTCGGCGTTAAACGAAGCACCAGCTCCTCAATAGTGTCCCTGTTTGAATGAACAATCGGACAGTCAAAGGAATGGTGGATTTCGAGGTACATACGCCGAATACCAGCGCTGAAGCCACCATGCAGAACTGGCGTCTTCATTCGCCAGGTCGCGGAATATCAATGTTCTCGGCGCTGGAGCAATGATACCCATTAGGTCCTTGCACATGTCCTCCTCGCCTGCCCACAGCCCTGCACGAACAATGAACGAGCAGTCCTGTGCGTTGGGAAACAGCTGGCGGATACGCTCGATGAATGAATCGACTTCTTCCGAGCAGTCATCGTCGTCATACATTTCGATCGCTGCTGTAGAAGTAGAGCACAAGCTCCTGTCCACATTTGGGAAAACTGCCGTGGTCCAGAGCATGAGCGCTTAGCATAGCGGTGGAGGTGCCGTCCGGTAATGTGATCGAGCGAGGCGTGGAGATGTGTTGAACGGACAAGTCCACTGTGTCCAGCAGTAGCAGCCAGGGAGAGATCCGGGTAATCCATCTCAGGATGATACTCAGATTCATCCAACTCAGGCTCGAGAAGTGTTTCGGCGTTTTCGATAAAAGTAGGGCAAGCGCAGCAGTTCTCCATGAGCGGCAGACCTGCGCAACTGAAAGAAGGGCCATTGATGCCACCAGTCATACAACCCTCATCCAACTTTTCCCACTCATTACTCAACCTCTTGCCATACTCAAGACGGTCGAAAATAAGACTGAGAATGTCGGGCGGAGCGTTCTTGGCAGAGAACAGCGTCGAGTCCATATCAGCAGGTGACCAGTAGGTGGATGTTGAGGTAAATTGCTAAGGTGCAAATACAAAACCTTATACCTAGTATCAGCAACGAAACTAAAGGAGCACCTAGTGGTAATGCGGATTCGTAGCCGCTTTTATATCTGCTGTTGGGAGCGGACACGTAAACGGTATAGATCTGATCCGGGCCAGAATCTATTATGCAGCATACGTGACGCTGGTATATCTGTATGCGGACAACCTGCTTGTTTTCCTCGATATCTATAAGGGTTGTATTTTTAGATGGACTTTACATGAAGAGTAGAAAATAAAAGCTATAGAAACACAGGCTTGGCATGTATATCGACCGTGGCACGTGTCCTCGGTTTCGGTGTGATCGAGGCACTCATGCCCCGGCCATATACCATTGTCTGCTTAAAAGTCCGAATCCAAGCTGCCATTGTTGGCACCCGGGTCGGAGCCTCCGTTATTGTGCACTTGGCCCTGGGCGACGTCATTGATGCTGGTTCCCGAGTCCGGCGAAAAGCAACACTGCGTCAATCACTCCCGTGTATAGTCGGACTGCCTTTGACCAACCCTGGACAGCTGTGATGAACATGACTTGACATATTCAGAAAGAGCCTCGGAAAGCAGCACTCGACAATCCTGTCATCTGGACGTGTGGCAATGTTGTTTCGAATAAGAGGCCTGGCCTGATTGCAGTTACCTCTCAAAGCTGTGTAGGCTCTGCGAAAGCGAAATAGGTTCTGGTATTATCCGCAGTCACAACGGGCAGTATTTGAGAATATGTGAAAGAGATCTTGGCACGGATCGGCACCGGAGCCATTCTGGATTCAGCTTGATCCGCGTCCAGGACAGCAGGGCCTGGCGTTCCCCAGACAGGCAGTTCTTGAAGCATGGATTTGTGCTACCGACATGATGTAAGTGGCACTGGGCTCAGTGGGATGGAGCGAACAAGAGGAACGGATGACTTTTTTTCTTGGTTGCACCGGAAATGCTCTATTGGATGTGATTGGGGGTATTGTCGCTGCAGAGCGGTTCCTGACCTACAGCGCTGTTTATTTATAGGCCATCCGATCCGGGTATATAACAGACACAAACAGAACCACGGTTACGCTTGGTTCGCTTTAGCAAACAAAAAATTGTATCCTTCTTTTTTTCTTTTTCAGACCGATTATTTTCAATACTCTACCTTTTCTGCAACGTACATTATGATGTTCAAGACCCTTTCCCTGGTAGCACTCTCCGCAGCCGCTGCGTCGGCCATGGAGATTACATGCGCTGGGTTTGAAAAGTTGCCGATGACCAAATACGACAATGTTGCGGCGCAGGCGATGTCGCATATTGTGATCACTTTTGACGCCAACACGCCGAAGCAGATCATGGACTCGTACCGCGACGCGCTCGTGTGCCGCGGCTCGAGCATTGACGAGCCGAACTATGCGGCAGGGCACGCTCTCGGGCTACACGATGAAGGAGTACGCAGACTACCTGTCCAGCAGCGGGTTCATCAGCAATGTTGTGTTCAACAGCCAGGTGACTTCGGCCGTTGCCCCGACCCTCTCATCCTCGGGCAATACCCACGAGAACTCCTCCAGCCAGGAAGAGTCCATGGACTCGGCTGAGGAGTCGTCGTCGCCACAGCAAGAGCAAGTCGCACAGCGGCTCTGCGTCGGACGACGACGAGGCCACCAGCGGGCTGGACTCGACGCACTCTTCGGGCGCTACCAAGCTGTCGGTGTCGGTTGCGGCCCTTGTCGCCGTGGCAGCGCAGTTCATGTAAAAACGACTCTTTGATGATACAACATAATAGAAACTTTTTAGAAGCTTGCTGGCTTGTACGCATATACCTTGGCAGTGGACAGATCCCAGACCTTGCCGGTGACATAGGGGTCTTGCTTGAGCTTCTCCCAGACGGCCTCCTCGTTGGCAGCCTTGACGATAAGCGACGAGCCGATCCATTTTGCCCGAGCCATGGGCGTCCAGGATGGCGCCAGCCGGAGATCAGGAAGCCGTCGTTCTTGTTGATGGTCGCACCGGCCAGATGGCGGTCGCGCACGGACAAGCGGACGAGTCAGGGCGTCGGGGTCAGGTGAAATCGTTGACGACGATGACAAAGTGGTTGTCAGACTGAGGTGGACATGGACGCGGATAGAGTGTTGAAAATGCTGGGCAGTAGTGCGGGCAACGAGCGAGAGAAGCTTGGACGACATGGCGAGAGCAGAGGTGGCGTGGGAGGAAAGAAATGAGGGTGGTCTGCTTAACGCGTCACTTGATGTGAGAGGCATGAGGAGATTTAATCCCTTGAGCAAATAAAACGGGGATTTGCTCGCCCCACCACGGTCGTCACAACCGCCCTTTTGGGCCCTTCAAAGGTCAACTGTGTAGCCAGCTTCTCCCCTGGTTTTTTTTTCCCTTAAGCCACCTTCCTCTTATTCTTAAAGCAGTAATGTCTGGTCCCCTTGGTCTCCCACTGCCGCTGCTGACCGACTCGTACAAAGCCAGTCACTTTGCCATCTACCCGCCGGCAAAGCAGGCCACGGCGTACGGGGAGTTTCGCAGCGGATTCAAGCACGATACCAAGGACACGCGCATAGTGTTCTACGGGCTGCGGTACGTGCTGGAGACATACATCAGCAAGCCGTGGACACGCCAGGACGTGAAAATGGCCGAGGCGTTCTTTGCAAGACACAACGCCGGGTTCACGCCATACCCGTTCCCAAAGGCACTTTTTGACAAGTTCGTAGGCGAGAACGGCGGGTATTTTCCCGTGACAATCGAGGCGCTGGCCGAGGGCTCGGTGGTATATCCGCACGTGCCTGTGTACCAAATCACGGCCAAAGAGCCGTATACGCCGCTAATCACGTATCTGGAGACAGTATTGCTGATGACATGGTATCCGACGACAGTAGCAACGCTGTCGCGGCGCACACGGACAACGATTGAGCGCGCATACGAAACAAGCGTTGACAGCAAGGCTATGTGGACGTTGGACAGCCGCATGCATGACTTTGGGTTCCGCGCGTGCACATGCGTAGAGCAGTCGGTGCTGGGTGGCACAGCACATCTTCTGAACTACCAGGGCAGCGACACATTGAGCGCCGCGTTCTATGCACAGTACCAGCTAAACAACGGGGACCCGGTGGCCACTAGCATTCCAGCCACGGAGCACTCGGTAATGATGTCGCATGCGAGCGACCGTGAGGCAGTGCTAGGCACAATTGCAGCGTATGGCGACGGCGTGTATGCGTGCGTGATGGACTCGTTCGACTATGCGCGCGCCCTGGCCGAGGTCCTGCCGGCAGTCAAGCAGAAGAAGCTGGAGCGTGGCGGATTCCTGGTGATTCGGCCCGACAGCGGCGACCAGGTCGAGGCAGTGCTGCTGGGGCTGCGTGCTGCCGACAAGGTGTTTGGCAGCGCGCGAAACAGCAAAGGCTACAAGGTCATTAGCGGAGCCAGCGTGATCCAGGGTGACGGTGTCACGCCCGAGTCGCTGGAGCGCATTCTGGCGGCAGTCCTGGATGCCGGGTTTTCTGCGCAGTGCATTGGCTTCGGCATGGGCGGCGGGCTGCTGCAGAAGGTCAACAGAGACACGCTCAGTGCTGCAGTCAAGATCAGCCAGATCATCGGCGTCGACGGCATTAAACGCGATATCATGAAGTTCCCCAAGGAAGAGGCCGAGAAGACGTCCCTGCCCGGCCGCTTCGCTGTCCACGCCGACCCAGCGCAGAACGGCGCGCCGGTCGTTTATCCGGCGGACAATGCACCAACAGGACTCGCCCAATCTGCTGCAGGTCGTGTATGACTGCGGGCCGGTTCCTGGGCTGCAGTGGCTGTGCTTTGACGACCTGCGCGCTCGCATCCGCCAGCAGTGGGACAGGTTCCCCGTGACTGCCCAGGCCGTCAGCCCCCAGCTGCTTGAGCACCAGCAGAAGGTGCTGAAGCGCCAGCGGGAAAAGGTCGACCAGGGCACGGTTTTCCAGTAGGCCCTTTTGGCTCTATTTTTATTTTTATTTTCCACAATTATCATTTATTCCAATCCGCAAATGAGCGCCCTGCTGGCCAACCTCCGGCCGCCCGCTCCGCCCACAAACATCGCCTCGGCCACTGACGCGCGGCTCTTCGACGCTGTGCCGCTCAACGATGCGCTCAGCGATGCCCTGCTGGTCCACGCCAGCCCGGACGCCCGCCCGCGCCGCGACTCCCCGCAGACATCGGACTTTTCTCCACACACGTACAGCTACGATGCTCTGAACCAGTTCATAGCCAGCGGACAGTGGCGTGCCCTGGCGCTGGCCAGCGCCGCAACCATCACAAAACACACCGACGACCCGCTGCGCCTATGGACGTACCGGGCATTGGCGCTGCGCCAGCTGCAGTGTTCGGAGCAGGCCGAGCGCGAGCTCCACCGGCTGTCGCGGGTCGTGGCATCCCGGACATGGCCGTTTGAGCTGCGGCTTTTGCGTGCATGTCTGGGCGCGCCCGCCCAGTGCATTGCGCGGCTGAGTGTGCTATTGCGCGGGTGCCGTCGCAGGCAGCAGAAAATAACGGATGGCAGCGAAATGGCGGCTAATGGAGCGCGGATGTTCCGCCTGTCGCTGCTGCTAGCGGGCCAGGCCATGCTGCTGAAAGGACGCAATGCTGACAACGCAGATTCTGGATTCGCTGACCGAGACAACCAACCCATTGCTTCTGTCGGCTGTGGCCCGCGTGCATCTGCAGCTGGGCAACGTGCAGGCGGCCGAGCGCCAGTTCGTCAAGGTCGAGTCCCTGGTGCCGGCCTCCGACCGCCTGGCAGTAATGAACCGGGCACTGTTCGCCATGGCCACCGGCAAATGGGCTGCTGCCAAGCAGCTATTCGCTAGTGTGAACGAAGGTGCACCTCCCGATACCTGCGTGGCGGCGAATAATAACATGGCCCTGTGCGAGCTGTACCTGGGCAGCCCCAGTGAAATGCTAGCGAGTCTGCAGAAGACCATGGCTGGGGCGCCAACAGGCGCGGGTACCGCAGAGCCAGTGGTGTTTAACTACTGCACGGGCTTGGATTTGCACTACGACGGAGCGAGGCTGCGCGACATGAAGGCGCGCACCATGGCTGAGGTCGGCAAGTGGGCTGGAGATGGCTTTGATGTAGCCGCGTTCAAGATGCAGTAAGGGACATATAGTGTTTGCTTGGTAGCCTGCTGCTAGTTCTATATGGGCATTACTCAAAATACATGATACAGAAATGGTGATTCAGTCACAGGAAATAAAACACGTTATAGATGGCAGCGAGAAGTGCCGTGGGATTTGTGTCAGCCTGGCAGCTAGAGGAGCGCTAGCACAGGCGTGGCATGCATTGTTGGTATGGTATACGGGCTTGCTAATAGAGTTGGATGCTGAGGCAGGAGTTGATGCGCCAGGCAACAAAGCCGACACACCGGCATTTGTAGTAACATCATTTGTCGACACCGCTGCACCCTACCGCCTTTTGTGCGGATAATCGTCCGTTCATCGGACCCGCACTAGTGTTGGCTTATCGCCGGGCTTGGACTTATCGCCAGGATTTAGGCTTGAGCCTGTCGTCAAGCTTGGAACACCTCTTGGACTACATAACCGTTGCCCGTGTTTAAATAGTAATCGTTCACGTAGCAGCCGTGCTGGGTTCTGTCCTAGTGGCCCTTGCCCTTGACAGTTTGTGCCGGGAGCCTGGCATGACAGTGTCACTTGGGCTTCCTTTCTTGTACATGAGGACCGCCTTGCGTGAGGTTCCTGGACCTTGAGCGGCGATTGCAACAAAATTGATTTTTAAGAGCATATAATTCTGCTTTTTGGTTGCGATATGGTTGGAGTGAGGGGATTGAACAGGAACACCCGGCATGCGTATATACGAATTTCCAACCTATACTTCATGAATCAAATTTCGGTAAAACTTTTGCTAGCAGTAATAGCTCGTTTAGCAAACACACACATGGTTCAACTGCTGTCGACATGCAGCTTATTCTAAGAATCTCTCTAGAAACTTCTCCTGGATTAATGCCAGCAGGAATATTACAGACACTGCAACTTCAGGAGAAATTGGAGCGCTATCTATTTTTGGCTGATGCACAAACGGGTACTAGCCTTGTCTGTCAAGATATTGAAGACCTTGGCCAGGTCATGGTATATTTTTAGGTCGTGTAATCCAAAATGCCTGATGGTTGCTTATATACGAACCGCTTAGCCTTACTACCACATCGATATCCAAGTGGTGAACCTATTTTTAGACTGCCATGTATCTGCATAACTATGCACGCTTACAAGAGATCTGCCTAGAAGTCTGCGCTATATGGACATGTTCTGCAAGGTTTATTTATAGACGCCTGCTCAAACGGCTTTCTGGATAATAAGGTTGCTTCGTAAGCAAACTATCGAAAGCTCTTAGATTAACGTGTATTTTCGGCAGCCGCATGCGGTGCGCTGATTTCTGCTTGGATGGTAGCTACATCTTTCAGCAGGAGGTAGGGTCAAAGTTTAAAAATCCTAGATACCCGTGCTAAATTTAGCAACACCAGCATCAACTATACGCCAATGACTGTATATGTGAGGGACATGCCATGTCGTTCTCCATGTATAAAAAGGCTGGGGCTATTGCCCAATCTCTATCGGCTTCATCACCTCAAACAACTTCAGCAGACTCTACTTTTAATACACCCAGCGCCAAAAAAGATGAAGTTCGTCACAATTGCAGCCCTTCTGCTCGCGACTATCCTCGCAGGTTGTCTCTGGTTACGCTATCAAGGATGACATAGTCAACTGTCGCTCGGGTCCAGGAACCTCCAACAATATCGTCCGCACTTACAAGAAGGGAACCCAAGTGACGCTCTCGTGCCAGACTCCAGGCACAACGATCGGTGGCAACAACCTCTGGGACAAAACCCAACATGGGTGCTACGTGAGCGACCACCATGTTGACACTGGCAACGGCTATGTCGCCCAAAAATGCTCCCATAGGAGCTATTGGAAGATCCAGCAGCCCCTCTGGCGGTGGCTCCTCGAGCGGATACTGCAAGGGCGTCAGCGCCGCGTCGCTCAACATGATCAAGGTGTTCGAGGGCTACGAGCCAAATGTGTACCCCGATCAAATTGGCCAGCCCACCTGTCGGTTACGGTCACCTGTGCCAGACCACTGGCTGCAAGGAGGTCAAGTACAAGTTCCCGCTGACCAAAGAGACTGCCGAGGCTCTGCTCAAGGACGATATCCCCAATTACACATGCCTGGGCAACTACCTGAACGGCAATGTCAAGCTCAACGAGAACCAGTGGGGTGCGCTGGTGTCGTGGGTGTTCAACATGGGCTGTGGTGCAGCCCAGTCCTCGCCTCTGGTCAAGCGTCTGAATGCTGGTGAGAACCCAAACACCGTCATTGCCAGTGAGCTGCCCAAGTGGAACATGGCTGGTGGCCGTTTTCTGCTTGGCCTTGATCTCCGCCGCAAGGAGGAGGTAAAGTTTGCCCAGACTCCTTCGAACAAGCAGGCTTTCCCTAACTGCGAGTAAGCCATAAAATATTTCATGTAAATACACTTCTTTTTCTACTGCAAACATCGCCTTGATTTGTCTGACATTTGGCCTGGGTATCAATGTCCATCCGATATATTGACGAGTGGCATTCGTTGGCGCCTGACTCGTAGCTCTTTGAGTCAACCTCCATGATTATGTCAGGGGCCACGGCCTCTGGTGCAGCAATAGCTGCAGCAGATATTCGGTTTGTTTCTGTGGCCTTTATGAGCCCGTCTCGGTGAGCTTGCGCAGGATCATAGGTGCTCAGGTCCTTGCCCTCCTTCGAGCCTGTGGCTCAGGAACGCCGCCGACTTTTCGAACCGCTCGCGGATATCCGTCAAACGACCCGAGCTGGATGCACTGGCCCCAGCCCGATACCGCCGTGTAGAACACCAGGTCCTCCTGCCTGCGTGTAGCGGTCATCGAGCGCCGTCTCAATGGCCTCCTTGAGCATCTCGGCGTTGCAAAACAAGTACTCGACAATGCCCAAGCCACATGCGGAACGGCGGGCGTCTGGCATAATCAAATTATCATAAGGCGACATCTGCATCTTGTGCCAGCACACGGCAGCGCTCAGCAGCGACAGGTGGGAGTTTGGCCGGCTCTCATTCGGAGGCACCTGCGCCAGCGACAGCTGGTCGAGCGTCTCAGTCGTCGAGAAGAATGGCCTTGCGGCTGCGGTCCTTGCCGAAGACAAAGTCGGCCGCGATCGTAGATCAGCTTGGTGAATTCGTCGCGGCGCCCGCCCACCATGCACTTGTAGAGTATCTGGAGAGACTCGACATAGCACTGGAGCTGGGTTTTGGCATGCGGATTCATGATGGCCAGGCCGGCATACACGTGCCATTTGCTGGCGTAGATGCGCAGCGCCATGGCCACCTTGACGTTGTTGATTCCAGCGATGAACTGCGGGTTGATCCACGGGTGGTAGCCCTGTAGGCACCAGGCCGTGCCCAGGCTCAGAAACGCCAGATGCGTGGCCGCCTGCGTATCAGCCGTGATGCGGTCGTGCTCCTGGTACGTCAGGTAGATCATGCGGGCCTCCAGCGCCCCCAGCGCCTCCACAGGCCATTGCGTAGTGGGCGTCGTCGGCCCGGTGCCGGATGATTGCCAGCGGCTGTCCGCGCGTGTCGATGTTGGGCCCGTGCATTGAATGACATGTCACGATGTGGGCGTCCTCGGGCAGGTGTCGCTCAAACTGCTGCAATCTCCGGCGTCTTGACTGATGTCTGTCCGGCGACAATTGCGTGGAGCTTCGTCGCCCGCCCGTACTCCTCCACCGCCCGGATCGATTGTCACTGCCGGGACGCTGTAGATGATGAAATCAGACCGCCGCGAGACCGCGTAGCCGTCGCAGCAGAATGTTGAGGCCCAGGCTGCCGTGCTTTGCCTGTAGACTCTCGAAGCGCTCGGGCGTGTCGCAGATGTTCACCGGGTAGCCGGCAGCACGGAACCGCTTTGCGTACAGCATGCCCATGTCGCCGGCGCCGATGATGCCGATTTCAAAGTTGGGAATCACCATGCCTTTTGCTGTGTCAGGGAGTATGTTGGAAGGTAGCAAGGAGTGTGCTTGCTTCGTCTCCCCAAAAATTGCGTTTCCAGGAACGGTCCTCTGCTAGAGTGGCTACTATGGAGCGCACCCTACTGACTCATTCCACGGATTCTCTCCCTCCCATGCGCTGGGGGCAACTACGCCACGCATATCGTATTTTTGCAACGCCTTTTGCACCATATACAAACCTCCAAGGAAAACAGAGTTGATTGAATTTACATGATAAAAAGGTACCTGCGCCGTCTCGGTGCCTGGGGGTCTTCACACAAACTCAAACCCATCGTCGTTCGCAAACTCACCGCTGGCCGACATGCCAAACCGGGGCGACGACGCCGACCGCACCGTGCCCGGCCCCACCATCACCGTGGTCGGCGGGATCCGGGGCGTGCTAAACCGCACCCCATCCATCCGTGGGCTGCGCGGCGGGCTGCGCGCTCCCTGCCGCTCCGGCACCGCCGCCACCTTTGTGATCTGGCCGGGAATCGGCGCCTGCATATACGTCCCATGGACCATGGTCTTGTCCTCGGGCCACAGCGTGAACAGCGGCGTCGCCCCTGTGCAGATCGCCCGCGACGAGTCCTTGTCCGTCGCCGCCTGCGCAAACGATTCCCACTCCGCCTCGGTGTTGAACAGGAACCCGATCAGCATCGACGGATCAAGCTTGTTGATGCCGATCGTGCAGATGTGCGTCGTGTGGTACTCATCCGTGTCTGCAATCCCCAGTGACTCAAAGTCACTTGAATCCGACTCTGACCCAGAGTCCTCGTTGTCGCTGGTCGCTACCACCCGCGTGTCTTGTCCGTCGAGCGCCGTCGAGCGCGGCACAAAGTTGCGCGTCACGTGCGGATCCAGGAAGAACAGGTTGTCACCCTGCCGCCCAATGAAATAGTACGACCGCGACGGCTTGCCGCCCACCAGACCCACCGTCTGCGGGATCTGGAACAGCGTCTTGATCTTCTCCGTGTACTTGGGGTCAACCCGCTCAAACCCAAGCCGCACCGGCACCAGCAGCAGCAGCGGCTTCCATCCATTGGGTCCCCGAGCTGGCCCGCCAAACGCTGTCTCGCGCACCTCCTTCGTAAACACCTCCTGGTCCAGTGCCACATGGATCGCCAGTGGGCACTTGTGGTGCATCCGTGATATCCGCAGCATCACATGTGCCCCAATCGACGGCCCGAGCCAGTCGCCGATCCGCTTGTCCATGTACGTCGCCACACGCGACATGTTGTGGATTGAGTAGTACGCTGAGCTGTCTGCAGAGTCATGGAACCACTCAACAATCCGCGCGTGCCTCGCCTGCTGCGCGCTGGTCAGCCGGAACGGGTCCCAGAACCGCCCCAGCAACACCCGCGAAAACGACTCCGCCAGCATCATCTGACAGGTACGGTACGTGCATCCCCACCCCATGTCTGATGTGTAGAACGACGGTGTGATCGTTGCAAAGCCTTTGCGGTACGTGAAATAGAATCGCCGCATACCGTCCAGGAAAAACTCTAGCAGTGTCAGCTGGTTCAGCGCCAACTGGCCCTTTTGTTGCTGTTGCTGTTGCGGGCTGCTGCTGCTCGTGCGTCAGTTGCAGGCTGCCGCGCAGCTGCTGAAAGTGTGACGAGCCAAACGACGATAGCCGCGACATGCGGTGGTCGTTATCAAACAAGGAGTCGTCTTCAGCACTAAAGTAGATCGAGTTCCGGCTGATACTGTCGTCGCTGGCATCGACCATCTGGAACGAGCCGTCGTCGCCGTCATCCGCCAGGCTGACCTTGTCGAGACCAAACTCTCGCTCAAACTCATGCAGCGACCGCCGCATGATGATCTGTGACTTGGCTCTCCTTAGCATCAGCACCGCAGACATATCGCCGAACCCGTCCGCGTCCTCATTCTCCTCAAAATCAAGTGCAATCGGCGGCGGCGGAGGCAGCAGCAAAACGTACGACGAATCCATGTTGATCTCGCGTGTTATCGACTCCAGCGTACGCTTGAGATTCGGCTGAGAATGGTTCTGAACTGATTCACCATCCAGGTACTGCCCGTGCCGACTGCTCTGCCTCTGCTGCTTCTGCATCTTGGTGGGTGACTCGCTGCCCGCCTGGGTCTTTGGCACGGGCACCATGACATAGGACGTCGACCGTGCATCTGTTGCCGACCACACAACCTCGAATCCTCCCTTGGTCATTCCAACAACGCCTGCCTCGCCCGCCTTGCGTTTGCGCAGTGCCTTACCGCTCTGCAGACTCGATACGGCACTAGACTGCCGCGACGCCGCGTTGGATGGCGACCGCGACCGGATGTGCAAGGACGCAGCCAGATCGTCTGCCAGCGAATCTTCGCCGCTATTGCTGGGCCCAGCATTGGATGGTGTCCCAAACAGCCCAAGTGTTCCGCGCTTCTGCACAGGACCCAGCGGCGCGCTCTGCCGTAATACCGGCGAAATCGATCGAGGCGAACCAGCAGGGGACCGAGGTGGCGACTGAGATGGCGACAGAGATGGCGACAGCAAGGGTGACCCAGGCAGCGACCGGATACTAGCCGCATCTGACGCTGACCCAATCGGACTCATGTCCTGCGACGTCGCCGATGTCTCGCGTCGGTCATTAGACCCGACATTTGTGTGAATCGACAGGCCTGCTGGGTACAGCTGCCGGCGCCTGGTCTGCGTGCTCATGGTGGGCGATGGCGGCGGCTGTTGTGCCTGCGTCTGCGATGTCTCCTCTGTCTTAAACGACAGAAGCTGCGGAATCATGCCCCAGCCCCTGGCACGGCGGTACGGCTTCTTATCAACACTGACTGGTGGGTTGCTGGAGCTCTCGACACGCCGGCGCGGGAAGGTATTAAAGCCAGGCGCGTGCTCTTCGCCTGTACGCGGCCAGAAGTGGTTGGAAAATGCCTCAGTCACTTGTGCCATGCGCGTCTCTAGGTACTTCATCCGCCAGACGTTGTCCTCACCAGTGATCAGGATCTCGGAGCGCGCATCGTCGCTGCTGACCGAGTTGGGTGTGAGATTGCGTCGGCTGTGGCCATGGCCGTTGCTGCTTGCTGGGACCCGTGGCATCGGTCGTGCGTCGATAGTCACGATAATCGCCGTCATCGCATCGCGCCATGCCTCGCCACTGACCTCAATGCCTTCAGTGTCATGCATTGCCACACGCAGACGCAGAACCAGAGGATCGCCAGCGCTTTTGTCTCCAGACATCGGCCGCCCTTGAGCATTGCCGCTGGCGGTACTCCCATTAACAGACGCTGCGGTGTTGCTGCTGTTGGCATTGCTTGTTTGCTTGTGCCGTGGCAGCCTAGTCGACAGGTATGCCATAAAGAACGACTCGCTCTGCAGCGTCACCGACCACCTGTTTTCGCGCGCCCATGCTGCTGCGGCAGGGATATTGACAACCTGCTGGAACGACGGCAGCTTCCACTCCCGCTGGAACATCATCAGGCTGGCTGCAGAGCTCTCCCAGCTAGCAAACTCGCCAATCAGTGCACGCACGTTGGCCTCGCGCCGCACTGGGGAAAACATCATGTTGCCACCGCTGACAATCCGCCGCGGCTGTCCGTGCTGAGAATTTCTGTTGGAATGCGACGACTGTGGCCGCCTCGACGTAATGGCGGGGGCTCCGACGCGCGTCTGAGAGCCACTGTACGCCTCGGGCACGGCGGGAACTGGTGGAATCTGCGTGTAGTCAACATCCATCAGGCTGCGCCGCTTGCTGCTGGCCTGTACACCACTGCTTGTGCTGTTGCTATTGGACGTCTTGCGCAAATCTGCCCGCGACCCCTCCTTGCTTTTACGGTGCAGATGGCTGAATCGGCTGTGTCCGGATCCCAGACCCAATGATTTGGGGTCGCTCGACCGCACTGGGCTGGTGCTGCGGCTGGACGCCTTGTTCGCTACCGGTGCTCCGTCATGCCGCTGCCGGCTATCAACAGTGCTCATAGACACACGGCTGGGCTGCTGGTGCGGCGATGTTGGTCCGGCTCCGAATTGAACCACCGGCTCCACTAGCAACGTCCCTGGAGGAGATGCCCAGCGCTGAGATCACTGACTCGCTCTCTGCCGTATCGGACTTGCGCCGGATCATTGGGTGGGCTGTGCGCGTGACCCACGACCGCAGCCGGTTCATCTTGCTAGACTTTGGCCGGTCTGCATGGCCCACGCTCTGCCGCTTTGCGGTGCTGATGGTCTCAGTCTCGGCATTTACATCAAGTTCGTGCTCAGCAACATTGCTAGGGATATCAAGCATATCGTCTGGGAACGGCGGAGGTACCCATGATGGACTGCTGGCTGTGGTCGGCGGGCGCTTCCCCCCGAGCACATCCTGCGACGGAATCGACACCAGACTGCCAAACATCGGCTTTGTTGGGCTGCTCTGCAGGACATCTTCGGGAACAGCGCCATTAGGGAAGCTCTGCAGCTGCTGAATCGTCTGTAGTTTCTTCTTGTTGGCAACCACACCCGATGTGTTGGCACGGCGCCGGTGTGCATCGCTGATGCTGCTGATGTTGTGGTGCACGCCGCGCTTGCCTTCCCGCATTGGCGTGCGCTCGGAGCCAACGGGGCTGATGTTGCGGCGCTGGTGGTGGTTCAGGAACTGGCTGCTGTCCAGCTGCAAATAGCTGCTGTCAGCATCAAAGCCGACTGGCAGTGCCACGCTCCCACGGTCGCGGCTCAGTCGGTAGCAAACGCCGAGGATCCAAATCGTCCGCTCCGTTGTGAACAAGACGTTCACAGTGTCTGCACGCTCCACCAGCAGCCCTTGCTTGATGAACTGGAAGGGCGCCGTAGTGTACAACCAGTATCCGACACGCCGGATCCTCTCGATGGCCTGGCCATTAACCAGCCGGCCCTCGACCAGCGCATGGTGCGGGTTGGGCTACACCACAGACAATAGGTGAGAATTAGTGATAGGCCCGTGAACAAAACAAAAACAACAGAAGCCACAGCCGCGACTGCGTTTCCCGCTTCTGCGTTTCTTATTAGCAAGCTGCTTTCTGCGGCAAAGAGGAACTGAGAACAACCCGGCAAGGCTGGGCGTGAATTCCGGATGCGATTGCGAACCCCCCACTCTTCAAACCGGAAGTTGCAAGAGACGAAACTGCATCTCTTTTTCCGTCACAATTGCCAGAGTGCATATGACGACGCACAGGCGCATATGCGAAGAAGCCGGGCTGGCTTGAATTGCGCACTTGCTCCGTGGATGCAGACAAGAAAAGGCATCCACAAAGAACAAATACAATAGACACCAGAATGCCAGTCCAGACAGCAAGATGGCTTTTTCGGTTCAGAATGGAAAGGCCAGTTTGTGCTCACAACAGCAACACCCACTCCAGAGCTGGAGCACTTTGAGTGGTCATGTATACCAAAGGTCGCCAGCTAGCTGCAGACGCACAACAGGCTGAAGGCCACCATGAATAGAGGGAAGTGAGAACGCTTCAGGATATGCAGGTACGGGTAGTGGGATAATGGCGACCTCCCCCAATCTTTTGAGTATGAGGCAGCAACAAAGCCGAGCAGCCATTCTCTGCCACCGGGTGGGCAGGCGAGTATGAGAGAGCCGAAAAACAATACTGCAGCTCATTGTGCACCAATTGCACCATGGTCGCTAATTAGGAGTTCCTCCGTAAGACACAAGCCAGGCCACAACTGTTTACAAGGTCGACTTACCATCTCTCCATCGCGATTGGCAGCGGTGTTGCCAGTGTTGAACGTCCGTTTCAATGGTGAATGATGCAGTGACGAGCCCGAGACAACGCGTCGGGCATTGTTCGCTGCCAGCATGGGGCTCGCAGAGGCAGTCATGCCAGTCGGCGACATAGTGGGGCTGGGCGGTCCCGGCATGCCAATGTGCTGGCCGCTGCGGAATGGCGCTTTGCGTGGCGGTGACAGGCGTGGCAGGAGCTGGATCTTTTGCTGCAAGTCTTCGGGGAGCGGCGGCACCTCCCTGGGCAGTGGCGGCTTTACTACTGGCGGTGCTTCAAAGGGTGGCAGGAACGACACAGGTGACGTGGACCGTGGGCTCTCCATGTCCCTGTCAGACCCCACATCCTCCCTGTCGTCGGACCCAGGGCTGCCATTACTGCTGTGATCCGGCAAATTGCGGTAGCTGCGTTCGACACGATACGGATACTGCTTTGGCATTGTGGGGAGTGGAGGCGTGTATATTGGCTGCTGGTGGCTGTCAGGAGAGTCCTGGGTTGTCATCAGTCCCAGGCTGTTGTTCTCGAGGCCCAGCAGCGTAGGCAGCTGCTTGCGGTGTCTGTGCCCGCGCCCTGGGTTGCTTGTGCTGGGCATATCCACCCCCATGCTCGACGACCTTTCCTGGCGGACCCCCAGCGGCGGGTGCCGGTATTGTAGCTCTGCCTTCAGAATCCTGGGCGACCCCGACTGCCCAGTGTGCCCTGGCTGCAGTGACGTAGTGCGCATCATCGGCGACCCTCCCAGCGTGCTGCTATCGCTGCCATTCGACGCATGTGCTTCTATGGTTGAGTCGCGCTGCGCTCTCTGCGCCCTCAGTGCCCGCGGGCTCTCAGGCTCCTCGGGCTTTCTGCGATGCGCATCCAGCAGGTTGTTCAGCGTGCTGCGCCGCCGGTGCGGCGACACCCGTATCAGCGGAGAGTTGCGTGCATACACGGCCGCCGGCAGCTCTAGCGTATCGGGCTCCTCCGGCATTGCATGCGCGGCCATGTACCGCCTCTGCATAGATGGCGACTCGGGCGACGGAGCTCTCGGCGACGGCGGCTTCCCTGTGTCGTAGCGCTTAGGGATATGCCGTGTCTGCCCTTGCTCGCTGCCTTCGCCGTATGCGTGGTTGCTGCGAATTCGACGCCATTCACAGGGTAGATATAATTATGATACAAATATCGGAGAGAAAAATATAAAGCAGACAAGGAAAAAGGGACAACCGGTATTATTTTTATACTAGAAGGCGGGTGTTGGATTTGGCAAAATAATGCAAATTCAGAAAGGGAGAGAAAAGCAGCGTTCAAGAAGGAAGGGGAGAGGCAAACGGGAAAACTACGTGCACACTCGGATACACAAGACGTTGTTGATTTGGCAAGGAGGGAATGCAATAGTTTGGCACGAGGGCCAGAGCATGCACGCGCAGTAGAGGCTCCGTTTATAAGGCAACTGCTGCTTGTATAGTGTTCGTCGCTCGACATGGAGAGCACGTATTGTTCGGAAGGCTCTGAGATACCACCTGTTCCAGGACGTGACTTCAATGTAGCTCCTAATGGGGACTGCTTTAGGTCATTGGCGTGCGGTAACAAGGCCGCCAGCGGTGCGTGCAGACTTTTGACGTTTGCCGACAAAGGCCATGAGGCGTGCTAATTGCCGCATGAGTTAGCGGTTCGCAAGCTTGTATAAGGAAGTGGTCCGAAAACGATCCTCCCAAATGGGACAGCGCTGAACCACAAGGACTCGGAGGGCATAATGCGCGTTTTGTAATCCTTTCTGCTTTCCAAGCCTGGGCCCATTCAAGGCCCAAGCGTCCTTTTTTACAGTCCTTTCATGCAAATAGCTGGATCTATTTAAAGGTCATTTTATAGTACCACGAGCTGAGCAGCGGCATTGATCTAGTGCTTCTTGCACTTGGGGACCGAGGTAGCGGCGGGGGCGCTCGAGGTAGCGGCGTCAGTGTTGGCCGGGACCGAGGTGGCGGGGGCGTCGGTGGCCGGAGCATCGGTAGCCGGGGCACCAGTGTTGGCAGCAGTCTCGGTGGCAGCAGTCTTGGTGCAGCAGTCTCGGTGGCATCAGTCTTGGTGGCATCAGTCTTGGCAGCCTCCGACGACTCAACGGTCTTCGAGGACTCAGCAGCAGACGACGACTCAACCGACGACGAAACGCTACCATCGCAGACATACATGGGCTCCTGGAACTTGGGAGTGACATAGTCGCTCTTGATGATACCCCAGTTGCCCTCGACGTTCGAGGCATTGTTGTGCGACGCCCAGCTCTGGTCGAACGAGTTGAACCAGTAGTAGTCAATGCCCTCCTTGTTGGCGCGGCAAATGAACTGCTGCATGTAGTTCAGGGTGTTCTCGGGGCTGGCAATAGCGGCACCATAGTTGTCGCCGGCCGTGGGCCAGCCAGTCTCGCCAATAACAACCTTCTTACCGCCGGCCTGGGCCTGCAGATTATGGATGTGCTCAAACATCTTGTCGCCAGCAGCGATCAACAGCAACACCCTCCCAGAACGGGAAGCCGTGCATGTTGACGAAATCGACAGCGTCGATCAGCGGCTTGTAGTACGTGGGCCAGGTCTCCGAGGAGCTGACAGGGATGTTGCCAAGGCCGATGGCGGCCAGCGCGGCCTTGGTGTCCTTGACCTTGGCAGCCAGCTGCTCGGCGGTCTGCTCGCCACGGTAGATCGACTCGGACCCGACAATAACAGCGGCGACCTGCTTGTTGAAGTCAAAGTACTTGGCCAGGCGCAGCAGCTCGGCCTTGTCGGCCTGGTACACGGCGTCGTTCTGGTTCACCCACAGACCGAGCTCGACCTTCCAGTCGGTGTTCTCCATGGCGCGCAGCACCGGCTCGCCCTGGTTGCAGTCGTTGACGCTGTAGATGCGCAGCTTGTTCGTGTACGGACGCAGCACCTGCAGGTCCTGGCGCACCTGATCGACGACCGGGCACGAGCCATCCTGCCGCTTCGGGTTGTAGTTGAGGCCGTTAAAGTGCGACGCAGCGAGCGCCGACGAGGCGAAGAGAGCGAGACCAAAAGCGAACTTCATTATATCGAAAGGAAAGGAAATCTATAAAGGATGAAAAAGGTACAAAAGAAGGGAAATGAGAAAGAGCGGGAATGAACAGGTAGCGAGATGTGGATGTTGTAGGACAACTTATATGGAATGAAGGAGTACAGGTGAGAAGCGTCGCCAGACTGGTCGGTCCATTGGTGTAGGGTGGTATTTGTACTCGGCAGGAGCATCCAATGGTCCACAGAGCGCGGCCCGAAAATAGATTCTGTGCTTTTTGTCCTTCTCAGTGCCAAGATTGGCCAACGGTCCTGCGTCTGTGTTGGCCTGTCCCTCCATTGCTCACTGTGAAAGGCTGGTGGAGCCATCTCTTTTGGCCTCGCCCCATTCCAGCCCGGGTCGCAATAGGAGATCCGCAAAGCGGGAAATCGCCTGAATAGCCTGGCCATTTAGAAGCAGCCGCTTCTATTCAACGAGGCCTCTGTGCGACTCGTAAACAAAAGATTATTTTTAGAGCTGGAAACCAACCTCATTCCCGGGTTTATTTTCGTTTTCTCGAGACCGTCGGTCTTGTTTACGGTTTGTCCGGAGGAACGGCTGCATTAATACCGGCGCCCTGCACGCACATGAGCCCGAGATCATCCTGCTCCTTGCTACGCCGAACATCGCGGTAGCGAAAGCCGATAAATTCAAACGCAGCTGCACCCTCGCGGACACCTCATCTTCTGACATGCCATTATCAGTGCTGAATAGTTGGATAATTGTGTATTTACGGTATGGTGAAGCGCATGATGCAGAGGTAAAGAAAAAGCCACCCTTTTGCTGCATGTGGTATTGCATAGAACGTTCGAATATGTGTAAGGGGTGGGTGGGTGTGTTTTACAAGAGCTGGGCAAGGGCAGCGGCAGCAGCAACCAGGGTCAGCGTGGCCTTGACCGGTGCAGCACTGCCGTTCTTTGAGTTCGATGCAAGTAGTAGATCCAGTGACGGATCCAGTGGCAGACTCGGTAGCCGAATTTGCAGCGGAACCAGTCTCGAGATGGTCCCAGTTGTTGGGGGCCTTTGTCGTGGTGGCGTCCTCATAGTTAGGCCTTGACAAAGTGCTTGGACTTTGTGACCTTTGATGCGCGGAGCTTGTTGGCGTACCCAGAGATGGTCTTTGCATTGTAGTCAGGTGCGTCAAGCACAGCACCGCGGCAAATCAGGCCACGGCGGAGCATGTCCATGGTAACTGTGGGCGTCGACGACTTGAATGTGAACGTGACCTTGGTCATTTCCAGGTCCTGGTCATGCGGAACTGACGTCTTGGGAATCCCGTCTATCGCCGGACAAAAGTCGGCCCGGGCGATGGCTGCAAGGCCGGCGATGGCGAAGGCACTGATATAGGTGGCGTGCATTTTTGTATCTGTGTATCAGAAAAGTATTGGAGCAAGTTTGGTGGCAGGATATCGAAGCGAATAGCCAGGGGCAGCTGTTAGCCGTTTTATACTTTGCCTACTTTCCTCTGGAGACCATCACAATGTGATGGCAGTTCAGGAGAGACTAGGCTAGTCTAATTTTAGCATATGCACATTGCGTGGTTCTAGAGATATCCGTGCTTTGGCTGACCCGCCCACAAAGACACAAAGTGGGGGGTAGTCTAAGGGGTTGCATGCATGACGATGCATCCGCAACCTATATTAAGACGCGACCCCAGTTGTCTCTGTAGGCTTGGCCAAAAATACCTGCCAAGCAAGTTCTCTGGAAGTTTGAGAGGTTGTTATAATACTCCTGAAATCTGCTGGTCTGCATGGCGATGCAACTGTTATATTGGCTTCTCACATAATATTGTTGGCAATTCTTGGTGCCTGACACTACACCTCACATGTATTTCCCCAAAATCCACGGTTCCCACGAACACTTTCCACGTCATCGGCATATTGTCGTGCCTGGTTCTGCGGACCATTTCTGCTTTTCTCGAACCCAATTCTTTCCAAACCCCTTGATTTTACCAATATGGCCACCCGCGTTTCCCACCTAGCAAAGGGCACAGTGCTCAATTTCATCCGTTCGCCTGCCGAAATCAAGACCACGGTCGGCGCCATCATCGCCCAGGGCAAGAAGGTGCAGGATGCCGTCGCTGCCCAGTCCGCACCCACGTTCCAAAACACAATTGCACCGCTAGCCCGGTTCGAAAACGAGCACGGCACTGACTGGGAAGTCGTGCAGTTCCTGCAGAATGCTAGCACCGACAAGGCCGTGCGTGACGCCAGCTCTGAGGCTGAGCAGGCCCTCAGCGCCTTCAAGATCGAGTCGATGATGCGCGCCGACGTGTATAGGGCCGTGCGCTCAGTGTTCAGTAACCCGGCAGAGGTGCAGCAGCTCAGTGCCGAGGACCGCACGCTGGTCGAGAAGCTCGAAAAAGAGTTCCGCCGCAACGGCTTGGCGCTGGAGGAGCAGCAGCGTGAGAAACTAGGTGAAATCCGCAAGCGTTTGTCGGAGCTCAGCATCAAGTTTAGCCGCAACATCAGCGAGGGAGACGGCAAGGCACTGTTTACTCGCGAGGAGCTGGAGGGCCTGTCAGACGACTTCTTTGAGGGCCGTGCGACCGAGATCGAGGATGGCATTACCAAATTTGTGGTCACGACAAAGTATCCGGACTTGGTTCCTGTCACGACCAGCGCAAAGCGCGAGGAGACGCGCAAGCGCATGAGTCTGGTGCAGGAGACCCGGTGCCCCGAGAACGTCGGCATCTTGCAGGAGGCCATCAAGCTGCGCCTGGAGGCTGCCGAGATGCTCGGCTACAAGACCCATGCCGAATTCGTGTTGGATCAGAACATGGCCAAGACACCCGAGACCGTGCTGGCGTTTGAGAACGACATGCGTCAGCGGCTCAACGTTCTGGCAGACCACGAGCTAAAGGAGATCGAGGAGATGAAGCGCGCTGACAAGAAGGCAGCTGGCGAGGAGTACACGGGCCTGTACAACTGGGACTTCCGGTACTACACGAACCAGATCAAGGAGCGCAAGCACAACGTCAGCGAGGAAGAGATCAAGCAATACTTCCCTATGCAGGAGGTGACACGCGGCGCCCTGGATATCTACCAGCGCATGCTGAGCCTGAAGTTTGTCAAGGTCGAGAACCCCGAGTCGGTCTGGCACCCGGACGTCGAGATGTACGAGGTGTGGGAAGCCAGTGGCGAGAACTTCGTTGGCCACTTTTATCTGGATCTGTACCCACGCGAGGGCAAGTACAACCACGCCTGTGTGTGCCCGATCCGTTCCAGCTCGACCACAGCAGACGGCTCCACCGAGTTCCCGGTAGCTGTGATGCTGGCCAACTTCCCCAAGCCCACGCCCTCGGCACCCGCTCTGCTCAAGCACGATGACGCAGTCACACTGTTCCACGAGCTCGGCCACGTCTTCCATCAGATCTGTACCAAGTCCAAGTGGGCCAAGTTCTCGCTCAACGATGTCCAGATTGACTTTGTCGAGGCGCCTTCGCAGATGCTCGAGAACTGGTGCTGGGAACCAAAGATCCTGCGCCAGTTTGCGGCGCACTACAAGACTGGCGAGCCGATCCCCGATAAGCTGGTCGAGAAGATGGTTGCAGCCAAGAACGAGGGTGCTGGCCTGATCAATCTGCGCCAGGTCTTCTTTAGCATGTACGATATGGCCATCCACAACACAACCAGCGCGGACGTCGATGTTGAGGAGACCTACACCAAGCTGCGTGAGGACATCACCCGCTTCCTTGGCGCCAGCCAGCCCACCTGGGGCGCGGCGACGTTTGGCCACATGATGGGCGGGTACGATGCTGGCTACTACGGATACATGTGGTCCAAGGTGTTCAGCTCAGACATGTACGCCTCACGCTTCCTCAAGGACGGTGTCACCAACACCAGCACCGGCATGGACTACCGCCGCGAGATCCTGGAGCCCGGCAGCAGCCGCGACGCGATGATCAACCTCGAGAAGTTCCTTGGCCGCAAGCCGACCAACACAGCCTTTATCAAGGAAATCGGCCTCAGCGCGTGATTTGATGCTGCTCCTGATCCCGATCAGTCCAAATGAAAAACTTGCCTTAGAATTTTAGTGCTGGGCACCCCCTGGCCAGCATGGAGGGCGCATATAGCGAATTGGCGCCATTTCTCCTACCTCTCCTCTTTCCGAAGTTTCATTCAATCTAGCAATCATTTGGCAGGGAAACACCGCAGTTTATTAATTGAAGATGAACCAGGAGTACTTTGACGACGAGGAGTTTGTTGGAGATATCGATATTGTGGCCGGCACGTACGCCAACGTTGATGACGGCGAGGATGTCGAGATTGACGACGAGGAGCTCATTCAGCAGGCTCAGGCGGGCGTGCAGTCGATTCCGGAGCAGGTGCGCAACTTTTTGATGCAGTTCCACCGCAACATGAAGAACAACAACCTGCATGACCTTACGTACGGCTATGAGACGCAGTTTGTGCGGCTGTCTGAGAAGTTCTTCGCCAAGGGCCCGTGGCCCGAGCCGCAGTACGTTGCGGCGCTGGTCAAGGATGACGGCGTGTTCCTGACACTGTACCGTGAGCTGTACTTCCGCCACATCTATTCGCGGCTGCACCCGTCGCTGGAGACACGGTTCCGGTCGTTTGAGAACTACTGCGACCTGTTCAACTACATCCTGAACTCGGATGGCCCGATCGAGCTGGAGCTGCCGAACCAGTGGCTGTGGGACATTGTCGACGAGTTCATCTACCAGTTCCAGTCGTTCTGCACGCACCGCAGCCGCGTGACGAAGCGCAGCGAGGAGGAGATCAAGCTGCTGAAGGAGAACTCGCAGGTGTGGAACACGTACAGCGTGCTGAATGTGCTGTACTCGCTGATCCAAAAGTCCAACATCAGCCAGCAGCTGCTTGTGCAGCAGCAGGGCGGCGATGTGCTGGCGGCCGCTGGTGAGTTTGGCTCGCGCCCGCTGTACAAGATGCTGGGCTACTTCAGCATCATTGGGCTGGTGCGCGTGCACTGCATGCTGGGCGACTACACGCTGGCGCTGCAGACACTGGAGAACATTGAGCTGGGCAACTCGCGCGCGCTGTTCACCCGTGTGACTGCCTGCCACGTCACTGTGTACTACTACGTCGGTTTCGCGTACCTGATGATGGGCCGGTACGCCGACGCCATCCGCACGTTTGCACACATCCTGACGTTTGTGTCGCGCACGCGGCAGTACCACCAGCGCTCGTACCAGTTCGACACAGTCAACAAGAAGGCCGAGCAGATGTACGCGCTGCTGGCCATTGCCTGTGTCGCTGAGCCCGGCCCGTGTGGACGAGAACATCCACAACTACCTGCGCGAGAAGTACGGCGAGCAGCAGCACAAGATGCAGCGTGGCGGCGAGGAGGCCATCGAGGTTGTGTCGGACCTCTTCCGCTTTGCCAGCCCCAAGTTCATTGCGCCGAACCCGCCCAACTACGACGACCTGGAGGCTGCCGCCGAGGCTATCGAGCCGCAGCAGTTCCAGCTCAAGATCTTCCTGCGCGAGGCTCGTCTGCAGCTGGTCATCCCTACCCTGCGCTCGTTCCTGAAGCTCTACACGACCATGGGCCTGGACCGCCTGTCGACCTTCCTGGAGATGGACGCGGCTGAGCTGCGCAACCAGCTGATGGTGTACAAGCAGCGGTGCCGCCAGGTCAAGTGGGTCGGCGGTGGCGATCTGCTCGGCGGCGAGGTCGTTGCTGCCACCGACCTGGACTTTGCCCTGCAGGAGGACATGATCTTCATTGCTGAGAGCCGCATTGGCAGGAAGTACGCCGACTGGTTCATCCGCAATGCCAACAAGGTGCAGGACCTGGTCAACACCCTCGAGAGCCGGCAAAAGACTTTTATTGCCGAGGCTGGCAAGCCCAAGCCGGCCGAGGAGGAGGCCCCTGCTGCTGCCGTCTCTGCCTAAAATCACCCTTTGCACGGTCTGTTTCACCAGTTAAAATATGAAATTTTGACATTTTAGCATCAGTGTAGAGCGGAAAGCAGCACTTTTTATTTACTTAGGCGCTGCTGGTAATGGTGCTGGAGCACTTTTCGATAAGCTCCGGCCACCTCGTACGCAGGAGCACGATGGCCTCAGCCGCTGCTGTGAATGCCTGGCCGACGGCAACCGCCGCCCACAGTCCCAGCAGCCCGTAGTCCTCGACCATGGTCCAGTAGTACCCGAGTGGCACGCCAATGGTATATAACGTGATCGTCTTGATGCGCACTGCGAGCCCTTGGCGCCCCTGCGCCGAGATTAGCTGCGAGCCAACAAACGACACCGCCTGTGTCGCATACGCAGCTGCAGCGACCGGCAGCAGGCGCACAGCATCATCGATTACCGCTGGGTCGCTAGTGAACATGCCGATCCAGAGCTCAGGCGCCAGCGCCAGCGCCAGCCCGCCCAGCACGGCAATGGCTAGGCCGATGCACAGCGAGACATGGGCGGTAATGCAGGCGCCACGCACAGCACGCTCGCCGATCAGATTCCCCGTGCGGTTCAGCGATGCAACGCCGGCACTGGACGCAGAGATCATAAACATGCGGCCGAGCGCCGACAAGACCGACTGCACCGCCAGGCTGCTGGCGCCAAGCTGCGTGGTGGCCATGGTAATCAGCTCGTTGGTGCCGGTCGAGAACAGCGCCAGAACCAGGCACGGTGACATCAGGCGCAGGAACGGCAGCCACGGCGCATGGAAGCCAAGGCCACCCCAAATGCGATGCATGTTGTTGCGGCTGATCACCCACAGCGTCGCACACAGCATTAGCAGGTAGCTGAGGCCATTGCTAAGCGCAATCCCGCTTATCCCGAGCCGGAAGTACGGCGACCAGACCAGCAGCCACTGCGCACCCACAGTAGTCAACGTGCCGAGCAGCGTCAGGTACGGCAGCGGGCTTGTTATGCCCTGCGCAAACAACACCTGGCGGGCACAGAGTTGATTGGAGAACACCATGAAGGGCACAAAATACCACCGCAGGTACTCGACGGCTAGCTCGACAGTCGCATCGCTGGCGCTATGCAGAATACGAGCCAACAGCGGGCCCGATGTGAACCAGAAGGCGCCCAAGCCCAGGCCTGCAATCCATTGCACCTGCAGCGCCCTGACAAAGTATCCGCCGACCAGCTTTGGCTGCGACGACGTAAACGCCTGGCTGGCGCACGTCTCCAGGCAGCTCAGCGTGCTGAACGCAATCGGGTACCCAGTTAGGATTACCACCATGTGTGCCAAACCAATTGCCGCCAGCTCGCTGCGACCCAGATGCCCCGACGAGGCAACCTGCGACACGCTGATAGTCGCCTGCAGGACGTTTCCAATCAGCAGCGGGCCCATGGTGCGCAACAGCACGCCAACCTCCCTCCCCCACATCTGCACCGTCGGCAAGTAGTCATCGGTGCCCGGCTGCAACTCCCTAGGCCTAGTTGAGCTGCTCGGCAGAAGCGCCGTGGACTCGTCCGCAGACCCTGTGTGTGTCACCATATGTGTAGTCAGCAGAGACCCTGGGCTGAGCAGAATATCACCAATCGGCGCCTCTATATACGAACGCCGCTTACTCCCAGTGTTGTGTTTGGTGTTGGGCGTGACACACGACGAGGCTCTGGCACTGTCAAATATATACGCGTACGTGGAACGTTCCGAGGACGATGAGGAAGAAGGAAAACACAGAAATCAGCGACGAGCTGCTGTGAGTCCGCTTTACAAGCGCTGGCTCGTCAGCCATCTTTTGGGGGCACTCGTGTATAGCGCAGATATCTGCCGCCGCGAAAAACGCCGCATTATTGACTTCTGTTTCTTTGATCGGCGACCTCCCCACATCGCTTTGCAGGTCCTCAAAAATGCTGACCAGCGGCGGGTACCGCTCATGTGCAATACTACGTCGTCTTCGTCGCTCCTGCTCTGCGCTCTGGTACGGTAGCGACTTTGTGCTGGTGAGACTGCGTGGGTCGCCTGCGTGGGCTGTCCGTGGCCCGCCCAACTGGCCTGTGGCTGGCAGAGCAGCAGGCAGGTTGAATGAATTCGACTGCAGTACAATGGAGGCGCGCCGAGATTGCCTCAGTGATGGCGAATACATGCCGCCGAGCTGCGACGAGGATGAGGAGGATGCCAGGTACATGAGGTTGCTTGGGTGTGAGGTTGGCTGCCGTGTGCGCTCGTATAATGACGTCGGTGTGCGCTGCAGGACAACCTCAGTGCGTGGTCTGCCAATGTCCAGTCGCCGTGCTGCGGACTCGCGCACGCTTTGTGGGCTATGCAGGTTTTGTGCCGAGGAGTACCGGCGCTGTGGCCGCACTGTGGAGATATCAAATGCATGTGTGGAACGCGAGGGTGTTGGCAATGAGGTGAGTGAGCATGGCGATGTGGGGACTTTGGTCGACTTGGACATAAACCGATGGCCGTTTCATATTGGGTGGTGAATTAGACTAGTGTACATGCAAAGGAAGTCCTCCTCGGAGAATAAAGTAGGTGAAGCAAGAAATAGCACTGGCACAAAGGAAACGGGCTGCAACAAGTAACCTGAACGGAATGTGATGTTCAAAAAAGGAAATAAAAGTGTGCACCTGGAATGCCCGTTTCCTAAAACCGTTGTTTATATTTTGCACGTCCCAAAGAAGTAGGAAAAAGATATAAGAAATATCGCCCGAAAAGAATGCGCGCTTGATAGAGAAGCAAGGAAGGAGAAAAATATATGAAACGTTGTGCAGCGTCGGCAACCCCAGGGTCAAGAAAAATGGCTCCTTGCCAGGCATAGCTGTGGCTCTTTCCAGCCTGTCCTTCCCAACACTGCCCCTCCCGAAAGCCCCCGCCTGGTATCTGGTTTCTCACATTAGGGCTTGTCGGTCGTCTTTCAATGACAAGGGTGTATGCGGGTCAGCTGGTGCAGGGAGTGCCAGTGTGAGGGACGGAAATACCAGGACGCAAGGATATTTTGGAGAACTGTGCGGCCGTCCAGCCTCCATAGACGCATGTGAGCAGCCTGAAAAGCAGCTCGGGGACAAGTTCCCACCACTGTAGGCACCCCTATCTGTAGTTCCTGATGACAGATCCCTTTTCACTTTCCTGTCGGAGTGTAAAACCAAGTTGTGTATACACTACATCCCGTCAGGTGTTCCGGGCGATTTCTATGTTGGGGCTGCGTGCATGCAGCGCGGATGCTAATCTAAAGGGCAATTACTAAGCGTTGCTCTGGGGCATGGCAGCGGCCAAATTTTATTTCCTGGTACATGTCTCGTATCTGCGCTATCGGGAAGCAGTCCATGCCATTGTAACTATGTGAGGAGGCGCAGACTGCGGCCGTTTTACATGGAGATGACCGACCTCTATCGCCCGCATTGCATGTCCATGTTCGACTGGACAATGAGTTGTCTCTACCAGAGACCAGTGGCTTTGTAGCAGAATGTAGCCTTCACAACAAAGGCAGGCGATTCGAGCACTTGCTTCTGGTACATGCGCATGTACATGTGTGCAGGGGCCGCCATATGCAGCAAATAGGTATCCCCACATGTCAAAGAAAACTTGGTCCTTTCAAAATTTTTATCGTATGTTTTGATTACTTGTGAAAAATGAAAAGAAACGGGTATAACTCGATTACAAGGTCGCGTTCAGACGCACATTACAGATCACTTAGTAGCTAGGAGGAACCGAGGCGTAGACGGTCGAGTAGCCAGGAGCGGGGGTGGTCTCGTAGGCGGTGGTGACCTCGGACTCGACAGTCGACTCCTCAGACGGGACGGGGACGGCGGTGTAGCCAGGGGCCTCAGTGGTCTGCTCGGCGGTGGTCTCCTCAACGGTGGTCTCCTCGGCGGTGCTGTAGCCAGGGGCCTCAGTGGTCTGCTCAGTGGTAGTCTCCTCAACAGTGGTCTCGTAGACGGTGGTCTCCTCAACAGTGGTCTCGTAGGCGGTGGTCTCCTCAGCAGTGGTGGTCTCGTAGGCAGTGGTCACCTCCGACTCAACCGAGGACTGGCCCTTGGTGCAGGAGGTGGACTCGGCAGCGGACGACTCCTCAACGGAGGTGGTCTCGTAGGCGGTGGTAGCCTCAGACTCGACGGTCGACTCCTCAGCGGTGCTGTAACCCGGAGCAGAGGTGGTCTCATAGGCAGTGGTCACCTCGGACTCGACAGTTGACTCCTCAGCGGTGCTGTAACCCGGGGCAGGGGTGGTCTCGGCGGGGGTGGTCTCGTAGGCGGTGGTCACCTCCGACTCAACCGAGGACTGGCCCTTGGTGCAGGAGGTGGTCTCGGCAGCAGACGACTCCTCAGCAGAGGTGGTCTCGTAGGCGGTGGTAGCCTCGGACTCGACGGTCGACTCCTCAGCGGTGCTGTAGCCAGGGGCGGGGGTGGTCTCAGCGGGGGTGGTCTCGTAGGCGGTGGTCACCTCCGACTCAACCGAGGACTGACCCTTGGTGCAGGAGGTGGTCTCGGCAGCAGACGACTCCTCAGCGGTGGTGTAGCCAGGAGCGGAAGAGGTCTCGTAGGCAGTGGTGACCTCGGACTCGACCGACGACTCCTCAGCAGTGCTGTAGCCAGGGGCGGGGGTGGTCTCGGCAGGAGCGGTGCTGTAACCAGGGGCAGGGGTGGTCTCTGCGGGGACGGTGGTGTAGCCAGGGGCGGGGGTGGTCTCAGCGGGGACGGTAGTCACCTCGGACTCGACGGTGCTGTAGCCCGGAGCAGGGGTGGTCTCAGCAGGGACGGTGGTGTAGCCCGGAGCAGGGGTGGTCTCGGCGGGGACGGTGGTGTAGCCAGGAGCGGGGGTGGTCTCAGCGGGGACGGTAGTCACCTCGGACTCGACGGTGCTGTAGCCGGGAGCAGGGGTGGTCTCGACAGGAGCGGTGGTGTAGCCCGGAGCAGGGGTGGTCTCGGCGGGGACGGTGGTGTAGCCCGGAGCAGGGGTGGTCTCAGCGGGGACGGTGGTCACCTCGGACTCGACGGTGCTGTAGCCCGGAGCGGGGGTGGTCTTAGCAGGGACGGTAGTGTAGCCAGGGGCGGGGGTGGTCTCGACAGGAGCGGTGCTGTAGCCAGGAGCGGGGGTGGTCTCAGCGGGGACGGTGGTCACCTCGGACTCGACGGTGCTGTAGCCCGGAGCGGGGGTGGTCTTAGCAGGGACGGTAGTGTAGCCAGGGGCGGGGGTGGTCTCGACAGGAGCGGTGCTGTAGCCAGGAGCGGGGGTGGTCTCAGCGGGGACGGTGGTCACCTCGGACTCGACGGTGCTGTAGCCCGGAGCGGGGGTGGTCTTAGCAGGGACGGTAGTGTAGCCCGGAGCAGGAGTGGTCTCGACAGGAGCAGTGCTGTACTGGGGGGCAGCGGTGGTCGGGCGGGGGATGCACTTGGCAGGGGCCGAGCTGGTGGGGGCAACCGGGGTGGTCTCGTGGGCGGTAGTGACCTCGGACTCAACCGACGACGGGGCGGCGGTGCTGTAGCCAGGGGCGGGGGTGGTCACCTCAGCGGAGGTCACCTCAGACTCGACCGACGACTCCTCGGCAGACGACTCCTCAGCAGTGCTGTAGCCAGGAGCGGAGGTGGTCTCGTAGGCGGAGGTCACCTTGGACTCAACCGACGACGGAACGGGGACGGCGGAGTAGCCAGGGGCGACCGGAGTCGACTCCACAACGGTGGTGACAGCGGACTCAACCGAGCTGGGGATCGAGGCAGCCGAGTAGGCCGGAGCGGTGGTGGGGTAGACGTCGATGGGTGCGGTGGTCTGGTAGTTCTGAGCGAACACGGCGGCGGCAAGGGTGGCGATGCCGAAAGTAATCTTCAGAGGGTTCATTTTTGTGTTGGGTAAAAGGGTTCGGGGGAATTAGAGATCCTTCGAAGTGTAAGGGATAGGGAAAGGGCGGGTAGCGAAGAGGGAGGAAGAGGAATAATTAGGAAAGCGAAAAATTGCTAGAGTAAAACTATCGCAATGAGGCGACGCGGGCAAGCACTTTATATATGGCCGCCAAAGCTTGAAGCGTGCATAAAGGGCAGGACGGGTCGACATCAAAACAGCCGGCGCGCCGTTGGGATGACAGATAGCGAATTTCAACAGACATTGGAGGCCTGGAGATGTCCATCAGTAAACACACCTGGCGTCTGCGGCCTGCAGATGGGCGGTCCAGCAGTGCTTCTAATTTCCCAACAGAATAAGAGCACCAATTCGCAATACATGCATCCGGTCCCTCCGATCCTCTTTCTACGGTATAGCAAAATGGAAATTGGGTGAGAAAACTCGAGCTGCCAGTCCGAAGCCAGTGCTGGATTCTGTTTGGCCAGCTGGGCGAAAGAGAATGAGGGATGCGAGTGTGTCGTCTGGAAAACGCACACTACAAAGAGACAAAATACGCCAGCGGATTGGCGATGCTCGACATCAACCACCAACCCCCATACAGGCCTGCATCTGCCCTGCAATAAGGCGGGAGGCGGCGATACCGGCCTGGCCGCGAACATGCTCAAGGCTGCTCGGCGATCAGAAAACACCGAGGGCATTGCAGACCAGTGTGGGTCCTCTCCTGCGCCCGCATACTTCCAGCTTCCCTTTTCGTGCTCACTGCAGGGGGACGCCAAAGAAAAATTGCGCGCAAACAAGGTGGTAAAGCGGAGGCATGCCTATCGCTAGAGACTCCTAGAAGAATATTCCAAGCCGGTCTGTAATTGGTCTATCGGTCCCGCTGCAGACTTCGATGTAGGTCGATCACAACACCCCTCTTTGTATCAAACAAATGGTCCAAGGACGCACATAATCCTTTCCTCTTGCACGATAAGACCTGCGGCAACAATGGCGGACAAACTGGGTTGAAGCCCGCCATCGGTATGCACTCCCCAGGTCATGAGAGCTATGTGTGCGCCATGCAATTCCACAGCATACCCATCCAATTCCATGAGACGGCGGTGAGGTGGGCGAATTCATATCCGGACGGCCATTGAGTGGGCTGATAGGCGAAGCAGCGGGGACTGGCTGTCCTTTCAATCCCAGCCACTGTAGCTCAAAAGCTCATAAATAAAAATGTAAATCTGCCCTACTTTGAGGGTACCAGGAGCTGTGCGACATGGTGCCTCCGCGCTGAAATCTGAAGGCCAGGCGACATTCCCGGCCCGAGTTGAGTCAGATACACGCCTCCCCCAAAGAAGTCAGATCTGTCCAATGATGGCTAGAGCCTGCTCGTAGATCGCGTATATCCCAGACGACACAAGCTCAATTTCAAAGTTCAGTTGCATGTTACCCAGGAGGGTGATCACAACAAATCATTTCCCAGATCCAAAAATCAGAGCATGTGGGCGCGCAAACGGTCCGGACCGTACCTGTGGTCAAAATACGCAAACAACGGAAAAAGGCAGTCACTGCTCTGCTACCTTGGAATACTAGCAGGGCTGCAGCGTGCATGCTAGGCAGATGCTGCCCCTTTCTATTTTGTGGCCCAGCCCATGCGAAGCGTATTAGCGAGGATCAAAAGCAGGATAATGACCGGTTTCTGCATGCAATTCCAACCTCACCACCCGCCATCGATAGCAGCTGTCTTTATCATGATGCACTTTTGTTTACGGAATACAGACCACTACACATGTTACTCGCTTATCTGGACCCGGTTCTGCCGGTAGTTTGCTAGGCGGAGTCTATCTGCCGACCACAGCACACCCGCCGCTTCTCCCCAAAACTTGGCAGCTGATTGCTTTGGGCTGTTCTATAAATTTTTCCGCTATGAGGTTTTCACACGCAACGTCGAGATGTTGCCAGTCTCCCAATGCGACTAGGCGCCCTCACTAGCTGGTCTGTTGACAGGAGCTAGCGGGGGTCCAAGCAAATGCGGAGCAGACATTGCATACAACACCAAGCATTCTCTTGTTGCATGAACTAGTGTGTACTATTGCGTGCTGCCACACTTGGCGTGCATAATCGCTAGTTGTTCCGCTTTACTACATTCCGCTTCACGAAACAAAAATAATGTGGCACTAGTTTAGAAGTGTAGCCAGCTCCTGCTTCCGGGCTTCGGCCATCGCGACACACTTTTCGACCAGCTTCCTCTCAACCAGAGCGCCGCGCTTCCAGATGTTAGCCACGGCACTGTCAGTCAGCACGACCAGTACACTGCTCGCCGCCATCTGCTCCTCGGCATCATCAGCATCGGCCACCAAATAGTTGCCATCCAGGACACTCAGTGTTGTCGGATACAGCGCCTCGACCTCCAGCGGCTGCATCTTGCTCTTGTCCGCCGAAACCACACCGCTGACGGCATCGAACTCGACCTTGGGCAGCTGCAGATCGCGCAGCGCTGCCTGCAATGCGACAATCGCTGCATCAAGTACATTGCCGTCATGCTTGATACACACAATGTCAGCATATAAAACCCAGCATGCACGGCCCTCCTCGATGCCCAGGGACTCAACGTCAATAGCGCTCTGGAACAAGCGCGAGATGTGCTCGCTAGCCACCTGTGCCTGCTCACTGGGCGCGCCTGGGCGGAAACGCGCCGAGCACATAGGCGACAGTTCGACGTTTGTCACCAGGTAGCCGGCCTTGGGGGTGCTGACGTCGGGCTCAGAGACCTCGGCCTTGATCCCACACACTACTGTGGTGTTGCCGATGCGCACAGTGGCCGAGCCCTGCGCCGTGCTGATTGTGCTGCGTACAATGTGCGTGGGCCGGAATTGAGCGAATCCGCGGCCGTCGTGCCGCGTGCCCTGCGATAGGAACCGCCGCTGGAACTCGGTCGGATGGATTCGCTCAAACGTCTCTATCGCAAACGACAGCTGCCCCGGCGTTGTTGTTTCTGCTGCGGCCATGTTTATGCCTTCTATTTAATGAATAGGATGGCTGGATGTTGGTGTATATAAATAAAAATGCTAGTCAAATCACTGGATCGTGAAAAAAAATTTTCCAGTTTTAAACCATGGCCAATATTGTGAAACACACGTGTTATGGCTAATGGTGATGGTGCCCTCTCCAGGCCCAGATGCTGCTCGGAGGAATGGAATTCGTATTAGTAAAGTACTGGTCGTATCTCAGTACACTGTCACAGATGACGAAATCAGCGGCGAATCTTCCTGGAGCGGCGAGCCGACCAAATCAACGACCTTGTTCAGGCCATTGATACGGTCCATGCATCTGAGGACTTCGGCATGCCAATCTGACTGCCATACCAAGAACCACTCCGCCAGCGCAGCCGTGACGAATCCCACAGCCAAGCTGACCCACAAGCCGTACAGTCCGATATGCAGCGGGAAGCACAGAGTATAGGCTAGCGGCACAGCGACCAGGTAGAGGGCAATCACGCGGATCACGGCCGCAGCACCCTGGCGCCCTTGCCCGCGTAGAACACCGGTGAGTACATTGGACAGCATATCGAACAGCACAACGACCGCTAGCAGTGGAATGGTCGGAATCAAGCCGCTGATGACAGCCTCGTCTGTAGTGAAGAACTCGGCAATGGCACGGCGGAACAGCAGCATTGCGAGTACAAATGGCATAGTCATGGCCAACACCATGCTCAGGCAGACGTGCGATGACAAATCGGCGCCAAAGGGATTTTGCGCGCCAAGCAGGTTGCCTACTCTGTTCGAGATCACCATGCCCACGTACGATCCAGTTCGTGTCAGTGCGCTCTTTGCCGAGTTCAGCACTGCCTGAATCGCCAGCGCCTCTGTCCCCAGCATCGTCACTGCAATCGTCGCCAGATCAGCAAACCCGTACGAAGCAACCCCCGAGACAGCACAAGGCACTCCTAAAGCAGGAGTAGCACGCGTTAGTGAGATGTGCAGTCGTATTTATGTGCAGTGGCTAGTCTCCGCCTCAGAAGACCTCATGCCCACTGCTGTGGCAACATCGCTTGCTCGCAATTTCAAAAAGTGTTTTGACTTACCTAGCTGTGTAATGAGGCGCACATTGTCGACCCAGTTCGCCCTTGTCCAGTCTCCCCAATGCTGTTTGCTGTCGGTGAAGCAGATGTACAAAACATTGGACGAGAAGTATTGTCACATACGCCATTGTCGAGGCCAGCGGCACGCCTGGATACCCCAGCGATGTACTCGGGTTCCACACAAATACATGAAGAGAAACATACATGGCAGCCAATCCAGCGGCTTCAAAGTACACAGTTGGCCGCATCAGCCCTTGTGCCAAGAGAAACCGCTTCAAGCATGTCTGCACCACTATGCACGGAAAATACAAACACTCAAACCACAAGTAGATCTTGGCGTTGGCAACAACCTCTGGGTCGGTCTTTGCCAGCAGCCGGAATACTACATCTGGATTGAGCCACAGCAACAGCAGAAAGCCATATGATGCTAGGAATACCCACAGCGAGTGCTGGACATATACACCAGTTTTTCTGTGCACGTCGCGCGCGCCAGTGAATGCCTGGCTGCACAGGCTCTCCAGGGCACCGCCAAGGCCGTACATAAACGGGTAGCCGGTCAGGTTGACCACCAGCAGCGCCAGCGATCGGCCCGCCAGCTCCTTTGACCCAATGTGGCCAATAGCGCGCAGCTCAAGCACGCTGGTCCACGAGCGCAGGATGCCGGCGATTGTCATCGGCAGGGCCTTGGTGGCCTGGTACTTTGCTTCGTCCAAGTAGATGTGGTTTTGCCGGGCTTCCTCCTCAATGTCATCATGAGAGTACTGCATTGAAGGCTAAAAGAATGTCTTGGCGAGAGAGTGGGTTTAGATGGAAGTGGAGAAGAAAATGGCCGGCATGAACTCCAGGCGGCCTGGGGAATGGACACCGACAGGCGCCTTGGCCTCCATTTGTCAAACAATGCGGGCAACCAAAAAAGTGGCAGCGTGAGATCATCTACCAGCCAGGAAAAAAGTCACAGCCGGATCAGGCAATCTAATTTTCTCTGTTTGGCCCGAGGGGATGACGAGGCAGCTACCCGCAGCCAGATTCCCCCTCCCAGGGTTTCGCCTGCAGAGCGGCACTCTTCCCGCATTTGAATTGAGTGAGCTTTGTATTCATTTGGTTTCTGGTTCTATTAAACTCATCCTAGTTCAAATTTCACGCAGTTCTAGTTTCAAATCTAGCATTCTTTATGAGTGACGTGCCAGCAAACAAACGCCTCAGGATGACGTCTTCCGTAACTGCACCCCATGGGACCGGCATTGAACTAACAGTGTGCGGGCCGCCCCAGCTTGACTCGTTCGTAGTCTCTGAGTACCTGGGCGGATACACACCGCAAATCAAGATCCGGCGTGCGCTGCAAATGGGTCGACGGTGCCCGGAGCTGGCACTCGAGGCCTACCAGATTGCATACAACGAGCTTGTGCAGAATACCCTGGATGTGGAGACGGCCAAGATTGTAGCAAAGTTCATCCAGGACTTGGACAGCTCCTTTATCAGAGACACTGCATGGGAGGACGATGCGCGGCGCACGAGCCACGACGAACAGGAAAACCTGCGTGTCCAGATTGAGTCGAACATGAAGCAGCATTTGATGAAGGATGCGAGCCAAGGGCAGGCAGCATTGGCCAACCTGTACGAGCGCATGGGGCTTTTCGGACAAGGCAACCGCATCGTACTTGAAGGCACGTGACTATTGCACATCGCTGCAGGACCAGGCAGATATGTCGGCAAAGGCAGCATATACCGGCGCATCCATTATGCGCTGGGCACAGGTGTCGAACTACGCCAACAAGGCGCTGTCTACGAGCAAGACGCCCAACGATGAGGCCAACGTTGGTTTGCGGCTCCTGGTGCTGCAAGGCTGATATGGGTGAGGGCAAGTGGAGCGATGTTGCGCGGAACGTTGGTTTGCTGAATTATGAGTCAGCAAACACGTCGCAGGTTGTGACCCCCATGGACATTGCGCTCTACGGCACGCTGGCGGGCCTGGCGTCGTTGTCGCGCGATGAAATCAAGGACATGCTTATCAACAACACCCAGTTCCGCAAGTTCTTGGAGCACTTGCCGGTGTGCCTCGAACTACTGCAGCTATTCTACCGGTCGCAGTACACCAGCGCGCTGGCCAAGCTCGACCAGACTATGTCGCTGGCGCGCATTGACATGGTTCTGGCGCTGCAAGTTGACAAGCTTTTGTCAAAGATCAGGGTGAATATTCTGGTGCTGTATACCCAGCCATTTGCGTCGACGCGTCTCGAGAGCATGGCCAAGGCGCTGAGGTTTGGCACAGCGAGCGAGCTGGAGCGCGAGCTGGCGAGCTTGATCTCATCCGGCCGCATCAAGGCGCGTATTGATTTGGTGAACGGCTTCTTGATCAGCTACAAGGTTGAGCCGCGCGACTTGGCCCTGCAGAAGGTCGAGAAGATGTACAAGACATTCAGCGACCAGAGCGAGCTGCTGCTGGCCCGTGTCATGTTCCTGGAAGAGGAAACCGCAAACACGCCCAAGTCTTCCAGGCGATAAGCTGAAAGGGCCGTTGCTGAATGGATGGACTTTATTGAACTCTTTCATATATTGGGCACATTTATTGTAGGAAGATATCATCCAAGTAGCAGGATAGAAACCCGGCCTCAAGTCTTGGAGTATCTTGAACCGGTTCTCAATGTATTGGTATCATGGTGATAATTAGATGATGGAATGTTTGACATTCCTTTGTTTAGTTACTAGAAATACTCTGCTCGCGATGCGAGTTCGGCTGCTAGTCAGCATGGGTTGACATGTCGATAAGAGCATCACGGCGAACCGGTCATTTGAACGTGTCGGATGGTTGTTGGTGCAATGTCGATCATGGACATCTCCCACCTTGGTGGCCTGCTCAGCGCAGACGCTTCAGTGCTGGTTCGCTGCTGCTGGCAGCAGAATCGCCTGCTGCTGCACGCCTCTTGTGCGGGTTCTTTGTTTCAGGGGTGGCATCAAAAGCATTGGCAGCAATGGCCGTAGAGCGACGGAACCGTTCAAGAATACTGCCTGAATCACAGAGTGACTGGAAAACGAGTCTGAAGTTTCGAACTGCTGCGAGATCGCGGTTCAAGAGCTAAGACAAATAGGCCCGCCTGTATTGTGCCATGGCCTGCTTACATGACTCGCTTGTACAGCGGAGAAGGCCATGGCACTTCACAGTTGGGTTCTTTGATCTCTGGTAGGGCTGCAGGTTGGGAACATGCCGGAATGTCTGCTGCAGTGGCCTCAGTTGCATCTGATGGCATCTTCGCTGCTTCGCGTGCAGCCTTCTTGGCCAATTTTTCACCCTTTTCTGCTGCTTTCCTTGCCTCTGTTGCTGCCCTCTTTGCTGCGTTGATCTTGGTAACCCCCTCACGTGTTTTCGAAATAAACACCTGCTTGATTATTTGCTTGTCTAAGCGCACATGGCCTGGGATCCATGATGTCCGCAGAGGCAAGCATTGGGGGGGGAGACTTGCCAAGCTGCTCATTCTCAATAAGCTGGCATAGGCGAATGTATGCACGCAGATGCTTAAGCGGATTTACCTTGGCATCATAGTATTGGCTGTCTTTGGCGAATCTGTGCTTGGTATCATAGGCATTAAGGACTGGTGCCAGCTTGTTGTAGATTGCAAGCATTGGTGGGGTGAGCACACTGAGATCAGGGTGCCTAGAGGCAACTGCCTGGTGGAGCTTCTGTGCAGGTGTATAAATACACACTTGATATGCATTATTGAACTCAGCCTTAGACATATTGCCCATTGTACTATGCAGTGTGTTTTTGCAGCTGTGAATATCAATCAATTTGGCTAGAATCCACTGTAGGCAAGTGCCATAGTGCAACACAATGTTGTTCTTATATGCTGTTAGCAGCTTGGTGTCAACATATGTCACTACCTGATTCATTTCACATATGCCATGTAGCTCGATATCACCATTATGTAATAGATAATCATAAATATGATATCTAACTACATCACTGAAATCTGTGCTTGACAGTTCTGACCTGTCCTTCTGGTTGACAAAATCCTCGGCAGATATGACAGTCTTCGCCTTCAGGTTGCGATAAATGAATAAATAAGTAGAACAAAAGAATCCCTTTTTCACAAATGTTGCAGGGTCAAAGGCATCATCGTCAGCTAGTTGATGGAGTAATATCCATCGTGCAAGCATGTATGTATGCTCTTTGATGATATTGACGCTGTGTACAAATTGCTCTAGGTGGGGCAACATAGAATCATGGAAGCCAATACCACCAAGTGATGTCTTTATGACAGTAGTGCTGCAGGTAATATTCATTTGAGAAATTCAATAGGCAAGTAAGAAGAGAAATGATGCTGTTCAGTTTTGCTTTATTGCGTATGCATAGCATTAAGAACGTTTTATTAAAGATGATCTGGCTTGCATGGTTCTTGGGGCCCTTAGCACTGATACAGTCTCTTGGATCAGTCTATACAGACTGGGTCCATTGTGACCCAAATACTACTGCTTACGTATGTTCATAAGACAAATCAATTTATAAAATAAATCTACAAATATTGCATAACCACCAGAAGAGCTATATGGCCTTATTCAATAGGTGCTCATAAATAAACATCCTAAGAGTGTTGCGCAGCCGGTGATGACCACCATGATGACACCATGGAAGTTATTAGGCCGACCAACAATGAGAGCAGCTCTTGCACTGAACCAATGGAGATATCTAGTGGAGACCTGTGACCACTACAATACCAGCTTGTCGCCCTGGTTTCACCGATGAGGTCAGATGCCGCACAAGATCAAAAGGAGTTTACAGAGCAAGCCACCCAAACTCGCTTCGAGGTTTAAAAGTTTTATCTTTTAACCAATTAAATAGCTTCTAGCGGACGGTCGGATACTTTTAAACTGTAAAATCTTATATATAGGTAAAGATACTTGCAGCCGAGCTCGCATCGCGAGCAAAGTAATTCAAGTATGCAGTTTATGTAAAGTCAGAAAGGCAAATTAGTACATACTCATATTCCAACACCTGAATGGAGAACATCAGAGCCTAAGACCATTACTGAACACAACATTTAATCCACTTCTGTGCTCTCTAGCTTATTGCCGACCGATTCAGTATAATATATCGGCTGGATTTATGATGTGTTATCTTCCACTGGCACTTTCTTTTCTCTGATGATGCATTCATTGGCGGCACCGATGGGTAGCGCAAATTAGCCACCATTGCTGCAGACATTGAGGCCATATGCACTCCGATATTAGCACCAACGGAAACAGGACAGCAATATGTAACCAGCATGTTTGTGATGATGTATTAGGACCTCAAAAAAGATATAAACTGGATTAGTGCTCGGCGTCCAGGAAAGTCCACGGCAGTTCAAAGGAACACGAAGGGAGTAAAGTCACTCAAAATGCTCTGGAATTCGTGCATATCAAACGCATCCTCCTTCTTTCCGCCCTTGCCAGCGCGCTGAGAGACCCTGGAGCTGGTCTCTAGGTATGCGTAGAAATCGCTGAGGCTCTGCTTAATCTTGCCAGCCTGCTTCGGGTTCGGCTTGACAAGCAGGGGCAGGAAATCCGGGGGAATACCGTACCGCAGGATGCTCTCGACAAAGACCCTGAGGGCCTTGATGTGGACCCAGGCCGCGAACACGTCGGAGAAGCTGCCCTTGCACCACTCGGAGATGTTCGCCAATAGCTCCTCCTCCTGCTCGACAATCTCCATGGCGTGCAGGCGGTCCTGCTCGAGCTGCTGCTCGTCGAACTCAAAGTCACGCACAATGAACCTGGCGTCGCGCGCCTTGTTGCGTGAACTCATCGAGCACGCGCTTAAACACAATGGCCGAGAACAGCGAGTATTCGGAGTCCTCAGCGATCAGCTGCGAGGACCGCGGGACGACCATGTCGGTCAGGCGCTCGTACGAGTTCCGCCACTGCTTGGTCAGGGTCCTGGGCACGGCCACAAACACGGTCTGCAGGTAGTCCGAGCCCACCAGGCAGTGCTCGCGCCTCACTATGCCGCCCAGGGCCTTGACCGAGAGATTGCCTGTCTGCTTGCGCTTGACTGTGGCCAGCGAGTTCTTGATCGCATTGTACTGCGTCAGCTTCGTTTTCAGCGCTGCGTCAATTGCCCCCATGTCTTCGGCGATCTGGTCGACTATCTCGACCAGCGAGCGGTCGGCGCGGTATTTCGACGTGTTCCACGAAAAGGTCTTCAGGTACTGGTCGACGGTCTTGTCGTCGACGGTCACCAGCGAGGACAGCTCAGCGTTGCTCGCTGACGTCAGGTTGCGCAGGGTGTCGAGCAGCTTGCCCGTCATCGACTCGTACGAGGTGTCGAACTTGCTTAGCTCGTCCGAGAGACGCACCAGGGCATCCAGGGTCCCGATCCGGAACTGCGGCAGAGAAAAGTCGTAGAGCTCGGAATCGACCACCTTTGACTTTACATCGCGCCAGGCAATGTGGCCGTCGCCGTGCGCCGGGACCGAGAGAAGCCAGTATACCGCCATGTGGAATCTTGTGCTGTATAGGTAATATGGAGTATAGTGGATAAGTGGAATAGTGAGGTTGGTGAATTTGCAAAGATGAGGTAGCCAGGAACGGCGTTTGGAGGAGGGCGTGTTTCCAAGGCAGCTGTGATGGCCAAGCGGTGCATATCTCGACTCGGTTCGGCTCGGTAGGGTTTGGATTTTTTTTTTCTTGTTGGCCGTGACGACCACTCGAGTATATTTCTTTTTCTCCACTGCTCCAACTGCTTACAAATTCACACTTTTCCCCCTCTTGCATTTGAAAGCTATGGCCGACACAGCAACCAAGACCTCGAGTGGGTCGGAGCGAGAGAACGCGCCGGTGAACATAATCATGATTGGCATGGCGGGGTCTGGCAAAACAACGCTGATGCAGCGGATCAACGCATACCTGCACGAGCGCAAGACGCCGCCGTACGTGCTGAACCTGGACCCGGCGGTCAGCAAGCTGCCGTTCCAGGCGAACATCGACATCCGCGACACAGTAGACTACAAGCAGGTGATGAAAGAGTACAATCTCGGGCCCAACGGTGGGATCCTGACGTCGCTGAACCTGTTCACGACCAAGCTCGACCAGGTGATGCAGATTGTGGACAAGCGGGCAGCAACGACAAAGTACTTTCTGTACGATACGCCGGGGCAGATTGAGATCTTCACGTGGTCGGCGTCGGGAGCAATCATCACAAACTCGGTCGCAGCGACCTACCCGACGGTGGTCGTGTATGTGGTGGATACGCCGCGCACTGCCAACCCGGCGACGTTCATGTCGAATATGATGTATGCGTGCTCGATTCTGTACAAGACGCAGCTGCCGTTCCTCGTGGCGTTCAACAAGACCGACGTGGTGTCGCATGATTTCGCGGTCTCCTGGATGAACGACTTTGAGGAGTTCCAGAAGGCGCTGATGCGGCAGGAGGAGGGGTATATGAACTCGCTGATGAACTCGATGAGTCTGGTGCTGGACGAGTTCTACGCGCATCTGCGCGTCGCTGGCGTGTCGGCAATGACGGGCCAGGGGATCGATGGGCTGTTTGAGAAGATCGACGAGGCCGTCGACGAGTACTACGAGACGTATCGGCCGCACCTGCAGAAGCAGATTGAGAAGAAGCGCGAGGAGGAGCGCGAGAAGAAGGCGGATGACCTGAAGCGGCTGCTCAAGGACCTGTCGGTCAGCGAGGGCAAGGAAGTGGATATCTGAAAAAGTGGAAAAATAAAGTGGGCTAACTTGCACGTGGTAGCGGGCATTGGAAAAAAAATATAGTGTGACAGGTTTTGTGCAGCAGCGAGAAAAAAAAACAAAAATCTGCTTCTCGTTTTTGCGCTTGTTTATCTCGTATCTTTTTCAATTAGAATTCACTACAATGCAGTGGACTATGGCCAGGTCGGTGGGTGTGCGCCCGCTCCTGGCAGCGTCCCGGCGACCTGCAGCGTCCCGTATCAGTTCGCTGCTCCACCAGACCCCCTACAGACTCGCAACCCCCGCCCGCCCCCTCACAAGCCTAGCGGCAACGGTCCCCCACGGGCACCAGGAAGGCAGCCATTCTGGGCAGTCCAGAGGCAAGCGCAGCCTCTGGATGCCAGTGGGAATCATGGGCGGTATCGCCATAGCATACGGAGCCAAGCGCACCAGCCTGCACTGCGACGCGCCAGCCATGCACGCCAGCACGCGGCTCCAGATCCTGCACGCGCAGTCATCGCCAAAAGAGCTGCAGCAACAGAAGCGGCAGATGCAGCAGAAATCGGACAGCTCGCTGGTGGCCAGCATCGTGCGGCTGCTGGCGCCAGAGCTGTGGCTGTTTCTGGGCGTGGCGCTGACGGCGGTGGGGGCGGCGGTGGTCAGCCTGTGGACGCCGGTGGTGACGGGGGATCTTATAAACGTGATTGCGCGCAGCGTGAAGCTGGCGGGGGAGATGGACGAGTCGATTCTGGCGGCGCTGCGGTCACCGGCGCGCAAGCTGTTTGTGCTGTTTTTCACCAACGGGCTTCTGACGTTTGCACACACGACGCTGGTGACGGTTCTGGGAGAGCGGCTGGGGCTACGCTTGCATGCATTGGCAATGGAGACGCTGCTGGCGCAGGACCTGGCGTTCTTCGACCGCACGCAGTCGGGCGAGCTGGTGGCGCGGCTGACGTCTGATATTGGCGAGTTCCAGTCGACGTTCAAGAAGCTGGTGACGCAAGGGCTGAAGTCTCTGACGCTGTCCATGGGCGTCGCGTACCAGCTGTTCCGGCTGTCGACGCCGCTGACGCTGACGTTGCTGGCGACCATGCCGCCGGCGTACCTGGGGCTGGTTCTGTACGGGCGGTTCCTGCGGGTGCTGCGGCGGCAGGCGAAGGACTGGGAGGCGGTGTCGGCGGGCGTTGCGGGCGAGGCCATGGCGAACATCCGCACCGTGCGGGCGCTGGCAGCCGAGGACGCGGAGCTTTTGCTGTACCGGTCGGCGCGCAACGAGAGCTCCAAGGCCAGCAGCCTGTTTGGCATGCACATGGGGGTGTTCCGCGGCCTGACCAACACGTCGATCGGCGCCATGGTTCTGGTGGTGCTGTATAATGGCGGGCGCCTGGTTGCGCGCGGCGACATGTCGCCCGGCGACCTGATGGCCTTTATGATTGCCACGCAGTCGGCGCAGCGCGCGCTGGACTCGCTGGGCGCCCTGCTGGGCCAGACGGTCAAGGCGAAGAGCGCGGTGGGCCGGGTGATGGAGATCCTGCGGCTGAAGCCGAGCATTCCAAGGACCGGCGGCGTGCGGCTGGGCGAGATATCGGGGCACGTGCGCTTCATGGACGTCGACTTTAGCTACCCGTCGCGCCCCAACGCGCACGTCCTGCAGGGCTTTCAATCTGGACGTGCCTGCGGGCGAGGTCGTTGCACTGTGCGGGCAGTCGGGCTCGGGCAAATCGACGGTGGCGGCGCTTCTGGAGCGCTTCTACGATCCCAGCGCGGGCGAGATCTGGCTGGACGCGTGTCCGCTGACCAAGCTGGACGCGTCGTGGCTGCGCACGCAAATCGGGTATATCCCGCAGGACCCGGCGCTGTTTTCGACGTCGATCCGCGAGAACCTGCGTATGGCGCGGCCCAATGCCAGCGACCAGGAGATCGAGGATGCGTGTCGCCAGGCGAACGCCCACGAGTTCATCAGCCAGTTCCCGCACGCCTACGAGACGGTGGTGGGCGAGCGCGGCGCGCTGCTGTCGGGCGGCCAGAAGCAGCGCATTGCCATCGCCAGGGCTATTTTGCGCGACCCGCGGATCCTGGTACTGGACGAGGCCACCAGCGCTTTGGACGCTGAGAGCGAGCGCCTGGTGCAGGCGGCGCTGGACCGCCTGATGGTTGGCCGCACAGTGCTGGTCATTGCCCATCGCCTGACCACCATCCGCAATGCCGACCGCATCGTCGTCATGGGCAAGGTGCCCGGACACATCATCGAGCAGGGGTCGCACACGCAGCTGCTGGCCAAGAGGGGCGCCTACTACAAGCTCTACAACGACATGGCCGACAACGAGCAATAGTGGTAGATAGAACATGTGGTTAAAAAAAGACAGAAAAATTAGAAATGTTATTTTTAAGCGCCGGGCGGTCGTGGCGATGACGCCGACGACTGCATCTGCGGGCTGGACACCACCTCGCCCTTCTCCATCAGCAGCGACTTGAGCAGCGACTTTTCGATCCGCAGCTCCTTGATCACTGTCTTGAGCTGGTCTGTTTCCCTCATGTACCGGCTCTCCATGTCGTCGATACGGCGCCTGAGCTCTGCGTTCTCTGCGCGCAGCTCGCCCAGGCTCTCAGGCGTGTGATTGGTCAGCGCTATTATCGACGACCGCCGCGTCTCCGGTACATGCTCGTTGCTATAAACCGACCCGCGCCGGCTGTCGCCTTGGTCATGGTTATCAGGCACCCGCACCGCCAATGCCGGCAGCTCACCCGTGTCCGCCAGGTGCGGCAATGTGGGGCGCATCAGACCTCCCCCGCCTGCCATTGGTGGTGGCGGCTGGGGCGGCGATGTGCTCTGTGGGGATGAAAACACTGTGGGCTTTGCCACACTGGTCGGCCCCAGGTACTGCTGCGGCTGGGTGTAACCCTGCGGCGGAGGCAGCCGTGGGCCTTGCTTTGCCGGCTTGTTATCAGCCTGTGGCGAGCCGTCGCGTGCCCGGTACCGATCCAGATGCGATGTGACCGCCAGCGAGTGCCGCCGCGGCGGGCCAAACTCGAGCGGCGGCAATCGCAGTCCCGCAGGCGGCGGTGGCGGTGCCAAGTGCCCGGCTGGCGGAGCCCCGCTGCTGATTCCCAGACTGTTTGCGGGTGGCTTCCACTGTGTGGCCTCTGCTCCAGGCGTATTGGTGCTGGGCCGGAACTGCTGTGGCGGCGGCGGCGACTTGCCTGCAACTCCCGGTGCAGGCGGTGCGAGCCGCGTCGAGCCGCCCGGGGGATAGTACGCCTGCCGCTGCTGCTGCTGGGGCTGTGGTGTCTGCATCGAGAACGTGGCCATCGAGTGCGGCAGCTTCGGCGCCTGCTGCAGATACTGAGCCGGTGGACCGCCCAGTGGTGGACCCGGCTGCTGTGCCGGCTGTGGGGGCGGCGGCGGCGGCGGCGGCGGCGCTCCAAACCGCTCCTGCATGCGTCGCAGCATGGCCTCATCGGCTGCAATGCTGGGCCGGCTGGTCCAGTGCGTCCACGCCTGCGGAGCGCCCTGCGGCTGGCTGGTGGTTGATGCGCGCCGCTGCTCCATCAGCATGACAGGCGCCGCCCTTGAGCCGCGGCTCGTCGTTCTTGTGCATCACGGCTGTGCGCGCGCGCTTGGCTGCCTGGCTGCACGCGTGGAAGTTTTCGGCCCGCATGTGCCGGTTCAGCGCGTCGAGCCGTGCGAACGACCGCCCGCAGTTGGTGCATGTGTGTGGCTTCTCGCCCGTGTGCAGCTTCATGTGCCGCTTCAGGTCGTGCTGCCGCCGGAACGGCGTCTGGCAGATCGGGCACTGGAACGGCCGCTCTGTCGAGTGTGTCAGCGCATGCGATTTCAGGTTATGCTGCCGGCTGAACGTCAGGTCGCACTGGTCGCACGCATACGGCTTCCACCGCTGCTCCCTTCGCCGCCCCGTCCCGCCCCGACTCGTCGCCATCGGACTCGTCGCTGTGCAATCCCCGCTTCACTCCGCGACCCACAGACTCGCCTGCGCTGGTCGGTGTCGATGGCGAAAGCCCGCCTGCCGTCTGATCGTATGACAGTGGGTGTGGTGATGCTGCTCCGGACCGGCTCGCGCCCATGCGAAGCTGGTTCAGTTGCCCAGCCAGCCCGTGTGCTGGGTACCGCCCGTGCGGCGGGCTGTATGCCCCCAGCGGCGCCTTGGCACCACCAATACCCACACCCATATCCACAGAGTGCCGCCGGTAGAACCCGTCGCCGTTCTCGTACCCGCCGTCAAACACCCCTGACCGCCCCACCGCCGTCTTCTCGGGATGCCCAGACCCGCGGCGCATGCCGCTGAATCCTGCGGATCCTGTACCAGCTAACAAGCGCCGCCGGCCCCGGCAATCGCTCCTGCCGCTGCCCCGCCTGCCCCTGGTACCCGCCCATATTGCTGCCTGCTATCGGCGCCTGTTGTGTAGAGGTAGCGGCTGTGGCCTTTGGGGGCTGTGAGAACGGCGACGGCGTGCCAAACCCCGACAGCGACTGCAGTCCAGGCGCTGCTTGTTCTGGTTTCGACATTTAAAAGCTTTTTTTTTGGTCCGCGAATTCGCCCTGTTATTGCGTCGGTGAAAGGGTAAGGAAAAACAAGAGTCCACGGCGTTGTCTATGGGAAATATAAAAGTGTAGATATCAAGTGTGGAAAAAAAGGCCAAAAATAAAAAGGAGCAAGGATTACAGAGGAGAAATGGGGGACCAAAAGAGGGATTCGCTGGCCAGAAGTGGCACTAGGAGAAAAAGGTCCTCGGCCCTAGGCCGAGCTTCCCATGCAAAAGAGCATGCAAGAGTGGCACGCTCAGTATTCCGCCACCCCGTGTGAGAAACCACTTTTTTCCTTATTGCCCCGCCTCTCATATTGCTCAATGTGTGGCGAACGAAAACAACTCGAGCGACAACACGAAAATATTGGCCAGTAAATCGACAAGAAGAAGAAAAATATAAAAAAAAGCCGCCCCTCATTAAACGTCCTCCATCCCCCCACCATGCATTTTTCGCTTTCCCAGCGTTCTAGCTCCTTTCCACGTCTTCTGCACGTATATTGCCAGAAAACATTGGACCGCATCTACTTCCTGCTGGAAGAGAAAAGTAACAGTCGTGATCTCCCCCATTTTTCCAGGCACACCAGGACGCTTCCTTATCAGCACCCCCAATGCCTATTATCTTACCTTACTATACACGAACCCTTGTATGTGGATGCCAAAGGAAAAAGCACGGGTTTATTGAAAGTCACGAAGAATGCAAGGGGTGAGAGTAGAGGAGTTTTGCAGGCCACCCTTCATTTGCTGCCCTCGAGCATCCCCCCTACTTTTATGTCACACCAGCGAAAGGCGAGCGCGCTCTGTTTGCCGAGTGCATGGAAAAATAAGGGAGGCGCTGGTCAACTCGTCCAACCCACACATTTTCCAGGCTCGTATAACCAGGAGCACGAAAGCCACATCAATAGCAACGGCGCCTTGCCACTGGACAGCAGAAAATTACTGGTGGTGTACAGAGCCGAGGCGCAAATCACCCACTCGGCATTGTTTTCCTCCTCCTCCTCCGGCCAGAGATACACAGATGCTCCGCTGGTAAGATGAGCCTATGCAGCGCCAATCTGGGTTCCCCATGTATTGGCTGCATAGCGCGTGGCCCATGAGAGGCAAGCAGCTTTTGTTGTCTTTTTTGTCGGGCTGCTCAGCCCTATACTGAGAGAGAGAAGCTGGCGTCCTGCACCTGCAACAGCACCGTGCGATCTGCGGTCCACGTCAGCTTTGCCACCGCCATCAGCGAGGAAATCGGCAACTCGTCTACATCGGCTCATCATTGAGGCGCCAGGCCACACCCGGAAATTAGCAACATCAGCAGCTTTTCATATCACTCGCTATTTCCTTCACTCTCGGTACTTACCAGCATGGCCCAGGAAATCTGCCGGGATCACCATTGTCTTGCTCGGGGTCACGGTGCCACCGGCATTGTTCTGCCCCTCGTCATTCGCCCAGAACAACGTCTTTGCAAACATCGCCAAGGCGCTGGGCGCCGGATCCCAGATGCTCAGCACGCCGTTGCCCAGCGTAAACGACGCGACCCGGTCGCCCCTGGGCGAAATCGCCACGGCTGCGACCGGCGACGCCGCACCGCTATCATACACGGCCGTACGCGTCGCCGTGCGTAAATCGAAGGTCGTACAGAGGCCGTCAATGCACCCGGCCACAAGGCACTGCGACTCGCTGTGGAACGACACCCACGGATACGCCTTCACCAGCCCCTGCAGTGCCGCCCCGGCTGCCGCTATCAGCGCCTTGCGCAGCGTCGCGCGCTTTGGATCTATCGCCTGCACGATCGCGGCCACCAGCCCGCCCAGGAACGGGTACATGTGCGCTGGGTACTTCTGCGTCACCAGCCCGATCACCTGCAGCGCCCCGCGACGCTCCCGCACACTCTCGCTGGCCTGCAGGATCTCCACAATCGTGCTGTTGATCAGAGACGTGTCCTGCCGCGCAGATCCGCAGCAGCGCCGACTTGGCCAGCACGATCAGATTGAACGACACCGCCCCGCCCTGCTCCCCCGCGCGCCGAGCCGGTGAGCTCCCCCGCCGCACATGCCGCCGCCGGTGCGCTGGGCGCGGCGCCCGCCCGCCCATCGTCCCGGGATCCGTGGCATTGGCTGCACTGCTGCTGTCGCTCTGCCCAACCTCTTCGTCGTCCAGCGCCTTCTTCGCCTGCATTGTGATGGCCGCTCGCGCAGTACTCGAGACGCCCTGGGGACTGCCTGCATGCGGCCCCTCGGGCTTGGCACCCGCCACTATTTCTGCCGGCTTGGCACTGCTCCCCAGATCGCTCGGCGGCACTGCCCGCGACGACTTGCGTGAAGCCGGCACGCTGCCCAGGCCAGCCAGATTAGGCCCCCGACATCGACCGGTGCGGCGTCGCTGCAGCGCCCAACCCGAGGCCCTCCTCGGTGATGCTGGTCATGATGCGCAGCAACCACCGGATCACCATCTGGCAGTCCAGATAAGGCTTGAATGTGTTGAACCCGCGCGCCAAAAGCTCCGCTGCCACCATACGCGCCTTCACACCCGACCGCTCGCTCACCAGCAGCGCCTGCAGCATCGACGCCGCCATGCTGCGCGCTGTCAGCGGCAGTAGCGCCGGGAAATCAGCCCCAATCACGCATACAATTGTCAGCGCACACAGCTCCTTCGGCATCGACCATCCCAGGCGTACACCGGGCCACTACAATTAGGCTGTCAGTATGGTATCGAAACAAATATATTGCTGCTCGCCTATTCTGTTGATTGTCTGCCAACTTACATAGTGACGACCAGTAGAACAACTCTGCCCGCCGAAGCTTCTCCTGCGCCCCATGAATCGCCGACAAAAACAATGTCCGCGCTGCTCGCTGCAAGTTTGCTACAATAACAAAAGCGGCGCTTTTATGAGTTTTCCCTTCTCCCTCTATCGCCCGCATATGGCGGCTAGTGATCTGCATCCGATTGTTGTTCCTTACCATTAGATGACTGCCAATATTCCGCCAGCGTCAGCAGCGACAGAGGCTTGAACCTCATGCCAACCTCGCTGGGCAGCCGCCCCACGTAGTAGTTTATGATCTCCACCGCCTTGCGCTCATTACCTACACAAATGCGCTTAATAATTATCGCAATAAGCCCCTTCATTCAGCCGCCCATTTTATTTGGGCAAATCGCTTCGACGCACATGCCCATGTTGTGCCTGGCCAGCAGCTCTTAGTCGGCTGCCAGCCATATGGTGTGAACTAGTACTGATTATGTCTGTGAAGCCGGAGCCCCTAGGGATAAGGGGCTGGCGTGCCAACAGCAGAGCGCTTAGGGCGTCGTGTTGGCTCTCGTCTATTTACACCTAGACTTCTTTGCCATGGCTGTAACCCGACATGGGGATACGTGGCTCGTCCTGCGGGCTTCACAATAAGGCAGTTCAAACCTGCAATTGGCCAGCAGCTCGTGATGCACACACGCAGATCAGCGAGGCTCAGTTCCTGTTTATGAATAGCCATATACAGGTCTCAGGAGGCCCAGGCCTGCCCCTCGCAGGGACATGGTCATTGTGGCCAATCTGCGTCCCTCACTAGAGAGCCCCAAGGGCGGGCCGCCGGGTTTCCCAAAGGCTTCCAGCACATCAGTCCACAATACCCAGTCCACATGTAGCAACACATCCTTCCCGGCTTACCTTGCAACACACCGCGCGCCAGGACCAAAATAGCCAGCATGCGCTGCGAATTGAGCAGCGACGACACGCACCAGCTGGCGCGCCGGTGCTTCCACGAGTGCGGGAACAGCACTGTATGCACATCCCGCTGCTTATTGCTGATCGCCAAGGAAATGTTTGCCCTCGGCGGCTGCATGCCAAACACCTTCCGCTTGATCCGGTCCAGCTCGTCTGACACGCCCCATGTAAACAGCGCCGACAGCAGCATCAGGCTGGTGTTCAGCGGCTGCAGTGCCGATCGCCCGTCTGAGTGCCTGCGCAGCTCCTTGTCCAGAATCTGCCCCACTTCGGAAATGGACGTGCCGTCGGGGATCAAGCGCGTCACCAATGCCTGCAGCTGCGTGATCTCGAAAATCCATCAGCAGCACCGAGGACCGCCCACCCCATGCCGACCCGCGTCCGTACGACGACAGCTGCTGCACACCGGCCCAGTGGCTCGCTGCGCTGCTGCTGAGCGGCCCAAACGACGAGGCCATGGGCGAGTGTCCACGGGCCAGGCTGATTGAGAAGCTCGGGTACCTGCCATGCTGCCGCTGCTGGCCGGAATCATCACACATCGTATCGGAAATGTGGCCGAGCTCTATGTGCTGCTTCGACTCGTCGGAGTACTGCAGTACCAGGTCGCCCGAGTCGCCGCGCAACGTCAGCCTCGCCACATGCTCGTGGTACGGCGCAGTCACATATACACGGTCCAGATAGTTCATTGAAATGAGCGTGGTCGAGTTGTCTGACCCAATGGCCAGAATGTGCGACTTTAGAAGCGCCTCCATCTCCATATGCCGCTCAGTGTCGTGCCAGACCACCGGCTGCTTGGTGGGCAAAATCCCACATAGCTGTACCACCGGCGCCGACTGCGATGGCAGCGTGTTCAGCAGCTTGCCGGTAATTGCGTCCCAGATGCGGATTGTCAGGTCTTTGCTTGCGCTGACCAGGAGGTTGTGTGAGCACATTTGGCACCCAGTGCTGTCGGCATCGTCAGCGCTATCGTCCGGTACTTGCGCGTCGTCTCCCGTATTGCAGTAGTCGCATTCGCTATCGCCCATCGCCGACCATTCATATAGTGCCGTGATAGCCGCTGTGTGTCCAAGCAGTTCCAATGGCTTCGCCGGGCCATCCACACTGCCAATCATGGCCACCGGCGATGTGATCAGAATCTTGCCTGTGTCGCACCCCAGCGCAATGCTGCCAGACTTCGTCACCAGCGTGCTGGTTGTGTTTAGCTCCGACACCACATGCTCGAGCCACTGTCTCCACAGCTCATCCATACCGAACAGAACTGGCTTGCTCATCCAGCTCTTGGCTGTCACGTCCGGCGACTCTGGGTGCGGGTTGTTTGCACTGCCCGCGACCATCGACGGCGGCACTGGGAAAACAACCGACAGCGTCTGTCGATTACGGTCGCTAGTATACGACACAAAAATGTTGGTCCGCCCAGCCATGCGGCTCGTTGCTGTCATCGCCTGGTTCAGCGACGCGTCATCTGGGATCGAGTCCAGCGACGACACCACACACATCGGCCGTTCTCCTGTCTTGTCATGATGCAGCGCCTTCGTCAGGTGCATGCCGGCGCTACCTCCCTCGACAGTGAACGACGAGCACACGCTGAAGATATTGCCGGTGGCATCCCAGAAGATAATATCGGATCTTGCCAAAAACGCCCCTCCAACAAATGGCGCGTTGGCATTACGCTGAGCCTTCCACCGCAGCAGCTCGTGCAATTCATTGTCACGCGACGCAAACAGCCTGACAATGCCTGGCGACACTGCCAGAAACTCATCATCGTTGAACGGGTTGATGACCAGGCTCTCAATGGCAAACTCTTCGCCCAGCGACGCAAACGTCGATTCGAGATAGAACATCGGCTCACGGGCGCCATTGCCTTCAGCCTCCGAGTCCGAGGCCACGCTGTCTGCTGCCGACTCTGGGCTGCTGACGCCCATGCCGAGTTCCACCAGGCTGGCGAGCGTCGGGCTGTTGGCGCGGCTAAACACATCGCGCTGCGCCAGCCCAAACTCGTCGTAGCTCCATATCCTCACCACGCCGTCGCTTGCGCATGTAATCAGCTCGCTGCGGAAATGGTCCTTGCGCTTGCGAACCGCCAGCGAGCTAAGCCATTCTGGGTGCGGCAGATTCCACTCGTAGACAAGCTCCAGCGACGGGTAGCTCAGCACGTACACGGCACCGCCCTCACCCACGATAAACAGCAGATCCTCGCCCGACGACTCATAGTCGACTGCCTGCACATTGATTGACGTTCGGGCGGATGTTCTGCAGTGCTGTACGTGTGCGCGCAATGCACCGGCCGTCGTCGGCGCCCCAGACTACCACGCTGCCATCGTCGGCCACGCTGATGATCGTGTCCTGGCTGCCGTCCCGCATTGGCGAATCTATCTGTGCTACCTTCAGTACCGAGATCGGGACTCTGGTGACCCGCCAGCAGCGACTTTGGATACAGGCTCAGTTGTGTGGTGTTATCGGTGGTACGTGGCACCAATTCGTAAAGCCAAATGTTGCCATCGCTGTGGCCGCAGGCAATGCCGCCCTCAACGGCTGCTACTGCGGTCACCTTTGTTGTCTGTGTCGGATTGGCAGTTGCATTCCAGGCTGCAAGCTTTATATGCAACGATGACATTTCCGTTTCAAAAATTTAAGGGAGTAAAAGATAGAATAGCCGAACAAAAGAGCAGAGAAGGGGCTGGTGAATAATGCGCGCACGCTTGTCGCACAGCCATTTTTCCTGCTCGCTAATACCGATGATGACGTCTAATTAAACCTTGTTCGCCTGTCGTGGTTGAAACGGCTCACATGCTGTTCAGCTTGATTGGAAGCGCACAGGTGGAGGTTTAGAACCAGCCTCTCAGCTCAGGTATTTTCTTAGACCTTTTTTATTTTATTTCTTTTAACACACTTTCAATTTGCAAGCTCAATGCAACAGCCTCTGCCAAATCCACAGCCAGACACACCCGCACAGAACCCCTCCCTGGCCTCCGCTGTGAAGCCCCACGACTAAGCTACTGCCGGCGATGCCGCAGCGTGCTATGTTCCGGCCCTCAAGCATCAGCGTGATGTGGTCTGCATCCGATACAGCCCTGGACCACAGCACCGGCCGGAAGATCTCAGCAAAGACGCAGACACGATCAATGTCAACCAGCAAGTCGAGCGTGTCGCCGTTGTCACAACACGAGCGTGAGCGCATCTATGCTGCAGAAAACTGGGAGAACGAGAGGATGGACGAGCTGACGCGCGAGATTCGCAAGCTGATGGGCACAAACACAGCCGCCGACAAGCTAAAGGAAAGAGAGGAGGAGAAAGACCCTGCCAAGACCGGAATATCCGAGCCCACGGCGCTCAGTCACACTCGCAAGAGCAGTAGATACGGCACATCGCTCCTGACTACACCTGCTTCAATTGTGTCGCTGGCAGATAGCTCGGCATCCGGCCACCCGATGCCTGGGTCGGACAGCGTGCTGGACGGTCTAGATCTGAGCCAGCCACTGAATCTGTACAAGGTACCAGACGGTATCATGCAGGTATTCATCATGAGCATCCTGCCCACCACCCCCATCAGCCGCGCCTACGTGGTGGTGACCCTGGGCGACCAGGTATTCCAGACCTCTGTGGCCAGGACACCCAGTGGCAGCTGGAACGAAGGCTTCGAGCTGGTGGTCTCCTACCATATGCAGATCTTTGGCACCATCCATCTGGATGTGTTCTCATCCAACACCTTGCTGCCCGACACACATGTTGGCCGCGCCGAGATCAAAATATCGATGCTGAGCGGGTTCCCCGAGATTTTCACTAGCTACTACGAGATCTGGGAGAAACGGCTTTCGTCATCCACGGTGCCGGAGCAGCGTCAGCGCAAGATCCTGTCAAAGAATCTTGGTGCCCTGCAAGTGCGTGTCAATTACAGGTTCCAGAGTTTTGAGGACCCAGAGCCCGAGATTGCCAAGGTGCGCGGCGCCCACCTCATTGGGACAGTCCCAGGCCAACCTGCCAACCAGACCACAAAGAGCGATGGGCCTAACCCAGCCAACATGTCGATTGAGGATCTGGTCGCTGGATTTGCAAACCAGTATAACCAGTATATCGAGACAGCCAGGCAGCAGGGTACGATGGCGCTGGTTAGCAACCTATCGGTGTCGACAGAATTGCCAGCCTCAATTGGGTTCTCGCAAGTGGATAGCGAGATTTTTGACAATGAGAGCCAAAGCGGGTCGGGCAGTGTACCAAGCACACCAGTAAGTGGAGCTTGTACGGCATCGGGAAACCACACCAAGGCTGCCAGTGCTGGTGGCGGGTGGTTCTCCGACTGGTTCGGAACACAGCCAGCCAGTGTTCCAAAGACAAGCGGGACCACTGCAAAGCCCACTGCCTGCACCGTCAGTGGTACCGGCCTTGGCTCCTTCAACTAGCGACAAAGCAGACCCACTGCTATCAGCCTTTGCGTCGTCATCCAAGCCCGACAGCGACAACAAGACTCTGATGGAGTCGCTAGCAAGCATGTTTATTTCGCAGTCGACATTCAAGGCAATCAAGAGCATAGACCGCCTTGTGACATCATTCAACCAGGGCGTCGAGCTGTCCAGTGCCGAGCTTCTAGGCGGATTCTTGACCCTCTACAAGTTCTTCAACGAGGCCGATCTACCCGGCGTGACCCGGCCACACAAGGGCGTGATGGTTGAGAGCATGAAAGACCTCGAAGTACCTGGGCACTATGCGCGTTTCGCCCTCGCTTCGTACGGATGGCGTGCGCTGTACTTTTTCAACCGCGGGATCACGCTCATGGATGGTGCCAAGGGCAACTCGGATGTGACCAGCGTTCTGCAGTACCTAAACATCAAGGAGGAAGATCTACTTGGATACGAGTTCCGAAGCTCTGAGGTGTTCTGCCCAAGCTACTTTGTCACCTATGACCGACCATACAACGCCATTGTGCTGGTGGTACGCGGTACCATGAGCGCGGAGGACACAGTCGTGGACTTGTCGTGTGAGTACTCGAAATGGAACGGCGGGTTGGTGCACAGTGGTATGAAGGCGTCGGCACACTGGCTGTTTATCAAGGTTATGCCGCAGATATTTGCATTTGCCAAGGGCCAGAACCTCAAATCAATCCGTATCGTCGGTCACTCGCTCGGTGGCTCAACAGCAGCGATTCTGAATATCATGGTCCACACACAGGCCGAGCGCCTGAAGGGGCTGGGGATTGACGTCAGTAGCTACGACATCAAGACATTCTGCTATGGGCCAGCCCCTTGCGTATCGAGCAACATCGCAGGACCGATTCCGTGACTGCATTGAGACATATGTCAACAAGGACGACCTGGTCCCACGGCTCAGCTACGGGTCTGTGTCGGACTTTAAGCGTCTGTCGATATCAGCGTCCGACGAGGCCGACAATCTGGCCCAGCGGCTGTATTCGCCATTTGAAGACTCGGCGCAGCAGCAGCAGAGGTGGAAGGAGAAGTTTGAGCGCCTGAAGCAGGTACGCCATGACATACATGTCGCCAACGAGAATATGCACCTGTCACTGCCAGGCGTCATCCACCATATCGTGGCATACCGGACGCCCAGCGGCAAGGCCAAGACCATGGCTGATCCGGCCAAGGACATCGAGGCTGGGAAGCGCGAGCTGTTTGGAATTGAAGCAGACGATGGCATGGCAGAGCAGCCCCCGACGCCCGAAACCAAAGTGCGCTCAGACTCAGTCGATCCCGAGGACCTGGCCGACGCAGTTAACTCATCTATTGCCGAGGCGGCAGCACGCTGCATGGGGCCAATTCCCGAAGAGCCTGCTGAGGCTGCAGCACCTAGCAAGCCCAGTGGAGCGGCCGAGAAGGGGAAGCAAGAGGAAATGCCAGGCAATCCCCCACACCAAATCGGCATTCTATCCTGTCTGGGTACAGCGGGTGCCCGCCGATGTCTTCCATGAGATCGTGCTGCGACCGACCATGATCACCGACCATATGCCCAGCGCCTACGAGTCGGCGTTTGCGCGAGCCATTGAAACACAGATCCGCGAGAAACATGGGAAATAGTTGTTTGTAGTAGTCGAGCGAGAATTGCTATATTGTCGTTGGAAGCCTGCATTATTGTGTGTGGGTTTTCAGCCACCACCATCACCACTACCATCCTTGCGTTCAGGCAGTGCTGCCAAAGGCCATATTGGTGAAAATTTTTGCATACGAGCTCAGCCACCACGAAAGGAGCCCATCGTGCTTTTCTGTGTTTGGCATTTCTGCATTGATGAAATAGCGGGTTAATTACTGGTCGGCGTCGTGCCCAGCCCTGCCGCTCCCTTTTCTCTTTCCCTCCCTCTTTTATTTCGCTCTACTCTCTCCATTGGGCTCTGTATATTACAAGTTGTTATATATTTAAACGCAGCATTACCATATATCCATATTTCATATCCCCACATTCTGCCATCCACTGCCACCTGTTAATAATTGATATTCGGGGCAACCACAAATACGCGCACAGGAATATGAGTGTTACAAGATATGGTGCTGCGTTCTTGGGGCTGGGCGCAGTGGCATTGCTGTCAACCAGTCTGCAGACAATAGCGATATGCCAAAGCGATCCGCCACATTGACAAAGCAGAGCACGACGACCTAGGTACGCTGTCTCAGATGCCCATGTCGTCGATCAACGCCTCGGTGTTATCTCGGCTTTTAGGTGGCTGTGGGCGGAGTTTCGCTGCTGCCTACTTTGGTATTTTTCGTGTGCGATCTCAGTGGTCTCTTTCTCCTGGGCTCGCGGCTCCACCGCTATGCGTTTGAAGGCGTGGCCACCCACCGCAACAAGCAGCATTCGTTCGACATGCATCGACATAGCGTGTGGTCAATTCGCGACAACCAGCACGACCTGAACAAGAGCCGGCGACGTCACCGGCTAGCATGGTGGCGGAGATGGATGGCTGTCGAGGAACTTGTCCTGTGGATGCAGCGGAATATTGCTTGTCTGCGGATGTGCATAGCAGTCGCTCTGGCGCTCATCTGGTCGCCGCTGGTCATCCAGGTGTCGGCTGTTGGTATGGCAGGCAGATGCCAGCGCTGTTTTCAGCGACTAAGGTGGAGGATATGGAGAACACTATCAGGGGGTGCGATCTGCTACGGATAGGCACGGATTGGCATTTTCGTCACCTGGACAAGCTGGACTTGTCTGGCCGTGATGCTGGTGCTGCTCAATACCCACAGCACACACATGTACTTTGGCTACCCGCCGTATCTTTCCTCGGGCATGCCGATGGTGGCCAACACAATGATGCCAATAGGCGCTGGCTACTTCATGGGCATGCGGCCGCCGGCGTTTTCAATGCAGGCTGCGCCCCAGTATCCGCCGTTCCAGCACCCGCCCACAGGTGCTTCGTACCATTACCCCACAGTGGCGCCCGGACATCAGCAATCGACAGGCAGCAGCAGCACCAGCAGTGCACCGCGCAAAGCTGCCAATCTCAGCCAGCACACACCTGCGCTCCTCGTGGTCACAGCTAGACGACGAGTCGGGGTCGGAGATGGCGCGCAGTGACATACAAAGCTTCATGCAGCATAGCCGGGCAGCGTACCAGCAGCAGAGCCTGTTCCAGTTCTACCACCACCAGAACCAGCAGTTCAGCCACCAGTTCCAGCCAGCAGCATCGAGGCCATCCGTTGATCAGATGTCAGGGGCAGGGCAGAAGCGGCAGCCGGCTGCGCGCAAGAGCACGGCCAGGTCCTCGGAATATCGCTGATGATATTGGGATGCACCCGCTGAAGGACCAAGGGCGGCGAGGCGAGCGCGTCGAGGAACTCGGAGTCGGAAGCAGTGTTGGGTGACGGTCGGATGGCATCCAGGTCGCTGGCCGAGTTGGGCGGACTGAGCAGCAAGGATGCGAAAAAGCGATATACGATCGGGTGACTTTAGCTTCTGCCGAACGTTTAAGCTTTAAGAAATGAGTCTTTTTGTGGTCTATCGATTGCCAGTCTGCCGATTCTAGCTGACTGGCTGGACAGCGCTCCTATTGGGGTTTAGCTCGCCGGGTCAGCGAGATGATGAGATGGTGGATTGCCCGTATCGATGCAAGTGCATGCCGGGCCACACTGTTGAAGAAAAAACATGAATTGCGCTGCACCGCATAGAGTGGTGCCCCGCCGCTTCCAGCATAGGCTGCTTCTTTGGCAGGTGAGGTTACACCAGTGGGCCGGGATTCCTTGTGCGATCAGCTTCGTTGCTTTTTGATGGGGGGTAAAGGAAGCGAGGAGGCGAGTGCGGACATGCGGTTCAGGAGGGGAGCAGCAAGTCATGACATCTGGGAATGCATGGCAAAAGGAAAGACAATTACCGCTGCATTACAGGCTGTGGAACGTACATGAGCTGCCAGCGCGTCATGGGCAACATGTGCTTGCTGCCTGAGAACCACCTGGTGTGGTAATGACACCGAGCGCTGGTCTGGCGAGACGCGGATACACTCGGCCTAGTTCTTACTCCTCCCCCCACCGGACGAACGGCCTACGGAGAAGCCAAACAGTTTACGGAGAAGCCAAGGAAAAAACGGTGGTCGAACCCGTCCTGTGGTCCTATGGTCAAAGTGGGCTGAGCCTGGGTGATGGAGGATCAGGGACGGTTTGGCCGGGAACTTCCCAACAAAAAACACTAGCTGCAGTAGTACACGTCAACATCGAGTATATTAGCAAGTGGGCTGGTTCTGGTTCTCCCTTCTCTCCTCTCCCACCTCCCTCGCGCTACTCTACTTTTTCACTCTGCCCTTTTTATACTTTCCCTTTTCTATTAACTACCGCGTAAGAAAACCATGTTTGGCTCCCAGTTGGATCCTTGCCTTCTCCCATATCGCCCTTGTGGCAACCACGGAGGAGCAGTTCAAGCAGACGGTTGACTTTTACTGCCAGCTTGGGCTCACGACAGTGCGTCTGACGACCCACGACAAGCCCAAGAAGGACATCGCGCACCCGACCAACGTCAAGAGCGAGGCGTGGCTGCACCTGTTTGCGTCGCGGCCTGACGACAACCTCACGCTGAGGATCATCCATGCTGTCGACGGCGAGTGCCAGGGCAGCAGCGCCATCAGAATCGCTCTGGTGACTCCCGATATGGAGGTAAGTTTCACTCATGCGCAGTCTGGGCCACCCCATTTCCCGCCGATTCTGGACCCCGCATTCTGGGACAAGATGTCTTGGGCGCTCGTGCCCTCAGAGGGACAGCAATCATTCTGTGCTATTTTTTTGCTCAGCGTGACCCATCAGCTGAGTGGGAATAAGGCGCTTGGATGGGGGAAGCGTGGCCAATTTGTTTGTGCGTTTTATTCAGAAAAAAGTTTGGCGCCACTCTGCTGGCCAACAGCCAGGTTCCCGAGGCAAAAGTAGTAGAGCATCCGTGTACTAACAAAACGTTGCTGCTGGTGATTTCCTATTCGAGTAGCAGATGCAGGAGACGCTCAAGGCGGCCCAGGTCGAGTTCACGGTGCACCCTGATCCGACCTCCGACTCGAACCGCATTGCCACTCACGACCCGCTGGGCAACGACGTGTTCTTTATGACCCACAACAACTCGTTCTCGGTGCCACCCTCGCCTGAGGTGGTTGCGGACCTGAACAGCGAGCCCATGCCTGCGTTCAAGTTGGAGCCGGCGACCGCCGGCCCCAAGAAGAACATTGGTATTCTGACCTCGGGTGGCGACGCGCAGGGCATGAACCCGTGTGTGCGGGCAGTGGTGCGCATGGCTATTGCACGCAACTGCAACCCGTATCTGATCTACGAGGGATACCAGGGCCTGGTGGACGGCGGCGACAAGATCAAGGCGGCCAAGTGGTCCGACGTCAGCGGGTTCCTGACGCTGGGCGGAACTCTGATCGGGACTGCCCGCTGCATGGCATTCCGCGAGCTTGAGGGCCGGCGCACGGGTGTGCTTAACCTGATCAAGAACGGCATCGATGCCCTGGTTGTCATCGGTGGCGATGGCTCGCTGACGGGTGCCGACAAGCTGCGTGCCGAGTGGCCCAGCCATGTCGAGGCCCTGGAGAAGGACGGCCGGATCTCGAAGGAGAGCGCCGACAAGTACCGCACGCTGATGATCGTCGGTATGGTCGGCTCGATTGATAACGACCTGGCATCGACTGATATGACCATTGGCGCGTCGTCGGCGCTGACCCGCATTTGCGAGTCGGTTGACGCGATCCTCAGCACGGCCCTCAGCCACCAGCGTGCCTTTGTAGTCGAGGTCATGGGCCGGCACTGCGGCTGGCTGGCGCTCAACGCAGCCATCAGCACTGGTGCCGACTACCTGTTCATCCCCGAGGCGCCGCCCAAGAACGACGACTGGGAGACAGCTATGTGCAACACGCTCAAGGCCAGCCGCGACGCTGGCAAGCGCACCTCACTCGTGATTGTCGCCGAAGGCGCCATCGACCGCAACCTGAACCCGATCAAGGCCGAGTATGTTAAGGACGTGCTGGCGCAACGTCTGGGCTACGACACGCGGGTCACGATTCTGGGCCACGTGCAGCGTGGAGGAGCCCCGGTACACTTTGACCGGTTCCTGGGTACCATGCAGGGCGCCGAGGCTGTCGAGGCCATTCTGCGGGCCACACCCGAGACACCGTCGCCGGTCATCGGTATGCTGGAGAACAAGATCACGACGCAGCCGCTCAAGGAGGCGATCCAGCTGACCGGTGAGGTCGCTGCGTCGATTGGTCGCAAGGACTTTGCGCGCGCGATGGAGCTGCGCTCGAATGCGTTCGGCCAACAGCTCAAGTCGTACAAGGAAATCTCCAACTACAACCCCGACTCCAAGATGAAGCTGCCTGAGAGCAAGCGTCTGCGCATCGCCATCATCCATGCTGGTGCACCGGCTGGCGGTATGAACACAGCCACGCGCAGCGCCGTGCGTCTGTGCATCAACCGCGGCCACACACCGCTGGGTGTTTATAACGGCTTCCCGGGCCTGATGCGTGGCGAGATCCACGAACTCGACTGGCTGTCAGTCGACACGTGGACCATCGCTGGCGGCTCCAAGCTCGGCACCAACCGGGACCAGCCCGAACCGCAGCTCGGCGCCGTCGCGTACCAGCTGCAGAAGCACAACATCCAGGCCCTGATGGTGATCGGCGGCTTCGAGGCATACACCGCGGTGCTGTCGCTGACGCGCAACCGCAACCAGTACCCGGCCTTCAACATCCCGATGGTGCTGATCCCCGCCACCGTCTCCAACAACGTTCCGGGAACCGAGTTCTCGCTGGGCTCTGACACCGCCTCCAACGTCATTGTGCTGGCCACTGACATGATCAAGCAGTCGGCGTCGTCCAGCCGTCGCCGCGTGTTCGTCATTGAGGTGCAGGGCGGCAACTCGGGCTTCCTGACTGTCATGGCCGGTATCTCGGGTGGCTCAACCACCGTTTACACGCCTGAGGAGGGTGTTGATCTGACACGCCTGCAGCGTGACATTGCTCACCTGCGTCGCCGCTACATCAAGGAGCTGGGCCAGTCTGAGGGCCGCGTGACGCTGTGCAACGAGCGCGCGTCCAAGATATACTCGACTGACATGATTGCCAAGATCTACGATGCAGAGTCCGGCGGCTTCTACGGCGCTCGCACCTCCGTCCTGGGCCATCTGCAGCAGGGTGGCACGCCGTCGCCCATGGACCGCTGCCGCGCCAACACCATGGCCGTCGACTCGATCAACTGGCTGCAGGAGAAGTGTTGGCTCGGCATGGAGGTCCCCAACGAGGACGACATCCGCTTGCCCGCCGACCAGCTCAAGCGCAAGTACTTCCCGAGCGTCTTCAGCGCCGGCCCCGAGACCGCCGCCGTCATTGGCGTTATTGGATCAGAGGTCCGGTTCACGCCCATTCTCGACCTTGTCAAGCACACCAACTTTGATCGCCGCATCCCCAAGCACGTCTGGTGGGGCCATGCCCGCCAGCTCATTGACATCCTCGCCGGTGTTGGCGTCGATATCGAGAATGGCGGCAGCTCGATCGACTACAAGACTTGCGCTATTGATCTGACTGCTGACGATCTGATGCGCCTCTATGGCCAGCACCGTCGCCTGTCCAAGCTTGAGAACAAGTTGTAAATGTTTGCCAGGCGCACCCCTTCTTTTTCCTTTGTTCCTACTAGATTTCTCACCTTTTATATAAAGTCCAACGCATTTTACTGCTGGGCTGCTGGCAAGTGGAACCGATGTTATGAGGTGGCGAAAGATGTGCAATAATGCGCGAATGGCCCGCTCTTCATTGTGACCATTATCCAAGTGATCTACATGTGGCCCATTCCCCAATATTGGGAGGGAAGGCAGCATGTGGGGAGGGAACCGGCTGCTCGAACTGATAAGCAAGCGGGAAATTGCTTTGTGGAGGGCAGTAAAACCAGCAGTGGGAAAAAGCCCCCCGCCGCCGGACGCAGCAAGCCACACGACGGCGCTTCCTCCTCTATCCTCTGGAAAGTCCGGGCCAGCGATGTGGCCCATCCCAGCCCGGAGAATTCTACTGCTCCTCTCTCTTGCCATGCGGCCGAACAGATAAACTGTTTTGATACTTTGGCTTCTAGAACGATTTTATTTTAGGGACACCGCGCTCTGGACAGCCAGGGTGCTGAGCCGCTGGCGGATGACACATCTGACAAACCCACAGCCAGACTGGCTGTGCCGGGTAAAGCTCGTTCCCACCGCCAGCAGCCCGGCGGGCAAATCCGAAACGCATGTATCCTATTGGGGCCAGCGATTTGCCCACTGTTTGCGAGAGAGAACAGATAAATCGTGGTTGAGATAACCTCCACCCAATTTCCCATGCCCTGCTTTTTTCCTCTATGATTTTTTCGCTTTCCTTCCGGACCACTCTACCACCCCTCTCTTTACCACTTCGCCTCTTTTTTTTCTTTTTTCTCGCATTCGCTTCCTCTCATTCGTCATTTTTGCAACCCTGAACAGCAGACAGCCATGGGTATTTTCTGGCCCCCGACAGCTCCACAAACGTCCTGCGGCTTGCTGGGCTTGTGTGCGCTGTGGCTGGGGCTTGTGCGATATCCGATCGGGAAAGCCGGTACTCGCTGCTAAAATACCTCTACACACAGCTGAAGAAACTGGACGAGGACTCGGCCTGGCAAATAGAAAACGACACCACGGCCCGGCACCTCTCAGCCCTAGCAGCGTCAGATAATGCACGGGACACGAGGTCCTATGCATCGGACTCGACGGCGTTTTCGCGCGCTAGCACGCCACCCGCCGAGGCTGCGAGCCTGGCAAGCGACACAGCTCTGCGACACGTGTTCCTCCCGGAGGACGCACGCACACAGCCCTCCTCCGCGCAGTGCAACACGCCCGAGGGATTTTCGCAGCTGGATGCAGCGCTCGACAAGCTGAAGACGGGCGGGGCGACGGACTACACGGTGACAGATGACTCAGTGGATGCGACCAGTGTGCTGCTGCCGCTGACAGTGATGCCGGCTATGGTGGGTCCGCCCGGCATGTCGAAGGCAGAGAAGCTGGAGAAGGCCGGCCGGCTGCAGCCGCTGCCGAACCCCAGTGCGCCCAAGATTAAGCCGACGGTGCGCAACGGCAAGCCGCAGCTCTTCGACTACATCCCGCCCACGCCCACCACGCCCTCGGTGGCTTCATCGCCAGCCCCGCGGCGCGTGCGTGCGCACGTCGAAATCGAGACAACCGAGCACGACAGCTATGGCTTCGTGTCTAACCCCTCGGCATTTGTCGCTGCGCCCACAGCCTCGCTGAAGCAGATTGGGCGGCCCTCTGGCGACCACTATCTGTTTGTGTGCGTCAAGTGCCAGCGGCGGAGCACCAATGAGGTGTGCGAGAAGGTGTGCAGCGACGAGGACGGCGTGCTGCGGTGCAAGCTGCAGCCGCGCAACGGCATGGAGCTCGAGGACCTTGAGGACCTGGTTATGCCGATGACGCCGCGCGTGTCCACCGACGGCCGTAAGAAGACTACCGGCCGCATGCTGTATGAGAACCTGCAAGCCCTGCATACCCAGCACGAGCGGCTTAGGACACGGGCCGCATGCCATGGGTCCGCGCCGCACACGCACGAGACCAAGGGCTCGCTGGACTGCCCGAACGCGGTACAGTCGCGTCTGCGCATTGTGCCTGTCAACTGCCTGTCCATGTGCCACCTGGGCAATGTCATTGCCATGTCGGCGCCTGGCAAATTCGGATACCAGTTTGGCGCTATGCGCGAAGATGACTCGGAGGATATGCAGGCGATTCTGCAGTTCGCTGAGGACTACATTGAGAGCGACGAGGGATTCACGAAGAATAAGACACGGCCGCCGAGGCTGTCGCGCAATATTCTGTCCCGTATCCCACCAGCATTGCCAGCGTTCACCACGTTGGTCGAGTGACATAGAAAAACCTGTGATAATTCGCATCACCCCTCCTCGCACAAGCAACCACCAAAATCTATACCTACACACGTTTCAAGCGTTTCTTTCTTCTTATCCCACCTCGACATATCCTCTATATTTCTTTCTCTTAGCTCTGCTGTAATCTACTTTTTCACATAAACCGTGTGACACTCAACTCCCCAGCATGTGGACATGTGGATGTGGAAGTTACATAGATTACCCTGCATTAGATAATGCGCCTGTGCATATCTGCCACATCTATTGGCCCTGTCGTGATGATCACTGTCGATAAGGTGATTAGGTGTGGCTGCAAGAGCGATATATGAAGTGTGGCTATGATACTGTCACCAACTTATTCGCCAACGGGCTTTGCAGTCCTTGCGATTTGCCTATCCGCTACGCCCTCTGTGGTAGCGCCATGTGCTCCTGTACAAACCTGTGTTTGTAGCAAGCATGCCGCCTCCACTTCAAACTATTGCTTTGGAATTGGTGGCAAGCGCCTGGAGTTGCTATCCCTGAAACTACACAGTTTTCCAACAAGGCTTTTGTGCAGAGTTGTTGCTAGCTAGGCTGTCATTTAGTTATGCAGGATGACGCTGGATTTCCAAGACAAGCACGTCCATCCCCATCATCTTCGCCCATGCTTCCATGAGGGTACAGATCAGCACACACTCCTCCAGGCACTGGAAATCGTCCCAATGCGGGGGATAAGCGCGAACAAAATATTGGCTCATTATTATTTTCATACACTTTTGCACAGATGGTTGTTTGATAGGTGAGGTGAACTAGATAGCTTAGAGAACAAATCTATCGCCGCCATGTGCCCCTTGAGCTTCAACAGCAAGACTCTCTGTTGTAGCGTTGTGGGGGGGATGAATCTCCTGGTACTGGAAGCCGCTGCCCGGCACGCTCTCCATCTTGCCTGTTGACGACTCCCCCATCTTGGAATCTTGTCTGGCGCTCCCGAGGAAAGATGAGTTTGTGTTGTCGACGTTATACAGGTTGCGGTGAATGTTCCCGATATGCACCTTTTTGGCCAGAATACCGTCTTGACGCATGTCATCGAGCAGCTCCTTGACTGCATCTTCGCGCCGGAATATGTGATTGTATATCGGCACAAGGATGATGCAGTAAAAGTGCGTCTGGTAGGTGACAAAGAGCAGAATAGTCGGGAGGAGTCGGCCCCACGCATAGATGCTGCTGCCCGTAAACAACAGCGCTGTTTCCACGATTACGTTGAGTGCGAACGTCGTCACTGTCCACAGCGCAAGCTTGAACTCATTAAACGCTTTGGCTACTTTGCGCATGCTCAGGTATAGGAACAGCCCAACTAGCACCAGAATATAGTAGTACCCGATAAGGTAATACGCCACGCTTTCGGTGTACGTACATATTTTTGTGCCAAACACCTCCATGGTTATCACAGCGAATTTATCCTTGAGTGCGTGCGATAAGATGGTGGAGAACAGATACGGGAACAGTATCAGAAAGAACGGCCAGTACTTGTGCCAAAAGTTGGCCAGCCTGTTTCCCGACCGCCTGAACGACGTGCGCCTGATGAAGACTCGGTAGTACACGATGAGACGAAGCAACAGCGCCGAATGCAGTATCCCAAGCCCAAAAAGCTGGAATGCCCAGGCGAGCCAGAAATAGCAGTTTGAAAATATCCCACTGTACCCGGAGGAGCCGGAAACTGGGCCGTACGAAACGTTGAAGAACGTGCTACCCAGACCGATAAGACTCGTCACCCACACATTCTTCACCTTTATAGGCAAGTAGTTGCGGAATGCGATGATATATAGGATGAATGGAATATTGGCCAGGCTGAGTCCAGCTATCACATAGTAGATTGGCTTCTCGGCAGGGGAAGGCGCTGGCCCAGTGCCAGTATCTGCATTGGCCCAGTCTCGAACAAACAGCGAGCTCATTTGTGTGTGCAATTAGCGGGGCTGTGAGCAGAAAAGTGACTCTAATAAAAGGTACTTTGGTAGGAGGGTAGGTAAGTAGGTGGGGGTGAGGAATATGAAGGAGAGACAGCAAGTCTATACTATATCATGAAACAGGAAACAAGGCGGAAACGGGGAATACTATGTCAAACTACCAACAGCAAAGGCCACAACCGGCGCTCGGTTTGAGCAGTCGCCTTATAACCAGGAGTCGGCTTTCTTCGGAGTTTCCAATATAAAGGAGCAACGCAGATACCCTTTTCAAAAGAGACCCTGCCCTTAACGGACCTTTTTCGTATTCCGATCCTGCATCCCGGGACCAGAGCTAAAGTGCATTAGGCACATTTAAGAGGTGAAAAATGCGAAACGAAGCAACGGGGGAGAATGGATGTACAGACAGAGCACTGCATACATAGATTTCGACGTATGCCATGGGTCAGGCCGCATGCTCATTGGCCGATTGTTTTTTGTTGGGCTGGCCCTCGGTGCAAACTGCTGGATTGCCAACGACAATAAAACGAGCTCACTGCCAGTAGATCGCTCATATAAACAGCACGTATGCATGCCATGATTTTATGCAGCAGGTGGATGTGTGGATCAGCCCTGGAGGCCAAACTCTTCGAGAGTTCAAGTGCGTAACAACGTATCCAGGATGAAATGGCTACAGCATACAAAGCAGTGGTGCATCAGATGGGGGGAAGCTTCCTCGTTCTGGGAAAAAACAACGAATTTTGGAGAAAAATCTGCACGTACCTGGCTGCATACAACTGCATCCCCAATGATCTATATTTGTCTCCTCCCCCACACTGCCAGCACTGCTTGTGGATAACCATACAGAAAGGTGGTTGAAACATTATCCGCTGCAAGTTTCACACTCCAGCGCGCAATATGTGTATGTGCTTTGTGATAAGCTTGCCAGAATCAAGCAGAAGAAGGCGTGGTTGTGTCACCAGTGCATAAATTGGTGTTTGTCACGATTATTGTGTATGAAAATTAAATAATATGCCGGTGCTCTTTATCCTCGGCTGTCGCTATTGATCCGAGGCTCGTGCTTGTATGGCTGTCGGTCTGTATCTGGCTGTAGGGGAAGCTGCCTGTCTGTATACTATCCAGATGGGCCGATTGGTCGAAAGGCACGTTGCTGGCCTCTTTAGAAAGTCTCCGAGTAGCCACCGAGGCAGTGTTCAATCCATAGAGGTCCCGGTGGACGTTCCCAAGCTTGGCCTGCTGGGCAAGAATCCCATCCTCATGCATAATGTCTATGATCTCCCTCAGTGCCGCCTCTCTCCGGAAGATATGGTTAAAAATAGGCGGCCCGATAATCAGCCAAAAGTACCCGTTGTAAGTGAGCAAGTACAGGATGGTTGGCACGATCCGACCCCAGGCAAACTTTGCACTACCAGTAAACACAACGGCCAAATCCAGCGTGCAGTTGATGAGGAACGTGGCGACAATCCAGAGACCCAGCTTGAACTCGTTGAAGACTTTGGCGACCGAACGCATGCGGATGTACAGTGCACAAGCGAGAAGGGCCAAGAAACAGTAGTAGCTGATGACGAAGTACGACATAGCAGGGGCCATCATGCACACATGTGCTCCTCCTATATCTACATAGTCTATGGTCTGGTTTCCTGGAAGGATCTCAGCCACTATGCAGGCGCACAATAGAGGTGACCAGAGAATGTAGAACGGCCAGTACACTCTGGCATGCTTAACCAGAATGTTGTCTTGTCCGGTGCCAGACGATTTCAAGATGAAGACACGGTAATACAGTATGAGACGAAGAACCATTGCTGGTAGCATGACACCGAGTCCCAATGCTAACATCATCCAAGCCGACCACAGTTTGCAATGTGAAAAGATACCCTCGTATCCTGCCATTCCAGAAACTGCTCCATAGCTGATGTTGAAGATGCAGCAGCCAAACCCAATAACAGCTGTGACCCACACGTTTTTTCACTTTAATCGGCAAGTATTTCCGGTTCCAGAGCGCGTAAATGATTGCTGGGATATTCAAAAGATTGATTACAACCACAGATACGTAAACGGGCCTTTCAGCAGGCGATGAGGACCCACCAGCGAAGCTCATGTTTTCGTCATTACGAGGGCTCGACTGTCGCCACATTATTGATTTTTAGTTATCTGCGATATAGCAAATAAACAAAATAAAGTGTATATTGTAGAAACAAGAAGGTTAGTAGAGGCCAGAAAACTGAAGAGGCAGAAACCACTGAGGCAACCAGCGATATTTTGGTTAGAAATCGAGCAACCCAGATTATTTGGTTCTGTTTTATGGTGGCTTCTGGCAGGTTTTGTTGGAGAATCTCCACCTCTGCCTGTATTTCTCCCTTGTCCGGTGGGCAGATCACCTAATTGTGCAAATTGGCAGCCCAGTAATAAAAATGAGCAACCATATTTTTACTAGCAAGATTGCCAGAGCCACAAAGGCAGCATTCGCTGCTGTACAAACAGCACAAGTACTGTCATTTAACAGAGAGATTGTTATGTTCGCAGGATAAATTTGAACATGGTAGCCTAGTCAAGCCTCAATGTATATACACAACGAAGGAGCACTTGGCTACATATACATGGCAATCAGCATGGAGTCGGTATTATGGATTACAAATAGCGACCTTAAAACTCTCATATACGAAAGGGATAGAGGCTATTGTCGTACCTAATATCAGCAATCTGTAGAGCCTACCCTTGGAATGGCAATGCGGTTTCTAGGGGTGGTTCTGTTTTACCAAAGCTGGCAAAAACATTAGGTCACTGGTATTCGTAATTGGGGCAGCATATTGTGTAGTTATTTAGATATCTCATATATGATGGAATCCAAAGGTAGGGTCTACATGTCTGGACCACGCTACTGGAGATGGTCGTTCTAGTGTAGCTAAGATATTAATAGCTATTGCCAGCTGCACATGGATATCATGGGCGCACCCCTTGCTTATAACGTTTTTGAGCTACTCACCATCACAACAGCAGCGGTTCTCGTTTTGACATTCAGAATGGACGTTGAGTTTATACCATGATTTTACTGTATCATCGGATGTTAATATATAAAACTAGATAATGTAACGGTTGGTTTTACTATATAATGACTCAGGAGTGTTCAAGCTTGTGTCTGTATGGTTGCTTGTCTCCATCCGCTCGTAGGGGAAGTTTTCTCCTCGCATACTCTCCAAGCGTGCTGATTGCTCAAATGGCGTTTTGCTGTGGATAGGGGTGCTCATTTTGGTAGCCGACGATGTAGTGTTGAGACCATAGAGGTTGCGGCGGACGTTTCCTAGTTGCCCTTGCTGAGCAAGGAATCCGTCCTTGTGCATAGTATCGATAATCTCTCTCAATGCTGCTTCACGGCGGAACATGTGGTTAAAAATCGGTGGACCAATGATTAGCCAGAAGTATCCGTTGTAAGTGAGCAAGTACAGGATAGTTGGTACAATCCGACCCCAAGGATACTTTGAACCACCCATGAACACGATTGTCAGGTCAAACGCACAGTTGATGAGGAACGTGGCGACAATCCAGAGACCCAGCTTGAACTCATTGAAGACTTTGGCGACCGAGCGCATACGGATGTACATTCCGCAGGCGAGAAGCGCCATGAAGCAGTAGTAGCTGATGATGAAGTACGATAAGGGTGAAGCCATCATGCACACATCTGCTCCTTGGATATTGATCTTGAAGATCGTATGCTTGTCCGGTAGGATTTCGGCCACTACACAGACGCACAATAGGGGCAACCAGAGAATGTAGAACGGCCAGTACATTTTGATATGCTTGGCAAGTACGCTTCCAGGGCCAGCCGCGCCAGTTTTTAAGATGAAAACACGGTAGTAGAATACGAGGCGAAGAACCATTGCTGGCAACATGATACCGAGTCCCAATGCTAACATCATCCAAGCCGACCACAGTTTGCAATGTGAAAAGATACCCTCGTATCCTGCCATTCCAGAAACTGCTCCATAGCTGATGTTGAAGATGCAGCAGCCAAACCCAATAACAGCTGTGACCCACACGTTTTTCACTTTAATCGGCAAGTATTTCCGGTTCCAGAGTGCATATAAAATGGCTGGAATATTGAGTAGGCTGATTGCAACGGCAGCAAAGTATATCGGTTTCTCAGCAGGCGATGAGGAGCCACCAGTGAAGCTCATAACCGCATAGCTATCTCGGGAACTAGGCGTGGCAGACATAGTGTTGGCCAATGTGTAGGGTGAAGAGTGAATATGAAAGTTGGAAAATGGAATTTGGATAATGGCGAGGAAGCAAAGACGAATCGGAAGCTCGATTCTGTACTGCAGACATTTGCAACAAACTATGAAATATTTCGCTTGTAGCAGCCCCCTACACTCTTCAGCCGCATCCGCTCCATCATCCCTCGCCTCCATGCAATGATTTCTGTGACATGCAGAATACCCACATGTCAATAAAGGGTGCATTCTCTTTTTGACCTCTGCGATTGCCATGGGCGCGGATGCACCATGGGTAGTTTGTGAAAGCAGATAGGTTCAACGTGGGTATAGCTGGCACAAATACCATTCGTAGATCCATTGGCAAGAGTACATACCTGGAGGTATATTTAGAAGTGGGAGTGCTTGGTTTCCGAACCGCAAATTGGTGGGCTGTTTAATGCAAAATGTCCGCATAAGGCAAAAGAGGTGCAATTGCAAGGAGTGGCCGGACGCAGTGATCTGCTACAAAAATAAGGAGAGTGGAAGTACAGTTGGGCTTGAAGCTGGCTGACTGCAAAGATCGTCTTTGTTGACGATTGTTTGGGGAGGAAACTATCCACAGATTCACAAAGGGGGACTGAGCCGGAACAGAACGTGTCGAATTATGAAGAGATCTAAGGTTCCCATGGCAGAGGACTCTTGGCAACGCGTATGCATGCGTAGGATGCATATACCGATGCATGCTTTGGGAGTCGAAGGTGTCCGAATCAAGCATAACGAAAACTTTTCCAAACTGAGATTGAGGATTGTTGCCAATCGACCGATGTGCCAATTATTGGAAATCGACTTGGGAACATGAAGTATTGTCAAAGATCACAGGTAATGTACAGGGGCGTTTCCAAACAAAGTACTGCCTTGCCATCATAATTCTCTGTCTACGATGAGAATGTTACCCACAGTTCATTTTGGCTATGAACTGCAAGTACTAGATTTGAATTGTAGCCAGCTTGCATCTATGGTATGATGCTACCAATTGCCTATCGATAATAAGCTGGTTGGTAAAAAAATATGTGGGCATGTTTTCAAACTTATGTTTGTTGCCTGTACTGCGAAATGATTCATACTGACTAGAACGAAGGTTGGTATACATTCAGTAGCGCAATCAGCACTAAGTTATTTCCACATTTGCATTTGTCTGTGTAGCGTATAGACTCCATATCGGACACATATAAAATCACACCCTCAAGTACAACACAGTAGAGGTGCTGCACTAGACAGGCCACACTATGCCCAGCTTTTATGAACAAAATAGGTCCTGGACACGCTACACAAGAATGGCTGAGTATACGGTAGAGATGAAAATCGGAAACACGTACTGGTGGATATGCGGTGTTATGAGCGAGGATAATAAAGCACACGACAGATATGCCTAGTCCATCTTACGAACTCTATGGGAATACATCCAGGTATCAGCCTGACCACATCCAGATTCACTATGGATCCAGATAGTGCATTTGAGGGCAGCGATGCAAGAGACTAAGGGGATGCAGATTTGTTTTGGTGGCGAGTTACCATGGAAGGGTTCTGCCGGGGCTGGAGAAAGGTCTTTTTTTTTTTTCGAGTGTGGGGTGATTGGCGGCATGATTCCGTCCGGAGCCGTTGAGCCGACGAAATGCGGACAGCGATTTGCATCGAAAAGGTTTTCATCGACTCAGTAAACAGGCGGCGATCCGCTACTCGGGTTCCTGAGCACGCCTCCGCTATTTGGCGCTACTATTATTACCGCCCTTTTCTGCTTCATGTGCCGACCCCAACGTGTCGGGAAACCAAGGCGATAGAGTGGGTATGTGGGCAGCGTGTGGATCAATACAAACAAGGCTCAGCAATGGCGTGTTTGCCGATTCGCTGTGCATGGAGAGAAGCGCTAGAATGGATTTCTGGAGGATTGAATGAAAAGCAGCTGAAAGCGGTGGTACAGAGCCTCGAAAAGGCGCGCATACACACATTGCGTAACACGCTTAATTATCTTGCTCACCACGCTTCGTTGCGGAGTGAAAACTGAGTGAGACAGAGGAGGCCAGTACTTAAAGGCAACGGGAGGTTTTCTTCGATGCGGCAGAGGCTGCTCCGCGCCCACCGTTTGATACTCTCACACTACCTTCCTCCTATTAATTTCTCACGCCTTTAAACCCCCTTTCTTTTTCACACACAGAATGTCAGACAACTGGGACCGCTACTACTCACCGACATCTGTGGCAGAGATGCCAGTGTTTTACACTGCACTCGCTGTCAGCCTGACCAATATCCCGATTATCGGATATGCGATATACAATCGTGACTACTTGCCAATTAAGAGCAAGAACGTGTGGATTGTGGCCGGGATTGGGCTTGGCAGCACGATCTTCAACGTGTCGTTCAACATCCTCAACGGAATGATGGGATTTGAAGGCGTGCTCGGCTATTGCCGGTTCTGGACAGCGTGGATGATGAGCACACTGGGGCTTGGTTTGTTCCTGAGCCCAATGAACATGCGGCTGATCATCTACTACCGTGTGTTTGTGACACGGCGGACGCACAGCTACACGCACTTCACCGTGGCCAAGTTCCTAAGGCGGTACTGGCCGTTATTCGTGCTATGGATGCCAGTAGTGGCATCGAGCATTGTGGCATCGGTGCTGCCGGCGCATAAGACAGTGCAGCTGGTTGTGGATCACGGACTAAACACCTGCCACAACAACTTTAGTTTCCTGTATTTTATCTTTGCCTACTTTGCGGCACAGGTGCTTGTGGCGTGGGGACTGTACTTGCGTATGCGCAAGATTGCCAAGGCGTTCAACGAGTTCCGGCTGGCACTGTGGACATTGCTCATTTTCACCGCGATTTTTGTGCTTAATCTGGCGGTTATGTTAGCACAGGGCACGGTATATCCGTGGGGACGGATCTTCCTCGCTTTTGCCAACATGGTGCTCTTCAACTCGTATTTTTGGACGATTCTGGGCCCGCCAATCTACGGGCACATTTTCAGACGCGAGGCTACGTTGCGGCGGTTCATGGATGATATGCACGAGGACGGGATTCTGGCACAGCAAGCCCATATTGGAAGCGCACACAAGCATCTGTATGGTGTTGAGGATGGCACCAATTCGTACGTCAAGCAGTCGGATCTCGGCACCAGTGCGCATGCACCGTATAGCCAGATGCCTACTGCAGTTAACCCTATGGAGAGCAGCACCGGTACTGACCAGTACTCGCCGTATATGCAGCGCCTGGCAAGTACCAGCACCACTAGCATCTCCACGGTTGATGCGGCGGCCCAAAGCCGAGGCCGGCTGATCCTCTGAAAATACTGTATTTAATCCCCGTAGCAATGTAATGTGTCATGTAAACAAAATATATCTGCTTTTAATGACTGGCTGGCAATTCTAGAATGAATGTTGGTGTTTGAGGAAACAGTTTAAGAAATAAAGACGCTGATCTCTGATAGGACGGCATCAAGAAATAGAGGATCGCTAGGGGGTTGGGGATAAGCAGTTCCCAACAGGTTCCATCATGCATTGTTGCACTAGGTGTTGATCCGGGTGGAGGCGGTTACAATATTCCCCGCGCCATGCTTATTGTAAAGGGGTAAAAAGTTGATGACTTTTCCAACAACAGCACCATCTGAAGTGGCCATTTTATAGCCAATTCGAAAGAGTGTCATAGAAACAATGAACTAGAGAGAAAGGAGAAAGAAGGTCTTAGTGGACAGGAGATTAATCGGTATGACACCTACGGGGAACTGTAGCAGCATTTGCTAGTAATTGACGATGTCTCCTGATCTGGAATGAGGAATACGTCGACCACATAATGTCGATGAGGAAGCTGGTTTTCGACACCATACTGATGACGCAGTGCAATCTGGTAGTGCTTTGCCTGAAATATGGTAATGAAGAACAATACCATCCTATCTAGCACTTTCCTTAGTAGCGAGAAAGATATTCATTCGGAGCCGTACAAAGACGGAGCTGGTGCACTCAGAAGTGAGCAGAATCTACGATGACAAGCAATTGTAACGATCATCATAGTCGGACAAATAGAACGTCCAACAGACCAGCGATCATGGATGACAATCAGGATGCTCGCAAGCTGCTATAGTGAGGACAAGGTTTGTTGTCAAAACAGTTTGCCAAAGTCAGCTAGATACCTCTGTGGGGAAGGGATCGCAAAGGAGTACTCTTATCTCTGCCTATAGCAAAAACATATAAAGAGGATGAGCTGCTCTAGAACAATTTCTTGAAAAAAAAAATCCACTGCATGTTTACACCATTTATCTCCTCTTATTCTTCTTCCATTTCTAATATTTTGCTGCTGATTCTCTTTCTATATACGCTTATTGAGAAGGATGTCGGATAACTGGGAATACATCTATGTACGGACATCATCAGCAGAGATGCCGGTGTTTTATGCAACGATGGGGATGTGTTTGCTGAACGTACCGGTTGTTGGATATGCGATATACAACCGCAACTACTTGCCAATAAAGAGCAAGAATGTCTGGATTTCAGCAGGGATGGGACTCGGCATGACGATGTTTTGCGTTTCGTTCAATATTATCAGTGGGATGATAGGGTTTGAAGGAGCGCTTGGTATGTGTCGGTTCTGGACAACATGGATGATGACTGTGTTTGGGTTGGCACTATTCCAGAGCCTGATAAATATGCGCCTGATTGTATACTACCGTGTATTTATCACACAGCAGACACATAGCTACAAGCAGTTTACGATCCGAAAGTTCCTGCGGAGGTACTGGCCGTTCTTTGCCATGTGGTTACCAATGGTGATTACTGCGATCGTTGCATTTATTCTACCGGCACGACTCACGGTGGAACTTGTGGTGGATCACGGGCTCAATGCATGCCACAACAACTTTAGCTTCCTTTACTTTATTATTGCGTACATTGTCGCGCAGGACATTGTCGCGTGGGTTCTGTATTTCCGGATGCGATCGGTGGCAAAGGCGTTCAACGAGTTCAAACTTGCGCTGGGGACAATTGTACTATTTACTGCATTTGTGGTACTTATCACGGCGCTCATGGTTTCGCAGGCTCTCGTATATTCATGGGGGCGCATATTTATTGCTTTTTCCAACGCAATATTGTTGAATTCGTACTTCCTCCTGATCTTGTGCCCCCCGATCTATGGACACATGTTCAAGCGCGAGGAATGTATGCGACGGTTCATGGATGAAATGCATCAAGATGGGATTGTTGCACAGCAGGCACGCATCGGAAACGCACACAAGCAGCTGTACGGTATAGAAGAGGGCACAGACTCGTACCTTAAGCAGTCTAACGCAAGCGAAGGTGTACACGCAACATATGGCCAAATGCCTAGTAACGAAAGACACGTAGAAAGTGGAGACAGCACCATCCAGTATTCTGCATATATGCAACAGCTGACAAGCGTCAGCTCCACAAGCATTAGCATATCCAGAACCGATGGCCAAAGCCGATATATTCTTTAAGTATATTTTTTCTAATTTGATTGCAGCATAGCAATGAATAAGGATATGCATATATCTATCTATTATAAGTTACAGATAGTAATCACTATTGCTACCACTTTCTGAGGTGGTTAGAGCACTTGTAGAGAATAGTCTGGCCTAAGCTTACAGATACAAAGATATTATCGGAGTACTGATGATTGCTTGGTGTATTTTTTTTATTTTTTTGTGGCAAAGCATCACTGAGATACCAGCCCTTATTATTATTTTTCTAGATCACGATGATTACAAAAGCTGGCAAATGTCCTGAAAATCCTATTGCAGAAGCCGTAAGGATATGGCCTGCACTTGTAACTAGGATGGGGCATGATGCTGAGTATGATATCTATGATAGCAAGAGGGTAACAAGAAAAAAGTAGACCGGTCAGGACTATTGTGTTACTAACTGATTTGACAAGTAACGACCAAGTTAGCTAAAATGCAGATAATCCATGATAGCAATTTATATGGATTGCTATCAGCAATCAAAAAGCAAATTAAATTAAATAGTATAATGTGATTAAGATCATTGTCGAATCCATAAGCAAAAAGTATGCAAAATATCAGCCCGACGGGGGGGTCGAACCCCCAACCTTGAGATTAAGAGTCTCACGCTCTGCCGATTGAGCTAGCCGGGCTGGATTAAGTGATTTAGACCAATATCTGAGCTATTTCACCTACAAGTTTGTCATGTCGTAATCGGTCCATGATCGGATCACGACATGGTTACACAGCAACCGGACCAAATTGTTTCTTTTACCTCCATTCTTTTGCCGCTGTTTCGCTATCAGCGCTAGCTGCCCCTGACTATCGCGGGTCAAGTTGACTCCCACGAATGGATTCGATATATGTCCGACGCCCGACATCTACCAACAGGTGACCTCTGATATGCATAGATTGGCTCTATTCGGATGTAGGAGCACTATCCCGCGGGCACCCAGCAGCCGATAACAGCATGTATTATACTCCGTTTGCCAAAGTCCATCCTGCCGAATGAGTATAAATATGGCTATGAGCAGTGAGCAACTTTTAGTTTTATTGTCTACTTTTTAGTATATGATCTCATTAAGGAACAGTTCACTGAGTTATATTTCTAATTAGTTTTCCAAGTTATTAAGTCAGGACCGTTACAAGCAAGATAAGCGAGACAAAGCGAGACAAGAAACTACAATGTCCTTCATGACAGATCCAGTCAGTGCTGGTGTTCAACCCACTGATCAAGCCTTTCTACTACCCCTTTTAAACACTACAGGTTTAGGTTCCTTAAAAGTATAATTAAATATCTAGATCAACCACCATTACATTATCTTATACTACTGGGGGTTATACAGATATACTTATCTGCCTATTAATTGTTTATGCATACTGTATCTAGTGGCAATTTCAGTGAAATAAAAATTTCACCCAAACTGCTATTGGCATTTTAGAAAAGTTTTAGTGAACATAATTTCCTTGTGGTTGCTTAGCCACATATATTGAGATATTGACTTTTGTTACCCAATGATAATTAACCCCAAATATACAAAGGTTGTTCTTTCTTGTTGAAATTATATTCACTGAAACTATTCTAAGATGCCAATAGTAGTTTAGGTGAAATTTTTAATTCACTGAAATTGCCAATAGTTTCAACATGCATAAACAATTAATGGGCAGATAACTAACTCTGAATGTCCTCCTATATATAACCTCTAGTAGTACAAGATAATGTAATGGTGATTGAACCAGATATTCAATTATACTCTTAAGGGGCCTAGGTGTGTAGGTGAAATAGCTCAGATATTGGTCTAAATCACTTAATCCAGCCCGGCTAGCTTATGGTGAAAGAGCATTTATTTATATCTCAGTCGGTGGTCTGTAATAGGAAGTGCCACTAATAATGCCTCTGAGATGTAGAAAAGAATTATGAAAAATTAATCATGCAGTTACCAAGTATCATGAACCAGTGCAATATAGCCTAGATCCAACAAATCAGACTGGAGATTTACAGTGGTCAATGCGATCTTGGGGAGTTACCCAGAACTCCAGTTGGGGCTTGTGCATGAACTAGCTGTGGCTGCAGGAGAGCAGTAGAACTATGATCAGTATTGATCAGCATCAATCGATCAAGGCAAGGGCATAGGAGCAAGTCTGGTGGCAAAAGTGCATTGGAATAAGTGCGGAATTCACCATTGAAGGCTGTTGTGAACTGACCTAAGGGCCAGATATTGTTGGTATATGCCTCGTCGTGACGTGCAATAACCAGAAAGTAGAGAAGCAGACCTGCAGCAAGCTCCCAGATTCTCTGGAATTCAACTGCAGTACGAGAGTTGGATGAGATCTGAGGTGCAGTGAAAGCTGACCAGCGTAAGCCTGGGAGGACTAGCCAATGATCAGCTGATATCATGAGCGGTGGGAAAGGCTTGGGTAAGCATGATGGCGGCTTCAGTCGTGGGATTGGATGATCATCTTGGCCGCTGCTGGAGAGTGCAGTGCGATACTCAACATAAAGAGATTGAGACACTTCAGCGAGGACATTTGGGAGGATGCTGTGAGCAACTTGGAGGAAATTGGGTATGATCTGTGACCAGAACTGTGCCGAAACTGGACATATGCCAACTAGATGCTGAGGGGACTCAAATGCTCCACAGCAGCAGTGTCTCTGGTAGTCTTGGTGGTACTGGCGGGGGATGCGATTGACATGCAAGTGAAAAATTGATGCACGCACCTGTGGAGGGGCATTTATGCGGGCAAAAATCGACCAGGGTGTGGTCTTTCTGATCCATGGGTACTCCAATGCTGAGAGCTGCTGGGGCGGCTGAGGGAAAGGAATCAGCTCATCAACTCACTGCAGGTGTTTGGTGGTGAATGTAGTACGTGACCAGCAACTGAAGTAGTGATTGTGACCAATATCCGAGGGTTTGTGGTTGACAAAGAGGTTTGCCAGGTAAGATCTGGTGGGGGTGGTATGGTGTGTCTCTGCGTGCTGTGCTTCCTGAAGATCTATCTGTCTCTGTATCCGGTCCAGGCCATCAGTAAGGGCTGCTCCTTGATCTTTCGCATCCTGCGAGGTACCTTTGTAGAAATAGTGTAACCAGTTTGTGAATGTCGGAATAATTCCAATCGTGAATGATGGTAGATGATATATCTGCGAATCATGGCCAGATGGTTGGGTAATCGAATGAAGCCACTTATAAAAGCCAGTGAGCTGGTACCAGTTTTTGTTGTCAAATGTCACTATCCCAGTGCCAATGATCGGAAGCCGTTGGAGCTGCCCGAAGTGAGCTGTTGAATCAATACATATGCGCAGATGAGACTTGGCTTGAATGAGCCGGTTGTAAACTGACAGCCAAAAAGGTGGCCAGACAGACTTGCGTAAGTTAATGCGCCGGTGACGTTGCAGAAAGGGGTTGAACAGGAAACCAGTAATGTGATCATGCATCTTTTTGAGTGGTGTAGGGGCACCACTATTACCTGCCAGGTTGAGACGGTCGCGCTGCCAGTCAGACAAGAGGATCTGCGACCAGATTGGGACAGTCTCTGGGACTTCTGAGCCAGACTCGTAAGCCTGGTGGATGTGATCAAAGGCCTCCATGGCCTCGCCTGCTTGTCTAAGCACCACTGCACAATAAATGGCACATAATGATGTGAAACCAAGGCCACCTTTTGAGGCTGGCTGAGCGATAAGGTTCTCGTTGAGGAAAGGCCACGTATGGCCCCACAGCATACCACTGATATGACGCTTCAGTTTGTCTATATCGCCAGTCTGAAATGGGATGAAGCATGCAGAAAAATAGAACAAAGGGTGAGCAAAGGTGGTCAGGGCAAATGAACGACCCGGCAGAGTTGCATGTCTGTGGATGGCTTTGGCTGCACAGACAGAAAATCTCGCAATTGTGTCTTTGACCAGGTCGCGGTAATCAAGACCAATGCCTAGGTAGGCGCCAAGGTAGCGTACTGGTGTGCCTCGAGCGACAGGTTTGACAGGTAGGCCCTGGTAAGTTGCTGGGTTGTCTGGATCATGGCCAATGAGAATCGCCTCTGTTTTTGCAGTGTTGAACTTAGCGTTAGTGCCACAGCAATAAATGTCGAGTGCTGTCTGCAGATGGTGGTAATGCTGTGCGTGCATCAGAACGACTGCCATGTTATCCATGTATATGGCGTATGTGAATTTGACGTCCCCTGATACGAGACGCAATGTAGGTGAAACATGCGGTGGCATATGCTCACGTAGAGAGCATCCTAATAGCTCCATCACCATGACAAACAGAATGCACGACAGGGCGTCGCCTTGACGGACTCCATTGTCGACTGAAAAAGCCTGTGAGTCAATACCGTTGACCATGACAGTCGATGTCGCTGTTCTGTACAACGCCTCAATGAGCGCTGTAACCTGTGAAGGTAGACTGTAGTTTTCGCGCAACAAGCGAAACAATGTGGTATGTGAAACCCGGTCATAGGCTTTAGCCTGGTCAAGCAGCATCACCACAGCTGACGGATCCGGCTGCTGCTCCAAGTGATGCATAACTGACATGACGTTGTACACACTGTCAGACATCTTCCGGCCAGGGACGATAGCTGACTGCTCAGGTGAGATGTAGTCTTTGACAACTGCTCCTAGTCGACGGGTGATGATACTCTTGATAATCTTCAAATCCGAGTTGAGTAGCGAGATAGGCCGATAGTTCTGCAGATCCATCAGGTCCTTCTTCTTGTACAGAATGATGATGCGTCCAGCTGTGAACTGTGGAGTGACATACTGAGCATCATTCAGAATGTGATTGGCGATGTGCCACAGCGCCTCCCGCGCTCTCTCACATGCGATGTACAGCTCTGCAGGGATGCCATTGGGGCCTGGGGCCCGTTTCCGGCCTGCTCGTCTGCATGCATCATGAAGGTGTTGCAGCGAAATGTGCTCGCCTACTGAAACGACTGCAGAGGATACCGGAATTGTGGACCGCGATGCCAGGTATGTGCGGTGAAGACAGAGCAGATGCTCGATGTCGGCTGCTGCTGGTGATGTCGACTTGTACATATCCTTATAGAATGAGCGTGCGACATCCAGAATCTCACTACGGTCATCTACAACTCGCCCAGTTATAGAGTCTTGCAGTGTAGAAATCGTCATTGCTGCTGGTGGGTTAATCGAGCTGCGTATACGCTGGTAGTTCCAGGTTGAGCGCCTATCTCCATTGCGCAGCCAAGTGCCCTTGCATCGTCTAGCAACATGATCAGCCATGTGCACGTATGTGCGACAGGCTTCCTCTTCAGTAGCCTCCATCTGCCTGCGTATATCATCATATCGGGGGCCAGGGTCAAGCCAGCGTAGCTGGGTGCTAAGGTAAGCAAACTTGCGATACTTCTTATGAACGCTGCGGAACTGGTGACGATCCCGATTTAGGTCCATCCTACGGAAGTGGTCAAGAATTGTTTCTAGCACCTGCATATATGCAGGCACGATATCTTCGGGGTGGGCTGGCAAGTTTTCGAGGTAGGCAGCAAACTTAGCGTTCACATACTCAACGTTCTCCTCGATCTCTAGCTTGGCGGGGTCGAGACGATATGGATGATGTGTACGGCGAGGCGCTGGAGCAACAGCCGTGACTGTAGACATGATTGTCTTGTGGTCAGCAACAGGCAAACCGGCAACATACTCAGTTGTGGGTCGAGCTGCCCAGTCTCGTGGAATCAGAAACAAATCTAGCCGCGAGAGGTAGCCAGCATGGTTTCTGTTGAATGTGAAATCCGAAACAAATGGAGCATCGGAGTGACGGTCATTGCCAGTGGCAGATTGTTGGCACTGAAAATCAAGGAGATCAACCAGGTCATTGTGCATGGCGTACATCGGCACAATATGAAAGTTGCGCTCATCGACATTGGTATGGAGGCGGTCGTGACGGGTGGGCGCGATGTTGAAATCGCCACCCATGATAGCAGTCCAACCTTGCTGCTGGAAGAGATTGACTGCAGTGACGATGTTGTAGTGAAAGTCATCTGCATCACTGCCAAAAGGGCCATGAATGCTGACAAGCAATAAGTGCTGGGAAGGAAGTGTGACAAAAGTCGCTCGTGGTGATGAGAACCGGTGCTGAAGTTCAGCAGTGCCAAGTAATTGAGACATCATGATAGCTGTGTCAAAATGTGACGGGCTTCCATCTGAGCGCTGTGTATGCGGAGTGGGAGAGAGGCAGTGAAAGGAGTTGAATGCGCCATATAGGCATGTCGCTGGATCGTCGGTGCCCAGGAATTCTTGTAGAAAAACGATGTTGACGCCATTATCTTTGACGTACTGCTCAAATTCGATGAGTTTGCGCTGATTGCTATTGGCTCCTTGCATGTTTGCCAAGGCAACACAGATGCGCGGGCGTGCTATTGAGCAAAAGGCTGGTGGTGAGGGAACTGTCAATTCGGCCTATGGAGAGGCATCACTGTTGGCAGCTGAATCGAGGTAAGGAGCGTCGTGAGTATCAGAGACATCATGGACTGGTTCGTTGTCACTGTCATTTGCAGCGTCGGGGCTGAGAGCAGAAGAAAATGCATCAGGAATGAGAGATAAGGCTGGAGCTGGCAGAGAAGCACTGCCTGATGAGGATGAATGCAGAGGTGGACCTACTGAGTTTGCCGCTAAGTCTTCATGGTTTGAATAATCTCCCCAATTAGACATCGTAGCACTAGGTCAGTAAATGTGATGAGAGTATAGGACTCTACTGCGAGCCTGAGCGGCCCTGCTGGGATTTTGTGCGAGCCTGCCGTGGTGGTTGCTGTCTGCGGGGCTGTATGCCTCTGCGAGTATCTACAGAGTCAGGGGTTGAATCGTCATTCATTCTCATACTGTCTGACAGAGGCAATGCGGGGTGAGCTTCATCATCATCCTCAGAATCTGCAAAGCCCTCGCCGTTGTCCGAGCCAGGGGTGAAATCGTCATCAAAGACAGAGAGCGACTGCTCATGGAGAAGCTGTGCTTCGTCAACGTCTTCAGTCTGTGGGACCTCAGACACAACTGCAGCCGATGAAGGCATAGTCGTGGAGGCAGGGTGGGTAGGTGTGGCAGCCAGAGCGGCCCTAGGGGTCGTCGGCGCAGTGTTGTAGTGTGAGGCAGCCAGAGCGGCGGTAGTAGCCGTCGGCGCAGTGTTGAGGTTAGTAGCCGTCTGGTCGATTGCAGCAGTGGCTGCAAGAGAGGCTGCGTTGAAAGTGACATGCTTGCGGCCAGAGGGGGCCGAGGCTGACTGCTGGGGCTGCGTATGTGCAGGCTCATCCATATGCAGGTCAGTGATCTTGTCAGCAGAAGTACCACAGCTGCTAATGGCCATGTACTCCTCTTCCATTTCTTCATCAGTCAGATCATCGTAGATGCTGGGCCGGGCAAGATGGCGAATTGAGCCCTCGCAATGACAATTGTCTGGATTGATTTCCAGGCAGCGCTGACATGCCATGCTGGCATATTCGCCATGCAGGATAGGAATGGGAACTGGATGCCTGTGCATTTTGAAAGTCTCAGGCAGAGACTTACCGGCTGGGATATGGAGAAGCATCTCCTAGTCGCCAAGGTGGCGATGGTTGATATAAATCGGCTCCAAGTGGGTAACGACTCCATAGGGGCGAAGGGCAGCACGGATTTTGTAAGGCGCTGTAGCCAGGATGTTGGAGACTGCAACATGGTGGATCATCCCCTTATCGGACGTCCACTGAAGCTGCATCCCCTTGGACACGAAGGACTGCTTGGTAACAGACACTGCATCATCCAAGTTATGCAGCGTCACACCAATCTTGTCGGCAGACCTTGTGAATGAAAAGATCGGGTAGTCCTTATGGTTGGGGTGTACCGCGGGACGTCCGAGTGCAGCAAAGACGTGAGCTTCAACCTGCATGACTCGGTCGGGGAACGTGTTTGCCAACGGGACATAGATTGTCGCTGAGTTCTCCAGCGCCGCATACTCCTCCTTCTCCGCGACCATTTTGGCCGACGGGCAACGCGTCTGGGGCTGGCTTTGCCCAGTGTTGCAGTTGGCATTGCGGCGAGAGCCGCGAGAACGTCTACGGTGAGCTCCAGCTGCACCTGCATACGTTTGAGCCTCAGTTGGTGGATCCGTGGTACCTGCGAGAGCACTGGCGGCTACTCCCTCATCCGCCCAATCCATGAGCTCTGCTTCATCAGGATCGGTCCCATTTTCATCGACTGGATAGCGGCTCTCCGCACTTGCCAGCAAGTGAGGGGCCGTTGAGGTGGCTGAGCTGTGAGCCGAGCTACGTGGGTGATCACGAGTCTGTGCGCTTTTGGCCGAGCGCCTGGTGTCGCGGGTCACCAGTGTAAAAGCGCCACCTGCTATGGGAAGCTCACAATCTGCAGAGGCAGAGTTGTGAGCATCGGCCGGCGGGGCGCATTCACTGAATGCGCCTGCCACATGCGAATCCGTCGCAGCAGCAGGGTTGATGGATGCACCACCCATGGGGACAGGGTGCTTGTTGCGAGACATTCTAACAAAGCTGAACTCGGTAGAATATTAATAATGCTTGGGGTGTGCGCAATGGCACCGACTAGGAGGTTGCTGGTTGTGCTGCTATTGAAGGCTGTCCCAGTTATTGATAACGTCCGCAGAGCGGCAATAGAGTATTGCAGCGGTGAAAGAGTGCAAAAGTATTAGGCTCGGAAGGGAGCGGAGGTGTGGTGTTTAAAAGGGGTAGTAGAAAGGCTTGATCAGTGGGTTGAACACCAGCACTGACTGGATCTGTCATGAAGGACATTGTAGTTTCTTGTCTCGCTTTGTCTCGCTTATCTTGCTTGTAACGGTCCTGACTTAATAACTTGGAAAACTAATTAGAAATATAACTCAGTGAACTGTTCCTTAATGAGATCATATACTAAAAAGTAGACAATAAAACTAAAAGTTGCTCACTGCTCATAGCCATATTTATACTCATTCGGCAGGATGGACTTTGGCAAACGGAGTATAATACATGCTGTTATCGGCTGCTGGGTGCCCGCGGGATAGTGCTCCTACATCCGAATAGAGCCAATCTATGCATATCAGAGGTCACCTGTTGGTAGATGTCGGGCGTCGGACATATATCGAATCCATTCGTGGGAGTCAACTTGACCCGCGATAGTCAGGGGCAGCTAGCGCTGATAGCGAAACAGCGGCAAAAGAATGGAGGTAAAAGAAACAATTTGGTCCGGTTGCTGTGTAACCATGTCGTGATCCGATCATGGACCGATTACGACATGACAAACTTGTAGGTGAAATAGCTCAGATATTGGTCTAAATCACTTAATCCAGCCCGGCTAGCTCAATCGGCAGAGCGTGAGACTCTTAATCTCAAGGTTGGGGGTTCGACCCCCCCGTCGGGCTGATATTTTGCATACTTTTTGCTTATGGATTCGACAATGATCTTAATCACATTATACTATTTAATTTAATTTGCTTTTTGATTGCTGATAGCAATCCATATAAATTGCTATCATGGATTATCTGCATTTTAGCTAACTTGGTCGTTACTTGTCAAATCAGTTAGTAACACAATAGTCCTGACCGGTCTACTTTTTTCTTGTTACCCTCTTGCTATCATAGATATCATACTCAGCATCATGCCCCATCCTAGTTACAAGTGCAGGCCATATCCTTACGGCTTCTGCAATAGGATTTTCAGGACATTTGCCAGCTTTTGTAATCATCGTGATCTAGAAAAATAATAATAAGGGCTGGTATCTCAGTGATGCTTTGCCACAAAAAAATAAAAAAAATACACCAAGCAATCATCAGTACTCCGATAATATCTTTGTATCTGTAAGCTTAGGCCAGACTATTCTCTACAAGTGCTCTAACCACCTCAGAAAGTGGTAGCAATAGTGATTACTATCTGTAACTTATAATAGATAGATATATGCATATCCTTATTCATTGCTATGCTGCAATCAAATTAGAAAAAATATACTTAAAGAATATATCGGCTTTGGCCATCGGTTCTGGATATGCTAATGCTTGTGGAGCTGACGCTTGTCAGCTGTTGCATATATGCAGAATACTGGATGGTGCTGTCTCCACTTTCTACGTGTCTTTCGTTACTAGGCATTTGGCCATATGTTGCGTGTACACCTTCGCTTGCGTTAGACTGCTTAAGGTACGAGTCTGTGCCCTCTTCTATACCGTACAGCTGCTTGTGTGCGTTTCCGATGCGTGCCTGCTGTGCAACAATCCCATCTTGATGCATTTCATCCATGAACCGTCGCATACATTCCTCGCGCTTGAACATGTGTCCATAGATCGGGGGGCACAAGATCAGGAGGAAGTACGAATTCAACAATATTGCGTTGGAAAAAGCAATAAATATGCGCCCCCATGAATATACGAGAGCCTGCGAAACCATGAGCGCCGTGATAAGTACCACAAATGCAGTAAATAGTACAATTGTCCCCAGCGCAAGTTTGAACTCGTTGAACGCCTTTGCCACCGATCGCATCCGGAAATACAGAACCCACGCGACAATGTCCTGCGCGACAATGTACGCAATAATAAAGTAAAGGAAGCTAAAGTTGTTGTGGCATGCATTGAGCCCGTGATCCACCACAAGTTCCACCGTGAGTCGTGCCGGTAGAATAAATGCAACGATCGCAGTAATCACCATTGGTAACCACATGGCAAAGAACGGCCAGTACCTCCGCAGGAACTTTCGGATCGTAAACTGCTTGTAGCTATGTGTCTGCTGTGTGATAAATACACGGTAGTATACAATCAGGCGCATATTTATCAGGCTCTGGAATAGTGCCAACCCAAACACAGTCATCATCCATGTTGTCCAGAACCGACACATACCAAGCGCTCCTTCAAACCCTATCATCCCACTGATAATATTGAACGAAACGCAAAACATCGTCATGCCGAGTCCCATCCCTGCTGAAATCCAGACATTCTTGCTCTTTATTGGCAAGTAGTTGCGGTTGTATATCGCATATCCAACAACCGGTACGTTCAGCAAACACATCCCCATCGTTGCATAAAACACCGGCATCTCTGCTGATGATGTCCGTACATAGATGTATTCCCAGTTATCCGACATCCTTCTCAATAAGCGTATATAGAAAGAGAATCAGCAGCAAAATATTAGAAATGGAAGAAGAATAAGAGGAGATAAATGGTGTAAACATGCAGTGGATTTTTTTTTTCAAGAAATTGTTCTAGAGCAGCTCATCCTCTTTATATGTTTTTGCTATAGGCAGAGATAAGAGTACTCCTTTGCGATCCCTTCCCCACAGAGGTATCTAGCTGACTTTGGCAAACTGTTTTGACAACAAACCTTGTCCTCACTATAGCAGCTTGCGAGCATCCTGATTGTCATCCATGATCGCTGGTCTGTTGGACGTTCTATTTGTCCGACTATGATGATCGTTACAATTGCTTGTCATCGTAGATTCTGCTCACTTCTGAGTGCACCAGCTCCGTCTTTGTACGGCTCCGAATGAATATCTTTCTCGCTACTAAGGAAAGTGCTAGATAGGATGGTATTGTTCTTCATTACCATATTTCAGGCAAAGCACTACCAGATTGCACTGCGTCATCAGTATGGTGTCGAAAACCAGCTTCCTCATCGACATTATGTGGTCGACGTATTCCTCATTCCAGATCAGGAGACATCGTCAATTACTAGCAAATGCTGCTACAGTTCCCCGTAGGTGTCATACCGATTAATCTCCTGTCCACTAAGACCTTCTTTCTCCTTTCTCTCTAGTTCATTGTTTCTATGACACTCTTTCGAATTGGCTATAAAATGGCCACTTCAGATGGTGCTGTTGTTGGAAAAGTCATCAACTTTTTACCCCTTTACAATAAGCATGGCGCGGGGAATATTGTAACCGCCTCCACCCGGATCAACACCTAGTGCAACAATGCATGATGGAACCTGTTGGGAACTGCTTATCCCCAACCCCCTAGCGATCCTCTATTTCTTGATGCCGTCCTATCAGAGATCAGCGTCTTTATTTCTTAAACTGTTTCCTCAAACACCAACATTCATTCTAGAATTGCCAGCCAGTCATTAAAAGCAGATATATTTTGTTTACATGACACATTACATTGCTACGGGGATTAAATACAGTATTTTCAGAGGATCAGCCGGCCTCGGCTTTGGGCCGCCGCATCAACCGTGGAGATGCTAGTGGTGCTGGTACTTGCCAGGCGCTGCATATACGGCGAGTACTGGTCAGTACCGGTGCTGCTCTCCATAGGGTTAACTGCAGTAGGCATCTGGCTATACGGTGCATGCGCACTGGTGCCGAGATCCGACTGCTTGACGTACGAATTGGTGCCATCCTCAACACCATACAGATGCTTGTGTGCGCTTCCAATATGGGCTTGCTGTGCCAGAATCCCGTCCTCGTGCATATCATCCATGAACCGCCGCAACGTAGCCTCGCGTCTGAAAATGTGCCCGTAGATTGGCGGGCCCAGAATCGTCCAAAAATACGAGTTGAAGAGCACCATGTTGGCAAAAGCGAGGAAGATCCGTCCCCACGGATATACCGTGCCCTGTGCTAACATAACCGCCAGATTAAGCACAAAAATCGCGGTGAAAATGAGCAATGTCCACAGTGCCAGCCGGAACTCGTTGAACGCCTTGGCAATCTTGCGCATACGCAAGTACAGTCCCCACGCCACAAGCACCTGTGCCGCAAAGTAGGCAAAGATAAAATACAGGAAACTAAAGTTGTTGTGGCAGGTGTTTAGTCCGTGATCCACAACCAGCTGCACTGTCTTATGCGCCGGCAGCACCGATGCCACAATGCTCGATGCCACTACTGGCATCCATAGCACGAATAACGGCCAGTACCGCCTTAGGAACTTGGCCACGGTGAAGTGCGTGTAGCTGTGCGTCCGCCGTGTCACAAACACACGGTAGTAGATGATCAGCCGCATGTTCATTGGGCTCAGGAACAAACCAAGCCCCAGTGTGCTCATCATCCACGCTGTCCAGAACCGGCAATAGCCGAGCACGCCTTCAAATCCCATCATTCCGTTGAGGATGTTGAACGACACGTTGAAGATCGTGCTGCCAAGCCCAATCCCGGCCACAATCCACACGTTCTTGCTCTTAATTGGCAAGTAGTCACGATTGTATATCGCATATCCGATAATCGGGATATTGGTCAGGCTGACAGCGAGTGCAGTGTAAAACACTGGCATCTCTGCCACAGATGTCGGTGAGTAGTAGCGGTCCCAGTTGTCTGACATTCTGTGTGTGAAAAAGAAAGGGGGTTTAAAGGCGTGAGAAATTAATAGGAGGAAGGTAGTGTGAGAGTATCAAACGGTGGGCGCGGAGCAGCCTCTGCCGCATCGAAGAAAACCTCCCGTTGCCTTTAAGTACTGGCCTCCTCTGTCTCACTCAGTTTTCACTCCGCAACGAAGCGTGGTGAGCAAGATAATTAAGCGTGTTACGCAATGTGTGTATGCGCGCCTTTTCGAGGCTCTGTACCACCGCTTTCAGCTGCTTTTCATTCAATCCTCCAGAAATCCATTCTAGCGCTTCTCTCCATGCACAGCGAATCGGCAAACACGCCATTGCTGAGCCTTGTTTGTATTGATCCACACGCTGCCCACATACCCACTCTATCGCCTTGGTTTCCCGACACGTTGGGGTCGGCACATGAAGCAGAAAAGGGCGGTAATAATAGTAGCGCCAAATAGCGGAGGCGTGCTCAGGAACCCGAGTAGCGGATCGCCGCCTGTTTACTGAGTCGATGAAAACCTTTTCGATGCAAATCGCTGTCCGCATTTCGTCGGCTCAACGGCTCCGGACGGAATCATGCCGCCAATCACCCCACACTCGAAAAAAAAAAAAAGACCTTTCTCCAGCCCCGGCAGAACCCTTCCATGGTAACTCGCCACCAAAACAAATCTGCATCCCCTTAGTCTCTTGCATCGCTGCCCTCAAATGCACTATCTGGATCCATAGTGAATCTGGATGTGGTCAGGCTGATACCTGGATGTATTCCCATAGAGTTCGTAAGATGGACTAGGCATATCTGTCGTGTGCTTTATTATCCTCGCTCATAACACCGCATATCCACCAGTACGTGTTTCCGATTTTCATCTCTACCGTATACTCAGCCATTCTTGTGTAGCGTGTCCAGGACCTATTTTGTTCATAAAAGCTGGCATAGTGTGGCCTGGTAGGCATACCGTGTTTTCTAAGCAGCCTTTTTCTGAGCCAAAGAACCAATGTTAGCTAAAGGGTATTAGGAATAATTACTTGCCCCGTGGCATCCCCAGCCTATCGTCGAATGCACCCTCATGGTTCATACACAAAAGATATCAGTGTAATCTAGCAATGCTATTGTTCTTGTGATTTGTATTTTTTTTATTAGAGCATGTTTTTCGCAATTGTGTTTGTTGCCAGGCTTGGTGTGCTCTCTAAGTAACCGGCCTGAGAGGAAGAACTGTCTTGTAGCTTCGGCGGTGAATCAAAAGTATATGCGTACTGGTGGATGTTGTCGTCAGCGCCATAGAGATGGACCAGTGCATTAGATATGCTAGCCTTTTGGGCCGCAATGGTATCTGCATGCATATCCTCCTGGAAGTTCTTCAAGCACTGGTTGTGGTGGAAGATATGCCCATATATCGGCTTGCATAAGATGAGCCAAACATACGAGTTGAGCATTAATATCGTAAGCCAAGAGTTCAGTATGCGCCCCCAAGGCTCCAGGCTGAACCCCACAAAGTTATCCACAATATGGTAAACCAGCAACAGCGTGAATGTTACTAGCGACCAAATCGCAAGCTTGAACTCGTTGAATGCCTTCCCGATCTTGCGAATGCGAAAATACAGGTACCACGACAACATTAGCTGTAGTCCATAGTACGAGACTACATAATACATATACTCGTGCCTGTAGACACAAGTTCGTACCCCATTGGTATGAACACGGTTGCCACTCAGAGATGGTGGTAGCAGGTAAATGACTACAGTCGATATGACTGTCGGTAACCACATGGCAAAAAATGGCCAGAATCGTCTCAAGAACCGTGCCAAGGTGAACTTTCTATATGTGCGCGTATTTCCGGTTATGAATACGCGATAGTAGATAATGAGCCTCATGTTGATGCACGAGTGGAAGATGCCAGTCCCGAATGTCATCACTCCGAATCCAGCCCAAAACCGACAACTACCGGTGATGTCGTTATCAAAGCCAGCCATACCGTAAATAATATTTGCTGACACGTTGAATACGATGCTTCCGAAGCCTACGCCAGACATGATCCACACGTGCTTTGACCTTATCGGAAGGTAGCTACGGTTCCAGATTGCGTATAGTATCAGAGGCACTGTTGTCAAGTTCACAGCCAAAGGTGAGGTAAAACATGACGCGCTCCAAGCCGACCCCGGGCGCGTATACGTTATTCCAAACACTTGGGCTGTCTGAGCTGACAGGGCTAATATTGCTGGACAAGCTCATTCATTCATCGATCTTCAAGCCAGGCCAAGCTGTGAAAGGGAGATAGCGATTATAATAGGTAAGCAAAAGGGCGAGCTATATACAGAGAGCAGACAAGAGAAGGGGCAGGGAAATATAAATTACTGATAGACACAGCTGTTTGCTCAAGCCAGGGTCATCGTTATAGTTGTTACAGGGAGTAGCTGGTTCCGCGCAAGGGGAATCGCAATTTCCATGCCCTGATATCGTGCTACGTTTGCTTTCGAAGCCTGGCCAATCTAACGCTTGCAAAACTTGTGGATAGAAAATAGCACAAGCTTTACCAGAGGCGAATCAGACTGATGCAAAACGAGCTTTTTCACAGATGCAGCAGTGTCCGTCAATTTGCGTCACTCCATTTGTTGACATTTTGTTTTCCCAGTGCTTTGCTGTCCCCACGCGTAGCTATTTTAAAAGGTAGTGTTGGGACCAGCCGGTGTCAGGGAGCAAAAGCATTGTAGCAACATGCGTACAGTCTTACTAAACCCCCATTTATGCCTCTGAGCCAGTGTCAGCAGAGATAGCCCCCACGCTGGATGCGTGCAGTTTTTATTTGTGAAACCACCACCATCACTCAGCCCCGTCTCCCTCACCCCTTACAAGAGAGCTACAGGCACAGGAACAGGCACTCAAAAGGCCTTTCAGTAGGAATCCTCGGTAAAAGCCTATAGGCAGCCGAGCTCTCCTCTGCCACCAAACGCCATTCATTGTGTTTTCGGAGTACAGATCGACACCAGTGCATCATTCCATTTTGAGAACTGAAATTACCGAGCGCTACAAAGTTGCGAAAAAAATACCGCTTTAGTTGGTAGCGTTATGTATTTTTGACGTGTGCAGCTGCTTCATCTGCACTTCGAATCAGGACTGAAAAGCCTAGAGTCTGCCAGTATCTGAGCGACCTGCGCACCTGACATGTCAGAGCTGGGCTCAAGGCATCGCTGTGCTGCGTTTCAATCAGGGCATCTGCCCACTGGCGGTCCTTTCCCAAGAGAGCGCCTGCTGGTTCATCTGGTTATGGAGAGTCCGAACTAGATATTGCTGGAACCCTCACATGGTTCTGAGCGACGCGGGAGATATGCAAGATGCTATCCAGACGCGCATAATCGTGCATTAGAACTGTACTATTTGTTAACATCTGAATGATACTGTGGCCAAGCCAAGAGCATATTTATAGAATCTGCCGCCTGTTGTCATAGCCCATTGTTGGGCGATCGCTGGGCTGAGCCGGCATTCTATACGCGAGCTCGTGCTCCGGACTCGAATATGTAGTCGTCGTCCACCCGCGAGAACTGAGCACCAGAAGCATTATCCTGCTGTTGCGAATACGAATTGTTGTATGTAAAGTATGTGGCTGTGTTTTCTGGTCGTACCCGACTGGTAGATACTTTCGAGTCGCCAGCGCCAGACGTGGGAACATATGTGTCGGTTCCTTCGTCCATCCCGTACAGCTGCTTGTGCGCGTTGCCGAGCCGAGCCTCTTGTGCAACTAGGCCGTCCGAGTGAAGCGCGTCGAGGAATTTTCTAAGCGTCTTTTCTCTTTGGAAGATGTGGTCCAAAAACTGGAGGCGCCAGGATAAGCAGGAAGTAAGAGTTCAGCATCGCTGTATTGATGAATGCCGACGCAATGCGGCCCCAAGCGTAGATGGACCCGCCGACCATGGATATCGTTATGTTTGCAGGCTAGCATCACGGTGAAGATAACGATTGACCAGATGGCTAGCTTAAACTCGTTAAAGGCCTTCGCAATCCTCATCACTCGGAAGTAGAGCACCCACGAAATGACAATCAGCAGGGCAAAGTATCCAAAGCACCAATACAGATAGGGATAGTAAAAGTCGCAGGTCGGGACACCCTTATCGTACACTGAGCGAACACTGAAGCTAGAGGGCAGAGCCTGAACTACTATTGCCGTCACAAGTGATGGCAGCCAGAGTGCAAATAGCGGCCAGTATTTCTTGCAGAACTTCAAGACTGTGAATCGTTTGTAGCTGAAGGTGTGGCGAGTGATGAATACCCGATAGTATATAACCAGGCGCATGTTGATCAGACTGAGGGCGAGTCCGAAACCAAGAGGATTCAAAAGCCAGCTGGACCACAGCCGGCAGGACCACAAGAGCGCGTTGTTGTACCCAATCAGTCCAGTGGTGACGTTCATGGCCACATTGAAAATCGTTGTCGACACCCCGATGCCTGACACAATCCAGACGTGTTTACTTTTGATGGGCAGGTAGTTCCGAAACCAGAGGGCATAGGCAGCGAGAGGGATGTTGGCCAGGTTAATCGCGAGTGCAACGTAAAATAAAACGTGCTCAATGTGTGTTGAGGGTATGTAAATGGTTTCCCAGCCTTGGGAGAAGTCGCTGCGAGCGCTCATCGGTAAGATCAATAGGGGAGTCTGAACAGTAGGCAGGTTTGGTGAGGGTGGATTGCAGGGCTGAAGGTATTTACAAAGAGACGTGATAGTAGAAAGAAAGGTGGCAAAAGTGGTCTTTGGGTGGAAACGGGGCAGGAAGGAAATATAAATATTCATTCAAATGAACTTGTGCTCCCTTCTTTTCCGCCAACACAAATTTCTCCCCATGCATGCGCGCTGGCCCGCCAGACCGCGCACTGAAGTTTCTGCCTTGTAGACGTGCTGGTCAGGCTGTAGGAGAGAGCCGCAATGTAAATCGCACCTTCGCTTGCAACTCTTTATTTATACGCTGCTAATCTGGCAATGATTGTGCGATGTCGTCCAAACTTTATGAGTGCCGAGCACAGTAAGCAGGCAAAAAGTTAAATACAGACGCCTGCCGTCCACGCCAGTGATTCAGGGCGAGCGGTGAAGCAGACGCGCTCATTCAGATAGACTTCATTCAGATAGACTTCATTCAGATAGACTTTGGACGCGCTCTGCTTAGCGTTACACAACCAGTAAGGATACTCTGGACACTGCTGCCTGGTTCGGAAGGCAGAGTAGGTTGGCCGCTTTTTGGGCTACCGACTGGCAGACTGCTCCCTTGGTGTTGTGCTGGCCACTAAGAAACCGTAAAAAGCTGGGGATTTGCACAGATTAATGCAACAGCATATGCCCGTCATTGGTTCAGGTTGTCCTTCTCGTAATTACTACATGCCCACATGAAGATTTGCTTCCCAGAATCAAAGCATTCGCGAAGACCTTCAGTGATCACCCTAGTGGTCCAAAGTTCCGGCATTTACTCGAGACCAAAACAAGCAGTAGAAACAACTGCCAGAGAATGGGGAGAGTCGGCATGTGGGTGCGAATCACTGTTGGAGAATGGCACATGGAATTAGCAGGAAAAGCAAAAGAAACCAAAAGCAAAAGGCATACTGGTGCTAGGGTGCAACGGGATGTAGGCAGGCTTCTGGGTGATGCACACACCACAGCGGCTGCAGCGGTTCGGCCATAATGCCACGTGCAACCATGCGGAAGCGCTGGTCCGTGAGACGTCGGCATCACCTTTTTGATGTCGCGTGTGGTGTTTGTTACTGGGTCAATGTTGCCGGTCCACATCACCTCGGCGAAGGCTGAAGCGCGCGGCCACAAATTGCGATCGATGGTGGTTTCATCCGACTGGGAAGAGAATAGCGCTACTTCGCCTCCTAGAACCAGCTTCTGCTTGATGGGGTCGGTAATGTTGGCCAATGGGTCATATGTGTAGATGGTCTGCCAGCCCTTGTACGGATCGCACCAGGACGTGCCACCAAAATCTGACAGCCAGGAGCCGTGGCCGCAATCGAGATAGTACTTGTTCCAGGGAGAGGCAACGGCACGGTACCCACGATCGACGATCTTTCCAACAGAGTCCTCATTGATCCATGCCTGCACAATGGTGGTATTGCGCGCTGTGAAGTTGTGGCTCAAGATGGTGTCCTCCCAAACCATAGGGATCTTTCCCAGGTCATCGAGCTTGTTGGCCATCTGCGTGCTCCACCCGACAATAAGTGAGTCGACGCTCTCGCCTGGGTGATCACGCACGTACATTTCAATGGTCGGCTCCTCTCCGAAGCAGTCCAGGTTTAGCGCACCACCACCCATGTGGTACTGGAGATCGACGAACAGACGGCTGTACTCGGCCATAATATCAAATGCAAACGAGATAGCGCGCGGATCGGCAATGTTAAGCTGGCCACTGGGTGGCTCCGCCGTGTACTTGTCCCAGTTTGGCTGCTTGTTCATGCAGGCCATGAGCTCTGGGTGCGACTCGCCAATAATGTAGGTGTGGCCAGGCATGTCAAATTCAGGGATGATGCGGACAGCACGGTTTTTGGCGTAGGTGATGATCTTTTTGACGTCTTCGTATGAGTATCTCATGTCCAAGGTGTACGCGCCCTTCTCGGTCAGTTCCGGGTGGATCTTGGACTCAATTGGCCACGAAAAGGCATCAACTACATGCCAGTGCAGGACGTTGAGCTTGTTGTATGCCATTGCATCGAGGGTACGCAGGATTGCGTCGACATGGAAAAAGTTGCGTGATGTGTCGAGCAGAATACCGCGATGGGAGAATTTTGGCGTGTCCGAGATCTTCACAGGTGCATTGCGGATAACCTTGCGACCGGAATTAGCAGTCACCAGCTGCGAGAACGTCTCAAGCGCACGTACTGCGCCGAATGGGGTCTTTGCGACTATACATGCCTTGCCGTCGGCTGGTACATCAAGCGTGTATGACTCGTCCGGTTTCGAGATCGAACACGTCCTGGGCAGACCACACGTCGACCTCGAGTGAATAGATGCTGCCCATGGTTTTCAGCGTCCCAGAATCGCGGTCGATTGGCGATTCGTAGTACTCGTGCTCAATCAAGTACTGGTAGCGCTCAATGGCGGCATTGATTACCGAACTCGATGTGACATTGGATTTTATCATGAAATCGCTCCGCTTGATCTCGACGCCAATCTTGCCATCCTCTATAGAGCTGGGTTGTGGCCAGACAGCCTGCACAAGCGTAGCTGAGGCAATAAAGTGGACAAAAGATACCAATATTTTGAATGAGCGCATAGAACTAATAACAAAGGAGCGTAGAAAGAAGAAAGAAAGAGGGTGTAAATTAGTGGATGAGAGAACATGGAAAAGAGGTCTTGTTGAGCAAAGGATGCAGTCTTGATATACAGCTGGTGGCGGTGGACATGGAGCTGTAGAGAATGTTTAATCAAGCATAGTAGTGTCTCCATCAAGGACCAAAAAGTAACAAAGTCACAGAATGAGCCGTGGAATGCTGGGCACTGTAGGAATGCATGGTGTCGTCCGCCATGCCCTGTCCAGATATCAAGCACCCTCTCCGCAGAACCAGTGCTGTCGTATTTGCACCAGCTATCGCCGACACAGACATTCTCAATTGATCTTTTCCTAGTGCCGTACTGGCAGTTTTCTAGAGAATGGTCACTGCTCTGTTGATGCAATTATCTATTTAAAAGAAAATGCCGGCACACGGCTGCCCGCCGGACCGCATGGCCAGTCTTGATCTCATCATGCTGCAGTCTGACGTCTGGACCAACTACGCCTGGTCCCAACAAACAAGCGCACCCGCACTATTTCCGATAAGAAGCGTTGTATAAATGGATCTACCATGTGTTTTGACACTGTCGGATCTATGATAGCCCAGGCCGCAGGAAAGTACCAGCCCATGTCTGTGCGCAGGGACAAGGACCAGTCAGGGATTCCCAGAGACCCGTCTGAGCCGCGGGTGCAATCCCCCTTCCCTCCCCGCACTGGTTCCCCTGGGTCGTTTCTGCCTATGCAGCGGAGATTCGCACGCGTCGAGACAGATGCCAATGCAGAAAGCAATTGTCCGCGCTAGTTGGTGGTGCTCGTTCTGGCCAAGATGGGTTCAATTTATTGCAGCGCCTCAGTCAGCTCTGGCCAGCAAACAATGGAGCTTGGTATGCACAGGGCATAATGGGGGTGGAATAAGCCACCGGGTGTGTTTCCTGGCACTGGCTAGAAACCGCCCTTGTCTGGCGGCGCGAACATAAATAGGTCAACGCAAGCAGACAGATGAGGCAGGGATGGGCTGGGCTGGGCAACGGCTTGCGGCCTAGTGTCCCCTGTACAGGCCCAGAGAGCAGTGAAGATACATCTACTTCGCGCGTACATGGATTTTGTCAATTCACAGTCAATGGCGGCGATCTGCCACGGCTTCGCTATTTTAAAGTAAAAAATCTCGTTGTTTTGCTAGTGGTCTGCGGGCCCACTCTTGGGACACAAAGTAGCTCTAGTGCAACGCCTTTTTCTTCTACGCCTACTCTTCTTCCTTTTTCCGGATTTCTTCGTTTTTACATTTCTCCTTTTTCTCACCTGCTTGCGTTTATTTGGCAGCTCTATTGCGAGTTTCGTTCTCTCTTTGTCACCTCTTGTTTTCGCACCTCCAACCAACACGTGTAGCGCAGAACCGGCATACCGGGGTTCCCGCACCGAGTGGACCTGCGCTCTAACATATCAGTCCTTCTCCACCTTCACCACCCTTCTCCCCCCACCCCTCAAAGTCCTCTTGCCAAAAATTAAGGGTTTCCGGTCGTGCGTATTATCTAAACCATATCTTTAATCCATCTCTTCCGCCCACCGCAACAGAATGACAACACGTGCGCGCCCATCGACAGCAGGGGCATCGCTATGGATCTCAATACGCGCCCGCGAGCGACCGGGAGCCTCGGCCCGGCTGGACCTGAGGCAGCGGGATCAGAGGCTGGACGCCCCGGAAACAGCAGTCTCAATTCGCCCTGGTGGCAACAGTGGCGGCAACAACACGCGCTCGTTTCGCTTTCTTTTGACACTGGCCCTGCGAAAGGCGCAGACGGCTGTGACTCTGGACAACGGCGGCCATGTTGAGGAGGCAATTCGCACCTACCGGGAGGCTATCAGCATGCTCGGCCTGGTGCTCAGCAGGACGAATGAGGAGGACGGTCGCCAGCGGTTACTGCACTTTGTAAGTCTAAACCGGTCTGTTTTTGGAGACAATTGCTCAGTGGATACAGGAGAAAGAGAGCAGTTTCTTTTTCGCCTGCAAAGCTGTTTCTGCTTTACTGCCGCTGTCGCACGCCGCGACAAGCAGTTCTTGGTGTTGTTCTGGATTGTTGGCATCCAGGGAGGTCCATTGCCTCAATGCCAGGGAATATCGGATAGGGCTGAAATTGGCAGCTGGCCTTTTGCTGCTTGTCTGAGAAACATTTGGCACAGCCCAATCCTAAGCGGAAGCCAACTAATTCACACGACCTTTTCTTTGAACAAGTAGAGGCAGACATATCTGGACCGCGTTACGGTCCTGTCATCGCTGAGACCGTCGGCAAATGATGCACAGGTGCATCAGCATGGAGATCCTAGCGGCTTGGAGCTAAATGTTGCCCCGGTATCTCCTTCGCAGAACCACAGCTACCACCTTCAGCAGGGGCCACATACGCCACGTCGGGCTTTAGATGGAGAATCAACCCGTCTGGCAACCAGGGATCTATCAACAAATGCGACAAGCCGACAACAACAACAAACAACAACAAGGAACTGCCAGAAGCTGCTGCAGGCGACAATCCCAGCGCGCAGACTGTTGATCGTCACGTTCATAGCATAAATCAGGACACTGGCGACGAACATCTACCGCCGCCGCCGCCCACACCAGCAAAGGACCCGCTGCCACTGAACCTGAAACACAGCCAACATTCGCAGCAATCCATCGGTGGCCTCGCTGTCCTTGCCGGGAAGCGGCCATCACAGTCCGGTGTCGCTGGCAAGTGGCCCCAACTCGGCCTTCGACCACCTCGCCCTACTTGAGCAATAAACAGCTTCCGCTGTTGCCAGCAGGAGGCGACGGAGCATCTCGATCGCGCAGCGACAGTGTCTCGTCGATGGCAAGTGCGCGCCAAACAAGGTCGATTTTGAAGAAAACCGAGGATGGTGCAGCAGGGTCACAACCCGATGAGCAGACTGGGCCTAAAACTGTAGGCAGTGATCGTCCGCGTAAGATGAGCAAGGCCTCTGGCAGTCAAGGCAAAGCGTAGCACCAGCATTGCTAGCGATGCTGTCGACGAGAGTGCAGCAGTGACTGGGCGGGATCGAAGCACAAGCATCAAAGAGGCTGTTGTCAGCAGCACCATCAACGAGGCTTCCGAGAATGCTGCCAGTGGAGTTGACGAGCAGCGACAGGACAGGGACAAAGAATCAGGAAAGGTCTCGCGCCGCCAGAGTATCAAAAACCAGCGCAGTCTGCCGGCAATGTTTGGCCTCGTTCGCTCAAAGTCTGACGACAAGCCGCTGCCCCCGGTGCCGCCGCTGCCCAGCAATGAGTACCAGAGCCAACACCAGCCGAACGCACCTAATCTAGGACGCCGCTTCCTCAGCGCATTCCGCAGCAACTCGGGCAGCGATATCTCGGGCGCAGCCGCCGGCTCTGACACGCCGTTCGATACCAACCAGAGCAGTGATGGCAGGCCTAGTACCAGTGGCGAGCCTGCAGGTGGCGAGGTGGTATCGCCTACTCAATCAGAGCAGACAGTTGAGCCCAGACGCTCGCACTCGTCATCCATGGTCCGGCAGCTGGCGCCGTCATCGACTACCCTGAACCAAAGCGAATTCTCTCCTGAGACCCAGCCTCGCAGCACTGAATTAGAGCCGCCTGTAGCGGCCCCGATCAAGTCACCGATTCGCGGGCTGACCAAGGAACAGAAGCGCCAGAGCGGAGCTGCCCACAAACTTGCTGGTTTGTTCAAGCGCAAGCAATCTATCCCTGACATCCCTGCCGCTGCCCAAGCAATAAAGTCGCCAGTCGAGGCACTGAAGTCACCCAACATGCCTGCATCGGCGTCGTCATCGCACACGCTTGTACGCGACCGTCGCTTGTCATCTTCTGCATCAACACCGAATCTGGCAGAATTAGCTGCAGTTGGGCAAGACCAGCAGGCTATGGCTGTGTATGCAGCGACGGAGCGCGGCGACCTTCCGCCTATGCCTGCGCCACCAGCTGCATATCCTGGACTATCCACAACAAACTATGGACAGCCGATTTTGGGCGCATGCACAGATGACGAAAGAGACGATGCTGGATCACCTCGCATCACACCCGCCAATGCTATCTCGCATCTGTCAACGATCCCTGAGCAGCAGGTCGAGCAGCAGCAGCAAAAGGTTCGGCACTTGCTGCGTATCTCCACACGTAGCCATGGTGATTACGGACCTGACACAGTGGCCCAACGTAGCGACAGCATCTCGTCCGATACGCACCCGATGATTCCAGGTCGCAAATCCAGTACATCAGTGGGAACTGGCTCCCAGTCGATCTCGCGTGGAGGCGTGCCGCTCTCGGCAGGTATTAATGCCAGCAGCACCCTGACTGCTTCGCCAAGCTCGCTTGCACGATGCACGTTGTTTGATGTCGAAGAGGACCAGCGGCAGGAAATGTTTGATCCGTCGTTTGGTACATTCCAGACTGATATCGGGCCGCCACCGCCCAAGTCAAGCCCTCTCTCGTCCTTCTGGTTTATCAACACACTGCACCGGTCCATGGTTTCGACAGGTGCGCACCTAACGCCAAACATGTATATTCCGCGGCGCCTGTGGTACCAGAGCGGGATCCGGATTGTCGCAATCGAGACAAAGCTCAGCGTTGTTACACAGCTGACACAGATATTCTCGTCAATTTCTCCGTTGCTGAACTTGCCAGACCTGGACTCTCTTTTTGACGCGCTGGCCGCGACCATAACAGCGGTCCCTACCAGCAATGCGGAACGATGAGCGGGCACAGACGGTACCGTGGGAGACAGACGACGTGCGCGCCTAGACTCAATCGCGAAAAGGATAGCTTGCACAAGTCGTGCGTGGCCATGCACCACTTGGCTCAATAGTTTGGAAGATGCGCTCGAAAGCAGCCGCCGTGTGCTGAACAAAAAACTGAAGTTCATAACTTCGTCGGCATCGGCATCGGCATCGGCATCGGCATCGGCTACCTCCAGTATTCCTGTGCCGCAGCTTCAAGCTGAGAATATGAATGGATCGATGACGCACCTCCCAGCCCCGGCCAATGTTGAAGGGCATGCTGCAGCGCTGCTGTCACCAACTGTCCCGTCGGGCGGAGAATCGACTGGCTCGAACCTGCTTAACCCCCCATTGAGCCCTGCCAACGAGTATCCTGATGTGCGCCTGTCTGATATCCGCCTGTCGGATTCGCCTGGCAGTATCCACATGAACGGGTCGTCGGCCACGCAGCTGAGTAAGGATCAAATGAGCAACTCGAGATTCAAGGGACTGGGGAAGCTGGGCAAGAGCGTTGACAAGATCTACTCGAATATGCAAAAGGAGAAGCTCGAAGACACCACGGTCTATGTTGCCTCGCTGCAGCGGCTGTTTGAAGCGGTTATGCAGCTTGAAGGCGTGCTGCACTACTTTGCGCGTCTGGCCAGTGATTCGGAGACTGTTGGGTGGTTTGTCGACAACCTGCAGTCGCCGGTTGGATTTGTGAATCCGCACTACTTGAACAACGACTCAAACAGCGAGCTCAACAGATCGCACACCCACCTCGCCACCACACCATCCTCACCGCCGCAGCCATCATTGTCATCCAGCCACGATGAGTCGCTGGCCGCTGGCAAGCACCAGGCATCGGACCGCAAATCCCGCCGCCGGTCTAATTACTTCACTAGCCCCCCGCATGTCCACCGCCAGGGGTCTACACAGACGCCAGAGGTTGCCGACTCCAGCACCAGTGTGTTTGAGGGCAAACCTCGCGGCAATTCGATCTCCTCAATCCCACGCCTTGTGCCTCCTGTATTGGGGAACAGTTCTGCGAATGCGCGGTTCGTTCTTCCTGCTAGCGCGATCAAGACACCGATGTCGCTCGTGAGCCAGGGCAAAGGGCGTGCGCCAGGGGTGATATACGCACGCCTGATCAGGGTGGCTGAATGGCTCAACCAGGTGCTATTGGCATGGGTTGTGCGAGACATCCAAGTCTTGTTTGCAAAGTACATCAAGCGCCTTCGGGAATGGGTGGTTGAGTAAACATATTTTGCGCTATTTCCGTCAACGATTCCTTCCTTCCATTCGTATGTTACTCCATTTATTATGCCTCCTCATATCTTATGTTTTATTCACTCTCCAATTTTGCAACATGTTCTCAGGGTGCGCGCTTTTCTACATCGTGTTATTACAACAAAAATCCGCCTTGAAACCTAAGCAAATATCCGATTCCGGAACCCAGCCAGCCCACGGGCAGTGTTTTTGAATTTTCACTCATTGAAAAGCATGCGAATACAGCGTGTCTGAATCAACCATAGCCTCCAGCGAAGGTCTGGCTGCTCCAGAGTGGAAAGCAGATACCAGAACTCATCTGGCTGTAAAATGCAAAAGCGAGCGCGAAATCTGTAGTATTTGATAGTTTTGTCAATGCACACCCTTACCACTTTGTACTCACCAAGTAATGCTTGTGCCCATTTCCAGGGTAACCTATCCGTGACGCATACTGTGATACTGGTTTCCGGGCATATTTCTCGGGAGTGACCAAGGTCGAGCGGGTATATTCGTCTGTATTTGCCACAGAACATGATGGTATCATGTCCGCTCCATGCTCAGCCATGCTGACTCCACATTCATCTACGTCTGGGACTTTGGCGATACAAGTGCAAAAGACCGCCAATTGAGGCGCTGTCACACATGGTGCTTGCCACCTTCACATTTATTTCCATTTCCGGGATGCATGCCTCGTATATGCACGTCTCAAATGCCCGAGAGCAAGCTGAATGTCTATGGCCACGCTGGCAATGGACATTGGGGAGTCTATTCACCCCTCATTCCATATGCACTCAGAATTCTCCATCTTCCCTGCTGAAAAAGTATGTGGAATGAACCTGGCATACATATTCAAACAAATGAATGCAATGTTTTTGGTATTCAGTTGCGTGGCTAATGTAGCTCCATGCATTTCCAAAGTCCGCTGTGCCAGAATGGAAGCGTGAACTTGTACATGGAGATGTGAGGTGAACGGAGAGTGTGCTGCAGTAGCAAGTGAGCATGCTAGGCACAGCTTTACAAACTGGAAGGAGGCAGCGATCTCATTGGGAGAGGATGTTAGATGCCATGCCAAATGATGAAAGTGGATATGCCCGCAGGTATTGCATAAAGCTACTAGAGAGAATTGATAGAGAATGGGGTGATTCCGTGCCACTGGCAAAAATAAGAAAAATGGAAAGCCAGCGCGCCCTCGGTTTTCTGCTTTTGAAGGAGCGCGAATTCCCTGCACCTGCCCTGGTAGATGAAAGAGGTTTGTGTATGTGAATGTAATTTTTCAATTTATTTTCTTCTCATTCACCACACATCTCTTTAGTTTAAATTGCTGCGTTGCCTACCCAATACACATATACCTTGTATCGATTAGACACTACAAGTCTAGATTTAAGCTTGTCCATAGGGGAAACTGTAGTCGTATAAAACCAACCAACTAATCTTGCTGTCTCGTGGTGCTTATAAGTATATACCGTCATATTCCCTATCGCACGGTCCTCTCATACTCTATCACACTATAATAATATCCATATGAAGTCTGAGCCAGCCACACCCACAGCCCATTCCTCCGTGAATGATCTGAGCCGTGGGCCGACGGTGAGCCAAACAGACAGCTCTGTTGCTTTCGACGACACATACGCCGGGCCGACACCGTTGAATGGTGTGCTTCCCGAGAAAGACACATCAGCGTATGCGCCTCCACCAGACGGCGGCTACGGGTGGGTGGTGGTAGCATGCAGCTTTCTGCTCGAGTTCTTTGCTGAGGGCCCGCTCAGCGCATTCGGGGTGTTCCAGGACTACTATGTGAACGACCGGTTCAAGGGCAGGGTGTCGAACGCGACAATCGCCTTGGTTGGCGTACTGAGTGCCAGTTCTATGGCATCGCTTGGTGTTGTTTCAGGCAAGCTGTGCGAAAAGTTTGGATACAGGGTTGTCCCTCTTTGTGGAATATTCCTGCTAAGCATGGGTTATTTCCTGGCGTCATTTGCGACAGAGGTAAGCCGAAATAGGAAATTGGGCATGTACAGTGTGGCACACACGGGCTGTCAAATAATAATAGCACCAGCAATTTGCGTAATGTAGCCATGGCATCTGCTGCTGACACAGGGTATTCTCTGTGGTGTTGGTGCAGCACTGACCTTCATGCCAGCGGTCGTAATTCCGGCTCAGTGGTTTGAGAGACGCCGTGGGCGAGCTACAGGTATCGTCAATCTAGGTATCGGCGTTGGTGGTCTGGTCTGGACGCAGTTCAATCATTTGCTCATCAAAAAAATATCGGTGGCCTGGACGCTCCGACTAACAGCAATAGTTGTGCTTGTTTCCTGCAGCGCAGCAGTGATATTGATACGCACATACCAGACGACGCCTATTAAGAAAAAGGTTGATATAAAGGCGCTTGGCGACAAAAACTTGATACTCTTCCTGGGTGGCTCATTCCTCACCGGCATTGGTTCGCTGATTCCATTCTACTATCTACCAGGTAAGGTACTTCCGCATATAGTCACCAGATCCAATAGCATCTAAATAGGCATGCAAGGCACTAAATTGCTTTCTTGTAGCGTACGCCGGAGCGATTGGGCTGACCGATAGCAATGGTGCGACAGGTAGCTAGCGTCGCCAACGCAGCTTCACTCACTGGGCGCTTCCTCGCAACAGCCATCTCTGATTTGCTTGGCCCAGTAAAAATCCTGCTGGTTGCCTCTTTCCTGACCTGCTCAAGTATCTTGTTTGTATGGACGTCTGCCCACAACTATGCGATTACTTTGGTGTTTGGGCTTTTATTCGGCATAGGCTACGGTGCCACATTCACACAGACATCGGCTTTTGTTGCCAGGCTCTTTGGTAAGTTGGCTTTTATATTGTGTAGCAGTGATGGGTAGTAAGAGATAGAGCGTGGATGGCTCCTATGGCGCAAACGCTTGAGTGCGCATGTTAAGGGGGAGGGGGTGTTGGATTGAGTGCTAATACAGCGTGAATGTCACTTTGAAAGCGTAGGTGTCGACTCGCTGCCGGTGTTTGTCGGACTTTACTATACCATGTCGGGCATTGGCTATCTGCTCGGCCCACCACTAGCTGGTGTCATTCTGGAACGAACAAAGTCATGGGGTGCACCATACACAGCGCTGAAGCTGTACTGTGGTATCCCAATGTCTATGGCATTTGGTGCAGTCGTGATTATACTGATCAATACTAACCGCAAGCGGATCGTGTGAAGTGGGCATGGGTGTGTCTGGCTGCACCACAAAATCCTTCCATACATTTTAACATACTACCCTTAATGTGTTCAAGAACTACTATTCCGCCACGCAAGGCACTGAAATCAACACAAAAATAGGTCTCAGGACATCCAGAACTTTGGATATACAGTCAAATGGTGGGGGAGGGGGCCGAACATATCGGGATCCATGCGCGCATGGTCCATGGTGTGGAGCATGCTCAAGCGCCTGCTATACTGGCTTTTTGAGACTCCAACCATGCTTGTATTGTTCTGCGTGCCATTCTTTTACATATGCTCAATGGACAATGCAGAATTTCAAAGAGACTCCGGGAATGGGATCTATTCTAGCTGGAGGAAGACATTGGAGAGACTCTGAGAGCTTTGCAGCAGGGGTGGCAGGGTGGTATGGATGCAGTGTTTTGCATTGCACAGCCTCGTGCGGCAGGAGGAGAGAGAGGTGTAGTGCTAGCGCCCTAACACCACTGGGCTCTGGGAGCTAGAGAGAGCCTCTCGACACAAATAAAAGAGGGAGGCTGGAGCAGCCACAATATTGAGTCGTCCACTACACAGCCCCCTTATAAATACACACATCCCTACTTTAGCCTCTTTCTTATTGAACTCCGGTTCGCTTCGACTGCTCTGTTTACTTTCCTCTCCCCAGCTACCATCTTTTCACTGCTGTCGCTTACAGAGGTATCGTACCGTTCAGACGCTTTCCTGAAAGAGCACTTGGCGCAATAGCTGGCTAACCAGCCTTTTCCTTCCATTACAACCGGCTCTATACTCCCGGCAGACCACTAGTATCATTAATACCATGGTTCGTTTGAATTGCGCTCTTGCCCTGCTCGGCGCTGCATCTGCAGCGATGGCGACCACCGTCTGGCCCCTGCCAGAAAAGTTCATCACTGGCAGCCACAATACGGCGGTTGGCACCATCAGTATATCTGCGGTAAATTCGACGTCATATGTGCTGAAGAACGCGATTAGCAGATATACAGGCATTATCAACCACGAGTCGTTCCTGGCACCGGTTGACTACAGGCAAGGGATCATTCAAACCAACGGACAACTTGGGGGCCTGACTGTGGCTGTTGACAGCACTGATGAGACATTGTGCCTGGAGACTGACGAGTCGTACGTTCTGCATGTCCCAGAAAACGGACAGGCCACGCTGAAGGCGCATTCAGTATACGGGGCTGTGCGCGGACTCGAGACGTTCTCGCAGCTTATCTCAGCAAATGGATACGCACGGGTGCTGAGGAATACGCCGATTTATATCGAGGACAGGCCAGTGTTCCGGCACCGTGGAATCCTGCTCGATACGTCGCGCAACTACTTCCCTGTGAAGGACATTCTGCGCACACTAGATGCCATGTCCTACAACAAGCTCAATGTGTTCCATTGGCACATTGTCGATGCGCAGTCGTGGCCGGTCGAGTCTAAGACCTTCCCGCAGCTGACGGCCAATGGAGCCTACGGGCCGAATATGCAGTACTCGTACACGGATGTTCAGAACATTCATCAGATATGCCAAGGATCGTGGCATCCGTGTCATTCCAGAGTTTGACGTGCCTGGGCACACGTATATCGTCGGTATGTCGTTCCCAAACATTATGTCGTGCATGAACAAACAGCCAAACTGGTCAAAGTATGCAGCAGAGCCGCCCAGTGGACAGCTCAATATCGCCAAGCCTGAGTCAATTGACTTCACGAACAGGGTCGTCCGCGAGTACAGCAAGCTGTTCCAGGACCAGGTTTTCCATCTGGGTGGCGATGAGGTTAATCGCAACTGCTGGAACGAAGACCCGTATGTGCGGGCATATTTAGCAGCGCATCCTGGCGAGGACGTTGAGGCTTTGCTGGTGAACTTTTATGCCAGGGTGCACAGCTACCTTGAGGTTCTGGGCAAAACAGCAATGACGTGGGAGGAGACGCTGTTCCATTCCAACTACACACCGTCCAAGGACACGATCATTCAGACATGGATCGATGAGCAATCGATCCCTAAGACAGTTGCCAAAGGCTATCGGTCTATTGCCTCACCGGCATCTTCATACTATCTGGACTGTGGGCACGGCGCGTGGCTGTCCGATTTTGACGGCAACTCGTGGTGCGACCCGTTCAAGACGTGGATGCATATATATAACTTTGACCCGCTGGCCAACATCACAATCCCGGCACAGAGAAAGCTTGTGCTTGGTGGCGAGGTTGCCCTGTGGGCTGAGCAGAGTGATGAGACCGTATTAGACTCCAGACTATGGCCGCGCGCAGCAGCGATGGCTGAGACGATGTGGTCAGGCAAGGTGAACGCAGATGGACACGTGCGCACGACTAAGGAGGTGGCATCGCGGCTGCACACGCAGCGATTCCGCATGGTCGGGCGTGGTATTGGTGCGGAGCCCATGCAGCCGCTGTGGTGTGCTCGCAACCCAGGCAACTGCGACCTGAACGAATGAAGGCTGGCCGACACAGCTCGCTAGAGACAATTAAAGGCAGTAAATAAATTGATTTCATTTCGGCAGCAGTGTCAGGTGGGAGATCAAGGGATTTCGGAGCAATGGAGGCATTGTTCACCAGCACAAGCTGCGTGTGGTCGCGCCTTTCTGCTCCTTCAACGTTTCATTTTACAGTTATACTATTGTGCTTTGCTGTATTTACCTTCCACCTTTTGGACCTATTCGGTGTCCTGCATTACTAGTCGCTCATAGAGGCGACACTATACACCTTGAAGAATGGCTGGAGGAAATGGGCGGTCAAGTATGTTGTCCAAAAGTGCGTATAGCCATCCTAGCATGAGTCGAGCGGGGGAGAAGTTGGAGGTTCTTGTCTGGATACGAGGCACTAACAATCTCCGAATACATTCTGCAATGTAGTATCGCGGCGCGGACCATCATCATTATCAGGAGGCGGGGCTAGTGGGAGCAATAGCAGCAGCGGACACACTGGGGGCAAGACCATCGGTGGTGGCAACGGACATGGACACAACCTAAATGCACAGTATCTGGACAGTTTGTCGGAGGAGCAGCGGCGAGTGCTGAGGCGCAAGATTGACACACTGAGGGGATTGGAGCAAGGTAGGAGCAGAGAGGCAGAGGGGCAGAGTGCGCAGTCAGGACCTTTGTAGAGGCAAGGAGTTCCATATATGCACAGACAAACTAAAGCAACAGCTGACACTACTGGCTAGATATTGAATCACTGAGGCGCGACAGGATCGAGCACGCAGTGCGGGCGCTGGGGCTAGACATGGCATCGTCACTGAACGGGCTATCGGCATTCACCTCAGCACGCGACTGGCAAAGCATCAGCAGCACGCACCGAGGTGGAGAGCCGCCGCGGCTGACATGGGATATGCTGAAGAAGGCAGTGGGTGAAGAGGACAAGTACCAGAGCAAAAAGAATTGGTCGTCGACCAAGGGCCGCGGCAACCGCAAGGCGCCAATAGCACGGCGGCTGGATGCCGAGGTTTTGAAAAAGTTTGGTGTGTACCCAGAAGGTGCAGTTTCTGTCGCTGGCTGTGTGCGATTCATGCGGGCGGCAGGTCAACGCACACTACCTGAAGGAGCACCAGGAGCAGAACTGTGCGGTGTCGACGCACAAACGCGAGGAGAAGAAGAATACATCAGCCGAGCCTGCAGCACAAGCAAGTGCGGGCGAAAAGAAGCCGGCGAACAAGACCAAGGATCCCCGTGGGGCAAAGCGGCTGGGGTCAGAGGCGCTGTCAGAGGACGAGGATGAAGGGCACAAGTCGCCCAAAGTCACCAAGAAAATGAAGATGAAGCTGGAGAAGGAGCGGCGGGAAAAGGAGCGGGCGGAGCGCAAGGAGCAGCAACGGCTGGAGCGCGAGCGCAAGAAGCGCGAGAAGGAGGAGAAGAAGGAGCGCGAGCTGGCCAAGCAGCGGCAGCCGCTGGATCTGGACAAGCAGTGCGGCGTGGTGTCGGAGCCGGGCAGCGCGCCGTGCTCGCGCAGCCTCACGTGCAAGACGCACTCGATGGCCATGAAGCGCGCGGTGGCCGGACGGTCGCTGCTGTTCGACGCGCTGCTGCAGGCGCACCTGGCCAAGTCGCGCAGCGCCGCAGCAGCACGCAATGCGGCGGCTAGGAGCGCAGGCAGCCAAAAGCGGGAATGCGGTGCGCAGCGCCATGGCCATTGCGCTGGGCGGCGAGGCAGGAGCCATTGATGAGAGCTTCTTTGACGACTCGGACGAGGAGCGTGGCTCGGACGAGGAGGCCGAGCAGGTTCATTGAGGCCGTGGGCAGGAAGCTTCGGCCGCCCACTGGCCACCCGCCCCACGTTGATTCCCAGGAGGCGCCACCACTATCTGCGTGTGCGAGACCTGTTCCATGATGCGCTGAGGCCAGGCATGGGCGATGCCAGCGAAGGGATGGTGGGAGCAACGGCCGCCCAGGGGGTTTAGAGCAATAGCGATATTGGGCTCCAGCGAGTGTGGGCTTGGCAGGCGTACATTGGAGGAGTCCCAGCTAGCCAAGGGGTCTCAGCGAGCCTGGCTTGGCGGCCCTTGCTCGGCAAACGGTCCATACAGGAATCGGTTTGCACCAGACCAGAAAGGATCGTCCTTGTCGCACACACAAGTTCAACGTGGCAGACGGACGATAACTTGCGGATGCTACCAAAATAGACGTGGGTCGAAAACAAAACACAGGGCTGGCTGCTTGACACAACTAGGATAAAGGGCCGGGCTGAGGACAGGCAAAGCGCTGAGAAAAAATATACACCAAGCACATGCTGTCCTTCTTGCCTTCCAGCTTTCTTCATCCTTTTTGAATATTAAAGTCTAGAAGTCCTGTAGCGAACAGAACAGTGCTGTGCGTCGTTTATTGAAATGACCAAGGACCAAAAGCACAACCGCGGAGCTTCGTTAGCGTCAACAAAGCCGGCCAGACCTACATTTCTAGCAGCAGCAGCAACCACTGCCCAGGGCCTTTGGACGCACGCAGTCCAGGCAAGTTAAACCGCACTTTCTCTCTCTTCGTCTCACATAATTCACTTGATTTTTTTTTTGACAACACTAAAGCACTTTTTGTAGACAGCATTACGCCGATGGCCAAAGCAGACACAGTATTGGAGACAGGCAGTGACCCGCGGCCGCGCGGACTGCGGGCGCGGTTCCGACGCAACAACAGCAACCACAGCAGCAACAGCAGCCGCAGCAAGACGGTGGCACAAGTCGACAGCACCAGCAACACCGAGGGCTCAGTGCGGTCGCGAGCTAGCTCACTAAAGTCGTCATCATCACACCTGGTGGATGAGGCCGCTGGGTGGGCTGGCGCTGGGCGAGTTCGAGCCAGGCGAGGAAGAGGTCATCGAGGAGGACTCTGACGGGCAGACACACCATGCGGTGGTTGGGTCAGGGGCGATTGCGCGCAGCACCGAGCCCTACAACAGCGACTCGCAGCTAACGCCCCGGAATGCGTCCAGGCGGCGCGCAGTGCATAGCCTGTCGTCGTACGAGAGCGACTCGGCCGGGGTGCGCACGCACTCGATGGATGAGGCGCGGATGGTCGACCATTCGGACGCGCAGTCGGGGCTGTACTCGTATGATGAGAGCGAGGAGCACGAGGTCTTTGACGGCGACGGCGAGCTGAACGCCGTGTATCTGAAGAGGAATGCCGACTTCCACACGCTATTCCGCAATATCCCCATCAACGAATTGCTCATTGACGACTACGGGTGCGCGCTGCAGCGTGACATTCTGGTGCAGGGCCGCTTGTATTTGACCGAGAACTTTGTCTGCTTCTACTCGAACATCTTTGGCTGGGTCACCAACCTGGTGATTGATATTGACGAGATCGTGGCCATTGAGAAAAAGATGACCGCGCTGATTATCCCGAACGCCATCCAGGTGTCGACCCTGCACTCGAAGTATTTCTTTGGATCGTTCATCTACCGCGACTCGGCGTACAACCAGCTCATTGACCTGTGGGGCAAGAGCCGCAACGAGAAGAACGCCGGACTGCCAGAAATCGGCCACGCCGAGGGCGGCGATGGCGCGGGTGACGTGTCACGCCATCGCGGTGATGTGCTTACAGCATACCAGAGCCTGAGCGAAGACGATGAGGAAGAGGAGGAGGAGGACCAGTCGGGCAGCGAATACTCAAATGGCAATTCCAGCGACACCGAGGATAGCGCCAGCGAAGCCTTGGACAATGACGATACCGAGGAGAAGCAGCCTCCGGCTGAGGGGACCGCCGGGCAGGTGGCGCGGGAAGCCCCAAGTGATGCAAGCCAGGCCAAGGTAGTCCCGGCCGTAATCCGCACGCAGGCCACAGATGCTGGCAGCGCAAACGAGGGCAGCGTGGCACGCACCAGCGACCATGACAACGCCGGCAACAAATCTGCTACTGAGCCAGCAGCCGCGTCGTCTGTGCAAAACAAGACAGGCAACGGAACACCAGCGTCTGTCACACGGCCGGGTCGTCACAGTCTGTTGCCAGGCCCCCAGCGGCCGGCGACTCTGCAGTGACACTGTCAAATGGCTTGGCAGCGCCCAAGGCCACACTGCTGGCGCGCCTGCCCAACACGCCAGACGAGAGCGAGCCGGTCTCTGAAGCGAAGCCACAGGTGGGCACGTCGGGTGAGGTGCCGCTGCACAAGCCCACCACGTGCCCATGCGGATCCGGCGGCAGCTCAGTGCACTATTCGACCGAGGCCCTGGATGCAGTGTTCCCGATTTCGCTGCCAGTGCTGTTCCGTGTCGCATTCAGCGGCACTGTGCCTGCTGATATCGAAAACAAGTATATCCCCGCCGACAAGGCCAACGGAGAGGAGCTAGTCAAGAGCCTGGTGAAGCGATATGTTGAGGTCGGCAACAGCGACGTCAAAACCGAGGGCTGGGTGCCCGATCCGAGTGAGACAGCCATCGAGACCTGTCTGATGACATACGAAAAGCCGCTGGGCTTCTCGATCGGCCCGAAATCGACAACCGTCGACGATTCGTTTACGGTGACGCTGTGCGACTTTGACAAGGCGATTGTGGTGGAGCAGGTGGTGAAGACGCCGAATATCCCATCAGGCACAGCGTTCTTTGTGAAGATCCGCCACTGCATGACGTGGACGGCCGGGCCGTCCAACACGCCGCCCGGCGGGTGGACGCACTACCGGATCACATTTGAGCTCGAGTGGGTCAAGAGCTCGTGGATCAAGAATGCCATCGAGAAGGGCTCGGTGGATTCGAACAAGCAGGCGGCCGAGCAGATCGAAAAGTACGTGCGCGAGTGGATTGCCGCCCACCCGAGCATGGAGATCAAGGCAGCCACCAGCATCTCCGCCAAACCCTCGAAGGCGTCGGCAGCAAAGTCCAGCAGGCACCGCAAGGGCACACGCCGGGCAAAGCGCGAGCAGAGCCCTGCCGGGCTGCGCATGGAAGAGGTGCTCGGCGAGAAGGGCACCGGCAAGAAATCGTCTGGAAAGCGCAGAGGACAAGTCCGATGAGCGTGAGCTGCCTGCTAGTACCCTGTCCAAGGAGGCCGAGGAGGCGGCGCTGGATGCCAAGGATGGCGAGCAGTGGAAGAAGCGCGCAAGCGAGTCGTGGGTTGGCTGGGCCCAGTACCACTCGGTGTACCCGCTGTGCCAGACGTACCGCCGGCTCAGTCGCCGGCCTGGCGGCATCCTGGCGGGCCCGTGGATTGCCATTGCGCTGGTCCTGCTGCTGGTCCCTGACGAATCTGTGGCGATTGCCTCTGTGGCCATCATCACGTGGCGGTGAGCTCGGTGCTCCCCCCGGACACACAGACAGCGTGCCAGTCAAGACCCAGGGCGGCGTGTGGGGTGCGCTGTTTGGCCCCAGCCGCGTGAGCGTCAGTGGCATGGAGGATATGCGCGACAGCGTTGATGCCCTGACACAGCAGATGGCAGCGATAAACGAGCGACTACAGCAGCTCATTGAGGCAAACAAAACCTAACGACCTATGTATTTCAATAAAATGAGTTTTGCTGGAGCCTTCTACTTTGTGTTGTTGAGACGGTCACCGCAGTCGCCAATGCCCGGCACGACGATTCCCTTGCTGTTGAGTTCCTCATCAATAGTGCCAACAAAGAACCGCACGCTCGGATACTTTGCAGCCAGCCGCTCGATGCCCTTGCGGGAAACACAAATAGCGACAACCTTGACTGCCTTCGCCCCCCACTCGTGCAGGATCTGAATCGCGGCCTCCGCCGTGCCGCCCGTGGCAATCATCGGGTCGAGGATAATACATTCGTCGACGTTGCACTGTTTCGGCAGCTTGTTGTAGTACTCGACCGGCGCCAGCGTCGATTCCTCGCGGAACAGACCGAGGTGGCGGATCTCGGCATCATGCAACAGGTCCGAGGCTGCACCGAGCATGGCCAGGCCAGAGCGCAAGACCGGTACCAGCGCCTGCTTTGTCTCGATCCGCTGGCCCATGTACTGGCCCACGGGGCTTGTTTCGGTAGTGGTGGATACCAGGCGAAGGTCCTGCGTGACCTCGTACATAAGCAGTCGCGCGATGCTGTCGGTCAGCTCGCGGACCTGCCGCGCCGTGTTGTCGCTGTGACGCAGCTCGGAGATCTTTTGCTGGACGATAGGGTGCTTGCTGACGAGGATGTTGGCCATTGCGGGAGAAAAATACTAAAGTGCTTGGAATAATAAAGAGGATGCTGTTAGAAGAAGCAAAAGGGTGAAAGCAAGGGCTCCATGCCTCATTTATACCATGGGATGGTACTGCATGTGACGTGTACGTGGAATTGAGGCGCTCTACGGGCAATAGTAGCTGCAAACATGCTGCAGTTCCCACGTCGGAACGAGCACCATTTGTTGCAGCAACAATCAATGAAATGGGTGTGTTTGGCTCAGGACAGATGAAGCCTGCTGCATTCATGGGTGCTGGGACAGCACCTTGTCGCTCTCTGCTGGCGCGCACGGGAGAGAAAAAGAGAATTCGTGAAAGCGATGTTCTAGTGCGGTTTATTAGTGGTCACGCGACGGTGAGCCTTGCCTCCGCAAAAAAGCTACGATAAATTGCAAGTAGAGCGAAAAAAACAATAGACAAGCAGCCGCGATGCATGGGTATCACCGTCACGAGATCACTACAGGCCATAGTCATAGAGCGCCGCGCCGCCAGACCTGACGGCCCTCTCAACCTGCATGTCGCTGTAGCCAAGCACTCCCCGCAGCACCTGCTCGGTGTGCTGGCCGAGCATGGGCGGTGGCAGGCGGATGTCGACGCGGGACCCCGAGTACGAGACGGCCGGGCCGACCAGTTTTATTGTGCCAGCAAACGGGTGCTCAACCTCACGCACGGTATTGCGGGCCACCAGCTGCGGGTGCTCGAACGTCTGCTTGAGATCATTGACAGGTGCATAGGGCATTCCGCTTCCCTCGAGCATCTGGAGGACCTGGGCTGTGGTCTTTGAGCTCAAAATGTTGTTGATAAGAGAAATAAGCTCAGCACGGTTCCGCACGCGCTCGGCGTTGGTCGAGTATCTGGGGTCGGTGGCGAGGGAGGGGCGGCCGAGTACCCGAGCGAGACTGGCAAACTGCTTGTCGTTTCCGGCGCCAATGCACACAGAGCCGTCGCTGGTGGCAAACACCTCGTATGGCACAATGGACGGGTGGCGCGTGCCCATGCGGCTCGCCTCCCGGCCGCCGATCAGGAAAATTGGACGCAATGTTGGCCAGCACCGATGCCTGCGTCTGGATCAGATTGACGTCCAGGTGCTGGCCCCGGCCGGATTTGGACCGTGCAATGATGGCAGCCATGATGGCGCCGTGGGCGTAGATGCCCGTGGCCAGGTCAGTCACGGCCACGCCGACCTTGACCGGCGCTCCGCCCTCCTCGCCTGTAATGTGCATGAGCCCAGCCTCGGCCTCAATAATGACATCGTATCCGGGCCGCTGGCTGTACGGCCCCGTGGTGCCGTATCCCGTGATGGACGTGTAGATGAGCCTTGGATTGACCTTGCTCAGGTCTGCGTATCCGAGCCCATACTCGGCCAGCTTGCCCGGCACAAAGTTCTCGACAAAGACGTCCGAGTCCCTGGCCAGGTCCAGTATTATCTGCCTGCCCTCCGCAATCTTCATGTCAACCGCCACCGACTGCTTGTTGCGGTTCGCGCACAGATAGTATGCACTCTCGCCTTTGAACTGCGGCGGTGCCCTGTACAGCCCATGGGATTGCGTGCTGAGCGGCCGCTCGTACGTCTTGAACGGTGGGCCCCAGGCGCGCGTGTCGTCGCCGCGCAGTGGGTGCTCGATCTTTATCACCTCGGCACCCAGATCGCCCAGGATCATGGTGCAGAAGGGCCCGGCCAGCACCCGGGTCATGTCCAGAACCCGGATGCCTGAGAGCGGCCCGTCGTCCATGGCTGTGGTGCTGTGGCCGCGCGACAGAATGCCTTGGTTGCGCGAGAGGATGTTGGGTAGTTTGAATCGGGAAAGCATTAGTGGAGTGTAGGTAAGAGAGTTGAAGGGTAGTGTTTTGGAGATGCTGGCAGATGTGTGGTCCGAGTTGTCCGGAAACCTCCCCGTTTTTAAGCAGGTCGAGCGGCTGGCACAAGGGAGCGCCAAGCCCGGATAAACGTTTAGTTCATATCACTCAACGGGCCAGGTACATCCTAAACCCTGCCCACATTGTCTGTGCCCGCCTGAATCGAGCTTCCGGGTAGACCGTAAGGCCGGGCAGCACATCCCCCAGGCCACAAGCAAACCCTTCACTAAATTTTTCAACTGTTTTTGTTTGAAGATGTAAAGAGAAAGATAGAAAGAATGTCTCGGCCACCCAGGCATTATTTTTGAGAGATAATCCAAGTCTGCTTTGAAGCTCGCAGAGGCAGGGGCAGGAGCTGCAAGGTGGTGGTGGTCAGACTATTGGTACAAGAAACGCAAAGCAAGAGGGGATTGGAGCGGCTCAGTGGGCCAGGCTGGCCTGGGCAGAGGCACCCACGCCGTTCGGCTTGAGCTTTTGCTGGCCGTGCGCCAGCAGCTCGAGCTGCGGCGGCGGTGTTGACAGCTCGGTGCTCGAGCTGCGCTCCTCGCCGCCGGCATTGAGCCTGCCGGACGACGCCGGCGACCAGCGCGAACTGACAAGCGACGGGGGGGTGGTGCTCGAGCCGCTACCTGCCAGCTTTGCGTTTCCTGTCTGGAACGTGGTTACCTGGCGTAGCGGGCTCATTGCATTAGCCCGTCGGATATCCTTGCCCGGCGACTGCCCGCCGCGCCGCGCTACCTCAACGCCGTCGGCCGACCGAATCACCACCGGTGTCGTGTACGCACTGATCACAAAATCACCGCTGCTCTTCGCTGCCCGCTCCGCCATCGTCTTCTTCACGCTGTCGATCAACAGCTGCTTGTCCTCATACACTGTGTATACCGTGCCGTGGTCCCCCAGCCGGTACGTCACGTTGTACGGGTCGCACCACACTACCACGTCCCGCGGCAGCAGCCGCTCCAGCACCGCCAGCGGCACCCCGGCCAAAGCGGCCGCAGACACAAACACCCCATCCAGCTGCTTCCAGTTGCTGATAGACCGGAACCCGCTGCCCTGCGTCGTGCGCTCTGGGTGCCAGTGGCCCGTATACTTGGCTGTGAGCACCGTTATGAGCGCTTGTCGCAGCGCCTCCTTCTTCTCGCCTGTCAGTGTGCCGTCCGGAATGTACTTGAGCCAGAAGCCGGCGGTGCTTTCGATTTCCGTCTGCATTGCGCGAGGGGCATGTAGCGAAAAGGAAAAAATAGTAGAAATGGGCTTGCCAATCAGTGGTGGGGGGAAAGTGCGCGCGTCAATGGGCTCTTGAGGAAAACCTTTTTTCCAATATTGTAATGCTCGAGGAATCCGAATAGTAGAACCTCGTTGTTTGTCTTTCTGTGTGGTTTTTGCTCGGCCTGGGCTTTTCGTGTGTAAAATTTTAGGTGAGCTGGAGTGAAGAAGAAAGAAGAGGGAGGCAAAGGGAAAAACCGTTCAAAATGTCAACCATTTACGCGGAGTCAGCTGTAACGTGTGATTGGCTATGTAACTCACGTGCCACCACCAATTGGAGCGAGCTCAGTTGTGTTTGTCCTGACTAGAGCTGCCTGCGTCTCCTCGACTAGGCACATCCCCCAAGCGCATGCACAGACAGGACCTTATGTGCCCTTGCCAATGCATATGTGGGGTGGCGAGTGGCAAATGGGATGTGGATTCCACTCACAAGAATATCCCAGCCTGCTGAAGAGCAGTAGCTACCTGGCACGCTGTTTTGTTGATGGTGGCCGACAAAGCCCGATTGAGACGCAAAGGCGTGCATTCCAAGGGAAAAGGGTGCTGACACTGCAGGTATACCGGAAACCACTAGATTATTTAATTAGCAAAAGAGTGAGGGGAGGGAAGGACGGGCTTGGATGTCCCCCAGCGCCTTGCATCTATGCCATCGGCAAAATGTGTGACGGCACACACGTATATGGCCACTAGGCAAGCGGAAACAGGTGCGTGGATCCGCAACCGGCTTTGTGCGGAACAGGGCGGCTCAATATTGCAAACGATCTACCGGGCAATTCGGAAACGAGCCAGAGGTACGAAGCACCCAGGATACATGTCTCAGTCGGAATGTCGCACATGCTAATCCACATACCACTCTTCATTGTTTATATCTTTTCAATTGCAGCGCCCGTATCCGGAAACTGCCCATGCGAAAAGAGCATGCTCGCCCCCTTGCGACCATGCGAATGATACCTCCCTGCAACCATGCGTACCTTCGTGGCCAGCTCGCCTCCCCCGGTGGCCAGACTGGATCTGCAGGATGCTGTGCTTTGTTTTTTGGTCTCTTCGAATACTGCAGCCGAATGGGGGTGGGGAGTAGCACTGAACGAGTGGAGAGCTAGTGGGATTGCCCGCTAGCTGTGCCAAGCGTGAGCAGGATGTGCTCAATGCGCGTGGCTAATAAACGTACATTGGGGAGGAGGCGAGTGCAAGACAATGTGGCGAAATACCGAGATAAACCTGAAGCTCCATCTAGCACTGGAGACGTCAATGATCCGTGAGCTTGTCCCTTATTGCATTGCCTTTGTGTAAAGGAGAAAAGACTTGTCGCGGTACATGCAGCGTCCCCACCCCCTTTGCAGTCCACGCACATTCTAGACATGGGATATGCTGCCTGCACCTCGGGCTCGATGTCCATGGCAAGGACTAGTTGTCTAAGATTTTTTTGAGGGATGAGATCGCCCGCAAAAGGGGAGACTGTTCGGAGCGGCTCTTGAATACAAACAAGAGGCATCCTGCGTGTCCATTGGCGAGCAGGAAAACCTGCGGACGGAGCTTTTCTTTCTACGGTCAGACCCGCACTAAGAAGGATTCCAGTCGGCCCACTTGAAGCTACTTTTAAAAATGTACATCGCTTTTTCCAAAAATAAATTCATTTTGCTGCAATGCTTGATTGCAAAAAAAAACTTTTCGGTCCGTCTGCGGTCTGCCATCACCGCTTTTTATTCCCTGGACCGTTTGTGCTGATGAAGCAAATAAACGCGTGCATAGCGTATGTTGCGCTGTTTTCTTTTCTCCATCGTGCTTTCTCCTCATGATTTGCGCGGATTGTGACCAAGGAGCGGCAAGCGCACTTGCATTTCCATGGGCTGGTATACGTTTGGGCACATCCTCCTGGGGCCTCCCCCGTTTTGGAATTAAGGTGGAAGCGCGGTCTGTTTGGACCAGGACCACTTTGAGCGATGAGAGGGAAAAAGCAACAACACGGTCGCTATCCAGAAGCCGATAAATTTGGCTGCTTTTCTCCAGCCCATCCCGCTTTGTTTTTCCTTTTAGCCCCTGACATAAACACCCCCTCTGGCCTCCTCTTCTACGCTCTCTTTATTTTATTTTCTCCTCACGCCCTTTTCCCTTACTCTTTCTAACGACCTAGCCAGATTTCTGTCTGGATCCCTTTTTCACGCCTTTCACGCCTCCTGCTCTCTCCTTGCCTTTAACGACAGCTTGCCTGCTTTCTAACGTCTCCGCCATTTTTATCGTTCTGAAACCAGCTGATCCCGCGCTTGGCTACGACTTGTCCCACATACGACATCCGTTCCAGCAGCACCTGACGGTAGGTCACTTTATACATCAATCACTGGCCGTCATGTGCCAGGCATTGCGCCCAGCCCCGCCCAGTTGCTCAAGGGGAGGCTGCTTTGCAATCAATTAGATAATAATCATCAATAGGCGTATTGCCCGCCGCGCTATAAGAGACCATCGATACCTCGTTAGTGCGCATTGGCAGCTGCGCACATGGATTGTTTGGGTTTAAGCAACCCTAACGTATACAGTGCTGGCACTCATTGTTGCTTCCCTGCGCTTTGAGGCAACCCCCGATTCATTAGTTTGCCATCATCCGCTGCGTCTGAGCGCACCGCCTTTATTTTTCTTTTGGAACTTCAAAAGGACCAGTACCACAAATTCATTTGCAACTCCTCCTCCAGTCACCCCCACTCTGCTACCCACCTGTGGATTTGGGCGACCAGTGGAAGATTTTTCGTCCTTGCAAGGGGCCTTTATAGTGCGAAGGAATCTTGCGCATCAGCCTTCCTTCTTGCCTCCCACCCACCTTATGTCTCTTAATAACGTGCCTCCTAACTTATCGCATTTCGTTCTGTAGGCTTCACCTCTGCTGTTTGCTATTCTATTCATTTTGTCTCAGACCGGGCCTCCACTATCTGCCCTACCAAACTTTTTCTTTAGAGCGTTCACCTCGCAACACCTGCACTTCAGACCATCTATCTTTATAACCTTGGCTTTATTTTCCCTCCTCTTTCAACCCCCTGCGGCATTCGGTTCTTCCCACTGACTCGCTCTGCTGCTTCTACAAAGGACGCACAGTTCCTTTCATAACCTTGTTTTATTCACCCAGCGGCCTGACCTCAGATCCTCTCCGCGCTCCAGCAGCTTTACAACGCACCCCGTTCAGAGGATCCCTTGCAAACCCATCACGGACAGAATGGAGCCCACCCATTCCCCGACCTCGAGCGCAGAGTCCACTACGTCGGCGTCTGCTCCCACGGATAAGCCCCGTATCAAGATGCAGCTCTACAAAACCGAGCCATGCCAGAACTGGTCTCTCTACGGCACTTGCAGGTAAGCACCCTACAAACTGTTTGCTGCTGATTTGCGCTTTGTTTTTGCGCGTCAAGTCAGCACTGGACAGTCCTTGCGTGCTTCCCCTCTCTGTCCTGCTCTCCTCCCTTACTCAATGGGGAAGAGGAAGCGCTGCCTGGCATTTCCTTTCTTCTCCGCCTCCGCGAGCATCACTTTTATGTTGTCGATCATTTCAGGCTGCTTGTGCGATGCCAGGCCTGCCGCTGTCCCCCACGGGCCCATCGTCTTGTGAAGAGAAATTCACACTCAGACTGACTTGCCCAAAGCGAAAAATCTGGCGATTCGCATGCTTCTTTTTAAGGCATCCTGGCCTGGCTGTGGCCCACTTTGTTCACCCATGTTGCCCACATGCATATCACGGCTCTGCACCACCCACCCCCTTGTATCCACCCGCATTTCGATTGGGCCGCTGTCGGCCTGTCTGATAGCTGCCGTTTCTTGCGCCCTCATTTGCGCGAAAAACGACGCTGTACATCTTGCTTGCAGCCTGGATATCCGCTTGTTTGCAGCTGATGCTTCGCACTATCATATGCAACCACTAAGCAACTAGTACCACATTCCTGTAGATACGGAAATCTGTGCAAATTTGCCCATGGAATGACAGAGCAGCGTTCGCGTCTGAGGCATCCAAAGTATAAGACGTCGCTGTGCAAGGACTTCCCGCTTGGTAAGTGCACATTTGGCATGCGGTGCAACTTTGCCCACTCGCTCGACGAGCTGCGCATGGGTACCTCTGCTGCACAAGGTGCTGGCCAGACCCAGAACCAGGTGGTGCTGCAAACCCCAATCACCATGCTGGCTGATGGCCGTATGCTGTCAACATTCACGCCTGTGGCAGCCAACCAGGACAGCCAGTCGCCTGCGGCCGCCGCTGCTGCTGCCGCCGCTGCCAATGCTGCCGCCATGGCTGGGCAGTTGCGTCGCCAAACGTCGCTGAGCGTGCTGACCGGTGGTCAGTCCGCTGAGGGTCAGGCGATCGGTCTAAGCCACGCTGCACCGACCAGCGCCACGACACCTCACCAGCAGTACGCACACCCATCACCCAACTCCTTCACCGGAATCCAGATGCATGGGTCATCCAGTGATGCCCCGCAGTCGTTTGCATCGCAGCGCAACATCTCGCAACCGCAGCAGCTGCATTATCTGCATCAGGAACGCGTGAATGTCGCCCGACGTGTCTCGTCGCTCTCACAGCTACCCACGTTCAAGTCGCCGCAACTGCACTCTGGGGCCTCGGTGGCCAGCCAGAGCTATATGTACATGGCGCCGAACGCTTACCACGCCTCGCCGCTGTCCCACGTGCCGATTGGCGGCTACGGCTCCCCGGCGCTCTCGTCACCCTCGCTCTCGCTACGTGAGTTCGATGAGCAGCCCTCGGTGACTCCGGTGCAGTCCGAGCTCGGTGTTCTGGGTGATGCGCCATACGGTATCGGCAGCTCGCAGCACTATTGCCAGCAGCCGCGCCGTACGCTGACATCAAGCATCAGCATGCAGTCGCTGCCACGCTACAAGATGCAGACAAACTGGGACCAGCCCATGCCTGCTGCGGCAAACGCGAGTTCCTCGTCATTGCTGCAGCCTACGCTGGGCAGCCAGATTTCTGGCTCATCACTGGCCGACCAGGATGTGTGGGGCAGCTCGGGTAGTACCTTTGGCGCTGATCCAGTCGGTTTAACGCAGGAGTCACGGTTCTTTCCGTCTGGATCCAGCTTGGGAACCTCGACGGCTAGCACCACAGCCATTGGAAGCATGTTCGGCAGCGACTCGCTTGGGATCCACTATCCGGCCGGCCAGCTGAGACGCCAGCAGTCAAAGGAGGACTGGTCAAGTATGCGCCAAGCGTATCCCTCCCCTGTTAACGCTGTATCCACGGGATATTTCGCCGAATCGCCCAAGGCCGAGAGCAGGTTCGCCTCGCTTAGAGCAGCTCCGTGCTGCCACTACCAGCCGCAAGCAATTCCAGCCCTTCACCGACTCCTCCGCCCTATGCCTGTAGTTGGTGCCCACCTGCTGCTTGATATGAATTGTCGAGAGGGTCCACGCCTCATTCTCTTTCTCCCTCCTTGCTTTATTTTGCTGGGAACCATCGGCTCTCGCATCCCAGTGCACTCAATCCGCCCACCATGCCATGAAGAAACTCTCAAACCACCGACTAACTACCGACCTGCTTCCCTCCCACGTCCGCTCTCGCATTCCATTCTGCGTTGACCGCATCCAGCTAGGCGCTGATACCTCTCCCCTCTTACCTGTCAATTTACTCCCTACTCCCTTCCCCTATACATATTTTAACGCCCTTATATCCTTTTCTAGCCCCCTTTCAGTTAGTCGTGTATTCTCGTAGCGCTTCTTCTTTGCCCAACCCCTCGACCTTGTTCAAGGGTCATTGGTCTTGCCCTTGCCATTGTCGTTTTGTTGGCTTCATCTGCCTCCAAGCGACTAGTCCCCTCTCTTTCCTACTATCCCTCTTATCCTTGATCTTTATCTTCTTTTGCTGTAATACATCCCAATTCATTTTGCAGACACCTTGGATGAACCTGAGCATACCCCAGGCACCCTGTCCACATACCGTGACCCCGTTTGTAATCGACAGTGAACCTTGTCACCAAGTACTTGATCGATCAGGCCACATATGGCACAATACCAGATTCAATATAGGGTCTGGCAGCCAGCATGCTAAGGGCCATTCTAGGCAGCACGACTTCCACTTTGTGCCTAAGGAAAGCTCCGCATGGAGAAGCATTTGGCTCTGCACTAGCCAATAGCCCGGCACCTTTTCAGCCGTGTCGTTACGGATCACATTCCATGTTGGGGAACATGCACTCACCATGCTCCATGGCAAATTACAAAGAGCACGTTGGGTGAGAAGGGATGCATGAGTCTCCGCCTTTGGCGTGTCGCCTCTGCACTATCATGCCGGAAAGCTGTGTGGTTGTAAGGGCAGATGTATGGAGTTGTTGGAAGAGCGTTTTGGTGATGTAATGGAGAGGGTGCAGCAGTATGAGGTACAAATGAAAATAGGGCGGCTGCCATATGGGTGTCAAAAACCTGCTACTGACAAGGAACCAGCACAAATAGAGGAGTAAAGTGGAGGATCAGTCTGACCAAGCTGAGAGCCGGCTAGAATGCTAAGGGATATCTACGGAAATTCTGACACGGCTCTTCTCCGCACCCCTCTTCCCATCCTGCACGCAATATCAGGTCCGCATGGGGAGCACACAGCCAGCCGCCTACCTGGGCATCACGCCCATCTCTCTCCTCTCGCCCTACTCCCGCATTTCTCTGTACAGCAGGCTGACTTTAACCCATTGCCCCACACTTTTTTCGACCCATGCGCTAGGATGGCGATCTAGTCTTTTGCACAGCTGCGCGCCTAGCACTGATCAAGTACCTTGAAACTTTGGCGGAGACGTCCGTATATATTTCTAATACTTTGGTGGCCACGACCTGGAGAGTGAAATGAAACCCATGCATTGAATTTCCACCAATATTTGTTATTTGGACATTTCTCACTGCGTCCTAACACACCATTCTAGCACATTCACGCACGCACTTGCAATACGGCAATTTCTCCCCTTTTTTCACCCTTTCACTCATTTTTCATCTCTTTCGCACTGCGTAAACGACATCCAATATCCAGCACAATATCATATTGCCTCTGTTCATATTGCCTCTGTTCACATTGCATTTATTACGCACATTTCATCTGTCGCCCTCGCTTCTTTTGCACCTCCCTTCACTACCGCCACGCTGCAACATATCAATCCATTGCAATAGTACGCTGCCTAAAGATATTCTCGCACATTGCCCTTTCAAGCATCACTCTATCCACTGTTCACTTCTTTAACAAATCGTCTGATACGACTCAAGCATATCATACCCACAGCGCGCACGTCTTGAAACCTCTCGGGCACCCGCTGCTAATTGAGCATTTTATATTATTATATATTAGTTCTCTCTTGTCAGCTATTGATATCGGCAGAGAGTAGTTGGTAAGTTTGGTCCACGCCAGCTATGCGCATACTGTTTACAGTTTTATACCTCAACCAGCGGTCTCGTACATGCTAACTCCTAACATCCCCAATATTGCTGCGATCCTTATGTAGACCCGCACTCGCACTCGCACTCGCAGTCCTGCCTCACCCCCTATATTCGTATTATTTATTAGTGCTGTTTCATTTGCCGTCCGTATTATTTTCAGCGCTTGAGGTCTGTGAAAGCCATGCCTGACAGTACCGCCCCGAGTGGGGAAATCACTCTTGGCTTTCTCCAAAAGAGAAACCGCTTTTATGGATGGAACAAGCGACTCTTCTCGGTTAACCATCTGGGGTTTGCAATGCTGATGAGTGAGCGTGATGGCAAGCTCTCGAAGCATGGTATCAGCAAAGGCTCGACTATCACGGTTCATAGGCGATGTGGCCGAGATCGACCCGTCTGCGTGCTTGCTGTTCAAACGAAAGCTGCTGATCGAGTTTCATGCTATCAGCGCGGTTACCACCCATGGACAGAAGGACTTTGCGGTAACATCGACCACCGGGACCATAGTACTGCGTACGATGTCGACCCGAGACCGTGACAAGTGGGTGGCCGTGATCCGCTCGGCGGTAGCAAAGCATGACGGCCTCAACAGCCATTCTGCTAACCGTGCAGATGATAAGAATACCGAGGCAAGTGCCATGCATGCCCGCCCGACGACGGCATTTAGCCCTGGAGACGAGTCGTTGGATCATTGTGATGCTGAGAAGCTGCCTGGTGCCAGCTCGTTGGACTGGAATCGAGCGCACACTAGAGGACGATGAACTGGAGCCCACATCAGTGGATGGTACCAGATGCTGTTGTCCCTCAGCAGAACAAGGCTGCTGGTATCGGTCAGGATCGTGCCCCACAGAACAACCATCACTTGGATATTGGCGGATTCCAAGACAACGGCGACTGGATGCAACCGTCTGGTGCAGCTGGAGGTGCTTCCGACGACGATCTTTTTCTTCGCCCGTACAGCGCCTCAGGTGGCACTAGCGACTGACAAGGTGTCGCTCAGAGAGCAGCACACTGATTCAACAGGGAATGTGCCTGAGTCAACTGCTCTTGGGTTCCTTGGCAGCGGCAATAGCAGCAACAGGCTCTCTCTTGCTCAGCTCGATATGCCGCTGGCCGACACTGAGGACTTTGACGCCAGCATGTTCTTTGCCGAGGGTAGCTCGATTGCCAATATGCAGCCGGTCAACGCGCTCCCAACGAGCTGCCAGAAACCTCGGGTCGGCGACGGTGCCCAACTTGTATCCAGAAGCCGACCACGCCCATGCTTGCCTCGAATTCTCCTGTGGATGCCACGCAGACATCAGCCCCGGATTTAACAAAGTCTCCACATTCTGCTTCCCCACAAAGCAGCGGCAGGCAGATGTATGGTGATATCTTTGGATCACTCATGTCCCCACCAAGCATGGCGTTGCCATATGGACAACAATATGCCTCAGTCCAGTGGCCCCGCACATGCATCATCCAGGATCAAAGCACTGGTGCTGACCAGGGAAATTACCAAGACAGCAGCGGCGATATCGATGATGGTGGCTACGAATATGGCAATACCAGCGGGCTTTGCATCAACAAGTCACTTGGCGGGATACTAGACAAGCCTCAGATGGGCGATGATGATGGTGGCGACGACTGACGACGACGGCGGCGGCGACTTCATACCCGGTACCGATCACGCTGTCCCGATGTCACAGTCAACAAGGACTGCTCAGCTTCAAAGTGTTCCAACCACAGATACTATCACTGCGCTGAGCACGCCCTCATGCGATCTTGGTATTCGAGGAGTGGTCGTCATTCATGGAAGGCACTTCTCCACTCCAGGTGGCCACCTTCAACGAGCAGGCAGCCCATGACACAACCCCCACAATGGACAATGGGAAGATACCTTGTGGCCGTAGCACCGTTGGCACTGCTGGCAAGGAGCAAAGGCACGGATTTGGCTTCGATGCAATCGACGAAATCGGTGAGAAGCCGGCTGGCAGGCTTGATGCCAAGCAATCCCCCAGCCCCATAGCTGCTGCACGTCTCTCTGCCAAGGCACAGCAAGGATTGAGCGAGATGCGCCTGCAGAAATCCGAGGCCAACCTTCTGGCTTCGCCAGGGAACCAGCGGATCGGAGTGCGCAAGGGTGGCCTGTTCAAGAGCAGCACTACACAGAGTGCAGCCGATGATCCCAATGCACCAGCCAGAAAGAACGCACCAGCCGCTCTGGGTGGCCAGTTGAGCATTCGTGCGAAATTCAGCGATATTAACGCTTCGAAGGCGTTTGCTTCGGCAGTCGGTCGTATCGGCCGTTCGAGGACTACGGCAGGAGTACCGTGGTAGCGACAGTGAAGCAAAATCTCGCTGCAATACCGGAGCCGGTAGTCATTCCGCAGTATGAGCCTGCTGACCACGCGGATTCAGAGGTGACCAGGGTTGTAAAGGGCCAGGTTGCACGCAGTGTGATCCAGCGTGAGAACGAGCGCGATTCACAGGAGCGCAGATCCGGAATCAGGCGTATGCGTCGTGTCAAGAGCGAGTCCAAGGTGCCTCGTCTGAAATCGATCCGGACTAAGGCTTGATGGCTCTGCTGTTGGAAGACAGGTGCCCAGCTACTCGGAGTACGACGATGACTTTAGCCCAAGACAGTCGATCGATATAGAAGCATCAGGTCTCCCGAGTGTGGCTGGTGCCGGCCACTTTACAGGCAACAAATTCGTGCCAAAGTCGCCTTTAGGATACGCAGAGACTGTTGGTGGGCGGCTGGAAAGGAGTGCCTTGGGCAACAGCTCCCAGTGCTCTGTTCGTAGCACTGCAGACGTGATGGGTGAGTTCAATGAAATCCAGAACCGCCTCAAGACCGCAGAGGAGCTGAAGAGAAACGAAAAGATCAAGCGCGTATTTGGTAAGGAAGGTGCCGACGACATGCGGATCTCTTCCATCCTCGAGACACGTCAGGAGATCCCACTTGCGCTGCAGCTCCAAGAGAAGCGCCAGATGCAGCTTGCCAAGCAGCAGGCCCTGATGAAGCAAGAGTTGGAGATCCAGAGGAAGCAGCAGCACGTGGAGCAGCAGCAGCGCGAGCAGCGGGTGCAGCACCAAAGATTCCTTCAGCAGAGCCTCAGGCCTGCCGCATCAGCGTGCTCACCATCCCAAAAGCCTGCACAGCCGATCGGTGCTTGGCAGTCATCTGATGTCCCTACATATGGTGGCAGTGATGCGTATACTCGCCAATGGGTTCAGAACCAAGGCCAGTTCAATGGCGGTGCTCCTCCTCCACCTCCAATGCCACAGCAGCAGCAGCAGCAGCAGCAGCAGCAGCAGCAGCAGCAGCAGCAGCAGCGCCAATATCGCCCTGGATACGCATCCTCGGTGCACAGCATGGGGCCTACGCCGTCTGCCCACCACAACAGCCACCACCGTCTTCACCACCACCACCAGAGCACAGGAAGCTACGCACATGCGCCACCAGTGCCGCCAATGCCCCCAGCACACCAAAGGCCGATATCAAACATCGCTGGCTACGTGAACAGCGGAGAGTCTGCAGCGATCTGGAGCCAGAACCGCTCGGTCACCAGGTCGTTCAGCTTCCACTCCCGTATTGGCAGCGGCATGATTGTCCCCTCGGGCGAGTTCAATAGGGCTCCTCTCAGCCGTTCCCAGACTGTGCAGTCTCGGCGTACTGCTGGCGGTGCATTCCGTCCAGGCAAAGCTGCCATGGCATCGAGACCCGGCTCACCTGTCTCTGTCCCCTCGTCCGGGTCCTGGCAGAGCAACATCGATCACAATGCCACGCACAATGCTGGTGAGCCAGCGTACGAGGGCTCGATGTACACAACATCGCCCGTGATGAGCATAATGACAGCACCGCGCGGCGGTAGCTCGAGCCACTGTTCTGATCGCAGACGCCGCACACACTACAACACCGGTGACGTGCCGCCAGTTCCTACACTCCCACCCAAAATCGTGGCAATGAACAGTGCTAACCCGACACTGTATCACCAGTCGCAAGTGTATCACCATCCCCCTCATGCACCGTCGCGTCTGTCGCAACATTCAATGGTAGCACCCCCACGGAACACAATCTCACCGTATCCACAGCAACAGCAGCAGCAGCAGGCCCCTCCCAACTACTATCCAGGCTCAAGCTATGGGGCAAAGATGGACGAGAAGAACGTTGCTGAGTTGCAGCGCCAGATGAAGAGGCGTACGGAGATGACAGCGACCGCGCCTTCGCTGCTCCAGCGCCTCGACATGGCGCGTATGACGGGTGTTCTTCCAACGCGTGGGTCTGAGAAGGCTATGCCATATACGTCTGGTGCCTATCAAAACTATACCGGTCGCCAAATGGTCCACAACAACCAAGGGGGTGCTGCTGCCGCCATGGGAGGCACTGGCTTGTTGGTTGACCGCGTCCATGAGACCGAAATTAACCGGAACGCGTTTATCAGAAAGATGAGCCACGGGTATCCAGGAGTCGGCGGCGAGGGCTACGCCCAGCAGGTTTACCACTGATGTCTAATATCCTATCCACATTCAATACCCAGTTTTGTTCTGTTTACAGGTTCTGTAATTAAAATGTTGTTCAGTGCAGCTCAGAATGGCTATCTACTGGAGGGCTTTCGCCATACCGCTGAGGACGGCAACAAGTCCGACGGCACCGGCATCAGGAATTCCATCGCCATGGCCAACGTACACAGCACGTCCACGCTTGGGCTTCATCTGGGCAGTTGCCTTCGCACCCTCATCGGCAGCCGTTAGTGCCTGGGCGACATCGCCGGTCTCGGCCAGCGTGCTGGCAAAGGGCTGGAGCGCGTCAATCAGTGTGCGGTGGCCCGGACGCGCAGTTGTGTACTGGTACAGGGTGTCGAGAGCGCCCAGCATAGCCTTGCCCCATACCTTGGGGGTTGTTGAGGCGCGGTCGGTGGCACCAAGCTTGTGCAGTTGCTGTGCAAGGCCATCGAGGAATAGGCAGTAGATAATCCCCGATGTTCCACCCATCGAGTCTTCGACCAGAGAAGAGATCCGGGCCAGGGCGGCTGCAGCATCGTTGAGAGGCAGCTGCTGGCTCTTGGAAGCCTCAAAGACAGCAGTGGCGCCAGACAGCAGCACCTCGCCACAGTCACCATCGCCCATGAGCTGGTCTAGCCGAGTGACCTCAGGCTCAGCAGCAACAACGCTGTCGTAGCCGGCCTGGATCACTGACTCCCAGACCGAGTCAGAGGCAGGAGTGAATGTGGTGGCTGGGCCGCGGGCGGCATCGTCAGTGCTACCAGCATCCTCAACCCTGGTCTGGTTGACCCATCCCGCGCAATGAGCAGGCTGATCGAGCAGAGCAAGGAGCTCGGCACGCTTAACGTCATCGTCGGGCAGGACAAGCAGCGAAATGCTGATGCCAGGCATAGCAAGACCTGTCATATAGGTGCCCTGGAGCACGCGCTCTGGCTCATAGCCGCGCTCACGGGTAGCCTCCGCAGAGAGCTTGGTGACGAGGCCCAGCTCCAGATTTGAGGTGGCACCTAGGTTGTTGACAAATACAACGACTCGCGGCTTGCTCTGGCCGGTGCACTTCTTGAACGGCATGCTTGCGATGATATGGTCAATGAGACCTGGCACCAGCTCACTGGCGGGCTTGAGCGCGGTCTTCTTAAATCCAGGCTCATTGTGGATACCCATGCCGATCTCGATCTCGCTGTCGTTCAGCGTGCGAGGCATACCCTGGCCCGGCACCGACGCAGCATTAAGAGCGCATCCCAGGGTGAAGGTATGAGAGATAACATACTGGGCTGTTCCCTTGACCTGCTCGAGGGAGGCGCCATTGGCAGCATGGGTACCAGCAAGTTTGTTGACGAGTACAGTGCCCGCCAAACCGCGGCGACCGACACCGCCCTCTTCATCATCGTTCGGATTGACCACGCCGACGTCATCACCAACAACAACCATGTCGACCTTGGGTAGCGGGTGACCCTGGTTGACACGCTCTGACTTGAAGCGCTCGACGGCGCGGCCAAAGTTGAGCACATCGCCAGTGTAGTTCTTGATGACAACCAGTGTGCCGTGCTCTTCAGAGTACACGCGGCGCAGGCATGACAGGACCTGCGACGAGGTGGGCGATGCAAACACATGGCCGGAGACTGCGGCACTGAGCATAGCTGGGCCGACAAACCCGGCGTGCGATGGCTCGTGCCCTGCACCACCGCCGCAGAACAGAGTGACCTGCTTCCTGCGCAGTGCCGCCAGGTCCTTGGTATAGATCACCTTTTCCTTTTCGTCAAAGGCCAGGTGCGGGTTGGCGATGGTCAGGCCAACGAGGCTGTCCTTGACCAGCGTCTTTGGATCGGTAACAAAGTGCTTGCCAGTGGATGAGGCCATGCTTGCGACTGCAGAAATTAGTGGGCTGGAAAGTTGTGTGTGGGAAGCGGGCAAGTGACAGTATGCTTGGAGAAATAAGCAGAATTAGAGAATGAGGAAGACGAAGAAAAGTCTGAAAACGGGCAGCTGCGTTTTAAACTTCCCCACACCGCAGATGCCACCTGCCCTACATGGGGGGTTAGGGCCGATTGTCCGCACGAACAGACACGAAGAAAAATCTGCATTTGGCGTCCACCCCGCAGAAAAAAAACCTGTAGAAGACGACCGCCGATAGCAGCCGGCGTTGCTACGTTGTGGTGGTTGGTCAGCACCACCGATTTGCATTGCAAATGCGCACGACCTGCACATGATAGCGTCCATCCTGCACCTTCTGCTCGGTGCACAGGCTGGAAATCCTCGGAGCGCCCCACATGAAACCGGCTTTGAGCTACGGTAGGGAGCAATGGCTTGTAGGAGTGTGCATGCCACTGGCCGGCTCCCTGTCTGTGCGACATCGGCGCACCGGGCCAAGTGGCGTTCGACGGCCAGATTGTCCCTATAAGGCCAGAGTCTGCACCATCCAACAAATTGCGCCGGGCGAGCTGTTGTAATCGAGATCGGCTGATTATCGTGGGACCGATCACTGCATTGGCTGGCGGTTTTGGCAACAATGTGTAGACACGAAATCTCGCGTCTGTCTCTCCAATTATTTCATTTGCTTGTGTTTACCTTATACATTTAATTTCAGCCGGCGCCTGGTCACGATGGTCTTTACACGTCGTCATAGACGGCTTGGCAGCGGCGACAGTAGCACCAGCAGCACTGGCAATGCGCCACACGTAGTCAAGACATATGGGCGTGTCCGTCACCGGACTGTAAACAGGGACAGCAATTCAGCACACAAATTCGCACTGGCCGCAAGCGCAAGGCCCACAGTTGCTGGTGTGGTTGACGATGGCCCTTCTGACAGCGACTTTGAGAAAGAGGAACCAACGCCCAAGCCTACAGCACAATCCGGACATCTATCCAAGGCTCGGCCAACGAAAACAAGAGGCAGCCCACAGATGTCACCAGCAGACAACGGTGACACACCTCGGCCACGCCAGCCTAAGGCAGTTTCAGGCAACGGGACGGCCGATCCTGGCAGCAGCGACAACATCCAAAGTCTCCGCAGAAAGCAAAGAGGAAACTACGCAAGGGTGCGGCGGCGGCAGAATCCTAAAGCAGCAGAAACTACAGCCATTGGAATTAGAAGGTAGGGCATGTGTACTGCATCTATATCATGCAACGTGTGGAATATGCATATGCATGGACTCTAAAAACGGCAGTTTCTTTTATGTAGCCAGCGTTGACGAACCGGCCATGCATGTTGACCAGTCTGAGACGGCCGCATCGTTAGAGGAATCTCTGGTAACAGGGCAGGGATATAGGAGGCCGATAAAGGACAGCTTCACAGCTGACAGGTCACGGCATGCTTCGAAGATCCCCGCGGATTCAAAATCCCCTGGACGCCAGAGGTTGTGATAGACAGGATATCAAAGGAATTTCCTAGGCATCCGGCAGGACCGGATGTACTAAGGGCAAAGCAGACCACACCAACACGGCCAGACCACAGGCCCTCTATAACCCATATGCCATGCAACGAACGGCTTAGAGAACCCGCATGAGCCAGCAGAGTCACAGCTGAGCTTGTTGACGACGACAGAGAGCCCTGGTATCAGCGGCAACATCACGCGTCGTAGACCTGGACGGCCAAGGAAGCAGCCTGGAACCAAAGCGGCAAATATCGCTTGCTCCTATATCCCCAGAGAAGAAGGCGAGGCTGGGTCCACTCAGCGCCAATGTCGATAGACATCTGACTACAAGAGGTGACGGCCCGCCAGGATTCCCGTCGCACGCAGCCCTTGCAGCTTTGTCTTCCCGAGTGAGTATCCGATCCCGGGGTTCGAGGCGCTCAAAGGCCAGCACGTTTCGTAATCAGAGACAAAGAGCCGACGCCGGAAACAGATGGCAGCTCAAGCTCCAAACCCCGTACTGGGTTGACTGATAATGCAGCTGGGCCGTCCAGTGTCGAACTAGGCGCTGGGCAGAATCCGGCTGAAGACGAAGAGCCTACCAGATCAGCTCGCGGCAACCCGTGCGATGCGATTCAGGCCTCCGCGCAATGCTCGGGCGCAGACGTATGAGATCGAAGACGATGACGCCGACGGTATCGAAGACGCAGAATCAGGTGACGATGGAGACGGTCGCAGGAACTTTAACCGGCGACGCAATGCATGGGACCGCAGGAACGCAATGCATGGTTGACCGCAGCGAACGCAGATGCATGGGTTTGACCGCAGACGGACGCAGATACACAGGGTCCAGAAAACTGCGCAGGAGCAGGAGCTGGAAAATCCGGAAATGGTCCCGGTGACACCGCCTTCCAAAGCACCGCTTGTCGTTGTTGCAGGCTAGTTCGGACCCAGTAGGTTACTCCGCCTCGGAAAAGGGGCCATCGCCGGGCAAGCATCACACCAAGTGCTCCCCACAGCCCTGCTCGGATTGCAACGCCGCACCGGGTTGTGTTCTCGCCACCGCGCCGAAAGGTAGAGGCGACAAATCCTAATCCCAGCAGAAAGGCGGGCGCTGGCAAGGCCGGAGGTGTCTGGCGAGCACTCGATCAGCCGCAATACCCTGAGCGCTGACAATTCTGAGGACCCAGAGTTTGAAGAGACACGTGTGCCGTTCCTGCCGGCCCGACGCTATGTTAAGAAGACACACCTTTTGGAAGCGTGTGGCCAAAAAGCCCCGATAGACTGGGCCAGCGGCGGTCTCCAGGCCTGTGGGGTTCTACTGCCCGAAACCGACCCGGCGGTATCCAGTGAAGAGCAGATGGGCGAGATCGAGAGCGAGGCTGGACTGTGCAAGATCGGTGAGGCCACGTACTCTGAGGTATTTTCTGCACAGTGGCGGTACGTGCCTCGCACACGCTACGACAAGTTCAACAGCAAGAAGGGCAAGGTCAAAGGCGAGCGGATCATGCAAGTGGCGCTGAAGGTCATTCCATTTGGCAATGCCAGTGTAAAGTCAGGGGCTGGCGAGCGGCAGACCACGCTGCGCGACCTGTACCAAGAAATCGGCGCAACACTGGCGCTGAGCAGGCTGTCAGAGCGTGAGCGCTGTAAACTCCAGGAGGCGAGAGTGCAGGTCAAGATGCCACTCAGGTCGAAGGAGCGCGAGCTGGGCGCCAACTTTGTCAAGGCATTCCGCGTGTGCATCTGCCAGGGCACGCTTCCCGGCGCCGCTACTCCGGGCCTGGGATCGGTGGAAGGCAGAATTCCCTGATTTGTGCGAGAACGCCCGGCCCGACTACTATCCAAAGGACCAGCTGTTTGCTGTGTTTGTGCTGGAGATGGGTGGGGAGACGTTGGAGAACGCGGTGGTATCGACGTGGAAGGAAGCACGCAGCATCATCCGGCAGCTGGCGTTGTCAATGGCGCTTGCCGAGCGGCACAGCAAGTTTGAGCACCGTGATCTGCACTGGGGGAACATCATGGTGACGCGCTACAACAGCAACCTGACGTTCCTATACCAGCTACCACCGACGGGTAGCCGATCCAAGAGCACGCTGCTGTCAGTTCCAAGCTACAGGCTGCGCTGCACCATCATTGATTACACGCTATCTCGGCTGCATGTCGAGAACGATCCGGCCGACGCGGCGACAACAGTGTCCACGACCAGCCAACTACATGCCTGAGAACAATGTGTTTTACGTCGACCTCAAGGACGAGGCGCTGTTCAGAGGCGAGGGCGACATCCAATACGAGGTGTACCGCAAGATGCGCGCTTGCTCAAACAAGGACTGGAAGGGCTTTTACCCGCGGACCAACGTGCTCTGGCTCACGTACGTGCTGCACAAGATCCTTACAACAAAATCGCCGGCGATCATGGAGGAGCTGGTGATGTTTGTTGAAACCAAAGCTCGACCAGGCCCCCGGCAAGATAGCACCGGAGCTGAGGAAGGTTGCAGGCCAGGAGCTGCTGCGGCGATGGATCCAGGACTTTGAGCAATGCGAGTCGTGCTCGCAGGTGCTCCGGTGCGCGCTGCTTGATCTGTACAAATGAATTTTTCCTAGCGAAATCACAATATTCGGAGCCAACACACCCATATAGCACAGCATGTACTCTACAGCTGGAAGCTCTCGCAGTGCGGGCTTGGTATGTGGCAGCGCATTTCCCAGCTTTGTGTGCTGTATACCCTTTAGCTTCCTGTCATAAACGTGCAAACTGAAAGCAAACAAAATGGCCGATCTGCAGCAGGAGGACGAGACGAGTAGCGTGCCGACGTTCTTCAAGGAGCACCGTGAACTATTTGATTTGCTGGACAAGGTCCTGGCCAGCACTGGAGACGAGGCAACATGGAGGTCGGCCAGTGGCGGCAATGGCATGGTTTCGGCTAGTGAGAGCACTCTGATTCACGACATGTCCGAAATCCTCGGGCGCTACCAGGAGCAACCGACATGCCTCGACCCCCACCTGGAGCGCATCATAAGCCAGCTGATGTCACTGGCACAGAGATACGTCTACGCATTCCACGACAGCCTGTCGGCCGGCTCAGCAGACGCGGTCAGCGCGCAGCGGATGGGCGGCATATTCGGATTAGTGTATCTGCTGTGCAAGGTGCGTGGCTACAAGGTTGTGTTGCGGTTTTTCCCGCACGAGGTGGCCGACATCGAGCCCGTGTTTGCGGCGCTGTGGTATCACACGGCGAAGCCCGATGGCAAAAGCTGGACGACGCGCTATGTGCTGCTGATCTGGCTGTCGCTGTTGGCGATGATCCCCTTCGATATTGAGTCGATTGACAGCGGCATGCATGGGCTGCCGGCGCTCGAGCCAGCTGATGCCGAAGCCAATATGGCCAACATGAGTCTGGTCAAAAAGTGGGTGGCCCTGGGTAAGGTTTACTTGCGTCGTCCTGGCTGCGAGATGGAGGGGGCGGCAGTGATGTTGTCCCGGCTGCTGTCACGCAAGGACACCGTGCAGGATCTGCAGCCGGCATTTCTGCAGTGGGCTGTGGCCGACATACAGGATGCTGTCGGAGACGGCCTGGCCGAGTCGCAGTCGGGTGTGCGAAGCATGGTCATTAGTGCGGCCCTGCGTGTCAATGGTGTGCTTCGGGTACTGTGCCACCTGTTCCGGGTCATCGAGCACACCTGAGGCGCTTGATCCGGCACGTCGACTGTCTGATGGATATACTCCACTCGGACGCCTTCGAGCAGCATGCGCTGACCCGCAAGCTCATTGCCAAGGACTGCCCAGCGACTGGCACTTGTGTACCTGCCAGGCGCATCTGGTGCTCAGATCACTGGTCCGGCACACACAGGCAGTCACTGGTATCCTAACCTGGCCGGTCTGTCCGATCCTGGAGCCGAGGAGCCAGGTCCGGCTGACGGGGACAGCGCTGGTGATATCGACGAGGAAGAGTGTGACGTAGAAATACCCGAGCAGGTGGAGACGTTCGTGGGGATTCTGCTCCAGAAGCTGCATGACAAGGTATGTTGATGTTTGTTGGCACTTGCCGCTGGGCTCTTGGTGTGTTGTCCTAACCCGTGCATTATTTTTTGCTTGCATGATCATCTGATGTTGCAGTTCACTCTCGCTTTGCGTTGTCTTTGTCGCATCCCTTCTTTGTGTGCTGCTTGGCCCTCTTGCAACATGGAAGTATGGCTGCATATAGTACCAACACCAGGACAATAATGTGATTTTGCTAGTGCGCCTCCGAGCCAGCAAAAAAATAGTGTGCAAAAGCTACACTTTGCAGCGCACATCACACGGGGCATGTGCAGCTAGTGTGTGCATCATAATGCCTGAAGGCAAATCACACGGATTGGATGAGGGAGCGGAATGTGCCGTGTGGTGTGATGGTGACTGAGTTCATTGTGCGGCTTGTCAGCAGTAGCAGCAGGATTTTTGTTTCGACGTGCAGTCTGGAAAATGCTGGCGGTGGTCACTTGTTTGCTTGGCCCAGGTCGACAGCTGTTGCTTCGAAGCCCACTGCATGCTGCCAGTGGTGTTCCACAAGCACACAATCCCCTGTCAATTCCGGGGGAGGAGGCACCACCAATTTATGTGCCCACATCTCCCTCTGCTTGCTCTTTATGCAACAGGGGGCGTGCCCCCTCCTCGGTTCTGCAAATGGCCGTCCATCGCTCCCCTACCCTGGGGCATTCTGTCCTGCTCATATGTGTGGATGGTGCCGCCTCTGTCTTCGCTGTGCCATTTGCTTTCATTGATGCGCCTACACCGAATACAGGGAGAGGCGAGTGTGGGAGGTGGTGTATAATTGCCGTCTTGCCATTTCTGCTGCTTAGCGATGCATCCCGTCCAGCAATTTTTGGCGCCGCCCCGTATTCCTTGGCCGCTCCAGGCTCTGTGCACAGAGGCTTATTTGAGTGGCAATTTGTGTATTTGCTTGCAGCGGGTACTTACGAGAGGCGCCACCTGCTGGCCTGGATGGCATTTCTGCTGCCTTCTGAGATATTGCTTTGCGCCATAGCACTGTGTCTGGTTCATCGGTGCCGTTTGAAAATCCGAGAAAACCGCACCCATTGCACACAAAGCCAGTCCTCCCCCGAGGGTGGGCGTCGTTACAAGCAATAAGCGAAAGGTTTACAATTGCCTGTTAATTTTCTGCTTTGAAGAGGCGTCTAGGACACAATCGTTCGGTGGTCGGCAGCCAAGGGCATTGGCCGTATTTCTGCTCGGCTGCCACCGGCGCTGGCACGCGAGATTGCCTCGGCGGTTGCCGATGTCATGACGGAAGAGACGCTGGTGCAGGACGACGGCACTATCGATGTGTCCATGACGTCCGAGTACTCGTGGCACGGTGCGCTGCTGTGCCTGGCCGAACTCGCGCGCCGCGGGCTGCTGTCCAGCCAGCTTCTACGGGAAGCGATGCCGTGGGTCATCAAGGTAGCGTAGTATGCAAGCATGCCGAGCTCCATTTGAAGATCAGCTAGCTCATCGCAAATTGATGTCTGATCCAGCTCGTTCTCTTTTAGGGCCTCACATACGAGATCCAGCGCGGAGACTACTCGGTCGGATCTAATGTGCGCGATGCAGCATGCTACGTGATGTGGTCGTTTGCGCGCATCCATGGCCAGGAGAGCCGAGCCGTGTTTGCGGACCTGCAGCTCAAAATGGCGACAGTGCTGGTGTCAGTTGCTGTCTTTGACCGAGAGACGAATGTCCGTCGTGCAGCGAGCGCTGCGTTCCAAGAACATGTCGGTCGCCATGTGAGTATCCCCCGAAGCCTTGGCATAATTTCCCGTATTTTTCAGGCAGCAAATAGTGCAGTATCTGCCTCTATGTGCCTGAGCACAAACGGAGAGCGCGTGCCAGAGCGGAGCAGACACGGCTCGCAGGAGGCGCTTGCCGATTGTGCTGCAGCTCTGGCAAAAATGTGTCTGGCCTTTGCAGCGTATCTGTCTGCCTTCCCACTTGCATGTCTGGCTGCTTCCCCTCACAGTGGGCACCAGATCTCTTTGTGGCCTGCTTTAGGTGGGAGCTGCAACACATGCAGCAAACGGCGTGCCTTGCCAACAAGGGCTGTTCTAATTTCCTTCTGCAATATTGTCGCTTTCCCCCCCTCTGCTTGTAGAGCTCGTTCCCACACGGGATTTCAGTGCTGCAGCTTGCTGACTTCTTTGCCGTTGGCAACATGCGCAATGCATTCACCGATGCAAGCCGGAGGATTGCCGAGTACGTAGAGTGCACGCCAGCCAGCCCACAGTCGGCGGAAACCACAGCAATTCTAGAAGTATATGGCCATAGTGATGCGATCTGCGTCATCTAACAAACACCATCCGTATCAAATAGGTTTGCCGAGTACTGCGAGCCCTTGCTGAGCCACCTGTGTACAATCACCATCTACCACTGGGACCAGCGAACCCGGGATCTTGCAGCCGAAGCACTGCGGCTATTGGCGCCGCTTGCCGCAGAATATGTGATCACGCAGCACCTTCCAGACATGGCAAGTATAACAAAGAGAGAGGGGGCGGATGTGCAATATTGCTGGTTTTCAGAGTGCTGAATATCGCGTTTTCACACTTCATGCTTGCATTCATCATTTGGCCACACGCAATGTATACTGACGCATTCAACAATGGCCTCATAACAAATAGGTGGCCAACACCACCTCGCCGCTTTTGGCAGTGCGTCACGGGGCGATAGTTGCCACCGGAGTTGTCGCCGAGGCACTGGCTGCGAGCATCGGTGGTTGTGGAAACGAGGACATTGCACAGGTAAAGTGATATAATCTAACGCGTTGTGGGCAATAGGGCACAGGACAATGGCAGCAAATTAAGGAAGACCGCGTTGTTTGCCTCTGAATCAGTGTTGCTGAGCGCCCTTTATCTACCATTCCAACTGGCATCTGGGACATATCCGCTCACACTGCCATTGTGTTTTCTTTCTGGCACCACTTTTAGGCGCTGAGGGCCGTGGCTTTTGGCGTCCCAGCACGGCTCCTAGATGACTTTGGCGCCAACCTGACGCTCTTGGCGCTCTGCAGGTGCATCGGATCAATGTGCCGAGCGCATCAGCTGCTGCGCATGCAGAATGACAAGCGTCTGTTTGACATCTTTGTCAAGGCCTTCACTGTCTGCTCTGACCACCAGCTGCTTGTGCCGGAATTTACCTCATTCGTCGAGGCATTTGGGCTGACCGATGCGCAGCACACGCGGGTGGCGGAGCTGACCAGGGTCGAGCGGTCAGGTAGCTCGCGCGAGGGCTTTGTTCTCGCACTCGGAGCACTCGCGAGGGATCACAGCTTTGCAGTTTTGTGCGAATTGATAACCGACGGCACGACAGTGGAAATCAGGCGCAATGCAGCGGTGGCTCTGGGCCAGGTTTGCGGGCGAGGGCTGAAAGGTATGTTATCTTTGCATATGGACTGCTTGAAGAGGTTTCATTCGTGCTGCTGCTAAAAGAACTCGCCGAAAACGCAGTAGATTGTATTGATCTGTCCTCGGCTGTGAGTGCGCTGCTTGATGGGCTGCTGGATTGCACTGTGGACAATCGCGGCGATGTCGGGTCCTGGGTGCGCAAGGAGTGTCTCACTACCCTCAACCAGATATTCGCGAGCGATGCGTCAGCGCTGGCCCAGCTCAGCGACAACGACCTTGTCACCAGGCTGTTTGCAAGGCCGCTGCAGGCGGCAACAGAGAGAATCGACAAGCTCCGGGCGGCCGCGGGAGAATTGATTGAGACGCTGCTGTATGTACAGGTTCTGAAGGGCAGCAAGCCGCTGCGAGCCGCCTGCAACTACGTCCAGTCAGCTCAGGACGGCTCGTTCCGAAACAGGAATTCACTGAGGTATGTTTGCAAAGCCCACATGGTCACAAATGCCACCCTAACTTTTTCTTTGCACCAAGATCGGCAATGGATGGGCGGGTGTGCACAAAGAGCTGGGCAGCGGAGGATTTTTTCTTCGGACATTGGTCACATGTGCCCATCTTTCTGCGTCCAGAGGATTGCCAGCATTACCGGTTGAAACAACAGCTGAATGCTCTGCGATCATGACCCACTATTGCCTGTCAGCCGCCAGACAAGTTTGAGTATCAGCCCGCTTTGGATCAGAGCTGTTTGGGCGACATGCCGCCGCTGCATATCCTGGAAGCTAAGTGCCTGGTCATTTCTGTCCGCTGTAGGGCGATTGAGTGGAGCGACAGTGAGGTGGTCTTTGGCCAGCTAGTCAAGGTGCTCTCGGTGCCCAGCGAGGAGCTTCGGCGTCCGCTGTTTGAGGGGCTTGTCGTGACCGGATCAACCGAACCATTGGTAAGCTCCATATTGCAAAATTCGCCATGATAAATATCCGGGGGAGGAGGAGTATCTGGTATCAGGCGAGTACTGACGGTGCTGGACACGCAAAATGGCTTACAGGCGCTCAATTACGCCATGCTGTCCTCCCACGAGGCAATTTTCGTCGCTCGTCGGTGTGGATCTGCAAGCGAGCAGTTTCGCATTCTGAGACAGGGATCCCGCGCTAAAAAGTCACCCGGGCTCGATTAGCGAACACAATAATTGCTGCAAAGAGCAGAAGTTGTAATGGCCATCGTTAATTGCACGCATTCCGGTTCTGAGCAACAGCGAGATACGTAGGCACCCAAATGCTAATCGCTGTTTGTGCCTTTTTCTCTTGTGATACGATAATCTAGGGCAAGTTTGCAGTAAGCGCAGTAGCGGAATATACCTGAAATGCTGCCAGCAGAGGCAGAGGCAGAGCAGAGGCAGAGGCAGAGGCAGAGGCAGAGGCAGTTGACGGTGCTGCTACTGCTTCTCCAGCTACGCCCTCTGGATGGGGCGTGGATAGCATTGTTGCTGAGCTGACGCGACTACTGCTGACTGACCGGAAGACCAGTAAGCTCATCAACCCAGGCATTGATAGTGGCCGACCAGCTCATCGAGCAAGGGGCATTGATGAGCGCATCCCCAGACGTGTAAGTATGACGAGCGCAATATTCCTTCCCGCTTTCAGGGGTTGACGAGGGGATGTGGAATGTTGGGGTGCCATGCGGGATATGAATGCGTATTTCCAAAAGAGAATATTGGGGTTAATCCAGAATAATCGTGTTTAGGTGGACTCCAATGCACCGGGCGGTTCAGCGGGTGGCATTCAGACTGCGCTCCCCGCGTCGGCTGATGCTGTGTTTGAAGCTCTACGTAAGCTTGTCGCTAGTGTCGGACAGGCTGCTCGCAATGGCCGCAACTTCACTGCTGGCATATCTGAGGCACCCGCTTCCCAAGGTAGGTGGTATTTTCTAGGAGCAGGCCAATCTGACTCTTTGAAACCGATTGCTAATGCAACCCGTACACGCCTCCTATGTGTAGATCCGCCAGATGGCAGGCGATCACCTGTTTACCGTTCTGTGCATAAACCGGAAGCCTGAGCGACGATGTCGACGATGCTGGTCTGGAACTGGGTGCGGAAATCGAGCGGCTGGTAACGGAGACCGACTGGCTGGCGGGCGGCGACAATGCCGGTGCAGCCCACCAGCGTCTGGCTGAGCTGGTCAAACATGTCAGGTGAACGGGCGCCGGGCACTGTTACCTTTTTGTTTTCTGTGGCTCTAAAAATGGAATAAATGCGTTTCGTCATTAGTACGCTCCTCCCGGAGGCTAATGCCAGCTCGCATGTCTGGCATCCAGCAAAGTCTGCGCTCTCCCTCTGTCTCATTTGCAGCAAAGAGTGCAGCAAATCACCTCTTGCATGCTTCGTGCGGGTCGCTGACCACCCCCTCCGCCCCGCCCATGTCTGCGTTGCCCAGCTGCTCAGCGTAATTCCCACCTCCGCTGTCTACTGCAACAAAGGGGCGCGCGCCTTCTCTTCGATTCTGGGATATTTTCCGCCGGCTGAAAATGTCAGCGACGGGGTGTCAGTGGCAGGGACGGCATACCACCCCCACTCGCACACTGTGCGTAGAACTTTGTCGCTCTCTGTGGAAGCTCGCCCAGTTCGCACATACAGCCGAGGCGCTGCCTCCCTCGCCCTTCTTGACTTTCCCTCAACCTCTTCTACTGCCACCACCTCACTGCTCTAGCATCCCCCAGCAATAAGGAGAATAGGATAAAGGTAGGGCCCGCACCGTATATTACGTCCTAGACTCTTCCCCCGCGACGGCACCTCCTCTGCACCCCTCTCCAAACGCTCGTTCCGGCATCCAGGCTAGCGCTCATTATTGTGACACCCACCCCCTCTTCGCCGACCTGATCTCTTTCCTGGTCTTCTCCCCCATCGCCATACATCCAGTTTGGGCTATATTAACATCTCCAGCCAGAATTAATAGTCCATTCTGTCGACACGGCGGTTGAAATAATCGTCGGAGGTTCTTATTTTCTGGGTTTGTGTGCCTCCAGCTGCAATATTAAGGAACGGTGAAGGCCTGAAATCGCGACCTTAATCGCCATTTGTCTTTGCCCTTTGTTAATATTTCCGAAGGCTCGCATCATCGCCGCTGCTCGCACCGGCTCAGCATCCGCTCGCCCACCTCGTGCACGCCTTTATAAAGCAGTGGTATATCTGCTGCTGCCGATTGCGTGCTTCTGCCCAGCTCCCTCAGGCACGCAAAGATCCGTCAGTTCTCCCTTTACTGCTGCAATATCGATAGGCCCCTGTTCTTCAGACTTGTGCGCTCTATTTCGCTTTTTTTATTTGTGTGGGTGGGACCACATTTTGCAGCAATTTATCCAACCACCTGCCGCCTATCTAGTCTCCACCACCACTGCAACTACCGCCACCGCCCTTTGTCGCTCTCCACCAAAAGGGCTGCATTCTCTTCTCTCTTTTCTCTTGCCTAGTATTCGCCCAGACCTCTCCTTCCTGCTTCTGCTTTCTGTCCTCATAGCGTGCCTTTCTCAGTGCCCATTTTCCTTCGCTGTTTCATTGCGTTTCAGACCCACTCCACCACCACCACCACCACCACCACCCCGCGCGGTCGCCAACTCCACGCCTGCGTGTCTTATCCGGTTCTCTCTCCCGCCTTCAGCCAGGCTTCTTTTTCTGCCTCGCCATTTCGCTGGGCTGGGTCCGCTCGCAATTCGACAACATCGCCAAGCAGGGATATGCAACTGTAGCTCACACACGCCCTCACTTGCCACACCATATTCTTATACCAGCCTATTACCCGCATTCGCATACTCATTTGCCTCAGCTAGCAGCATAGCCGGAGACGGACACCACGGTCCAGCCCTTTCCCTGTCTTGGTCACAATTCACAGTTTCCGAATTAGGTACCGTAGCCTGCTAGCAGCGTCAACAGATCAGTCACAGAACACAGAGCCCGCTCCTGGCTGACAATACGATTTTTGGCTGATTTGCAACCCTTTTATTCTCTTATAGCATGGTCGATATCCCGTTTCCCTTGTAGCTCCTACTCTATATTTGCCGCTTCTTGCTTCTCTTTGAGAATCGCACCCGTCGCTCCAGCGTCAACGCACACCCCGCCGCACACCCCTGCCGCACACCGACAGCGTCGCTTTTCCGGCCGCTCAGGCTCCAGCCATATCTTTTTCCAAAAAAAACAATCAAGAAACCCCTCGGACATTTCGAGTCTGAGCCATACCTTCGAGCCTCTTCTGGATCGAGAACCAGCCCGTATTCCCTCTGCGTCTGCAGGTACGGCCTTTCCTCCTCCTTTCCCGGTTGTGTCTCGGTTGCCCTTGGGGCCCGTGCACTATACAGCACCCCCGTGCTTAGGCTCGGAACCCCAGCTCTGTCTGCCCACATATAGCCGACACATGTCAACACACTATCTCCTGACTTTTGTCTTCTCCCTGCTTATAGGTGACTGATAAACGGACAAGGGCGCTTTCTGCTCCAGCGATTAGCCAGCCCCTCCGCGCCGTATTCCTGCTGTTTTTTTCCTCCAGGTGGAAGGTTACACCGACTAACTCGCACCGGCTCTGGGCGCTTTTTTCTTCGCTTCCCCTCTGGCAGCCATTTCGCCAAGCACTATTCCCCAGCTCAGTGTTCGCGATCAGCCCTTTCGGCGTCTTTATTCACCTGCAACAAAAAGCTGAGCTTTTTTATATTTTCGCTTTCCCAGTTCCTTACATCGGGATTTTCGCTACTATATCGTCGCCGCCGTTTCGCCGAGCAAAACAGCACTGCCAGCTGACCCGCACTTTCCCGCCCGCCAGTGAAGGCCAGTCAGCAACTTTTCTTGTTTGCACAGGAATCGTTGCTCATTTTCTCCGTTTATTTATTATTTCTTGGGTCTGCTTCTCCCTCTCGCTGTCCTCCTCCCCTTGTTCGGCATCGACAGCAATCAGCCTTTTTGTATTTCACTGTTGTTTCTCCTTCAGTGGGCCTTTCTTTCCTCTTCATTTTTCATATTTCCCTCCTTTTCCTTTTTCTGTTTCTTGTACCAGTATTCCTTCCCTTTTTTCAACCCCGAGGCGAAAAACTGCAACAGCGACGAAACTGGCTTCAACTCGCTCTCGTGGCCTCTTTCTGTCGGGTTCCAGTTCTTCCTCAACCACGCAAAAATTTTTCTTGCCCAACGCTCGCGCAACCCACCGAAAGGACTACGTTGTCCAGCCGAGCGCCTCAGCCTGTACCATAGACGCTAGTTTAGCCCGGCGTTCCACAGGCTTCGTTTCTCCGAGCTTTGGATTAAACGCTCTCTCTCCTCGCCACGATTTTGCCTCGTATTTTCCACCCGCTTTAGCCCCTGCACCGCGTCCTCTCGGAAGACCTGCTCGTTCACAAAATAATGCTCGCCTTCCAGCAGCAGACGCACCAAGCGACGCAGCAAGCAGCAGCAGCGGCCCAGTCAGCCGCAACCGCCCCTTGGTCTTGCACCTACTGCTGTTTCGGCATCAGCTGGCAGTGCTAGTGCCATCGGCTCTGCCCTCGCAGCCTCTACTGCCGCTGCTGCTGCTGCTGTCGCCATCGCTCCCCCGTCGCAGGCTTCGTTTGGCAAATCGAGACTCGGCACGTGGAATTCAGGGTCGAAGCCCAGCGATCAGCAGCAGCAGTATTCGTCGCGCAGCTACGCAGCTGGTGGCGGCAGCGGTGGAGGCAGCTCATCGTACCGGCCTGCATGCCGGGGGTGACTCGCACTCGCTGTCACGCACTGGTAATCCGCGCAGCAACAATGGTCGCTCCCAGCAGAAGCAGGCAGCAGCCTTTGCGGCTCCACACTGGCGCAGCTATCACAACCACTATGTTCAGCACCACCAACAGCAGCAGCACCATCACGCCAACGGCACTGGCAGCGGTAGCGGTGTCAGCACTGGACGCCGCCAGGCTAACCGCCATGGCAACAACAGCCAGCACCACGGCATCAACCAGCTCTGGCGCCAAACCAACGCCAATGCCAACGCTGCCGCCAATGGATCAGCAAACACGGGACTGACCATCAACACCGACAAGGCCCGTGATGTGCCAGCACTCATGTCCTCGACCTACCAGGGCACCGATTCGCCGCTTTTGTCTGGTATCTCGCTCGCTCTCAGCAAGCAGAAGAACCAGCAGCAGCAGCAGCAGCCGACTGTCCCCTCGGTCAAGGTTGCGCCGCCGCTGTACGATGTCCCGCAGCCACGCACGCCGCACCCGCTCTCTCCCGCCGACTCGCTCAAGACGCCCGGCTACGTCGACCCAGAGAGCCTGCCGTTCCCACTCGGATCAATGATCACCGATAGCAGCACAGGCAAGCAGTACAAGTTGCTCGGCGTGCTCGGCGAGGGCTCATATGCGGTCGTGTACCTGGCGCGCTGCACCTTTGACAACGCAAAGTACGCGCTGAAGTGTCTGTCCAAGCTTGGCCTGACTGCGACGCCAGCTCTCGCTCCAGCGCTCCGAGCTCGAGAATCCATGCCTGCGGTGTGCCCCCACCCGCATATTGTGACGCTGTACTCGTACTTTGAGACGCGCGACTGGCTGTTCCTTATCATGGAGCGCGTGTCGGGCCCCGATCTCTACGACTATATCACGCAGCACCCAGCCTTCAACGCCAACCAGGAAGAGCGCCGCTTCGTCGAGGCCACGCGGCTCTTTGAGCAGATGATTGACGCAGTTGCCCACATCCATGCGCTCAAGGCGTACCACCGCGATCTGAAGCCCGAGAACTTCATTCTCGGCGCTGACGGTAATCTGAAGCTGACCGACTTTGGGCTGGCCACGCGTGAGTCGCTGTCGACTGACTTTGAGTGCGGCAGCAAGCCGTACATGAGCTACGAAAACCGCAACGGTGGGCTGAACCCGAACGACCCCACGGTGTACGGCCCGCGCGACGACTACTCGCCACGTCTGTCCGACGTCTGGGCGCTCGGCGTGCTGTTCCTCAACCTGCTCTTCGCCCAGTCGCCGTGGACCGATCCGTCACGCGAGTCGTGCTTCAAGTTCTGCCAGTTCCTGCGCGAGGGCGCGGGATTCCTGGTCGGCCAGTTCCCGAAGCTGCCGCGCGAGGTGGCCGATTTCCTGGTGACCCGCGTGTTCTCGCCCGAAAGTGGTCGCTGCAACGTGCTCGAGTTCAAGCAGTGGGTTCATGCCCTCGGATATCCCGTTCAACCCGCTCAAGCCTGGAGCCACTGCGCCGCGCCCGATCAACTCGCGCCACAAGAGTGGTGGTGCCCAGGGCTCCCGCCGCACTGGTGGTGGCTCTGCGGGCCGCTCGATGGGCTCCGGGTCGTATGGCAAGAAGCCGTCGCCTGGCAGCTTGACGCACCACTCGTTCACCAAGCTGCACAACGGACAGCGTGCTGCGCAGGCCACCACTGCGGTTGCTCTGGAAAACGTCGTTGTCTCTGCCAACGATGCTGCCCAGCGCAGCAGCTTCAAGACATCAAAGTCGCCCCATTCCAAGAAGGATGTCGCTGCGGCTGGTGGTGCCCATGCTGCTAAACAAACAGGCGACAGCCGCTATGGCCCGTCGCTGATGCCGCTTGCGCCTGCAGCCAAACATAACCTGTCGACGTCGGTCCCAGGCTCTGGTGTTCAGCCAGATCATCCCGGCCACCCAGGCCGCTACTGCGCGTAAGATGATGCCGCGCGAGCACAACCCGGTCGCCGCCAAGGCAGCTGCGGCGCTGCTGCAGTCGTCGATGCTCTGTTTGCCCAAGAACGGCCTCGGCCAAGGCAAAGAGGATGACAATACGGGTCTGCTTCCCACCGACGACAATGGTGAGGATGACGACGGCCACTCGTCGTGGAACCAGCTCGACAGCCTTTCTGAGGCCGAGGACGAAGACGACGTTGATATCGACAGCCACGATGGCCGTCCTGCCACCTGGCGGATACCGCGCTTCGGCAGTCGCCGTGGCCAGCAAGTTCCCCACACAGAGCATCGCCGCCTCGCTTGGAGTCAGCCTGGCCAAGGGCAACGCTGCTGCCTTCGACTCTGGACGAGGAGATGGACTTTTCAGTCCCGCTCTCCTTTGAGGATGTGCACAAGAACAGCATTTCAGCCCATGTACCATCGCTGCCGGCAAAAACTGCCGGTGCTGATGGTGCTGCCACTGCCGCGGCCTCATCGTCGCTCAAGCAGTCTCTGACCACAGTGCACCCCGTGTCGGCATCGACTGCGCTTGACAGCTCTTATTCCGACGAGCTCGACATTCTCGGCCACTTCAGCGAAGAGGAGGACGATGGTGCGGTTGCCCCGCTCTCTGCATCGGCGGCAGCCGGCCAGCAGACAGCCGGCCACCGTGTGCGTTTCAACGAAATGCCGCATCAACCAGCCGCAATCCTGCCTCTGGGACGGCCTAGGCCGCGTCAACAACGCTTCGACCAACTCGACCGACAGCTCGCTGACTGCGACCCTGGTCACATCGTCTGTCGAGTACTACAGCCCGCACATGAAGTCACCGCGCAGCCAGCAGCAGCAGCAGCAGCAGCCGTCGCTGGTGGCCGCTGGTACCGGTGCTGCCGGATACGCCGATGAGTCCGATGCAGACGACGAGGCAGACGGCAGCCGGCGGCCAGCAGAAGATGGCCAATGGCACTGTGCCGCTTGTCACATCGCCGCGCAGCACCAACCACCACGCCCATAGACACCACCGCCAGCCACCGCAGCTGCAGCAGATTGCCCGGCAGATGACTCACGCCAACGATCCTCCACCAGTCGCCGGTGATGCGCCATCGCCTTCCGTCGCCAGCCAGAAAGGGCATGCGTTCTCCGCAGATGATCAAGAGCGTGCCTGCGCCGGCTAATCCATTTGCTAGCAACCCGCTGTTTGCTGACGGGCAGACGAGCTTTTCGTGGGCCGATGACGCCGAGGACCTGCCCATCATCAACAGCATTGCCGCCCAGATTGCATCGACCACGATTGCCTCTGGCGCAGGAGTCCACGGTGATACCGACACCAACACATCCGCTGAGGACCAGCTGAGCGACGAGCTGCCGTGGGCATTTGACGACCAGAACCAGCATAGCGACGGCATGTTTGCTATGGAGCTCTGAACACAAAACAGCATGGGCGGCAGTATTTAGTTCTTTGCCTCCCTTTTCCCGGCATGTCCCGCACTGCAACCCTCCCCGTCCCCCACTATCAAAAATGTATAACACCTGTCTGAATTCGAAAGGAGCTGGATCTTTTTCGATGGCATGGCAGCCTTTTTTGTACTGCATCTGGGAGACCGTTCTGCATGGCCGCGTCCTCTTAAGCAGCCTGCTGGAGGCAAGGCCTGGCCACCTCGTGTCTCTCTGCTGCTTTATGTGCATCTCTTCTCATTATTTAAGCCCATCCAACACACCCCCACTGTACTTTTTCTCCCGTGGACGCCTTGTCCGCGCTTTGCTCCTTTTCTATCCACCCCCTTTTAAACTTCGGACTGTAGTTGTCTCCCTCTCCCCCTCTCCCTGCTCTCCCTCTGTTTGGGCGAGCTCTTGTTTTTTCAGATTCCTGTCTTTGCTATGTGCTTCAGGTTTCCTCACAACACCAAATAAATCTCGATGGACCACCAATGCCCCGTTCCATCCTCCCCAATTTCCGGCGTTGGAAACCAGACGTGTCGTGTTTTTGTGAGCACAGGTGGACAGCAGCGACAATGGCCAGTCCTGGAACCACAGTAGGGGTGATCGAGTATTTCCGGGAGCTAGTCGACAATGTCGGTGGCATTTGTGCGAGCTGGTTGCAGTAACGCAGCCGAAAGCAGCGCCATTACCCGAGACAGCAGCACGCGCCAAAGGGTGCCAGTGCATTTTGGTCACGCGTGGAAGGCATTTCTCAGATCATGTGCGGTCTTTGATAGTGTTTGATCGGTCCAGACCAAGAGCGCCATTGTGTCTACTTGGGCTATATGCAAATAAATCAAGTCTTCCGCAATGCCAAAGGTCATGAGCAAATTGGATATTTCATTCCGTGTGAAGGAAGGGGGATATGTGGCAGTAGCTCGTTGCAAAAAGGGGGGATTCGGGGGAACGCTCTCGCTCTGTTATGAAAACGTTCGGTTGTTTGGGCACCTATTTTTCTTCGTGCAAATGCGATGGAATTATTGAAGACCCAGCTGCTAAATAATGAACTAGTGGAGGTTGCGGAAAGCCTTTTATTCCTACAACTACTGTCTCCTCAACGGTGCTGCTGAGCCTTTTTCTTCGCTTTTCTTCCTCTCCCAGTCCGAATCGTTTACATATATTATTGTCCGCTATCATATTGCTGTTGTGCATTATTGTACATAGGTAAAAAGGCTCTGGCTCAAAAATACTCTGTCCTCGTTCTAAAAGGTAAGGAGAGCAGGATTTGCAGACTTTGACACCATCTTGTCATGTACAAGCAGACCAGTACGCTATTGACGCAAAGGCATCGTGGGTACTAATTGGCGACTTGTTAGCGTAGATCATTTGGAAGAACAGGCTGTACGCTCAGAATCATCCACAAGACACAAAAGAAGCTGGAACGCGCATTCATTCCTGGCATTTATATAGTACTCGCCTTTTCTTATCTGGTCAGTCCCTAACCCTTTCACTCACCATTCCGCTGAAGACCATTACCTCCTCTCATGAACCGATACCAAGCATCAACCACGATAATCTGACACTTGTGCCTATGGCTCTACAGACCAGCGCACATTCACGGTCAGCCAGCCAGTACAGCGGCATGGCATCTGAGCCGTATGCGTCAGAACGGGCCGCAGATGACGCTACGCAGGATCTCTGGATGGCCACACTGGCGCATGTGGAAAGCGATGGCAGCTATGCCGAGGTGCGTCACGGTTCAGCGGCAGCGCGGGAGAGCTGGGCCATGGCCACGCCTGAGCTGTCCGAGGCTGTGCACGAGTTCCCACAGCCCCGCGGATCGTGCGACGGGTCCGGCAGTGTGGCTCACCGGAGGCCACAGCAAACGGCGCAGCAGTATAAGCGCAACGGCAGCTTCTCCATGGCGCTATTGCAGAGCCACATGTCCGCATCGTTTTCCGAGGAAGAGGCCGACCAGGAGGAGGTGGAATACTTGTTTGACGACCAGCCCGGCGCCTCGCCAATCGCCACACCGACGGTCGCATGGCAGCAGATCTCGCAGGGCAATGGTGCCGAGGACGGGATGCAGGGGATCCGCCGTGGCAGCGTCTTGGCGACGACCATTAGTGCGCCGGTGTCGATGCGGTTGCCAGAAAACGACGCGTATGCTTACGGAAACAATGCAAGACGTGGCCAGGGCGGCGTGCTTTCGGTGTACGACCCTGTGACCGCCGTGCGTGGCGCGCGGACTGGCACCCGCAAGCACAGCCGCTCGTTGCTTGTCCTGCCAACAACGGCCTGGCATACAACCGCCGTCCACCAGCCAAGAGCACATGCCGCGGCAAGAACAAATGACACGGCGAATAGTGCCGACAATGCCGTGGGGAGCGGCGGCGGGAGCGCTCGCGGCTCCTCGCTGTTCATGAGCCGCCGCTCGTCGCCGCTGCTCAGCAGGGCCTCGTCAACAGGCGCTGGCCTTTTGGAAAACATCCGGAGGCTGTCTGGCTACACATCGAATGGGTCGGGAAATGGCCAGAGGAAGTCGATCGAAATTCGGCACCTGACTCCGTCACCTGCACCGTCATCGCAGAGCCACAGCTCTGGTTACGATAGTCACAGCGACAGCTGGTGCGGCAGCGGCGGTAGCGGTGCGATTCCCGGTTCGACAGCGTACCAGGAGGGCAGCGGCCGTGGGCGGATCGATTCGCCGGTGATGCGCCCAAAAGTAGAGCATTTAGCGTCGGTGGCGGTGCCGCCAGTCAGCGAGACGGCCACAATCTCGAGTGGCTTTGCAAGACACCGCAACAATCGTCCGCCCCTGGCACGTACCGCTGCCGACAACACCACATAGCATCCCAGCGGCTGTCCCTCCACGAAGATAATGTAGCAGGACTACAGCTTTGTACCACAGCGACTGCGAGCAGCGCTAGGTTGTGGGCAGCACAGCGTGCTGGATGGGGCGGGCGAGGATGCACAAGCGAATAGGACACCGCCGTCCGCTGGATCTGGGGCGGTTCCTAGCGGAGTACTACAGCCAGAGTTTATGAAGCGGGTGGGTGCCCGACTGGCGCTATTTTCGGACAAAAGCGCCCCTCAGCCAGCAGCCGGCGAGAGAAGCCTTTTTGCCTCTCCAGCTTCTTTTTCTACACCATCTCTACCTCTCCACGCTTCAAACTCTGTTTCCTCTTTCACTACCCTTCGCTTCAAGCAGCGACGATCCATCCTCATCGGTCTCTGCATTGCATTTTTCGACGGCATCAGCGCACACGCAGGCGCCTGTCGGAGTCACAGCACCAGTGTTTACTTCACACCTCGGCACACCTGGGGACTACTACGCCTGCCAATACTACTCGTGCGCCAACCCCTACTGCTCGCTTGCCCGACACCGCAGCGCAGTGCTATTCTGACAACGACGTGCTGGACGATTACCTGGATCCCCATTCACCGCCGGCACGCCCTACTGCTGACAAATCCGCCCCAGCAAGCACTGCCGTCACTACCACAGCTCGCAGAGGCCATGACCGCGACATTGTCGGTATCGACAGCAGGATCCGACAGCACCAACCTGTTCGTCACTCGCAGCGACTCACAGCAGAGCACATCACCTGACAGCTCCACATCGACAGCTCACTCAACCGTGATCTGCACGCCAGTCACCAGTCCTTCAGCAGAGTCTGCACAGTTACGACGACGACGACAACGATGGCGGACCTGGGGCCATCCCGATGGCTTCCATGCGCGAGGCTTTTGGCGGCTACATGCCAGCCGTCAGCGACGATGGGGCGCTGAGTGCGCAAAAGGATCATGCCTCCAATGTGCAGCATCATCACCATCAGCAAAAGCAAAAGCTGCAGAGGCTGCAGAAGCTCACAACTGCCGAATTCGACAAGCTGCATTGCTATGGAACAACGGAGCCGGCTGCCGGCTCGCGGGATTACCATGCAGATGCTGCAGCGGGTCGGGACAGCAGCTCGCAGAGTGGCGACGAGACCAGCTACGTACGGCACCCGACGCTTGTGTTTGATGGCTCGCCGATTCTGCGCGCCAGCGTCCTGGTGGACAGTGCCCGTGGCATCTATGAGGAGGATGAGGACCGCGAGGTGCATGGGTTTACGATCATCCCGAGGCTTCGCCATGACGGTACCAGCGAGACGTTTGTGGAGAGCGACACGGATGATGTGGACGACCACATGCCTCTGGTCCAGCACCATAGTCATCGCCCTTCGATGCGGCCTCGCTCGTACACGGACATCCCGGCACATCGCCCTGCACACGACAATCCCAGCAACAATGACAGGAGCAACCACAACAAAAACAACAGCGGTAAGTATCGCTTCTTTTCTCCTTCACGGTTTCTGGCTACTCTCCTGGCGCAGACACATGCAGTTTGTTCCCTTGCGCCGGCCCAGCGTGTCCTGCCCTTTGAAGTGGGTTCCTTTGCTCTCAGATAGGCAGTCTCGCTGCTTTTTCTTGCGGAATCCAGCACCGCACTCATGGGCAGCGTTTCTGCGCGATTATCCTGAGCATCGGTTGTGCAGTGAAACCGGCGGCATCTTGGAGCCTTCAGTCTACTCTGTTTCCACTATGAGCGCAGGCAACTTGTGTTCCTGTTTCCCGCTTCGCCTCTTGGAGGGGAACCTCTCACTCACTTCACAGTGTTTGGCGTTGCACTTGTGTGTCCGGGCGTGAGATTGAGAAAAAAGTAGCTACCGGGTGGCCGCAATCGGTCCTTATCACACCATTTTCCATTCTGTGTAACCATTGCTGTGTTTTTGCGATGTTGGGTATTTTGTTTTCCTTTGCTGGCTGGCTGGCTGGCTGGCTGGCTGGCGGCTATCTGCACGCATATCCCCCTGCCTCTTCGATCATGTCACACCTATTCTGGCCGATGCATATTTTACCATCCCCGCGGGCTTGGTCGCTGTTGTGTTCTGAATCTGCATACTGCGGACACGCATCGGTTTCTAATGCGCTGTTTGGGCTACACGCCCAAATGTGTCCGGTGGTGGGGCGTCCAGTGCCTCTTCATGGGGATATGATACGAGGGCATTGTCTCTTTCGCCCTTCTTGCGCAAACGGCTGCGCTCCTCCATATGGCTCGATTAAGGCTGCATTTTTCTAATGTGCGCCGCTTGTTAAAACATGAACCCCACTATCGCCCAGCAATTTACTTGCTCTGCCGCCACCTCCACAGTTGTTTGCCGACCCTCCCGCCCACAGTGCGCGTCTTTTCACACGTCCAGCCGTACAATACCGGCTGGTCTATTACGAGCAATACTGGCGTGCATCGTTTTTTACTACATTCGACCAGAACAATGGAGGGAGGCCTGTCTGCAATGCCATGCATGGCTTTCTCCACACGCATGGGTGTTTGCATATTTTCTGAACTGCCCACTCGATATACAGTGTGCCAGGCGATTGTTGGATATGCCTGCCAATATCAGCATTGCCTCTTGCTGAAAAACTTCCGATTGGCATTATATTTTTGGCTGCGCTTGGCGCTTCACTGCAATGACTTTCGTGTGCATACCCTACAAGCTCGCCCCTGATGTCAATCGGTCTGCGATCACTCGCAAGCACCGAAATGTCCGATGACGAGCACAAGCCAGCATTGCGTGCTTTGTCCGCTGCTACGCCTGTGCGCACATTTCTGTCGGTGACTATACCGCGCCAGATATACCGTCTGACTCCAAATTAAGTCGTGGCAGCAGCTCTGCAGATTCGCATTCTATTTCCGAGAACCATCGTCTGCACACAATTGCCTGCCATTGTTGTTGGTTCTGAATCATTCATTTGCCTCATTTGCCTCGACATAAACGGGCTGGTTATTAAATGGCGATGACCAAACGTGCCAGTCGCGTCTGGATTTATTGCCTTTGCTAATTATGCCTGGTCCCCCTCCCTCCAACTCCGTGTGCTCCTCTTATGGCCTCCAGCATGTGGGAAATGGCGTCTCTTTCAGCTGCTGATCGACTCGTGCACGCTGCTGGTAGCGACATTGTACCTCCCTTATTTTGCCAGTGAATCGTGCCTGGCTACGGCTCCTCGCCCTTCCCGCCATACTTTCTCTCCCTTCTGTTTGCTGGCCGATACGAATTGTGGCATGTAGCTCAAAGATTCTTTTCAACATTATCGAAATTCCTGTTTGCGATTTACATCCCGAGCACGGCCAGCTTCCCGGACTTGTCCTGTTGTCCACCAACAACCAGGCGTTGCTTATTTTTATCCTCCCTCCCAGCTACCGGCACATCCTTTCTATGCCACCTGGGATGCTGGCATTGCTATAAAGAACACTGAAGCTCCTTTGTCCTTCTATTTAACGGCCGCAGTTTGTATTTTCCACTTTTGTCCCTCTAAAAGCGTGCTCTGCCTCTAGCGATCATCCTTACTAGATCGTCTCTATTCCTTGCAGAGCTTTGTGCCGTACATCTTCAGCATCTCTACCACCTCACCTTTGTCCTGCTCTACCTTATTTGTACCAGTATACTCGTATATCCAGAGTTACTTTCTACCCTATATCTGCTAATTCGCGATGGACATTCTGTATCTCCGTCCCTACCTGAATATAGAACTGCCAATTATCGAATGTCGCGCATCTGAGGAGTTTGCCCATGAGATCGGGGCCGAGTACATCCCTTCAAATGTCGCGTCACGGCAGATCAGCATGACCTTTGGTTGCTGCGGCGGCGTCTCACACCACCACGGGTCTTGCCGGGCAAATCTAGAACCGGTTTGCATCCCTGTTCCGATTCCGGTTCCAGTTCCAACACACACGCCACCGCCTCTGCCAACAGCAGGCTCGGTAACTGCTGTACCACCACGGCCGCACACCGCCCACAGCTCGCCGCGGCTACGCTCGCATGAGGCGACTGAGGCATCACTGTGCCGCAACAACTTGTTCCCCAATGCAGTCAAGAAGCAGTCGCGGTGCCTTTCTATGCTGCTCCAGCAAGGACCTCACGGCGGTATTCGGCGGGTTGGCCCGCTGCTCATCACCTGCGAGCGCGGTGGTCGGGCGATCGAGCTGCTTAACCCTGCGTTTATCGACATGATGGATATACAGCCAGTTGACACGGAGACAACAGCGATGCTGAACAAATCAAACATCCGGCGACGCAGCTTCTCACTACCACCACACGAGCACACTGCCGACTGGTATGCGGCGATCGCCAATATTGTTGCGTCTCAGGGCTTGGCTTCACAGACACCAGTGGAAACTAAAAATGGCACAGCGGATGAGTCGACTGGTCCTGGAATGTGGTGGCCACTTAATGACGACAATTGTTCTGACGAGATCGTCTATGATGTGCACTTTTCCGCAGACTTGGCCGATTCAGCTGCACTCCACGATATCAGCCGGACTGCCCACACAGCACCACCGACACGAGCCGACTCACCAAGCAGCCTTGCTCCTCCAGCTCCCTTGCTAGCTGAGTCTCAACAGCAGCAGGATAGGCGGAGGGGATCTGTGTCATCTCACATGCGGACTACTAACGGACATGCTGCCCCCTCTCTTCTAAAGACACAGTCATCAATGTCCACACTGGCCAGGGGCACAGCTACGCTCACCCGCAGTGTCTCGGACATGTCGGCCGATCAGTCCGGATCTGCAGCCAACAGTAAGCAGCAGCCTGCGTCCAGCGGATCGCAGCTCATTGAAATGACGATGAAAACCGAGTCAGGCACAATCACTCGCTGCATAAAGTCGATGTCGCTTCGGCTGCTCGTTAACCGTCTTGCATCACCCGAGGGCAACGTTGATTCGGACCTGCTGACAGACTTCCTGAACTCCTACCGCTTCTTCGCTCACCCTATCGACGTGATGCGGCTGCTGATTGTCCGCTACCTGAACTGCTTTGCGCCTTGCAGCAGCCAGTATGGCGACGGCAGTGATGACGACGGTGATGACAGCAGTTTTGAGGAGGATGGCTGCAGGTTCCTAACCATCAACGGCTGGAAGACGCGCATGCCGCAGGAGGCTGATTCGGTGCGTGACAGCAAGCCTTCGTCTCCCTCAACGTCCTGCTCGCGAGAACTCCCCCCTCTGGCACGCAAGGACGGTGCAATCGTGCAGCTGCGCGTGATGAACATCATCAAGAACTGGATAAAGTTCCATCCCCACGACTTCCGTCTCCACCATCGTCTCACACGCCTGCTGTTGCTGTTCCTCTCCCACATCCAGAAGCAGCCTGGTCGCGCCGACTTTGTCAACAGCATCCGGCACAAGCTGTCGTCAGGCAAGCTTTTGGCTGTCGAGAACCCGCCGTTCATGGTCAGTACCCCAGCACAGTTTGCCACTCCAGGCTCTGCCTTCACCTCGCAAACAACTAGCGAGCGCAACTCTGAGGTCAACGGCACTCTTGCCGAGGGCACCCGATCTGCACTTGATCTGTCGATGCAGTGCAGCAGCCGGACCAGCCAGCCACCTATTTCTGCAAACATGGTTTCTACCTACAGCCGCAACGATGCTGGCGATTTCCCGAGCACTCTTAATGTTGGCATGGGCCATCTGCGCAAGATGTCGTCGGTTGCTAGTCTGAAAAGCATCACTCTGCATGCTTCTGCCTCACAACAGCAGCAGCTGCCGACGCTTGGCACAAGCACCACCGCTACTGACAATGGTGCCGGTACAAAGGGCGGCCGTCATAACAAGAAAGGGTCAACGTCGTACTTTATGTCGCTGTTCCATCATCGCAGCAACAAGTCCACTGCCAGCTCTCTAGACACCAGCAGTAGCTCAAATAGCGGGCGGGCATTCAATGCTGCGCCAAACCGCACTTCTACGCGCACCGAGCATGTCGTCGCTGGGACCTGCTTCGGACTGGTCGTCGATTTGCGATGGCGTTGAGCCCAGCCTGCGTATTCCGAATGGAGACATGTACGCCAACGACTTTGGGTCTCTGGTCATTGAGGCGCTGGCCAACTCTGGGATCCCGACGCCGCAAACGCCTGTGGGTCGCACGCTTCTAAACTATTCAATCGCCAACCGCAACCCGTACCGCATCAACCTGGTGAGCATCGACCCGGCTACGTTCGCCGAGCAGCTCACTTTGCTGGAAGCATGACCTGTTCATGCGCGTCAGTGCCACCGAGTTCTCGCTCAAGGGTCGTGTCGGGAACCTCGAAACCATTCTGCACACTATGCAAGGCTCCACTCCCAATACGGCACGCAGCTCGGTGTCGACTGAGGGATCCGGCCCGCACCAATCTGGCAGCATATCCGGCCCGGTCAACCCGGTACCGAACCTGACTGCAACCATGTCGTGGTTCAACCAGGCGACATACTGGGCCGTGCTTACTGTGCTGTCAGAGCCTACTACCGCAGCCCGCGCTCTGATCGTCAAGCAGCTGATCCACATTGCCTTTCACTGCCTGGCCCGGCGCAACTACTACGGCGCATTTGAGATTGCCATTGCGCTCGACAACTCGGCTGTGCGCCGTCTTCATGAGACGTGGGCACTGGTCCCGCCGCTGATGAAGGATATTGTCGCCAAAATCCTCGAGATTGTGCAGCCGCGCATGAACTTCCGCACCTACCGTGAGTCGGTCCGTGCTGCTCTGAGCGGGTCTTCTGGTCCCGACGAGGACGTTTTTGATGCAGTTTCCGAGCAGATCAAGGGTCTGCGCTCCAAGGACATGGCAGCTAGTATACCGTCGCACATTGTCACTGCCAGCGGAATCTCGTCGGCCGTCGTGGGCACGCCCAATGTGTCGGGCAGCAGCTCGCCGTTCGGCAATATTATTCACGGCAGCCTTCTTTGGTAGCAGCAACAGCGACGAGGGCAAGCAGGGCGCGCGCAAAAAGTCAAGCGCCCAGCCAAACTCTGCGACGACGGCCAAGGACGGAACTGCGCTGCTTACTGAGCAGGACTGCGCCTGCATCATGTATGCAATTGGCATCCGCTCCGCTTCATTTGCGTTCACCGATCCCAGCGCTACTGGTGGCTACGGTGGTGGTGTGACACCAACTACCCACACATCGGTGCCGGTTACGGGCACGTACAAGGGCAGTCCGTGGCGGGACCAAGCCATGCGTCAACTGGAAGCGGCAGCGGTGCCGGTCTTTACAAGGGTACCGCCAACAGCTCGTCAACCAACCTTGCTGATCTTGGTGGCGATCTGCGGTCGCGCCGTGCGCGCAGTGCTTCGAATGGCAACAGCAGCAAGGCTGGGTGCCGGTTCCAAGCAGAGCCGCCCCACTACCAACACCACCCCGCTCCCGGTAGTTCCGTTCGTCGCTGTGCACATGACCGACCTGCTCCACGCCGATGAGGCCAATGCCACGTACTCTGACGATCACCCGCAGATTGTGCGCTCACGTAATGGCGTTGCCCATGGGCAGTCCACGGGCTCGACGTCGAACCGGCGCAACCTGCGGTGCGATTCGGCCGCCGTGTCTCACGTCAACAATGCGCAGCCGTTGGTCAACATGCAAAAGTTCCGCATGATTACTGCAATGCTTCGCGAGCTCTGCGTTGCCCAGCGCACAAAGTACCCGTATGTGTCGGATGTTTCCCTGCAGCAGCAGATCCACAGCGCAGTGCGCAGCATCAAGGCACAGACTAACGACATCTTTGGTGTGGTCCAGGATGTGGTCGCGGCCGAGGAGGTGACCCAGGGGGCACCCAGTCGGGTCGTTTTGGTGCCGCCCTGTCGTCCCCGTTCCACCGCACCCGCACGGGATCGTCTGCCTCGCGTGTGAACACACCAAGCGAGTTCAATAGCAACTCGTTCGGGTATCCCCTGTACCAGATGGCGGCGATGCAGTTCCAGAATGGCTTCGAAGCCGTCGAGGGCTCGATGGCCTGGGACTGCGCTGATCTGAAGGACAACCAGGAGCTGGAGCAGCGGCTTTATGATCTGAGCAAATGGGTCGAGTCGTCTACTCACCAAAGATAATTCCTCGTCACGTCACTCTTTACTCCTCCCACGCACAGCCCTGTTTCTTCTACTTTTGTGTTTCTAACATCCACACGCGCACGTGGCACTTCCACCTCTCCCCCTACTGCTCTTCGACACCTTTACTTTTGTACCATTTTTCTTTGTGCTAAAAAATGAAATGCATTGATAACTTAGGAAATAGTACATTGGAAGAAGATCTATAGTTAGATGCAGGCGATTAGCTGCTGCGAGACCATGCCCATCATGCCGCTGATGTGCGGCAGAACAGAGAGCCTGTATGTCCACCATGCAGTGCCGAATATAATGCCGAACCATGATGCCAGCGACGACCTGTGACAGCGTGTGGTACCCGATGAATACACGCGACAGGGCAGCGCCAAGTGCCAGCAGGTTGATGAAAGTTCGCCAACAGTACATACTCGAGGCATGGTGGGCCGTTGCAGTACTCTGTGAGCAGCATCCGTGACAACACAGTGCTGAAGTACATGACTGCGGACGAATGCGACGATGGCATGCCGTAGGATTTCTTGCCGTGGTTGTAGCGAGTTGGACGCTTCTGGCGGATAACGAGCTTTAGCAGCTTGGAGAGAATTGCGCAGAGGACTGCACCCAACGCTAGATGTACCATGGTTGCGTTGTGGTAGTAAAGGAGGGCAATGAGAGTGCTAGGGCTGTCCATTCGCGTGTCTACAAGGAGGCTGATACTTGTTAGAACCCTGAAAAGAACCCGGAAACGGCATGTGCTGTTGCTTATGATTCTTACCTTGTCGAAGAAAACGAGGATTGGCCTAGGCACATCGAATTCCAGGGTAACAATGGTGTTATCGAACATCTTGAAAGCGCCCATATTGTCCATGGCAGTAGAAATAGCGTGTATTCCGGTTGCGATATAAATATGTAAATGCATCGTTGTAGGGAATAAGGAAATAAGGATGGAGCGGTATAAAGTGGTGTGCAGTGTAAGTAGTTGACGAGGGATGCTGGAGACAGTGGCTGCGGTTCCCTCCCCTGGAATCTTTTATACGATCGCTGGAGCTTACCATTATGGTGGAAAATTGGGCTGTCCAGAGTGGCTCAAAAATGTGCGCTCATGCCTGTTCGCTTATCTCCTGTGGATTTGCTGCATTAACAGACATGCCGCTGACGACACAGGGCAAGACAAACTTGATTGCCCCGACTTGTCACTTGATGTCCTTCGTGCCGTCAGCGAGATTTTACAAAAAATTAGCTGGGGTGGTGCAGAGTCCAGGGCTGATGATTTTTTAGCACCAAGATATCTTCACGTAGCCCCAGCCGTGGCTGCGGCATTAGAAAAGCCTGCCGAGAATGCGAACGCATTGTTACAAAGCCTACAAACCCTGGTCAATGAAGTGTGCAAATAATCGACATGCTGGAGCAGGTGGCATTCACAGTTGAAAATAGCCCACCTGATACGCGCCTTGATTTATTGAGGCTTTTTGACAGCTTTTAGAGGGGGATTCTGACGAGTGACGTTGTGTGCGGGAGGTGTCGACGAGAAATCAAGCGAGCGATCGGGGGATGAAAAGTGGTGAAGGTTTGTCCGGGCTCCTTGGCAATTGTGCTAAAATCATGCACCCCGCTCGCGGCCCGACGCATGTGCGCACTGTGTTCTCCGCCACAGCCCAAAAATACATACATCTTGAGGATACCCCTTCCCCAGCTGTGCGGCCAGGCGAAGTAAATCACGGTTTCATGTGAAAAACGGGCTACATAAGCACCATTCCTCCCTCATCCTGGACATTCCGGAGAATACCAAGAAAAGGGAGAAATCACGGTAAGCAGAGACACTACATGGCCTAGTGTCGTCACCCATGGCCTAATTCTCGCCTTTTCCTTCCCGCGATGCCCGCGATGCCCGCAATGCCCGCAATCCGGTCAAATCCATATTATCTGGACGCTTGGCAGGGTCACGGTACCCCTCCATCTGCCCGCGGTACCAGGCCAATACCTCACATCTCATGTGAACCTCATGCATGTTGTCATCCAGGGGATCAAAGTGTGGCCGACATCTGCGCAGCATGTCAACATATATCCCGAGATACTGAGTATACCTCCTGACCACCGACTCTCGGCGCCGTGGCCGTGGCAGGTTGGCTGCAATCCAGGTCCATCTGTTGGGGTTTTCCTTGTGTAGTTTGTAAAGCGCCAAATCTTCCTCGCACGTCCACACTTCGCTGCAGAGCCTGCTCTCGTGGCTAGAGCGCATAGAATGGAATTTTGTCCGACACTGGTTGGCAGTACGTGTCATTATGCGTGAGGCAACCAGCGCCCAGTTGATCTCCACTGGCGGTGTTCCGTTGACAGCTGCGGCCGCTGCGGACCCGCTTTCATCCTTCTGCAGGGCATCCAGGAACCGCCCTGGCGCCTGCAAGTCCCTGATGGCTCAATGGCCACTTGACCGAGCTCCTCTCGCTGAGCCTTCGCTGGCACTCCAGGTCTACCAGATGCAGTAGCTGTGCGGTTTCGTCTTCTGACCACTGTCCACGGCGGACGCCCGGCTTGACGCAGTATGCAATGTAGTGGGTGCGGCATTGAATGTGTGTGCGACCAGTCGGCATGGCCTCTGCAATTGCCTGCCAGTCGCTCCCCGTGCTGACCTACTAGTCTGAGCAGAGCGCGGTGCTCATCGCTGCTCCACATGCCGCCAGAAAACACCGGCTGCGTGCATAGCCTGTACAACGACAGGTACATTGCCCCGTAGTTCTTGTCTGGGAACTGCGTGTGTAGCTGCCAGAAATCGAATGTGCGAGACTCGACCAGCAGCCTGCGTAGCCTTTCGTCGTCGCTTTTTGGTCCACGGCTCTGCCTTGCCTTGCTTGACTGGCTTGTATTTGTACGCAGGGGTCTTTGGATCGGATTTGCGCCTCAAGTCCTTCCTCAGCGGCGGCTGTGAGGGTCCTCTCCGGGTGCGCAGATACCGATATCTGTTCTTGCATTGTATGACTGAGGCTGCTTTTAATCGCCTCAGCAGTCTCCTTCCACGACATATTGCCGACCGACCGTAGCGCTATCAGCAGCTTATCCTCCTCCGGTGTCCACCGCTTGTACGTTGACACCAGTGATTCCTCAATCAGCGATTTCGCCGGGTTTTTGGTCCCGGCAGCCGTACGCATTTGCTTGAGGAGATTTTTGTACATGCTGTGACACTGCTTGTGCGTGCGCTTGCCTGCCGGGCATTTGTTGCGATATGCCAACCCAGTCAATGGCGCCAAGCCGAGTGCGCTGCTCGCTGATCAGGGAGAGCAGATGCTGCTTCTCGGAAGCGGTCCAGCGTGGATAGTGTGCGGACTGAGATGGGGATGCAGTCGGGTGCAGCTGGAGTCGGCGCAAGCTGCAGGATTTTGCGTCCTAAACCGATGCAGGTACGCCGTCGGTGGACTGCGTCTGTCTTAATGTTAGATGCAGGCGCTGCAAGCGTCCTTCGTGCTATCAGCAGGCACTGCTTTGAAGGCACAAGCGCATTGGATATGCTCGAGATATCATGATTCATGGAGTTGGGAAGTAGCCATAGAAGACAGGTTTAATGGCAAGGAATTGGATATTCAACTATGCGTTTCCCCCACTACGTGTATACTCGCAGTTATGGACAGGGGCCATGTACTAATGGATTGAGATGCTTCAGGAATGTGACAAACAGACTATGTTTAGAAAGAAAGTATGTGAATGTAAGGTAAGAAAGGGAATATGAGTGTGGGTGGCTGACTACACAACCGAGGCCGGGAAATCCACTAAAGTCAAACATGTTGTCGACATTCTGGCTGCCCGACTGGTACGTCAGCTTCATGCGCAGGCGGATTGGCGACCTTGTCGGGTTTGACACACGCACCAGCTGAGTCGCTGAGACACCAACGGCAATGTTCTGGCTTGAGGGCGGCAGAATCTGCAGCTTCTGCGACTTGGGCACGGCCACCAAAAAGTTCAGGCCGGAGATGGCTGCCTCGCCGTCCATTGTAGAACGTCGCCAGCATGTCAACGAACTGTGGGCAGCTTAGGCTTCTTTGAGGGTGTCATAGTAATGCGTAGGCCATCGGCGTTGTACACTTCGTACTCCTTGTTCAGGTCCGGCCGACTGCTCGGGCTGGGCAGCCTGAGCAAGGTGGCGGTGAGGGCGTTGAGATTGACGCTCCACCCAGCAAGTCGCCCAGCAGGTCGGCGTTTGACTCGGGGTGCTGGCGCAGCAGCAGCAGAGGCAGGAGAAGCAGCAGGGGGCACGTCATCCATAAGATTCAGCAGATCCTGAGACCACCGACTGTTTGTTCTTCTTCTCCCTGAGCGCTCTCTCAGCTGCAGCCTGAGCCGCCGGATCGCTCTCATCAGTGTCTGTGCCCAGCAGGTCGGCCGCCTGAATGGCCGGCCGAGAGATGATAGTCAACGCCTTCATGCGCATGGCAGTCGGGTTCAGCACGTACTCCTCGTATGGCACATCGGTGTACTCTGGTGCTGGCATCCGGTCGACGACGCCTGCGCGCACGCTGTCGAGCTGCGAGCTCAGCAGCTTGGCGAATTCTGCACCGCGTGCCTGTGTTTCGACATCCATTGAGCGAGTATGCTTCTCGAGCGCGCTGCGAATGTTTCCTACCACTGCCGGGAGGTGGGAGAACCGGCCGGAGAGCTTGGCCAAGGCAGTCAGTGCGACATGGTGGCACGAGGGGGCCACAACTGGCGACTTGGCAATTGCTGCCAGGAGACGCACAACGTCGGCAGGCTCGGGGATCGCCTCGGGCAGCTCGCCATTCGGGTCAATGGCGGTCAGGGCCATGGCAGATGAGGTGCTCTCAGCGCCAGGACTGCTCTGCTTGCGCTGGATTGGCTTGCCCAGGGCACCAAGGATATCTAGAGCGTCGTCATCAAGACCAGCTGTGCCAGTAGACTGCTCAATTGGCGGCAGCCCCTGATGACCCGTTGGACACTAGCAAGTCGGCGTACTCGCCAATGAGCCAGGAGCCAGCAATCACCATCTTCTCTTGCGAGATATCCTGCTCTAGAAGGGCAAAGCTGATGCGAGTCGCGCGGCGCTGCAGGGTCTCGTCAGCCTCAGCAGCAACCAGACGGATAAACTTGAACATGTCGCGGGCATTTAGGTACTTGCCGCCATGGCGCATAACGCGCAGCATAGTCTCGACACGCCAGTCGAGCGAGTCGCCAAACAGCGTCACTGCTGCGCTCAGGCGGTACACCATCGATGGGCGGAACTCGACGTCAATGGTGGGCAAGGCCTTCAGGATCTCGGCGACGATCGGCTTGACGTTCTGCGCGTTGATCAGGGCAAAGCTCAGGTCGAGCGCGCGCCGCCGGATACTGATATCGCCGTCGCCCAGACACTGCAGCACGGTAGCGCGGTGCCGCTGCACGGAGGGAGCCTCGGTGATCACGGCCGTAGACAGCGTGGCCAGGGCCACGTAGCGCACGTTGTTGTCCCGGTTGGCCAAGAATTTGCCCAGCAGATTAATCGCCAACACACGCAGCGCCTGCTCTGACGGAATGGCCAGTGCTGTGACTGCGCACTCGTACAGAATTGCTGTGCCTACATTCTTCGAGCCATCGGTCTGCGTGGCCACCTGCGTCAGAACATCGTTGAGCTCGTCGGCAGCCTCCTGCGACCCACGGGCCACCACGCGCAGCAGCCGCAGAATTCCAACCTGCAGGAACGGATCCGCGATTCCGCCCACCTCGTGCTCGGGCGACGACGTCGACGCCAAGAGGCCCTTGAGCTGCCGCACAATAATTGGCACCAGCTTGCGGCCCTCGTCGAGCGCCTGCTGGCTATGGTTGCACATCTCGGTCACCAATGCCACAGCAGCCAGCTGCACACCGTGGTGCTTGTCGCCCAGCAAGGAGCGTGCGCGCCGCAGGAACGGCTCCAGCGAGCTCTGGCTCCTTGCGCACGATCCGGACCGCTGCCATGGCGGCCTTCTTGCGCAGGTACGACCTTGACGAGTCGATCAGCCGCTCGACCTCGTCAACCAGATCGTTGGCAACCTCCGATGACGCAACGTTTGACAGCGTGCACAGTGCCAGGCCCACCAGGTAGTCGTCGGGGTTGTTCATGTCACTCTTCAGGCAGTTTGTCAGCAGCGTCAGGATCTCCTGCTTCTCGTCCAGCAGGAGACTGACGCCGAGGTAGCCCACCCGCTTGTCAGCAAACTTGGAGCTGGCAGCCAGCTTCAAGCACTCGAGCTGGCCAAACTGCACCGGGAAGCCAAGCAAGTAAATGTACAGCAGCTTCTGCACGTTGACGTACCGCGTGTCCTGCGAATTGTCCTCCTTGAACGATGTGCGGATTGCCGCTGATTCCCGCTGGATAACATTGCGCTCATCCGCCGCCGTCTTACACACGCGCACTGCTCGGATGAGGTCTCTGAGCCTAAAAAACGACATTTTGTAATGTGTGTGTTTTGCGTAGTCCTTTCCTCCTTTGGCTAGGAATAGGGTGCTGGAATTAACAGATGTGGGAAAAGTAGAGCTTGGAGCGTTCAGCGAGGAAAGGGTCGCATTTGCAGAGACAGGCGAATTGTGCATGCACACAAAAGCAGATTCCGGTCCTCGTCACTACAGCGAATGCAGACCTTAAATCACATCACGTGAGATGATCGCCAATCTGCCAGATCAGAATCTGCGACGCGCCAAACCGCACGGGAGCGCGCACAAACGCGTCCATTGTTTCGTCCAGCCATTCTGCTCGACAGCGGCATCCTCACGGCCTGATTCCTTCCCTTTTTCCTCCGCTCTCCACTGCCTTTTTCTCGCTTATATCTCCCTCTCTGTTTTACTCTTCGCTATCGAGAACCACTGGTTTTCTATTGTCTGCGACGCTTCAACTGTACTTTTTATTATTTCTCGTTTCACCTTCCTCCTCCCTCTTAATTTGGGCCCGTTTCAGAGTTCCCAGCGGAATTTGGCACTGCAATGTCCATGTCGTCCTCTCCCCCACCACAGCAAAGCAGCAGCCAAGCAGTCCCGGCGCAGACGCCCGAGCGGCACGCACACCGTCAGCCGAGCGCCTCAGGCTCGACCATCCAAAGCGCGCCTCCGGGCAAGCGCACAATGCACTTTGTGGGCAGCCCCGCAGCGCAGCAGCGCAGCCGCGAGACACTGGAGATAGTGCAGGTGACGCGGACGCTGAAAGAGGGCCTGATGCGGCTCAAGGCCATGGTCGATCCCACCACAATCCTGCTGTCGCCGACGCGGCGGCCAATGCGGGCGCTGCGGGCGCACTCGGCAAACTCGCCGCTGGTGAGCCCTACAGGGCACAGGTACCGGCAGCTGAGCAGACATAGCTCGATGGTGCCGCAGACGGCGGCTGGCCGGGAGGGCGTGTTTTCGTGTCCGCAGCGGCTGGAGAGGCGCGCGGAGAGCAATGTGGCGAGGGCGCCGAGATTTGAGCTCTCTGGGATTAATGAGGATGAGAGGGCGGCGGAGACGATGATTTTGATTATGAATTCGGAGCATTCGAGTCAGCAGGCATCGCCAGTGTCGCCGCCTGAGCCCAGGCCAAGGGCTGTGGAGCAGGAGTCTCCGACCAGGAAGCGAAGGAGAGTGGAGGGAGCAGCACAGAGGAGGAAAGCGATGATCTGTCGCTGCTGGTTGCTGGAAATAAGCGGTCAATGGACACAATCTCCCGAATCTACAGAGGACGACCAAAGCGAGCAAGCGGAAGTGAAGACAGAGGAAGAGCAGTCCGCAGGAGTCGACAGAGGAGCTGGCAAAGGAGCTGACAGAGGAGCTGACAGAGGAGCGGACAGAAGATGCGTCAGAGCCATCGTCACCAAGGGACAAGTGACCCAAGCCTTTCATCGGTTGAGGTTCGATCTGCAGTGGCTAAGACATGTGCAAACTGGTACAAGCTGCCGCTTGCCTTATGCATCCCACCATGACATACATTTCCAAAAGGGAGGCTGCATCATGTGCCATGATGGACGTTCCCCGTAACATACCTAATGCCTAGATTTGCATAAATTTTCGGAAAATGACACCCGCTGGGTCGAAGGCAAGAAAAAGCCTTTACAATCAACACACACAACTCTGCATTGCATAAAGTACTGCTGAAGCAATGGAAGACATTGGACTCGCACTCGCCGACTTTGTCAGCAACATGGAGAATGTGCCCTCGGAGATCCGCCACCTGTTCTCTGAGATCACAGATCTGGACGAGAAATACGCAGAGTGCGTGGCCCAGATCCACATGCAAGAGCGGCTCCTGCAGCGCGACCTCAAAGACAAAGCCAACCGCGAGCGGGCCTCGGACCGCGAACTCCAGATCCTCCAGACGCTCGGAAAAGCAGCACGCAGACGCCAAGCAATTCAGCCTGGAGAAGATCCGCCTGACCAAGAAGGCCATGACCATTGTGCAGCGGCATTTGACCAAGCTGGATGCGGAGATCAGACAGTACGACAAGTCGGGCGAATCGACCAAGCGCATCTACACGCCGGTGCACTAATAGCCTGGGCACAGTGGGTATTTCCACGGGCGAGCTGGCGTTCAGGCAGCCGAAGCGCATGGAGAGCGTTCCGGGCTTTAGCATGGACGGGGACGGCGGGTTTGCCAGGAGCGCGCCGAAGCGCAGGCACATGGGCGGGCAGGCGCCCAGACACAAGAAGCAGCTGAAGATGGCGTCGATTGTGTCGCTGGATGGGTTCGAGGAGGCTGGGGCTGGCATCGAGGAGTCGGACGACCAGCTGTACTGCTTCTGCCAGCAGGTGTCGTATGGAGACATGGTGGCATGCGACGGCAACGACTGCCGGTACGAGTGGTTCCACTGGGAGTGCGTCGGGCTGACATCACCGCCCAAGGGATCGTGGTACTGCCAGGAATGCCTGGCCAAGTTGCTGGATGACGACGAGGCCTGAGGGATCGTTTTAAATGACATCAATATTAAATGTTGTGAAAAACAAGACTCCAAGTGTATTGCTGGCATTACGAGATGCTGGACAGCACGCTCAGGAACTCCTCGGGCACAGTGGGGATGAGCTCGGCGCGCACACCAGCGCCAGCGCAGGCATCCTTGCCCACCTGCTGGCCAACGCGGACGGTCTCGCTACTCCAATCGCGCGTGTGCTTCGCCTGCTCGCTGCCGCGCTCCTGCATGCGAGGTCCACCACGCCAGCCATTCGCGGCTCGTGGGCACAGCAAACGGCAGGAGCTCGACCGAGTCCAGGAGCTCGTTCATGTCCTCGGCGCGGCACTTGCGGCCCTTCGGCCCGCGCAAGCTCGACGACATGGTGTCTGGATCGCTGGTCACCGACTCGGTCTCATCGGCCACGGACGACTGGTACGAGTGTGTGGTGGACACAACGGCCGAGTGCGGCATGTTTTGGTACACGTCGTGCAGGAACGCCTGGCCGTCCAGGTGGTCGTCTTCGTCCCGCCCGGGCTCAGTGGTGTTGGCGCGCCGCCGGCCGTCCAGGCTGGCAGTCTCGCTTGAATTGGTAAACAGTGTGCGTGCTGAGGGCTTCGCGGCTGCCGTCGGCTGTGCGCCTGGCTGCTGCGATGCAGCAGGACGGCCAATCGGCAGCAGAAGGCCACGACGCGCACCTGCCCGGCTGCCGGCCCGTGGACGGCCAGTTTTGTGCAGCGGCAGCAGCGTTGAGCTGCCAGTGTTTGACGGAGTAGCCGATGCAGTGGGGCTGGCTACAGACACGGTTCCAGACTCGCGCGGCAGCTCGTTTGGGTCGGCAGAGAACCGCACCAGACCGCCCATGGTGCCGCGGCTCGTGGTTGTGGCCATGTCCAGCGACGAGAGGTTCGGGCGGCCGTCCATAGTGCGACGCTCGCTGACCGATGCCGCCATACTGCGGCGCGACGCCTTCTCGATACTGATCTTCTCGCGGTTAATGCGCTGGCGCTCCTTGACATCGGTGGCTGTAGAGTGCAGGTACTGCGTAATATCCTGGGCGACACGCGGCTCGCCCACCTCGTAGCGGTAATTTGTCAGTACTGTCTCCTGTTGCAGGATGTTGAGACTCGACATGCCCGATGTGGTCTCGAGGAACTCGGCCAGGTCAGGCAAGGTGGTCAGACACTGCAGGAGCTGCACGAGCTCGACCAGGGGCGCAAAGTACTGGTCGTATAGGGTCGCGGCGCTGTCGCTGGCAGACTCGGTTCCCGCGTGCGGAGCCGGCAGCTGGGGACCGATCTTGCGCACCCAGTCGCTGATGCTGGTAGCATTCATGCGGATCTGCATGGCGCGCGACCGCGAGCAAAACTCGCGAGTGGTCAGCACGCGGTTGAACATCTCGTAGCCCAGGTAGCACAGCAGCTGCCGCACAATGCTGTAGGATACAAATGAATGCACCTCGCACATCTGCAGCAAATCCAGCAGACAGTCCAGGATATATGTGATGGTGCGCGGCGATGGGCTCCCAAACAGGTCGCGGGCATCGCGGCTGGGCCGCGCCATCACAAATGTGTCGCCGGAAGACGACCGCATGTGCGAGTGCTGCCCACGTGCCTTCTCCACGGCAGTGATCCACTGCGGGGCTTCGCCGGTGCTGTCCTCGTTAATAGCCCGGGTTAGGATACTGCTGCGGCGGGGCCGGACCAGAGCGCCCGCCCTTGTTCACGGTGGTCTGCGAGCGTCCGCAATGGGCGGCCGTCAGAGCTCTTGCGGGTCTTGTCTGCGCTGTTGCCAAAGAAGAACATGGTGAGCCGCTGCGACTTGTCGGCCTCGAATTTGACATCCGCAAACAGATCCGGCATTGCATCGTATGCCAGCATGGCGGTATCCAGCAATGGCTCAATGTCAGCCTGCACAGCCTTGGTCAGCAGCGCGTAGGCGTCCTGCATGCACTCGGACAGACGGCCCTGGGCCTCGCTGGTGATCTGAACCAAAGCCTTGTCGCGCTTAAAGTAGTATATCAGGGCCTGGATGTTGGAGATCCAGAACGCCAGATCCACCGGACTGCTCTTGTGCGACTGCACAGCGTGGATAATGGCTGCAATCGCGTCCGACAGGAACGACTGCAAGAACTCTTCGGTCTGCAGGTGATGGGCGAACCGCGTCGACAAGAAGATCACGCTGGCCGGCACAAACTTGTGCTCGCCGGTAACACCGTCCTGGATCCAGCGCTCGGGCTTGATCTCACGCACTATCGCATGCAGCAGCTTCGGGATGGTCTCCTCGGAAATCACGTACATTTGGTCGAGCTGCAGCGTGTCCCAGTCGAACTTTGCCGGGCCGTCGTTGTTCCCATCACCGTCCTCCGAAAACCCGCTGTCGCCGTTGCTCTTGAGCTTCTCCTGGTACTCGGCCTTGCTATCCATCGTAAGCGTGCGCAGGCGGTCGCCAAGCTCATTGGCCGCTGCGGCCTCGCTGTCGGATGTCGTTATTGCCAGACCCAGCCCATCGTTGGCCACGCGGCTTGTGTTTCCCGACATGCCGCTGCGGTCATCTGTCGACACCACCGAGCTGCCGCTCGTGCGCTTGCCCGGCACGAACGGTGCTCGCCTGCAGCATGTCCAGCACGCTCTGCCCGCGGGTGCCGCGGGTCCTGGGTGTGCTAATAGACGAGTGTGGACTGCCCGGCGGTACCAGGTCGCTGTGGTCAAACTCTGAACTGCGTGGCGATAATGCGCGCTCCGCAGACAATGCCATGGCCTCTTCCCGGGGCGATGGCGCATCGGAAATGGGCCGGAAGCTTTCTGTGTCTGAGCCCGAGAGATTCGACGACGCAATGTTCATTGCAGTGTGTCCGCGGGCCGTCTTGGCCGATGACGAGGCCCCGTGCTCGAGCAGTGTGCGCACCAGCTCCTCGTCGTGTTTTGTCGTGGCCCACATCAGCGCTGTCCAGCCAGCTACAGTTGGTAGGATTTGGGGAGCCGATAGCTATAATCAGCATGGCAAGTTCACATCTGGAGGCTGCTTTCTAAATTAAGGCCCACCCGCGCCTCTGCCCATTCTGCGGATGATATGGAATAGCAAGTGGTCACTGTGGATATAATGTCCGGCTCAGCCTTTCTCCACACCGCCTCCGCCCCCCCCCATCGCCCACAAACCTGGAATGGAGACGGGCTCTTTTTTCTCCAAAGCGAAGGGGAACTGGAGTGCAAAAATAAGCCCGCGCAAGCTAGCAGCAGCAGACGGCACCACCCATTACGAAAAATAACAATGGGCAGTAAGGCACCCTCCGCTCCTCCTCACTCAACCAGCCCGGCGACGTCAAAGGTAGTAGAGGAAAATAGCGCCAACAGTTGGATATCAACAATTGTCAAGACTTACACTTGTCCTGGGCATCCACGTCGGCGCCATACTCGAGCAGCATCTCGGCTATGCTAGCGTGACCAAACGCCGATGCGCAGATGAGCGGTGTGCTGCCTTCCTCGTCACGGTAGTCAATGTCTATCCACTTTACTCCCTCACAGGACTCCCACAGGCGCTGCACCTGGGTTATGTCGCCGTTGCTGGCCGCCCGCGAGAACCGCTGCGAGAGCTGCGCGCGCTTGGCGTCGTCTGGCAGCGCTGCTGACGAGATAATGCCGGCCTCGCTCTGAAAGTCGTCTGAAAGGAAGCTGGCGTCGGTCATTGTGAAAGGTCGTGCTTTTTTTTTGAAGAGTATGTGCAGAAGAAAGTGGCTGGAATAGTGCCCAGAAAAATGCAAATATAAGTGGTGTCGATACAGAAAGATAGAAAGAAGAGCGCTTGCTTATAAATTCAGAAAGGGGAGACGAAATGTAGAGAAGGGAGGTGCGAGATTGCAGCGAGCCTTTTTCCAGAAACGCAGCCTCCAGCGCCAGAGTCGCGGGGTGAGGGGGAGCCAGAAACACATCAGTGTTGGTGATCGTCGAGGATTATTTACTGCACTTTCCCTCTTCTATTTCCTCACTCCGATAGTGTAGAGCGTGCAAGAGTCGTGCCCCAGTCTCGATTTCTTTGTGCCGAAAAACAAGGCATAGCCAGAGTGAGGCCCGCCGCTGACTGGCCAGCACGGCAGGGCGAGCCACTGGTCTCACAGTAGAGCCCATGTTGACTGACCGGCTTGTTTCGTAGCAGCATCTGCTCGCGATATTAAACCACCGGGCCTGGCTTCCCCTCGCCTTGAAGCCAGTCCATCTTTCTAAGCATGCACCTGACAATGCGCTGTCCACAGCACGCTTCGTGTCGATCGTTTAATAACCGGCCTTGATGCCTGGACCTTGCGAGAAACAGGTGTCGAGGAGGCACCGCCAGAATGAACCGCATGGCGGGACTCTGCGTCATCGAGCATGCTTTCTTCTTTGGCGATGCGCCAGACACGCGGAGCATCGTGTATGCCGTCATCTGATTCGCGCTCTGGCTCCAAGGATACCTGCAACCTCTGCCCTTCGCGAAGTCGCTGGTCGTACAAAGCCAGTGGGTAGAATGGCCCGCAGTTCTCTGAGGTTACGCCGTGAACAACACCGAAGCGAGCGCTGAACACAATCGCGTGAATGCGAGACCAGTGGCTTAGCCGGCGATCTACTCTTCCATCCCCTGGATGGCTGTCAAGGTATACATGGCTGGGTGGTATGCATCGCCTGCTCAGCGCATAGTGGCGTGTGCTGCTGCTGCTGGCTGCTGTGCTGCCTGCTGCTGCATGTCCCTCCCTGGATTCCAGGCAGCACGTCTCTGCAATGCGCCTTTCTGTTGCTCCGTTCCGAATCTGCCTGCTATTCGCTGAAGCGCAGGATTGGAAAACTGCCCAAACAGCGGGCCGTTTTTTTTTTGAGGTGATCCACGTGAAAGCCTTGGATTCATGCCAGCAGTGAGGTTCTCAGAGCCCTCTTGGCACTGCATAAAACCTTTTATCTCATTTCCATATTACCTGACTTTTTATAGAAGAATGCAGCCCCAGACGCGCAAAATCCTCATTGACACAGTGTACATTGTGGCGACGCAGGTGCTGGCATACTACGGAATCCGGTACCTGCTGTCGAATTCGCGCGGCGGAGCAGCCGAGAACCAGGGACAGAAGGAGCGGGGCAAGGCGGTAGCGAAGAAACTCAACCTCTCAGGGCTCAAGCTCAACGAGTATGAAAGTACAATCATGGGCGAGGTGATTCTGCCCGACGACGTGCCCGTGTCCTTTAGCCAGATTGGCGGCCTCGACGATATCATCCAGGACCTCAACGAGTCGGTTATCTACCCGCTCAACCACCCTGAGCTGTTCACGAGCCCCTCGGGCCTGCTGGGCTCTCCCAAGGGCATCCTGCTGTATGGCCCGCCAGGCTGTGGCAAGACCATGATGGCGAAGGCGCTGGCGCGCGAGTCGGGCGCAGTGTTTATCAACCTGCATCTGTCGACGCTCCAGGACAAGTGGTTTGGCGAGTCGAATCGCCTTGTGCGCGCAGTCTTCTCGCTGGCGGAGAAACTTCAGCCTGCGATCATATTCATTGACGAGATCGACGCGTTCCTCAGGACACGGGCGTCGACCGAGCATGAGGTCAGCTCGACCATGAAGGCCGAGTTCATGACGCTCTGGGACGGCCTGACATCCGCAGAGGGCTCGCGTGTGGTGGTGTTGGGCGCTACCAACCGGCCCAACGACATCGACGCGGCGATTCTGCGCCGCATGCCGAAGCAATTCTACATTAAGCCGCCAGTTGCACAGCAAAGGAAGCAGATTCTCCAGATCATGCTCAAGGACGTCCAGCTGGAAAAGGGCTTTGCGCTGAAGGAGCTTGTTTCGGCCACCAAGGGCATGTCGGGCAGCGACCTGAAGGAGATGTGCCGGAATGCCGCAATCAAGCCGCTGCGAGAGTACATCAGGTCGAACCCCGTCGAGCTCCAGAGGTACAAGGAGGACAGCCGGCAGCAGGTGGGCGGCGAGGTAGCGGTGCCGGAGAAGCCAGACATTAAGCTACGGCCGCTGCGGGTCGACGACTTTGACATTCCAACCCGGGTGCACATCAATTCGCTCGGCCAAGCATACAATCTCAGCGAGCACTTCAAGGGCATTATCGAAGATGAAATGGATTAAAATGCTAATGTAATCACACCTGCTCCTTGCCCCAGTTCAGGCCATAGCGCGTGTTTGGCGCCTTGTACTCCTTGATCGCCTGGATCGCCTCCTCGGGCGTGTCAACGAACTTGATGATGTCGCGGTTCTCCTTCTGCACGAACCCAGCCTCAACCGCCTTGTTGATGAACTCCTTCAAGGCGTCGTAGAAGCCATTGGTGTTCAATACGATCACCGGCTTGGAGTGAATCGACAGCTGCGACCACGTCGTAATCTCCAGCAGCTCCTCCATGGTGCCGAATCCGCCGGGCAGCGAGATGAATGCCATCGCGTGCTCGTTCATCAGCGACTTGCGCTCGTGCATGCTGTCGACGGTGATTGTGCGGCCGACCTCAGAGCAGCCCTCGAGGCGGGTCAATGCGCGCGGGATAATCCCCAGGACATCGCCCTTGTTGGAGCTGACCGAGCGCGCCACACGGCCCATCAGCCCACGGCCGCCGCCACCGTAAACCAGACCGTAGCTCGACTTGGCCAGGAGCTCGCCCAGCTGGTTCGCCACCTCGTTGTAGGAGGCGTCGGGGCTGTCGTGCGAGGCACAGAAAACACATACGAGGTTGCTGGAGGTCATGGCTATTCAGAGTAGTTGGCAGGGTTTAGAGAACTGAAGTGTGCTAGGGTATCGGCCGCAGTTCCGTGGAGTCCTTTATAGAGCTCTGCAGTTGGGGCGGCGCTGATGACCAAACAGCGGACACTCTGACCGTCTTGTACGACAGAGAAGCGATGTGCCATCAAAGATTTGCACTTGGAGCAGCCATCTCCTCACGCATTTCCGAGTGATTGGTGGGGTGCCAGGGCGAAGCGCCAGATGACCAGCCCGCCGTTTCAACGTCTGCATGCGCTCATGCTAGCCATGCACATACTGACATGCCCCAGTGTGCCTCAGAGACACCCATGTTATGTGTCCCCGAGTAATTTGGGCACGCTGGGCAGAGAAGAGGAGCCTGCAGATACCGCGGGCAGCATTTCGCTACAATCACCATAGTAATTACGCGTGGCACTGAGAATATGAAGTAAGCGTGGGATCGGCACGCCACTGTGCCAGCTCATTTCCAAGACAACTCAGCTCGTTTCCTCGCCCACAGCATCACTCACATGGCCACCTTGAAAAAGCCCACTGGGACCACGCAGCCGACGCACTACGAGTGCTGCCTCCACGGCCTGGTCGCCACGGACCGCGAACCACTGTTGCGCACGCGGCTCGAGGCGCTCTGCGGCGACACAAACGCGACGCACAAAGAGCTGTACCACGAAATTAGCTGCATTCCGTGCATCGAGACACCGGTCGGCCCGCTGCGCAAAGAAGACGTGATGCTGCGTCTCCGCATCGAGCGCGACCCGTCCGACCCCCTGAATGACTCGCTGGCCCGCAGCTCGGTTGTGCTGTATGGCCACCCTGAGCCGCGGTCGAGCCGCGGGGCAACTGTGCGGCCGGCAATCTACGCGCAGGTGGATTCGGACAACGCCGCGCAGTTTGCCAGTCTGCTCGGCTACAAGTTCCACTCCGAGTATGTCCGGTCCGGGTACTGGGTGCTGTACCGGAACACATTCAAGATCATTGTTAGCCGGATTCTGGCCCTGCCTGTCAAGGGCGACATCCAGTCGGCTGTGCCCATGGACGAGTCGAGGAACTGGCTGGTGCAGATTATTGCCGACGCCGTGGGCCAGGAGCAGGTGCCGCGCATGTGCGAGCAATTGGACGAAGTCAAGGCGCTGCTGGAAGACTACGTCGAGCTGCTGGTGGTCGACCACATCTACCTCCAGAACAAGATTCCGTACAGCTAAAAATCAATAAATGGCCCAGCCCCGAGTCCGGTCTGTGTAGTGTCCCGAAGACCAGCTTGCCACCAGGCGCTGGCAATCAAAACGACGTGCATTTCCTTATCGTGCAACAGCCCATATGCGGATACGGAGTGCTGATAACCCTTCCATGTCCGGAACTTTTTCCCGTTTTGACCATTGCCGGCCTAAGCATGTGCTGGTGCCCGGGCATGGAGAGCGAGATGGCCACCCAGCGATTGCCTAGATACGGCACGTGATTTTCAGCAGCGATAAAGCCGTGCCCGCCTCAGAAAAGCAGTCTCGTCATCAGCGTATAAATTGCTGCTCTCATCCGCCGCTTTCTATCTCCTCCATTCCTGCTCTCTCCCTCTATCTTCTCTATACCTGTACACCACTATTTTATTTTATTTTTGCCTCGCTATGTCCGGAATTACAAAAGAACTCGCCACAAGAATTGCCCACTTTGCGCGGTTCCCGCAGACTGGCGTCTCGCTGCGCCAGATGGTCGAGTTTGGCCAGAACCCGTCGCAAGGCACGCTTCTGCGCGCTGCCCAGTTCCTCCACGACGAGCTGCCCATCCGGCTTGCCCACCGCGTTGTCGAGCTTGACTCTCTGCCGGACGATCTGAATCAGATGCCGTCGGTGTTGCGCGTCAAGCGCATGTACATTGACTCGTTCAACGAGCTAATCAACTTCCCGAAAGTGTCGGAGCGCATACGAGAGGCGGTCAAGGCCTCCACAGTACAATCAGAGGCTGAGTGGAGGCAGCTGCCGAGGAACGCACCCAATATGACGCACTTTGACCAGCCAAAGAGTGCGACGCATTGGATTCCGTCGATTCAGCACCGGTAGGTAGATAAGCAGACATTTCCCACACGGCTTTTGCGCTCATTATTCTCATCCCACACTTCTTATCTCCTTCAATCTCGTCGCCTACGTGTTTTGATTCATTGCCCACTTCCATTTACTCGTAGTAGCTACCACTACGATGTCAAGCCGACAGAGCTGCCGGTCGAAGTGTCCGAGTACAACCGCAGTTTTGTGCGCACCTTGGAGACCATCAAGCGGCGGCACGACCCGGTTGTCACCGCATTGGCCCAGGGCGTGGTCGAGTACAAGAAATTGCGCGGCCGGAAAACCATCGACAACCCGGTGCAGCACTTTTTGGACCGCTTTTACCTCTCGCGCATCGGCATCCGGATGCTGATCGGCCAGCAAATCGAGCTCAACCAGCAGCAGAAGCACAAAGACTTTGTCGGCATCATCTGCACAAAGACACGCATCGCCGAGGTTGTCCAGGAGGCCATCGATAATGCCCGCTTTATCTGCGGCGATTATTACATGCTCATGAGCGTGCCCGAGATCGAGCTGCACTGCCCAAAGGAGCTCGAGTTTATGTATGTCCCGTCGCATCTCCACCACATGGTCTTTGAGCTGCTCAAAAACTCGCTGCGCGCTGTCGTCGAGCTCTACGGTGACGAGGCTGACAGCTATCCGCCCATCAAGGTCGTGATTGCCGAGGGCAACGAGGACATCACGATCAAGGTGTCTGATGAAGGCGGCGGCATCCCGCGCAGCGCCATCGACCAGGTGTGGACGTACATGTACACGACTGCCCAGACGCCGATGCTTGACCCCGACTTTGACCAGTCGGATTTCAAGGCGCCATTGGCCGGCTTTGGCTACGGCCTGCCACTCAGCCGCCTGTACGCTCGGTACTTTGGCGGCGACCTGAAGCTGATCTCCATGGAGGGCTACGGCACCGACGCCTACCTGCATCTGTCACGGCTCAGCGATAATGAAGAGCCCCTGGCATAATTGTTCCACTATGTATTTGAAATATGAATCCCCATTTGCTTACTCCTCGTCCTCAAAGTCAAAGAACCGCGGCTTGCGCTTCTTCATCTTGGGCGCCCGATGCTCGCTCTGTGCGCGCATCAGTTCGACGATCTCGTCCTGCAGCGCCCGAGTCTTTTGCGAAAACTCGTCTGAGACTACCAGCTTTTGCATATTTGTCCGCTTCTTGTTCTCGCGGCGCACCTGTGGGTCATACCGCTTTTTTGGCTTCTCGACCTTCTCCACCTTGCCCGCCGTTCCTGGTGTCTTTGCGACTGTGCGAATAAATGCGTCCAGGTTCTTCTTTGTCTTTTGCTTACGTGCCTGCTTCGATGGCTTGCCTTTGAGCAGCGCATTGAGAACTTGCAGCGACTGTTTAGGATGACATTTTACAATAAAAATATAAAAGAGATCGTGAAGCCAAAAATTTTTTTTTACTCAACAGCGAAAATATCAGCTTTGGAAAATTAGTTTTGGTTTTGATAGGTCGGATTCATGCTTGTGGGATTGGATGAGCATGCTTTGGAGAGGCTGATATCCGAATTCCACATACGCCCCGTTCGTCATCACAAAGGGATACATGCACATTCGTATTCGAGTCCATTTTATATAAATAGGCAACACTGCCAAACCTTTCTCACCATACCCACCAGGGTGGCCATCAACACACTTTTTCTCTACTAGTCTTCCCACATCTTTTTAGCGACAGGATATTCGGCGACACTCAAACATGTAGCAAGACATGTATACCATCGCCATATGCTATTTCGCTTCATTACCATATTCGATGGCGCTATGGGTTTTGAAGTTGGTTGGGTATTATTACCGTTGATTAGTTGGAGTATCCACCAATCAACTTCAAAGCACTTGGGGTTATCGAGCATGGTATTAGAAATAATATATCTATACTATTTGTTGATACGTGTATATGTGTGTTTGAAGGTATATACGGTGCAGAGCTTATAAGTTTTGAAAGGAGGATCCTATTTAATCATAGGAGAGAGAAGTGCAGAAGGACAATGATCATGGCATGTTGCCCTTGTTCTACTGCTGCGCAAGATCTAAGCATACAGCGAACGGTGAAAATGGGCGACATGCAGCGTTCGTGGTTTCTTTTTCCTTATCCCCTTTGCTCCTTAGTTTAGAAACTTTATTCTAAAAATTCGTATACCTTCAGATCCCCTCAGCACTTTCCTATCGCACCATATTTCGCAACAGTATGTCGAAAGTTGGTTGTGGCCTTTGATATCCGTAGATGATATGCGTTCTCCTTTGAGTTCGACAAGTGATGCCATGTCGTGCCACCTAGCGTGCTCATTCTTGCACCACCTCATTGGAAAGATGCCAATATCTGGCTTGCCTTTTCCATCGATTTCCTTGATTGATGCAACCAGGCAATCCAGAGTGCACGCACCGGGAACCAACCCGTTGAGCTCCTCAACAGAGTCCTCCTTATGCAACTCCGTGCCTTCGAGTACAGTGGTGTTTCCAACTACTGGGCTGTGACTCCAGCACCTATCTTCGAATCTGGAAATAGTGTTCTCGGCGAGGTTAGCGCTATCAAGCGGGAATCTTCACAAGCAAGGCTCGCAGCTTAAACCCATTAGTACATCAGTATGATCCACACCTGAAAGCCACTCCTTTTTGCACTTTGCACCCCGATACCGACACGTTACCTTGACTACGTCTGGTTTGTGTGAGTATATTTCACCCATTGCGTAGGTTGAGTCCTATATAATGTACAATAAATTGGGCTATTAATTCAGCGTGTTTTGGCGGTATGGAAAGTGTGGTTTTGAGTTTTGAAAAGGTTTGCTATTGAACAAAAGAGGAAACCAAGAAAAGGAAAGACAAAGGATATTTGGCATATAGCTCCATCCTCATGACGTGCAACTTTTCGTCACCGGTTTGATGTAACCAATGCATGTAGTAGGGAGAGGCCACATGCTAGACGGTTGAGTCCGGTCCACTGATTTTCTACAGCAGGATCAGAGCGCCCATTTTCACGCACCTGCCGTATGATAGTGACATCAATCATAGTGTTATTACCAATGCCTCTCCTAGCCGGTACACAGCAGTTCAACATCACCAATACAGACATAGACGACAGTAAATACACTCGTACATCTGTAGAAAATGAGATACAAACCGCATCATGAGCGCAGTACCGATAGCCTCACTCGTATATTATTCTTTAGCACATTGCACTTGATCTCCCCCAGTACGCCTTCAGTGATATTGACTAAGCTCACCTACTGGAATATCTCCACTACCAGCACGGATCACTGCAGACTACCTGACAACCAGTGTACACACCGTCACCAGTCGTGGCACTCGATTATGTCTGTCATTTCGAACCACACAGTCCAACTGATATTGCAGGCGGATATTATGCCGCTGCTAAGACGCGTGGATGGGCTGGTCGCCAGAAGAACCGCATGTTCAATACCTTTTCGTCTGTTTCGCGGTCCCAGTCTATGTAGTCATTGTATGGTATACTGGCTACATCTGACTGCAATGGCGAAATATAGCTAAAACACAAGGTAGGCCGCGATTCTGCAACCAAGCTAATGGCATATAGATTCCAATCACTTGAAAGTCATGGTTCAGGGTCTGTTAGTCACCAGGAACGTAATATTTTACAAATTAGACTGTGAATATAATCTGGTTTCACTGGCTAAGTGCGATTTACATCATTTTTGCAACATTTATTGAGGTGGACGATAGAATCTCTCGAAGCTGTCAACAAAAAGGATATTGTGAATATGCGGATATTCCTGCATACTATCTTGATTGAAGTGGTCCTGGGTGTCTTGAAGATAAAATTCTGGAACTCGGACCTCTTTTAGTGTGACGACGTTTGCGATAAACTCATAGAGGGGATAAAGGTCAAATACCAGCGGGAAATGAGATGTGCTGTAAAAGCATTCGAGGTATCGCAAATTACAGTTAATAGAGTTGTCTGGTGAATATAGTGAAATACCATGTTGCTTATCATATTGGCATTGCTCACCATCTGTAGTGATAAACTTTACACGTAGCTCTTCCAATAGGGGTAGTTGGGATAATAGCCGATAAAGTGTGGTGCGGGAAATGAAGGCAAGTATATCTAACTTTTGCAAGTCTAGCCAACAAACAGTATTAATAGATACTGGGATATAATGCTCAACTTCAAAAGCAACCTTTGTTGCAACTGAGAATGAGCTGAATATGGTCTCTGTGAATGTGTTGTACATTTGAGTATCCTCGATAGAATTGTTGCTCAAGCGTATTGACACCTCTTTGCTAAATGGAAAGCATAGGTTCATTTGTGTAAGAACATCAATAGTACTGACGATATGGAGCGAATCAAGGTGTAGCAAAAGAAGAGGAGCGAACAGGTGTGTATCTGAAGGAGGAATGTCAGACAACAGCAACCGCTTAAGTTTCGGCATATGAATCTTCCGTAAAGCTGCTGCATATGGATGTGTAGTACTGTGGCTGGAAATTACTGTCTTCCAATCAATTGGTGTGGTTGAATAACGTAGCGTCATACTCTCAAGCTCTGAGAAATAGAATGAGTCATTGCTCTCGAAGGAAAAGCACCTCCACGAGAAATTAGAAGGAATATCTAGTAACTCCAATGTGCGAAGATTCCGTGTAGCTATGTGCGGAAGTGTGGTCTGTCCTGAGCTCAAACGAAGAGTGAGGTGGGTAAGCGAGCTAGAGAAGGAATGGTGTGTGAAAATAATTGAGGCTCCGCTGATATTTAGAGTTGATAGTTGATGTAGTTTCAAATTGGCAAGTCTGGCCAGTGGATGCGTGGTATAAATACCAGGTGGATGAATTATTGTTATGGATGTTAAGGTCGGTAGATACGTATGAAGGTATTGGTTAGCGGTGTCACACATATCAGCACTAATTTCCACCTTTCTTCTGCTGTTTATAAAGGGAGAATGTAGGTTCTCGTATATGCCCAGGTTGTAAATTGATGACCAATTTGCTTTGTGAAATAGACGCTCATCTAAAAGTTTGATAAGATGACCAGAGGCAATATATCTGCTCGGACATCTAATATGAAGGTGTTGAGCATACTTTGATAGACCATTATCTACAATGAGCCTGATGTTGGATTTGGCTGGCGATGAAGTAGACATGATAGTAATGAATGCGCATTTATAGAGTTTCGGTAAAAGCATCCTCCGCCATTCTCTGCAGACCCAAGCAAGACCAAAATATTCAAGTTGTTCCCTCCTAAGCGAATAGAGAGTAGAGAAACCTCTAATGGCGTATAAAAGGACTCTCTCCAAGGTCTTTCCGTGGATGCTGTTGAAGGTGGCCATGTTTAAAGTGTAGAAAAGTGCAGAAAAGTGCAGAAAGTAGAGGTGAGAGACAGGTGCTGGAAAAACGGCAATTTTCGGTTCATGTTAAGCATATTTTGAAAAGTCTTCCTCTGCACATATCCCCTTTGTCCTGCACACTATACCAGCGGTATATCATCAGATTTATATATTATTAATAACTAATTAAGTGTCGAACTACGCAGTCATTCAATGTCATCAGATACAGGTATGTATTGCAGTAGATATAATCATGTATTGGCCGAGAAAGAAATGGCTACCACATCATGAGCGCAGTGCCGATAGTCTCGCCCGCATATCATCCAAGTCTAGCTCCTCTTCCTCTTCCGCTTCTTCGACCATGGGCACATGATGCTTCGGCACCTCGTTCTTGACCTTCCCCAGCACGCCCTCCGTGACCTCGGCCAGAATGCCCTCGACCTCCTCGTCAGCCTCCTCCTCCAGCCCTCCTCCTCCATGCCCTCGAGAACATCCTGGGTCATTTCCTCGATAATGCCGGCCTTCATCATTTCTTTGGACATCTCCATCAAGGTCATCTGCAACTGCGGCACGCGCATCAGGGCATTGACGGATTTCATGACCTGGGTGGATTTCTGCAGACTGCCGGCAACCTTGAGCACGGCGACCTGGCGCTGGAGCTCCAGGACGATCGAGTTCAGCTGCGCCTTGCTGGTGATGATGCGGTCGCGCTGGCGCCGGCTGCGCACCAGCTCCTTGGCCAGCGAGCGGCAGGACGCGGTGTCGTTTTTCTTGGCCAGCTGTCTGATCGATCGCATTACCTTTTGCTCCTCCATCTGGATGTTGCGCGTTTGGCGGTCGAGCGCGCGCTCCTGGGCGCGGATGCTCGCGCGCCACTTGCGCACCATCTCTTCAGGCGTCGGCTGCTTGCCAAAAATCTTAAACATTGGAAAAGGAACAGAAAGGGATTATATAAAAAAAATTCGGTGTATAATACTTCGCACTAGCCGCTCGTGCCAAGAGCAGCATATGGCGGGCAGTGCTTGGCGCATGGGTCTTATGGTCAGTATGTTTAAATTTTACTGATTGATTATCTCCTATTCGTAGTGGACGGGACAGGCAGGCGTACGCTGCAGCCATTCGGCAATGCACTCGAGATGGTACGTGCACAGGCAGTTCAGGCGGGCGACGGTCTGGCCAGGCTCAAAGTCCTCGAAGCAAATCGCGCACTCCTGGCCCAGCAATTGCGTGTCGCCGGCCAGCCGGTAGGCAATATACTTGACGCCCATTGGCGACCGCGCGGCGCGCACTGAATGCTCGGCATTATGCACAGGCGGCTGGCGGTCTGGAACAGGACGCGGCTCAGTCTCGGTCGGTGACAGACGGTCGAAGAAGCTCAGGAAGCCAGTGCTGCGACGCGGCAGCTCGGGCGACTCGGCGCTGTGGTGCGGGCGGGCGCCCTGCATGCCAGCCGATGCATCTTCGATGCATTCGCGGATATGGCGCTCCTGCACTTCCTGCCAGCCCTCGCCAGGCATGCGCACCATATGCTGCCACACAGCGACCCAGTCCTTGTCGCATATCGGACAGACGCGGATACTCGATGAGCTGCCGCGCCGGCGATGGCGGTGGGTCGGGAGATCCCGCGACAGGTCGTCCTCGGCGGACCCAAAGATCGTATAGGCGCTCTTGATGGTCCCTGAGTTGTGTGGCACGGCTGGCAGCGACACGATCTCGTGGTCGATGGGCGGGGCTGAGCTGAGGGCCTGGGCGCAGGCATTGCATACGCGCTGGCTCGCGCAGCTGCCAGCACGAGGCGCCGCCAGACGGATGCACTGGCTGCGGAGAGTCGGCAGACTCGCCGTAGTAGCCAGCGGGCGAGACGGGCGATGCGAGCAGCGCGCGCTGGGCAGAGCACGCGTCGCAGAAAACCTAGGCCGCAGCGGCGGCAGTGGTGGCGACGCAGAAACAGAGTGAAGCGCCGGCCGTCCTGGCGGCAGGTGGCCGTGGCCTCGTCGGGCTCCCAGGCAGACTCGGGCAGACACTGGCGCATCAGCACTGCTGACCGCAGGTCCTTGCGGCGCCGGCTCAGCCTCCGCCTCCACCTCTTCGATATTGGCTGGCAGTGGCTATGGAGGTGCTGCTCTCGTTCTGGGGGCTGCCCTGGCTGCTGCTGGCTGGCCCCTCTGCAGGTCCTGCCTCGGCGACAGTGGCTTTACCAGCGAACTCTGCCGCATCATCGTCGCTGCGTGACGCCTTTGCTGGGTTTAATGTCGTGCACGGTTTTGTTAAATAGACGGTCGTCGTTGTCATCATCGACGACCTCGTCTCTGGGCGGCACAACTGCAGGCGTGAATTCTCTCTCAGCCTGCTCCAAGTACGCCTGCATCTGGCGCTCGACCTCAAGTGGATCAGTCACTGACTCGGCCAGCGGGCGGTGAGGCAATGGCGGCGGAGCCACATTATCGGTAGGCTCAGCAACAATACCCAGCGCGTTCTCTCCTTCGTTCAGTGCCTGGCACAGCTCGTCCTGGGTGTCGGACTGCAGGCCGGTGGCCAATACCTCTGCGCGCCTGAGCGCATCATCGGCCTAGCCTGCGCGCCTCGTGGCGGCGCTGGTCATTCTCGTCGGTGGAAATATTGGACAGAAGCACCGACACGGCGCTGCGGGTCTGCTCGAGCTCCAGGCGGTGCTCGACAGCAGCATCGGAGGTGGAGATTTCCCGCGTGGCATCGAGGATGGTCCGGGCAGTTTCCAGGTAATCAGGCTCCAGGGCGCGCGCAGCCTCGTCGCTGGTGATCTTGGCAAGCACCGGGTTGGCAGCGATCACGGCGGTCGGATCGTCCAGCGGCACCTGGCGCTTCATGGCTCTTACCCACTGGCGGCGCCGCACGCAGTCGGCAGCATCGGATGGGGCATAGGGCGCCCAGGCGGTCTCGGGGGAGTTGAAGCCATGGCAGCTGTACTGCCAGCCATTGCGGTCGGTGTGCTGCGCGACCGAGCCGTCGCTCACCACTTCTGGGCGGCACCCGACGAACGGCGCCCAGTCACTGAGCCAGAACCAGTCCATGCCTGAGTCGGCATGCGGCAGCGGAATGTCGCGCATGCGCCGCGGGACCATCTCGGAGTCAGTCATGGGCGCCGGATCGCCGGCGATCAGATTGGCCGCTGAGAAATCGGCGTCAGCGAACGGCGCCGGAGTGTTAGCACCCGACGACTGCGCCGAGTCTTGGCGCGCGCGCGCAAAAAACGACAGGCGGTGGGCCAGCGCGCCCATTGGCAGTGCCAGGTGGACCGGCGTGGGCGCGCGGTGGCTCGCTGGTTCTCGAACAGACAGACCAAGCTGGGTGGTATGGACGCGCATGGGATCGTACGGCTCGCTGGTCAACTCGGCCCACACGCGGCGCTCGGCGGTTTCCAGCAAGTAGCAGACGTGGGCGTGCTGGGCTATGGCGGCCACGTCGTATGCGCACTCAGCAAAGGCGTTGTAGGCCAGGGGCTGGGCGCTGTGGGCCAGCAGACTCTGCACAATGGCGGCGTGGCCGGTGGACGCAGCGTTCATCAGCGGCGTGTGGCCCTGGCGGCTGCGCGCATCGACCAGGGCGCCGCTGGCCACCAGGAAGGCAGCGGTCCGCACGTGGCCGCGGCCCGCCGCATTGTGCAGCGCCGTCCACCCGTCGCGGTCGCCGCGTCGCATGTCGGCGCCCGCGCCCACCAGCCACTCGACTGCGTCCACATGGCCGCCATACGCGGCCTTCATCAGCGCCGTCTCGCCCTCGCGGTCCGGCAGATCCACCACCGCCCCGCCCTCCTCGCACAGCTCCCGCACCACCGCCGCGTGCCCGCGCGCTGCCGCATAATGCAGCGCCGCCATGCCCGTTGCCGCCACCGCCTGGTTGACGCTCAGCTCCCACAGCTTCTCCTTCGCGGAACTGCTTCAGCAGCCGCCGCACCGCCGCCAGGTCGCCGTGCTCGCTTGCCTGCCGCAGCTGCGTCTGCGCGTCCACTGCCATTGGGCTGAGCTGCGAGGGCGTCGCTACCTGCTGCACAGCGAGCTTGGGCACTGCCTTGCGTGTTGGATGTCTGCGAGCTGCTGTGGTTGGCGCCCAGGCTGCGTGTCCCCGACTGTGTTGACGTTGCGCTGGCGCTGCGGTTGGCGTCGGCAATGATGGAGCGCAGGCTCTCGCCCACTCGGCTGTCGGCTTGTCCGTAGTATGGGTGCACGCTGCCGGGCACGCTGGGCGCGACAAACTGCGGCAGCGAGTCCCACAGGCGCTGCTCTGCTATGGAGAGTGTGCATGGGTCGGGCAGTGCGAGCTGGCCGGCTGTCAGGAACGCGCTCTTTTGGCTGCTGGGGCTGTGCGGTACGCTCAGGCTGTTTCGACTGTCCATTAGCAACAACAAAAAAACCGAAGTAGAAATATGAAATAGTACAGAGAGGAAGAAATATTGAACAACAACAAAGTGGAGGCAAAGAGTGAGCGTGCTGGAAACGTGGCCTGTGGGGGGCATGACGAAATCGCACCGTGATTCCGCGGTTGTCAGGGCCGCGGCAAAAGCGAACCTTATCTTTTCTTCTCAACTTTTTTTTTTTTGCAATTTGGAACCAGCCTTCGCCATGCTCGCTCGCCAGCTGCCCAAGCTCCGCCCACTGCTCAGCAGACCGCCAGTCTACTCAGTGCGCTGGCACCACTCGCAGTTCGCGACAACGCAGCTGGGCGGGCCAGTCGGCACCCCCACCCACCGCATGTACTTTGAGCACTCGCAGCAGCCGATCTCGCCCTGGCACGACATCCCACTGTCATCTTCGCCCGGCACCTACAACATGGTGGTCGAGGTGCCGCGCTGGAGCAACGCCAAGCTGGAAATCGACACCTCATCGCCATTCAATCCGATCACGCAGGACACCAAGAACGGGAAGCTGCGCTTTGTCGCCAACGTATTCCCATACAAGGGCTACATCTGGAACTACGGCGCCCTGCCGCAGACCTTCGAGGACCCAAACCACGTCGACCAGGATACCGGGTGCGTGGGCGACGGCGATCCCGTGGATGTTGTGGAGATTGGCCAGAATGTGTGCGCGCAGGGCAGCGTGCAGAGCGTCAAGGTGCTGGGCGTGCTGGCGCTGATTGATGGCGGCGAGACGGACTGGAAGGTGCTGGCTATACGGGCTGATGACCCGCTGGCGCCGCAAATGCACAGTATCGAGGATGTGCGGCGTCTGATGCCTGGCCTGGTCGAGGCGACTGTCGACTGGTTCACCAAACTACAAGGTGCCCGATGCCAAGCCGACGAATCCCTGGGCCTTTGGCGGCCAGCCCAAGGATGCAAAGTATGCGGAGCGCGTTATCGCCGAGACACACAATGCCTGGCGCCGCCTGATGGACTCGCCGAAGCCGTCGAAATTTGCCCTGGCCAACACCACTGTCGGATCCAGCTGCTGGACATTGGAGCCATCCAAGGCCGCCGAGGAGCTCAAAGCCCTGGCTGCCGCCATCCCGGCCAATGCCGGCCCGGTCCCAGACCCCATCGCAAAAATCGGCACTTTGTGCGCAACGGCGTCATCACCAACACAGAATAGAGAGGGTTCTTCAACTTTTCCATAGAAAACACTACTTTGGTATTCACTGCGACTTTTTGCTAGACGCGGGATTAGGCGGGCGCGGGCCGATGGCATCCGCCAGCGCAAACTGCCTGCGCAGCCGCGAGAGGAAGTCATGGAAGCAGCCCAAGCCGAACAGCGTCACGCCCACCGTCCACTTGAGCTGCTCCCTGGTCGACATCTGCTTGGGCTGGAACAGCTTGATCAGCTGGCACAGTGCACAGCAAGCTAGCCCCTCGAACACATGCAGGCCACACGCCACCACGAATATATAATACGACCACATCTGCGGCAGAACCGCCCGGAAAAACGACACCATCGGGTGGACCTCTGCCACCAGCCCCAGGTACCCCTGCAGGCCCATGCCCAGCAGAACCGCCGCCATCAGCGGCACGCCTGGCAGCCGGAACGAGAAATCCACCAGATGCTGCGACTGCAGCTGGGCGCGGTCGCGCGCCAGCCGCGATGGCTCCGTGACGCCTAGCGCCTGCAGCGCCTCGGTGGCCAGTTCGTTGATCTCCTCCATGGCCGATGCCGGGCCGGTGACCTCGCGGAACGCAAACTGCATTTCCTCGCGCTTCCCCTCAGTCTCCCACTCAACCGTCAGCCCGTGCACGTCAATGTCCTTTACATGCGCCCTAGTCGCCTGCAGCTGTCCGCCAAAATGCCGCGCCAGCGCCAGCAGCTCGTCATTGTACGTGCCGTCCAGACGCGCAATCAGCCGGGCCTCGTCCTCGGGTGAGAACCGGCCCTTCTGTCGACGCTGCTTGGTTTGTTGCCGTGACATTCTATGTTTAACGTTAAAGTAGGTGTGGCGAAAAAAATAATTGGATTCGTGTGGTAAGGCTGTTGCTGGTGCAACTGCGAGGGATCTCACTGTGGATCCTTTTTGTCGTCACTGAAATCCAGTGCGATAATGGGCGCAAGGCAATGTGACCTAACATCTGCTTCACCCCTCTCCTCTGCTTTCTGATTTTCGAGACCGATCTCTATGGCCATGAAGCTGGGCCCGCCAACATCAGTATATGGTGCTGCTATGTCCTCCATTTTTGGACAAGCCCAAGCTCCAACAATGAGATCACTGAAGTTGCCACCCAGGCACTGGTCTATGCGCAAGCCATTGCTGCCACCAATCGCCATCAATAGTCGCCTGATGCCTGCGCCATGTGTCAGTAGGAGATTTATTGCTCCAGCAACATACTGCCTGGTGGTGCTGCGTACAGATCTGCCAATTTCTTCTGCCCATCCCTGGCAAGAAGCGGATTGCGGACGGACCATCTGCCAGCCTACAGTCTCCGCTGCACAGCGCCGTGAAACCTGCACCGCGTGTAACTCCTTCGCTTTTGCTGCCTGGCCATGTGAAGATCGCATTGTGTCGAAGAAAGCTTCGGCTCACTTGACCATCAGGGGATTTGCCTATGCCAGCACTGGTGGATTTCGTGTACAAAAACCTGCGCTGGTGTTATTTTTTGTTCGTGGGATGTGCAGGCTTGCTGGCCATCATCCAGGAAAACGCCCACTATAGGATGGCTTTGCGCTGCTGCGCTGTCGGGAAGAGTATGTGCGCCGCGCGTGCTAATTTATTCCGCCTCCCTCTTGCCTGGGCGTTCCAGGGATGTCTGGCAGGCTGCGTGGATTTCCCAGGCATGTATAAATGCTACGCCTCCCTTCTCACCGCGCTTGGTCAAGTAAAAAAGAACGCCTCCTCGAGTACTGCAAGTATCTTCTGTTTTCTTATCTTCACAGCACACTTTATACTTCCTTACTTTTTTCTCTGCAAACCAAATATGGCGGGCGACTACCCTATCCTCAACAACTACAAGACCGGTGCGCCGGTAACCGACGGCAAGGTCGGCCATCTGACCGCCAGCCAGGAGCAGAAGCTCAAGCAAATGTGGGCCAAGATCCTGAACTACTTTGTCGACCACAAGGACAAGCCAATCGCAGTCCCCGCCGACCCATTCAAGGCTGGCGATCTGGCTGAACTGGACGATACGCCTGCAGCCGTCTCCCAATGGTATTCTGCCAACAAGACACGCATAGACAACGTCAAATACAAGACTGTCAACGATGCCTTGTACCTGTCGGGCAAAACATCGGCGGTGGTGCCGAGGGATTTCCGGCCACTGTTCGGCGACCGGCCGGGCTCGCGCTCCTTCCGCAATGCGTTCTGGCAGGCGGCCATGTCACACCAGCACCCGGACTCGTTCCCGCTGGCGTTCCTGATCGCACGCGAGTGGGACGTTGACCGCGCGTTCCAGCTGCTGGTGGGAGCCGTGGAATGGCGGGCCACACATGCAATGGACAAGCTGGTGTGGCAGGGCGAGGCAACTATGAATATGCGCATGATGGAGCGCGGCTTGACGTATGTGCCAGGAAAAGACAAGCTCGGGTGCCCCCTTTTGGTGGTGCGAGTCCATGAGAATATCCCACGCGAGCATGGCGAGGGCTTTGGTGAGAAATACACAGCCTTTGCCATGGAGCAGGCGTCGCTGATTACCCGTGCCAATGGCGAGCGCGCCACGCTGGTCTACGACATGTCGAGCTTCAAAATGGAGAACATCGACTACGGCTTCGTCAAGACCATCATCACCATGAACAACACCATTTACCCAGAGACCTTCCAGCTGATCATCGTCTACGTCAACTCGTGGCTGTTCTCTGGCATCTGGAAGCTCATCTCGCCGTGGTTCGACCCGATCATCGCCAAGCGCATCGTCTTTGCCAAGAACGTCCAGCAGCTGCAGGCCTATATTGACATTGGCCAGATCCCCGAGGAAATGGGCGGCAAGAAGAAGTTCAAGCGGGAGCATCCCATGCCCACCCGCAAGGAGAACGAGCCCATGTTTGATGCTGCTGCCAGGGATGCCGCTGAGAAAAACTTTGTGGCAGCCGTCGACGCCTTTGAAGCCAGCACTGGGGGCTGGATCAAGGACAATGAGGAGCCGCTCCGTGGCGAGGTGGCTGACACATTCAAGAAGTCAGTGGCTGAGCTTGACCCCTACATCCGCGCGCGGTTCCTCGCTGAGCGTAAGGGCGAAATGACCGCCGAGGGCTGCCTCGTCGTCTAACATCTTCTATGCCTTTCCATGTTTATCATATATTCCACAGCTATCTATATATATCCCCACTACCCCTGCTGCCCACCAGGGAGACCCACGTCCTTGATATGAGGGAACGGGGTCTTGGAGCCCAGATTCAGCACCTGCTGGTGGTGGAACAGGTACCCTTGGATATACCTTTGCGATATCAGCGACGCCACAATGCTCTCCATCTCAAACACATCCATGTCCGGATTGCGCGAGGCGACCCGGAAGGCCGTCAGTATTTGCCTGTACGGAATCACCTTGTGCGCCTGCTGCTCCTGGGCCAGCATATTGCGCAGCTTCTTCAGCACATTCCTATACATCAGCACCTCCGTGCGCTCATACAGTATCAGGAACGTGCCCTGCGACCGGAAGAACTCCATATTGTCGATCAGCGCAGTCTGGAATGCCGCAATGTTGCCTTGCCGGAAATGGTGCACCAGGATCCCAAACACCGGCTCTACATTGTACTTGCTCAGCAGATACTGCGTAGGCAGCCGCCCGCGCACCATATTGGCCACGACCAGATGCCGCAGAATCGCATGCTTATTATGCACATGGTACGCCGGGCACGCATTAAACGCATACTCGAGCTCCCGCCGCGCCGCCTCAAACCGATAGCACACCAAGTAGTACCGCCCGGCCCAGTACCGATACGTCATCTGGTCGCGCAGCGAAAACCACCGGAAGTCCAGCCCCGCCTCGGCCACATTACCGATTGCCCCATGCGCTGGCGGCATCACCCCGATCTTCAGCGACACACGCACCAGTAGCGCTGCCACAAACAGCGCCCCGCCGTGCTTCGAGTCCGGCAATGTATCGCGGTCCGACAGAACCACCCGCAGCAGGCCCTTGCAGCTGCGACGCGGCCTGCACCTGCGCTTTCCTGCCGCCCATCTCCAGCCGGTCTGCATTGCGTGATAGGCGATAGAGAGATGCCGCGATTGCGCGCAACACAGGTAACAGCCAGAAGCGCCCCGACGGCATAAACACTGGCTCGAAGTAGGCCGCGATTTTGAGCATGAGCTTGCTGCGCTGGCTGGCGTCTGAATGCGAGTAGTCGCGCACGTACTGTAGATAGGCGATGGTGAAGCGCGCGAATGCGTCGTCTAGGATCGCTACCTGGTATGATGAAAAGTCACTGACGTCGCTGAGGGCGCTGCCCAGTTGCGCGATGACCGTGTCTGTGAATACAAAGAGCCCCGACAGCGCCTCGCCGTCCTCAAGCAAGAACCCCTCGGATGCCGACTGTACGATTGATAATACTACTGGATTCAGACTGCTGTTCATTATCTGCAAAAGTGTAGGGAAAAGTGGGTAAACTATGCTTGTCGCATATCTCGGCCAAAAAAATCGCTATTTCAAAAAATACAGGTATTTGTACATACACAAACATTATGGCCAGATTATGAAATTTATGCTTGCTAATGGCACAGTTTGCTGTGACGGAGCGATGTTCAATTGGTGTTGTACTCGTCGTCGGCATCATGGCCTTCAGTCACCTCATGTTGGCCCTGCGAAGCATGGCGTCTGATGCTAAAAGCCTCTCTCGAGTCTGAGTCCCCCGACGAAGAGGACGGATCTGAAGAACTGTTGCTGCTGCCGTTAGATGGCATGTCAATGGCGACCTGCCCACTGCCCTCTTGGTCTCGGTGGGTGCCCATGACCCCAGAAACCGAGTTCAATTTGGACACCTGAGCGTTAGCATGCAAACCTGCCGGCTTATGCAGCCTTGGCTGCATACCTTCAAGCGAACCCGCACTCTGGCCACTGTGCACCTGGCAGATGGGCGTTACATTCTCATACCGCATCTCCGATGCCACCCTACTAAGCACCGGCGAATCTTCATACCTGGGGCGGCGCAGCGGCAGCCGGTTCTGCAGAGTGTAGCTGGAGGCGACCCGCTGATGGGCTGCTTGGCCGGTGGGGGTCCTGCTGATGGGCGCGTAGTTGGAACCATGGCGTAGCCGAGACTTGACCTTGTGCGCCAGGTTTCTGCGGGAACGATGGAAGCGCGTGCGCATGCCGCTAAAAGAATTCGCATCGCTGGTGTGCGGCAGGTCCGCGGAGCTGTACCCAAAGTGCTCGTCCAGGTGCTGCTGGGTGGTGTACTGCTGCTGATTAATGTGGAATTTGGATGACTGCCGCGGAGACATGGACGCGGTGTCCGGATCGATGCGCAAGCTGACCTTTTCAAATACAAACGACATTAGTTTGTATTCGAGCGAGGTCATTTTCTTTTTGCGCGACATCGGCGGGCTGTTCGCCGGGTGGCCGTGCCCGATGTCCAGGTTCTGCAAGTACCCGGCCAAATCCTCGGACGACTCGAACCTCCGGAATTCCGACAGGCAAAACAGCAGCCGCTCGCACAGCAGACTGTAGGCGTCGTTGTATAGCTTCGAGTGTATGGCGTTGATCAGCAGCTTTTGGTTGATCTCGCTACTCTCTTCAATCTCGTTCATGTCCATCTTGGGGATGCCCAGGTCCTTTTCAACTTTCTCGATCACCTTCATCATCTCGTGGTACTCGAACGGCGCCATCTTGTGCTGTCGCCAACCAAACTGCGGTGGCTCTGCGGGCAGGTTCTGCAAGGCTGGCTGTGAGAAGTCTACCCGGGTAGCCTGTCGCAGCCCAATATCTGGAGCCGACGCATCATTTGGCTGATCAAGAGACGGGGTCTTTTTGTTCAGCTCGGGATCAGACCTGGCTACGTTGGCATGTATGGCCTCTGTCAGCACTGCCGATCCAATGCTAATGGGCGTTTCACCACTTGCCCTCATGTGGACTTGCATCGTAGTCCCTGTTGGCATCACTCCAGATGCGCGCCAGCTGGAGGCGGCGGTTCTCGGTGTCCCGCCGAAGCAGCGACTTTTGGTGCAGTTTCTGCGCCTTATGAAACGCCTCCCACTCATTGGCAAAGTTGGTCGAGATGATCGAGGTCGGAAACACAACCGTAAACACCCCCATTACCATGGTCAAACAGGCAACCACCTGGCCCCACGGCGAAACCGGCGTCAGGTCGCCATATCCGACCGTGGTCACTGTGACAAATCCCCAGTACAAGCAGTAGAATACGTTCTGGAACGGGCTCACTTCGACCACCCCGCGGTTCTTGCGCATCCACTGACCGCTACCCACATCCAATGTGTCGTTCTCGGAGAAGAACATCAGAAAGCACGCTGTCAGCAGGACGATTGCAATGACCAGCATGACAATCAGAATCTGAGTCAGGCTCTTTTTCAGCGTGCGCACGATGACGTACAGCTCCACCGAGTACTCGGCGACACGCATGATACGCAGAATGCGCAGGATCTGCAGCGCACGCAGCCATTTGGCCCGCCCAAACGACGTCCCAAGGCTTGTATCGTACGACGCGTACGCCGGGACCACGCTGAGCAGGTCGATGAGCGACAAGGGCTCGAGCAGGTACCGTTTCGGGTTCTGGAACGCATAGAACCGCAGGAGCCACTCGACCCCAAAGTACACTGCTGTACCCATGTTGATGTTTTCGGCGATTCGCGGCCAGTGCGGCTTGAGCCGGTACTGCGGCATCGTGTCGAGCATGAACACAATCAGAAACAGCAGCAGCAACATGCTGGAGAACACCATGTAGATGTGGGCCTACACGTCAAGTCTCTCAAAGTCAATCTCCACGCAAGGGGCCTTCCAGCTGTGCGGGATTTTTTTGTTTTGCATTTGCTTCCTCCGGTTGGGAACCATCGCCGGGGTGGAGCGGAGTTCGGCAAACCACTTACCCGTCGTGAGGCTGGCTCGTAGAACATGATGTGGAGGAACTTTCGCGGATACGACCAATTCTCAATCTCGCGCGCGCGCCGCCGGTAAATAAGACTTCGGATCTTGCGCGATGCTTCGGAGATATCCTGATCCTGGTGAAAGAAATCGTTGACGCTGTTTCGCGACACAGACTCCACCGATCTCTTTGACAGAAACCGCTGCAATGGCTGTGCTGCACTGGCTGGCGGCGACGGCTCCTTGCTGGACATGGGGCTGTAGTTCACCGTAGAGTCGTCCATGGAAAAGGTGCACATAAAAATGGTGAGGTGAGGGCAGAACCAGTAAAGAAAAAGGGGGCAGAGCTAAGCAGAAGAGAGCTTTTGGCCGGCGAACCGAGCGGACTATTTCAGCCCCCCCCCACAGGCACGAGGAATCGGACAGCACAGCACCATACTAATGTCGTACAGGAACACTCCTTTGGGTGCACGGGCGGCGTTCGTGTGATCGCGGGCTTGACCAAAACGAAGCTGGCAAGTGCGGCAGTTGCTACCATTTTGGCTGTGCCTGAACGCCGGCATGGTGCGGTGTTGCTGCCAGACTTTGGAGTTCTACTGCGAAGCTTCTTGGCAGACAGGTGGCGATCAGCTCAGTCACACATGACACCACCAGCCAATGCAGCCACCACAGATCACCAACATTACCCATAGCAGGAACAGGTGGCACCAGAGGGAGATAGAGCGCTGCTGCTGCTGCGCGGGGAAGCGTTCCCAGACCAGCCATGCGTGAATTTTTGTAATTTTATTGACCCCTATATTTCTCGTATTGCCAACATGGCCGAATCAAAGCGCACGCGCGCAGGAGCAGCAACCACGGATGCAAATAGAGCCAGCCGCAGAGCACGATCAGGCATAAAGCGCAGGCGGTTACAAGAACAGGAGCCAGCAGTCACGTACATCGACACGACAACATGGGAGCAGCCTTCAAGGCAAGTTTATAGCGAGCTACGATGCCATAGGGTGCTAGTTCCGGCAACCCTCAGCTTTCCAAACCACCCCTTTCACTCAAACAATGCTATATTGGTAGGCGACCATCCTTGCGGGCTGAGTGCAACACAGGATCCAATTGTTGTTGTATCGGACTCTTCAGACGAGTCTGATGTCGTTGAGTTCAGTTGCAGCGCACCAACGGTGCTGTCGGACAGAAATCTCGAGGACGATTCCGTGCAATGGCGATGATGATAGCGATGATGTCGAGGTTGTTGCTGTTCTTGGTGAGCCGATTCCCAGGCCTAGCACTGCCAAGCAGCAGCTGACTGTAGTCGACAGCCAGTCGCAGGATGACCTGGTTAGCAATGACCCGGTGCTTCAGGTTGCTGCACCGAGTGAGCCATTTGAACCCCCGCACATCCCGACAAGCAATGCCGACACCCATCGGCCAGAGCATTCCTCCGGTCGCAACGATCCAACAGCCAGCAGTAGGAACCCCACCGCCCCTACCAGTCTTGTCACACGCAGCAACGTATGCCGATAAGACCACCCCGCAAGAAGCGGACCGTATATACTATCTGCATATATTTGACAAAATCATGTCGACTGTGCTTAGTGGCGAGTCACATTTGTTCTCCGAGTCGGAGCAGAAGATCCTACGAGCCTTCATTAGCCTTAGAGCAGTATGTGCGGTACCTATACACACGGCTCTTTATGCGCAAGCCTACGTGGATGCGCGTCTCTGGACTAAAATACGGCAGTGCCGAGGATGTTGCGCACGCATGCAAAAGCCTGTCTGCATGTCGACCCTGCGGCACACCACTCACCTTGGATGAAGGCGACGTCAGCGATTGCAGAGAGGTCCTGGACGTGCTGTTGCTCTCCGAGCTGAGAACGCTCGCGAAACGGCGCGGGATCAAGCAGATGGCGAACCAAAAGAAGGAGGTTATCTGTGCAGCACTTTACAAGCAGACTAAGCAGGCAACGGTCTTGTCGTTTTTCAAGAAAAGCAAAGAAGCCGGCGTCCTGATAAGCTCTGCGCGCTGCTGATCAAGGAAGCCATTGACGTAACGGGCCCGCTGGTCAAGCTCAACCCCGAGATTGTGGAGCTGTTTGAGCGCCTGCACTTGATCTACTTCCGCCACCTGCTACTATCGCTGGACGACAATTCGATGAAGGTAGCAGTTGCTGGCCCTGGTAGGCAAGATCCGGTTCCCAAACTACACTGTGTCAGCGGTCGACCGATCTGTTTGAGTCGCGTGAAGCGGTGATCCAGTACAAGCAGCTGCTGCAAGTCTGTGAACAGATGGCTGAGCTTGGAATGTCCAAAGTGGCCGGTCATCGAAGACCATCGGCAAGGCTGGAAGCTGTACCTGGCCTACCGCGACCAGTGGCTTCAACACATTAAGTATCTCTCCAAGCAGTCGATATCTGACGACGGCATTGCGTACTGGAAACGGCGGTTTACAGCTGGGTGGGCACTGTCGCGGATCGTGAGCCGGGGCGCCAAATTTGCAGCTACACTTAAGCAGTTGAAGGACGAGGAAGGGGTGCTCTTGTCGTTGCTATCGCAGACACACTACGGTCTAGATAAGCGCGGTAAATGGTATGAGCGTCTTATTCTGGTACAGGCGACGCATTTGAGACCCAAGAAATGCAACAAGGAACCGGACTATGAGGAAAAGTCACAAATCGCACTGACCACAGCCCGCAAGCAGTGCATTCGCGCCTTGGATGACCCGCACGTGAATCGTGTTTCGCGGCATAGGATCATCTCACAGCTGCAAACCATTGAGCCGCAAACTTAATCTGGATTCGACCCCTGCGCTGCCTGTTTCCGGTCTGCACACAGGAGTGGCTAGTAGCGCCCGAGCGCACAGTATACGGCGTGCGAATCAAAAGCCATAGCCAGAGAGGTGCATCTGCGTGGGACGGCGATGACGGAGTCCCATGCTCGGTCGAGGACCTGGCCATCTGGAGATACCGTGAGGATGGATACGAAGGAATACACTCCGAGAACACGCTTATGACGACGCTCTTTGGGCTGATATTCTACGATATCATCTTCTTGCTCATTGCCTGGTGTGCTGGATCACCAAATACCAGTCAGCGCCGCTCGATATGAGGTCAGACTCGTTCTATTTCAGTCGCAAGGGCATGATCGAGCGGCGCATTGAGGAGATCAAGAGCAACCAGTTCCTTCACTATCTAATCGATGCATACGACCTGCAGCTAGGATCCGAAATCATTGGTGTGAACTGGGAGTATACGCGCGGATGGCTGGAAATGATATGCGCGTGCATCGGTGGCAGGCGGCTGGCGGCCTATTCTTGGTGTTCCTTGCCCGAGAGTATCCACTCAAGCACAGCGGGATTTCCCGATCTATGTCTCTGGAAGCCGGGCACCAACGAGTTCCTATTTGCAGAAGTCAAAGGACCCAACGACAAGCTTTCGGAGAATCAAAAGGACTGGATCGACATTCTGCTCAGCAACGACATCAAGGTTCGAAGTATGCCTGGTTCGGCAGGATAAGCCAAGTAACGCAGTCGCTGAATATGAGAGCGTCGAGCATGGCGAGGAAAGTTTGTGGTAATAGTCCAATTATGCAATTTGGTGACTTCTTCATGAATAGACAGGAAAGATATGTCATGTGGTACTTTATACGGGTTATCGATGTCCTTGAGCTGACTGTGAGTAGCCCTTGACTACTCCGATTCGACATTCACCTTAATTAGATATGGCTGATAGGAAAAATACGATGATATACCAGCTGGTATAGTGTGCAGGACAAAGGGGATATGTGCAAAGGAAGACTTTTCAAAATATGCATATCATGAAGCGAAAACGGCTGTGTTGCCAGTACCTGTCTCTCACCTCTACTTTCAGCACTTTTCAGCACTTTTCTACACTTTAAACATGGCCACCTTCAACAGCATCCACGGAAAGACCTTGGAGAGAGTCCTTCTTCTACGCACTCTATGGAGACTCATCCCTATGCTATATTCGCTTAGCGATGTGCAATTACTTAAGTATTCTCTAGTCCTGCTGGGTCTGCAGAGAGTGGCGGAGGATACTTTTACCAAGACTCTACGAATACGCATTCCTTACTATCACCTCGCATACACCAACCTCTGGACGACTAGTTCAATCAGACTCCAACATAAGACTCACTGTAGAAAATGGTCTAGTAAAATATGCTCAACACCTTTCATATTAGATGTCCGAGCGGATATGTTACTTCTAGTCACCTTAGTTGAACTTTTGGATGGGCAGCTATTTAGCAAAACGAACTGGCCATATATTTACGATCTAACGCATATTTGAGAGCTCACCTTTATACTTCTAGCAAATAGCAGGCAGGTCGAAAATAGCACCGATATGGTGACATCATTTCCCAATACCTCCATATACATCCTGCCAGCCTTATCATCTATATCAGTTTGATCCTGCATGAATATGATAGCAATTTCATTCATCCTCTGTCCATACTTATCAACCATTAAATTACATCATCTTTCGATTTCTGCATACTAGAGGAACCTCCAGTCGATTTCACACACCACTCATTTTCCTAGTTCGACTTACCAGTTCATCATTCTACGTTTAAGGCCCAGGATCAGACCACACTTCCGTACATATATACACCAAATCTTCGTGAATTGGAGTTGCTGGATATTCCACCTAATTTCTCCGTGGAGGTGCTTTCACTTCGAGAACAGTAGTGACTCGTTCGATTTCTCTGAGCTTGAGAGTATGGTTGTTGCATTATTCAACCCACTTCAACTTGATTCGATGACTGCAGCATCCCAGTCGCAGTGGCGCATATCCACACTCATCAGCTTTTAACGGAAGATCCATATGCCGAAGATTAAGTGGCTGTCGCTTTCTCACGGTTCCCTCCTTCAGACGCACACCTGTTTGCTCCATATCTTCTAGTACCATCTTGACTCACTTACGATATTGTCGGTAGTATTGATGTTCTTATGACATACTGGGCCTTACGGCTTTCCATGTAGCAAAGAGGTTAGTCACTACGCTTGAGTGACAATGCTGTCGATGATATTCAAGGAGTACAGCATACTCACTGAGGCCATATTCAGATCATTCTCAGCTGTAACAATGGGTGCCTTTTGAAGATTGAACGCTATATCTCAGTATCCATTAATTACTGTTGGCTGGTCACACTTGAAAGAGTTTAGATATACTTGCCTTCATATCTCCTCACCACACTGTTATCGCTTAGTATTCCAACTACCCCTATTAGAACGTCTATGTGTGAGGTATATCACCCCTGGTGATGAGTCCTTGTCAGTATCATCAAGCAACACAGCACTTTCAGCTATATTCCCTAAACAGTTCTAATATTCAGCTGTAAGTTGCAATATCTCGAATGCTTTTACAGCACATCACATTTTCCCGCTGGTATTTGACCTTCGATCCACTCTATGAGTTTATCGCAAACGTCGTCACGCTAAAAGAGGTCGTGGTTCCAGAATTTTATCTTCAAGACATTCCAGGATCACTTCAGTCAAGACAGTATTCAATATTATCCACACATGTTCAAAATATCCGTTTTTGTTGACAGCTTCGAGAGGTTCTATCATCCAATCTCGATATATGTTACTACAGTAATGTAAATCTCTCTTAGTCACCAAAACATACCATTTTACACATTGGACAATGTAGGATATATTCAGATTTCACTATCCAACAGATCCTGAAGATTGGATCTCAGGTGGACTAGAATCTATGGCATTAGCCTGGTTGCGGAATCAGTGGTCCAAGCTGTGCTTTATTAAGCTTCATAACAGCCAGCGCTGGCTGTCTAAAGGTGCTATTTACCTGAGAATAAATCGATGATAGTATATACAAGAGTGTGTGAAAGTTAATATACAAGTTCAAAGTGGCATGTAGTGTACAGGCTCACGTGAGACTAGCCACAGAGGGGACGAAGCCCACCCCCAGAACGCACAGATAAAAGGCTCTACGTGACAGGGATACATATTATTTCCACAGGTTTATTCTTTTACTCAAAATACAAACACGTCTGGCAGCTACAGTAGTACCCATTACATGATAACTAACGATTCAAGGGATACAAGAGATTATCCATTTTTTGGGAGTAAAAGCAGTGGACACAAACTAAAATATTTCAACTCAATTGATAATGAGCAACAGCGGCAACGATAGCGCTAATAGCGCCAGCAAGCCGGAGGATGCGCTGTCGTCGTTTACGAACTTTGGCGGAGACGCGTTGGACGTGGACCCGATGAACCTATTTGGGTCGTTTACCAACGACACAACGGGAGCCGCAGCCGGCAGCAACTCATTGACAGACCTCACAATCGATCCAGTTGCCAGGCACGACCACAGGACTTTGACAACGACCTGAGCGGGTTCGGCGTCGACCTCAGCGCACTCGAGCTGACCAGTGCGTCGGCTACTGCAGGCGGAATCGCCGGCATGGACTTGTCGGCCATACAGCTTCTGCAGCTCGACGATACTGCTGCAGGCACTACAGGGACAGACAGCTGGCGACCCGTCGCAGTTGATGGCGCAGTTACTTGGAGGGGCTGCACAGGCGAGTGGGCCGGAGGAGGCTCAGCAGCAGGGAAGCAAGTCTAGAGCCAGCTCGACAGTCGTCCGAGGAAATGGACATTCCGCTGGCACAGCTGGCGATGCGGCAGAGCAAACCAGCCACCACCAGTCCGGCAGCACAGGTGGCAGCTAGCCAGGCGGCGACACTGGGAATTGGGCTGACAGCGCCGGTGCCCAGTACAAGTAACCAGCACGCCCGCTGCTCCACCACTGGCCGCAACCCCCCCAGAGCCCGCCAGCGTTCCGGGCTCAACGCCTTTCATAGAGCGCGGCACAACGGGGGTCGAATCGACGGTCCTGCTGAGCAAGACCGATGCAAAGGCGGCCGGTGAACGAGAACCTGCAAATCAACCTGCAGTCGCCGGACACAGCGGCGATTGAGGCACCGTTGGAGGAGCTGGAGGAGATCGAGGCGAAGCTGTGCTCGCTGCTGGGCACGGCGGCGACGGCGATCCGGATGCTGGCGGAGCCCAAGGAGGTGGGGGAGTTTGGTGACGACTTGCTGAACAGCAGCAGCACGGCCAGGATCGAGCCGAGCGTCGACTCGTTCATGCGCACGGTCGCCGAGGTGCACGCTGGGCTGCGGCACCAGCACGCGCGGCTCGTGGAGCGCGGCATCTCAATCAAGCCCACAGCCGTCTTTGCCAGCGACACGGCTGGCGCCGAGGGTGAGCTGATCGCATGGACTGATGCGGCGCGGCTGCTGGCTGGGGCGCTGGACAGCGCATTGCAGGTCGCCGAGTCGCAGTGAGTCAGGTACGAAAAAAGAGCGTGAATGATTTTTTGATCTTTTGCCTTTTCTGTCTTTTGCCTCTTCAAAATTCACAAAAAAAAAATTGCACTCCATTTTTTACACATACACCATGGCGCCGTCTCCGTTCACAAAGGACATGAATTACCTGATTGACGACTTCATTACGCGGCTGAAGCGCGGGCAAATCATGGGGTCGATGCATGTGGCAGCCGAGACGACGAATCTGATGCGGCAAATCATTTCGCTGAGCCGGTGGGACGACGTCGAGACGCTGCGCGACACGATCAAGCGCGTGGGCAAGCGGCTGACAGCAGCGCAGCCGCGGGAGCTGTTGATGATAAACATTGTGTACCGGGTACTGCACATAATCAACGAGGAGTCGAGCGGGTTCGTGGGGCGCGGCGCGGGCAGCAACCAGGCGACGCCGGGGTCGGCGGCGGGCAGCGAGACGCCGGCGATGGGGCTAGGCAGCACGGCCAGCAAGGGGCTGGCGGAGCATGTGACGCGGACCCTGGCCAGCGAGGCCACCAACATGCACCGGCTCAAGTCGTCGATCATCCAGTCGGTCGGCGAGTACATCGACGAGCTGGAGAACACCGAGGACGGGATTGCGAACCATGCGCTGGAGCACATCCACTCGAACGAAATCATCCTGACGTGCGGGCGGTCGCGCACTGTCGAGTGCTTCTTGAAGTCGGCCGCGCGCAAACGCAAGTTCCACGTGATTGTGACTGAGAGCGCGCCGACGTACGACGGGCACGAGCAGGCGCGGGCGCTAGGCGGGCCCCAACATCGACGTGGTGGTGGTGCCGGACTCGGCTGCGTTTGCGATTCATGTCGCGTGTCAACAAGGTCATTCTGGGCACCCACGCGGTGATGGCCAACGGCGGCCTGATCGCCGCGTCGGGCACACATATGGTGGCGGCTGCCGCGCGGCACCACTCGACGCAGGTGGTGGTGTGTACGGGACTGTACAAGCTGTCGCCGCTGTTCCCCTTTGACGACGACCGCTTCAATGCCATTGTGTCGCCTGACGCCGTGCTGCCCTACAGCGACTGGAGAGCTTGGTGGATGCCGTCGACGTGGCCAGCCCACACTATGACTATGTGCCGCCCGAGCTGGTGGACATTCTGGTCGACCACACCGGCGGGCATCTGCCGTCGTACCTGTACCGCCTGCTGCAGGAGAACTACGACTCGTCGCGAGAGCTGACGCGCGAGATCCAGAACCTGTAAAGAGAAGAGTTGGAACGTAAAATATATATGGACTGTTTAGAAATCTAAGTGGAGGGGGTGCTACTTTGACTCGTCATCCTTGGGCTTCTTGAACTCGTTCTTGAGGCGGCTGAAGAACCCGGGCTTGTGCTCGTCGCCGGGCGCGTCCTTGCCTGTCGGCGGAGCCTCGCGCGGCTTGCCCAGGATCTCATGCTCAAAGTCCTCGACCAGCTTGCGCTGCTTGTCGGTCAGGCTCGTGGGCAGCGTGACCTTCAGCGACAGATACTGGTCGCCGCGCCTGCTGGACTCGATGCGCTTGATGCCCTTGCCGCGCAGCCGCAGCTCGTCGCCGGGCTGCGTGCCAGGCTTGATGGTGACCTCGACGTCGCCGTCAACCGTGGGCACGCGGATCTTGCCGCCAAGAATGGCGGTGGTGAAGGGCAGGTCGACATTGTAGTAGACGTCGGCGCCCTTCCTGCTGAAGATTTTGCTAGGCAGCACCCGCACGCGGATATACAGGTCGCCAGGCGGGCCTTCGCCCTCGATCGGCACGTCGCCGGCGCCGGGAATCTGCATGCGCATGCCGTTGTCGCAGCCTGCAGGCACATTGACCTCGATGGTCTTGCGCTCACGCACACGACCCTTGCCGCCGCACGACCCGCACTGGTCGGCCTTGGAAATGGTCGAGCCCTCGCCATGGCAGGCCTGGCACGGCTGCCGCACGTGGAACCCGCCCATCGAGTATACGGCCTGGCCGGTGCCACCGCACGCCTGGCATGGTGTGCCGCTTGGCTCCCTTCTTGGCGCCCGAACCCTGGCATGGGTCGCACCGCACAATCGGCGTGATCGTCACCGACGTCGCGGTGCCGCGCACTGCGTTCTCAAACGACACCGTGATGCTGGCCTCGATGTCTTCGCCCACCGTCATATACCCGCCTGACCGCGCACGCCCGCCCCGCCCCGGCCCGCCGCCCATGCCGAATCCGCCGCCGAACATCTGTGACAGAATGTCGTCCATGTTGCCGAATCCCACCGAATCCGCTGCCTTCGGCCCCGCCGAACCCGCCGCTTGGGTCCGCCGTCCCGAACTGGTCGTAGTTCTTGCGCTTCGACTCGTCCGACAGCGTATCGTATGCCTCCTGGATCTTGATGAACTTCTCTTTGGCGTCCTCGGCCTTGTTGGCGTCCGGATGGTACTTCTTCGCCAGCTGGTAGTACGACTTTTTGATCTCGGACTGACTCGCGTCCCGCTTCACCCCCAGGATCGAGTAGTAGTCGTCGGCGCGCGCCATGTGCGTCGTGTGGAACTCTCGCCGCCCGTTGGGTGCTGACCGATCTATAGTCAATCTTGCCTTTTAGCCATGTGTCTTACTGTAAGACGCGGGCAAACCTTATGCCGGGTTATTCTTTTTCCTTCCGTGGGAGACACGACCTGGGACTGAAAATCCGATCCGGTCCAGTTTCCCCCGCAGGAAACCCCCCTGTGCTTTCATGTGCTGTTGCCAACTGCCTCCTATGCCTTACCTTGCTTTGACGTGGCCCTGGTGCTCAATGGACGCCGCCTGCTGCCTGTGCCCCGCAGGCCGCCCTCGCCCCCAAATGGCCTGTCCTCGCTCACCGCCGACTGCAGTATGCGTCCTCCCACACTGCCTATCACACGTGACGATAGCATTTGTAAATTTTGCAAAAGGTGTACGAATGAAAAGTGAAAAAAGAGCAGGAATTGGCTTGACAACGGAGAAGCCTGCCTGCTATTATCGGGCTATGCTTTTTTATCGCCCAGTTCTAAGACCATCGACGATTCTAGATCCTGCTTGGATTAATCTGTTGGCTCACGCAAACAACTAATCCCACTCCCCATTACACAAATGTCATAGACTTTGATTGTGAAACGGCAACAGACGGCATGTAGTATTAGTTTAAAATGAGTCAATGACAATTTAAAGACAAGTGGTATAAATTCACTGTCAGCAGTGAAATTGGGTTGCTAGATATGTGAGTATTTTTGCATACTGTCTTGACCGAAGTGATCACTGAAATCCTGAATGTAATATTCGACTGTGACCATATCATGAGCGCAGTGCTGATAACCTTATCCGCATATTATCCGAATTGAGGTCCTCTTCAATCGCCAGTACATTACACGCTGGCACTTTGTTTTTAACCTCTCCAATGTGCAAGTTGTGACTTTGGCCAAAGTTATCCCAGCTTATTATTAAAGTTTAATAGTGTTTAATTGGCCTGGGCTTTGGAACCACCTCGATAGGCCTATACAGTATATCGAACACAGAAAACGATTTTCTTTATCTGATGCTTGGATATATTGCTTGTTGATGGCTGTGGCTTCGGACCTTTCTCATATATTACATGTTTATTTTTCTTTTTTTTTTAATATGTGGATAGTCTTGTGATGTTTGGCTTGGACATATGATGTGATTCCTGGTACTGCTCGGTGAAGGTCTGACTCTTGCAGTAATATTCAGGAACGCTGACCTCTTTTAGCGTGACGACGTTTGTGATGAACTCATAGAGCGGATCAAGGTCAAATACTATTGGAAAACGTGATGTACCCTTAAAATATTCGAGGTGTCGTAGCTTACTACTGAAATTAGGACCATCCAGGGAAATATGGTGAAATTCCGTGCTGCATATCATAATAGTATGGTTCATCATCGGACGTGATATATCTCACACATAACTCTTCCAATAAGGGTAGCTTTGGAGATAATAAGCGATAAAGAGTGATGACGAGATATGAAAGCAGAAATATTTAACAGATTCAAGTTTGACCAGCCAACAGAATTAATAGATACTGGAATATAGGGTTCAATCTCAAACTTGATCCATGTGGCAGTTGAGAATGAGCTGAATATGGTCTCAGTGAGTGTGTTATATTCCTGAGTGTCCTCAACAATATTGTCACTCAAGCGTAATGTCACCTCTTTGCTAAATGGAAAGCGTAGGCCCAGTTGTGTAAGGACATCAATACCGCCGACAATATCGAGTGAGTCAAGAAGGACTGAAGATGTGGAGCAAACAGGTGTGCGTCTGAAGGAGGGACGTGAGAAAGCGACAGATGCTTAATTTTCGGCATATGGATCTTCCGTAAAGCCGATGAGTGTGGATATGCGCCACTGCGACCGGAGGTTGCTGACTTCAAATCAACTGAAGTGGTTGAATAATGCAACCCTATGACCTTAAGCTCTGGAGAAATCGAACGAGTCACTGCTCTCTGAGTGAAAGTACTTCCACGAGAAATTGGGTGGAATATTTGATAACCACAATCTATGAAGATTCGGCGTATATATGTACGGAAGTGTGGTCTGTCCCGGGCTTAAACGAAGAATGAGGTGGGTAAGCCATTCGTAGAAGGAATTACATGTGAAAATAACGGGTGCCCTGACCATAGCTAGAGACGAAAGTCGATTTAATTTTAAGTTGATAAATTTGGACAGAGGGGTTGTGGTATCGGTATCCTCTTCAAGAGAGACTGATATGGAGGTTAAAGGCTGGTAGATGCATATGAAGATATTGGGAAATGGCGTCACCCACATCGGTGTTGTTTTCATTCTGTCTGCTATTTGTTGAAACAGAAGGTGGGTTCTCAGATATGTCTAGATCGTAAATGGACGGCCAGTGGTTTTGTTAAATAGCTCCTCATTTAAAAATTCAACAAGACGACCAGAGGCAATGAACCCTTCCGGAACAATAATAAATAGTCTCTGAGTGTATTTCGACAGACCGTTTTCCACAGTGAGTCTTATGTTAGATCTGATCACTAGCGGTCCAGAGGTTGGTGTATGCGAGGTGATAGTAAAGAATGCGTAATTGTATAGTCTCGGTAAAAGTACCCTCCGCCACTCTCTGCAAACCCAAGCAGGGCTGAAGTAGTTACGTAGTTCCTCAGTAGGGGAATATAAAGGAGAGAAACCGCTAATGGCATAAAAAAGTATTTGTCTCAAAGCCCTCCCATGGATGTCATTGAAGGCAGCCATGTTGTAAATGTAGAAAAGTGGCGAAAGTAGAGGTGAGAGACAAGGTACTAGAAACAGAAGTCTCTAAGTCCTGGCATGTGTATTTTAACAAGCGGCCAATCCCTTTGCACATATCCCTTGTCCTCCACACTATACCACCTTCACGTTGATGTATCTATGTTAAGATTAAGAAATTATAAAGCTATAATAGTACACGGATGTATCCACTTTGAAGCCCGGCGACAACCATGGCAGAAGGCGACGACACCAGTGCAACAGCTGTGACTGGGCCAGTTCCTTCCGACACAGTCATTTGTTGAGCACCGTCCACCGTCTTGTGCTTTGGCGCAGCATTCTCACAATAATACACAGTGCCGTTTTCCGCGATACGACGCATACGGCGGTGGAGTCCCGCTGGTTTCGCTGACAGCAAATGAGCGATCCAGCCTCTCCAGGTCCCAGTATCGCAGCATGGCGTCGTTTCCTGCAGACACTAAATACCGGCCAGCTCGCCGAATGCGTGATAGTATTGACACATGCGCTGCGTTTGACATGACCCTTTAGGGCTTGCTGACTGGATAAACATAAAACAGCCGTTGTGCCAAGCAGCAGTGTCTCTGGCTGGAAAATACGCAAACATGTCATCTGGAGACCAGCGATGTGCCGATACGTCTTGGCCAGCGTCGGTAAGCTGGCCAATGCGCCGATATTAGCGATTGAGCCTTCAGCCACCGTTAAGCAGTGACTGACCAGCTCTATATCGGCTCGCCCTTTCAACGTCATTGGACTGAGCCGCGACTGCTTTTTAGCACAGTTCGGAGTAGTCGGTACACTACGCGGATGCGATTGACACTCGTCACAGTCCGCGATTCGCACCAGCGCTAAAGCCGGCTTTTGCAAATACCTGCCAGCGCAGGCGGCTCCTCCCAAATGCTAAAGCATGTTTCGCAGCCTCAGCTCTGGAAATGAAATAGTCAAGAGCATCCAGCGGGGGATTTATCTTCGCACCCTGAATGTGAAACAGGAAGTCTGTGCCGTTATCTCCACGAGCAGCGGTCGCCACTGTCAGCACACGCGAGGGAGCTTGGTTTTCTGGCTGCTGATTGCGACGGCAAACGCCTTCAGCAGCCTGGCTGTCTTTGGTGGGCCATGTGCGCGGCTAAAATCTGAACGTGAAAGTCTCTGACGCAGTCGCTTTTTGGGCGTGCGCTTGCTGCCATTTCCAGCGGCTCCCCCGTGCGCATAATTGGCATGTGATTGCCAGGCAGCTCCTCCGCTCCACCGCGCACGCCGGAGGGCAAAAAATGTGACCGCGGCGAGGCAACGCGCCGTGCCCGTGTGGGAACAGCCATGAATTAGCCTGGCCCGCCCTGGCTAAGGAGCCCAGCGTATAAAAGGGGGAAGGCGCTCGTCAACTGAGCCACGCATAGCTTGAACACTTTACTACTTCCTGTACCAGTACCTTCTCTCTTTTCCAGGCTTTCTCTCTTCGTCGAATTCACATAAAGTTACAAAAAATAATGGCTGCTCGTCTCAACCAGGTTTCCTCGCACCTCGCCGGCACCAAGGCCCCGGCGACCCAGATTGGCGTCAAGAGCCAGGACGACATTGTCATCGTGCAGGCTCTGCGTACCCCGATTACCCGCGCGCGCAAGGGCGGCTTCAAGGACACCACCTCGGAGTACCTGCTGGGCAACATCCTGAAGGGCGTCGTTGAGCGTGCCAAGATCGACCCGGCTCTGGTTGAGGACATCTGCGTCGGCAACGTGTGCCCGCCGGGTGGCGGTGCTACCATTGCGCGTATGGCCTCTCTGTACGCCGGCTTCCCGAACACGACCTCGGTGCAGACCGTCAACCGGCAGTGCTCGTCGGGCCTGCAGGCCGTGGTTCACATTGCCAACCAGATCTCGACCGGCATGATCGAGATTGGCATTGGCGCTGGTGTCGAGAGCATGACGCAGTTCTATGGCCCCAAGCACAAGATGATCCCGGATACCATCAGCGAGGAGGTCATGGCGGCGCCCGAGGTGCCCGACTGCCTGATCCCCATGGGATTCACGTCGGAGAACGTCGCCAAGGAGTTCGGCGTTGACCGCAAGAAGCAGGATGCGTTCGCTGCCCTGTCGCACCAGAAGGCGGCCAAGGCGCAGAAGGAGGGTCTGTTCGATGCCGAGATCTACCCGATCAAGACCACCATCCTCGACAAGGACGGCAATGCCAAGGAGATCGTTGTCTCGCGCGACGATGGTGTCCGCCCGGAGGCTACTGCCGAGTCCCTGGGCAAGCTGCGCCCTGCCTTCTCGGCCGACGGCTTCACCACCGCCGGCAACGCCTCGCAGGTGTCGGACGGTGCTGCCGCCGTGCTCCTGATGAAGCGTAGCAAGGCTGTTGAGCTTGGTCTGTCTATCCAGGGCAAGTTCATTGCTGCTGCTGTCGCCGGTGTTCCTCCCCGCATCATGGGTGTTGGTCCTGCCTACGCTGTCCCGGCTGTCCTCAAGAAGACCGGTCTCAAGGTCGACGATCTGGATATTGTCGAGCTCAACGAGGCTTTCGCGTCGCAGGCTGTGTACTCGATGGAGAAGCTTGGTCTTGACGTCAACAAGGTCAACCCCAAGGGCGGTGCCATCGCCTTCGGTCACCCTCTGGGCTGTACCGGTGCGCGCCAGATCTCGACCCTGCTCACTGAGCTCAAGCGCCAGGACAAGCGGGTCGGCTGCACTACCATGTGCATTGGCGGTGGTTTTGGCATGGCTGCCATCTTCGAGTCGGAGCACTAAGCTTCTAGCTGTTAGCAGATAATACAATTTTTTTTCCAGAAACTATTGCACGGGAGAAGCAGAGCTCCGATACAGTGCCTGCAAATCATGGTGTCATCCGGAGCTTTAACCAGGCACTGTTGGCCCGAGTTCCGCACAGTCGAGGAAAGAATCATCGGTGTGAGGAAAGAAAAGGAGACGGCTTGGTCCTCTCCCCCGTCTGAATCCCGGTGTCGCCCGGCTAGGTCTGGCCAAAAACATGGACCATGCCCACTGGTGTGAGCCGAACCGCTCCGCTTATATCCATGTCCGTTTCCGGGCTAGTCATGGGGACCAGAGAAAAGCCTGGCTTGATGCGGGCGACCGGGGAGTTTCAGAGCTCCGGCACAGAAATCACTATCTGTCTTGGGGGAATGGCCAAGCTTGGAGATTCATTTAAATGCAATTGGACATGGTGCCCAGATTCCCGGCCAGCTACATTTCCCTTCACACCAAAAGCCACAGCTTCCAACTCTTCACTCTAGCACAATGGCTACTCGTCTCAACCAGGTTTCCTCGCACCTTTCCAGCGCCCAGGTGCCGCGCGTGCAGATCGGCGTCAAGAACCCCGAGGATGTCGTGATTGTCAAGGCTCTGCGCACGCCGATGACGCGCGGCAAGAAGGGCGGCTTCAAGGACACCACAGCGGACTATCTGCTGGGCAGCATCTTCAAGGGCCTTTTGGAGCGCACCAAGATCGACCCGGCTCTGGTTGAGGACATCTGCGTCGGCAACGTGTGCCCGCCAGGCGGCGGAGCGACCCTGGCGCGCATGGCAGCGCTGTACGCCGGCTTCCCGAACACGACCTCGGTGCAGACCGTCAACCGGCAGTGCTCGTCGGGCCTGCAGGCTGTGGTACATATTGCGCACCAGATCCAGGCAGGCATGATCGAGGTGGGCATTGGCGCTGGTGTTGAAAGCATGACGCAGTTCTACGGTCCCGGCTACCGGATGACTAAGGATAGTATCAGCCCTGAGGTCTTTGCTGTCAAGGAGGCGGCGGACTGCCTGACCCCAATGGGTTTCACATCGGAGAACGTCGCCAAGGACTTTGGCATTACACGCCAGCAGCAGGACGAGTTTGCGGCGCTGTCGCATCCAGAAGGCGGCCAAGGCGCAGAAGGAGGGTCTGTTCGATGCCGAGATCTACCCGATCAAGACCACCATCCTCGACAAGGACGGCAACACCAAGGAGATCGTTGTCTCGCGCGATGACGGTGTCCGTCCGGGCACCACCCCGCAGACACTGAGCAAGCTCAAGCCTGTGTTCGACAAGAACGGCAGCACCACCGCCGGCAATGCCTCGCAGGTGTCGGACGGTGCTGCTGCCGTGCTCCTGATGAAGCGTCAGCAAGGCTGCTGAGCTTGGTCTGTCTATCCAGGGCAAGTTCATTGCTGCTGCTGTCGCCTGGTGTTCCTCCCCGCATCATGGGTGTTGGTCCTGCCTACGCTGTCCCGGCTGTCCTCAAGAAGACCGGTCTCAAGGTCGACGATCTGGATATTGTCGAGCTCAACGAGGCTTTCGCGTCGCAGGCTGTGTACTCGATGGAGAAGCTTGGTCTTGACGTCAACAAGGTCAACCCCAAGGGCGGTGCCATCGCCTTCGGTCACCCTCTGGGCTGCACTGGTGCGCGCCAGATCTCGACCCTGCTCACTGGAGCTCAAGCGCCAGGACAAGCGGGTTGGCTGCACTACCATGTGCATTGGCGGTGGCTTCGGTATGGCTGCTATCTTCGAGTCGGAGCACTAAATTTCTCTCGATCCCCCTCTTTTCTTCTTGTGTACACTAACAAACAACTGTCGCAGTCCAACCACCACACAGGGGCTGTGCATGGGCCATTCATCTGCCTGCAGTAGCAAGTTCCCTTTGCTGCTGAGCCTATGCCGACCCCACCATGTGCAAACAGATATGCGGGGCCTGTCCTGGCAAATGAGAACTGGGCGCTTTTCTGCCAGGCCTATGCCGCCGAGTAGCACATGCAAAAAGAGTGGATGCTGCGGGTCCATGCACTGTCCCTCTGAAGGGGAGAGGTCACTCGGAGGCAGATTTTATGCCGAAAGCGCTTGCATTTCCAGCGCAAAGACGAAAAATCGACTGGCTGTGGTTTGTGCGATCAAGCGCTGATAAGACGTTGCAAAAAAAAATATTCGGTCAAAGTCTCTCGGCATGCGAGGTGACTGCTCGTCGCTGCGAATCCTCGATCTGTCAATGAAGGCAAGGGAAAAATCCGAATGACGTTGCACATACCACGCAAGAACAAATAAATCAGGGCTGCGAGAAATGGATCTCGCACCCCTGGCAAGACGCAATTATGATACAAAGCGCCCAGTCGCACAGCATGCGCATGGCTAGCTGTATGTTTGGACAAGTTGGCCATCGCCCATATTCCTGCACCTATTTCCCAGACAAGGCAATATTCCCCTAGGGACATTCTGCAGCTGGGTGCCTTTTGGAGATATTTGTCCGTTGCGCGCACATGTGACATGCAGTCAGTTGGCTCGTACCACTCCAGCCAAGATGGCGCCAAACTGAATGGCAAAAAAAAAATCCAGCCAAAATTTCTGGACCAACGCGGGGGGAGTATGCGCGAAGCCAATCACATGGCCTGCACATTCGCGTTAAAACGGGCGCAAGGGCCGCATGTGACCCGAGCTCCAAATCGATCCGGGGATGGGCCAAGCTACATTTCCCTTGACCATCACAATCCCTGCCGCCAAAAAAGAGGTGGCCAGTTTCTCTACGATTCTAGGGGGCGGAGAGAGGACTCGGCTGGAACAGCTATAAATTGAGCACCATGTAGCCTTCTCCAGGAAATTTTTTCTTCTCCATTTCTCCTCCACACCCCGTTCTCGACCACCGAACAGAAAAAAACCTTCTTACCAACCAAAATACCCATGAGCTTTTTGCGCCCAGTTACCCGTATTGCCAGTCGCGTGCCCAAGTCAGGCATGCCAGCACGCATGTACACAAGCATCAACCAGTATACGGCGTCGGAGCACCTGAATCCAGTGGACTTCCACCAGTACCTGCAGAGCCGGGATCGCGAGTTCCGGGAGTTCCTGTCGGAGGAGTCCGAGATGGTCGCGACCGAGTCGTTCCCGGACGAGGCGCCGCTGGGCAAGGTGCCACTGAACCAGGCCGGCAAGTCGGTCAACGAGGAGTTTGCCAAGCATGTCTGCCATTTGATGGGGCCGGGATACGGCTCCAGCTAGACATCCCATGCATACGCCCGCTAAAAAAAGCAGCACCCGCCGCCCTTCGAGGAGAGAGCGAAGGGGGGATTATCTCACATTCGTCTCCATTCTATCTCGAAAGGGTGGCGGCTGGAGCAACATAAGCTGCTCCATTATGCCACCCCTTGCGTTTGTCGCACGCCGCTTGGCGTGGCACAACGCCATCGTCCCATTCGCATTTTGTACTTGTCCTAGCAACTTGGCTGGCCAGGCAGAGGAGCCGAATCGACCTCATGGCCAGCCATTTTTTCTGTACTATCTAAATCGATAAATATTCAAAAAAAAAAAAAGGCTGAATTATTCTATTCGAGGTACCAGATGCGCACGATGGCGTCGTCGCCCGCCGTGGCCAGCCACCTGGGGTGCTGCGGGTTCCACTGCACGCAGTTGATGTCGCTCAGACCATGGGCATTCTGCACCTCGGCTGCCAGCTCCAGCTCGACCTTGTCGTCGCCGGTGGCGGAAAACACCCTTACCGAGTTGTCGCCACAGCCGGTGGCCACAAAGCCCAGCGGCGCGCCATCGGCCGGAGCGCTCCACGCGACCGAGTAGATGGCGCGGGCATGCACGGACTCGGGCACCACCGACACGCACTGGTACGAGACCTCGGGGCGGTAATAAAAGCCGTCGCTCTGGGCCTCTTTTTTCTGCTCTGCCCAGATGCGCACAGTGCGGTCGTCGCTCACCGACGCCAAAAACCGGCCGTCATGGCTGAAGGCGCCGCCCCAGACAGTCGACGAGTGGCCAGACAGGACGGCTGCGCAGTACCAGTCGTCGTCGTCGTCCTGCCACACGCGGATGGAGTCGTCGTAGGAGAACGACACCAGCAGCTCCTGGCTCGGGTGCCAGACCACCGCCTTGACGTCCTGCGTGTGCTCCATCAGAACGCTGATGCAGTCAAAGTCGCCCTCGCCCGTGGCCTCCCAGATCCACACGCTCTTGTCGCGCCCGCATGTCGCCAGCAATTGGCCTCCCGGGCTCCACGCTACGCTCTTCGCCTCGTTCTCGTGGCCTTCCAGGGTCGCCACGCATTCATACGAGCCGTCCTCTTGCGCCCAGATCGCCGTTGTGCCGTCAAAGCTCGCCGTCGCCAGGGTTGTCTGCGACCCGGGCTCGAAGCACACCGACCGCACGGTGCGCTTGTGCGCGTTGTCGATTGTGTCCAGGCACTGCCATGACGCCGAGGTCCGTGCCGAATCGCCGGTGCTGGGTGCTATGGCCGTGCCGGGTGCATCAAAGAAGGACGATCCGGCCACTGGCGCCCACACGCGCGCTGACTTGTCGCCCGAACACGTCGCCAGCCGCGTGCCGGTCTTATCCCACGATACCTGCCACACGCGGTCGTCGTGTCCTATCAATGAATGGAGGAGGGAGTCAGCCCGTGCTGCCAACGTCACCGCCTGCATCTGCTGGGATGCTGCCTGGGCCATCCGCTAAGCCGTCCTTCCCCCTCGAGGGCGCGTGTTTTACCTGCTAGCTCTGCGAACAGCCGTAGTTGCGGCATTTTGACAAATGTAATGAAAACAAAAAAGGTGCAATTGGGAAAAAAAGTTAGAGAAGAAAAAAGATGGCCTGCCACAAAAGCGCTATCTCAGTCATCATCCGATGGCCCGGAGCTTCCGCGGTCTGCAGCGGGAGATTGCTCAGAAAGCCAGATTGATGTACTTGATGTTGAGGTACTCATCCAGCCCGTAGCGCGAGCCCTCGCGACCCACGCCGCTCTCCTTGACGCCGCCGAACGGCGCAACCTCAGTGCTGATGATGCCGGTGTTGACGCCCACCATGCCCACCTGCAGCTCGTCGGCCACGCGGAAAATCCGGCCCACATCGCGGCTGAAGAAGTACCCGGCCAGCCCCACCTCGACGCTGTTGGCGCGCCGCACCACCTCGTCCTCGCTGGAGAACGAAAAGATCGGGCACAGCGGCCCGAAACGTCTCCTCGCAGGCCATCGGCGCGCTGTCCTGTCACGCCCGTCAGCACTGTTGGCTCGAAGAAGTACCCGGGCGCCAGCGCCTCCACGCGATGCCCGCCCAGCACAACCTCGCCGCCGCTCTGCAACGCACGCGCCAGCTGCGCCTCGACCTTGGCCAGCCCACACTCGGTGATCAGTGGGCCAAAATTGACATCGGCGCTCAGCCCGTGGCCGATCTTCAGCCGGTCGCTCACCAACTTTGTAAACTTGGCCACAAACGCGTCATACACCGACTCATGCACGTAGATGCGGTTGGCACACACGCACGTCTGTCCAGAGTTGCGGAACTTGCAGGCCAGCAGCTGCTCGGCCGCCACGTCCAGGTCGGCATCCTCAAACACGATGAACGGTGCGTTGCCGCCCAGCTCCATCGACACCTTCTTCATCGTGCCTGATGCCTGCCCCATCAGCAGCTTGCCCACCGCCGTCGACCCTGTGAACGACACCTTGCGGACCGCCGCGTTGGTCGTCAGCTCCAGCCCCACCTCTGGCGTTGTCGACTCCGCCGTCACCATATTGATCACTCCCTTGGGGATCCCGGCCCGCTCCGCCAGCTCGCACAGCGCCAGTGCCGAGAACGGCGTCTCGTGCGCTGGCCGCACCACCACCGTGCAGCCCGCCGCCAGCGCAGCCCCCGCCTTGCGCGTAATCATCGCGTTCGGGAAGTTGTACGGCGTGATGATCCCCACCACGCCCACCGGCTGCTTCGTCACCAGCATCCGCGAGTTCCTGAGCGGCGACGGAATCACGTCGCCGTAAGCGCGCTTCGCCTCCTCAGCGAAAAACTCGATGAATGACGCACCGTAAGTAATCTCGCCAAATGCCTACGCTGCCACCACCATTAGTTGCACATAAAAAGCACCACCTCACCAATCTCGTCCGCTTGACTTACCTCAGCGTACGGCTACAGCAAACGCCCCCGTTGACCGCCCGATGTCCCCGACACGGAATAGCGCATATTAGCGATTGTCCGCATGACCCCCGCCACATTACCCCGTACATACACATAAGTACACACATTAGTTGCCTGCACAATTAGCCAGCGATCCCCTCCACACATGCCACTCGACTCCCCCACCTACCTTGCCGCCCTCCAGGGTCATAATCCGCGCCAGATCCTCGCGGTTCTCGATAATGAGCTGGTACCACTTTTGCAGCAGCAGCGAGCGCTCCTTGGCTGTCGTCTTGCGCCAGCTCTCAAACGCCGTCGTCGCCGCCTCAATCGCCGCCCGCGTATCCGCCGCGTCCATGTTCGGCAGCCTTCCAATCTCCTGCTGCGTCGCCGGATCCAGTACCGCAAACATCTGCTGCGATGCGCCAGACACCCACTTTCCGTCAACATACGCCAACGAGCGGATCAGCGTCTTGTCGCTGACCTTGTCGAGCTCTGCCAGAGACGTCAGCGTCGTCGGGATTACTGTGTTGCCTGCCATTGGTGTCGTAGTGAAGAACCGGTGCGTATAAGCTGCAAAGGCGTTTCGTGTTGTCACGGGTGTTGCTAGGGGGAAGCGCCGGGGAATCGCTGCGCGGAGTGTTCTTGAAAGCTAATAGAACTGAAAACTTGTGAGTTGCAGGGTGAAAAGGGCACGTCGGGCGCCGCCAGTGTCTATTTAAGCTATTCGAAACTTGCCGCACGACGCACTAGAGGGATTCACCTCTCCCCCCACATGCTGCCATCTGCTAAGACCGACCTACCATAGCGTGGTTTATTGCGTTGATTGTTTGCGGAAATAAAGAAAAGAGTACAGAGAAGAGAAAGAGGCGCCGCGCATGGACTCCGCCTAGTTATATCACAGCTCCCCGCCCCTGGTCCTGTAATGATCCCAGGAGGGCACGACAGCTGCACACGGGCAGCCCCAAGACGGAAGCCGATCGCTGGGCTTTGGTCCTGCCCGCCAGCTCACGCCTCCTCCGACTCTGACTCCGAGCTACTCTCCGACGAGATCTCGTCCAGGTCTCCGTCAAACAGCGGCACCACCGGCGCCTTAACCTCCGCCTCCTTGCTCTTTTCCCTCAGCGCGCGCTTCGTCACCCGCTTGGTCTTCTCGACAATCTCCTCGCAGCTGCGCGAGTAGTCGACATCCTCAAACCGATGCACCTTGGCCGGCCGCTCCTCCAGCGCCTTCTCGATCTTGCGCTTGCGCTTCTCCCGGGCCTCCTCCCGGGCCTTCTCGTCGCGTGCTGCATTCTCAATGATCTCCTTGGCCTGCTTTACTGTGCGCAGCCGCCGCCCGTACAGGTCCCGGCAGCTGTCGTAGTTTGCTGGCGCGTCCTTGGACATTTTGCTGCCCTGTGAGCGCAGAAGACTGCCGAACCCACCCTTGCCGCCAACGAGCCGTCCCTTGAGCGTCACCCAGGGATGTAGGGAGTGCAGCGCTGTGTTTAGGTCGAGTCCGTGCCGCCCAGTCAGGTACATGTTTCCGAGGTCTGGGAACCGCATCGACAGCTGGGCCATGAGGTCGGCTGCTGGTCGCGTGTCACATACGGAGAATGCAACCGTGGTACGTGTCGGCAGGTCGCAGAGAATTTGCATTGTGTGGGTTGGAGTAATTCGAGGCGAAAGAAAATTGCAAAAGCGAACAAAAAAGCTGGCCAGATTTTTCTGAGCTATTTTCATCGCTTCTCCTCCCCAAAAACGTGACTTTGTGCTTGTCCGCAGCCAATGCCTGTCCGCAGACCCGGCTATCCCAATCGCCTCCGCCATCTGCGTCCAACGCAAACTGCATCTGGCTCAACATACCCACGGCAGCACCGTCACAGGCCGCGGTCTCCCAGGAGCCTTTGCCCTGCACCGATGGCGTACATGTTGCTCAATAGCCATCTGCGATAGGACCGCCTCCCACTGTCACGCTGTGTTAATATGCAAGGCAGTCGTGCAGCTGCCAGTGAAAAAATTTATTGCACAAATGTATGGCCCACAGGACTATGTTTTTCTTCTGGCAGTTTCTAAGCCAATATGAATTGCGCGACAGAGGGTCATGGTCGAAAGCAAAGGGTGTCATCCCTTGCACATCTGCGTTGCACAGATATAGACGCTACGTGCACTTTTGCAAATGGGACAGTATAAGAACTGCAATCTCTTCTCCATCGCCTGCTCCCTTTGTTTCTCCAAGTCCTTAACCACAACGCACCAGTATCCTACCCTCCACCTATTTTGCTATATCATTGTTGTCCACCTCTATTCAGCGATTCCTCACAGCAATTCTGTTCATTTCAGCCCTATCACAGCTGAGCCTGCCACAGTTTGCCACAGCCTGCCACAGTTTGCCATAGCCTGCCACAGTTTGCGAGTTAAAGCGCCAGCTTTCTGCAGCTTCTTTACGAGTAGAACAATATACGTTTTGTGACTGGTCCTATTAACACGCGCTGACATCCAAGACTTTATTGCGCGTGCGTTCCAATTCGAATCACACGGGAGGCATATCATTTGGGCAACCTGCCAATTTATTTCACCCTATATTTAGCTTCTGGCGGTAGCCTTAGGCATCAACCACAACCGACCAGTTTTCATCTTCCAACACACCCAATTCTCCCAATTTACACACTATCGATTGCGGTTTTTGTTGCAAATCACTACCGCACTTTTATGAGTGCCTACTGTGAACGCTCACACCATTTTTCCTGTTACCTGTTCTGTAATACCTCCTCTCCTTTTCTCCCCCGCTTTCGTTATATTCATTTCTTATCCATTTCTTATCCATTTCTTTTTAATTATGTCTGCCTGGCTGGATTCTCTGTCGGGCGAATTCCGCATCGGGTTCCTGGTCAGCTCTGCCGCATTCAACGTCATTTTCCACAGCATTCGGTACCAGGGCGCTCTGACGACAGAAAAGCAGCTAGCGTGGATCCTGACATTCACTACATGTGTGGTGGTCACCACCGGGTCATTGCCATACGTGGCTACCTTGATTGCTAGCGGATTCGATGTCAGCAAGATCGTGTACACCGACACCTTCTCACAAATGCTGATTGGTCCTGTTTCTTGCGTACCTGTTCTGGGATCTGGCACTAGGCCTGGTTTATTATCGGTCGACAATATCGGTGCTGACCGGGTACATCCACCACACACTATATATTGTCATAGTACTGTACCTGGCTGCACATGGCGTATCAGCCATTTTCGTCTTAATGTGCTACAACGAGCTGCCGACAATCGTCCTGGCACTGGGCCACATGCGCAAAGAATGGCGGAGCGATATTCTGTTCGCCCTTGACGTTCTTTCTAACCCGCATCCTGATGCACGTAATCATGATGGTCAAGTTCTACAGGATACTCAGAGTTCCGGTTCATTTGGAAGCTGATGTTGCTTGTCCTGCCCATGCACTTGTACTGGTTCTACGGTGCTGCTAGGACAAAACTTGCGCAAGTACAGAAAGACACGGCTTGGTGGCGATTCGCTGCTTTCTGCTACCGTTGATATTGCATATGGCCCCACTCAGTCGCTGGTTGGTGGTGATACTGGTACAGGTGCTTTGAGTTATCATGCATTTGGTAGCAGCCCAACCCGTTATTGTTATCCCGGACATCCGAATCCTAGAATATTGTTAATTTTGTCGTATAATTATTTATAATACATCTTTTTCTCAACTCAAGTTATATCTTGTTACCATGCATAATACAACTACTTATGTAGCTTGTCGTTAAGTAATGCTAGCCCTGATTCATTCTAAGGGGAATGGTGCAAGGTAAAGCCTTTGCATTAACTTTTTGATATGTAATTATGTCCTGAATAATGTACATATAGGTAGAATACATTATACAGTACAGCTCCAGAAATACTAATTGGAAAAGAAAAAGATCCATTAGAATAGATCAAAAAGTAGGAAATACACTAGAGGCAAATGGATAATATACTCTAGTGCAGTTGCATGTCAGTGGTAGATATAAATTTAGTATTCTTAATACATAGTATTGATATCTAAATCCGTCTACACACAAGCTGGTATAGTGTGTAGGATAAGGGGAGTATATGCATGAGGATTGACAACTTGTCAATATGTGCATACTAGGACTTGGAAAATTGCTGTTGCTAGTATCTGTCTCTCATCTCTACTTTCGCCACTTTTTCTACATTTTACAACATGGCTACCTTCAATGACATTCCGCAGAAAGACTTTGGAAAGAATCCTTTTTTACGCCATTGAACGATGTCTCTCTTTTATATTCCCCTACTGAGGAACTACGTAAATGTTTCAGTCCTTGCCTGGGTCTGCAGAGAGTGGCGGAGGATACTCTTATGGAGACTCTATGAACGCGCTTTCATTTGTATCAATTGGCTAAATTAACCTCTGAGCTGCTTGTATGGAAGATCCAACATCAAGACTCATTGTAGAGAACGGTCTATCAAAATATGCTCGGAGACTTTCTATTACTGTTCCGGAGGGATATATTACCTCTGGTTACCTTATTGAACTTTTGGATGGGCAGCTATTTAACAAAACCAAACTGGCCATCTGTTAACTCTCTAAGAATATCTGGCGATTTACTTTCTGCTTTAACAAATAGAAACCAGGGAGAACATAGAGCCGATAATTGTGACACCATTTCCCAATACCTTCATGCATATCTACCGCCTTAACATCCATATCAGTCTATCATATAAATTATAGCAGTGCCATTCATTCTCTATCCAAATTTGTCAATTTGAAATTGCATCAACTCTCACATCTAGATATGATGAAAGTTCCAATCAATTTGACACACCATTCATTCTCTAGTTCACTTACTTACCTCGCTCTTCGTTTGAGCCCAGGACTTACCACACTTCCGCACATAGATACACCGGAATCTTCGTAGATTGGGGTTGTTCGATATTCCACCTAATTTCTCCTGGAGGTGCTTTCACTTAGAAAGTAGTGACTCGTTCAATTTCTCAGAGCTTGAGAGTATGAGATTGCATTACTCAAGCACTTCAGTTGGTTTGAAATCAGCAACCTTCAGTCACAGTGGTGCACATTCCCATACAGCAGCTTTACGGAAGTTCCATATGCCGAAAATTAAGTTTCTGTCACTTTCTCACATCCCTTCTTCAGACACAAATCTATTTGTTCTACATCTTCTGTCACATCTTGACTCACTCGATATTGTCGGTGGTATTGACATTCTTACACAGATGAATCTACGCTTTCCATACAGCAAAAGGATATCAATATTCTTGAGTGACAATACTGTCCATGACATTCAAGGAGTACAACACATTCACAGAGTCCATATTCAGCTCATTTTCAGTTGCTACACTGGTTAAGTTCGAAGTTGAGCACTATATCCCAGTATCCATTAACTCTGTTGGTTGGTCAAATTTGGAAGATTTAGCTATTATTGCTTTCATTTCTCGTACTACTATTTATCGCTTATTATCTCAACTACCCTTATTAAAAAGGCTGCGTGTAAGGTATATCACTCCTGATGGTGAGTCTTGTCAGTATGATAAGCACCATGATATCTTACCATATCTCCCTGATGATTTGAATTTTAATAGTATGCTAGGGTACCTTGAGTATTTTGATGGCACATCACGCTCACCGCTGGTATTTGATCTTGATCCGCTCTATGAGTTCATTCACAAACGTCATCACGCTAGAAGAGGTCAAAGTACCCAAATATTATCTTCAAGAAGTCCAGGACCACCTTCAACCAAGACAGTATGCAGGGATATCCACATATCCAATATATCTATTTTAGTGCTAGCTTCGTGGAGATCCGTAATCAGCTTTAATATATTGCTTACATATCATAAATCACGCATATGGTCATCGTGTTGCGTTTTGCCAAACCTAGGCATCGATACCAGCAGAAATAATGACCCCGATGCCTCAGGTCAAGCACATGTCAATGTGCGTCCAGACTCACACCTCTGAATCTGACAATAGATGTGTCCAGTAAGGTGCAACATTGCGTCTGGTGAGGATTTGGCTATTAACCAAAACGCTCGGCTCTCCCTTTTCAGCTCTCTCTTTTGTTCCCTAGGCATTCCCTCCTTAAAACATTCAAACCCAAAAATTCAATCGTCAAAAAGGTTAGTATATGCAGATATTTTTTATGCTTCATATCCATAGCGATTAAAATAAAGATGGAATGAATGTTAGTGAATGAAGAAAAACTCAGATAGCAGGCTCTGTGTTGTGATACTGGTAACTTAACGTGGTATTTAACTAGTGACAGTAAAGAAGCTAAGGAGAGCTGCTGACGCGCTGGCGTGTACTGAACTATATAGTGGGCCACTATACTCTTGCGTACACACTGTGGCGTGGATCTAAGGATAAAGATCAGTTATACAACACTCTGTGACCAGTCTAAACTACTACAGATATGTCCAAGCAGTGTCAAAACAGTTGTATTCAGAGATATTTATACCTAGATATTTAATTGCATCTAGGCTTTCATGCGCAGAAATATCATTCTGCTTTTATTCCTCTAAGCTGGCCATTGGCAGCAATGTTGAAACTAGTAAATATTATCCGCTTCTTCAGATCTGGCACTCTTAGCTGTGGCTTTTTAGAGCCGCATCAGCCAGATACCAGGAGGACAATAAAGGAAATTAGAAAGAACCATGGACACCTTAGCAGCTAGACCCCAGATCATCACTGGTGGCTTGATTTACTACCAATGCTTGTACAGGTAGATACATTATACCCTCACAACTTGCAATGTATAACAGTGACGATGTGTGGAGGATACTGTGATCATATTAGCAGATCAATCATGGTGATTATCAAAAGCGCAGCTATTCTTTTTTGGAAATTACGATGAGACAGAGTGGTATTCGCAGCTCGCCTCTGTTTCTTTGACAATTCCTATTGCTGTCCTTCAGCAATTCATAGCGTTCATTTCGTAAAGGCAAAAAAGCATGCAGAGGGCGTCACGGTTGATACGGGCAGGGGCTGGGAGATCAGCCACTAGAAGCGCATGGACATTGTTAACCAGCCGGTTCTATCACCTGTCCCCGGTTGCGCACAGATCAGCTGCTTCCTATAGAAAGCATTCTGCAGCCCGGCCTACGAGCTAAGGACCGCGAGGATACACGTAAAAACGTCAGTTCATATATGGAGACAGGAATCGAGGGTGATGATAACGTCATAAAGCCTGACCATACCCGATCCCGATCCCGGTCCGCAGCGCCGACACATGTGCGAGTGAGCAACAACCTGCTTGGGTGGCCGCAGGACGCAGACATCGACAGCAAGTTCTCGCGAGTGCAGCGGGACCTGCAGCTGGAGCACTTCCGACACAAGGGCGATGCGCTGAAGCGGTGCATGGACTTTGGCATCAGCACGGCGGAGTTTGTCGAGTGGGCGGACAAGTTCATCGCAGACGCGCGGGCCGACAAAATCGATCGGCTTGCGCCGGAGCGGCTGGTACCGCTGCTGGTGCGCGATGGGCGGAATGCTTTGGACAGCATCATCATCAACCAGTTCTTCGGGTATCTGGCGAAGGAGGCGCCGGATGTGATTCCAGAACATCACGTACCTGCGCAAGATCACGGATCTGCGGTTCCCGCACGAGTGGTCGGGAGGAGCGCGCAAGACGCCGCGCAAGATCATCATGCACGTGGGGCCGACGAACTCGGGCAAGACATACCATGCGCTGCAGCGGCTGCAGCAGGCGCAGCAGGGCATCTACTGCTCGCCGCTGCGGCTGCTGGCATACGAAGTGTACAACCGCATGACCAGCGCCGGGATCCCGTGCAACCTGGTGACGGGCGAGGAGCGGCGGGGGCCGGACTTTGAGAGCGGCAAGGTGACGCCGATCGGCTACGACATCTCGGGCCTGCCCATCACCAGCGTGCTGGCATGCACGATTGAGATGGCGCCGGCGATGCACTACAACGTGGCGGTGGTCGACGAGATCCAGATGATCTCGGACCCGCAGCGCGGGTGGGCGTGGACCAGCGCGCTGCTGAGCCTGAAGGCCCGCGAGCTGCATCTGTGCGGCGAGCCGTCGGCAGTGCCGATTGTCAAGCGCATCTGCGCGCAGCTGGACGAGGAGGTCGAGGTGCGCGAGTACTCGCGGCTCGGGCAGCTCACCGTCGACAAGAAGTCGCTGAATGGCAACTGGCGCAATGTGCGCAAGGGCGACTGCGTGGTGACGTTTTCCCGCAAGGGCATCTTCCAGATCAAAAACACTATCGAGCAGGCCACTGGGCTTAAATGTGCCGGTCATCTACGGCGGCCTGCCGCCCGAGGCGCGCGTCGAGCAGGCGCGGCTCTTCAACGACCCAGGACTCAGGCTACGACGTGCTGGTGGCTAGCGACGCTGTCGGCATGGGTATCAACCTGTCCATCAGCCGTGTGATCTTCGTCACCATGTCAAAGTTCGATGGCGTCACGAACCGCCCTATCAGTGTGTCGCAGACGCGCCAGATCGGCGGTCGCGCCGGGCGGTTTGGCTCGGGCGCCGGCGCCGGCACCGTCACGACGATGGAATCACGCGACCTGCGGTTCCTGAACACGACCATGAACCGGATGCCGCCGGCGCTGGATGCGGCGGGGCTGAAGCCGACCAGCGAGACCATCGAGATGTTCTCGCACCAGTTCCCCGACGTCAAGTTCTCGCAGCTCTGGCGCATGTTCCAGGACGTGGCGACTGTCAGCGACAACTACTTTCTGTGCAGTTTCCGTGATCAGGAGAGCATCGCCGAGGCCATCGAGGACCTGCCGCTGAGCGTGCGCGACCGCTACCAGTTCCTGTATGCCCCCATTAACGTGCGCGACCCGATTGTGCTCACGTGCACCTGTGCGCTTTGCCCGTGCAGTGGCCGAGCACAAGGAGTGCAAAGTCATGGATGTCATCTCGCTGCCGGCGCGCGCGCCGACCAACATGGATGCGCTGAAGGTGCTGGAGCAGTGGCACAAGGGCATTACGCTGTATCTGTGGCTGTCGTTCCACTTCGCCGAGATCTTCACCCAGCCTGACGTGGCCTCCGAGGCCAAGGTGCGCGTCGAGAAGATGATCCAGGAGGGCCTGCAGACGATCCGCGGCAAGGCGCAAGACCAACAGGCAGCCCGGCGAGCAGGCAGCAGCAGCAGCAGCAGGCCAGCAGAGATGAGATCAAAAAGGCGCTTGGCATCATGTGACCTGGGCTGTAGGCCTGCGTCACTGGTGCAGCCACAATACACCGTTTATTTTTTCCTTCTTCGCTTTGCACGTAATTCTACACCGCTCTTGTTCAATTCGCACGCTAATTACAGCACTATATATATTCGTAAATGGGCCAAGCAGCGTCGCATGCACTCGTAGCCGCTGCCGACTTGCAGCCGCCGCTGGCCATGGGTGTCAGCAGCCTGGAGGCCGAGCTGGGCGAGAACCTGCAGCACGTCCGAATGCTGGGCAGCACGCGCTTCATGAAGACCATCCAGTGCCACCACCCGCGTGAGGGCCGGCTGGCACTGCACTGTGTTTATGCGACCAGTCAGCATCAGCTTTCGACCTGGCGCCCTACATCGCGTCGCTGCGCAGCACGTACGAGAAGCTCGCCGGAACCGACCACATCCTGGCCAACGCGACAGTGGTCAGCGACGAGCGCGCCGTGTATATCCTGCGCCAGTACCTGCACAACAACCTGTATGACCGCGTCAGCACGCGCCCGTTCCTGTCGGTGACCGAGAAGCGCTGGATTGCCGTTCCAGATCCTGGTCGCCCTGCGCGAGGCCCACGCCCGCGGGGTCGTGCACGGCGACGTGAAGAGCGAGAATGTCGTGGTGACCAGCTGGAACCTGGCCTATCTGGCCGACTTTGCGCCCTTCAAGCCCACGTATTTGCCGGCGGACGATCCCGGCAGAGTTCAACTTCTACTTTGACACGGCTGCACGGCAGTGCTGCTGCATTGCGCCCGAGCGGTTCTTCGACGCGCGCAGCGAGATCACAAAGCTGCTGGCAAAGTCAAGCTGATGGACGCGCTCGGCGTGTTGGCCTTGCAGCCGGCGATGGATGTGTTTTCTGCCGGCTGCGTTATTGCCGAGCTGTTCTTAGACGGAAACCCGCTATTCAGTCTGTCGCGGACTGCTCAAGTACCGCAAGGGCGAGGTCCAGGCTGAGGAGCTTGTCGCTGGCATTTCGGATGGCGAGATCGCCGAGCTTGTTTTGCACATGATCCAAATCGACCCTGAGGCTCGTCTCAGTGCTGCTGAGTACCTGGACCGCTGGGCCGGCGTGTTCCCCAGAGCCCCCATAGCCGCCTATATGGACCAGGCCGACGCTGATCTGCGCATGCGCGCACTGTACCAGGAAATCCGATGAGATTACCGACGAGACATGCGAGATCACAGCCAGCGTCGCCTGTGCCAATATCCGCAACTGCCAGAAGCCGAGTGCGCGGTGTCTGGGCATAAAGATCTTGCAAAAGTGCAGCCGCGGGCCGATGAAGGGCGATGCTGACCACATCTTGCCGTACCTGGTGACTCTGGCGCAGGACGCGTCGCCGCAGGTGCGCATGGAGGCCGTCTATGCCATACACACGCTGGTGGGCGACCTCGACAAGCTGACGCCGATAAACGCCAACCTGTTTGATGACTACCTGGCGCCGCAGCTCGTGTATGTGGCCGGACGACAAGAGCGTCAACGTGCGCTGCATGCTGGCTTCGGTGCTCGGCGAGCTGGCAGACACGGCATTTTGTCTGCTGGGAGCACCGCCGCGCACAGACTTTATAGGCAGCCAGCTGCGTGCGATTGTCGGAAAGCTGTCGTTTGACGAAGGCCGAGGTCAAGCATGTGCTGCTGTGTGCGTTTCCGCAGCTGTATGAGCGCGGGATCCAGAGCCTGTCGCATATCATCACGTATCTGAATGACCGCGACTGCTGGTTCCTGCGCGCAGCCTTTTTCGATGTGGTGTTTGCTGCCGCCGCCCAGATCAGCCGCCATGCCGCGCGCGAGTACATCGTGCCGCTGGTCAACCTGGCCGACGCCGAGGTGTTTGTCGTGCTCAGCGCGCTGCGGGCGCTGGTCAGGCTCATGCCGCAGCTGTCGCCGGCCATGCTGTGGGACAAGCTGGTTGAGGTCGGCTCCTTCTGCATGGACGTGCCGGCGCTGCGGCCTGGGGCCAGGGAGCTGGTTGATTTGGCCATCCAGGCGCGCGCGGCTGCCGGTGGCAAAAGACGTGGCCATGATGGCCCTGGAGATAGCAAAGACCAGCAATGCCACCGGCGGCAAGCGCAAGCCCAGCAGCAACCCGCGCCGCGACCGGCCCGCCAATGCTGCCGGCCGGCTCATCAGCGTGCGCGACATTGGGGCCGAGGTGCGGATCATGTTTCTGAAGCCCGTCGGCGACCCGTGGAAGCCGCAGATCCAAGAGGAGACGCCGTCGCTGAGCATGTTTCTGCACAAGAAGTCGCTGGAGCTCGACCTGCCGCCGCCGCCGCGCAGGCAGCGCCTTGAGGGCTGGCGGCCCCAGGGCATATTGGTGGCCGAGATCCCCGAGCACAACGACGCAGTGACATGTCTGGTGGCCGCCTCCAGCACCTATTTTGTCTCGGGCAGCAGCGACGGCTCCGTGCGTGTTTTCGACGCCAATGCCTTTCCGCCGGAACGCAGTGTGCCGGTCGAAGGCGTCGGTGGTGCAGGGCGGCCGTATCACCGCGCTGGCGATTCCAGCCGGCCATGGGGTGCGTCGCGTCGAGCTCGGATAACGGCTCCATTCTGCTGCACAAAGCCAAGTCGCTGGCGCAGCTGGGCGAAGATGGCGCTTGATAATGGCGAGTATGCGGTGGCCATGGGGTTCGCAAAGACCCTGGATGGCGTCTCGTTGGTTGCGGCGACGTCGCTGTCGCGCGTGCTGTTTCTGGATGCTGCTACATTGGCGCTGCAGAATGCTGTGCAGCTCAAGCCAGCCTACGGGCGGCTGACTGCGCTGGCAGTCGGTAGCTCGTTTGCTATTGTTGGCTCCTCGGCCGGCTTGCTGTCATTGGTCGACACGCGCTTCCGCATCGAGGTCAAGACGTACCGCCACTTCATGGGCCACCCGGTTACATGCCTGTCTATGTTCAAGCCAGAGACGCTGCTGGTTGGCACTGCTGCCGGCGATGTATGTGCGCTTGACTTGCGGAAACAGCACATGGCCAGTGTGTGTATGCGCGCGCAGTCCTGCAGGACGTCAAGGGTGATGTCGTCAAGCGCAGCGCATGTGTCAATGCCTATTGCGCATTCGGGCGGGCTGCCGTATTTCGTGTCTGCAGGAAATGACGCCATGGTGCGGTACTGGGATCCTGGAGAGGACTGGATCGCTCATTTGCTGTCAGTGAGACCAGCGGGACTCCACCGCCGTATGCGTCGTATCGCGGAAACGGCTCTGTGTATTATTGCGAGAATGCTGCGCCAAAGCACAAGACGATGGACGGTCGCTCACCAGATGGTCTGTGCCAGAAGGAACTGGCCCAGTCACAGCTGTTGCACTGGTGTCGTCGCCTTCTGCCATGGTTGTCACCGGGCTTCAAAGTGGATACATCCGTGTACTATTATAACTTTCTAATTTCTTAATCTTAGCATAGATACATCAACGTGAAGGTGGTATAGTGTACAGGACAAAGGGAATGTGTGCAAAGGGATCGAAGGCTTTTCAAAATGTGCATAACATGAAGCGAAAACTGCTGTGTTGCCAGCACTTGTCTCTCATCTCTACTTTCTCCATTTTTCTACACTTTAAGCATGGCCACCTTCAACAACATCCACGGGAGGGCTTTGGAGAGGATCCTTTTTTACGCATTTCGAAAGACTCCTAGTTGGCTATGCGCATAATTACGTTTCTCTCTTGGGTCTGCAGAGAGTGGCGGAGGATACTTTTACCGAGACTCTATGAACGCGCATCTCTTACATATCACCTCTACTGAACTCAGCCTCTGACCTGGAAAAGGTCAAATCCAACATCAAACTCATCGTGGAAAATGGTCTATCAAAATATGTTCTCCAGCTTTTTATTACTGTCCGACGGATATGTTGCCTCTGGTCATCTTATTAGAATTTTGAATGGGCAGCTATTTAACAAAACACATTGGCCATCTATTTGTGATTTATAATATTGAGAGCTCACTATCTGTTTCACAAATAGCAGGCAGAATGAAAATAGCACCGATATGGGTGATACCATTTCCCAATATCTTCATATGCATCTACCAGCCTTAACATCCATATCATGTCTCTCTTAAAGAGGATACAATACCACAACCCTCTGTCCAAATTTATCAATTTAAATTACATCAACTTTCGACTCTAATATATGAGCGGAGCTCCAGTTATTTTCACATGCCATTCCTTCTACGAATGGCTTACCCACCTCACTCTTCGTTTAAGCCCGGGACAGACCACACTTCCGTACATATATACGCCGAATCTTCGTGAATTGGAGTTGTTCGATATTCCACCTAATTTCTCGTGGAGATGCTTTTACTTCAGAGAGCAGTGACTCGTTCGATTTCTCAGAGCTTAAAGGTAATAGTTGCATTATTCACCACTTCGAGCTGATTCGAAGACAGCAACCCCAGCCATAGTGCAGCGCATATACATCACAGCAGCTTTAAGGAAGATCCATATGCCGAAAATTAAGCTTCTGTCGCTTTCTCACATCCCTCCTTCAGACACAAACCTGTTTGCTTCCACATCTTTCTGTCGCATTTGACTCACTCAATATTGTCGGTGGTATTGATGTTCTTACACAAATGAACCTACGCTTTCCATTTAGCGAAAGGATATCATTACGCTTGAGTGACAATGCTGTTGAGGACACCCAGGAGTACAGCACATTCACAGAGTCCATATTCAGCTCATTTTCAGTTGCCACATGGGCTAGGCTTGAAGTTGAGCACTATATTCCAGTATCTATTAATTCTGTTGGCTGGTCAAGTTTGAAGGAGCTAAATATTCCTTGCCTTCATATCTCCGCACCACTCTTTATCGCTTATTATCTCAGTTACCCTTATTGGAAGCATCTATGTGTTGAAGTATATCACTCCATGATGATGAGTCATATCATTATGATAAGCAACACAGGCACTTCACCATATTTCCCTGGATAGTCCGAAGTTCAGCTAGTAAGCTACGACACCTTGAATATTTTAAGGGTACACATCACGTTTTCCATTAGTATTTGATCCTTGATCCGCTCTATGAGTTCATCACAAACGTCGTCACGCTAAAAGGGTCAGTCAGTTCCTGAATATTATCTGCAAGAGGTCCAGGATCACTTCAGCCAAGGCAACTATACAAGGATTATCCACATATTCAAGAAATCCGTTTTTACTGATAGCCTCATCGAGGATGTTCCGAAACCCGGGCCAATAAATACTATCCAGCGTCAGATAGAGTTTTCCTTGTCACCAAAACGCAGCTCTTTGCACATTCGGACACAAGTAAAGTTATATTTGGATTCACTGATCCAACAGACCCTGAAGACTGGATCTCGGGTGACTGGAATCTATATGACATCGGCCTGGTCGCGGAATCGCGGTCTGAAGTTGTGCTTCAATCGAGCTTGCACCGTCGCGATCAGACGCAGACCAGCATATCATGCGAAGTCTGCCTGGACCGGGACCGTGAGTCCGACGAAAAGGCACTGAACATACGATCTCCTCTGGCGGCTAGCCCATGCACGCGCCCTGGCAGCTGTATGACGGCCGCCCGCAATATCAGTCGACTGCGTGCGGTTCGAAGTGACAGACATGTTCGAGTGCGACGACTGGCGGCGGTGAGTGCGCTGGTCGCCCGGCAGTGTCGCGCGGTTCCCGTTCTGCAGCGGCTGGCGCATAGTCAGCGCATTGGCTGAGTGCGAAGACTGCGGGTTGGCATACATTGGCTGTGGGGCAGGCAATGTGCCGTCGACCTTACCGACGACAAAACTGGGGCTTGTGGGCGACGTGCCGGAGCCGTGTAGCCAGGAGCGGCGCGGCGGGTAGATCTGGGCACCCATGGTAATGTCGGATGTCTGGTGGTGCAGTTTGTGCGGCAGGCCGGGTGCGGGGAAGGTGCTGGCCTGGGCAAAGTAGGCGTGCGGGTAGGCAGGCCGGGCGGACTGGATGGCTGAGCGACGGCGACTTGTACGTGGGCTCGGTCTTGATGATGCGGTGCGAGTCGACGGCGCCATAGCGGCCGTCGCTGACTATGCTGAACTCGTTGATCAAGGCGTAAATGTCCTTGCTCAGCGGATCCATGTCGCGCATCCGGCGGCTCGGCAATGGTCGGGCTCTCCGCAATGCTGCTCTCGACAGACATCAGCGGCGGCGGCACAATCCGCACGCTGCTGGTCGGCTCTGCGCGACGCGGCTGCTGCGGATTGAGCACAGGCAAGGCAGTGCTCTGCTGGCGCTCAGCGCGGCCAGCAGCAATCAGGCTCATGCGCGCCTCGTTGGAGCTCTGGCGGGCACGGCCCCGCAATACCTCGGTGGGGTTTTGACTCGGCGAACACAAGCCGGCCAAACCCGACAGTTGCGCTATCGGCCGATGTGGGCGTGCGCGGCACCGGGTGCAGTTGCGATAACGAGCCACCCAGCGACGTATCGTCCGAGTCGCTGAACACGTCCATGTGCCTGGCTCGCTCAATCTCCTCCTCCAGCTCGGAGATCTCGGCGTCAAGATTGCGCGCCTGCTCAGCGGCCAGTATGGCCTTTTGCCGCGCAGCCTGCGTCGACGCCCGCAGCCGCTCTTTCTCGGCGTTCCGCCGTGCCTGCTCATTCCGCAGCCGCTCACTCTCCGCCTGCTTGCGTCTCTGCTCGTCCTCGATGCGGCGCTGAGCGGCCGCGCGCTCGTGTGCCTGGCGGAGTGCGGCGCCAAAGTCCCGGCGCGCCAGCACACCACGCGCCAACGCCTGGAGTGACGTAGCGCCTGCGGATTCGCGCGCCCGGCGGCGGCGCTGGCAGCATTCGAGCCAGTTCCTCTCGATGACTCGGACCGCGTAGGCTCTGGTGAACTGGTCGATGCGGCGGGCAAACAGATGGTCGCGGTACCAGCGCTGGATGGTCACGGCGGCCGAGCGCATGCGCGCGTAGCCCTGGCGCACCAGGAAGCCGCGGGCAAAGCGCTGCATGACCAGCGCGGAGCGCTCAAAGATCAGCGTGCGCTTCTTCTCCAGCACAGCCCACTGGCCAGCACGCAGAAACACCTTGGTCAGTCCCAGCTGGTACAGCCCGGGGTCGGGCAGACACGCCTGCAGAATGTGCAGGCACAGCGCGCGCTCCTGCGGCTGCAGCTCGTCCTTGCTGGTAGGCCGGGAGCAGATCGAAGGTGGGCGTGGCGTCTAACAGCACGGCGTAGCGCTCGTTGCACGTGCGAATGGGCACACGCGACGGATACCCGGCCTTGGAGATGCGGATGGTCTCGATGACGCCGCAGGAGCGCAGCTGCGACAGGACCATGGGCGCCTGGAACCGCCACGCCGCCTTGGCCTCGTTGGGCTTGATGCAGCGGATGTAGTGCATTTCAGGTCTCCGACAGCGTCGCCATCAGCCCTGCCAGCGACTTCTTGAACACACCTGCCAATGTCGGCGCTTGCCGCCGCTGCTGCCCGCCGAGCCGCCCCGGACTTGGCTGCCAGGGCCCGCGGCGAGACTGCCGGGCTGGACGCACGCATGACCGGCGACATGGCCGGGGTGTGGGGGCTGGCTGGGCCCGGATCGCGCGCGGCGCTGGCCAGCGTGGCCTACAAAGGCAAAGTCGCTGGCGCACAGCAGATCCAGGATCTCATCGGGCACTGTGTCGCGGTTCTTCTCCAGGAACCCGTCGCCCTCGTACGTGACCTCGTGTGCGTAGTGGCGGATCGTGAAGGCCGAGTTGGAGAACCGCGGCTTGCGGAAATATCCGGCCATCTCTGGCTGCTCCACCTGCCGCCGCTGTGGGCCGTCGGGCGCCGCAAACTGCCTGTACAGCTTCTCCACAAACGTCTTGTCTGGAGCCCTGCTCCAGCCGACACTCCTCGTCCAGCAGCGCCAGGATGCCGATTGGCTTGCCCTCTATCAGATCAATACACGGCTGGTTGTCCTGGAACCCAATGAACGTCCAGTTGGTCAGTTGCTCGCGCCGGTACTCCTCCTGCTCGAGCTTGAACACGTGGATGGTTGAACCCCTGCTGCAGCTTCTCGTTGGCGTAGTTGATGCAGAACTGCTCGAACGAGTTGTGCTCAAAGTGCTCGAATCCGTAGATGTCCAGCACGCCCACAAACGACGTCAGGCTCTCGTCCACGTGCGCCGGCATCAGCGACGCATTGATCGGCCCCAGGATCCAGTCGAACAGCCGGGCGTAGATGAATTTGGCGATTGAGTCGCGGATCACCAGCGCCTGGGTCTTGTTGACCTTGGCCAGGATGTGGTCGTGCCGCGTCACAATCTGCCGCTTCGTCAGCCACTGCCGCAGCTTGGCCTCCGCCACGCCCAGCAGCTGCGCCGCAATCGCAAACTGCTCTTCCGACCCGCTGTCCACATACGACCCGATCGTCTCCGACCCGGCAAACCCGACATTCCCCAGGTGCAGGATCCCTGCCAGCGTGCGCCAGATATCGCCCCTCTGCTGCCCGTCAATCCCAACCATCTCCAGCGACGCATCTGTTTCGCCAAAATCCGCTGCATCGTCGACCCCCGCAATCGTCCCGAACCCGGCTCCCCCCTGGCATGTGTAGTGAAACGCCTCCCAGCCTGCATACCGCCCGTCAAGCCGCACCTGCCGCCGCAGCTCTGCGCTGGCGCCTGCCAAAAGCTGGTAGAAGATGTGGTAGTTGCGCTCTGTCGGAGGCTGGTATGCGACGCGCGAGCGCTCGAGCAGGAATGTGCGGATGCGACCGCCGACGATCTGCTGCCGCCGGCGCTCGAACTTGATGTCCAGGAACTTGCCGAACCGCGACGAGTTGTCATTGCGCGTGGTCTTTGCGTTGCCGAATGACTCAAATACCGGGTTGGTCGCCAGGATCTGGTTCTCGACTGTCGACATCTGCTGCGAATTTGTATCGGCATGGTGTGCCTGTGCAAAGTACCGCATGATGTACTTTGCGCTGGTTGTCTTGCCCGACCCCGACTCGCCATACACGATGATCGTCTGGTTGCGCTGCTCCTTGACCATCCCCTGGTACGCATCCTCTGCAATCGCAAACAAGTGCGGGCTGTCGTGCCCGCTCTCGCCGCGCGCGTATTTCTGCATGATCTCGCCCGTATACATTGGCACGCTCTCGAATGGATTCATTGCCACCAGCACCACACCCGAGTACGTGTAGATTTGCCGTTGCTGGTACCGCCACATCAGATTATACAGTACTGCTGGCTCGTGCAGGTAGCTCAGCGCCGTCAGGTCGGCCGTGCCGTCCAGAATCGGCGGATTCGCCAGCGCCGGCACAATGCCCCCGTCCACGCCTGCCTCCACCAGCTCGCTGAATGCAATGTCCACCACGTACGAGTCATTTGCGCGCTGCAGAGAGCTGATCCGCCCGCCTGTGAGCCGTGACCCGCGCGCAACAATCTTCTGCAGCTCCGCCGCCGTCGGCGCCCGCACCGATGTTTTCCGTCCCAGTCCCCCGCCCGTCTCCTGTGAGGGAATCGTCAGCCCCGATGTCTGCGCTACCAGCTCCGCTGTTGGCGTTATGCGTGTGTCGTCGCGCACAAATACCAGTCGCGAGATCCCTATCACCGTGTCGTCTTTGCGCTGCACCAGCGTCCCTTTTGTCCATGCCTCGTCGCCGTCCTCAAACCACGCCTTGGCGCCCTTGGTGTACGGCTCGAGCAGCTTGAGCGCCTCTGCAATTATCTCTGCCGTGGGCGGCTCAAACATTTCTATTTATATAACTGTGCAAATGAAGGGGAGGGTAGAGATGAGGAGGAGAAGAAGAAACAGGGACAAGGCGAAATGGCGGTCTGTTTGTGCAGTTGGCGCAATTTGTGCGAAAAATTGCTTGTTGTCAGAGAAAAAAGAAAACAGGAACAAGAAAAGTATACAAAAAGCCAGGGATGAACAGCAGCCAAGCTGCCCGTTTGGCTTTATAGAGCGACAGAGCTGGCGATCGGCGCCTGTGACATCTCGTCATAGAAACCAGAAGCATGTTCTCAGTCTCCACATCAATAGCCAGCGCCCAAATGCGGACCTTGGGACCAGGCCAAGCCCACATCACCCCTCCCCGCACCCGGCGACTGCACTCCACACTGCGCACACCTGCCATTGGGCTAGCCCACCTGCCAGCCTCTGTTTGGACCGCCATCCACAGGCCAACTTCAGCATGACTGACTCTTGACATCCAACTGCTCTCACGCACAAACGCCTCTCCCTCTTGCCCAGGACATTGTCCCCGGCTCGAGTAGGGACCGCAACAGCGCTTATTCAAAGGAGACCTGACATTACGAGTGCTAAAAAGAGTAATAGAAAGTTTGAGAAAAATAGTAAGAAAAAGGGGAGAGGGGGTGAAAAAGAAAGAGAGCTTAGAAGGTGGATTCAGAGGTGAGGCAGGCAAGGTGGGCAAGGAGACGCGAGGCCGGGGAACCGAAGCAGGTCTCATCCTCCCTTCCCCCATTGCCATTAGAGAAGAGAAGAGGGGTTAAGAGGTTTGCATGTGAGGCTATTGTTTTTCTACTCCACGTAACAAAGGGGGTTGGTCTGCTGCCTGCTGGCATACGGGTGTGGGAGATATGTGCAAGCCAGCAGAGCAAGGTGATTTTGGAGAAGCAATAGGGGGAGGTTAGGGGAGGGGGACGATATAGAACAAAAGCAAACGGCTAGCCAGCCAGCAGTAGAGCACTATAAAAGTTCGGGCTGCTTGTCTCGGCGTCTAGAGGATCGTGCACTTGGACTTCTTCTTCTCCCGCCTGGTGATGCCGGTGCTGGTGGCCCCGCGGCCGCCAACTCGCCTGTCCCTCTGTTGTCGGATCATCCGCACCGTCGTGTAGAACGCCTTCTCCACATTGATGCACGTCTTGGCGGATGACTCGACAAAGTCGCACCCCAGCCGGCGCGCCATCGCCTGGCCCTCCTGGAACGACACCTCGCGCTCCTGCGCCTTATCGCACTTGTTGCCCACAAGCATCATCGGCACATGGTCCTGGTCCTTCACGCGGATGATCTGGTCGCGGAACCGCTCGACGCGCTCAAACGTCGACCGCGATGTGATCGAGTACACCAGCAGGAATCCCTCGCCGTCCCTAGTAGTCGTGGCCCAATGTTAGTATACCGGTTTCTACGGGGAGGGTGTTGCGCAGCGAATCGCCCCGCGCCCAGGCGGAACTGCTGCCTTTGTCGCTCCCGCATAATAGCAATAGTAGCTGGCCCGATAGGAGGTAAATAGGCCCCTCATAGTGCGCTTGGTCGTCCGCGCTTCCTCGCCCCCCAAAAAAGCAACTAGCGCCAAGGCGTGAGCCCAAGCGCCAGCGCGCCTGCCATTAGCAAGCGTGCAACAGGCGTGCGCCGTCCCAAACGGCAGATCGCCCGAGTGTTGACAATCGGGGCTGCATAATCCAAAACAACAGCGAAAATGACCCGGACTTACCTTATCCACTGGTCGCGAAGCGCTGTGTATTCCTCTACAGCCAAAAGACGGTGGTGGGCATGAACGGCAGGGGCAGACCCAGCGCGTTAGTAGCACAGCCGCTCAATGAAATGCACATTTTCTCGCCTGCAGATGCATGCGTCGCCTCCCATTTCTACAGTGGCTCCTTACCTTGGCCGGCTGTGTCAAGCACCTCAAGCACGCATGGCTGGTCATCAATGACAACCTGCTTGCGATAGGAATCTTCGATGGTCGGGTCGTAGGTCTATTTGTTATCCCAGAAACCAGGGTGGCGCTTTAGTACAGCTGCACGCTATGCGGGGAGGGGAAGAGGAGTTTCCGAGAATGCGCCAATTGTTTCCAGTGCTTACCTCTATATCATGTACCGTCACAGGCAAAAAATAAGCAGGTGTTTTTGTTTACGCCCAGCGACAAAGAAAGAACGGCAGTCCCTTCCGCAAAAATTGCGTTTGAAAAAGGAAACCGATGCGCCCATGTAGACCAGCCCCACGTATCCCGCGTTGTCGTATAGCCGGCATTTCCGTCAGTGTGGAAAATAGTAAGGATAAACGAGAAATTAGTAATAGCATTCCGCAAGTTCGGGACCTGCATTGGGCCGGCAACCAGGAAACAGAAAAGCACAGACTGGTTGCTCGCAACGCGGCTCGCCCTGGAAGAAATGGCAACTTACCGACAAAGTGGTTCAGGCACAGCTGGATTGTAAGCGCAGTCTACAGCGTAGTGGATGGGGTGCGCAGGGGTTAGTCAACAGGTCCTGCTGTTTGCGCTGCCGGCTAGCCTCGTCTGGATCAATAGCGGGCTGAGGAAATGCCTCTGTCTTATCAGCTGGACACTATTGACCCGCTTCCGGCGCGGGGTCGATGGTATATCATGTGCGATAGCAGCCTTGCCTTGCGCGCCTAGACAGGTGCTGGTGTCCGAGCTGGCAGATGCACGTAGAACAAGTCACACTTTATTCTTGCGGCTCTTCAGAGCCTGCCTTGCCGTCAGTTGCCCGCCCGCTCGTTTTGAATACTGCTATTCCAGCGCACTTGCCTGTCCCATGAGGCGGCTAGAAACAACAGAGGGACGGCAGCCCTTAGCTCTCCTCGACCCACCTACTCCTCCACTCCTCCTTGCGCAAGGCGAAGGGCGCCCTTTGCTGCATACCACCGGGCTGTAGGCACATAGCAGAGCACACTGCCAACAACAGCAGCTAATGGAAATACATACCTTGCCAACACCACCATCACCGAGCACGACGAGCTTGTACAGAATCATTTCGAAACGCAATTAGGAAAGCAGGAAAAAGGTTCGCAACAGGAAGCTGGAGAGAGAGAGAGACAGGAATTTGTATATTTTGCGGGGGCAAGGTATCGCTGGCCTTTTTGTCGGTTCTCCTTAGATGTGGATTAGGACGAATTTTACAAGAAATATATGACGAAAAAACAAAGTGCTGAAAATTTGCAGTACCGCAATCTTGTAAGGAAAAGGGAGCAAAGAGAAAGGAAAAAGAAATAAATAAAATCTCACACTTAGACTGGCAAGCCCGGAAAAAAACGGCGACATACATCGAACTGTGGTTAGGCGCTCACTCTGCCCATCCCTCAGTGCTTGATGCGAGCCCTTTTGTGGCCCACCGGCGGACAGACCCACCGGATCTCGCGACCTCTCGCCCAAGACGGGATCCCCCGCCGGCGAGTGCAACCCACAAGCGGGCCGGCCAAAGGGTGGTGCTGGGATAAAAGTGGACCTTAGTGGGGGGAAGCGCGGCTTTGTGCGACCTTCATGTGTGCCTTTTGGCACCACATGCTGCCAAAGTGGATATTCGTTCTCGTCGTGGCCTCCTTTTCGGGCTTGCAGAACGAGACTGCTATAAAGCCTTTCGCCCTCGCTCGTTCGGGCACGCAGCCTGTCAATGGGCGTGCTTCCAGGAACGCATATTCCAACCTATGGAATTTGACAAGTCCGCGCCACTGCAGCGAAAGCCACCGGGCGCGCTCTCCGTCGCGAGCCGCTCAAAGGGCAGCTCACGTAAGTGACGCACGCTCGCACGCACAGCCCCGGCCACTTGGAAAGCAGAATCCTGATGTGTGCTGACAGCTGCACGACTGCGTGCTGCCACACTGTGCCGAAGCGCGAGGTTGCGCTAGGGAAGGAAAGAGATTTGCAGATGCTGTGCCTTTCTAGCTCCATGCTGCGACATTGCAAAGCCAGCATCGAGCCGGTTTTTTTCCTTCGCAGCAACTCGGAAGCGGCCTGCAACTCCCTCGCGTCATGAAGCAAGCAGTCACTTGGGTGCAGCAAGCCAAAATGGGGACTAGGTCGTATTAAAAATCACTCAGGGCGTGGAGGGCTGGATGTCCCGCACAAATGGATGGCTCTGAAGCTCGAGTGCGCTGGGCCGCTTCTCGACGTCCAGCTCCAGCGTGGCCTCCAGGAAGCTGAGCGCCTCGGCCGAGATGCCGCTCGGGATCTTTGGTCGCCCCATCTGCCCAATCGTCAGCAGCGCTTGCATCTGATCGAGCTCAGGGAACGGGTGGTGGCCCGTCATCATCTCGATAACCAGGCAGCCAAGACTCCAGATGTCGCCCTTGTACGTGTAGTGCGTGTTCTTGACCACCTCGGGCGCCATCCAAAACACCGATCCCTGCAGCGATGCCCGGTTGCCAAGCTTGTTGCTCGCAACGGCCTCGTCCACACGCTTGGAGATGCCAAAGTCAGAGATCTTGACGCTGCCGTTCTGGTCAATCAGCACGTTGCCGCCCTTGATGTCGCGGTGGATGATCCCCTGCCCGTGCAGGTACACCAGGCCCTCGAGAATCTGCGCCGTGTATGTCTGGATCAGCGGCTCGGGGAAAGTTCCGTAGCTCGCCAGCGCGCTGGCAACAGAGCCGCCGGGCACGTATTCGAGGAAAATGTACATCATCTGGTCGTCGAGGTCCGTGCCCAGGTACTGCACAACGTTCTTGTGATCCAAGTCCTGCAGCAGCGCCAGCTCGTGCCGCAGCGCATCAACCATGCGCTGCTTGCGACCCAGCGATGCCGATCCTGGTGTCGGCAGCTCGACTTCCTTGACTGCCATGATGATGCCGGTCTTGGTGTTCATGGCAAAGTACACGCTGCCAAACGAGCCGCTGGCAATGGGGGCTCCCTTGATCCATGATTTCTTCTTGGCCCGCACGGCCTTCTCAGACCTGGCCACACTGCTCCGCCGCTCCATGGCTGTCGTTCCATCGCCCCTGTGCTCCCCTGAAGAGAACTTCCGCTGGACATCGCGTCCTTGCCCTGCTGAAGGATCTTGGTTGAGGCGGACGACAGGCCAGCACTGCCTTCAGTAGCCGCAGCCGAACGCGTCTTGCCCAGGTCAAGCAGCTGTGCCTGGCCAGTTGACAGCACCACGACCTTTGGAGTGCTTGGGTCATCATCGCTCTCCTCCTGGTCTTCATCAATGGCATCCAAGAAACTCGAGTCCGATTCGTCGAAGCTCTCGTCAAAGCTGCCGTCGCTGTAAATAGAGTCCGAAAAGTCGGACGAAAACTCTGTCGATGCATTTCCATCGCTGATGTCATCGACAAACTCGGATTCGCCCTCTCCCACACGCGTGTTGACCGACGGATCAATATAGATGCGGCTCAACCGCTTGTTCATGTTCTCGTCCGTCGTCTCCAATGTAATGGTGTTCTTCCGGGATAGCGTGCCCTTGCGGAAAGAATGGGTGGTTTTGGGCGTCATCAGCGACTGCGACCGCGCAACAGCGCTCTGCACTGACGACTTGCCGCCAGCCCCCTTCTCATCTCCCTCCTCTTCTTCCTTGATCTCCGCCTGCTCACCAATGGCCTCGAGCTTCCGATTCAGATCCTTCAGGCCCTTGGCTGACGCTTGCGAGTTGCTACCGGACATTGCGTATGATGCCAGGCGTGCCTGCATGCTGCGCGATCCTGAGCTGCTGCGCCGGTGGTGGTTGCGCGAGTTGCTGATTGTCGACCGCCGAGAGTTGGTCCCCTTGGTGTTGCTACCGCTGCTTTGCCCCATCATTGTGCTGTCGTGAGACTCGCGCCTATGCTTGCGCATGATCGAGTGCCGCGCTCGTGCTTCATTGCCTGGGAAGTACTTTTCGACGTTCATTGACACCATCTCAGAGGGTGGTCGGTCGCCTAGCATGCGCTGCAGCTTGTCAATACTGCCAGGGTTCTGCGGCCTGGTTTGTCCCTGCTGCGCCTGTACCTGTGCCTGCGCCTGCGCATGTGCCTGGGCCTGTACCTGGGCTTGTGCCTGAGCCTGGGCTTGTGCTTGTGCCTGAGCCTGGGCTTGTGCTTGTGCTGATGCATGTGCTTGTGCTTGTGCTTGTGCTGATGCAGACTGTCGCAACGGCTGAGGCCCGCTGGGCTGCTGTGACTGAGCCATCAGCGTGGTCGTGGGTGTAGACTCACTGGCGCTCTGCGCAGCGCTAAGCAGTGGTGTTGACGACACGCTGATCGGGGTATGTGTCGAGGAGCTTGATATTGTGTTGTTTGACGGCTGCCTCGGCAGGATGTTGCCCAGCTTTTCAAACGCCTTCTGCAACTGCTCGGACCGCCGTGTGCCAGGCGTTGGCCTGGCCAGCTGGTGCCGCTTGCGCAAAAAGATCTTTTCGCTCACCAGGCTGTCCGGATCATTAAAGATTTCGATGATCTCGTCGTCGGTCAGGCTGCGCGCACCGCCGCCGTCAGTAGACATGACAAACAGGGCATACCGGTCCTTGTCAACATCTCTGTCGAGGCCAAACTCGCGCAGGATCCGACTCAGAATTTCATACGCAGATCGCGTGCTTGGGACAGATATATGGCGCACAACATTGTCGGGACCGGTAATCGCCACATGCCGCACCTTCAAGCTCAGAGAGTCTGCCAGATTGGTCACGCCAATGTCAGTACCAAACAGCTCCTGGAACTGCATGTTGAGCCGCTCAACTTCCTCCAGCTGCTCTTGCGAATCGGCGCCATGCTGGCTTTGTTGCGACGGAGGCACAGGCGAGTGTAGGTGCCCGCCAAACAGCATCCGCAATCGCTCATCTGCCGGGTTTGGCTCCGGCGATGCACGATGCCTCACGTCTGCCGACGGACCTACTGGAATTGCCGCCATCTTGCGGTACCGCACATTGCCAGAGCCCTTGAGCGAGCCAGGGTCTGTAAGCCCGAACGGGAACGACGGCGGCGGGGCGCCAATTTCGCGCAGCCCAGGACTGCGGACAACTGAGGATGTCGCGGTGCTGCTGCTGCTGCCCATGGTGGAGCCCGCTTGGCCTGTGCTGGCCTCCGTGGTTGGTATATTCGGTAGCTCCTTTGACGGCCCCCGAATCATCGGCGGCGGCGGCTGGGCACCAACCAGCGTGTTCGTCCTGACCATATGCGGCTCGCTGAAAATCTGCAGCGAAGGAAGCCCTCGTGCCTTTGACCGACTGGTGTCTGGCCGGGTGTTATCCATCATGTCCCCTCGCAGGCACCTGTTGCGCAAGTCGCGGATGGCTATATTTAGACGAACACGCTCGCCCACGGTGCGCACTGACAGCTCCTTTAGCAAGTTGTAGTCGAGCTCCAGCAGCGCCTCTCCGTTAATCTGGTTTTCCACAAACGCCCGCTCATGCCGCGCAAACCCCTGCTCTCGGAGCCACTGCCCCACACGACCCTCGCTCCACTGTACCACCTGCTGCATTGAGTAATGCTGGCCTGGACTGTCGTCTGCCGGCTCGTCGCCCTGCCGCGATGCCGCTGAGAACGGCCGTCTGGTGCTGCCGCTCTTCATTTAGGTTTTTAAAAAGGAATATATAGAGGAGCAGAGAAAAGCGAGAAAAAGGCGGCCAGCTAAGCAAAAAGGAAGAACAGAGCGTGAATAAGGAACAAGCTGTGCAGTGAATAGAGTGCCTTTCTGCTGCTTGCTATTGAGCACAGGTGCAAATGTAAAATACGCAACGACAGAGAAGAGGTGCGAATTCGGATTCCCAGGATTAGCTCAAACGTGCTGACTGAACACCGAGCGGTTGCGGGCTGGATTTGACCGGCAGCCTGCGCTTCGCGGTTCCACATCGTTTTGCAAGCCCGGCAGCAGCAGAGCAGCAGCGGCAGCAACAGAGGCTGCTGTTCACGTGAAACTGTCTGATTGGGTCCGTTGGCTCCAGGCACAAGCTGTTGAGCTTGGAAAAACTGAAGGCTCCTCCAGGCCTGCGGGCCCGCGCTTTTCTTTCTTCCACCTTCACATTTGTTCGCAGCTGTTACGGAAGCAATAAACCAAAGAAACACGTTTACTCATCCGCTTCCCTCTTCTTCCCATCACCCGCCTCCACCTAAAACGAGCATTAATTTAAACTGACAATGGCCAGCAACGACGAGTACGACTACCTGTTCAAGGTTGTCCTTATTGGAGATTCGGGCGTCGGAAAGTCCAACCTGCTCTCGCGGTTCACGCGCAATGAATTCAATCTGGAGTCCAAGTCGACCATTGGCGTCGAATTCGCTACTCGGAGCATCCAGGTCGACAGCAAGACAATTAAGGCGCAAATTTGGGATACAGGTAAGCGGAAATGCAGCGTGCATTCCAGCACCAGTTTCTCGCTGCCGGTAGGTCGGAGAGCCAGCCCACATCTCGAGATGCCTTTACTGAATTTCGCACCACCCGTCCGCCTCTCAACCTCCTCTGTGTAGCCGGCCAGGAGAGATACCGTGCCATCACCAGTGCGTAAGTAGCTCCCTTGACAGCCCTCCGACTGTCTGTGCCATTTACCCGCGTCTCTTATCCCGTTCCAGGCTGCGAGCCATTCCATGTATGCACGGGATCACATGTGCCTGCGATATGCTGTTGCTCAACGCCGCATTTTTGCACTGGGTGTAGGTACTACCGCGGAGCCGTTGGAGCGCTGCTCGTCTATGACATTGCCAAGCATGCCACCTACGAGAATGTGTCGCGCTGGCTCAAGGAGCTGCGCGACCATGCCGACAGCAACATTGTCATCATGCTGGTTGGTAACAAAGTCCGATTTGAGGCACCTTCGCGCCGTGCCGACCGAAGAGGCCAAGCAGTTTGCCTGTAAGTACCTTGAGGATTGGGAGCGCCCAGCTGCTCAGTCTGCCAATCCCTCGCTGGCAATCATCTAGCAACGCGTCTGCATTTTTCATGAGCTAACCCCCGTTTCCTCCTCCTCCAACGTGTAGCCGAGAACGGTCTGTTCTTCATCGAGACATCGGCCCTCGACTCGAGCAATGTCGAGCAGGCATTCCAGCAGATCCTGACAGGTAAGTGCGTGGTCGTCATCGTCGCTGTCGTCAGCATGGCGCAATGTGTCCCAGGCTACCGGAACAAAACCGCACGCCAGAAATGGCTGAAACTAACGCTGGCATTGGTTTGTAGAGATCTACCGCATTGTGTCGAACAAGGCGATCGAGTCGTCGCAGGACAACGTTCAGCCGGGATCTGGCGCCCAGATCATCGTGCCAACGGCCGACGACCACGCCAAGAGTGGATCCAACTGCTGCTAAGCAGCGACTGCCTCCCCCGCTCAGACCCCACTCCTTTCTTTTCGCCTACTCTGTTTTCGTGTGCTTCCTCGAATACCACCCACCCCCTGTTTAAACTTTATCGTTTTTCTTCTATAGCCCTTTCTCCTTTTTTGTCTTTGTGCAGAGCAAATACTACCTTTATTGTCACAGAACGGGTCGGTTTGATCGGGAGCAGAAGCGTGGTCTGGACAGCCACCAGACCGTGCAGGCGACCGTCATCAGAGCCAGGAATCGCCGAGTTGCAAAAGTCGCAGGGCGCGAATATTCTGCTGCAGAGCGGGCGCAATCCCGGGTTTCTCCATCTGGCCGATGCTGGAAATGCGCGCACGACGTCTTTGGCCCACCCCCTTACCCCGGCTCTTGTAGAACCCGGTCTGTGCTCAAAAGATCTCAAGGAACCGGGTAAAAGGATCCTCAGACCCACCCGCCGCTCTCCATAAAAAGCAACCTGCGTTCCGACGCACCACCAACAGAGTAATCGTCCGCGCAGCTGGATATTTTCTGTCCCAACTGTGGGAAACGGCCAGCAAATGCGACGCATGGGCATGGATCTCTGAAACATCTCTCCCGTGTAAGGGCAAACAGTTCCGTAATCGACATTCACAGTCACGCCAGATACGGGTGCGCCTCTGCAGGCAAAGAGGAGAGGGAGAGTGGGCGGATGCACAGCAGCGCAAAGAGTGTCTTGTCGGTCCATGTGAAACACTGCCGCCCCCTTTCCCGTGGTTGCGCTGGGAGGCTGAAAAGGAAACGCAGTCCCAGCAGCGTTTATCTTATCGGGCAGGAGTGGAGCTCCTCGATGCCCCGGAGCACGGAAGCGTAGCCCATTGGGCTCTCCCCACTGGCCACGCACCATGCACCGCGCACCGCCACTGCAGAAACAAACAGAGAGAAAAGGTGTGATCCATTTGAACAGTAGTAAAAAACATAGCGTGTTTAGGCACGGCCAAACTCGACGCCCTTGGCAATGCTGTCCTTGAGCTCATCGGCAGCGACCTTGATGGCCGCCAGCTCATAGTCGTTGGGCTTGCCCAGGGGCACAATCCGCTTGACACCCTCGGTACCGAGCTCGACCGGCACAGCAAAGAACTCCAGATCGCCAGCACCCAGGGCCTGGATCTCCTTGGCGCCCTCAGCATCGGCCGACAGCGAGATGAAGGTGGGCTCAACGACGGTCTCGCCGCCCAGAGCACGGATGACCGAGTCGGCGAACCGCGCACCGGCGTACGCCATCGACAGAGTGGCCGAACCAGCGCCATCCTTGGCCTTCACGACCTCGTCACCGCCGAACTGGATCCGGTGGGTCAGATCAGCAACCTCCTTCTCCGACAGCTCAACAGCAGGCTGGGCCAGCGACAGCAGAGGAACAATGGTGTTGCCCGAGTGGCCGCCAACAACCGGCACACGGAGCTCCGCAGCATCGGCCTCGCCCTTGACGTCCTTGACGAACCGGGAGGCACGCACCACATCAAGGGTGGTCACACCGAACAGGCGCTTCGGGTCGTACACGCCGGCAGCCTTCAGGACCTCAGCGGCGATGGGCACGGTCGAGTTCACGGGGTTCGAGATGATGGCAACGATGGCCTTGGGGCTGTTGGCAGCGATGGCAGCGACCAGCGTGCGCACAATACCGGCGTTGATCTTGAACAGGTCGTCGCGGGTCATGCCGGGCTTGCGGGGGACGCCAGCGGGGATGATGGCGAGGTCAATGCCAGTGACGGCAGCGTCGAGCTCCTTGGCGCCCAGGAACGACTCCACCTGCGAGTTGGTGGCAACAGTGCGAGATATCGGCGGCAACACCCGGGACGTTCACGATATCGTACAGGTTCAGCTTGGTCACCTTGGCGTTCAGCTTGAGGAGGAGAGAGAGGGGCTGGCCAATACCACCAGCGGCACCGAGAATAGCAACAGAGACCATGGCTGTGAGTGAGAAAGATAGTACAGAGAAAAGATGGAGAAAAAGATTGTGGAGATAAGGAGTCGTCTCCACCAGGGAAACAGAGCCCGCCTTTTATACCGGCGCTTATCGAACTCGGACTGCTGGCAGACAGTGTGCTGGCCAGCTGAAAAAATAGCGAAGCGGAACCTCTCCCGTGTGCGCAGAAAGGGGGAGGCTCAATCCGGGTGTCCGCTACCCACCCTCTCGCGCCGCTACTGCCAGAATCAGAGCGAGACATTCCGGCGGCTCCCTACTTTTCTCGCTAATTTCCAGCGCGCCCTTCCGCTAATTTCCTATCCCAGTCCCACACGCCCGCGTATATTACCAATTGGCCCGTTGCAACGGATATTGGCTAGTAATTACTGTCCACGACATGTATCCAGACGTTATCTTTTGAGCCCATGCACTGCTTTTTATTCTCATGCCAGCTCGCGCCCCTTTTGGAGCAGTAGCAACAGAAAATTGCAGGCGTGTTCCGCAAACGGGCTATTTCGTCCAATGGCGGAGCCCCGCCGAGGCAGCAGCCTGGTGAGGATCGCTGCCGCACGTCTCGATGGAGACAGAGACGCTCAGCCGCTCTGACAGCATCCCGCTGCAATGGTGGCTGCATTGCCACCAGCAATCCCAGAAACGAGCTGTAAACAACAAGGGGCCGGAGCGCTGGGCTGGGCCACTTGTTAGTCACTTTGGCGAGTCCCATCCAGACTGCGATGACTGCATGATTCTGTTATTAGTTTCTAAAAGGGAAATGGCTGCTACTAAGACTGCACGGGCCCTGGTACACATAGCGCTGGGCCCACAAACACAGAGACTACAATATGAACACTGAGGATTAGAAAGGGGGCGGGGATAAAGCGAGGAAGAAAATGTCGTGATACGAGAAACGGTGTCATGAAAAAGAGAAGAGGCAGAAGTGGTGGGTGGAGAGATGATGAAAATGAAGGTGGAGATGGAGATGGAGATTGAGATGATGAGGTTGGCAGAGGTCAAGAGAGAGTAGCAGGAACCTCGTGCAGAAACCGCTAGGTAGACAGGGGCTTCTTGCGGCTCCCGACAGCCGGTGGTGCCTCTATGCGGCACTGCCATTGCCGCCATCCTCGGTCTCGCGGCTCTTCAGCACGCGCAGAATGGACCCGCTAAACATTTTGCGGACCGTGCGGCTGGCCGACAGCGAGCTTTCGCGCTGGTGAAGGGCTGTCGTCGAGATGGCTGCTGCAATAGACTGCGGCTGCTGCATCGAGCGGGAATCCACTGGACGCAGCGCCGACGGCGATCCGCCACTAGCGCTGATATAGCTGCCGTCGCTATGCTGTGACCCATTCCTCCGCAGCCCGCTGCCGGCGCCGTCGCGGCGGAACAGTCCTATCGACATGCGCTTGCCCTCGGCCGAGACCCCGGTGTAGGCGTCATCGCACTGACGGGCCGCAGCGCCTTGGGCGTCGATTGGAGCGATGCTGAGGTCGATCCATACCCCTGGTGCTTGGGATAGCCACTGGACACATTCGAGCTGGCCATCGACTCCTGGTTGCTGGCCTGGCTAGCATAGCTACCCTGCGAGAACATGGTCGCTCCCTGTTGCCCGGGGCCAATTCCAGGATGCGGCGGTGGCATGTCGCTGTGTGGTCGCAGAGTGATGCGCGATCCACTAGCAACTGCAGCCGGCGCCGCCAGCGTTTGCCGGGCCGGGTTCCGCGACAGGATTCCGCGGCTCTCGGCTCGATTAAGCAGCCTTTGGTGGAGCGGAAGAGCCGACCCGCTGCCCATCGACGTTGCCAGGCTGTGTGCGCTGGTGTCGCTTCGGGTATTCGCTGAGGTCATTCATAAACGTGTTCGATGGGTAAGTGGTGCTGGTGATGATCCGGCGGTTCTGCAGATACGCCATCGCCATGTACCACATATCATGATCAGCCTGCGAAGTTGCCTTGATCTTGACCTCGCGATGGTTGGTCGTCACCACGATGCAGTACTGGGGCTCGTCGTGGCTGCCTGCATCGTGCTGGTCAGGAACGATGCGGATATCGCGCATGTACACGCTGCGGACTGCCGCTGGTGCGGGCAGTACGCGACAGGGCCATGCTGGTCGACATTGGCTCCTTGCCCCAGTACAGCGTCTTGGCGTATGGCAGGATCCAGAAGTACCGCATATGCCGCCGCTCGTGGCCACCGGCTGCCTTGAACCGCGTCGACGTGTACTTCCACATGTACGTGCCAACCATAGTGCGCGCTATCGACTGAACAATCAGAGGCTCTGGCTGACGCGAGATATACGGCGGCTCAGCGCTGGTCTCGACCGCAACACTGGCCGATGCGCGCTTTTGCCGCGGCTGCTGCCCCCGCACTGGTTTCAGTCTGAACATCGGCGCTCTGGGGTCCAGGGGAGCGCGTCTGCAGGTCCCCTGCATCCACATCAGACACGTCGGAGTCATTGCCACTCTCATCCTCCTCCTCTTCCTCGAGATCACGGCCAAGCTCCATCGCATCATGGTCCTCGCTTTCATCAACCGTCTCCAGAACACCGGCAGAGGTGACACGGCGCGGCGAAAGCGACCTGAACATTTCCTCGATGCGATGATCGTTGGCGGCATCCAGAGTCAAGGCTCTTGTCTCCATGAGCTAGCGGGTAGCTCTTGCGCTGCGTCGCGCTCTCAGGCAAGCTGTCCGTCGAGTCGATTCCTGGCACCTGCGAGCAGTGGATATTGTTGCGCGGCTGCACAAAGATGTAGCCGTAGTCCTCCTTGTCGGAATTGGACTTGGACTGCTGGCGCTCGAACCTCGGCAACGACTGTTGGCTGCGCCCGCTCGGCGACATTTCCTCAATCGTGCTGAGATCGGAATGGAGGCCACCTGCCTGCCTGAGCGCCGGGGACGACTGCTCGGCATCAACATAGTCGCCATCATGCTCGTCCTCAGTAGCACGCTCATCGTAGCTGTTGTTGGCCGTAAACATGTCAGGGGTCTTGGTGCCAGCCTTGGATGGTGCAGTGAAGACATCGTCAGTCGACGCAATCGAATCCATTGACTCGATCGCCTCCATCTGCAGCATATGCGAGCTGTTATCCGACGATACGTTCAGCGACCCAGGATACGACACATGCTCAAAGTTGTCGACACGCGTGAGGTCGTCAGTGTCAGTAGCCATCCCGGTAGAAACCGTGCTGTTGGCAGCCGTGTGGGCAAAGGCATCAGCAGTTGCAGCAACTGCAGCGATAGCAACGCTCCTGCCAGCCACTGATGGCTTAGCCTCGGTCTCAATCGACTTGTGCCCAACCATGCGAGGCTGGCGCGCGGGTGCGGCTTCGGCGTGCACAAACACCTCGGTCACAGGCGATGTGGCAGTCTGAGCCTCAGCAGTAGTGCCTACTGCTGCGTTATCAGTCCTGATCGCCCTATCAGACGCGAACGTGGTCCCCACAGACATGTCGGCAGTGCTGGGCACCGCTGAGCCGATATGCGCATCGACAAGGGCCGGCTCAGCCTGGATTCCTGCATCAGCTCTGAGCCCCATTGCACCATCGGTGCCGATACTGCGCTCAGCAGATATCGCGCCATCATGCGTAGCCACTGCCGCATCGCCTGTAGCTCCAGACCCAGCGGCCACGGATGCATGGGCGTGGGCTAATTCATCCTGGCCAACGCATGCGTCGGCGCGCATACCATCGACCTCAGGCTCCACGCTACGCTCCACAGTGGTCTGTGCTGGGCCGGCAGCCTTGTCGACATATCCAAAGGCAGAGTCAGCGCCAACACCACGGCTGGTGACTTGGGCAGTGCCTGCCTCAATTTGCTGGTCGCTGAGCTGCACGGTCGAGTCAACAGATTGCTCAGCTCTCTCGCACAGCGGACCCTCACCGCGCTCAGCAACATCAGCAATGGCCAAAGTGCCAAAGTCGCGGGTCTCACAGACCCCAGCCGCCACAACCGACTCCTTGTGCTCGACAACGGGGCCAACACTAGCGTCCTTGGCCAAGATCTCCATATCGGTAGCAGACTCCTTCTGCTCAACGACTGGCCCAACGCCGGCGTCCTTCGCCGAAATACCCATATCGGTGGCATGCTCGACAAGCGCTACCCCAGCCGACACCGACACCTCAGCAACCGCAATATCTGGGCCAGCCGAGGCGTCGGCCCATTTGGTCTCGCTCGATGTCGAGTGCTCTGCTGTGGCGACAACAGCCTCAACCAATTGGCTACGCTTCTCGACGGGATCGGATGGATCGGTCCACCGGTCTACTGTCTTGCACTCAGTGCCAACACCCACGTTGACCAGTGCAGGTCCCATTGGCGCATCGACACCGGTTTCGGTCATAGACAGCGGTCCTGCCTGCTGGCTCTTGCCGGCAGTCTTGGGTTCAGCCTGTACGCTCTGCTCGCTGGTGTTGACCTCGGGTGAGGTTCCACGATCAACATAGATCTTGGCTGTGGCAGCCGCTGTAGCAGCAGCAGCCTCAGCGGCGCGCGCCATCTCAGCCTCAGTCGCTGATCTGGTCGCCTCCTCGACCTTGCGGGCGTGTAGCTCATGCACGGGCTCGCCACGGCGGCTGAGTGCAGCAAACACCGTGGCCATTGTGATGCCTGCCGGGATAAGTGGCTCCAGCCAGGCAAGCAGCATCGCGTCATCGGTAGCAACCTGGGTGTCGTTGGTACCCAGAGCATCAGTTGCAACAGATGTGTCGTTGGACTGCAGCACAGCTGTCTCTACACCACGGTCAAGCAGAGCCGGGGTAGATGTTTCGATGGCAGCATCGCAAGACGACCCGGCGCCCACAGACACCCCACGCTCCTGGGACGCGGCAATTGCCTCAACCGCTTGAGAAGACGTGCCAAACAGACGGTCGGTAGCAACGCCGCTGCTAGCAACCTCCACAATAGCCTCGACTGCTTGTGCGGTAGTACCAAACAGTTTGTCGGTACCCATGCCCACATCAGCAGAAGGAGCGGTAACGTCGACCAACTGGGACGAAGTGCCAAACAGGCGATCTGTCACCATGCCTGTGTCAGTAGACTCGGCAAATGCCTCCACCGACTGCGAAGAAGTGCCAAGCGTGCGATCGGTGAACACACCGGCATCCAAGGAATCTGCAAATGCCTCGACAGCCTGGGACACGGTACCGATTGAGCGGTCAGTGGCCATGCCTGACTCGGCAAGCTCAGCAGTTGCCTGGCACGAGCTCTCCTGCACCACAATATCAACTGACGTATACGCGTTGCTGACACCAAGAAGCGGATCAGTGGCAACAACTGCCGCACTAGTCTCAGCCGATGCCTGCACCCCACGTAAGCTCATGGAAGCAACTGCTTCGACGCTCTGATCGCCGAGCATTGACGAGGACATGTCGGTAACCATGCCTGTCGACGCAACGTCTGGCTGTACCTGCGTTGACCCGTTGGCAACTGCCACAGCGGCGCCAACCGCACGGTGCTCGACGCCAAATGCAGGGTCGGTCGCATTCTGCTGGTGAGCAGTTGCAGACCCAGCCTGGGTTCCGAGCTCCTTGGTAGCAGCAGTCTCGGTCTGGATCGCCCCGTCCACCAGTGACCACATGCTTGTCGCCGGTTCTACGCCAACTGAGCGAATGGCATCTGGACCGACGTTGGCTGTGCCAACTGATGCATCAGCCGACGGCAGTGAGAGCGCCGCCTGCACCGACGTATTAGTGCCAGTGCCTGCAGTCGTCAGTGTGCTGATCTGGGCATCCGCGAACTCTGGCAGCGAATCAGTGCTTGTTGATGCATCAACCATCCTGGGCTTGTCCTCAGTCTTGGCCTTGGCCGATGCAGCAAACTGCTCTGCCAGCGACACCGATGTGTTGAAGCCCATGCCAAAGCCCTTGTCGTCATCAGTGAACGGCAACGTTGAGGTGCGAGACCGCCCCGCTCTAGTCATCTTGCGGGGCGGACTGCCAAGCCCAGCTGAAGCCAGGCGACTCGGCGAGTCGAGGGAACGCGAGATATCGCCAAACCCGCCGAGCTCATTGGCCAGCGACAGCGACAGCGGCGCAACAGCGCCCTTAGGGGTCTTCGGTGACCGCTTCTCCGTTGGCATAGGCTCATCCCACATGGTGCTGGCACCGCCCAGGATGTCGCCCAGCGACTCTCCAGCCGGCATATCTGACGGGAACTCTGAAGGGAACTCGGTCGGACTGGCCGATGCCACCGAATGCCTGATAGCGGAAGCACTGGTCGCTGCCTTGCGGCGTGCATCGGTGCTACGGCGTTTGCGCGGTGTGGCCATCTGCGAGCGGCGGTTGCGCATGTTCATGCGCTGCTGGTATAGCTGGATATCGCGAGCATCAGCATCCTCGTTGTTCTCGCTCTCGCCGCCGCTAGACAGGCCCTCCCCACCAGCTGCCCCTTCGGCGAACTTGAGCTCCTGGTCCAGATTGGCAAAGCTGCCGATGCCATCGGCAGCAGCAGCAGTGTTCAGAGCAGCAGTCAAGTCCTCAACGCTCTTGCTCGAGATCCGGTCAGACATGGCATCGCTGTCGATATCCGATGCAATCGCAACCCCAAAGCCGCTGCCACGTGTGGACGATTTTGACATCGACACATTTGATGCGCGGCGCTCGCCAGTCATACCCGGTAGATAGCTGCCAAGTGATTCCATTGCATCGACCGCCATGTCGTCAGGCAGTGGGCCATACATCTGCTGGAAGCGATACGTCTCCTCCTGCTGCAAACGCAGCATGCGGCTCGCCTCCTTGTGGTTGACCTTCTCCTTGTGCAGCTTGCGCGACATTTGGTCGTATTTTTTGCGGTAGTACAGTACCGACTCCTGGAGACGGCGGATAGACTGCTCAGGAGTGACCCCGTCATTCGGAGTCCCGCTGGCTGGATCAGCGCTGGCGCCAGTCTCCGTCTTGCCATCGGCTACGATCGAGCTGGCACGCTTGCGCTCAGCCATGTACTCGTCAATGTTGGCCTTCAGGCCGGCCCGCTGCAGCTTACCCTTGAGCTCGACGCGCAGCTCCTCGTTCTTTTTAACAAGCACAGTCTTATCGGTCTGCAGGTTGTTGTTGTTGCGGCGCAACGACGTCAGCTCCTGCTCGTAGCGCTGCCGAGATTTGTCCAGCGAAGCATTCAGCTTGCTGATCTGCTCATCAAGCTGCTGGCCCCGCTCATTCGACAGGCTGAGCTCCTGCCTGAGCTTGTCGTTCTCGTTCGTCAGCCGTTTGGCTGTGCGCTCGGCCACATCAACCTTTTCGGCGAGAACCTCGCGCTCGGCAGACGCCTCGTACGACAGCGCAACCTGCTCGGACCGCGACTCCTCAAGCCGCTTGTTCTGCTTGTCGAGCTGCGCAGCGCGCTTTTCCAGCTCGTTGAAGCGACCGAGAAGCATGTTGTACTCATCATGGATCGCACTGTTATCCAGAACCTGCCGGTTGACATACCGAACAAGGAACTTCCCAAAGGAGGACGCGGCAGTGAGGCATTTGCGCATTTCATCCCGCGCATCGTCCATGTTGACCGGGTCGCCGTCGTCGTCGTCGTCGCTGCGGTCACTGTCACCGGAGAACAGAGTGCGGTTTGCCCGGGACTTGCCGCCCGTGCGACGAATGCTGTTAGCACGAGCGCGGCGGGGCGTCGTGTGCCGTACAGGCGTGCTCATCAGGTCCTCGCCTGCACGACGCACCTCTGCAGTCAGCGTCGCACGCTGAGAGTCGTTCTCACCAATGTCCAAACCACGGATCGGCGTCTTTGCTGCACTCGTAGCAACAGCACTGCCGCCCCAGTAGCGTGCCGGGGGCGGGCTCAGCGGCCGCTCGCCAGCAAACTGCACGCGGTTCGACCTGAGCGACGGCTCGCACTCTTCGTACGCCCTGCGGTATTCCTCAAACGCATCGATCGCCGCTCTATCCAGCTCCATAGCGCGCTCCTCGCTGGCCCGTTGCTTAGCTGCCTTTGACTCGGCGAACAAAAACGGATTGTCAGAGCCCTCCGATCCCGATCCCAGCGACTGGTTTGCGGCTCCTTCTGCCTTAGCTGTGGCGACCTCAAGACGCAGACGGTCAACCTCCTTCATCAGCCGAGCAGCATGATCCCTGGATTCTTTGAGCTCTTTATCTATAGCGCGCTTCTGGTCGACAATAGTCTCCATGAGCACCGCGTTGTCAATGTCCACCTGTGGCTTCTCGTCGCTGCTGTCGGGGAACTGGGACATTGAGCCAAGTGTCCTGGGCGTCCCTCTAATAAAGCCGGAGGGCGACTCATTACCAGCGCGCCTTGAGCCAGACTTCAGGTCACGCGGGTTCAGCGATGACCTGCGGCTCTCACGACCGCTGTTGGCGCTAGACGGCTTGCCTCTCGTCATCGACGAGTTTCGCGAAGCCCTTGCCCTCGACCGCATTGACGCTGCGTCGGTGGGGGAGGGCGGAACCGCCATAGGCACAGCCGAAAGACTAGGCATATGGGGTGGCGGTGCGATTTCGCCGTTCTCGTTGGCCAGTGCTAGCACAGCTTGTGCCGCGTGCATCGTGTTGTTGGACGTCCGACGCACTCCGGGCGATTTTCCTCCCACTGTCGGCGAGCCGGTGGACGAGCTGCGACGGTGCAGCGGCTGCGAGGCACGGCGGGTTTCGGATGCACGAGAAGCGATTGACGCCCGCGACGAGGGGCGCAGCGAGCCGCCATTGTTGTTGATTCCGAGGCCAGTCGTGGCGGCCACACTGCTCCCAGGCGGTGCGATGGCTGCTGCACTTGCTGGTCGCGATGTCGTCCCGACTCCGAGCGACTGCCGGGACCGCGAGCGCTGCTGACCGGTGGGCGCGAGTGATGAACGACGCATGCCGAGTGGTGAATACGGGATTGTCGCTTGCTCCGCTTGACGAGCGTATTTTAGGCGACACGCCTCGCAACGTTCGATATGACTGGAGATAAACTGCGGTCTGGTTGTGTGAAAGCACGGTGCAGCGCCCTTGAGCGGCGAGTGGTTACTACTGCCGGAAACAGAACGTTGGGATGGCGAAGAAGGCAGGTTAGTGGTTTTGATGCCCAGGCTGGACGGCGTGCTGGCCCTCAGCGGTGTTGGCGCTCGTGTCTTTGGCGGTGACATTGTGAAATAAGTGCAGGTAGGGAGGAATGAAACGGCTTAAAGCAGAGCAGTGAACTAACGGCGGGTTTTCGCCGTTTGCCCACACAGGCAGTCGCAACGCAAATGTGAAAAAGAATTGGTAAAATGGACAGTAGCAGGCGAGGGGATATGGCGGAGAGGCAGGATTACTTTGCTGGATGCCTGGACAGAACAAGCCAGACCGTTAGCAACAAGTCGTCCCTCCCTGTCTACTCCAAACGCGAATCAGCTCAGCAGTCTACTACTCTGGGGCAGAAAACCAGCCAGAAGATGTCTGGGCCAAGCAGCGTAGTGTGTCCCAGGTTCCAAGAAGAGCTTTGGTGCACCGTGTTCGCAATAGAAGAAGGCACTCGTTGGGTGCAGATGTGAAGCCGGCAAAGGGGAAACTGAATAGAAAAGGGAAATTTGAGATAGCGCGAGTAGGTTGCAGTTCAATACGGAAGAGAGCAGCGCCAACTCTGTTTCTGCAGCCAACAACCCACCACATCCCCGCTCGGTAAAGCCCCGCAGCTCTCTCTCCCCCGACACTCCGCCTCATCCTGCATTTTCGCAGCTCGAGAAGCATTTTGTTGGCAGGGGGCCGGTACAGCCCGCGTTCCATTTGCCACGCAGTCGGGGCGAGAGGAACAACCCCGGGCTTGTTCAGGCCGAGGTTTGTTATATGAAAATGCGGCGCACGTAATCTGTCCAAATTAGACCAAGCGCTGGCACCACCGGCGGCGGGGGCAGCAGCGACCAGTGTTGTCATTCTAGAACAAGGGCTTAGCACGCGCTGCGAGTTACCTTAACGGTAATTATGTGGGCTGGTCGCGCGCATTTAGAGAACAAACCTAGCCGATACGCAGCAAAATATTATTACCAGAGGGGGATAGGACTTTAGCAGCGCCAGCGTCGAGAGCCCTAGCGCTATAGCGTGCATATAAGCTTTTTTGTAAAAAACCTACCTGGGCGTGTGGGGTCTGTCGGGCAGGGGATCAGTGTTTTGCGCCTGGTTGTCCACGGTTAAGGCGCCCGAGCGTCGGTGGTGCTTTGGCTGGCTGTGCGTGTGTGGGGTTGAATGAAGTTGAAATAGAGGGTATAGAGGCTAGTAAAAGTATGGATAGAAGCTCAAGGCGTGCACAGAGGGCGGAACTATGAGCTCTAGTGCAGAGTAGGGAGATGGAAGTGGAGAGGTGTTGCAGCACCAAAGATAGGAGCCCAGACAAGTGTATGAAAAGAGAGGGAAAATGGTGGTGCAAGCAGATATTTTGAAGTAAAAAGGCCCGTCGGTGTTTGCCCAACACAACAGCATCGCTTCTAAGAAAATCGCCCTGCTGTTGTTGATATGTTTTTCACGCGGACGCCGAAAGACACAAGAACAAACCGGACAGATCGGTGATCTGATCTGCGATGATCACCGGCTGCGATTGGCCATATGGCCAACTCCTTCAGAGTGACTGCGCAACAAAGCCAGTTTGTCTCGCGAATAGCACTGCTGGGGGCACGACGTGCTGGCTCATAGCATAGCTTATTGGGGCGTGTCAATACCACAGTGCCTGCTGGCAGTGATACAAGTGCACCCCCGTACATTGTTTGATTTTTGTAATCCACCACATTCCTGCACATATTTGCTCAAATGTTGATGTGTTTGTAAACCACGTCTTCGGCAGCACGACGCAAATAGCAGCAATTTTGTGTTCCATATTAATACATACCTACAAACTGTATCTCTGTAGACTACCGGCGGCCGATATAAGTCATATTAACCCGGCCCATGGCCGTTACAGTTCCAGCGCACGCCAATCTATATCATGCACTTTAATCACTTGCCTCTCCCAGCCATCCCGGAAATGTGCGATGAGTTTAATCTCTCCCACACGCCCTTGACCCACCATATCATGTAACAGATATTGCTGTGATTACAACAGAACTGTATTGGCGGTCCCAAATGAGTTGCAGTACCGGCAACTCCGAATGGCGCAAAATACAGCGTGACTTTTTTTCTTAATACACATTGCAGGTCAGTGGGAGTTGAGGTCCATTGGTAGGACAGATGTGTTGAACATGGTCTAGTAAGCATGCTATTGCGTCCATTGAGCTGCCACGCATATAGGCGTGCCACTATTTCGCAAGAGAGACTTGGATTGCATGAGGCAGAGACGATCGCTCACCCGGCGTCCAACAGACATTTATACATCTGTTGAGAGTGGGGTTCGCATACAGCCCTGGCACCTGCAGCGCGAAAGAAAATTCCTGAGGGCGCCATAGTGGCCTGCGAATATGTAATGAAGTAGTGCAAATAAATTGTCTTGACGACCCTCGACGCTTCTCAACGTTGGTTGCGAACCGCGTTGGAAAAGAAAATGGCTCAAACAATGTCAGCCGTGTTGTTGCTTTTTGGCTTCGTCTGCTCCCAAATTTTTCAGTTTGCTGCTTTCCAAAAACATCTGGCTGTCTTTGCAGCTCTCTTCCACGCGTCCAGTTTTATTCACTTTCTATAAAAGCTATATTACGCTGGTTGCAGCGCTGGTGGCAGCAACTGTGTTTCGCTCCTTTCATCCACTTATTTTCCTCTACTGCCTTTTCTTTTTTACTCATTTTCGCTCGAATTCGTCACTCAATTGGACAAAGCCTTATTTCCAACTAGCACCAAGCCCCTACTCTTCGTCTAATCCAAGCATCGTCGTGCCTCAATTCACGCCCACCTCTTCAACTAAACCTCGTCTCTTCGTCTTTTCGACTACGCGTACCCCACGCACAGCATAGGCAGCCAAAAGAAAAGGGCTCTGCCATGAGTATCAAGGGCCAGCAGGCATCGCAAAGGATGCCACAGCCGAACCCACACAGGGACTCAGAGTCTCCTTCTTCCGTGGCACTGAGAGACACGGATAGCCATACACAGCCTGCGTCAACACGCCGGGGACGGCCACCCAAGGTCCCAGGCATCCGCGGAAGATCCCTGCAAAAGCGGTCGCACCCCAGGATCAAAAAGTCCAAGGAGTTTGTCGTGGATTCCTCGGACGAGGATGACGATTCATCGAGCGACGAGGAAGATGTAAGTATACCGATGCAGCAAGCGTGCTGCCAGGTCCTGGCGAGGTGTGCCATGGAGAATACCTCCTGTGATTTCGTGTGGCACAACAGCGCATAGCTCAAAGCACAATGGCGCATTATTGCTGTAGGAAGTTACTTGCGCAATCTGCCACATGGGGCATTCGCCGGACAACAACCCCATCGTGTACTGCGAAGGAAGGTGCAACCTGGCGTACCACCAGATGTGCTATGGCATCCTGGAAGTGCCGCCGGGCGACGACCCCTGGTACTGTGACTGGTGCAGCAGCAACAACAGGACGCTCTATGGAAAGGTAAGGTGCATGCAAACACTGATTTTCGCTCGTAATTCTGACGATGGCGCGCACTGCTATAAATGTAAATTCCCCACGAGCTGCCAGGGAACGCCACCATTTACCGTCCCCATCCTTGTTGTCATTTTCTCGCCTGTAGCACCCGCGTCACTCTCGTGGGGCTTCAGACTGCGACAATCTCTTTGCTCACTCACCCGTTCATTGTCTCAACCATATCTACCCAATCTGACCAAACCTTTTGCTCTGTAGAACCTGTTCTGCTGCCACTACAAGGACGATAAGACTGCACGGACACTGGTTCTGAAGGACAAGGACAAAGAGCGGGAGGAGCGCCCGAGCGAGTTCAAGTTCATCCACATCCACTGCGCGGCGTGGTCGCCGGAGATAAACACAGACGAGATCCCGTTCACTACAACGCTGCCCAAGCTCAAGGGCGACTTCAAAAAGTGCTGCATCTGCAACGCCCGCTTCGGCTTCCAGGTGCACTGCAAGCATGTCAATGCTGATGGCAGCCCGTGCGAGAATTCGTTCCACCCCATGTGCGCAATTCGCAACAACTTCATCCCGCGGCCAATTGTGTACAACTACAAGTACAAGGATCCGCTCTGCCCCGAACATATCCCGCCCGCCAAGATGCTACCGGCGAAACGTCCGCTATCCGCTGGTGTTGAGGACATCAATCAGCCCGCGAGCAAGCGCCTGGATCGCCGGCCGTCAGCCGCAGCGATGGCTTATTCTTCACCTAGCGCCGCCATGAATGCTGGCTCTCAGCGGCTGCCGTCGACAGCCAAGTCGGCTTCAACACCGATGCCAAAGAAACAGACTACATTATCGTCATCCATGCCACAGTATCCGCGCAGTCCAAGAGGTGCGGATAATCCCTCTTCCAAGCCCCAGCTGTCATTTAACTATGCGGATGTGAGCGGCAATGCCAACATGAAGCAGGCGCTGGCAAGCCTCAGGCCTATGCGCCGAGTTGGCCGTCTACCACAGTCGATAATTGACGACGGAAGCGATGCGTCATCGCTGGATCAGCTGGCGACTACCAAAGCCCAAAATGGACAAGGCAACCGCATTGGGAATGGTCGCACTGCTGCTGCGAGTGGTGACAACAGCGACGACACGATCAGCGAGGACATGGAGTCGCGGTCGCGTTCCAAGAATAGCCAGCAACGGCGTTCCGCTAATGCGCCGTCGAACTCGCGTCAGGCTCAGCAGTTTGCAGCAGATCCCAATGGGGGCAGTGCCAAGAAGATCATGCTGACGCTCCCAGGCAACGATCAGTCGCGTCTGCATGACCATTCGCCCGACCTTGCGGACAGGGGGTCTGCCGAATCACACGCCCATGGGGCTGCACGCCAAGCGCCATATTCTGCAGTTATGCGGCCCATGTCCTCACCAGCACCTGAGTCAGCAGCAGATCAGTCGATGAATGGCTTAGTCCACAGCTCTGTGCGCCAGGGGTCACTAGAGCGCGATCCGACTGCCAGTCCGCAGCTGCAGCAGTCAATGGCGCCTCCAGTAATGACCAAGCGCCAGACGATCCGTATTAAGCCGTTTGTGCGCAGCATTGATCGCAGACCATCGATCCACGACCAGCCCGTTGCGCTTAGTGCTACATCGACATCATTCCCCATTGAGACCTCGAAAAGCGCTGCAGCGATTGCAACCATTGCTGAGCAGATACCGGAACTTATGAGCATAGCATCGGGTTCAAGCAAGGCGTCCAAAGAGCAGCTCGCATGGATGAAGGAGTCACGGGAGGTGCTTGATAAGCACACTGAGATGCTGACTAAGATCCATGAGCTTGTCAACGAGCTATCCGCACAGCCTGCCAAGCAAGCACAGACAGCGATGTCAACCATCAGCAGCCTGACGGCACTGATTCCGCGTAGTGATGCGCCTCTGCTGACTAACAAGCCATCAGTAGTGCCAGCTAGCGGCGAAATATCGTCTGATCCAGCACCCGGTCCGTCTCAGTACCAGCGTCCTGCCGCGCTGAGCCTGAACAAGCTTTTCAACAAGAGCGTGCCTGCTTCAGCGTCAGCTGACAAGGGGCCAGATGTAGATGCTGACAAGAGAACCGCTTCCCTGTCTTCGGTGCCATTGACCCGGCCAATCTTTAGTTTGCCTCCGCCCAGCTCACTGGCAGCCATACCCTCCTCGCCAGCAATGGCGTTGACAGCCAAGCCTACAACCATAGCATCTGGTATCAACGGCAAAGCGTTGTATACACCGTCGCCCGAGCTCACATCTAATGGAGTCAGCAACGCTGGGTCTCTGTCGCCGACACACTCAGAGAACACTGGCTCTGGAAGTGACTCACACCTCTCGAAACCATCGGCAGCAGAGATTGAGCTCAGGGAGCTCAAGGCCGATGCGACGAAGCTGTTTCGTATGCTGGATCTGGGACAGGCGCTGTTGGATAAGGCAAATGCGAAACGCCCGGGCATGCTGCGCCCCCTGATTGAGGACATGAAGAAGCTCGGCGGCACCATGCAGGAAGAAAACATTTCTGTGTTCATCAAGACGATTCTCCGCCATTTTGACAGCAAAAAGTGAAATATAATTTGTTTTATACCCTCTACTAGGACTGAATTATCGCAGCAAGCCAGCGGTTCCAAGTTTGGATACCAAGGATGCGAACGCTGAGTGGCTCGTTTAAACTACTGGACCTACAAAATGCGAAGGACCTAAGACGAATGGGGCTTTGATATATGGTTTAATGTTCGATTTTCCAGTGCTATTCAGATATATATATTTGACACCTTATGATCTGAATCCATCGGCGTAAAGAGATAATCCTATTTAAAGAGTCCACGGAGGGAGTCACGCATACTCGCTGTGAGGCTCAAAAGAGTGTGGGTCCTTTCAGTCAATAAAAAACATTACAGTGAATAGTCGGACGCATTCTGGGATATAAAATCGTATAATCCAGCCACATGTAATCGGTCTGTGCGGTGGTGCCACACAGCAGGGATTCTGTTGCAGTATAGTAAAAATCCATATTGCTCAAAAATCATCTACCCTGCTAGACGACGATGAGAACGAAGCTGAGCGGCGGTGGCGGCGACGACTGTCCTCGTGGGCTGAGTCGATGTCCTGACTATCGTCAAACATGTCATCGCCAATATCGACATTCTCGTCCGTTTCCTCGGTGCGCCCAGTGTTGTGGACAATTTCCTCCTTGATCTTCTTGCGCAGCTTGTTCATGGCTTCCTGCTGGTCCTGGATCTCCTCCTCTTTCATCTCGCGCAGCTGCAGCCCCATATGCGTGACATATAATGGGTCGTCGCGCTCCTCCTCTAGCTGGACGTTCAGCGGGACCTGACGGCGCTTCAGCATGGCACGCGACTTGATTGGCACATACACAGCCTCGCCGTTATTGATAGTGAACATGTACATGTCCTGGCGGTGTGCCTCAGAGAGCCCCGGTAGATCGTAATCGCGCGCCTTCTCGAAGCGATACTCGACGCCCGAGTCCTGCTCGCCTGCCTGCCTGCCATCAGTCAGCCGCTCGTGGATCTTGGTCGCCATTTCGCTGTCTTCAGGCAGGAACGACTCGACCCACCGTTCACTTTGGCCAAAGTTGTTGGTGCGGTCGCGCAGCCTAAACACAATCGACTGGCGCGCCTCATCGCCGAGCTTCTGGCGCTTCGCAGCGTCCATGTCAGGGCAGTTCTTCATGCTTGTGTACTGCGGCTCCGGGCACGTGTCGAGCGTGAAGGCTGTGTAGTTGTTGACCCAAGTGTGCTCGTCGGGGAACACCGGGATGGCCTCGACGGCAGTCAGCTTCGAGTTCGTCGGGTGCTTCATGTCACGCAACAGCCTCGCCTGGCCATCCTCGAGGTCGGCGTATTTGGCATAGCATGCAAATGTATCTTCGATCGCCTGCAGCTGGCCCTCAAGCGAGTGATCAAATTTGCGCTTCTCCTGCACGCGCACCACGGGCCTAGCAGCTGGGCCGCCAGACGTGCTGGTGCTGCTGGTGTTCGGTGCGGGTGCTGCTGGCTCAGTGGTGGTGGGGAGATTCAACAAGAATTCATCTCTTGGATCGAGCTCCTGCGGCTGGAGGGCACCTGGCCTGTAGTCTTCATCAAATGTGCCCAGCATGCACGGATCGATCGGCATGCCAAGGTCGGCGTCAATGTGCATCGGGTATGGTGTCGCCTCTTCCAATGTTGTGTGCCGGTATTCGACATAGTGTGCGAGCCGTGCCTGGCTGTACGAGCCACCGTTCGCGTCTACGTATGTCGGCGGAATCGGCAGCAGTTTGGGAGGAAAGGGAACCACGGGCAGCGGGTTCTGGTACCGAACCTTGCACAGAAACTCCTTTCCAATACTCCTAAAAGTAGACAGCGGCGTGTGGTTAGAACCAAAAGCTGGCAAGCATTGAGGGAATTATAAAAATGACGCTGAGCTATGAACAGCGATTGGTGTCAAACAGAAGCGTACTTTTTGTTTTGCTTGGACGCCGACGACATTTCAGGGTGTATGTACGTTAACGCGTTCCGTCCTTGGTAGACTTGCCGTAGCAACTGATGCGTAGAGAGGAAATGTGTGCAGCTTGGTAATGAAGTAAACTATCGGGTAATTCGAGCAGCGAGCAGAGGGGAGGAATGGCGCGTCGTGCCCCAGCCCCTTGTTCTCAGAAAAGCGGCTGAATTAGCGGGAGGGATCACCAGATCAGCAGCGCATGTTGGGCCCGAAGATGACTCAAATTTTCGAACAGTACACGGCACGGACCGTTTCGCAAAAGCCCTGCCTTTCATTCTTCTTCATTTGAGCGTTTAAACAGCACCAGCACTTTCTTTTCGCAAGCAGCAATATGGCCGAGACGCAGGAACTAACCCAAGCTACCGAGAACATGTCTCTGGAGCAGAACATCACGCCGTGGGAGGTCGAGGGCGCCGTGGTCGACGGTGTGCAGCAGGCAATTGACTACGACAAGCTCGTTAAGCAGTTCGGCACGCGCAAGATCGATGACGCTCTGCTGGAGCGGTTCGAGACGGCCACGGGGCAGAAGCCGCACCTGTATCTGCGCCGCGGAATCTTCTTCTCGCATCGCGAGCTGGAGAAGATCCTCGAGCGGTACGAGCAGGGCAAGCCGTTCTACCTGTACACGGGGCGTGGACCGAGCCGCGGGCACATGCACATCGGACATATGATGCCGTTCATTTTCTGCAAATGGCTGCAGGATGTGTTTGACTGCCCGCTTGTGGTGCAGCTGACCGACGACGAGAAGTTCCTGTTCAAGAACGACCTGACGCTGGAGCAGGCGAACGAGTATGCGTTCAACACAGTGCGTGAAATTGCCGCGATCGGCTTCAAGCCCGAGAAGACGTTTATCTTCTCGGACATTGAGTACATGGGCGGTGCGTTCTACCGCAACGTCCTGCGCATCTCGCGCATGGTCACGTACAGCACGGCCAAGGCGTCGTTCGGATTCAAGGAGAGCGACCACATTGGAAAGATCCACTTCCCTAGCATTGAGGCGGCGCCGGCCTTCTGCTCGTCATTCCCCGACATCTTTGGCGAGCGCAAAGATGTGCCATGCCTGATCCCGTGCGGCATCGACCAGGACCCGTACTTCCGCCTGACGCGCGACGTGTCCCAGCGGCTGAAGCACAAGAAGCCATCGCTGATCCACGCGCGCTTCCTGCCGGCGCTGCAGGGCTCGACCTCCAAGATGAGCTCGTCGAACGATGTCTCTGCCATCTTCATGAGTGACACCCCGGCGCAGATCAAGAAGAAGATCAACCGCTATGCCTTCTCGGGTGGCCGCACGTCGCTGGATGAGCACCGCATGTACGGCGGCAACCCCGACGTCGACGTGCCGTTCCAGTACCTGACGTACTTTTTGGATGACGACAAGGAGATTGAGGACCTGGCCGAGGGTTACCGCAAGGGCGAGATCACGTCGGGCGAGATGAAGGCAAGGTGCATTGCTGTAATCCAGGAGTTTGTTGGCAAGTTCCAAGAGCGCGAGGCCGCCATCACCGATGCCGACGTCAAGAACTTTATGGACCCGGTGTATCCGCGCCCGTACACGGCTTTGGCCAAGAAATAGAGCATTTTTGGTATAGAAAAAGACCAGTCTAAGATGGCCACCGCATTGTATTTGCAACTGGAAAAGAAGGAAACTAGAGGCTCTGCGAGCTGGCGAACGACTGGCACTGCTTCAGCATATCGAGGTAGTACTGGCACGACGACATGTCGTTGTTGGTGCTCTCAAGGCAGCGCGTGAACGCCTTGGCGTCGGCATCACACGAGCGCACACCCTGGAACGACTGAGCATGCTGGTCATAGCTAGCAGCCTGCGGGGCAGTCTGCTGCTGGGCAGGCTGAGCCGCCTCGCTGCTGCCACCTCCGCTGAACATACCAGTGACGGCGGCACCCTACACAGATCACAGGGGGGAAATCATCAGCAGAACAGAGATAAGGGCTGCATCAATCGAATATCGTGGAACACGTTCTGAAAATAATTCGCGCGGAGTACTTACGACTGTGTGGCCAATGGCAGAGCCGACGGCGACACCACCGGCGGTGGCAGCCATCTGGGCAAAGAGACCCGGCTGCTGGGGCTGGGCGGCCGCGGCAGGAGCGGCGGTAGGAGCGGCGGCAGGCGCGGGATGGTGGGCAGCCGGCGGGGGGGCAGCCATAGTGTGGGCCTCACGGCGGGGAGGAGCCGACATGGGGCGGGAAGAACGTCCACGAGAGCGAGCCATTTTTACAAAAAAGAAGAAAAGGGAAATGTGAAATTGAAGTGACTGTTGGAGAAACAAAGAAAGCCAAAGCACTCCCCAGGACAGATGCGTGGCCAGTCACCCGTTTATACCCAGGAACCTGCCTGCCAAGAATCACGGACTGCCTGCGGCTTTCTCGCAGCAACGATTACGCATAAGACGCAGTCGCTGATGACTAAAAAATTAACCGAACCGAGCTGCCATGATCGAGCCGGCCCGATTTCAGCGAGACCATCTCGCCGTGGGCTAGTCACAGTTCAGGGTGCGTCTGATCTGGGCTGTGCGCCAGGCTCCTTGCCAGGCATTAACGCCACGTAGCCGTTGCACTACGCTCTTCTATATTGCAGCCCACCCGCTGACATGTGCTAACAATAGATGCACTAGAGCACAGCGCGACTGACCTGCACCATGCATGGGATGCTCTGATGTTTACGGAGAGGGGTCGATGAGCGGACTTTGGCCGAGGCCTGCAGATGTCAACATCGCACCTATTGTTGTCTCGTAAACACCCCCGGACTTCTCAGTTTCACCTTTTTAGCTTGATGTCCCCCGTCTGACTTATTTGCGCACTCTATTAGTACATTTGTTTTAGCCAGAGATGGAGGAGCTCGAAATTCTTCCCAGAGATGCGTACCTGCACCCTATCAGCATCACCCGCGCCCCCTGCACCATCCAGTGGTGGTTTTCAACAAAGCGCAAGAATATCGACTTTGGCCTGTTTTACCGCCGGGCGCCAGCAGCTGGCGGCTACAGCGACGATGGCGCATCCGCACACCTTACGCCGCTCGGAACCATCGGCAAAGCAGGTGGACTTTCGACCGCCGCAGGCAGCACCACAGTGACCCCAATACCGACGCCCAAAGTGGCTGGCACAGCATCGTTCCGCGGCAAAAAGAATCCCTCATCGGCGTCTTCCGGCCAGCTGGCCGAGCCGGACGTGCGGACAGCGAACCCGGCCCGATCACAGAGCGACCTGGCGGCGAAGCAGCGCGGAGGGTATTTCAAACTGCAGGACAAGAATGTGACCGAGCTAATCCCGCTCAAGCACTACGAGTCATCGAGGTCGACCATCAAGGGCTCGTGGAACGCGGCCGAGCCCGGCACATACATTTTGTATTTCGACAACTCGTTCTCGAAAAACACCTCCAAGCGGCTCTCTATGTGCGTTGCCGTCAAGGAGAAGGCAACTGAGGCTACCGAGGACGTCCCAGCTGTGGTTCAGAGCGGATGGCTGTTGAAGAAGAAGCGCAAGAGAATGCAGGGGTGGGCCAACCGCTGGTTTTCACTACAGGGTCGCTGGTTGTCGTATTCGACGACTGAAGGCGGTGTTGTGCGCTCAAAGGTTGACATTGTTAACGCAGTCGTGTCGATGTCCAAGGAGGACCGCATCATCATTGTCGATGGCGACGAAGGATTCATGCAGCTGCGTGCCCTCAGCGATGACGATTTCAGCTCCTGGGTCACAGCCTTCCAGAATGTCAAAGACCAGGCAGCTCAGCATCCAGCGACTGTGACCATATCAACAGATGCCGGATTCAACAATTCCACCCAGCTCCGCCCGTCTGTTACCTGCAATACCGTCCCGCCGGCAGCGACTGGCGGTGTGAAGGCAGACAGCCGGCATTTGCAGCTGCTGCAGGCCAGCATGGATGATTCTATCAGCCAGCTGCAGAGGCTGGCTAATAATGTCGGCAGCATTCCAGTCGCAACATTCCAGAGCCAGGCGCTCATGTACCTGCGTCTGCTCAAGGACAACGCCAGCATCCTGATTCACCACCTGTCTGACCACGAGGTGGCAGTGCAACAGCAGGAGCAGTCGGACCGCCAGGACAGCCAATCCCAGATGCCAAATCTCTTTGTGTGCAGAGATACCGGATCCGCACCACCCACCATCGCGCACACAGACTCGCGCATGTCGTTCCTGTCTGCCTCCGGGTCCGACATATTTTATGATACAAACGAGGTTCTGGAGGTTGCACACGAGGATCTCAAGCTGTCGCCGTCACCCAAGTTGTCGCCAACAGACGTGGCCCGCACCGTTGTCTGAGGCCCCAGCTTTTGAGTCACCTGTTGCTGGCAAGATCCCCGCCATCACTACCAATGGAAGCCCGAGGTCCACCATCAGATGGCGGCACACCTACGTTGGACCCCAGCATCACTCCCGACCTCCGGACAGGACGATGCCGACAGCATCAGCGACAGCGACAATGACGACGCGTTCTATGGAGACAGCGCAAACCACAGCAGCACCAACCGCAATATCCGCATGCACCGCGATCTGATCCGCGACCCCGATTTTGTCGAGGCCATGGTCAAGCACCGGCTGGCGTCAGCCGCGCCCATCGACATCTGAGCCATACCCTGCATCTCCTTTGAAACAGGATCAGGATACGGAATACACGGATCTTGACAATAGGCCCGAGGTTACGCTGGACCGTGTCAAGGACCAAATTGTTGGCCACGAGCCACGCACAGAGCTCCCGGCGATAATGTGCGAGGCGAACGTCAGTCTGATCTCAATTCTGCGCAAGAACGTCGGCAAGGACCTGACCAGCATTGCGATGCCGCTGGTTATGAATGAGCCCATCAACGCGCTACAGGCGCTGTGCTGAGGAGCTCATGTACAGTCGCATTTTAGCCAGGGCCGACGAGATGGGCGACAGTATTGATCGACTGATGTATGTTGCAGCTTTCGCTATCAGTACACTGTCATCAAAGAAGCACCGCGCTGAGCGCAAGCCCTTCAACCCGCTTTTGGGCGAGACGTATGAGAAAGTCGATCCGCACATGGGCTTCCGCTTTGTGTCTGAGAAGGTCTCGCACCACCCACCGGTCATGGCCTGCTACGCAGACTCGCCCAACTACCGTTTCTGGCAAGATTCGTCGGGCAAGAGCAAGTTCTGGGGTAAGTCGATGGAAATGATCCAGACGTCGAACGTGCACATTGAGCTGCTGAAACACGGCGATCATTTTACATACGGCAAGCCCTCAGCGTTGGTTCGCGGTCTGAATCACTGGCAATCGCACCGTCGACTTCACTGGCGAAATGCGGATCACCAACCAAACCACTGGGGACTACTGCACTGTCCACTTCAAGGAGGGCGGCATGTTCAGCTCGTCCAACGACATGGTTGAGTGCCACCTGCACCGCAAAGGGGACGACAAGGTTGACCGCGTTTTGCGCGGCAACTGGCCAACGCAGCTGCGGCACGAAAAGTCCACCACAAAGTCTGACATACTCTGGACGGCACTTGCGCTGCCGCCCAACGCCTGACAAGTACTACAGCTTCAGCTACTTCACCATGTGTCCTGAATGAGCTGGTCGCAGCGACAGCCAAGTCTCTGCCGCCACCGACACGCGCTTCCGCCCCGATCAGCGTGCATACGAAGAGGGCCGCCTGCAGGATGCCGAGGAGATCCAAGCATGAGTTGGAGGAGGCACAGCGGGAGCGCAAGCGCGAGCGGGACGCCAAGGGCGAGGAATGGAAGGACAAAATGGTTTGAGGAGCGGGAAGATCCAGTACAGCGAGACAGGCAGGTCGTGGCAATACAAAGGCGGGTATTGGGATGACCGTGCAAACCACACGTTTGATCCTGCCGCCAAGCTGTGGTAATATCCATCTGCTTTCTGTGAATTCCTTTAATAGATTCATTAATTCAAGCTGGGATAGCCGAGTAAGCACAGGAGTAGACGTGATGTGAAAAGTACGGACCCGGGTAACGTTTGCGGGCTTGTAGCAGCATTGCTTCGAGTTCTTTTGAGCAAACGACACGGTTCTGCAAAACCCCTGCTGAGCCCGGAAGCTAGAGACCTCCGTGCTTCCCATTCAGTGCCCAAGCAATGCAGAGCTGCCTACCTCCCAAGTAGCTGGTAGTGATCGTATGTGGGATTGGACGTGGATCACATGGTCGCCATCTGCGCGTTTGGCCGTTTTGTTTGACCATGCCTACGATCTGTGTTGCGAGTTTTTTTTTATACAGAAGAGGCAATTCGGTGGACGTGTTCTGTTCGGAATAGTGACTGGTCCAATATAAAGAACATGTTTGTCTGCACGACTCGAGTACTGAATTGCTACCTTAAATAGATAACGCAGCCGTTGTTGTTGTCTACAGAGAGAGCATACATACTATATCTGCCTAGCCGAGCCTTTTTCACATTAAAGCCAAACCTTTTGCTACATACTCCACTGCTAAGCCCTGAATTATTAGTACCATACATCAAAGCCTACTTTGTTGAAGTCTGAATTATTGATCCCCACGAGTAACAAGGCTTCTATCATCTCCAACGATGATGTTGAAAAGCGGTGTCGCTGCTCCCGTCGACCAACATCGACCATCTGGCACCTGATGAGGAGCGCATCATGACGGACCTATCTTCGCAAGACCAACATGCGGCTCCTTGTCTTCCTTTGCTTCGAGATAACTTGTAGCACACAAGAGTTGCTCGCACAGCCTTCCATCCTTATCCTTCCCATTTTCACTACGCCTGCCGTCGTCGTCGGGCCAGCTTGGCTTAATGCCAACATGCGAGGCACAGATCATAGTGCCATGACCAATGCATTGGCCGGTGCGGCCTCAACACTGGGGGCATTTGTCAGCAGTTATGCGTACCTCAACACCAATCTCCCGCCCTACATTAAGAGCAACTTGTCCAACTTTGCCATGTTTGGCACCGCTATCATCGGTAGCATTATCCTCCTGCTAAACTTCAAGCATGAGAACTACAAGCGCGAAACAAAGGCTGTCGATATCTCCAGGCTCACTGAAGAGGAGGTAAAGGAGCTTGGAAACAACCATCCTTCCTTCCGTTATGCTCTTTAGCTTCATAACTCTAGCATTATGTGTGTCATGCCGCTAGGGTAGTCCCATCTTACCCAAGGCGACTTACTCACTAGGAGTGGGGGAGCTTTATCCAGGGCCGTGCACAGCTTGGCTAAGGGCTCCGTATGCGCACTTGACGCTTGCTTAAATACCCCTTGCTGGCTCCTAGCAGCGGGGATTCCTCCTGGGGTTTCCAATATATTTTCGTGAGCGGTTTACATTTGGTTTTATCAGCACTTATATAGCTTATTACTAGGAGAACACACTACATAGTACCTCTCTCCCAGACAACTTGACCGAGGTCTTTTAGGCACATGCCGTCTTTATTTATTTGTATTTCATGAACTGTCCATGAGCACCGATAGAAGGAAGGCTTCTGGCGCTACATATGTGTGCGATCTTTAACTGCCATTAATACAAAATAAAAATGCTTATGACACTGGGATATCATATAGGGAATAGTGAAGTGGTCATACGACGATATCAATCAGTGTCAAGAGTCCAAATCTGCCCACATACCGATTTCAAATTGCAGTCCTGTAAGTCATGACTTTGCAAGGCTGCATATGGTGTAGCTTTGCACATGGTAGTAGCCATGTTGTCGGTTATCCAGCATGATCAAGATACAGTGAGCGATGCATATGAATCATCAGACCAAAAAATCTGGATGCCTGCTTGTTTCACCATACCATTCGCTGTTCTTACTCAGGCCAGCGCTTACCGGTCCAAGCAGCGCACAAATTCAAGCAAAATCGCTTACCAAATAGAACATTCTACGAGCAGCTAGCGAGTAAGCAGTGACCTTTGTTAAAGCATTCCTTTGCCTGCATCGACTCCGTATAAGATTCCTAAAATGTGGCCACTTTGCTGTAACACGGGGCAGGCCATGGAGAAACCGGGGACATGCAGTCCCCGCACGTATGGTGATATATGCACCAAGTCGCTTGTCCTGGACACTCCAAACTTGGATCATGCAGATGCTGGCACAGGCCACATGACACACGTTCGAGAAGGTACATCGTTCTGAAAAATGGAAGCAATCTCAGAACATATCTCCAATTGGAGCCAAGGAGTAGCTATGGATCGTACTGTGTGCAGATGTTTCGAACGATTCCATGCGTTTTGCAACTTGTAAAAGATCGGCACGGGGCCTTACTAACCTCCCTAAATCCGATGCTGGCAACGTCTTGCAGATGGCCCTAGATAATATAAGTACTCTAGACTCCACGCTGTCTGCTCCAAAAAACCACAGACTGCCCGTTCAACACATTATAGCAACTTCCTATGAGTGATTCAGCACCTTCTACCTCATCTGCCGACATAGAAAAGGCAGTTTCTGCCCTCATCGATATCGACCACCTGACGCCCGATGAGGAGTGCATCATGAAGAGCTACCTTCGCAAGACAGGATGCGCGTCTTCTTCTGTTCCTTGCCTTTGGAATGTGTACTGCCCATCTCAACCGCGCCGTCATTAGTTTCGCCAAGATCATGGGCATGGAGAAGCATCTCCACATGAGCGGCACGCAGTACAACACCATTCTAGCTCTCTTTTATCCGACATATCTCGTCTTCCAGACCTTCCTCAACCTTGTCTATCGCAAGGTCGGTGCTCGCAAAGTACATTCCGACCATGATATTTATATCTGGAGCTCTCAGCGTCTTCATTCTTGCCATCAAGAACTTTAGCGGGATGATCGCAGTGCGTGTACTTGAAGGCCTATTCCAGGCGGGCTTTATTTCTGCTATCTACTTCTCCATCTCGATTTGGTATCCACGCAGGCATGTGACTACGCGTGTCGGCTGGATCATTGCAGCCAGCAGCTCTGGATCCCTGCTCTACAATTTATTCAGCCTCGGATTCTCTTACCTTGCATACCACCAAGCCAATCTACTCGTGGCAGTGGCTCTACCTGCTTGTTGGTGGGCTTGCCATGCTTTCTGGTATTTACGGTTGGGTCTTCATCCGGGACTACCCTGACACAGCCAGCTATCTGAACGACGAGGAGCGCGAGCTGATCGGCCGCGTCATGGCGAGAAGCAACCTGCGTGCCAGTGACTCTGTAGTTATTTCGCGTAGGCAGATTGTGGAGGGGCTGACCGACTGGCGTCTAATGGTGTTCATGGTCATCGACTTCGCAAACGCTTACGCTTCAGCGTCGGCCAGTACCTGGGCACCAGTTCTTATGCATAGCGTCGGATACAACACATCGACAGTAATGGGGCTGCTTATCATTCCGTCTGTGTGTGCGGGAACTATGGCGGCATCGACTGGATTCATTGCGCGTAAGGTTGGCAAGATGGGAGTGTTCCAAATTATACTGTCACTTGGTGCGGCTGCCATTATGATTATTGCTGTTTTCGGCGCGGAAAACAAGGTTGCGCGTACATTCTCCATCATTGCCCTTCCGCTGTTCACGACTCCTGCCGCAGTCGTCGGACCTGCCTGGCTGAACATCAACATGCGCGGCACTGACCGCAGTGCTATGACCAACGCATTCACTGTCGCAGCTTCCACGCTGGGAGCATTTGCTAACAGCTACACATACCTCAACACCGATGCACCTCTGTACATCAAGGGCAGTTCGTCGAACTTTGCTATGTTTGGTGCTTCGATCATTGGTAGTATTATCTTGCTTGTTGACTTCAAGCGCGAGAATGCCAAGCGTGACGCAAACCCTATGGATATCTCCGATCTTACCGAGGAGGAAGTCAAGGCACTTGGAAACAAGCACCCGTCATTCCGCTACACACTTTAATAGCTGATAATTAATACACAATATTACACTTTTTTTGGATGCAAAAGGTAATGGCATGGGAGATGCTAGCTTATAGTTGTATGTGTTAAACCTCAAAGGTGTAAGAGCTCATAGACAATATACACAAAGACTATTCGGAAAACAGCTGAGGGAAAAGGGGTGGGTTGGCCGGTGTGTTTGGGTTCGTTTGTGTGTTCCGTTTGGACCATGGTAGCGCAGAGTGATTTTGGTGTTCTGGGGCTAATATCGACAGTCAGCGTCCTAATAGAGGGCCATAGAGCAGTTGCAATTGAAATAGGAGAATATTTTTCGGATATAGCAGTAATCGTTGTAGCTGGTGATACCAAGCCTTGCATATCTTGGGTAAACTACATGTACTTGTCGACTGCTCCCAATAGCCTCGCTTTTAATTTACTTAAGCATGTCACATATGCAGTCCTGTGCTGTCGCTAATTGGACATATAATCCTCGATTAGCGTATCAGCAAAGGCAGCGTCTTTGCTTTTTTTTATCAAGAGCAAGACAACCAAAATTTTTTTGGAACCCAAACCGCTCTTTTGCTTCTTCGTCTTCTATTTCTTTCGGAACGATAAAACATAAAATGACTGCTGACGTCCCGTTCGAGATTACCCTTACCGCTGCCCCGGCTACTGCCCCTGCTGATACCAAGGTGCACTCGGCGATCACCACTCCCGAGGAGCGCTTCCTGAGCGCTGTCGGTGTCTACGTGCAGCACTACCGTAGCCACCTCTCCAAGAGCGCGGATGGCTCGCTGGATGACCACCTGAAGGCACACGCCGAGCATGCGGCGGCTGCTGCTGCCAACACCGCCTCGGCGGACCTCGACGACGAGGACGACGAGGAGGAGACCGAGGAGATGCTCGAGATGGACCCCAAGGACTGGAAGGAGCAGGATCACTACGCGGTTCTCGGACTCTCGAAGCTGCGCTACCGTGCGACCCTTGATGATATCATCAAGGGCCACCGCCGCAAGGTGCTGCGCCACCACCCTGACAAGAAGGCTGCTCAGGGCAATGCCAACGATGACGGCTTCTTCAAGTGCATCCAGAAGGCGTTTGAGATCCTGACTGATCCGATCAAGCGCCGCCAGTTCGACTCGGTCGACCCTGAGGTGTCCACGGAGATTCCCAATGCCAAGGCCAAGGGCGACTTCTTCGAGATCTACGGCCCCGTGTTTGAGCGCGAGGGACAGTTCTCCAACAAGCAGCCGGTGCCGCAGCTCGGTGCTATGGATACGGAGCGTGCCGAGGTCGAGTCGTTCTACGAGTTCTGGTATGCCTTTGACTCGTGGCGCTCGTTCGAGTACCTCGACAAGGAGGACGTCGATGGTGGAGGCAACCGCGATGACAAGCGCTGGATCGAGGGCAAGAACCGCAAGGAGCGCGCCCAGCACAAGAAGGAGGACAACCACCGCATCCGCACCCTTGTCGACCAGGCGCTGAAGTGCGATCCGCGCATGGCCAAGTTCAAGGAGGAGGACAAGACGAAGCGCAACGCCAAGAAGAACGCGCGCATGGAGGAGGAGCGCAAGGCGGCTGAGACCAAGAAGGCTGCCGAGGAGGCTGCCAAGAAGGCGGCTGAGGCTGAGGCGGCCAACGCCGAGGAGCTCAAGAAGCAGCGCCAGGCGGCCCACAAGCAGCTCAAGAAGGAGCAGCGCGCGCTCAAGGTTCTGTTCAAGAACAGCGCGTACTTTGTCGCTGCCGGCGCGACCCCGTCGGCTGCCGAGATCGGTGCTGCCTCCGAGAAGCTCGACAAGATCATTGCCGGCATCCACGATCTGGACGCCCTGGTTGCTGCTCGCACCGGCATTGAGGCTGCCCACGCTGCCGGTAACGGCATGGCCAAGGTCGACGAGATCATTGCTGCCCTCTAAATTTCATGCCATTTTTGGTTGCTGGTGAATAACGAAAATAGATTGGAATGCTTCTAGTTCTGGTTGAGTCGCGCGAGCTGCTCCAGGAAGCGCTTCGAGTTGACGATATCGGTGGAGCCGTACACGATGTTCTTGTGCGGCGTCGACCGCTGGGCGAACTCGGTTAGGTTCTGGTACTCGACGTAATTGCCGCCGCCAACAACAAACACGATGGCTTCCTGTGCAGCACTGTCGTGGCTCCCTCTGCCAGTCCGCACGCCGTTTGAGCCGGCCAGTTCCGCGCCGCGCCTGCTTGGGGTCAAAGTGGACAAAGTCCTCGACCATGCGCATTGCTGAGCTGCTGTTTCCACCGACAACGGAGCTAGCTGCGGACCGCATGCCGATGCCGAGGCCCGTGGAGTTCCGCCCATGGCTGCCTCAACAATCCGGGTGACTGGCAGCTGCTTGCGCGACGGCAAGAGATTGCGCACACCAGAGAAGATGCTGCCAATGCTCGAGTTGTCTGTGAGGCCAGTCAGACGGTTGCCGATAGACGAGAACTTTCCCAACAGGTCGCTGGATCCAGCCCCACCGGAGCCAAGGCCAGCACTGTTGGCGTTGACGCTGGGCGACGATACTGATGACGCGACCTTGCTCAGGTTGCGCAGCTTGGTGATGTATTCGACCGGTGCCATATCGCAGCCAGCGTTCTTCAGCGCCGCCTCCAGCTCTTCGATATCAGTCTGGCGCAGCTGCTCGTTGGCCAGCAAAAACTGCACAAACAGCCTTAGCTTGTCTGCTGCGTCCTTCTTCTCGGGGTCGTTGATCGCCTCGAGAATTGTCGCCTTGGTCTGGCGGCCCAGCTGGTCTTCGAGCTGGAACAGCAACATCGAGCTGCCGCTCCTTGATCACATTCAGCAGTGCCGTGGCAATGTTCATGTGCATGTCAATCGACGTCTTGCGTGCTGTCAGCTCGGGCAGCGACGTGATGGCTTTCTGCAGCTGCTTGGTGCTGGCGCCCATGTCGAGGTTCGTTACCTCGTCGAGCGAAGAAACGCCGCCCATGCGCGTGATCTCTTCGGCCTCACGCTTGAACGCATTCGACGCTTCGTCAATGTTGATGGCGACCTCGGGGAATGGCAGGGCAGCGTTGTTCGCCCAGAAGGTGTCGCTGACATTGAGATCGTACGACTTCTTTGTTGTGCGGCCAGCATCATCGGTCTGGTCGAACGTGACTTGGCTCAGGTTGATATCGAATACGTCGTGCACTAGCGACTGGTACGTCCACGAGTGCACCAGCATGCTGCCCAGATCCAGGTCGCGGTCCAAGAATAACCAGCACAGGGCCGACGGCTCTGCGCCACCACGTCGTCATCGCCTTCTGCAAACAGATTGTGTTTGCTGTTCATAACATGCTCGCGAAGCTTGGCGTCAAGGCGCGTTGCGACCATCTCGGCTGCGTTGCCGCGTGGCGCACAGATCGTTGGCACAACCTTTTGCGTCAGCAGCACCGAGAACAGACCCGACACGATCTTATCGATCAGTGCTGTCATTGCTGTGTCCGTCATGGCCGGATTGTGTATCGCCTCGAATGTGTCAGGGAAATGCAGCGAGAACATGTTTTCCTCGGGGCACACAAAGTCCAGGTACTGGTCATACACCTGTGCGATCTGATGGGACGTGCCCGATGCCGTTGTCTGCACCGCCAGGTCCTCCAGCAGGGTGCGTGGCAGCGAGGACGAAAAATTGATATAGTACAGCTCGTACAGGTCCTTGGCCATGTCTGCAGTCAGCAGCCTGATGTTCTCAGGCTTGGGCTGCACAAAGTAGATTGCAGGCACATCGGGGATGGACGACCGCTGCGACTCCAGGAGCATATGCACTGTGACGCCGTTGTCGCGCAGGTCGTTGACGCGCAGCACTGTCGACACAATGTCCTGGCAGAACTTGTCGAATATCAGAACCTTCCATATCGGCTGGTTCGACCCGTCGTCGGCCTTTTGCTCGTCAATTGCCGGCGGTTGCTCGTTCAAATGGAGCATACGCAGCAGCGCAGCTACAGAGAGGCATTGTATTAGTGCAGATGGGCATTTGAGCCAAATGCTGCTGCTAGAATGTAAGGACCAAACGCGTACCAATCTGTTTCTGGCGTAACGACTCCATCGTATAAATGCGAAAGAAAAAAAGGAAATTAGAAGAGCAAGCTGTCGAGAGGAGGTTAGAAGAGCAGTTGCGCTGCCCACGTTTATGAGCGAAATAAAATTCCAGCCGGTGCTTTAACCGAGCCGACCATGGCTGCTGTCAAGCGCTGAATCGCCAAGATGATTTCCTTGGAAAAAGCATTGCTTGCTGCAGCCAGATCCACCTGTCCTAGTGCTGGGTATCAGAATTCAAGCTCAATTTTTGTGAGAAAGGGAAGGGAAAGCGAAGCGGTTTACATCATGGCGCCCATCATCTTGGACAGCAGCTCCGGGTGCTCGCGCATGAAGCGGAACTGGGCAGCGGTGGTCTCGCGGAAGGTGATGGCCGAGATCATCTCCTCCTCCGACTTGGCCAGGTCGACAGCCCGGCGCAGCATGGCCAGGCTCTCCTCAAACATGCCCAGCTGCAGATAGATCTGCGACAGCGCCGCCACCGCCAGCTCGCACTCGGAGTCGACCTTGAGCGCGTCGCGGATCAGCGTCAGTGCCTTGTCAGCGTCGCCCGACGACTGGAACAGCGCAATGGCCTGGTTCACGTACGGCAGCGGGTTCTTGCTGTCGAGCTCCACAGCCTTCTCGAACGCCTTGATGGCGCTGTCAGAGCCGCCCTGCTCGGCCAGCACCTCACCATAGTAGTTGTACAGGTCGCTGCGCGTCGGGAACTTGTCCATTGCCGCGTTGAACGTGCGCATGGCCTCCTCAATCTGGCCCACCTTGAACTGCACCACGCCCAGCTGGATGCGCGGGTACACAAAGTTCTCGTCGAGCTCGGCCGCCTTCGTGTAGTCCGCCGCAGCCTCAGCAAACTCCTGCTTGAGGAAGTGCACCTGGCCCTTCTGGAAGAACACCTCGGCGTTCTCGGCGTCCGTAGCCGCTGCAAGATCCAGCTGGCGCTGAACCTCGTCCAGCTCCTTCTTCTCCGTGAACAGGTTCGCCTTGCGCAGGAAGCTGCGCACGTGCTTCGGGTTGATCTCGAGGGCCTTGTCCAGGTCAGCGATGGCCTGGTCCAGGTTGCTCTTCAGGAAGTTGAACATGCCGCGCAGACTGTAGATGTCGTCGGCGCGCTGCACGCCCTCAGGCACCGCTCTCCTCGATCGTGGCAATAGCCGTGTCAATCGACTCAATCGCCTTCTGGTACTGCTGCTCAGCAATAAGCTCCAGCGCCGCATTGTACAGCGCATCCGCCTCGCTCAGCTCCTCGCCCTCGGCCACCGTGCCGTTGTCGCGGAACGAGTTCAGGTACCCGCTAATAAACGACACCGACGGGAGTCCGCGGCTCGCGCTTCTCCACGCGCTCGCGTGCCTCCTGACTCGGCCAGCTTCTTCAGCACCCGCTCAGCAGACGTCGACGCCAGGTTGTTCTTGAAGTCCTCCAGGATGCATGCGGTCGTGAAGTCGTACAGCGAGTCGCGGAACCGATCAATGTTCTCGTATGCCTGCGCCCGGCGCATCAGAGCCTTGACGTAGCGCGGCTCCAGCTCCAGCGCTCTCGTGCAGTCCTCGATCACCTTGTCGTTCTCCTCGCTCGCCGCATAGCACGCAGCGCGGTTCGAGAGGAACACCGGGTCCTCGTCGAACCGCAGAGCCTGCGTGTACATCTCAATTGCCTTTGGGAACCGCTTCGCCATGAAGAACTTGTTGCCACGCGTCTTCAGCGACTGCGCCAGCTTCTTCTTCGCCTCCTTGTCGAGCGCCGCGATCTGCGCGTCTGTCAGCTTCTCGGGACTCTCCTCGTCGCCACCTACGGTGGTTGTCGATGCCTTGACGTCCTCGGCCTCAGCAGCAGCCTCCTTCGGGGTACCCTGCTCAGCAGCCGACTTGGACGACTTCTTGTTCTTCCTGTTCTTCCTCTTCTTCTTCTCATCCTTCTTGGGCTCGGCCTTGGGGCTGCCCGACGAGTAGTACCAGAGCGCAAGGCCTGCCACGACTGCTGGCGGAATAGCTGCCGCAGCGTAGAACTTCCAGCTCCGTTCGCTCAGATTCAGCTTCTCGAGCAGCGACGCCGATTGTTGTGCAGACTTGTCAACAGGAGCTTCCGACATTTTCCGTTCTAATTAGTATGTGGACTTTACTAAGCAGGTTTTTGTAGCGTGTATGGGAAAAGCAAAGAAAGATAAAGAGAGAAGCCGAAACGGCGGGTGTGCCAAGAGAAAGTGTCCCTTTTAGAAGCGATAAAGTAACTGACTATCAGCGAGTCGCCGAGCAGCGTCTCACCATCAGCTTGTCTTTCGGCACTTGCCTGCCAGCAAAAATCTGGCTTGATTCTGCGGACGGTGGCAGTCATGCCGCGTGCTGATCAATTAGCAAAAGTTTATATGCCAGATCAGCATTTTTTTCCCGATTGCCGACGCTGGTGCTGCATCCTTTTGGGCAACCCCGACAACAAAACATTCTAGCCCCTCCTTTCCCCGCCCATTTCTCTGCCTTCTAGCTTGCAGTCGTATCTCTATCTTGCACCAGAAACACCTTATTGACTATGGACGTAAGTACCAGACGCCGCCAGCCAGCGCATTTCCGCAAATGCACACATGCCATTCAGCTCAAGGCACTATTTCTCCTCGCGAAACATTAGCCCCAGTACTACAGCGGACTTCAGGAGGTTCTGCAGACCCTGGTGTCTGCGACCGATACCTCCACGATCCAGCAGGCGACAAACAGCCTGAAGCAGCAGTTTTACAGCAAGCCAGTGTGCATTCCGGCCCTCTTTGAGTATCGCCAAGGACAACGAGCAGTGGCAGATCCGCCAGCTGGCTGTGGTTGAGCTGCGCAAGCAGATCACCGCGCAATGGGACTCGGTCGATGACGCGACTACCGAGCAGATCCGCGAGATGGTCTTGAAGATGATTGTCGAGGAGCAGAATGACCTGACGCGCCACGGCCTGGCACGCGTCATCTCGTCGATTGCCAAGATCGATATCCCGAACCAAAAGTGGGGTAACCTGATCCAGTTCCTGTATCAGTGCTGCCAGAGCAACGTCGCAGCCCATCGTGAAATTGGTGTCTATGTCCTCGACTCACTGTTTCGAGACTATCGCCGATACGATGATTGAGCATCTGGAGCACCTGTTTGGCCTGTTCTCCAAGCTCGTCAACGATCCAGAGAGCCTGGTGGTCCAGGTCACCACTGTTGAGGCGCTGGGCAAGGTTGCCGAGTTCATTGAGCCCGGAGAGCAGGTGGCGATCAAGACCTTCCAGGGTCTGGTGCCCGCCATGGCACAGGTGTTGCAAAAGTGCCTGGCGACTGGGGACGAGGACTCGGCGAGCAAGTGCTTCGAGGTGTTCAACGGCATGCTGCTGCTGGAGACTCCGCTGCTCAACCGCCATTTCAGCGAGCTGATTCCAATTCAGCATCAGCGTCGGCACCAACACCGATCTTGAGGACACTCTGCGCATCATGGCCCTCAACTTTTTGGTGTGGACAGCTACCTAGTAAGTACCATCTCTCTGGCCTGTACCCGTGTAACACCTATCCAGCTGCTATTGGCGAAGAAGGCATGCAGGTTGGCGGGGGTGTTTTCATTTTATCCCTCACCATTGTATGCTGCCTGCTTGCATATATGAAAGGACTGGCGATTGTTGGATGTGCACAGAATGTGCGCTGCTGGTCGTATGTGTTCCCGACTTCTGTCCTGCGTCTTTTCATTCGCTTACTTCCATTTTTGGCCAAATCCTCCGGTGAGCGCGTATCAGGGCCATTGTTCTTTTGCTCCCCCTCCCTTCATTTCTCTTGCCGGCACCGGAAGGCAAAGTTGCGTTGGATGCAGTTGATATCAGGTTTATGCATTCGAAGCAGGTGTTGCTACGTGACAGGGCCTCTGACAATGCGCTCCTACACGGCGCCCTTGCTCCCCTCCCCAGCAATGTGTATCAGCCATTGCATGAAAAGAAGACCAGCACTATGTCTCTAGCGAATCAAGAGGTACCAGGGACTGACACCCACTGACCGACATTCCATGTTGTAGCAAGCGCGGCCGCATGCAGAAGCTCAAGATCGTGCAGCCGCTGATTGAGCAGATGTTCCCTATCACGACTGAGGAGGACCCAGTTGACACCGACGAGGATTCGCCTTCCAGGGTAGGTAGAAGGAAACTTGAACACACAGTGCCGGGATGTCCTATCAAAAGCCTCCTTTTCCTTCGTGTGTCTGTTCTAGGGCAGTGGCCTGCATCAGATGATTCCCTGCCATGTCTGGAATGGCTTCCGTCATGGGTGGCAAACCCTGCTCATAAACCAGACAACGGCAGAAAGGAGCCTGACATGGATTTTTGGTCATATGCCACCGCATTTGTCGTCGCTCCCTACCCTTTTTGCTCATTGCATGATATGAATGTGCGAAAACCGCCAGAGCGTTGCGGCAACTGCAGCTCGCCAACTGTGCATTGATGTCCCTTCCCGGACATGGCACAGCGAATGAGCTTTCCCTGCCTTGTTTTCTCTACGTAGCAGGTTTTGCTTATTGCGGCATACATGTCACTCGGCAAGTTCGAGTAGTGTCCTTTCTGGCGTTGCTGATCTGAAGCGATCTGTGTACTTTTTTCACACCCCGATAGGTTGCCCTACGTGTCCTGAACATGCTGTCGACCAGCCTTCCACCGCAGCAAGTGTTCCCGACGGTGATCAACCTCGTGCTCCAGTACATGCAAAACGCTGACCCGATGTTCCGCAAGGGCGCCATGCTCAGTTTAGCCGTAAGTACTCGCTGAAATCTATGCATGTCCAAATGCCATCCCACGTCCCGCGCCTGCTGACAGCAGCCAAGTGGAGTTGGGTGGAAGTGGAAAAATGCCACCGCTGTTTTGTGCTTGCGTTTTCCCTTCACGGAGAAGCGGACGCCTAGGCGCTGTCCAGCTGATATACTCAGAGATGCCGAAGGGTGCTACATTTGTCATCCGTGTTCTTGTCACTCGCCCGGCTCCATTTGTTGTCAGCGGTCCCGCAAAGGCGTCCTCCGATCACACATGTCATCGAGGGGTGATAGGCTCGGTATGTGGCTGCGGATTTGCCTACGATGATAGACGATGGCATCCTTCTTGGCAATCGATCCCCCTGTGTTCCACATGTAAATTGCGGGGTGAGCGGAGAGGCCGTGCGCGGTGCAGGCTATTGCCACAATAAGTAATTAGCGTCTGGAAATGCCCACACATGATCGGCTCTTTTTCAACCATGTCGCCCCGTGCCTTTTTGTTGTTGCCGAACCGCTGTTTCTCATGCACTACACCTATGCCAAAGTCGGCTGCATGTGCCCCTATGTCACGCTGTCCGCTGCTCGCCAATTGCCGAGCGGTGGGAAAGCGCATCCCCCATTGCTGCTGCTGCTTGAATTCTGTTCTAAACTGGGAGTGGAGGCCGTAGCCTTGGATTTGTGAGTAAAAAAAGCGGAGTATGACGCGTACATGGCGCTTTTCACCTGTCGACACGTGCCTGAAATAAACAGGTTTACATATGCACGCCATAATGCAATTTGCGGATGTGGTGATGGTGTCTCTTCCCCCACCTGCCATGCCTCCCACTCCTGCTTTCTAGAGTGCACCAGAGTTCGCTGTGGAAAACAGTGTCACCCACCCACAATTCCCTTTTTAAGACAAAAGAATTCGTGATCAGCCATGGTTGTTGATATGCTTTTCTTCACATACACGAAGCCAGTAAGACTTCCGATCACTAGCGACGGGGGCAGAAGTGCGCGTGGCATGAGCCACGATCACCCTGTGTACCGCTGGTATTGTTTATTTCATAACAGACCTACATCATGTCACTGATTCGTATACAATGCTTTTGCTGCCATAGATCACCATCGACGGCTGTGTCGACTTTGTGCGCTCACAGACCGGTGACATTGTTACTCTGATCTGTGCCGGCTTGGGTGATCCCCGACACGCGCGTGCGCCGTGCCTCCTGCATGGCTCTGGGCTGCATTGCCGACGAGCTGAGCGACGAGATCGCCGAGTACCACCAAAAGCTTGTGCCCTTGATCTTTGGCCTTCTGAACGACGGCACCATGGAGATTGTAAAGTACGCGTGCAGCGCGCTCGAGGCGATTCTGGAGGGCCTGGGCGAAGCGATCAAGCAGTACCTGCCGCAGCTGATGGAGCGCCTTGTGGTGCTTCTGGACTCGGGCTCGATTGAGGTCAAGCCGATTGCGCTGGCGGCTATTGGTAGCGCTGCGCACTCGTCAGGTGAGGACTTTGCGCCGTACTTTGACGAGGTCGTGAAGCGCGTCAAGCAGGCGATGGCGCTGACCGGCGATGATGTCCTGGCTCTGCGCGGTGTCGCTACTGATACGGCGGGCACGCTGGCCGAGGGCGTCGGCAAGGACGCGTTCCGCCCGCATCTGGAGGAGACCATGAAGCTGGCTCTTGAGGGCATGGAGATCGAGTCGTCCAACATGCGTGACTGTGGCTTCTGCTACTTTGGCGTCATGAGCAGGGTGTTCAAGGATGAGTTCTCGCAGTACCTGCAGTTCATTGCGCCCCATCTGATCCGCACGTTCAAGGCGGACGAGTCCTCGGCGTTTGGGTTCACCCAGACATCCGAGGATATGGATGAGGAGGATGACGCTGACTTTAATGTCAGCACCGCTATTGCCGATGAGAAGGAGGTTGCTGCAGATGCCGCCGGCGAGCTGTTTGCCAGCACTGGCTCGGGCTTCCTGCCGTATCTTGAGGCCACGACCAACGAGCTGATTGAGCTGCTGGATCACTACTCGGACAGCACGCGCAAGTCGGCGATGATTGCGCTCTTCACGTTCATTCGCACCATTAACAAGATGTCGAAACCCGGAGCAGTGGCTGCCGGGAGTCCCAGTGGTAAGTTACATGCAGGTTTTATTGCCCCCTTTGTCACTTTGCATGGCTTTTCTGTCACTGTTTCTGCTGCTGCTGCTGCTGCTGCTGCTGCTGCCCAAAGGGACAGAAAGAAGTCGACCACATATGCACGCACGCCCACATATGCATTTGACATCTCGGCTTCCCTCTCCTTTTCTTCATCGCTTTGTCGAGCTCGACTGTGAAACGCGGCTGTCCTGCCCATTTTCCGCAGATCACCAGCCCCTCCCTATCTCTGGCATGTGGGTCCTATTATGCTGCATGCAGCAGCCCATATGACTCTTTGTTTTTCGTTTCTCAAGAAGCGGAGCAAGAAGAGCGTAGTAGCGACGCTGCAGCTCGTTATTGTGTGCTTGTAGTAATTGCGCCCTTGTTACTTGTGCTGGTCCGACAATGCTGCCAGTGGCTGCCCATCTTCCGGGCGAGGGAGAGGGAGCAGAGGCTAGCGGCAGCCAGCCATCCCCACAAGCGCATCTCTTGCCCGAGCAGATTTCGGGGAGAGCAGAGCTGTCTACAGTGACTGACGGAGGGAAGAATCGGCGCAACTGGCGAGCCTGTCCAGCATGAGAAAAGCATCTCGTGCTTGATCTTGCATATCCAACCACCCCTCCTTACACCCCCGCCTCGCACTCGCATGCACCATGCCTCTATGGTCTATGCACCACCCTACATCTTATCGATGGCGCGGTATGTTGGGCGAGTGAGGGAAAGGGCGAGGGTTTTTTTGCTCGAGAGGGATTGCGGGATTTTCGACCAGATGCAAAACTTTCTTTTAACTAAACGTTTTGCCTGCCCATCATGTGTAGCGTGTGCCTGTCAGCAACGAAACCGCGAGCATGATCAAGATAGTGCTGCCGCCAGTGCTCAAGATGTGGGAGGACGAGGACGACAAGTAAGTAAACAGAGCCCCTTTGCCGAAAGTACCCCCCCCCCGCTTTTTACCCCGTTGCTACTCTGTGCTTGGGATTGTGTAGGATGGTCGTTGCCCAGCTCTGCAACGAGTTGCGCACAATCATGCAGGACGTCGGGCCCGCTGTTACTGTCGACTGTAAGTATACACTGGATCAACCAGGCCCAGCATGCACGCAAAATGAGCGGGGACATCTATTGTTGTTGAGCCATATCCCTTTTCCCCCGAATGTCACCCGTGGGCGGAGGATCTTGGCTCGCCGATTCACTTTTTTGTTTGGACACTCTGACAAGCTTTTTTGGGAGCAGCCTGGCCAGAGCGAGGGAGTGGCCAGATTGCTCGACAAGGTGCGCTGGCCATGCATTATTATGCGCAGGCCGACACTACAGGCTGCATTCGCCACTTCTCCACTGGCTCCTGTGCACCCTGGGCTATGCCTATGCCAACCTCCGGCGTGAACCCATGTAATTTGCTGGTCATCGCGTCGAGGAACTCCGTAACCTCTCTCCCCGCGCAGATTGGCAAGGATCTGAACTCGAGAATATAGTGCAGCCCTAGAACGGACCGAGGATAGGACCAATCCTAACCGTTCCTCTAAAGTACATCCCAGTGATTCACTCGTGTTCGCGGTTAGCAGAGTGAACGTCCATCCGTAACCCGCCAGCCCCTACTCCTTTGTCGGCATCCGCCTTGTTTTCGTACAATTGCCAACTGCCCATCCCTCACTGAAATGCCCCCACAAGAGGAAAGTGGGAGAGAATCGCTTTGGCTTATCATGCCCAGCCGCTCCACGGCGCCAAAGCCTAGACTCAGTGCTGCCTCCCCAACTGCAGCGAGGGGATCTGCCCGTCTATTTTTCGCTCCCATGTCTGATACTCCACTCTCAGATACATCCAGCGCCAGCTGCATCTCCATGGGTCTTTTCGGGCAATCCCCTTGAAAAGGGAAATAGGGATCCAGCACTCTAAAAACACGAAATGTTGAGCTAACCTGTTTGACCCACGCACGCCTAATAGATGCCGAGGAAATCGCAAAGTACATTCTGGAGATCTTTGAGAAGAAGGCGCTGTGCCAGATGGTCGACGAGGACGATGAGGAGGAGGAGCTGGTTGATGAGGATGAGCTAGCCGAGCTTGATTCGCTTCTTATTGGAGCGGCCGCGGACTGCATCGCCCAGTTTGCCAGCGTGTTTGGCGACCAGTTTGAGCCGATCCTCGATACGTTCCTGCCGCACATTGCAGGCTATGCGGTACGTTCATGTTGGAAACTGTTGGGGATGGGAATTCGATAGCGGGGGAGGCAGCAGCTAATATGCTTTGTTTCGTGTAGAAGCCCTCGTTTGGCGTCAGCGAGCGCGCCATGGCGGTGGGCTGCCTGTCGGAGATCGCAAAGAACATGGGTCCCGCCATTACTAAATACGCTGAGGTAAGCCAATGTACACTCCGTTTGCACGCACTTGTACGCATTTGCGACGTGAGCCTCACCACCCCTACCATCACCACCACTACAAGATTGATTCCTGTCTGATTTGCGGCCCATTCACATGTGCTACCTTTTTTCACCCGCATTTGGAAGGCAGTGTGTGCAGGTGGCGATGGCTTGGGGCTGAGTGCAGAGTGCTGAATCCTGATTTCCACTGCGCTGCTGGGATTCCGTTTGTTTAGCATGTCTGCCTTTTTCTTTTGACCGCCTTGGCAGGCTCTGAACGGGGCTACGTGGAGCCATTGGCAAATGTCCACACCCACATACACCAGTATCCCCGCTGCCATGGCCAATGTGCGTGTGTACGTGTCTGTCTGCACATTTTGTATGTGGTGGTCGATCCCTATCCCCTCATCCGCACCATTGTGTCGGTAGATTCAGGTGGATTATGAAAAGAAAACTGGAGGGCCTTTCTTTTCAGCTGTGCGAGCAAGGGGATGCTCGTTTTCTTTTGCTAGGGGCAAGGCGTGTTGTGCACATCCCTGTGTCAGGAAAAACACTAGACATGTTTCATATGTTGGTTTCTGGTTGTCACAAACGCTGGAAAACGGGCCCTTGCCCGGTGCTGGACATGTTATTCCCGCCCTTTTTCTCATTCGCCGTGTATTTTTGTACACTCCGTGCATGGGGTGGGGCCGCGTTATTGTTGTGGTCTTTCCACACTCTGTGCGCAGCCCGTGCATGCTGCCCAAGCGGGCGCAGCGTCGCTGCATACGTTCTCGAACGGAGATTCATACTGCATCCAAGAGACACAAGCAAGGGGCAACTTGGAGCTTTGTGTGCGAGATTGACAACAAGGCACCCACACGAACTCACGAGGGATTGCACTAAGCGTGAATATTTCCATATAGACACTGTTCCCGATCTTCATGACTGGACTCCAGGACCCGGAGGCAGAGGTCCGCAGCAACTCTGCATACGGTGTGGGTGTGCTGATTGAGGCCGCGACAATCGACGTGTCGCCGTACTTCAACGACGTGCTGAAGGCCGTGTACCCGCTGCTGCGTCAGTCGGGCAACCCGAACAACTCGAACGACAATGCGGCCGGGTGTGTGGCGCGGCTGATTGTCGAGAACGCCGATGCAGTCCCGCTGGCTGACGTGCTGCCGGTTTGGATCGCAGCCCTGCCCATCAAGGGCGACCACCTGGAGGACATTGCCGTATATGACGCCGTGTGCCACCTGCTGAAGAACAAGCGTGCCCAGGTAAGTTGACATGTGGATTTCTTGGTTACTTGTGCTTGAATGCCGGGGCTCGGTGGGATTTGGAGCGGGAGCGGCCGCCTGCAGCACACCGTGCCGCTGATGGCGTGCGACTGCATGTAGCAGGGCTTGGCCGAGTGGGAGAAGGGAGCGGGGGATATTGCGTGCATACCGCGTGTCGCATCGGTTTAATTCGGTTAGGTGTCTTTCCCTGATTCCCCTCGACATGCTCCTTCCTCCTGCCTTGCTTGCCCATCGACACAGCCCCTCGCTGTTACACAAGGACCCTGTACTGGACGCAAGAGTCCTTTAGGCAGCTCTGCTTGAGGGAGCGGAGTGTAAAATTGCATATTCGCGCTCGACGCTGCTCCTTTTGCCCCAACGTCATGGCCGTGAATCTCTTGTCTTTTTTGCAGAGGGGGTATCGAGTTGCGTGTCGTTCGACGCCATCGTGCGCTGCATGACTGATTTGCGGCACCCACCCACCCCTGCCACCACTCCCCCAGCCCTCAGGCATCGGCCTCCCCAGTTCCCGTTGCGGCAAGTCGTCTATTCCTGTTTTGTGGCCAAAAAAGATGCTGGATTGCATGTCGTAGTGGAGTAACTGAAAAACGCATTTTCCATGCGGCAATTCTGCTGCTCTTTGTAGGTCGAGCCGTTTTTGGGTGCGCTGACTCCTGTTCTCAAGAAGGCCATGTCGGATCCGGCCACGCTGATGACCGACGAGAGCCGCCAGTACCTGTCGTCGCTGTGAATCCGGCAATTTTAACGAGCCGAGCGATCCGGTACCTTTCTCCACTCTAAAATAAACACATACCTCCTCCCAACACCATGCTGCAGCTGTGTTTGAGGATGTGAATGCATGCTGGTAGGATTCATGCCGCACATTGCTCACAGTCCTTGTTGCATTCATCCCTCTCGCTCGACAATGTTATGGAAGCTGGGGTGGCTGAAGGCTCTTGTGTTTCGGGTCCCAGCGGGACAACAGGGAGGCGAGGAGGTGGAGTCGGTTCCTGAGCTTCCTTGTTGTCGTGGGACGACGACGATTGGGTGTGGATTGTTGGTGTTGTTTCTATTCACTTAAATGTTCACTTTTGCCTTGGCAATTGCATGGCCCAGCCCGGCCCCCCGCCTGTAGTGGCCTCCCAGTCTGTCTACAGCCCGTCCCTCCCCAGGCGCAGCAACATTGCAGAGACCTTCAACTGCTGGCTGGCTGGCTGGCTGGCTGGCTGGCTGGATGTGAATTCGCATTCGGCAGCCATTTCTGTTGCAAACCCCCCGATACATCGCTGAATGTTTCTCCTTCGGGGGACCTGAGCCAGCCAAGACATGGCATTGAGGAATTGCAGGCCGTCGCCACGTTCCTCGCCAATGTCATGGCAATTGTGTGCTTTCTCTCCTTCGCTGTCACCCTTAGCCGCGAATAGCTCCTAAAGATTCACACCCACGCAACAAACCTCGCATGGGTCAGAAGGTCACTGCCCCCCGGCAATGCCGTCGGGTTTGCCACCCACCCCTGGACATGTTTTGCCCCTATTATGAACTGAGCCAATCACAAAACGTGGCCATTCTGTGCATTGTTCTGCCGCGCAAAAAGAAAAAAGAGGGAAGCAGATGGCTAACAACGGGGGGATAAGGCACAATGGGCGTTTTTGCAAAACCCGCCCGGCGTTTGGCTGTGGACGTGATGGTGGGTGGTGGGCAGAGTGACCCCCGGGGGTGGTTGTTTCGGCAAGTGCAGATTTGCGCCAGGGAGGAGGGAAAATGTGCCTGCCATATATATATCACCCGCTTCGTCGCCAGGTATGCGAGACCAGAAAATAGGGATTTTTCTTCTTTTGCTCATCTCGCTTGGCCAGCCATTTTTCTCTCTTCTGCACACCTGCCCCTCTTATCCTTATAATCGACACAAAGCAGGCATAAAAAGCTCCATTCTCATTATACCCCACCGTTTCTTTTTTGCTTGGGCTTGCTCAAACTATTTTCCCTCCCCTCGGCCTACTAGCCCATCTATATTACCCTGTCACATATTCACTCAGCGGGGTGCATCTTGAGTGAAGCATTGGCGCAGTTACACAAAGCAACACATACGGGAGACCACACAGCAACTAAAGAAGCTTGCGAATCTCTTCTGCCCGCCCCTTTGCGACTCTTTTCTACAAAACTAACGGATTCGGGAGTTCAACCCCCGTAGCGGAGGATATTGCCAAGTGGATTTGCACTTGGAACTGCTGCCAAAAAGCAAATAACCACAACAAGGAAAGAAAAACACTCTCCCGACATCTCCCAATGGACCCGCAACCACCACACATCCCGTTAGCCACACCAGCCCTGAGCAGCGGCCGGAGAAAATCAGCGACCCGCTCACGACAACAGCCGCCCACAAACCTGTTCACAATGAACGGACAGCAGGTTGAGTATTCGATCAGCGATCTGCACACGGGGTCGTTGCCCAGCGCACCCGGCGTGCCCAGCATATCGAGCGCGCCCACCGCATCCACCATGCCAAGCGCACCCAACGCGGCAGGCGGACCACTACGCAATGAGGGCGGGCGCGAGAGAAAAGCACTGAAGCCATCATTCTACCAGCCAAACCAGGTGCGACACCGACGGCGCACAACAAAGGAACAGCTGTTCCGGCTCGAGAACGTATTCAAGGACGATCCGAAGCCGGTAGCCGAGATCCGCAAGGTTCTGTCAGACGAGCTGGGGATGACGACGCGCGAGGTGCAGATCTGGTTCCAGAACCGGCGTGCCAAGCAGAAGAACCAGGTCAAAAAGCCCGAGGATACGGTGGCCGAGCAGCCGTCGTCCGGCAGCCAGCCAAGGCGACCAAGCATGAACGAGGCGCTTACCGATGCTTCGGGCCGTGCATTGCGCCGCATGTCGGATATCCCCCAGTCGTCAAAGCGTGCAGGCAAGGCGCACGCATCGCCCAGCGGTCTGGCCAGGACCGAGGCCATGGTCAATGCAGCATTATCAACACCATCCACCTCTGCCACCAAGCTCCCGGCCATGCCGCTGTCACTGCTGGGTGGCATGCCGGGCATACCCAGCGTGCCGGCCACCATGCCGATGCCGGTGAACTTTGCCATGGCCAGCTCCTCGACCGGCGTGCCGCAGTCGATGAAGAAGAAGAAGAAGCGTGGGGGCAACGGCGACGACGGGCGGTACTCGTCGGCGCGCGTCTACCATGCTACTTTTGATGGCTCGGAGGTGCCGCCGGTCAAGGCCGAAGACCTCGAGCCCAACAGCGATGACGAGAGGTTCAATACGCTGGACCCGTCGAATCTGCCCAACTTTATGATGCCCGGGATGCCGCCGGTGCCGTTTGGCGGCATCGGCAGCAACGTGCCGTCGTACCCGCATCCGGTCAATACCGGCATGATAGGCGGCGGGCCGTTCAACCCCATGCAGCAAAGCTCAGGGCTTGCAGCAGCGCTGTTCACCGGCATGCTCGGCACAAGCCAGCCGGCGCCTGCGCTGAGCGGGCTGTCGCTGAACACGTACGGGCTGCAAGCCAGCATGGCTACCACCAGTGCGCCAGGTATGCTGTCGTCGCCAACGACGACCTTGCCGTCAGCCGGCATCAGTCCCAGTGACCTGTCCCTTGGCAGTGTCGACCCAAGCATGGCTTTCATCCAGACGCTGATGGCGCTGAGCCAGCAGAGCCAGCCAATAGCGCAGCCATCGCTTGCCTCGCCACTGGGCGGCAGTCCGCCGGTCCTCCCGGTTCCATCGATGGTGTCCCCAGGCCCCATCCCGGGCTCGGCCTTTTCGTCGTACGATGCACGGAACCACCCGCCACCCATGCTGCTTGCAAGCAGCACCATGCCGGCAATTACGGCCAGCAGCCTGCTGGCGGCCAATGCACCCCCAGACCTGTTCGGTGCCAGCACAACGATGCTGTATTCGGCAGGCTCGAACCAGACCTCATCCAGCGGGCCGTCGAGCCCTCCCTACTGAATTTCTCAGCCATGTAACTTGCACATATCAAAAATCTGCATCTTTCTCTTGTTTCCCTCCCTCCCACCCACATCTCTGGAACCACGTTTTTTATAGGAGCAAATGTTTCATGTTCATTTTTCTTCCTCATCTGTGCATTTCTTCTTCTAATACCCACGTCTCCCAAGGGGTTAGCCGGAATACTCACGGATAGCCTGCCTATCGTCCTCGCTGCCATGTGGCTGACTCGAAGGTTATTATATCTTCAATTGGAACGCCGACGGTGTCGGGTGCAATGTCGCATTCTCTTCAATCTCTCTTTTTTGTTGTTGCTGCTTGTGAACAAAGTCTGTAAATGTCCTATTTACTCTAGTTCAAACCGACAAGGGGGGGTGAAAGCGGCCCATTCTGCTAGGACCCACGCCAGCATGCCATGGCAGCACTGTTTTTGGGGAGGGGAAGACAACACTTTTCTTTCCCCTTTTGAACGCTGGAGCGTGCTTGCCTCTTGTAGAGCGGAAATTGGCAGCATGTTTCAACAAGTAGCATCCGAAATGGCGGCGATGCAAGGAGCTGCATGGCAGCCGCTCATGAGGCCCACAAACAGTGACAGAAAGCGAAGGCATTCGGTTTCATTCATAAAATATCTGTCTATTCTAATCATAAGGTGCTTGTCTAGAGGCACCGCGCCAAAAAAACGCAACATCGAGGTTAGCAAAAGCACAAAGGTGTTTTTTCTCCTTGGTCGGATGTGCATATCGGACATGTGGGTGTTTCTCGGCCAATATCCACCTGACTTGGGACATGGTTTGTTGCCCAAAGAGCGGTTTTATTTTCGCCTGGTAGTAGCACTTTTTCGCCTTGCCCCTCCCATCCCCACTTTTCCGAGACATCAACGTGTGGCAGAGAGGGGAGAGGGACCAGGATATCACACCACACGATACACAATAGCACGCACTTGTCGGAATTGGTTGATTTTGATATACGGAAAGGCAGATTTGATTTTCAAGGGAAGAGCAGCTTGTACGGGTAGCCCTGCATCTTGATGCGGAAGACGCTGTTCAGGTAGCTGAAGGTCATGATCAGAGGCCACGACAAAGGCAAAGGTAATGAAGATGCGCTGGTCCTGGTTCTGGATCCGCGGGGCATGCCTGACCAGGCCAACAATACACAGAGCACACACGGCGTAGGTGGCAGCGACGATCTGTGTCTCAACGCCATACTGCTGCTGGTTTGTGGGCGCAAAAAGTACGGCCTCTTGGGCGCCCGTCTGGCCCACGTACGGCGGGTCGTTGATCCTGTTCCACATATACCCGGAGGTCATCAGCAGCACAAACGAAATGGTGGCGACGGTGAACTAGGTTGCGGCCGAGGAACTGCAGGCTAATGTACTTGTAGACCAGAGTAGCAGGCATAAATGACAGCAACCGCTGTGCATGCATTCATCAGGTATTTCGAGTAGTCGATGGGCACATCGGCAGAGATTTTGACGCCAAACAGCTCGCTCAGCTTCTCGGCCAGGCCCTCGGCGCGCATGGTCTTGCCGTTGACGTTCAGCTCGCGCGTCTGCGGATTGGCAAACTTGTGCGGGCCGGTGTCGGCCGGGAATATCATCAGGCGCGGGATCTTGTCGATTTTCATTTGGCTGAACAGCTGCTCGCCGTCCTCGACATCCAGGGAGCCAAAGACCACGCGGTTGCGGTCCCCGCCCGTGCGCTTCCAGCCGCGCGCCACCGACCGCAGCGTCTTATCTAGCTCCTGGCACGGCCCGCACTGGTATTTGGGCGCCAGCGCCGTCAGCTGCACCACCACCGAGTAGTCGCGGCCCTCGGCCACCACGTTCTTCATGAACCCCTCCAGCGTGAACTTGGCCAGCCCATCTGCGTCCTTGTCCATGAGCTTGTGGATTTGCTGCACCGATTGGCCAGAGACGAGCCCCAGGGCCACGAGCCCCACTGTGCCCAAGAGTTTGAAAAGCTGCATTTTGGAATATACGGGTATGCGTGGAAAGAAATACGAATTGAAAGGAGCAGCGAGGAACAGAAAACCAGGAGCTTGGAAAGAAGAAAAATTAACAGCTTACCAGCCTGTGGTCTCAACCCACGTCACAGCTTGGTTGAATAATCGCAGTTTGGATTTTATTCGCAGCTCTCTCCACCTTTCAATGCAACTTCCAAGCACACGCCTTTTTTCCACAGAATGACAACAGTTGAGAAAATCGAGACGCCGACAGTGGGCGGGCTGCGGATACACGGGTGGGAAATCAGCAGCTGCCATTTGCCAATCCTCAGCAACAAGGAAATCGAGCAGTACTCGCAGGCGCTCGGGTTCAATGTGCCCGAAATGATCTTTGGCAACAACTACCTGCGGCTCACACACCAGGCCACCGGCAAGGCGATTGAGCTGCGGGCACTGGACGCGCTGCGCATGGTGGACGTCAGCGAGCACTCGGCCAAGAGCGTGCAGGTCAGCATTGCTGGAAACTGGAGCCAGGCGCAGAAACGCAAGGACATCACCGACGTCATCAAGCCGTTCGACTGGACATACACCACACGCTACACTGGCACGCCCGCCGGCGGGCTGGCCTTCCATGCAAGCGATGCGGGAATCGACTACGATCGGCTGAAGGTGCGCGAGGACATCCTGTTCTTCGACGAGAATGTGCTGTACGAGGACGATCTGGGCGACAACGGCACGTCGCAGCTGGCCTACAAGGTACGGGTGATGGCGTCAGGGTTCTTTGTCCTTCAGCGCTTCTTTCTGCGCTGTCGACGGCGTTCGTGTTCCGCATCTTCGACACTCGTATCTACCACCAGTTTGGATCCGACACTGTGCTGCGCGAGACCAGCGAGCGCGAGTGTCCATTCGACGACATCCGGCGGAAGGTGCCGCGCAAAGAAGCACGACGACGAGGACCTGTCGCTGACTCAACAACATTCCGTTTGTCGACAGCGCCATGCCCGCCGCCCGCGTCCAGTGTGCGGCTGCGCGGCTGCGCTAGTCCCCCAGTGTTTTCAATATATTACCCCACAGCCACTACGCAAGAGTTGTCAGTATGCCTCGTGGAAGCGCCGCGCAACCATCTCCAGCTCGCTCCGCTCGGTCTTGGCCTGGTGCAGCACATACTCGAGCCGCCCCACCACCACATCGCCGCTCAGAGCGCCTGCCAGGCCCTGCAGCACTCGCGCCAGTGCAAACACCAGTGCCAGCACAAACAGCCGCAGCTCGCCACGCGCGAACACCACGGTGTTCTGCCCCAGCGCCAGCGACGACACCAGCAGGTGCATTTCGCGGCCCAGCCCCAGCTCCACTCCCAGCTCCTGCTGCACGTCCAGTAGCTCGCGCTCCACGCTGCCCGCTAGCAGACTGTGCCGCGTCGCCATGCTCTTGTCGCCCGGCGCTGAGTTGTACTCCGCTGCGCTACTGATCAGTGGCAGCGCGCTCTGAGCCGTCTGTAGGTCGCGCAGGAATGCGCGCGTCTGCGGCGTCACCATGCGGTCCACCAGCGTCCACAGCCGCCCGAACAGCGACAGCGACGGGCCCGATCGCGATCCTGCCGCGCCGATCATGCCGCCAAACATGTCATCGTCCGAACTGCTGCCGCTCTGCGACGACTCGTCGTCTGATGCTATGTACCCGACCCCGTCGTCCGACTCGCTGTCCCACGGCGCCACAACGTCACTTGCCGCCTCCGACTCAGTATGCGGCTCACTGCCTGTATCGAACCGAGCCACGCGCTCCAGCGCGCTGCGAGCTGGCTGCGCCGCGCCTGCATCGCTATCGAACATCCATGCTCTCCACCGAATCAACCTTGCGCAGCGCACTGCGCGCCGCCAGGAATTTGGACTTTTTGTCGTTCGCGCGCCTGGCATGCCCCACGGCCGTCTTGATCCGAGCTGCATCCTACCGCCGGCTCAAACCCCTCAACATCGGCAAACTGGAGCCGCGCCATGCCGTCGCTGACCTCCATCGCAGCTGCAGCGCCGCCTTCGCGCTCCACAATCGTCAGCGGGTTGTTTGCATGCGCTACCGCCTCGGGGATCTTCATCTTGGCAAACAGCGAGCTCATGTACCAGTCCACCAGCTCGCGCTCGCCGGTGCCCGCCAATACGCGCTGCTCCAGCTGCCGGTCCAGCTCGATGGCCTCCACTGCCTCATCCTCCACCGGCATCACCGATACCTCCAGCTTCCCGGGCGCTCGCATATACAGCGGCTCGTTCGACAATTGCTGCCGGAAGAACCGCGACCCGACCATGCACCGGTTGCTGCAGTACTCCTTCTGCTCTGTCACATCGAACAGCTTGCGCCGCGACAGTGAAATATGGTACTGCTGCGTCATTCGTGTCGCGCGCCGCCCGCCGACAGATCGGGTACCCGCACAGATGCCCGGAGCTGCGCTCGCTCACCACGCTCAGGTAATCGTCCGCCGTCATGTACTGCGCTGCCTGCTGCAGCTGCACTATCGACACTGGGCTCAGCAGCTTCTCTTGCCAGCTCAGCGTCAGCCGGTCGTACTGCTGCTTGGTGCGCATGCTCTGTTTGACCGCGTCACGCCGCCGCTGCTGTACCTGCTGTGTCTCCGTGTTCTTTTTCTTTTGCAGCTGCCGGGTGCCGGGTGCCGCCCGCAGGGGTCTGGGACTTGTGCTCATTGCAAGGGTATTTGAAAAGGAAACAAAAATATGGCTAGTCTAGGTTATTCTGTGTGGTGTTCATAAGTGCTGTGGCGGAGAGGGGAGGAGAAAGGCACGCGCCACGAAACTCCACGGTAGGCGTGTGACGACTGGAGCCAAACACTGCCAGCCCTGTCTTGATTACATCTGGCTGTGATTGTGTGATCTAGCTGTTTTCCGTTTGGCCTGCAAGCAGCTTGAGGCAGTGATTGATTATCTTTAGGCCAGATAGCAAAATAGTTGTCGCTTCAAGACCACAGCATTCTTTCAATTTCTGTCTTTGCACGTCCAATTCAAGATTTGTTGTACTTTTTTATTTCTCCTCTTTCTCCAACCCTCACCCTCCCGTAATTCGGACAGAAAAAAAGGCTTCAATAAGGGCAAATCACAATGACCGGCACGCATTCAAAGGACTGGAAAGAAGAGGCCGCCAAGTACACATTGGGCGGTGCTGGCGTTGGTCTCTTTATCAGCGCTTTCCAGACCGCCTACGGCTCCTCGGCCAACAAGGGCGCTCTGAGCGTATTCACCCAGCACGGCAGCACCATTGGGTTCATGGCTGCCATGGGCGGTGTTTTTGCCGGTGTCGATGCTGCGTCCGCGCAGATCCGCGGCAAGGAGGACTTCGTCAACTCGGCTGTCGCCGGATGTGCCGCCGGCATGATTGCCGGTATTCGGAAGCGCTCGATCCCCGCCGGTATTGGCGGCTGCCTGTTCTTCGGTACCACCATGGGCACCTTTGAGTACTCGGGCGGCTTCGAGGGCAAGATGAAGGGCATGACTCGCGAGCAGCGTGACGAGTACCGTAGCGGCCTGTTTGCCTCTGTGGAGGACCTGAAGAAGTCGCAGGCCTAAAAGCCCCATAGAGCTACTTGGATGATGGAAAAAAGGGCGGTTCGATGTTAGCTGCATAGCCTGCCCTCTATTTTCTCGAGTTTGTGCGTGTTTACAATATAAATCTCATACACCCCTCTCCAGCCTTGCGAATGTTGTTGAATATGTAATCTGGAAAGAAAGGGATCTGAAAAATGAAGGCTGCCTATAAACCAGCCGGTTCTCCCAGCAGCACCGGCATCGCCTCCTGCGACTCCTGCTTGGACTGCAACATCTCAAATGCCGACTTGCGCATCAACCCCATGAATGCCGCCAGCCGCCCCTTCGGATACGCCGCCGACGCCCTAGCCATCTCGCGGTATATGCCCTCGCCTTCCTCGGCCACCACCTGCGCCAGCTCCAAGCTGCGCTCCAAGTTTTCCGGCACTGCTACACGCGAATCATACAGAACCGCGTGCAGTCGGAACACAACCTCGGGCACATACAGCGCGCGCAGCAGCGCCAGCTCGGTCGCACGCACCTGCCGCTGCACGTCCTGACGCCCAGTTGCAGAAACATCGACCTGCAATGACGGCTCGGTCAGCCAGCCGACGCCCAGAATCTTGTCCTGGAACATGCGAGTGGCCTCGGCTGTCTTGGGCACCACCTCGTCCCGCCACTCAATCCACTGCGCCTGCACGTGCGCGGCCGCACGGCTGCGGTCCTTGGCACCACCTCGTCCCGCCACTCAATCCACTGCGCCTGCACGTGCGCGGCCGCACGGCTGCGGTCCTTGGGCACCATAGGCTGCTGGCACATGAGCTCTGCCCAGCCCGAGTAGAACGCCAGCGAGTCGCACATGGCCAGAATGTGGATGTACTCGAGGAAGCACGATGCTGTCTCGCTCCGATGCACGCGCCTTGCCGCCCTGCGCTGACGCCTGGCTGGGCTTGGTCGGCGAATCCATGACATCCGACTTGTCAATCCACTCCTGCTGCACAAATCCGCTAGGAAGCGAGTTGAACAGCCGCGCTGCGGCGTTCGTCCGCCCACGCAGCATGAACCGCCTTGCCAGCTTGCACACCTGCGCCAATGCATAGTCGTACAGCCGCGGGTCGCTTGTGACCCACTCGATTGCACGCACTTGCTCGAGCTCCTGCGGTGTTATCGGACTCGGACCGGCTCCGCAAGCTCAAATAGGCTGCGCTGCCCCATCGCTATCAGAGACGTCGTGCTGGAGCAACGCCAGATATGATGCACGCTTTGCGATTGCGTGCCAGTCGAGCCTGTGCTTCTCGGCCAACTGCAGGAGCTGGAAGCGCACAGGCAGCGGGTCGTTCACTTTCTGCAGGAACTCGGCATACACCTCGGTCTGCTTCTCTGCTGGCAGCTGAGATGTATATAGGGCCACTAGTTCGCGGTGCTTGTCCGAAGACAGTGGTCAATGTACTCTTCCAGAACTGTCTCCACCGCGTCAGAAGGCAAGTCAAAGCCTACTTGCCGCATGTACAGTGCAGCATGGACAACGAACCGAAGCAAGTCGCCCTCGTCTTCAGGACAGTGCATCCGAACGCAGTTTCTGCGCGAAATCTGCAATATACTCGGCGAACCCATCAAGAATAATCGCTGTCTGCAGTCTGTGGAACGGCGTCTCTGTCTCCTTCTTGACAGCATCGGACTCGTGCGAGCGCATCGCTTCAAAGACCTGCTTCAGTCCGTCCACTGGCGGATACTTGCTTTGGATATGCCCCAGCGACATGGTTTCGGCCGGGATATACAGCGAGTTCTCCCGCACCACGTCCTTGTCCACACGTTCCTCGATCATAGCATTGACGTACGCCCACACTATATCCTCCCACGACTTGGAAACCAGCAGGACCTCATCCAGCCGCCCGCTGAGCGCCGCATACAAGGCACGGTCATATAGCTTGTTGTCCTCGTCCTGTGCCAGCGCCGCACATGTCTGCTTCCACAGCGCCCGGTTCACGTTTCCCGCAGTGTCCCGCGGCTGCATGTCCCCGTCGCCAATTTTGTCTTCAACCTCGAGCCTTGGATCGCGCCAAAACAACCCACCCCGCATACTAGCTGCACGCCATGGCTCGTCGCTTTCGACACACAGATTCAGTGCATCGTCGAGCCGCCCACGCCGCACAAACTCGTACAGCGAGCGCAGCAGGCTGTCCTCGTACTCGCCGTCCTCCGCCGCCAGGGTCCTCTTTTGCCGTGTCGGCGCATCCGGATCGATTTCGGTCACTGCACCGCCAGACGTGCTGCCTGCCGATGAGTCCTCAGCCCGCTGATTGCGAATGTTCTTGCGTGTATAGAATAGGTAGCCGCGCCGTGTCTCTACCGGCTCAAACGGCACCGCTGTCTCCTCAAGCCAGGCCCGGATCGCATGGCACTGCAGTAGCACTGCTGCTGTCACCCATTACATCCTGCACCCGCACAAAGTCCGTGGTAGCAATCGACTCTGCTGCCACCATCGTGTCGTCCACCATATTTGCGTCCTGGTCGGCTGCGCTCTGCTGTGCTCTCTGACGGATTCTACAGGATCAAAAGTGGTATACTGCCAGTAAATAACATAGCTGAGGATTTGGCTTCCAAATTTCTCCCTGTTAGCCTTTTCTTGCATTCAACTTACGTGCTCAACCGCTCCATGAGGTCCCATGTGTTGCTCTCGACTTTCCAGTACCTGGCCCGGCCCTTTCTCAGTGGGTCTTCTGTGTTGTCAGTATCGCCCTCCAATACCTCAAAATACTTTTGCGTGAGCTTTTTGAACTGTTGAGCCTGTGACTCGTCCCGGTTGTCTGACCCCGGGCCGCTCTCGACCACTGAAGCAAACTCGGTGGCAATATCCGCTGCACTCATTTATCAGGTTCCTAAAGTAAAAGTATGAGTGGGAAATGAAGCAAGTGACAAAGGCAAAGACAAACGACACACGTCAAAGGCTCAAAAAACTCTCCTCGCCCAAGGCAGTGCCTCACCATATTAACAGATCACAAGTATTAGATTAATTTTTGTTTGTGGTTATTCACGCGTCTGCCGCATATATCGTCCGTCATGGTGCTGGCAAGGCGTGCTATATGCCAAAGATGTTGGTTGCGATTGAATGAAGATTTGAAAAAGAAAGGAAAAAAAGGAAAAAGGAGATAACTGCCGGCCCGGTGTGATATCCAATCCATGGTCCAGCCATCGATAGCTCGCAACCCGGGTCATCGCTGGTTTGTGGCCAAATGGCTAGCCTAGTCGAACAGTGCCCACAGATACGGCGAGTCAACCACCAACGTCTCACCATCCAAATCCAGACTCTAGCTCTACTGGCATGCTTGCCGGTGACTCTGGCACTATTTGAGTTAGCGGGTAAATCTCAATGTCAACTTCTGAGTCTGCTACTAGCTCTGACTCCATCCACTATGCTCGCTGGTGACCATGGCGTTACTTGCGTTAGCGGGTAAATATCAATATCAACCTCTGAATTTCGCTACTGACTCTGTATCAAGCTCAGAATCAGATATCCAATCAGAAATAGAATCTGCAACCAAGGCCGAGGATAGAAGTCATTGACTCAGTTTCCCACCCTAGTACTGACACTGTCTCCGCCTCAGTTGTGCTCAAGCACAGCTCTTGAGCTGGCTCCTCTGGACTCTCACACCTGCTAGCCTGCATCCCTGTGTGCTTAGTGTTGCTGCTCTTGTTGCTGCTGTTGCTGTTGCTGCTGGTATCTGGGTCACCAATAGGCGGCTCCTTCAGTAAACCATGGCACGCTACTTTCTCCAGGTGGTACTGCTCCGCAGTGAGTAGGCTGCCTAGTCAGACTAGCATTGCATTGCTTAGAGCCCTCGCCCCGGTATTCCTCGGCCATTGTATCCCTGGTGGTGTTGGTAGCTCTGTCCAAGCCATTCGTCTCCAGCATACTCCTTGACACGACGCTGCATCTCTCCGAATGGTATTTCATAATGAGGAGCAAATTGCTTGGGCCAGGCTGGTATTTTCCTGCTCAGTACCACAGCTCCTGCTGATCTGCGTCCCGGAGTTGCTGCTACTTCGCAGTCAGGGGCTTGTCCATCCCAGCTGTGGTGAAGGCAGATGCGCTTTGGTAGGGGCTCCGCAGCATCTTCGTCGTAGCTGCAAGCTCTTTTGCATCCATTTTTATTATTTTCAAGCTGAGTCTCGTGCGGCTGCATGCTATCGGGGATAGGTTGAAGTGATGCTTGAGCTGCCAGTGTATTGGCCTTGCTCATTAGCTGCCATCTGGCCTTTGCGACAAGCCTCCAATTCCCAGTGATGATGAGCTGGTATCGGAGGTATATGCATTGATGATAAGTGATGGAGTCAGCAACAGTTATCTCCACTGTGAGAATAAGGCCTAAAATTCTCGCTCTCCCTCTGAGGGCTGGATGGGTGGATGAGTTTATGAATATCCATCGTATGTAAGGATTATCTGTAATAAATGCAACACGTAATGGAGTAGATAGATTTGGTTTTTTTGCAGTCAGAATTGCCTAATGGTTTAGGAGAAGTTAGGAGAAAAGGACAGCGATGATGGTGGACCGCTGCTTTCCGTAGGAGCAACGGCTGGCATTTTATACCCACACGCAGCTGCTCTTGCTGAGTCGCAAAACGGCCTCGGTCAGCCCAAAAGGGGGCCAAAAGAGTGTAAAAATGTTAGGAGCTGCTGATTGCTAACGATAATAGAACAATATGCCATATGGCCTAAAACGTCGAAATTGCCAACAAAGATGATCAAGCAGATTCGAAGGTGATGATGAGGACGATGAGGGACGATGAGGACCGATCCAAGGTTGATGGCACAAGCCATGCCTGAACTAATGCCGATTGCAAACCACGATGTCAAATCTCTTAGCAATTGAGCATGCATGTATCCGTGGCACATGTCGCCTTCGTGTTCTCCAGACAAGCTGCTATGCTGGTCAGGTAGTTCAGATATGATTGAAGTATTTTATTTCGAACTACAGAGACAAAAGGTGAAAAGCCTGGAGAGGCTGCTATAAGCGGCCATCTTTCATCAGAAGCTGCAAGTCCTCGTCAGAGCCTTCATTCACTATCAAGGGGCCAGCAGGCTGGGTGTTTGGAGTATGGCAACAACGTTTTATCCATTGATATCGTCTTGGCTTGCAGCTTTCGTCTTGGCTCTGTAACAAGACGCCGTATTACTGAGACATATGATAATGTTACCCAGCACAAGGTGATACAACCCCTGTGAGACCGCATGCGGCCAGCCAGGCCGAACTTGGCTGTCACTGAGCTGGCACAGTCATGTTGTTTGAAGCCAAGCCGCCGACAGCACAACCCTAAACCATGAGCAGTGATGAAAGACAAATAATTCCTATCACTGCATGCATATTAGGATGATTGTTTTGGACCAACACTTACAACGCTCAAGCCAGTTGCCCCTTTCCCCTTTTCTTACAAATTTGTGGAACCCTCCAGCCTACTGACAAACTCCTCACGAATATATCCTTCCATCTTCGTATACTTTTAACGTATATACTTTTCGTGTGCGCTACAAATACACGGGTTTGCACAAATAACAACACAGGCTAAAACAGCATATTCAATGATAGATGCTTTACTCGGGTCGCAGAGAAAATCTCTGTTCGACGCTATCAGCACCTGGTTATATTCGTACCCGTTGAAACAATTTGATTGTATATCATCAAAATCTTAGTTGGAGAAGGTATGCTTGAGAAGAGGGGTTACTGTTGTTGGAAGTTCAGAATCCAAGCTATCCTGGAGCTCACGGTGTTTATAATATGCTCTGGCTGCAATTATAGCGGAACACAAAAGGAAAAACACCGCCATCGGGATATCAAATCCCCTTTCCATATTCCTACGTTTGTCCTTAATAATGCGAGAAATACCCGTGAACAGCAGGCCGCCTAAGACATACCATCGAATCACCAAACGATAGGCCAATAATTGAGAAGAGACGCGAGTACTGATCCTTGTCTTCACTAAGAGCGTACATTTGATCTCTATACATCTGGTTCACATCATGCAAGAATGCACGTTCTCCAAGGATGAACCAGAAAAAGATATTTGGTGTGATGGCAAGAGGAAAAAAGACATTCCACAAAGAATTGGCGACAAAACGCGATGGATGTATTAGGATACAAGCCGATGTCCAACAGCAAGATAATAGTATAGATTACTAGAAAGGATGCGGCATGTTTTGGCCAGCAGTGTAATCTGGCGCTTTTTGCTGCTCGAAGGTGAACACAAAGCAACAGATATACCAAACACAAGGGGCCAGGTCATACGGGCTAGCTGCCGGGCAACAAGAGTCGACCAAAGTAAATGCAGTTTCACTGAGTGGAGGCATTAGATAAAGAGTGTGAAAGGGACAAGTTGAGGAGAAAGCGATAATTCAGTAGTTGACAGCGGATTCCTACATAGACAATGTGTGCATGACCAGATCCACATGGGATTTCCCTAGCTGATTTTCTGTATAAAGCTGCATTGTAGGTGATTTTCGAATGTTCTGCGTACAGAATCAATTACCTTAGAGTACCTTTCACAGAGTCTGTGTGGCGATGTTATGTCTCATCATCCACGTCCTCAAATCACATAGTAGGATATCAATGCCAGCTAAAGCGCCTATTTTGAATAAGACAAAAGGAAAATCTCAAAGATCGTCATCGGACTCCTCCATCGCGTCCTGCTCCACTGTGGCCTCCGGCTGCTTAAAGTATGTGCCAAAGTCGTAGTCATCGTTGCCATCGCCAGCCTCTTCGACCGCCATGTCATCAGCAGCAGCAGGCAGCCAGCTCCAGAGCCTTCTTTGCCTGCTTCTTCTGCTTCTTGCGCTGCTCGAGCTTGAGCTGGCGGTTGAGCTGAGGGTTGATTGCAGCCTCCTCGCTGGTGAGGGCCTGGCCAGAGCTACGCTCCAGAGCCTTGATCTTCCTGGTGGCTGGCAGGTCGATGACGGTGGTACCCATGGGCGCTGTGGACAGCTTCGTCGTCCTCGGACATAAGCTCTTCGTCGTCCTCGCTGGACATATCGGCGGCGTCCATCTCCATGTTGATATCCTGGGTAATGGTGCGACCCTCCATGACGACGGCACGGCGCGAGAACGCATTGTCGGTCTTGGCACCCTCAAGGGCGGTCGAGTCAATATCACCAAGCAGGGCGCCAATGTCGAATTCCTTGGCCCACTCGCTAACAACAACGGCACGCTCGGCGCCATGGGCGGCGGCAGCGTCACCAGCAGCGGTCATACCCGAGTTCGTCTTGGCGGTCATGCCCGGCGGCAGAGTGTAGTAGGGGATCTTGCCCTTGTTCCAGTCGGAGAGCACAATACGGGCCGCAGCCTCAACATCAGCAATGCCACCGCGCTTGAGCTGACCGCGCTGGATGGCAAGACGCACCAGGAAATCGCGGGTGGTCATAAAGGCCGGCACATTGTACATGGCCTGGAGGGCCTGCGGCTTGCAGCGCTGGACGATCAGGTCGACAGGGGTGACGGGATCGTCAAGCAGCTCGACCTTGATGCAGTTGCGCAGCATCATCTCGGCCATGGCGGTCTCGTCAAGCTTGGTGCCAGCCTTGACGGGGCCGTTGAAGACGATGCCAGGGCAGTCGAGCAGCTTGAGGTTCTTGTCAAGATGGATCTGCTGGACAAATTTGGTGAAGCCAGGGGTGGAGCCCACGCCGCAGACGCGCGACCGCTTGAGCGAGTTGATCAGCGACGACTTGCCGACGTTCGGGAAGCCAATGGCACCGACCGTGATGGATGTCTTGATCTTCTGGTTGCGCGAGTAGTTCTTCAGCAGCTGGATCAGCGACTCGGCGCCGACGCACTCGGACGTGGTCAGGGTGGCAGCCTTCTTGCTGGAGGAGCTGGCCTGGCCCAGGTTGCTGCGCTGCTCCTGCGTGGAGGCCTTGAAGGCCAGTGTGGGGAACTCGTGGCGCAGGTACTTTAGCCATTTCTCGACCACGTCGCGCGGCACCAGATCGATCTTGTTCAGGATCAGGATGATGCGCTTGTTTGCCCCAGCATCCATGATCATGCGCTCGATCTGCGGCGCGCGCGTGCCGAGCGGATCGCGGGCATCAAGCACCTCCAAGATAACGTCGGCGTTCTGAACAACCTTCTGGAACTCCTTGTAGTAGGCACGCTTCGAGTTGTCGCGCCGGCCCACCACGGCGCCGTCGACGGTAGCCCGCACGCCCGAGTCCGAGTCCGAGTCGCTCATGTCATCCTCATACTGGGCATCCCGCGACTGCGCGTCCCGGGCCAGGTCGGCAATGCTTGTGACTGCACTGATGTTGCGGTTCTTGTCGTGCAGGGATTTCCGTGCGTCGCGCTGGCGCTCCTTCTCCTCCTTCAGCTGTGCCCGGTGCTCCTCGATCTGGTTCAGCACCTTGTCCTTCATCGGGAACAGGTTCGGGATTCCAGGGTCCTTCTTCAACTTCTTGCGCTGCGGGTTGCGCTTCGCCTCGCGCCGGTCCTTGCGCCGCTTCTCGGACGCCTTGCGCCGGATCTTTTGTTGCTGCTTCAGCGGCACACGCTTGGACTTGTGTTCTACAGGTGTATCATTAGTTCTCATGACTCTAAACATCGCTCAAGGTGTGCTGCTGTTGACGCTTACTCTTGGGGACCATTGTGAATTCCTTTAGAAAAGTTTAAAAATGAAGAAAAGGTTCGGGTTGAAGAAGGACCGCGGCTGTGTTTTTTTTGGTAGTGCAGGAAACCAGCAAGAACTTTTTTTTCATTTTTCGCGGTTCGATCGGACGGCTCGGCTCGCTACGGACAGCACCGGCTCGCTTCTCCTGGAACGATCTTGAGACGATGTCAGACCCAGCCATGTCATCATCCTAGATGACGCAGGAGGTGTAGTCTGGTGACAGCAGAGCTTGCCACCGTGCTGGTGCCAGGCAAATGCAGATGTGTGCCACGGCAAGCTGGTGCCATGGAGCCAAAGTACAGCTTGATGACTAACAAAACCACCATATCTACGACGGATCTTCCCAGGGGTATTTAAGCCGTATTTCGTGCAGATTTCACAGTGACAAGCCATTCCTGCCTTATCTTCCGAATATTTGGCTTTTTCTATTTGTACCAACTATGCGTCTCCTGCTCCAGTCGAAGAACACCCTTGCGCGGTTGCCAATGGCTCGTGCGCTGCGTCAAACTGCGCTTCCGCAGACCGCTGTGGGCAAGCTCATGGCATCGCGCACCTTCAACTCCTCAGCACGCCTGGCTGCGGGGGTGTCTTCGGGTGACAGCTTTATCTTAAAGACATACGCTCGGCCTGAGCTGACTCTGTCGCACGGCAAGGGCAGCTACGTGTACGACACAGCAGGCAAGGAGTATCTGGACTTCACGGCCGGGATTGCTGTGGTGGCGTTGGGCCACAGCCACCCAGATGTATCGGCAGCAATTGCCGACCAGGCGACGAAGCTCATCCACTGCTCGAACCTGTACCATAATGAGTGGGCGCCGCAGCTTGCGCAGACGCTGATAACCGCAACTGAAGCGTCGTTCTCGTCGGCCACCGCCGGCCTGTACGCCAAGGGAGCCGATGGCAAGATCGGTGCACGTGTGTTTTTCTCAAACTCTGGTACAGAGGCGAACGAGGGCGCCCTGAAGTTTGCGCGAAAGTATGGCAAGCACGTGGCCACTGCCGGCACGCTGGGCAAGACTGCGTCGGAAGCGCTGCGTGGCGATCCGAATCTGAAGAGCAACATTGTGTCGTTTACCGGCGGCTTCCACGGCCGCTCCATGGGTGCGCTCAGCGTCACGGCCAATCCAAAGTACCAGAAGCCGTTCACGCCGCTGATTCCTGGCACACAGACCGCAAAGTACAACCGCTCCGATGAGCTTGCTGCCTTCATTGACGAGCGCACGTGCGGTGTCATCGTCGAGCCCGTGCAGGGCGAGGGTGGCATCCACCCCTGCCGACGTCGAGTTCCTGCGTGCGATCCGTCGCCGCTGCGATCAAGTTGGTGCGGTGCTCATCTACGACGAGATCCAGTGTGGGCTGGGCCGCACGGGCTCGCTGTGGGCCCACCACCAGTATCCGGAGGACTGTGTGCCGGATATTGTGACCATGGCCAAGCCGCTGGCGAATGGCGTGCCGATCGGCGCTATCATGGTCAGTCAGAAGATTGCCGATGTGATGAGTGTCGGTGACCATGGAACGACATTTGGCGGCAACCCGCTGGCGTGCCGTGTGGGCTGCACTGTGCTCGGCCATATCGCCAAGCCGGCGTTCCTGGAGCGTGTCAAGGAGGCCGGAAAGGTGCTCGAATCGGAGCTCGAGCCAGTGCTGAAGCCGTATCTGGGCGGCCTGGTGGTGGAGCAGCGCGGCATGGGTCTGCTCCGTGGGATCCAGTTCGCCAGCGATCCGACGCCGATTGTCAACTTGGCGCTGCAGCGCGGGCTGCTGCTGGTGGCCGCTGCTGGCAACACTATCCGCCTGGTTCCGCCCCTCACCGTTGAGAACGCCGACCTAAAGAAGGCCGCGACAATCATTGGGGAGTGTATTGCTGAGACATCCAAGAAGTGATCGGCGAGCCTGAAAATTTTTTCAGGCCATGGTTGCCATAAAGGTGGCCCTGGGCTACGATGCTCTATAGACAGGTCCTGATGGTCCCGCCCCTCCGATGGGGACCGCGTGGTTTGAAAATCTTCTTTCGCTTTTTGTCTTTCATACTCCGTTCTTACAAGCGCACGCAATTCTTTTGGTTACTCTTCGATCATTGAAACTCCGCTTTTAAACATGGTGAAGCTCAATCTGCAGTTCCAGGCTGAACTGACCAATGTAACCAACGTCGTGCCAGCTGATGCCGACTATGCGTGGAACTTCAAGGTCAAGTGCAACTCGTGCCACGAAGTAACACCCAACTTTATCACCATCAGCGCCGAGGTAAGAGGCTTCCATGCATTCCTGTTTAGGGGCATTTGAGGGACACCCGCTCCACGACTTCGCAACAGAGAAAGAGCACGATCAAATGGCAACAGGGTCGGTAATCATTTGGGGGAGGGAAATGTAACCCATGCCATGTGTGTAGGACAACAGCTCGATTTCCGGCAGCCGCGGGGAGGCCAACTTTGTTATGCGCTGCAAGTTCTGCAAGCGTGAGAGCTCGGCGTCGATCGAGGGCAGCCCGAAGCCGTATACGGCCGATGACTCTGGAAGTATGGCGACGATCTTGTCGCTGGAGTGCCGCGGACTGGAGCCCGTGGAGTTTGAGCCCCGAGATGGGTGGAAGGCCGAGGGCGTGGAGTCTGGCACGGCGTTCGAGATTGACCTGACCGAGGGCGAGTGGTACGACTACGACGAGAAGGCCAGCGACGAGGTGTCTATTACTGAGATCAAGCACCAGATTGTTCGCGGGTAATGGTTAGACCTGCCCCCAGCCACGCCGTGCATATGTTCAGGCGCATGCTTCTTATTTGACTACCAATATAGTTATTGCAGGGCATTGTGTCCGAGGATGAGATTGCTCCAGCGCAAACAAGCCGCATAATGGTACAATAGCCAAAGCACCTAGAGTTCTATTATTGTATCCTGTATGTTGTTTTGTTGCTCCTGTCTAACCGCTGGAGGGGCACAGAAAAAGGAGCCAAGGCGAAGCACCAATATGAACGTATCCGAATACAGCTATTTGTGGCAAAGTATTTGCAGCTGCAGACTGCGAACCACATTCAGATGACCAGAAAACGCTGGACTTTAGGCGCTCGGTGCTGCCTTGCGCAGACTCGCCTTTGTGAATTACTGTACTGCCCATTTCCGGGTGCCAGCTTTTAACTTTCAAATGGAGCACATCCTTTCTGGCTCCATTCGTAAGAGCCGGGGGAGTGTGCTAAATAAAGACGCACTCATGGGCGCTACCGAAAATGACACAGCGGGATGTGTCCTTCCGGCGATAATGGTACCGGCCAACAGCTGAGCGCGTGTGCATGTCGGTAGCAGGCGGCTCTTCATGTGCCTGAAAAATGGCCAGTAAACAATAGACATCACGCTTCCTCAGAAAATATACATGCCAGAGTATGTAAACATTTATAACAGATCCATGCATCCGAGACTGCCGTGGAATGTGTTAATGACCCCTTGCAGCTTTGTGCCCGCTGGAACAGACTTTGGCTGCACGTCCAATAATTGCCACAGGTGCCTTTCACAAGAGGGTGCAAAACTGGTTTCACAGCTGCCACAAAAAAGAAAACAAAAAACGCACTTCTGAAAATCTCAGACCGCGGGTTATATAGGGACCGCCTGTCCCCCCAAACCAAAGGTCATTGCAATTTTTATAGCTCGACCGTTTCTCTTCTTTTTGCTTTTACTCCTCCCTCACCTCGTTTTCACGTCTGTCAAACACGCTTGTATTTTTCACCTCTCCCTCTCCGTCCCAGTTTACTATTCTCAAACCTCTTTTCTCTTTCAGCAAAAGAAAACACGCCGTGAAACCCTCCCCCTGCTTTTCTAACCTCTCTTTCTCTAACGACATTATTCTCACACGCTGGCTCTTTTTCCCCCTTTTACACATTTCTTGCAATTTTTATACTCCTACCCACCCGTATTTCCAAATTTGGTCCAGGCGACGTACACGCTGCTGGGTGGAGAAGCACACCTTTTAATACCAGTAACTCAGTCATGTGGTCTAGTACACGGTCTAGCCGGTTCCAAGGGTGTCGGAGCGCAGCAGCAAGGGACAGTATCCTCGGCGCCGGTGCACAGCGCCACAGAACACATCGAGCCGGCCAGCAGTGCGGCAATGAGCACGGCGGGCCGGACGTCGGGGGCGCGGATAAAGACAAAACACATAGTGCGGCGGTCGCCCAGCCAAACAGCGCTGCGTGGGTGCGTGCCGACGCGGAGGCCGATATCGTGGCTGTTCCGGCGCAAGGCGACAAAGGGCGCTCCCGCCGTAGCACAGACAGAGCGCGAGTCGGGGGCCGTGAGCGAGGACGACGGAAACGAGCGGGTGCGGCGGTCGCCACGGCCTAGCGATATGCGGCCTGGGATACAGCATGCGTCGGTTACCGTGGAGTCGGGGCAGGGCGGGCTCCGGGCACACCATTTGCGGCTGAAGACGCCCGATTACAGCGAGTTTACGCCAGAAATGATATTGCGGGCGCAGAGCAGCAGCGGGGCTGTCGGCCGGAGCACTATTGTGTCGCTGGGATCACCTGCCGTAAATAGGGTCACAATATCGACCACTGACACAGAGCTGCCCACTATTGGTGAGGCGCAGTCTGGGGTCGGCGCCGCAGTAGGGGCGGCGCAGGAGGGCTCGCCAAAATTGGCCTCTGTACATGTGCTTACGCGACAGTCGTCATCTGCAGAAAGGAGAAGCCTACATGCAGACGGCGGCGGCGATGAGCTGGACCACGTGCATGGCAGTATGCACGACATGCGCCTGGATGAACACGATGAGGAGGGGTACGAGGAGGTGGATATTAATACGCCGTCTGCAGGGTACTTGCTGGCGATGCGTGGCGATGACGGAAGCAGCGACTGGAACTCTGACTTCAGCTCGCCGTCATCGCGCCACCGGTCTGACGACCAGCCCACCACCGAGACAATGACGATCGACCCTTCCGGCTCTGCCCGTCTGCAGGATCGGGCCCGCGGGCGTGGCGTGCTGGAGGTTCAGCAGAAAATCCGCGAGCAGGAGCGGTGCCTACGGAAAATCAACGAGCTGCGGGACATGTTTCTGGAGATCCGGCCCGCAATCATGCGCCTGCTGGCGCTGGAGCTGCCCGACCGCGGGTTGCAAATTGGCACCCTGGCGTTCGCCAGCACGACGCGTGACACGATGGGATCGAGCGAGATTTCGGTGGAGGAGGAGGAGCTGTGGGAGCTGTGGCGTGAGATGGAGGCGCTGCTGGCGCTGATGGACAACGAGAACGGGATGCGGCCGCAGGTGGTGGAGAGCCGGATCTCGCTGAGCAAGAAGCGGTCGATCATGATGGCGTTCTGCGACTGGGAGCAGTACTCGCAGTACGTGCAAGACGCGTGGACGCGCGCGGTGGAGGGCATCGCGCAGCCGAACATTGCGCATATTAGCCGCAACAGCAGCACGAGCACAGGGCTGAATCCCAGCAAGCGCAGCAGCGCGTCCAGCGTGGCCAACAACATCAGCTCGGCCAGCAGCAGCTGGACTGCGAGCCGCGGGATGACCACTGGGTCGAGCGCCAGCGCGCGGCGGTGGGCGCAGCAGCGGCGGCGGTCGGTGATTGGCGTGGCGCCCGAGAGCCTGCAGCGCATCGTCAGCGAGGCGGAGCGCATCAAGGACCTGTGCGTGTTCCACCTGGGCAAGATGTCGCCGTCGTGGATTGACTTTATGCGCCGCGTCGAGCTGGCGCTGGAGGGCGACGGGCCCGCATCCCGGGACGAAGCCAAGGATGGCTCCGAGGGCGACGACGAAGACGACAGTGTGCCCCCGTTGCCGCGCCAGCCAGTGCAGCAGGAGCCCAGGCAGGTGCTTGTTGGCGCTGGGCCTGGCACCTACGGAAGCGTCGTTGTTTAGGGGCAAAACACCTGTTACAATAATAAAGCATCTTTTGAATGACATTCGGAAACCTCTGTTCTTTTGTGGGCGCTGACGCAGCCGCTCTTTTCTTTTCGCTAAGGGCAAATTTGATTTTATTTTTTTTACTTTTCTTTGTGGAAATCATGAGCGCGAACGACATGGACCTCGACATACCGGAAACCCAGACCAATGTGCAGGGCAATTCCATAAACACCCCGCCGCAATCGGCCGGTCATACTCCGCAGCGCCCGACTGCGTTTGGCAGAGTTGACAGTGGCACTGCTATCAGTCGGCGCACGCGCGCTGCAGGACAGCGCTGCCCCCGAGTCGCCACACTTGGGCAACGACGACGAGGACATGGCCATGGAGTTCGAGGATAGCAGGAGCCATCGCCCCCAGCGTCGCGGGCGCAACGTGCGCATGTCCAAAGCCTTGGCCGAATTGTCACAGACCGTGCACAACGACTTCCCAAACGAGTTTGGCGACAACTGGCACATCGTCCACTGAAATACTGCACGGAAACAGGTGGACTAAGATGGATATGTACTTGTGGTCATGAAGAATAATAAGTTACGTTAAATATGCATTGCATCAGCACACAGCTGACGCTTCACTTGTGATGCCCAGGGGCTGCGTCTCGTTAAGGATCCGTGTCAGGGACCGGCGATCGGTGCCCATCGACAATGAGGGTGCGCTGGAGATGCGCGGCGTGTGGTCTGGCGGATGGGGCATCTTCTTTATCACGCTGTTGCGGAATGCTGCCGTGACCGGTAGCGGGTGTGCCAGAGTGTCAGACACCGATATCTCGAGCATCGACGAGCACGACGGCGAGGGCGGCACAAAGACAAACTCGTCGCTCTCACGCGGCAGACTGGCCAGGGTAAGCGGTGTCGACGTACTTGTAGTAATAGCCAGGCTTCCAGTGTTCTCGGGGTACTCCTCGACCACCTCATAGTCGGTCTCCAGCGGTTCAAGGCTGACCGGCTGGCCATCTGGTGAACTGGTTTGCTCAGACATGCTGTCGTGACAAGAGTCGGATACGGGATTCGACCACTCGACACGGGGACGTGCGACAATGGTTCTGTCATTCTGCGAGTCCTCGGTGTCAGCCAGGGGTCCTGAATCACTAGTGCTGCTGCTGTCGTCGCTCGCCTCATCCTGGCTCGATGGCTGCTGCTTCACAATACCGTCCTGCACCGTCTGTCTCGCCGCATCGGGCTTGCTTCCCAAGCCGCCGCGCACCGCCTGCCTCCGGTCAACGACCGTCAAGCCTGCCAGAGTTGGGTGGCGCGACTTTTCATTGTCACGCTTCAATGAAACGGCACAAGACCCTGAAAGTGACGGGGGCGATTGCGAGGCGTACAACTTCGACGCCACGGGCAGACGGAAACTCGGACCAGGCAGCTTCAGCGTCAGCCGCAAACCCTCTTTGGACTGCGACATCTTGCGCGCCATCTGTGTGTCGGCTTCTGTGAACTGTGCCAGATACTCTTCCGAGTACACGTCCCGGCACCGCGCGATGTTTCCCTTGCGCTGCTTCTCCTTGTCGTCCACAGCCGTGCTAATCCGATGTTTGGTTACTGCATAGACACCAAGTCCACCGGCGATCACGCCTGCTGCCACAGCGGCGATGACAATGACAATGATGGTCCATGCCTCCATCATAAAGTGTGTATGCAAGTATTGGAGTGGAATAAATGTAGCGGGAAGGGTAAAAGAAAGAAGAACGGGTTTAGAGATAGCGAGAGGGAGAGTTGAGAAAAGCGATATTGAAAAGAAGCGCTAAAAAGACAAACGTGAAGGGCTTTAAGGGGAGGGTGTAGGAGGGGGTGGGTCGTGAGTGTGAAATTTGAGGGAACAGGAAAGGGGCGTAATGTATGAGTGCGGGAGATACGGAAAAAGGAAAGAGGAAGAGAGAGTAAGGTTAGGAATGATACTGCGCGCAACTCGAAAACAGAAGGTATAGAGGGAGGAAGGAATCGTTAAAACAAGCTCAAAATAGAGACATCGACATAAATTACCGCTCTCGTTACAAGAAAGCGTATTGTATCAATAGAGAAAATAGACCACCAAAAGTACCAAGGGGAAGGGAAAAGGAGAAGCCAACGGCAGCGAATGTCGCGAAACGTAAATAGACAACCAGTGCATGAATTCAAGCCAAACGCGAACACACCTCAGCTGTCAGTACGGTCGCTAAAGGCCCATCTCGCAGTAGGCCCGTATAGCCGTAGACCGCGGGCTTGGAATCGCTTTCTTATCTTGTTTTCCTTTTTGCGCCCGGTGGTCCCGCCAGGTTGGAATAGTAACAATCTTGTGTGCTGGCAAGCGTGACACAGGCCAGTAGGCCCCAGACCATGCAGAGAAAATGGAACTGTGCTACTACGTCGTCTGGCAAGGAATTCGGAAGTTACAATATCTTCTTTTTCTGGTTTGCAGTGCTGCCGGAAAACACAACAACCAAAGCTGCCGTCCAGAAGGCGGGGGCAGTAGGGAGACAAGTGCATTGCAAGACCATATTCATTGTAGTAACTGCTGTCTCCATTGTCGCCTGTCATTGACGCGCTTGGCCCAGAGCGAGTATAGAACCGAAGTCAGCAAACCTAAAAGTGTCCGCTCGGGAGTCTGCAGCAGCTCAAAAAGACCAAGGTAGTGACCATTGTCGACGCAGCCCGTTTCTGGGTAGCCCGGCCCATTGACGCTGAGGGCACAATTGCTACTGCCCTAATGCGGCACCGTGGGCTGCGGGATATTGTCGCTCGGTATGTGGACCGTTTGGGGCGAGGTGATGCTGGAGTTTAAATTTATTGAATAATGCGCAATCTCAGTGCATAATCCGCCTGAGATGGTTGACAATGCACGGCCAGTACTGGTTTTCATTTGCGCGCTGTGCGCCTGCTACCCCGCCGACGGGCTCGTTGTGCTCGGCATTGCGCCCCCCGCGCTTTGACTCGAGCGCAGCCATGCGGAGCAGATTAGCAAAATCGCTCTGCAGCGCCAACGGCATCATATCATCCGACTCGTCGACATCGACATCCATCTGGCGCACCTTCTGCCGCTGCTTGACCCCATGCTCAAACTTCTCTGCAACCTCGTTTGCCTGCTTGACAATCGATACTGGCACGCCCGCCATTGCCGCCACATTCATGCCGTGCGATTTGGAGGCCACTCCGCGCGTCAAGCGGTACAGGAAGGTGACACGGTGCTCCTCTTCATTCACTGCGCACGCCATAAACATGGGCCTGAGGTGCGGCTCGACCGTGCCCGAGCTTTTGGAGGTGATGCCCTTGAGCAGAGACTCGGCAAGCAGTCCGTAGTGGGTCGAGAATAGGCCCAGGCAGCCAAGGCGTGCACACAGACCGTGGAGCACGCCAAAGGCGACTGCCTCGCCGTCGTGTGTGCTGGTGCCACGGCCGAGCTCGTCGAGGACCACCAGCGAGTGCGGGGTCGCGTAGCGCAGAATGGTCGCCGTCTCGGCCATTTCAACCATAAACGTGGAGCGGCCGGCCAGCAGATGGTCGCGGGCCCCAATACGGGTAAACAGGCGGTCGACAGGGGTGATTCTGGCCGACTGCGCCGGAACATAGCACCCAAGCTGGGCCAGGATGACACCCAGACACAGCTGCCTCAGTAGCGTTGACTTTCCACCCATGTTCGGCCCAGTCAAGAGAATCATTGACGCTCCGTCATCCTGGTCGCCGCTGGACATCATACTGGATTCGCTATGGCGGCCCAGCACAATGTCGTTCGCAACGAAATCAGAAATTGCCCCGCTGAGCGCCACGCACGGATGACGCAGCTGGCGGAACTCGAATATAGCCGCCGCAATTATCGGCGGGCTCGAGAATCTCGGGACGGCACAGCGGCATGCCCAGCGACGACGAAGCAACAGTCAGCGCCACAAGACAATCGAGTTCCGAAACCACCGATACTGCCTTCATCAACAAAGCGTAGTGACGGTCGAATTTCGCGTACAGGCGGGTCTGGTAGCTGTCGAGCACCATCGACTTGGTCTCAAGGGCTTCGGCACGTTCCTGGACCTTGGTGCGCAGCTCAGGCGACCAGTAGCGGTTGACCGCCTTGGTGCCAGACAGCTTGAAGTAGCTGTCGGGAACCTTGACTGAGACTGGCATCTCAAGCTGGTATGGTTCTTTGCCCATGTGCTTGTAGTCGATGCTCTTGCTGTTGAACTTTTTACGGTTCTCCTTCAAATGCTGGTCAAACCACGCATCGAGCTCAGTCAACTGCACCAGGACCTTGTCGTATTCCGAATCTGCACCAGGGAACGGGAGCAGCCGTCCCTCGTTTGCTGCCATCGTCTGGTCGAACGCCGCATTGATCTGGCTGAGCAGATCGCCAATGGGTGGGAACATAGTCAGCAGCGACTGGAGCCGCGCAGGCAGCGCCTCGCCATGAGAGTTGCGCAGAACAGCGATTAGCTCGTTTGCTGCACCCAGGCCTTCGAGCAGTGAGATGAAGTCAGCAACCTTGCACCGGCCAGAGTGGACACGGCTCAGCACACGCTCTAAATCAGCCAACGAGCGCAGTGTTGTGCAGATAGTATCAGCCACTTCACCGCGAGACATCAGATACTCGACAACGTCTAGCCGCGCGTTGATAGCACTGGCACTCTTCAGCGGGTGGCAGGTCCAGCGGCTCAGCAGACGCCGGCCAAACGGTGTCAGCGCGTGGTTTAGAAGCGCAAACAGCGTGCCTTCGACAGTGGCTGCTTTGCTACCAATCTTGGATGCTGCAGACATAGCAGCTCCTCCGCTCTCCGATGAAAGGGTGAACAAGTCAAGGTTGGAAATGGTTGGTCCGTCCAGAACCAAGGCCGTGTCGTTCTGCATGGGCTGATACGTCGAGAAGTTCTTTAGAGACACCAGGTCCTTGTCAAGCTTTAGTGTCCGCAAGTAAGAGATCAGTCCGCCCACTGCGGTCAATGCCAGCGTGTCGTTTTCAGCAGCATCACGAAGCAGGACCGGCCAGGTGCTCATGTCGCTAGCCTTCTCGTCAAAGTAGAATGCCTGTTCCAGCTCGCGCGTCAGAGTTGGCACATCCCAGAACTCTTTGCGCGCAGTCAGTGCAATCCAGTCGGTGCTTGGTGCGCACGTATTCTTGAGCGCCCGCCATGTCGGTTGCGACAGCCCCGCCATACCGTCCCACGCTTCGGGTCCCGACAGCGACAGCTGCTCAAGCGACATGATGCTGGTGCTGGTGCTCCCCTTGGTTAGACTGACCGCAGTCAGAGACGGGACACCGCGCTGGCCAGGCCCGTATCCACCGCGGACATAAACCACTTCACGAGGGTTGATCTGCACCAGCAGCGTCTCAAGCCCACTGCGATCCGCATCGTCGTTCTTGATGCTGCACATATGGAACTGCGCAGTGGCTGTATCGACAAAGGCGACGCCAAATGAAGTCGCGATGTTTGTGCCGGAAGCAGCGACGTCCTCCGCGTTCTCCTATCTCGTGTGTCGCCTCAACAATCGCCAGACAGTACGTGGCCAGGTCCTGTGTCAGAAGCGACGGGTCGATCAGAGTTCCAGCAGTCAAGACGCTTCGTCAGCTCACGCATCACCAGCCCGTCGCCCTTCTTGGAGCTGCCTCTCTCGCGCATATCCTTGGCCAGCTTACTCTCCAACTGGTCTACCCTGGCAACCTTGTACCCCTTGGCTATGAACTGCGCAACCCAGTGGTCGAATGACGACTCGGGCACACCGGCCATTCGCATGTTGACACGGTCGGTCATTTTCAAGTCGAATTCCTGTGAGCCAATTGATGCGTCGTTCTCGTACAGCTCGTAGAACTTGCCCTTCTTGAAAAACACAACCGTGTCCCAGTGCTTGCTCTTGATTTCCCAATACTGCTTCTCGAACGCCGAAAACTTCTTCCACGCGCTGCTTGGAATAAACAGCGTGCGCTTATCGTAGCCAGGGGTCCGTAGGACCGTACTCCCTGGGCATCCTTGACGTCCTCGAGCCACGCATACCGCTCTTCGTTCTTCTTGGCAAACTTTGCTACCCGCTCCTTGCGCGCATCGTTTGCAGTGACCGCCAGTGTCGACTGCTTCGGGCTCTGGAGCGTTGCCATCAGCGGAATGGAGCTGGACGCTGTCGAGAGTGTCGACAGGACTTGACCCGCTGTGACTGAGTCGGGCAGGGCGCCTGTGATCTGTTGAGCAGCGTCATTAGCGAGGGCTCGTCACAGCTGGTCGTGGCTGTGCTGGTGCCACGATGGAGCCGCTGCCTCTTGCTCGGGGTCTTCAGCATCACATCGCCAGTGCTGCGCTTCGGAGCTGACAGCGACAACGGGGTGCCATAGTCGCTGTCGTCGCTATCGTCGATGACTCGTCCATTGCGACCACTGGATCTGGTAGCAGCCGACAGTTCTTCAGGTACAAAGGTGCCATCAGCATCGTCGTCGTCCGTCATCGGCATCATCATCCTCGGTCTCCAGCCCTGTGTATTCCTCGGCTGACACAGCTGCCGGCTTTGCTCTGGGCTTCAAAGGTGATTTTGCGTATTCCTCTTCGGCCATCTCAATGTCTTTGAGTATGTCGTCGTCCATGGGCAGGTCATCATCATTGAAGGATCCGTCCTCCTCGTTGATAGCGACGTTCAGGTTTGCAACCCCCTTTGGAGAGGCAAAGAAGCTGAATAGGCTGGTTTGTTTCTTGCCTGCAGATTCGGCCGTCTTCAACGCTTGCGATTTCCTTGGTGTTGTGAACTTGCTCCCCATTGCAAATGATACTGAGAATACAAATAGAAAAGGTTTGGAGACGAAAGTGAGTCTTTTGCAGCAGATCAACAAGCAAAACTTTGTGCTGACAGCCCATGCGGGACGAGAAAAAAACCTGTAGGCCGACGTGACAAAGTCTAAGCCACTTTCTGGCGCACGCGTTGCGCGCATCAGTGATCCGCTAACAAATTCGGATCAGCAGCAGAGTTAGCGAGAGAGTGGGCTGGGTTCATCACCCCTAGTGGGGACAGTAGACTGCGGCGGTTCTAGAGCAATTCTGGTCAAGTGTTCAGATCAGACAGCCAGGGTGCGAAAGTCGCAGCCCGGAGTCTGGTCTATGGCTTACAAAGCGCTGCTGCCATATATACTCGCTGGTAGCTTCCAGTAGCGCAAAGGTGCTGCGCTGGTGTCGCGGCAGGCTACGATGACGCTGATCGCCAGGCGATAATCGGGAATCAGGCTATTCAAAACAGCTGGAGACCATTGTTCCGTCTGCTTTTGTGTTCGGACTGTCTCTCGTTAGCACTCCTCTTTGTTTCGGTAAATAGCCAGTTTAGCACGCCAATGCCGCCGGAATTGGTCACGCTCGAAGTCGAAACAGCACGAGCACTGCGTGTTCTGCGCAAGTTGCTTGGCAAACTAAGCGACTTAGAGGAGGAGGCAGTCCTGCGTCCCTCGCTATACCGAGATGTCGCCAAGACCGCAAAGGACCTACCACCAGCCCACCCGTTTGGGCTGCTAGCAAATCAAAGGATGCACAAGCAGCCGCGGTACACGTACAAGCGAAAACGCACACAGGCGTGTCCATAGGGATAGGTGCTCCAGGAGCGAGTCGAGCGATGGGCTAGCGAAGGCAGAGGATATGTCGCTTGTAGAATATCTGTCGGACTCGGGAGTAGGTGGATCGCGAAGTCCCGATCCAGCGATATGGCTTACGACGCCGCGTAAGAAGCCGCGGCGACAGAACAGCCATCCACCCCATTCAATGCATGCCCGCACAGCTCCATCGCTAGGCAGCATCCAGTCGTTTGTGTCGCGCGTGGAGACACTGGGAGTTGGTATAGAGCAGAAGCCCGTGAATACCGTCAAGGCAGAGCAGCTTACAGAGTACATGGTACAACTGGGACAGCAGCTGTGGCTGGCAGGTTCTGGAACCTGACGAGGCGATCCGGCACGGTTCGATGTTTGCCATTGCAAGTCATGGCGGCGTTCCGATCGGGTATTGCGATAGCACAGTCGGATGGGAGCGAGGACATCGAGTATTTGAAGGAGATTTACGGGTGCGTTCCGGCGTATCTGGCGAGGTTTGTTTTGTGGCAGCACGCAGTGTCGCTGTGCTTTCTGCGCGCCCCGTCGTACGCCAACGCACTGTCGGCAGCATTATATAAAGTCGGCGCATTTTTCCAGCAGGATTGGCTAGTTAGTGCGCGTCTTGAACAGATGGACAGCATTGGAGCGCTGGTCCGGACTGGCACAATTGCGCTATTGCATCTGTGGTCGGTGGATATTGGAACTGAGGCGCGGTTTTTTGACAAGTATGTTGCGCTGCTGCTGCCACATACCAACGGCCGTCGGGGAGGAGACTCGTTCTGGCAGCAGTTTGTGCCGGCCAGCATGCTGCAGGATACGCGAGCATATAGAAAGGCAGTGCGTGGCAATGACTCTGGCACTGACGACGACGTTTCTGGCTCACAGACCGGCACGCGGATATCGCGGTTACGCAAAGTGGGTGGCGCGGGTCCGCGAGCCACGTGAGTCTGTGCGTATCCTGTCCCTGGCACTGCGGGATGCGGCAAAGTTCATCGCCAAACAAATCAGGTCTGGCGCCTCGGATATCTCACAGGTGGATGCGGCGCAGGAGGCGCTGGGTATAATATGCCCGGTCATTTACTGCGCGGGCGGGCTGCGAGACACTGCTGGGCGACACACGCCGCGTTCCAGGCGAGCTTCTGCGTGGCATCAGCGCTATGGACTCGCTCGTTCAGGCGGCTACTGAGCACGTGGCATCTTCGCACAAGAGCCGTGCGAAAATCGGGAAAGTATCGCAATTCCGATACTGGAGCAAGCACGCAAATGCACTTGCTGCTGGAGACATGCCTACAGCACCACACGTGCCTGTGTCTGGTAGCAGTGTGCGTGCTGAGGCGGCAGGACGAAGAAGAGGGTCCGTGGATGTCAAGGCACCCGCGGTTGGCGACAATTGTGCAGAACCATGCTGACAGCGCTCTGTGCCACGCACCTGCCGCATAGGGAAACGGCCTCCAGCCCAACGACATCAGCCAGCGCTGCGAGTGATCGGGCACGGCTGATTTCTTGTGCTCAGAGCTCGATCGATCGGTCAAGCGTGCTGATGTCGCTCGACGACCGCGTGCTGGCACGTGTGGTCCAGCCGCTGGCGGTCTCAGGCGTGGACCCGCATATTTTTTCGGCTATGGTACTGGCGGTGGCCGATGACCTTGGCGAGGCGCGTGTTGCAGGGGCGATAGCAGCGTTGGTGCAGGAGCGGTTTGAGGTTATGTGGCAGCACCATTTGGAGTGCGCCTGAGCGGCAGGCGGGCTGGAACGCGGTGCAGTCGGCAATCAATAGCGGCGGTGCTGCTGCTGCGTGCTTGGGCGGTTCGGTGGCGACGGTGGCGGCAGGGGCAGCAGGTCAATGGAGGGGGACCTGACCAGGTCAGAAGTGAGCTGGCGAGATTTGCTGCGAGACTACGGCGGCCAGTGGTGGCGGCCCGGGAGCCAATGGCCGAGAAGGTGAGACAGGATCGGCGTCCTCGGCCATGTGTGGTTGACTCGGAGGAGCCTAGCCGAGGAGGACGAGCTAGGCGCTCTACTGAGTCGGAGGCGGGCGCTGATCCGGTCCAAGGGCGGGTGAATGTTTGAGCAGCGGGTGTGGTTTCCGAATTTATGAAACCCCTCCCCGTTTTTTGTTTACTTCCCGGGCTTGTGCAAGCGAGTAAATGTGCTCATACAGACTTGCGCAACCTACTCACAGTCGGGTTTATTGGAGCTGGGTTAGCGACTCGTGATCGTCCATAGTGTGCTTATTTTCGCTGCATTCACTGTGCTTTTTGAGGCAATTAATGATCTCTCTCTACAGCGCGCTTCCATTTTTCCCGTATTTTTCCTTTCTCTCTTTGCACCTTTATATTTTTCTTGTCACGCATACATACACACTAGTCTACCTATTAATTCATTCAGAGCAGATGCTGGACATACCGTCGCTTAGAACAGCCAGTACAAAGGCGGCCCCAACGCCGGAGAACAAACCCAGGAGGACGGGTTCGCGGGCTAGGGCCGACTCTGGGGACTTTGGCATCAGGGGTATACAGCGATGACGAATTCTTTGATACACACAGCCATCTGAGCGGGTCTATTGCCAGCAGCGACAGCGTGCGTACATCGCTCTCTGTGTCGAAGGGATCGAGCGAGCTGTCGTCTACGCATCGGCAGCGCAGTCTGACCAGCTCGTTTGCCCCGCCAGCCGAGGAGGTGAAAACGACACCAGCGGCAGATGCAGAGAAAGGAGCAGGCAGGCGGCAAGCGGCATCGGGCAGTGCACCGCCGGCGCATTCATCGCTGCGGCGCTCAGCGACAACGCGCCACGGGGCAGCTATTGGCAAGGCAGCGAGCCCAACGAGCATTGACACAGCGCTGATTGAGGAGCGAGCGCGGCGCGCAGTCAAGGCCATGGCGGTGGCAGCCACAACGGGGATTTCGATCCGGGAGTCGGACGAGCGCAGGGAGCGCGCATTCAACCACTTGCTGGTGGGCCGGGGGCTACAGGTGGCGGGTGCGGCGTCCGAGCCCAATTCGCCATTGCAGTCGTCGGCAGGGCATGGCACAAAGAGTGGGTCGAGCGAGCGGCTGGTGGCCATGCCCCGGCTCAAGAGCCACCCGCTACACCTGGTGTCCTCGCACAGCCAGATCTCGGGGTTGGCCCGCGGGGAGTCAGAGGGTGCTGAGCGGAGGGACGAAGCGTATGGCGATGCACCTAGGGATGCTGCAGGTGATGAGGCAGCAGCGGTCAAGGCGACAGTCAAGGCGCTTGTGGCAACGGCTGGACATGATGGGCGCACACTAAGCATGACGCACGACCGCAAGACCATTGCGCTAACACGCAGCGCCAGCCTGGAGGCGCGTATCAACCGGTCAACGCGGAGGAGCATGTCGAAGTGGATCATGTGTTTTGCCACAGTGAACTTTGATGTTGACCAGGGCCCGACGCTCAATCTGGTGTACCCGCACGTTCCGTTCAGCGAGAGCGAGCGGGCAGCAATCTGCTTTTCGTCGATGCCGGACTCGACAATCTACGAGTTATATGACTCGGTGTACACGTTCCACTTCCGTGTGGATCCGGTGCGGCTCGGGCTGCCCAAGGACCAGGTGTTCCTGTATGGCCACGTGTTCTTCCGGCAGAAGCGCGACCCGCTGATGCGGCGCGGGGGGTTCCAGCGGTCAGTAGCCATTATCTCACACCTGCCGTACCACGGGCTGTTCACGCGCATGGCGCATATGCTGGGCCCGCTATACTTTGATCTGGGCACGGCGATTCTGGAGGCAGCAGCGCACAATATCTCGTCGTGGCCGGCGCCGACACCAGGGGCATCGCTGGAGCTGCCGTTTGTGGGCACGGCGCTGGCGGCAGAGCTGCCAGCGAGCGACTCGAGCCAGCTACTGGAGACGAGCAAGTTCCCGATGGAGCGGTTTGATCCGGGCGAGCACATTCTGGCCAGCGTGACCTGTGATGGACTGTTTCGGAGCTTCCGGGATACATTGGGCGACCTGTGGGCGTGCTGGGAACTCATGATTCTAGGCGAATCGCTGGTGGTGCTGGCGGACACGCCCGCACGGTGCTCGGAGGCCATTGTCAGCCTGGTTGATGTGATATTCCCGATTACGTACTGTGGCGACTACCGGCCGTACTTTACGATCCAGGACCCAGACTTCCGGGCGATTATCTCCAAGACGCATGTGCCGGCGAACACGGTGGTCGGGGTGTCGAATCCGTTCTTCAGCGAGGCCATGGCGCACTGGCCACACAAGCTGTTTCTGGGCTCATCCGACCGCATGTCGCAGATGCACGGGGCGTCGGCGCGCAAGGCGCGTGTCTTGGGAGACAGCGGCCTCGGAGCGGGCAGTGGCAAAGAGGGCAGCGGACTCGCAAGCGACTCGGGCAGCAGCGGATCATTGGGTGCGGGCAGTCGGGCCATCAAGCAAGGGCTGCAGTCGAAGCGCAAGGGCGTGGTGACCAAGGACCGGCCGTTTGCTGAGCACCTGCTGAACACACTCAAGACGGGCAAGCAGCCGCCGTGGATTGTGAACAATATGTTGCGGCGGTACTTTATCGACCTGACAGTACAGTTTCTGGCGCCGCTGAACCGGTACTTTTCGACGCTGATCCCGCAGGTGGTCTCGGCCACGGTCATTCCAGTGTCAGGCAGCGGGGGAGCGGGCAAGACAGCGCCGTGGCACCGCGGACACCGCAAGGGCCAGTCGTCGTCAATTGGCGGGATGGTGTCATCGCCCGACTCGCTGTCTTGGTTCGCGGCACCGGCAGCGCTGCGGCCATGGCGGACAGGCGACTTCATGACGTCTCTGACGACACTTGGGATCTCGCCGCAGCTCAGTCACGGCAACAAGAGCGCGACACCAGCAAACGTGATTGTGTCGGGGTTCTCTGGCAGTTCAGCGAACGGCAGCAATTCCGGAACCGGCAGTAGCGGGGCAGCAAATTCAGGCAGCAGTAGTTATACGAGCGACGGTGCGGGGGCAGCAGCAGGCAGTAGCGGCGGGGCGGGCGGGCAGTCGGCGTTTTCGCTCTGGCGGCAGAAAAAGGCCAGCAAGAAGATCAGTGACGAGTGGTTGGCGCTGTACAGGCAGTTCCTGATATGCGGGAATTTTGCGACCTGGCTGGCACACCGCACCAGCGAGGCACAGCGCGAGCTGCACCGCAGGTTCCGGCAGGAGGTGTGTCAGGGCGATGTACATGCGTGGTGTCGCGGGTACGACTACCCGCTGGCCATCGGCGAGCAGCAGCTGGCGGCCGAGATCGAGATGCTTGATCTGGCCACGATGGACTTGGGGCAGGGTGGTCGCGACGGCAGCGGCAGCGTGCAGCTGCGGCATGTCAGTCACGTTTTCTACCAGGGCCACAAAGAGGATGAGCGCGCGCAGGCCGAGCGGCAGCGGCGGCAGCTGCTCCGCGAGCGGCAGGAGCGGCTGGCGTGGAGCGAGCGGCCGGTGCATGGCAGCGACGGCACGCTTATCGGGTACAGCCGACAGTCGTCGGAGCAGCCGGCAATGGCGCGGGCAGCGGCAGCGGGCTTGGGGAGCAGGCCAAGGGAGGTTGACGGTAATGGAGCGTGCAAGCAGCTGGGGCAGCGTATTACGCATGCCAAGCGGACGCAGGGCGTGATCCTGAAGGCGGCATGGCAGGTGGTTGAGCTGCTGGGCGAGCCGGCATTGTCGCAGATGTTGCGTGGGACATCCAACAGGGACGACTGTCCGCCGGCGTCGGAGTCGGAGCGGCAGATGCTGCTGCGGCAGCTGTCGGTTCTCCTCGAGTACATGGCGGCAGATGCGGGGCAGCAGTTTTTGGCCCTGGTCGCTGACGACTATGCAGCGGGGGTGTAGGCAGATTAACTAATGTATAGACGAGCTGGCCAACTCTATATTTCGAAGGCAATTAATATATTTGGAGACATGCGTGTAATTTTGTTTGAGCATGGCCGGGCGGAGGGTGATGATGTAAGTAGATGAAGCGGGAAAAGCAATAATTGGCGTTGGTTTCTATTTTAAAAGAGCGGCCTGGCGGTGATAGACGGAGCTCATGCGACAGTGTGCATCCATTTGGGGGAGGCTTGGTCTTGAAAAAAGGCAGCTATGCTATCCCAAGGCTTAGGCAAGCGAGCGCAGCGGAAGATCACAATAACAAAAAACCTCGGATTTGCATATGCAGTCAGCTGATCGGTACTCCATTCAGCTCATGGCATAAAGGACCTGTTTTGGTTTTATTTTGCACTCTTAGGGTGGAGGCCCAACTCGAGCTGGGCTGGGCAGGCATTCACAGCTCGTGCTTTTTTGTTTGATTTTGGATTCAGTGTTAAAAACCAGTTCCGGGGGAGGGAGGAGCAGCTCCAACGCGAAAAAGCGCGTAGCTCAGAAATTCCATAGCCTTTTCCTCTTTTTCTCCCTCCCCCTTAATAGTATACTTTATTTTTACCATTAGTTTTTGCTTTTGCAGCTCGCGCGTTTCCTTTCTATTTCCTCAGAGGTTCAAAAGTACGACTGCTTTATTGTCGTGCTTCTCAGTCCTTGTTTATATACCACGACAGGACATTCTCACTTGTTTCCTAGCAAGAAACGGGGGTACTGGGCAAAAAGACGCCTTGCAGAAGGCAGCATAATACTCCGATACCAAAGGAAAGCAGTGTCCTGGTTGCATAAAGGCAAGGGGGAATTAATAGGCGCAGTTGCTAGCGGTTTTTTCTCTTCTAATTATTTATTTTTTATTTCAGAGGACTGCCGTCATCAATAGGCGATTGATTCCGTTCCTTGAGGATTTCAGACAATTTTCTTTCAGCCTTCAGGCGGCTCCTCGGTCACATCCTTTTCTCCCTTTTTAACCTGCGCAATTCTACATTCATTATTTGGCTTGCTTCCTATTCTTCACAAGCTATCCGCGCCTTTTTTTATTCAGGTAGTTTGTTCATACATCTCCCCGAGTCACTTTTCTCTCACTCTCCACATCACACACAAACAGGGGAGTAGGGCCCATCGTTGGCGAAAGAGACAAAAACAAAAGGGAGAGCCATTCCTTCAAAAGAACAGCGCGGGTTACATATTTCCCTTTTGTTTTCCCAGATAACCAATATCGCAACATTTAATTTCCTTTTATAGCTGACAAACGGGGTTGGTTCCAGCATAATATCGTTAAAAAACGCTCATCAAGGGAGATTTTTTTCTTGTTCGATTTTTCAGAAGCATAAGGCATGACCACGCACGACATGGATCCACCGTCAGATATTGATGTCGACCTGTCATCGGAAGGCGGGTCAGAGGCAGCGGCAATAGACGAGGTGGAAGCGTCGAAGATTCTGGGCGGCTCGCGGCTGCACGAGTTTGGCAGCGGGTACCAGGGGCAGCGGCGGATGGACTTCAGTCCGTCGCCGTCGCCAGCAGGACAGGTGTCTCAGGTGGGGGCAGTTATGAGTGCAGCAGAGCACATTCCGGCAGTGACTGGGGCCGGGGCGGCTACTGCGGATACTGCCGGGATAGCTACTGCGGCTCCATACGCGTCGAGTAATGCGGGCGGCGCAGTGCAGGCGAAGGCAGGCGAAGCAGCAGGTAAGCAAAGGCAGGGGGATAAAGCGAGGCCAGATGTGGAAAGAAAGACGCAGATTGCTAAAAGGGAGCTGTGTTTGTAGGTGCGGGCAGCGGTGGAAGGGCCGAGAAGGAGCCGTCGGTGGAGAGCGCGGGCAGTGCGCGGCAAGCGTCGTCGCCGGCAGGGGCACGGACGGGCATCTGGGTGCATTTCACGCGCGACGCCGACTACGCAACCAACCGGCGCGGACGATGCGTGTACTGCCACAACTACTACTCGTGCTCCAGCGGCAGCACCGGCAACATGTGGCGGCACATCAAGCGGTCGCATCCAGAGAAGATCCCAAACGCCGCCCCTCTGGCAACCCATGCCGCACAGGAAAAGCCCAGCGATTCGCGGCCCCGCAAGCGCCAGGCCACAGGTGGCCGAGCCGCCAGCACCCACGGTTGCGGTGCCTAGTGCGCTGACCGGGCGCCCAGCCGAGACCGAGCCCAGCGAAACAACCCAGGTGGCAGAGCCCGAGCCGCAGGGCACCGAGGGTCTGCTGCTGAGGCTTCTGGTGAATCTGGCGAGCCGCAACTCAACGGCCACGGCCGAGCGCCCGCAGACATCGACGGCATCCCTGCTGGGAGTGCTGGACGGGCTGTCGGCGCTGACCGGCCGCAATCCCAGCGCCCGAGCCGCCCGCTCAGCAGCCGCAGCCGCCAACAAGCACTGCTGGGCCGACCAGTCCTTCGCCCGGCACAGAAGCGCTGGCTGCGGCCATTGCGTCGGCGGTGCAGCGCGGCAGCAGCAGCGGGTCGGCGGCCGAGCGGCAGCAGCAGGTCTTGCGTGCGTATGTGGCATATATGGTGCGCGAGCTTGTGCCGGCTGACCGCATGCTGGCGCCAGGCTTGCAGGCGCTAGTGTCAGGCGTGGCAGCCTCAGGGACGTGCGCGCCCACAGCCAATGAACTGACGGCTGAGCTCATGCGGCAGTACGAGCAGCGCAGCACAGCACTGCGACGGGCGCTGGACGGGGCGCCTGGGCGGATTGCCGTGTCAATTGGCACCGGGAGCATCAGCAGCGCAGCAGCATACCTGGCGGTATATGCGCACTGGGTCGATGCCGGGTTTGTGCGGCGCAGCGCTTTGCTAGAATGGCGGAGCACCGAGGGTGCGGCTACAAGCTCCGATATCATCGCGCTTTTCGAGGCAGCGCTGGCGCGGTTTGATTTGTTCGGGCGCCTGGGCACCGTGACCACCAGCTACACGCGCGAGTTCGTCGAGTTCCTGAACCAGGCCGAAACCATCTGCCATGCGCGCGGCGCCGAGTTCGACCTGGACCGCAGCCAGGCCACGTGCATTGTCAGCACATTACTGGATGCCCAGAGCACGCTGCTCAGTCTTCTCTACAGCCCAGCCGAGGAGGGTGAGCTGCCGCCGCTGGAGCGCCTATACCGCGCCGTCCAGCGCATAAGGCGGGCCCAGGGCTCCTCTGCGCGCCAGCTGGCTGACCTGTACCGCATGCATGCGCTGGATGCGGCCACACTGGAGGTCGACGAGACGCGGCTGTGGGGCTCAACATTGGCGTTTGTGGGCAGCGCCCTGGCCGTGCGCTCCGAGCTGGCGGCGCTGATTATTGCAGACGGGATGGAGGCCATCTCGCAAGACGACTGGCTGGCGCTGGCGCAGATCCGTGTGCTGCTGCGCGTGCTGGATGCGGGTGTGGCAGGAGTGGCGCGCGCTGGCGGCGAGTTTCCGAGCGCCGTGGCGGTGGCGCCGCTGTATGACGTGCTGGCCGATGACGTCGCTGCCTTCCTCGACGCCCCCAGTCTGCGCAATGACGTGCGCCGCGCGGCCGAGGCCCTGCGCGACCACCTGGCGCAGTGCCATCCGTTCCAGGCCTCGCCCATCTACCGCTTCGCACCGCTGTTTGACCCACGTCTAAAGTCCCAGTACTACGCCGACCGCCAGTACGACGCGTCGTGGACTGCGCGCGTCGTTCGCGATGCCCAGACACTGTGCGCGCCCTTCGCCCAAGCAGCCGCACCGCCGGCCCACTCCGAGCCTCTATTGGCCAGTGAGCTGCGCGCAATGCCTGCTGATGTGCGTGCGCAGACCGAGTTGTTTGTGCGGCTGGGCGAGACTGCCCAGCGCCTGGCTGTTGATGGCAGTGCGCGGGTGTTCCGCCGGGCCTGGGCGTCGGGGCAGACGGAGCTGGACGATTACGTTGCTGCGCCATTGGCTGCCCCGCGCGCCCAGCCGCTGGCGTGGTGGCGGGCGAACCAGGATGCGTATCCGGCGATGGCACGGGCAGTGCGCGAGTACCTGGCCATTCCTGCGTCGAGCGACTGCGTGTCGATGCTGGTGCGCGGCGAGAGCCCCGTGCTGCCCGACTATGCGCTGCTGGCCGCGCTGGACCGCCGCCTGGCGCCCATGTATGCCTGCCTGCACCAGTGGAGCAAGCAGGACGAGGTCAATGGCGCTGCCTTTTGAGCAGCAAACAAAAACAAGCTTCTAATCACTCCCCCTCCCTTGCTGCGCTTTCTTAACTATTGCGACTACTCTTATTGCGTTCCCTTTTATTGATTTTTTATCTAGCGATTCATTCTGACATCTTCCCTCCCAAACCGCCGGTCTTTCACTCCCAACTTTTTCTTTTTACGTTTTCCTCTTTATCCAACTTTCTTCGTTCACCAGTCCATAAACACTGTTTACCTTTACGTGCTCTTTTTGAGCAGCGGCTGCTGGCTCCTCTGCTGTTGCTGCTGGCGCATGTCATACAGATCCGATGCGCTAGATCCCCAGTTGCCGTCCTCGCTGCCGTCCGGATAGTAATCCGCCCAGTTCGAGCTGTTTGCATTTCCTTGCTGCTGCTGCTGATGCTGCTGGTGCTGCTGCTGGGCAAAGTCCTCTGACGAGTACGCCTGCCGTAGCGCCTGGCTCTGCTCCTGCGTAGCCAGCGGCCGGTGCTGCGCTGCCTGCTCTGCGCGGTCGCACGTCAGGAACGGCTGGATGTAATGCGTGTCAATGTCTGTGATCAGCGACCGGTCCACCGACCGGTACGAGTTGCGGATCCGCGCCAGCCAACTCTCGCCGGTCTCGCGCCACGACGCCGGCGAGCTGACGAACCCATTGAAGGACGACGCCGGCAGCTGCGCCATTGCATGGCTCTCCATCCCATCCACCTCCTGCTCTTCCCGCGCCTGCCCATTCGACAGATCCACAATCTGGCCACCATCCTCCACGTCATGGTACGAGTACGGCGCCTCGCCATCAGGCCCATCCTCGCCATCGTCATCATCCGACGAGTCCGGCTGCCCCACGCCAGTGCGGATCCCCAGTTTCTGCACAACCTGCGGGGTAGTGCCGCCGAAAATCGTCACGCTCAGCACCACCACGCACAGAACCGTAGTGCGCAATAGCGCGCCGTTCTCGCCCGACACCTCGCTGGCCAATGCCACCGCCACGGCCCCGCGCAGCCCCGCCCAGAACAGCATCGTCTGCTCCTCGTGCGTCACCGGCTGCGCCGACGACGGCGCCGACGGATGCCGGTACTTGAACACCGCATTCAGCACCCGCGCCAGCGGGAAGATCGCAGAGTACCGCGAAATGCACGTCGCCACCATCACAAACACGATAAACACCGGCTTCAGTTTCACGTCCTCCGCAGTAAACAGCGAGATGCCCAAATAAATGAACACAAAGTTCTCCGCCAGCCCCGACAGCAGATGGAACAGATACCGGGTCGCCCGCTTGCTCTTCTTCGACAGCGACTTGTACGCGTACTGCCGCGTCGTCGCCGCGCAGAACAGCAACGACACGATCCCAGACAACTCGATTGCATTCGCAAACAGATACGACTGGTACGAGATCAGCAGCACCAGCGACGCCTCGATCGACGGGTACTCGTACAGCCGCGTGTGCTTGCACATCAGCGACACCATCACCCCCATCCCCACCCCCACCAGCAGCGACATCGAGAACACAAACATAAACGACCCCAGCATCCCGGGCACTGCCGCCAGCGTAAACTCCCGGCCCGCCGCCCGCAGACCGCTCAATGTCACAAAGAGCACAATCGCCACCGCATCATTGAACACCGTCTCGCCGAATATGATCGAGAACAGCTTCGGCTCCACCTTGAGCTGCTCAAACACCGCCAGGATCGTCACCGGGTCGGTCGCCGACAGAATCGTGCCCAGAATCAGCGAGTCCAGAAGCGAAAACTCTATCCGCTCGATGCCCGTCCACGAGTATATCTGTACCAGCACCCCAATCACCACCGCGCTGATTGCCGTCCCCAGAAACGCAAACGTCAGCACCGGCACCAGATTCCGCCCCACCTGCGTCTTCTGCAGGCCGTACCCGCAGTTCAGGATAATCGGCGGCAGGAGCATGTTGAAAAACACCGTGTGGTCGAACGTCACCATCCGCTTGATATAATGCCCTGTGCTGAATCGCAAAACCAGCCCCACTGCCATCCCGGCAAATATCGACAGCACCGTTTCATGCACCGTGCGGATCCGCCACCGCTGCAGGTAGTACGACGTCAGCAGTGCCATGATCAGAAGCGATACCAGGATCAGCAGCGCCTGCGCTGACACCTTCTCCTCCTCCTCCGGCAGCGGCTCCTCCGTGCTGTCTGGCACTCCCCTGCTCGTCGTGGTGGTTAGCGCTGTCGTTGTCGCCGATACCAGCGAGCTGGTCAACAGCGTCGCTATCTCAGTTGCCAATGCCGTCATGCTCGGCCCTGTTGCCGTACTTGTCGGTATGCTGTCGGCCATAGCGCTATGGGGGGAGGGAGAATTTATATATAGGTTGGCAGGAAAAAAAAGAGGCAATAAAAAACTGTTATATACAGAAGATAGAAAGAAGAAAGCGCTGCCAAGGTGGGAGAGATTCGCGTTTTGACGCAGCCGACTATTTTTTATGCGGCTCGCTTGGCATCATTAATAATGCCATTTTCACGGGCCGAGCCCTGCAACACTAGCGGAATCAACCGGGTGCCACAAGCAAACTGCAAACCAGTAGAGCGCTATTTACTTTCTTTTTTAGTCTGGTCCCTGAGAACCAGAGTTCTTTCACAGCGACAGAATCGGCACCTGCCGTGACCGCGCAAACATCGCCCGTCCTGCCAGCACGCCCAGCACAACACGGTATACGGCCAGCAGCCAGTCAAACGCCGTCCACACCTTGCGCACCGGTCGCACAACCACCGCCGCAGGCTCCTCCACCGCCGCTGGTGCCTGTGCCACTGCCACCAGCTGCCGCCGCCGCCCCTCGGTCCGTTCAGAGCCAGCAGATGAATCAACAGGATCTGCACCAATGATGTCACTTAGAGTGCCCTTTGTTTGGCTTCCTTCCGCCTCCCCTGGTCGCCTCTGCTGAATAGCTTGCATCTGTGGGCCCGCTAGAACAACGGGTTGGTCCAGCATATCGTCCCAGTAGACATAGTTGTTGCTTCCTAGGAATGCATGCGGCCAGAGCTCGGGCCGCAGCCGCTGCACTGCCGGACCCTTACGCGCAGCAAGAGACGCCCAGTACATAGGCAGGAAGACTGCCGGTACCATGCTGCCAGCGCCTGTCACAGCCATCGGCTGGTTCGCAAAGGTGCCGTCCAAGACGCCGCCCGCAAGCACGCCGCCGAGCCACTGTACGCCCAACCACATCCCGGACCACACGGTCTGCAAATACGGGACCGTCGGCCCTACAACCAGTCTCCAGAAATCCCAATACATCTGCAGCACACTTCCCACGGCTGTTTCGCGCAAGCACGCCGCCAGCAACCCCGTGCACACACGCACTAGCCACGCGACCTGCGTAACCACTGTCGCCACGCCGTTGCCAATGGCACCGACCAGCCTGGCCGACCCCGACAGCCTCCGCACATGCGGCCTCCTCTGCGTGCCAACGACCGGCGCCCACTTTTGCACCATATACGGTGTGCCATCGGCGTCCTGCGGCAGACCGCTGCTGCTGCCCATCTCCACGCGCACCAGCATCGCATACCACTCGGCCAGCCGCGGCGGAACCCCGTACGCAAACTGCGGCACCTCCACGGCCGACAGCTGCGGGAGGAATCCTAGCTGCAGATCTATCGTCGTTGGCGTCAGCGGCACGATCAGATCCGGCCACGACACCCAGATCATAGCGCCCATTGACACCGAGCTGTGTGGCGAGCACACGTGCAGCAGCTCAAGCACACACTTCACCACCAGCCGCAGCGGCGTCTCCGATGTCAGAGCCTCAACCAGTGCACGTCGAGTGACTGTGCGCATGCCCGACGCCGAGCTCGTCCTGGGCGGCTGGCGGCTGGCACTCGGTGCGTTGGTTGGCATTGCATCTGCAGTCGCCCCAGACACAGCCCCAGACGGCATATCAACTACTGCCACCTTGTGTGCCACCTCAGGTGCAGCCGGCCCATGCTTATCGAACTCCCTGCCGCTAGGTTTATCCTGCCCATCATCGCTGACCCTCTGCGGCTCCACAAGCTCTCTGCGCGCCCCACACTTCAGGCTATTCACCGGATGAAGCTCGACGGGCTCCTCGTTCGAATACCGCGTCCACAGCGGCTGCACCAGCGACGCTGTGGGCAGCAGATATGCACGCTCGGAAATCAGCCCTGTTGTCCGTAGCACGCCTGGCCACGTCATCGCCAGACACGTCACAATCCAAACATACGCCAGAAGCTGCTTGCTAGTCACTGGGCTGCGTCGCTGCGCCCACAGCAGAAACACCCGCCTGCCCCACGCCTTCGCCTGCAAAACATCATCTGACAGAACCCCTATGCTGGTAACCGGGTAATGTGCCAGCGACTCACGCTGCACTCCACGGTAAAAGCTCGTCAGATCCGTGCTCGACGAGTAAAACACGCGAGAGGTCCGGCCGACCATTTTGCTTGGAATCTCCTGCTGCAAAGCTATCGTGCTGCCAGACTGTTTAGGTACTGGGTTGATTGCATCAAGCACCTCCGAGCTCAGCAGAACATGCGGTAGCCAGTGCCACTGCCGTGCCCGCAGCACCCTGCCTGCGTACGATGTAATGAGAAATCGCAGCGGATGAACCGACTCCTCGACCGACGACCCAAACGACAGGACTCCAAACATGACCACGGTAAACAGCAGCCCACTCGAAACCATCTGGCAGAGCGTGATAATCGGCGGCATTGCCAGCTGCGCAAACGGCAGCGCCAGTTGGAGAGACGACTCGCCCCTCGACGGCTTTGGTGTACCATCAGAAAAGCTGTCGGCCATGGGCAAAGCCGGTAGGAAGTACGTAAACCGCTGGGTCAGATCCGGTTCGCCAACAAACAGCGCACTGAGCGCTCCACGCGCAATCTGCAGCACCACCAGCAGCCAGCACACATTCGCTAGCGCCGTCAGCAGCACTGCAGATGCATTGCGCACAACATCAACCATGATCTGCTTGGCACTGCGCTTACTACGCGGCACACCTCCACGGTTCCCCCCATTGAGCACCCCGCTATCCTCAATCCTGCTCAGCTCGCCGCGCACAAACAATAACCGTGCGTGGTACTCTCGTATCTGCCTTGCCAGTCGCTGCATCTCACGCGCACGCTCCATCGCCCGTTTCCGCTGGGCGCTGCGCACTGCCCTGACCATGTTGACGCCATCCAGCCCAATGTTGCTGATATCTGCCTGCTCGGTAAAGTATGATGCGAGCCGGCTGAACGAAGCGTTTGATCGTAGACCCGCCTCCTTGAGCCGATCAGCCGATGCAGAGCGCACCGTTGCAGAGCTGCGTGACAAAGGTGGCTCCGGGGATGTCTCAAATATAGGCTGGCGCTTGGTACCCGCCACACGAGATCTCAGCGAACCAAAGCCAAGCTGTGGCTGTGAGCCCGCTGTTGGATGTAGCAGGGGATGACGTGGCGGCCGGCCAACCGGCATACACTTGGAAATCGTCACACTTGGACTATCTTGCTTTTTCGTCATTGTCTCAAATCCAAGCGTCTCACTATCGCTGTTGTTGCTGCTGTTGCTGCTGCTGTTGTTGTTGTTGCTGTTGTTGTTGCTGTTGCTGCGGCTGCCTTCAACAATGTCTGCCTCCTCCGAATCCCTCAGCTGTTCCCACTTCCACGACGAAATAGTTTTCCTCAAGCACGATTCAATACGCTGCTGCTCGCGCTTCAGCTGCGCAAACCGCTGCATCGTCCGATGTCTCATCTCATTCGTCTGTCCAACACAGCACCTGAGCCAGCTGAACAGGGCCCAAGTACCCCGTGGTGCAACCAGCAGGACCGTTGGCAGCGCTGCAAACACACATGCCGCATAGTACACGGAATACCGCATCGTGGCCGCATCTGCCGCGAACGGTTGGTACAAACCGAGCCCATACATGTAGCTGCTACGCGTGCACAGCAGCGTCCACATTCCCAGCAGCATGCCAGCCGCTGCCAGCCAGCGCGCCAGCGCTACCAATACTCTCCGCAATACCGGCATGCGCTGCGACGTGCCCTCGAACAGAACGCCCATGGGCAGCAAGAACACTGAGCTGGTAATTGACACGCTAGACTGGTACAGCCACAGCCTTCGCAGCACAGGCGGGAAATCGTGCGCGCCCTGCGGTCCCGTCCAGTTGCTATTCGCTAGTGCACCCGTCTGCCGCTCACCTGGAACTAGCAGCGTATGCGGCAACAGCCATGTCCGCCATGTTGCCAGATGCCTCGGATCGCCAAAATCCATCACATTCGATAATGCCACGGTCACCGCCAGCAGCATCGCCAGCATACTGACCGATGCGAGCCCAATACTCGCCAGGATCTGTGGAACCTGCCGCGCCCGAAACACAGACGAGTACGGGGTTGTCAGGTATCGCTGCTTACTGCGGCCGTGCTTCTGCACCTGCGCTGCACACGCACGCCGCACAGCAATATACGAGAGAATGAAAAACGTAAGCAGTACGAACCCGCAGATTACATGCTCGCGTACTGATACACAGAAGGCACGGAACTCGGGCGTCATGATGTTTCTGTGGTCGCTGTCCTGCTCGTTGCGCCGCTTCATGTCGCTGAGAAAGTCGACTGCTGGTGCTGCGTGCAATGGACAGGTGCTGCTGGCTTGGAACAGCGAGAACGCGCATGCCATCGCCGTCTGCGCGCTGTCTGACTGTGTTGCTGTGGGTGTGTCAAGGTGTCGTCTAAAAGCAAAAGACATTTTGGCATTGTAGAATCCCAGGAAAATAGGTAGAAAAAAAAAAGTTTTTTGTTGACAATAGCCAAGCGAGTCAGAAAGGAGTGGAGGGGAAAGTGCTGCATGGAATTTTCACGCACCCCAGCGCCCTTTTCGCGTCCCGTGTTGCCTTTTTAAGCGCTGTCTATCAACTGTATAACATTCACTGAACAAGAAAAAAACTGGGCGCGACTATTTCGCATCAGCCGGAGCACTACTGCCATTCATTGACTCCCCGCTGCATTGTCAGCCCCAGTCACCGAACCAGACGCTTCCCCACCAGCCGCAGCATTCTCTCCATTGTTCACCGCAGCAGCGCCGGTGCTTTGAAGACGACGGGCACCCTTGGCTCGCTCCTCAAATACCAGGCAGATCGTCAGCAGCACGCCCTGCAGCGTCGCCGCAACAAAGGTTGAGATCCAGCTGGACCAGTTGACACCCGGCCGGATAGCAATCGAGTACGCAAACACGAATCCGCCGGGCGTCTGCATCAGCATCATCGGGATGCTCAGCGCACCTACCTGGCCCGACCGCCACGTCTTGATAATCTGTGGGATGAACTGCATGCATGTTGTGCACAGACTGAACAGGCCCAGGAGGCTCGCCCAGGTACGCGTCGGCGCAGAATACGGCCCCACAAACACAACCAGCAGGGCACTCATCACGATACATATAGTGCCATGCACAGCGGTGGCTGTGGCCACCCACAGTGCTGCCTTCCACTCCATCGCCAGCCGCTTCGGCGCTCCATCTGGTACAGCTGCTGCTGCTGCTGCAGGCAGCAGCGGGCTCGACTCGCTATTCGCTACTGCCTCATCGCCTGCTGGCACTGCCTCATACTTGTTGGCCTCGGGGAAGAAGGCCAGGAAGAGGACGAACGTGATATAAAACATGGTGCTCTGAATGCCGACCTGGAAAATCCCCAGCAGGCTGGCCACACACACGCCCCACGTTTGCACTGTGCAGCACTGCATGACAATAAACTGTAGAATTATCATGTTTGTAATGTTCGACCCGGCGCCCGTCGTGCCCAGGAGGATAAAGTACGGGCTGATGCCCTCGCTCGTCCGGTGCCGGATTATCTTTATGTGCTGAGGGAGGTACGACAGAAACGTGCCCACGCAGAGCATGAACGTCAGTATTGTATTCTGCGCCGACGGTATTTCGCCGCAGAGCGTCGGGTCAAACGGGTTCGGCGACAGCATTTGCCTGGAGAAAGAAGGGTTTAAATGTGCTTGTTTGAAAACGTAAAAAAGTGGAATTAAAGACGAATGGTTAAAGCTGGAAATCTGAAGAGGGCGAAGGGCGCTCGTAGGCCGTGACGTTTTGGTCTGGGGCAACAACTGTCAACAAAGACCCGCCACCGGGATCACGTGCAAGCATTGGCCATGGCTCTGCTCAATTCTCGGCCAACTCCTCCGCTGACTCCTTCTCCGGCTCCTCCGCTGGTGCCTCCACTGGTGCCTCCACTGGCTCCTCGGTCTTGGAAGTACTATCACTGACCTCAGCGGGCTTTTCCTCCGCCTTGGGAGCATCCTCAGTCTTGACAGGCTCCTTGGCTTCAGAGGGCTTGTTCTCCGGTGCAGAGGGCCTCTTGGCTGGCGCACGAGGAACAGCTGGCTTCGTCTGGCTAGGGGCAGGCCGCGCACGGGCAGCTGCGGTGGCTGTGGGGCGGACAGGTGTGCGGCTAGCCGGCGCTGTGGACCTTGCAGCTGTAGCACGGGTCGCAGATGCCGTGGTCGTGGCCGTGGCCGTGGCCGTCCGGGTGCTGGCAGGAGCCCGAGTAACAGGCACACGACCAGCGCTAGTAGCCGATGGCCTGGCTGGTGGCACACGAGCCGATGAACCTGCCGCAGGCGTCCTCGTGGAAGGAGCAGTCCGTGTCACAGTCGGGCGGGTGGTGGTCGGTCGGGCCGTGCTTGGTCCGCTCGCAGTCGGTCTGGTGACAGTCGAGCGGGTCGTAGTGGATGCTGTTGGTCTTGCAGGGGTAGCCGACGCAGTGCGGACAGCGGGCTTAGCCGACGTAGTAGCCGGCCGTGTGGTGCTCATGGTGGATCTGGCAGCACCAGCGGTCGTCGCTGTAGTCGTCGCTGTTGGGCGACGGGCAGATGGCGCCGCAAATGATGGCACAGGAGGGCGAGACCTAGTTGCCGGGGTTCCAATAGTTGTTGCTGCTCTGACTGCCCCCGAAGTCGAGGAAGCGCGGGCACGAGAGGGCGCCATAGTAGTGGGCGACTTTGCCGGCACGGTGGTAGTGCGAGCGGTGCGAGCCGTAGATGGTGACAACGTCGAGGGCCGGGCTGTGCTGGATGCAGCAGGGCGACGAGCAGTGGATGGCGACGTCACCGGTGCCCGGGCTACCGGTGCCCGGGCAGACGTCGGGGACCGCGCTGATGCTGTGGTAGGAGCACGAGTTGGCGTCGTGGGTGCGGGACGGGTGGTGCGGGCAGTGTCAGTTGTGCGCGGCGTAGTCGAAGTACCAGTAAGGGTTGACCGACGGACTGTGGGGCCACTGGTGGGTGCAGGCCTGCTAGTATCGCCTGGAACTGCGCGGCGGACAGGCCGCACGGGAGCACCGGGAGCAGCGCGACCGGGAGCTGGGCGAGTCGGAGTGGTGCGAGATGCAGTGGCACCTGATGGCTTTGTTGGTGTGATTGGTTGTGCCGGGCGGGCCGTGCGTGGGGGACCAGAAGCAGCTGAGCGAGGTGCTGCGTGGGTGGCTGGATTCTTGGCAGGGGTCTCTTTCTCCTTAGCGGTCTTCCCAGCGGTCTTCTCCTCAGCAGGTTTATCGGTCTCGATGTTCAGACCGCTACGCTGGCCAGCAACATGGTCCGTGTCGTTTGACTCATCCTGCTTAGCATCCTCCGGCTTCACCGCCAAGACGCCAGAGATCGACTTTGGCTCCTGGTGTCCGTGCTCAAGGAATGGCGAGATGACCCGCCCCGGCCGCTTGGGCGGCGGCGTCTGCTCACCACCCGAGAGCCTGTCTGCCTGGAGGAATGGCGAGTTGGCAAGGCGCTGGCCAAAGTGCGAGCTTGGCTTAGTCTGGGGTGACATCGCTGGTGTTCCGGCCGTGCTCTTGTTCTCAGCAGGCGCACTGTCTTCAATGTGCTCATCGTGAGCAGCCTCTCCCTCGGCCTTGGCCCTGATTTCAGCCTCAATCTCGGCAGCGACAGCGGCTTCGGCAGCGGCGATTTCAGCGGCGGCAGCGGCGGCGCGGGCCTCCTCCTCAGCCCTGACCTTTGCTTCTTCAGCACCCCTAGCCTCCTCCTCTTCCTTAGCGGCTGCTTCGGCAGCAATTTGCGCCTCCTTCTGGGCCTTTGCCTCTTCCTCTGCCTTGATCTTAGCTTCCTCGGCCGCCTTAGCGCCCTCCTCTGCCTTGACACGAGCCTCCTCTTCAGCCTTAAGACGTTCCTCCTCTTCAGCTGTCTTCGCCTCCTCCGCCTTGAGACGAGCCTCCTCTGTTGCTGCGGCTTCAGCGGCAGTGCGTGCCTCTTCCTCAGCCTGAAGACATGCCTCCTCGGCTGCAGCAGCTTCAGCGGCGAGCTGCGCCTCCTCCTCAGCCTTGAGGCGAGCTTCCTCCTCGGCCTTGAGACGTGCCTCCTCGGCTACTGCGGCTTCGGCAGCAATGCGTGTCTCTTCCTCGGCCTGAAGACCTGCTTCCTCGGCTGCAGCACGCGCTTCCTCCTCAGCCTTGAGGCGAGCTTCCTCGGCTGCTGCAGCTTCAGCGGTGATTCGTGCCTCCTCCTCAGCCTTGAGGCGAGCTTCCTCCTCGGCCTTGAGACGTGCCTCCTCGGCTGCTGCGGCTTCGGCGGCAATGCGTGTCTCTTCCTCGGCCTGAAGACCTGCTTCCTCGGCTGCAGCACGCGCTTCCTCCTCAGCCTTGAGGCGAGCTTCCTCGGCTGCTGCAGCTTCAGCGGCGAGCTGCGCCTCCTCCTCAGCCTTGAGGCGAGCTTCCTCCTCGGCCTTGAGACGTGCCTCCTCGGCTGCTGCGGCTTCGGCGGCAATGCGTGCCTCCTCCTCCGCCTTGAGGCGAGCTTCCTCCTCCGCCTTGAGACGGGCCTCCTCTTCAGCTTTGAGGCGAGCTTCCTCTTCAGCCTTGAGACGGGCCTCCTCGGCTGCTGCGGCTTCAGCAGCAATGCGTGCCTCCTCCTCGGCCTGAAGACGGGCCTCCTCCTCAGCCTTAAGACGCTCCTCCTCAGCCTTAAGACGCTCCTCCTCTTCAGCTGTCTTCGCCTCCTCCGCCTTGAGACGTGCCTCCTCGGCTGCTGCGGCTTCGGCGGCAATGCGTGCCTCCTCTTCAGCCTTGAGACGTGCTTCCTCGGCTGCGATAAGGCGGGCCTCCTCTTCGGCCTGGAGACGGGTTTCCTCTTCAGCCTTGATCCGCGCCTCTTCTTCAGCCTTTAGTCGGGCCTCCTCAGCAGCAGCCTTAGCCTCTTCCTCCGCCTTACGGCGAGCCTCCTCCTCAGCCTCAGCGGCAGCAGCTTCGGCAACAGCCCGGGCGTGCTCAATCTCAGCTGGGAATTCAGTTGCCAGAGGATCATCTGTCGTCGTGAGCGTGGTGTATTTGCCGCCAAGCAGGCCATAAAAGACCGTTTCGATCTCGCTGACCGCAGCTTCGCTGTCTTTGCTCGCATGAACAGCGTTCATCTGCGCGTCAGTCCCGTACTTTGCACGCAGGCTGTCGCGGGCCTCGAACCGAGCACTCTTCGGAAGGGCCGGGCCGACATACCCACGCCATGAATCAACAGCATCGATCCCCTCGAGCACTAATGCCAGCACTGGCCCGCTGGTAACGAATTCGATCAGGCGTGAGTAGATTGGGAAGCTGCGCATCTCACTGTACAGTCGCTCCGCGCATGCAGTGGTCAGCACGACTTGTTCCTGGGCTACGATGGTGAACCCGCGCTCGATGATGTGTTTTGTTATCTGCTTGCGATAGCGGGGGTATGCGTCAGGCTTGATCAGCCCGAATGTGCGCTCGTACATGGGATCGGAGGGCTGTGCTAACTCGACTACTGACTGCTTCGCTGATGCCCCGTTGGCATTGGCATTCTCAGCGTCGCTTGCGTCTGATACAGCGGCTGTGGTTGTTGCCGGTGTCTCTGGACCAGAGGGCGTGGCAGAGGACACCGTCTGCTTGCGCTTGCGGCGCTTTGACTTCTTCTTTTTCTTCTTCTTGTCCTCGCCACTGGCTGCCGGCTCCTCGGCTGTCTTGTCGTCATTATCAACGTCAGATACCTCCTCGACCTCCTCCTTCACCGGCTCGGGGTCCTCTTCGTGCTGGATCCGTGGCGAGAAGAAGAACGTCAGCTCACGCTTGGCACTGTCCAGCGAGTCACTGCCATGCACGGCGTTATACTGCAGATTCGCTCCAAGCAGGGCCCTCAATGACAATGGAGCAGTCTGGCGCGCTGCCTCGCTATCGGTCGGACCGATCATCATGCGCCACCCACGAATCACATCGTCGCCGTCCAGTAGCAGCGCAATAACTGGTCCGCTGGTCATAAACCCAATCAGGGCATCAAAGAACGGCTTCCCCTCGTGCTCAGCATAGAATGCGCGCGCCTGGGCCTTGGACAGCTTGATATCGACACGGTCCTTGATCGCATACCCGCGCGCCGTGATCCTGCTGATGATCCTGTTGACTGCATTCTTGTCCAGCGACACATCGGGCTTGATCATGGCCAATGTGTTGTGCGCGGCCACAGCGCGCATCATCAGAAAGTTGTCGTACGGGATCTCGGGAACACGGTCCGAGAACACCAGCTCTAGCTGCTTGACTGCATTCTCAGGCTCTTCGCTGCCGTCAACCGCATTGCGGATGCGGTCGATTGCCAGAATGCCGCGAATCGAGTCGTCGTCCCGGTCGTCGTTCTCAGCTGAAAACTCGGACCCCATAGCGATCTGCCAGTAGAGAGTCGCGTTCGGTTTGGTCAGCTCCAGCGCCAGACTGGGTGCGCTGGTGATGTACTCGACCCACTGCGCGTGGTCCTGGTCAAACGACCTCTCTGGAAACAGTGCGTCTGCCTGCTCGGGCGTCAGCCAAACCAGCTTCTGCCGCGTGATCTCGAACTCGTTGAGCTTGATAAGCGCATCGATCTGCTGGTATTTGAACGGTGTCAGCGCATCAGGCTTGACGATGGCGAACGTCTTGTTTGTATTCTCGTCCTACGAATAGCACACGGCCACATGGGATTGCCAACTTTAGTGGTTGTGTCCTTGTTTACCAATTATCGGCCTTGTGTCACTCGGCCGATGCAAGACCGTGGCTCTTACCTCTGACATGGCTCCGTTGGTCGCTGCTGAACTGTCAATCCCGTTGGTTAAACTATCAATCTCCTCAAGCAACAGCGACACGCTAAATCGGTTTTGATGCCGCACGGTAGGCTTGAATGGCTTTGTGGTGGAAAGTGTGCCAATGTACGAAGGCTTTTGCGGCGAACGTCCTAGCAGAATATTCAACCCGGCGAGCATCAGTAAAAAGGTGCGGTGTTTAAAAAAGAGAGAGTATTCACAGAACAGAGAGACAGGAGGGCAGGGCACAGCAGTCGCTGCTGTGCCGATAGAGCTGTTCTGCATCGTTCCCGGGGCGGCGGAGACGAGCAACACTAACTCCCCCTGCGCCTTCGGCGGTGGCCAGAGCAACAAACGGCATCAGCATGCAAGGAGCGCGGGAGTGGCATGGCACCCTTGTGCCTGGAATCACCACCATCGGCTGTCAGCCAAGGTGCCCGATACAAGAGGGATAGCAATACGGCGGGCGAACAATGCAGAACCACGCAGGCCATATAAAGACCAGAATCGCCGGATGCCGAATCCGTCATGCCAGTTAGCAAACAATCCCCTCAGAATGTACAATTTTTCTCGTTCGGCCACGTCTACCACTGCCAGCAGCAGAGAGCTCTGAGACAGAAAGCTGCTGTATGCAGGATGGCTGCGAGGGGAGGTAGAGAGATAGGGCGACAGGTATTCAAAATAACTTTCTTCTCTGGGAAACGAGTGGCGCCCTGCCCAGGCATTGAAAAAGCGCTTTTCGTCCCAGAGCAAACGGCCTTCAACACTGACTATGCAGCATGAGCCCTGCAGCCCTGTGCTTTACTGCCATGGCCTGTGGGCAGGCTCCGCTGTGTGCGTCAGCCTGTGCTTACCTGCTGATTATCGTGAGAGGTATTCCCGGTGGTAGACGTTCAGCACAAAGGAAGGTGTAGCCGCGCGTAGAAACCAAATAGGCTGGATGAAAGATATCTACGCTACAAAAGGACGAATTCGAGGAAATGAAGAGGCAAGAAGGAAAAGAGGGAGTGGGAGTGGGCGGTATCTACCGTCGGGCCTGCAAGCGCTCTGGCAGCTGAGACAGCCGACCACAGAAAAATGCGCGATACAGCCGGGCTGGCCTTCCCCTGACCTCGCACTATATTCGATTTTTTCAAAATCGTAAACAGTTCACCGAAGCGCACAACGGCTCGAGTCGATCCCATTTTCGAGATCGGCAGTGCCGACAGCGAGTGACGTTACGGCCGCAGAATTAATGCTCCCGCCCGGTAGAACAAGGAGACACCATGCCCTGTACCAGAGCCACTTCCTTGAATACCTGCTCTTTTGGGCCAAAGAAGAAGCAAACATGGACACTTGGCAGCCCATGAGTAGGGGACACAGAACTGCTATCACCAGATGGTAGTCCCTGTGTACTGGTTTAGGGGCCCTGGATGTAGCGAAGAGTCAGCCAAGCGCACTTACATTCACGCTGACAGTGGTGTGTTGCGATTAGTATGCTTCACAATGACGCTTCCAACACTGAACCACGGCCTCTTGCTGTGTTTCTACATAGCCTAATGAGCCGCGTTGTAAAAGTGCAATTTTTATGCTGACACAAATACTTCCACGTGTGCATATGGCCAGTGGCCACCTATTTTTGCAGCGGACACGATGTGTACTTCAACACATGACTATGAACCAAGCTTCCATTACAGGACTTTTTATAGCTGATGCCAGCATGTTTGGTTCCCATTTCTCATCAGGACTGCGGTACCAGCCTGCAAGCATGTAGTTTAATCATGACATTATCAATAGGTTTCATTGAATATCCTCATGGTTTGACTATTGCATTACACAAACTCACGCTGCAAGCTACCGACATGTCTTTAAAATAAATGTAAAACCGAATATCATGATCATATTAATATACATTGATTTTTGCTCAAACGTGTATAGAGGATATTTCACAAGCAGCCATCATGTGTATGTGTGCACCACAACAGTAAAGGATCCAGAGCCAGCACAAGTAAATAGGCTTGTAAACACAATGGTTTGCTGTTCATTGCCAAATACTTGCAACGCCAGCTTTGGAGATTACTACTTGATATTGATAGGCAGCCTGATATCGAATTGGCAATGGATAACTATAGGGGTTCATCAACAGAAAAGACACATGCCAATTTCAACTGTCTTAAGGCAGCTTGTCACTAGAGCTTGGCATTGCAGTCCTACGCTTGGTATGGTGTGCTAACCATTGCGAGTAAGTGTTATCGTGCTTTTTTTTTTAGTTGAAAAACAAGTCATGATCAAAAATGACTGAGGAGAAAAATACAGGGCCATGTGGTCCAGGATGCCAAGCTTTTATGTGGTTGGCTTGGTATAGTGGCTTTGAAATTCTTTACCGTCTCGAAGCCAACACGGTGGCGTATACATCTACATATACTGGAGAAAACTCCAAACCATTAAATGTTTATCCTTCGAATGACGCTTCCCTACCCTATGTATTGTGCGTGAATACAATACGTCAATATATTTCAGAAATACCGCAATAGTCGGAACCAAACTGTGGTTTTCGGGTCACTGGGGTACTACAAATGTCACTAATGGCACCTTGTATTTCGGGCCTTGTATCACAAGTAAATAGCTACATTTCGTTGTCAAGCTCGCTGCAGGGTGGTTGAAAGCAGAATATAACCCACGGCTATGATCGGGTTCTCATCAGGCGGGTCATATACACGAGTGGCTTCTCAAGCAGCAATCTCGTTCAGAAAGGACTGATCTGCCGGAATGTTTCCAGACTCTTCACGAAGCAAGTACCGATGTGCAACATTCGCGAAAATGGCTCTTTTTTGGGGGGGCGGTTCTTTGGAACAGTTTGGTAGAGATGGCAGTTTTTGTAATTGAATCTAGACACAAACACTCGGTCCACTAGCTCTTTACTGAAATGGCCTGCTTCAGTGCGCTGATCTGCTCGCTCTCGAGCTTCTCGCGGCAATTGTACACCTTGACCTGGCTGGCAATCTCGCCAAGCCAGCGAATCGTGTAGACATTTCCGTCAATGAACGAGAACTCCATAAAGTCCATACCGTGCCGCTTGCAAATCTCTCGGACCATGGGCTGCACGCTGCGCAGCTTGTGCCGCGGCAGACGCGGGAACAGATGGTGCTCGATTTGGTACTGCAGGCCGCCGTGGAACCAGTCAAAGTAGGTAGGACAGATGACGTCCATGGTTGTGCGGATCTGCCGCGCCGCAAAGCACTCGCGCTCGGGGTCGGGCGACTCGGTCGACATGGCGAAATGCGAGAGCGTGATCTGGATGTGCAGGATGGCAGACACCGAGTGAGACACGAAAATGTAGGTGAGCAGGTACTGCCAGGTTGGGATGTACGAGAGGAGGTAGCTGAACCAGAGGAGGAAGAGTCCGACACAGCCAAGCTCCAGCGAGCGGAACGGCGCAAAGTCGCTGAACAGCATGTAGTTCCAGCTCAAGACGTACAGGTTGAAGCGTGCAAAGCACATGATCAGATAATACAGCTTGTCTTGCATCGAGATGAAGAACTTGGCGGCGGCGTCAAACTCCATGATGCGGTTGTAGTACGTCGAGTAGCGGCTCTCAAAGAACTTTGTCGAGATGGCAAAGAACGGCATGTGCTGGATATCCGGGTCGTTGTCGATGTCGTTGGTGACGATGTGGTGCGTGTTGTGGTTCTTTTTCCACCAGCCGACGCTAAGACCGCCAAGCAAATCGGCGATGCAGATGCCCACGACCATATCGAATTTCGAGTTCCCTGTGACCTCGTTATGGCCAAGGTCGTGTGCCAGGAAGGCCAACTGTTGCCACAGCAGCGCAGTGCTGACACCTGCCAGCAGGTAGGTCCATATGATATGTGGACCCCAGATGATCAGAGATACAGCAGTGGCGAAGAATGTGATGTATCGGGCGATGTCAAATGCGTAGTCCCAGTAGTTGCACTTGTAGTAGCCAGCGTCGTGCAATTTCTGGTCGAGCTGACGGAAGTCATGTTGAATTGCAGCGTAGTCTGTACCCTCTTTGGTCCGCTCGCCCTCGCTGACTGCCGAGCGCGCAGCCGAATACGGCAGCTCCATATCCTCGACGTACGACACTTTGAATCCGTCCTTCTCTCCAGGGACAAATGTGGCGACAGCCCAACGCGGCATAATGTCGTCAATGACTTCTTTCAGGTGCATTGAATGGACTTCGTCGGTCGCATCACGGCCCACCATGTGCATGATGGCGAGCGGGCCGCCCGGGTGTTTGCTGATAAAGTTGTTGAGCTTGACCACCAGGCCATCGATGATCACCAGGAACTCGCCGTTGGCGATGCGCTCGCGCATGGTGGACGGCGACATAGGCGGGAGCTTGCTGCGGCGCCGGTCGGCAAGCTTGCTGTGTGGAATGAACGGGGATGATGTGCGGGCAGGCATAGTTTCGCTGTATGTCTATGTGCAAATGCAGCTTGCTGGTCTACGCTCTAAACGATAACACCCAGGTTTCTCTGGGTAGCCACAAAAAGACAAAAGGTAGAATGAAAAAGAAAGAGAAGGTGTATTGTTTTCTCTGTTGACAGTTGTATGAAGGAGGGGAGAGGGAGAAAGGAATAGACAAAGCAAAACACGAGCAAGGAGACAGTGGCATGGTGAGTTCGTTGCTGCAGCAAGTACTCGGGCGATTTGAAGGGGCAGCTACCGAGAGCGAATGAGGATGGAGAGAGAGCAGCCTCACGGAGGCGATCGCCACACATTTGACAGGGAGGGGCCAAGTTAACGCACACATAAACATCAGGCCAGCTGGAGGTTGGCCGATCTGCCAAGAGAGCCACAGACACCTGTGCTCTGCGAAAAATAGCTTGGGCGGTGGCAAATGGTAGGTTTGCAATGCAGCAGTAGAGAGATTGGGTCGCTTCAAGAAGCGTGTGCATCCGTGTACAGCGCAAAAACAGAGGGATCGTCCCAAACACGCCGCTTCTTGGCTCATTCGATTCGAAGCTGGCTTCGAAATTGTGCCTGTTCCTGAGTGGCCGGGATCGTGAAAGTAAAAATTTTGAGCAGTCCGGTTTGGGGACTGATTGGCCCGCTGCGCCTGCAGCTCTTGGCAGTCCCACAAGGCGATTAAATGCTTGACAGATTACGCCACGATCTGATCTGCAGCCCTGGCCAATAGTGGCAGCCCACGCTATTCCAAGCGTAACCTCCAGCATCAGGCGTCATCGGGCTTTTTGCATAGCCGGAGACGTGGGTCCTGCAGCCAGAAACAAAAAATAAGCAGCAGAAGCCGCCTTCCTCTGCTTCTCTTTCCTCTAGACACCCCTGTATTCAATCACCATTAAACACACCCTTTTCTACAACATGCAGCGATCCGCAAGCTGTAGCGGCACCCGCAGCCTGGCGAGCATGCTCTTGGCGGTTCTCTACCTTAGCACATTGCTCTTCGCGACACTGGCGATGGCGGGCAAGGACTACTACAAAATCCTGGGCGTATCGCGCGACGCGTCCCAGTCCGAAATCAAGCGGCAGTACAAGACACTGTCGCGGAAGCACCATCCGGACAAGAACCCGGGCGACGAGGCGGCGCACGAGCGGTTCATCGAGCTGGCGCAAGCATACGAGGTACTGAGCGACTCGGAGAAGCGCGAAATCTACAACCGGTACGGCGAGGAGGGACTGAAGAACCAGGGGGCGGGCAATGGCGGGTTCCACGACCCGTTTGATATTTTCGCGCAGTTCTTTGGCGGCCATGTCAAATTCGACCGACGCGGCGGGGGCGGCAGGGCGAAGCCGCGCGGGCCGGACGTGCACATCCATGTGCCGGTGACGCTGCTGGAGCTGTATGCGGGGGCGGAAATCGACGTGGATATTTCAAAGCAGGCAATCTGCCCTCACTGCGACGGGTCAGGAGCGGCGTCGCCGGACGATATCGACACGTGCAGCACATGCGGCGGCAGCGGCGTGCGGATTATTAAGCAGATGCTGGGTCCTGGGATTGTGCAGCAGATGCAGACGACGTGCGATGAATGCCACGGCAAGGGGAGGAAGGTGACCAAGGAGTGCCCGCACTGCAAGGGGACCAGGGTGACGCGCGCCAGCGACCAGCTGACGATTCGCGTGGAGCCAGGCATGGCTGACGGCGAGCTCGTGGCGTTCGAGGAGGAGGCAGACCAGCATCCAGACCATGAACCGGGATCGGTCGTGTTCCATCTGCAGCAGGAGCCGCACAAGGTGTACGAGCGGCGCGGCGACGACTTGTATGCAGAGGAGACGATCACACTGGCGGACGCGCTGGTAGGGTTCGACCGCACGCTGCTGCATGTGGACAACAAGTCCAAGGTCGAAATCGCCAGGAAAGCGGTGACGCCGCCTGGATACGTGCAGCGGCTAGCCGGCAAGGGAATGCCGAGGCGCGGGGCAGGCGCAAGCAAATTCGGCGACCTGTTTGTCACATACTGGATCCAGTTCCCGAAGGAGCTGGATGCGGCCAGCAAGGACGAGGTGCGGCGGCTCTTTGGTCACGAGTCGAAGGCCAAGTGGGAGCCCAAGAAGGACGGCCAGCGCCAGGCACGGCAGACACACGATGAGCTCTGAGGGAAGGTTAATAAATAGTAGTTGCTAGCGAGGTGAGGAAGCTAAAAGCAAAAAAGCTAGTCGGTCTTGACAGAGCAGATCAGATCGCCAGCGCTCAGGGCGTCGTTGATGGCAATGTCGAGGTTCTCGATGACACCGTCTGCCGGGGCACCGACAACAGTCTCCATCTTCATGGCGCTGAGCACACACACGGGCTGGCCGGCCTTGACCTTGTCGCCAACAGCGACCTTGATCTCGACGACAGCGCCGCTCATGGGGGCGCCGAGCTGGTTCTTCTGCTTGGGGTCGGCGCGGACGCGGGCCTTGACCTCGGGCTGAACCGACAGGTCGTCGACAGTGACGATGCGCGGCTCGCCGTTGATCTCAAAGTACACGTCGCGCTTGGCAGTGGCGGTCTGCAGCGGGCCAAGGGCAATGTAGCGGATGATGAGGGTCTTGCCGACCTCGAGCTGGACCTGGATCTCCTGGTTGGTCTCGAGGGGTGTCAGGAACAGCGGCGTGGGGATCAGCGACAGGTCGCCGAACTTTTGGCGCTGCGACTGGAACTCGTCAAAGACAGCCGGATACAGGGCAGCCGAGACAAGGTCGACGTCGCGGATGGAGCCAGGGCCCCACTTGTCCTCAAGGTCGCGGCGCAGCTGGTCAAAGTCCAGCGGCTCCATGGTGGCGCCAGGACGGGTGTCGATTCTCGGCGCGTCGCGGATAATGGCAGCACGCAGCTCCTCGGGGAAGCCGCCCACGGGCTGGCCCAGGTAGCCCTGGAAGAACTCGACCACCGACTTGGGGAATGACAGCGTGGCAGCGCGCTCAGCAACCTCGTCGCCGGTCAGATGGTTAGACACCATGAACTGCGCAAAGTCGCCGACGACCTTGCTGCTGGGCGTGACCTTGACCAGGTCACCGCAGATGCGGTTGGCCTCGGCATACGCCAGCTTGACCTCACCCCAGCGCGTGCCCAGGCCCAGCGACTGGGCCTGGAACAGCAGGTTGGTGTACTGGCCGCCAGGCATCTCGTGCAGGTACACCGAGGTGTCTGACGCCTTGACTCCAGGGTCGAAGCACGAGTACAGCAGGCGGGTCTGCTCCCAGTACGAGTTCAGCGCCTGCACAGCCTCAAACGACACGCCGGTGTCGCTCTCGGTCTCCTCGAGCGCCGACACGAAGGCGCCCATGCATGGCTGCGAGGTGGTGCCCGACATGCTGTCGACGGCGAGATCGACAATATCGGCGCCAGCCTCGGCAGCGGCCATCAGCGCGGCCACACCGGCTCCAGCCGTATCGTGCATGTGCACGTGGATCGGGAGGTTCGGGTGACGCGCACGGATGGCGCCGATCAGCATGGTGGCAGCACGCGGCTTGAGCAGGCCAGCCATGTCCTTGATGCCAAGGACGTGGATGTCCAGGGCCACCAGCTCGTCGACGAGGTCGAGGTAGTACTCGAGCGTGTACTTGGGGTGCTTGGCCGGGTTGGTCACGTCGCCAGTGTAGCAGACTGTAGCCTCGATGACACCATTGGCCTGGCGCACGGCCTCAATGCCGAGCCTCAGGTTCTCGACGTAGTTGAGCGAGTCGAAGACACGGAACACATCGACACCATGGTTGCGCGCCTGCTTGCAGAACTCGTACACGACGTTGTCCGGGTACGACGTGTAGCCGACGGCATTGGCGCCGCGCAGCAGCATCTGGAACGGGATGTTGGGCACAAGCTTGCGCAGGCGGTCCAGGCGGTCCCAGGGGTCCTCGTGCAGGAACCGCATCGCCACGTCGAAGGTGGCACCGCCCCACATCTCGAGCGCAAAAGCGTTGGACAGCGCGTGCGAGGTGGTCTTGGCAATGCGCTCCATATCGTGTGTGCGCAGACGGGTCGCCAGCAGCGACTGGTGCGCGTCACGCCAGGTGGTGTCCATGATCAGGACGCCCTTGTGCTGGCGCACAGCCTGCGCAAACGCCGCGGGGCCCTGCTCCAGCAGCACGTCGCGCCAGCCCTTGGGCGGCTCCTGCGTCACATCAATGACGTTGCCCTGCGCGTCGTACAGCGTGGGGATCACCGGCTCCTGCAGGCCCGGCTGGGGCTTCTGCACAAGGCCCTGGATGCGGCAGCCGTTGGCCACAACGTCTCCAAGGTAGTTGAGCAGCTTGGTTGCGCGGTTGCGGAACTTGGTCACGGCAAACAGCGACGGCGTGTCGTCGATGTAGGTGGTCCAGCAGTCACCCTTCATGAACACATCGTTGGTCAGCAGATGCTGCAGGAACCACATGTTGGTCTTGACTCCGCGGATGCGGAACTCGACCAGCGAAGCGAGCATGCGGCGGCGCGCCTTCTCGAACGTGGCTCCCGAGCACGTCAGCTTGACCAGCAGCGAGTCGTAGTGGGGAGTGATGATCGAGCCCATGAAACCCGAGCCTCCGTCGAGACGAACACCGTTGCCTCCAGGCGAGCGGTACACCTCGATCTTGCCAGTGTCGGGCTGGAATCCCTGCGCCGGGTCCTCGGTGGTAACACGGCACTGGATAGCGAACCCACGCACACTGACGCGGTCCTGGGACAGGTGCAGCTCGTTCAGCGACCAGCCAGCCGCAATGTGCAGCTGCAGCGAGATCAGGTCAAGACCAGTGACCTCTTCAGTCACAGTGTGCTCGACCTGGATGCGCGGGTTGATCTCAATGAAGTAGTGTCCGCGGCTGTCCACCAGGAACTCGGCCGTACCGGCGTTGCGGTAGTTGACGTGCTTGGCAATCTTGACGGCATCGGCCAGGATGGCGTCACGCACAGACTCATCCAGCGTAGGGGCAGGGGCAATCTCCACCACCTTCTGGTGCCGCCGCTGCACGGAGCAGTCGCGCTCGTACAGGTGGATCACGTTGTCCTTGCCGTCTCCGAGCAGCTGCACCTCAATGTGCTTGGGCCGGTCGAGGAACCGCTCAATGAACACGGTGCCGTCGCCAAACGCCGACAGGGCCTCCGAACGCGCACGCTCAAAGCTCTCGGCCAGCTCCTCGGCCTTGCGCACAACACGCATACCGCGACCACCGCCGCCCATAGCAGCCTTGATGATGACTGGGAAGCCGTACTTGTTGCAGAACTCGGTGGCCTCCTCGATCTCCTCGATCGGACCGTCGGTACCCGGAACGACCGGCACGCCGCAGGCATTAGCCACATTACGCGCCTTGACCTTGTCGCCGAGGTCATCGATGGTCTCGGGACGCGGACCAACCCACCGCATGCCGGCTGCCTCGACCTTGCGCGCAAACTCGGCGTTCTCGGACAGGAATCCGTAGCCAGGGTGCACGGCGTCGCAGTTGCGCTCCTTGGCGATCGCAACAATCTCGTCCTGCGCCAGATATGCGCCGACAGGCGTGTACTTGCCCTCAGGCGCAATCTGGTACGACTCGTCGGCCTTGTACCGATGCATGTTGAGGCGGTCCTCGTACGCGTAGATTGCGACCGTCTTGAGGCCGAGCTCGTGCGCAGTACGCATAACACGCATGGCGATTTCTCCGCGGTTGGCAATAAGCACCTTGTGGAACCGCTTGGAAACAACGGGGGAGGTGTTCTTGAGATGCAGCAGACCCTCCTCGTTGGGCATGTGATACCGCCGCTCGAGGCTCTCGGCGTTGTCCTGTCCGGTCTTGGTCAGGTCCTCGCGCGAGTGCTGCCGCGAGAGCGACTTGAAGCTGTACTTCAGGTAGTCGAAGTTCATGTCCGGCGACTCATGGCCCGGCTGGTGCGACGGGCGGGTCGAGGCTGAGATCGATGCAATGGCATCGCTGGGCAGACCAAGCTCAGGCATAGTAGCTACAATTGGATGGCAGAGAAAGGGATTGGCGAGTGGGTTTAGCTGGGTAAGCAGATGGCGGCTTCAGAGAAGAGGTGGTGGTGGGCGATGATAGCACAGGTGTGGGAACAGTACGTTTTTGGAATGGATAAGCTGACTCGGGGGCCTGGTGCAAATAAAGGTGTGTGTGAGAAAAAGATACGGTGGGCTGAGCAAGAGGTTTTGGAAGGAGAGGGGCTAGAATCAAATGTCAATGTCGTGAAACTGGGCCCTGGGTGCGCTGCTCCGCGCTTTTATAGCGTCATCGCCAGCTGATGGAAGATGCAACACCTCCGCCTGGAGCTAACGGGCTGCGAAAAAAAAAACACGCCCCTTGTCCCACTCCTCGGCGTCATGGCTTCCCAAACTTGCCGCTATCTCTTTTGCAAACCATGGCAATATGCCGAAAGGAGGCGGGGCAGCAGCATGTAGCACAGAGCCAAAAAGGAGCAAGGCTCTCAAATCACACGTTGCTCAGAGAAACTGCTCAGAGGCGCGCTCTGTTCCTTGGGCGGATGCGCCGGTAGATAACAACGGAGAAATATGCTGCTACGGGCTCTGAGATTCACTGGCAGGGGAGGGCGGCAATCCAGTGCGCCAAAAGAGATGTCCAGCACAAAATTCACGGGTGACTTCAGTGGTCGTGATGATGATCAGTCAGTAAAATATCCTGCTGTCACTGTGACTCACCTTGCAGTGGCTCCAGCTCGTACGAAGGCCGGCGCGGCAGGTCCTGCTTCTTGCTGTTGGCGGGTGACATGGCGGATGTTAGCACGGATCCTGGCGGCGCAGAGATGGTGTGGGGAATTAATAGATTTCTTGCAGGTGGAGGAGGCTGCGAAGGTGGTTTCTGTGACTGCTTCTTTGCTGGATAAATAAAAATGGCGCCTGAAAGGGTAGAATAATCCGCTGCAGAAGGGCGAACAGAACGGAGGAATGGAGAGGTGGTGCTGGAGTCTTGCTTGGCGTTCATCCTGACTCCGTGTCGCTCCGTCGGAGAATTTATATACCTGGCCAGAAATGCATCCCGTTGCATACCAGGCGGCTGTTCGGGCTCTATGCATCCACCGAATGCGCATCAACCACCACCGGCTGGACAAGGGTGGCTATTCCTAGCGCCAATTCCGTCACCGCGTGCAGCTGGCGGCTGCATTCACACATCGTGCCCTGTGAGCTTTCTCAATTGCACCTCGCTGTCGCTATCTCGCCACAAGCTTCGCACGTGAATTCCTTCGACGATAGGATGTTCCCAGCTAGTGATTGTCTGTGAACGCCGCACTACCTGACACTACCGTCCTGTAGCGCAGCGGAAAGATTCTATGGAACAGATTCAGGTCTAATTTTTCTAATGCAAGCCGTGCATCCCCTTCCACAGCCCCGCCTTATTGGCCTGTCGGAGGATTTCGACAAGTTTGTCCAAAAATGGCCTGTGTACTTTAAGCGAAGAGAAAAAGCAGCAGAGGACAATCCGCTTCCCGCTGTGTCGCCGAGTCTGGAGGGTCAATCCGCACTCCAAAACCGGCTCTCGGGTTTTGCGGGTCCTATCTAGGCTGCCGGATATTAGCCTCTGGGCCTACGACCACTACCGGTGCGCGCCGAATTTATTGTCTATCCTTCACACTACTCTGCAGACGCATGCGTTGAAAGTGGTCGGGATACAGCGAAAATAAGCGCTGGCAATCGAGCACCGAAATAAAGGCAGCCCATGTCACTGCGGTGAAAAAGACATGTGCAGCTGCAATGGCCATGTGCGCCAAAAAAAAAAATTGTCATGGCAAATGCCGCGCGCACAAAAAATAAAAAAGTCGCTGAACGCCGTCGATGCAGCTGGGAATCGACTGGCTGATAATCACCGACATGTTGAGATTGGCGTGTGGGTAATGTGTTGATATGCACTACCGCTGCTGGCGCTCCACCCATGTCACATGAACCATAGTCAGCAGCGGCGGCGCTGCCCATTCTTCGCTCCTTTGTCCTTCCACTGCTGCAGTTGCTGCCGCTCGGTGGCCATGCGCCAAATAGGATGTGCTCGTTGGTGGGAAAAATGACTATCGCTGTTGCGCTCTCGGGCAATGATGGCATCGTGGTCGTACTCGGCCTGCCCAGATGCACGAATCTGCGAAGCAAAGGACATCCGCCGCTCATGGCCAGCACGTCCGATTGGCTGTAAAATCCCCACCCGCTGCAGCAGGACTGAGCTCCTTATCGATGTCACTCGGCAGGAACAGCAGGCCCATCAGGTTCACATCTTGCCAGAGTCACTATCGTGTTGGTATCAATGGATCTACTCAAATCTACTTGGGGTCAGGGAGATCCTTGAACTTCAGCGTGCACGACCAGTGCGGGCTCTTGGTCTCAATCGACTCCTCCTCGGGACACCAGCACTTGTCGTTGGCCTTGCCCTTGGGACAGTTCCACAGCGGACCGTGGTAGTACCCAATGTCCTCGAACCAATGCACCTGGTTCTTGTTCAGGAACATCGCCACCGCGAGCGAATGCACTGGCGCATCGCCCCAGCGCTCGTAGAAGAACCCGCCCTCCTTGTCCAGGTAGTCAAAGTACGACAGGTACTCTTTGGACCGCAAAAATTCGAGACTGGCAATCTCAAAGTTGGACCAGAAGTGGCAGCGGTTGTAGCCGCCGTCCTCATCGGTAACAAACTCCATTAGATTGGACTCTGGGATCAGATCCTTGCGCTTGTTCATGTAGTCCATGGTGGTCTTCCACAGCGTCGGGATCGTTTCGACAACCTCCTTGATCGAAATCGTAAAGCCGTACTTTTTGTTGTTCTTCTCCATGAACAGGAACGGATCGTAATCGATCTCGCATCCAAACTTGACCCCGGGCTCCACACGCCAGTACCACTTGTACTTGTCCATCAGCGGGTGGCGGAAGAAGAACCCAGACTCGTACCGGCACATGTGGCGGTAGCTCTCATGGCCGCCATAGATGACCTTGCGCTCGGCCATGTCCTTGCGCACCTCAGCAGCCTTCGTCTGGTTGATCCACTCGGGATACGACCAGTGCTCCTTCGGGATCAGCCCAAACTCGGCCACACCAGTGACAACCTTGCTGATCTTCTCCTTGAACTCATCGCTGAACGGCTCGTTGTTCAGGAATACGTACGGGTAGTGGTACTTGCGGTTGAACCGGTCCTCGAGCTGAACCAAAGTCTCACGCAGGTCCTTCAGATCCTTGTTACGTGTCAGGATGACGAACGCTGCGCTGGTGCGCTCTGTGGTCGCCTCGATTTGCTTCACCTGCATGGTCTCTGTCACCTGCTCAACCTGTGTCTGGACCTCGGTCTGCGTCTGTGTCGTAGTGACAGCCTCGGTGCGCCGCGCCAGCTCGGCCTTGCGAAGGTCGCCGGCGTGGTTAAAGTCGTTGCGCAAGTCTCTCCACACAAACAGCAGTCCTATGACGGCAATGAATAGCAGCACCGTGCTGCGCAAGTCGCGTGCCATTTTTTAAAAAGATTCCCGGAAAATAGCGAGTGTAATTTTGCGAGATGAGATGCAAAGAAGGAGCCCTTGCAGTAACTCGGCGGTCCTGAGTTTGAAAAGAATGGCGGTCTAAAAAGCAGTTGCCGCATGGAGCAGGCGAGGCCCTAACAGAATAATCGGGTGCTGATCTTCTAATTTTCACGTGCTGCAAATCGAAGCACGCTGGTACTGCTGCTCGCACACCCGGGTGGGTGCAAACCAACAAGTGCGACAGCATCAGCTTCCCACATCTGGTGGTGCCAATTAATCTATACCACGACACCACCACCAGGTATACGTGCCGTCCGCTGCTTGTTCGCTGCATACTCTAAATTTTCAGTGTATTATTTACACTTTTCCTTCTATTTATATCCCGGCCCAGCACTGTGTTTTTATTGCCTCCAACAAACAAGCTTCCAACCTTCAAAAAGGGGGAGGGTCTCAGTCTCGAGCCGGAGCAACAACAAAAACACCTGGCCTCTTTTTCTTACTTTTCTACTTTCTCCATTTCGGTCAAGCGTCCTCCTTCTTCTCTTTCTCTCACTCTTTATTTAATATTAATTCCTCGCACACGAAAGCAGCCAATGGCAGACACTGCTATTTCAGCAGGCGAATTCCCTACCCAGCATCGGGAGCATTTGCCTAGACAGCAGCCACAGCAGCCGCTCCGGCGTAACACGACGGCGACAAGCACGCCTACAAGCACAGCAGCAGCACCGCCTGCTGGAGGCAGCGCTCCACCGGCAATGGTCGACACGGCAAAGTATCGATCAAGCGTGCGGCCACTGAGCATGACGGTGGGCCCTCGCGACGCAGGCGGGATGGGCAGCATGGGCCCGCACCCAGGCGCAGGACACCTGGCGCGGGTAAATTCAACCGGCAGCGGCGTGCGCACAGGCACAGCGTATGACCGGCAGCAGTCGTACTTGCAGCAGCGAGCTAGCGGCACGCCTGACGAGCGGGTGTTCAACGCCAACGGGCAGCAGGCAGCAGCGGCCAAGGTTGCAGCAGCGGCAGCAGCGGGCATTGTGCCACATCGAGAAGTGCACTATGCCAATGAGTACCCGGCTGCACCCGCGGCGCCACAGCCTGTGCATCGAAGCAGCGGCAGCAGCAGGCGCATGGTGGGCCCGTACCAGCTGGCAAAGACCATTGGCGCAGGCAGTATGGGCAAGGTCAAGGTTGCGCTCGACATTCGCACCAATAAGCGGGTATGTATCTACTGTGCTAGCATGCCAAGAGATTGCCACCACTCGTGTTGCATATAGCTGATACCTCCATCATCCATGACCGTTGTAGGTGGCCGCAAAGATCATCCCGCGCCAACAGCCAGACGTTCCTATCTACTTTCCTTCTGGATTCGACACCACAGCAGCAGACACCTCCGAGAAAGCAGTTGCAGCATCAGTACAGGTACCACCGGGACCCGTTGACCCGGCCATTGAGCCCTGGCGGTCGTGGCTTATTCCTCTAGCCCTCGAGAGCCGGCCCGATTTGGCTGAGCAGTCTGGGTACCCAGCCCGCGTCCCACGCAAGCTGCGGCTTCTGCAGCCGCGCGAGCGGTTCACCACCAAGGACCGCGAGCGGCGTGAGAACAAGGACATTCGTATTGTGCGCGAGGTAGCAATCAATCGGCTGCTGCACCACCCGAATATCTGTGTGCTGCACGACGTGATAGTGCACCCAAACCACTACTACATCTTCCAGGAGCTGGTCTCTGGGGGCCAGATGCTGGACTACATCATCAGCCACGGCCGCCTGAAGGAGAAGCATGCGCGCAAGTTTGCCCGGCAGATTGCATCGGCCATCGACTATTGCCACCGCAACTCGATTGTGCACCGTGATCTGAAGATTGAGAACATCCTGATTTCGGCCAACGGCAACATCAAGCTAATCGACTTTGGTCTGTCGAACCTGTACTCGCCGCGCTCACACTTGTCGACATTTTGCGGATCCCTGTACTTTGCTGCGCCCGAGCTGCTCAACGCCCAACCGTACACTGGTCCAGAAGTTGATCTGTGGTCGTTTGGTGTAGTAGCTGTACGTACTCGTATGTGGCAAGGTGCCATTCGACGACCAGTCGATGCCCGCACTCCATGCCAAAATCAAGCGCGGCCATGTCGAGTACCCGAGCTGGCTCAGCAGCGAGTGCAAGCACCTTTTGTCGCGGCTCCTGGTAGTCAACCCGCTGCGGCGAGCCACGATGGGCGAGGTAATCCGGCACCCATGGACATGCAAGGGCTATGGCGACCTTGGCATCCCCACCAGCTTTTTGCCTGAGCGCACGCCGCTGGTCTCGCCCGACCAGATCGACCGCACTGTGGTTCGCGAAATGTCGCAGTACATCGGCTTTGGGTTTGGCACCGAAGAGGAGATCCGCCTAGGTCTGGAGGCAATTCTGACCGAAGATTGGTACCGGTGCTGGCTGAAGGACAAGCTGAGCCCGCAGATTGATGTTGTTCGGGGACAGGTGCAGGAGGACATTTCACGTGCACAGGCCATGCAGAGCGCCGGTTGACGTCGCAGCCGATCCAGCTGGGAAATGTCGGGGTCAAGGGACTCGCTGATGGCTCATCGCATGTGCCACTGGCCAACGCACTGTCAGCAGAGCCTGACCAGCGGCGGAGTCAGCCTCCGGTACCACGCTGACCAACCCCAATGACACCAATGCCGCTGCCGCACGGCTGGGATCAGCCGGTACCCCAGCTGTCTCTGGCCCCCAGGCAGCTGCTATCCAGGCAGAGCCAAACTGCGCCTGCCAATTCGACAATCAGCCAGCGCCTGGCTGCGCAAACCAGCAGAACAGTGACCTGCAGAACAGCGACGCAGTCAAAAAGAAGACAAGCTTCTGGAAGCGCAGCAGCACGTTTATTACAACCAACATTGGCCGCACCAGCAGCAAGCAATATTCACCGGACCCGCACGCGCCTGGTGGGCAAGCAGGAGAGAAGAGCCAGGGTGCAGCCCAATTCCGCGTGCTGTCTGGCAGAGCTTTTGGCGACTTGCGCTCGTCAGCCTCGCAGGACAACACAGCGGGCCAAAAAAAGTATGGCAAGCCGTCATCAGCCCACGCACCGCAGATGTACATTGACTCAGCATCTGGAATGGTCGCTATCTGGAGAGACGGGAAGCTAGCGCCGCCCGACACTGACTGCGCCTCGATTCAGCACGAATACCACGACTTGCTGGCTACCGACCCCCTGCTCAGTATTTACTTTTTGGTCAAGGAGCGTCGAGACCGCGAATCCCGGGCACAGGCGCAGTTCAATGCAGCAGTTAGGCAAGCGGAAGCACACGCCTCAAAGCCTGCTACTGAGATCGACGCACAGGCGGTTCCGCAGTTGGCAGGACCCTGATGGCCCGGCAGCAGTCCCAGAGAAGCGCCACTACCTGCAACAGCAGCAGTCTCAGCCTCTACCAAGGCGCCCGTCGGACCACAAGCACGAGCTGCGTAGCAGGACCTCGACCATGACTAGCAGTGAGAGCTATGGGGTAGGAAGGGACGCAACCGGAAGCAGGAACCCCCAGAACTGCAGGACTCGATATTGTTGCTTCGCTGGCTGAGTCGCGTGGAAAGGAGAGCGGCCTGCACCGGATGAGCGCCGACACTGGCAGACACACAGCGATGCCGAGCGTTCCTGAGGAGCCTGTGAATACCGAGGACCCGACAACAGCAGCCATTGAGGCACTGTCGTCGCATACGCCCCCACACCGTGGCTCGTTGGCCCTGACTGCGACCAACAGTAGCGCCAATGCTGCCACTGCAATGTCTGCTCGGCCAGACACGAAAAAGAAGCGTGCAAGCCTGTTCAAGCGGTTCAGCACCTTGGTCAAAGGCGGGCGGAATGAGCAGAAGCCTTTTGACACGCCACCTGGATCCAACGCGAGGTTGTCGACCAACGACGACCGCGAAGATGTTGAGTTTGTCAAGATTGCCCACGAGGCCAAGGCAGAGGAAAGCGACAAGCTGCTTGCAGCCCAAACAGCAGCATCCACCCAAGAGGCGCCGGCATCAGTAGCCTCCACTGTTGCAAAGCCCGCGACACTGGCTGCCCAGCCGGTGCACAAGTACCAGGCGCTGCATTGCATTGAGGAGGACGATGAGGATCTGCGCGACACAGGTGACCACCAGACAAATGCAGGCACTGACATGGCTACCAACGGCACAGGCAGCAAGGATGGTAGCGAGGTTGCAGCCAAAGGACGAGTCGCCTGACACAGCCAGCTCAAGGCGCCAATATCTTACCAAACCACTGATTGGTGGTGAGAAGCCAGCGTCAGAGCCCTCTGAGGCTTGGCAATCTACGGATCTTGTACCTTCATGCAACAGCTCCCGTGGTCGCCTTGATTTGGATAGCCCTAGCCAGGTGCCTCCTCCTTCGAAGCCACTAATACCGTCCGATGCACCCGAATATCCAGCGGGCTGGGTTGGGCAAGAGCGCGGACCAAAGAACAGCGTGCTGAGACCGGAGACTCGCTTGATCCACCGACAGATGCCAAAGATAGTAAGGACACACCTGCCGATAAGCAAGCCAATTGGCGCATCGTGAAGGCAGCGCTATTGGCGCACGTGAAGGCAGCGCTATTGACGAGCAGTCAAAGGCATCCCGGTCGTCGAACGAGTTCGATGCTGCATCGTCGATGTTTACTGGAACCGACATCGACGACTACGAGGTTATAACGCAGTCATCGACTGGCCGACCATGCTGCAGGACCAGATCGCCAAGGATTCGATGGCATAATGGCCGGAAAGGCTGAGCTCGTCGAGAAAGCTCGTCCGCGAGATTGAGAGCATGGACGAGCAAGAAGGCGTCGGACTGCTGGACCAGACACCTGAGCTCAGCTACCGTGTGACCTTCCAGCAACGCCCGCCACTCGGCCTTTGACGCCAAGAAGAGCCGCGTCCGGTCGTCGTCCAACGCCATGGCACGCGTCATTAGCGATATCGTACGTGACGGCAAATCCGCGAGCAGCGGGCAACGGGCAGGCACCTAAGGCCAAGCTGCAGCGCAATGGCAAACAGATAAAGGAGGATGGACAGCCACTGCTGACCCAGCGGCATTCATTTATGAATGTCGCACAGCATAACAGCACTGGTGCCATCGATAGCAGCAATACCGGATGTGAAGATTCCTACCAGTGGCAGTGGCAGTATCGTACAGGGTGTTGGTTTGGGGTTGGTCCAAGTCGAAGAAACCACCACCTAATCCCTTTGAGAAGCCAGGGAAGCCATCGGGCTTGCTGCGGTCGCACTCGCATCCACAGGACACTGCGAAGAAACATGTTGTTCCTGGGTTCGATCTACCCGACAAGATTGCGGAAGTTCCTGAGCCAACGACGCCTGTATCTGGAAATTCCACCGAGGGAATTGGTGCCCGTCTGACATCTGAGACGATCAGCATCGCCGGTAGTGCTACCTCTGCTGAGCCTGCTGAAGCCTCTGCTCATGCCAACAGGCCTGTCAGCAACAAGGGGAGGGATTCCTCGCCTCCTATTGACCTACCTGAGATCGAAGGCCGAGGAACAGCAGGCAGCAGCTGCGGCTGTCGAAGGGATATCCAAGGCTCCGCGCGCCGACGAATACCTGAAATCTGTCTCTCTCAAAGCCCTGTTTTCAGCAACGACGACCTCGACACGCTCACCGTCTGAAATCCGCGCCGGCCTCATCAACGTAATGAACACCATGCACCTGCGGTTCCATGAAGGCAAGGGCTACTTTACGTGCAGCATGGTAACCTCGGTCGGCCCAACCAACCTGCAGGACGCCGTATACCCAATGCACGCTGACGCAGCGTCAAAGAACTCGGGCTTACACAAGAGCATGCGCTTAGGCGGCATTGATCGGAAGCTGAGTTTCCGTCGCCGTCGGCACAACCGCCATGAGGATAAGGCGGGTCTGATTGACAGCGAAGCACCTATGGCGGTGCCAGGCGGTGGATCAGGACCGCATAGTATTGCCGAGTCTGGTGTATCCGAGAACCGTGAAGTTGCCGTTGCAGAGAATGCGAAGGGCATTTCTGTGTGCTTCCAGATCTTCATGGTGCGCGTGCCGCTATTGCAGTTGTATGGACTGCAGTTCCGGCGTGTCTCAGGCCCTACGTGGAAATACAAGGACATCTGCTCGGAGATCCTTGAGCGCCTGAAGCTCTAAACAGTTTGTTTTATGTCCTTTTTGACCTTCATTTTGCCCCACTTGATTTTTCTCCCCAGTTTCTTCCCACCTTTCTTGCTATTCATGTTAATCCAATTGGATAACCAAAACAGATGGAATTGTAGCATGTGTGCTATATATTAGATCTCGGTCCACGATCAGATCAACATGGAAAGTGCTCTCTGAGCTACTAGGTGGCTATGAGCGGCTACGTACCTACGCTAGGCTGGGGAGTCCCTTCAGTTTCTCAATTGGATACTAGTTAATATATGCTTTTAGGCACTTTTATATCAATGCGTCAATTTATTTAAATGACGTTGGTATATGTTCCGATAGCAGTCTTGGACTACTAGTACTAACTTAGTCTAGTCGTTCGGACACAGCCAGCAGCAGAACAGCATTGGTTTGATATATGTTGTGTCTCAGGTACGATACACTTTGGATAGATAGCCTTCTGCAACTGTCTGGAACACGTTTATTCTCTAGTCACCTTTCCGCAATGTATATTGACTGTATGGATTGTGCTATACGAAAGAAGGAAGAGTTTTAAGGTAAAGGGGCGGGTGCCCGTCTAAATAGCGGTGTTAATTGCCCGGAGTGGTATGAACGGCCATTGTGATCTGGGGGGTTTGATCCACCGGTTCCTGAACTTCTGTGAATTTGGATCCACAGACACAATTCGGAGTGACAAAGCAAGGGTGATGATTACAGGCATCTTAGATGGATACATTAAGGAGATAGCACACGAGTTTTGCCAAATAGGTGCTATCAGTGACAATGTATATGAATTTAGTAGCGGACTGTTTGCAGAACATAGCCGACCATGCACAACAGCGACAAATTGGTTTGTAGAAGCAGCTAGTTCTGGGATTGCTGTTATCATGTCAGCGTCTGCAACCATAAGATGAAAGTTCTGATATACAGAATCGTAGTTCTATCAAGCTATAGCTAGTGATAAGGAGGGTAGAAATGTAATATCCACAGGACGTGGGCTCCTGACTGTTGGGCTTGAAGGTGACGAACATGGGTGAAAAGTACTGGACATATAGTATAGATGCCAAAAACTGATCAACAGCTCACACTGGCTCAGAGCCTAGACAGCAGCCAGGGTATTCAGGAGCTAACTAAATGCACAACAACAGAATGGGGCAAGGACTTTTGGAAGATGGATTTGTCCATACCACCTCTCTGTGGAGCACTTGCAACATGGGCCTTGGATGCAGATGCCATTGGCATGGTATCATCCCATAGAATATTTACTTGCCTCAATATAAAAGCGACTCAGACATTGCGTGCAAGCTACTGAGGCAGCTGAACCGCACGCCAAATCCTCCACTCCCTATGGTGTGCCAGAAAGGGCTTCTTGGCTATCCAAAAGCTTCGCCGACGATGTGGATACTCCACAGCATTCCTCAATCAATGAATACTGGGCTGCTGCCTGGAAACAGGGATGCAGACAGTATTGGTAGCAAGTTTGAAAGGCTCGATTGTTTGGTGTACTTGAGCCAGACACTGCAAGTGCCAAAGGTGAAGGCGGCCATGCTGACTTTTTTCTTTGGAATTGATGAGGCAAAGAGGGAAACCCTGGCTGTTAGCCTTGACTATGTGCCTGCGACTTTGGCCAAGGATGAGCTGGGGGTCTACCAAAAGAAGATGGATAGGCGCCAGTTAAAGTCAGCTCGGTACTGGCAAATAACCCTTGTTGGCAAACATACGTTCGTACAGCCGAAGGAGAAGCCGCCTTACACCCCCAAGCAAGAACCACAGATATACCTGGATGTGTATGCGCATGCTAACTTTGACCCAGTTCCAAATATGTTCTCCTTTTAGTGTCTTTTGTTTCTTGTATCAATAAATGGCTCTATTTCTCCTTTGCTTGACTACCGCTTGGGCCCCGGCCCGCCCGAGAGACATCTGGCTCAGCAGGAGTGTTTGCAAACTCACGCCTCGCTTGTTTTTCATGTAAGGTTGCACAGTAGCCCCGGTGATCCTGCCTGCACCCTATTTTTGGGGCGTGGCCAACTAGCGAGTGCGTCCAAAGAACTATTTCACACTTCGTTTTTGCGCTACCTGTAGCCGCGAGCTCTGAGCTTGCTCTCTTGTCTTTTCTTTTACAAAAGCGTCGCCATTTTTCTCTGCACTTTTTCCTACTGAAATGCTCAACATAAAGTGGAAGCTTGTGGGCATTATTGTGACGGCTGTGCTGCTTGTACACTTCCTTCCTACTTCCGCCACTTCTTGGAACCTCGCCAACAGCAACTGGTGACGGCTCTCAAGATGAGAAATGGAACGGGAATGCACCTCTAAATGAGGACGGCACCGGGCTCAAACACCCACTGCCCGTGACCAGTAACGGTGACCAAGGGCAACGGTCCAGCAACCACCGTGACAGAGCGCATTGTTGAGACTGTTGTGGCGCGTGAGGATGATGCGGGAATTGAAGAAAAGGTTAGCGCTGCATTTGTGATTTTGACGCGCAACCGCGACCTGAAGGACCTGCGTGAGACTTTGATTCAGCTCGAGGACCGAATCAATCGCAAGTACCACTACCCGTATGTATTCCTGAACAACGAGCCGTTCAGCGATGAGTTCAAGGAGAAGATCAGCAAGGTTATCACTGGTGTGGCCGAAGTTCGGGCTGATCCCGAAGGAGCACTGGTCGTATCCCGAGTGGATCAACCAGACGAAGGCTGCTGAGGTGCGCAAGGACATGGCCGAGCGCAAAATTATCTATGGTGGTAGCGAGAGCTATCCGCCACATGTGCCGGTACGAGTCTGGGTTCTTCTTCCGCCACCCGCTGATGGACAAGTACAAGTGGTACTGGCGTGTGGAGCCTGGAGTCAAGTTTGCGTGCGATGTCGACTACGATCCGTTCCTGTTCATGGAGAAGAACAACAAAAAGTACGGCTTTACGATCTCGCTCAAGGAATACGAGGCAACAGTCCCGACGCTGTGGAAGACCACCATGGCTTACATGGACAAACGCAAGGATCTGATCCCTGAGACTAACCTGATGGAGTTTGTGACCAAGGACGATGGCAAGTACAACTTGTGCCACTTCTGGTCCAACTTTGAGATTGCCAGTCTCGACTTTTTGCGGTCCGAAGAGTACCTGTCGTACTTTGACTACCTGGACAAGGAGGGCGGGTTCTTCTACGAGCGCTGGGGCGATGCGCCAGTGCATTCGCTCGCGGTGGCGATGTTCCTGAACAAGAACCAGGTGCATTGGTTCGAGGACATTGGGTACTACCACGGTCCGCTGTGGAACTGTCCCAAGGGCAAGGCCAACGACAAGTGCTGGTGTCCCGAGGAGGAGTCGATTGAGACCAAGAACACCCACTGGTCGTGCACGCTCAACTTTGCCGCTCTCAACAACCCTTGAAAGTATAAAATGTCATTTTTAACATGCGGAAACAGAAAGCGAATGTCGCAAGAGAGGAATTAGGATATACGTGAAGGATGCAGCTTGCTGAGCCCTGCGCGACGAAAGGCAAATGGTGCCAGATAGTGTCTATTGACAAGTGCGCGCCATGTGGCCAGTGTGGATGAATGTCGCACTCTCCGAAACGGGGGCTGGGGTAGAGAAACTCCGGAATAAGTTTGCAGCACCAAATGCCGTTCATCCACTATAGATAGGGCTTACTCCAGCTATTTTCCAGCACTGCGGACGAGGTAAAATAGAGGCGTCGTAGGTAGGGGTAGTTGAACACTGGCGAAATTTGTGTGGGGGGAGCAAGCAGCAGGCGAATGATGAGGGCGTGGATGTGGGGACGGCGTCATAGACTAAAAAAAGCCCAGCAGCGCGTCAAGGTAGTTTTAGAGCACTCTGGCAAACTACCTGCGTTGGCGGAGAAGCAGCCTTGAAAAATCTGGTTCGGGTGCCATGTGCGCACTCATTTGCAACATTTTCGTTTTAGTGTGCCTGCTCGGTATAAGCTGCTAATGCCCATGTTATATTACCAATAAGGCTTTGCAAGATACTCGCGATGTTTTGATTTCAAAACCGCTTTTTGTTCTGGAGACAAGGATGAGGATGGGGAGAAGGGACGGCGAGTTTCTGGCAAGGCAGGGTACAAGAGTGTGAACATGCGTACGGTATGAGTCAAAGGTGCCTCGTTTTGGAATTTTTGTTCCTCATCGGCTAGGCGGTATATTCGGTTTCACGGGCTATTTGGACCACACCCCCAAATATATATCTTGCAGAGCCTGCCTGCCTTGCAAGTAGCTTTTATTTCCTTTCTCCTTTATATGCGCTTTTTGAGGTTAATTCTGGTCACACATCATTTGCCTTTATATTTGTATGCAAGCGAATGAAACCACCCAGCTACATTATTGCTGACGCACCCTTTTAGGATTTCTACTTTCTATTTTATATCTGGCACTACGTATCATCTTTTCCTATTTCCTTATTTTTACCATAGTCAGCTCATCCAATGCAGCACATACCGGGTTTCCAGGCAACGCCAGAGAGCCTTTCGCGGACTCATGGTCGAAGCTGCTACTGTGCCACGCGATAATTGCAACCATTCTGGCGCATCGAGCACCTCATCGACACCATCTACAACTGCGTCGGCGCCTCGCTCCTGTAGCAACAGCGTCGGCACAACCCTCCCAAAACCCAAGTTTGTATCTCATATATCAACAGATGCAAGCCACGTACAGTATTGCTGATAGTACCTATGTGTTCACCTCTGTATGTATAGGAAGAAGCGCCTGAATCACAACGAGCTGGAGCGTAAGGCAAGTGTTTGATAATATGACGCGTCGAAGGCTACACATAAGCGTGTATCTAAACCAGTACTCCCATGCCACATGTATAGCGAAGGCACCACCAACGAGAGGTCCTATATGAGCTCCGCGATATCATACCCACACTCCACATGGTCAAACCCTCAACAGTGCTGATAATGCAAAAGGCAAAAGACTATATTGACCTTCTGCGCCGGACAATCCAAGAAATGGAGGTGGAGATCAACGACCTGCGCAGGGCGCTGGTTGCCGCTGGCTACCCACTGCCGATGCCCAGCCACCAGCAGCAGGTAGTGTGCGGATTCCCAGGCTCACAGCCCGCCTCGTTCAACAGCTCATGCCAGTCCCCGCGCCTTCTGCCCGAGCAGCTGCTCAATGTCTCGCAGCAGCTGGGAATGGAGCAGTCGCTGTCGTTCCAAGGCCTTGGCGAACTGGGTATCGGAAGCGCCCACTTTGATCCGCAGGAAATCGAGAATATCAATCGCCTGCACTCAGTGCTCAGCAAAGGCTCGATGGACATGGTTTCGAGCAGTGGGCGGCCACTATCGCCGGTCTCGCCGTACCAGCTCGACCAGTCGCACGGGTGCGCATCAGGAGAGTTCAAGAAGCAGCCCCATGCGCTACACAGCTCAGGAAGTGGAGTCCTTGGCACCCACGTTTAGTGCACTCTTCTCTTGTTTGTCGTCAGCCAGAATGAACACGCCTCCCCTACCTTGCCGTTTCTCCTCAAACCCTCACAGCTCCTTCATCACAGCCTTACACATTTCCTCCTTTGCCTATTAGCTTTTTGTTCTTCTTTTTTCGATGATACGTGTGCAAGATTTTTCTATAACCCTTAGATTAACAGAATGAGGGGGTAGTACTAGTGAATATGACAAAACTAATCTAGAAACATGAGTTTGAAACGGGTCATTCCGGAATGGAGTTGCGCAACACGTGGCTTGTGCCAAGGTGATGCCGAACGTAATATACCATTATCCGCCAGCACCTGTCGCCGCTGCTGTGCTATTACTATTGTTGTTGCTGTTGTTGGTGGAACTTGCCGTGTTAGAGCTGCTGTTTCTGCTCCTACGCCTACGATTTCTTACTGGATCAACATGGACATCAGCCAGACTAGCAACCATTTCGCAAGAAAGTAACACAACCTCGTTCAGTCTATATAGATACTTACGTTGCCAGTGGGATAGCGACACCGCATGCTATGGCGACAATGACAAGGAATATCAGACCCAAGATGACCCATGTCTTCTTCCTGGCGCTGATCCTCAAGCGCGTTGCCTCCTTGACTTCCTGGTTGGCCTTGTGTGTGTGCTCCTGGGCGCTCTCGACAGCATTCTCGATGTTATCCAGGACTTCCTGCTGCTGATTCACCATATCCTGCATATCGAGGAACATGCTGTTGAGCAGCTCGATGGTGGCACCAATCTCGCGAATGTCCTTATCGCGCTGCTCGACGTCCCTCAGCATGCGCTTGGCCTGGCGACTGCGGAATGACGTCATCACATCCATAGCAAACACGGATCTTGCCGACTCATTGTGCACAGCCTGCTCGACCTCCTCATCGGTCGCATCGGGCTTGACCAGGCGGATCTGCCGCTCGATCCGGTCCCGGTAGCGCTTCTGGGACTCGCGTTCGAGCGTGCGGTACTTGTCAACAACCTCCATGAGGCGGCGGGCGAGCAGGGCGTGCCGACTGCGCCGGGTTGCTTCGTCGGCTGGGGCGAGGGTGGTGCTGTCGTTCATGAGGTCAATTGCATTTAGCTCTTTCTTGAGCTTGGTGATCTGGCTGTTGATTTGCGCTGTCCTGCGGTCACGCTGGTTGGCAATGGCTATATGAAGAAAGCACGCAATAGAATATTTGCAAATGAACATTGACTGTTCGACATGAGGGAAATGCTGGTGTTGCTGACAGTGTTTACCTTCAGCCTTGTGGCCGTCAGACGAAGAAAGGAGCTTCCCGTGCAGGGCACTCAGATCATCAACACCGCTGTTGACTCCTGCAATGTCTCTCTCGAGTCCATCAAGCTAAAGGCCGGTGTCAAAGCATCTACCTGTTAGTAGCAGTGAGACCCAGGCAGCCAAGGGAATGGACGAGTGGCGATGTTATACTCACAGCAGCAAAGTACTTTTCCATTTCGGTCTGCCCCTCGTTGCCATCGTTAGAGTGTCTTGTTGGCAGAATAGACGATATGTGGCTCATGATGCTGTTCCGGTTTGCCCGAAACTCGGACATTCTGTTGTGGCTCATGGTCAAGAAAAGGGTGATAGGAACGCAGGTGCAAGAGTAGAGCAGAAGCTGCAGAATGAGAACAGGAAGCACACTTGCAGGGAGATGAATGAGAGGTGCTGTTGTGGTCCTGATGTGGCCATCCAACCTCATGTCGTTAGTACACTGAATATCTAAAGACCAGGTAGTTCCAGACTCGCGCAAATGTTTGACCATCTCTTGGGCTGTATTAAAAATATAAGCGTCGATTTTGCTCTCAACAACAGAGTACCAAAAATGAAAGCGTGGACTAGACCATCTAGTCGAGGATGCTGAGAACACGACGCTCACACCCTGAATGGAACTCGATTACCAGTCGTCATCGTCGTCGTCCTCGGAGTCGGAGTCGCCAGCAATGGCCTTGTTACCGCTGTGCCAGGGCACTAGCCAGAGCGTTGGCCAAATTGCCGCTGGGGTTGGCGCCGGGTGAGGCATCCCCAGCTGAAGCGTTTGTTTGCAGCGAGGGACTGGCAGAACTGCGATTTGTCTGAGAGTGGTCGGTCTTGCGCAGCGCGCCGATACCTCCGGCTCCACGGATCGAGGCCATAAGCATATTCCGCGGCTCGCCGCCCACAGCTGCCGGTACTGAGGCCGGAGGTGGAGGCGGAGCTCCCATCGGTGGTGCGGGAGGAGCGCCTGGTGGCGGGGGGGAGCTGCTGGCGGAGCCTGAGCAGGTGGTGGCAGGGGAGCCGCTGGAGGAGCCTGAGCAGGTGGTGGCAGGGGAACCGCTGGAGGAGCCTGCATCGGCGGGAGCGGAGGTGGTGCCGACGGGGGAGCCTGGACAGGGGGCGGTGGGGGAGCCACTGGCGGTGCCTGAGCCTGAGACTGGGGTGGTGGTGGCGGTGGGGCTACGGGCGGGGCCAGCACCGGCGAAGGGGTCTTGGGGGTGGTGGCGGCGGTGGAGGGGGAGCAGACTCGGGGCCTTGGGAGTCGTGGGAGGAGATGGATGGGCTAGCGCCTGGTTGTGCGAGCGCCTGGGTGGTGGCGGCGGAGCGTTGATTGAGGGCACCGGCGACTTGCGCGAGTGCCTTGGAGGAGGCGGCGGAGCCATGGACGACGGCACCGGCGACGTCGGCCCCTTCCTTGGCTGCTGGCTGCCTCTGCTCCGCGGGGGAGGCGGAGGAGGGGCCCCGCGTCTCGGAGGAGGGGGCGGCGGGCCGCTTCGCGAGCTGGACACCGACACTGGCGATGTCGCCTGCGGGGGAGGCGGGGGCGGCGGAGCGTTCGTTGGCGGGGGAGGGGGCGGGGGCGGAGCGCTTGAGGGCGGTGGGGGCGGCGGAGCTGACGTAGGCGCGGCACTCGACGCCGAGCGTGTCATGTTGTCGACTCCTCCATTCTGGCTGACAAACTTTTGGATGAACTTGGCCGTGTCTGGATCGTCGAGCATGTCCTCGGCGATGCTGTAGCTAGCCAGCACACGAACCAGCTCACGGTACTTTGCGTTGTCAAGCCTCAGGATCCTCTGCGTCGCGCTAGGCCCGGACCCACGTGCAGCCGGGCTGGCTGGCACCCGCGCAGCGCTGGTTTTCCTGCCAAGCTTTGGTGTACGGCCCCACACCTTCTTGGCAAACTCCGCAGCCTCGCCAACGTCCGCAAAATCAAGCCCAAACACGTGCTCGTCGCCGGCAAAGCTGAAAAAGAACGGCTTCTGTTGTACAAAATCGAACCCCTCGTATAGCTCCTGCTCCCACAGAACCCTGCGCCCAGAGCCTCCGCTCATATCGATGATACGCAGGAACGACGCTCCATTGTGCAGGTCCTTTACAAGCAGGATGCCACCGAATAGATGCGTGTATGTCCATCGTGACTTGTCTGGGTAAGCAACAAACAGGCGTGCAACCGTTGCCGTCAAAATCTTCTACGGGTCTGAAGTCGAAGCATTAGCAGCAGTGAGTATGCCACAAGAGCGAAGCCTGCGTTGCGCAATCTGCAGCCTGAGCTGTCCTACTTACGTGGTTTGACTTTGGCTGGGCCGCCTTAATGGTCGCCTTGTCGTCTGGCAATAACAAGGATGCAGGCATCTTGCTGCTGGAATTAGCGTTGAAAATGGAAAACTGTGCTTGCAAAAGTGAGGGGAAAAGGCACAAATCCTGGCGCTAAGCCCTACAAATGACGGAGTCAGCACAAGCGGCCCAGGTGTGACTACTCTGTCACGTGCAACTACCCGGCATTAGCATAGATCAGATCACCGATGGCTATATGTCGCTCTGCCACAGCTACTCACAGAATCGTGTTCAACGCCGTTATCGCCGGTGTGGCCCAGCGGCAGCAAGCTATATGTGAAAATGGCATGCAATTGATATCGATAGCCTATTTGGCTTTTGAAATAACAACACGCGGATCGTGGTTTGGATTCAGAGGCTTGGCAAAAAAGAAATACTTCATGTCCATGAGCTTGGGCACGCCGTGCTTGTCGCAAATATCCGGGCCAAACGCAGCATCGTCGGGCAGCTTAAAGTCGTAATCTTTGAGCGCGTTGGCAAGGATAGTGACCAACTCTATCCAAGCTAGATGACGGCCAGGACAGATACGCACGCCGGTGCCGAAAGCAAAAACATTCCGCTTGGCTTCGTCGTTGTCCAGAAAGCGCTCGGGCATGAAACGGTGGGGGTCTTTCCAGGTGCCCTTGTGGTGGTTGACGCCTGCGAAATTCGCACTGACGATACTGCCTTCTGGAATGAAATGCCCCTGCAGGGTAATGCCGCCCTTGGGCACAACCCGCGGTACCTGCGCACTGACTACGGGTCGGACACGCATGCTTTCGTAGAGCACGGCCTCCAAGTACGGCAGACTCTGGCGACCTTCATTATATCTGATTAAATGGTCCTTGGCGAATGCAGAGCGCACCTCGTCAACAGCGCGCTTGTAGCACTCAGGGTACAGCATGAGGAGATGAATGGCCCACATGAGCGTATGAGCCGATGAATCAGAACCAGCAAAAAGGGTAACGACCATTTCGGCCAGAACCTCCTTACGGCTCATACGTGCTTTGGATACAGGATCAACAGCATCCAGAAAGGCCGTCAGCAAGTCATTGGGCTTCTCGGCGCCCTGGGCGAGTAGGTCCACGCGATGCTGGATAGAGTCCCGGCTAAACCGAATTAACTGAACGAACTGGAACCTCAGCCTACGGACAAGAAGGCTGAATGGGAAATGGAAGAGACCTGGTATGTCCATCGCAAGTCCAGAGAATTTTGCTGTGTCTGCAATCCACTGCGAGATAGTTGGATCGTAGTTTTTCAGCGTATTAAACTCGCGGCCAAATGCAAGTGCGCCAACAATATCAAATGTCGCATATAGTGGATCGTTGCAGATGTTGATTATAGCGTCGGTTTGCTGCTGCTCGGCTTTAGTAATCTCAGCGTCCCATCTGGTCTTGAGAGATAAGATCCCGTGCTGGACAATTTTGCTCTCCATCTTGGACAAGTATCCAGGGGTGAACGATGGCCCGATTTGCCGCCGGCGCATCTGGTTAAACAGCGGGTCGCGCGTGGAGGATATGTTTGGAACCCCGAGGAATTCGATGCTCTTGTAGAATTCGGACTTTGGGAAGGAGTGTGAGCTCAGGATGGTACGGCAATCGCCTGGGCTGGACACGCTTACAGAATTAGGTCCGTTTACGTAGATATTGCCGTACTTTTCGTACCCACCCTCTGCATCATGGGCGGCTTTGCCAATAAATGTGAAGACCTTGGAGCGCAAGTCAGTTAGCCGGGCCAGGAACGGTCCGGGGATATTTCGTAGCGGAGAAAAGAACAACGCGTAGATTACTTGCGACAGGATATAGACAGCAGCTGCTCCAAAAGCAATATTTGCATACCCAATTGGCTTGATGGCTACAAACACCTGAACAAGTGCGCTAGACCTGAAAATGCCAGTAAGTAGGTTGAAAATGATGAACATTTTAGTTGGTGTATTTGTATGATAGCCGGGCAATTTGACAACGAGGCTATACTGTCAAGAGTATTTATAAAGCTGGAATAAATGTAGTACTCAGTTTGGAGTGAAATGCTGGAATTGCACAAGGGTTTAAAAACATATTGCTGGCCAGTTGCATGCGTGAAGTAGCTAAATCTTCTTGCAAATAACCAGAGACGGGACTACTGGATACAGCTTCTTGTGAGTGCAAGACCCGCTGTTTCGCACACCGTTCCCACGAGCACTGCCGCATTTTGTGGGAAATTAGAGTTTCGGCCTTGCTACCTAATCAACAAAAACACACAACAATCTATATAATACAGCCTCGAATTCCACTATCCCAGACACAATTCAGGGACCTTGCATGGTTAATAAAGTTAGAGGACAGGGCCGGGTTCACTGGAATTTTCAACTCAACAAGAGCGGTAAACAGCTTCAAGCATGCGTATCAGCATACTAAGTTTTTTTTTTTTTTTTGGAATCAAGTCTGTTTTAAATACATTGTGAATATCACTGTTATAGCTATGAGCTGATAGCGTCTGCTCCATACCAATAGTTCACTCAAAATGTATAGTTTACGTTATAGTGTATGTGCAACTCACAATGCAGATACAAGACGTGCCACAGACGTATGGCTGAGATGCCGCAAATATTTAAACAATATAGCTTATTCAAGTCTGGCATGGCCCCAATAAGTTTGTGCCAGTTCTTCCCACCAGACTGCCCTTGCTCTAAACCAAGCGCACACCTGTTGCTTAAAATGCAGATGCCCGTGTTTGTCCGCCTTATACTCTATATTTTTCTTCCTTTTGCTCAAGGCCAGCCTACTTAACATGGAAGCATTCGTCAATAACATCGAGTCAAAGATATATCCTCTTAGCAGAATAGACACGATGCTTTCTGTTCGCTATACGCGCTTCGTATTCTTCTACAGGAATAGCAGCAGTTCCAACAGCTTTATGTCAGCCGCCAACCTTGAAGAAGCATTCTACAGAACTGCATTGCTTTTCCCCATGATAGCCGGCTATCTTCAGCAAAATAAAGTGGGGAATTTGGAGGTTGTAGTGGACAAAACCAGCCTCAATCTGCCTAGATATTGCGAACTGCAGTCTGACACGCATTATGATGATCTTGCGATGTCCAACTATAGCCCACGTGCATGGCCAAGCGACATTACTCCTGCCGATAGAGTCCCTTTACCAGACAAGGACACAGGCGTAATTAAGATTGCTGATATCCGCGTCGCCCGTCTGAAGGAAAACAGCGGCGTAGTTATTTCGACCAGTTTCAACCATGCAGTTATAGACGGCACCGGCTGTCTGGAATTTTTCAACCGCTGGGCAAACGAGACACGAGCGCTAGCCAGCGGCAGTGATATCGGCAAGGCCAACTATTGCTTTGACCGGGAAGCTATCAAGAAAAACCTGTCTGATGAGCACATGGCTCTTGATGGCTCAACGCTAGCTGCTTATGCCGACAGGTCGTTTTTAGGTGACTCTCTAGCATCGCTTTCACCACGCACTCGGGCAAAATTGTGGAACGATATAGAGCGCCAGACCCCAATACGTGGCCATCTTTTCCGCATCAAGCGTGGCAAACTCGACAGCCTTCGTGCACAGGTGCTTGAATGCATGCCACCCGGAGCACGCATATCTAGCAATGACATTCTAACCGCACTTGCCTATGCGGTCCATGGGCTGGCGGAAGCGGATGTATCGAAGAGTAAAAAGGGGTGGGCTGGGAGGCATTGCGAGAGCAATTGGAAGAAAAGGAGAGAACACTACCTGTGTGTTCCTGTCGACATGCGCTATCGCCTAGGCCTGATGGACACAGGCTATATCGGTAATCCACTGCTCAGCGCGAGCACTATAAACTCGCTGGAATATGCAGATTCGCCAATGACTATTCAGAAGCTTGCTGATACCGCCAGCCAAGTGCGTGCAGCATCCATTCTGATGATGACGCCGCCATACATCAGTGCATTCTTCGACATGATGGAGTCTGCGTCCTCAGATACATCGTCGTTCATTTCTGTATACTCCAACTTTAGGCTGTCAACGATGGTGTCCAATCTGTCGCTCTCCAAGCTATATGCCGCCGACTTTGGCAGCGGTGTACAGGCATTTTCAACGATTCCTACGGACTACGGGTTAGGAATTGTTGGAATTTTGCCTTCCCCTCCACCGTGCAAGGATTTTCTCGTCAACTTTTCGGCATCTGCACTCCAAATGGACAGCATCCTCAGAAACGACTTTTGGATGGACATTGCCTCCTTGGTATATTAAACTACATTTGGCCTCTTTTCATGTATAGCTCGCGTGGGCTTCATCCATCTTCACCGACTTGATTACTCGCTTCTAATAAAGCATATGCAGGAAACATAGAGCAGTAGTAGTTGGCGCATGGCAGAGCATGTTGTACTCTGACTGGATACAGTTAATATTCAATACTCTGTTGCTGCATATGTTTAGGTGGCCACGTGCGTAGCAGGCAGCGGCCATTGCTTCTGGCCGGCCCACACTGCTCACGAGTCGTCGGAAGCAGTCCAGTGTCTAGCCTCACGAATAGGCCCACAGTCCAAAGTCGCTGCCAGAATGGAGCCCTTCCCCAAACTCTGCAATTTCTGACACAGTATGGCCAAGCATCGCACCCCGATGCAGAGCAACATAGTATGGCCATGACAGAATAGTGCTCACGCATATAGGCCACTCGCCCAGTGCACAGCAGTGCTACAGCAGGAGAGCCGGCATACCCACGAGACGGATTATCGCCTCATCATCCAATCAAGTGGCCCCTGGAAATTTCCCAGAACCCCCCAAATCTCATCGGCCGCTGGAGACCGCTATTGGACCGTGGTGCAATCATGTGCGCATGGAAATTGTCCTCTGCGCTTTTCTTGCTCTCACAGTAGCGCAACGACGCGGATCGGCTGAAGAGTGAGGCACGCATTTTTCCAAACAGCTATTTTTAGAGACAAAAACATATGGAGCTCGATTGTTCTCTGCTCGGCTCGGGCAGTATACAAACACTGCTACTATCAAAGGCGTACCCAAAGCTTCATTGCCGCACGTAAAAGACACACCAGAGCAATTGTTCTAGTCGATAGAATAAGGTTTATTAATCGTACGGGAATCTACTGCAAGCAGTATTTATGAGAACAAAGAGTGACGAAAGGAGGTGTTCTGCTGGCTTAGAACAGGGCAGCGGCGGCAACGGCAACAGCGGCCAGCGAACCGGCAACCTGGGCGGCACCGTTCGACTCCTTGGAGGCAGCCGAGGACTTGGAACCGGCATGCGAGCCCGACTTGGAGCCCGAGGCCGACTCCTCATCGAGGCTGGCGAGGCCAGAGTTCTTGCCCGAGGCCGACGCAGCGTGGGTGGGAGACGACGAAGCACCAGTCGAAGCAGGGGTCGAGGCAGCCGACGAGACAGCCGACGAAGCAGCCGACGAAGCAGTGGGCTTGGCAACCGACGAGACACCAGCAGCAGTCAGGTGGTCAGAGACAACAACACCGCTTGGGTTGTAGAGCATGGCGTTACAGTTGTTGGTGCAGTCGATGGCCTCCTGGTAGCCCAGAGTAGCGCACTTGCCAATGCACTCGGTGGCAGCAGCAATCATCGAGGCGTTCGGGTTCGGGACGTTCTTGCAGGTGGCCTGGCAGTTGACATCATTCTGGTTGTCGGGGCAGGTGGCCTCCAGGCACACCTGGTAGGCAGACTTGGGCGTGGCGGACGACGACTCCTGGGCGGCGGCAACGGCGGCGAAAGCGGCAACGGCGGCAACAATGAACTGCATTCTGTAATGTTCGTTACGGGGTGTGTGGTGCGGTGGAGAGGGTGCGGAAACGGGCGGGCGAGTGCTACAGGTGTCAGAAGCAACAGGGACAACAGGCATATGAGCAAAATGAAGCAGCGAGACGCAGGATCCGGTGTGCGCTCAGGCCGGAGAGAAAAGGACCTTACCTTATTGCTAGAGCAGCAGCAAAAGTGTAAAAATCAAAGAAAGGTGAGAGTACTAGAGAAGAAAGGAAGCGCGCGTCCGAGGGCCGCTGTCCATTCCTTTTAAAGGCAACACCAAATATGCAGGCTCGGATCCAACAAGAATCTGCAATACGCTTTTAAACCGCAGAAAAATTGGGGAGCAGGGGGAGGATCCGCCCAAATTCCTTGTCAGAGAAAGGGACTCCTGCAGCGGCAAAGAGCCCAACCTTGAAGCCTGTGCCTCACAAAGGCGTCATCTGTGCACTGCCAGCTCTGAGTGAGGCTGCATTCCCGCTTGGGTGCATGAGCTGGTTCAGCAACGCCAGCAACACGGGGCGGTGGTGCAGGTCACCTGAAAAGAGAAAAGAGGTTGTGCACAGTCTGCAAGTGGGGCCGGCGCTCTGACAAAAACAACATCCAACTGATGGCGAGCAGTATCAAAAACCTCTTGGCTATTGACTGTTTGTTCTCTACAAGCCGAAGACAATTACGATGCCAAACTATGTCCCTTCTGCCGGTCAGAGCTGGGGCGAGGCTGTCCACGAATCGAGCTCTTCCCGGTGCTTCTCGCCGGCTGCATGCAGCTCCGTTATCCAGGCCCTTGTGCTCTCGACCGCCTTGTCAAGCTGGGCGCTCAGGTGGTCACAGCGCGCCGCAGCCCGCTTGTGCTTCTTACCCAGCTCATTGTGCTCATGTGCCAGCTCTTCGTATGACTCCTTGGCAGCTTCAGCCTCAATCTGCATGTCCTCGAGGGCTGCGCGCAGCGACGCCAGCTCGGTGCTCAGCGTGTCGCGCTCGGACGTTACGCTGTCAAGCTCGGCCTGCGTCGCGTCGCGCGCCTGCGTCATCTGCTCCAGGCTGCCCTTGGTTTCAGCCAGCGTGGTCTCAGTGGTCTGTAGGGACTCGGCGGTCTGTGCCAGGGTGTCGGTGAGCTCGGAGACCTGGGCTGCGCGGGCACTCTTCTCGCCAGCCAGATCAGCGGAAATGGCCGAGATCTGCTCCCCCAGACCCTGTTTCTCAGTCAACCATGCCTCCACTGCGTTATCGTGCTCCTGCGTTTTCGCCGCCAACGTCGCTGTCAGGCCACTGACTGTGGAGTTCAGCTCGGCAATCTGTTGCTCACTCGCCTCGCTGTCTGCCTGTGCCTGTGCCTCGACCTCACGCTTGCTCTCCTGCGTTGCCGCCAGCTCCTTCTCGAGCCCCTCGATCTTGGCCACGCTTTGCTTGTGCTTTTTGCCAAGCGCGTCATGCTTGGTCTGGATATTGTCGCGAACCTGCTGCACATGTGCAAGGTCAGACTCAAGTACTGCGATCTGCTGTTGCCTGTCACTTGAGGTTGTTTGTTCTGCTGCCAGCCTTGTCTCGAGGTCCGCCGCCGCAGCTGTGAGCTCCTTGTTTGCTGCCTGCGCCGTCTCGAGGTCGCTGCCCAGTGACGCAACCTGCGCGGCGAGCGCTGTTGCTGTTTCCTCAGACTCCTGCCGAAGTGCTGTGAGTTGCGAGGTCAGAGATTGCTCCTTGGCTGCACTCGACTCGCGCTCAGCTGCCAGTTCCTGCTGCCGCTCCGCCAACTCAGCCTCGAGCTGCGACTTGTTGGCTGTCAGCTCATCGATGCGCTGGGAGGCAGAAGCCAGCTGGTCCTCGGCTGTCTGGCGCTTCCCTGTCTCCTCGCCAAGGTCGCTGCGTGTCTGCTCCAGCGACGCAGTCAGGGCAGTGTTCTCCTGCTGGCTATCGGCCAGCTGCTGCTCCAGTCCCAGATCTTGCCAACCCGAGACCTTCGACATCAGTCTCAAGCTGCTTGACCCGGGCATCGCGCTCCTTCTATTGTCTGCTCAAGTGATGTGCAGCGGCCTGACAGGGCAGCGGTCCTCTTCTTCGTGGGCTTGCTGCGACTGTTTCAGCTGTGCTGTGAGGTCGTCGATAGAGGCGCTGTCGCTGGCGATCTTGTCTTCGAGCCCCACTATCTTCTTGTCCAGATTCGCCTTGTCGTTCTCTAGCTCCTGGCTGTAGCTCTCGCTCTTCTTCAGCCTCGACTCGGTATCTTCCAGCTGCTCGCTCTTTTGTGCCAGATCGTCGGCCGCCTGCTCGGCCGCCTCGCGTGCCTTCTTCTCGAGATCGGCCACAGCTGCCTCATGTTCACCACGGGTCACCTTGGCTGCCTCATTCAGTCCCGCAATCTCCTTCTCCATTGCCTCGACTCGTCCACCAAGCTCGTTGGCCTCGGCAGGTCCGCTCATCCACCTGCGTCTGGCACGCCTGCAGGTCAGCCCGGGACTTCACATTCTCCGCCTGCAGCTGCTCGCGCTGCTCGTTGATTTGCTGCTTCAGCCTCTCCAGCTCGTGCTCCAGGACATTCGTGTCGATCGAGCTTTGTCGGTGACGGCGAACGCGAGCTGGCCGGTGCGTCGGTCTGGGATGGCGACTCGGTCGACGGTGGCGCGTCTGATGGATTCGTCAGCGGCCGCTGCGCGCTTGGCTTGGAAGCTCTTGAGCTTCTTCTTCGCTGCCAAAATCTTCTTCTGCTTCTCGCTGGGGTCAAGCACCATGGTGAATTCAAGAGAAATGCAATTGACTAATGAAACTGTAGAAGGGAAACCTAGCGTATCCAGAAACCGCTTGCGCTGTCGATGGCGACAACGGCGGCGACGGCAACAGGACCTCAAAGCGCCCTCCACACGCTCAGATACTCGGTTGGGACGCACTGATTGGCTGCCTCTAATTACTGTTAAGGAACCGGCATAGTGATCACCCCACCACCAAAATGCAACATGGACCAATTGGTCTGGTAGAGTGTACCTGGAGAACCGAGTGTCCAGAGCAAGCCAGTATGCCATATACACAGGAGACATGTTGCATGTATACATGCATGTGTAGGGTGGCGTCGGTGAATGACTTAATAGAAACAAAGTGGATCCACACCAGGCTTGTGAGCGGTAGGAACACTCTGCTCTTCAGCTACTAAACCGCCCGCCATTTGGTGGCTGGTGCCGACCAGCTGAAACCCAACACAGCACTCGTGTCCAGAGATAGGCATCCACCCGTGATACTACACACACAGCTGGCACTTGGGTGTAGCAAGGTCGAAATCAGTGGAGACCTTGAAGCTTGAACATACAGAAGAGAGCTAGAAAGAGTTACTGAGTGCTTTAGCGGCCAGACCCTAGATCAGCACTGGGGGCTCGTCACATGGCCGCTGGTCGAAGCATGGCGACATACGATCTATAACCTTACCATTGCAATTTTACATGGTGGAGGTGTAGCAGCCGTGCCTCACTTGTGCTTGTCATATGTTTAACCTAGCAGCGTGCCTTCTCGTATGTGTACCCGAAGAGCGAACAGCTGCTTGTAATGGTGGCGTCCTGCTTTCCAGCACGATCTACTTCTCGCCTCCCCATTCAAGTTTTTTCTTTTTGAGGCTTACGCGTGGCCAAATACGTAAATGACAAGGTGGAGAAATGAATGAGAAGGCTGCATCCCATGCTTAGCCATGCTATCCGTTTGCTAGATAAAAACTAACGGGCAGCGGTATTGCCACTAGCCGCGAAAATGGCGTGTTTTCTGCAGTACAAGCAGTTGCTCAAGATAAAGCTTTTTATCTCGACTGGCAGCAAACCACAACATTTATTGGGAGTGGCTGCAATTGTCTGCGCATTCCTTACACTTGTCTTTTGCCGCCTTTCTATTTGCCATATTTTGGTCAACCTGGCCAGCAACAAATTGAACAATACACTCTAGAGGGCACCAGCAGGCTTCACTATTCCTCCCTTCACCCCTGAAATGTGAGAGCCTCTCTTATTTCCCTTCGACAATATCTCTTTCCTGTTGCCTCTGCCAATTTGACTTATCTATTTGCTTTGCCTGACTCCCACACATAATTACGTGCGCAAGTGTCATAACATCGCCTCTACATTTCTACACCATGAAGTCCGATCATATTGCCGATACCAGGATCAGAGGCTGAGCTACGCGTGACTGTTCCTGCCGACCATGTGGCCAAGTCCCACGCGCTATTCGATGATTTTTGCAATGCCACGATCCACAACGTCGAAGCTGCCGCGTCTGCACTCCCGCCTATCACCCTTGCTCTGTTTATCGAGTACACTTTCCCTCGGGACATATCCCTCGCCTCCTCCTTGCTGACTGAGTTCCAAAACCAATTCCTCCATGGCCGCGATATACACGTGGTTGTCAGTGAACTCCAGCTGGACATTATACTGACACAGACGGTTCTTCGCGCCTATTATTCGGCGTGGGAATTGCTGCAACACCAGACATCTGCCAAGCCTTCGGCATTGTTTGCATCTCCAAAGACACGTCTGCTGGCCATCTTTGGTGGCCAGGGCGGTATGGACGACTACATCAACGAGACCCGCTTCATCTACATGACGTACCGCCCGCTGGTTGCTGAATTTGTTGCCAGCATGGCTGGGTTTCTGGGCCGTGAGGCTGCTGCGCCACTGTTCCGCCATTTGTATACAGAAGGGTTCGATGTCCTCCGGTGGATCACCCAGCCCGATTCGGTTCCCAGTGCCGAGTATATGACGTCGGTTCCTGTGTCTATTCCCGATGGTTGGTCTGACACAGCTCATGCACATTGTCGTTTCGTACAAGACCCTCGGGGTATCACCTGGCGAGTTTGCTGGGTGTTTCAAAGGTAAGCAAGCACACGCACTGAATTGCTGGTGCCTTTTGTTACGGCCAATGCGTAAGGATGCGAATAGCAAGTGATGGTGACGGTATTGGTATTAAAGTTGGATATGCGGTGTTGCCAAACGTTTACTATCTAGCTGCCGCCGGCCACAGCCAGGGCATCACGGTTGCTGCTGCTCTGTCAATGGCAAAGGATGAGCCATCGTTTTATGAGACCGCCAAAAAGGCGCTTGGGGTACTCCTACTGACTGGTGCCTTCCCGCAGCTCGACTATCCTCGCACCCAGCAGGCCATGGCTTCGAGCTCGGCAGACGATATGCAGTCGCAGTCTGTATCGCCGATGGTTACCGTGATCAAGCTGACTCGCACCCAACTCGAAACTGCCATTGCAAAGTACAACCAGGCCTGGGAATCCGATGCAGACAAGGTGTATCTGTCGCTGAGTAACTGCGCATTGATGCACGTTGTATCTGGTGCTGTCAAGTCGCTGGAGCCGTTTGTCAAATCCCTTGAAAGCGAATTCGACCACGGCGGTGTTGATCAGACGCGAGTGCCGTTCTCGCAGCGCAAGCCTGGAATCACCATCAAGTTTCTCAGCATAACCGGGCCCTACCACTGTAAACTGCTCGAGCATGCAGTTGAAGGCGCATGCCAATATGCCGAAGAACGCGGGTGGCTGATGTCCTCAGCAGACATGCAGCTTCCAGTGCGCGCCGGCGACGATGGCCATGACATCCGCTCAGAAAAGAACATCTCGGCGTACCTGCTGAAAAGCTCGTGCGTGCTACCAGTCAACTGGATCCAGGCGACAAGACTTCCAGGCGTTACACACATCGTTGATTTTGGACCAGGCAGGCGTGAATGGATTCGGCGCGCTTACGTTCCGGAACCACGAGGGCCATGGCGTACCAGTGATTTGCATTGGTGCCTACGACACGCAGAGGACGCCACTTGGGACAAAAACCGACCTATACAAGACAGATATGCAGCAGGTCAAATCGGCTCCAAACTGGCAAAGGGAGTTTGGCCCGCGCCTGATACGCACCTCAAGCGACGGCCGGATCCATATCGATACGCGGATGACCCGGCTGCTGGGCAAGCCGCCTGTCATGGTCGCCGGCATGACCCCATCCACAGTAAGCGAGGTGTTCGTGTCAGCTGTCATGCGTGCCGGCTACCACATCGAGTTGTCTGGCGGTGGTCACTTCAGCGAGCCGATGCTACGCGACAGGGTCGACAGGATCCTGAAGCTGACCGATAGCGGCCACAGTGTCACGATCAACTCGATTTATGTGAACCCGTTCCTGTGGAACATCCAATACCCGGCCATGCAGGCCATGCGTCGCGAAGGCGTGCCCCTAGATGGCCTGTGCATTGGAGCTGGCGTGCCATCGTTTGAGGTTGCCAACGAGATCATCCACACGCTGCGTGCAGTCGGCTTCCGCCACATCGGCCTCAAGCCCAGCTCGGTCTCCACCATCCGCCTAGTTATCAAGATCGCCCAGGCCAACCCCGACTTCCCGGTCATGCTGCAGTGGACTGGCGGGCGAGGGGGCGGCCACCACTCGTTCGAGGACTTCCACCAGCCGATTCTGGAGACCTACGGCGCTATTCGCACCCGGAAGAATATTGTTCTTGTCGCCTGGCTCCGGCTTTGGTGGTGTCGACGATACTCTCCCGTATATCACCGGCGAGTGGAGCAAGCGCTTTGGTTACGCACCTATGCCATTTGATGGGGTGTTGCTAGGGTCCCGCGTCATGGTGGCCAAGGAGGGCCAGGCCGCGGATGCTGTCAAGGAAGGCCATAGTCGCTGCTCCGGGTATCACTGACGCCGAGTGGGAGCAGACATACAAAGGCCCTGCTGGCGGCATTGTAACTGTTCTATCGGAAATGGGCGAGCCGATCCACAAGATTGCGACCCGTGGTGTCATGTTCTGGAAGGAGATGGACGACACCATCTTCTCGCAGCCGCGCGACAGGCGTCTACCGCTGCTGCTGGCCAAGAAGAACTACATCATCGAGCGCCTCAACAAGGACTTCCAGAAACCCTGGTTCGGCAAGAAGGCCGATGGCCGTGCCGTCGATCTCGAGGAGATGACATACGCCGAGGTCGCCAACCGCCTGCTCGAGGTGCTGTACATCCCGCACCAGTCGCGCTGGATCGACGTCACCATGCGCAATTTGGTGGGCGACTACTTGCGGCAGCTTGAGCAGCGGTTTATCAGCTGCACTGGGCCGTCATTCTTGCAATCGTTTGACCAGCTGGACGATCCATTTGACTTTGTCAAGCTGTTCTTGAACCAGTATCCTGACAGCTTTCAGCAGCTGCTCAGCACCGAGGACATTCAGCAATTCATCAGCCTGTGCATGCGCCCTGGCCAGAAGCCCGTGCCGTTCATCCCGCTCATGGACAAGGACTTCCACATCTGGTTCAAGAAGGACTCGCTGTGGCAGGCCGAGGACATCGATGCCGTCGCTGGTCAGGACGTTGGCCGTGTGTGCATCCTGCAGGGCCCTGTTGCTGTGCGGTACTCGACCAAGGCCAACGAGCCCTGTCAAGGACATCCTGGACAACATATACCACGGCCAGATTGCGTCGCTGCTTGATACGGAATATGGCGGTGATGAGTCCAGGGTCCCAACCGTTGCGTATCTTGGCGGCATGCCAAACGCACTGAGCCTTCCTTCTCATGTGCAGGTAGCAGAAACCAAATCCCAGCGCACATTCGTCCTGAGCAGAAACGAGCTTGAGCTTCCTAGCGTGGAGTCTTGGCTGGCTGCGCTAGCAGGCACGGAACTTAACTGGCTTCATGCGCTGTTGATGGCACCGACTATTGTGCAGCACCATACATATACTGACAGCATCGTGCGTCGTGTCATGCGTCCACGCATTGGACAGATGGTCAACATAACACTGCGAGACAAAGTGCCACAAAAGGTTGAGGTTATTGACGCTAGTGGCGACCTCGGCCTTGGACTTTTGCATTGACTCGGATGATATCATCCACTTCAGCATGTACTCGAGGCCACGCGCAACAGTGTGCACGCTGGAGCTCATGCTCCGCTTTGTACCAAACACTCCATTTGCACCAATCCACGAGGTCATGGCAGGACGCAACCAGCGGATCAAAAGGTTCTACTCGCAGGTGTGGTTCGAGGACAGCCGTGACGGTGATTCATGCATCGGGATCAGTGACCCAGCAGCAGTATTCTCCACGGAGGCTGCAGAGATTAGTCCTGACATTGTGCTTGACTTTTGCTACGCCATTGGCAACAGGTCCAAGTACTATATTGACCCGCTATGTGACCAGCAGATGGTGCCTCTCGATTACGCAATACGGGCATTCTGGCCGACATTGTGCAAGTGTCTGATGGCACAGACAAGCGACGGTGACTTACTCAACCTGGTGCATCTGTCAAACGGATTCCGGGTGCTATCGAGCGCCAACAGGCTAAAACCAGGGCAGACCGTCAGCAGTACTGCGAAGATCACCGAGGTCATGGATACCCCATCGGGCCGGCAGGTGCAGGTCCGAGGAGTCATCAACCAGGAGTCAGTTCCAATCGTTGAGATCACCACATCGTTCCTGTTCCGTGGCTGCACACCCAACTACGCTAGCAACTTCCACGACATTGACGAGCAGCCCATCAGCCTGCATTTGGCTTCCAAGACTGATGTCGCCCTGCTGAACTCCAAGGAGTGGTTTGTTCAGGCATCAGGAGGCAAAGACACGATCCGCCCTGGCTCGGTACTAGAGTTCCATCTGAAGTCTCGCTACCGCTTCAAGACACACAACGTATTTGCCTCCGTCCACACCTTTGGGGCTGTATACATCCATGCCTCCTCCTCTGTGCCTGCCCATGTCGGTGAGGTCGACTACGAGGCAGAGGAATCATACGGTAACCCGGTTATAGAGTTCTTGAAGCGCTATGGCCGTCCCAAAGATGGGGTGCAGCAGCTAGAAAGCGATATCCCACTAGTTCCTAGATCCATGGTACAGCTAGCCACTGTGACAGCGCCAGCTAGCAACCACCAGTACTCGCACGCATCCACCGACCACAATCCTATCCACACCAGTCCGTATTTTGCCGACTACGCTAACCTGCCTGGAACCATCACGCACGGAATGTGGACGAGTGCTAACGCACGCCGCTGCGTCGAGATTTTTGCTGCACATGGCCACCCGCAGCGTGTGCGTGCATTTGACGCCAGGTTTACTGACATGGTTCTGCCTGGTGATCGGCTCGAGACCAAGCTCCATCATGTCGGCATGAAAGATGGCTGCATGCTAGTCAGAGCCGAGACTGTCAATCAGCACGGCACTACAGTTCTGACAGCAGCAGCCGAGGTCGAGCAGCCGCCTACAGTGTTTGCCTTTCCGGGCCAAGGAGCGCACGAGCAAGGGATGGGCATGGAGCTGTATGCGCGCTCAGAGCCGGCTCGCAGGATCTGGGATTCGGCCAACGAGTTTATGCGCACTACATACGGTATCCCACTGATCGACATTGTACGCAACAACCCAAAAACATACACAGTCCATTTCGTCGGCGAGCGTGGCCTGCGCATCCGCGAGAACTACCGTGCCATGGTCTACGAGTACAGCAGCCACGACGGAGCTGGATCGCTGAATCGCCCGCTCTTCCCAGAGATCACCGAGAACACGGACTCGTTCACATTCTCGTATCCCAACGGCCTACTATACGCAACTCAGTTTACCCAGCCAGCCATACTGCTATGCGAAATCGCAGAGTTTGTCCATCTCGAGGCCAGTGGCATTGTTCCCAAACATGCTGCCTACGCAGGCCATTCACTAGGCGAATATGCTGGTTTGACCGCCATCGCCAACATTATGACGCCAGAGTCCGCTGCTGACCTAGGATTTTGCCGCGGTCTGACAATGCAGCAGTCGGTCCGGCGCAACCCAAATGGTCAGTCTATTTATGCGATGATGGCAGTCAGCCCGGCTCGCGTTGGCAAATGGTTCACGGCAGACAACCTCGAGACTGTCGTCAACGCAGTTCAGCTATATGGGCAATACGACGGGCTGCTGGAAATCGTCAATTATAACGTCCGAGGAGAGCAGTACGTGGTATCGGGCGAACTGATCCTGCTGGAGGCGCTGAACCGGATTCTGGAGGCGGTCATTAAACTAGGGTGTCTCCCTGGATCGCTGGTGGAGCTTACCAGGGCATCAGTCCAGAGCGCATTGCATATCAGAGAGCGGACCGGGTATATCCCACCACGCCGCACCTCAGCAACAATCCCGATCCATGGAATTGATGTGCCATTCCACTCAACCATCCTAGGTGCTGGTGTACAGTCGTTCCGCAAGGTTTTGCAAACCAAGATCAGCCCCGACAGCATCATCCCTGACAGACTTTGTGGACGGTATATCCCAAACCTGACAGCTCGCCCGTTCGATACCACAAAGGAGTACATTGAGAACGTGTATGCATTGACCAAGTCGCCGTTCGTCCTCGAGCTGATCCAGAACTACAGCTCATCCAACCTTCAGGCAGACCCCATTCTGGTGCAGCAAGTCACATACACGTTGCTGATTGAGATTCTCGCATACCAGTTCTCATCACCTGTGCGCTGGATCGAAACGCAAGATGTTATGCTTACCGAGATCGAGGTCAACCGTTTCATCGAGGTTGGGCCGGGCAGCGTGCTAGCGAGTATGCTGAAACGCTCGCTGTTCAGAACCCCTCGTTCCAGCAATGCTGACAGCGACACGAATCAGAGAGCGCACGGAGATTCTGTGCACATCATCGGACATTAGCAAGATTATGCTCCAGGATCGCCCAGTCGCGGAAGCCCCACTAGCAGCGGTAGAAACAGCTGCCCCGATCCAAAGTAGCAAGCCAATCCCTCAGAAACCTGTGCAGCCAGCAGTCGCAGCCAGTATACCAGCAGCATCAGCCGGAGGCGGCCGGCAGCGGCGGTATAGCAGAGGAGATACCTGATGCTCCCGTGCAGCCACTCGAGACTATCCGGGCGCTGGTCGCATACAAGCTGAAGTGCGGGCTGGGCGCCATCTCCGCCGACCGAGCAATCAAGGACTTTGTGGGTGGCAAATCGACGGTTCAGAACGAGATCATTGGCGACTTGCAGAAAGAATTCAAGGACGACTTCCCCGAAAAGCCAGAGGAGATCCCACTCAACGAGCTTGCCCAGAGCCTGTCCCCGACTGCCGACTCCTTGGGCAAGTACTCATCAGCACTACTGGCCCGCATGATTAGCAGCAAGATGCCTGGTGGATATGGCCGGGCCGCCATTTCCAAGCACCTGTCATCCACCTTTGGGCTGGGACCGATGCGCCAGTGTGGACTGCTGCTGGTTGCGCTGACTCTTGAGCCTGCAGTGCGCCTTGACTCGGAGTCCAGTGCGAGGAAATGGCTAGCCACCGTCGCACACGAGTACGCTACGCTTGCGAATGTTACCTACAAGGCCGCGGCGAGTAGCAGCAGCAGCCAAGGATCGGGTGGTGGTGCAGTCGCCGTGATCAACAGTGCAGAGTTCGAGGCATCCCAGCTGGCACAGAAGCAGATGGCCATCCAGCAAATGCGGGTCCTGGCGCGCTACCTGGGCATTAGCGTCGATACTGCGATCAATGGCAGTGGCAGTGCTGAGGAGCAAGAAAATGCGGATAGCGAAGGCTGGCTGCAAGAACATGGCGGATTCTACGCGGACAACTTCAAACCAAAGTTCTCTGCGCTGATGGCTCGCCATTTTGACTCGTCGTGGAACTGGGCGCGCCAGGATCTACTCGAGCTCTACTACCAGCTAGTGCTGGGGAAGATCACCAAAATCGATCTCAGCATGGCATCTAACTGCCTCCACTTGGTGAATCGTCTGACACCCAGTATCATGGACAGCCTGAAGTTCATTGTGAGCCATTCTAGTCAGCATCTCACACAGGGACATCGACTGGCACACAAATACGGGCTTGGCTTGCTTGAGCGATGCAGCGAGTGCTTGGGCGGGTCTCCAGTTTACCAGTTCACAGCCAAGCTGCTTGCTCCGTGTCTCCAAATGGACCATACCGGCAGTGTTGTGTACAAGGAGGTCGAGCGCCCGGGAGAGCAGTCCATAGCGGACTACGTATCCGCAGTCACTGATAGAAACTTGTCGCAGATTGCTGCTACGCTGAAGGCAAGCCACGCGGCGCTAGACAAGATGATTGAGCAACTCGAGCTCTCACACATGTTTGCTCCTGCCCAGCAGAAGCTGGATATGCCCAAGGTCAAGCTACCCCCAATGGTGCATTTGCGCAGCAAGGTCCGCGACCCGACAGTCTGGGAGTATGACCCGGCTCTGTCCGAGTCCTACACCAACGCCCTAAACGACATATGCGAAAACGGCCTGACGTTCGCCAACAAGACAGCCCTGCTCACCGGCTGCGGACGCGGGTCAATTGGCGTGGAGGTGCTAAAGGGTCTCCTAGAAGGTGGAGCCAGCGTTGTCGTCACAACTTCCAGCTACTCACACAAGACCATGCGGTATTTCCAAGACATCTACCAGAGCCATGGATCGCGTGGCTCGCAGCTGGTAGTTGTGCCCTTCAACCAGGGCTCGCGCCAGGACATCGAGTCGCTTGTCAAGCTACATATTCGGCGATGCAAGCAAGGGCAGGTGTCTGGGCTGGGACCTGGACTATGTGCTTCCCTTTGCTGCCATCCCTGAGATGGGCTGCGAGATCACCGATCTTGGTTCGCAGTCCGAGCTTGCCCACCGCGCGATGCTGACAAATGTGCTCCGCCTGCTGGGAGAAATAAAGCAGCACAAGAGCAGGCTCGGCTACGATATGCATCCCGACGCTGGCAGTGCTTCCCCTCTCACCCAACCATGGCGCATTTGGAGGCGACGGGCTATACGGCGAAAGCAAGATCGGGCTGGAAACCCTGTTCGGTCGCTGGCACTCTGAGTCCTGGTCGTCGTTTATCACCCTGTCCGGAGCCGTTATTGGCTGGACGCGCGGCACCGGGCTGATGGGCGCCAACAACATCATTGCTGAGTGTGTTGAGAGATTAGGTGCCCGCACGTTTTCCACAGAGGAGATGGCTTTCAACATCCTTGGCCTCATGCACCCGAGGATGTATGCGCTGGCGGCTCTCAGCCCCGTGTGGGCCGATATGGCCGGCAACTTCCAGTACTATCCGTCGCTGATCGGCTCCACTGCCACGCTGCGCCATGCCCTGCGCGACGTCGACACGATCCAGAGGGCAGTTACCGTGGATAGCTCCCTGGATTACACCTCCATCGCCGGTAGCGAGTCTGAGCGTGTTTACGGTTTGTTCGTTGCCCAGAAGCGTGCCAACCACCGTTTTGCGTTCCCAGAAGTCAAGTCGTATGAGCAGCTCGACCATCTTCACTACCTGCAAGATATGGTCAACCTGGACAAAGTCGCTGTCGTGACTGGCTACGGCGAGGTTGGGCTATTTGGCAATGCCGAGCTGCGCTGGGAGATGGAGGCACACGGCGAATTCTCGCTGGAGGGCTGCATTGAGCTGGCGTGGATCATGGGCCTGATCAAGCATTTCAATGGCAAGCTCCAAAAGACAGGCAAGGCGTATACTGGCTGGATTGACGCCAATACGGAGGATCCTGTGCGTGACATTGACGTCAAGTCCAGATACGAGAAGCATATCCTGGAGCACACGGGCATCCGCCTGATCGAGCCCGAGCTTCTGGACGGCTACGATCCGAACAAGAAAGGAATCATGTGCGAGGTCCAGCTCGAGTACGACATGGAGCCATTTGAGGCAGCTGTCGAGGAAGCGTCGCAATTCAAGCTTCGCAATGGCGACAACTGCTGCACGTGGGCCAACGACGATGGATCGTGGTCAGTCAAGCTGCTGAAGGGTGCGAACGATTCATGGTGCCCAAGGCTCTGCGCTTCGACCGGCTTGTGGCTGCTCAGGTTCCGACGGGCTGGAGCGCTGAGCGCTACGGTATCCCCAAGGACATTGCCGACCAGATAGACCCAATCACCTGCTATGCCATTGTCGCCACAGTTGAGGCACTGGTGCGCTCAGGAATCACGGATCCATACGAGATTTACCAGTACGTGCATGTGTCAGAGATTGGTAGCTCCAGCGGCACGGCTCTTGGTGGGCTAAAGTCAATGAAACGCGTGTTTGCAGAGCGCCTGTGTGACAAGGACCAGCAGCCAGACGTTTACCAAGAAACATTCGTGACTACGCCGCCAGCCTGGATCAACATGCTGCTGCTGTCCGCCTCTGGTCCGATCAAGACGACAATTGGAGCCTGTGCATCAAGCGTTGCCTCGATTGACGTCGCCATCGACACTATTCTGTCAGGAAAGGCCAAGATCATGGTTGCAGGTGGCATGGACGGGTTCAGCGAGGAGTCGTCGTATGAGTTTGCTCAGATGAACGCAACTTCAAACTCGGTCGAAGAGTTTGCCCGTGGCCGCACGCCCAAGGAGATGTCCCGGCCATGCACTACAACCCGCTCAGGGTTCATGGAGGGTGAGGGCGCGGGTATTGTCATAGTGATGTCGGCATCCACTGCTCTGCAGATTGGCGCTCCAATCCACGGAATCTTGGCCATGACTGGCACAGCCACCGACAAGGAAGGTCGCTCGGTCCCAGCACCAGGCCAGGGTGTCCTGACATCAGCACGCGAGCGCACTGGCGCTGCTCCTTCGCCACTTCTCGACATCAGGTACCGTCGGCGCCAGCTCAGGAGGCGCCAATCGATGATTAACGAATGGCGGCGCCAGGAGCTCGACTACATGCGTCAAGAGGTTGCCGAGTTGCGCCAGTCGCCAGCTGGGTTGGCATGCGACGAGAGAACCTTTGTCAGCGAGCGTACGGAGTTCATTGACCACGAGGCAATACGCCAACTGCGCGAGTCCACTGACCTGTGGGGTAACTTCTTCTGGCGCCAGGACCCACGCATTGCACCTTTGCGCGGCTCACTGGCTGTGTGGGGACTGACTATCGATGACATTGGCGTTGCCTCATTCCATGGCACCTCGACCAAGGCCAACGACAAGAATGAATCAGAAATCATCGACTGTCAGCTCAGGCATCTGGGCCGCACCCCAGGGAACCCAGTGCTGGCTGTGTGCCAAAAATGGCTGACTGGCCACCCGAAAGGTGCCGCTGCTGCCTGGATGCTCAATGGGGCCATGCAGATCTTGCGCACTGGCACTGTTCCCGGCAACCGCAATGCAGACAACATTGCTAGTGAGCTTGAAAAGTTCGACCATGTTGTCTATCCGTCGCGGTCCATCCAGACGGACGGGGTCAAGGCTGTGCTGCTCAAATCGTTTGGATTCGGCCAGGTTGGTGGCGAAATCCTAGTCATACATCCGGACTATCTGTTTGCTACTCTGGGCAGAAGCCAGCTAGATACATACAAGGCCAGGGTCATGGGCCGTGAGCAGAGCGCATACCGCCACTGGCACAACACTCTCACGGGATCCAGCACATTCGTTCAAATCAAAACCGAGCCACCGTATACCGCTGAGAACGAGCAGAAGGTGTATCTGGACCCGCTTGCGCGCACCAAGTTCGACCCGGTTACCAGAAAATATACGTTCTAATACTAGGCACTCTGATTTTCTTTTCCCAATTATTGACGCTATCCATTTGGAATATAGTTTACCACACTTGCATCACTGCTATATGCTGACACGGATGTAGCAATCTGGCTCAATCGCTGTACTTGATCGAGAGTTTATTTGGCTGGATACAGAACCGAGGGACCTGTTTGCAACTTGCATTTCTATCTGGACAGCTCCTCAAGGGTAGCTAGAATGCACATGCAGCGCGACAATAGTACCACCACTATCGGGAGTGGTGTGCGGCCACAGCTCAACCCGACTGGTGGCAAGAACCAGTGTGCTATTTGGAGGGCATTCGCCAAGTGCGGGCCTGGCCATGGTGCTGCTGCAGGCAAACGTGCGGATATCGCCAAAGTGCCTGCTGACTGTAGGTAACTCAACGCAAGCACGAGCCGCTATGTACATCATCTCATGGTGGTTGACAGTACATGACGAATATTAGTTTTGACGAGGAGAAAAAACATGATCTAAACCGTCGTTCTCACAGCTCATTCCAATTTATCCAGCTGGTCCAGCCGGCCCAAAATAACACTGCGACTCGTCTCCTGGATCTCGCCTGCCAAGATCATTTCGTCCAGCACCTGGTACACCCTGTAGAAGTTGAACACCAGATCGAGCTCGCACACATTGCCATGGTACGAATCCAAAACCTCAACAAACAGGTGAATTGCCTCGAGGTATGCCAGCTCGTTGTCGTTCGTGTCAATGCAGAAGCAGAAAAACAGGCCTGCGTAGCGCCGGTATACGACGCGGTGGTTGTGGAACTCGACAAAGTTCGACTGGTGCTTCTGGTCCCGCGAGGCGACTGTGCGGTGCACTTCGGCTTTGAGCTTCAGCCGCTCTTGCTCTGTGTACGTCTGGTACCACTTTTCCAGCCGCGTTTTGCCCTGTCGGTTCTGAACCAGAATAAAGCGAATCTACCAAGGCATGTGTCCGATACGTTTAGCTAGGAGAAAGCCATGTGCATGTTTGGCACTTCTGCTAGGCAATACTGCGCGCTTCGTGCCCACTGAATTCCTTACCATGGCTGGGCTCTATGTAGAATGTGTGTAGGAAAAAAGGAGACGAAATTGGACGACAAAGGTACGAGAGGGGGAGAATCCTTGCAGCGCTTGCAAAACGGCTTGTGTATTGGCCAAAACAGAAGTTGCAACTATGGAAAAATCGGCCACATGATTTTCAGCGGCGGCCCTTCTTGACAACCTGGAAGAACTCGTCGCCGCCAGCAGCTGGTCCCGCCGAGCGGACCGTGTCCTCGTTATAACGGCCCTTGGAGCGGCTAGCGCTGCTGAAGCCCACGATCTGGCCCCAGTTGGCCGGCGCGCTGCTCAGCTTTCCGTGCTTCACAGCGGTGTGGTCGGCGCGACGGCGGCGGCAGAAGTCCTCGGCAAACGCACGGCCGTTAAGAGTGGTCGAGTACGCGTACACCTGCTCAGCAATAATCTCGAGCGTTGATTCGGGCGCGTGCAGCGGGAACGTCAGCAGCATCTCAATGAACTTGTTGGCGTCGATGCCCCGCAGACCGCTCAGACGCGAGTGGCACCACTCGAGGAAGTCCATAGACGGCAGAGCGGGACCGAGGCTGCTGACGACCACCTTGGCTGCAGTGGCTGGCTTGGCAGCAATAGGGCTCTTAGCGGCGATCGGGCTGGCGGCAGCCGAGAGCGAGAGGGCTGAGGTAGTGGGTGATCCAGAGGCATTGCCCCAGGCAGGACCACCGGTCAGAGTGACGATCGGTGCATTGCGGGCCTCGGCGGCGGCAGCGCTGGCACGGCGCTGGCAACAGCAGCCACGTTGGCAGCGGCAGCATTTGCAGCGTTGACAGCAGCAACAGCCTCCGACTCCTTGGACTGCTCGGCCATGATCTCGGCCAGCGAGCGCGTGCCTAGACGCGGATCCGGCGCTGCTGTTGAGGCGCTCGGCGTAGCTGGAGCCAAAGCCGCGGGTCGACATCAGCTTGGCCCGCTGCTGGTTCTCGGCCTTCTGGCGCTTCTTCATGGCCTCCTCTTCCTCCTGCTGGATCTGCAGCAGCGACTTCTTGGGCTGCTTTTTGGCCGACGCCGTCTTGGACCACGGGGCGGGGCTCACCGGGGTGGACGGAGTGGCTGGGACTGAGGCAGTCGGAGACTTTGGCTCAGTTGGCTTGCTGGTCTGAATTGCGCTGGGAACAGCGGCGGCCTTCTTGGTCTTGGCAGCAGCCTGCTTGGGCGCCTTCTTTGAGGCCTTCGTGTTCTCAGTCGCAGGCTCAGCCTCGGCGGTCTCCATGTCTGCCTCCGCGCTCGCCTTCTCCTTGGGCTTCTCAGTCTTCTCAGTCTTTTCTTCGATAGACGCCTCCTTCAGATCCTCGCCAATAGCATCGACTGCTGCAGAAACATCCGGAGCTTGCTTCTCAACTTCCTCCTTGGTCTCAGACTCAGCAGCGGGCTGAACAGCAGCGACCTCCTCCACAACAGGCTCCGTAGTAGGGGCAGGGACTGTACGAGCAGGTGTCTCTGGCTCGGGAGCAGAAACAGGTGCCGAAGGCTGTTGCTGCTGCTGGCCTTCGGAGGCAATCTGGGTGTTGAGCTGCTCCAGCTGCTGCTTAATGAAGCCTAGGGCTAAAACCGCGCCGTCGCGCAGAACCATATCGCGGATCACCGGGTCTAGCTTTGCCTCAAGGTGCATAATCTGAGTTGCCTGCACCTGGATGTACTGCGTGTATTCACTGCGGATCCGGGCGTCAGTGGCCATAGCCTCGCGCTGCAAGACAATCAGCGCATCGGTCTGTACAGGCACGTTGGTAGTCTGAGCGCTCATGTGCAGCTGGCTGCTCTGCTGCGCCAGGGTCTGCATCAGCTGGTTGATTCCCTGCTGCATCTCCTCCTGTAGGTGCAGCGCCACCTGCTGGCACTCGGCGATGCCCGACACCAACACCTGCTGCTCCTTCAGCAGCATTGCCAGCTGTACCGACTGCGACGCAACTCCATCGGCAAGCGCAGCGTTGGCCTGCGGCGAGGCCAATGTAGATGACCCACCCGCCTGACGAGGGTCAGCCGCAGGCGAACCCACCGGAGCAGGCGCACCGACGGCCGGCGCACTGACCGGGACGGGCGCAGCAAAGACAGGGTTGCTGGACAACCCCTGCTGCGTGGCCAACGGCTTTACGTCACTCTGGCCACCGCTAAGGGCCTTGTTGATTGACATTGGCTGCTCATCGGCTGCCGACGAGTACAGCCTGGTGGTGCTGCCCGTACGCGAGATCGCGCCAGGTGTAGCGGGCGAGCTAATCCTACTGGGACTCGCCTGATGCCGCTGTGTTTCGACAGCCAGTGCTGCATACAGAAACAGCTTCGGATTTCCGCCAACCCTCGACACAAGGCTGCTTAGAGTCTCGAACCCTGAGCCACCCTCGAGGCATACCTGCAGGTTGGCCGGGAAATACCCGCCCGAGTGCCACTCCTGCATCTGCGCGGCCGTGAATGGGCCCTGCACACTGCCCTGTGGGTCACGGTACCACCACTGCGAGGCCTCCGCACGCTCCAGCAGACGCCTTTGCTGGAGCGTCATCGGCGTGGTCGACGCCGACTTGATCGCTGGGTCCCTCCACATCCCGCCGTCATCCATTGAGGACCGCAGCGTGCCACCAGCAGCAGCAGCACCCGAGCCGGTTCGCAGCAGGGCCGGGTTTGGCGAGGCTGCTCGGGACGAGTACGTGCTGGTGTTGCGGTGCGAGGAGGACCACATGCTTTCGCGCCGCGACGGGCCCTCCAAAGCCTCGTCCTCATCGCCTCCACCACCCATTCGGAAAACGCCGTCAGCACCAAACATCCCCACATTTTCTCGATTAATCGACTGCGCAGCCCACAGGTTGCCGTCGTCCTCGCCATCTGGATCGTCGGCAAGCCCGCCTGCGTTGCCAGTCTCAATGCTGTCCTCATTCCTGCCATACCCACGGGTTCGCCCGCGGATGCTACCGACTGCACCGCTGCTACCGTTGCCCTGGCGATGGTATCCGCTCGAGCGCGAGGCGTAATTGGACGGCGACATCTGTCTTCCACCCTGCTGCTGACCCTGCTGCTGGCCTTGCTGGCCCTGCCCGTATCGCTTGGGCATGTTGCTGTTGACGGGACCAGCGAAGATCTCCTGTTCCTCGGCTGTCATCTCCGTCATGCTGACTGGCGATAAAGCCTCGCTGCTGAACACACGCTGGTCGACAACAAAGTCCTCCACAACCGGCTGAGCATTGAAAAGCTTCAGCATTGCCTCGTGTGTGTAGCGGAAGGGTCCGGTCTTCAGCTACCTGCGACGATGACGACGGCTGCTGCTGCTGGTTGACACCGGCAGAAATATTGGGCGCCTTGTCACCGGCTGCGCTGCCGTGGTTTGTCGGCTTGTTCGACGCGGGCGCACTGCGCATCCTAAAGTGTGAATTCAAATTCAAATTCAAATTCAAATCGAGGTCAGCTTCGATGCATTCGGAAATTGTGCACCGAAAGGAATTGTCCAGGTGCCCTTACCACTCGGGTCCAAAGTTAAGCTTGGTTGCCATTTTTGTTGTTGTTGCTGCTGCTACGTTCTAAGGTGCGGGGGAAGAGTAGGTGGGTGGGTGTCTATTACGCTCAGGATATGAAAGGGCACATTGAGTTACAATTTGAGACTTTGCATAAGAATAACCTGCTGCTCTGGGTCTATCGTTTCGTAGTGAAATCCCGCATTAGCCTACCTTTTCGGGGGTTATCTTCAGGTTGCGTCGGTGTCTGCCACAGAAGAAAAGACTTTGGTTTCCTTCTTGAAACTGTATTGAATGCTAATTCAGGCGGTTGTTCTGCAAGGTGAGCGAAAAACTCTAAGGAAGAAGAGAAAAGTTATGCTCAGCACAGCGCCCAAAGCCTAGCAGCTCTTGCTCGAGTGACGCCGAGGATGACACTCGATATTTTTTGCTTGATCGGCTGTGATCCCAATCAGGCCTGGAGCTGATTGGGGCGTTGCGGGCCCGGTGCCCCATATGGCCGCATTTGGGCGCAGGGACGCCCAGGTCCCCTCGGCTTCCCTGTGCCAGGGTGACATGGGGCTAAAGCCCATCTACATACGAAGGGGATGACCAGAGATGCACGCATGGTGGTGTCACGTTCGGATGAAATGGCATTTGGGGGTGACAATGCTGTTGCAAGGCAATAAGTATACAATGTCAACACGGGCACGGTGCCAGGATTTTTTTTCCTGGCACGGTCCACAGACCACTTGTGCAAAGCTTACTTCAATTCCTTCTGGCCGAAAAAGGAATAGGTGGGTTTATTTCAAACTAGTTACATAAGCCCCAATGCAAGGCAATAAAGATACAGATAAGATGGGAAAGAAGCGAGTTGTGCCGGTTACAGTAGTCTTTTTTTCTCACCGCGAATAAACGCGGGCTGCGACCGAGTACATGATATCGCGGACCCGCTCAGTCTTGGACGGTCTGATCGAGAAAGACTCTGTGTCGTATCTTGTGCTAGGAGCGGATAGTCTGGCGCGCATGGCAAACGACACGCTGCTAGAACTCGAGCGTCTCCTCGACGCCTGGAAATTTGTGTTGTTGCTGTTGACAGCAGGCATGGTGTTGTTGATGGACTTGGACTTGGACTTGGATATATTGGCAAAGTCCTGTAGAAGAGACAAAGTATAGAGAAGCGTCGAATAGAGAGGAAAGAATAAGGAACTTGAGGATGCGCGATGCAGGCTTTTAAAGGCTCGCCAGAAAGGCAGGAGAAATGCTCGACGTGGTTCCTTGCATGGGCATGGTATCGACGCATTCGCAAATATTGGTCAGCTGTTTTGGAAGCTTCGGCGGACACGGTTCCAAAAGAGCAATAATAAACAATAGCAAATATTAACCTTGTCCGACTGGTGCAGACTGGTTCAGACTATCGATTAGTCATAGTCGGCGCCGACAGAGGCTGCGGCCAAGTGCGCATCCCTAATTTGCTGCACCCACTGAGGAATGGTGTCAGATGCGGAATAACTCCAACAAACTGTGGATAGCTGTCAGCACTCTTGGGCTTCTTGATTGTAAACCTGTTCAGCTTTCATCGCCTAACAAACTCACCCTGACTGCGGCCAGGGCTGCATAAACATTTTTAGATATCCTCTTGTCCTCTCCTACCACTGTGGGCCACGCCTCACCAGGGGATTTCTTGGCACGATTCGCAGCCCACAGTCTGTCCAGATGGATCAATCTCGGGTGACGCGTAACCGGCGTGATGGAATCTTGTCGGGGTGTCTTGGCTGGCTACCTGAGACATTGCGAGTAGCCTGTTCTGTCAGACACCGGTTGGCACTGGGATGGGCCGCTATAATCATCCCAGTACCTGCGTACGCAGCGTGCGGCATGCTCAGGCAAGCCAAAAAGATTAAATCTCAGGACACCGCTGGTGCCCAGATACCGCTGCAGTCAGCCTGCATCTCGCTAAACAGAGTCTATTTATCGGTGCTCAATAAAATGCTATCCTGCCACTTGGAACCAGCTCAGACGTAGGAGATCAGGCGGAAAGCTTGGCAAGCTTCTGGTTGAGTTGCTCGATCTCGGTCTCAAGACTGACCTTGGAAGCAATCTTGGCGATCTGGTTCGCCTCCAGAGTCTCGCCGCTGTTCTTGCGCACCTCCAGGGCCTCGATCTGACCAATCTTCTTCTTGATGTTCCGCACCTTCTTCAGAATATCGACCTCGGTAATCGGCTCCTCTGGCTTCGGGGACTCGGGCTTGGCCTCGGCCTTCTCCTCGCTGCTCTTCTTGCCGCGGTTGCGGCGGCGATTCTTCGACTTGCTTGCCTGCTCCGGGCTCGCACCCACAGGCACCTTGGCAGGAGCGCCAGGCACAGCACGGTTGGCATTGACAACGCCGCCAAAGGCCTTGCGCTCAGCCATGTCAGACAGAGACCGAGGCGAGTCATCACCGGCTGGGCGGTTGCGTGCATGCGGCGGGCGGTAGGCACCGGAGGGCTTGGCAGTGGGCTTAACGCTGGGGGCAATCACAGTGAGACCAGCAGGCACCGGGCTCAGAGCGGAGCGCTGCTGCGGGAACTTGGCTACGCTAGCCGGACGCCAGTCGACCTGATACAGCTCGGTCATGTCTTGGTTGTACACGAGCGAACCCGAGTAGTGCCAGATCTTGATGCCGTTGTCGACACGCAGACGCGGCGACAGAGTCGCAGCCATCAGATACCGACCGTCGGGACCCCACTCACACATCGACGAACCGTGGGCGTCGACAGTCCCGATCTTCTTGAGCTTCTTGCGGTCCCACAGGTCAACCTGGCCCGACAGGTTACCAAAGCCAGCGATGGCCAGCACGCGGCCGTGCGGGTTGAAGCGCACAAAGTTGCGCGGTGCGACGCCGAGGTCAAAGACCTCCTCAGCGCGATGGTTGAACAGCGCCGCTTTCGCCGGCATGAAGCCGTAGATCACTACAAACTCTTTCTCGACGGGGCTCCAGGCGACGTCGTGGATCGGACCCTCCTTGTCCAGCGTCACGCGGCAGTCAAAGTTGCCTGCTGCCGCCATGAAATACAGACTCGACTCGCCGTAGTAGCTCCGACCTGTTCTGTCAACCTCGGTCTGCGTCAGGACCAGCAGATTGGTGCCCAGTTTGTGCCAGTAAAACTCGACCTTGTCGGCGTTGAAGAACGTCTTGTTGGCCACTGGCCGCGCAAAGCTGCCCACAGTGTACATGCGCACCAGCGCCGGCTTGCCGCCCTTCTCGGGCACAAACACTGCCACCGAAGGCGACAGTCCGGGGGACAGTGAGAACGTCGAGACATTGTCGAGCTTCAGCACCATCGCTGGCTTCTGCATCGCTGCCGGTGCAAAGAACCGCACCTCACCCGAATACAGCTTGGCGCAGAACTGCTCGTCATCCGTCCACTGCAGAGCCCAGTCTGCATACGCCTTTTGCACAAACCGCCCGCACTGCTCAGCCGTCTTTGTCACCCACACCTTCAGGTTGTTGCTCACGCTGGGGTCGTCAGACTTGCTGTACCGCTCCCATGTCATCACGTATGTGCCGCGCGGAGAGAACTGCACGTCGGCGACATTTGCCAGAGGGATGACGGAGACTGTCTGCTGCGTAAACGCATCAACAATCCGGACCTCCTTGGTGATAGCCCACGCCAGGTACTGCCCGTCGGGGCTGTATCTCAGAGCCTTGACCTCCTCTGTGGGCTTATCGGCCAACGGAAGGTTGCTGGCGTATGGCGGCGCATTGCAAACACCAAGATCCTTCAATGTGCGGAATGCAAACTGTGTGGGCTCCCGGTCCGTCATGGCTGAATAAATAACGTGAATGTAGAAAGCAAACGAGAAAAGAGCGGGTGCGAGATGAGGCGCGAAATGAAAAAGCTAGGAACAAATCGGAGCAGAAAGAGAGCAGTCAAGGAAAAATTTGATGAGAGCTGGCCCCAAAGCCAACAAAGCGGTGGGTTATCGGCTCCCCGAGCCGCATCGACACCTTGAGTACTCAGCTAATGAGATTGTTTGTAAGCCGAGCTGTTTGCAGTGGTCTGCCTCAGATTTCTCATCTCTCTCCAGGTCGCAATCGCTGGCAGAGCTAGTGGGTACACAGGACTGTGGAAGGGCGGGTGACCCGCCATGGAGCGAAGGCAAATGAGAGCTTAAGCAAAATCCGCTGGCAAGATAAGAACGCCTAGATCCAGAAGCCCCACGATCGTACTGCCCGTGGATCACGCAACCATTTGCATAGAGTGAACGAGCTATGCATGTGGAAGGGAAATGTAGACGAAAGATGTGGATGAAAGATGTGGATGAAGAGATAAAGGGCAACTGCGGTGTGCGGGGTGGGAAGAGTGATATATTGAGACGAGGACTATGAATGGGTTGGTATATAAGGTGTGGTTGGACGCCTGTGGCAAGAGCGTGTATTTTGAGGTAAAAACTGAAGATTATATAGCTGACTAAAAATGTGATTATGTATTCAAAAGGGTACCTGTCGAACGATTCCTTTTACAGGCATATCGACAGGCAGCAAGGATGAAGATTACTAATTATGATGAAAGTATAAGCAAGTATTGTAATTCAGTGGGTGATGCCACTGAGTCGCTCCTGTTTCTTAATGCATCTTCGCATGTACGCAACGCTTATGAATGAACCTAGTGAAGGTATCACAGTTTAGTTAGACGCCCGTGAGGGAGACTGCTGGGGAGCATGCGCATCAGAGACAGCCGGCGACCCACGCGATGACATGATCGGCGAGATTGTCGGCAGCGACTCACTGCGGTGGCCCGCTGCTTGAAAGCTGCGCTGCACAGACTCACTATCAGCTGCTGGGCTGCGTGCGTCCTCCGTGACAGAGGCTGTTGGAGTTGGAGCGATAGCAGCAGAAGTGAGCACGGACTGGCTGCCTCGGACCGCTGGTGCCAGTACCAACTGCTGGTTGTCTGACCCGCGCCGACTACCAGCGACTGGCTGCTGCACCCACTCCTGCATCACCGATGAGCGCCGGGAGGCAGCAGTGGCTGGTGTCGATACAGGAGTGTTGGAGATGATGTCCGCCAGAATGGCGACGACGCGGTCATGTCGCTCGCTTTGCATCTGGCGCCGCCGGCTCTCAGACTCGACATACAAGAGAATCTGCTGGGCAATGCTAGACAGTTCGCTCGGCGACGCCAAGCTGGCCATGTTGCGCATACGCTCGACCAGCATGTCGATGTGCTGCCGCTCGCCGCGCACATATGCCGGGTCAGACGGATCCCGGGGTTCGTAGTCAAACTGGCGCATCATCTCAGGAATGTCCGATGAAGAGTTGCTCGTGCTGGGCTGCGACGAGTGGCCAGCAGCCACACGGCCCGGAGTACTGACAGCCGCAGTATCCCGGTACTCGCCGCGCACGCGACGCTGGTGCATGTCGTCCTCCGAATTCCTACGGGTGTCCGGTGCAAGTAGGTGGCGAATTCCAGAGTGCTGCTGCTGGATGGGCCTGGTCGGGGTGGTAGACGAGGGGCGCGGGGCATGCGGATACGGGCCCTGGTTGTCGGCCAGAATCGATGCCAATGACGAACGCCGTCCAGCATCATGCTCGCTCTGCAGCTGCTGAGGTGTCAGCGGCTGCATTGGAGGCTTCATTGGGGAAGACACGGCTTGGTGTGCTGGCGCCAATGCCAGCGGCGGGATCGTCCGCATCTGTGTATGCGGATGCCCATGCGGTCCACTCTCCATGCCTTTCATATGCAAGCTGATGCTGCCTTTGGCCCGATACTGGCGTCCAGGAGATGCCGACTGGAGATCGCTGCTTTGTTCCAGAGATTGCCCTCCACTGTGCAGTCGCCCGCTCTCGGCGACCAGTGGCGACACTGTACTGCGCTGGTCTGACACCGATTCCATTGCATAGATCGGCCGGTTGACATGGTACGGGCCATGGTAGTGGGGATGCCTTGGGTCAGTTGCCGACATCGGAAGGTGGGTGGGCAGAGACTGCTGCTGCCGATTCTCATCTCTGATAACGGACACTGCAGCCGAGTGTGCTGCGACAGCTGCGCGGTGATCCTCCTCTGGTGGCGACTGCTTGCCCTCAGAGCCGGCATGACTACGGATTGGATAGGGCGGTGAAGGAACGTAGCACAGTACCGATTGTCGGCAATGTAATTCCCATTTAGCAACTGAACACAAAACAAAAAGTAGCAGAACTCGCATACTGGGCCAGTCCGATTGCCAAGCTGCACCATACAAAAATCCAAACAGGCAATGCGCGATCAACCCCAGTGCTGTGTTCGAGAACAGCTTGTCGGAAACCTGCTGCACCGCCGGCATTTATACCTTAAGCGTGAACACGATGAAAAATTTTACTCAGCGATTGATGTGTCAAGCAAGCGGGGAGTGAGGATGCGGGCGGAGAGGGGATTGCCTCCCTTTTGGTGCAATCAACCGCGGCATGAGGAGGAGATGAAGAGCATTGCGAACAAGTAGAAATGCCTATCATTGTCCAGAATGGCAAGGGGGGAAGAGCCATGTATCATAGCTTCAAAGAAAGCCCACGCCAGCCAGCATGGAAGGTGGGATGCGCATCAGGGGATTGGCACGCCATGCGTCACGTTATGAAAAAGACAGGGAGCGGCTGGTGCGGTTAGAAACCAGCAGCCGCTCAATAATCGAGCATGATCATAGTGGGGTCCAGTGCAAAACCTGCACGCTGGCTGTTTCTGCGATCGAGAGCCACTTTCGCCAGAGATGTGCGTGTGGATGTGTATGCGGGCAAGTGCGTGCGAAATGGGCCGGGCAGAATGGGGCAGCTCAAACAAATGTGCCCATTAAGGGCGGATGATCTGCCATCCCACCGCCATCTGCGACGTAAATAGAAACTTGTGCGGTGATGGCTGGCCATGTGGGCAAACAGACTTTCAGCGAAGCGGGCCATTGTTCGAACTTAGTCGACATAGTGGCACTGAGTTCAACCTCAACTCACATTGCCCAAATAAGGCCAATTCAACCTCGACTGGCTGTTGTGAATGCGAGCTTGCCAGGGGAAAAACAAGGAACACGGGAGATGGCAAAGCAGATAGCAAAATGGCCCGTGAACCGGCGCTTTTTTGGTTTATCAAAATAGATTGCAAAGAAAACAAGCTCTCAAGCCAGCACAAGAGGAGGATGTAGCCAGATGATCAGCATCGGGACTGAGGGAACATGCATGATAAGTGCGCAAAATACCCGGGAACCCAAGGACACGAGAAAAAACAAGATGGATGCACTTACTCGTTTGATGACTGCATGGAGCTGCGCTGCTTGATCTCGACGAATTCAGAGTAATGAGGGAACTCTCGCAGCTTAGCGTCCCAGCTCATGTGTGTCGCATTTGCCAGGTCCTACAATGAAAAAGCAGAGCAGATGAAGAGAAATGGGTGTCAGACAATGGAGGCCACAAGAGCAATATTGCACGGCATTTTGGCTCACATAAGCAAGACAAGTGCTCGTATACGCAAGGGACAAACGGGGTTGGTAAGAGAAAAAAACGAGGCGTATACCACCATCCCCCAATTTCCCCCGCACCGCGCCTCCTTACACCTCTGTTTCCACCTACAGGCAGCTGCAGTGGCCGGGAGCACTACAGCAGCACCAGCAGCAACGCAAAGCAATGCAAAACCCCTCAATTGACACTATATACGTACCCTGTGTTTGGCCCACATGTTCTTCCACTTTATCCGGCACTCACGCACGGTACGGTGTCTGCCGGACCGCTCCGTCAGACGCTCCGCAAGCTGCGCCCATACGCCGGCATTGCGTTTGTTGGCCATGAACTGGGGCTCAAACTCGAGCCACAGCTGCACCAGCAGGCTAGTCTCGTAGTGGTTCCAGAATGTGCGCGACGATGTTGCTGGTGAATGCAAGTCGTATGGACGATGCAAGTGAGAGGACGACGACGACGACGACGACGCATGTGTTGCGGCTGGGTGGTGCGAAGGCGGCTTGGCTGCTGCTGATGAAGCCCCTGTCCGGGTGGCCTGCTGCTGTTGCTGTTGCTGCTGCGGCGGCGGCTGCTGTTGCATGTACGGGTATTGTGGCCGAGCGGCACTGGTTGCCATTTGCTGTGGCGGCGACTGCTGTACATGGTAGCCCGGCATAGAGGGCTGCCCGGCGATGCGGCCGTGCATAGGTGGCTGTAGCCGCTGGGGGCCGCCAAATGATCCTGGATGTTGCTGAATAGGTCTGCCGTATTCGGGCTCATCGCGCCGATATTGTTCGTACCGCAGGTGCTGCTGGGCCGGTGGGAATGCTGCTGTCTGAGTGCTGTTGGTGCTGGCGCCTCGTGGCTGATGCTCGGGCGATGCTGACGCTGAGTTGCGGCGATGCATAGCTGCTGAGGGGTAGTGTGTGTTGTGGTATGCGAACGGTGGGAGAGCCGTAGTCGTTGGAACCGACATTGATGATGTGGAGGCGATGGTGGATTGGCTGGGGCGGAGGGCTAGAGGACGACCGTTGTCGTTGGTCATTGAGCTTTGAAAATAAAAAGTACTCGCCCTCGCTATATCTGTTGAGATTGAGGTGGAATGGTACAGCTAGCTTGCGTGACTGCCTTCCCCAAATGCTTGGTAAGAAAGGCAAACCGTATGCCGTGCAGAGGAGGATGGAATGCAAGCGCCGAGAGCTAGAAAGAAAAATGCGGTCGAGACAAGAAGGGAGGAGCGAAGAGCTAAAAGTACAAGAGCGAAAAGAGACCAGGGAAGAATGGACAGGAAATTAGTACAGGACGCACTGTGTTCCAGCCCAGTGGATGAACAGCAAAAAGGGAAGTTTGAGATTTGGGAGATGCGGGAGATGCGGGAGTGAGCTGCAGATATTTTAAAGTGGCCGGGTACTGTAGGGAGCAGGAAGTGCTGACTGGCTGCCTGCCTTATATAACCCTCAAAAAAGAAGCTTCGTTAAATCGGGGTTCATCGTTCGCCCTCCCTGCCCTCTGGCACAAGAGCAGCGCCAGCAAATAAAGGGGTAGCAGATAAAGGAGCACCAAGGCTAGGGCGATTAGCAGCTTCGTGGCTATCGTATGCCAACTGTGAATCCCCACGTCTGAGAGTTTTCCAGCAGCCTCCTCTTGCTAGACACACGCATGCATCCATGCATTCTGTGCTACTGAGCCAGCCCATTTTCCGAATCACAACGGCCATGTCGTGCTCTGCAGAGAAAAAGTGGGGCAGAGCTGCCACGCACTGGGTACCAGAAAGAGAACCGCGGATCAGTACACAAGATATGTGTTCCGGAAGGGCAGGGTAAGTTGCCCGGACAGGGGGGTACCAAAATAGAGATTGACGAATCTCGTCCAAGGTAGAAAAATCCAAAAAAAAAAAAAAAAAAAGAAATAGGCCGAGCAAAAGTTTTTTTTTTGGATGAAAAATCATTGCGCACACGCACATATCGACCGTGCTGCTCCTTGCTTGCCATGCGGTCAGCTGGGGTTGTGGATGCACAGAGCGAGGGAAGCAAAGCGGTGCAGACAAGGTGTGGAGAAGCCAAGAACAAAACAGGAACTTGTGCAATGCCAATTCCGTTTCTTGTCATACACGTAGCGTGTTACTTCCAGGTGCACACGAGCAATGCAAAAGGGGCCAAAGACCTGGGATACTTACCAGTCGCTTTTCCAAATAGGTAGGTCTAGAAATGCTCGGCAGAGAAGCAATTCCTGGGTGGCGCTGCCAGTTTTATAAAAGCGCACGCGAGCTGGTACCTTGGGGCACGGTGCTCTAACGACCAAGAAAGAAAAAGAGAGTTGCTAGATGGAAGTTGTATGACAAATACTCAGGGGTCAGACAACAGGGGCGGAAAAGAGTGCTAAAGAAATAGTACCAGGAGGCAAAAAAAGAGGAAAGGGGGATGTAGTGTCCGTGTGTTTGGGTATGTCGGTCCAAGAAAAAACGAATCTTGCGCTGGTATTTATATATGCTGGAGGTGGGAAGAGACAAGTTGACCTTACGCAATAAAAAGGATGAGCATGAGGGATACAAAAAATGGACAGCCAAATGAGAAAACTAGCAAATGGGCTTGACAAACCTTTTTTGCTTGCGTACCATTCTTCCCGGTACTCGAGATTGTCCAGGGGGTGGGCGTTTCCCACCGCGAACCACCCACCCCCTCTCACATTTACCCCACACTTTTTCTTTCGTTTTGGATGCTGCAGCTCATTGCCACCAAAAGAAGAGGCACGGAGAAGTGTTCCAAACGAACATGCCGTTGGGCTGATGTCCTCGCGAGCGCCGACGGATCTTGTTCAGTCACGGTGGTGAGGGGATGGCGATCAACGAGCCAAAGAGGTTCCTTGCGCCGGGCACCAGATATAGAAGGGTTCCGCAAGCGGCTCATGGTTTGTCACCTGCACGCGTGCCTGGTCGCGAGGGGGCATTTAGTTCAATCGGCATGCGTCAACACAGCAGTGTCTGTCTAGCGCGTGTGCAGCGGTGCATCCTTTAGATTAGCAGGCCGGCAACAGTGGGTCCTGCCCACTTTACGCACAGGCATGCGTGTAATTCAGACTGCACCACCCCAGTCATTCCCAGACCTTGCCAAGCGAGAGGCCATGGAAGCAATGAACGCAGCGAAAGCAATGATGCTGGGGGAGGAACAAGCAGAATGCCTCGATTGTCTGTGCGCGAAAGTGTCAAAAACGCTGCGAGTGCTTGGTGAAAGGAATCCTCAGTCCATTTCGAGAGCGCGGACATATTGAGCTCATTAATTTCCAATGGCCCAAGCAGCCCGCAATGGACTTATCCTCACGTTTTTCGTTCTTCGCCTCCAAAATCAACCATCCATCTGGAAGTCCAATATCGCGAAACGAGGCTGCACTGTGAGGCGACCTCCAGAAGCTTAATTCGCAGCAAGTAAACAGCCCAAGCTGACAGGCAAGGGAGAGGGGACTATAGAGCGCCTCATCACTGTATTACTCCACATGCCTCGGGGGTGTTGCTCTGGCATTTCAATTCGTGCCTACAGAGGGTGCCCGGTATATTGGAGGGGAGCGAATGGGTACATTTCATTTCGGCCCGTTTAGTGTCCCCCACTAGCTCCATTTGCTAATCGCAGCGCGGGCACATCGCAGTGCAGTTTTCATTTTTGCAGTGCTTGCTCTTTCCAGCCCAGTGAAAAGGGAAAAAAAAAAAAAAAAAAAAGACAGCGCCACCACCTTGCGCAAAATGGCGGTAGTGGCCTGAAGAATGAAGCACTACTACGGGCTGGGCGAGGAACAGCCTTGCACGATGCATCGATTTGCAACACCAGTCTGCTAGACTGGAGTCCGAAAATAAAGCGAACAGTCATGAGTGGCAGCCAGATTCAAACAGGCCCATGGCTGCACAGCATCCGTTTCCATGTCGCTCTGTTGTGTAGGTGTTTTTCCTCCCATACCCCACATCGGCAATTTGGGATCTGAATCCCAATTCAGCCAAGGTCGGCGGTGTGCGGTCCGGGGAGGTGTGCCAAGATTCCCTATTGCGGGTCTGCAGTTCCTTGTGGTTCGCAACAAAAATAGACCAGGACAAATTGATAAACAAGCAGCACAGAATGATCTGTGCCATAAAAACAACAGAAGAAATCTATCGATTCTACGCCGTCCAGAAGGCTCCGGCAAAGGTGGCCACCGGGCTGCCAGTGATGCCCATCAGGCCAAGGCCCGGCTCAACGCCATCCTCGGCGCTGCCCGCAATATCGACATGGATGAACGAAATGGCGTCCTTGCCAGCGCTCAGGCTGTGCTTGTCCAGCCCGGACGCCTTGATGATGAAGGCTGCCGGGTACTGGTGACCGCGGTCGGTCTGGGTGCTGGGGTTGCAGTTGCTCTGGTACACGTCCTCGCGGTCAGTCTTGGACGCAATGAACTGGTGATCGTCGCGGCGCATAACGCTGTTCTCAAACGGATCACCATATGCCAGGCCGGCAACTAGCAGCCGGTGATCCCACTTCTCCTTGCGCGCTGGTCCGTTCGCTACTGCAGCTCCATACCAGCCATACGCCCGGATGACATGGCCCGTCAGCGTCGCCGCCGTGTAGATGGCCGAGGGTGTGTAGTCGCCGGCTGCGCGCGCTGCAAGGATCTTCTCGCGGCACTCGCACACGGCATCCGTCATCACCAGGCGGCCCTCAGCATCGGTGTCACCAATCAGTACACGCACACCAGCGCGCGACACAACCACCTCGTCCGGCAGCAGCGCGTTGGGTCCAATCGAGTTGCGCTCGAATGCCAAGATGCACGTAATATCGACACTCGGTTCCTCCACCAGGCCTGTGGCCAGAACGAATCCTGCAAGACCGCAGGCACCGAGCTTGTCGCGTGACATGCCCCGCATCGCAGCCCCAATCTTGAGCGAGATGCCTCCCGTATCGTACGTGACACCCTTACCCACAAGGTACAGGCTATACACACAAACACAAAGCAAAATCAGCAAGCAGCGTTGTTGATAGATGGCTGGTGGATCAGCGAGGCATAAATGCCCGTTGTCTCTGAGACGTATTGCGTAAATCATATTGCACATCCTCGAGCACAGGCATACTTACTGCTCCTTGACCTTGGTCGGATCAGGCGACTTGTACGCAAGCTTGACGATGCACGGCCATGTCTTCTTCTCTACCAACATGAAACATCGGATGTGAGGAGGCGGTTTTAGCAAGGGTGAACCCGGGTGTCAACAGCGAAATAAAAAATGATCAGCACTACTTGAACGACAATGCTGGGGGAAGATGGCAGTGCACAGGGGGTAAATAGTGATTAGCACCCATTTAACAAGACCTGCTCCTCCGATGTTTTCTTCCACGATGCGCATGCAACAGGTTGCAGGACCCATGTATGGTATTCGGGCACGGTGGCAGGCAAGGGGGCACTGTCGTTGCCTAAAAGGGGGCATATGTGCATTGTGCATACAGCCCATATGGTAGCACTGGCTAGATCGTCGCCAGTCGACTGAAAGGTACACGCAGAAATCAAGTAGGACGATCAGTGCAGCCGGAGGAGCAGAAAGCCCAAGGATGGCGCTGCCGATACATGCTGAAAAGGGGGCGAGGAGCTTTCTCCTACCGGAAGCATTTGGGAATCCTCAATTTGGACAGACGATGTGCCACGGTGCGCCTAGCGGTGCTAGCGTCGTCCGAAAGTGTGATAATCAGTGGGAAAGGAGCCAATGCAGCTCGCTGCAAGCCGGGAATCAGCCTGAAATTTCCCACCAGAGCCAGCCGCCCTCAGCCCCACCCCTCACCCGGAGCACTCCGCATTTGGCTTGAGTAAACACAGGAGGCGCCAGGCGGATACAGCAAAGCGACAAGCCCAAGGAGCCCTAGAGGCATACAGCCGCTTAGCCACCATAGGCAAAATAAGGACGGCGAGAGCGCTGGCTCATCCGCGCAAACAATAAATCCAGGGGGAACTAGAGGGAATGGGCAAGCAAAAGCCCATGCGCGATAAACATCAACAAAGGTGCAATAGAAAGAACAATGCGCATACAAGATGCCATGCTTTCTGCTTAGCGCACGCTTGAAGTAAAAACGAGCCGGCCGGGTATATGTACGGTGTGCACAGGGAAAACTCGGATACGCTTCCCACTGCTGTGCTGAGGGAAAACAGGTTTTCAGGGGGCAGAGTTTGTCAGCGGCAACTTACCAGCAAGCGATGCGCGCGACGAGTGGTACAGCAGCGGGTACTCGTTCTTCAGGACCTCGAGGTCCTTGATCTCCTCGTACTCGATGCCCTTGACGCCCTTGACAGTCTGCTCGATGTACTCGGCGCACTTGTACGGGGTCATCCGCTCCGGGTCGCCGTAGCCCACATCTACAATCCACATTGATGCTAACAGTCAGCAAGCCGTCCATCTGAGCACTGCTGCCCCTGCGCTTGCCGCTTGACTTACCCTTGGCCAGGCGCCGCCCAGCCTCAATTGCACGAACCCGGGTGATCACGTGCTTCAGACAATCCTGGGCAATCACGCCCGGAACAACCAGATCGATCGAATCAAGGTTCTCCAGCTCGCCCTTGCGGCTCGACTCGCGGAACTCGCGGACAACCAGAGTGACGTAAGATGCCTCGAGCGCCCCCAACAGTGCAACTTCGATCCAGCGCGAGTAGTCGGCATCCAGTGGTGCCTCGGCGGGACTAGGCGGTGCCTGCGCCAGGACCAAAGCCGGGCGCTTGGCGCCAGCCTCAATGGCACGCGCGATACCGGCCTTGGCCGCTTCGCCGATCTTGCGCACGTCGTCGGTGTCGTCATTCAGGCTGCCGGTAGGCGACAGCACCAGGCGGTTGCCGCCCACAGCGCCGCTGGGCACCAATGCCACGGTCTGTCCAAAATCCTTGTCGATGCTGCGATACGGCTCAATCGCCGATGCCCACGAGGACTGCAGGCTGCTGAGCGAGTCCAGATCGGTGTACACGGCAACGAGGGCGTCGTGCTCGATTGCCGACAGCGCAGAAAGCTCGGTGTGAGCAGTAATCTTGGGGAGAGCCATTTCGATAGAGTATCTCCTGGGTGGAATAATATAGAAAATAGTCGGGGTTCAGGAGAAAGGAGGGAGGAAGGGGGATGGTGGGTATCGGCGCAATCATATGCAAGGGAGGGGATTTGGGATTGGGGGCGAAGCTGCGGCCGAACATTGCCAACCTTGTGGATTAAAGCAACCGGTTCGAGATCGCCTAACACGGGCCACAGTAGTCTTTGCGTGGGAAAAGCCGACCAAGAAATAGGCAACCCCAATTTCTATCAACTCCGCCGGGCTTGGATGGCCGCGCACATCCGCTAGAAAAGGAAAAAATGGCGAAGACGGGGGTTTTGCAGCGAACCCGCCGCCAGAGAAGTAGCCGTTGTCTGGCAGCCCACTACCCAGTCCAGGCTGGTCAACCCCCAGTAAAATACAGAGATGCGGACCCGTATAATGTCGCAGAGCGATATAGCCAGAGCTGCCCAATAGCTATATCCCGGTGATGATATCCAGCTCGTGCAGCTACATGGTCAACAAGGCACCTCTTCACCGAGAGAGCATATCGAAATGGCTGCAGAGTTTAGAGCGATGTCTACAAGTATATCCTCCGCACCATGCAGCCTCGTGCCGAGGTTTCTTTTTCACTTTTGACGAGCATCTTGATTGCATGTACGAGGTATAGCGGCGATCAGGAACATTGACCACATAAAACTGGCAGGACTTGGCTCAAGCCTCGTGTGGCGTCAGTTCGTGCCTCGGGTCGGTTTAATCGTCCTCATTGCCACCTGTGAATCAGTGTCATTGTCTTTGCTGGCTATTCCGACGTTTCAAGTTTTATGACATATTATTTTCTTTGGAGACTACCAGCTCCTAATATTTTCATACTCTCTAGGTTCGTTTTTGGGCTGACCAAGGCTGTTTTGCAAGCCACTGCGCGCAGCTAGGTGTGGATATAAGAAGTCAGTCGTAGCTCATGCGAAAAGCAGAGGTTCGCCATTTGCGTGATTTCGCATAATATTGCCATTGATTAATTTCTTGACTACAAGCACACCTCTGGTGCTTGGGCACCAGCCGGCTCTGGACTGTGCGACATGCCTTCATCTTCCACTGGTGACGATGACGGTCAATACAGCAGTACTTGAACCAGTGCTGCTGGCCGGCGACCAGGCTCCTAACACGCAGCCTGCTAGCCCCCTAGCATCAGTAGAAAGCCCTGATGAGGGTAGCCACTTTTAGCAGCCTCTCGAGTCATCCAATACCTTTTGTTTCTTCAGTTTGAAATAAAATGTTTACATATATCAACAACCGAGGGGGTGAAGCAGTGGTTTGAAATTTTGGTTTGATGGGAATTTTTACGTGTAGCGACAGGAGAAAACTACAGTCATATACCGTTGTGCGCTCAAAGGTTAAAGTCCGTGCTGCTATTGTTTGTAGCTAGACTAGGGACTCAGTTGCTGCATGGCTGATCCCAAGTATCGCTGTTGCCGATGCCGTTGGTGTCGGCGCCCAGGTCTGGCGAAAAGCAGCAGGATAAGGTTCGAGAGGCAGCTTTTTGCTGCCATTTATCACCAGATGCTGCAAGTCCTCATCAGGGCTTCTGTCTTGTGTCAAGGTGCTGGCAGGCTGGGTATTGGGAGTCTAAGTAGCAGCTTGCTGGCCCATTAGTTTATCCAGACATTCACCCCGACTCAGCTCCTCAATCACTTGAAGCTAAAGCTCGCCATGCTTCTGAGGGATCGTGAGCTAGCGAGCTGTATATAAGCAGCACCAGCGAGCCATTGATTTTTGCCATATTGCTGGAATGCTTGTTGCCAGACATATATAGTGGGCATACTCGATTGCATAACCTCAAAGGCCGAGCCACCTCAGCATCCAAAAGCGCATATAGTAAAAAAATAACGAAATCCGCATATATTACGAAATGGAAAAGGCGATTACTCTGTCTTTGCATGGCTCTTGCTGGCAAGTCTGGGCTTCAATGCAAAGCGCCAGACGGAGAAGCCGACCAAAACAGCAGCGACACATGCCCAAAACACGATCACATAGGTGGGGAAGGGCTCGGTGAACTCGCCGCGGCCAAACTTCACAATAATCAGCAGCTCAGACAAAAGGGTGACAATCAGCATCCAGCAATGCGCGCCCATGCGCTTGCACCGCGGGTTCGAGTAGTACTCGTAGTACTCGCGGGCACCGGGCAGGGCAAACAGAAACAGTAGCGCCAGGCGCGCAATCACCAGCGGGTGCTCCGGCGGCACCCACAGAAGCGACTTGAGATAGAACACATTCAGCTCCGCCAGCATTATCAACACCGCAAACATCACGATTCCCGCAAAGTTCTTGAACCGCTCGGTCGGCGCCCACTCGTACGTGGTCCAGCTGTGTGGCGTGAACTGCAGGCCGGCCCGGCTCAGCTTGCCCGTCAAAGACGGGATCTCACGGATGCCGTGCCAAGTGTACGTCTTCATCTTGAAGTACTCGCACCACTTGATCCCCACGTAGATGCCCAGCCAGTTGCATGTGAACACGTCCGAGGATCCAGTGGTCCCACCAGCACTCGTTGAAGTTCGGCAGCTGGTGCGCCAGCGAGTACTCCAGAAGCTCAAAGGTCACCGACAGAATCCAGCACATAGTCTGGTTCCGGATAATCAAGGTCTTGCCGAACCACCCCAGCGAATGCGCCAGCACAAATATATCTATGCCCGAGCGCACATTCTCCACGGTCAGCGCGCACTGGTCGCCGTAGGACCGCTCCGGCAGCTCCTGGCCGAGATCCGAATCAAAAAAGGCCATAAAGGACCGGCCCGTGTGCTTGCTCTGGAACAGCAAAAACACTAGGCACATCTCGTACAGAACATTCGCTGCCAGAACCACACGCCAGAAGGCCGGGTGCGGGCGGATAAAGGGACCGTCCCGGAACAGAACCATGCCGATGATCGCAAAGGCTGAGCAGATGGCGGCCAGACCAAACTTTGTGTTCAGGATGTCGTCCGAGGGATCAATGTACAGGGCCACATACAGGAAGCCGGCCAGGAGCACCACCAGGCATGTTAAGGTGCGTGGGTGGTAGAAAAACTCCAGCGTCGGATCAATGGACTCGTGGAAGACCGGCGACATATTGTGGCGGGCTTGGGCGGCGAGCTTGGGCGAGGAGGGCTCGACCAGCAGCTCGCGCTTTGTGTACTCGTCGTCCATTTTGTGAATATGAAATTCAAAATAGAAGGGGAAATTTTGGAGATAAAAAATGGATATCTCGGGCAAGACAAAAGAAAGGGAGAGTTTGTTGATAAAAAAAGTTTTGAATGGAGAGTCACTGCCCAGTGGAATGACCACTAACTGGCCGCTGATCCAAGCCTTAACTTCCAGCACATTGGGGGCAGGCTCCCAAATCGGGGGCCAGCTATAAGCTAGTGATGTTCTACGTAAAGGCAAAGCACTGCTCGACGCTGACGATGTCTCTGAGGACGCGGTCAGCGGTGGTTCCGACACGCTGGGCGGTCTCGCGCTGCCTGAGCACCGACCCATGGGCAAACATGGGCACCAGCAGATTGGCATCGAGCACCGTGCGTCTGGGCGAGTGGTACTGGCGCAGATGCAGCGGGACGGCCCGGTACTCGCGCGGATTGAGGCCCGCCAGCGGCACAACGCCGTGGACCAGCTGCGTGTTCATGCGGTGCATGCGCTTGAATGTGCGCTCGTCCAGCATTGACACAGCCATGACGGAGCCGGCAGCCGTGGCCACCAGACACACCTGCTGGGCATCAGCAGAGCGGCCGACCAGGCGCTTGATGGCCGAGACGCGCGAGTGCAGGTTGAATTCGCCACGACGCAGTAGCTTCTGGCCCTTGAACGAGTGGACGTCGTGCGGGGCGTAGAGGAAAAAGTGCAGTTGGCCGTAGGCATCAGCAGCCAGAAGCTGCATCTGGTGGCCACGCACCAAAAAGTCAGCGGCCTCAACCGGCAGCTTGTTGCTGAAGTCGCGGCCCAGGACCTGGACCTTGGTGGGGCCCTCCTCCTGGAAGCCGGCGAACCACAGGCTGTTGATCATGTCAGCAATCAGCAGGAAGCCCTTCATGCCAACCAGCGACCGCACCCACGTCTGGCAGTCCAGGAAGGCCACGCTCAGCAGAATTCTCGTTGTCCTCAAACGACCGCACATACATCTTGGAGCCGACAGCCACAGCCAGATGGCCTCGCAGCTCGCCCAGCGCAGTGATGGCACCACGTACCTCGTCCTGGCAGACCAGCTTGAGCTTGCGGCTGGTCTGTGGGCGGCCAGGCAGCGGAACGACCTCGATGATATCGAAGATGTAGACCTTGCCGCGCGAGCTGACGTCCTCGCCCAGCACAAAGGCAGTGGCCACACACAGGAAGGCACGGCGACCACCGGCAGTTTGGCGTGACTCGAGCTCCAGCGTCTTCATGCAGGTGATGTGCTCGTTGTCCTCGAAGGCATGTGTATCGACCGTCTCCCACGTCACCGGACTCAGCAGATCGACGCTGCACCGGGCCACCAGCGGCGCGGCGGACCGTGGTGCGGAATTTCCGGACGCTTGTGTTCGGGGATCAGCGCCTGCTGCGGGTCCAGCTGGTCAGCAGTGATGCCAGGCCAGCACTGCCTGGCGCTCAGGGGTCGCCGGCGGCCGCCTGCAGCTGCATCTCGACGAGCCGTGCGGCCAGCTCGGGGTCCGGCTCCTTAATGTAGAACGGCGTGACGTCAGCAGCGGCCACGGCATAGCTGCCAGACGGAGCGTGGAAGGCCACGCCACCCAGAGTGCTGATGCCGGAGTGCGCGGTGCCCACAGGGATGGTGCGCACGGGCCACGCCGAGTCGTACTCGATGCCACCGCGCGCCGCCTGCGCTGACACTGCCAGTGCACAGACCACCAGCGTGCCAGCTTGCGTCAGCGCAATGAAGCCGTGCGGACACTGCGAGCTGTGGAACCGCGCCACGCTCACCACCGGCTGGTGCGGCGCCAGCAGCCCGGCGGCCACCGCGTCGAAATCGGCGGCAGTACCGGCGGAGCGTGGCAGCAGCGTCTGCGGTAGCCGCACCGGCAGCCGCACCGGGTGGACACGCGCGTGCTGCTTGCGGCCCACTAGCACCAGCATCGGCCGCGCACCGGCGACGAACACGGCAGCGGATCCGCCAATATTTTCCAGCACTGCCAGCTTGGGCGCAGACACCAGCGGCGTGCTGGGGTCGTAGTCGATGTCGAACTCGTCCGACAGGTCCGGCTCGTCCTCGCCCATATCCATGTCCAGTTCGGCCTCAACCACCAGGTGCTCGTCATCGTTGTCGTCGTCCGACTCGCCCCAGTCGGCTACTGTGTCGTTCTCCTCGCGGCGCTGGCGCTCCCGTGCACGCTCCCGTGCTAGCCGCTCGGCCAGCGCCAGGCGCTCCAGCCGCACTTTCTCTCGCTTGCTCCAGGCGTCGAACGCACGTGCCTGGCGCCGCTGGGCCTTCCGCACCTCAGCCTCGTAGTCGGGTTCATATGCCAGCACGCTGTGTGGCACCCGCACAAATCGCAACGCCAGCTGGTCGTCTGTCACCTGCTGCGCTTGGTCCAGCGCGTCGCGTGCACAGTGTTCGAATGCGCGGTACACTGCGACCTCACCGGCAGTGGTCACAGCCACCAGGTGCGTGTTGCGCAGGTCGCGGCCGCCCAACTGCACCACTCCCAGCTGGTCCAGCCGCCGCGTCGCCTGCTGGAAACCCGCTGCATCGTCCGGCTCGCCCGAGCCGCCCGTCACCGGAGCCAGCACCTCGGCCATGTAGTCAAACCGCGGCGTGCGCCACACCTCGTCGAGTTGCGGCAGTCGCAGCAAACTCAGGTCGCCGCCTTGCCACACAACCGCCAGGTACATGCGGCTCTCGGCGCCCGAGCGCTCCACCTCCTGCCGCCCTGCCCCCGCTATCTCCCCGCCATCTGCCGGCTCGCCTGTCGATGCTGCGTCGCTGTCGTTGCTCTCCTCGTCTTCATACAGGTCGTCGTAGCTGGCGCCCGCCCCGCGCTGCCGTTTCCGCGCGCCGTCCTGCCTGCGCTTGCCACCTGCTCGCCGCTTGCCCTCCGCCGTGCGGTCCGTGTACAGATAGTCCAGCTCGGCGTCGTCGCCCGACTTGGTGCGACTTGACTCGTCAAGCAGCTCGGCATACTGCTCCGGATTGCGCTCGATCCACTCCTTGGTCGACGTCAGCACCCCAAACGTGTCCTCAAAGAACGCGGTGGCCACAACCTCCTCGATGCCGCTGAGCGTAGCTGGCAATGCCGCCGGCGCTAGCTTGCGCGTGCTGGTGTTGGCCTCGAACAGCTGGAACCGCCCGTCGCTGGTCTTCAGCAGCACATACGGATCGCTGATCTGCGCACTGGTCACTGTGACACCCACATCGAGCTTGATCGTCTGCGTCTCGCGGCCCTGCGCATTGACCACACGCACGCTATCCGCCAGCACCTGCACCACGCGCGTGTGCCCCAGGATCTCCTGGACGTCCACCGTCGCCGCTGTGGTGCAGAACCCCGAGCGCTCCAGCTCGCTCAGCTCGTCGCCTGCCCGGAACACCGCCGACGAGCTGTCGCGTGAGAGAACCATGAACGTATCCGCCACGTCCTCCAGCGACTCGTCGTCGGCCGCCTGCATGACTCCGCCAATGTTGTACTCTTTGCGGCACCGCACCGTCCACACCCGCCGTACTGGCGCCCCAGGCAAATCAAACGATGCCACCACATCCGGCCGTACATGCCGCTGCTGCACCCGCAGGCTGCCACGCCATTCGCTGCCTGCACATGTCACCAGCTCCAGGCCCTCGTCGCCAGTGCTGCGCGAGGTTGCCAGCGCCGACGCTCCCACGTCCATCCCAACGATCGGCCCTGTGCCCAGGATCTCGTCGTGGACTGTGAACTTGAACCGCCGGTGCCAGCCTTCCAGCGCGTCCTGCCCGTCGCCTGCCCGCCCATTGCCGTCGCTGTTGCCGCCATCTGCACCTGCTGATGCGCTCAGCGTGTGTTGCGCGCCCATGCCCTGGTCGCCATAGAGCATTGCGTCAATGTCGTCAACTTCATTCTTGCTGGCACTCTTGGCCGCTGCCGTCGCACCGCTGCTGCCCGCTGCTGCCTCGCTTATCTCAAGCAGCACCGAGCGCCCGTCACGCCCGCCTACAAACACAAGCTGCGCGTCGTCTTCGGCAGTATCATCACTGCCCATGTGGAACTCCGTCACGCTGGACGGCAGCACATTGAAGATGTCCCAGCTGTGCTCCTGCGGTCGCTGCTCATCCTTGCGGAAGTCAATACCTGCGATCTGCTTGACTACCATCCGCTCCACGCGCCGCCCGTCGCCTACCAGCCGCACCAGGAACACTTGCCCCATATGCGTCCACAGCGCCAGCGTGTCTGCCCGCACAAACGCCAGTCCGCACCGGCTTGGATCCAGCACCATCTCCAGCTCCATGTTCGTGCGGTCGATAAAGTCCCGCATCTGCACCCCAATGCCATAGCACGCCAGCTTGCTCAGCACCGAAATGCACGTCAGCGTACCGTTGCTGATATGTGAGATCGAGCACGCCGCCATCACCACCACTCCACCGATCGGCTGCGGCACCGGCACTATCGTGTGGCTATCGTACGGCAGTCCATTGGCTGTCTGGATCACCGACATCACCCGTCGTCCCAAATCTAGCGACACCATCGAGACCACACACGTGTCGCGTCGCTTCTCCGCCATCCCCGCCCACATCACCTGCCGCTCGTGCAGAACCGCAAGCGTCGGCTCCAGGTACCCGTTCAGAAACACAAAGTCCCTCACATTGTGGATTTCAATGTCCGCCGCTCGCAGGTTGATCACGTAGCTGTCCATGTATGGCTTTGTCCCGTTACGCGACGGCTCGTCTGGTGCGATCAGCGGCAGAACCGCCACCTGGTCCTCGTAGATCCGCAGGAGCGCGCACCGCCCAGCCGGATCCACCCGCAGGTCGCACGTCTGGTGGTCGTTGAACGACTTGGGCTTCAGCGTCTCGTGCTCGTAGTAGTGAATCGACTCCGTTACCAGCGTCTGCGTGCTCGCCTCAAATGATACCAGCGACATCTTTGCCTCTGAAAACGACAGCAAAAGGCTGTCGATGCCGCGCCGCCCGCGCGTCCCGCACCGAACTGCTTTCATGTCCTTGATTGCCCCGTTCAGGCTCCACTGCCCGACCAGATGCAGCTGCGGCACTTTGCTGTCACCCGGATCGCCGCCCCTGCCCCCGCGTCGCGCGCCGCCTGTGATCATCGGGAAGTCAAACTACAACCCTCCTCCAAACTGTTAGGTGCCGTCCAAAACCCCCCTCACCTTCAACATCTCTGTATGCTAGTGCTTACCTCCTCTGCTTTCGCGCTCCGGTGCATGTATTCGTCGCTGGGAACGTCTCGGCTGCTTTCATCATTGCTGCCATACTGTCCCTGCCGCCGCTTGACGAATTCTACCTCGTAGAGCTCCAGCACATTGCCGCGTGCCAAGACCAACTCCGTCTTGCCCGCCCCCGTGAAACTCAGGCTGACCGACCGGTCCACTGAGCTCGCCGGCAGTATTTCCCGACAGTATGTGAACATTGGCTCTGACATTTGGACAGAAAACTACTTCGATTGGTGTAATTAAAAGGGGGAGGTTTGAATGCAAGAAAGAGGTTCAAAGTTTGGGCTTTTGCCATTGCCTGGTTGCTTTTTGTCTGGCCAAAAAAAATAGATCACTGAATTTTTTGTCCCAGCCTTGAGAGGTGTTATGGGAAGGGGTTTCTTCACCTGTGATCCTTGTTGATAGTAAGCCGATTAGATAAAAAAAACCACCTTGCTTCTCTTCCCACCATCCAGCTTCGTTGCCACCCCTTACGTTTCCTCCATGAATTCGCTCACATTCCGGTACAGCGCGCGCCTGCTGCGTCCGGCAGTAGTCCGGACCCAGACGCTCTACCCTCGCATGCTGCACTCATCAAACCGCCGCCAGTCGGACCCCAAAAATACCGCTCCCGATCTCGAGTCCATGCGCGGCGAAGCCGAGGGCGTTGCTCCCGAAGTCTCCACATACGCAATCGGTGCCACCGTGTTCTTCATCGGCGGCCTCTCCTACTATCTCTACAGCGAATACCACCATGCTATCTCCCGCTACCTGCCATGGTCCGCGCACCCGCCGCTGAGAGCGAGCCGACTGCTGAGAGCAAAGAGGCAAAGCGCATGAGCCGCTTGCGCAACAGGCTTGTTCCCAAGTCAACCATGTCGGCGATGGAGCAGGTGAACTGGGCGTGGACCCACCCGGGCTTGTACGCCACGGGATCCAACATGCATGGTCTGGTGGATCCGCTGCATCCTGGATCGGGCGTCGGCCTGAGGACCGCGGTTCCCGGACTCGATGGAAAGCTGATTAAAGATGCAGTCTTCTCGGAGACCCACGCGGCAGCCGTGGACTCGCAGGGCAGCCTCTACCAGTGGGGCACGGGCTTTACCGGCAGTATGGCGCCGCACCAGCCACTTCTAACCCGCACCGACGCCAAGATCACCGCCCTGGCAGCCACCACCGACTACATTGTCACGCTCGATAAGGACAGCCGCGTGAAGGTCCTGCGCGGCACGCATTCCAGCGAAGTCACCGAGAAGGCACTAGAGTTTGAGCCCAAGCTTGGCTGGCGCGAGAATGTCACCAGCATATCTGCTGGCGCCAACCACCTGGTTGTAGCTACGAGCTACGGCAACGTCTACACCTGTGCGCTAACCACTCAGGGCAATGACCGGTCGCAACTGGGCCACACTGCCGCGCCCCAGCCATTCACGCTACGCAGGCTCGACAGCGACAGGAAATTCGCCTCAGTTGCATGTGGCGCCCACCACACTCTGCTGCTTACAGACGATGGTGAGGTATTTGGTTGCGGCGCCAATGATTTCGGCCAGCTGGCTATGGGCGACTTTGCCAAAGGCACCACGACCGTTACCAAGCCGACGCCGCTCGCCAGCCTGTGGGCAAGCGGCCGCTTCGATGCAACAATGGCTCGCGCCGAGAAAATCGCGGCTGGCGCACATGCCTCGTATGTTGTGACTCGTTCCAACGACGCCGTGCAGCTCCTGGCTTGCGGCAACGGCATCAATGGGCAGCTCGGCAACGGCACATTGCCGCATATGCAGGGCCGGTTCACTAAAATCCAGGCGCTCTCCGACCACCAGGAATTCGACAGTATCACGCAGACCCGCAGACCCATCGCCATTCGCACACTGTCGGCTGCCAATGACCACGTCGTGGCTGTGCGCGACAACCAGACGAATGTCGCTGAGGACAAGTCGGGCAGCTCGGTCAGCAAGACGCCGGTATTTGGATATGATGTGATGGCATGGGGCGGAAACGCCAATGGCGAGTGCATTCCGGGGCGCAAGCATAGGTTTGCCGAGCCCGTCCATCTGCCACCTTTGTTTGCAACAAAGGTTGATGGCAAGACAGAGTCGAACAATGCCGTTCGCTTGCAGGCCGCGCCTCGCCAGTGGGTTTCTGCAAACAGCTTTGCTAATGTCCAGCAGGGCTCGGTGTCGGGAAAGCTCCTTGTCGAGCAAGCGTTTGTTGCTGGCCACGATGTCACTGCTGCTTTCCTGAAACCGGCAAACTAAATTGTGCTTTAATTGCTGAACGCTCGATGTCACTTCACATATCAACATAGAAAAGTGCCAGCCTAAGCCGGGATACTGGCAGTATATACAGCAATCCGGCTCGCAGGGCTCTACTTTTAAGCAAGCTGGTGGTTGGACCCTGTCACCGCTGAGCATGATACCCTAGTGATATGGAATCCAAATGTTAATAAATGAGACGAGTTCAATCTTGCACAGAATGCGACTGTTTTCAAGATACAAAACGACAGCAAATCTGGCTATGGCATTGCAGTGGACATTGGCAGTTATTGACTGTATCAAGCAGGCACATCATTCTGGTGTAAGAAGAAGCTGCAGCTAGTACCGACGACGCGTCAACGATGGCTTGAAATCAACTGGGTGCGACTCCTCCGTAGCCTCGTCGTCCTCTTTCCAGATCTTAATGGTCTTATCTGCCTCTCCAGTAATAAGCCGGAACCCAGTGCGATCAAATGTTGAGCAAAAGATTCCTGCCTCGCTGTCAAGCGACCCGGGTTGGGCTACGGTCTCTGTTTCCTGGAAGCAATATGCAGACTTCCAGTCCCAGAAGCGCATCGATCCATTATCGGCTCCCGAGAACACTACCCCGTCGTGGTTGACCGACAGAGTGTTGACGATCGAGTTTGTGCCCCTCAAAGTTTTGCACGAAATCGCCCCTAGGACACCGCCACTGCTTGATATTATCTGAGCTGCCGCTCAGGAACCCAAACTCAGTTGGGTGCAGGGCCAGGGCACGCACAGACTTCTTGTGGTGCGTCAGCGTAGCCATCGACTTTCCCGCCGCTAGGTCCCACAGCTTCACAGTTGAGTCCATCGATCCCGAGATAATCTGCGGATCCGCCTCTTGACACTGCAATGCCGAGACGGTCGAGGTGTGGCCCGACAAGAGGTGCACTTGCCGGCGCGTGCGCATGTCCCACACCCGAGCCACCGAGTCACGTCCGCCGGTAACCAAAAGGTCCAGTGTTGGGTGCAGGGCCATGGAATATATGCCAGACAGATGTCCGTTGTACTGGCGCACAACCTTGTTCGTCTCAAGGTCCCAGCATTTGACTTGCTTGTCCTCGCCACATGAGAACAAGTAAGGGTGCCGGGCCGACACAACCAGTCCACGCACTGGTGAGATATGCCCAGTCAGTGTCAACTTCAGTGTACCGGATGCTAGGTCCCAAATCTTGATAGTACGGTCAACGGATCCCGACGCAAACCATTTGTTTCCGGGCTCAACCGCCAGAGCACGCACCCAGCCAATGTGTCCACTAATCACGCGCATGAGCTTCCACGGTGCATGCCATGTAGGGCGCACAGGCTCATAGGCGCGCTTGCGGACAATCTGCTGGCCTGGTGGTGGCGGCAAGCTGTCGACTTGCGCTTTGGCAGCCGCTGCCAGTACCAAGTCGCGCGTCGGTTTCTTCGGCTTCTTTGATTTTGACTTTAAATGCCTCCCAGATAGCCCATCCAGTACCTTTTGCACATCGTCCTCAACGTCCGTAGTAAGCGATCCAAGCAAGCGCTGTTCGCCAGCAGCTGTAAGGAGCTTCTGTCCTGGCCTGCTATTAGCTAGTGGCAAGCCTCCACTTGGCTGTTCTGAACCTTCCAACGTGCTTTGCTGCTGCTGCTGCTGCTGCTCCTGGGTAAGCATGCCGTGTGGAAGTTCGCGCGATGCAAGGTACTCGGCCCTATACCGGGTCGAGACACCAATCTTTTGTGCCTGCGCTGTACCCTCGGCCTTACTGTTGGTGGATCCGTTGAATAGCGCGTGCGTTGATTTAACAGTTTGCTGCGTGAGCAAATCCAGCACGGAATCCATATTGTCAGCGGCACTTGCCATTGGTGTTGAAAAAAGAATAGAAAATACTGAGGTGATGGAGTGGTTAGCTGGTGAATCCAATGTTTTCGGACTCGGCAGCATCAATATCTTATTTTTTGTACATACGTGCATTCCTGTGAATTTATGGTTGCACGTGATTTATATTAATGAGATCTGAATCGCTGAGCAGACCATGCTTGAAACAGTGCTCCCATTATTTTCTGGACCTCTTAGAGCACAGCCATCTCCCTCAGCGCCTATATGCTGGCCGTAAAATGTTTTTTAATTAATGGGCTATATGTCCGCATATAGTTGTCACCAGCGGTCAATGTAATACCCAAGTATTTCAAAGCTCTTGTCCACTGATGATGGCGCACGCCCTGTGTAGATTGACGAATTGCAACGCCATACATAATAAGGAATGTGAGGTGCCACAGTAGCACACGAAAATTATCTTCGCCGCTGCCTGCCCTTTAATGGATAGTCGTCCGAGCATGCAAAGTTTGCTACCAACGCACGCTTTCCTTGTTCGTTTTGTTTCCTTTCCTTTTCCATTTTGATATAGCCCATTCAAAATCATATCAAAGGATATCCGCTTTCCCACATGCCACCTACATGCTGACGATGTCCATGGCGATTGACCAAGCGAAAGATAACCCCTTCAACCCGCTCCTCCACACGCCGATCGCCTCTGGCGGATCAGGCACCAAAGAGCTGTACAGCCCCATTGCGTTTGATATCCTACTATCCTGAATGCACTCAGCATCGTCAGCAGTATCCTCAGCATCACAATCCTCATATTTCTGCGCAAACGTCACCATGGGTATAAACAGAGGTGGAGTGCACAGCCGAATTTCGCAGCGCGTAATCATGCTGGCATCTATCATCGATATTCTGTATAGTGGGTTCAGGATATACAACATGGCCATTCAGTCAATCGAATACACGCAGCGACAGCGAGCAAAACTGCCAGGCCGCTATGTTTGGCATGACATTCTTTGCGCTGTTGTCTGTGTTCACTCGGGCATTGCTGAGTGTCCATGTGCATATGGTCGTTGTGTACAGAGTTAGTCGTGCTGTAGCTTACGAGACGAGATTCATGGTAAGCGCATTTTTTGTAGCACTGGCGCTGGCTTTATTGCCGCTGACCAGGTACTCGTACGCATGGATCACGTTCGATCCGACTCTAGGCTCTGGCCACTGTTCATATTTTTCTCTGGAATCGGTTCCGCGCGATTACGCAGCACATTCAATGCCTGAGGATGAGGCGAGACGGGCTGTTGTTTCTGGGCTGCTGTGGTGCTGGGCCACTTATTTCGCCTGGGTCGCCTTAACTGTCGCTTACTGCATCATGGTTGTAGCCGTAGTGATCTGGCGCCTGTGGAGCGACCGCCAGCGGACATCTCGGCTGATCTCTCAGCACCAGCAGATGATTGATACACAGAATGAACGTGAAATGCCCGAGCCGCACCCAGATGAGCTTGAAAGCAAGGAATCCGATGGCGCAGAGTACATGCTGGTATTTGCACGGTGGGGCGCCGAGCGGCGGGAACTCTGGGCATTGGCGAACAAGGTTCTCCGGCGAGTTGCCCAGTTCCTGCCACCATCATCGCCTGCCATACACTGGAGGTTGCCTGGGCTACAACAACGCTAATGCGCATCATGCCGATTCTCCATTCAGGGGTAGCTAAAGGCACAGCCGATCTGAAGCGCCTGTATGTCGCCATGCAGGTGATGCTGGCAATGCAAGGCATTTTCACTCTGTTGGCGCTATGCCTTGAGCCTGATGTCAAGCAGCTGGTAGTGAGCTGGTGGATGTCGTGGTATGTGAGAAGATCGGAGTCCAAGCGGCGCGTGTCCCAGGCGAGTAGCTTCGCAGCATCTACGCGCACGGGTGGTATGGGCATGGTGCCGCCGCCAGCTGTATTTACACCTCCTACTCTGGAGAATATGCCCTGGGATATTGTTGTGTTTGATTCGGCTGCGTCTGCGCGGCATCGCGAGTCTGGCAATATATAAATCTGCAACCTACCAGCTACAGGTCATGGTGCTCCATGGGTGTGGTGTGAATGTATTTTAAAATAGTGTCGAGTACGTTGATGGAGATTTCTGCTGTGTTTCTTGGGTTCTCGCTTCCCATTCGTGCATGATGGAGCTAAATTCTATCTGCACGTCTGGGCACTAGTATCTGCATGTTAGAGTACGGGCTGAGTGCACGAGCACCAGTGAGCAAGCCTCATTCGTCCAAAATGCGTGCGTGCTTTCCATTATGGCCGCCTCTTTTCGGTGCACCGAACTCATGTGGGTGTGCACTTCACCCCGCATGCACACATGAGCAAAATGGAATGTGGGTTGTAGAAGAAATTGGGCACCCTTCTATCATAGACGTCACATGCGCCAAAAAGTGAATTTTGCACTACTTGCTGTCTGAGCTTACCAATCTCGTTTGTTGCTATTGGAATCCTCAACCATCACGCTTAACCCTTATGACAGCGAGGGCCGAGCACATCACTTTTGTGTGATGTCATTGTCATGGGTATACATGGTTGTGTTTTTACTCCACAGCAATAACTGCTGCGGGTAGGAGGTTTTTCTGCTGGTACAATCCGCACCAATATTTTGCTGCCCTAGCCTGCCCATCTCAAGTTAAAAATATTGCATATCAAATAATGTGCATGGCGACAATCTGGCCAATTCAGCACACGCCGTTCGTACTTTCCGCCTATGTTTGCTAGTTCCCAAAGAGGGGCCCAATTGCATCATCTTCCTCTCAATCACGCAATGGCTTATTGACGTTTATCAGTTTTTTCTTTGCTGGGAGCGGGTGAGGGATGTGTCCTTCCCAGGTCCATCCTTCCATTCGTGGTAGAGTCGATCTTTACATAATGTATGGCCTTTTCTATGTGGAAAATGTAGACAAGCACAATCAGACAGGTCATCCAGCGACTGATCAGGCGGGGTAAAGCAACCAGAGGCGTAAAAAGCATATTCCTTCACCTCCTGGCCATCGCTGTTCTATATTTGCCTCCCTATAAATTCCGGATTCTACTGCAGCCAGCAGCCATGTTTCCACGCCTTACTAGCTTTCTTTTCCACCCAGTCCTGCTATCTGCTAGCGCATAATTAGCATTACCTTCCATTATCCAGCACTCACCTAATACTAGTGTCTCATCTCTTCGGCAATCCCACCCCCTTCCCATGTCCGTCTCCAGCCAGCCGGCTACTGGCCCGACTGTGAACTACGTCGAGCCGCGTGCATCCACAAAGCAGTGGCTGAAGGACAATGTTGTGCCCTCAAAACAGACATCGGTCAACTATGTCAAGTCGCTGTTCCCGATCGCAACCTGGATCTACCGCTACAACTGGACCTGGTTCCTTGGCGATGCAGTTGCTGGCCTTACAGTCGGTGTTGTGGTCATCCCGCAGGGCATGGCCTATGCCAAGCTGGCCCAGCTGCCGCCCGAGTTTGGTCTCTACTCATCGTTCGTTGGCTGTGCGCTGTACTTTATGTTCGCCACCAGCAAGGATATTACAATCGGACCTGTTGCTGTGATGTCGACGCTCTTGGGCAACATTCTGCACGACGTGCTGCCGCATCTGCCGCAGTACAAAGACACGCCTTGGATAGTCGCTGGCTGCATGTCAGTAGTCCTCGGCTGTATCGTGACCGGGCTCGGCCTTTTGCGTCTTGGCTTTATTGTTGACTTTATTCCGCTCCCCGCGATTGCTGCGTTCATGACCGGCTCGGCCCTCAACATCGCCATGGGCCAGATCCCGACTCTGATGGGCAACAACTCGGTCAAGGCATACAATACCCGTGCGTCTACGTATCTGGTGTTTGGCAACTTCTTCAAGTACATCAAGTCGTGCAATATCAACTCTGCGGTTGGCCTGACTGCGCTGTTCCTTCTCTATCTGATCAGGTGGGGGTGCAAGGCTGCTGGCAAGCGGTGGCCCCAGAGGGAGCGCCAGTTCTTCTTCCTCAGCACTCTGCGCACGGCATTCGTCATTCTGCTGTACACGCTCATCTCGTACCTTGTCAACCGCAACTCGCGCGCCAAGCCAAAGTTCTCCATCCTGGGCACTGTCCCCAAAGGCTTCCAGCACATTGACGTCCCCCATGTCAACTCGGACATCCTCAGTGCTGTCTCGGGCCATATTCCGGCAGCCATCATTGTGCTGATCATTGAGCATATCTCGATTTCCAAGTCGTTTGGCCGCATCAACAACTACACCATCAATCCGAACCAGGAGCTGATTGCCATCGGTATCACCAATATCTTTGGCCCGTTCTTCGGCGCATACCCGGCCACCGGCTCGTTCTCGCGTACCGCCATCAAGGCCAAGGCCGGTGTACGCACGCCGCTCGCTGGAGTGATCACTGCGGTCATGGTTGTGTTCGCCATCTATGTCCTGCCCCCGGTCTTCTTCTACATCCCGAACGCCCTGCTGGCTGCTGTCATTATCCACGCTGTCGGTGACCTGATCTCGGGCCCCAAGACCATCATGCAGTTCTGGAAGATCTCGCCCATCGAATTTTTCATCTTCTGGGCTGGTGTCCTCGTCTCGGTGTTCTCGTCCATTGACAACGGTATCTACACCTCGGTCGCCGCTTCTGCTGCACTGCTGCTGTTCCGCATCGCCAAGGCGCAGGGCAAGTTTGTCGGCAAGATCAAGGTCTACGAGCAGAAGCTGCTGAGCGAGGACAACAACGAAAAGTCCACTGAGTCTCGCCACGCTTTTGTGCCGCTTGACCACTCTGACGGCACCAACCCCTCGGTCAAGCCCACGCCCCCGCCCAGCGGCATCTTCATCTACCGGCTTAACGAGAGCTACCTGTATCCCAACGCTGTGCATTTCACTGACCACATGGTCGAGCAGATCCTTCTCGAGACCCGGCCCGGTGTGCTCAACCCGTATGGCTCTCTCGGAAACCGGCCCTGGAACGACCCAGGACCTCGTCACAAGTCCGAGTCCGACATTGACACCTCGAAGCCCGAGCTGCGTGCTGTCATTCTGGACTTCTCTGGTGTCTCCAACGTGGATATCACTTCGGTGCAGAACCTGACCGATGTCCGCCAGCAGCTCGACCGCCATGCCGACTGCAGCGTCTCGTGGCACTTTGCCTGGTATCAAGTCGCAGTGGATCCGCCGGTCTCTGATTGCTGCTGGCTTTGGCTCCTCGGAAACTGCCACTCGCACTGTGTTCAGTGTCGCCAACAGTCACTGCTGCATCAGGACTAGCTGCCACTCGATCCAGGTCTGCATTTACGATGAGGAGGTGCCTGGTAGATCGAAGAAAGGCATCACGAGAGCTTGTTGGCATGGTCCATGCACCTTGCGCTCCCTGTGCTCAGCACTGAGTATCCCAACTTCCACATCGACCTCGACGAGGCGCTCAAGGCTGCCGAGGCAGAGCTTGGTCTGTACGAGACCTACTAGTTCCATTTTAATTCTCCAATCCATTGTCCAGGCACTGTCCACAAGAAATGTGCTAGCCACGTATCTGCTGCCTGAGGGTGATGTGGTGAAAGATATGAACCTGTATGTATCCAAAATTTGTCGAGAATAAATACGCGAAAAAGAAATGTAGTTTGTGTTTAGTACTCGTCATCGATGGCCTCCTGAATCATCTCGATAGCGCGCTCAACACCGGCGCGCTCACCGGTAACGGTAACCCAGACGGATTCATCTCCACGCTTGGGCACGGTGACCTCGCAGCCCGTGGCATCGCGGATCTTGGCAATGTTCGACCCCTGCTTGCCGATGATCCTGCGGTGCAGGCGGGGCTCAACACGCACGGCGGCCTCAACACCCAGGTCAGCGCCAGCCAGCGACTTGTTGATCATCGCAATAGCTTCGGCCAGCTTGGCCTTCTCGCCGCGGCACACCCATTCGGCAGTCAGTCCGCTGAGCTCGTCGCCCAGGTCATGGAACACAACGTCCTTCTCCTCGTCGTCGTCGATGCGGCGCGCCTTGGAGGAGGCAGGCGCCTTGTCGACGCGGACAGCATCGACCTGCACATCAAACTCGTTGCGCACGCGGCGCCACAGTGAGCCGCCGCGACCACCCAGACGCTGGTGCACGGCCAGGGGCACGGTAATCTTCTCTTCCTCGCGCACCAGAGCCAGCATGGCCACCTTGCAGGCCTCGCAGTTCTCGGGCAGACCAGAGATCTTGACGAGGCTGGGGTCCTCGGCGCCAGCCGCGCTCTTGCCGTGCTGCTTCGAGCGGAAGTGGATCTCGACGCTGTGCTCATCCTGCAGCTGCTTCAGATGCGCACCGCCGCGGCCAATGATGAAGGCGTGCTGCGACACCGGGATGGACACAGTGATGGTGGTCATGCGCTCGCGCTCCGCAACCAGCTCCTCGATCGCCTGCTTGACCTTGTCCACGATCTCCTTGTCGCCCTTAAGCTTCACCTGGTCGGTGTTCTCGGCTGCACGCGGGAACTGCACGCGGCACGACTTGGGGCCGGCCATGGCCTCGGGGTCGCCGCCAGCCTGCGTCACCAGCTCGCGCACACGGCTGCCACCCGCGCCAATCAGGAAGCGGTGGTGCTTAGAGGGCACATCCAGCACAATGTCTATCTGCGACTCCTGCTCGGCCACAATGGCCTCAATGGCCTCCCGGGCCATCTTGACACCGCCCTTGGTGCCAACCACGGTGATCTCAACCGTCGTCTCGCCCTCCTTGGCATCGGAGATGTCGATGCGCGTCTCGCTCTCGTCCTTGATCTCGTTGATGTGCGAGCCCGCCTTGCCGACAATGTGGGGCAGGAACGTAGCAGGCACGCTGAATGTGATTGTGTGGTTGTGCTCGACCTCGTACTCAGCCAGCTCAAGCAGCTCGCCCTTGGCGCTCTCGACGCCCTTGCGACCACCACGGATGCGGATCTGGTCGGCGCCCAGGGGAGCCCCGTGCTCCTCGTCGTTGTCACGGCGCGACGACGGGAACTGGATACGCACAGCGTACTTCTCCTCGAGCCGCTTGACGTAGCGTCCGCCAGTGCCAATCAGCGAGCGGTGGATGTTGGCTGGAACGCTGATGATCTCCGAGGTCTGGTCAGCGAGGCGCTCGGCGAACTCGAGAATCTCGGCCTTCACCGCAGCCACGTCCTCAGCGGTTCCCTGCAGCTTGACAAGCGCGGGAACACCCGGAGCAGTCTTGTCGGCGATGTCAATCTGCACATCGCGCTCCGAGCGGATGCGCTTGATGTTCTCGCCACCACGGCCAATGATGCGCGGCAGGATCTGCTGAGGCACGTTGAACTCGTCGCGGAACGAGTGCAGACGCGTGTACTCCTCCTGCTCCTTGACGCGCCTCTCGAGCTCCTTGACCACACGCTTGACGCTGGCATTCAGGCCCTTGACAGCAACCTCCTCAGCACCGGCCTGCACCTCGTCCTTGCGGCGGGTCACACGCGTGTTCTCGGCCTCAGGGGCGCTGGGCAGAGCACCAAACTCGAGCACAACACGGCCGTGCCCTCGTTGGCCTTGGCGGCAGCCAGGATCTCCTCGAGCATCGTGGGCTTGCTGAACATGCTCTGCAGCTTGGCTGGCACAGCCACAACCCTGGTCTTGTAGGTGCTGTCCTTTTGGATCGTCTGGCGGAACTCCTCCAGAGTCTTCTTCAGCAGCTCGCGAGTGGCCTTCTCGCGCTGGTCGCGGTCTGCCAGATGGTCCACATCGGGGTTGAAGCCCTCGTAGACAACCAGGATGTCCTGAGCCGTGGGGTCCTGCGGGAACAGTGCAAACACCGACCGCGACGCCTGCAGACGTGCAACATTTGCGCCCTCGCGACCAGCCAGCAGCGAATGCAGGTGCGGCTCAACGTCAATGCTGTTGAAGTGGTACGGCGGGAATGCCATGAACAGCGACACCAGCGCCTGGCGGGCAGCAGCAACCGAGCGGGCATCCTTGCCCTGGATCTCAATCTGCACCTGCTCGGGCGCAGTAGCACGCTGGGCAGTCGCCGGCGAGGGAATGCGCAGAGTCACACCGTTCTCGCTCTCAATGCGGCGGAAGCGGTTGCGGTCATGGAAGTACCGCAGGGCACGCTGCGTATAGACCAGAGGCCGCTCGTAGGCGTGGATGCTGGTCGGGTCAACTGTCTCGATCGTGACAGAGTTTGCCTTGCTCATGACGAGGCCGAGAGCCTGCACGAGGTTCGACTCCGCACCACGAACTGTGACCTGGTCCGACGGGCTGCTGGGAGCCGGCACCAGGACAGCGCAGCCAGTAGCGTTGATAATTTCCTTCAGCGTGGCACCGCCCTCGCCGACAATGAACCGGTGCTGGCGCTTGGGCACAGTCACAGTGACCGTCTGCGACGACTGCAGCAGCTGCCGAGCCGTCTCCTCGATATCTTTGATGGCGCTTTGAACTGCGTCGCGCTCGCCAAACACCGCAATTGTCTGGTCGGCCTCAATTGGGCCAGGGATGCGGATGTGTACGTCGCTGTGTGTCGCCTGCAGGGCAGCCAGTGTGGCGCCCTCCTTGCCAACAAGCAGTGCGTTGAGCTCGTGCGGGATGCTGCCGAGACGCACTGCACGCTTGGTCGTCTTCTGGTCGACGATAGCGTCAATTTCGGCGATAGCAGCGGCAACACCAACCGAATCACCGGTGATGGCAAGGTCGACCACGTCGAACAGGTCGCTGCTGCCCATGCTTGGCCGCGACGTCATCTTGATCTGGGTGCCAGTGCGCGTCTGAATAGCCTGCAGAGTGCGTCCGCGCACACCGAAGATCTGGGACCGCACGCTAGCAGGGGCCTGCATAAGCTTGGTGATCTGGGGCGACAGTTTGGCGCAAATCTCACGCTTGGCACGCGCAACGTCCTCGGGCTTGCCGCTGACCAGATACGTCGACGTCTTCAGAACTCGGTTGTGCGAGATCTCGATTTGCGTCTTGGTCTGCTGCATGATCTTGCGCGCAACGTCGCCAACCGAGTCCATAACCAGCGGCAGATCGAATACCTCTGTCGTGCGCTGCGACTTGACCTTGTCGGCAATCGACTGAGGACCAGCGGCAGACCTGGCTCCCCATGCAGGCGCCTTCTTGGTGGCAGGCGCGCCGAGCGACGGGAACAGATCCTCGCTAGCCAGATCCAGCGGCTGCTTCTTCTGTGGCACACGCGCTGCCGACTGTTCCACCTCAAAGTCGTCCTTGTCATCGAGATCACCCGATGTGCTGGCAGCCGCAGAGTCCACGGCGCTCAGGAATGCAGCGGCGGCAGAGGGAGCAGAGTCGTCCTCGGCCTCAGACACAAGGCTGGCTGCAGCCTCGGCCACCGTCTCGACCTCCTCAGAAGCAGTAGCCTCTAGAGGAGTGGGCGCCTCTTCGTCGGCAAGCACCGACTCGACAACGGCCTCAGCGACAGCATCGACCTCGACAACGGCCTCAGCCTCTGCTTCGATTTCGGCATCAGCAACCTCGGTGGCAGACTCCTTGGGAGCCTCCTCCTTCTTCTCGAGAACAGCGGGGAAATCAGAATCGTCAGCAACCGCAGGAGCAGCAGCCGCAGCAGCAGCCTCAGCAACCGCCTGGGCCTCAGCCTCGGCCTGAGCGGCAGCAGCAGCAAACTGGGCAGCAGGAGACAAATCGTCCGACATTGAAAGAATACAGATGGGAAATTGTTAAAGGTTGAAGTTTCAGTTAAACCGGATACAGCAGCAATCGCGAGAATAAGACCGACACGCAAAGATAAAGACACTAGTGCAGTGAGTTTATAGACGAGGAAGAAAAGCAGATAAAGTTGTATTGTTGCGAAGAAGAGAAGGATGTGGAAACGCCAGCCCGGGTAGCCTGGAGGACGCCAACCGCTTTGCTGTCGGGCCATTATTCTGCCTGTTCCTGAGATCGCACTTGCACTCTCAGGCCCTCTTTCCAGCTGTTGTACAGGTTTTCTCGCGGCTGCTGGGAACACGCCATTGGCTGGAGCTGAGACACGAGCACGGGATGGCGAAAGCGAGGGACGATCTGCCAGTCGAGCGTGCGATCGTCGCTACTTCCCAGAAGAGCCGCCTGCCGCAAGCAGTAGCGGCGGAGAATGCCGCACACTCAGGCGTGCGACGCACGTTGCCGAGTACTCTCCAGCCGGCTCTGCTCGAGCCGCTGCCCCAGGGAATCGTATGCCGGCTGGCCGCACAGGTCGTAGAGTCCGATGCGTGGACAAAGCAGGGACATAAGCACCACCATCCGGCTAGCGAGCATCAGGTTAGAACCACGCGTGCCCACATAAAAGTTCTTCAACGACAGAGAGAGCGGGTAGTGCTGCATATACAGCACCTCGGCCACAGCCATGTCGTTACAGATACAGTCTAGGTGTGTCTCCATGAACCTCACATGCTTAGGTTTGTCACCGGGCTCGGCCGGATGTGAAGCCAGCCTGCACGCCCCCTCACATCCATCATGCAGTCTATCGGTACCCATCAGGCTTGGCGTCGATACACACTCGAACTCGAGGGTTTTGATCAGCGGCAGCACACTAACCAGCGAAATAACCTGCTCAAGGGTGCAAGCGAGTGAACGAATTCGGAGTGACTCCATTCTGGCTCCAATCGTCTCTAGCGATGGCCAAACAGACTCAAACCGGATCGGATGCACCGCATCGAACTTGAACATTTTCATGGTGCTCTCAGCTGGGAGGGCGGCCCGCAGCATATCGGATATCGGCATTGTGCCGGTGGCTGGTCCAAAGTACATGTACTCCGCGACATCGAGGGCCATCAAACGCTCTCTTCTAAGCACGCCATTTGTCAGGAACATATCCAAGTTGTGCCTTGTCAGCAGCACTGTGAGCTTGCTTAGAGTCTTTGTGTTGCCGCGGAACACCACATCCCCAGCGAACGGGTAGGGGCTAATGCTGTTGACAGTACAGAGTACTGGGAATGGTACATGTCTGACTTCCTGGAACTTGTACTTCGTGTCAAAGTGAATCTCGGAGCCGCCAGGAAAAATGGAGAAGACCTTTAATCTGCTGTACACGAGCCCCTCTCCACTGCTGCGGTAACAAATCCGAGAAATCGCTTCCGGTATGGCAGTGCGGATCGCCAGGAACTCCAGCGATGATGCATGTCTCCGGGCGAGTTCGATAACTGGCGAGTTGTGGCCACTGATGCTGCCATTCAGATACTGCAGACTAGAAAAGGACCGACTGAACTTGACATAGCTTTCTGCTGAGGCAGCCGGGATATCAGGATTCACAAGCCGACAGGTGATCGTGTCCAGCAGCTCGTCGTCCTTTGGCTGGATACGACGTGTTGAGCCAGTAATCTTCAGCTTGCTCACATTGGGAAACATCCTTCTGATTGCAGCGCAAAAGGACAAGATGTTGTCCTTGGACTCATCCAAGTCAATATCTGTCTCATCTGACGATGACAGGATACTGAGGTCTAGGATACTGACCCCAGGCAAAACCTTGCAGGTGCTAGGCAGCATACCTAGCCCCTTGACATACGAGCCATCAAGAATCATATCTCGTCGGCATGCGACAGTAAAAGTCTTCACGACTCCGGCTCCCTCATTCCTGATCGCATTCATGAACTTGTTGGACAGGAACCTGCTTGTCTTGCAGCCTCCACGAATATTCTTGATCGTGTTCCAACTGACAGACTTGTACAGATGAGTGAGCGACACTTTCCGCCAATGCTTGCACACGCCCGGCAGCGCCCATTCTGCTATACATAAGTCGCATTTGCTTGAGCTGGCTAGGCCTGGGAGCGGATAAAACTCTAGCACATAGTCGACGATCCTCTCCAGGATGATGAATGGCAGGGTTTGTGCGTAACTCATTGTTGGTCCAGGGATTGGGTATCGGGCTGTTTCGGAAACCAGATATGCAAAATGAGTGAATATACCGAGTAAGGTGGTGTTGTAGTGAGAAGGTAGCTAGGACCCCCGGACCCTGCACCTCGCCTTTATATATCCTGGATTGTTGGTTGACGACAGCAGTATATTATTTTCCATGACTTGCATGTTATTGGCATTTGCATTAGCCAGTGCTAGCTCTGACTTCAAGGTAGAATCTATTTTTGATCTGGAGACTTTTTTAGAATGCCAGTCTGATGCTGCCGTAGCAGCATGCTATTCATTGTGAAGGTCTGCGTGTATTTTCATGTATGGATTTGCTTTTTATATCAGCAATTGTGTGTAATTTAGTAAAACAACTTGATGCATTCTATGACGAGAATATAGGCAAACCGAGCCATGTTCAGAGCTTACTCATAACCATGCTCACACCCCTCTTCACAAAGCCACCGGTCTTCTTTAAGCAAATGCTTGGCTTTTTCAGGTCCTTGAAGAATGCTGTAGTCCACTGTGCTGAGGCTGATTGCTCTTGCGCATAGTGAAACTCGACTGGGTCATCATCACTACTAAAGTAGATTTCAAACAGAATGCCCTCCTTGTTTTTTCTGCGCATCAGTGCTCGCTTGGCCGCCATCTCGCACTTTTCCACGTCGAATGCGTACTTGATGTCGCTGAACACACAGGCAAAATACTCAAACGGGCTGAAGAAGTTTGTAGCTGGTGCCATTCTCACGGCTTCCATTATTTGGTTTTCCTCGATGGCCTCGTAATACCGGGCATAGATCACACTGGAGGTATGCCAATGCTCACAGTCTGTGACAATGGTCTTCCCAAACTCTTCCATTGTTGCAGGCACATAGAATATGCGTTTCTGAAGCTTTGGGCAGTGAATTGAGAGCAAAAACCGCTGGTACAAGTCGCTAAAGCCAATTACGAGGAAAATCCCTGGTCTTGTAGCCATGTCAATAATAGTCGCCATGTTGAATGTTCAGCTTTTGGCAAAGAAAAGAGTGATTTGGTTGGTTGAGTGCACAAAAGCTGTCAAGGGATGAAGTTGTGGAGAAAGGAGAAGCAGGAGGGATTATGAATCTGAGCTGGCTTGCCATTTAAACAAATCCACTATTGCCCACTTTCATCTCCTGCGTTTAACTTCAACAAACTCTCCCGGTGCAAAAGACCTATTGAGCTATACCTTCAGAATGGGTGAGACTTTTCATTGCGAGAGTAAGGAAAACAAAATGACAAGTGATGGGACATCTACAAAGAACCGGCCTATTGCTCTCTCCGATACCCACTCTCCAGTCGGTTCCCTTAGATTCAGCACTGAGGCTTTATCTCAAAATAGACTATGGAGCTAAGAGTATGCTTGCTTCATATACCTGGGCTGCGAAAGACAGAGGTCTGCAGACTGCACACCAGTTAGACAGTAAATGCATTTAGCATCTACAAGACCAAGAAGGCACGAGTCGAGTATACTGTAGCATACTCCATCTCGTAGTTCACACGCTGGTATCTCAGCAGGAACTATGTGTATGGCAGGACTCATTTCTGCAAGCGTTTTATCTAATTGATCGTTCCGTACGCTTTGCAGTTTCAGCGTATAGAAAAGCACTCAAGAGGCGATATGTGTGAATTCTGGATACGTGCTCCGACTGTGAATTATATGCCCTTGGCATAGTGCGCCGAGATAGCGCTCGGAAATGTAGTGGCCATTCGAGCCAATATGGCTTTCTGGTCGCTGCAAAACGACAGTCGCATTGCAAATATTAAACAATTGATATTGGAACACAAACTCAAAGCGGGACACGCTGGATGTGTTTACTCCTATTCCAGTCTTCACGCCACAAGCTATATCTGATTCGCCTCATCGAATTCAAAATCCAAATATATGCGGTTCCCAGACAGCCTAACCTCCATGCATCGAACTCGGTCTTGCGCGTCCCTGTTAAAATATCTGCATTCTTTGGCCTTGTCAAATGCTGCGAGAATTTCGCTGTTGGGCTTACTGCCAACGCTGTCAATCTCGATTCGCTTGATAGACTTGAAGATACTGGCCAGCAGCAAGATGTGCAGTGCCGTGTATGAACATGAGGTAAAGTTAACAACTGCGACGCACAATCTGGTGAGCCTTGTACTAACTGGGGGCACGTTCTTTTGCTGGAACACCTCGATATCGGCATCAGAAGTACGTCTTCGCTCGTTAGCGTCCCCATTGTCTTTCAGTATCACTGCCATTGATTGCAGCTCAGGGAACTTGCTGATCAGCCGGATTGCTTCGGCAATGGTGAACTCGACGCCAGCTATGTTCAAGTCCACTTCATACACGCATTTATACAAGGCGGTCATTTCTCGATTGGGACGAGCGACACGTACTTTGAAAATACCTTTTTCGAGAACCGGACTGGGGACAGTAAGCGCCTGAGATCGCATATTGGGTCAACATACAAATGCTCATTTTCAGTTACATCCCATGTCAGATCCATATAGCGCAGATTTGGGAACGAGCCAGCAGAGAACACGCTATCTCTGGCAAACCTTTCATACACCTCGCCATACAGGGTCACCTTCACCACCTCTACCGTAGGCTGGATCCATAGAAGCACGAGGCTGGTGGGGAATGGATATATCTCCTTGCATATGAGTCGCCGCAGCTCCGGAAAAGGGTTAGCCTGGAGTGTGTAGCTGTTGTCATTGCGTATCCCACAAATGTAAGACGATATCTTGAACATGCGCAGCTGTGAATATACAATAGGCAGCCCGCCTGTTGGGCTCATGAACAGTTTTCTGAACGACTCGTACTCAGTGGTATCTACGGATAGTGTCTCCATATGGTCCGCGTAGCGTATAGCCAGGTCAGCACTGCCGCTACAGCCATCGTCGCTCAAATAAACGTGCATGTGCTTGACATTGGGTGCCAGCCAACTTTCCAAAGCTGTATACGAAAGCTCACCGCAATGAATACTCAAATACTGGACTGACGGCGCGGCGCCCAGAAACGCAGACAGCGCATGTGTGTTAATCCGCTGTTTGTTTAGCATGGAATCCTCGTCACCATAATACAGTACCGAAACAATGTTTGGCATCGCCTCCCTGAGCAGCTCGCTGACACAACTGACGTTCAAACAAAACTCGTTTTCTAGACTGGCGAGTGCCCGTGGGCTAAACCTAGGCAGACGAGATGCGTACCTGTTATACTGATAGTGAGAGCGGCCAACAGAGATACTGAGGGTGACTGTATGGACATTCCTGAGCTTGCCTTTGCACTGGGCAAACAGAGAGTCAACTGCTGAGTATGCAGTTCCGTCGGCGATATCCACGATATGGCAAGCAAGCAGTAAATGACGAACACGCTGCTCGAGCCCGAACGCAATAATGTCCTCGAGTGTATGCACATATTCTGACTTGTCCTTAAGGGTCAGCTTACGTGGGTTGATGAAGATGCTGGCGGACTCGCCTAGGAACCGTTTGGCAACATATCTCCACTCTCGACAAGCACCCATCAGTGGGAATAGCACGCGGGTACAGCACGCAGCCAGATCGTGCTCTGAAGCCCTGGGGACAGCCTGTCCCTCTTGACCGTGTACGAAATGATACCTTCGATGATATGCGGCGGAACGTGGTTCATAGCGGTGCTACACGTCTACACGTTTAAGCGTTTGAAAGAAGAATGAAAAGTTGCCTGTTGGTCAAAGAGTTTCATGCGAAGGGTATGATGTGAAAAATATTTTCAACGAAGGGAAGGGAGACGAGAGCTGAGTGCTCACTGTGTCGCTCACATCACCTCAACTACAGCTGCGGCAGAAGGCATCAATTGTGGCCAGGCATGTGGACCATAGCTGTAATGCATTGGATTTTCTACGCCCATGGCTCATGATGACCAAATCCTTAATGTAGATCTGAAGAGATCACCGTTATCCACAAGGCCTGAGCGCACAAAATCATTCTCCACCCAGGAATGGATCATATTCAACTCTGGAGAGCAGCAGAAGATAATCAATGTACTATAACCTACACGGCAGGCTGCGCAGTCGAAGGTCGGGCTTCAATCCTGAGTGCATGCAGCATCAGTTGGTGGAGATAAGTACCACTTACTTCGTGGATAGAAAATGGCTAGTCAAACAGCGTATTGCTAATCGCACTGGTAGATTATATACATGTAAGGAGACTAGAATATTGGCTGTGCAAATGTGGTTTCACAGTGCTGAGTAACAGCAGAGCTCTCTTGAGAGGGTACTACTGTATGCCAATATATGTTTTCCAACAACACCAACAGCTATATGAGTAACTGATCTGCGTTTAGTAATTTTGTTATTAGTACATGCGTTTTACATAAAGAGACACAGTAATAAAAAGATAAAGGGAAGACGACAGATGTTGGTATATAGCCTCATCTTCACCAGACACAACATTACGACATCCACTTGACACAACCAATTCCATGGATAAAGAATATATATTGCCATCCTGATAAGCCCTACACTGTGCTTTCATTGTCAGCAGTGGGCTCAGAGTCCCCATTGTCATGTACCTGGCCTAGGGTCTGACTATCAGGCATATTTTTGATGGCTGTGCTCGTTCTGGTACGCATATAATACTGCTGTGACTCAGGTACGATACACTTGGGTAGACAGTCTCCTGCAACTGCCTGGAACACCTTTACTTTCCAAGCACCTTTCCATGACGTATATTGAACGTATGAAATGTGCTATATGAAAGGAGAAATCGTCAGGTGGAAGGGCGGATACCCATCTAAGTAGCGGCACTGACTGCCTGGAATAGTATGAACAGCCATTGTAGCCAAGGGGATTTGGTCCATGGGTCCCTGAAATCCCGTGAATTTGGAACCACACTCAGAAGGGTAGCGAACTTTCGAGCCAATGTATCTCTTGGGTCCCCACAGAACAACAGATCCAAATACAGACTTTTCTAATGTCCGATCTACAGAATTGGCTAAGCTGATGTGCATACTGCAACATCCATTTCAGGGGATATATGCATGCCGCTAATGAGAATGATATTAACAACTAAAGCGTATGTATGGCAAGTGGCATGGGCGAAGTAGTTTATTCGCAAAAATCGATATTAAAATAGCGGTCAGCCTGTCTAATGTTAGATACAGAAACACCTGGATTGATTATGCTCATGGTCCTTCCAACTTTATCCAAATATTCAGCGGCAACGAAAAGTGTCTGAAGTGATGGCAAGAAAAGAGTTAATTTCAATACAGACTCATCGTCAAAATGACTTGGAGTGTCAATAGCAAAGACTTGCAGACTGTGGGTGATAGCTTCAATGCTTCCCGTATCCGGTGGACCATCCAAGCGCGCAGAATCGACAACAGTTGGCTCAGTGGCAGCACAGATATCAGCCTCTCGGTCGTTTGAGCCCCAGAAATACACGTCAGAATCATGTGGGTTCATTGTTATACACATGATCCGGAGGTACTTCAGAATAATTAGCTGCTTCAGTAGACGAACGATTAGGGTCACGGTTGCCACATCCGTAGTTAGCGATAGAGACACCAAATTGTACCAGCAAATGTGGGTTGGGAAAGGCACAGTTATGCCCAGATGAGCACGGCGTACAGCAGACTCTGTAGAATAAAAGCGGGATACATAATGTATAGGATCATCCCACCAGTTGCCCTCGTCAGGTTTAATTGTTTCCAGGTGTAGGCAGTCGATGCTGCGGATGATTCCTGTGTCAATATGAAGGAGCGTGCGCTGATCTTCATTAATAGACAGTGTCCTTAGTGGAGCGTCCCTGAATGACGAATACAGATCCTGGTAAATCCTGGTGGACCGACTAATGAGCAGCTCTGAGAGTTTCGGGCACGAATGTAAAAGCGACGCAGGCTGCACCAAAGTTCGCTGCTGCGCACCGTGTATCTCTTTAAATTCAAGCTGGAGAATCTTCAAATTGGGGAGAACCGGTCTCTCAGCGGAATAAGGCAAAAGACCAAAAAGTGGAACCTGCTCATGTATGTTGAGGAATCTAATCGTCTCCAGAGCATTGAAGTCGGAAAAAAACAAATTCTCGGGCCGATTTATGCAGCGCAAGTCTAGCACCAGGGTAGTTATATATAGTGTTGCCGGCTGGTGAATGAACAAAGATACTGGCTTCACGCAATAAAAATAGGGAAGATGTTCGAAATAGAACTGGAACAACAAAGGGTAGCATGGGGAGAGAGTAAACACAGGTGATGTTGGGACAGCTGGTACGTTGTGTTCTTCAGTAGTGTGGTCCGCGGGGAGAATGATTATTGGGGATAGCTTAATGCTAGTCAGGCCGCGAAAGTGAAAATAAAGAAAGTTGCAAAACGCCACTGCATCTCCAATTATGTCAGGGGTGCGCTCGTCGGTTCCAGACCTAAGGATGCCTCTGCCAAAAAAATGAAGCTTTTCCAAATGGCAGAAGGTTGGATATATGAGGCCAAAGGAGGTAAGTGCGTCTGGGAGCAGGAGAGGGCCAGTATAATCATCATTCATGACCACACATAGATCAGTCGCATAGCGCCGCTTTTGCTGGTACGTGATGGAGCCGATATTGGAGAACCACACTACCTTCTCGACTTCCTTTCGGTGCTGCTCAGAATAATGATTCGATATCTTCCGTTGTACGAAAATTGAGCGATATGTGAATGACGGGATGTAGTAATTCCAGAGACGGCACACGGTGGCTATGTCCATTACCTCCCAATAGTTAGAAATAAGAGCATATTTGTGAAGTATATCCCGACATAGAGTGGCAAATATGTTGACGAGAATGGCAGTGGGCAGCTGGTTAAGGTCGAGGTTGGGCATGAGTGGGAAGTTGCTGGAGAGGCTGAATAGAAACAGAGTGGCTGCAATGTGCTCTGTGGCGGCCACGCTCGCATTTATACTTGGTTTGTAGTGCTGGAGGAGGGCTCTGTCGTCCCCGAGTCATTCCAGCTGGGTGAGGCATATATCCGAAAAGACCAAGAGTGTGCAAAATGCCCAAGAAGGATAAAGCCCAAACCGATGGCCGCCAAAAAAAAAATAAGTACGCTGTGGGAGCCGTCCTTTTGTCCTGCCATGCGCCCTTGCTGCATAGGATGTACGATACATATTTGTCTTTGTAGGCGTAAAAGGGATTGTGAACATGCTCCAATGTCCACCATGTTCATGGTTGAGCAAAAAGAGGGATCAACCTGGGCTCGCTTTCCAGCGATCCACAATCCCAATTCTAGAGCCACAGGGAGCCACAGAGCGCACTGTCTTCTACAGCAAGTACCCGTGCCAGCCACTCCCCCCGCATATGCAAACGGCTGTCTAACAGGGCTTTTTGTTGAAGAAAGGGAAGGTGAAAATGGGGAATAGGAACAAGAAGGCTTTGGCTTAGTCCTTGGTGACCGCATGGATGGACTCGGCCAGATAGTTGACGTTGCCGCTCGAGATGCCAGCCATCGACACGCGGCCATCGCGGGTCAGGTACACATGGAATTCCTGGGCCAGACGGTCGACCTGCTCGGGCTTGAGACCCGTGTAGCAGAACATGCCGATTTGGTCAGTAATGTGGTTCCACGGCTTCTTCGACCCGAGCTCCTCCAGACGGCCGCGCAGCTGCTTGCGCATACCGATGATGCGGTCGGCCATGTACTTGACCTCTCCGAGCCACTCCTGGCGCAGCTCCTGGTTGGTCAGCACCTCAGCGGCGATCCGGGCGCCGTTGATGGGCGGGTTCGAGTACATCGGGCGCACCAGGATCTTGATCTGCGACAAAACGCGGTCCTTCTCCGCAGCATCAGCGCCGACAACCGAGAAGGTTCCGACGCGCTCACCGTACAGGCCCATGTTCTTGGCGAACGACTGCGACAGGACAACAGGCACCTTTCCCGAGCTCACAAAGGTGCGCAGGGCGGCGGCGTCGCGGTCGGCGTCGCCCGAGGCGAAGCCCTGGTACGCCATGTCAAAGAAGGCAAGGTGCTCGCGCTCCTCGACGACCTGCTGGATCTGCGCCCACTGCTCGGCGGTCGGGATCGACGCCAGTCGGGTTGTGCGCACACGCATGCAGCAGAACCGCGCTCCCCTTGGGCAGAGCCTTGAGGTCCTCCAGCATTCCGCTCAGGTTCAGGCCGTTGGTCGACGGATCAAAGTACGTGTACTTGCCAACCTTCATGCCGCAGTCACGGAAAATTGCCGCGTGGTTGCCCCAGCTGGGGGTGGGCAGGTAGATGGTCGGCTGCGTCTTGTAGAACTTCTCCAGGAACGCGCCGCCAATGCGCAGGGCACCCGTGCCCGAGATCGACTGGGTGATGGCCAGGCGGCTCAGCGCGGGGCTCTCAGCGCCGTATGCCAGCTCGGAAGCGGCCGAGGTGAACTTGGCGAGGCCGGTGATCGGCAGGTACTCCTTGTCAAGGTTCTGCGCCAAAAGAGACTGCTCAGCCTACACGGTTTGCTTTCACGAGGACGGACTGCCGGATTAGGAAAGCGAGGGCTGGGATCGGGAGTTGCCTGAAGTTTTTTTTTTTTTGATCCCGCTGTCTTCCGGGCGCGGCGACCGCAGAAAAAGTTTTCCTTTCGCTTACCTTTCTGACAGCATTGAGCACGTAGGGCTTGCCCTCGTCGGTACGGTAGGCGCCCACACCCAGGTTCATCTTGCGGGGGTCGGTGTCGCGCTTGAAGGCCTCGGTCACACCGAGAATGGCATCGGGCGGACCTACACAATTAACCCGCGCCTTGTTAATAACAGCCCCCGGCTGGCTGGGTGGTTCATAAACTCCGCCGCCGCGGCTACTTACCCATCTCGACGTTGGTCCAGGTGGTCAGCGCACGGGCCGACTGCTTCGAGGCAGAGGCCGCGCAGCGAGGTCTTGACGGCAGAGGCAATCATTGTGTCAGGAAAATGAAGCTAGATTCTTTGCAAAAAAATTGTGGAAAAGCGAAGCAAAGGTTCGTTATCTCCGTAAGGCCCGGCCCTCCGACGGTTTTATAGTTCCTCGGAGACATTATGCGGCCGGCATTTTGTCCAATCACGGGCCACTAATCGAGAAACACGAACGGGCCAGCATACAAGTCAACTCCGGCCCTGCCCGGCAATGCATTTCAGGCTTCGAGGATCACTGCCAGACGCCTCTGTGACGCACCAAATTCCCCGAGCCGCTGCACCGGCGCTGCATCAGTCCAGGGGCGACGCGAAGCAGCCCAGTGCGTCCATGAGCCCAGACCAGCTCGCACCCGCCCCGCCGAGCTGGCTCTCAGCAGTAGCCCACGTCAGGCCCTCAGCTGATCCCTGTCCCACTCAGTCGTGGTGCTGCCGGCCAGCTTCTGCTCGGCTAGCTTCGTGTCAAGGGTGGCAGCGAACGCTGTGGCGAACGACTGGCCAACGCCTGGCCTTCAGCCGGTCTTTGCTGGCAACAATCGGCCCGAGCCCGCTGACCGCCTGGATCTGGGACTCGAGGCGCAGGATGAGGGCGAGAACCGGGCCGCTGACATTGGCCTGCCTGTCGACATTCGGGATGCCGGGAACCGCAGTCGTTGTCGCTATCCGGCGCAATGACGCATATCTGCTCGACCACCCACCCATGCCATCTGCACCACCAGTAGACTCCAGCCAAGCTCTGACAACATCCCGGTGCGTTGCGGTGGTGTCCTTTTGCAAAGCGGATGGAATGCGATAGTACAGGGCGTCGAACTTTTCCGCCCAGCCCCGTGCAAGTGCGTTTCCGAGGAATGCATACCATGGCGACAGCAGATCGCGGCCAATCTCCTGCAGCCTGTCTGTCAAGGCCGCCAAATCGCACTTTAGCTGGGTCCAGCACTGGCGCACCAGCGGTGTGTTGGAAGCGAGAGCATGCTTGGCCACGTCCACCAGTACCCCCATCGTCCAGGCGCCCTTGATGCAGAGCATAACCTCGTATGGCATCTCGTGGTCTTCGAGGTCTGCTGTGTCTGGCAAGCCAACACTGACGATGGCTTGCTGGCACATATCCTCTGACCACCTCTCGAGTCGCTCGCACATTGCCTGCCACTGCTGCACAAAGTACTGCGTGCATACCAGGGCCTCAGGCAGGGCAGCAGCGCCATTCATCTGCCGCCACCATCCATCGCACTCGCTCCACACCGTCTGCAGCGAGGCTACCATCGAGTCACCTAAGCACTGTGCAGGAATAGGGATGATAACCGTGTCGTTGCTGACATCCTTGACCAGGTCGTCAATCTGGCCAGCATTCCTGGCAGCTCCTGAGCCTAGCACCCGTAGTGCTTGCCACGGAAGATGGCCCGCAAGAATGTCATCAATGTCGACGTCTGCCAGGAACGACTGTGGCGACGACAGTGCCAAGTCAATTGAGGCGCTCTGCAAAGCGCGCGCGCGGTCTCTGAGCAGCGGCTCGATCACCGACGCGTACAGCGACTGTCTGTGCCCGTCATGCAGCACTTCCATACTTGACGCAACAGTCGCCCAGGCAAACCCGCGCGTCCATTTCCCGTTCTCCTCTACCTCCCACCTGTACATTGCATTGCCGATTCCGCGCTGCATCGCCCACTCTAGCTACCCGGCCCTCAATCGCCACCGCTACCGAGCGAGTGATAGCCTGGATCGTGTCCTGCCACCAGAACTCGAGCGCATGCTTTGCTGCCCGCTCCAGGCACGGCTGAATCTGTGACGCCAGCACCTTGAGCAGAGATTTGGCATCGTTCAGGTAGTACTCCAGCCCAACCATATCCTCATCGGCCTCGTTCAGGCTGTTGCCGTCGGGCTGCAACATGCCCACATCCAGAATTCGCGGCATTGGCGGCTTGTACTGGGAGACCTCTTCCGGCAGGTATTTTGCAACCATGAAGATCCCGCTCGAGTGCACCACCTTGGACACATTGCTGGCCCACAGATGGCCAGCCAAGTTGCTGCTGCTATTGAGGTGCGAGCTGTAGCCGGATATTCCTGGCGAGCTCGTCGAGTACAAATGCCTCACCGACGACTTTTCGATTGGCACCGACGCAGGGCTGGGCTGTGTGTTGGCGGGCGATGTCAGCGGCATTGGGCTGGTTGGGATTGCCGACGATATGACCGAACCAGCAATCGACGACTTGCGGCGCCGCTGCTTTGACTTGTGGTCAATTGCCACCTTGGACAGCGACTCCGACGAGCCAGCGCTGACGCCGCCTGTGTGGCTTGTGGCTGACAGCTGCTGGCCCCTCTTCTCGTTCTGCCAAAGCGGCCGCAGTGATGCAGGCATCGACAGATCTGCATCAGCAGCCAGGCTAGCTAGTGTTGTCAGGATCCAAGAGGCATACCGAGACGAAGGTTGCTGGTGGCCAGCAATTGCTGCATCCTCGTCTCCGGGCACCCCAAATATGACAATGTAGTCGGTCAGCACCTGCCTGATCCTTCCCAGCAGATCCTGCAGCAATGTCTCCAACTCGCCTTCAAAATCGGCTGCTGTCAGCTTCTCCAAAAGAGCTCTGTGCGCCTCTCCACGGCGCGACAGGAATACCGTGCACGCCATCTCTGCGTCAACATCGTCGAGCAGTGCAATCGCACAGATTGCATTCATAAATGCCTCCACCCGCTCGTCGTCGTCTGTGGATAGCAAGTGATTAGCCTTGGCGAGAATCTGCTCCCGGAACGGAGCCACTGATGCCCACTGCCTCTCTATGACTGGGAATGCAAGCAGCGGGTCAACAATGGTGTGCTCGTCGTCATCGCTGGCCGCCAAACTCTGCTTTCGACTGCTCGCTCAGCCGCTCGTGTATTTCTCGTGCAATCATGAACAGCAGTGATGCCTGCAAGAACCTCTTCGACTCCAGCGCCTTCCATATCTGCTCCGGGGTATCCACCAAAACCTTGACCTGCGCTGCAATGGAATACATCTTGCTCTTCAGCTCCTCCTGCGGCTCCCTCAACGCCGGCTTCTCCTGCGCTGCTCCGCTGGGCAACTCTACTGCCGCACCCTTGGCTTCGCCCAGCATGCCCTTCAAGTCGCTGATCTTTTTGCTGATGTTCGCCGACGACGTGTCCATGGCCACGACCGAGTCTGCAGCGTTGATCAGATCTGGATAGTGCTCGCCGGCCACTTTGCGCATTTGTCGCCGGGTGTTCTCAATGTGCGCCTGCAGGTTCTGCTCATACTTGCGCATTTCGACTACGCTCATGCGTGCAAACAGCGAGTCGATGTTTTGCAGGTCCTCGTCAGTCGGCATTGGCCCAGCGTCAACCAACTCAACAGCCTCGTCGTGCTCTGGTTTGGCATTCGATTTAGCCGCCTCTTCTTTTGGCGTAGACTCGCTGCGCTTGCGCCCAAACAACCCCCGCTGCAGCCACGACATTATGAATTTACTATAGATGGAGCAAATACAAAAAAAAACTATAGAAAAGAGCAGGAAAAGTATTGCTGAGGTCACTCTGAATCGGATATCACAATCAGGCTCGCTCGGAGCTGCCATTGTGGATCCAACAAAAACGACATCGTCATCATCGCTGCTGGGCTTGGTCTCGTCGACTACACCAGCCATTGCCTCGCCACACCACCTCTCGTCGCGCAGTCGCCGCTCAGCCGCCCTGGCAGCCATCTGCGCTGGTGTGTACCTGGCCTGCTCTGCCCGCCATGCCTTTGCATTTTGGCTTTCGCCCAAGGTCCGTGGCCGCCCGCCAAGCACCTGTTTCCGTTGTCTTGCCTCAATTGCCTTGAGTGTCCCGGTCCCGCAGCTGGCTCCTGGGGGCATTATGCGAAACACCCGTACCAACCCGCGTTCCCGACGAATAGAACCCATCGCCAGTATACCCCTTCGCCATCAGCTGCTCTGTCTCGGCTTTCAGCTCGTCAAGCAGCCTGTAGAACATTGCGTCGTGTGGACCACGCACATTGTGGACGAGCTCGTGCAGCATTGTGCCCACCAGGTCCTCGTACGGGAAGAACTGGGTGGGGTCGTGGGCTGGCCGCAATCCGGATCCGGATTTCGAAGCCGCCGTTGACATTGAGACCCAAGAGATTGGGGTTTCCAGGAAAGAACTCACGCAGCGTTTTGACCCTCCACCTGCGCTTTTCCATTACTGGCCGCACCTGTGCAGCGATACGCTGAAGCAGTTTCAAGGCCTCGTTGGACTGCGGTTGCCGCTTCAGTGCATGTATGCTACCGACCAAGGCATCCATCCAGCAAAAATATTGAATTGTACAAAAATGGCGTTTCCGCAGTCATCCAAAAGGCTGCTATTGATGCCATTTGAAGCTATCAGTCCATCCTTGGATATGGGCGGCAAACGTCACTGCTTGCTAAGACAGATGTCTAAGAGCTCCCTGTCATCGTCAAAACTCAGAACCGACCGGGCGATGCTAGCGTCCACCCACCAGGGTTTGAACGACTCATGACCTTCCAGCTGCTGCTCTCTATCCTCAACAAAGTCAGCCTTGAACCAGAATATAACCTTTGTTTTGCCAATTGCCACACTATATCTGCTTTGCATGGCAGCGATTTCTCCGTGTATGTCACATTTAACGCCTGTTTCCTCCTCAACTTCTCTTGCTGCAGCGTCCTCGAGCGATTCCCCTGACTCCAACTCTTCCTTTCGGAAAGTACACAGTGTCTGCGTTGGAGCGCTTGTCAACGAGTGTGAGCACTCGTCCGACAGTGTCAAAAACCACTGCGCCAGCCGATACCATTACTGAGTTTCCAGGGTAGAATCATCGTTTTTAAAAGGATGTGCCAGGGCCAGTAGGCATCCTGCTACTACTCCCAGATGTGGCTGTATGCTGGCGATTGCTGTAGCGTATGGTTTAAGAGACTATCCATTCCCATGGTCAACATCCAGCAGACTGTTACTAGCACCTTGCATTCCAGAGCTTGGTGATGGGAACGAGAAGCTGCCAGTAGACGCGCCAAAGTGGTCCTTGAGCATACTCAACCAAGTGTAAAAGATGCTCCTTTAGGCTGTTGACAAAAACTATCTAGCAATCTTATGTATCTTTACATAAGCTGATAGCAGGCTTCAGCATGCACATGCTCCAACTAGTAGCATGATTCGCACATGAGATAGGTAGGCCTTTAGGCACCTCTATGCTTATGCGGAGTCTTTTCGGACCGAGACAGGCATAATGCCAGCAGCCATACTGCCAAAGGGCTGGGATATGGCTATGCCACTAGGGCGTTCTGTGTAGAATCTCAGCGTCAGCTTACAAATACTGGCGATTAATTCTCACAACCCACTCCTTGCCGGCCGATCTGCACATGAATCACGCCAGGACACCATTTGCGACTACTGCTATAAAGCTGCCGCGGTCCCCACATCCTGTTTCATGCTCTTCTCCATTTTTAAAATCTGTTCAACATCAGTTTCCAACCATGCCTTCGCCTGCAGGACTTCGCCTACATCCTCTACACTGTGGCTACGGTGTCTGCCAAGTCCTCGTTCGACTACTACTGGCACGGCCCGCGCCTGCCCAGCTGGGACCTGCGTATGCAGGTGACTCTAGACGTAATGAGATATATGATCAGCAATCGGTGCACCACAGTTCACCAACGACGACGAAATTGAGAACATTGACATCTACCAAATGACGCAGACGATGCGCGAGCGCGGACTCAAGAGCACGGCGTGGCCCATCGACAAAGGTATTTACCGAGCGCACACTATCGACACCAAAGCTGTTGACTATCGACACATCCAAGTTTGCTGGCGTGGGCGTCGGCGAAGATGGGCTGGTGAGGCTGACGGAGGAGGACAGAGCAGCCGAGCAGCCTCGCACGATTGGCTACGAGGTCGTGCTGGGAACTGCAGCTATGAGTGCTCTGGAGCCATATGCAACCGATGCCGACCGACTGTGCAGCATCCAGCCGCTGTTTGAAAATGAGAAAATAATTCTCTGGCTCCATGGCGGCGGATGGGTGATCGGAAGACCCTAGCACGCACCGCTCATTCGCCGGCGAAGCTTCGCAGCAGGCGCAGATGCGCGCGATGACCATTGACTATCGCTTGACGCCTACCCATCCATTCCCAGCTCAGACGCACGATACGCTTATTGCGTATCTGTATCTGTTGCAGGAGGGATTCAAGCCAGAGAACATTATTGTTGCTGGGGACAGCTCAGGAGCACACATGTCAATTGTACTGGTGCATCTGCTTCGGCACATGAAAGATTGCTGCGCCTGGCGCCCTGGTGTTGGTGTCACCCTGGACTGACCTGGTCAGCACGAAGCCCAGCATGGAATCGAACCGACTGCACGACTACCTTATAATCCAGCCGCTGGAATCGTCACTCAACTATGCGCGCATGCTGTTTGCGCCTGGGAAGCCGCTGACTGACAAGATGAGGCAGGATATGCAAGGGATGCTGGTTTCGCCGAGCAAGGGGTCGTTTGAGGGGATTCCCACCTACTCTACTCCAGGTGGGCGGCGGCGAGCGACTTTTGGATGACGTGAAGGCGCTGGCAGCCAAGATTAACTCCCAGAACAGTGGCAAGCCTGGACCGGTTGCGCTGGAGATCTACGACGATATGCCCCACGTGTTCCACGTCCTGTTTGGGTACCGCAAAGAGACGCGGGATGCCTTCCAAAGTATTGGCGAGTTTGCTAAGGGCATCTAGAAAGAAATGGCCTGGTCTTTTAGTCTGCAGCGACATTGCCCAGATGCACCAGGGCCATCCACTTGCCGATCAAGGAACTTAGCAGGGGATCAAGCTACAGCACATAAAGGGACTGGGTTGCAAGTCTCCTGCAGAGCGCAGCTACTCCCAATTTCCGCGTTTCTTCCTTCGTTCAGACCATTTTTCATTCGTCTTTGCAAACAACTGCCTGTTGTTTTTTTTGCATTTCCATTATCAACCCTCTACAAAAACGTCATGAGCGGCGAAAAGACGCAGGCGTATCAGCCGCCCCAGATGGTGTCGGAGGACCATGGCCGCCGCAGTAGCGAGTCCAGCAGGACTGGACTAGGCTTGATCGAGCGGGACAACAGCCCGGTGCGCCAGTTTGCGATGTGGTTTGCCGCAGTGTTCTGCTGCTGCTGCCAGGGGGACATTAAAGACGCGTCCGAAACTAAGGGAGGGTCGGGCTGCCTGGGATGCACTGTGTAGGCGTGATAGGCAGCATGATATTCATAGACTCGGGGCTAAAAATAAACTACTTTGCTTTCTTGCCGCCAGACTTGCTCTTCTTGTCATCGCCCTTCTTGTTACCCCCCGACTTTGTCTTGTCCTCGCCCTTCTTGTCGCCACCCTTTGCCTTGGCCATGTGGTACTAGGAAGCGTTGGTGTAAATGACTATGTATCTGGAAAATGGGATATTGGTGAAAAGCGCTGAGGGGTAGAGATGGCAGACGCCATGTCTTGCAATTTATATGGACACAGCAGGCCACATGACCGGCGGACGGCCACTTTCTGTCTCAGGTTTCAGGGGGCTCGGCTGCAGATATGTGGAAATGGCAGCTTATATGCCGGCCATATATGTGCCGCATCACAGAATAACGACAAGCCTGCACATGGCCGTGTCTTGTGGTGGTGGCCTAGTGGCGGCAGGCCTTAATCATGATCCCACGCGATTCATCAAGGCGGTGTTAGGGATCCAGGCGCAGCGTGAGCCGGCCAGGTTTGGGAACAGCGCAGACGGAACGGGACCAAAAATAGATCTGGATCTCCGGGACGACGACGACGACGCCCACGTTGCACGGACACCCAGCTATTCTAGAAATGACGGTCGTTTCGTTTGGGGCGAGATATTGGATGGGAGAGCCGCTGGGTCTACAGACGTGATAAAAACATAGCTCAGGCCCAAAATTCGCCTACTGCCAATAGCGCGGTTATCAGCCGGGAGGATCACCGGCACGCACTTTCCCAGGCGGCCGGTGGGTGACGACTCCCAAGTATCATTTTCCCTTGACCTACCCTGCTTCACTGCCTCTACCGCTCCCCTCCCCAAAACAGCAGAACGTGCTGTTCCGTAAACCGACTCGACACGACCTCGAAAAGCACCAGGAGCAAGCGGGTTGAGATTTCACACAGATAGCTAAGCATGCGGCGGGTTCCTTTGACAAATGGCCTGCGGGTACCAGTGCTGATTGCGCTGATAATATGGCTTGTGTTCCTGGCGGTTCTCGGGTTCACTCGTGCGATCTCGCTGGGAGTCCCAGACAAGGCGCAGCATTTTGTTGGATTCGGCGTGCTGTCGGTGCTGGTGTTCTTTGCGTTCCAGGGCACAGTGCCCAGACGCAAGGTCTGGGTATTGACGGTGGGGTCGATGGCGGCGGCATGCGTGCTCAGCGAGGCACTGCAGGGGCTGCTGACAGCAAGAGAGTTTGACGGCCGCGACATTGGAGCCAATTTCCTGGGCACGTTCACGTTTTTGTTTGCTGCATGGATGGTCGACAGGTGGTTGATCCAGCCGCGCTTTGGCAGCGAGGCTGCGCAGCAGTACTGGGAGCTGGATGCGGCGCTCGAGCAGTTTGAGCCTGATGTCGACGAGCTGGACGTCGAGCTGGACGAGATCTTGGTCAACACGCCGCCGCCGCGCGACGCTTAAAAATAGACGCCAGGCATGGCGGGGAATTCAAGCACAGCCAGGAGCTGATTTCGTTGCGCCTTGATGTTCAAAGCAGTGGGCAGATTCCTGCAGCCAAAGCGCCGATGGTGGCTTCCAAGGACCGCGGCGCTCGGGCAGTGCGCGATGCGGGGGTTCTAGATTCTTTTTTTGCGGATGTCGAATAAAGAGCGTCAGCGCGCTCACTCGATGACGTCTTTGCGAATGGCCTGCGAGGCGGTGCCATCGGGGCGGTTTCCACGTGGACTGAGGGTGATCTTGCCTTGCTCGCCACGCCCAGGCAGGCCCACTTTCCACGGCCCAAAGCAGGCTGCTGCTGGAAGGGAGAGCGGGAGCGCTCTTGCCGGCCAGCTCACACGGCAGCACTATTGGCGGGAGGAGCCCTCCCCTCGGACCTGGCCCAGGAACAACAAACACCACGCACGCTCGGCGCCGGGCGTAGCCCAATCACAGGCCCGCAGTCCCACTCAGCCACCTATTTTTGAGGATCGAGACTAAGTAAAGAGCAAGCCATTTTTGGGGTGCTGTGACAGAGGAGTGCCTCTCCAGCAGCGGCGGCCAGTTGTTGGTGTTCGAAGCGCAATAAAGGCCCGTGGATCTAATTTTAGAACCCTCGTTTTTGTGCGAGCATCCGGCTGTGCTTATCGCCTGCTCGCACTTCTGATGCTGGCCGGGCGTAGAGTGCAGCAGTCTAGCTCCGGGCCCTCCAGGCAACAGGAGAGCATGCCAGATCGCCTGCGACGAGCAGCCCAGCTATAAAATGGCGCCTGGGCGTCGGCAGCAGCAGCGCGCTGGTTCTTCTCCCACCCACATAGCAATTTCTCTTTGTACTACTTCTTTCTCCTTGTACCGCTCCCATCCCTTCGCTTCGCACCAGCAAAAGCCATACTGCCGCGCCTCCTTCCACGTATACGAAGCGGCATACTATAGAATTCCGTCCCTTAGAAAGGTAAGGCACCTGGTTGTTCTGTGCGCTGCTGCTGTTGTTATTATTGCTGTTGGGTGTGAGAATCCAGGGCCCTCTACGGGCAGTTTTCGGCGTGCACTCCACTCGCCTCGCCCGCCTCTCCCTCGTTGACCTGTGTTTGTCTGCGCATTGTCTGCTGTTCCAGATATGCCGGGTTTCTCAGCCACCGGGACTTTGGCTCTGATTTTTGTCTTCTCCAGCAAGCCCACACGGGGTTGCAGGGTTCTCCAGGCTGATTCAACTCCATGCCGCGGACTGACGTGTGTGGGCTCTGTCTCCTCTCCAGCCAGGCAGTCTGCAATGCGCATTGGCTAAGCGCCCTGGCCAGAGAGGATGCGAGAGGCACAGCGGGCCACCGCAATGGCTAGTCCCACACCAATGCAGGCGCTTCATTCGCCGGTGGGGCGGGTGGGCAGAAGGGGTTGTGTACCTCCCCTGCGTCCCCACACCCACAGCAAGGTCTACTTTTCGTCTTGACCATGGACAATTCTGCGCCCCCTGTGCATGGAAAATGAAGCGCAACGATTCATATCCTCTGGCCATTTAAGCGGGTGCGTGCACCTGGGTGGGCACCGTCCCCTTCTTTCTCTCTCTTTGCTTCTGCAGCTTGCCTTGAACTGCTTTTTGTATCCTCTGCTTTCCTGCTCCCCCGCAATCCCGTCAACCTTTGTGTTGCGCTCATTGTTTTTGCTCCTCTCATTGGGTTTCTGTTTACACCGCCGCATCCATACTAAGTAAGGAGCTACGCCGTCTTTCTCCTCACTCCATAGATCGCCGTCGCTTTTATTCGCACTCTAGTCGCTTTGACGCACTCTACAAGATAACGTTGTTTTCCACCACCACCAACCACACACATACCAAAAGCACCATGGTTCAGAGCACACCCTCGTTCACCTCTGAGAGCCTCGCGGCGCTCAAGAAGCGCTACGCCGCCGCCGGACAGCCGCAGGTGTTCAAGTACTTTGACGACCTGAGCGACGAGGAGGCCACTGCGCTGTTCACGCAGCTGAGCAGCATCGACGTCGAGCGGTGCAACCAATTCTTCGACAAGACGGTGCGCAACCCCGCGCCGGTCTCGGATTCGGTCACGCTGGAGCCGCTGGCGTCCGACTCGTTTGCATCGACCATCGATGAGGCACAGGCTGCCGACAACGAGAAGTGGCGTGCCGAGGGCATCAAGCTCATTCGCGACAACAAGGTCGCTGTCATCCTGCTTGCTGGCGGCCAGGGCACGCGCCTGGGCTCGTCGGCGCCCAAGGGCTGCTACGATATCGGGCTTCCGTCGCACAAGTGCCTGTTTGACATCCAGGCCGAGCGCATCCGCCGGCTGCAGGAGATTGCATCGGACAGCGAGCACAAGGCGGTCATCCCCTGGCTGGTGATGACCTCGGGCCCCACCAGCGCGGCGACACAGCAAAAGTTTGTCGACGAGAACTTCTTTGGGCTGAACCCCGACGACGTCTTCTTCTTCAACCAGGGCGTGCTGCCGTGCTTTGATCTCGAGGGCAAGATCCTGCTCGAGAACCGCGGCAAGGTCGCTGTTGCGCCCGACGGCAACGGCGGGATCTACGAGGCCCTGCGCCTGAGCGGCGCCCTCGACTGGCTGCGTGCGCGCGGCGTCGAGCACATCCACTCGTACTGTGTCGACAACTGCCTTGTGCGCGTGGCGGACCCGACGTTTGTTGGCTACGCTGCGCTCAAGGGCGCCGAGTGCGGAGCGCTGGCTGTTCCGAAGAAGTCGTGGGACGAGCCGGTGGGCGTGATCTGCCTGCGTAACGGCCACTACAGTGTGGTCGAGTACTCGGAGATCAGCCCGGAGATGGCCCAGCTGACCCGGGACAGCACCTCGCAGCTGGCGTACAACGCTGGCAACATCTGCAACCACTTCTACACCCTCGACTTTTTGCAGCACCGCGTGCCCGACATCGAGTCCAAGCTGGAGCACCACATTGCGAAGAAGAAGATCAAGCACATCGACACCGAGACCGACGAGCAGGTCGCCCCGACCAAGCCCAACGGCATCAAGCTCGAGCGCTTCGTGTTTGATGTCTTCCCCTATGTCCAGAAGATGGCGATTCTCGAGGTCGACCGCAGGGACCAGTTCTCGCCGCTCAAGAACGCCCCGGGAACCGGCGTTGACTGCCCCGAGACCTCGCGCAGCGACCTGATCTCCCAGTGCATCCGCTTCGTTGAGGCCGCTGGCGGCAAGGTCCAGTCGGTCGATGGCCAGCAGCCGGCCTTTGAGATCTCGGCGCTGGTGTCGTATGCCGGCGAGGGCCTCGAGTCCCTGAAGGGCAAGACATTGGTCGGCGACCAGTACATTGACAGCATCAGCGCTGTCCAGTTTGTCTAGGGTGCTTGCTGCCTGCTCTGCAGGCGTCGCCAACAGTCCCTCTATCTCCCTTTTTGCATCTCCTTTCTATCTCCAAATACTATGTTTTTTAATCCACCAAAACTGCTGGGGCGCCTATTGTTTGGCTACAGCTTCCAAGGCTGGACCTTCAGCTTCCTGAATCTGTCGTCAATGGGCGCCGGAACCACCTTGGCGCCAAGTGTTGTATCAATCGATTTGCGGACTGCTTTGACACAGTCTAAGCCAACCAGCAGCAGATAGACATTCGGCAGTCTCGGCAACAGGCAGAACAGCAGCTGCCTGTACTTCGCCACCATCCTCTGCGTCATTCCTGCCTCGTCCTGGCTCGCCATCTGCTGAGCTCAGAAGCGGAACCTCCAGCACGCGCAGCGACGTGCTGACCCCGCCAAAGTCGGCCTCTGTGGTGCCCTTGAACTTGCCGACCAGCTGGGCGTTCGACACCAGCGGGTCCACTATGGTGTCGCTGATCATCAGCCGCTGCAGACTGGAAAGGTTTTCAAGCACGCGCACGACCTCCTCCACGCGCACGTCTCCCGATATGCTCAGCGATGTCAGCAGTGTATCCAGGGGCGCGTAGACGGGCAGCGGAATGGTCGAGATGTGCGACATCAAGCTCACCGTCAGCTTCTGCAGCGACAGCGGGCTGGTGTGGAAGAGGCGGCGCAAAGACTCTTCGATGTATGACTCGTCGCCAGAGTCGATGGGATCGACGTAGCGCACACTGAGCTGTTGGAGCGAGCGGAATGGCGAAAAGTCCCAGCTGGCTGGCAGCTCGCTCTTCAGTCCGCCCAGAACCAGACGGCGTAGCTGGCCGCAGGGAAACAGCGACAGGAAATGCGGCAGATTGCCGGAGAACCGGCGCACCTCGAGCTCCTGCAGGACCGGAAACCGCGGCCTGCCCAGGTTCGCTGCCTGCATGTAATTCTGTGGGACCGGTACCGGACCATCGGTCTCGTCACCGCCATCCTGAATCCTCATCCGAATCCTCACCCTCCATGTCGTTGAGTCCGTCAACGAAATACCACGGCCGAGTGCCTGCCGCTCTCGACTGCCAATGAAACACCAGGGACAGCCGCCTCAGCTGCGTAAACACCAGATCGCCGGTGTTCGATGCAAACATGTCCCACAGCTTGCCGGCATCGACCGACGACAGGTCAAGTTCAACCAGCGACGAGGCCAGGATCTTTGGCAATCGCAGTGCACGCGGAAAGTTAATGCCCGAAATATCCAGCTTCTGGATAGAAATTGGCTGGCCCTGGTAGTGGCTGAGCATAGGGGGCAGGTCCGAGTAAGTGCGCAAGGAATGCAGCGCCGTCGGTCCTCCGATGTGCTCGTTGATCAGCGGGCTAGCGGTGAACCGGTTGTACGTGAACTGGCTGTACATGTCCTCGTAGTCGATATCGCGCAATGACGGCAGCGCCAGCGACAGAAACTCGCTGAACTCCTGCACGCTCTCGGGCGCATAGTACTCGTCGTCTTCCGGGAAGTCGTGCAGCGCATTGCAGTACTCCAGCCGGCGCACCGTCAGCCATGCTGTGCGGTCAAAGCCAGCCTTTGTCAGGAGCCGCTGGATCTTGGGCAGCGACACCATCGAGCAGGTGACCCAGATCACCATCTCCCTTGCCAGATCGTCGTGCTCGGTGTCCAGGAGAAGGCCCAGGTTGCTGTCTGTGCGCAGCACCACTGGCGATGCTTCGGTCTCGTCGATCGAGACAAACGCGCGCTTGCAGAAGAGCGGCAGGGTGAGCCGGCGCCATCGCTGGTTGATTGCGGATAGGGGCTGTAGGGCGCGGATCTGGTCTGGCATATTTCGCAGTTTCCCGTTGCTCCGGTCGTAGGTGGATATGATCCGGAGCAGGAGCTCGTCCGGTAAGCTGACGCGCATTTCGTTAAATTAGGATAAATATTAGAAGAAAAGCAGTGTGACAGAGCTGTTGGGGGAGGTGGAGAAGAAGAAGTAGACAGCCGCAGAGACCGGATCCAGCCCAGCGCGTCGATTCCGTGCCATTTATAGCGGCCGTATATGCGCCAAAGTGCCTCTAGGTGCTTACAAATGCAGAGCCCGCCCATCCCTTTTCCTACTCACCGCCCTTTCACCCAACTCGCTTGCACTAGTAGAAATTATTGGAAATGTCGAAATTCAAGGTCCTCTGTCTGCACGGGTATACCCAGAACGCCAAAAAGTTCCATGACCGCACTGGGCCGTTCCGGCGGGCGCTCAAAAACCAGCTCGACTTCACCTACATGACAGCGCCGATCCAGGCCACAGAGTTCCAGTCAGACGAGCCCACCGACGACGGGCCCTCGGCGGCATGGTGGAACCGCAAGGACGGCAAGGTCTGGCAGGAGATGCAGCAGAGCATGCGCGCAATCCACCAGACCATGAAGGAAGAGGGCCCGTTCGATGCCATCGTTGGGTTCTCGCAGGGATCGGGCATGGCGGCGGTGCTGCTGGCGCTCATGCAGATTGCAAAGTCGTCCAGGCTGGCAGATATGGACGCGGACGTGCAAGCGTTGGCGGGAGAGCTGGGGGACCAGCCAGTGCCCAAGTTCGTCATGCTGTTTGCGGGCTTCTACCCGGACCTGCCGCAGTTCCGGCAGATTATCGCGGCGGAGAAGCTCACCACGCCCAGCATCCATGTGGTCGGCGAAAACGACCACATCGTGCCCATGGACCGCGGCAAGCAGCTGGCCGAGGAGGCATTCATTGACGCGGTGGTCAAGACACACGAGGGCGGGCACTTTATGCCCAGCAATGCGGCCTGGCGCAAGCAGTACCAGGCATTCCTCGAAGTGCTGGGCCAGTAAAGCGGGAAATAAAATAGACTTTTCAGTTTTGTTTGAACAATCGGTTTCCATTTAATACTTGCTTACATGCGGAACACGCCAAACTGGGTCTTCTCGATCGGCTTGTTCAGCGATGCCGACAGCGCCAGGCCCAGCACGCGGCGGGTGTCCTCGGGGCGGATGACTCCGTCGTCCCACAGGCGCGCCGACGAGTAGTACGGGTGGCCCTCGGCCTCGTACTTGTCGACAATGGGCTGCTTGAACTCGTCTTCGGCCTCGCTTGCCCATGTCTGGCCGCGCGCCTCCATGCCGTCGCGCTTGACCTGGGCCAGCACATTGGACGCCTGCTCGCCGCCCATAACCGAGATGCGGGCATTGGGCCACATCCACAGGAACCGCGGCGAGTACGCGCGGCCGCACATGCCGTAGTTGCCGGCGCCGAAGCTGCCGCCGATCAGGAAGGTGAACTTGGGGACCTTTGCGCAGGCCACCGCGGTAACCAGCTTGGCGCCATGCTTGGCAATACCGCCAGCCTCGGCCGACGAGCCAACCATGAAGCCGGTGATGTTCTGCAGGAACACCAACGGGATGCCGCGCTGGGCGCACAGCTCGATGAAGTGGGCGCCCTTCTGGGCAGACTCGGCAAACAGAATGCCGTTGTTGGCCACGATGCCGACAGGCTGGCCATGCACATGGGCAAAGCCAGTCACCAGCGTGGTGCCGTACAGGCGCTTGAACTCCTGGAAGCGGCTACCGTCGACGATGCGTGCAATGACCTGCTTGACGTCAAACGGCTTGCGCAGGTTGGTACCGACGATGCCACCCAGCTCTGCCGCGTCGTACAGCGGCTGCTCGGGCGCCCGCAGTGCCAGCTGCTGCGGCTTCTGCCAGTTGAGGCTGGCCACAGCCTCACGCGCCAGCGCCAGGGCGTGGGCATCGTCCATTGCGTAGTGGTCGGTGACGCCCGACGTGCGGCAGTGCAGGTCGGCGCCGCCCAGCTCCTCGGCGCTGACGACCTCGCCGGTTGCGGCCTTGACCAGCGGCGGGCCGGCCAGGAAAATAGTGCCCTGGTTCTTCACAATGATGCTCTCGTCGGCCATGGCCGGCACATACGCTCCGCCGGCCGTGCACGACCCCATGACCACGGCGATCTGCGGGATACCCATGCCCGACATGGTCGCCTGGTTGTAGAAGATGCGCCCAAAGTGCTCGCGGTCCGGGAACACCTCCGCCTGGTGCGGCAGGTTGGCACCGCCCGAGTCCACCAGGTACACGCACGGGAGGTTGTTTTCACGTGCAATCTCCTGCGCGCGCAGGTGCTTCTTGACCTGTGATCGGGTAGTACGTGCCGCCCTTGACTGTCGAGTCGTTGGCCACCACCATGCACTCGACGCCGTTGACACGCCCAATCCCCGTGATGATTCCGCCGCCCGCGATCTCCTCGCCGTACATCCCCAGCCCCGCCAGCTGCGACAGCTCCAGGAACGCCGATCCCGGGTCCAGCAGCTTGCCCACCCGGTCGCGCGGCAGCAGCTTGTTGCGTGCCAGGTGCTTGGCCCGCGCCTTCTCAGGCCCGCCCTGCGAGATCCGCGTCACCTGTGCTTCCAGGTCGCGCACCGCCTGGGCCATGTTGCTGGCGTTCTCCTGGAACTGTGCCGACTTGGACTCGGTCGTGTTGGGAATCACCGTCATCGCCTGGTGCGACGCAAACCCACGCATGGCCGGAGCGCGCCGGAGCGATGCTGCGATGGTCGGAGAGCGGAACAGACGAAGCATTGATGTGTGTGTGGTAAAGAACAAGAAAAAGTACTGCTAAAAATAACTACAAGCAAGGGGAGAGAAGAGGGGGAGCGTCTAGTCTACGGTGCGCCAGCCCCCTCTCCGCTGCCCAGCCCGGGCCTTTAAGTGCTGCCTGAAAGGCGCCTGCCTCCCTCGGAACGATACGCAAACGCCAGCAGGCGATTATTTGGTTCCCACGAGTACAACACGCCTGGTTATCAGTCCGCTCCCGTTTGGAATTTTTTCCCACCGTCTCCCGACCCACACAGCACGGCCCTTCTATTTGAACATCCGGAGGTACGCCAGGATCAAGGCGCCTGTACCGGTGATGGTACCAATCATGTACTGCAAGATGCTAAACTTTATGCTCTCCATCTGCGTTCGCAGCCCCGATATCTCCTGCTCGATCTTGGTGTCCGTCTCCTTGATCTTGATCTCATGCTGCGCCTGCTCGTCCCGCGCCCGGCCCTTCTCCAGGCTCATGTCCAGCCGCACCCCCGCCTGCGTGCGCGTGATCTCCTCGCGCAGCTTCTGCTTCAGCTTGTTCACCTCCCCCTGCAGTCGCTCGTTCTCTGCCTTCATGATCGAGTAGTCCGTCTTTTCCATCATCTGGATCTCGGACTTTAGCTGCGCGAAATCCACCTTGTACATGTACAGCGTCTTGTCTTGCTCCGCCTTGGTCACTATGTTGCCTAGGATGTTGCCTGTGCTCTCTTGCATCACGTCTGCCAGCGCCGTCACCATGGTGCGAGACTGCTCTGCCGAAAACCCCTCGCGCTCGAGCCGGGCTGCCAGCCGGTGCGTGTCAAAGAAATGCTTTTGTGTAGCGTACCCCCGTGCACGCTGTGCCAGCAAATGCGGCCGGACTGGCTGTTGGGCGATGCGTAGCAGCGGTCTCATTCTGTGCATACGGCGAGCAATAGGAGGAAAAAAAAAAATAAGGATTGCAAAAGCGTCGCTGAGCGAAATGAGAAAACAGCAAACTCCAGACCGCCCACCACAACCTGCCCTGTCCCGTGACCAAAACAACAGGCTAAACTGGGGTTTTGTTGTTGGAAGAGAGGGAAAAGAAAACTAATGAAAATTCTCGGAAGAAGCTTTTGTTCTAGCCAGCCACCACAGCAGGCAGCACAGCCTAGAACCCACCAAAGAGCTTCTTCTTGTCCTTGCGCGGCTGCGTCTGGTACATGGGCTCGGCAGTCCCCGGGACCGGCATCGCCGCCTGCGCCCGCCTCTTCTGCTCCTCGAGCGCCGTGCGCTGGGCCTCCATCGCCGCCTTCATCTCCTTGTGGCGCGAGTGCAGCTCCTCTTCGGACTGCTTCAGCTTGGCCTCCTTCTCCTGCACCTTCTGCTGGAACACCGCCGACATCTCGGCCTCCAGCTTCTGCATCTTGGCGTAGTGGGCGCGCGCCTCCTCCTCCTGCTGCACGCGCGGGTTGAACTCACGGAACACTGCTGCGTCCTGCACATGGCCCATGGCCAGCAGCTTCTGCGTGCGGTACGACTCGTACAGCGCCACGTCGGTCGTGTCGCGCAGCTCCTCCATGTGCGTACGCAGCAGCATCTGCCGCAGCCGCACAAAGTCGTTGTGCTGCTCGTTCTCCACCTCAATGATGCCCCACGGGTACTGCCGCCCGCGCACCTTGGTGCCGTCTGCACGCTCCACAAAGCTCTCGCTGCCGATCACCGCAAAAGGAATCTTGCCCGCAATATCCTTGTTGTCGGCAATCGTCTCCGGGTCGTCGTACTCGTCCGACACCGGCTTGAAGATCTGGATCCCGTGGTAGTTGATGTCTGCCAGCACATTCGCCTTGAACTGCTCCACCTCGCGCGGCGTCAGCGTGTCCGACTTGGCAATCACCGGAATCAGGTTGACCCGCGTGTGCAGGTTCTTCATGAACTCAATGTCAATCGCCCGCAGCCGGTGCCCCGTGGGCTTGATGAAGTACAGCAGCGCATTCACGCGGTTGTCCACGATCTTGCTGCGGTTCACCCGGTTCTCCTGCGCCAGGTACGCGTCGAACCGCGACTCGACGTTCTCCACAATCGGCTTCCACGACTCCTCGTTGTTGATCGAGTCGCCGAACCCAGGCGTGTCCACCACCGACAGCTTCAGCTTGATGCCGTTCTCCTGGATGTCTGCCGTCACCGACGAGATCTCCACGCCGTTCGGGTGCTCCACCGCCCCCACCGCTGCGCTGTCGTCGCGTCCGGGGTACACCTTGCTCTCAAACAGCGTGTTGATCAGCGTCGACTTGCCCAGCCCGGACTCGCCCACCACCATCAGCGTAAAGTTGAACCCGCGCTTAATCGACCGCCGGTGCACCTGGTTCGGGTAGTTCGAGAACCCAACGTACCCGTTCATCTTCTTCTTGATGGCTCCGCTGTCGGCAACGTTGTTCTGGCGCATCCTACATGGGGAGGTGGAAGGCAGTAATCATTAGTTCCAGCAGTTTGGCACAGCGGGAAAACGCCAGACTCTATCTGCTACACTTTGCTGCTTACTTGATGTTTGTACTCGTTAATAAAGGCAATTACTCGGATTAGAAGGGAAATGAAGGGATGTGGTTTAACAAAAAAGCTGCAAACAACTTTTAAGCTACTAAAAGTGTGTCGAGGGTTCTTGTTATGAAATGAAAAAGAGGGGAAGGGTGAAGTTGAAATGTTAGGAAAGCAAGAGATGAGAACAACAACAAAAAAATTAGAAGCGACCACTGCCAAACTGTTGACACTCCCATTGTGTTGTGGTGAGCCAGGGATCTGCTCCTAAAAATCCGCCACGTGACTCACGCATATCGTAACATGGCCTTCTGGATCTTGTCCTCGTTTGTCATCGCACGGCCGTCCTGGTACTGGTAATAGCTGCCCTGCGCCGGCTGCTGCTGGTACGCCTGCTGCTGTGGCTGGTGGATCGGCGGCTCCTGTGGCCGGTATGCATATCCGGGCGCCGTCTGCTGCTGGTAGTAAGCGCTGCTGTCCTGTGGGTACTCGTGCCTCTCCCGGTAGGCCTGTCCCCCATATCTGCCTACGTGCGGCTTAGGTGCCATGTATGCCTCGTACGAAAACACGCGCGGGGCATTGAACATGGCCCAGACAAGCAATACAAGGCCGAGCGGCAGCGGGTTGAGGAGGTACCACAAGACCTCGCTTGTATTAGCCGAGTTGCTCAGCGGCAGCTTGGTCTGAGCCATGGCGAACGACGCCCACAGCGCCAGCATCGTAAAGGGCACTGCCAGGTTGATCATCTCGATTATTTTCTCGCGGCCTGTGTCCGTCACCGCCTTCCAGATAGTCACCAGGAGCCCGAGGGCGCTGATTGCCAGGGTCGCTGCCACTGTCGTGATATGGAGAATATGGCCAACGTGCCGCAGCCATGCGTTGTCTTTAAACACAAAGACGATCCCAATGGACTCCAGAACCACCGCGCCCAGGATGTATAGCCCGCCTAGCGCCAGCAGAAGTGCGCCTGTGGCTCCGCGGCTGTCTTCCAGGTACGTCACCCACTTGCTGGCCATCAGCAGTGCCATGAGCGTCAGCAGGAATGCTCCGCACGAGTCCAAGATGTAGGCTGCTATGTACATGCTGACATTGTGTGTGGTTATTTCTCCAGCCAGTGTGGCCCGCAGGAAGAACGAGATCATCAGGACACGCAGAGGCTAGAGTTCCGGTCAGGAAAACGTGCGCACGCGCCATGAACGCGGTTGCTAAGGATGCAATCAGCAGCACGCCAAACGCTCCACCCACGCCATATGCGACGTTCCTGCTCGGCATGAACTGCAGAAATGGCGTGGTTGACTCAAAGTCTCCAAGAACCACAAAGTAGAATGTGGATGTATCGAAACTTGGCGTATAAAATACAGGAATAGACATAGCTGGAAAAACACAATAACTATTTAACAAGGAGGTACTGAGGTAGCTTTGAGAGGAAAGCGCAGTGACCGGGCGAGGAAGAGCAAATACGGACATGAACAACAGGCAGGGTGTCCATTGCTGTCAGCCCAACAAGGGACTGCCCCTTGCTGTGCGCGTGTCCTCTACTGCATCGACACTCGACCCTTACTGTGTAGGAACCAATCACAACAATGGCCTGAGGAAAGGCACAATGAACCACCAGCGCCCACAGCACGTCAATGAGCACACACGCATGTCCCAAAGACTCCTCCTCATGCATACCAGCAATGTAGAGTACTTCGGCACTCATGTCTAGTGTTGCTGTGTCACATTGGTGATTTAGGGTTAGTTGCAGATCGTCTACAAATAGTGCTACACCATGATTTGCGTCAGTGTCAAAGCGAAAAGGCAAATGGCAATTGCATTTTGCAGAGGAAAAAAAAAAAAAAAAAGAAAGGTCTATGGCGACAGGAATAAAAATAAGGTAACGATAAGCGAAAGATGTGTCAAGGAGTCTGGCGTCAACACCCGTATAAAGTTTACATGTAGAACTTCTGGACATTGTCCTCCATGTTGCCCTGGTGGTGATGGTGGTGGTGGTGGACTTGGCCAGCATGCGGACTCGGCTGGACGGGCATCTGCGCATTATACGCCAGATGCGGGTCGCGGGCCGGGCACGGTGTGACCTCGCAGTAATAGAACGTGAACATCTTCGGTGCATTGAGCGCCAACAGCACGATCGCAATCAGCAGCAGCGGCACAATGTTGAAGATGTACCACAGCACCTCGCTATGGCGCGCAGCGCTGTGGAGTCCCAGGAAGGCACGGGCCGTCATGAAGCAGCCCCAGAGAACCAGGAAGAACGCAGACAGACCGACGATCAGAATGTGCGTCATGTGGTGGCCATTCACGTCCAGAGTTCGTCGCCCAGCCAGTAGTTGCCAGCAGGATGACGCTCAGGATCAGAACGATTATGACAAACGCCTGCAAGCAGTGGATTCCGTGCGACAACTTGTCAGACGAGTGCAGGTCGAACATGAGAACGACTGCAGCCACCAGAAGCGCAAACAGAGCCAAAGCGCAGACGTAGAAGAACATAACTACCGAGCGGATGGTGCCGCACAGTGTGTTGTCCAAGTGCACAATGAGCCGGAAGATCAGGTGCACCACCAGCAGCGCCAATAACGCGGCTGCAAAGTAGTTGAACCAGATCGAGACCTTGTACATGGCAAACCTGTCCATGGACGTGTGCTTTAGCGCAGCACGCAGGAACAGGCATATCGCTACCAGAACCATCGCCAAAAACCCAAAGAAGAACTCGAGCAGGCCGCACATAAACGTCAGAGCGAGAAGTCCGAGACCAAGCAGCAGCGCGATTGAGCCGATGACCCAGCCAGCGACCACGCTCGGGATGAACGTCAGCCACTCGCGGTCCGGCGTGCAGTTGCGCGACGGGCACAGAATGTACATCCACAGGTTATAGATCTCGCCGATGATTGTGACCCCGCTGACTGTGCCGGTGCCGCCCTCAATGACTGTGGGCTCAGGCACCGTTCCAGTCGGCATGGGCAGTGTCGGCGTCGGTCCAGTAGCCGTGAATGTGGTCGTGATGGGCGCAAGCGTCGTGTACGTGGTCGGCGAGGGCCCGCCGACAGTCACTGTCGCCGTCGACATCTTCGTCACCGTGCTGATGATATAGCTTGTGAACGCAGTCGATACCAGCGTCGCCACTGCCGAGGTGTCGGTCCATTGTCAGCGTGCCGATAACCTGTGATATCGGTCGTTGATGATGAGAGAGTCATGTCTGTAATCGCCTATGTAACGTTCTTTAGAGCTAAACTAGGTGGGTATTTGGGGAAGCTTGGTGTGGGCAAAGTAAGTAGAGAAAGACGTATGTAGAGCGTTAAAAAGAGAAAAGAGAAAACGGAGACGAGGGACGCCGTGTGTCGCCCACCCCTTATATAGCTACCTGCTGGCCAGAGTGTCCATCCCAGCAGCAGTAGTGGCCCGAGAAAGGGAAGTGCGAACTCGCGCCTACTGCCCTTCATCCCCGCGCCCTTGCCCGCGCGCACCAGCGCTTCCTTTCTGGCTCTGTCTGCTTTTGCTCGTTCACAAGCTACTTCCCAAAGTCGTGCGGATTGCCCGCCCTGTTCACAACCCACGCTCGCAGCAACAGCGGGTATAGTATCTGACATGCCCATTTGCGCATTGAGCTGGCGGTCCAAAAAAAGCTGCGCACTATATCACCAGAGTCCAAGTTCCTGGAAAATCAGAAATGGTTGGTTGATCGCGGGTTGGAAAAGAGAAGAAATTAAGATATCTAGTGATTTAGGGTTTGGGCGGGACGAGCACGTCCGGCGCATGGCCGCCGCCTAGTTTGCCTTCTTCGCCTCAGGCAGCCTTGGCCTGGCGCGCCTTGTGGGCATGGTACCTGCTGTCGGTCCCAAAGATCGTGTCCCACCAGCGGAACGACGACGAGAAATTGTTGACGAATGCCATGTGGTGGTAGTCGTGGTGGTCGGCGCCTGCCCAGAATGGCATAAAGTTGTGCAGCGACCACGGGAAGTCGTAGCCCGAGTGCGCGTCAATGGCCTGGAACAGCCGCAGCGCAATCCACGCAAACATAGTAACCGAATGCACGCTGCCGACAAAGTTGCAGTAGAGAACTGGGCTGCCGATCGTGCCCTGGCCAAAGATGATAGGTCTCGAGCGGGTGGGCGTACTCGGCAGCCATGCCGAACGGCGCACTGAATTCGTGGTGCACCTTGTGTACGCCGCGGTACAGCGGGCCCCAGTGGAACAGCCGGTGGATCCAGTAATGCCAAAAGTCCTCCATCACGAAAAACACCGCGATCTGGATCGCCATCTCCTGCCAGCCCGGCAGCGGCACCTCAGTGGTCCGGATTCCTGCCAGCTTGGCTACCGGCAGGAACGCCAGCATGAGCGGCCCCTCGATCACAAAGTGCGAGAACAGCAGGCTCTTGATGCACTTGAGCTTCATCGCCGATGTCACCTCCTTGTTATCCTGGATCTTGTATTTGCGCATTGTCGGGATGTAGTCGCACAGCAGGAACGGCAGGTACCGTCCAAAGTAGACGAGCTCGTGCATCGTGAATGCAATCAGCGTGAACGTAAGCAGCTCGTTGCGGCCGTCAAACAGCGAGAGCCACCAGCTCTCAAACCAGTTCAGCTTGTAGCCCTCGGGCACCTTTGTTGCGATGTCAACTGTCGTGTTGAGCATGCCTCGCACGTTGTCGAGCACAAAGGTCGATTGTAGCCATCTTGCAAATTTCAGTTCCTGGAGGGCGATAGCCTATCCGAGCGCTATAGGGAATAAAATAAACTGCTTACACGCTGGCAGGTGTGGAAAGAGAAAGGAGCAGGATTTTTATCACCGGTTGGGTCGGTTGAGTTGTTTTCACAAGCGCTTTCCAGCCTTTTGTAGGGGACTGCTTCTGGATCTCAGCACTGGGAAGGTCTTCAAAGCGCACAAGAATTACCAGCACTTTGTTTGTGGCTTCGGATTTATCGGCTGGATCGGCTGCGTACGGTCGGAATATCCGTGTTTGATTGTGTGATCGTGGATGATATTGGATCACCTGTGTAGATCAGCGACCGCTGCGGCATATGCGGTGGTGTTCGGCTGCCAAATTAATTTCTGCTTTCCACGCCGCCATGCGTGATGCTACGGTTGAGGTGAATATACATACGTGTCGGGAGATTCAAGGGCAGGTACCTCGAAACCCCCCATCTTCATCACTCTTACTCTAATTACAAATGAAGCCTGCCTCGATTCTGCTGGCAGCAAACACAATTGCTGGTGCAATGTGCAAAGTGCTCGTCGGGTACGCTCCATCGTGGAAGGATATTAGCGACGTAGATTTGGCTAAATACACACATGTAAATCTGGCCTACGGCACACCCCAGGCGAATGGCACCATTGTGTTTGAATCAAGCTACTCTCTCGCCGATTGTGTTCCAAGGATTCACCAGGCTGGAGCAAAGGCGCTCTTGTCCGTTGGCGGTTGGACGGGAGAACGCTACATGTCAGATATATTGATGTCACCATACGACCGGAATGAGCTGGTCAAAAGCACAGTGAGCCTGGTCACATCAAACAACCTCGATGGAGTCGAAATCGCGTGGGCATACCCAGGGAAGGCAAACAACAAATGCGACAAGTTTGACATTGCCAATGACGCCAGCAACCTTTTAGAGTTTCTAAAACAACTGAGAGCTGAGCTGACGCGGTCATCCTCCGGCCAACCAAAGCTGATCACAATGTCGGTTGGTGTTATACCCTTCCAAGGACCAGGCGGGCCACTCAAAGATGTCTCTGCATTTGCACCGCTCATTGATCTGTTGTCGGTGATTGCATACGACATCAACGGTCCCTGGCTGCCAACAACCGGGCCGAACTCACCACTCAAGAACGAGGCTGGCAGAGGTGCTCCCTACTCGTTTTCTTCGGCGATCGACAGCTGGACTGCTGCAGAGTTCCCGGCTGAAAAGCTTGTTGCTGGCATCGGCCTTTTTGGCAGATCTTCCACGGCGAGTCAAGACATGACCAGGGATTCCACGAATCAGTATCAGCCCCAGTTGAGCAAGATTCCGCGAGGGGATAAAGACGATGGGCTGTGGGAAGACAAGTGCTCTGGAAAGCCAGCTAGCTTTTCGGGCATCTGGTCATACAAGAGCCTGCGCGAGCAAGGCGTGCTGAAGGCCCCTGATGCAGCAAGTAACGGGTGGAACCGATATTGGGACGATAGAGCACAGGTTCCATGGCTATTCAGCACTACAACAAATGTGTTCATATCATACGACGACATGAAAAGTGTTGCTGCCAAAGTCTCTCTAGCTGTAGCTAAGGGACTTGGTGGCATTATGGTCTGGGACATTACTATGGATTACCAGGATGAGCTTATCGGCGAGATCCGCAAGGGTGTGGGCCTCAAGCCGCTGGCGCGCATGGGACCAGTCCTATCACAGGCCATTGCCATTCCACAACTGCATGTTGATACATTCGTCTGGCCTGCCGGTCCAACTCAATCAGCAGCACCTGCGACCAACACACCACCACAAGGCGGCGGCAATGGGGGCAATAGCAACAACAGCAGCGGCAGCAACGGCAGCAGACCAACTATTGGAGGTCAGTGTGGTCCCAATGTGAACTATAGGTGCATGAGCGATAATCACAAGAGCCAGGAGTTTGCCACCTGTGCAGGCGGTACCTGGGTTTTGCAGCAGTGTGGAACTGGAACTGCCTGTGTCCAGAACGGGGCCAGCGTTTATTGCGACTACTACAAGTAAACAATAGCCATACTTGCCAGCTACACATGTTTTCTGCCAGTTGGTGCCGGTCAATAAACTGCAGCAATTGTGGCCATCCCTTCAGCAGAAGCATGATCTAATTCACTGTGCAGAGCATCAAAGCGAGTTGTCATGTGCTCCCTTTTTAATATTCGACGAATAGCCCAGCCCATCACGCTCAACTCAGCACTCCGTTCCAATGTGACCTTTCTGCATTTGGTGCTGGTTTTTATAGGGGGCCATCTTGCGATTAAGCTTAGCAGCAGAACCCGGTCTAGTTCTAGAATATGCTGCCAGGCTCGAGGCTGGCTGCCAGTGGAGCTGTTGTCAGTAGCAGAAATTTGTTGCGGTCCGCGGCGTCTTGCCACAATCTTGTTTATATATATTTTTGGACAATCCCGCTCCCACGGGCATGAAAATGCGCCTATTTGCCGAGTTCCAGCAGCGAGACCGTTTGCAGGAGCTCCCTATCTACCTCCGTGCAATTTCTCGGCCTCGTGTAAGATTGCTCCTCGCACCGGAACTTGATTTGTTTTTAAAAGTATTTGAATAGGCAAGCATAATTGCATTGGCCATTACCCATCCCCTTTCCATTCTTACTCTTGGACTGCAGTGCATATGCCTGGCGCCATGCTTTTCTATTTAAACATGTAAAAATGCTTAAAGACAAGGAGGTGCTTGCAGCATGGATAGCCGCTCATGTGCTGTTGTGTTTTATTGGAATGTGAGAACAGCCAGTGCGGAAGCAATAAAAGTAGGGAGCGCCATATGCGTGCTCGGCGTGATGGACGGGGGTATGTTCTGCCTCTGTAGTCGATATAGCAGCTATGACTTGCGTCGATCATTCAATTCACATTGCAAGCTTGTCCATTCCGGTTTTCGGCACCATGCACTCGAAATAAGGATATGCATTCTGCATGGCAGCCTGCAAGAACAAGGCTGGGACCTTTTGCCCGACTACGGGGTCATATGATTGCAGTGCCGGAAAAGTGGGGCATAGGATGGCCAGTGTTGCATGTGCTCCAAAGCCGTATCAAACCGGATTTTGAAAAATATGCCGAATGTGGATGACCATGGGGCTGCCGTACAGGAAATTTTTTGTGACACAGGTACAGGAGGGTTGACTTGCCGGGCTGTTGCCCACTCCTCAAAGGAGCAGGCTCCGTGTCACAGATGCCGGTGAACTGATGCACCCGGTACAAGATTCGTTCCTGAAAGACAGTTGTGCGTTGGCTGAAAATTGGGCCAGCCAGGATTTAGCCAGATCCATAGTTCCCAGTAGATCTTCCATATTTCTGGCATGCAATAGCAAGGTTAAAAAGGGGGAATTAGCAGCATACACAGCCATATGCCTTTTCTGCAAAGCTCAGACAGCCACCCGCCTGATGACCAGGCACTTTAGTCTGCTGCTGGGCCATGTCTCTGTATTGTAGGATGTCGGCTGATGTCGTTTTCGGTACAAGCAAGGCACAATGAAGAGATATCTGGCTGGAACATGGCAATAAATATATATGAAAGCGAACACTCTACACAAACTCCAGTAAACAACATACAGCTACTCAGTATGTGTCAAATCGTATATCCCTGGAGCATGAACGAGCCGATCTACCAAGCGGTGATTTGGTCCGCGGCAAGTAAACAAACATACAGCTGCTCTATGTATGTAACGAGGTGGAATGTTCCTTTTGTCGCAATTGGTAATTGCCATGCTTGTGAATACTGAACCGTGGCAATAAAGCGGCAGTCACCGAGACCCGGGAGGTGTAGATGCACGGACGCAGACTATCCCGAATGTAAAAGGTGAAGCGCTGGCTCGAACGGTATGCGGATACTGCATTGGCATGCGGTCCAATATGCAGAGCAAATATTTGTTCATCTCTTCTCTACTAGACGCTTCCCTTGCAAAGAGCCGGCTAAGTGTTCTAGAAGATGGATGGCAGGTAGTAATACATGGTATACCTTTGCTCATGATGTACGGAAACTGCTGTGAAGAAAGCTACTAGGGCAGTGGCCGAGATGGGGGACAGATGGGAACACGCTCACATCAGCTGGTTGTCTCATATAAAATGCCAGCTGTTTGGCCACTCTCCCGGCTTGTCGTCATCTGAACCAGTGTTCCTCACAACTCAGTTAATAGTCAGCAGCGTCTTCTCTCCATTGGATTACCCCTTCCTCTGTTACTTTGGCCGCTTGTAGCTTTATACCACTACTCCTTCTTTGAGCAAACCCGCAGGTCGAGTCTTGCTCCTCAAACTACTCCTCTCTAATCTACCACCAGCAACAATGCGCTTCAGCACTATATTTACCCTTGCCACCTATGGCCCTCGGCTTTGCCGGTGAGGTCATTGCCAAGCCCAGCCTCGTCATCGGCTACTACCCGTCATGGAAGCGCCAGTACATGTCGGCCATTGACTTCACCAAGTACACCCACATCAACCTGTCCTTTGGTATTCCCACGTCCTCCTGGAACATTCACGTTTGAAGGTGATTGGTTTACTCCGCAAGTTGTTACGGAGATGCACGGCAAGGGCGTCAAGGTTCTGATGTCTGTCGGTGGTTGGACCGGCTCCAACCTGTTCTCCAACATCCTTAAGAACCCAACCACACGTACTACGCTGCTCAACAGCATGACCGACTACGTCAAGAACATGAACCTTGATGGTATCGACATTGACTGGGAGTATCCGGGCCGAATGGGCAACAACTGTAACGTTATAGATGCCGCCAACGACACCCCCAACTTCCTCAAGTTCGTGCAGGACCTGCGTGCCCAGTTCGATTCGACTTTTGGCACTCGCCAGAAGCTGATCACTATGGCTGTGCGCGTTGAACCCTTCGACGTGAACGGTGCTCCATCTGCTGACGTGTCTGCGTTCGCCAAGGTTGTCGATTTTGCTAACCTGATGCAGTACGACATTAACGGTGGATGGAACCCGCAGACTGGCCCTAATGCTCCGTTCAACTACGAGAATGGTAAGGGGATGCAGGTTTCGTTTGTCTCGGCAATCGATGCCTGGACCAAGGCTGGCTGGCCGGCGAAACCAGCTCACAGCTGGAATTGGCTTCTATGGTCGCTCGACCACAGCTACTGTTGACATGACCCTTGACCCGAACAACCAATACCAGAACCAGTCATCGGTTGTTCCTCTTGGCGATTCGGAGGATGCTCCCTGGTATGATGCCTGCGCAGGGGCAACTGCCAATTCGGGAACCTGGCAGTGGAAGCACCTGCGTGACCAGGGCCTTTTGTCGGCACCGACTACTGCGAATGCGCCGTGGGTTCGCAAGTTTGACCCTATTTCGCAGACACCGTGGCTGTTCAACCCGAACACCAAGATCTTTATCTCGTACGATGATCCCCAGAGCATCAAGGTCAAGGTAGACTATGCCGCTGCCAAGGGTCTTGCAGGAGCCATGGTTTGGTCTGCCAACATGGACTACAACGGCGAGTTGATGAATGCTATTCAGGCCTGGCCCGGAAACGGTGGTGGCTCAACTACCACTACCACCCCTGCCCCTCCGGTCACGTCAACGACTAACACGGCTACTTCCTCTGCTCCTGGAACCACCACTGACCCGGCTCCCACGTCGACCACTGGTGGAGGCGGACCAGTTGCTGGTGGCCCCTGCTCATCGCAGGGTGCCTACCAGTGCGCAGACACTACTGGCAAGAATTCGGCATACTTCATTTGCAACAGCGGCACCTGGGTCCAGCAGGCATGCGGCTCCGGAACCGCCTGCTTCCAGTCTGGTGCGAACATCGTCTGCAACTGGCCAACTGCTTAAACCCCTCGTATACTTTGACAAGATGCAATATCCTAGTAGCTAGTATATTGTAATCCAGGAAGCGTGACCCTCAAGCACTGTTGCCAGTAATTAGGAGTAGGTTTGGGGTAGTTAAAGTGGCAGGTTAAAAACACGAAAACTGACCCATGGAACACAATATAAATGTATTGTGACAAGGCAGCTATACGCGCACGTTGAGAGAGGACCCAAGAAAATGCTGATGGTGACTCAAGCGGTGAATCGGAGGAATTCACAGCCTGTGACGGATTGCCTTCATACATGTGAAGCAGCAGAAGGAATTGCTTGATATGACCGGTCCTTTGCTATCAAGAGGTTAGCATTTTCGGCGCCATTAGTCCAACCTGCCCGACAGTGAGACCGAAAATGACAGCAAATATTATTTCCAGTTTTCATTGAGGATTGGAAGGTTTATTTGGGATTGTCCTGGTGCCAACATCGAATCTTGGCGTTTTGGACATGGCGGTCATTCGCGCATAATTTTACAGCTCGGCACTCCATTTGCTTGGCCCGCTTTTAATTCCGTGGCACCAAGGTTGTAAACAGGCATGTGATGGCTTTGCTGCTTATTCAGATGGAAGGCACGATTACTAGTACTCGATAGAATGCATAGAATGCTGCAAGGCCTGCAAATCATATTTGCGCCTGCTCCGTCTACACACAGGCAGCGTGCCATATCGCTTGGCCTGCCTCATTGATGCGTGCCTGGTTGTTGTCTTTGCGCTAGCCTCCCTTGCTGCAATACACAGTGGAATCATCAGCAACAATGCACGGCGAGCACCTGGGGGAAATGCAATCTCGAATCCACGTCTCCACTATATTGCTCTCATTTGGAGGCATAGAAGCTATGGCTAGGTTTTGTATAAAAGCTGCTGTTTCCCCACAGCAACCAAGCTTTAGATATCCACAGCCTCAACCATTCTTTTGTTTCTCCTCCTCACCAAAGTCTTTTGCTCTTGCTAGTCAGGCGTACCTATTTATACTGTCTTTATCGTCAGATTTAATTACCGTGCTATTCTAATGCGTTTCAACACCGTCTTCACTCTTGCTACGATGGCTCTTGGCTTCGCCGGCGAAGTCATTGCTAAGCCTAGCGTCGTCATTGGTTACTATCCCTCGTGGAAGAACCAGTACATGTCTACTGTTGACTTTACCAAGTACACCCACATCAACCTGTCCTTCGGTATCCCGTCTTCCTCTGGAACCTTCTCTTTCGATGGTGACTGGTTTGAGCCTGCATTGGTCAGCAGCATGCATGCCAAGGGTGTAAAAGTCCTGATGTCTGTTGGTGGTTGGACTGGTTCCAACTACTTCTCTACTATCCTCAAGGACTCTTCAGCCCGCAGCACTCTTATTACCAGCATGGTGAACTATGTCAAGAGCATGAACCTGGACGGTATCGATATTGACTGGGAGTACCCGGGGCGCCTTGGTGACAACTGCAATGTTGTCGATGCTGCCAACGACACCCCCAACTACCTCAAGTTCCTGCAGGATCTGCGTGCCCAGTTCGATTCGACTTTTGGCACTCGCCAGAAGCTGATTACGCTTGCTATTCGCGTCCAGCCCTTTGACATTAACGGCGCGCCGACAGCAGATGTCTCTGCATTCGCCAAGGTTGTCGACTACGGCAACTTGATGCAGTATGATATTAACGGTGGCTGGAACAATGTCACGGGCCCTAATGCTCCATTCAACTATGAGAATGGTAAGGGGATGCAGGTCTCGTTTGTCTCGGCGATCGATGCCTGGACCAAGGCTGGCTGGCCGGCGAACCAGCTCACAGCTGGAATTGGCTTCTATGGTCGCTCGACCACAGCTACTGTTGACATGACCAAGGATCCGCAGAATCAGTATCAGGCACAGGCGTCAGTTGTCCCCCTCGGCGATTCGGAGGATGCTCCCTGGTACGATACCTGCGCAGGGGCGACTGCCAACTCAGGAACCTGGCAGTGGAAGCACCTGCGTGATCAGAACGTACTTTCATCGCCGACCACTGCAAACTCACCATGGATTCGTCAGTGGGATCCTGTCTCGCAGACGCCATGGGTGTTCAACCCGAACACCAAGATCTTTATCTCGTACGATGATCCCCAGAGCATCAAGGTCAAGGTTGATTATGCCTTCTTCCAAGGGTCTTGCAGGAGCCATGATCTGGTCCGTCAACATGGACTACAACAATGAGCTGATGAATGCTGTCCAGGCCTGGTCCGGAAATGGCGGCGGTTCGACTACAACTACCACTGCTGCCCCTCCGGTCACCTCAACGACCAGCGCCGCCACTTCTTCGGCTCCTGGAACTACCTCCGTGCCTGCCACCACCTCGGTTCCGGCTACAACATCGGCACCTGCCACTACGTCGACCGTTGGTGGAGGTGGACCGGTTGCTGGCGGCCCCTGCTCATCGCAGGGTGCCTACCAGTGTGCTGATACTACCGGCAAGAACCCGGCGTACTTTGTCTGCAACAACAACACCTGGCTCCAGCAGGCATGCGGCTCTGGAACTGCCTGCTTCCAGTCTGGTTCGACGATTATCTGCAACTGGCCCTCGGCCTAAGCGTTTCCACTATGCGCCATCTTGCTTCTTTCGCGTTACTCATCGTCAGAACCCTGCGGAAGCCTCAAAGGAAATAAATATGGAATGTTCGTTTGTCGACCTTGTGTATGCTTATATCTGCTCACTGAAACCCACATCTTGGTGAGGAGTGCCCCAAAGCCACACTCCTTGCCAGTGACATTATGTGATCGGCGTGCGGTTCACAAGAACCAGCAGCTGTCCACATGATGCACGTATTTTTTGATAGCGTCTTCCCAAGGTCAGCAAGATTTTCCAAATGCCTGGAATCCAAACAGGTTTGTGGAATAATTATGAAGCATAACCTGAGCCATTCCCGCCCATTGCAAACCACCCGCTTGTGGTTTATTCCGGCAGCGCGCAACCTCGTGAACATTGTCTTGTGTTCTAGAGCCGGATCCTTTGATTTTGCTGGCTCTCACCTCCTTGCCATGATAGGGCCAACTTCATCTATTTGTTCTTATGAAGAAGAGATTGACTATTCGAGGCATAGGTATGCACTGCTCCTTCAAAATGTCCGCTGAAATTTGCCGAGCATTGGATAGCGGTTCGCTAAGGCGGTCCTAATTGCGGTGCTTGTTCCATGGACACCAGCAAGTGTCTGCGCACTGGCTTTCATATAAAAGGGATCGGTTTTCGCGCTGAATCCTGCCATCCACCAGCTCACACCAGCAACCACCTCTTATATTTACCACATCTTCCCTGGCGGAAATACACGAATAATTTTTTACTCCACCTAATTTACCACCAGCAACCATGCGCTACAACACCGTCTTCACTCTTGCTACGATGGCTCTTGGCTTCGCCGGCGAGGTCATTGCCAAGCCAAACGTCGTCATCGGCTACTACCCCTCGTGGAAGAAACAATACATGCCGGCTGTTGACTTTACCAAGTACACCCACATCAACCTTGTCCTTTTGGTATCCCCACGTCCTCCGGCACTTTCACGTACGAGGGCGATTGGTTTGAGCCCCAGGTGGTCACTGAGATGCACGGCAAGGGCGTCAAGGTTCTGATGTCTGTCGGTGGTTGGACTGGTTCCAACCTTTTCTCGACCTATCCTCAAGAACCCGACCACCCGCAGCACTCTGCTTACCAGCATGGTGAACCATGTCCGGGACTTCAACCTCGATGGTATCGACATTGACTGGGAGTACCCAGGACGTCTGGGCAACAACTGTAACGTTGTTGATGCCGCCAACGACACCCCCAACTTCCTCAAGTTCCTGCAGGATCTGCGTGCCCAGTTCGATTCGACTTTTGGCACTCGTAAGAAGCTTATCAACCTGGCTGTGCGCGTCGAGCCCTTCGACGTGAACGGCTCCCCGGCCACTGACGTGTCTGCGTTTCGCCAAGGTTGTCGACTATGCTAACCTGATGCAGTATGACGTTAACGGTGGATGGAACCCGCAGACTGGCCCTAATGCTCCGTTCAACTACGAGAAGGGCAAGGGCATGCAGGTCTCGTTTGTCTCGGCGATCGATGCCTGGACCAATGGCTGGCTGGCCGGCTGCTCAGCTCACTGCGGGCCTCGGGTTCTATGGTCGCTCGACCACAGCTACTGTTGACATGACCAAGGATCCGAACAACCAGTACCAGAACCAGTCATCGGTTGTCCCTATTGGTGACTCTGAGGATGGAGCGTGGTGGGATTCGTGCGCTGGAAGCGGTGGATACTCTGGCAACTGGCAGTGGAAGCACCTGCGTGACCAGGGCATTCTTACCTCGCCGACTACTGCTGCGGCCCCGTGGGTTCGCAAGTTCGATCCTATCTCGCAGACACCGTGGCTGTTCAACCCGAACACCAAGATCTTTATCTCGTACGATGATCCCCAGAGTCTGAAGGTCAAGGTCGACTATGCTGCCGCCAAGGGTCTTGGTGGCGCTATGGTCTGGTCCGTCAACATGGACTACAACAACGAGCTGATGAATGTCATTCAGGCCTGGCCCGGAAACGGTGGTGGCTCAACTACCACTACCACCCCTGGTCCCCAGACCACCTCAACAGCCAGCGCCAGTACTTCCTCGGCCCTGGAACTAGCTCTGTGCCTATCACCACCTCAGCTCAAGTCACTACCTCAGCTTCTGCTACTACCTCTGCTCCTGCCACTACGTCGACCACTGGTGGAAGTGGACCGGTTGCTGGTGGCCCCTGCTCATCGCCGGGCGCGTACCAGTGCGCAACCACCACCGGCAAGAACCCGGCATACTTCATTTGCAACAACGGCGCCTGGCTCCAGCAGGCATGCGGCTCCGGAACCGCCTGCTTCCAGTCTGGTGCGAACATCGTCTGCAACTGGCCGAGTGCTTAAACCCCTCTTATACTTTAGCTACCCTAAACCTACTCCCAATTACTGGCAGCAGTGTTTGAGGGTTACAATTCCTGGATTACAATATACTACCTGTTAGAATATTGCATGTTGTCAAAGTGGCACGTTAAGAATACGAAAACTGCGACCCATGGCTCACAATCTTTTACCTATACTAGAGATACTCTGCTCGCGATGCGAGCTCGGCTGCTAGTCAGCCATGGGTTGACAGTCTTCAAATGCACCGGTTCGCCGTGATGCTCTTATCGAACGTGTTAACCTATGCTGACTAGCAGCCGAGCTCGCATCGCGAGCAGAGTATTTCTAGTACACATGTTGAGAGAGGATACAAGAAAATGCTGGCAGTGACGTATCCAGTGGACTGGAGGAATTCGCAGCAGAGGACCGGTCATATCAAGCAACTCCTGCTGCTGCTTCATACGTATGGAGGCAATCCGCTACAGGCTATCAAGACGTTAACATTTTCGGCGCCATTAGTCCGTGCCAGCCTCTTCTGCTACTCGACCAGCAGGCAGGTGGTTATTTGCAAGAGGGCGGGAGAGGAAGGCGGCAACGCAAGACCGCAATGGTTGAAAATAGCATACATCCCCCACTTCGGCAGACATTAAGCCTCTTTGTTCCTGGGCTGGCTTGCTTCGATTAGCAAAGGCTTTGGGGTTCAAGGGGACAACAAAAAGTGATATATTCAAACAGTTCGGGGATGGTAAAACACCAGGTGTCGGTAGGTATCTAGGTGGTCGTGTATGGCCAGCATCATGACCTTTTTGCGGATATTCTCCAGGTACTCGACGAGACTGAATACTTTGGGGTCCAATACTTCCAGCGACGAGATCTTGAGCACCAAGAGGGTTATAGCCAACGCCGATTCGTAGAGCATGGGCCGGCAGTCCTGGAACTGAATTGATATGCGTAACAAGCTGGTGCAGCCGAGCCGGGATGCAGGCTGTTTGGCAACCTCAACGGCCCGCATCAGCAGCTCCTTTTCAGTCATCTTCCAGTCGTCATCGATGATTAGGCTGTGCAGGTCTAGAAACTCAAGCCTCGGCAGGCAGTTGAGTAGCGACTGGGTGACACTGATGTTCATGGCCGACCCGATCTGCAGCTTCCTCAAGCCTGTGCACGTAGAGGTGCCTGGGAAGGCAACGACCTTGGCCGACATCTGGTACAGTTTCAGGTATTGCAGCTGCGGGCCGATAGAGAAGACCCTGGACCACAGCCGTTTGACATGCGGGAATTCACGAAGTCGATCTCCAGCGTCGTATATCATCTCTAGACGCTGCAAGCTGGTGTAGCGGTGCAGGTTGAGCGACTTGAATGTGTTCAGAGAGCCATTGAGGCGCAGGTCCTGGATCTGAGCGCTCGGGAAGTCGTCCAGAAATTCGCCGACTTTGTGATCTGTGTATACCAGCACCCAGAGTCTGCGCAGCACCGGGAAGGTTGGCCGTTTCCGGCTGGGTTTAAGCTCCGTGTAGGCCGGGTCAACCTCCATCGCGCGCTGGCGGTTCCGTCTGGCAGCATCGAGCTCGAATCCCATCTCCTCAGTTTCGATGATCGCTTCACGCGGACGGTAGAACGACACGACAAACGACTCAAGCGATGTAAACTCCAGCTCCTGGCTGTTGCGATCATTTGTGTAAAAGTGGTCCCAGATGTAGGTAAGCGGAAGCATCTGCAGATGCAGGACTTTCAAGGATGGAGCAAACATCCGCGGCAGCATCAGCGCCTCAACTGTGAATCTACGTGTGATATCCAGGTGTGTTATCTGTGGCGGCAGGTCGCGTACTCCAAACACAGGGTTGTTTCCATTACATGTGCGGAAGCGGGTAAGCTGGTTGATTGTCAGCTTCAGAAACGCGCTCATCGTGTGCAGCAGGTCTAGACGTCCGCCTTGTGTATCTATCGAGTCCAGCACCTTCACTGCTGGGAGGTTGGTTGCCAAGTACTCGCCTAGCTTAGAAAGCGAGTCTTCGGTGACCCATTCGGACGGCTCGTACTCCTCCTGCATGTCCTGGCCCTGGTACACCCTCAGTGTGTCGATATTGTTCCACTTGAACATGTGGAAGTTCATCTGCTTCAGCGCGTCAATGATCTCCAGCGGCATCATGTAGTCGTAGTGGGAGACGATAATTAGTTCTGTAATCGCATCCATACGACACTCGACAGCGATCTGCTTGATGTTTGTCTTCCAAGGGGGTTCGGTGCTCTCTCTTTCATCTTCTGGGGGTGGTGGCGGCGGTACCCCTTCCTCTGCTTCTTCGTCTTTGTATGGTGTCTCGCGGGTATACTGGAAAACAAGTGTTCTATGGTAGTATGGCAATGCCGCTTTGCGCATTGACTTGCAGACGGACGCTAGCCTGCCAAAGTCGTCCACCCGCTCCACCACCTTGCGATTCCTCTTTGTGTTTTCATACTCGTAGTGAAAGCGAATAATCAAGTCTACCACCCGCGCGGGGAGCTGCTGGAACGTGGTCATTTGAAGGAACGATTAGCGCAAAGAGAGGAACTGAAGAGTGGTGGAAGGCGTGGCCCCTAACTTCCGCCGGCTTCTTCGAGTCTGCAGTTCAAGCGTGGGACGAGAATCTAAATCTGGTACTTGATCGGGAAATCAAGGCCGGATACGTATGTACCGTAGCCTGAAATGAACGGACACTATGTAACCGTCAACTGTCAGCCTACAGACAGCGTGTGGAGATGACGGCAGTTGCCAGGTCTGATTGTCAGCTAGTGTTGCTAGAATCTGCTGTGGGTATGGGCAATTTACACAGCGCCATCAAAGCACTCGTGTGTCTGTAGCCCATATTCTATCCCCATCTCCTCACGCAGCCTTGGGGCTTGGGACTGTGTTTGATGGTTGGCCATGGCATACACTCAGCTTAACCCTTGTCATTGCACAGCACCAATATAGTTATGTCAGACAGCGTGTACCTTAGTCCGGCTAAGCTGCTGCTGCTAGTGGCGATCGAGCAGTATTCGCTGCACTACGACTGGGGACCGACAACGCTGAGCGATATTGCAGATATACTTGTCACGTATCTATGCGAGCCAGAGCGGCAGGTCGACCTTGAGCAACTCGGCAGAGATATGGCGGACAATATCTGTTCCATCGGAGTCGCAGCAACAACCGCAGTCGCTGCAGTCGATCCTGCACTACCGAGTCAGCGAACTGACAGAGCTAGAGCAGTTCACTCAGTTTTTCGATAGTCTGCGCGTATTAGTTGTTTATGCTGAGACGCAAGAGGCGAAAGATCGACGAGGCCATTCTACTGGACTCGGAGAGCATCTTTGGCATCTTTGTGCGGCGGTGTGTGCTGGCATTTGAGCAGCTGGAGTTTCACCAGACTGGCAAGTTTCATAATGCCTGCATTGCGGCAACAACAGCTCCCAAATTGAAAACTAGCAAACCTGTCACAGCATGAGCTGCAGGATCTGGTCGACCACCAGATCCGCTTGCTTGAAAACGAAACAGGTGCAGCAGTGCCGACGGATATGGCATCGAAGATCCATGACTTAATAGATGCACTGCCTGGCTATGCGCACGCACACTACCTCGACTATCTTAGGCTGGCACGCACAGGCGAATACGAACAATCGGAGGCCAGCTTGCGGCGATTCTTCGACTCCAGCGCTATGGCGCAGAACAAATACGGGTTTTCAGTATGCGCTCCTGTACTTGGCTGTGCTGCGCACACGCTTAGGGCTAGTGGCTGAAGCACAGCAGGCGCTCGACGAGGCACTGCATACTGCACGCGATCTCCAGGACCACACATGCCGTGTTTATGTGACTATCTGGCAGGCACGTCTTCAGTATGTGAAATACAAGCATGGCCAGTCAGAGCCAGCCACTGTTCGTGCTTCGTTGGAAGGGGTTGATTGCATCGGCGACAAACATGCAGCTACGAGGAGATGCGTGTTGCTGCCCATCTGAACCTAGTTGAACTGCTCGTTGACATGGGCGACATCGAGGGAGTATTCCAGGAGCTAACTCTATCATGGGCACTCATAGCTGAGAAACAGCATTGACTGAGATGCGTGTGTCATGGTTCTTGCTAGCGGCCCGTGCTTGGACACTGGCGCAAAACCCAACCATCGCACTCATGTATCTGTCGCTGGCCGAACGGGACCGGCATATGATGACAGAGGCGCAGATGTCCGGGTGTCAACAGTTGGTCAGCCAGCTGCATTCGTCAAGTGGCGGAAAACAACCATGCCTGTGCAAATGAGTTCGCAGCTTGTCGAGGCACAGCGCCTGATTGATCGCTGGTCGGGTCCAACGAGGCCGCAGACAAGCTGCTTGAGATCATTGGCGGCTCAGGATCTGGAGTCCAGGCAGCACGCTTCAGAGATGATCAAGGAACTAGACGACGGGCTGTTGGAGCAGCAGCAGGAGTAGCTCCACAGCGCCTTACTGTCCGAAAACTCATGGATCAATAGCATTCCGCTCGTTAAGACGAAGAAAATATTTACAGTACATGAGAGGCTACTAGACAACTGCTGTCTCTTTGGCCTTGAGCCTCTGAGATCCAGGCAACAAGCGGGTCAGCCGCATGGCCCCTGAACTGGTAGATAGCCGTGACTGGTTGGATCTGGGTAAGCAGCAGCCACACGCGGCTCGCGCTCAAGGCTCATCTCGTAGATTTTGTCGTCGTCGTATCCTTCGCGCTCGCACTTGTCCCACTGTTCGATCAGGTACTGCTGCAGACCCGGGATTGGCCAGCGTGAAGTTGCCGCTGTACTCGACCTGGAACTTGGCAATCTCCTTGACAATAATAGACACGCGATACGCCTTGTCAAAGTTGATCAGGATATGTGGGTCGCTGATGTCAACCTGCTCCGAGTTCGTGCACGGCTGCGACTGGCGATTGATGTCTTTTATGGTCAGCGTCGAATCTGTCGATGAGCGGCGGCGGTACGTCGGGTTGCCGTCTTCGAGAAATGTCAGATCGGTCAAGTACAAGCCCATGAACGGCAGCAGCGGTGGTTGTGAGCGGCGCAAAAGAGCCCTGTAGTTGGCGTAGTTTCGGTCAGGGTCGGTTGCCTCGTGCAGCCGCTTGCTCAGCACGTCGTACTTTTTGGGCAGGAGCGCCCACGTACTCTTCAGTCGCATCACTGCAGCACAGAATATGGCAGCCTTGATTGCCATGACCGCGTCGTAGTTCTTCAGCGCCAGGCACTGTGTTCCAAGCTGGATAAAGTATTTGAGTGCCCGGCACCGCCGGTCTGCGGTAACCTCGGACAGGATCACAGCCGAGACCCAGCGCGAAATCTGCGTCGACCACTTTGTCATCTGCCGCACATTGACGGCTAGCGACGTTTCACCATGGCTAAACTCTTTGTTAACCAGCTCCATTGGCTGGATCTGGCAGAAGCACGAGCTCTCGATTATTGTCAGCTGGCATGCTACATCCATCGGCGATACCTGCAGAATATGTGTTGAGCGATATGCTTCCACAGACAGATCCACGCCAACTGTAGCCATTAGAAGCTCAGAGATGTCCGGGAACCGGCGTCGGATCGCGTATATGATCTGGCCGCTTGTCGGCTAGTATCCCTTCACTCAGCCTGGTGCCAATTGATTGCAGCGACGATGTCTGATAAGCTTCTATCTCGCTGGTGCCTACTGCTTTCTCGCCATGGCCTTTATGGCGTCGGCCGTGGTGGTGGTGGTGTGCAAACAAATTTGCCAGCAGTCTTCTGTGGTTGTGGCGATTCGTCTCAGCAGCTGATAGCAGTTCGTACTTTGGGTCATCATGGCTCTTGCTCTCAGTCGCAAGTGCCGGTAGCTGATGCGAGGGAGTCTGCGAGATGGTCAAATCGTTAATCGGCGCTGGCGCAAGCAGCGACTCTATCCCTGGCGAACCACTACGATGCAGCTCGCGGATGCGACGGAGAAGCTTCAGACACTCGCGCTGCGATAACCCGTGCTTCGAGGTTTTGCACTCATTTGCCAGGAACCGCGACAGAATCGGCAAGCACGGCGGGTCGTGCTCAGCACACCAGGCATTGTCAAGCCAGTGTCTGATTGCCTGAATCACTTTGTGCTGGATTGGCCGCAATCTGCGCTCCCGCCAGGCCCGCAGCTCTGATCCAGTCTTTGACACTGGGGGCGGCAGGTTCGCTCGCATAACCAGTGCCTCGGCCAGCTCTCGAGATGTTGCAAACAGCCGAAATCCGATAAAGAACACGCGCATAAAGTCCATGTTGTCTTCAGGCAGTGTAAGGTAGATTATCAGGGCTCGCCACGTCACATACGTCACTTGGCCAGCATCGTTGAAAATCAGGTCCTTGGGATTGTAGGCTTCGCCAAACTGGTTCGTGGGCAGCTGTTTGGAGTTGTCGTGGTGCGGTGCTGATGATGCCGGTTGGTCGTGCGGCGATATGGACTTTGCATCAAACAGTTTGGTGATCTTAAAGTCGCGCCGACCACGCTTGACACTCGCCTGAGGCGGCAGCTGCGGTAGATGCTCGGCTGTGTTGATCGACGGTGGCCGTGTTGATGGAATGGATGCTGGATCATGGTGATCCATTCGGTCAGCCATATTCCCGTGGTTGAAGTAGAAGGCCATGGTAGTTTGATGACTACTGTGTGCGTAGAAATAGAATATTTTTCAATAAGGAAAGAAGAAAATGCACATTTCGGAACACGCTCAGTGCTTGTGGACACTAAACAAAGGCGCTCTGTGTTTCCGCTGGTTTTCCTAGCTTGTTAGCTGATAGTGGTGACGGCGCGGGCTTTGGTGTAAAGGTGAAGACAGAAATGGCTTTACCTGCAGGAGCGACCCAATTCCGCATATTCTAAGCGCTGTAACGGGGCACTGCAAAGCAGATGGAGGTGGATTGTAGTATCGAGCCTAGAGGACTGCCAGGCATACGCGTTTTACTACGACTGGAGAGGCGGCAGGCACTGCTCGGGCAAGAGACAGAATGGAGCTGGCTGTCAAGATGCCGAGCATTGGCACAAGTGGAAAAAAGCCGACTGCAGTGTCAACAAAGCTGTATCACACAGCGACTCGGCGAATCCAGTACTCCTGGTAAGAATAGCGGCTGCAATCAGGCGCAGGACTAAGGTGGTACAAAATGCCGATGTCACACGACACAGTATAGGTTTAAAATGCGTGCAGTGGGATGTATATGCCCGATGCCACCTGGGATGAAACAGCGAGTATAGCCAGCAGACTGCTGACAAGCTAGGCTAAACACAGAGAAATTCCTTGATGGGCAAGGATAGGCAAGAGATCCAGAGGCCATGCACACCATGGCACCCGCAAGGCAAGCGTGCCGTTCTAGACCAAAAGTCTTAAGAGTTGTCATCATATCTCGACCAGGAAAGCTGAGACGCATTTGGCTGGCCGGAGCCAAGCCAAGTCGAGGGCTGAGGTCATGTCATGCTAGCCCTGGTCGATTCGTTTGGTGGTGAGAACTGGGGCTTGACGACACGACACTTGCACCAGAAAAGCCTAACCGCATTTCTACAGACTGCGTGCCTTTATAATTGCTTCCCAGAAGAGGCAATATCACTGCTAACTATTAGGTGTGGGGTTGTCAAGTGCTACCCAGGGCTAATAAACACAGCATGCAGCATGTTTTAAAGCCGCCTCCATCTGACACAGGTGCGCAAGCCGCCGGCGAGTTCAGCACAATCAGCGGCGGGCCGAGACCGTGCCATTATGCCACAGCTCCAGCGAGCAGCGCGCACGTGCGACTGGCCGCTCGCTGTCCGGCGACCAATGTGTCCCAGAATGGATAAAGGAAAAAGAGTCGCAGCTGTGAAATGGTGCTTGCTGGAAGTTGTTTTCTAGGCAGTAGCAGCAGTTTCTCCCAGAGTGGCATGCGACCGACCTTTTTAGACCAATCGCTGGCGTGCTGCTGTCTCGCTTTGCTGTTGCTGACGCCACCAGCACCCACTGTGAATGCAATTCTCTTGACTCCAGCACGAATATAAAGAGCAGCAGTGGGGTGCGTGCACCGAAACCCCTCTTACCTGCCCGCTGAATAATTTTCTTCTTTCTACAACACGCAAATCCACTGCCACCAAGCGAAAAAATGCTCATCCAGACCCTCCTTCGCTCCGCTGCTTTAAGTAGTAAAGCCCCCAAGATCTCCTTTGCCCGTGCCGCCGCTATGGCCGCCTACACGACCAGCAACCACACGCCGCGTGTCGCGGCATCGACAAGTAGTACGATCAGTGTGCACGAGCACTCGACGGGCGACGACGGGCTGCACGAGTTTGCCTTCAACGAGGACATCCTCATGGACCGACATTACGAGAAGGCCATGGCAAGCCACGCCGCAAGAGCCGCGACCTACGGCGAGGTCCGCGTCATGCCTGCGGCTGCGCACTATCACAACGTCAGCGAGATGCACGGCGAGTGAGGTCGCTGTAACATATGTACAATTTTCACAAGCACCCATGACCCATGGTGGTCACTTGAAAAAATAAACGAGTCTGCTCTACAAGTGGGCTGTAGAACGCCTCTTCCCCGAGTCAACGTGCCCTACTATTGCGGCGTGCCTGTTTCCTTCCATGGAAACTTCGCCGAGGGACGGTTGCATTTGGCCCTATGGATTATGAAGTGGTCTTACTGCCACCCCGCCATGTGTGCGACCCGCAGGATCGCACTGTGGGCCGCGCTTAGGCCACCTGAGGATGGTAGAAGATTCCTGGTGCAAATCATTGCTTGGTCAGTCCGCAATTACGAGCGATGGATAGCCAAAACAGAGGGAGGATGCCTGGAGGTAGAAGAGAACGGGTGGTTTGGCCAGTATAAATCGTTCGGCACTGGTGTGGGCTCCTTCGCCCTATTTTCCCGGAAAATCGCACATTTCTTCCTTCTCCACATACCCCCTCACCACTAACCATGTCTCCTGCAAGTCTCCTGCCTGAGGTTATACTCCAGGAAATATTCACTCGATACATCGCCGCTGCATCGCCGCGTGATGGCGGACAGACGCTGGTGGCAGTTAGCAGACAGTGGCGCATTGTCGCCATCTCACTCATGTATCGCAGCATCACAGTAAAGTACAAGCGGTACCGCATTGGTGCCGACACACACATCGACCTCAGCCCGCCGTCAGCCATCACCAGGGCTGTGTCTCTGTGCGTTTCAGACCTCACACATACTCTCACAATCCACTGCCATGGGCTAAGCGACCGCGAGATCCAGCAAAAGCTCATGGGCGATGGCTTTGGTGCCGCGCAGTGGCCACGGCTCACTGCAGTCACAATGCATGGCTTGCCCACCGGAGCAGCCACTGTTTGGCGATCTCAGAGCCTTTTTCTTGCAATATGCTCCCAGCCTTGTGGCCCTGCAAGTCGCTGCTACCGTATCCCAGCCCTCTGATGTCAGCACTCTGCGGTCACTGGACCCAACCAGCGCCTTGCTGAGTGTCAACGTGCAGCAGATAGGTGCGGATATCCCACAGGACCTGGCGAGTCGTCTAACGCGCCTGACACTGGACAATATTGACGTCATGTCTGCATGGTCTCGGATTCCCACCGAGTTTCCCCACGTCATCTCGCTGACTCTGTCGTTTGCGAACAGAACCTCCAGCGCACGGACAATGAGCTTGGCACACTGCGACTGCGCGCATAGCACGCATGCGTTGGAGCAGCCAAGAACGCGGTTCTGCGAGCACTTTGCAGGCTTGGCCTTTCCCAGCCTGCGGAGTCTGACGGTTGAGCACTATCCATGCCCAATCGCCAATATTCTGCGCAGCGTGCCAGGCCGCACAAATAGCCTGCCTGAACGTGTCTGGCACTGTGCATTCGCTCGAGTCCCTGGACGTGCAGCTGTTCCCGAGCCTGGCTGACTGCAGCATAGATGTCTGTGTCGACCAGGCAGGCCCAGCTCGTGTGAGCCTCTTCGAGGAGCCGGACGAGAGCGACCAGATGGGTAGTGCAGCGCACATTATCGGCGCCGCACTGAGCGCTCATTCGCTACTGCGCAATATGCATCTGGCCATCCCAAGAACAGCCGCATACGTGCCGCTCAAGGTCAGCCATGTGGGCAGCAAATGTTTGCAGTCACTGACATTGTCATTTGCCGCAAAGTTTGCTTCATTGGTGCTAATCCTGCAATCATCGCCATCCCTGCGCCGACTCTCGGTTGATGTTGTCGCCTGGGTCGTTTGCTCCGACGCACTGCTCAAGCGCCCTTGAGGAGCTCGAAGTATGCGATACTGCAGAGATGGGCATTAGGGAGTATGCTGCTCTCGCTTCACTCGCTGCATGTGTGCCATCGCTGATCAGGCTCACAGTCGATGACGAGCCATCGTGCCGGCGTTTGGGATCACGTGGCTATATCCGGCGTTGATATTATCGCCGGATCACCGCGATGAGATGATCACCCAATCTGCTCACTATCTCGGCGCTCCAGGTGCAAATGCAAGTGCAGGCAGTGGTGGTCTATGCCCAAAGCCGGTCGAGCCGTTCTGCATTTGTGGCGATTCATTGCACTGCTTCCTCAAATTGTATTTATTCCTTCTTACCCCTGCTCTCTTTGTGCACAGTTTGTTCTTGCAATTCAAATTCATAGCCTTTCCACGCTTTGTCGAGGAGCGACGTTCAATTGCAGCTTGTGAAATCAGAAAAACAATGGTCGAGTTTAAGGAGCCCGGTAAGGAACTAGCACGCATTGGTCCTGGCAAGAAGGGCCAGAACTGGGAAATTGAATCGCAGTGAGCCTGTCAGTGCGGTTGTTGGCAGCCTGAGCCAAAGAACCCACATTTCTGGAGAGAGCCTAAAGCCCACGCCTCACCACAGCTAACCACATATGCTATCTCCGCTGTAGAGATGAAGGCGACCGCGCAGGAGATGAGCGAGGCACGCCTGCCGCTGCGCTACCGTGACTACTGCGCGCACTTGCTGATCCCGCTCAACAAGTGCCGTCACAAAACAGCGTACCTGCCGTGGAAGTGCGAGGAGGAGAGGCACGCCTACGAGAAGTGCGAGTACGAGGACTTTATGCGCCGCTCAAAGATGCTGGCCCAGATCAAGCAGGAGAACAAGCAATAAGGCAGCTTCTTAGAATATCTACACCCACCCACAGCCGTCTCTTACATATATTCTTTCCTTCGCACCTCTGCACATGAGCACATGCCACGTCTTGATTATCGGGACGCTGATTTAATTGGCCGTGACGGCTGGGGAATCACAGTGCCGCCCTGTGACCACTACAGCGATCTCCGCTCCGGAAAGCAATGAGGCCCCTTGCACGTGAAGCAGTGTGCGTGGATAGGAGGGAGCTGCGACCGAAGGTACGAATGCATATATTGCTGGTCCCTGCAAGATAAGGCCGAGGCAGTGCAGTAGCAAGTGGGTTCACACGGCCCCCGCCGGAAGAACCTGGTCCCGAAGTCCAAGAGATTAGGCTGTAGTGTCTGGCGAGCACCCCTTGCCAAAACATTCCCCGCGCCCAGAACGGGACAGTGCGTAAAAAGTGTGGGAAACTTTCCGTATAAATGCAGCGTCATGGACATCACTCCTCCGTTCATGGGAACGGTCACCACTGCCTCTCTCTTCTCTACTACACCCTGCTCTCTCGCTCTCTTTCCACACAAAACATCAGAACTATTTATCAAGAATGCTTCGCTCGATCATCTCCACCGCTGCGCGCCGCCAGTTTGCTGCCTCGGCACCCAAGACTCTTCGCGCTGCTGCATTCAGCACCACTTCGGCTGCCCGCGACCAGCCATCGCTGCACACGCTCAGCGAGGACGAGCAGATGATGAAGGACACGGTCGCCCGGTTCGCTCGCGAGGTCGTTGCGCCCAAGGTCTCAGGAGATGGACGAGAGCGAGCAGATGGATCCGGCTGTCATCAAGGGCCTGTTTGAGACCGGCCTCATGGGTGTCGAGACCCCTGCCGAGCTGGGCGGCGCCGAGGCCTCGTTCCTGTCCGCCATTCTGGTCATCGAGGAACTGGCCAAGATCGATCCGTCGGTCAGTGTGCTGTGCGACGTCCACAACACGCTGGTCAACACGGTGTTCCGCACGTTCGCCAGCGACCACCTGAAGACCAAGTACTTGCCCCAGCTCGCCGAGGAGAAGCTTGGCTGCTTCTGCCTCTCGGAGGCCGGGTCCGGCTCGGATGCCTTTGCGCTGCAGACACGTGCCGAGCTCAAGGGCGACCACTACGTGCTGAATGGCTCCAAGATGTGGATCACAAACTCGGGCGAGGCCGATGTCTTTTTGGTGTTTGCGACAGTCGATCCCTCGTTGGGCTACAAGGGAATCACATGCTTTGTCGTCGACCGCGACATGGGCGTGAAGATCGCAAAGAAGGAGAAGAAGCTGGGCATCCGCTCGTCCTCCACCTGCCAGCTGGCGTTCGACGATGTCGTAGTGCCCAAGGAAAACGTGCTTGGCGAGGTCGGAAAGGGATACAAGATTGCCATCGAGATTCTCAACGAGGGCCGTATCGGTATTGCTGCCCAGATGGTTGGTCTTGCCCAGGGTGCGTTCGATCACGCCATGCCGTACCTGTTCCAGCGCAAGCAGTTCAACTCGTTCATTGGCGACTTCCAAGCCATGCAGCACCAGTACGCCCAGATCGCTGTTGACATTGAGGCTGCCCGTCTTCTCACCTACAACGCTGCGCGCTTGAAGGAGGAGGGCAAGCCCTTCGTCAAGGAGGCCGCCATGGCCAAGCTGTATGCCTCGCAAGTCGCTGAGCGTGCCTCGTCGAAGGCTGTCGAGTGGCTGGGCGGTGTGGGCTTCACCCGCGAGTTCCCCGTCGAGAAGTTCTACCGCGACTGCAAGATCGGTGCTATTTACGAGGGCACCAGCAACATTCAGCTGCAGACCATCGCCAAGTTCCTGCGCAAGGAGTACAGCGAGTAAGCCGACTAGGCTGCATGTTAGATATCTTACGACAAAAGGGCTTTTAAATATAAGATACCTTTAACCAAGATAACTTGTACCGTTATCATGTTGACTTGATCTTTAGTCTTGGGCTACATCTGGCGAAAGCGGGATATATACTAGCGGCAGCGGTAGCATTGTGGTGCTTTAGCATGCGCTTTATGCGATTGCGAAGCTGCACCCCATTTGCAGCTGTATTTTCTGCTGAGACTATGTACGAGTATTTGTAAGGTGCGCGCCCATTCTATGACCTCTTTCTATATCATAGTGCCACAAAGCTCACACAGCAGACGCGCAATAGTTCCGAATTTTGATAGCTTTATGAGCACTCATAACCGGTTATATCTGGGTCGCAGTGGACTCGGTCTGCATGTGGGCTGATCCGAGAGACAGTACCAACACTGGTGGCCCTTTAAACCGTGCAAGCTGACTCCCCCAGTCCTTATACGCGACCCAGTCCATGGGGTTACACAATCTGCTTGGAACGTGTGGGATCGGGTCGCAGATCTAACGTCAAAGGCATTTAACATGCATGGCAGTAGACAATTCCGTGCTTACACTACTGCCCATGCATCTATGCGGTGTGTCCTAGCACCGTTTTATGCCAACACGATGACAGCGCGAAGGTTACCAGAGCAACAGCCCACTAAGTCAAACAAGCAGCACCAGAGGCGCTGGAAGGCCCATCCAGGTGTCGGGGCCAGTCCCAAGGTGTACCCGCTTCACCGCAAGCTGCGCCTTGATTCATTCATGAGCCAGGCCCGTGCAGACCACAGGCTTGCCGCGAAACTCCAGGAGCAAGTTCGGTCCAGACCCAGTGCTGATCATGGGCAATTGGAGTGCGCCGATGGCCCGACACCATGCGCCGATCCGTGGCAAGGGATGGCGCGACAAGTTCAAGCACCATGGGTTTGGAGTTTATCTGATCGACGAATTCCGGACATCATCGGCGTGCCTTGATCTGCTGCGAAAAGTCGCTGCAGACATTCCGACATGTTCCCAACCTGCGGCCCTACCAGAGATGGAAGAGCCCAGTTGCGAGGTGCCATGACCTTCTCCGCTGTACAAGCAGGCTATGTAAAGGAGCCATTGGCACAATACAGGCAGGTCTATTCGCCTCGGCTCTTGAATCGCGATCTCGTAGCAGTTCTAAATTTCAGACTCATTTTCCAGTCACTCTGTGATTCAGGCGGTGTTTCTGAATAGTTCCTCCATTCTATGGTCATTACTTCCAGCAGCGGTGAACCAGCGCTGAAACGCCCACGCTGAGCAGGCCATAAAGACAGGGGATGTTCAGGACCATCGTCATAATTGCACTAACAATCATCCGGTACGTTCAAATGACCAGCTTGTCGTGGTACTCTTATTGACGAGTCAAACCATGCTGACTAGTAGCCAAGCTCACATCAAGAGTAAAGTAATTCTAGTATATATAAAGAGTTTTGATCGTAATCGTTTCTAGACTACAGCCTGCACCTCCGTCACAACAACGGTCTTCTGGCTATGGGCCGCCTCGGCAGTGACAATCACGGTCTCGTATACCTGGTCAACGATCTGCTGGTACACAGGCGCGGCCGTCTCAGTAACAACCACCACGTTGTTCTGCTGGTTGTATGCCGGGCTAGCTGTGACAGTGACAGCGACAACAACAGTCGATCCAGCGACATGGTTGTTGTTAACGTTGTCATTGTTGTCTGTAGCTTCGTTATCCAGGGTCGACGGTACAGGAACAGCCTGAGTCTGGCTCTGGCTGGTAAAAGTGGGCTGGATAGGTTCCGGTGCAGATGAGGTAGCAGAGTAGATCGGCTCGACATAAGACGATGATGATAGTGATGACGATGATGATACTGACGATGACGACAAAGCAGTATTCTCCTCAACAGCAGTTGATGGGGTCCACCACTGAGTGGTTGGCTCCACAACAGGACCAGAAGTGGTGGTGGTAGCCTCACCAACGTAGGAAGAAGTGGAGTCTTGGACAACAGGGGCCGAAGAGGTACCTACAGCAGTCTCAGATTCGGCCAGAGACACTGACGAAGTTGTTGGGATCCACCACTCAGTAGAGCCAGCAGCAGGGGCGGATGAAGTAGGGACGTCCGATGAAGAAACCTGAGCCCACGAAGTAGTACCCTGGGCCAAGGACGACGACGGCAACGACGACGACAACGACGATGGTGACGGCAAGACAGATGAAGCAGCCGGCGATGATGAAATGTGATTTGATCCACTGTTGCTTCCTGAGCTGCCCGGGCTAATCGCTGCATCAACCAGCTCATTGTTGTAGTCCATGTTGATGGTCCACACCATGACGCCGCCGAGTCCACGCTCCTCCGCATATGCCGCCTTGATCTTGATGCTCTTCACGTCATCGTACGACAGGAAAACGTTGGTGTTCTTGTTGAACAGCCACGGTGTCTTGCTCACGTCGTCCCACTGCCTGACCCACTCCCCGGTGGCAGTCTCGGGATCAGACAAAACCCCCTGCGCGCGCAGGTTCTTCCACTGCCACGTGCCCGAGTACGAGCCTTCCCAGGCCGCGTCCTCCTTGTCGCCTGGCGGCAGCTGGCTGGTCTGCGACTGGTACTGGTTGTTCGGATCCAGGGTCATGTCGACCGTGGTCTTTGTCGCGCGGCCGTAGAACGCAAGTCCGGCGTTCAGCTTGTTCGCCGGCCAGCCGGCGCCCGTCCACGCATCAATGGCCGAGACATATGAGACCTGCGCACCTTTGCCCGTCTCAAAGTTGAACGGGGCGTTGGGGCCGGTCTTAACCATCCATGCGCCATTGATATCGTATTGCATTAGATTGGCAAAATCGACCACGGCAGCAAACGCAGACACATCGGACAGCGGGCTGCCATTGACATCGAAGGGCTGCACGCGCACAGCCAGGGTAATCAACTTGTTGCCGCTGCCAAACTCGGAGTCAAACAGCTTGCGCAGGTCCTGCAGGAAGGTGAGGAAGTTTGGCGTGTCGTTGGCTTCGTCGATGATGTTGCCACCAGCACCCTCACGACCCGGATACTCGTAGTCAATGTCGATTCCGTCCAAGTTATGCTCCTTGAGATAGGAGACAATCGATTTGAGCATGGTAGAGCGCGCTCCAGAGTCCTTGAGGATGTTTGACAAGAGACCCGAGCCAGACCAGCCGCCGAGTGACATCAGAACCTTGGGACCTGCAGAGTGGATATCAGAGACCACCTGGTCCAGGAACCAGTCGCCCTCAAACGAAAATGTGCCGTCGGATGCCGGGATCGCAAACGCCATGTTGATGTGTGTGTATTTTGAGAAGTCAACGGACGACATGTACTGGCGCTTCCATGACGGATAGTACCCAACCACCGTCTTACCCAGCGCAGTTTGCAGCACAAGTTGGATAAGCAAGAGGAAGAAGACAAACCGCATCGCAAATACTCTATAAAGGTAGGTGGTTCAAGTGTAGGAAGTGCTGGTTGATAGGGAAGACGTACAGAAAAATAACGGAAAACTGCAAATAGCGAACTGCTGAGCTTGCTAACGGGCCTTGGTTGAGGAGACCGAATATGCTGGGCTCTTTATAGTCCCAGAGCGCGCATACTTGGGCGCCAATGCGTCAGCCGGCATTAGCACCGTATATACTACTATACACACATGTTCCTGAGATGCAAAAGGCTATTTCCCAGCGTAAACCCTCGATAGTACCACCGCTGTCACACGTGAGGTGATCGGCGCTTAAGCTAGGGCTCTCCCCAAATCGGCCTTCACACTCAGCTGTCGCCCGATTTGGGCTCGGTAGCCGAAAAAAGTTGGAAATGTAACCATAGCTCAATTTGGGGTATTTAAAACACAGCTGAGAGGGGTTAAATGGATAGCTAGAGGGGCTGTCGGGATGACGACCCGCATGCACGACCAGTCGCACAGCGGGTTGAGCAGACACTCTATGCACCGCTGGTAGCCATAGCTGCAGGCGCGGATGAAACAGCCAGCGGCACAGCATCGCGTCTGGTGGCACCACTTCCAAACGAGCGGACCGCACTCATCAGCTCGCCGCCGGGAGTGTCCATGTTGACGGACCACACCATCGCGCCAGCCAATCCCTTGGACGACGCATACTTCATCTTGATTGCGATGCTCTCCGGGTCATCATACGAGATAAACTGCTTGGTCGACGGGTTGAACAGCCAGGGCGTCTGCGAGGTGGAATCCCACTGGCGCACCCACGGAGACGCAGCAGTATTGGCCGATGTCAGGACGCCCTGGTCACGCAGGTGCTTCCACTGCCAGGTTCCAGAGTTGGCAGTGGACCCAGCACAGACATCGTACCATGAGGCGTCCTCTGAGTCACCGAGAGGGACAACCGACTCCTGCGGCTGGTACTGGTTCTGGGGATCCTTGGACATGTCCTCCTTGGCAATAGTGGAGCGTCCATAGAAGCCGACACCCGCAACCAGCTTGTTTGCCGGCCACCCAGCCTTGGTCCAGTCCTCAATAGCAGACACAAACGAGACCTGCATGCCCTTGCCCTGCTCGAAATTGAACGGCGCATTGGGCCCGGTCTCTGGGTTCCAGCCGCCGTTGATGTCGTACTGCATCAGATTGCCGTAGTCAACGACCTTGGCAAACTCAGAGACATCCGAGGACGGAGAGCCGTTCACATCGAAGGGTTGGACGCGAAGCGCAAGTGTTATCAGCTTCTTGCCGGCGCCAAAGGCGGAGTCCAACTCGGAACGAAGCGACTGAAGGAACTTGAGGTAGTTTGGGGTGTCACTCGCGGGATCGAAAACGTTACAGTTGTCACCAAGGCGCCCTGGGTACTCCCAGTCAATGTCAATACCGTCGAGGTTGTTTGTCTTGACATAGTCAACGAAGCTCTTGACCATGTTCGCGCTGGTTGATGGGTCCTTCACAATGTTTGAGAAGTGGTTTGATCCGGTCCATCCGCCGACCGACATCAACACCTTGACGCCCTTGCCGTGCAAGTCGCTGACAACCTGCGGCAGGAACCAGTCGCCATCAAAAGCAAAGGTTCCAGAGGAAGACGGGATACCGAACGCCATGTAGATGTGCGTGTACTTGCTTAGATCGATAGATGCCGTTTGCGCTTTCTTCCACGATGGGTAGTACCCGCCTACCACCATGCTAAGGGCAGATCCGGAAAGTGCAAGTGCCACAGTGGCAGCAGAGAAGATGGTCTTGAACTTCATTTCGCAAAGAGAGTGAGATATTAAGAAGAGAGTAGTTTACAATAGTAATGTCAACGGGAGCGAGCTGGAAGGGAGTTTGCTTGAGAAGGGAGAATCAGGATGAGGAGTATGTAAGAGCAGGCTCCAGGGTGCCCTAGCATGTACCTTTTATGGCCAAGACCGCGCCCTATTTTGCAGCATGACCATCAGCTTCCACCTAGCATTTCTCGACACCTCAGAAACAAAAGCCGCCGTGAGCTAGTTCCATGTGATGGCAAACAGCTGCGCAATGCACCGCAAATGCCAATGTGCGAGCATCCGAGATTACCTGGGAGCGGGCTCTTTCGGAGCATGGCGCATCACCCCCTTTTCCATTGCGGCAAACATTCAAGTAGAATAAGGCTCGCATCCAAGCATTACATAGCCCAGCAGGTGCATGTTCCTCGAGCTGGTTCATGTGGTCTGGTGGCGCCTTCTTTCGCTAGAACAAACAATGGCAAGTGGGAAATAAACGGCTGGACCATGTGAAGTGAATTTAGATGCGTGATCCGCCATTTTAATACTTGGTATGCATCGCGCTCCTGCACTTTGTATATTAAAACGCTCAATTCCACGCGCCGTGTGATAGTTGTTGTTGTTGTCATTGCTGCTGGTGCTGCTGCTGTCTCGAGTTTATTGGAGTAGAAGGGAAGGGTGTGAAGGCGGAAAAGAAAATATGAGGTGCAGCTAAAGCGGCTACACATGTGCAATACCCGCGAAGCGCTCGGAGATGGAGTCGGCCAACATTGAGACTGTTCCGAAAAAATACCTGATAGTGGCAATAATCTCCTGGCTCCTGGGAATTTGATAGTAGGCTAATGTAACCATGAAGGTGGGCGAGGCGGCGGCCAAAAGCAGGATGAAGGGCGGTCTCCTCGGCACCCTGCGTATTGGTTCTCAGTGGTGTTGCCGGAGGCAGTCTCAGGTGGGCATCAGCTGGTTTATTCTCACACCATCATGCTCCTGCCAGCCATCATTCTGGCCGCTGGCGGCGCCTAATGAGCGGGCCTCATTTGCAGGCTATGTATATGGGGCACTGCTTGTAGCACCAGAGTCACTTCCGCTTCCACCCCCACTGCTACTGAAGCCTACAGCAATATCCAAGAGCTCGTTGTTGTAGTCCATGTTCGACGACCAGACCATGACACCAGCTAGACCCTTCGACCCAGCATAATCGACTTTCATCTTGATGCTCTTGGTGTCATCGTACGAGATGAACATCTTGGTGCTAGGGTTGAACAACCAGGGCGTCGATGTGGCGTTATCCCAGGTACGCACCCACGGCGAGATGGGCGTCGTTGCGTCGGAGAGGACAGTGCCACGCATGTTCTTCCACTGCCAGGTGCCAGAGTTGGCGGCTGCACCTGCGCATGAATCATACCAGGAGGCATCCTCCGAGTCGCCCAGCGGCACAGTGGTTGACTGCTGCTGGTACATGTTGCCTGGATCCTTGGTCATGTCCTCTGAGGCAGTTGTAGCCCGGCCGTAGAACGCAAGACCCGCTGTCAGCTGGTTGGCGGGCCAGCCAGCGCCGGTCCATGCCTCGATGGCAGACGCGAACGACAACTGCGCACCTTTTCCTGGCTCGGCATTCAGCGGAGCATTAGGGCCAGTGACCTTGTTCCAGCCACCGTTGATGTCATACTGCATGATGTTGGCAAAGTCGACAACCTTGGCGTACTCGGACAAGTCAGAGATCGGCCCATCAGGGCCATCGAACGGCTCAACACGGACAGCCATAGTGATCAGCTTCTTGTTGCTGCTGAACTTTTTATCGAGCTGCGACCGCAAGTCCTGCAGGAATGTCAGGTAGCTCCTGTAGTCGTTGTCTACATCATACACATTGCAGGTGTTGCCAAGGCGCCCAGGGTACTCCCAGTCCAGATCAATACCGTCGAGGCTGTACGTGTCGAGATAACTGATAATGCTGGTGATCAGCGACTTGCGTGTGCTGTCCGACTTCATGATGCCGGAGAGCAGGTTTGAGCCAGTCCACCCGCCAAGCGAGATCAGCACCTTGACACCCTTGTTGTGCAAGTCGCTAACAACCTGTGGGAGGAACCAGTCGCCTTCAAACGAGAAAGATCCATCGGACGCCGGAATCGCGAACGCCATATTCATATGTGTGTACTTGGAAAAGTCAACTGACGACATGTGCTGCCTCTTCCATGACGGATAGTAGCCTACGACAATGGCCGAGGATGAAACGATTTGGACAAACAATCCCAGGAAAAGAGTAGTGATCAGCACCACTGAACGAAGAAGACCCATGGTTGCTGTGCTTGATAAAGATGCTTCAAAAGGAAATTGTATGTTGAGTCTAAATAGCTTTCAGATTGTCTGGTAGATATCCTCAGTCCCGGATACCACGAGCCCGGTTTTATACGCCTAGTCTCCATACGCTGAGCGCTGATTTGCAGGGCTCTCTTCCATGAATGCCAGCTTGTATTGGATGTCGAACAGGTCCAATGTTTATTATTATTTACGATACCTATAGCGAGTTATTTTAGACAAGGTGTTGGGCATCCTCGCGCTCATGCACTCTTTTGTTTGTACTGTGGCCTGTCCAGGAGATTTCCTGCAGCATAAAACAAACTCCTGGTACTAACAAACAACCAGCACTAGGTGCAGCTGGATAATTGTCTCAGTCAGCACTGGCAGACCACAAGTGCGAAGTTCCAGGTGCCTCTGTTTGCAAAAACTCTGTTTTGAGCATTGCTCAATTTATTCCAACTGAGCTGTGGTTTTGAAGCTTGCTGTTAACCTAGGGGATGAGTGGTTATCGATGTTAACCTTAGGAATGGGACGAGTGTTTACGAGCGTGTATGTGAGCTAAAATCAAAATGAAACAAGATTGACTGAAGGAAAAGGGGAGGGTCCGGTCGGCCTGAGGTCTGATTTTATGTGGTTTGGTTGTTGGCATGGTGACGTGGGAGTGGATCGACACTCCAATGTCAACAATCGAGTATATGGAAAAATGACTTTTCAAAAAGTGACTGAGGGGGAAGAAGGAAGGCTGGTCGTCTGTCTGGGCCTTTGTACGCATGCGTTTCGGCCTTGTCTATGGTGGCGCAGGGGGACTCCGGACCCGAATGTCAACACCTGCTCCACGACCTACTGTAAATTAGTTAAGCAGCTCTTGTGGCTCTCATGTATCTCATGGGAACCCATCGATTTCCTGGCCAATATCCTCAGGCATGATATAGCAAGCATTAGAGGGGGTTAATATCTATATTTGGTTGTCTTCGATATTGCTTCGGGTTATTGGATATGCATTGACGATTTATATAGCTGTAGCATAGGTTCGATCATGCAATTGAGAGACCATGCGCAAATTTGTTTGCTGAGGCGACTATGCGCGCAAATACGGGCCAGCCGCACAAGATCGACCGGCCAAGCTCCAGACAGACGGTTCCGGGTGCGCACGAGCGAGCCAGCCATTTTTCATTGTGGCAGACAACATACGCGGAATTGCGGCCGCCACCATCAATGCACTGGTAACTGCCATTCATGCCGCATGGATTTCCTGGGATCAATTGGCTGCCAGAAGCCGGCGGAGATGGCTCTGAGGATGATGGCGATGGGTCGGCTGAGGTGCTGATGGTCCCACCTGGCCTATCGCCTTGAATAGGAGTAGAGCCAGAGGCTGGTGCTGAGGATGCGGGTGCCAGAGGTGGTTGATCATTTTTGCCCGAGTTACCACCAAAGGACCGTGCTGCTTTGACAAGCTCTCCATCGTGGTCCATGTTTATTGACCACACCATGACACCCGCAAGTCCACGTTCAGCAGCATAGTCAGATTTGATGCGTATGCTATCTGTGTCGTCGTATGATAAGTAGATGTTGCTCTGAGGGTTGAATAGCCATGGCGTTTTGGTAGTATTGTCCCACTGGCGCATCCACTGTGGGTTGGAGGAGGTAGGCGATACCAGGACACCCTGGTCGCGCAGGTGCCTCCATTGCCAGGTTCCTGAATTTGAGGTTGATCCAGCACAGGCATCATACCAGGGACCATCCTCCGAATCACCTAGTGGTACTTCGTGTAATTGGGGCTGGTACTGGTTGTCGGGATCCTGGCGCATATCAACAATGGCCTTTGTCGACCGTCCGTAAAAGCCAAGGCCGGCGTTCAGCTGGTTGGCAGGCCATCCAGCGTTGGTCCAGGAATCGATGGCGGTGGTGAAGGAGAATGGCGCCGACTTTCCCTGCTGGTAATCAAATGGAGCATTGGGTCCCGTTTCAGGATTCCACGGCCCATTGAGGTCGTACTGCATCAAGTTCGCATAGTCGACGACCTTGGCAAACTCGGAGACATCGGCGAGCGGGCCGTTGGGGCCATCAAATGGCTGTACCCGCACCGCCAGTGTGATCAGCTTTGTGCGCGAGCCAAAGTCGTTGTTGAAGCGCGTGCGAAGAGCTTGAAGGAACCTGAGGAAGTTTGGCGCGTCATTAGTAGCGTCGTATGCGTTGCACTCGTTGCCAATCCGTCCCGGGTACTCCCAGTCAATGTCAATGCCGTCAAGGTTGTAGTTCTTTACGTAGTAAGCCATGCTGCCAACTAGCCTGTTGAACTTGTCGTCGGATTTCAGGATGTTAGAAAAGTGGTTCGACCCGGTCCACCCACCTACCGATACCAGCACTTTTACGTTCTTTCCGTGGAGCTCCTTGACAGTGCTGTCCATGAACCAGTCGCCCTCAAAGGTGAGCGAGCCGTCTTCCTTGGGGATAGCAAATGCCACATTGACGTGTGTGTATTTGCTGATGTCAACGGCAGCAATAGCCTGGCGCTTCCATGTTGGATAGTACCCGACCACCACTGGGGGTTTGGCAAATGTGCCAGCAATGTGCAAAAGGAGCAACAGATACACAGCCAGCGAGAAGTTAAACATGCCTATGACGAGTAAAAGGCGTTAATACCGTTGTGTAATAGGTTTCTGTCAAATGCAGATGAGTGGGGGTTTGCTTTGCCTTGGGCAACGGGGTACTTTGCTATTTATGTATCTGGGACTGCAAAATAGATGGCAGCCGATGCGTGGCGCGGCGGGCCATCCCGAAAGCAATTTATCCACATGCCACTACTGCAACATAATGTCAGGCATATATAGGCTGACGCGGGTGGATTATGCGCGCCCAATCTCTCCTACTTTCCTTCGTCGGCTATCCACACTGTCCATGTGCAGATTTACACCAGGCCATAAAGGAGCGACCGCCAGGCATACTGGGATGTGCTGGTGGGAATTGCTAGCTGGATTATTTATTGCAGGAATAGGGCTCGGCGACAGGTTTCTGAAAAAGGCAATGAACATGGCGCACGGGCCATGCTTCTGGCAGATACCCGTTTCACCTCTCCTCACAAAACGTATATTTGTTTTTTTTTTTGCACTCTACTATCTAATTGTATTCCTAGCCATGCAACTCCACAACAGCCTCCCGCCAGAGGTCCTTGCACTGATTATCGAGACCCTCTTTTACGAGACTGTCGACTACATGTCTGCTCCCCAGCTGTCGCGGTTTTTGCAGCAGGTTTCACTGAATCGGCACACGCGACAGGCTGGGTTGTCCATGTGCTGCCAGCATGGGTTTGTCGAGGTCAGGGTGGCCACGCACGGGCTGCCATGGCTCGGTGCAGCGACCAATGCGAGTTCTGGCATGATTGAGCAACGCGCAGGCTGGAGGTCGAACATCCGGTACATTAGTGCAATGAACAGGCGTCATGCCACCCACACTCTGTTCTTGGAGATGCGCAAATGCAGGGATGTGCGACAGATCGCACAGGCGCTGGCAGAAGCAGGGCTGTTTGAAGCCGAGTGGCCTGCAGTGCGTACGCTGGTGGTCGGCGATCCTGGGCACTCCAACACCAGCTGGCACGGCAGCATGGAGAAGGTCATAAGTGAGCTAGGGTCAGACCTCTTGCGCGTGGTGCCGAATGCCCGGTACCTACGCATCAGCGACAGCGGCACCATGTACGATGAGCTGGTGCTTGGTGCGCTCCTGCAAGAAAACAGACGGACCAGTAGACTGACACTGTGCATGCGAGACATTACATCCAGTGGTATGTCGCACTTTCCGGCGACGCTGACAAGCCTATATATCAACTCTGGGTCGATCATTAGCCTGGTGGATCTGCCGCGTATATGCGCTGAGACGCTGATTGCGCTGACGCTGAAGCCGATTCAGTCGGGGAACTTGTGGGGCAGATTCACCAACGAGCCGCGCAGGCTGGTCGAGTTCAGGGAGTTGCGGATGCTGAGCCTTGGGTTTGCAGCAAGCACCACGGCGTCACCGGTCGGGTATGGAAACAGCGTACTCCCCGTTTTTCCCAGGCTGGCAAGCCTGAAAGTGTCTGGGTACGAGTATGATGTCAATGACCTGCTGTCGCAGTTCCCGCGGGCACAGATCGAATCGCTGGAGCTGCGTGGCACACCAACCAAGCACATGATTGAGACAGATCCCTTTAGATCCCTGAAGAACGTGGTTGTTTTTGGCGGGATCCAGGAAACACAGGATGCGTTCTTCTGCCGGTGCTTCAGAGACCTGACGACGGTGCAGCGGCTGACAGTGGACTGCCTGCCTACGTTTGACACGTTTGTGCAGTTCCCCGGGTTCGTCCAGCTGCGCAGCCTAGAGCTGACACGCTACCAGCTGTCGTCATTCCTGACAGAGTGCGATTCGCCGCGGGACCTGTTCAAGGATGGATATCGGGCGATTCTGCCGCACCTGAAGCAACTGTCTATCAGTGGCGGAATTCCCAATAGCAATGAAGGCAGGTGCGCGTCCCAGTTGGTTGCCCTGATGACTGGCATGCCACAGCTCGAGTGCGTGCGTTTAGGAGGCGCATTTGTGCTCTGCATTAGCGAAATCTACCGTAACATACGGAGCGTCCTGTCAGATGATGTGCTTGGGTTGAAGGCGCAGCATCTTTGCATGGTCTATATCTTTCTCAGGTACGAATGATGCTGTAATTTATTTCCGAGAAGTGTAGTATAAATGGAGCTGTTGGTTGCGTAGGGTGGATATGACACTACTGGCTTCCAGCTACGTGTTTGTGCAAACTCATGCTTTCGGATGGGGAGTTGAACTCGTACTGTACCTCGACGCAGCATGCGTTGTTTCGGGTGACCCTCAGGCATTCGGCTTCAATTGCCCGGCACTTCTCATTGCTTAGGCATTCGCCCAAAAGGCCCAATACGCGGCGTATATGCTTGTAGCTGGAGCTGGATTGAGAGACTTCCACATACTTTGCAACAGCACGAGTGCTCATTTTGTTGTGCTTTGTTTTCTGGAAATACGCGTAGGCTAATTCCTCGTTCAGAAATGACAGGTATCGCACATAGCGGGCGTCCCGTGTAGCGTCTGTGTAGCTGGTACTCGAGCTTTTTTGCTCTAGCTTTCCATCCTCACACGTGTAAAAGATATGCGTGTATGTGGATGGGAAATAGAGAGACCAGTCGCAGGCACAGGCAGTAGGCGAGTGATGGACAATCACGTAAATGCCTAGGCGGCTTCTGCTAGTAGACATGGGCTGGGTATCTGCAGCAGCGACACTGGCGTCCAGAGACGTGTGTCTGTTCCAGTGGCTATATAGCACGCCATGTGTATCCGAGGTGGCAATCATTACAGAAACAAGAGTATGTTTGTATATACGGATTCTGCGGAGAAAGAATAAGGAAGGGTGAAGAGGGTGCAGCGCCAAGCAGCGTGGCAGCAATTATAAAGCACCCAATGCGTGGTGACTTTGGCCTTTTTCGGGGCAGTCTACGCAGTCAGAAACCACAAAGCTGCCAATAATAAGTGGAAAAAGTACATTAACAGCATAGGTGGGAGATCTATGGCATGCGGCCCTCCTCCATGCCGCGCGCAGCATCCTGTACAGGGGGCGGGAGTCCGCGCAGAGCAGCACTGAGGTCACTTGCGGTCTCGTCCATGTTGTCGGACTCGCTGCCCGACAGGCTGTCGCCGTTCGGGACCTGATCGTAGTCGGTAGTGGCCATGGAGCTTGCGTCCGAGACGTAGGCTGACAACAGGGTGGATTCGGCAGTGGGCTGGCGCGCCAGATCAAGGCCATGCAGACCAGTGGGATCACACTGGCGCAGGATGCTGGCATCGAACCCCAGAGCCTTGCATTTGCTAGCAAGCTGCGGGTTGATGGGTGGTGGGCTGGTGCGGCCCTCCCCGCTCTCCGAGTCGCTGGTGCCGGGCGACGTGGCTGGGCTTTCGGACGCGGCTCTGTCGCGCTGGTTCAGGGCTGAGACGCGTGGGTGACGCACACGCGCAGCCCACTTGTCACGTGCTCGCTCGCGCCTCTGATGGATTTTGTCGGCATTCTTCTCGCCAATAATGTTGGCCTCGACGGCATCGCCAATGCCGGCCATGGCGCTATGCAGGCGCTGGGCAGGAGTGCGGTGCTGGTGCTGCTCTTTGCGGCGCTTCAGGTGCGGCACAGGCAGCCAGAGCGATGGCAGGTCGCCGTACATGCCTGGGTGCAGGTAGGCGAAGCGCGTGGAGTCGAGGATACCCGGCAGCCGCGACATGTTGGGCTGCGAGAAGTCAGTGAACCGGCGGTTCATCAGAGTGCCGTGCGGCAACTCGTCGGCATGGATCTGGAACTGCATGGCTACGGGCTTGCCGGTGGTCGGGTTGATTTCAGGCATGAAGGTGCGCGCGCGGTGGATGCCGACGCCGGGCCGGTGCATGCCGCCCTCATGGATGCTGAGGGCGTCGGTGTCGCTGTGTAGCCGCACGATTGTGTCTTTGGGCAGATTGCGCGGGCACAGGTCGTGCTGGTTGTGGTCGGATAGCAGCGAGTCGTTGGCGCTGGAGGTGTCACTGAGGCCTCGCTCGCGGCTGCGCTTCTTGCGCGTAGACCGGTGCTTGTGCTTGACTCGGAACGCGTCATCGTTGGCAGCAGCCTCGGGGTAGTCCACCACGCTGCTGTCCAGGTACGCCTTGGGAATGTCGAACTGCATGAAGAACTCGCTCCCGATCACCCGCAGTCCGTGCGGAATCCGCCGGAACGCCAGCGACAGAATCTCAAACAGCGACCCGGGCTGCGCCTTCGGCCGGTGTGGGTCCATGGGCGACCGCCCGGCTGGGTGCGACATGCGCGAGACGCGCTCCGGGAACGCATAGTCGTCGATAAAGTCCCACAGCGGCGCGGCTGGGTCGCCGCTGATCCAGGTGCTGCTGAACGACACGGTAGCGATCAGGGCCTGGATTGGGTGCAGAACCATGTTCACTGCCGTCGACTGGTACCACTTGCGCGTGCGCTTGGCGTGCGTGCGCTGCGTGATCAGCGCGTCGCCCTCAGCATCGTTGGTCTGCGACGCTGTGTTGCTGTTCGATGGTCCGCGCGGATAACCGCCATCGAGCACATCCGATGGAACCAGCGGTGCCGTCGACTCGCGCTGGTGCGCCTCACGCGCTGTCAAGAACTGCGGCGAACTCGGGCCGTCCTCCTCGGGCTTCTCAGTGTCAGCGGAAATCGAGGTGAGCCGGGTCGCAATGCTATCGGGTTGTGTCGGCACCGTGTGGAGCGGAGGCAGACTGGGCGACTCGTCCGAGTTGCTTGACGGCCGGCGGTCCTGGAGGTCCGCCCACCCAACGCCAGTACCAGCGCCCGATGGGTCCCTGCCGTTGAGCTGCAGGTCGCGCTCAGCCCTGCGTTCGCTCTCCTCGAACTCGCGCTGCTCCTTGGCCAGGGTGACCTTGCGGCGGCGCTCGGCTTCGCGCAGCAGCTGCAGCGGCACCGAGTCGCTGAGCTCGCGGATGTACCGACAGCGCACCAGAAAGTAGTAGGCCGTGAACAGCATCAAAACGACCATCGGCGCTACGAACCAGTGGTTGTTGTTGCTGGCAAAGATGGCAGTGGTCAGCGCCTGGTACAGCAGGATTCCAATCACCCAGCGCCGGATGATCACGGGCCAGAATGTCCCCGAGTTCTGCTGCCGGAAGTACCACGAGTACGTGCACATGTACTTCATCACAAACAGCCCGACCGAAAAGTACAGAATGCACATCACCAGCAGCAGCGGCTGCAGGTGCGAGTACAGCAGGCCGATGATGAAAAACAGCATCGGGTACGGAATAATGGTGCCCCAGTCGATGAACACTGGTGAAATCGCCTTCATGTACTCGCGCGGCGTCCTGGCATTGGCCTGGTGCCACAGGTACCGACACACAGACTTCAAGTGCAGCAGCTTCATGACCTGGTATCCGGCGCCATACAGCATCACATACACGCAGAACCACGTCGACAGCTGCGGCAGCGAGTTGACGAGCCGACTCCAGAACTTGCCAAACTCGGTGAAGATCTCGTATATCGACGACCACACGGTGCCCGACATGCCGACAATAAACACAATGTAGATGACCAGGAAGTAAAAGTGCCGGATCAGCATGTTCTTGTCGGCGATGCCGTAGGTGCGGTCGCCGCCTATCAGCACAAAGATCCACAGCAGCCGCGGCAGAACCGTCATGAAGATGGTCAGGATCAGCGACGGCAGCGTGTAGTTGAGCAGCGAGCGCACAAACTTGTTGGTCTCCACCACATGCGCCAGGCCTGGGAACCGCGTGCCCAGGAACTGCAGCGAAATCAGCGTCGAGATCAGAACCACGGGCACGCACCACAGACACAGCAGCGCAAACGACATGATCAGCCCCAGGACGAACCGCAGGAGCTTTTTCGAGTACGGCGCCCCCACGCTCTTCCACACGATCGACCGCGGCCTCGGGCGCCATCTTGATCTTGCAGGTGCTGGGCGCGGCATACACATTCAGCTGTGCCAGCACGTACGCATTGACCGGCTGCCGCATCGTCACAAACGCTACTGGGCTGGCTTCCAGCATGTGGAAGCTGTCGCGCACCTCCTTCAGTCGCTGGTCAGCCTTGGTCATCTCGCTGCGGTAGTAGTCGATTGCGTCGGTGCGCTCATACGGCCACAGCTTGGCCCTCAGCGCTGACCACGAGGGCTGCTCCGCCCGCGTACGCTTGACCAGCACCGTGGGTCGCTCCGCATACTTCTTGGGCCCCTGCTGCTGCTGCTTCTTGCTGCCCTTGCCATGCTTTGCCCACCGGTGCAGCAGCCGCGCCTCTACCACACGAGCCCTCGGGTCTGTCGACAGAATCACCCGCTTGAGAAGCGCCGGGTTGTATGTGTGTGCCCGGCACGGGTTGCCCAGAATCGCCGTGTACGCTGCCTCGAGCTTCGTCAGGATCGCAGCGCGGCGCGCCAGGGCCTCGTCCAGGTCGCGCGACAGCGGGGCCACGTGAACCGCCTCGACTTCACCCACATGCATGCCGTTGATGAACCCCCGCAGCGCCCGCTCCGACCGCAGCTCGCGTGGCAGATGCGTGATCATTAGCGTGCGCGAGTTCCCCGACCGCCGCGTCAGCAGCAGATAGTGCCACCGCATCGTCACCATGTGCAGCGAAAACCGGTCGATGTAGAAAAACAGCACCGCTGCAAACACATACGCCATCAGTGCATGCGCTACCGAGTACCGCCCGTTGAGGCTAGCCACGCTGGCAATCGGCGACTCAAACACAGAGTGCTCGCCCTTGTCGCCGTCCTCCTTGCCCCAGTACCGATCTACCGGATACAGCACCGTCATCCCCAGGAACCCCAGCCACATAAATATATAGATCATCATCCGGTACGACCGGAAGAACAGCAGTGCATCCACGCCCACCGTCTCGAAAACGTGTCTGTCCGACATTGTCACCATCGGGTAGATCCACCCAAACATTGTGCGCGGGATGTTTGCTGGCCGCATGTACCGCAGCCGCAGCCGGTGCGAGTACAGCTCCGGCCACTTGTACCGCAGAAGCGAGAACACTCCGATACAGCACCCGCCCATCAGCGCTGCCGATGTGATCTGTGTCGCCGCATCAATGTTGTTTGCTGAAAAGTACGGTCCGGTCCCTGGCGCGTTGGCTGGGTCAAACAGGTACGACACGTTGATATCAATCTGCGAGCGCGAGCTGCTTGTTGGAGAGTCGTCGTCATCGTCCCTGCGTACCAGCGCTACCAGCGTTGCGGGTTGCCGCATATGCTGCCTGCTGCGCCAGCCGTTGTGGCGGTGCTAGCAAGCTGCGTCTCCGCCATAGTAAGGGTCTAGAGATATTAGAATAGTAGATGAACGAACCAGAGTAAGGAATAGGAGGCGAAATAGAAAGGGTGGAGGAGCTAGCAAGAAAAATACAACAGTGCCGAAGCGGGAGAGAAAAGAGCGTGCACTGACAAACAAATAAACTGGTGGTGAAGTCGCCTGGCCACTAGCCTAAATACGTTTTTTTTTTTTATTCAACCACAGCATGAACTCCACCAAACCTTTTTCCGCACATCGCCCGGGTACACAATCCCCCACAACACTGCTCTTGCTGAGCTGCGGGTAATCTTCCACTTCCGGACAGCTGTCCACAGGTCCACGTCCTGCGCGTCGCCTGGCCTATTGCAGGCTGTCCTGCCAGGAACACCGGGTCCCGACAACAGTCCTGGGGCAGACAACAGCTGACGCGAGACCGCCAGCTATGTATAGCTGGCCGCAGGGGGTCCCGCTGGCTCCTTGCGTAACTGGACTAGATCTGTTTCGTTGTGGGAGGAGGCAATCCTGGCTCGGTCTGCCGGTGCAAGTGTCTTTCTCGGGCACGGCCTGTGGCTGTGGTGGCGGAGATGGTTTGGGATATACAGGAGGAGATGTGCCGGCGTCTTGCCAGGCAGCACATGGCGTTCGCTCTCTATTTGCTAGACTAAAAAAGAGCTCTGCACTGCGTTTGGCGTCAAAGCGCAGCATGCGACGCCTTGGCTGGACCTGCAATTGGCCAAGGGCGAGGATATCCCCCGCTACCTGTGCAAGCAGGCGGTTCGGGAGACCGCTTGCGGCGAGCCAGAGCACGTAGTACGGGCTGAGCAAAATTACCAAATCACCGCCAGACACTATTCGGTTTCCAGATGCACGATTAGAGCCTGCTGCCTTGACGCTGGCTATAGTAAAGACCGTCCCAGCACTACTATAGTGCTACGCGCTTGGGGAACAACCAGAGGGCCAAGCCAGCAGACAGCGCATTCTTCTGCTCTGTTGTCTTCCAGCTCCACTCTACTGCAACAGGCACATCCCTCTCCTTTTTGCTTAACTCTTTTCTTTTTATCCAGCACGAAGACGCAGCAGCTGTGCTTTTGTTATTCCTCTGCCCCCTCTTTTCTCAGCCATGAGTTCGTTCCACAACGACATATTCAACCGGCGCACTGGCGGCGGCCACTTTAGCGGCTTTTTCACAGACCCCGTTCGCGCCCGCACACATGCCAAAGCCCCTGTTTTCCGAGAACCGCCGTCGCAGCTCATTCCAGTCCTCCTCGGCATCGCTCGCGCAGTCGCAGACCTTTTCGTACGAGGCTGCATGCGAGATCTGCGAGGAGATGGTGCGGTGTGGCCGCGAGCTATGCGTGCACGAGCACCGCATCGTGTGCCGCGGTGTCCACCACGGGTGCTGCTGCCACTCGTGCTGCATGTCGCGCGAGTCCCTCACATCGACATGCCACGAAGAGACATCGCATCGGGCGTGCCGCGAGGAATCGTCGTATAGTGCGCGCACCGAGGAGTCGGAAACTGACTCCAGGTTTGGCAATGGCCGGGTGAGATCGCGCTCGGCGACCATGTACCAGGGCGACGCGTCGTTCGGGTTCGCTAACATGGAGTCGGAGATGCTACGTATGGCTGCTGACAACAGATGGAGGAACTCGGGGTCGTACAATGACAGCTTCTATTCCAAGCCGCTGCGCGATAACCCGCCTCCCCCACCGCCCAACCACATGCACTTGCGCGAGGATAACGTCGGCCAGGTGTGGGAGCATCACCGGCATATGCATGGCGGTATGCAGTCCCACATGCATGAGGAGGCTGCATCCCACTTCCAAGGAAATCACCACCACCATCACCAGAACCAATGCCATGGCCATTTGCTGCGCCAGCAGGAACAGGAGGAGGAGGAAGACGAGATCAAGGTCACAACCACCACAACCACAACAACCAAGAAATACATTCGCGAGATCGAAGACGACAAGGAGAAGTGCAAGAAGGTGGTCCAACCCCCGCTTCCCCCTAAGCCGCCTGTAGTCGTGCCCATGCCGCCGGCAGAACACCACCACCACCATCACCACCAGACAGTGATCCCTGTCGGAGTGCGGCCCAATGAGCCAGTCAAGAAGGTCGAGGCATGCTGCACGTGGTGCAAGATCCTGCCGTGCCTCGACTGCCCAAAGCCCACAAACCCGAACGAGCGCTTCAAGAAGGTAAACTTCCGCCTGTTCCCCGAATACGAGTTTTTGCCCGACGACCTCCAGATCCCCAAGAACACCGAGTACTTCCCCGAGCACACCCATTTTGGCACCAGCTCCCAGTACAAGATCACGATCCCACAGGTCACCACCATTGCGCAGAAGATCTACGTCGACTTCATCGGCGACCAGTGCGTTGTCATGGGGGACCACGGCAAGCCGCTGCGCCATCCGATGCCGTCGCCGTCGGTCCGGTCTACACGCTCATCAGCTAGCTCGCGCACCCAGGTCAAGCAGATCCCTAGCCACCACATCCATCACAGCGAGCCGCCGCTGGGCGTGACCCGCGTGTTTGCAAAGAACTTCTTCCTGCCAAGAGACACATATGACCACAACCGCGCCCAAGTCTTTGTTAAACCCAACGGCAAGCTCAAGATCGTGGTTCCGGTGCTTGGCTCTTAGATTCAGCACGCCTTTCTAGGGGCACTGTCCATTTCATTTTGCTTTCGTTCACATCTTTCCTATTCTTAGCATATCTCTGCTTGCCACAACTGCAAGGGCGATGTTATAAATCACGTACAAACCTGCTCAGCCATCGGCCGTGCGGCGAGCCCCAGCACCGATCCAGAGTCTGGCCGACTGGCCACAGGTTGGCATCGTCACATTTTGCATATGTGGCATATAGGCCGGGTGTCGGTTGGCCCAGCCCCAATGATGACCATGCTCCTTTCTTTTTCCATGACAAGTGTTGGCTAATAAACTAATAAACCCCAGCTACCCGGATGAAGGCCATCCTCTACCCCGACTGCGCGTTGGGTTCAGCTGGTATGCCCAGCCGCCAAGTGCTGAGCGATCTAGCTGAAGCTCATATGATGTTGACCTCAGGCAGTTTTGATGCGGTGTCATGGTGCATCAGACTGCGTTCCTCCTCAAACTCCTTGTCGGGATCTTCGCCCTCAACAATAACAGACCGCTCCGACTGCTCGCCTCTGACGCCATCTGCTCCGCCATCAATTGCAATATAAAACTCTGGGCTATTCGGGTCTCTCTGGCACGACGCAATATCGTCTTTGCCGCGGTTATGACTAACGCACTTGGCTCCCGAGATATCATAGACATCTGCAAGTCTGCTCTTCAGAACCAGGTCCTTGAAGACTCCGGCCCGCTCCGACTTTGGATCGCCACCGGCAGTGCGCCGCACGCCCGAGAACGGCTTGCTGAACGACGGCACCATCGGCAGCTGGCGAATAAACCTACAGACTGGCCGGATTCGGCCTGATGCCTCGCGGTTGATCTCGCAGGTGGCCAGGGTCTCGGGCGGCTTGGCTCCACCCAGCGGGTCCTTGGGAGCATCGGTAGACTGCGCTGAGCTGCCACTGCCCTCAGCTGATACTCTGGTCCTGTCGTCACCGCCGACCATCGCGTGGCTATCTGGTTTGGCAGCCTCCTCGAGCGCCTTGGAGACCTCGTCCTTGATACTTCCCTTGCTCGGGTGCTGCAGGATTATCGATCCCATGTAGGTCCAGATATCGCCGTCGCTCCACAGGCCCTGGTAGATGGTGTTGTTAGACACCATGTTGTAGTGTGCAACAACTTTGAGCGAGTACCCGGCCTGCATGCTGTCGTCGTGGTCGACCTTGGACATCAAGTACATGCCCTGGCGCGCCTGCTTGTCCTCCTTGTCAATGTAGTGTGCAGTTGCGTATTCGGTGACCCGCCCTGCACGCACAGTGCTCTCGTTTGTCGGTGTGCGCACCTGCAGAATCACTGCGAGCGAATTGTCGCGCAGCTTTTGCAGGGAGATGGCGCCAGAGTCCCACCCGACGCCAATCCACTCAGTACCGATTGGCGACGACGATGAGTTCAGTGCTACGTGTGCGGACGCCTGCGTGAGGTCTAGCGCGTTGTCAGGAACGTCCCACACCAGGTTGACGTCAAAGGCAAGCACCGCTGGCACTACGAGTGCGTAGAGCGATTTTAAAAGCATATGGTGATACGATATAAATGTATGTGAGTGCAAGATGTAAGAGAGGCAGTGGAATGTACTTTTCAGCAGCAGAGGCCAGCAATAGTAGCGACTCCAGACATCCCGCCTTTTGTATGCTGCAAGCCAGAGGGATATCCCTCCCACAGCACGCAGGTCCCAGGCGAGAGGAAAGTGAATGTTTATTTTCTGCACTCTGGAGACAAAAAAGAAGAGATGCTCGCCTCTCCACATTTGTCGGAACTGCATAGTGCGGGGACACATAGGACCACCAGCCATTTGCCAGCTCAAGAAATAGCCGCGGATATACAGGAATATCAGCCAAGAATGCATCTTCGTCTCCGCATTCTCAGGCTGCTACAACAAAAACCGGCCCTAATTTTAGTTGTAGGCCAGCGTTTGCTCGCTGTACCGGTCCACTGGGTGGTGGCCGTAGTCGCCGACCTCGTCGTCCTCATCTCCATACTCCTCGTCATCGTCATCGTACGCCACGTCGGTCTGCGAGTCAACCAGCGCACGCACACGCGGCATCTTGAACTCGGGCGGAATGTACGTCTCGATCGCCGGCACCTTGCGCGCGGTCAGGTACAGGACCTGGTCGGTCAGATCGTTGGTGTCGAGAAGGATGTTGTCAGACTTCTCGGTGGAGGCAGCACGGCGGGTAACCTCGGTCATGACCGGGCCGACAATCGGGTTCTCGTAGTCGCTGACAGCATAGATCGACAGCAGCTTCTTGATCTGGGCTGGGTTCAGGAGGTCGCAGACCTCGAACATGATGTCGATATCCTGCTCCGACGACTTCTGCAGCTGCAGCAGCTTTACAAGCTGCAGGAGGCGGTCGAGGTTGCGTGACGAGTCGGCAACGTTGTGTGTCTTGCACCACTCCTCGATGCGGGTCAGGTTGTACTGGATCTGCATGCCACGCTTCCACGAGCAGAAGTTGCGGCGCATGATGATGTTGTTGAACGCCGTCACGCCAATGTTGCAGAGCAGCTCCGACATGATCTGGCGCATGATCGCGGGGTTTACAAAGTAGAACTCCATCGTGCGCCAGATGTGGTTGAAGAAACTCAGCACGTTCTCGATCTTCACCGGCGACTCGCGCGGGCCAGTGCCCATGAGCCGGTTGAAGAAGCTCGAGTCGTTGGCAGTGAAGCCAGGAAGCGCCTCGCTCTCGACGACGCCAGGGATGATCAGCTTGCCAAAGCGCTTCTGCAGGTCCCTGATCCAGCCAAAGTAGATGTCCGACAGGAGGCTCTCCAGATACTGCATGCCCTCGTTCATGGCACGCTCGGACTCGGCGTACTCGTACGTCGACGACTGGTGCTCGGTCATCGATGTCTTGATGATTGACAGGAGCTCAAACACATTCGACAGCCAGAACGCAGAAGTGTAGTCGGACTCAAACGCCGCGGTTTTCTTCTGGATGCGAGCAATCGACGACATCAGCAGCCGGTCAATGCGACGTGACAGGTTGTACTGGAACATCTTGATCACGCACAGGCCGATCAGATGCGCCGGGAACAGCAGGTCAGGCTGCGAGTACTCGGCATCCAGGTTGGGCAGCGGCACCTGCAGATCACCGATCAGCTCGTTGAGTACCTCGGTGATCAGGTTGTCGTCGCTTTCCAGCATATCGCGCACCTCGTCCTCGCTGTGCAGCTCGAAGGCTGGATGCTCCTCCTCCTCGGCAATCGCACCGGCGCCAAACGCACCGAGCGAGCCCAGCATCTTGGCCAATGTGCGGCCCTCGTCGCCACCGATGGTCGACCGCTTGTTGGCAACGCTCTCCAGTGCACGCGCAGAGGCTTGGCGCGCAGTGTCAACCGAATGCGGGCGACGCTGCACGTCCTCGACCGGCGAAATCGGGTGCGCGTTGGCGTGGGCATTGGGCAGGACAGCGCCACCAACGTGCGGCAGCGGGTGCGGCGGCGTGGCCGAGTCAGCCATCTCGTAGCCGGTGGCAGAGTAGTTGGCCGCTGCCTTCCACCTGCTGCCGCTGGTGTCGGAGCGCTTGATCGACGATGGCTGCTCATTGCTGTGTTGCTGCTGGTAGATCAGCATCTGCTGCTGGTGCTGGGCGCGGGCGTCGGCCAGCTGCGTCTTGGATGCAGACAGCTCGGCCTCGAGCTCCTCCAGCTTCTTCTCGAGCTGCTCACGAGCAGTCATCGACTCGCCGCGCTCCCGCTCGGCCTCAGCACGCACGGCGTTGAGCTCCTTGTGCGTAGCCGCAACCTGGTCCACCAGCTGCTTGCACTTTTCGTCAACAGCCGCCTTGGCAGCAGTGACCTCGGCCACCTGGCGCGTCAGCTCCTCGGTGGCAAGACGGATCTTGTCCTCCTGCTGGTCGCGCAGCTCCCGCGACTCCTGCTGCGAGCCAGCCAGCTTCTCGGCCAGCTGGGCCGAGCGGGCCTCCGACTCGGCCAGCTGGATCGACAGCTGCTTCGATTCGTTGCGCTGGGTCTGCAGCTGACGCGTGAGCTCCATCAGCTTGCCTTCGAGCTTGTATGTGACCTCCTGGAAGTGAGCAGCCGACCGTACCTCTTCCTTGCGCCCCTTGAGCTCGCGCCGGGCAGCACGAGCACGCACGTTGCTCTGCATCTTGACGACCAGGTCGCGCTGGTGCAGATACGCGCTGCGCTTCTGGTGGCCACGTACGTGCTTCTGGATGACGCTTGCCGCATGCACCTGGCGCAGAGCAAGCGTCTGCTTGCGGGCAATCTTGCCGCGCACCATGGCCTGCAGCCGCACAATTGCATGGCGCTCGCGAGCATAGTTGGTACGAGCCAGGTAGGCACGCACCGCCGACTGGATGACCACCGCAGCGCGGGTGTTGCGCCGCTTCTGCAGCTCGCGACGCGCCAGATACCCGCGCACGCCGAGCTGGATGACGCGGGCTGCCTTGCGCATCTTGAGGAACTTTGTGCGCTGCTGGTGCCCGCGCACCAGGCACTGGATCTTGGTAGCAGCGCTGTTGAGCCGCTCGACACGCAGCTTCTCGACCAGCGCGAGCATGCCAGCACGGAAAAACACCTTGGTCAGCCCGACCTGGTAGCGGTCGCTCTCCTGGAACGCCGAGTCAAGGATCTTGACTGCCAGCGCACGCACGTCTTCCATTGAGTTTGCCTGCGACGAGACCTCCGAGGGCAGCAGAACGCGGTAGCGGTGGATAAACTCAGGGATCAGCAGCCGCGATGGGTAGCCGGCGCAGCTGATGCGGATCGTCTCGAGCACACCGCAGGCGCGCAGCTGGGCCAGCACCATTGGCGCGTCGAACTGCCACGCCGCCTTGGCCTCGTTTGGCTTGATGCAGCGGATGTAGTGCGACTCGGTCGCCTCAATCGTCTCCATCAGCGACACCAGCGAGTGCTTGAACACAGTGCCGAGCGTCGGCTTGCGAGCGGCACGCACGCTGAGCCGGCCCTTTGGCGCCGGCTGCTGCTCGGGCTCGGGCTCCACCAGGATCTCCTTCAGGAACGAGTTGGTCGACGCCTTGAGCACGTTCTGGATCTCGTCCGGCACCGTGTCCTTGTTCTTTTCGATAAACCCTTCGGACTCGTATGTAACGTCATGGGCGTAATGCCGGATAGTGAACTTGTCTGATCCAAAGCGCGGCTTGCGGAAGAACGCCGACGGCGTCTCGGGTTGCGGCTTGGGCGAGCTGGCAAACTGCCTGTACAGCTTCTCGGCAAACGTCTTGTCCGTGCCCTGCTGCAGCCGGCTCTCCTCATCGAGCAGCGCTAGCACACCTAGCTTGCCCTCAATCAGATCAATGCACGGCTGGTTGTCCTGGAAATCAACAAATGTCCAGTTGGCCAGCTGCTCGCGCTGGTACTCCTCCTGCTCCAGCTTGAACACGTGGCGGTTGAAGTTTTGCTGCAGCTTCTCGTTGGCGTAGTTGATGCAGAACTGCTCAAACGAGTTGTGCTCAAAGTGCTCGAACCCATAGATGTCCAGCACGCCGATGAACGACGCCGGATCACCAGCTGCCGACCCGACCAGCGACGCATTGATAGTAGCGACGATCCAGTCGAACAGATGTGCATAGATGAACTTTGCCACCGAATCCCGAACGACCTGCGACTGGACTACGGTGAGGTTGCTGACAATCTTCTCGCTGCGCGTCACAATTTGCTTCTTGGTCAGCCACTTGCGGAACAGCGTGCCGTCGATCTGGAGCAGCTCAACCACCTTGTTGCACGCCGCGTTATCGTCCTTGATCGAGGCTCCCATCCGCTCTGACCCGCCAATCTCCAGGTTGCCCATGTGCAGCAGCGCAGACAGCAGCGTGTAGATCAGCTTCTGGCTCTCGTTGCTGACACCGATGACAGACAGCGCATCGCTGGTGATCTTGAACTCGACTGCGTCATCGACACCGGCGATCTCGCCGCTGCCACCCTGCGACGTATAGTGGAATGTCTCCCACGTAGCATTGGTGAGTCCGAGCTTGTCACGCATGTCCTCGGGTACTGCCGCAAGCAGCTGGTAGAAGATGTGGTAGTTGCGCTCAATCGTTGGCTGGTATACCAGACGCGACCGCTCAAGCAGGTATGTGCGGATGAACGCCGCCTCGATGGCGTGCCGCTCGTTGAATCGGATCTCCAGGAACTTTCCAAACCGCGACGAGTTGTCGTTGCGGGTGGTCTTGGCGTTACCAAACGACTCAAGAACCGGGTTTGTGGCCAGGATCTGCTCCTCAACCTTGCTGATCCCCGACGAATCGTTCGACGAGCTGCCGTCCTCGTGCGCCGATGCAAAGTAGCGCATGATGTACTTTGCGCTCATGGTCTTGCCCGCTCCTGACTCGCCAGACACAATGATGGTCTGGTTTTTCCGGTCCCGCACCATCCCCTGGAATGCATCCTCGGAGATCGCAAACAGGTGGGGCTCGAGCTCGCCCCGCATGCGTCCTGCATACGCCTCCAGGATATCCTGCGAGTACAGCGGCACACGGGCAAAGGGGTTCAGCGCGACCAGCACGATGCCCGAGTACGTGTAGATGTTGTGCATCCCGTACCGCACGTGCAGGTTGTGCAGGACCGCTGGCTCGTTGAGGTGGCTGAGGTTCGTCAGGTCATCGATTCCCTCCAGCAGCGGCGGATTCACCAGCGGCGGCAGGCCCTTGAGCTTCTTGAGCAGTTCGTCAAAGGTCGCCTCAAAGTGATACGTCTGCGGCGCATCCTCGTCGTTGCCCTCAAATGTCATCTTGACTGTGCGGCTGGCCTCGTCGACCACTTTTTCTGTCAGTGTCGCCTGGACCCAAGCCTTCTCATCGTCAGCAAAGAATGCCTTTGTTCCCTATTTTCCTCTTGTTGTTTTGTTGTGGTTAGAGCCGCTGTTGCGTATACCTGTGCCCAGAGTGTAGATAGAGTAGACATGAGGCTTAGAGGCCTCTCAGTCCTCGCCCCTCAGCGTGGGTGTCGCTGTACTGTGCTGTGAGCGCACTCGGGGTTGGACGTTTATCGAGCAATACGGTACCTTGGCGTACACCTTCAATTCCGCCAGGCTCGCCTCGGTGCTGGGTGAGCTCATCGTCGCCTGGAAATGCCTAGTGTGTGTATGTATGCGTTGTGTACGTGCAGGTGCTGGGTGAGTGAATGCAGACCGCTGATTGTGGTCCTGTAGAGCAGCACGGCTATAGTGAATACAAAAAAGAAAGATTGGTCAAATCGGTGAGTGCGTGCTCATCTGCCTGCCAGCAAACAAATAAAATAAAAAACTCCGGTTAGCGCGAGTGAGCAAAGCAGCTGTCGCCCTGGTTGGTACCTTTCGTTCGTTCGTCTTTAGCGGCCCACTCGGCTCTATTTTTGGGGGGAAGAAGAGCTGTGTTTTTCGCACTGCAAGGTGGCGCGTGAATAGAGACCTACGGTGTGGTAGTGTGTGTTTATCCTATCTTTCGCCAGCAAAAGGTGTGAAGAGTGCAAACCAGTAGAAAAGAGATAAATAATTGACTCGATAACTTAGCAGCGAAAGCGAGAGGAGGACATCGCTTGTTTCGGGCTCTAGTGGGGGTTTTTGCGACGTTTTCTTGCTCTTGCAGAAAAATAGTGCGACGATCGGAATTCGCTGTTGACAGCATATAGCACGTGAGTGCATATTGCCCAATGGTATGACGAATACAGTACGCCTCTTTGAAACAGCGCTGGCTAATGTCTAATCCTCTTCGCAGCCAAAGCTCGGCCCTGTGACTCGCATATGAAAGGGTGCTGCCTGCTTAGCCAGGATACAGCCGAAACATGGCCATACCAGACCCATTACTCACTGGCCCTAGGACCTGACAGATCCAGCATTCTCTTTCTGTTGAAAGGGCCCTGCTAAGACCCTTACAATAGGCTATCTCATACCTGCCTGCTCTGCTAAACCCTAGAGCCCAGCAATAGGCCAATTCCGATTACACCCCAATAGAAATTACAGGGGTTAGAAATGAAGCATAAGACAGGAGGTCAGTCAGAGTTACTTATCTGCACAATAATTATTTATGCATGTTGAAACTACTGGAAATTTCACCTAAACCACTATTAGCATCTTAGAAAAGTTTCAGTGAATATGATTTCAACCAGAAAGAAAAAACTTTGCATATTTGGGGTTAATTATCTTTGGGCAACAAAAGTCAATATCTCAATAGATATGGCTAAGCAACTATAAAGAAATCATGTTTACTGAGACTTTTCCAAGATGCTGATAGTAGTTTGGGTGAAATAGTAAGAAAAATATTTATATCTTAGATAATAATAATTACTGTATCCAGAATTTTTTTGTGTTTATAAATGGCTACTAAGTGAGATATATCTAGTAGTAGAAAATTGTTCAGAAAATGATTATTTAAATATGTAAATTGCAAATTACTAAAATTTACAAGTCTAAGAATGACCCCTATAGTATAGTTAAGTATAGAGTACATATTCTAAAAGGCTGCAAATATAGCTTATAGATCACTGCAGTGGATATCTACTGACTATGCTACTATAGGGCCACTATTGGCAGCTGCCTTACTGTTCTCAGGCTTAGCTACTACATTTATATTAGGAATGTTCATAATAGATATACTGTTATGTTTGTTGAATGTGTGGGGATTTTAAAAGCCATATTTAATACTGAAGAAAAGAGAGAAAAGGGAATAGATGAGTTGTGCAAGGGGGTTTTCAATATGGCCATCTGTGCAACTTATCAGAGGCTAGACTCTACCTCCACATTGTAGGCTGTAGCGGGGCTCTCGTTGGCGCCTGGCTTGCTGTAACCTGATTCGGCTGACATGTCGATATCAGGGACAGCCGCAGCGGGTGCGCAACATTACCAATCATGCCACAGAGCCTGTGGCCATCACCTAGCCAGCTGGCTTAGTAACCTATCTCGTCGTTCATGTAGCATGCATAAACTGAATTAACCTGGCAAACAGGGCTTGTTGTGCTTGTATCTGCAGTGCTGTGCTCTTGTTGCCATCGACATCGTTCATAGTTTTTGGTGTCCTGCTAGTTCTTTATGACTGAGTACTGTGGTGTACCTAAAAGTCCATCGCCTTGGTTAGGTTCCGAAACTCATTTGTTCTCTTTCGCAGCACTAGCGAGCTTGCGTGACTCATTTAGGCAGATCTACCCTAAAGTTCTCTTGCAAAAATAAATGAATCGCAAGGGGGGCTGCGCTTAGCAATCTGCAAGGCGATTTAGTGCTTCCATGACATAGAATCCGATGGCTGCTACAGGGTGGGGCACTGTGCCGTTGAATGCGACTAGTGGGCTGATCTCAACACCCTGGTGGTCGGTTCGCCTCGCCAGCAACATGCCTTCAGCAGCAATCACTACACCACATTCTTGAGACAGTGGCTCGGTGGCTATGCGCTGCTGTACCAAGCTCTTAATTGCCCGTTCGATGGCTATCGGGTCGCACATACCGCCGAACTCGCCTTCCAACCGGTGAATATTTGCCGACTCTTGACTGTTTGCTGGAGGTACGTCGCAGGGGTAGTCTTGCTGCTGCGGACAGCGCTTGAATGACCCGGTGATATCTACTGGCATCCGCAAAATAGGGTGGTTTACCCTCCCATCGTACACGTCAATGGATACGCCGGTACTGCTGGTCGCCATATTATCGATCAGTTCTGCCCTGGCAATCCCAGGCACCGATTCTTGCAGCATTGCTCGAATGCACGCCCAAACATGCCCAAACACCGCACGGCGGACGGAATCGATATCGGGGCTGGTCGGCGATGGCATGCGAATAAGAAACTTTCGAGGCAATTGCGTCTGGAAGCGCCGGACTGCCAGCTGCGTCTCTAGACTGTTGTTAATTGACATCACAATTGGGCGGCTGGCAGGTCGCTGGTATCGAAGTGCGAGCTTCAGTGACGCTGGCTTCGGCGGCGGCTGTGGCATTTTTGGCGGTGCCGACTGGCGGTGCATGTCGCTATCGAGTGGCGGATGCAGCTTATCTCCATAGGCTGTTGGTTGCTGCAGAGCACGACCTGGTCGCTGGGTCTGTGGTAGTGGAGGCGGCGAGGCATGTGCTGGCTCAGTAACTGCAGGCATGGACATGTACCGTGGCCTAGGCGGGATCCGTGGCGGGCTAACTTCCTCCACAGACTGCATATGGGTGTCTCCGAGTGCGTGTGATGGCGGTGGCGATGGCAGGCGGGTTAATGGAGGTGGAGGGTAGTGTGCACGTGCACCAGGGATGTATGGCACAGGCCGTGGAGCTGGCTGGACCTCGTTTTTTGGACCAGGCAGTGGTATGTAGTTGGGAGGTGGCGGTGGAGGCGGGAGGTATGGTGCTAGCTCAGATACCAGAGGTGGCGGTGGCGGTGGGGGCGGGAGCGAGCACCCACGCTGGTTCATCTGTGGTCTCGAGCGGGCTCCTTCGAGATCTGGCGATACAGATGCGCGTGTTTGTGGTGGTGGAGGCGGTGGAGGCAGTGGAGGGGGCAATGTGTGCTCTGGCTTGCTCAGCGGCACCGATGCAGTTTTGACAGGGATCACGGCCATGAACTGCTGGCAGATTCCTGGCGCACCCCTCTGCGTATCTGGATCCGCCGGGATAACATCCAGTATATTAGCACATGCCTCATACGCCCTGTGTGCATCGTCTCTGAACTGTCTGGTTTCTCGTGCACCATCTTCTTTTGCGCGCTGTAGCTCCGTCGCGCTGTCATCTACAGCCTTCTCGGCCCGCTCGACCATCAGCTCCGAGAACTCCAACCCACTGACAGCGCTGTCCAGCTCCTTTGTGATCCACTTGAACTTTGAACCGGCAGTTTTGCGCCGTAGCTGGTCAACGCGCAGTCGCTCCTCACTGATCTGCGCCTGCTTGCGCTCGAGCTGCTCGCGTGCCCGCGAATGCTTCTGTTGCAGCTCGTCTAACTGGACCTGGTACGTGCGCTCACATTCAAGAAGCAGCGCCCGCGACTCGATGGCAAACAGCACCTTGACACGGTCGTTGGCATTGGTAATGTGTACCAGTGCTGCCTTGAATGTGTCAATGAGCGGGTCCGTCAGCTGGTGCGACATTGGTGTGAAAAAAAAAAAAATAGACAACGAAGGACAACGAAGGAGAGGTTGCCAATGACGTTTGTCCAAACTCGCCTGCAGAGACCTGCCAAGCGTCCCAGGCAGACGGATCATGTGCTTTGACTATGTTTTTTATTTGGCATCTATGGCAAACGCTATGGTGGTGGGGCTGCGTTAAAGCTTGCCAAACTCCTCCGACAGCGACGAGCAACGGGCAAAGCACGCCTTCATCCCCTGGTCGACGCCCTCGGGGACACGCTCCTCCTTCATCTTCTCGATGGCGGCGTGGGTGGTGCCGTTGGGCGAGGTGACCTTGCGGCGCAGCGTGGCAACGTCGTCCTCGCTGGTCAGCACCATCTTGGCGGCACCGAGCGCAGTCTGGGCTGCCAGCCTCTTAGCCACATCAGCGGGCAGACCCAGGTCCTGGCCAGCCTTCTCCATGGCCTCGATGACCAGGAAGAAGTAGGCAGGACCAGAGCCGCTGACAGCGCAGACAGCGTCGATACCCGACTCGCTGGCAACCCAGAAGTACTCCTTGGCGATGTTCTTGACCACGTACTCGGTCTGCTCCTTCTGCGCGGCACTGACATCCTCGTTGGCAAACATACCGGCAGCGCCCTCGCCAACCAGGGCCGGGGTGTTGGGCATCAGGCGCACCAGAGGCACGTGGGCGCTGCTGTCACCCGAGCTGTGGATCCAGCGCTTAAAGTCGGCAATAGCAACACCGGCCACGATCGAGATGACCAGCGGCTGGGCAGCGAGCAGAGCTGCTGAAGCCCCCTTCACGACACCGGCAACAACCTGCGGCTTCACGGCCAGGACGACAACGTCGGCAGGGGACGTGGAGATCTTGCCTACAGAGCCGGTGATGGCGTCGTTGTTGCTCTCAAACACGTCAATCGAGTACTTCTCGCGCAGATACTGGGCACGCTCGGGAAGGGCTCAGACACACGGACATTAGCAGTCGGGTGGCCAATCTTGAGCAGGCCAGACAGGATAGCCTCGCACATGTTGCCGCCGCCAATGAAGACAATAGTAGGAGCCATTGTGATGATTTAGGTGTTTGACGATGTAGAGCAGAAAAAGCAATTACAGGGAGATAGGAAGTGTAAGAGCAGAGTAGAGGCGCTGATGGTGCTGATGCTTTTGTGTGTCACGAAGAGCAGTAGCGCTGGGGTGGTTCTGTCAGCCGGCTTTTATACTTTTCTGCCAGCCCTTCGAGACCCCTACTCCTGGAAGCGAGGATCGCCCAGACCAATAGGCCGCGATTAATTAGCATGACCACAAGATTACATCACAATGACTGCCTCAGAGCCGCTCCACGACCAGCTCCAGCGACGTGTATGTCAAGACGTTGTCCGGGCTTTGGAACTGCCTGCCATGCCGGCGATAGTACAAGTCGTCCGTGTGGTGCGCGTTAACATCAACAGCTGACTCGTTGAGCCGCGCATGCAGGCCCATTTGTGCCAAATCAACGCGGTTCCAGTTCTCCACCATATTCTGTGCCTTCTGCCTGATGCGCTTGGCGTAGATCTTGGTTGTCATGCCAGCCGCGCCTAGCGTGCACAGGTGGACTAACCAGAATTCGGTGATTTCTTTGGCAATGGTGCCAGGCGCCTTGCTCAGCACAGCATTGAGCTCGCGCACGAAGCGGGTCCACCGCTCTGCGTCGAATTGCCGGCTCGGCAACACGCGCAAGGCGTCAGGGATGGCAAGTGTGAATCCACTGGAGATGCTGTGCGGGTTGATCAAACTCAGGCGTATGGGCTGTGGGCGGATATCCACGGCGGGTGGTGCAACGATCTGGGCTGGCACTGGGGGGCTAGCCACAGCTGCGGTATCTTCAAAGGTAGCCTCGTCGCTGTAGGGAGGCAGGTCGGGATCTACATTATTGGAGTTCGAGGGCCCGCCAGTACTGGTCCTAATGAGTTCGGGCGACTGTTTCTCGGTGGGGGGTGAGGTGCGTGCAGGATATTCCATGGTCAGTAGTATTAATTAGTACAGGGCGGAAAAGGAGTAGGAGGCCAGGTGTGTGCGGTTCAGGATCTTTCGACGCGACCACAACAGAAGATAGTTTTCTTTAAATAGCTGAGGCGGCATACATCAGTGCGGACCAGGTGACGACCAGACACTAGCACGCAAGCGGAATTATGGCTGCAGAAAAATCAAGCCTACATTGCCGAGGCCCGCCATTTCCCTCCATCTTTGCCAAGACTCAGATCCCCCGAGTGTTGAGCAAAAATTCGCTCAAGGCTACTCGATCCCCTGGCTGCCAAGAGCTGCGGCGCATGAAATGTGGCTCACTCCTGAGTCCATTTTGGGTACTTTGTGTCGCGCCATCTGTGCACCATCAGCAGCACGACCCACACAAGCCCGACAATGTCTGCAACCAGCAGACAGATAATTGCAACGTATCCGCCAAAGAAGCGCGCATCAAAGAACGGGTATACGTAAAAGTCGTAAACCCCGACCATAAAGTATACCAGGACAAGATACGAGGCCAGGACGCTGATGACAACGGTAAAGTGCGTCCACCGGTACGGGCACCGCGAAAACAGGAGCACCTCAAGCAGCATCAGTGCTGTGTTGGTCGCGTGCATGCTGGTGCCCATCCACGTGTCGATCCTCTCATAGAAGCCGCCGCTGGATGGGTACAGGAACCCCCAGTAGATCAACGACACCAGTGGTGCGTAGCAGGTGAATGTCTCGTACAGGAGCCACTGCGTTGCCAAGGCGAGCTGATGCAATGTCGACGACGGCTGTGCCAAAGTCGCTGGTATCGAGGCGTTGTCGGGCCACCCAGCCGGGCTCTGTGGTTGGCTTGTAGCATTTGCAACATAGCCCTTTGGCTCTGGCGTCAATTCAGGCGGGGAGGCACTGCTATGGTCAATTCCAAGGCCTAGCGTCCGCTGGCGAAACTGCTCCAAAGGGATCTGGATGGGATGCGAAACCATACTGGTATGTATGCGCCGGCGGTTGCGCAGCCCGTATACGAGCGTATACTGACATGTGTTGAATGCTGCAAACCCGTAGTACATAGTGATTCCAAGGTATGTCAGTGTCGTAAAGTATGCTGGCCAGCTCCAGCCCGCCTCATGCATAATGTTGACCACTAGATTTGCAACAAGCACCGACAGGCAGTATACAAATACCACCACGCGTATGGCTGCTAGCAGGGGCTGCGGAACGACATACGAGGTAGTAAACAACTCATCGCGCAGGTTCGGGTTGTGGTGCAGAAAACAGTACGCGTACTGCCCAGTCCACTCGATTGTCCGCCGCAGGGCCGCCAGCATGGAGAGGCTAATATGCTAAATACAAATATGTTCTGAATAGAGTGACGGGATGCCAACAAGCAGAGACAAGAACAATCCGGTGCGGAAGAGAAGAGAAAATCAGCCATTGTCAGCTTCTTAAATCCGCTTGTGCGGACTTGTGCAAGGGCGGGGCGGACCAGAAGCAATATAGAAAATCAGCGGATCATCTCGATCCCACAAACGCTTTGGGCTAGACCGTCTGTTATCTTGGGGACGAGCGCCATCGCCCGCGCGCTTTCAAGCACCGGGGTTCTTCGCTGTAGCACTCTTCTTGTTTGATCGTCTGCGCTAGTCTGCCATCTACCAAACGCCGCCGCCATGCCAAACGTACTAGCCGATCGCGACTCGCGCAACCGAATCATCCTCGGCACTCTGGGCCTCGCTGTGACAGGCGGGGTTGTGGGCATGAACATCGCCATTCTGCGCAACCTGCAGCCGATTGCACGCCATGCGACCACAATGGCCATGAACTGGTCGCTGTATGGCGTGCTGTTTTTCACCAGTCGCGAGATCATGCTTATCGAGCAAAAGTCCAAAAACGAGCCGCTCAACCTACGGTTCTCGCAGACTAGAGACAGCGACGAGCTATTCAGCAGCACCATTGCTGGTGGCCTAACCGGTGGGCTTCTTGCATTGATTACTCGGGGCAGGCGCTCAGTACCAACAGGCGTAGCGCTGTTTGCAGCAATTTCAGGTACAAGCCAGTACTGCTATACTCGGCTGAACCGCCGTCGGCAAGAGATGATTTTACAGAGCAAACACCACAATGGCTCAGAGAGCACAGGCGGCTCCACCACTGCTGCAGCTGCAGAAAAAGAGGTAGCAGTTGAGAATGTAGCCGACGAAGAGGCGGATGACGAGTCGCAATCTATAATTGCAAAGCTGCGCCGTGCTTTGACCACTGATCCAATCGAAAGACTGCCCGACTGGTTCCCTATCCGCCGTATTCAGTCGGACGAATACCGCCAGATGCTGATGACTCGTCGAGAAGAAATCAAGCTGGAACTTGGCCACATCCGCAGATTGGTAGCCAACATGGACCAGCGCGAGGAGCTGCTGCTAAAGCGGCTTCGTGAAGTGGAATCCAACGGTGAATAAAGCGTTCTTGTACCCTGCCCTGAGCATGAAATGCCTGTCTTGAGAAGCAAAGCGTACAACAGCCCGTAGAGAAGGCTTACATCACAAACTTGGCGTGTCGTTGAGCTGTGTAACAAGCAGGCATGACAAAAACACTATTGCCCCCTTGTGTTACTTGTGTGGTGGAGTACCCCTGACAATTACCTGCCGGGCTAGAAATGTGTCGCTGATTTTGGTGCCTAGCTTCTGGTAGAGCGGCCCGACACCGGGTCTTTGTCTACCTCTATGCCATCAGGAGAACAATAGTGCTAGACGCTTGGATCCCGGCGGTGCATCGATTACGTCGGAGTTGAAAACGGTGTGATATCTAGCCAAATGCTGGAGTATATTTAAAGGCGCGCTATCGCTAACCCAGGGGATTCCTTAAACCCTACCGACCGCTCTACTATTATTGCTATCTTGTATATTTCTCATACCGGGACATGAAGCTCTTCAGCCCTGTTTGCATTCTCGCGGCGTTTGCAGCAACCGCAGCTGTGTCCGCCCAGCCCGTAGGCTCAGTGCCCAGGGTCGACAATGCGATGCCTACTGTGGCCTCAGATTCCCTGCCATCTTCTAGCCCGACCATACAATTCGCGTTTTCTTCGTTTGGTGTCTTTGCTGATACGCACGAGCAGTCATTCCACGGCCAATCTTCGTCGCCTGATGAACCGTCAACTACAGAGCCGCCGCTCGATACTTCACTAAATACTCCCGCTGAGACGCCTTCAGATTCCAATTTCGATTCATATTCCGATGCTGCGCCTTCTGATCCACCATCTGGGGGGCTTTTGACTGACACAAAGCCAAGCTTGACGAGCTTGGGCGCAAGTTCTGATTCCTCTGACCCTGTCGCTATCACTTTTACCCAGTTGTCGTCTGATGCTGTGCAATCGGTGCTCACTGAGACCACATCGGACGGCTTGTCGTCAACTAGTGATTCAGCCTCTGCCGGTGATAGCGTGTCGTCTGCCGATTTTCCTGAGTTTGAGACTTCGAAGACGGATGGTGTATCGATCTCAGACATGGTCACTTCGGAAGCTCCATCGACGAGTGATTTGCAATCCACCACTTCGGCCATACCCTCTGAGAGCCTTCTGTTTGTTCCTGTCGATAGCATATCGTCTACGGCTGAGCCCACTCTGTCTGTTCTTTTGAGCGACACCAAGGAACAGAGCACTTCTGAGGATGCCACAGCCATGAAGTCATCTGAACTTCTGCCAGCGTCTGATGATGATGTGACGGATGAAGATATATCAGCCACATCAACCCTTCCAGGCGTACCCACTACGCTGTCTGAGCAATCGGAACTGGAGACGACGGTTCCTGCTACTGAATCGGCCAACGAGGGCACTGCTGTGTCTGATACCGAGAATGACTCAAGCGAGACCACCAGTGCTGGCGTGTCATCGTCAGTTGAGACAAGCTTACAGGCATCGATTACTACTGATCCGGTGGCAACGGCATCGTCATCCGATGAGGAATCATCTGTCGAAGAGGCATTGTCGATCGAGGAGTCGTCTACCACCGAGTCTATTCCCAGCGCATCACCATCGGAGATAGAGGAGTCTGCTGACACTGAGGCATCCACGAAAGAGTCGTCGGAACCAGAGACCATTGCTACTTCACAGTTGGACACAGCTGCACTATCACTTAGCCAGGAGAACGCATCTGACGATGGCCAGTCCGATTTCGTTGACGTGTCATCCGTTGGTGACAAATCCAGGATCACTGAGCTGACATCTGTGGATGTGATTACAAGCAGCGACCAGTCGACATATACCGAGTTGTCGACTAGCAATGCTGAGTCTGGCACTGATGGGCTAGCCAGCGTTCTCGATATTTCTTCGGCAGATGAGGAGATGAGTATTTTGGTGCAGAGTACTGCTGGTGAGTCGTCGGGCGCTGAGGAATCATCGTATGTTGAACTGTCATCAGTCTACAACGAGTCGAGTATTGCTGATCTGACTTCGGTTGACGGGCTGTCAAGCGGCTACGAGTCGTCACACACTGTTTCTTCCTCTGCTGGAGATGAGTCGAGCACTGATGAGCTATCAAGCGTTCCCGATACGACTGCTGTCGATGGCGAGTCAAGCATCGCTGAGCAGAATTCGACAGATGAGGAGCCGAGCATTGAGGGGTCATTGCATATTGAACCATCGTCCGTTGATGATGAGCCGAGCTCTGAGCTGTCGTCGTTTGCCGAGCTTTCATCTGCTGAGGAGGAGTCGAGCATTGAGGATCTATCAAGCATCATTGAGCTGACATCCATTAGCGATGAGTCGAGTGTCATTGAACCGTCGTCCATTTATGGTGTGTCGAGCTCTGACTTGTCGTCGTTTGCCGAGCTTTCATCTGCTGATGAGGAGTCTAGCGCCGAGGGTTTGTCAACTGTACTTGACCTGTCGTCCATTGGCGACGAGTCGGACATCGAGGATCTGTCGAGTACTGGTGCGCTATTGAGCACGGATACGCTGTCCAGCATTGCTGACGCAACCTCAGAAGATGAGGAGTCGAGTATTATTGGCTTGGCTTCTTCTGTTGGGCAGTCGGACGCCGATGAGTCATCATACGCGGAGCTTTCGTCAGTCGATGACGGTTCGAGCGTTGCTGATCCCCCAAGTACCGTTGAGCTATCAAGTGCCGATGAGTCGTCATACACGGAACATTCATCTGTTGATGATGTGTTGAGTTTCGTTAGCTTGTCATCTGTAGACGGGGTATCATCTCTTGATGACATAGACAGTATCGCTAGGCCGACTTCAGCTGAGGAGCTCTCAAGTACTGGCGAGTTGTCAAGTGCTGCCGAACAGATGTCTGCCAGTGGATATAGCGGAACCGCATCTGCCACATCGGTGGAGCCGGGTGTAATTACGGATTCCACACCAACTCTGCCAGCTGATTCATCGCCAACAGCACAGACATCACTCAGTAGCGACGCACCGATCACCAACCACGAGTCGCTGTCCAGCAGTATGGGCCAGGGTGAGCTTATCGACCCTTCGACGGAGACGACTATTACAATGACATGGACCGCCACCTCTACATTTACGTCGACGCCTTGCTCAGACTGTGGGCCGATAACCATCACTGACGTCAAAACCCTGACTTCGACTCTGACTACCATGGTACCTGCTAGTTCCAGCGATATGGTGACCGAGTTGCCTACTCCGTCTTCGGATATCGGGGTGTACACAACGTTGACAACATTCACCACGATCCCTTGCGCTGACTGCAAGCCTACAGTTGTCACATCCACGCAGACGATCACACCGACGGTGCCTGTTGTGACCACTGTTACCTCGACACGCACCTACACAACGACGCCGTGTGCTGAGTGCGAGCCAACTGCTGTGACCACTGTTGAGACCATTACTTCAACCTGCTTGCCTACGCCATCGACTTCTGACGAGATCACATCCGAGACAACGATCACCACCACGTGGACCAGCACCGTTACTCGTACATCGACGCCGTGCGATGTGTGTGAGCCGACGACTATCACCGAGGTGGAGACGTTTACATCGACTGTGACAACAGATGCATCTCCTACCACCGGCGATATGGTGACCGAGTTGCCTACTCCGTCTTCGGATATCGGGGTGTACACAACGTTGACAACATTCACCACGATCCCTTGCGCTGACTGCAAGCCTACAGTTGTCACATCCACGCAGACGATCACACCGACGGTGCCTGTTGTGACCACTGTTACCTCGACACGCACCTACACAACGACGCCGTGTGCTGAGTGCGAGCCAACTGCTGTGACCACTGTTGAGACCATTACTTCAACCTGCTTGCCTACGCCATCGACTTCTGACGAGATCACATCCGAGACAACGATCACCACCACGTGGACCAGCACCGTTACTCGTACATCGACGCCGTGCGATGTGTGTGAGCCGACGACTATCACCGAGGTGGAGACGTTTACATCGACTGTGACAACAGATGCATCTCCTACCACCAGCGATATGGTGGCCGAGTCGCCTACTCCGTCTTCGGATATCGGGGTGTACACAACGTTGACAGCATTCACTACGGCTCCTATTTTTGCGGATACCATATTCCTGTCCACTATGGCCCTCACGATGACTCCATGTATCCAGTGCAAGCCCACAACTTTCACGGCTGTGCAGACGATTACCTCTAACCTCGAGTCGGCGCCTGTGTCTTCGGTGCCGTCGCCTAGCCATGCTACTGGAGTAAGCACTATTTCATTTACCACTGCCCCTTGCGCCACGTGCCAGCCGACAACTGTGACCACAACTGTCGAGGTTCATCCTACATCGGGTGTTCCTGAGACAGCTGCTTCATCGAACACCATCCCCGCTATGCCTACTCCGACAGGGGCGATTGGCACCAGCCAGACGGCTACCGCCTCTGTCGTTACTTCGACACCATGTGCTGCCTGCCAACCAACCGCACTCACTACGACACTGGTATTCGCCCACACATTGCCTATCTCAAGCACCCCAGTCCAGCCGTCAGGTGCACTGGCTGTGACGGATCAGCAGCGGCTGCCTACCTCTGTTGTGACTCCCCCAGCGCCTACGTCAGCAGCACCAGCTCTCTCGACTGCAGTTGCGGTATTGACTACTCGCATGGCCACTACCACTACGTCATTCGTGACCACTCCCTGCGACGTGTGCAGGCCAACGACTATAACACTGGTGAGGACAGTGGAGCAGTCTACACCCTCACCCACGCCGTTGCCAGAGCCAATGGCTGTCACTAGTGCTCCAGCATTGTTGCCGTCAGTGCTGACCTCTGAGTTTATTGCCACTTCTTGTGCTGGATGTGAGCCTGCCACACTCACAGAGACTCTGCTGTTCGCCACCCTGAGTGCTACATCCGCTCCCGTCACTGCTGTGACATCGGCTGTCCACAAGTGCCAGATCAGTACATTGGCCTAACATATCCCCTATTTCCACTTAGCATCCACATCGTGTTTCAATTGTATTTGACTATTGAAGTGTGCTTAAGCCCTCTGTTAATCTAGGGGATGAATGGCTATCGGGCATATATGAAAAATCATATATGTAGGTAGGTAAAGATATGGCTGAGGGGAAGAAGAAAAGCTTATCGTCTGCCTGGGCCTTTGCAGGTATGCGCTTCGGCCATGTCCATGGTGGCGCAGGGGGACTCTGGACCCGAATGTCGATACTCCCAACGCCGAGCTACTAGCGCCCTGCCTTTTTTTGGCCCTGGATAGTAACCACAACTTGGCGCGAATGCCTGTATGTCCTATGCTCTATGAGGTATATTCCCTGCCAGGTCCCCAGTGCCAGCCTGCCGTTTCTGATCGGAATGTCCAACGACACGCCAACAAGGGCTGACTTGACATGACCAGGCATGTCATCTGGTCCCTCGTCAGTGTGCGTGTACGGCAGCGACTCGGGTACGATTGTGTCCAAAGCCATTAACATATCATCCCGCACCTCGTCACAAAAGTTCTCGCCCAGGCATATGGACGCACTGGTGTGCTGGAGGAATAGGTTGGCCATGCCAACTTCGTACTTGGCTAGTTCGCTGTCAATAGCACGGGTGACTTCATTAGTCACCAAGTAGCAGCCCTTTGCCCGAGGTGGGAACTTGTGTGTGACTTGGCTCCACGATGCCGACATTGCGCGTAATATGAGCTGAATTTAGATGACAAGGCGACGTCTAAGGAAGGCGGGTGCTGAGCCGCGATTATCGCAGTCGGCCGCAGTAATTCAAAAACGGTATAAATATGGGCCGACATATCGCCATCACGACCAATGGCGTCTTTTCTGCTTATCTGAACTTTACTCTCCCCATCCTGCTTCTGACAATGGCTACTGTTCGGGTTGGAATCGGCTGCTTTGTCATCAAGAGAGTCAACGGCAAGGCGTACTTTTTGCTTGGCAAGCGGCAGGGCAGCCACGGGTCGGGCTGCTGGGGTCTCCCTGGCGGCCATCTCGACATGGGCGAGGAGTGGAGCACATGCGCTGCACGGGAAACGTTCGAGGAGTGCGGCATCCAGACTGACAGCATAGCGTATCGTGAGGCTACCAACGACGTCTTTGGGCCGGATCTCCACTACATCACGCTATTCCACTCGTGTGAGGTATCCAAGGAGTATCAAGGCAGGCCTGTGCGGCGCATGGAGCCAAACAAGTGCCTGCAATGGATCTGGGTCAGCTGGCAAGAGTTTATGAGCAACCGCGCACTACTACGCGATGCTTGCACGGACAACTGCTTTGAGGCGATAGACACCCCTGAGGTGGTCAATCTGGAGGCACTGTTCTTGCCGCTGCAGAATCTCAAGAAGAAGCTCCAGTTCAGCAGTGATCCGCCATCCTGGCTAAACTGAATCTTCAAGCTAGGATTGAAAGCAAATAATAAAGACTACGCCTGTGGTGAATCGAAAGCGCGCTTCATCACAACGATCCCTAAGGATGGGAAGCCCTCAGCGATTTCGTAGACCGGCGGTCTGCACTTGCCGCAACTTTTACCAGCTGTGTCAATGGAAACACCAACGTGCTTGAACTCTCTTCCATCGCCACTAGAAATGGTCGCTGTCCCTTTGTCAAGAGATTATATGGAGACCAGCCGCCTCGGCTGTTTCTGGGCGCATACAGTTGCGGTTGGATGGTGTCTGAAACCTCTACAGCAAAAGACTTGGGGCTGATGGCGGCCAGTTTGACTATGTTGTGTGTGGGGTTAGTAGTAGATGCATACGCATCCCTTGCAGCCGATAGTGATGTCGTACTCTCGGCATGCAAGTGCAGAGCGTGTGCTGAGCTGGCAGGGTCAGGGTCTGGGTCTGGCGCTGTACTCTTTTATGCTGCGTCATACAGGCTATTGTTTTCCTTGTCGCTCATGTGGGATACACTCTCCCTGAGCGTAGGCCTGGGCGATAGAGCCATGCCAGCGCCAGGATAATCAAAACCCATGAGACGACGAACCTCGTAGCATTCGCTGGCTGTATGCGCTGGTGGTCCATGAAGAATGAAGTATACTGGAAGAGTGCCGTTGCAACTCTTTCTTCGAGCAGTGCTTGGCGGGCTGCCCAATGCATTCTTCAAGATACAGCAGTCAGCAGTGCTGCGAGAGTTTGTGTGGTAGACCGCGCACTACTTGCTCACGCTGCCACTTCTAAGCCCCTGCCCTGCTTGCTTGGTTGTCCCAGTTCCCTTTCCTTGCTTGCACTACCTGTCCACAGTACTGCCCTGCGTCGCTGGAACTGCCAGCCTGCCTCTCGAAGGACCTGCCTTGGGTTTCTTTGCGATCTCCGGGGTGTTGGCTGAGGCATTTCTGCTCCATAGAATTCGGCTGCCTGCAATATAGCAGGAGGATACTCCAGGCTCGAGCACCTGGACAGACGTGACGAAGGCATTCGGACCACGTCTTCCTGGGACGCGTTAAACATGATGATGAGATCGATCTTCCTGCCACCCATGCCGTACATATCGTTCATTGCCGTACACCAGTCGGTGCTAGGGATTATACCTCCAGTGAGCAGTGGCATTTTGACATGTCTCTTTAGCCACAGGCTGCAGTGGATCGCGAACACGCCACCTGCTGGGAAGCTAGTGCGAAACGATCGGGCAATACGGTCGCACAGGTCGCCGAGTAGTGGTCTGAAATTGGCTCCTCAGCTCTTCTTTGCTGTGCCCATGCTTCAAAGCAGAATAGATGGAAATCGGATGATATACGCGTGCGCAGCAGAGGAGGAAGAGAGGGACTAAGAGTGCCACAGCCAACAAGAGCTAAGCGCAGTGGCTTGGCAATGCAGTTTCTCTGACCACATTGCTGTATTAGGCAGGAATGGTCACGGGTAAGCCGAGTAGGGATGCAGGCCACTACCTCGCCAGTGTATATTGTGCGGGACTCTGCATATGTTGCTGACAGCGGCATATGCTGCGCTACTTTTGGTCGTAACCGCGTTGCATCCAGGCTGGTAATACCAGTTGCAAACCAATAAAAGCAGCATGCCAGCTTCAGTACATGTTTTGTATACGGGTGTATGTCTGCAATAGCATCCCAGCAAAGCGCGCAATGGACCGACAATGGCAGTGTCGCAGAAGGTATGTGGAGCAGGAACGATTGTTCTGATCTGCGTGTGGGACCCTCTCACACCCAACCTGGCCAAATGGTGGGTACAGAAAGTAAAAACAAACGTACAACAGCGCCAGAGTGAATAGGGAACCAACGTATTGCGCATTGTCCGTAGGCAAGGGGGCACAGGGCCAATGCTGCACCCGGTCGTCCTGGCGCAGAGGACATGGAGAGCAGTCGCGTGCTGTGTTTATAAGCTACATCTGGCGCTCCCCCGCTCTTCTCCCTTCTCAGAACAGTCCATATCTCTCGCTTTGTTTCTGCCACTACCTCTGCCATGAAAACCGCGCTCCTCTGCACTGCCTTGGTTACCCTAGTTACCCTGGTCTCGCCTGCTGCTGCCGCCGACGATGTTTGCAAGGGCCATACAGGCAAGGACACAGTTGGCAAACCGTTTGCCCATCCAACAATCTGCGACAAGTTCATCACGTGTGGGTCTGACAACAAGCCCTATGTTGGGGACTGCCCGGCCGGGACTTATTACGACACCAAGCTGACGACGTGTACCCAGGGCGCAAAGTCGGCGTGCGGTGACCGCAAGGCCCGGCGCCGTCGCTGAGTGCTGGGCGCGCACCACACCAGCCCATCCTCCGTGTTCGTAGCATTCGACTTTTGAATAAATATCAGTGGTACGCAGAGTCTATTTGTTTGCCTTCAGCAAGAGCCTGTTCTTTGCGCTGGCGACGATCATTACCAGTCCACGCTAGCCATCCTCTTTGGCTGATTTTTTTAGCGGCTGTACCCGCTCTTTTTATAGAAACACCCTGTGCTTTTTTGTTTTCTAGGAACCGGGCTGCTGCTGCTGATGCTCTTTTTTCTTCATGCTTCTTGCTCCCTCCTGCTCTTTCTTCCTTTCGTAGGTCCCTTTCGCTATATCTATCCACCCCTTATTCCCCCTACCTTCCCCGTATTTCCTTTTTATATCTCCTGGGCGGCCCACCAACATTATGCCGGAAGCAGTAGCATCAGCAGCACCGGGCTGGCGTAGCAAGGTGCAGCAGTCGATTCTGGCAAACCGGCGAAACCAGCTTGTTCTTGGGCTGGTGGTGATGCTTGTTATCTTGCACGGTTTTCTGCTGCCATTCAGCGACTCGCATCCGCCGCCGCCGCCAGAGCTCGCAGAGCTCGCAGAGCTGGGCGAGGACACAACCGGCGACACGCCACCCGCGGCCGGCCCCAACAGCCCCAGCGGCGGCAACAGCCGAGCCAGCAGCGGCGGACTCAGCAAGCTCTGGAACGGTGTGCTCAGTCTGGGGAAGCATGGCCCACAGCCTACCTGCAGTCAGCTGCCAGTCCCGGACGACTTTTGGTACTTGTCGGGACCGCCGACAGTCAAGCTGGCTCCGCTCAAGCGGGCGCTGAGTCCTGGTCGACAGCGTCTGCGTGCGCGTGGTGGTCCCGCCGGCGCCGCACAATGTTTCGCATTTTTTCATTCCCTTACCTGGGGGCTTCTGGGACAGCATTATTCTCGACCTAGGTTGGCGAGAGCCTCAACGTCAGCGTCACAGCCAAGCTGAAAGCGACACCGGATTTGCGTAACCACGACCGCGAAAGCGTGCACATCTATGAGGCCGATGTTGTGTTGCGGGACCCAGGACGTTTATCGACCAGAGGGCATTCTGGAGCACCGCAATGCAGAATGGAACCCTGAGATTCCAATGAATCCGCTTCCCTACGATGCCGAGCCGCTGGAGGTCAGCGGGGAGAGCAAAGTGACGGTTGTTGACGACCCAGAGAGCCCATACAGCCTGCATAACTACTTATCGCTGCCACTATGCACGTCCACCGCGGTTGAGGGGCGCTGGATTCGCCAGTCGCGACCTGCCATTCAGCGCAGCGGTTGTCCCAGGGTCGGACAATCACGGCAGGGTCTGGCTGCCGTACTCGTGTCGGATGCGCCGTGTTCCTTACGAGGAATTCGTGGGCTGCCTCCGTGAAAAGTACCCGCTGACGCACTGGTATGGCGACTCAAACACGCGCCGCTCGTTGAAGAAGATCAGCACGCTGGGCAAGTGGTGCAGTCTGCCCGAGGAGCAGTTCACGCGCGAGTGCATCTGCGAGGACCAGCGCGAGCCGTTCACGCGATTCAATGCAATTGCCCGCAACAACCTGATTGAAGCTGGACGAGAGGCTGGGCGGCATGAGCGACACCAGCGAGTACGAGTTCCGGCCGGGCAACATTGGCCACCACGGAAACGACAGCGTGCGCATTTTCTTCCACAAGTGGGACGGCCTTGTCACAATCAACAAGCCGCATTGGGACATGGACATGGTGCCCGAGTATATCAACCCGTACGGCAGCCCGGATCTGCTGATTATTGCGCTGACCAACTGGGACGCGGCGTTTTCCACGTTTGTCGAGTTCTCGCGCGAGCTGTCCAAGATGATCCAGCGCGTCGACGGGATGTACGCCAACTCGACTGATATCTTGATCCGCACAGGCCAGTACTTTTGCTGCAGCGCAGACATGACCTCCTGGCACCGCCGCTTCACGCGCGACCGGAATAGGCTCTTTGACAAGCATGTGCTCGACCAGTTCCGCGACTACTTTGGCGACCGACGCAAGGTCTCGCTGTGGGATGTCGCATCCGTTACCGAGTCTCGGCCGCTGAGCGCCCGTAAAGAAGCGCAGACATGTGTGTCCAACCATGTCAGGTCAGAGGTGGTTGAGGTCGAAAACCAGCTGCTGTTTAATGCAATGTGCAATTGGCGGGCAGATGACTGACGCCAATGCCGACGATATATAGACCAGTTTTGTGTAGTGTTGCTGGAAGAGGTTTTAAGTTGAATTTTCTTAGCAAGGAGATGTCTGCTGGTTACAGCTTTCAAAGAATACCGCTGCTGTCACAGGGATGCGCTGCTAATGTAGACTAGCTTGAAAAGTACCAGCAGCGAGGTGATGTCGCGCTCAAGGTCAAGGTCGTGTGCTAGCGTTGCTGCACACACCTCGTTGTAAAATGAAGTAGCTGTCAGGGTCGGAGGACGTGGTCACAGCGACAGCATAGCTTGAATACTTGATATTGCGACAATTCTGTGGGTGTAAGCGTAGCTAGAAGTGCTGCGGATGAAGGTGTGGCGTAGGCCATATCTAATCAGCCAGTATGTTGTTTGCGCTGCTGCTCTGGCCAATGTTGAACTTTTTGGTTAGCTCCAGCATCGAGTCAATGTCCATGTCCTGGCTCGGGCTACGCATCAAGGCAGCAGCCATGACTCCCCATGTGTAGTGAATACGGGATGCCGGGTGCTTGTTGTCGTAGAAAAAGTGGCTGTCTGGGTCGCCACAAACACTGAGTGGGCCCATGCTTGTACCATTTCGCTTATAGCACTCAGTGTTGGTGTTTGTGACATTGATTGCAGCGACGAACTTTTGGTCTAGCGCATTGCTGACCAGCCGGTGGAGGTCAAGAATGCGGACGCCGCTGTAGCCTGAAGATCTGAGTGCCCTCTTCAGCTGCAGATTCACCCAGTATACAGCAGGCTTCATGACGAGCTGGAATCCACTTCCGAATTCCCTGCGGCGTACGGTCAATGGGAGGTAGGTTCCACAAAAATATGTTCCTGTATCCGGCATCAACCAGAGGTTTGATTCCCTTTTGCAACCTGCTTTCCCAAGTTGGTTGAGAACGAAAAGAAGCTCTCTTTCAGACCGATAATTGCTGGAAGATGGGTGGCAATGTCGTTCGGTCCAATGAGCACGGAGATAATGTCCCCTGCTAAGCGCCTCTTTGGCTTGGACTCGGGTTATCTGACAGGTAGGATGACACCTGGTCAGCCAAGCTAGGGATCACTGTGCCGTTCTCCGTAGATGGCGAGAAGGCGTTGTTTGAAGAGGCAGAGCCATATGCATGGTTGGCGAGGTTCATGCCAAGAATATCAGCAGCATACTCGTTCCACACGTACGAGTTTGTAAAGCGGCCATTCCAATACTCGTTGCTGTTCAGCAAGCGGCCAGTGTTTCCGTTGTCAGAGAGCGAGTCACCAAACACAATCAGGTTTGGTCTTGCCTGTGTGGGTGCTGCAAGGACCAGCGTGCAGGCAGTCCAGGGCGATAGCGGCGACATGCCTTGCGGCTCATAATAGCGATGTGGTGTTGAGGGAGTGGCAGCGAGATAGTTATCCAGGTACAGGCCAAGGGCTGTTGTCGCGGTGCTGTGGCTGACTTTTATATCAGATATGGCTGTCTACCTTCGCTAGAGCCAGCCACCCTTTGTGACATGCAGGTGACAATACCAAATCCCGGTACCGCGAATGCTTTGATGTCGACCGATATTGATATACGGCATTCCAGAAAGGCACCGGCGTAGAGAATAGCGTCGACAATTCTACAAAGCGCATTATATCTGTGCCCATCTTCTCCCTAAACCTCTTTGTAGAATATAGTGCGCAGGCTCAATAGCCACGCCTGTGGAGGATCCGCACCACATGCCAGCAGCACCACGCATTGGCGACATACACATCCGAGGCAGAGACTATCCGAAATCTATTGCCTGGAGCATATCAGTATCAGGAACAGCAGGTGGGTTTGTGCTGGCTTTGCCACAGGGGAATCCTGCAAAGTACATGTTGGGACAAGCTGCAAAGTGAAAGGTGCTATTTATAATATTGGCTGGGGGTCCGGGTCAAGGAGTACGGTCATGATTTACAAGTGGGCTTATCTCAGGCAGCAGTCGGGTTGCGGATCTGGACGCATCTGCTCCTGGACAATCTTTCCACAGAGCTTTGCGTACGGGTTCTCCTTGGCAGCAGCCATCCTGGCAACCTCATTGCCGTGCTTGGCGCCTTGCGAGAAGTTGTAAAAGGCGCCATCCTGGTCGCCGCGCGCTCTGAGAATCACAGCCTTCTGCGTGAATGCTTGGCCCAGGATCTCGCCGGTGCCGTGCTTGATTGCGCTGTTCAGATCCTGCCAGCGCCAGGTCCTCCTTGCCCTCGAGGCGGTAGGCCTGCGCGCGGTTGTTATAGGCAGACGCATACTGGGGGCAGTCGGAGATAATGGCCGACAGCGCGGTGATGGCGCCGGCGATGTCGCCACCCTCGGCCGGTCTTGATAGCCTCGAGTTCGCGACGCTTCAGCTCCACCACCAGGGTGGCATCAAGACCAGCCTTGTTGTCCGCAGGTGCAGGTGCCGCGTCCTTGTCTTGGGCAGGGTCATAGGCCTTGTACGTGCCGGCGATCTGGTCGCGCACGTACTCGCCGTCAAGGGCGCTCGTGAACAGCAGATCAATGAGGTTCGAGTCGTGGGCCGAGGCACTGGGGCTCGAGGTGGTCGGTGGAGACATGGCTGGTTAGTAGAGTGCTGAAAAATAGGAGTTGCGTGGGAGAAAAGCGGTCAAAGGAGTGCTTCTGGGTGGGATCGCTGGGCAGCGCGGCTTTATATGTGGGGCAAAAGATTCCCAGCCTCCACGTGACACCGCCAGAAGAAAAAGCGTGGGAAAAAGCAGGTCCACCGCTTTGCCGATCCGGCTCGCGGCTCGCCCATGTCTGTTCGCACTGCAGGCTCTTTTTTGGCTGGCGGGTGTCTGGTGGCGCATGGGCATGGGCAAGGCAGCGGTGCCGTCGGCGCAGCCCCACAGCAGGCAGCACCCACAGCAGGTCACGCGGGCTGCAGTGGCATTCACGCCTTGTGGCCAAGGTGCTTCCCCTTTGGCAGTGGCAACTGTCGCCACACACATCACTGAATGCGAACTGCCCAGTGGCAGTGGCTCCGCCTTCATCTCTGGCCACAGCCAGAGGCCGGCTGGGCCGTTAGTGGTGGCAAGCGTGGTCCTGGGCACGGGGCCAGTGCATGCAGCCAGTGTCACCGCATGTTCCACGCACACCCCAAAACCGCGTCACACTATGGAGCCAACCGGCAATACGATAACCCAGCCCGCTCTCCCCTGCCCAAAAACCCCAGCCGAGCGTCAATCGACCGATTACCAAACCCCTCCCCCTATCGCCTGCGTTCCCCTGAAAAATAATTAAGCGTGTATCACTGTGGGAGCGGCTTACTCGCCATCCGTGGCCTCCGTATGGGGCGGGGGCGCATTAATGACCTATTGTTGGCGAGAGCGAAGAGTTAGGCACGGCGACATACATGATGGGCAGAGCTCGCTCTTGTCTGGCAAGTCCGACTGCCGCGTATATAAAACTTGCGCACACCTCCGATTCTAGCACCACACTTATCGCTGTCAAGCACAGCCGCCCTTTGGTTTTCTTTTCCTCTCCCCTTCGCTCTAGCAATGCCCTCGCAATCCCTCCAGAGAAAAGCCCTTGCATCTTACGTTCCACGAGCTGGTGGTTGAGAATGACAACAGCATGGCACGGGACCAGTTTGCCGCCGAGCGCAACTTCCTCTCGTGGATAAAGCTGGCCATGGTCATGGTTGCGTCAAGCGCTATGACAATGACAAAGTTCCAGCAGCACATCACCAGATTTACCCAGTTTGCAGACGGAGTCAGCGTGTACATTATTGTTCTAGCGATGCTGATAGTGGTCGTGTCAACGCTCCATGTGGTTGACTCACAGGGCCGGCTGGCGATCCTGCGGCGGACCAATGCGGGTGTTCCGGCCGGTGTTTGTGCAGGTGGTGGGCAGCATGTCTGCAGCATCGCTTATTTTCGTTCTGGCGGTCAGGTACATATCGACATGAGTGATCAGCATACCAGAAATGGGCCGGCCTGCTTTCCTAGAACAAAGTCGGTCTGGCAAATACGCGTTGGGCGGCGGGGGCACACTGCAATACACAATGGGCGCAGCGCTTAATTATTCCAACCACTTCATTTTTCAATGCATTGCCGATCATCTCAGGCCCGAGTGGCAGACAAGCAAATGCTGTGTGTATCTTGGCTCTTGCTGCTGGCAGCCAGTTCGTCTGGGCACGTTGGCTGGGGCTTGCGGCATTCCAAAACAAGCAGGCTGCATGCAGCAAAGTCACAGCTCTTACTGGACGCCAATCACCGCTAGCACACACTACCGCTGTTCGATCTGGTAGGCAATAGCCCAAGGGTTTCGATTTAGGTTTTCCACTCTTCCCTTCGATGGCACGCTTTGGCATTGTCAGCCCGGGTCCGCGAACAGCAGGTTTTTCTGCTCTCGCACGCAACTGCGGTGCCGGGGGCTCGGGAGCTTCATTGGGGGAACACGGATGCGTGCCATTTAATGCCGCACGTTGCAGAATGCTGTTGTCTGCGTTGTGCTCTGCGCGCAGGTAGTCCGGCTATATTGCCCCATATGCAGCGATGAGCAGGCGCATAGGCAGGTTGTTCTCGAAGCGCGACTCTGGAAGCCGGCGAGGGGCTGTCAGCAAGGACAAAGGATATATAGTGCGTGGAGGCAGGCGAAAATCAATGCAGGCAAATGGTCAAGAGGGGAAGGGAACGGGAGCAGCTGCGTGCGTTCCGTATAAATTTGGGGAGCTTGGCCTGCGTCTGCGGCATGGGGCTGGACTGGTAATTAAACTTGCAGTTCCTTCTCCCAGATACTACCGGTGCGAGTGCTTTTCCTCACCCTCTCCTTTCTAATCCTCTCTTTGTGGCACAAAGACTAAGCGCGCCCTTTCCTTGAACCCCTTGCTTCCCCACTAAAAGCATGCCCTTGTTTTCACGTTCAGCATCGCTCACATCGTCACAGCGGTCAATCTTTTCAAACAACAACGGCACCAGTTCGCACGCTCAAAGCCGGCACCTATCGTACCAGAGCACAAGGTCATCTACACCGTCCCTGACACACATGGAGGACTATCCGTCATCGCCACTGGTCGCGCCCGTCACGCCTCTCACGCCCACGTCGCCGGGCACATTCCCCACGCAGACAAAGGGCGGGGTCAGCGTGTTTATATCGCTGAACCATGCACCCACTCTATTCGCGCACCCAGGCAAGGGCTGTGAGCTGGGCGGCAACATCGTGCTGGAGTCGGACCGAGTCATCAAAATCAAATCAATTGAGCTGCGCTTTATCGAGGTCGAGTACTTTGAGTTCGGTGTGCCGCGAATCACGCCGATTCCGTTTGTGGTGTGGCCGCTGAAATACACGATGCAGCTACAGCCTGGCTCGCACCACATCCCATTCACCTTCCTGCTGCCCACCAGCCTTCACACCACCGCGTTCACAAAGTTCAACTATTCGCAGTACGAGCTCAAGGCGGTCATCAAGGCCAAGGGGTTCAGCAAGGAAATTGAGGGGGTGCGTGAGCTCGAGTTCTTCCCAGTGCCGCGGCTGTACCTCACAGTGCCTGGTAAAAGCCCCTTCGCTACTACGCACAATCTGGGAAAGCTCGACATCACTGTCAACCTGCCAAGCCCGTTTGTTGCAGCCAGCAGCTCATTCACGGTGGACATGGCTTTCTCGCCCAGCACGCCGTACTACTACCTGGCCAAGATCGAGGGCAAGTTCCTGGAGATGATAGAGTACACGCGCAACGACGGCACAGTCATGTACAAGGACCCCGACCGCACAGTCTGCACAATCTCCAATATTGCACCGCAATGGCGCGATCCAATCCCGCTTGTCGACAATGTCAACGTGTCGTTTGCCGTTGACCTGCCGATCCTGATGAGCACGCCGCCAAAGCGTGCGTTCGCCACTAACACCAGCCCGTCGGTGATGCCTGATCCCGTGATCACCCCATACATCCTGTACGACGTCAACAACTCGCACCTCACTATCAAGCACGTGCTGTTCTACGACATCGAGCTGTGGGACATCCGCGGCGCGCCCCACCACGTCAACAACTCGGTCCAGATCAGGATTCTGCCGCCGCTGCCTGCCGATATGGCGCCAAAGAACTAGCCCGCCGGGGGTGCTCATTTGTTAATACCAGCGTTTTATTCGGAGCTTAATGCATAACTTTCTGTACCTAGTCTAGGTCGTCATTGACGTGGTTGCGCTTGACCACAAAGTATGTAGCCGCCACCGGCTTCATGCCACGCTCATTTCCCCACTGCACCGCATCAAAGCGCACGCGCGACTTTGGGACATCGTCTCTGGTGACGTTAAATGGCTCCTTTTGCTTCAGCACTACCACGGCATAGCGGTGGAAGCCCGAGTTGAAGGACGGAAGCGGGCCCAGGTACTCAGTGATGATGTTGGTAGGCCTGTCTGGAGTCGAGTCCAGGTTGGAAACCAGGAAGTGCCTGAAGGAGCGGTATCCGTGGCGGGTGGTTGCTGGGGCATCTGGATCCACAATGGCCACTGTGAACACCTCGTTGGGCGGTGCGTCAAATTCAATCGTGGGTTCCTCGCGGGTCTCGTTGATGGATAGCACCTGGCCCATGGCCGCCTCTTTGTCGGCATACCTGACTGACACGGGGAATTCTGCAACAAATGAGTCTGGCAGCACATCTGGGATTATGTGTGCATCACGAAGCTTGGTCTTGACTCTGCCCAATTCTTCCGGGTCAAACTTTCTCTTCCTGCACGCGCTCCTCAAGCTCTTGGATCGCGTCAGAGTTGTTCAACTTGTACGGTGCTAGCGAATGGTCGCTGCCAGTATCGTCACCCGCAGCTTCTTGACCGTTCTTCCCTTCATGCCCGTCAGGCTGGCGCTCGTCAGCTTCATTGTGTGCGCCACTCCGTCTGATGTCATATTCCGACGGCTCCCTGTGCCGCTTGTCGTAGACCTCGCCAAAGTCATTCAGTCTCGCACCGTCGATCTCGTCAGGCGATGCAGTCTGTATTGCCGGCTTTGCCCCTTTGGTATTGAACAGCGTGACACCGTACTGGTTATCATAAACAACACCAGTGGCTGCCACCGACGAAATAAGCAAAATAAATGACAGAGCTAGAAAGCTGCGCATAGTAGAGTGACTGGGTGTGGTTGAATACAATGGTTGATACAGATGGAGACACATGCAAAAAGTCAAAGATACTGCGCTGCGCAAGCTAGTTAAATGTATTTGATATGCGAGCCCTGCACTGTAATACCGAATGCATGGGCTGTGAAATGAAGAGCATGAAAAAGGCTGTGAAAAATGGACTGTGGGGAGGGAGATAGTAGTGGAAATATTCTACGTCGCCAGGGTATCTGGTGCTCCAAGACATGGCGGCAGAAGCAGTAGCATCCGAAACACAGGTGTCGCACAAAATTCAGTTTACGCTTTATCGCCGTGGGTGTCACTTCCTTCTCCCAGGGTCTTGGCCAGCGAATTCGTCCCGTCTATAGCGACGAGGTAGCTGGCCGACATAAAGTAATGGCGCACATAAAGTTTGTCTTCATCATTGCCGTCATACGAGTACGCATGGCAGCGGTTGACAAAGTACATGGAACCGAGACGGTCTCGCAGCTGGAATTTCTTGAACACCCCCGCTCGGACATGGCTCAAATCACCACCCGGAAGACGCTTGACGCCTGAGTAGATCTTGGGAAACGCGGGGTAGTCGGGGAAGCTCAGTGCGCCTTTGATTAGACTAAGCATACGGCTGTCATCGTCATCGTCATCATCACCAAAGTCGGCAGCCTGGTGCTTGCCAGCGATCCGTGACCGCACAAAATCCATGAAACGACTCGCGCAGCGTCTTGCGCAGGTCTACACCTGGTATCTGGAGATCGGGCTCTAATTCGAGCTCATAAAGTCCCTTCTGGGCGCGTGCCATTATTCCATGCCGCTTGTTGTGATGAATGTTGGGGTGAAGGACCGCACGCCCGGGCGAGTTCTTTCTGTCCACGGTGTGGAGTGTCCTCTTTGTCCGCTGCTATCATCATCGTCCTTGCCCTTGTCGCGGGCATCATCCCTGTCCTTCTCGCGCTCACTATCCTCATCCCTATCCTCATCTCTTTCCTCATCACGGTCCTCATCACGGTCCTCATCCGGTCCTTCGTCTTTGTCTTCGTCTCTCTCACTCTCGCTGTCGCTCTCTGTGTGCCGGCCGCTATGGTCATCACTGGTCCGCTGCTGAGGAGAACTGCGCTTCGATTTCGTTGCTCAACGACGCCTCCTCGGCACCCATCGTTGAGGTAGTGCCATGCTTGGACCTTTTGGCAGATGAAGCTGCCGTCGATGACGAGGTGGATGTCGATGATACTGCTGGTTGATAGTGTTGCTGTGGATAGGGATGATTCAAATGCACTCGACTTGCGTGCATTGTCCTCACCGTTAGTGATTGCACCTTGTGATCTGGAATCGTTCGAATCATCTAACGCGCTGGAGAGCGCAGATAAGTTCCGACTGTTTGCCGTCGTTGGGGTGCTGCAAAATGATCGAGCCCATGTAGACCCAGTTTTGCCCAACGCTGTACAGCCCCTCGTATGTGGTGCGATTGTCTTTCAAGTTGTGGTGTGCAGCAACCTTGAAGTAATATGGCAGTGTTGCATCGAGTTCAACAGGAGACTCTAGAAACACTTGACTCGGGCCATCCCTAGTTGGCCTATACCGAACCTCGGACAGATCGGATGTCTTGCCTAAGATTACCTGGTGTGCCGACGTAGGAGGCGAAATCTGCATGACAATCAGCGACTTACTGTCATTACGGTGCTGCAGACTCATCGAGCCATCGCTCCATCCAATCCCAATCCACTCTGTGCCAGGCGGTGACGTGTCATTTGCAAATCGCAGTAGGCTCATTGCCGCCGTAATTCCTTTCGTTCCTTCCACCACATCCCATTCGAGCGCAACCTCAAATGTACGACCAACAACGCCGAACAGCGCCAGGGCTAGGGATATTGGCGACAATCTAAACATGCTCGAAAGGGTTTAGCGAAGTAGGTGGGTTGGCCAAGGAAAGGGAAATTGAGATAGGAGGATTCAACAGGAGTGGTCGCATTTACTATTTAAGTGGCGCTTTCATCCTAATTTAAGGAAGCGCAAGGAGATTACTCGCAGACATCCTTTACTGCAAACATGCTCCTCGTGCTGGTTAGCTCGAATTATACGCCATTTGTCTCGCATAGCAGACTGGAAGCTGAGGCTATATATGGCCATCGACTTTCATTATCTGAAACACACGACAAAAAAGTAGCAAGAAACGGACTATGTGGCACAAATTACTTGGCTGTACTTTCAAACCATCGTTGTGAAGAATTCAGCCAGGAATCTCTCACCCCCTCAGGGAGTTGCTCAACAGTCGGGTTGGTAATAGAGTTGTCGCTTTCATGCAAAACCTTGTTAAGCTCGCTCTGTAACTGCGGCGGGAATATTGCCTTTGATCAACATTATAACTGCATTCCCATTTGCACGTATTCTCCCCAGTTACCTTAAGAAAATTGCAGCTTAGCGCCCACTCTCCATGTAAAGGGGTAAAAAGTTGATGATTTTTTCAACAATGGCACCATCTGAGGTGGCCATTTTATAGCCACCGTAAAAGGGTGTCATAGAAACAATGAACTAGAAAGAAAGGAGAAAGAAGGTCATAGCGGGCAGGGGATTAATCGTAATGACGCCTACCGGGAATTGTAGATGCAAGTGCTAGTAATTGATGATATCTCCTGATTTGGAATGAAGGAGTACATCTATCACGTAATGTCGATGAGGGAAACTGGTCTTCGATACCACACTCCATTGTTTGCATGCCCAAAATTCGAGAGTGGATTAATACTGCAGGTAACTATATAAGTTGATGAAGTATCGCTCATTGTCAACAATAGAAACAATAAGAAGATTGGTGACGTTTTCAATTATACACTGAGCGGCAAAATTGAGCCACAAAAATTTATTTCTACTTTTACTTACCATATCTTCATTATCAGATAATATATATACTTCCATTTGGCATATGTTCGATGGGGCTTGACATAGTATAAACATATGTAGTCAAATGTTCTCTAGCTATTGTACTTCATATGATATCGAAGTAAGAGTAAAAAAGTAGAAAAATTAGAGAGGTAAAAATTTGACTCATGGACTTCATAGTGCCATATCTACATCTTATCATTTTTGAATAATATGAAATCACCACCCATAACTCTACTGCACTCCTTCTTATATATTAATATATCATTCATACAATTACTCAACTACATATAATACTATCATATACTTAATGTGTGATGAAAAATTATAAAGGAAAAGTTCAACACTTCAGCAATACCCTTATACTTATGAATATTGAATACATAGTTGATACTTACATGACTAGTATTCAATGCTGAGGAGAAATGAGTTTGATAGCTAATTCACAAAAGGAAAAATCAACTATAAATGATATACAGCTACACATACACTGAGCAGCAAAATTGAGTCACAAAAATTTTTTTTAACTTTTTGATACTATATCTTCGTCATCAGATAATGTAGATACTTCCATTTGATATATGTTCGATAGGGCTTGACATAGTAAAAAGATGTAGTTAAATGTTCTCTAACTATTGTGCCTTGCATAATATTGAAGCAATAGTAAAAAACTAAAAAATTAGAGAGGCAAAAAATTGACTCACTTTGACTTCATACTGCTATTTCTATACCTCATCATTTTTTTAATTATGTGAAATCACTATGCATAACTCTGCTGTACTCGCCCTTCACTATTAACATCTCATTCACAACATTGCTCAACTACGCATAGTACTATCATGTACACTGAGCGGCAAAATTGAGTCACAAAAATCAAAATCATCGAAAATCTTAAATAATTTCTCTGAACGACGTTCATTGAATATGATAAAATTAAATCATGGTGTATGCCATGCACTAATCTATTTCTTGTAGTTGTGCGCTTATCGCTTTTGAAATAAGCGAGAAACTGACTTTTTAAAAAATATAAATTTTTGACTCAATATTGCTCACAAAATTCGTCGATTATTTTCTCAATAACTAGCAGAGCCACAATAGGTTTTTTTGACCGCAGCGATACGCACAGGCATCGAGTTCACTAATCACAAATAAACGGTTTCATTTACTTACCTATTTATAATTTCTTAGGCCAACGCAATGTAGGAGCCAAACATGATGAATTTTGACTTTTATCAGATCTTACTCATAATGAAGCCCTATAAGTGAGTAGCGTATCGTATCTAGGGGACTACACTGATCATCTTACAGTAGAAACAGTATACATATCTAGCCTACTTATAGCCCTATTTGCTATTTATGTGATGATGACTTCTTTAGATATAATCTTTGCACTCTCCTACTGCTTATCATAGGTATGTAACCAAGGAAAGATATATACCATCATATGCACACTGGTCAGTGTGCCACATCCCCTCAACTAGGGAAGCAATGCCCATAGCTGTATAGAGATACACTACTCAAAACTCAGAATCTACTTTTTCAGATTTTCTTAGAATCTCGATTTCTTCCCAGTGTTCACAGAATAGAGCACTTTCATTAGGATATTTCATTCCCATAGTCACCTGTGGGGCATATGCTTTGTATAGTAAGTACATTTGATTTGATCTAATATGTTTTTGATCGTAAGAAGCTGCTTAAAGAAGGATTAAGAAAGTTGCAAAATTTGTGATTCAGATTAAATGGCTTATCATTAGGCACAGAGATTACATATAGATATCTCATAGCATAGAGCAGGTAGCCACAGTAGTAATCTCTCTACCTATGTATATATTGTTACTATAAAAAATCAACTCATAGAATTACATTGCTTCAATAGAGAGCTTAAGCATAGTTGTACATCATTTATAGTTGATTACTCCTTCAGTGAACTAGCTATCAAACTCATTTCTTGTCATCATTGAGTACTAATCATGCGAATATCAACTATGCAATCAACATCTATAAGAGTGATGGCAGTGCTGAAGCATTGATCATTTCCTTCATAATTTTTCTTCACATATTGATTACATGATAGTACCATGCGTAGTTGAGCAACGTTGTGGACGAGATATTATTATTGAAGAGCGAGTGCAACAGAGTTATGGGTAGTGATTTCACATTATTCGAAAAAAGATAAGGTGTAGAAATGGCAGTATGAAGTCAAAGTGAGTCAAATTTTTGCCTCTCCAATTTTTCTACTTTTTTTACGATTGCTTCGATATCATGCGAGGTACAACAGTTAGAGAACATGTAACTACATACTTTTATACTATGTCAAGCCCTATCACACATATATCGAATGGAAGTATCTATGTTATTTGATGGCAATGATAGAGCATCAAAAAGTTGAAAAATTTTTTGTGACTCAATTTTGCCGCTCAGTGTATTCAGTATGCGAAGAAAAATTATGAAGGAAATGATCAATGCTTTAGTGCTGCCATCACTCTTATGGATTTTGAATGCATAGTTGATACTCACATGGCTAGTATTCAATGCTGAAGAGAAATGAGTTTGATAGCTAGTTCACTGAAGGAATTATCAAATATAAATTATATATAATTACACATCAGCTCACCTTTGAAGCAATATAAATCTATGATATGATTTTTTATAGTATTAGTACACTGAGCGGCAAAATTGAGTCACAAAAAATTTTTCAACTTTTTGATGCTCTATCATTGCCATCAGATAACATAGATACTTCCATTCGATATATGTGTGATAGGGCTTGACATAGTATAAAAGTATGTAGTTACATGTTCTCTAACTGTTGTACCTCGCATGATATCGAAGCAATCGTAAAAAAGTAGAAAAATTGGAGAGGCAAAAATTTGACTCACTTTGACTTCATACTGCCATTTCTACACCTTATCTTTTTTCGAATAATGTGAAATCACTACCCATAACTCTGTTGCACTCGCTCTTCAATAATAATATCTCGTCCACAACGTTGCTCAACTACGCATGGTACTATCATGTAATCAATATGTGAAGAAAAATTATGAAGGAAATGATCAACGCTTCAGCGCTGCTATCACTCTTATAGATGTTGATTGCATAGTTGATATTCGCATGATTAGTACTCAATGATGACAAGAAATGAGTTTGATAGCTAGTTCACTGAAGGAGTAATCAACTATAAATGATGTACAACTATGCTTAAGCTCTCTATTGAAGCAATGTAATTCTATGAGTTGATTTTTTATAGTAACAATATATACATAGGTAGAGAGATTACTACTGTGGCTACCTGCTCTATGCTATGAGATATCTATATGTAATCTCTGTGCCTAATGATAAGCCATTTAATCTGAATCACAAATTTTGCAACTTTCTTAATCCTTCTTTAAGCAGCTTCTTACGATCAAAAACATATTAGATCAAATCAAATGTACTTACTATACAAAGCATATGCCCCACAGGTGACTATGGGAATGAAATATCCTAATGAAAGTGCTCTATTCTGTGAACACTGGGAAGAAATCGAGATTCTAAGAAAATCTGAAAAAGTAGATTCTGAGTTTTGAGTAGTGTATCTCTATACAGCTATGGGCATTGCTTCCCTAGTTGAGGGGATGTGGCACACTGACCAGTGTGCATATGATGGTATATATCTTTCCTTGGTTACATACCTATGATAAGCAGTAGGAGAGTGCATAGATTATATCTAAAGAAGTCATCATCACATAAATAGCAAATAGGGCTATAAGTAGGCTAGATATGTATACTGTTTCTACTGTAAGATGATCAGTGTAGTCCCCTAGATACGATACGCTACTCACTTATAGGGCTTCATTATGAGTAAGATCTGATAAAAGTCAAAATTCATCATGTTTGGCACCTACATTGCGTTGGCCTAAGAAATTATAAATAGGTAAGTAAATGAAACCGTTTATTTGTGATTAGTGAACTCGATGCCTGTGCGTATCGCTGCAGTCAAAAAAACCTATGGTGGCTATGCTAGTTATTGAGAAAATAATTGACGAATTTTGTGAGCAAAATTGAGTCTAAAATTTATATTTTTAAAAAGTCAGTTTCTCGCTTATTTCAAAAGCGATAAGCGCACAACTACAAGAAATAGATTAGTGCATGGCATACACCATGATTTAATTTTATCATATTCAATGAACGTCGTTCAGAGAAATTATTTAAGATTTTCGATGATTTTGATTTTTGTGACTCAATTTTGCCGCTCAGTGTATATAGATAAGTAGAGAGGATACTACTGTGGCTATCCACTGGAGGCCATTCACAAATAAGAAAGTTTAAAGGTACTTAATATCTTGTATCAGAATAACCAAGTATTAAATAACAAATCAATTACTAGCAGTTGAAAAATATTTTAAAAATCAGAATGTTTAGTGATGGCCAAAAAGATTTTATCAACTAGATTAACTAATAAACAAAAATATAAGAACAGATGCTTCTCTGAAACCCCCTTCGGCATCCTGAAAAATTTCAGTTGATTTCTTGTGACCCAGCCTGTATCTCAGTAGAAGCATATTAATTGCGTATCAACTGAAATTTTTCAGGATGCTGAAGGGGGTTTCGGAGAAGCTCAAAAAACAAAAGAACAAAAAGTTTTAAAAATTCTAATTATTTTTTACTTAGTTTAGTGATTGTGAATGACCTCCAATACAGTCAATAGGTGATATCCTCTTTAGTAATCCCATGTTTTTAATCATCCTTGAATCTGGGGTATCTCTACAGTCTACTGTTGATGAAACAAGTAGAACCATTCCAATCACATCAATGCATACTTGTATGTGATATCCTGATTTTTTCAACTTGTAAGAGTAAAGTCCTGGTTTGTATGCTCCATTGTGCAGAGCTCTTGAATCATAGCCATCTAACATTAGTGTTACATGTTTAAACCCATGAGGATTCTGCATCTTTGCTGCAAGTAGTCGTAGCTCTGGAGTAGAAAACATTGTTTGCAGATAGAATGTTAGCTTGTTCAAATCTTGCATTTCAGAAATATAGAACATATTATAAATAACTTGATAGCTGCTTCTTGGAATGAATCTTTCCATTTCATTGATTGACAATCTGTCTACAAGTTGGTACAGTATCAGCAATCCTTTTTCTATACTTCTGTAAGGACATGGATAATGAGTGCAGCCAAACAAAACATTCATAAAGAAGAAAACAGGAATCATCCCTAGATGTTTAAGAAGTGTATCTTTTATAAGTTTGATTTCTCTTACTTCACGAACTTCACTTCTGTGATATTTTGTATGCTTAAGAACTACCCAGTCATCATTCAGAAATTTCCACTTGTTTGTGTAGAGCTTATGATCCTCCTTTTCTCTGAGTTCTTGTAATTGATGATTCATCTATGCAATGTACTAATAAATTTAAAAGTTGTCATTTATTGCAATGGGCCTATTCTACAAGTTCTTTAATACTCGACTTGCTGAGCTAGATGAGGAAGAGAGAGAAAAGCTAGTCCAACTACTTAGCAGAAATACACTGAGCAGCAAAATTGAGTCATAGAAATGGAATTCATCGAAAATCTTCAATAACTTCTCAGATTGTTGTGCAGTCCACATGAGATAATTTATTTTATAATCTATGCAATGCCCAACCGTAGCATACAAAGTTATAAGCACGTCGCTTAAGAAATCACTGAGAAACTGATTTTTTAAAAATTGTATTTTTTGACTCAATTTTGCTCACAAAAATTCGACGATTTATCGTTCAATATCTGGTATGGCCACCATGGGCTTTTTTGACAGCTGCGATACGCGCAGGCATCGAGTTCACCAGCTGTGAGCAAATGGTTTCATTTACTTGCTCACACCAGATGTCCTGGACCCGCTCCTAGAGGGTGTTGAGATCTTTGATTTCAGGCTCCATTACGGATCTCATGCTTAATGAAGTCCCACAAATGCTCAATGGGGTTGAGATCAGGGGACTGCGCTGGCCATGGTAGCACTGAAATGGAGTTCTCAGCAAACCACCTCCTTGTCCTAGAAGCCATATGGCATGAAGCATTGTCCTGTTGGAAGATGATGTCACCCTTGTCCAGCCCATACATCTCAATTGTTTGCAGTAGTTCCTCCTGCAGGACACCCACATAGACCACTGTGTCAATTCCCCCCTCAAGCCAGCAGAGTTGGCCAGGGCCACATGAAGTTATGCATCCCCAAACCATGATCCCACCTCCACCATATTTTTGGGTTGGGGTAATGTGGTGATCCTGGAGGACTCCGCCTAGTTTACATAAGCATCTTTCACGTCCATCTGCTCCATTGAGGTGTATTCTTGTCTCATCTGACCAAATTACCTGACTCCAATCGGTATCTGTCCAGCTCCCAAAGGCCATAGCAAATTGGCATCGATCCTTACGATGGCGATCGTTTAGTTGAGGGACATTTATTCTGCGCATAGATCAAATCCCTTGGTGACGTAGTGCGCGTCTGATAGTGTACACTGAGATGTGCATACCAGAGTATTGTGCCAGCTGTTGTCAGATCTGCATTGCTGTGGAACATGCACCAGTAGTAGCAAGTCGACAAATGTATGTCTCATCATGTGGTGATAGCAGCCGACTACGACTAGCATGGAAGTTCCTCTCTATGCTATGTTGTGCTCGGGCAATGCGTGATACTGTGGATTGGGAGACTCCTGTGTCCAATGCAATTTGCTGAGTTGATAATTGTTTTGTTAGAAGAAATTTGATGTGATTTTTATGTGATGATTGTAACTTTTTAGGCATAGCTAGAATAGAAATGAGATGTGGATGTGGATGAGAGAATGCTGTTGTCTTGTTGGTTAAAATTTGGAATTTGTCCACTGCTGTTTTGGGTATAAAACTAAATATCGAAAGTAGGAAAGGTCAAAAATGACCACTACCAAAAATTACTACTTTTTCAAAAGACAGTAATATCAAGGGAGTGCGACATTCTAGGAACATTGGTCTTACACAATTCTCATCATCGCATGCAAGTGATATGCATACCCCACTATCAAGGGTATTGCATCACTGCTTTTTCAGATATCAAACATTTTCAGAAGAAAAAATTTTTGTGACTCAATTTTGCCGCTCAGTGTATTGATACACTGAGCGGCAAAATTGAGTCACAAAAATAAAAATCATCAAAAATCTTAAATAATTTCTTAGAACGATGCTCGTTGAATATAATAAAAATAATTCATGGTGTATGCCATGCACTAATCTATTTCATGCAGTTGCATGCTTATTGCTCTTGAAATATATGAGAAATTGAGTATTTAAAATTAAAAATTTTAGACTCAATTTTGCTCACAAAATTCGTCGATTTTTTTCTCAATAACTAGTATAGCCACCATAGGTTTTTTTGACTGCAGCAATACGCACAGGCATCGAGTTCACTAGCCATAAACAAATGGTTTCATTTATTTACCTATTTATAATTTCCTAGGCCAATGCCACATAGGTGCCAAAAACGATGACCTCTGGTCTTTATCAGATCATGCTTATAATGAAGCCCTATATGTGAGTAGTGCATCGTATCTAGGGGACTACACTGATCATCATACAGTAGAAACAGTATACATATCTAACCAACTTGTAGCCCAAATTGCCATTTATGTGATAATGACTTCTTTAGACATAATCTTTGCACCCTCCTACTGGTTATCATAGGTATGTAATCAAGGTATATTTTATATCATCATATACACACTGGTCAGTGTGTCACATCCCCCTCAACTAGGGAAGCAATGGCCATAGCTGTATAGAGATACACTACTCTAAACTAAGAATATACTTTTTCTGATTATCTTAGAATCTAGGTTTCTTCCTAATATTCACAGAATAGAGTATATTCATTAAGATATTTCAATCTCACTGTTACCTATAGTACATGTATTTTGTATAGTAAGTACATCTGATTTGATCTATTGAATATTTGATCAGAAGGAGCTGCTTAAAGAGGGATTAAGAAAATTGCAAAATATATGATTCATACTAAATTGCTTATCATTAGGCACAGAGGTTACATATAGACATCTCATAGTATAGAGCAGATAGCCACAGTAGTAACCTCTCTACTTATCTATATACTGATACTATAAAAAAATCATGTCATCGAATTACGTTGCTTCAAAGGTGAGCTGATGTGTAGTTGTACATCATTTATAGTTGATAATTCCTTCAGTGAACTAGCTATCAAACTCATTTCTCTTCAGCGTTGAACACTAGCCATGTGAGTATCAACTATGCATTCAGCATCCATAAGAGTGATGGCAGCGCTAAAGCGTTGATCATTTCCTTCAAAATTTTTCTTCGCATATTGAATATATGATAGTACCATGCGTAGTTGAGCAACGTTGTGGACGAGATATTATTATTGAAGAGCGAGTGCAACAGAGTTATGGGTAGTGATTTCACATTATTTGAAAAATGATATGGTATTGAAATAGCATTACGAAGGCAAAGTGAGTCAAATTTTTGCCTCTCCAATTTTTAGAGTTATTTACTATTGCTTCGTTATCATGCGAGGTACAATGTTTAGAGAACATTTGACTACATACTTTTATACTATGTCAAGCCCCATCGAACATATATCAAATGGAAGTATCTATGTTATCTGATGACGAAGATATAGCATCAAAAAGTTGAAAAAAAATTTTGTGACTCAATTTTGCCGCTCAGTGTATAAGCAGAAAATTAACAGTGTACATCAGAGCATGGGTTAAGAATGTTTCTGAAGATAGGGGTTTTAGTATTAAGCATGTATTTGATATATGCAACTACAGTTGTGTAGATATGGAAGTAGTGGTTGCCAACTGCCCATTTTAAAACTAGATCCTCTCAGTATAGATAATACGATTATGAATTCTAGTTACTTTAAGTACTACTTCTTGATTTGGTTGGCCAATAATATAAGCAATATATTCACCAAATGGACTACTTGCTTATATTTTGATATGAGTGTGAGTATTGCTAACTATTTCAATATGAATCATATAGATATCTAGATAGTAGAAAGGCAATCCTCTAAAAGTATATAAGAAGTAATGACTGACTATGAACTCATCTCCAACATGAAGTATGTTATAAGCAACTTTATAACTAGCTAGCTTAAGATCAGTATTTTCTCTTAAATATGTAGGTTCTAGACCATCAAGTTCAATATTGCTAATATCTGCAAGAAGGTCATCTATTCCTAAACCATCAGTATTATCACTAACAATTGAGAGAGTTGAAAGCCTAACTTTCTCTCTTGCTTGCTGAGCTGTTAACCAATCAATATGTATTCCATGATAGTTAATAAGTCCCATTTCAGCAAATGTGTGTTGCTGTCTTTCTCTTGAAGCAACAGGCCAGAAGGAATTCCTCTGACTAGGAACAATAGTGATGTTTGTGATATCTCTTCTCAGAACAACTTCAGATTCAAGAGGACCACTACTAGTAGCATATGTAAGAAGAACAGTTGGGTGTCCATTGAATGTAAGATTAGAAACAACAGTCATCACATCCTCATTCTTTTTCAACTTTTTAGCTATTCCTTGTTTCTTCTTAGTTGTCTGATTGAACCAATGGCAATAAGCAAGAGCATGTTCTTTATGAAAGTAAATACACAATGTATGTTTGTTATGAATCTGATCAACTAGTGCCATCCATTGCTTTTCATAAGATATTGCAAATGTCCTATAATCACTAAGAAACTCCAGTGTACTAGCAATTAAGTTTATGTTCCATTCTACTTCTTTCAACTCAGGAGAGTGAACAGTAAGTTCAAGCCTCATTAATCCTTCATTCCTACAAGCAACAAGTGTTTCACCAAACTATTGAGAAATTGGCATCACTAGTTCTGATAGCGTAGAAGTAAGTTGATTACGAACCTCACCACTTTCTAAGAGTTGAACAAATTTATTATACACTGAGCGGCAAAATTGAGTCACAAAAATCAAAATCATCGAAAATCTTAAAAAATTTCTCTGAACGACGTTCATTGAATATGATAAAATTAATTCATGGTGCATGGCATGCAGTAATATATTTTTTGTAGTTGCATGCATATCAGTCTAGAAATATTCGAGAAATCAACTACTTAAAATAAAAATTTTTGACTCAATTTCACTCATAAAAATTTGTTGATTTATTTCTCATTAGCTAGCATAGCCACCATAGGCTTTTTTGACCGCAGCGATACGCCTCGGCATCGAGGTCACTAGCAATGGGCAAATACTTTCATATCATTGCTCATGTACAATTTCCTAGACGAACACAACATTGGTACCAAAAATGATGATTTCTGGTCTTTATCTGATCATACTCATAATGAAGTCCTATAAGTGAATGGCGCATCGTATCTATGGGATGCCACTAATCATCATACAATAG